GGCACCGTCACCTCGTTACCCTATACAATCGAGCTTTATGAGAAGAATGCGGGTACACGGGACCTGAACCGTGCGTTCCGATCAGCTCTCCGATATGAGTCTAAGTTTCCTGTACTGATGCCCACCATAGGTACTGGGATTGGACCATCGACGCGGACACTTCGAAACCGTACGATGGCCTCCTCCCTTCCCTTGACTCCAATCGCGCTGACTGGCCCAATCTCCTAGGATGATTGAATCACCCATCTTCGATCCCATTACCGGGTTTGGAGGCGACGGTATTCCTGGTACCTACACCCTCCCTCCCGATCCCCAGAACAGGACAGGCATCCCCGACCCATCTACATGGAAGGGGTGCGTCATGGACGGCCCGTTCAACGCCACAGCTTGGAAAATCAACCTAGGCCCAGGTAGTGTTCACCACGGGTATGGGAAACCCGCCGGGTTACCGGGTAAAACCCGTCCAGGTACGGGTACAGGTCCCCAAATAGGAACCCTGCGCCAAACCCGGACCCGAGAAGCGGGTTCCCACGGGTTCGGCGTCCAAAAATGGTGAAATGTCGGCTGGGTCCAGTGCCGCGGGGTGTACATTTTGCCCCGAGTGCCACAATCATGAACTGTATAGTACTGAACTTTAATTTACTGGCCTATTTAGGCCTACAGGCGCGCAACATCACAGACTGACTACCACTTGAGCAAGTCACCGACAACCGCCGCTACTATGTCTACTGCCAAACTTACTCAATCCTCCTCTGGTCGGACTATCAAGCCCACAGCCAAAGTCCTTCACGCATCCGGTGTTCCCACCACCCGTTCTATCGCCACCGCTGCAACTAACCCTATCGCCACCGCTGCGACTAACCCCGAGGCACCACCTGGTCTCACCAAAAAACGCCGGATCGACAACGTCAATGATGCCGACACCACCGGACCCCCTCCTCTGATCAACATCGTGGACTCGGAAGAGGAGATGCCCGAGTTAGAGGATGCATCAGACGACGAAGAGTCTGATGACGAGGTGGAGGTTGTTGATGATGGTGGTGATCTACAGGATCGTACGTGGGCAAATTTCTTATACCAATACAAAGACCAGGACTTACAGATTCCACAGCGAAGCCGAAGGAGTACAAGGCCCCCATCTACGCCTTCTTCCGTCCTGAAGTCAACATTGAGACCATCACTGGACGCCAAGCCGAAGTCTTCGTCTGCGCCGCCGCCCATTGCAAGGCCGCAAACCGCCAGGTTCGACGATTCCTCGACACCAAGGATGCCAACTCCACTGGCAACCTCAGGAAACACGCCGCGAAGTGTTGGGGCGACGAGGCTGTTGTGATCGCGTACACGGCACGCGATGCCAAGGAGGTCCGCAAGTCGGGTTGCCTGGCATCGGGTGTCTTCAAGCAGTCAGGGTCCATCGACAAGATGTTCGAGCGGACCGGAAAAGGGAAGGTCACGTACTCCCATCGCGCGCACACTACAACCGAAGCCAGGTGAGTTGATGTTGCTTCATGCAGTAAACTATTTCACTTACACTGTTGCAGGGCAGAGTTCGTCCGATGGGTTGCTGAAAGTCAGCGCCCGTTCACGATCGTCAATGACCGTGCATTCCGGTCGCTGATGAAGACAGGGCGTCCCGATGCTTATATCCCAGCAGCCTCCACTTTGGCGAGGGACACGAAGCAGGCGTTCGCGAATTCCCGCAACCGAGTAGCTAAATTGCTCCAAGTAAGCGACAAGTAGTGTATTGAATAAATGGATTTGCTTACCTGGATGTCAGGATCACCCGGGAGCCTTGAATTTTGCCACGGATGCATGGAGTTCCCCCAACCATCGCGCATTTGTGGCCTTCACCGTGCACTTCGAACAGGATGGTGTGCCGTTGTCGTTCTTGCTGGACTTTGTGGAGCTTCCCCGTTCGCATACGGGTGCGAACCTCGCAGCCGAGTTTGCACGCATCCTGAAAGAGTTTGGGTTGGAAGAAAAGGTCAGTGGTGATTGCGGATACCAATAACATTGACTGACTCACCATTCAAGATCCTCGCCGTGACCTGTGACAACGCCTCAAACAACGACACGATGATCGCGAAGTTGGCCGAGGACGTTGAGAAGTTCCCGGGTGCCGCCGCCCAAACTCGGTGCTTTGCCCACGTCACCAACCTTGTTGCGAAAAGTCTCATCAAGGTCTTTGACGCTGGTTCAAAGACCAACTCCGGTGATGATAGCAACGGCGACGGCGACAACATCGACCGTGAGTTGGCGGACATCACCAATGGCATCGACGAAGAGGCGCATGTGGCTGAGCATGAAGATGAGGGCGAGGATGATGACGTGGCCTGCGGTACCGACGGTTGGGTTGACGAAGAAGCGGAGATGTCGGACCAGGAGAGGGAGACCTTGAAGGAGAAGGTGCTCCCCGTCCGCCTGGCGCTGGCTAAGGTATGAGCAATGTGCTTGTGTATTTAGGGCGAAATGACACACCTTGTACCAACCAATAGCTGAGGCGTTTCTCGTTTGCTGTCGTCCGTTCAACAACGCTGCTGCTACCTCGATGGAAGATGTACGTCGACGACGCGGGGCTGGACCAAAGGGTCCTGAAGCGCGACGTGGCGACACGATGGAACTCGACCTATGACATGGCAGTCATGGCGCTCGAGTATCGTATCGTCATCGACAGGTTGACGGCGGAGAAGGCGAGCGGATTGAGAAAATACGAGTTGGGGGAAGAGGAATGGGGAATCATCAAAGAACTTGTGAGGGTTCTGAAGGTGAGGAATTTCTCACCTTTTGTCGTTCGATTTCTGACTGTGTGACCGTTTTCTTTCAACATGATGTGGCATCCCGTCATTTTGTGGGTCCATGGGCGCTGATTTCGGTGCTCTCGGCTTTGGACTCATCGGTTTGTGGGTCCTCGGCACTTGGAATGCCATCTCCTAATAAAAACCGACACCCACGCCGGCATTCTCACTCAACACCTTCACCTCCCTCTCATCCTTCGGCGCTCACGGCCGTCGCCATCGTCGTCGTCGACTCCTTGTTCCCTCGTCTTCCCTTCGCCGTCGTCATTGCACGCTCGTCGTCATCGTCGACGTCGATTGCTGGCCGCGTCGACTCGCCTTCCCTCGCCTTCCCTTCGACGTCGCCGTTGTCATTGTTTGGCGGCTGTATCGCCTACCACGTCATCGCCCCTTGCTCGTCGTTGATCTTGATCACCGGGTATAGGTCTTCAAGGATGCCACGATGTTCTTCTCGCGCGGTACCCCGTCGTTGCCCCACGTCATCCCCGCCATGGACCACCTCGACGAAATCTTGACCACCCACTCTCTGGACAACACGGCATTCCATCCATCCATCCGCGCGGCCTGTGTCCTTGCCAAGAAGACCCTCAATCGGTATTATGACAAGACTGACCATACGGAGAATTTCCGCATTGCCATGGGTATGTCTTTTGTTGTTCCACGGCCTTTGCGTTGCTCATAGCCAGTGCAGTACTTCACCCCAGTTACAAGACAGCCTATTTCAAGAAGGTAGCATGGCCGGAGGAGTGGATTGACACCGCTGTCGCCATCGCGCGCGATGTGTATGAGAACAGCTACGAAGGTCGCGCTATCCCTGCTGCCGACATTGCTGCTGTCCCTATCCCTGCATCCACCACTTCCCTGTCGGTAAGTCTTGTTCAGTTAGTATTGGTGCTCAGGTACAATAACAGTCGAGTAGGATGGCTCAAACATGTTCGAAGATATGTTGAACAACGCCATGGACGTAGACACCGAGCTCCCAACGGATGAGCTCTCTGTGTACCTTGCCCAGCCCCTGCAACCTGGTGTGCGCGACGCACTGAAATGGTGGTACGATAACCGGTTCACCTTTCCTCGGTTATCTCGGATGGCCCGCGACTATCTGTCTATCCCAGGTATGTTCTCTCCCTTCTCTTTCCTTCTCTGTCTGACACCACTCTATAGCAACTTCCGTCGACGTCGAGCGGGTGTTCAGCCGTGGGCGCATCCTCCTCAATCATCTCCGCAACCGTATGTCTGCTCAGACCACCCGCACCCTTATGTGCCTCCACGACTGGTCTTTAAAAGGCTTGGTTCGTGATGAGGATGTACTTGCTGCTGTGCGACAGCCTGAGGAAGGTGGGACCGACAAGGACTTTGAGATGGTTGATGGTTTTGATATTATAGTTACGTAGTCTATAGAATAGCGTAGGGACCTTGTAACTTGGTATTCCCCTGTAATCCTGGATTATTTCTGCTTCCTTCGCTCGCTGTGTTGGATGAACCCGATGGGTTCGCCGGGTTTTCTCGGGTAACCCGCCGGGTTGTGAACCCTGCGGGTAACCCGGACCCAGACCCGGACCCCTCTGACGGGTCGGGTTACACCACGGGTACGGGTACGGGTCGTGGCTAGGGAAGGACAGGGGTAACCCCCGGGTAGCAGGACACCTACCCTTACCCCCACCCCCCAAAACCCCTACCCCTGACTGAGGGGTAGGGGTAGTACCCTTACCCCCAACCCTGGGGGTTTTGACCAAGGGTTTTAATCATTTTGGCACTAACAATTACTTACAGTTGTCTATATGTATATTTTTATGTGTTTTATTGCGCATACAGCAGTTATTTAGTAGAAAATATACATAGATGCTGAAATAAATGGGTTTTGATTGATTTTTATCAAAACCCTTACCCCCGACCGGGGGTAGGGGTTTGGCCAAGGGTAGCCGGAGACCTACCCTTACCCCTACCCCCGCTCTACCCTTGGCCTCTACCCCGGGGGTTTTAAAACCCCTTGACCATCCCTAGTCGTGGCTTTCAGACCCCGGGTTAACCCGTGGTGAACACTAGGCCCAGGGCAATTGACAACGACACACTGCCTGGTTAGAGGTATAAATGAAGGAAACAGGAGATCTATGTTCACGAGTAAGGCTGTAAAAGCCACGTTGGCTCGCTCTCGCACATTCAGGGACTTTTGGCTCGAGGTGGACCACTTGACACTGGGCTTGCATGCAGCACCTCACTGGATGGTCGGAGGTGAGATGGAGAACGTCTATTCTTCTCCCGGAGGTACGGATCTTTCTGATTACCTTGTTGCATTGGGACTGACTCCGGTCTAGAGCCCCTATTTTACCTCCATCATGCAAACGTTGATCGCATTTGGTGGAAGTGGCAGCACATCAATCCCGCAAAGCGTCTCTACGATATCGCTGGCCCACCCACGGAGGCTGACGGTTAGTCGAGTCCCTCGGCTTTCAGTTTAATCTCCAACTTACAACGACGCCCAGGTACCACGCCAATTACACTGGATTTTGTCCTTGACTTTCCGGGAGTTGCTCCAAACTTGAAGGTTCGAGACTTGATGGACACTCACCGAGCGCCCAGCTGCTACACTTATAACTAGTAGGAGCTGTAAAGCTCGGCGAATGGTTCGACTCCATCAGAATGCGTCGATAAGCGCCCAAAGCCTTGTTTCACACCGATGGCCTGGGAGTCGTTGAACGCTTCTCCAGCTGGTGAACTCCCAAATAAAATGTATTTCGGTTCGTGAGATATCTGGGCGCTCAAAATTTACATAACCATTTTATCTTATATTTTCTCTTCATGTCCACCCTAGAGCACAGGCGCTCTTCTTTCCGAAATGCTGAATGTACATAAGTAGTTCGGTTCACTCATATCACCACTCGGGGTCATTTGATAGGATCAGTTGAAGAAGAAGGATTGGGAAGGCTAATTTTGAATACAGTCTCATGTGGAACCACGACGTACTCATTAGTTTTCCTCCCAGTTTGTATCCAGGGCTTCCTTCAAACGGGGTGGTATGGCTGGAGATCCTTGTATGCTGGTAGGGCAAGCGCCGTAGAGGCCCTTGTCTGTCTGATATGTTGGCCATGTCGGTTGAGGAAGTATCATGCCTAAAAATAGATATTCTGAGTCTAAAATGGTAGGATAAATTTAAACATCGTGGTCATTCATCGGCCTCGTTGCGGGAGAAGAATTTCCAACACTACCAAGTAGCCAACAACAGCCATGCGTCGAACTTCGAATACCCACGGTCATCCTCAGGCTTGTACTAGTAAAAGTCAACGACAGTTGGCACCCCTCCGACTTCCACCTCGATGGCGGTCGATGTCGAGAGGGAAGTCACTCTGATCTTTATAAACACTGTAGGTCCGTCCGTTTACTGGCCCATTTCCACTTGCTGACGTCAGTTTTCTAGTCTGTACAGAGTAGGTTCCGCTTCTATCAGAAGGAGAATTCCATCTGACGCACTGGTACGGTGCTCGAAGTTGCAGCGACGACGATCCTGGTAGGTGGTCCCAGTTGAAAATCCATCAAAAACTCACATACCTGCTTAGTACTGCGATTATTTCGAAACCATCGAGAGAGAGGTAGCCTCACCGCCTTGTCGCAAATTACGGACGAATCTAAAGTACATAGGTTGCGTTAATCTGGCAAACCAAACTCAGCGTCGGGAAGGTTCTCTTCCTGACAACACGGTACTGCTCGTACAGCGGGATCAGCATCGCACTGTATCGTAAGTGGCCGGCCCCAACTCTAAGTACATTAGGATAACGCTCATCTCCAATAGTTGACCGAGGAATGAAGGTGCCATTATCCGTGAGGCGCTATACTTCTCTCCCACTGTGACGTCGACTTTATAGCGATTTTGTAGCGCTGTGAAGCACTCTATCATGTTTATCTCGGTGAGTGCTTGTCGTTATTGGCATGAGCGCTGGACTAAACCACCTTACTGTTGATGAAGTCTTGTCAGCGTTCAGTATCGCTTCCTCAGAAGGTTTGGTGAAGTAGCTTAACAGCCGCGAGCCAGACGGAACTGATGCGGCAGCATTCCTCAAGGGATTCTGGCGATGACGGTACATGCCTTGCTTAGTGGAGGACAGAGAAGGCGAGTTGTGCGAGTTGCACGAGTTGCGTTGTTGGTCTTCATTTCGGTACGTGAGACTCCCGTGGATAACCTTCGAATACTCAATTGCCCCCAGACGTGCATCACGACGGCTCTGGTCTTGGTTAACATCTACGTCGCAAAAGGGTTTAAAAGTACGTGGCCAGATTACTGTTCCTCTTGTACAAACGAGCTCATTCGGATGCTAGCAATCCCACCGACTTGGTGGGAGCCACGGTGTAGGTGGCAAGATACGCATTCCATCTATCTATATGCCTGCTACTACATCCTGTTCATACTCGAGTTTTGTAGGTGCTTCAGCTTGGGTCATAACTGCATTGCAAACTGATTCCGGGACCGCGGGTCAGTTCTTGCGACGACGGCACTCACTCTTGGACTGCGGAAATATCGTCGGTCGAGGTCACCGCTGTTGACTGTAATCTACAGAGACGGCGGAGCGTACTATCTAATCTTGATGGGTAAAGAATCTAACCATTGCTCCAACCTTTTGAGTTACTGATGCTTCTCCAGCGCTCACAGCGGCGAACATTCTTTTCACAAAACTAATTGATGTGGGTTCACCCGGCCCTTGCCTTTCGTACCCACTGACCTCATTCAACGGTTCGATGATAGGGGGTCTTTCTTAGCGAGTGAATACCATACCTCTCCTATTTAGCCGAGAAAAACTGACGAGAAGCCTTGTAGATTCCAAACTGTGATGCACTCCGTGCTGGCCTGCCGGCTGGTCCTCAACCAACGATCGAAAATCCTTCCCAGACATAGCGATCAGTATGAAATGACGTCGACTCGCCTTAGCTTTGCACCAGGAGATTGAAGAGTCCCGAACACGATGTCTACGAGCGGGAACGATATCTCAACCCAAGCTTCGTCAGAGAGGAGACAGGTCGTTACAGTTGATATGGATAATTCGTAGTTGTGAGGGACATTTTACCGCACTTCTCATCTCTGATATCAGTACAACTGCGCTTTAATACACATTAATGTCGATCCGCGGGCTCGGGGGCACTGAGCGCTCTTACCCATAGCTATGCCGTGCTGGTCCGTGTCACATGGGCACTTCGTACCATTATGAAGTCTGTCATCTTCATTAGATGTCGATTGTGTAGTCGATCTTACCATGCGGTCTCTTTAGAATTCACTCGTCCCATCAGCACTTGGAGAGAAGCCCGAGCCAAGCACTAGGCTAAGCGCCCGACCAAGCGCCTAAGGAGGAGAAGAACTAATATATTTATTCTATCCCTTTACTCCGCGCGTGTAAGCACATATGCATTTTTTATTTTTTTTACACAGACAACCCTGGCTTGCTTCCAACAGAATCCTCTACATGACTACTCTCCGACTTTGCTATCTCCTCCAAGGCGACCTGAGAACTTTCAATATCGGTTGATTTCGATTGCCGACTGGACCCCAGAATCCTGCTCGAAAAGTTGATCCTAGATGTTTCATCGACTATACTCCGTAGACTCGTTCGGGCGTTCAACCTGTAAGGGAGACCAAGGAAGCGTTTGTTAGGAATTGATACCACTACTAGGTCTGAAATTGATGAGGAGTGGATGAAAGAAAGGGACGTACAAGGCAATCATACTGTTGGAGTAAACTGTAGAGTTTGCATAAATTAGAACAGGGGATTGCAATCGGTTATTACTAGTCGCATGGTAGCAAGGCAGATGCAAAAAGGGGTGGTACTTACGTTTGGTGTGACAAGTAAATATTGCGAGATAGATAGCTATCAACGCGATCGAATGAGCCCCGTTCAACGGGGGATAAGGAGAGAAGCTTACTCGATCCTGTTTCTGCTGAGAACTAACCGAAAGGGGATGAATTCGAAGCTTCAGCTATGAATAGACGAGTTTTGTACTCACAGATATGGCGACAGCGGCGCTGACCAGTCTGTTCAGAAGAAAATCCTGAGCATGACATGATTGCGAGTACCGAGGATAGCACAATACCTACGCTGTTAGAGCTCCGGTACCTATCGAAGAGATACATCAGAGACGGCAGTCAAGATTGAGCAGATCCCAGACCATCGACATACAGATTGTGTATTGCATAACGCGGTCGACGAGACGAGTAGACCTAACGAGATAACCAATGCTACAGGATTTGGTATGACAATTTCATTTAAGCCACTCACCTCACCAATATCTTCTTCCGTTCGGAATGAAGATAGTACACCATCGCCGACGCAAGGATTACGTCCAGAAAAGCACTGACAATCAAGACAGACGTCGCCATCCATCGACCGCGAGCTCTGTACCCGGGAAGATGGCCCAGTTGAGTATGCGCTCCAGCCGCCATAGCCAGCATAAAGTTGAGGGAGGATAAAGCCATGCAAAGTGGCCCTATCATCTTCCCCGGTTGTGGAAGAAGTCGCCAAACACGAGTGGCATAGAAGGTCTGAAGATAAGGAAAGGAAGTCGTTCAGCTGATCGACGTCATGCCATGAAAGTGAAGTGACGGAACGCTTACCTGCGACATGAGGAGAATGGCTGCGGTTACAAAGAACGCTGCAGCGAGCCATGGACCAGGAACATTGTAACGCTCTTGGGCCGAGTTCACGCTGTACACTTCCCCGGAAATACAGATTGTGTGGCCCAGTTCCAGTACCCTGCTCCGAAAGTTCAATCTAACTTCACGATTGGAGCCAACGGGTTATCTCACAGAAGTCCAGCGACCTATTGATCGAAGAGTACTATCAGCCAACGGGTACAGGAAGCAAGAGGTGATTTCTTAACAGTAGCTTTAATGTCATCCTATCATCAGGAAACTGCTGGTAATATATGAAAGTCTGTACAGAGACGACGCCGAATAGGAACAGAGAGACTAGGGAACCAATCTGGATGGCCTCCATCGTTTTCTCGATTCGCTGAGCCATGGCGAGAGATGATTAGAGAGGCGACGTGAGCGGACGCAAGGGCTTAGTTGTAATTTTCTCTCAAAAAGTGAGCATATTATAAGGCTTAAGCACTCCAGACAAGGTTTACGATTCGAATGGAGGAACGCAGTTATCCTGTCCGCTTTTGGTATAGAACACTGGTCTTCACTTTGACAATGTGACCATCCTATCGTTGGTTTCCCCACACCTCCCGTTCAATCACCAACACCGTGATGCATACATCCTCGTTTCGACTGCAAAAACACCAGTCAGCTCTGCCCTAGAAAGGAATGTTTAAACTTCCAAGGCATCCCGCTGTAAGAGATATCTCCGAGCACGCCGGGAGAGCTCCACATTCCAGGGATATCTGCCAGACCTAGATGATAAGCGAGAGAGACTACGTACCACCTTGCAACGCAAAGATACAGACCTGTGGTGGCCGAATGTCGGGAGCGCAACTGCACCAAAGTGAAACTGATCTACCTACATTTAATCAACAGATTGCAGCGATGGCGTCTATCCTTGGGATCGTCTTCATGATTCTATCACTCTTTTTTGTCTGATGTAGGATATAGTGTTCCGATGCTTCTGACATTTCCGAGATCTTTTGCTATGCTATTAGCCGAGTGACTGTGGTCGAGTCTCACCATCCCTTGTCACAAAACTTCCCGACCCGTTGAAAGCTCAAACTCTTACTGGGTTTGACTGTTGCGCCGTTACGAAATGATGGGGGGATGATATCACAGATACACTCTACCGAGCTTACCCCTTCTATGCTGATTGAGAGTAACTGTTAAGTAGGTGTAAGGACAGGAAAAATCCTTAGGATGACAGGAGATGAAAGAGAAGGCCTTATCGTAGATGCGCGGCAATCCGGAGAATGCCAGTCAGGCCTTCTTGGAACCATTACAGGCCGCGCTATTAAGTAAGTCAGCATCTCACAGCGAGCAAACTGATTCGATATCTTGAAAAGAAGCAGGGAGCCAGGAGGATGGGGAATCGCGTGCTGATCCCTTGTGACATCTGGTCGCCTTATGATCACGGTGGCTATTCCCTCGGACTTGATTATTTAATTGGTGTAACTTCATGGAAGTTAATGAGGATGCAGGAGTACAAGTAGAGAGACCTAAAAGACGGCTACCAGGACCCGTTATTCTCCCTCGTAACACCGACGTACGCGCCTCCTCAAAGTCCTCTGGGACGAATTGTGGTCACCCATATCCTGTTAGAAATCTCTATACGCCAGCCCACTGGAGAGCTTTCAGTTGTCCTTTGTACCTCAGCTCTACTTCTCGGTGTCGTTCTTGGCGAAATATCTAGCAACGGCGCGGGGTCCACGTGGCTTTACCGACCCAGGACGAATTGGACGATAGGGCGTCTATTTCGCCCGATCCATGGTGGCTGTGTTCCACTGCCCTCTTTTTCTGGGCGCTAAATTCCTGACGGCTCAAACACACGAGGTCTGTCATTCTCATCTTAAATTTGGTTCCTCTCCAATTGACGATGCGCTTGCCCGACTTCTTGCAACTTGACGCTGGGAATAATTCCTTCTATCACATGAATTTCACAGCAGTCCTGAAGCTATAAAGCTTACTCGGTTCTTCCGAGATAGAAGGGTCTGGGCAGTACACCGTCTGGTCTTCGTTCGGACTCGACACAGCAGACCAATCGCGAAATAGACGTTCGAGTCATTTCCAATCTCCTCCCCAAATCATATCAGATAAAAGCCGCCATCAAAACATCCCACACGCGTCCCACACCCAAAATCCTTGGAGGCTGACCATGTCGGCGCCGTTCATTTTCAAGAGGTTCTCCTCGACCATCCCTATCCACTCCAAACCGACGCCATCCAAGGCTCACCTCCACTTTCCTCTCCCATCTTCCTCTTTCCCAAAAGGCTATGTCTTGACTGGCATCCATGCAGGCGTAAAAAAAGTCGCGGGAGTTCCCGATCTCGCTGTCATCCTCTCTACCTCCTCCCAACCCACCTCTGCCGCCGCCTGCTTCACTCGAAACGCCTTCAAAGCTGCCCCAGTCATCGTCTCAAATGAAATCCTGAAGAAGAACGGGGGATACGCGCGAGGTGTAGTTGTTAACAGCGGTTGTGCCAATGCTGTTACGGGTAAACAGGGCATGGAGGATGCATGGGCAATGGTGAGGGAGACAGACGCGCTGCTGCCCTCGAAAAAGTTCGAACACGAAACGCTCGTCATGTCGACCGGTGTCATTGGCCAAAACCTCCCCATCTCGAAGATTGTCGAAGGAATCCGTTCTCAAGCCGAGTCCAGCTCAACCCGTTCGCTCGCCTCCGACTTTTCAGCATGGGAACGCGCAGCCAAGGCCTTCATGACGACCGACACGTTCCCCAAACTCCGTTCTCGCACCTTCACGATCGATGGCGTCGAATACAAGCTCGCTGGTATGGACAAGGGAGCTGGTATGATCCACCCCGACATGGGTCCTGCTGGAACCGAGTTCAAGAAACAACTCCACGCCACCCTCCTTGGATGCATCCTCACCGACGCCGCCGTCTCGCCTCGCAGCCTCCAAAGCGCACTCACATACGCTGTGGACCGAAGTTTCAACTCTATCAGCGTCGACGGCGACATGTCCACCAACGACTCGATTTACGTCCTCGCAAACGGCGCTGCTTCCTCCTCCATCATCGACGAAGACGCTACTCCCCAGGCCTACGAAGCATTCAAGCAAGAACTAACGACATTCGCGGCTGACCTCGCCAAGTTGGTTGTTCGCGACGGCGAAGGTGCTACCAAGTTTGTTACGGTCACGGTCAAGGGTGCCCCATCATACAAGGACGCTCACAGCATCGCTTCTCGAATTTCCACCTCTGCCTTGGTCAAGACTGCGCTCTACGGTGAAGACGCCAACTGGGGTCGAATCCTCGCTGCTACCGGCTCGGTCCCTCTCTCCCCCACGAACGCCAACACCCCTCCTCCCGTCATCGACACCACCAAGGTCTGCGTTACGATCGTTCCCGCCGACGGCACCGCTCCTCTCCCTGTCTTGGTTAACGGCGAACCTGAGAACGTCGATGAAGACCGCGCAAAAGAGATCATGACCCAGGAAGACTTTGAATTGCTGGTCGACCTCGGAGGAATGGGTGATGGGGAGGCCCAGTACTGGACTTGCGACTTTAGCTATGTGAGTAGTTCTCCTCGTCGTCTCTTGCGCATTGGCTGACTGGAGCCCTCCAGGAATATGTTAGGATTAATGGTGACTATCGTTCTTAGACGATCTGTCTGTAGTAATATGGAATATAAGTATTCTCTTGGAACCTTCGACGGCGAGATGAGGTGTCAAGACTGGGAGAACGACGGTATCGAGACGAGCTTCGATCAAGGACAACCTGCAACCCAACAATCGAACGACCACAGTCCATCTAGGTCCATATCACTCATTCGTGGTCTCCAGGAAACGGAAGAGGAAGCAAACGACGAGCGGTCCCTTCACCAACCAGCCAGCCTATGCACCAAGCTCGAAGGACAACGTCCTGACGCATAACGGTCTCGACTCACTCGCACCGGGCCCTCCAGCCCCTGAACCGCGCCCGAATCAAGCCAACGACGCACCCTCTTCAACGCCAAGCTCTGATGGCAACAGCCTCGATTCCCGCAACTGTGATATTTTCGGTGTTGGCGAGAGAGCGCCGGAGGTTGTAGCTTGTAAGCACCATACATCAATTCCCCGTTTACATGTGGGCTCCGACGTCCGTGCTTCACGATTACGCCTCCCCCCAACATAAAAGCAACGCTCGGTTCTGTTCGCCGTGATGGTCGACTCCTTTCCCGTCCACCACCACCACCGCCCACTTGGTTTTGCCTCACACGCTTAGGCTTTCTCGCGGTCCCCGCTGCTTAATCTACGCTAATAGCCTTTTATAATTGTGGAGGATAGGATAGGGAAGGAATATGCTTGGTGGAAGTTCGATCTGGACAAGTGGTTGCCTGGTGCTCTCACTTGGTGCGTCATATCCCGCTATCTCTTTCAATTGCAGACGCTGACGAGCTGTTATTTTTCTTTCTTTTCCTCGTGTAGTCGGCGCAGTGACAGCTCAACAAAACCTAGCCTACATCCCCTTCGCATGGAACCGAGACGACAACCGACCTGTTAGTGCGACTATTCGAGGATCAGATTCATCTGGGCGGACGACGTGGGGGTTGTATGACCGTCCTGGGGATCGAACACCTGGTCCTGGTAAGTCTTTACCCTTTACGCTTTACTCTTTAGATTCGTTTTGCTCTTCGCTTCAGGTTTTTGGTGTTGTACCTTTTTTTTTTTTCCAAACCCGTCCTTTTTGTCCTCCTGTTCCTGTTCACACCCACCACTACCAATTCTAAAACCGCTTTCTGATAACCACCATTCATCCCGTCATCCATACTTCCAACCACCCAATTCACTCCCCGATTCTCTTCCTCCGCATATGCCTACATCCGGCTAACACCCACCAGCCACCTTGATAGTAGGCACAGCAGGCTCAACAGCCACAATGCGCTACGTCGCGGAACCAACGCTGACCCTCACGGGCGACTGCATCCTCACGACACCCGTCGCAGCGTGCGCAATCAACCTCGACGACCTGCCTGATCGGTTTTTGGCGAGTGTGGAGGGGGAGGCTGGGGGGCCGGTTGAGACTGCGTCGAGTGGGGGAGGGGGCGGAGGTAGTGGACTTTTCGGTGGAGGTGGAGGGGGTGGGATTTTCGGTGGAGGGGGTGGTGGTGCTGCTGCAGGTGCAGTCCGGTCAGCACTTTGGGATAAAGGGTTCGATCTAGGAATGGGATTGTGGAGCGCGTTACTAGTCGCCGGTCTACCTCTGGGTATGCGATGGGTCTTAGGAGGCGTTTGATCCATCCCGGCGACTTGCATTGGATGTGGATGTTGGAGTTATCTCGCCCGTTCTATGTTCATTTGATACAGAGGATCGAGGGCAACCAAGAACCCGTCTGCGCGGTCCAATCCATCCCAGTCATGTGGCTACTTATCCCAACGCCCCACTCGGCCCAGGAATAGTCGACGACGGTCGGAGGGCTGCGCGCAGGCGTCGTCCGTTGCTTCCGGAGTCACCGCACCTCCCCGATCAATGACAGTTATCTCACCAACGACTATCCAAACCGTGAGGCTGAAGTCGGAATGCGGAATGTGGAAAAAGGCACCTCGACGTCGCGCAGACCTAGTAGCGATACCAACCAAGGAGTCAGTAGAATAAATAACCTATGCAACAATCTAGCCTGCTCAGCATCACGAGCAAGTTGATTTTGGTGGACTGATTTACGAATTACGATTTACACCTGCTTAGAATCGTGAAGGGACTCGGTGGTGATGAATACCTAGTAATGTACGACAGTTCGTTGTAGTCAACTAGAAGATGTGTATCGCTTAAGCGCCCATGATTCTATCATATGAACAGCCTTCATTGGACTTCACAGGTAGAGGTGTAGAGGTGATGGCATTGCAAGAAAGTCTTGGTCAAAGTCAATCAATCGTCCTCGACAGACCGATGCCAAAAGTGGCTGCAACAGTGACCCCTATCCCTGCAGGGCGGCAATCGCCGAGAACTTGATGGTGGCTCTGTTGGAACCCTTTCAACCTGCTCGGCGTGGTTTGTTTCTCCTCCCCATCCCCAGCAGGTGCTCTTTGCTCGACTTCTTGAACTGGAACGCTAATAAACATCCACAGGGAACACTGTAAAGATTTAAGCTAGGTTCTCAATCGTTGATTTTAGTGATAGTAGGAACACCCCACCCATGACTCCACCCTGGTTGACAGCCGAGTTGGATAACCCAACCGACCAAGTTCCAGCTCGAGCTATGGCTCCCATGGATTTCTTCTCATTGAAGCTTCGGCTAACCTATCGTGAACAAGCCTAGAAACCGTCCGCACTGTGGACCGAGTAGGGAAGAAATTATCGTGAGTACATACAGTTTTCTCGCTCTAAATTCAAAAGTTTACAGTCGGTGCCGATTCCAGATAGAAAATAGAAGCGGCCCAAGACTAGCTCTGACCCAGTGTCCATAAGCTGTCCTTTGTGTCAAAACCCGGCGCAAAATGAAGCCTAAAGACCCGAACTCCGCAGTTTATGCTTCTGGTACGGGGCTTCACCCTTGGCTTCTAGAGGACGGTGGGTTCGGTTCCGACTTCTCAGGGGCTTCCCTGCGCTGAGACCGATTTTTTGTAAACCTTCTAGAGCTTTACCTCGTCCTAAGGACTAGTTTCCGTCGTTTCTGGTACGAGAGGCCGAATACTCGCTTCCTGGATATGTGGCTGCCCGGCAACCGGCACCGCCAACATCTGGTTTGATTCCGAACAAGCAGGCCTCAACTGCGACTCCTGACATCCTCATAACAGACGATATCTGCTCTCTCTATCGTTGAGCCTGCCTTCGTCCTCCCAAACGCACAATTCGTCGTGAAAACGAATTCCTGATCCGCTCAGCAAATGATCCGTGTCCATCTCCGACTGCAACAGTCCGTTTCGCATGGATTGCGCACATGTCGGAGTAGATGGGCGGCAACGAGTACCGCGGACGTTTGCCTGGATAAATCCGCGTTCCTACCTTCCATGGAGCAAGGGAGTGATATGCATACGTCCATCGGATTTATCCGCCTAATCAAGGTTGATGTGACACTCGCCAGATAATTGGGGCGCCGTCAAGCTCTTGAGTCTTGCTCAAAGTCTAACAGCGCTTGTGGATGCGATAGTCCATCGACGAGGACTACAGCAGCGGGAAAGCTGTTAAGATTCGATTTAGCAGAAACCCTTTATCCTGCGCTTCAAGCAGCCCGTGGTTTTCCCGAATTTCTGGTTTTTATCGACTCGGCTAAATTCGTAATGGCCGACCAGGCTCGAAAGTTGCTGCCTCGTTTTACTCTGATCGTACTGCCCCCAGAGAGTCAAACTTCGGCCATCTCCAGTGAACCCTCGTCATCAACGGCGTTTTCATCCTGGCTGTACATGCCCATACAAGCGCCAAGTCAGCAGGTTCAGCACGTTGCATGCCACGCGCCTGGCCCATGCTTGGGCGACTGCGAGTTGCCGTTTTGGACATCACGTCATAATCATCTCTCAGTGTCTATTCGAATCAAGTTCTCGGCCATTGACGAGAAGCGGGGTCTTCCTGTAGCACCGAGTTTTGGACCTGTGTGTATGTCCGTTTCTTTTTGACAGAAGATGCATCGCCATCCTGATATCTCGGACTTTTAGACGCGGTTGTTGGCGTGGACATCCGCTTGAGTCTAATTACTCGAAGAGGGAGGCTCACATGTCCACTTGGCGCCTTTACGCCACGTCCAAAATATGCGTCGGCGAGACTCTACGAGGGCGTTAGAAGGACACGAGGTTAGAGCGTGTTCTGCTGGCTCTGGACCATTTCCCGAATAATCTGGCTGCCCGGACGTTTGCGTTTGCAGGATCTAACGGTTTCATCTCTTTGGTTCGGGTTACTCGAACTAGTGGATCTTACTAGGGAGACGACCTTCACCCCACCTGCCCTATCTTCTCCATATCGTCTGGCTCTGGGGTTAAGAGTCTTTGTCACGCGGCCACCCCTGTCGAGCCGACAGACTGGATTTTTGGGGACCATAACTTCTTCCTGCTCACGTTGTTCAATGTCCCGGCCAACTACTATCTTCGTTTCGATTCTATACCATACCCTTCTCCGTCAGTGCATTCCTTGACGGAATCCAGATGTAGCAGGTGACTCTAGGATGGTAAACATCGGCTGTTTGAAGAAGGCTTCATTTCGTTGTTTGACCGGTAATAAATCAAGTGGACCACACGGTGTAAAAGACGCTCGTCCATTGCGGACGATGATTATCTCGGAAGAAAACATGAATCTCAGCGGTCGCTTCTGTCCTTCACCGCTCTACAGGCCGTGGGCGGCACTCTGTTATGTGCGAGGAAGGTCAAATTATCCGCACAGAACCTCAAGTCGCTTAAACCCAACCCGCTGATGACCGCAGAACCTAGAACATTGGGTCCATATTGGCTGCGTTCACATGGGGACCGTTTGTATTAAGGCTATTCATTTTCTGAAAGGTAATGCTCGGGTATAGGCGGGAATCCTGGAAGTCACTCTCGCAGCTCGCCAAAAATATCGGACAGCTGAATGACACTGTGTGTGCGCCTTGAGGGATATGAGCTGCCAGCTCGTACCTCCTTCATCGTCTGCTCCGTTTCCCCTGGGATTTGCCAACGCCCAGTAGCCCGTCACTGCGGACGCCGCGGACACTCTACTGTCGCTCGTGGCTTGCTCCGCGTTCCACCAGTACCCTTGATAAAGCCACGGTGACAGCGGAGGGCCACAGCTGGCACAGTGGGCGCAGCCCAGCTTGACAGATACGCCAGGTTCCTCTGTCATTTTTGAACCCAATAGTTCCCAGTGCACATCATTGGAAAGACTCCTGCCGGAGGACGCTGGGCAGCCCTTGACATTTCCTATAATAGAAAGGGAGATATCGACAGTCATTTTAGCTCTTACTACTGTACAATGGCGGAAATTAATATGTAAGGAATTACATTTCGAGGAATTTCTGCCTTTGAATCGAGAGCTTGTGGTCGCCAAAGCCCGATGTCACGAAAGTTGAATCACCAGTTTGACGCCCATTCCTAATACTCGTCCAGACGGCCTTGCCCAATCTTTGATACTTAGCCCCGACTGCCATAAAGTGCACGCATACTTGATCAATTTTTAGTTCTTCCACCATCAGGACCACTGATTCATCCGTCCGTAATTCTCTCAACCAAAAATCGACTCTCCCTTTGTCCCAGTGAAAGATCCGAAAAGGTTGTGCCTCGAGATTGAACATGGTTTGACTTTACGGATTGCCACACCGGAAATACCGGACATTATTGGGACACTCCTCGTGTACCTTGCGTCATAAAACCCGCACATAGCCGTGCTTCCTGGTTGGTTACGACGGCAAAAGTGCTATAGGCCCAACACTCTGGTGCAGGAATTATAACAAAACACCGGCCGCTTGCAAAGTACGTATGAAGTTTCCAAACGCGTCTGCTTTCAGAGGTCGTAGGGTTCGACTGGTACGGCGCTACGCGTAACGCTCATAGCATCCGCAATCGATTGATCCAACTGGAGTAGAACTGGCGAATTGCTGCCGTTCCCAATGTCAACGGAGTTGTGGGAAAGAGAGATTTAATTCGACCGGAATCGGGCTCCTAGACACTACTGCTATGTACGCAAGAATAACTAGGAGATGAATGGGAGGAGATGTCTCTCCCATACGGGCCGCCGTTGGCCTTGAGTGTGCCAATGCGATCTTGGGTGGTAGAAGTTGCTCTCCCTTGCTCGTCCATCAAGTTCCTCTCGTGGAGTTCGAAAGAGGCAACCCAAATATGCGAGGTGAACTTTCGATGAAGAAAAGCCACCGCCGTCGCCGCGTGATCCCTTTTATACCCAAGGAAACGGCGCACGGACCATGCCGAAATGATGTACTTTGGGTCGGAGTGTGAATTATTTTCTCTTCCTTACAGTCATCTCGTTGGCCATCTCCTGCAAGCCCCTCCGCTAATTTGTGGTGAGCAAGACGCTGACGAGTAGATAGACGTTCAATTCTGGCCCTGGGCATACCGTGGATTGTTTATCTCACTGATGCTGCGGTTAATCAGAGCTAGAAACATCCTTTTTCATCTGTCCCTGTCGTTACAGCGTCGAATAGAAAGTAAATTGCCTACCCCGTATGTCCTGATTGCAATCTCGTCCCTCTGGACATGTGAGCGCTTGGTGCATTTCATTGGAACCCTTTGCGCCGTGATCAACGATAAAGGAAACCTGAAAGGATCGCTACAAAAGGGACACGCAGTGAGATCACTCCAGATCGCCCCCTTTGGGCGTTACCCCTTGTCTAAATTTGACAAATCGCAAAGTTGCGTTTGGACCTAACGAGAGGATGACGCAACCCTTTACATTGGGTACAACGAGGCAAGGTCACGAATTCGAGTACAGTTGGAGTCATAATCAAGTTGAAACGCCATCGAACACATACCTGCTCTATCAAGACCGATCGTTACCCTCTCGGAGAAGGTGAGGATAAGGGGCATGGATCCGACTGTATTAGCGCTGGGGAAGATGGCGGGCGGTAAGAGCGAAGGACGGAGATTGCGGGCTTACCATTAGTACGCACGATCATGCCTGCTAACAGTAGGGCAATACCAAGTTACCTTTACCTACATATGTATGCACAAGCCATGGATGAATAGGGTAAATTTCGGAACGAAACGCGCGCTGTGACCGCACTTTACTCGCTCCAAACTCCCCCCAGCTTCTGTGCTTCTCAATCACAACCAGAAGAATCTGGCATTCTCTTCACCGTAGCGTAGCGCCTTCTGCGGGTCTACCATATAATAGGGCCATGCTCTCGAGTATGGTGCGGCTAGATGGACCATGACAAGTCCGATAAAAATTCAACGCGAGAAGAAATGGAGACTAAGCTGAAGTTCGGATGCCTAGGGATGGTCGGTCGCCGTTGGGGTTAGTTCCCGAGCAAGACTTCGACGTTCCCCGACGGGTCAAATATTCGGACCTAACTCTATCAGTTTCTAGTAGTTCATAGGAATGCTCACAATTTCCGAGAATCCCATTTCCCTCTCTCTCCCTCTCTCCCGTTGAAGAGATTAGAATTACAGTTACGCTCTGGCCTCCCAGCAATGACGATATAGCATGATCATCGCAAAATCCTGCATATTGATCTTTTACACGCTTCTTGCCAAGGTTAACTTTAGTCCGTCAGTCGCGCTGTATCACCGGGATTCTGGTTTACAGATCGGAATAACGTACGGTTACTATTTCGGTCACGTTCAAACGATCCTTTCGTACCGGAAATAATAGCCCTTGCCACTGAAACCGCTAGTCCTTCTTTGACCGGTGGTACCTGTTATTGGCTGAGGAACCACGAGATGTCTCAATCGTGCATATGAACCGTCCATAAGACCTTCATGGGTTCCTTCCATGTCTCGGTTTGACTCATGCCCCTCTCTTGTGCTCCTCCGTGCTTTCCACTTGTAGCTGCTGCCATTCCTTGCCGGTAACGGCGACAGTTCTTGCATGCAGGCTTCCAGGCAAAACGACAGTCCAGAGCTTCCTTCGCGACGGGGCCCGACGACGACTTCAGGATCTGAAATGCCGACCGCGACGAGCCAACAGCCTCCCTCTCAAACCTCTCTCCCTTCCATCCGCCAACTGCACCCATATTTAGGCCCTCCCTCCGGAATGTCTCAACCTCTGACGACGGGAGGTGCTGGGTACGACTATCCTGGTGGATCAACGCATTATCCGCCTGGCCCTCTTCCCCAGCTTGACGGGGCCGGTCAGCCTCCTCCTCAGCGTGAACAACCGGAGATTTATGGCGGTGTCGAGTCTGAACAGGACGATTTCGATCAGCACGGCCCGCCAAAGAAGAAACGTCGGCGACAGGCCTTGAGTTGCACTGGTGCGTCCCCATGCCTTGCTCGTAATACGTGTAACCGGGAAACTCAACCCCTCTGGCTCTCTAACCCCTTCCCCTACCCGTTGGCTCCTTGGATCTGGTCGGCGATTAATCCCTGCAACCCTTGCCCTTGTGATGTCATCACGGGGTGCTCGTCGCCTCACCTCCAGAATGCAAGCGGCGTAAAATCAAATGTGACCGGTGAGCTAGCCACGCACTGGGTTTATCTTCGATTATCTAGGGCTCACGCATCGACAAAAACCCGGGTCTTCAGGAATCAACCATGCGCACCCTGTTCTCGCCGAGGCGAACAGGCAAAGTGCCAGTGGCATATCGTCGAACCTGTGTAAGTTTGAGTCTAGCAAAAAGCATCCTAATCGGGCAGATTTACCTCATTAATCCCTTTTTTGCCCCTTGCCTCCATCCCATCCCACCCATCCATCCATCCAATCGTACGCGAAAATCTAACAGGGAGAAATATGTAACGAGGGCCGAATACGACGAGCTCAAGGCTCGCTTTGACCAACTGTGGGCTCTGGTGCATCGGATGCTGCCTCCGGCGCCCCAAACCACCGTGCCCTATTATCAGACCATGCCTCCCCAACCCGGACCTTCAGTCGAAGCAGCCCAGCCTTATCATTATACTCCGATGCTGACGCCACAGCAACCCTACCAGCCACATCTGGATGGGACACCTCCGGTAATGCAGCCCCTCCCTCCTCATCGATACCCGCGGCCTGAAGACAGTCATTCCCCTACCCGTAACGCAGGCCCATCGTCGCCCCTAGCTTCCACCGTCCAACCACTCACTCAGCCGCCGCCGAGTCGAAGTGGGAGGGTAGGAGTTGTTGCGGGAGCAGGAGCAGGAGGGGTAGTAGGAACGGCAGTTGTAGCAGGAGGAGGGGGAGGAGGAGGAGATCCTAAATCTCCGGGACCCTCGTCAGCCACGCTGAGTAGCAGACGTTCACCTCACCCTCACCATCCTCACCCCCACCCCCACTCGCTAGCCTCTACCACGTCCTCCTACCACAGTACCGAACCGTCGGGGTCAAAAAACTACTCCGCGCAGACGCTCACGCTGGGCGAGCGTCTGCGTCACGAGGGCCGCCCGGTTCTCGAAGACTCAGCAACCCCCCGTACTACCGCAGCGACCCGCCCCGATCCGCCGCAAACCCCATCTCTTCACCCTCTATTCCAGAACTGTATATCGACGGCACTAACCCGTCTCTCAACCCGCCTCAGCCGTTCCATCACCTCCCCCCTCAGAATAGCACAGGTCGCCGCATGAGCGACGCTTCAGGCCGGTTCCCTGGGCTTGAAGACGAGAGGAGTCGTGGAGGATCCACTTCGACTTTTCCCAGTCGGGATAGATGATGAACTATGGACCACGACCTGCAACCTGGCCCTTCGCCATTTTTTTTGTTATGTACCGAACGACCTCTTTTGACTTCAGCTAATCCTCTTCGAAGGGGTTTAAGCTCCACCCACCTTCCTTTCGCTTCCGCCAGCCTTCTCTCTCCATTTGACTTTACCTCTCCTCTCTTCTGAATTTAAAGCATCGGTTTCGCTTCGCCTTCCCCAACCTCGCTCTGGCTCCCTCTTCCAAGTTGAAGTACTTCGATAAACTCTCATTTCTCAGCATTTCTTCAAAAAAACGCTTTGTGGCACGACGCATTAGTACATACTCTGCGAAAAACAATATTCATATTCGACATTCAACCAACAACAATCCATCCATCCATTCATCTTTCCCCAGTTGTCATTCCATGGACCCTTTCCAGTATCCAGTATCTCCTTCAAAAAATCTCCCGATGTATTCCCTTGCCATGTTTTCGAGTACCCTACTGTTTAGCGGAAGCTTATCACCGGTTTTCTTAAACTTCTCGATACCGATTTCCCCATAGTTTCTCAATGATCCTCCGATACCCCCGTTGTTACCCGTCCAAACGCGAGATGATAGATCATTCCCTCGACTTGAGAAGAGCCGTCAAATCCGCTTTTGGAGCTCTTGTCCATAAGAGACAAACGCACGTATTACTTGGGGGGTATATAACGATACATAAATACCCGACGACGGAACCATAATCTCCGACAATTCCTGCGCGGAACGGGTGAACGAACAAAGGAACGAAGGGGGAGAAAACTACTTGGCCAAAGCCAGTGTTCTTATTCCCAAACCAACTTGCCACGCTCATCCACAGTCGCCTTCATCCCACCACTAACCGTTTTTCCAGACGACGACTTCTTCGCCTGCTCAGCCATACGCAACCGCTCTAATTCCCGCTTATGACGCGCCTGCGCTGCTAATCTTTCTTCCTCTGCTGCAGCTTTGGTAGCCTTCTGAGCCTCGCGCTTCGCTGCGTTCTGGCGCTGTTTCTTCGTCGGTGGTTGCGGTGTCGTCGATTGGGAGGCTTGGGGTGGAGGAGAGGAGCTGGAAGCTTGTCGCGTTGATCCTATTGGAGTTGGGTGTATAGGTGAGTAGCCGAGACTGGATAATGGAGAGAAGATCCCTTACTTGACTTCTTGCTCTTGACAACGCCCCATCCATCATCTTCCCCGTCCGCGTCATTCTCTCCACCATCAGTCACGCGCACGTCTTCGTAGTCACCCCACGAGAAACCCGACGCAGGTTTTTCGTCTGGACCTGGCGTAATCCGCATGACCCGCGACAACGTCGGAACGTCAGGCGTGTCGAGGAGACTAGCACATCCAATTCAAACCCCACATATCACGAAGACGCAACCAAGGTAAAGAAGGAAAATGTCATCAGTAAACCACGCATGACCACAAAAGCCCCAGAAACACCCCCAAAAAAAAAAACAAGGGCCAAAAAGAATAAAAGAACTCACTCCTCGACTCCGGTCTTCCTCGCTTTCGGCAAAAGTTTCTCTGCGAGCGTTCGTCGACGATTTTCGCCAGAGTCTCGGGGATTTGGGGAGGGCGTCTCGTCTTCCTCGAGTTCGGTGCGCTCTGCCACAGGCGAAGAATTCCCGGTTTGAGAGGTGGTTATCCCCGCATCACTCGTGGTAGCTTCGGAGTGCTGGTGGGCAGAACCAGCCTTGTTGCGACGTTCCACGCGAGTCCACGATCCGTCTGTGTCCACCGAGGCGGAAGACTGGTGCAAAGATCCACCCGCCAGATCTAGATATGTCGATGATGACTTTTGCCCCGGCTTGGATTTGGGAGATTTCTGGGCTTTGGACTTGGAAGAAGAGGTGGTGGTGGTGGCGGTAGCGGTATCGGCGCGTCGCTCGTCAGAACTCTGTGCAACAGGAGTAGCAGACTCGTCTTGCGCCTGACCCTTGGCTTTCTTCTTCTTCCCCTTCTTGGATTTCGAGACCGACGAAGACTGGGCCTGTGGAGTATCCGAAACTGGTGGCGCGCTGTCAAATTGACCGGGAATGACCTCTGGGAACGGAACGACATGAGCATTGGGGCTCGCGGGTGTAGAAACGCCAGTGGTTTCTTGGGAAACAGCAGCAGCAGCAGAAGTCCCCTTCTTCTTTTTCTTCTTCGACCCCTGGGCTTTCTGGCTACCACCGGTCAAAGACGCTGCAGGCTGCGTCGGAGCGGCCGAGCGAAGCGTGTACCCCAGTCCGAGAGCGCCGACGACGACGACCAGCGTAATGGCGAGTTGGGAGGAAAGACCGCTTTGTGCAGAGCCCATAGTCGAATTTAGGAGTTAAATAAAGAAGGAAGGGAGGGGACTGGGATGTGTTGAGGAAGGTGGAAGGAAATGAGTGTAACCCTGGATTGGAACGACCAACGTCAATCATGTCATCGACGTGGATGTCGCCCAAAACGGAAATAGCGCACGTGGCAACAGCGAGCGCTTCGACGCGTACATATGCTCAAACAACGCGACTCTCCAAGAAGACGTGTCAGTTTCATGAATTCGAACTTTGATGGATAAGGCGAGGATCATTTTCATTAGCGAGGATGAAAAGTACGAAGGAATCCTCCTGGCGACTGCGTCCGGTGCGGCGCTTTGATTACCTCGACCTCGCATTCTTCAATGAGCGACTGATGGCGAGTCGAAGGGCGCTTATTCTCAAGGAACTTTTGAACTAGTAGTTTTGACGCAGTAAAGAGCGTCGAAGAAGGCACGGAAGGGACTAACTGGGCCATGAGGTCGCTTTACATATCCACGCTAAAACGTATCCACTCTAAAACATATCCACTCTAAAAGAAGTCTAAACGTCGAATCCCAGAATCTATCGAATCCAAGCTGCATCACACCATCACTCGACCGCCAAACCTCCAACCTCGACCTCAACTTGCACCCTTCTCCCCGCTATCAGTCGAGAAAACCTGCTCTTCAACACTTCATTAAACAAACCCCTCGGCGCCGACGACCTCGATATCGAAGAAACGACTTGAATCGAGAGGTATCGCAGCTCTCCCCAGCCACTCCCCATCTCCCAGCTTGACGAGTCTTCTGCATCTGATGACACCTTTGCAGACGCCAAGCACCCATCCACCTCCTCCCACCCCCACTCCTCCGATACAAGATCCTCGATAGCGATAGAAATCGAATTCGACGCGTCAATAACGAGATGTAACTTCTCGATGACGTTCGAAGGGGAGGCCTTTGAGAGGAAAGTGATTAAATCCTTGAGTGGTGTTTGGGCGCTTGGATCTCGAGTAGAATGAGCTTGTGCTGGAGTCCGAGATGCGAGGAACCCAGCGAGACCACCCACACCGAGCCCACCTGCGCCTACACCTATCCCGCTGAATCCACTACCAATTCCACCTGCCAACCGCGACGATCCCGACATCGAACTGAGCGAAGTAGGAGACAACCTAATCTCCAACTCCCGAAGACGGGGTAGGGCTCCGATATCGAGGGTTCGAGGTGGAGACACGGCTGCCGAGTCGGATATAGATCGGGTTGGAGGATGAAGGTGGGGATAGTTAATTACAGCGGGTTGGAGAGTGGGGCCGGAGAGTTGGTTGGTAGAGTGGGGGCGGGTGAGAAGGCGGGAGCAAGGTGGAACGAGGGATGCGGTTATCACAGGGGAAGGTCGACACGTTGTACAATTCGAACACAAAGTCATATACGAATAAGGAGGAAAATTGAAGACAATGAGCATCATGGGATACCACCAACACAATCGAGAAAACCAACGACACTCACAATCATGCCAAACCGTCAGCCTCTCCAACCCCTCCGCCGCACATTCTATAATCTTCGTCGGGCCTGACACCGTGTCCCCACACTTCCCACTGGTACCACGATCCGCCAAACCAAACAAACACCCAAAACTCTTCAAGTTGCTTAAGTCAAGTAGACCCAATTCGCAAGCCTGGGCAATAGTTTTCCAAGTGCTCGAATGCGGTGGAGCGCGTACTTCCAGAACGCGAAGTGAGACCGCCGGCGATCGTTCCTCCTCCTGCGTCTCCAAGGCGGCTCCCTCTCGCAATTCGACTTCACTCTCCCCCCTAATCATCACCATTTGATCTTCCTCTTGCTTAAACTCGAGCTCCACCCGATCCAACTTCCACTCCTTCACCCTCCTCGCTCCCAACAACCCCAATCTACCCCAGAACGGCACGTTATCCACCTTGGAGAGATGGACCGAGACCAAGGAAGGAGAGTGTAAGAGCTTCGTGAGTGATTCGTTCAACTCCTTCGAGAAACGGCTGAAATCTGCTCTACTACTTCTGGCGCTGTGCCCTCCAGTCGAGCTTCCCATAGCGGATAAGGGGGAAGATGAAGGGAAGGAGATGGGAGAACCAGAAATCTCCAAAGAAGTCAAATTGGAGAAGAGAGTGAGGAGGTGGGGGAGGGAGGGGTGGTTCGCCAACGATGTCGGATCCGCTACGAGCCTTGACCGCGCTGCTGTCCTTCGATTACTCGAACTTCCCAGACATAGTCTGAGGTGTCTAGCATACCGGGGTATTGAGGGATTTGGCTGGACGAGGGAGAGGTACTGTTCGAACCTCTGGTTCGGGCCGTTGGCAGAATGCCCGGGCCAACCATGGGAGGAAGTCACAGCCGTGGTTGACAATGACGATTTCGAATGTGAAGAAGAGCTAGAGCTAGAGCTGGAACTAAAGTCGACTCTGCGAAACAGCAACCGCCGACAAAACGGAGTTAAAACCGAAGACGAGGCAGAGCATCGCGCGAGAGTGGGGATGTCGTCCTCGAGGAAGGAGAGGATTTCAGCGAGGACGTCGGTCGGGAGGTTTGTTGTTTTCATTGGTATAGGCATCGGCGGTGTAGCCGTAGGCATGGGTGTTGGTTTGGATGTAGACGTTGGTTTGGATGTAGACGCTGCGTTAGCTGGTGTAGACATAGGCATCGCGTTAGATGTGGGCACAGTCCTTGTCATCGACATCACCGCCGATATCCAGTAAAGGTGAAAATAGGTATTCCCGACCTCCAAGACTTACTATATATACCCCAATATACCCCAAGACCACACTATATACACCCCCAAGCATATACGCATATAGACTAAGATCGTCCCCTCCTCGGCTCCCCCGAGCAGGCAAATAGAATACCTGGTACCTGTGCGCTTGAATCATTGAATTCTACCTATCAGGGATTGTGGCGGCGCTAGTAAGCGGGCGGTCTAAGAGTAATACCGTACATAGTAGCGACGCACGTACCGTCAGTTGCTACTGGTTCGTTTTCTGGGCACTAGGTGCACTTTCACACTGCTTTCAAATATTTTGTGATTGGTTTAATACGCACAGGTTGGAGCTTTTAACACCCACCAAGGGCGCCTCGTTAGCCAGCCTTGAATTGGATCTCCTTAACCAGTTTTCAAGCGGGGGTCGGAGTTCACCCAGATTCACAGCAATTCGGGGATCCTCTTCTCCGAGGTTGCTTCGAGTTGCCTCGAGTTTGGCGCCGCCAGAGAGGTATGTACCCCGGTACCCGTTTGGGTATGTATGCGGGAGTATAGTACCGAATCGCTGCTGTGCACGGGATGGTACCCACCCGTCCGAGTCGTAGATGGGGGCGGGAGGCGAGATTGAGCGGTGCGGAAGTACAGCCCTAGCGAGTCGTACGACCGGGAGGACAACGACTTGCACCTGCGGGAGGATACTTACTTATCCGGTTTGGATGCATCATGTACGCCGGGATAAAGAGTGACCCGATTGCCCTACGCGGAGAGACAGGCGAGCGCCTCTGTGGGACTCTCTGATCTCGTTACAGCCTCCCTTGGGCGCCTAGAGTCAGGGATCTGAATTTGAGACCACCGCGTCGGAGTGATAGCGCTCAAGGTAGGCTTTATGGACCGACTACCGGTGACCCTATCAGTGTCCGTCGCTGAGTACTGCGTCCTGAGGCATGAGAATGCTGCCTCTATCGCCGCTGTCGAGTCGGGACTCGAGATCCGTTCCAGACGAGGACTCAGGCTCAGGCTTCAGCTGTGCGTGGCAAGAAGGGTGGAAGAGGGTAGAAAACAGCCTCGTCTGAATCCAGATGGTTCCTCGAACCCTTCGCGAATAGTGCTAGCGAGACCCTGTACTCGAGTACACCGCTACCCTAGAGATTGGGCGCGAGGTGTTCTAGATCTCGCCAGTCCCAAACACTGCGTGCAATTGGTAGGCGGCGCCCCCGACTCCCGAGTAGTCCTGGCGGTGGCTCGGAGTCGGGACTCGGTGGTACTTACTTACCTAGGCGCCTTGGTACATCCCTGTCAGTCTTTGAGCAAGGTTGACCGCAGACCATTCAGAGGCGAGCTGAGGAGAGGCGAATTAGCGACTGCACGAGGCAAGATGAGTTTTGAAAGTTCGGATTGGACATCCGCATCCAACTTCCAAGCCTCGAAGTGATCTGAACAAAGCAAGCATTAGCGTTAGGCTTTGTTTAATTAGGAAATTTGAATGAACATACGTACCAGGAACTCTAGCCGGTCAGTCCGGGTTTAAGGTCCGTCCTGACAGGCTCTACTGTTCTGCATACCGCAAAGGGTCTGCAATTTGAGGCTATACTACCGTCAAGAAGCTTGCTTATCTCTCAATTGTCTTGCCTGGAGGCAGGAGGGCTAAGACTCGACGATGCAGTAGGATGGAGAACTTGGGGTTTGGGGTATTTGTGTGAAGTGTCTGTCTCTCTGTGTGGCAACACCGTCCAACACGACAAGCACTGTGCGTACACGGCTGAGATACAAAATACTCGGTCACGAGCAGCAATCTAATGCGTGCACCCACTCACAGAACTCCGCGCACATTTCACCGCAGTGTATGTTCAAGCCTTCTCGAGTCCGATGTGCCCACAGTCAAAGCACGATCCTTCCTCGAGACGGCGAACACGCCCCAAGCCCCCGTCAGACTACGGCAACCTAGGGTAACGAGGCAGTTACTCATCAGGGACTTTTTGGATATGGCCGTCGACGTCGACTCTAGAGGACCGGGGGTTTGATGGAGGCTCGCACTCAATAGGGACGTAGAGTCGAGCCTAGTCGAGCACGAGGTGTTGCTGTCGTTCGAAACACCTCTTCCTTGCGACGGGGTCGGATGTCAGGACCAGCGAGAGAGACTACACTCCGCGAGGCAAATGGCTAAGGTCGAGGCCTGGCAATTTGGTGAAGGAGGACGGTGGCGATGCAGTCCCCAATGACCCCAAGCGTGACGCGCACGTGCCTGTGACAACCGCGTCATTCTCTTGGCATCTAGTGCTACCCTCATCGACCTGAACCACGACCATCTCCTCCTTCCCTTCCACAATCTCAATGCGAAAATGGGCTCAATATCACCCCTAACCTACACTCTAGACACAGAAACGAGAGTAAACTGGTCCACAGCACAAGAGAAATCTATCTCAACCGAGTACCCATTCGAACTGGACCAAGAATCGGCAGAACAATTCGTGTATCGGACGTACCTCAATTTCTTATGGTTGCCTCAGGTGCGTTCTTGTTCCCTTCCATGAGTATATACTATACATTAGACTGATTCGTGGATGGATTGGTGGATAGTCAATAATGCAACTGGCGCTCCTCATCCCCTCACTCCGACGCGTCCAAGCACCTTCAACATCTCAAGTACACCCCCTCCACTCTCTCCTCGACACCCTCCTCTCCACGTCGGCTCTCGTAACCAAGAAATACCACACCGAACTCCCACAGATCCTAGATAACGGAGGCGGAGCAGGCGAGATGGAGGAAACGATGATGTGGTACGCCGTCACGCACGAAATGGGCGGTGGTGAAACAGAGACGGAAGACGAGTTGTGGATGGACGCCAAGTGGCGGGCGAACTGGTTGAACAGGATGGAGCGGCGTGAGTACGTTACCTTTTCCTCCCCACATTCCCCCCAATCTAACCAAGAAACCGCAGAGTCCAAATCCAAATCCTTTTATATTGTTTGAAACTCTCGCTCCCAGGCCCCCAACCAAAACCCCGCCGCAAAAGCAAACGCAAGCGCTCAGAATCGGAAGAACCACAGCTCGAAGACCACCTCGAAGCTTTTGCGGATAAACTCTCCACATGGCAGCTCCTCGCCAAACTGGACGACGTGAAAGGCGGCGAGTCCAATGCGGATAACGAGCGAGACTGGATGCAGGTGTTTTGTGAGGATGTTGTTGAACCCGAGTGCGTCCTACCCGTCTTCTATGTTACAACTTGGAATTGTAGTTGATGGTGTTGAGCAGATTCAAGTCGACCCTCCCCGAAATCTGCGCCATGCTCCGCTCCAAAGTCTTCCCCTACTCCCCATTCTCAGATACAGATTCCGACACGTCCACAGCACGTGCTTCCTCTCCCGACGTCGAATCCCAATCCCAAACACGCGCCTCCTCCCGTGCACCGTCGATGTCCCGCGCACCCTCCATGTCGCGTCAAGCCAGCGCACGCGAACTCGCCCGCGCACGATCGCGTTCTCTCTCCGTTTCGCTCGCACAAGAAAGCCAGGAACGAGCGGCGAGTGTGGGCGTGGGTACGACTGGAGGACCCAAACGCCGCGCTGTGATTAGGGAAATTAGTATGTCGCGAGCGTTTAAGCCTAAGGTTAAGCCACCTCCTGCCCCTGGAGGTGTCGGTTCGCAGTCGCAATCGCAGAAAGACAAAGACGCGGCTGGTGGAGGCGGGGGAGGTGCTGGGGATACGAAGAAAGGCAAAGGAAAGGATATGGGTGTCACGCTTGTCGAGGAGACGCCTGTCACCGTACGCTCCAAGTCGTTCTCTGTTTCGCATACGCAGGGTCTGGCGAGGAACCTTTCGACGACGTTCTCGACTGTTATTTCTTCTTCTTCCTCCGCCTCTGGCTTGACGTCAACGACTACGACTACCGTTGCTGCAGCCTCCGGATCCACGGCCACAACGACGACTACGACGACTTCGCTAGCGGCATCGAGATCCCAATCGACCTCCAGACCCCTGTTCGGAGTGACGAACCTCCGCCTCTCGAGTGCACGTTCGTTCAACAATACTCTCACTAATACACCTAGCAATGACGTACTCGACGAAAACGACGACGATGACAACTGGCAAATCGAAAGTTCACCTGACATCCTCTTGCTTACGCCTTCAAAAGCGGAATTTAACATCAGCGGTCCACCGACTTCGAGTCCCGGGGATGTAACTATGGATCTGGATATGGGCTTGGATGATATGGATATGGACGGGGAGGAACCTGCTACACCTTGTAAACCTAAACCTGGGAGGGGTCGGGCGAGGCGCCGGTAGCCTGAGGCCGGGTGACGGTTGGTTGGTTTGGTTGTGTGTTGGAATAGGAATAGCGATGGAGGTGGCAGGAGGCGGGGGAACTGCTCTTATAGACACCCGAGTTGGATGCTTTCTACGTCGAGAACTGTAGGAGCAGATCGTATGCAAGACCGTATCCTGAATGGCGTTGTTGCATCCCCCGATTCGCGCCCTCCTTTGTACTTATCTTATCTTATCTTATCACATTTATCATCACATCACATCTTATCTACCCATCTTATCTACCCATCATCTCCCATCTCATCCTCCCCGCTCCATTCTTTACCAATCACCACTTACTTGAAAACAATACCTGGAACAGCAACATAGCTCAGGTGGTAGAGCGCGGGGCTCATAACCCCGAGGTCACTCGATCGAGACGAGTTGTTGCTAATGCGCTATCAGGACGTTTTTATTTATTTATTTATTTTTGGGTGGTTTCTTCTTTGCCTTGCTTCTTCGCCTCTCTTGAGGCTTCTGTAACTCATAATCGGATAGTAATCATACATGCAGACGCAGAATAATCGGAGTATCATACATGCAGACGCAGACTACGAATCATACTCGGAATCATATAAGAGTCGTACCTGCAGCTAAAGAGAAGTCAGACAAGCAAATCATGATTCAGATTAGTGAGACCGACGACCGCCTCTTCCGCGAATACAATTCATCGAATTATGTACTTACAGTACGCCGCTTGTTTTTGATTTTAATTTTCTTTCTTGTGATTTAGTTCTTATGCTTTAGTGCACGACGAAGTTCGAACAGATTGCGAGGTCATGGATGGATTAGCGATTAGTCTTAGAACAAGAAGTCTTTGAGTACAAGTAAAGCGAACACGGTACTTCACTCCGTAGTATTCGCACCTCTCCTCAAATTGCATTGTCGGATATGTGCCATGGGGTTTGACATAGGCCCAACCGTCCGTTTGAATACGGCCAGTGCCCACGGATTTGCGTAGATTCTTGAAGGGGAGAGATTAAGGACCGCTATCCCTGAAGATTCACTCGCAACACTTTGTTTCACACCTTTGACTGGACGGATCTCCGGAAAGCACAAGCCGTTCGGTAGTACTACTTCGAGTAGTAGCGGGTAAGGTTCAGCCGCATCCCACTCACCGGTATTGAATGGCAAAATGGTGCATAGAATCTATGTATTCACGAATTCCCGAGAAAGATCATGATGGACCGGTGGGCGGGTCTTTACCCGGTCTCAGACCCGGGCATAGAATAGACCAAACTCGAGTTCACTCTCGGTGAGCCAGGTCAAAAATCAAGTTGACGCTAGGCCCGTGATAAGAAGACCCTCTTCAAGATCATCGAGATCATCTAGTACTATGATACTAGTACTATTTTTAGCTGGAGTTCAAGTCCATCACCGGTGTGATTGTGTAGTATACGTGTGTAGTATGTAGTATGTAGTATGTAGTATGTAGTATGTAGTATGTAGTATGTAGTATGTAGTATGTAGTATGTAGTATGTAGTATGTAGTATGTAGTATGTAGTACGGAACTAGGTTTCGAACACTCGCCTCGTCTCGGGCTCGGCACCCTGTGATAATTGATTGTCTCGAAGGAGCGCTCAAAAGTGCGAAGGCTCACGTACCAATGGCACATGCCCCGTTCCCAGGCCTTCTTTCGAAATTCGACGAGCCCTAAAGCTCCACCCCATCCGTCCTCCTCGCATTGAAAACTCGGATCGGACCTACAGTGTAAACGAAGTTCCTTCTCCTCCTCCATATGATGTACTCTTACTACTCCAAGTCCCCAACGGAATATCGTTCATCCAGAGGATACCAGGTCTAACCTCACAGTCCCATCCACCCTCAAAAGTCGAATGACTTGTATTGTTTTCGTCATGTATCACACGGCCGGACGAAGATCGCCCTTCTGCTCCTACTCCGAGTCACCATCTCAGTTCCTGAGTATGCGGGCCATGGTAGGTAAGGGAGACCCACTTGGAGACCCGTCTGGTACCCTACGCAGGTCTAGTTCTCTGCGAATGCCTGGCACGTATGTGTGCGAGTAGTACCTGAGCACCGTCGGGAAAGCCCCGGGCCTATCATATATCATTGGAGACACGAACAGACACCCTGGTAGTCATTCATACATACCACATTGGTTACTAATGCAATACTCCAGATCGACTGACGTAGGTTAAGTGGATCCAATTATACACCTCGTCCCTCCCCAAATGTAAATCCAATTCAGGTAGGCATCGAGTCGAGCCATCAAGGTTTGACAAGTGGACTGGAGTAGCTATAGGTACCAGTACCCTTGAGTAGGTATAAATACCCTATAATAGACACGGGGTGAGGTGTTGCCACGTACTCGTACTCGAGTTAACAGTACCGTACAGACGTATACGCACTACTACCACGCACTCAGGCTACTTACTACCTCTCCCTCGACTCCAAGTTCGTAAAAATGCTCAACAAGCTACTGGTTGCCGCTTTGCTATCTGCTGCTTTCGTAGCACAGGTCACGCTGGCCTCTCCAACCCATGAGGATGTTATTCGTGAGTACATACCTCCTCCTATCCTCCTCATAGACTACTCTGGATAAAGGCTTACACGTTGTAATTTCTGCTGGTGTAGCTTGTGGTTCTGGAACAGTGAGTCGTTTAAGGTTCGCAATCGTCGTCATCACACAGAATCTAACGGCGTGGATGTTCTCGCTTCATCTCTCAGTACTGTACGTCCCACATTCGATTTCATAAGTAGAGACGGTTCATTAAACGGTATACCAACCCTGTCTAGGCGCAAGTGAATACAGCTGCTGCAGGACGAGATACGGATTCGGGTACGTACTCCATACGAGCGCTCTCGCCCATATTCAGAACCATCATCTCAATTCTTACTCTCATCGAACCGTCATACAATAGCTGCTTCCAAATGCCTCGGGGGACTGAATGCTAAACTAGCAAGTCGTCACGACATCGAACATCGATCGCCAGGGTCCAGGGGGGCCATCATATGCACATCATCCTTTTGGAACCGGCGCCATCACTCCAATGCACCTTCACCACCCGCGAAGTTCAACCACATGGCCCACCAGGGTCCAAACCACATGGCTACGAAGTAACGAAGCACACTTTGTATTTACTTATTAGTATGTAGAGCCTCGACATCCAATTAAACGATCATCCTAGCCTTAATATAGTAATCCCAACTCCAATTGGAGTTCTCGTTGCGCGCGTAGCTCTAGGGTATGAGTCTGAGATGACGTCGCGTATACCCTTGTTTCGTACATCTTAGGTCTTCTGCCAAACAGGCCTTAGGATTGGATTGGCACTCCAAAACAAAGAAGAAAGTAGCATTGGTCTGATGGACGAATAGGCTAAAATATAAGTAGTAAGTACATAATGCGTCATCGCGAAAGGTGAGTTCGGCTTCGGTATGACGATCATTGCTTGACGACTTCGGTCGCCGTTCCGTCGCTGGAGAGTGCGCATGCCCATCCTGCGGGAAGGTAGACACATCTGGGGAACAGGTGTTTGAACTCGGTTCTGGGAATAGGATAGAAGATTAGACGAACCTTCCGCCTTCAGGTACGAGCACTGGTCCACAGCACGTATAGTTTTCAGGGCCTAAGAGAAGGTCAGTCATACGTCCACTATCATCGACACGGAACAGAATTACAGTCCTGAAAGAGAATTCGTCAGTAAAGATACACTAACAAACTGTTAAAGGGAACGTACTCCAGGTCGCAAATGGCCTATTAATCCAGTAGTATATCACATCCAAACGTCAGCGGCTGAACCAACCCCAAAGTTACGAAAAACCTTACATCGAATGTCAGAGTAGATGGGCTCTTCAGGCTCAAGAGGTACAGCCAACGCCACTGACGCAATAAAAGCGACGGAAAGAGCCAAAGATCGGAGGAGAACCATGATCTTTCTCGTCTGCAAGGGGTTTGCTAGATCCAACGAGATCTGCTCATTCAACGTCCTCAAACCATCCCACTTATATACTCACCCAACCTCTAAGCCAGGAACTTTCCAGAATATCTGAAGGACTCCAACGCTTTCCGAGGTACACCCAGCTACCTTCCCACTACACCTCATCTCAACGATCGCTGAGTGCACATAGAATAGGTAAAGATCTTCGTCCACCCCTGCAGGATCTACATATTTTCCGAAGACCTCAAACGCCAAGTAAACTATGACGCGGTAGAAGCTCACTCCGCGGACTTCTTAGACTCGAAGTGCTTAAAAACCGTAAAACGACTAAAAAGGTTCGGGTTCCTAGAGGCTTGGGGAGTGGTGTGTGGGCCCTGGAGGCCGTCTCGAGCGCCTTAGCATACGGGGCCCGGTGGGATTCGAGCGCAGCTGCATTACCCAGTTGCCAATGGACAATGGACGGATGGTGGAGTTAGAGATGGGTACCAGGGATTGGAAAGCAAAGGATGAGCACGTACACCGTCCCGTTCACGGCCATGCAGCATTGGTGTCCTGAAGGACCTAGACGAAGTCTTTCGTTATTTCCCCAGACTACGTGGGTAAAGCCAAGAAATACGTACAGTCCTAAGGCCCGAATTAAGCTGCGATAAGAATCGCTTCAGTAACGACGGTCTCTCTAGTAGCTTACCGAGTCATAGAAACCTGGACGGAGGTGAGTCGTGGTCTCAGATATACTACTGTGCGTGGAGAGGAATCTGACGTACAGTTCCAAATGGTAGGGGTAGGCAGAGGAGGAGCAGTATCGCTGGGATCCGTATTGGCGATGGCTTCAACGGACGGTTAGGGACGCTTAGATCTATGACCCCGGTCTGCTCACCTAGTCCACGAACTAGCGTGAGCCAGGTTGCTGCGACGATGCCGAGCGACACAGTGAGAAAGGAAGTTCGGGCCATGGTAGCACAGTAGGTGGAAGGGTTCAGACAACGGCACCTGCCAACCCTCGAAAATAAGGGACATGCCGGAAAAATCGAACACATTCCAGTCAGCCTCTGGTCACGCCGATGGGAATTGTCAAAAATCGAATTCAATTACAAGTATTCCTCAAACCACGCTGTCAGAGCTGCGCACAAAGAAGTATACCTTGCCGTGCTTGAGGTATCCCGGCCACTAAAGCCTCATGCGAAATGTCGGGAGGCGTATGCCCCAGATTTTCCCTGCGTTTGGTTAGCCTTAATTTCCGATCTCGGTTGTCGTTTGGCGACGAGACGGTTATCAATGCGCTCTGAGGGGCAGACGGTGGTAAAGGCAGCATCGGACTGTTCGTGCTCATGCTCTTTATCGAGGGAGCGAAAGGCGTTCAAGAGCAGAGCACTCAGCCGAAGATTGTCCTTCGTGAAATACGGCGAGTTCTTCCCTTCCTGCCAGGCCTCTTCGCGTCTTGGCAAATCCGATTTTCGGAAAAGTGTTCTTTGCCTGCCGGGATGCCTTTGCACCACTGTGGACGACTGTTACTGCCAGTCGAAGCCCTGAACAGTGATATGAATCATAGAATAAAGGCGCATTCTTTTGAGCATTCTCTCACTCCAATTCTCTGCATTAAGGGTCGTAATGACGATGGATATCAGCTCATGAAAATCCATAAATAGAGACGCATTTGAGTCGAGCCTCATAACCCAAAACACCTTTTCAATCTCGTCTATTCCTTCAACCCGAACTTGCACTCTACAATGATGAAATTCGCCTGGTTCCTCCTCGTCTGCGCTGCTGGTGCCCTTGCCATGCCCACCGCCGGAGATGATGCTCCCATTCGATGTAAGTGACGTTCAACCTTTCACGAGTGCAAGTAGCACGTCAGAGCTAACCTTCAACGTTTTTCGACAGGCCCCAAAGCCACTGTAAGTACGCTTCAGCGTCGTATCCATCGTCCATGACGTTGATTAAACCATTCCTGACCGGTTGACCTTTGACCTCATAGGATTGTAAGTTTTTGACATGCACCGTCTTCTGTTCGAATCTGACTTCGAATCGAACTTCCAGGCCCTAAAGGATGGACTTGCTGTGGTCCGGCCGACATCGAACTTGGCGGAACGTAAGTCGATTGACCTTCATGTGTTAGATCTTTAGGAACCATAAGAGTTGACCACGTTCGTCCAGTTGCGTCTTGCTCCAGCCGGGCCAATATTGCACCGTCTAAATCGCCAACGGTCATCCGTGACCGACGCCAGCTACTATGCAACCAAAGCAGTGATCATCCCTTTTGTGGCCTTATCCAACTTTATCACTCTAAGTACTGGCGGATTGAAGGACTTTAAATAACATTGATCGCAATATACTCCATTGTTTTGAGCACTGACAATTGTCTTCGAGGTCAGCCTCCGAGGATGACATTTCAGAGCTTAAATCAAGTTCAGAGGTTACCCTGGGCTCTAGAGGCATCTCGACGCATGTATCAGGTCACTTCGTTTCGTTTCCCAGCATGTATGTGTACAGAGCGCGGATCTCGGAAAAGGGCTCGATCCGTACCCGGCGTGGTAAACTGATGTCGAACCTCGAGTTCACGGGTACGTCGGGACAGAGTCAGTCAGCCACGTCTCGTTTTCACGCCTGTCGATGGGTAGCATAAATGGGCTATAAAAGAACTCTGGTTGCTTTACCGGTCCTGAGTACCTGATCCTGTGTGGTTCATTTTTTCGCGTTAACTGGGTGCTTCAGTGAAACCATGAAAATCATTTCTCTCATCGTCGTCTTGACTTGTTCCTTGACCGCTCTGGCGATCCCATACCCTAACAATGGTCTCGGAGAGAACGCGCCCTGTATGTAGCCTCTTTCTTAATCGTCGCTCGCGCTCATCGACCTTGTTGTATAGGTAAATCCACCTCTGTGAGTTTTCCTTTTTCTCTCGGTGTTAAGATGAGTTCTTGCTCATCCGTCCGCATCGTCCTCCTCTAGCAATGTGAGTAGTATTGGAGCTCTGAGAACGGGGAGAATTTGACTTCATCCTCGCTTCCACAGGCAAGAAAGGTCTACATTGTTGCGGATGGCTCCCTGATTATATGATGTAAGTCGTTGCCACCGACGAGACCCGGATTAAAGGCAAATTGACCACACCTAAACCTTGGTTTGGTATGTAGATGCCTCCCGTTGAATACGGCCTGCTAGCTTTCGGATCTTGCGGTTCTCAGAATCTGATCGACCTTTCGGGGTTGTCAAAACGAAGTCAAATGAAGGGGACGAACTTCTATTCGTATAATGTACATACACACCTAGCACGTTTGCTTTCTCGTGGATTTTGGTCGTGCACCCTATTTCTCGCACGTTGGGGACCGGTATACGTACCTGAGTTCAGTTCTCACGTTTTCGGCACTCCTATGTAAATTTCTAGGGTAGGAAGCATAGAACCTTCTGTATTAAACGCGGTAGTACATGTACAGATTCCATATCAGAACGGGGTTGCACTTCAGAAAATGCAGAATTGGCCTGGGTTCAGTTTTCGGCAGCTAACAAGGCCGATGGACTGTGAGCATGAGGTTTCGGCGTTGTCGTTACGGACTTACGTTCCCCCTACATCGGGTAGGATAGGCCCACAGCACGTCCAACCCTCGGGGCCTGCAGCAGAAACGTTAGACATGGGAATGGAATGTAAATTGGTGGGACTCTGGCTCACATTGGTCGCCCTGTTCGTCCGAGTCGGGGAGGGTTGGGAATTTGGTCAGTATCTACCACTGTCACTCTGGGGTTTAAGCTGAACAAACCTGCTCATTTGCGCCTGGAAAAGTCAAGGTTAGCTTCAGGGTGCTCCTCTCGGGTTCATGATATCACTCACATCGATATTGAACGGCAGAGGTGGCATCCGTGGACTCATTCACGGGTGCAGCCATGGCGAGAGCGAAGAAGGCGAGGACTGCGACGATGAGCTTGACCATTGCTGTGCGCGCTTTAACGATGAGGGGCTTCTACGAGGAGTCAGAGAGGGTCGAGACGATGACGATAAAAATAGAAAAACTGCCCACCTTTTATACTTTTAACTCGCGTTTAGAAACCCAAAAGGGCTAGAATCCGAGATACCGGGAGCGGAGATCGGCGGCCTTCGCGGTTTCTTCCAGCACAGTGGTAACTCCCTTGAATTGAATGCTTGTCAACGCCAATGCAATGACATGAGATTGGTATCAACCACTAGTTAGCCTCCGCCCAGAGGCTGACATCGGATTGAGGCGGTCATGGATTACCTCAGTAGAACGTCACTTGCGGTGTGCCCAGCCCTTCGTCTCGAAAGGTGAGGGGATACTTCAACAGCGTTTCAGAGCGGTGGAGTTCAGACTGAATGAACGTGAAGCGACCCAGGGTAGATGTCAACGGAGCTCGAGTGTCCCAGCTCAGAGCGTCCTGGTATTCCAGGGAATGGATTATTTTGGAATGCGTGTTGGGACGCACAAATACACGGAGGTGACGAAATTTGCGGGGACTTCGCACCGTATGTCCGAGCGCCAACCCTCGTAAGTAACGCTCGCAGGGATCCGACTGTAGGGGGAAAGCAATGGCCGCTGGCTCTAGTACAGAGGGTAACCATTGGGGGGAGCTACCGCTCATACGTTATCTTTGTCCATTTCAATCGTACTACCTGGAGCCGATGGATACCGATTAGATGTTTCTTGCCGCCTTGGAATGTATTGCTCGTACGAGGCCATGAGGCTTTATGTGATTATTCAGTGCCCAGGTGGCTTTGTAGTACCCAGGGCAACTTACTCCATCGTAGCCTAGTCGCAGATGCGGCGAGAGGTTGACTCGAGTAAAGCCCAGTTCGGTTCCAGGACGTCTATTTAGACGCTCGTCCAGTACCGTGTCGTAGCGACCTCCAAAGCGAAAGCGGTCCCCAAGGAGAAATACCGTATTTCTCCTCCGACAGATTCAAAAAAACAACCGCTCAACGACCCCAAGGAGGTCCCGAATGGCCAGTTGAGCGATGCTGGCGCTGAGCCTCGCCGCAGTGTTTCTCATTCTCCACCACCAGAGCGAAAACGTCTAGCTTGAACGCCCTCGGAAGGCCATCCTGATCGGACTCTTCTTGGGCATAGCTCCAGTGCGAAGACAAGTGATGTACGGGCACATTGGTCAGTGAAGCTGCTACGGCAGTCCACCCAGAAGACTGTCCGTGTACAGAGCACGTTCCACGCCGAGTATAGTCGATGTTGCATATCAACTTCCAATATACCAGCTTCTAAATTCTCCCAGCCGCTTTCTGATTTCAGTCTCCCCCCAGGTTGGTTTGAGGAACGCTCTGGTATTCTAGAACGGTCGGTCTTCCAGCGTGAATCCTGAGAGTCCCAGAAAAGCAGGTTGCCGACTCGGCAATCAGGGGCCATTGCCAAACAAGGACAAGTACACCGATGAGTGCCGCCGAGTGCCCTGAATTTCTTCTCCCCACAGTCTGTAGCATGGGTCGTCTCCGTCGTTCCAGAGCTCATCATGCACGCAGGGACGTGAAAAGGGCGTCGAGGACAAGGGTATGGCGTTGCTTGAATCTACAACCGTCATCAGAACTGAAAGACTCTGGCTCTCCAGGCGAGAACGAAAGATTTGGATCAAATCCAGCTTATTGACCTGGATCCCAAGGTATGCTCACTCTTTTCCTGGAGTTATGGAGGTATTGAGCAGATATAGAACAGGGCAGCCCTTGAGGCGCAGCCGCTAGACTATGAAAAGCCGGGTTTGGCCCAGCACTATTGCGTGGAATGCGCAAAGTGAGTTGGTTATTCTGTTTTTCGTTCGGTCGAAGCTGACATTCAAATCTACAGGTATTTTGAGACAGACAACGCTCTGCAGTCACATTGGAGAAGCAAAGTCCACAAACGAAGATTAAAACAACTGAAGGAGCCTGCGTATACGATTGAGGAGTCGGAAATGGCTGCAGGATTGGGCAGGGAGAACAAACGACCGCTACCGTCAGCTGCGTCTTCGGTGACGCCCACAGTGGACATGGATATTGCAGTGGCCGCTTAGACTTGGTGCGTTGCCTATTCTCAGCTCTTGTATACCGCGCTAACCTTTCGCTAGTACGATATACTTTCACAACGTTTCGAGCACGACCTTTCGAACAACATTGTTGTACACCAGATTAGAGACGTCCAATCTTGATGACTGTGTTTGCCCCGGAATGTCGCATCTGAAGCCAGCCAGCCATCCTCTCTGGATCAAGCACCGGGGGTGCTGACTGTCGTGTTTCGGGCTGAGCCAGTCGGTATCTCAACCCGCCTTCGTTGAAGAGATTTAAATTTCATCGAGACCAGGACGGTTTCCTCTTCCTTCCCCAGCTTCCATGATTCCCCACAAACGCAGCCCATAATGGTTATCGCCTTGAAAGCACGAACGTTCAGGAACAGGTACCCGCGATGGATGGTCGGCCGCCCACTTCTCTACGCTTCCTCAGCCCTGGCATCCCTGGGCGACGCCATGTTCGGCTACAGCCAAGGTGTTATTGCGGCCGCCCAAGTCCAACCTTCCTTCATCCATCGCATGTACGGCCCGTCCCTGACCCTACAAGACATCGAGAACGGCAACATCGGTGTCAGCCCATTCCTCCAAGGTAGGTTCGAGTTCCCATCGCGCGTCTGAGATACGGCCACTGACTGGTCCACACCTAGCCATCGTAGTCGCATGTATCAACCTAACCGCCCTTGTCGCTTCCTTCGCCTCGTCCTACGTCTGCGACATCCTCGGTCGTCGCATGTCTGTCAGGATAGGGGCTGTGATCTACTTCGTTGCCGCCCTAATCCAAATCTTCATGCCTAACCTCGCTGCTCTGCTCGTCGGTCGGTGTATCCAAGGTATCGGGGTCGGGATGCTGTCCATGACTGTCCCTATTCTCCAGTGCGAGATCGCACCGGGTCATGGCCGGGGGTTCTTCGTCTGCATCGAGTACTTCTTCCTGAACACTGGATACGCCTTGTCGGCGTGGGTGGGATACGGGTTTTTCTTCAAGATACCATCCGAGATCTCGTGGAGGGGGCCGTACATCATCCAGGCAGCCCTCTCTGGTATCCTCTTCCTCTGGACATTTTGGCTACCGGAGACTCCGCGATGGCTCGTCCAACACGGCTACCGAGAGGAAGGGCTCCAGGTTCTAGCTGATCTCCACGGCACAGGCGACACCTCCGACCCCGCCATCGTCAAATCCTTCGTGGAGATGGAGACGGCGATCAACTTCGAACAGGCGCTGGGGCAAGCTTCGTGGCGGGAACTCTTCACGCAGTACAAGTCCAGAGCGATCGTCGGGATAACGTGCCAACTATTCGCCCAGTCCAACGGAATCAATGGAATCTTGTATTTCCTCCCCGAGAACCTTTTGAGGGCTGGATTCTCGGTGCAGAGGTCGCTGCTGTACTCGGGAGCTTGCGCGTTGATCTACTGCGCGGGAACCCTGCCGACTATGATCACAGTCGATACCATTGGTCGGAGACCGCTCTTGTTGGTTGGGAGTGTTGGACTCGCCGCAGCTCTGGCGACGGTCGGGGGACTGCAGTTTGGAGCCGATGCCTTGCCAGTGGGTCCAGAGAGGCTCCCCATCGCACGAGGTTTCTTCGCAGGTGAGCAAGACCGACCCTCATTGGGACAGTCTCCAGGCTGATGACCATCTGGCAGCCGTCTGCTTCTACCTTTTCACATACGGAGCCACGTTCGTCAACCCCTTTCCTTCTCCTTTACCCAATGCGGTGCTGACGAGTCTGCAGGTGGGGTCCAATACCCTGGTTACTAGCTGCAGAAATCTTCCCCGTTCGAGCTCGAGCGAAGGGCATGGCGCTGTCCACCAGCTCCAACTGGATCTTCAACTTTGTAATCGCCTTCGCCACGCCACCTCTGTTCGCCAAAATCCACGGCGGTTACTACTTCCTGCTCATGGCTTCTGCTCTCAATGGTCTCGCCGTTGTGTGGATGTTTTACCCTGAGACGGCGGGAAAGACGTTGGAGGAGCTGGGAGCTGTTTTTGGAGATAGCGCTGTTGATATCAAGGTCGCGGACGTGTCGGTTGTTGACGCTACTGGAGGAGTTGGCGATGGGAAGACAGAGAAGGGCATTGGATTGACATCTCCAGAATCTTCATTACAGAAGCCTTGAAGCATACTACTTGATTTTACGCTCATTGATACTGGCGCAACTTCGAAACTCATTTTCTCCGTTACGGGGGCGCAACAGCTCTGGAAGAGTTCGATAATCATAGGGACCTACCTGGAGGTGGATCAGCTATTGTCAGCTCGGCGCGAATGCAGCCACGGGAAGCCGTCCAGTGACCGACCACGTCGAAACCTGTTGTTCGATTTCCAGAAGGGATGGTTGGACCAATGGCATCGATATGATTTACTCTCCAGACCCGTTACAGAAAAAGAAAATAAAAGTACGGAATCGACAGGACTGTCGCTAGTCCTCACTGCCAGGTAGGATCCGCCGCAGCTCCTGCATGTGTCTACCCTCTTCGCCCCCTTCTCGCGGACTTGGGGGTAGGGGATACCTGTGTCGGTGTCACATTTCGTCCACGTTTGCGTTTCCTCGTGGGAATACGCACAGGCTCTGTTGATGCGACACTCACAACGTCTTCCCCGTCCTCCTCTCCTCCCGACTCCTTCTCTCCCAATTCCTCCTCTCCCGACTCCTCCTCTCCCGAGAAAACATAGGAAGGGTCGTCCTCCTCGCTATCTATGGAAGATTCCTCGGCTTCGCTTTCGTACTCCTCCTCCTCGTCGCCTTGATTGGCGAAAAAGTCAGGATGCTCCTCCTCTCTCGGTGTCACTCCCCACACTTGCCAGATTCTGTAAGCTATCACCAGAGCCTCCCGGTGAGGTTGGAGGTATGGACACTTATCGAACACACCATTAAAACCGACTCCATGCTCTTTTCGAAGCGCATCGAGCTTGGATCCTAGCTGGTAGATGACAAATCGGGGGTCAGCATGCGAGAGCACCTCCAAGTTCGCGTAAGGGAAAGTGTGGACGTCGTAGCTCGAGCTACCAGTAGGGCGTGCCTTTCTGTTGGTTTGTCGATGTATACCCTTCCACTGCATCTCGATTGAAAGGGGGATAAAAGTGTACTTGAAAAGGGTAAGCTTTACATCCAAGATGTAGTAAGTCATCGATGCAGAATGGGGAACACTTCAGAGATGATCACCTTCTCGAACACTGGGAACTTTTCAGGTTTCTTTGGTTCCTTTTCCCCAGCGTCCCAGAAATCCAAGATTATTGAAGTCTCAGGAAGAAGGTGCCATCGGCGTTTATCGAGGAGGCGATGTAACCCGGGCTCTACTGGAGGTATGTGGAAGAAAGAAAGAAATGCCAATGAATTGTCAGGTTTTCGAGTCAAAGATTTGGTAGCTCACAGTGAATGAGGTTGTAACGCGTGTCCAAGTTTAGGGTGCGCCACTGCATACCCCAGTTGCACTCGAGGGCCGTTAGCTATGGACTAGATTCAGAAAGGGATTAGTCATTATTATAAGCCAATCCTACCTGTTCATCGCCCAAACTCCTCGGAACGATGTGACAGAGTTCGACACTGCAGTAGCTGGAGCAATTCGTAACGAGGCAGCAACCCTTATTGGGATCCGCTTTTGCAGCTCGTTTCCTGGTTTCCACTGAGACAGCTGGTCGATATGAGCCATTGTCGATGCGAGATTGCGGTGTGTTCCACTTCATCGCAAAGGAACTCTGTATCGAGCAAAAGGGAGTTGGGGAGCAGACAAGAGTCTCGGGGCGCGGTGAAGGCTCCCGACAGTTAACTCTATCCCCTGGCGTATCTTTGAAGAGAACGATAATAGAGAACGCTCACTCCAGGAAAGGTAGGATATTTCTCCTCATTTGATCCGCTCATTGTATTATAGAAGTACGCGCACCGAAGGGAAATCTTGTGTACCCGTTCTAGTCCATAAAGGGCCGCGTCCCGCGACTGTGGACCTTGCTTTAGCGGCTTGGACGCCTTTTTCTTTTGTGCACAAGTCGGTTTTGCCTCTCATCGTAATAGGCGTCCCCTTACCTGTCCGCCCCCCTGTACCACACAGCTCAGTCATTGAATGCGACGCGATTTTTTTTAAATAATGAAACTGTAAATCCTAGGTTGTCTGGCTGGTCAGGACTCTGCAGCCCTGCATTGTACATGCCGATAATAAAATCACCTTCTCTGCCCCTCACACAAAGTCCCAACACATACATAACTACATACTAGGCCAGAATCATATTTCTCATGTCAGTCCGACACGTCCCAAAGCCTAACCCGCTCACAAATAGTAAGCCCACGGCCCCCGCGCTTGATACTTGTAGAGGTGAAAGGTGACGAACGCCAAACCCTTCCTAGACCACTGATGCCTAGCGGGCCATGCGGATTACGACCAGCACATACGAAACATACTGGAGGACACAAGGCATGCTGCCTATTAGTTGTATCCAGAGCAGCAGCATAGCAGACTAGGAATTTGTGATCGAACCGAAGGAAGGGTACGATCCAAAGCAGCGGTAATGAGCCAGGAAAGGAATGCCGGCCGATGTTTGCATATCTTTGGAACTCGAGTTTTAGGCACCTAAATCTTACATAATGTGACCTGGTACAGACCTAGCTAAAGCAAGGTCAATAACGCATGGACAAGCCACAGAGATTGCCGCTTGGTGAGAGGTGCGTTGCCTTACTAGGGTTACAATGGAGTTCCCTAGCGTAAGGGAAGAACATTCCCTATGGTTGTTTCGAACCTCCATTGTGAAGGGCATGCTGATGTAGCCGACCTCGGCAGTGTGGGAGCCAAGGCTCACCCGCCGGCTTGACTAGACTCAATTGATGCCACCGCCTCTTGTTCTCCGACTCCCAACATGTCTTCGTCCCCCGCACCGCAAAGCCCTCCAGAGCGCGTCTCCCAGCGTGCACTAGCAGACGATCCAAACAACGGACGATGCTTGATCCAGAACAATGTCGACAATTGCCCAGACCCAGTCCTCCCTTGCTACGTCGTTCCGAAAGAAACGGAGAAGGATCATAGACAAGTAACTCTTGCGCAAATTTCCCAATGCTCTCATCTAACTAACAGCGCAGATGACCGCTATCGAGTATAATCTCAAATACCAGCATCTTACTCTCAATCTCGATACGAGGAGGAACGTATTTTTCGGTCAGTTGAATTTGGTTAGACACTGCCTTGTACTTCGCGCCTGACAGCAACGAGTGAATAGTCAGCGCTGAACTCCGAGAACTGTTCATTGCGGGAAAATGGGGTCTACTTCCAGAGAAATCCATTCTTGACCGATATCACGACGATTACGGCATTGCGCTCCCAAGACGCGGGTTTCCAAAGTTCGAGGTGCGCCTTGCTTGCCATCAAAAAGGGCACTTTAACGTCTAAAATGACATGTAGGAGAAAGTATTCAAGTACACCATCATTCCTTTGACCCCTGTAGACGAGCAATTTCCAATCCCGTCGATACTTCGCTATCCAAACCCGAGCTCTTCCAGTTCCGAGTCCACGCCCACCGCCTACACCTTCCCGTTTACAGATTTCCCCATTGTCACCTCCCACATCCACCCAAACTTTGCCGTTCTTCATCTCGGACGCCACATCACTAAGCTGCACTTTCGCCGAACCAAGAATGCTCTAGCACAGAAGTATCCCGTCATACAACAACTCTTTCTCCTGTACACTCTCTGGGTCTTGTATCCAGAAGAAGTGTCCAGGGACCGAGGATTTCGTTTCCGCTCCCCGCGGTCTCTACGAAAACAACAGGAGCAACAAAGCAGAGACGAGGGTAATGAGCGGCGACAAAACGATGCCCGGGAGCCTGAGGGACAATTGAGCGACGCGGAGACCGAGCCGTATCGTGTTTATCATCTCCCACCCCCGAAGCGAGCGAGTGCGAAGGTGTCGCCGTCGGAGGCAGGTCGTCGCGGAAGTGGCAACTCGATTTGGACCAAGGGAGAGGTATGCAATTGGAGACGCGACGTTCCCCAAGGCGTGGAGCCGGAAGTCGGTCGATGTAACCCTGAAAAGGTCGCCGAAGACCCTGAGTAGGTACACCGGGGAGCTTTTGAACCTATTCTGGCAGTTCTAATCCCCATGCATCGAAGTATTTCTCTTAATCCAAACGTCTGTTGTTGAGGAACCGTCAATCCGGCCATTTTGCTCTATCCATCCCAGCGTCGGCATCGGGAGAAAACCTGGAGGTTGGTTTGACCCTTGGTAAGAGCTGCGTTCCCGTATTTAGCATCAGCGATATTCAAGTTTCGAACCCATCGTGACCAATATGAGTGTGGGAACAATGCTTCTTCAAGTTGTTCTCCTACGCCCATGAACATGTCTTCGTCACCGCAAAGCCCAGAGAGCGTCTCCCAGCGTGCGCTAGCAGAGGATCCTAACAAAGGACGTTGCTTGTCGGTGCAAAACAGTGCCGACCCAGACCCCATCCTCCCTTCAAACGTCGGTGCGTAACCTGAGCCTTATGTACTTGTCCCCACGGTTGTCCCTGAGGCCTGAGGTCTGGTACCTTGCACGTATTTCAAGCCTTCATTCCTCTAAGGGAGTTACTTGAGTCCTACAAGGAAGCTGCCACACCTACTTCGAGTCAGGAACACAATTTGGGCGTTCGTTCCGCAAGTGACAGTTACAGCTAATTCCAAAACCCTAGACGATATCATACCCGAGATGTACCATTCTGAGTAAAGGTCATGCAATCTCACCAGCCCCGCCACGCACTCACCACCGACGCAGAGCCGACCACCACCATATGTATTCAGTATCTCCAGCTTCCCATCGCTGGAGCCGAGCACGCCTTTCCATTTACAGCGATTAATAACCTGAGGAGACACATCCAAAAAATGGAAAACGTCTAGGGTAGATACTATACTGTTTCAAAGTATCATGACCAAGGTGAGTGTGGGAACAAGCTCATGGTCGTGGCCTCAAATGATGTCACCGCCGCTCTTGCTCTTCAAGTTCTTGTTCTCCTACGCCCAGCAACATGTCTTGGTCAATGCAAAACCCTCCAGAGCGCGTCTCCAAACGTGCACTCGCCGACGATCCAAACAACGGACGATGCTTGATCCCAGAACAATGTCGACAATTGCCCGGACCCTGTGGTCCCTTGCTTACGTCGTTCCGAAAGGCACGGAGAAGGATCATAAACAGGTAAGTTTTACGCGACGTTCCAATGCTCTCATCTAACTAACGGCGCAGATGACCGCTATCGAGTATAATCTCAATTACCAGCATCTTACTCTCAACCTCGATACGAGTGTCGCGAAGAGCGAACACTAAACCAAACCAAAATCCAGAAGAGCGGAGCGGATGAGAGCGGAGAGCGAGATAAGAGCGATGAGCGACTAAGGCAGATGAATGCTGAAGCGGTGTATTGACGAAGAGGTCAAGCTGAGGAAATACAGAGGAATCTACCTAGCTTATATACCTATTCTACAGTCTACATAGCCGCAATGAGTCAGGATGACGAGCAAATGGTGAAATGCAAAAGAACAATAAGAAGTCATGAGGCTGCGCGAAGGCTGCGCGAAAAATGAAGAAGACAGTGGCGGAGTAACGAGGCAGTGCAAGAATGAAGAGAACAATAAGATGTAGGGCAGAGGGCATAACGAGGCAGTGTTCCATGGGAGAAAGTGTCCGTGTCGAGAATAAAGGCAAGAATAAGAATAAAGAGGAAGTGATAAGGGCGATGAAAGCGATAAGATAAGATAGGGAAAAATAGGGGCTCGTACCCGCTGTTCACGACATTACCCCCCTTCTAAGCCTCATCGTCCTCGATGATCCCTGGTAGGCGGCGTCCCAGCTCCCAGTCGAAGTCGGTAGGCGGTGTGTCGGTGAAGTTCTCAAGGGGTTGCCAGGGGAGGGAGGCGAAGACAGTGGCTGCAATGCGACGTGGTGCAGAAGGGTGACGCTGGTGGAAGTCTCTGATGACATCGGGGGCGTGTTCCAAGTTCTCCTCCGGTTCCCAAGTATCCTCCGTCGACCCGTAGCCCTTCCAACTGACCAGGTATTCCAGCTTACGGTTCTTCCCTCGGCCCTTCCAGCGGCTGTCCAAGATGTCGTGAACCTCGTACTCAAGCTCTCCCTCCAGTTCAACAGGCTCAGGCGGAGGTGGCAGAATGCCGTTGACATCATTGCCTTTCCAGGGGGAGAGCTTGTCGACGTGGAACACTGGGTGAATGCGGGAGAGGGAAGGGGGGAGCTCAAGGCGGTAATCGAGGTCGCCGATGCGTTCGGTGATCTTGTAGGGGCCGAGTTGGAGGTCGCCAAGCTTCCGAGTAGGGACTTTGATCTGGATGTCCTTTAGCGTTGAGCCAAACGTGGTCACCAACCTTGAACTGATGGGCTGTTCGTTTGCCGGATTCGTACAAGTCCTTCTGTTGTGCTTTCTCGAGACGTAAGGCGGCTTCGGCGTCCTTGCGTACCTCTTGCAGTTGTTGGATGCGCTCGTCGACAGGGCGAAGATCAGTGCGTTTACCGACGGGAATGTTGAAAGTGAGGGATGTAACCGTAGAGGACTTCGAACGGGGATCGGTTGTGCGCGGAGTGGACTCGGGAGTTGATCACAAATTCGGCCATGGGAAGGTGCTTATCCCAATCATCTTGTCGGCGACTGACGTACAGGCGGAGGTACTTCTCGACTTCTTGGTTGGCCCGTTCTGTTTGTCCGTTGGCCTGAGGATGATAGGCGGTGGTCAGGTTGGATTCGATGCCGAGACGCCTGAGAAGGGTGCGCATGACTTTGGAGGCGAACTGGGGGCCGCGGTCGCTGATGAACCGGAGTGGAAGGCCGTGGAGGCGGAAGACTTCTCGGTAGTAGATGTCGGCGACTCCTTCGGTGGTGATGTCCGAGGTGCAGGGGAGGGCATGGAGAAGCTTGCTGTAGTGGTCGACGAAGACGATGATGGCATCATGTCCATTGGCATCAGGAAGCTGGGTGATAAGGTCGACTCCAACAGTCTCCCAAGGGCCATCGGGTACCTCCAAGGGCTGAGTCGAGGCGCGGGGGTGCTGGGCGTGTTTCTTCCGGGCACAGATGTCGCAACCTTCCACGTACTTCTTGACAAAGGCTCGCACGGTCGGCCACCAGTATTGTCGTTCAACTCGTTCGAGGGTTCCATGTACGCCGGGATGTCCAGAGGTAGGGTCGTCGTGGCACTGTTTGAGAACAGTCGCGTCGGAGTTCGTCGTCTGGGGGAACGTAGACTCGACCCTTGTAGTAAACAAGGCGCATTATCCTCCTCCCATTCGGCGAGACCAGAGGTGAGACGACGGGGACCTGTCTTGCGGAGCTGGGCGAGTCCATCCAGGACCTGGGATTCTCGGGCGCTGGCCTGTCGGATACGGTCCTCTCAAGGGATTGACGACCATGCTCGAGGCGGCGAGCTTGGCAAACAGCTCGGGTTTGAGTACCACCTGTTGTTTGTTGTCCTCGGCGTCGGAGACCTGGTGGACGTCGAGACGAGAGAGGGCGTCGGCTTGGGTGTTTCGTCTTGCCAGGGCGGTGGGTGAGCGAGAACCGGAAGCGGGGAGAGGTAGAGAGCCCAACGAGCCTGTCGACGGCTGAGGTCTTGTGCGGTGCGCCAGTATTCAAGGTTGGAATGGTCAGTGACGATCTCGAAGGGTTCAGGGAGTCCTTCCAGGAAGTGGCGCCAGTCCTTGAGAGCCTCGATAATGGCCAGCATCTCCCGGTCGTAGATCTCGTAGTTCCGTTCGGCGGGCTGCATGGAGGCTGATCGGAATGCAACGGGGTGCCAGAGGCCGTCATCCTGCTTCTGGAGAAGGGCTCCTCCAGTGGCAAAGCCGGAGGCGTCGACTTCAATGCGAGTGGGGCGGTCAGGATCCCAGAGCGTCAGAATGGGGGCGGACGTGAAGGCATTGCGGAGGGTGTCAAAGGCCTGCTGTTGAGGATCGTTCCATTGCCAGGGGCTGTTCTTCTTGGTGAGGTCGTTGAGCGGTCGGGGCAATGGTGGCGAAGTCCTTGATGAAAACGGCGGTAGAAGTTGGCGAACCCGAGGGAAACCACGAACGGCGCGCGAGGTTGCGGGGGACTGGCCAGTTGCGGACAGCTTCGACCTTGGCGGGGTCCATGCTGACTTCGCCCTCGCGGATGATCAGCCCGAGGTATTCGATCTCCTGACGTTCGAACTCGCACTTCTCTGGCCGGAGATACAGATCGTGCTTCTTGAGGCGATGCAGGACTTCGTGTACAACTTGCCGGTGCTCGTCGAGTGTGGCCGTAAAGATGAGAATGTCGTCGAGATACACTGCAACCTTCCCTCCAGCGATGAGGTCGGAGAAGATAGAGTTCATGAGAGCCTGGAATGTCGCCGGAGAGTTGGTGAGGCCGAAGAACATAACGAGTGGTTCGAAGAGACCCTGGTTGGTGGCGAACGCGGCCTTCCACTCGTCTCCTTCCTTGATCCGGATATTGTTGTAACCCCAGCGAACGTCGAATTTCGTGAAGTACTTGGCACCACGGAGTCTGTTGACGATGTCGGAGACCAGGGGAAGGGGGTAGCGGTTCTTGACGGTGATCTCGTTGAGCTTGCGGTAGTCCTGAACGAAGCGGAGCTTGCCATCCTTCTTCTTGACGAAGAAGACCGGGGAAGAGAGGGGAGACTTGGATGGTCGGATGTATCCCTTCTTGAGGTTCTCGTCGAGGAATCGGTTCAGCTCTTCCTGTTCGTTCTGGGACATGGGGTAGACCTTGGTGCGCATGGTGGCCGGAGCTCCAGGAATCAGATCGATGGCGTGATCCCAGGGTTTGTGTTCGGGTAGGCGGTGCGACTTGGACTCGGAGAAGACGGAGGCATGTCGGCGATACTGTGGGGGAACCATCTCTTCAAAGGTCTTCTGGGGTTTGGCCTTCTGAGATTCTTCGGCGATCTGCTGGGAATAAGTGAAGCCAGCAGCACACCAGAGCTCGTCACCAGTTTCCTCGATCAGCCCTGCTCGTAGCCATTTCCGGCGGGTGGTTCGGTTGGCGCGGATACGGCAGAGGGGCGGTTCGGCTTGTTCCGGTTCCGGTTCGGGAGCGGGGTTGGGGTCAGGAGTGGTGGGCACAGGGGGAGGATCAACCGGGGTATCAATCTGTTCCAGGATGGCGTCGCCAGAGGGAGTTCCTCGACTGGGAGGGTGCGCCTCCTCGTCTGGAATCTCCTCGATCGTGACACTAGAGACTTTGGAGGGGACCTGGAGGGTGCCGTTACGCCAGTCGATGGTGGGGTTGATCTTGCGAAGCCAAGGGAGTCCGAGGATGATGTCCTCTCCTCCAAGGTCGGCGATAAGAAAGTCGGTCCATTCGGAGTGACCGTCGACCGTGAGTTCCAGTCGTGCGAAATGGGTGATATTGCCTGCCTGATTGGGGGTGCCGTCAATGTTGAGAAGTCGGATGGGGTGTCGGAGGGGGGAACGTGGTAATGTTGTGCCGATCGACGAAGGGCTTGTCCAGGAACTTGCCTGTTGCCCCACAGTCAATCATTGCCGCGGAGTTCGTACTGCGATTTCTGCCTCTGAGCCTCACGTTCACGCGAAAGTGTGATGAACGGGGGTTTATTTCGCGAATGGAGCTAATAGTACATGAACGGACAGAATCATATTCGGAAGTGGCGTACGGAGGAGCAAAGGGTGCCTGCGTTGCGGCAGGGACGGGCACCCGCTTCAAAAACCCTGGTGGAGCCTCTGGAGTTGAGCCAAGAGTTCGAGTTGCTGTTGCTGGGTGGCGGAGAGCGAGGCGAGGGTGGGGGCAGGGGCAGGGGACACAGTGGGGGTGGTGGCGGCAACGGAGGCAGTGGCAGCAGGGGCGGGTTCGTCAAAGAGGGAGAAGGGTGCTTCTTGGGTGGCGGCGACACGACGACGTGGGGGTCGAGAGAGCCCTCGTCCGGGTGGGAATCCCATGTACTTGTCCGTGGCAGACGGTGGCGGCATGTCCCATACGCTGGCAGTAGTTGCAGCGTAGCGCTCCATGATTCCCATCCTTCTTGTTGTGACCGGTGGATCCACAGCCGAAGCATCGACCGTGCATGGCATTGAGGAAGTCCTGGTAAGTCTTGCCACTAGGGCCAGGTCGGGTAGCATCGATCTCCATTGCGTACGGATCACGAGCGGGGGCGGAAGTGGGAGCGGGAGCGTACTGGGCCAGGGAGGTGCGGGACGAGTTGGGGTTCATGTTCCGCATGACAAACTCGTTCTTGATGGCTTGAGCAACGAGTTCCTCCAGGTTGGCGGGTTCCTTGATGAGGTTGCTGAGGGCGAGCCAGAGAAGGTGTTCCTGAGAGAGCTTCCTCTTGAAGCGAGCCATCCCGTCCGAATCGGATAAATTGGTGCGCGAAAAGATGTCAACGAAGCGAGAGGCAAAGTCGGCTACAGTTCCTCGACCAAGGGTGAGCTGCTCAAGCTCCTGGAGGGCAGCCTGGGCGTCATTGGCAGGTTGGAAGCGTTGCTTGAACTCGGTGAGGAAGTTAGCCCACTTTCCCCCAGCGAAGGGCCATGGTTTGGTGCTGTCGGCGTCATGATCGGCGATCTGCTGAAGGAAGCGAGATGCCCATCGGCCGGCTTCTCCATGCATGTATGAGAGGGCCGTGGAAATCCATTCCTTGTCATCTCGGGTGCCGTCATCCTTCTTCAACTGGGGTTGGTGTCCGGCCCAATTGGTAAAGAACTGGAGGAAGCGTCGGGCGTCTTCAGCCTTGCCGTGGAAGGGCTCAGGCGCCTTGACCGGGCTCTTGCTAGAGGCGGTTTTGGCGGCTGTAAGGTGGCTGACCAGGGTAGAAATAGCGGTGGTGAGCTGGTTTTGCTGTTCCTGGAGTTTCGCGAGATCGGCGGCGGACATCGTGAAGTCGTCGGTGGTTTGGGAAGTGGAAGAGGGTAGAGTAGTTGGTTGGGTGGAAGTGGGAGGTTTCTGTTCTGAGCTTGGAGCGTCAGATGTGTCCTCCAATTGCCGAGAGGTGTGGAGAGGGGGATGGATTGGGCGAGAAATGAAAGAGGCGGGGTTTGTCGGTGTAGAGCGGCCGGAAGAGCTGAGGCGTTGTGCGGAGATGAGGGGTGCGGATGCGGCTAGAGCGGAGTGGAGGGTATTGAACGGTGGGAGGGTGTTTTCTTGCTCGGGGGATGCTGATCGGACGCTAAGGGACTGGACGACCTCTTCTTCTTCTTCCTCGTCGTCGTCGTCGTCTTCCTCGTTTTCTTCGGGGTCGGTGTCGGGATCTGGAAGCTTGAATGAACCGGCTTTGGCAGCGGGGGAGGTGTTTGCGGAACGGTAGGCTTGGTACGGGGTTTCTGGAGATTCGGCGGCGGTGGGTTGCGTTTCAGAGGGCGGAGTCCTGGGGTTGTTGCGGGCGAATTCTTCAACTGCTTGCTGATTAACGGGGGACGGAGATTCGGCGTTTAACTTGAGGGAGTTGATATAGACCCAGTCGTGTACGGAAGGTTCGTGGTAACGGTTGGGGCAGGGCTGTTCAGAGCAAGCGGTCCAACGGTTGAGGCTTGGTAGATGGACGTCTAGGACGATGGGGTGACCGTCGCTGGCCCGAACGACAAAGTGCGGCTTAAACAGACAGGAGGTGTCTTCCGGTGTGGCGGAAATCTTGACGGAGTGCGGGGACCAGAGTTGCCAGAGAGGGACCTGATCGGCAGGTCAACCAGAAGCCAGGGATGCGGATGATGCAGGAGCAACGATTCGGCGTTGCCGGTGCACAAAGGTAGCTTGACCTAATGTCGCGAAGAGCGAACACTAAACCAAACCAAAATCCAGAAGAGCGTGAGCGGATGAGAGCGGAGAGCGAGATAAGAGCGATGAGCGACTAAGGCAGATGAATGCTGAAGCGGTGTATTGACGAAGAGGTCAAGCTGAGGAAATACAGAGGAATCTACCTAGCTTATATACCTATTCTACAGTCTACATAGCCGCAATGAGTCAGGATGACGAGCAAATGGTGAAATGCAAAAGAACAATAAGAAGTCATGAGGCTGCGCGAAGGCTGCGCGAAAAATGAAGAAGACAGTGGCGGAGTAACGAGGCAGTGCAAGAATGAAGAGAACAATAAGATGTAGGGCAGAGGGCATAACGAGGCAGTGTTCCATGGGAGAAAGTGTCCGTGTCGAGAATAAAGGCAAGAATAAGAATAAAGAGGAAGTGATAAGGGCGATGAAAGCGATAAGATAAGATAGGGAAAAATAGGGGCTCGTACCCGCTGTTCACGACAACGAGGAAGAACGTATTTTTTGGTGCGTTGATTTTGGCCAGCCACTCTTGTGCGTCGTGCCTAACGGCAACGAGCAAATAGTCAGCGCTGAACTCCGAGAACTGTTCATTGCGGGAAAATGGGGTCTACTTCCAGAGAGGTCTGTTCTTGACCGATACCACGACGAATACGGCGTCCTTCCAAGAGGCGGGTTTCCAAAGTTCGAGGTGCGCCCTGCTTGCACATCAAAAAGGGCACTCTGACATCTACAATGGCATCGTAGGAGAAAGAATTCAAGTACACCATCATTCCTTTGACTCCTGTAGACGAACAATTTCCGATCCCGTCGATACTTCGCTATCCAAACCCGAGTTCTTCAGAGTCCGAGTCCACACCGACCGCCTACACCTTCCCCTTTACAGGCTTCCCCACTCTCACCTCCCATATCCACCCAAACTTTGCCGTTCTTCATCTCGGACACCACATAACTAAACTGCACTTTCGCAGAACCAAGAATGCTCTAGCAGAAAAGTATCCCGTCATACGACAACTCTTTCGCCTGTACATCCTCTGGGTCATGTATCCAGACGAAGTGTCCAGGGACCGAGGATTTCGTTTCTGCTCCCCGCGGTCTCTGCGAAAACAACAGGAGCAACCGCGGTCTCAGGAGCGACAAAACACGGACGAGTTGAGCGATGCGGAGACCGAGCCGTATCGTGTTTACCATCCCCGACCCTCTAAACGAAGGAGTGCGAAGGTCTCCCCGTCTGAATCAGGACCCGATAAGAAGCTCAGAGTGGGAGACTCAATGTGGACCAAGGGAGAGGTATGCAATTGGAGGCGCAACGTTCCCCAAGGAGCAGAACCGGAAGCCAGTCGATGTAACGATGAGGAGGGCGTCTAACACGCTGTTCAGGTAGGTAGATCTGATGACTATATCTCTTCCTGCTGTCCTCATCAACTCTGTGTGTAGGAGTTTCGCGAAACCCGTAGTGATCCACACGTTCCAGGCACTGGGGCGCTAAATCTCGCCCTATACCCGCAGGTGCGCACGACGGCCCTGGTTCACAATCGATTGTACCCTCGTGATCCGGTCCGCTGAAGGAAGCCGTTCTTCTCTGTGGAGGGTCTTACCAATCAACCCCATAGACCATATTCGAGCTTGCTCATGAAATATTATTACATTGACCTTTGGGAGGTGGTATCACCCTCCGTCGAGGGTACATAGCAAATGAACGTATTCGCGGGAGTCTAGAAGAGACTTCTAATTTCCATCATTGCGGCACTGGAGGGTAAAAAGGTTGGAACATTGTATCCAGTAGAATCACGAAGGCCAGAACAGAATAGGACTCACGCAAACGGAGATGACATCGTTTCCGCAACGGCCTGACCTGGAGTCTGGTCGGCAATCATAGCTGTTGATCAAATCCATATTTAGCCACTCGACAAAATGGACAGGCGGAGAGGACATACATAAGGCCAGTGAAACTGTTAGTGTAGCGGTTGAAAAGGATGGGTGGAGGGGTGCAGCCAAAGGTTCCACTGGTGCAAGGGTTTCCAGTGGTAGTCAACGAATCGACGGCTTTGCAGTCCGTGTTGTAAATGCTCCCTAGAAGATACACTCAGCGCTGTACCAAATGAAGTGAACGCCCTTGAAAACCTACATCGCTTCCATCCACTTCCCAAGTCTTGGACGTTCCCGATGCCAAAGTTGAAGCCAGGACAAATGGCGACGGCCGAGGCGACGAAAGGGAGCACAGCGGCGAGTTTGATGCTGACCATGGTAGCTTGTTAAGCAGTAAGTGGATGCTGGGAAGGAGATGGGACGTTGGAAAGGGCTGGTTTCTAACATCCAACGCTCAATCCATCCCCTTTTTATAGTCATTTTATCTAGCACCTCAGAGCGGTCTTGGCCGCCCTTCACGGCCAGTTGTAAGCTGAGCGTCCTCGAATACGGCATCAGTTTCCATATTTGAGTATGGGCGGCAATGTTTCCACAAGGCAATGTTTCGGCGGCCCTTCGCTGAGACGGTAGCTGGAGAAGCTTCTCTCCGGTGTAGCCGGTCACTGAATCGCTTCTTCCTCTTTCATATACCTACTGAGTTGGGCCTGAGGCTCCCGAAAGGTGTAAAGACACCAACTGACCCTGCGTAAAGCTGTACAATGCGTCATTGGGTAGGTAGGTCGCTGTATGTAAGAAATTGAAGCAGGCGGTGTATACTCGGAATTCCTCCAAAGCCCCACCTTCCCGTGAAGCCCGCAGGACGTTTAACACCCCAAATTCCAACTCTTGAGTGTACCCATCCTCTAGCATGACCCCCAAATCACGTAGACAATGACTCGCGTGGAGAGTTGGCTACGGAACCCCATCATCCAAACGCGCGCACATTCGTCGAGGACAATAGGCCCCTCTCGTTACGCCTATAAAGGTTGCGGTTCCCCGTTTCAAATGATCACCATGCTCCCCGAAATTGACCACGAAATTTATAATGGCCGCTCTTCTGCTCGTTTTCTGCTTTGCAGACCCGAGTGCACAGTCCAAAGACTGAGGATCGTCGTCCGGGGTTTATCATCCCCACTACGATCCGCCGGAATCTAGAAGCTCCCCGTGTCGTCGGGCGTTTCAGAACTGCGCACGTTCTGATATGAATAACGGATAGCCCCAATTCGCAGAAGAGATATACGAAATGGGAGGACTACGCAATTGAAACCAGCTGTATGTCTGCTATCCGACATTCATTCGTCATTGTATTTCATGTCCTTAGACGAAAACAAAAAAGCACCTAAACTACAAATACATCGTAATCAGCCATATGAACAGAACTAGGTGGAAACTAGCAGCCTTGTCGTCGAATCGACACTCGCACTGGCCGTAAAGACATTACAAACATGCGGAAAAGTTACCAACTAAACGCTTCATCAACAAACACCACACCCCTCCTCGACTGCGGGGCAAGCTCAGCAACGAGGTTCCTAACCTCATCAGCCATCCCAGTCGGTCCACACACCACCACCCCCAAATCACCCACCGCCTCTACACCCGAAGTACTGCTACTACCAGCAGCCTCCTCCTTCCCATGATCACCCGAATGCGAATGCCTCTCAACCAGCCGCATTTCCTCCCGCAAAATCCTCCCTAGGTCAAGCCTCCGACCGACGCTAGTCTCAACTTCCACACTCCTCTCGTTGAGCGTCTTCAACTCGGGTTCGACAGCCACCAAGAGGCTCTCGGTGCGCATACCCCACGCCAAACGTGTACGAGGACCGCTGAAGGACTTGACGATCGGTACGATGGCGGTGATACCCACCCCACCAGCGATACAAAGGAGGGTGGTGCAGTGTGCAAGGTCGCGCATGGCGGGGTTGGCGTGGTATGATGATTCGATGATCACTGGGAGTGGCAGACTTCGGCCTGGGCCGAGGGCGAGGAGACGGTCAGCGATATCTTTCGTCGAACCATCCATAGCTCGGAACAAGATGGTAGCACGAGGTCGAAGGGTGTTATCCGCCGCTACCAACGAACCAGACGAGGAAGGCGATGTCTTCTCCGAATCACCGCCAGCGCTCTTGTCGGAGGCACCGCTGGTGAACGACGAGAGAACGGAGAACGGATGGTTCTCCCAAACACGCCAGTTGAGAGTCGGGAAGTAGAGGTAGACATGCCCATCGGCGACCACACCGTCAATCTCCAACTTGACATACTCAGCGCTGGGATCGATGGCGGTGACGACAGCAGTCCGGTACCCGTTCGCCACCATCCTCAACAATCGAGCGAAGCGATCGACGAACCAAATACAACCCCCGATGTACACCCAAATCTCGTATCCCCAAGCGTACCCGAAAAGCTTGTAGATGTGGTAGAAGGTGGCGATGAGACCGATTGCCGCGAAGACTTGGTGGAAGACGAGGAAAGCCTCGTAGAATCGTTGTCGAACGGGGAGGATAGAAGCCGGCCACATCACCACAAACGCGAGCGTGGCGACAATACCCCACACCCAATACGGGAGCTTGCTCTCCGAAGCATGGTCGGGCCAGTAAAGGTAAAGCATGAATACCGAATGGATGCAGGAGTGGAAGATGAGGCAGTAGGCGATCCATCGATGGAGGAGGAGGAAGGTGCTGTGACTCCAGTTGGTGATCCAGAGCAAGATGTTGTTGCGGCTGGAGAAGAGGAAGAGGGCCACGAAATCGGCCATGGCGAGGACACCTGTGCGGTCACCAACGATTTGAATGATTTGGAGTGAGCGGGTAGGCGCGATGTAGTTGGGGTAGCGGAAGGCGAGGGGGAAGATGGCAAGGAGGATCTGGGTGGTAAGAAGGTAGACGAGGTAGAGAGTCTGCCCGCGCGTGGGCATGATTCCGAGGTTCCCAGCGGTTGGTGTACGATGCCGATGACCAAGCAATGGTTTCTCGAGCACGCTCACCAGTCGACTGTACCAGAGAGGTCGACCTGGGAGGAACCTGAGCATCGACAAGAGTATGGGAATGCATACAGTGCTGATAGCAATGGCGACGCTAAAAGACAGGTGTGAGAATGAAGTCTGCGACAGGTACCATGGGTTGACTTACGAATTACGGCCATGATCCCGTTCGATATGCTCGAACCACTTCTGACCATTGTAACCAATGACCCAATCTTCTTCCCGAATGAAGCTCGTCACATTCAACGGCTCACCAGCCTTTGTGAACGGAACGTTCTCTCGTCCGACCTCCTCCACATCCTGGCGTGCGTAGTCGAGAGCATCGCGGTAACTCATGATGGGTCGCAAGCTCCAGTCGCCCACGCTACCAGTCGCAACATGGCCCTCCCAGTACTCCTCGATGACCGAAATCGGAACGTCATCGCGGGAGCAGCCGCTGTCGATGCAGAGTGCGAGGGTCCGTAAGAACGCAGCGTCCTTGAGGTAGCATTCCTTGGTGTTGAGGACGGTGTGAGAATGGCGCCTGTGAACGTGGGAGGTTGAGTTGTCGCCTGGCAGCTTCGAATCGCAAGTGAGTTTGTTGGTCTGGATGATTCGTCTACAGGCATGGGCGCAAACTGGCTTGTACAACCATTTGCCTACCCCGAGAACACCGTAGCCATCCGCTGCTACCGGGGTAACAATGGAAGAGAGGGCGAAGAAGAAAAGGACGAGTGTCGAAAGTGCGCTCGACATCGTCGAGGTCGACCTGGGAGCCATCGTGGTGGAATCAGAGGGTCGCGGGAGGGTCAGTGAACTAGAAAACGATGACTGAATATATACGTGTTCAGTGAAACGTTTACGCCAAGTCGGTGAAACTGACTCACCACTCGGAAGGGTTCACGGAGGCGGGAGCAGAGGCGGAACGAGCAGGAAAGTTGCTCGAAAACCTGAGATGAAGCCTACTCTGAAAGCTCGCTATTTAATCTCGTCCTGGCTCTCCCAAATATGTCGTGCCTTAGAGTTTTGTGGCAATCCCAACCAAAAGAAAGAGGGCGGAGGGGACCAAAGTGCACTGTTTTTTTAGACCCGTGGGATTCCAAAAAGAAGCCAATGTCGGAAAAATGGGGGAAGATTAATCTCGATTTCCCGCCGCGAGGCTCCGATGAATGCGTGGCGGAGACGGCGGGCATTCAAGAGAATGCTACTTGTCCCATACGGCAGGTCTAAGGATATGGAGCTGGTGATGTGAAGCCGTCCTGTGATATCGAAGGCCGTGGATTCAGTAATGTTGGGCGGCAACTCTCGAGTCCGTTGTGTCGGATATTCAGAATGTTACTATAACATTGAAGTCGTCACCTCGATGGGGAATACCTCCGAGCTCGTCACTGGTAGAAAGATCTCGACGTTCATTGTCTGTAGCAGGGATGGAAAAGGTCGAATTGCGTGGATCAAGTTCGGGTTGAAGTCGCTGTAGCAGAGATGAAGGCGCAGTTCGTAGGCGTCAACCAAAGCAGCAAGCCAACACCGAATCACGAGCTGAAGACCCAGTCGCTGTTGAAGTTGCATGCTACATCCTCCACTTCAAAAAAGCGCGATTGCAGCGGGGATTAAGGTACCGTCTTATTGAACCTAAGTAAGGACTCAGGGTCGACATCGTATCCCCGTCCCAAAGGCGGTTAGCAATTTTCCCCCAGATCTCGCAAGAAGGCTCATTTCACATCAGAAAGGAAGACCGCGGTGACAAGTGATGGTGTGATGACGGGCAACACGGTGTGGTCAACTGTGTTGCGATGCCGGCTCGTCGACGACGCCGAAGGACAGCGAGACTCGGCAGCAACGTCGGGCAGCTAGTTTCGAACGGCGCCTCAAACGATTCTGTCTCCGAAGGGGAAGGAGAAGAACGGGTGGGTGGGTCGACAGTGCATCGTCAGATGGAGTCGATAGGGCCAACAGTCTCAAGGGAGGGTCGGTGTGACATAGATTGAAAGTGACCAAGGCGATCCGCAGGTTCATTCCCGAAGTGCGAGCATGACGGTGTCAAGAAATCCGACTAGCGTCGTCGTTGCGGCGTCTCGTGCGCTGTACGTGCGACTTGGAAGCCTAAAAAGATGTTCATAAACATGGATTACTCTGTATCAACTTCATGGAAGACGAAACTCACGATATCAATAAGCGTTGACCACCATCCTGCACCCTCGCACAATTGCCTCAACGTCGTTCACCGCCTTCATTGACGACCAGCAGAATATTGCGTCCGAATTTCGAATTCATGGGCTTTAGTTATGACAATCTGAGTTGTGGGGACCCAAGTCATATAGATAAAGGTGTCCAGAGGGAGTGGAAGAGGTTTGGGAAAGAATCGGAAGGCCTTGAGCAGACAGTTCGAAGGCGTATTTGACCTTGTTGGCTTGTTGATGGATGATCAATCTGATCGCCGGATGTCGGCATCGAAAGGTGCGCTCGCGGTCATGTTGGGGCGCTCAGCGCTCAGCGGCTAACTCAACCCCACATCACAATGCGATGATTCGTGGCTTTACGAGCGCACGTGCAACACCGCCGGCACTGCTGTGCACTTCCACCACCTTTTAACGCCACTGTTGTTAAGCTTGTCTCTCATCCTATGCCATTCATTCACCACCATTGACTACTGGTGTAACCCGTCTGTGAGGAAGCTATGGGTCAAAAAGTCTCGTTCTGGGTGAGTACGCCGATTTTATCATATGAGCGCGCATTCTGAGTCGCTCAATTCCTGCTCTATAGATGGGAGCAGAGCGACGTGGCCAACGCGAGGCTGGTCCAATCACACGTTAGTTTGGTTCTCCTTTTACTGCTGGCGACTTCAGAGCCCAACTGCAATCTAGACGATGTCGACAGTGAAATGCCTTCGCCCTTTGCACCGGGCAGTGCCCAGCCCAAAGTCGTCAACATAAACGGTGGGACGTTCAACATCTACGACGGCATTCAGGAGGTCAAAGGACACGACGTCGGAGTCAACAGCCGAGCTTTTGGCAGCGTGCAAGGTTGGTATCGCGGCTCAATCTCGTCTACTCGGAACGCAATGTCTAATTTCATCTTCAGGGATCCATAGCAGTCGTACGTCCTTTCCAGGCATGGATGACTGCAACTCACGCCCAGTACAGCGGATGGACTCCTACTCGATCGCCTGGCGTCGAACATCAACTTTCGCGCGATCCAACAGGAAGTGAGGAAGAAATGGACCCCAGGGACAGGCAAATGGTTCCTCAAAAGTCGGCTATACAAGGAATGGAAGGCAAGCGGTGGTGGTGTTCTTTGGGGGATGGGAATCCGTGAGTGTCTTCCAACGCCCGAAACTGTCGTAGCAAACTAACTTGGCTTCTAGCCGGTGCTGGAAAGACGGTTCTTGCGTGAGTTGTGGTCCTGTCCCCTACCAGACGCCAACTCATTCTCTCTCATTTTCGTATAGCTCGAATGTGGCCAACGACCTTCTCCAATTAGAAGCAGAGTCCAACGGCAGGGTCGCAGTCATCGTCGTCTATTGTCGCTACACCGAGCCTCTATCCGTCAAAGAGATTCTCGAAGCCATTCTGAGACAGTACCTCGAATGCCACCCACACCTCGTCGACCTCATCGCACCACTCTATGCACAACACGACCGAAAACGGACCTCACCCTCGGAAGAAGAGCTCGTCGAATTACTGTGGGTGATCGAGTCACAGTTCGGCAAGTGCTACTACATCATCGACGGTGTCGACGAGGCCAAGGTCAACACCCAATTCGAGCTCATCGACGCTATCAACAAGCTCCGGGGAAACTTCTTCCTGAGCTCGAGGCCATTGGATCACTTAGGCTCCGACTTGTTATACTCCGTTTTCTTCACCATCGACGCCCAGCGAGAGGACATCCTCCTACTCATTACCGAGAAGCTCAATCGTAACAAGGCTCTCCTTCGCCTCGTAGAGCAGCGCGGGTATCGGAAGATGATTGATCAGCAAATTATCGACAAGGCTGCTGGGATGTGAGTGGTCCATTCTGTAATGACAGTGTAACGACTAATCTACCACTCAAGGTTCCTTCATGCTGCTCTTCAGGCCGAACTCATTACGAGCTCTCTCACCATTGAGTCTCTTATGGAAGGACTCCGGGCCTTCCCGGCGGATATCACAAACATGTACGAGGCTGCCGTCGAACGCATACGAGGACAAACCCCGGCGCTAGCCTTACTTGGGAAGCACATCCTCCTTTGGCTCGCCTTCGCGCGAGAGGCCTTTTCCGTTCCCACTCTCCGACATGCAGTGTCCGCTTCTGGTGGCGAGGCTCTTCGTGAGCACAGCGCATCAACCATCGAAAGCTTCCAGATAGCACTGTTGTCTGCTTGCTGCGGTTTGGTAACCATTGAGACCAAAACCAATCAGGTTCGCCTTGTCCGTAAGTGGAGACCAGGGTCCTCCGAGCGTGCATGATGCAAGCTAACGCAATCGCTGCTACAGACTTTACCGCCAAAGACGCATTAGCATCCATCCTAACGCGGGACTTCCCCGATCCTCATTTTACCCTCTTCCAAGTGGCCACGGATCAGCTTACCGCCTTCGACATCCCAAACTCCCAACTGAGAACCCAAAGGGACCTGGACGACACGCTGTCACGCGCTCCGCTCCTACGATACGCTTACGAACACTTCCCAGACCACGCACGCAAATGTATGGACAACCCGAAAGTCTTCGACGCAGTCTTCCGTTTCCTGCAACTTTGCACCGCTTTCCCCTGCAACCTCAACTCCCGCCCACAGAGCTGGGACGAGCTGGATTTGCTCTCCCCCGTGCACGTCATTGCGCGATTTGGAATTCCAGTTCCCAAGGAGACCCTCACAGCTGCGATCGATGACCTCAACAGCACGACTACAGGGGCGACGGGCGCAACCCCGTTAATCCTCGCAGCTGCTTACAGCCACCTGGAGGTGATGAACCTGCTACTCACCGTCAAGCGCTGGGATCGAGCAAAGGCCGTACTTTATCGCAAGACATCGGTGACTCGGAATCGCAACCTCTTCTCTCCCGTCAACGTCAACGCCTGCGACGCGGGTGGCAAGACCGCACTGATGTACGCGTCCAGGAGAGGGCTTCAGGTGATAGTCCGGCGATTGCTGCAGGTGCACGGAATCAAGGTAAACCTTGCGGACGCCGTCGAGGGATGGACGGCGTTGATGCATGCGTGCTTTAGGGGGCACGAAGATATCGTGCAGCTTCTTCTGCAGGTCCGGGGCATTGATGTCAACCACAGCGACAACGATGGTCAGACAGCGCTGATGCACGCATCCAGAGGAGGCTACGAGGCTGTGGTACTATCTCTTCTTTTGTCCAAGGGGATACAGGTCAACCGTAGGGATGCAGATGGACAGACAGCCTTGATGATCGCGGCTGGCCCACAATCGTGGCGCAACTCCAGGAGTGTTGTCGAATTGCTCCTCCAGGTGGAGGGGCTTCAACTTGACCTTGTAGACGATGGGGGGAAGACGGCAATGGATCACGCTCTGGCTGCGAACCGGCCAGAAGTGGTCAGTCTCTTGAAAACGGCAGAGGAGAGGACTGGAAAAAAACGCTATAGCATACAGTAGCTACTACACCGCGTTTCAGCTAGATTAAATGGAGCCGTAGAGTACCATGACTGGAATAATTGGCGATAGCATCTACACGATTCCAAAGCAAGAAGCGCAAAAGTGTGTATCGGCTTTGTTTGTTTCTCTAGACCTTCTCGATCAAACCGCTCAACGCGCATGCAGAGTTCCGTGCACTGCACTGAACGCTTCTCGGGCGCTACATACCCAAAAAAAAAAAAGGCGGACAAGAGTCTCAGAAGCAATAGATGAACGTCGGGAGGATACACATTCATCGTGACGTACGGTACAAGGAAAGAAAATAACCTATGTGTGTATGGACTACACTATAAGTCCGCCCCCCAGGAAAATCTCCTGGGGGATTCCCGCCCGAGCAGGAAGGGAACTCCCGCTCCAACAGGAGATACCCCTGCAAGTGCGGGAGAATTTTCTGCCGGGGCAGGAAAGCTCGATGCCTCGTCCCTCGGCTCTCCAGACACCTCGCAGGAGATTTCCCTGGGGAAATCTGCCGTTTTACTGCGGAATTTCCGCCAGCGCGGGTGTAAAACTGCCCTCCCAGGAGCATGCTTTCCCCGGAGGTGCGGAATCACTTTCGTTTTATTTATTTTTCTTTTACTGGACACGCAGGGTACACGAGAATATGCTCTATATTTATGATAGTATGTATTACAGTTCATATGATAGTAAGTATAACGAGGATTCAAATAAGAGAATCCCGAAAATCCTAGGATGATCAGATTTCGGTGGCTGGGAATTGTCGGTCAGTGGCGTGTCCGACGGGGAAAGCAGAACTTGCCGAGTGCAGGTTGAACGCTCCGGGCGTCTAGCATTGGGCACAAAGGCGAGTAGAGATGGGCGAGGCCGCCGAGGCGGGAACCAGTGGAGGAGGGCAGCCCTTATCATTCAATCATTAGCAAAAGCTGTGGGATATGAAAAATAATGATACTCGCCATTATGATTGAGCCAGCGAGGGACTTCAAGGCCAAATGGAAAGGATGTGTGGGGGATAGAGGGAGAGATGCGCTGTAGTGAGTGACAGAACATATAACTTGCGCGGCGGCTGACGATTAACTAATATCTTCTCGCGCACCCCTTCTTCCTACAGCTCAAACTCGGGAGATTTCTCTAAGTCAGATCTCACCGACACGATAATTTTAATATCTCGACTAATCATAGTAATCAAATGTTTTCTATTCTTTTATTTGCTATATGAGGGGCCAGGGCTATGACAATTAAAACGACGACACCGACGAAACGATGACGGCGATGACGGCGCAACACCGAAGACGACGACACCGACGACCCTGCCCAGGCGGGCCGCGGGGTGGTGGACCTCTCGTCCTGCTCATGCGGGATGGAGGCAACCGCCTGTGCAGGGTCAACCGCTCATCCTGCTCACGCGGGATGGAGGCAACTGCTCATGCGGGGTCGACCTCTCACCCTGCTCGCGCGCGGATCGAAACAACCGCCTGTGCGGGGCCGGTTGTCGAAACCCGCGCAGGCGGGACTCATCCTGCGTCGGCGGGGACTCGCCCGCTCGCGCAGGACACACAGGAGTTCCCCAGGAGATTCTCCTGGGGGACGGACTTATAGTGCTAGCCACTGGCAATAGTAGCCATTGCAGTGGATGCACAAAGAGAGCTACTTCTTGCCGCACTATGGGGAATAAAAAAGCGTGGTCAGCCTTACAACTTAGGAGAAAACAATGTCAAGGGACGTACGCAGACGGAAATCACATCATTTCCGCACTTCTCCGATTTAGGATCCCTCCTGCAGGAATAGCTGATAATCCAAAAAAGTCGTCTCTGTCGTGATTAGACGGTCACACTAACCACTGCACCAAAAAGGCGCCCATGTCCAGCTTAGGTGGACAGGCAGACCGTGGTATATAAGCACCATTCTATGTCATGATTTCGCCTGTTCATGACATTAGCCCCCTTCTATGGCTTACGTCCTCGTAAGACGAGAATGATGCATCCCCTATACCGGCCTTTCCAGGCAGCGGACAACTGTCATGCCTGCAGGTCTATTGAGGGCCCAGAAGGTGCCCGGGTGATCCATTACATTTGCGCCTATCACATGGTTCTTATTGTCACATGACCTTAAGCTCACATGACTCAAACCGGCCAGTAAATGTGTACATCCCGGGAGTTGAACCCTCGACCTGTTGAAGCTGGACATAATGTCGTGATTAGACGGTCACACTAACCACTGCACCAAAAAGGCGCCCATGTCCAGCTTAGGTGGACAGGCAGACCGTGGTATATAAGCACCATTCTATGTCATGATTTCGCCTGTTCATGACAGTCTCAATGAACACACCCCAGAGAACGACACGAAGAGAATTAAAAGAGACGTACGTAGTCTTACTGAAAGTATTGGTATACTTGTTAAAGAAGATGGGCGAAGGCGAGCACCCGAACGTTCCAGTAGTGCACGGGTTCTTATGGGTCGTCAACCCGTCCACGACTTGGCACCTGTGGTTGTAGACGTCCCCTAAACAAAGTAAGATAAGTAGGCCAGTCAGCATGGTTCAACAGGAATGAAAGGAGACCTTACATCGATTAATATCGCCCCCCAAACGCTGAACGTTGCCGACGGCAAAGCTATAGCCGTCGCAGACAGCAGTGGCTGAAGCGATCAATGGGAGGACGACAGCGAGCTTGGCAAGGATCATCTTGCTTGAATGAATTTAGATGCCTTGAGTTTGAATAACCTGAGATGGCTGAGATGAGAGGCAACTAGTTTCTGAAGACTTGCTCAACCCAATGTCGACCTTTGTATACCAAAAATAATCGGTACCACTGGAATGCGTCCGAAGTCGAGGCCTACTTCTGCCTGCACAGTACATATTCCCAAATTATTGGAATGGAACATTTTTATTCACAATACTTGGTCGCGGGCTTCATGGACTCGGAAGCTTAACAACTTGCATCCAATCACTTAGCTTAGCGCCCATGAAAAAGAAATTTTGGATTTCTCTGGAGGTAGCATCTCACACCGTGCACCCCGGTTTCACGAGACCTCCGTTTCCGGATTTGAAGTGGCCTGCGTTAAGCACGCATGTCAGCGTGCTTCAACAGGCGCTTTACCTCACTAATACACAGCAATGTTCAAGTGGATTGTCGAAGCGGATATATGAAGATTGCCTAGACGAATCGAGAGCGTCAGTGTCGTGAACAGCCGGTATAGCCCCTATTTTTCATCTTATCTTATCTAATCTGTTTCGCATCTTATCGTTCCACTTTCCTTTTACTCCTTCGCCTCCTTATTCCCTCTATGGACTCTTTCACTCATGGAACACTGCCTCGCATTGCCCTTTGCCCTACTTCTATTGTCCTTATTGTTACGCACTGCCTTCGGACACACTCTGACACCTCCTCGTTCCATTATTGTTTCATTCTTGTTCTTCGCGCAGCCTTCGCGCAGCCTCATGACCTTTCTTATTGTTCTTCAACGTTTCACCATTTGTTCGTCATTCTGACTCACTGCGGCTATGTAGACAGTAGAATAGGTATATAAGCTAGGTAGTCTGCTCTGTATTTCCTCAGCTTGACCTCTTCGTCAATACATCGGCATAGCTTTCTGGTTTAACTTGTCGCTCATCGCTCTCATCTCTCTCGTCGCTCTCAGCTCTCTGGCACTTCCACTCTGGTTTTAAGGTTTGGTTTGGTTAGTGTTCGCTCTTCGCGACATTAGGTCAAGCTACCCCTGTGCACTGGCAACGCCGATCGTTGTCCCTGCACCCCGCTGTTACTCTGGTCCTTCTGGTTGACCTGCCGATCAGGTCTCACTCTGGCAACTATCACCCCGTACCACCGTCAAGATTAGCTGCGTAGGAAGTCCGCACTTCTGCGCTTGAAGCACCGACCCCGCCAACGACTGGATCTTCGACTACCACATCAGGAACGGCAACTTCGAGCAGTGTTCACTTCAACCCTGTCCCGAACGCTACTCTCTTCCGCCCACCCAGTCCCAGTGGCAGAAGATCAACGCGCTCACCAACGAAGGAGTTGCAGCTACTCCGTGTACCGAATCCAACGCCCGAAAACTCCGTGAAGCCCATCCGCCGTCTACACCCCCGTCTCAGGAACAAGCAGGAAGCAACGTCACCGATTCACCCGAGACCCCGCACAAAGCCTATCAGTCCGCCCCCACGTCCCCATCAGGAAGAGTTGGTAACCGAGTTAGGTTTACCGACGCAAACGACGACGACGACGACCAAGTAGAAGAAGAAGAAGTCGCCCAGGCCCTCAACCCGCAACCCACGCCCCAAACCTTCCAAGCCCTTCACACCGCTTTATCAACCGTCTCTACCGACACTTACGCTCAACGACTCAAAGGTTACCCCACCCCCGCCCCCGTCTCCGCTTACACCACACGTCCGATCCGTCCACCCCTTCACACCACTCGGGAATCGGAAGGCACATCTGATCTCCCACGTTCAGAACAGACGCCTCCTAAATCCCAACCAACTTCCCTTACCTCACCTCACCCCAACACCACCGGCACTCTCGACCTCACGATGAACAACGAAACCCTCATTCAGCTGTTGCAGGAACAGCAGCGCACCACTCAGCGTATCCAAGAAGCCCTCGACAAGCTCACAAACAAGACTGCCTCCTCCCGCAGCCCCGTCAAGGAACCCGAACCTTTCAAGGGCCACCCATCCGACACTCATCGTTTCCTCCAGTACTTCTCCAATTGGGCCTCGGCCAACCCGGAGCTGAAGGGAGACGGCAAGAAGTGGATCTCGGCAGCACTCTCCTACTTCCAGGGTAACGCCGCCTCATGGGCAGTCCAGTATCTTGACCAGATCGCCAAGCACGAAGCCGCCACCGATGCAGACAAGGCCAAAAACCCCTGGCCATTCAAGGGGGAGTGGTCGGAGTTTGTTGTAGCCTTCTGCAAGCGCTTCCAGCCCGCCGATCAAGAGAAGGCCGCCGAAGCAGAACTCGAAGCCCTCAAGCAAGGTTCCCAGTCCGCTTCCCAGTTCGCTGCCAAGTTCCAGGAAGTGTTTCCCCGTACTGGTTTGTCTGAAAAGGATGGTATCGCTCGCTTCCGACGCAAGCTTAATGAGCGCGACCGCACCTTGCTGGACTTCCGTATCGTCGCCAAGGATCAGAAACCCACCACTCTCCAGGAATACTGCGACATCGTCAACGAGAACGACTTCACCTTCCACGGCACCCATACCTCCTTCTTGACCCCATCGACCTCCACCCGTGCTGCCCCCGCTCGCGACCCATATGCCATGGACATTGACGCCACTCGCACCGGACCCAATGGCCGCTCCCGCGAGGAATACCTCCAGGCCATGAGGGGGCGCTGCTTCGGTTGCGGATCTACCGCTCACGTCAAGAAGGACGGCAATCACGGCTCGCTGCGTTGCAACTACTGTCATCGTATGGGACATTCCGAGAAGGTCTGCCAAGACAGGTTCATGGGATACCCTCCAGGTAGAGGTCCAACAGTCCAACGCCGTCGTATTGCCGCCACTTCTGAAGCTACATTCTCGCTCTTCGACGACTCTCCCACGCCCACCGCCACCATTGCTGCCGTTACGCCTGCTCCACCTGCTGCCACCTCGTCTAGCGTCTCCCTCGCCGATCTCCTGGTCGCTCAGAAGAACCAACAGGACATCCTGGAGCGCCTCGAGAACATCCAACAGAAGGGTTTTTGAAGCGGGTGCTTGTTCGTGCTGCAAAGCATGCACCCTTTTCACCGTCGTACGCCGTCTCTGAATATGACTCAATTTATTCATGTACTATTAGCTCTGTTCGCGAAATACATCCCGGTTCCTCGCATTTTCGCATTCGCATCAGACTCAGAGGCAGAAACCGTACAGCGGACCCCGCAGCAATGATCGACTGTGGCGCTACCGGCAAATTCCTGGACAAACCTTTTGTGGAGAAACACCGGATCACCGCTTACCCCCTCCGACACCCCATTCGACTTCTTAACATTGATGGAACTCCGAATCAGGCTGGTCACATCACTCACTTCGCTCGCTTGGAACTTACAGTCGACGGTTACTCTGAATGGACGGACTTCCTCATCGCCGATCTCGGAGGGGAGGATGTCATTCTAGGTCTCCCCTGGCTTCGCAAGATCAACCCTCAGATCGATTGGCGCAAGGGCACCTTGGAGATTCCCCCACCTCATATCTCCAGCGTCACCATCGAAGAAGTCCCTGACGAGGATGCTCAACCCCCCCGGAAGGAACCACCATTGGGAGATGCCATCATTGAACAAATCGACCCCACCCCAGATTCCCCTCCTCCCACGATCTCTGACAATACTCCCCAACCCACTCCCGATCTCGATGCAAGCGAACCGCCCCTCTGCCGCATTTCGCGCTAACCGAGTGACCCGGCTGGAAGTGGGTTCGCAAGGGATTGATCGAGGATACAGGAGACGAACTTTGGTGCGCTGCAGGTTTCACGTACTCCCAGCAGATTGCCGAGAAATCCCAGAAGGATAAACCCCAGAAGACGTTCGAAGAAATGGTTCCACCCCAGTACCAACAGCACGCTTCCGTCTTTTCCGAATCCGAGTCTCATCGTCTCCCTGAACATAAGCCTTGGGACCATGCCATCGATCTCGTTGCGGGAGCACCAGCCACCATGCGCACCAAGGTCTACCCCATGTCACAGAACGAGCAGGAGGAGTTGAACCGATTCCTCGAGGAGAACCTCAAGAAAGGCTACATCCGTCCGTCCAAATCACCCCTCGCTTCCCCGGTCTTCTTCGTCAAGAAGAAGGATGGCAAACTCCGCTTTGTCCAGGACTATCGAAAGCTCAACGAGATCACGGTGAAGAATCGATACCCCCTTCCCCTTGTCTCTGACATCGTCAACCGACTCCGCGGTGCCAAGTACTTCACCAAGTTCGACGTCAGATGGGGCTATAACAACATCCGTATCAAGGAAGGAGACGAGTGGAAGGCCGCGTTTGCCACCAACCAGGGACTCTTTGAACCGTTAGTCATGTTCTTTGGCCTCACCAACTCCCCGGCAACGTTCCAAGCACTCATGAACTCGATATTCGCGGACCTCATCGCCTCAGGGAAGGTCGCAGTTTACCTGGACGACATTCTCATCTTTACGGCCACCCTCGACAAGCACCGCCAAGTCGTACACGAAGTTCTCCATCGCCTCAAAGAAACACGACCTTTACCTGCGCCCTGAGAAGTGCGAGTTCGAACGGAAGGAGATCGAGTATCTTGGTCTGGTCATCAGGGAGGGAGAAGTCCGTATGGACCCTGCCAAGGTAGAGGCCGTTCGCAACTGGCCTATTCCCCGTAACCTCCGCACTGTCCGTGGTTTTTTGGGTTTCGCCAACTTTTACCGTCGCTTTATCAAGGATTTCGCCACCATCGCCCGACCCCTTAACGACCTTACCAAGAAGGACACCCCCTGGCAGTGGAACGAACCGCAACAACAAGCCTTCGACACCCTCCGTAACGCGTTCACCTCCGCCCCAATCCTGACTCTATGGGACCCCGACCGACCGACTCGCGTTGAAGTGGACGCCTCTGGCTTTGCTACTGGAGGAGCCCTCCTTCAGAAGCTCGACGATGGACTCTGGCACCCTGTTGCCTTCCGCTCTGCCTCCATGCAGCCAGCCGAACGCAACTACGAAATCTACGATCGAGAAATGCTGGCTATTATCGAAGCGCTCAAAGACTGGCGACATTTCCTGGAAGGACTCCCCAAACCGTTCGAGATCGTCACCGATCATTCCAACCTTGAATACTGGCGCACGGCACAAGACCTCAGTCGACGACAGGCCCGGTGGTCCCTCTACCTCTCCCGTTTCAACTTCACGCTTACCCACCGTTCCGGAAAGGCCAACACCCAAGCTGATGCCCTGTCCCGCCTCGACACTCACCAGGTCTCAGACGCAGAGGATAACAAGCAACAGGTCGTTCTCAAACCAGAGCTGTTTGCCAAGCTCGCAGTCGCCCACGCAGTCCTTGCCAACCCTCTTGAAGACCGACTTTGCCAAGCCAGCGCTCGCGAGTCTCAGGTCCTAGATGGACTCGCCCAACTCCGCAAGTCAGGACCTCGTCGTCTCACATCTGGACTTGCCGAATGGGAGGAAGACAACGGCCTCGTTTACTACAAGGGTCGCGTGTATGTACCTCCGGACGACGAACTCAGACGCGATGTCCTCAAGCAGTGTCACGACGACCCCACCTCTGGACACCCTGGTGTACATGGAACCCTCGAGCGAGTTGAACGACAGTATTGGTGGCCAACTATGCGAGCCTTTCGTCAAGAAGTATGTGGACGGCTGTGATCTCTGCGCCCGGAAAAAGCACGCCCAGCACCCTCGAGCCTCCACCCCAGCCTCTGGACATTCCTGAAGGACCTTGGGAGACAGTAGGAGTTGACCTCATTACCCAGTTACCGGAAGCCCATGGACACGATGCGATCATCGTCTTCACCGATCACTACAGCAAGGTCCTTCACGCCCTCCCTTGCACATCCGACATTACCACCGAAGGCATCGCGGACATCTATTATCGCGAAGTGTTTCGTCTCCACGGCCTCCCACTCCGGTTCATTAGCGATCGAGGACCTCAATTCGCTTCTAAGGTCATGCGCACCCTCCTCAAGCGCCTCGGAATCGAGTCCAACCTCACCACCGCCTATCACCCTCAGGCCAACGGACAGACCGAGCGCCAACCAAGAAATTGAGAAGTATCTCCGCCTCTACGTCTCTCGCGCGACAGGGATGACTGGGACAAGCATCTACCGATGGCCGAATTCGTGATCAACTCCCGCGTCCACTCTGCTCATGATCGCTCCCCTTTCGAAGTCCTATACGGTTACATTCCCCACTTCAACATCCCCATCGGCAAGCGAACCGACCTCCGCCCTGTTGACGAGCGCGTTCAGCAGCTACAAGAGGCCCGCAAGGATGTGGAAGCTGCCTTACGTCTCGAGAAGGCCCAACAGAAGGATGTGTACGAGTCCGGCAAACGAACGGCCCATCAGTTCAAGGTTGGAGACTATGTTTGGCTTAACGCAAAGGACATCCAGATCAAGGTTCCATCTCGCAAACTCAGCGATCTCCAACTCGGTCCGTACAAGGTTATCGAACGCGTCGGCGACCTCGACTACCGCCTCGAGCTTCCCCCGTCCCTCTCCCGCATTCACCCTGTGTTCCACGTCGACAAGCTCTCCCCCTGGAAAGGCAATGATGTCAACGGTATTTTGCCACCTCCGCCTGAGCCTGTTGAACTGGAGGGAGAGCTTGAGTACGAGGTTCACGACATCTTGGACAGTCGTTGGAGAGGTCGAGGGAAGAATCGCAAACTGGAGTACTTGGTTAGCTGGAAGGGCTATGGGTTGACGGACGACACTTGGGAACCGGAGGAGAACTTGGAGCACGCGCCCGAGATCGTGAAGGAGTTCCACCAGCGACACCCCTCTGCACCACGCCGAATTTCCGCTACCATCTTCAGCTCTCTTCCATGGCGCCCACTCAAGAATTTCACCGACGCCCCGCCTACCGACTTTGACTGGGAACTGGGACGCCGCCTACCGTTGGTCATCGAGGACGATGAGGCTTAGAAGGGGGGTAATGTCGTGAACAGCCGGTTATGTGGGCGACTGGCCACGAGGCCACAGCCAGGTTTGCAGCCCTGAACAATATTGTTGAACTTCTTCTCCCACCTTCCAACACCTCTACATATCCTCGACCCAGACCTCAATGCTGCCCATAGAACTACTCCTCAAAATCGTCGACCACCTCGCAGACGACCCAAAACCAACAAAGCACCTCACAAACCTCTCACTCACCAGCCGCACATTCACAGCTGCATGTCAATCCCACTTGTTCAAAGAGCTCAATTTGGAAGGATCGCGCATGGAGGTACCCTTCAAGCTCAAGTTCCTCCAGGATGTCGTCCTAGATGGGAACCCTTCCATCTTGAACTACGTTCAAAGTCTCCGAATTTCGTTCACCTGGCCCCTCCGAATGCCGTTTTCAGACTCGGAGGAGACTCACATGAGGGCTTCGCCATGGCTGCTCAATGATCCAACGTTCAAACGCGTGTTGGAGTCGTTGGGCAGCCTCCCGAGTCCTCCAAAAAGTTTAGCTCTATCCCACGTAGGGGGAGACGTGGCACAAAGCTCCATCCTATCTTGGATCCGACACTCGTTCTTCCCCAGCAGCATCACGAAACTCGAGTTGACAAACTGCGACGACGCGCCGATGCACATCTTCCTCCTCCTTCCGCACCTCAAGGAGCTCGTTCTTAATTGCACAAGCACAGACTTTGACATCAGAAAGGAACAACACCGGAAGGAACTAGACTCCGTGGTGGAGGAAGGAACTCTAGGCGGTACTCTCATCGGACCTCCCCTTAAGGAAGGATGAGTTCCAGTGTTAGAAATTCTAGATTTCTACACCTCACATCGCATCATCCGACAACTTCTTCGGTCTATTCGAGATCGCCACGTACGACCTCTAGTCGACTTATCAAGGCTCCGAATCCTCAAAGTCTGTCCACACGAAGAGCGCGGCCCAGAATACTGGCAACGACTAATCAACTTGTCGCGCGAAACCCTGGAGGAAATACATCTCACATACCAACCCACGAACCGTTGGGGAGACCCGTGCTCAGTGGACTGGTATTTCTACACCCCACTCGGCACCCTCATAAACCTCTCCAAGACCCGCAACCTCCGCGTACTCGCTTTCGCCATCTCAACATGGTTCAAAAAAGGACGACCGCATCTCGACGTCGTAGGTGACATCACCACCGTCCTAGCCTCTCTCACCCCACCCTCCATGAATCTTCTCACCACCCTCCATCTCGCAATCACCATCTACGATTCCGACCCCTTCCCAATCACCCACAAGCAGAACTGGGATGGACTGTGCAGCGAGATCATCCGGTTATCATGCGGGAGGAGTAACGCGGACGCAGAGGCGAGGTTGGAGGTCGAAGTGGACGTAACGGTTTGGATGCTTAACTGCAAAGTCACCAAGGACTGGGGTCCCTATGACCATATCGAGCAAAGTCTCTCCCCTCTTCGAGAAATGGATGGATTAGATTACCGAATTACTTTTCCTTCAGAGATGGTGCCATAGCCAATCCAGTACAACCACCCTTGGAGATCAACTCAAGATAACCGCGTTCTGAGCTCACTGGCGCTGACTTGAAGACCTCCCCGGTACCCGGTAACCTAACGACGCCCGAGATAGGAGATAGGAGTGGGTCGCGACCGGGTCGAAGTCGGTTGCGGCATTTTTGCGGCACGTGAATCAATGATGGATGGCGTGAATAAAACCTCAAACAGCTCATCTCTGACGATCCCCGCTATTCTTTCTTCCCTTCCCCCACCTACGCTTCCCCCTTCTACCGCCCCAAATCCTACATCTCCTCTCGAACGCACCTGCAGGTGCATGGATTTGAGAAAAACGAGCAAGATAGGGTTGGTCGGACAGTCTGTGACGCTGCAGGGTGTGGGTGACAGCGTTGAGGCAATTCTGCGAAGGGTGTTTTGATGTGGCCAACCACACGAGGTGCGCACATTCCCTCCAGTTTTTCCACCTTTTTCACTTTATATATACATCATCTGAACGCCCCACGATACTTGGCCTTCAATGGGGTATTCTTTCGTCGGTGGTGAATCGACTTGGCACTGTGCTTCTCACTGGCGGCTCTACTGGTTGACCTCGGGCTTGGTTCGGTCAAATACACCCCGCTCTTTCACCTCTTTCCTCACCTCGACACATCCTTCGACTCATCGCTACCCTCTCTGCCTCCCCTCACCACGTCCTCCACTCACCTCCACCATCGCCCCTCTCGCCGACGTCGCTTCCATGCCGGCCGTCGGACCTTCAACTCGGCACCGCTGTTTCACTCACCGACAACAAGCCACCTCCTGCCGCCAACATGCGATTCCATCGTCGTCGCCGCTCATCATGGCGCCATTCTTGCGCAATCCATCAATGCGCAGTCGTGCCCCTTCCCATGGTTCTAGATCTCGCGATCATGTTCCTGCGCCCGTACGACATCCCGGTTTCGCAACGCCGACCTTTCTCCATTTCTCCGACCTGCTGACTTGCCTCATGGATTGATTTCTCAAAGTCTGTGATTGATTGAAGGTGACAGCGGGTTTGTTCACGGTTCCTGGCCCTTGGAGTCTCCCCTGTAATCTATCCTTTTCTGCGAGTCGGTTTGTTATTGCCCGCCCTGTTTCGTCGACTGTCTCGGAGCGGCAACTTCAAAGAAAACAACGCTTCGACGAGGGACGGCTCACACTTGGGACCTGCTAGACTCAAAGCTTGAATACGGCGCTTTGTTCGAGAAGTCGGAGGCTTCCACGCGACCTGTCTGATCTAACTCGTTCTTCTATCCGCCGATGGACCCTTTTATCCCACAGAATACATTCAATCCTGACTCCTTTCTCTTGTCATGTCCCCGCTCCCGGACGTTCCTAGTCTATAAGGCTTGGCTTCTCATATCGTGACTTCTCGGCTGATTTCAACCAAAATCTCATCTCAAATCCGTACCTCGTTGTCCAAAACTTTCGCTGTTTTTCCCCTAGAAATCACAATTTAGCCTGTTTTTTCTCGAAATTTCTTTTTTTCCCACTGATTCCCATTGATCTGGGTTCCGCTATAAAGTGAGTGTGCAGTGGGTTGGAAAGGTTTTCTAGGACGCCGACGTCTTCTGCTTGCTGCCACTTCTTTTTCTTTTCTTTCGAAAAGTCAAGCTCTCGTCACGATGTTCATGAAGTCGCTCAGTGTTATTGCCTTGCTCACTGCAGGCGCCAACGCCCACTTCCGCCTCCTCCACCCCGGCGCCCGTGGAAACTACAATGGCAGCCAACTCCACGAGTTCTGCGGTTCGTCTAGATGGCTTTTGCGTCCAGCGTTTTCGTGTTAGACTGACCCATCTCGCCTTCAGGTGGCCACACTGAGGTTACCACTAACCGAACCGAGTTCCCTCTGAGCGGTGGAGTGGTCCACGTCCGACAGGGTCATGAGAAGTGGTATGGTACGTACTACCCATCTTCCTTCCTCTCTTCGACCCGCCCGCTCACTTCATCTCCTCTTCCTCTTCCCCTTCCCCCTCGTCCCACTCCCGCCCCGCCCCCTCCCACCTACACCTCCAACCCCAAACAGCCAACATCGTCGTCTCCACCGCGCCCAACCCCAACAGCAACGAGTCCTTCGAAGCCAACGGCGAGCCCCAATACGTCGTCTTCGAAGCCTACGAAGAGAAACCCGGCAACTTCTGCATCCCCGTCGACTTTGCCGCTTCGGGCATTGCGGGCCTCGAGGAGGGCGCCAACGTTACTATCTCTGTCAACTTGTTCGATGATGAGAGCTCATACTTCCAGGTTCGTATTACTCTCCTCTCCTCTCCTTTGCTTGTTTTGCCCTGCTTGTTTTGCTCGTTTGCGCGTACTCGTGAGGACATCATCGCTGACCACACCTTCCAGTGCGCCGATTTGACACTCTCAAGCACCGCCGAAGTGCCAGCCTGCGTCAACGCCACCGCTGAGCCAAGCGACGGGCACGGCACCCCCACCGGAAGCGGCGCCGCTCCCTCTGGCACCGGTGCCCCCGGCGAAGACGGTGACGATGAGGACGAGGACGCCGGTGCCCTCTCCAACTTCAAGGGCGCTACCCTCCTCGGTGCCGCTATGGGCCTCGTTGGTGTCGCTTTTGCTCTCTGAATGTGATGTGATGTTGTGATGTTGTGATCGTGCTATAGGCTGAACGATTGTATATGCCTTTTGCTATGGTTGTGTATTAGATACCCCACAGGATTTTGCTAATGCTACGTTTCACTTGTTTGTATGTAAGACGGGATGGTTCGGGTACCCTGAGGGATGATCCATCGACCAGGCCTGAAAGAGGCAAGGTCACGTTTGTCTAACAATTCCGAACTGGGTAGAGAGAGACTGCTTGGTACACCGTTATGTACACACAGTGACAAGCATGTTGGCTGCGCATGGCGCTTGCCATTCTTAAAGGCATGGTCAGCACAAAGGAATTCATACGGTGACAGGCATCTGTGATAATATAATACAAGATACAGCTCGCATCTCCTCCCACAACTGCTAGTTCTATTCAGAACAAGACTCAGACTCAGAATCCAAATCTGAATCAGAGGTCGATTCAAAATACGGAGCCACCAGCTGTCGCACCATGGCACCAAGCGGCGCGATCAAATTACCCTTCGCCAGAGCCTTGACCACATCACCATTCCCCTCCTCCATCGCATGCTGCATTGCAGTCGCCCCATCCGAATCGACAAGGTCAACACGTATTCCCGGAACACGAAGGAGCCGTTTCACCACAGCCAAAGGGTTCCCAACCTCCGCCGACGCTCCCGCCGCGAGCATCAACGCCGTATACCCCTCGTTGTCCTGTTGGTTGATATCGACCCCTTCCATCTGAAGCAACAATCCAACCGCAGCGTCGTACGCCCAATCCGCAGCGATCATCAATGCCGTCCGTCCATCCTTATCCGTCAAATGAGGCTGCACACCCTTGGCTTGAAGCAGAAGCGGGATAACAGCTGCACCGAAGCCTGAAGCGGCCATCATCAACGCAGTCTGACCATCCTTATCCGTCTGGTTGACATCGTGGATCCCTTCCAACCCGAGCAGGTAGTGAACCATGTCCTCGTGTCCCGCTTCGGCCGCGTACATCAGCACCGTCCGACCACTGTTATCCGCCACGTTCACAGTTTCAGGACCTCCCGCCTCAACTAGCATTCGGACAATCGTCTCTCGACCTCCCTCCGCCGCGTGGATGAGTGCCGTCTTCCCGTTGTTGTCCGCTTGAGCGACGTCGAGGCCCTCAACGGCAAGTAGCTGGCGGACGACCGCCTCGCTCGGTACCACCAAGGCGCTGCCCACTGAAAGCATCAACGCAGTCTGGCCCTCGTTATCGGTGAGATTGGGGCCATGGATCCCTTCAGCCTGGAGCAGAAGCTTGACAGCTCCTTCGTTCGCTTCAAACGACGCATGCATCAGCGCCGTGCGTCCCCTGTTATCGGCGTGGTTGACGTCGTGAATCTTGTTCGTCTGGAGCAAATGCTCGACAATGGCTTCGCTCCCGCCAGCCGACGCATGCATCAAGACTGTCATCCCGTTGGCGTCCACCTGGTCAAGATCGTGGATTCCTTCAACTTGAAGCAAGTACCGGAATATGGCTTCGCTCCCCCCACTTGCCGCATACATCAGAACCGTCTCTCCCTCGTTGTCCGCCTTGTTCACGTCGTGGATTCCTTTCACGCCTAACAGGAGGTGGAAGACGGCTTCATTTCCACCAGAAGCGGCACACATCAGCGTTGTACAACCATCGTCTGCCGCGTAGTTGATGTCGTGAATGCCTTTGGCCTGCAGCAAAAGTCGAACCGAACGTTCACGTCCCCACTCCGCGGCATACATCAGTGCCGTCCAGCCGTCTTCATCCTCCTGGTTCACGTCGATCCCCTCGAACTCCAGAAGAAGCTGAACGATGTCTTCGAACCCCTGCTGTAGCGCATGCATCACAGCTGTCATCCCATCCTCGTCCGTCAAACCGACTTTGATCCCCTTCACTTGGAGTAACCGCCGGACAACCTCGACCTGCCCCATGTGCGCAGCATACATCAGCGCCGTTCTCTTTTGCTTGTCTTGCGCATTGACATCGACAGTCTTGAAAAGGCGAATGCCCGACTTTGACCGGCCACGGATGAATGTACCGACCAACTTTCTACGCTTGAAGCCGAGCAATTGGTTTAGAACGTCGAGGTGCCCATGGGTAGCGGCTAGTATAAGGGGCGTCGTACTAAATTCTCCGTCGGTAGTCTGGTTACGGTCTACAGTTGCGACAGCCGAGAGCGCGTCGAGAAGTGGGATGCCGTAGCGCGCGAGAACATGGATGGGGAGCAAGTAGTCCAACTCGTCGTCAGAATGCGGCTCGTCCGGGTCGAGATTGCAAGGGTAACGTGTACACTGTCGCAAAAACGACAGGACCACGTCGGATGTCCTGGGTTCTAATGCGCATTGACGTGCATGGTAGGCCCAATGATCGTATGAGTAGCGGAGCAGAGGACTTTTGGCCAGAAACTTGTCGAGGTCCCGCTGAGTGTGCAAGTCGGCTGCGTTCGTGGTGTTGGACGTGGTTAATCTTTCCGAAGCCACTTTGAAGATTGCGTGATGCGGATTAGGGAAGTGTCGAAGTAGCAGTGGAGCTAATGCATCCTTGGCAGTGAAATCTTGGAGCACGGGAAAGTATTTCAATTACAGAAGATGAAGGGACAAAAATGCAACACTTACGAACAAGGCGAACCAGATTAGTCGCCGTGTCTACGGTGACTAACCCGCAGAACAGGGACGATAGCGCCGATCTGAAACTCTCCATCTCTGTCTCCTCGCCGAGGGAAATGCCACCTGAAGCAGACACTGCATGTCGGAGATCGGATACGGACAGGGCTTCTTGGCCATACACTAGCCAGAGGAGAACATGCCTTGCAAGCTTGACGGCCTCGGGTGGTTGGAGCTCGATGCGCTCGAGGGCGACGCGGTACATACCCTCCAGCCCAGCAGGAAAACGATCCAGTCTCTCGTGTAGATTCTCGATCGTGAGGCACTGGGGAATAAGATCACTCTGAAGAGCCGCATGGAGGAACCTTTGATCCGGGCATCAGTAAGAGTCGTGGAACAAAAGAAAATACGTACATCCCCTCAGCCTTGTCCGAGATCTGCTTGACCAGTCGTCGTAAAAACTCGTGGTCTTTGGCGAGATGACTGAGAACGGAGTTCCGCTTCAGCTTTTCGCAGACAAGAAGTTCAAGATCCTCCATCTGGGCGCTGACTTCAAAGAAGACTGAGCCAACGAGTTCCGAGCTCAGGGAATCCAGTGGGCGGGAGCACAGGAAAAAGTTTCCTTGCAATCGGTTGACAGTGTCGATGAGGTCGAATTGGGTGGTGACGTCGGCTTCATCAACCCCATCAACCACGTAGTAGCATCTATCGAACTGCGACTCGATCAAATGCAGCAAATCGATGAGCTCCTCCTCTGTAGGTGCTGTCTTCTCGCGGTCGTGTCGCGCGTAGAGAGGTTCGATGATGTTGATGAGGAACGGGTGACGTTCTAGGTATTGCTTGAGGGCTGCTTCTAGAATCTCTTTGACAGATAAAGACTCGGTGTATCGACAATATATGACGATGACGGCGATCCTCCCATTCGCTTCCTCCTCTAGCTGTAGGAGATCATTGGCCACGTTTGACCTAAAGCAACAGATAAGGGTCAGCCTGGGTGTGTGGATTGCAACAGCGCGAAACTTACGCAAGGAGTGTCTTTCCAGCACCGGCTGACGAGAAAGCCATGAGCAAGAAGGAGACCACGAAGCAGTATAGGGCTCACGAATTCCAGTTCCCCAAAGCACGCCGCTTCTACTTCCCTTCCATTCTTCGTACAGACGGCTGCGGAGGAACCACGCCCCCGTTCCCGGCGTCCATTTCTTTCTGACGTCCTGTTGGATAGCCCGGAAGTTAACTTTGTGGGCCAGTCGATTAAGCAGACGCTGATCCCCTAGGACGATGTCAATAACTTGATTTTCGTTATCAGCCTGGGGATCCAATACATACGGCGTCCACCATGACTGCGCGTGTTCAAGGCAGGTCCATTTCCACGACGTCCTTCGCCAATGGAGTTGGCTTAGATTGGTGTCAATTGGATAGCCCAACAGGAAAAGAAAAAACGCCCACAATGGATGCCACTATTGGATCCTATATCGCCAAGGTTTGAATCGCCATAGAAGTTAAACGTTCCCCCGGTGATATTCATAGTCCTGCCAATCTCCTTGCTTCCGCGAAACGGTGAAGGTCCTTTGCTGTCCACATCGCCTAGTATATTATCAGAGACGAATCGATAGAGGCTCCAAATGCTGCAGCTAACATGCGGATGGCCCTGCTTTGGGGTTTGGGCGCTCGCCATCTCTCTGCAGACTCTCATGATCAGTACAGTCTAGGCGGAATGGCCGGGCGCAACTCACCCAAAATGACACTTTTTGCCCCATTGTTGATAGCCTCAAGAGATAACAAGAAGCGCCCAGTGTACGGACGTCTCAGAGAAGAAGAGGACACGGCGAGAATGTGGTATGCACTCAAGCGCCTCTGTCATGATCATGCATCGTGCTGTCTCCGATTCAATTTGAAAGTCCGATGGAAGGCGACTCGGAGGCATGCTCCATTCCTTTCTCGCTAGTTACGGGTCAGACGAGTGAACTATACCAGTCGTGAATATGTCCGATCCGGGTCGTTGAACGGCATTCTGAGCTTCAATCGTATCTCTAGAGAGCCCCTCGTCGATCGAAGTCCCTGATAGCAATCTCCTCACACGAGATATACCAACCCAGTTACAACGTTGACAGTTGGATATGCCTACCATTCGACTTATATGCTGAAGCTGCTGTACATCTTCTCCCTCGAGATATCACAACCAACCGACCAGCGAACGGATGCTACCCGCTCACATTATAGACGGTATCTACGGAGACAATCTATTTTACCGCTACTTCAGCTGGCGCTGGTGGCGATGGGTTTGTGAGTACCCAATGGGCTGTCCCTTTAACGTATTTTTGACTGCGGATTCTAGGGCTAGCCGCTGGAACCCTAATTAGGTTCCTGCTACCTGGCCTTTGGAATTCGAAAGGGCGAACCTTAGATGGAGGGAGAAGGCTAGTCGTACCGCAGGACGACGCTGGTCGTCAGCTCAGGTCGACAACCTACACAGTCAGGAATGACAACTTCAGCGGCTCCCAGAACTCAAGGGAGAATTTGACCCGCTCAAAACGCAGTACAATTTCCTTAAAAGGTGATTATTAGGATCTTGAACTCACCAAAATCCTCCTTTGAAAATGTAGCCTCTTGAATTTAAGTTGAATAACATCTTCGATCTGTTATTGGGTCCTTCAAAATAAGCCATCCCCAGCCGTGCTAGTTAAGCTTTCGACCGACTACCCTCGTCGCTATCTACAGCCTCCCCTGTCCAAGTGAGCGCCATATACGCCTCCAACGTCGGCGTCAACCTCGTCAACACCGTATGGAATGAAGAACGCTGTCATACAACTATCCTACTATGCTTTGAGTCTGTGAGTATCGAATTCATTGTCACGAAGACCTATATGAATTGATGAGCTGACTAGGACGACGATATGATCGGGACCAAAGCACCCTGTGTCGGCCTAGATGCGATTCATGTTGTTTTATTGGTGCATCAAACAGAAGCACTCTTTTGGTCTACATAAGTCCAATTATTTGCACACCGGTGCCAAGTGGATAGGTAAATGTTGCAATTCAACTCCGCTGTCATGATTCATGATCGCCTGACAGCGCGCTCAAGCCTCGAGGAAACAACGCTGTTGGGCGTCAACTCCTCTTGTCCTCGAACCACCACCATCTTCCCTGCCCAGTTCTGCACTGGGAGCCCTTCCCCCTTACAACGCCTAATCGCAACCCCGCCTAGCAGCGATGGGATCGGGTATCTCATTCCAGGTGAGGCAGACAGCGTTGAATCTCTCTTGGGCTGGGGCTGAACACACAGCTGTTCTCACAGAAAGATCCAGAAGGGGATCCCCCTACAGCAACGCTCGAAGATTCGAGTCAGAAGAGCGGACTATCAAAAGAGGGTGTGCAGGTACCTCGATCTGTGAACGAGGTAACGCCAGCTCCGATTGCTGAGCACTACACAGGGCACATCAATGCTACAATCGAAGGGATCGCAGAGTTCAACAGCCTCGCCGCAATCCACTGCCAAGGTAGTTAGGACCTTTCCGTACAGGAAAGAAACTCATGTCATCGCCAGGACGGTTCTACCAGCAGGGCGGTAACTGCAGCGGCAACCTCCAACATAACATCCCAGACTGCTCGCGTGAGAGAGATAATGCGCTTTCCCCTATGTGTTTCCTCTCTAAATATGACCACGGGTCTTATCCTTCATCTAGGTCGACAATAGCACTTCCTCCCATAGGGGAGGACCCCCCGGTGTCCAATTCACAGGTCAGGCTGTGATGACGGGTGGCATTGTCGCTGGAGGAAATTTAACTGTCACCAACAACCATTACCACGGACCCGCGTCCAACAGCGCCACGAACCAAGGGAACACGCAGAAGACCGTCAACTTCCACGCCATTCACCTGGAGAATGTTGAGAAGCGGACGGATGGAACCTTGGACTGGTTTACGGAATCCGAGGACTATCAGGCGTGGAAATTTGGAGGATGTCGTATCGTATGGGGAACGGGAATTCGTAAGCCTCATCCCACTTCATCTCCGCAAAGATTAGGTCCTGACGCCCGGAGATAGCTGGCGCCGGGAAGACAGTCCTCGCGTGAGTCCCTCGTCGAGCTATTGATGTATTGTGCGGATAACCCTGACATTTGCCCCCAGCTCGAGAATCATTGATGACCTTTGCCAATTCAAAGCTACTTCGACGAAGAAGATTTGCGTCGTGTTTGCTTACTGTCGATATTCGGAGCAGTTAACGGTCAAGGACATCCTCGAAGCGCTTATCAAGCAATTTATCGCCGCAGACCCCTCCCTCACAACGCTTGCCGAATCCCTCTATGAAAAGCACAGGAAACAAAAGACTAGACCGACGCAGCGAGAGTTGTTGGATCTCGTGCGGCAGATGGAAAGTAGATTCGACATCGTCTTTTATGTTATCGATGGCCTGGATGAAGCACGGGTCGAGACGCAGTTCGACCTCATCCTGGCCATCAATGCCCTTCGAGGCCAGTTTGCTCTAACTTCGCGGCCGCTGCAGACACTGCAATCGGGCCTACCGACCACCAAGTTTTACTCAGTCAAAGCGCACAAGTCCGACATTGTCCGCCTCGTGGTACAAAAGATCAAGCGCAACCCCGGTTTCTATAGTCTCCTTCAGCGGCACTCATACCTCGATGAATTGGTTCAAAGTATAGCAGACAAATCCAATGGCATGTACGTATGGTGCTGATGCTGTCTTGGCCTCGTGCTGATCATACCTTCAGGTTTCTTCACGCTGCGCTTCAAATCGAATTCGTTCAACATTGCCGCACTATCGTGAAACTGAAGGACGTGCTACAACGTTTCCCGGCGAAGATCGAGGATCTCTATGTTGAAACCATGAAGCGCATCAACGAGCAGGAGCAGCCAACAGCAGATCTCGCCAACCATGTCCTTCTCTGGCTTGTTTTCGGACAAGGGGCGCTTACCTTCCCAGACCTGCAGCACGCACTCCGTCTCACGCTTCCGGACCACGACGGCGAAGTCCACAAGCACGATCTTCTTTCCGTGTGCTGCGGCTTGGTCACTGTGGAAGAAAATACCAATCTGGTGCGCTTAGTTCGTGAGTGGGACAATTGTCGCAGTGAATTCGTTCTGATAGGTGTGTCCTCCAGACTACACGGCCCATGAGTCGCTTCCGCCTGTCCTCAAGCGATATCTTCAAGAACCACATGGCTTACTCTTCAAGGCCACAACACGAAGGCTCATCGAGTGCGGAGTCGTAGCAAACCAGAAGGGGTTCAGCCGTTGGTACTACGTCCAGGAAGGGCTTGCCCGGGAACCGCTCCTCAAATACTCCTATGACCACTGGGCCTACCACGCACGAGAAAGCATGGCGAATCCCATATATGCCGATGCAGTCCGACAATTTGTCTGCCAATGCACGTCGTTTCCATCTGTGTTCGACTCTGAGCTTGCAATCCTCTCGCCTCTTCACGTTGCGGCCCGGTACGGTTTTCACGAAATTCTCCACGCAGTGTTGATGGAGACGGCGGAGGGCAATGTGACATTGAGGACGGGCGGGGACGTTGACTTGACCGCGTTGATGCTGGCGTCAAGGCATGGACACGCAGAGACGGTGGACGCACTCCTGGGCTATTCCCGGCCATCGAGACTGAAAACAGTGTTTGGTGGTCGTGGACGACCAAGGATCCATGTTCCGAAAGACCACGTAAACCTTCGCGACGACGATGGGCGGACGGCACTCATTCACGCAGCGAGTAACGGCCGCGAGGGCACAGTTGAACGGCTCCTCGCACACAAGGACACAAAGGTCAATATCGGCGACAGCGATGGATGGACGGCACTCATTTACGCAGCGTGGAAGGGCAGCAAGCACACAGTTGAACGGCTTCTCGCACACAAAGACACAAAGGTCAATATCGCCGACGACGCAGGGCGGACGGCACTCATTCACGCAGCGTGGCAGAGCCGCGAAGGCACGGTTGAGCGGCTTCTCGCACACAAAGACACAAAGGTCAATATCGGCGACAGAGATGGATGGACGGCACTCATTTACGCAGCAGAGGGTGGCGGCGAGGGCACAGTCGCACGGCTTCTCGCCCACCAGCGCACTGATGTCAATATCACAGATGGCAAAGGGGATACCGCTCTCATTGTGGCCTCAAGACGCGGTTTTCCAGAGGTCGTCCGTCTACTTCTTCAATACAACGGGATCGACGTCAGTCGCAAAAACAAAAAGGGTCATACGGCACTCATGGTAGCCCAGGAGGAAATGAGAGATTCGTGGAAACGGGACCGATACGCTGAAGTAGTCAAGCTGCTCACCGAGTTCGAGCAACGATCGGCGAGCAGTTCAAATACATAGGGGTTGTAATTCTATAGTATCTATTCATTCATTGCGGGAAAAGACAAAAAAAAAAAAAAAACAAAGAAAAAAGCTCGTTGGCGACCGTCATGGCAGGTAGGGAAGCAAACGCGAGCAACGACGGCACGCGTAGCCAGGAGGTTCGCTCCGGCAACTTCGGTGAAGATCCAGTCAACACGGTGTTAATCAATGCAATGCTGTTCCTAAACTGTAAGACTAAGTAGATTAGCCCCAATCGCATCTCGCTTCCCCGGGTCAATGCAAGAGGATGACTGTATCCCAAACGTGGCCAACCCACTGGGCCTAACACGACTACAGTGGGTGTAGGTGATTCCAGACATCCCCGTATTCTCGATGGTCACCATCGTCCGACCGGGACCGACCCACGCTATCGTCCCATTCCGTGCCATGTATCGATTAACCAGTATCATGTATTAGACCTGATATGCGAACACTCAGAACACATTCGTTCGAGTCTAACGCTAAGGAGTAAATGCAGACTACGACCCCTTCCACACGAAATCCCTAGGATACCCATCCGACTCGACGTACTTGGACAGGGAACAATTCATCATAACTCCCTACAAACAGGAACGCATCAGTCAGCTACCTCCAGAAACAGCCCAATCAACGGAATACGAGAATAACGCACTGGAAGTTAAAGCCATGTCGTCCTTCCATATTTCAAACGCAGTGCCCGCCTCGATAACGCTGAACCGCTCAGGGACTTCGATCGTTTTCAGGCCTTGGGGGTGCCCCAACAGTTCCTTCAAGCGCTTCTCGTAGGAATTTGGGGGGTGAGCGAATTCGAGAAACAGGGCGCCCAGATTTCGAGGGGGGATGGTGGACGACATGTCGGAGGTGGTTAGGCCCCAATGAATGCGCCTTCAACCTGTTAGCTGGGAGTCTATGAGATTCGAAGTCCAATGTTAAAGGAGGATCGACGGGAAGGATTGCTTACCCGAGACAAACTCGAGGACGAGCCTGGGCCTATGGTAGACATATGGAGCAATTTGGTAACACTCCTCGTCCGCCGACTTGCGAAACAGCGACTGAAAGCCATCGATAGCCGCAAGCACGGCGTACTCCGTCTGCTTCTCCAACTCGTTCAACGGTCCATCCAACACCGCCGGTGCACTGGTCTTTGCACAGATGCCAGCGACTTTGGCCATGGTGTCTTGCCAGCTTTGAATGTGAGCTTGCCGGTGACAATGGGCATGGAGAGGTGGGTTTGGAGAGGGCGCTGGCAGTGACGGTGAGGACTTTCGGACGGATCGGTGTGCAGCTGAGGGTTGGAGGTATGCTAGCGTGCGGAGGTTGTAGATGTGTGGTGTGGTTGAGTTGGTGAGGCTCACAGCTGCCTATATGGAGGTTAATCGTCAGATGCAGGGGTAGAAACTAAGGAGAACGAGGTAGACTCACCTCATGGGATGGTGAAGACTATCTATCCCTTCTTGGTGGCATACCGCACGGCTTGGTGGGGGAAGTAGCTCTTTCCACATCCTGCACGACCTGTTGGATTTATTGTCAGTTGACATGCCTGGAGAATCGGGAATGCCGTACATAGAACAATCCGGCTGTTAAGACAGGAAGATCTTGGCGCTTTCTAGTTTTTGAATCGTGTCACTGTGACGTCGCCAAAGACACAGACAGTGCATAGTTTCGACTCGTTTTGACTATTGAACCTTGTCAAATAATGAATACATCTGTTTGTGAGCATATAGACTCAAAAGAAACAAACCTAGAAAGGGGTAAGTCTCCAGCGCGATGGCTTTGGTCCAATGAGCATTTGAAGTGTATCGATTGAAAGCGGTCGGGGCTCTGGCACTTTGAGGGAGACTTTAGGCATTGTAGTGGTCACAGAGGACGCTGGTGAACGTGGATGGTGATGAGGAAAGAATGAAAAACGAAACGGTGGGTGTGGGTGGGACTCGAATCAACCGATCAACCGCGCCGCGCTTCGGAACCCAATCCAACCTCAGCCCCATCTTGTCCTTTAACCAACGTTTCGACCAACCTCCCTTGACGATTCTACCTGTCATTATTCACTGCACCAGCTAGGAGATCCGAGACAAAGGATGTATGATTTTGAGCGCAGAGAAGCCGCCTGATTCTCTCTTTCGACTAACCGATTTCACTCCAACGAGCCCAGCCCCAGTCTTCCCTTGCCTCGCCCTTATCCTCGCGTCGAGGAGATGCCTGCTGGGGATTTTCGACGGTAAGCAGCTCATTCACCAGTATGGAGACTTGAGAATTTACTGACTATGTATCAATGCAGACTCAAACCTACCGGCCGAGCTACATTTCTCCCTTTCCAAATTCCGGTTAAAGCCCTCGACGAGCCGCCAGCCAAACCCTTCAAAACCAACCAGTCCCATCCATCCCTCGAAGCCGACGCCATGTCGGAACAAGTCCAATCGCATTCATTTTACCTCGCCGTTCATCGGCTCTCTCAAGTCTATCCCGAGTCCTGACCACACAGCACCGAGCGTGAAGGACGACTCTCGTCAACATCGACGTCTACTAGAGGGATAATCGAGTTCAGAAGGAATCTGCAGTCGACGATAGGAGAGGAGTAGTCGATTCTTATGACTACACACACAGTCGGCGGTCGCTCGCACGACGACCGGTATGCGGGAAGGCACGTAGACGGTAGCGATGTTGGGGTCGGTCAGAAACTTTGAAAAGCACATGGGGTACGTTCCCTGATTCTCCATAGGTATTTTCGCTAACTAAATCCTCATTCAGTAGGCCCCATGACCATCACCTTAGAGAATTCATTCCACCAAGCATCGCCATATGCGCTCTTACCAATCGACCCATCGCACGATTTCTCTTCGCATGCACAACTTACCACCTCGCCTTGAGCACTGAGACACGCTCTTGCGGCACGAGGTGGTCATCCACCGGAGGGACAGATGAACTTGAGTGAACCATACCCGGTTTTAGGCCCAGCTACGCAAATTCACAACGGTCGCGCTCCCTGCAAGTACAACAGGGCAACGCTACGACCTGGGCGGGGTCGAGCATAGCTTTGGAGTGGGTCATCCAGCCCGTCGGTCAGAGATACTGTCGCTCACTTCTTGTTCCCTGCCAGATTGTAGAGATCTCCTCAATTTCATTCGCTTCCACTTCACACCACCCCTCGCCGTAGCCGAGGGATGACTCGGAATTTATGCTGGCGAGTCGACCCTTTTTCAGGTGGGTTTTGTTACTGATATGTACCAGGACTCGTGTACTGAGCGCCAGCTATCCTGACAGACGAGTATCCACTCGTTGGCAAGCTCAGCGACTGGATTCATTCGGCCCCACTTTCGTTCTTGAAGAATTAGGACGTCTTGTCTCGTAGTTAGAGATACCCAATCGAAATTCACAATACCCTCGAGGGTCGAAGACGAATGAAATGCCGGGAGTTCCAGGGTGATTGAGAAGGCCATCAGGTCGGATGATATTGCTGGACTGGTGTGCTGAAGGGTACCGTGTACGTTCGGTCCTGAACCATTGCCAAAGGCATGGAGACCCCGTCCGATACAAGCTAGCCTCATCTAGCGCTGTGACAGAAGTTCAAACGAACGCTGCGTTGCTTCACGGAAGCTTACCAGTAGGCGTATTGGTATTTTGGAGTACATGTTCGAAGTATTTTGGAGTACATGTTCGAAGAATACCTATAATATTACCGAATAAACAGAATTAAGATAGTAAATACATGTCGTATGTCGTGATCAATGAGCAATAGTCGTAATAATGTGCGTAAATCAAGACCGTCGCTCGAACTCTGTGAGCATCTTGACGATAGCCTCGTAGTCCCCCGCTGTTCCAGTCCGATATCGCTCTGGTTTTCCCTTCCGAGCTACCGCCAGCGCTGTTTGACCCTTTTTATTCTTGTGATGGACATTGATCCCTTGGTGTTGGAGGAGCAGAGAGACAGCCTCCGAGCGCCCATCCCTTGCGGCTAAAATCAGGGCAGTATCCCCATCTTTGCGGGCAGCGTTGGCGTCAATCTCGCTGTGCCCAAGGAAGAGCGCTAGCAACTTCTGCCGCAATTTCTGGTCCCACTGAGAGTACCAGTGTGGACGGTACCATTCAGGCATACTCAGCCCAGGGTTCAATGCGTGCATCAGTGCTGTTTCGCCGTCGTTGTTGGCGAGATTGACCTGGGTGTCCTTGTGCGCGAGCAGGCGCTGAACGGTGCCCTCGTGGCCATTGAGCGACGCATACATCAATGCCGGCCAGCCGTTGTTGTTGGCGAGATTGACCTGGGTGTCCTTGTGCGCGAGCAGGCGCTGAACGGTGCCCTCGCGGCCATTTTCTGACGCGAGCATCAATGCCGTCTGGCCAAAGTTGCCAGTGAGATTGACCTGGGTGTCCTCCTGCGCGAGCAGGCGCTGAACGGAGCCCTCGTGGCCATAGCGCGACGCTAACATCAATGCCGTTTCGCCGTTGTGTGTGGCGAGATTGACCTGGGTGTCCTTGTGCGCGAGCAGGCGCTGAACGGTGCCCCTCGTGGCCATTTTCCGACGCGAGCATCAGTCCCGTCCCGCCATCGTTGTCGTTGTCAGCGAGATTGACTTGGGTGTCCTTGTGCGCGAGCAGGCACTGAACGGTGCCCTCGTGGCCATTTTCCGACGCGAGCATCAATGCTGTTTGGCTGTAGTTGTCGGCGAGATTGACCTGGGTGTCCTTGTGCGCGAGCAGGCGCTGAACGGTGCCCTCGTGGCCTTTGATCGACGCGAACATCAATGCCGTCCGGCCGTATTTGTTGGTGAGATTGACACGGGTGTCCTTGTGAGCGAGCAGGCGCTGAACGGTGCCCTCGTGGCCATTTTTCGACGCGACCATCAATGCCGTCCAGCCGTCGTTGTTGGGTGAAATTGACACGGGTGTCCTTGTGAGCGAGCAGGCGCTGAACGATGCCCTTGTGGGCCATTTTCCGACGCGAGCATCAATGCCGTCCGGCCGTATTTGTTGGTGAGATTGACACGGGTGTCCTTGTGCGCGAGTAGGCGCCGAACAGTGCCCTCGTGGTCATAGCGCGACGCGAGCATCAATGCCGTCCAGCCGTCGTTGCTAGCGGCATTTGACCCGGGTGTCCTTGTGTTCGAGCAGATCTTGAACGGTGCCCGCATGGCCATAGAGCGACGCGAGCATCAGTCCCGTCCCGCCATCGTTGTCGTTGTCAGCGAGATTGACTTGGGTGACCTCGTGAGCGAGCAGGCGCTGCACGGTGCCTTCGTGGCCATTTTCCGATGCGAGCATAAATGCCGTCCTGCCATAGTCGTCGGCGAGATTGACCTGGGTGTCCTTGTGCGCGAGCAGGCGCTGAACGGTGCCCTCGTGGTCATTTTTCGACGCGAGCATCAATGCCGTCTGGCCATATTTGTTGGCGAGATTGACCTGGGTGTCCTTGTGTTTGAGCAGGCGCTGAACGGTGCCCTCATGGCCCTCTTTCGAGGCAAACATGAGAGCCGTCATCCCCTTGCTATCTTGAAGATTAAGCTGTCGCAGTAATAGGTGACTCCCTAATCGTCCTTCGCCACTTAATGTCGACCACAACATGGAACTTCGAGTGTATCGCAGCAGTGCATCGACGACTTCTACATGGCCGTGCTCCGAGGCTAGCATCAACGGGGTGGCCTTTCTTGGTCCACACGTGCGCAGCGTCACCTTTCCTCCTGCGATTTGGAGAACTTCGTCGAGAATACTATGAAAGCCGTGTCGGGCCACAACATGAAGGGGGGACAGGAATGTGAGTTTATAAGAATACGGATCCTCCTCTGGGAACGATTTGCATCGGCGGACAAAGGCGAGCACCTTATCACGCAATGCTGGATTCGTCATGCACTCCCGTGCGTGATAGGCCCAGTGGTCGTAGGAGTATTTCAGAAGCCGGTGTCCTTTGAGTGCATTGCCGAGGGCGCCTTTTGTTTTCATACCCGCTGAGTTGTCGACGATGCCACAGTCAACGAGGCGTTGCGCGGCTACGGCAAAGAGAATGCCGTGGGGGTCTGGGATATAGTCCTTGAGGATTGGCGCGAGAGCATCTTGAGCGGTGAAGTCTGAGCAATATAGTCATTAGAGATGGTCGATGAGGATGTTGAAATACTCACGGACTAGGCGGACAAGATCCGTCTCAGTCTCTACGGCAACCAGTCCACAGCATATCGACACAAGGGCTTCCTTATCAACCCCACCAGGGTAGTCAGGAAGAGTAAGACTGAGGGCATATTGCAGGTTAGGGAACGAAAGCGCTTCTCGTCCGAAAACGAGCCATAGAAGCACATGTTTGGCGAGCCTGGCGTGTTGTTCCTGCTGGCCACTGATACGCTCTAATGCTTGGGAGTATATGTCATGAAGGTTCGCCGGCAATCTATCCAGCGCCTGTTGCAGTTCCAAGATGCTGAGGCAGTGTTGGACCATTTCAATCTGCAGCGCCGCAATAAGGAACCTGAAGGGACGATCAGCGAGGATATGCAATTTAGTCAAGGAAATCACTTACATCCCCTTCGATTTCTCCGAAATGCGTCGGACCAGTTCATCTTGGAAGGAATGCTCCTTCAGAAGCCGCTGGAACCCAGGGTTCCGGTCGACCACGCCGAGGATGAGGAGGCCAATGTCGAAATGGTTGGCGGTGACTGGGTAGAACCTGGTAGTTGGCAGCGCTGCTTCAAGCCTTTTCAACGGCCGCGACGTCAATGCAAACCGGCCACGAAGGGTCTTGATCGCTTTGATCAGGTCGAACTGGGTGTCGACCACCGCCTCGTCCAGTCCGTCGATCACATAGAACCCAATGTCGAATCGCTCCTCGAATCGGCGCAATAGCTCCAAGAGTTCTTCTTGAGTGGGACGGGTTTCCTTCTCTTTGTGCAGCGAATACAGGGGCTTGACGAGGTCTGCAAGGGATGGGTCGGTTTTGAGGAATTGCTTCACGAGTGATTCGAGGATATCCTTGACGCTCAATTGAGCGGAATATCGGCAGTAGGCGAATACTACGCAAATCTTCTGGTGAGAAGTTCGTTGCAGTTGCTGAAGGTCGTGAATGGTCCTCGCACTGGCGACATTGTTAGCACACTCTTCGATTGGACACCTACGAACTACTTACGCAAGGATCGTTTTCCCGGCCCCGGCTGCGGCAATAGGATAAGCGTCATACCGCCGAAGAAATCTATGCGACCTACGAATGCCTGTGCCCCAAAGGACGCGATGTTTTCCGGCTTTCCAGTCAAGATAGTCCTCCGAGTCGGTGAACCAAGCAAGTGTTCCATTGGTCCATTTCTCGTAATTGTGCTGTTGAATCAGGTGGAAGTTGGCGCTATCCGCAAACCAGTCCAGCAATTCCTGGCTCGTTATCTTCGGCCCTTCACCCTTGGATCCCACTGGAAGAAATTTAGTCAACAGTAACCCTACTGACTGTTGGAAGCACTTGCCGTTGACAGCGTCCTTGGGCGTATTATAGATATTGAGGCTGACGGTTCCTCCTGTGATGACGTTTCCCCCAGCGATGACGGGGGCACCGGTAATTTTGGAGCCGCTGGCAATCGTGCACTCCTGCGTTATTTACAAGGGGAGCACGCGTGAGGATATCGTGGATAGCTTCGGCCCGAGCGGCCTCCGTCTGGACCAAGCGAGCAGTTAGAGTCGGCCCTCGACAATATAGAACTAAAACGGGGCCGTACCATGTTACCGTCCAACTGGGTGTCATTTGCCGCTCGAAATGGAGCGCTCCTGCCTGACCTCAAGACCCTACGATACGGCGATGGAATAAGTTACAAATCATTACGAGTCCGTTAGGAGTCGTTTCTATGCGGCTCGAAAAACGAGACTTCATTTAGGCCTTAATTTCGAGGATTTGATGGACAGGTTTTGATGGCTTCTTTACTTCTTTTTTTCATCTAACGTTGTGGTGCCTTCTGTGTTGTGCTTTAATGAGACTTCATTTTAGCATTGATCTTGGGCGCTTCTCTTGATTTCATTGATGGGTGCGCTGACAGGTGTCAGTCTAGGGTGCTTTTTCGAGCAGGAGACTTGATTAAAGCTTTAATTTTTAATACTGTTTATAGTTTCAAATAGGACTGGGTGTCCTCAACTCCAGGTTCAGCTAGCCCTATGACGGAATTAAGTGCAGTTCGTTATTTTCTACCAGCACTAGTTGTGACGTCATTCCAAGGGTATAAAATAGGGGAAAAATAGGAGTTCTCATTCCATTTACGACTGGCCGGTCTCCGAGGCCCGTTTTGATGGCATCACGCTTGTCATCAAAGCGTCCGGAATTTGCCTGGTTGGGGGTTCAATTCGTGCTCGAGCCATTTATATTCATGATAAGCAGACAGTAGACCCCGGTTGGATAGCTGTAACTTGTTAGTTTAAATTCAGTGGGTATCAGGATATATTTAGGTATTTCATGTTACTTAAACTGAAAACTATAATAGAACTATAATCAACAAAATATGTGATCTGGGCACTATTGGTCCATTCTGGACCCTGGTGCGAGCGCGAGCGCACTGAAGGTGTGCGCCAGCGAGCACCCTTAGCTTATGCCACCATACTTCAGTCTTCAGAGACGGACTCGTAACCTGCCATGAGCCTGCGAACTGGCCCATAAAACAAGTTATTACCGATGACCCATACGTACCCCGAACTGATCTACCAAGGAACTCGTTGAACAACCTGATACACGTGTCTTCGCATCATCGTCCTGCATGCGTGTCAGCCCTCGCGTTCAGATTCTTAGGTTCAAATAAACACACGAACCTGAACAAACGTAGCTCGCTGTTTGCCTTTGTCCAGAATGGGGGCTACTTCCTCTAGGGGTTTGGAAGGGATCTCTTCGGCCTCGTTCTAATCGTTCCAAGCTGGTTAGGTTATCAAGAGAATCAGCGGCGGTTCCACCCACCTGAAACGATGCAGCTTTGCTTGACTGGCCGCCGCTATTCAAGCTGGGTGTATGTTCCTCCGGGAGCGTTGAAGCGTCTCCTTGAGGCTCGTTCTGACCGGTGCCCGGTGCATCAGGACCAGCACTCGGTACGGATGAAGACACAATCAGTGGTAACTTGACTCACCTGAAGTGACGTAGCCTGGCTCTGCTGCCCACTGTTATTCAAACTTGATGTACGATCCTCTGGGAGGGTGGAAGGGCCCTGTCCAGGGCCGTACTGCGCAGACATGGGTCATCGACCAGAAGGGGGACCAGCGCAGGCGCAACTCACGACAAACGGCACAAATGAGACGCCTTGACCCATGGAAGCGACGAGTTCCTGCTAGTCGCAGTTAATTTGAGATTGAAAAACTGTTCGAAAGCGTGGAAGTTTTGAAGGAAGGGGGGAATGGGGAGATGGGGAGATGGTTGATCGATAACAAGAGGGATTTGGCGCCCAACAGCGTTGCATCCTCGAGGTTCAGGCCACGTAGTCAGGTGATCTTGACATGAAAGCGGAGACCAATATGTTTCCCATCCACAAAGCCGGGTCTCAATTTCCTGGGATGAAAGAACAGAGAAGAGATGCGAGTGAGTGGGTGGCTTGAATCTTGCTATTAGACCAAGAAAGAATGAGGAACCTGAAGGGATGGCGAATCAACGTCCAACCTTCCGTTCGAGACGAACCCGGATATTCTCGTTGTTGCAACTTGGCAGGAGAAAGCCCGGCGGCGAAGGCTGCGGCGTTCACCATCCAAGTTGCAGCCAACCTATGTAGATGGAATTAGCTTGACGAATAGGGTCGTTAAGCTGGGAATCGCACACCGTTCGCCGCCGTTCGACCGTTCAAAATACTTCATTGATATTCAGCGGTTCGGATTCGAAGAACGAAGGGACCGAGTAATGATTGGTCGTCCGTTGGTCTTCGAGCACGCATGATATATTTCCTGAATGGCGCCCTGCAGCTCTGGTCTTGGTGAATGCATGACAAGAACGAAAAAAGAAAAGACGCGTCTGCGATTCGAAACCACGGGACACCGGATCAACTCAACCCGTCCTCCCGCGCCTCGCTTGCCAACGCCAAGCCGAGTCCGCCCAAGCCTGAACCACGACCACGACGACCACGATTCCAAGCGCCCTCAGCTTCCTTTCAAAACTCTACCCAATCGACTGAAAACAACGAGCGACGACCGACTAGTGAATACATGAAGGAGAAAGCACCAAAGACGACGAGCAGAGCGGCGCGTTATGGCACTCCCGACCAAAGGACGCGTTATAATCGAGACGACGTTTGGAGAGATTGATATTGAACTTTGGGCAAAGGTATGTTCTTTACTTTGATTTGGTGTCCTTATTACGGCTGTCTCTTGGACCCGGTGACTGTCACCCAGCTGCAAACAGAGCCTTCTCGACTCGACGAAGAAGTCGAGATGTCCAGGACAGTCTCCCTCCCATCCAGCTTAGAAATGGGATTCTGCTTGAAGAGAACCCAGTTCTCAGCCAACCGTTTTATCCCTGACTTTATTTGAAGTTCAATGGATAAAAATCTAACCGACCTTTCGTAGGAAACGCTGAAAGCATGCCGAAACTTTATAGCACTCGCTCTGGAGGGTCCGAAAGTGTCTCGTCTTCCCATAACCGTTCAGCTTATACTCATGTTGTCGGTGGATAGGGTACTATGACGGTGTCATCTTTCACCGGTGAGCGTCTCATTACCTCGGCTCTGCCCTACTATACTCTGCTCGAGGAACTACGAAAGCTGATAGGCGACCCTGGTCTGTAGGATCGTACCTGGATTCCTGGCGCAAATGGGTGACAGAACTGGAACGGGGAACGGTGGAGAGTCGTTCTACGGCGGTACGTCCCACTCATCCTTCCCATTACCTTCTATCCTCACAGGATTCCTTTCTGCTTGGCCTGCGAACGAACCACACACCAATCCTCGTCTTGCAACTACACACACGTCTATCCGCCTACCGAAACACCGCGACAATCTCCACCGACGCCCGCTAAACAGAACCATTCGAAGATGAGATTCACCCCCGACTACGGTACACCCACCGAGGTCTCGTAGGGATGGCCAACAACGGGGCGAGACATTCCAACGATTCGTAATTCTTCATCACTCTCGGTGCGTATCTCCAGTATACTAATGTACTCTTTCTGTGGAGGCAAGACATACTGACGTTAGAAATACAGATCGAGCAGACGAATTGCACGGCAAACATACGTTGTTCGGACGGGTAGGGGGTGATACTATCTACAGTGCGTACACCTCATTCTTTGTTCATTCGGTCTCTCTTTCTCGCTTGTTTCCCTTTCGTTCTTTTCTTCGCGCTTGGGTTCCCCTTCGTTCGCTTCTTCTCGCTCGGTGCTGCATACTGACAAACCTTTGCTTGACCATGGTAGATGTGATAAAACTCTCAGAACTGGGTACGCATTCCTCTCTTTGAACTGTCACGGAAGATGGCTGAAACGTATTCGCGTTTGGGATGCAGGGTTGGACAAGAACAGTCGACCGGTGTAGTATGTCCCTCCTCTTGCTCTGAAGGCTATCACTATCCTGATGTCTAACCACCCAACCTACCTCCCCCACCACTACAGCGCCTACCCAACACTACACCACTTACCCACCCACCCACCAACTGCTGTATGCAGCCCACCAAAAATAAAATCCATCAAACTCGTCGACAACCCCTTTGACGATATCATCTCGCGTATAACTGCAGCTGAGCGACGCGCGCAGCAGAGGGCTAGAGAGGAGGCGCAGAGGGCGCGGGAGGAGGTTAGGAGGCAAGGGCTAAGAATAAGAAGTACGTGTTTAGTATTCTCGATTTTCGTTCTGTGGTCTTATGCCCTGCACTGACCATGGTTGGCGTTTTCGTGGACTTACGATTAGGCTTTCGCGGATCGTCGTCTTCGCTTGCGGTTAAGCAAGCTCGGACTGAAGGAGAGGCTAACGAATACCTTCAAGATGGGACTCAAACACCGTGCCGCGTCTAACTGCGATGTGGTTGTACATAGTTCTGGTAAGCCCTAAGTTCCGAGTGATCGAAGAATATCATTCGATGACCCTCGTTCCTGGCTATCTGCCGAAGTCATTTCCTGGACCTTGCGGGTAGTATACACCTCATTTGTCGATATGGAGACTCGAAAGCTAATTGCCTTTGTTTAGGCAGTCTCCTTGACTTGCGTCCACGCCTCCATCACATGAGCCCCCACCAAAATTACAAGGGATAGAAGATCAACGAAAGCTGACGTCTTCCCAGCATGAAAGCGCCGTCCAGAGTGAGGGCTGGAGTTGGGTTGACCATGGCCGAACTGGCTCCGGATAAAGCCAACGCTGGAGGGTCCAGGAACCGGACGAAGCTGCCAGCCGAACGCAGATGAAAATAGATGTCAGGTGCGCTATCTAGATCTTGGAGCTGAGCTGCCGTTGTTCACTTCGCATTCCTCCTATTTACCTCTCCCCGCCATCCGACAATCTACTCGTTTCGACCTTCGCCCTCCTCGAATCCTTCAGCACTACTTGTCGCTCTTCGGGAGGCACAAAGCGCTGTATGACTACCTGCGATACAAGTGAGGGTCGAGGACGAATCGCTTTTCGATGGCTCCGTGGTCAACGCAGAGGGTAGTCGAGAATGGTTCTAGCAAAGAGGCAACCGGCGCCGTCGGTGGGTTTAGGTGGTGCGGAGGCGTGACTAGAGTGGTCACTGACCGAACACCTGCGTTTGTAGCTGAAGCTGAGATCGTAGATAGAACACAATGAGAATGCTTTTTTTAAGGTGTTAGATTTTTCGTATGGAGAGTACAAGTGGGCGAAGGTAACTAAGGAAGAAGGGAAAACTTGTCCATCTACCTCCTCCCTGTCTCTCTCGTGCCCCCTCCCGCCGTTTTGTCCCCTCTAATCACGCCATACCCGCTTTCTGTGGCCCTCGATTGGCTGCCGAGCCAGTGGTGAGGTCGGTGGCTGGCGGCTGAACTGTGCCCGGCGTCGTCGATCTGCTCCACTGGCGTGCAATTGGGTTGCGATCGTCTGGGCGGTGCCTTCTGGTACGCTGGGCGTAGTGCTGGCGCGTGTGGGTGACAAGGAGGAAGGGACGGGAGAGGAGAGAAGGGGAAAGGAGAGGTGTTGGTTGGCTCGAGCTCAGACTCGCCCCTTGCACCAATTTCCTCGACTCATGATGACTAGCGTTAGCCGAGTCAGCAGGGCATCGAGTCCATTGGGGAGGTGCGAGTCGTCTGGCGAGGCGGTGGTTGAGAAGCAAACCGTGACGTTTCGCCGACGGTTATTTGGGGTGGCGGGTTTGTGGGCGCTAAGCCGCTCCGATGTCGGAAAGCAACGTCATAGAGCCGTTCTTCCAAACGCTCGTGGTGTATCCGCCTCGCCAGATAACATAGCTCCCTACTTACCCAGCATCGCAGACGAATCCAAAATCCTGTACAATTCTAATCCTGGCATTGAGTATGGCTAACGGTGTTTCAACGAATGGTGATAGAAACGAGACGCATCCTCCCAGCAGTTCCGAAATCGCCGTATAGCTCTACTGCCGCTACCTAGTCTGGTTCGATCTGCGCTGGACCGCCATACTCCCATAGACCTCGCCCTAACCACTCGCCCCAAAATCCTCGGTCCAGCGACCCTCCTTGGCGCAGATACCAGCGACTTCGCTTGTTGGAGGCTGTGGGCTTGTTGGAGGCGAGGGGGTTGGAGAGGGTGGGTTTTTGGAGAGGGCGTCAGTGTTGGTGGTGAGGAGTTTTTGCGCGAATCTGTGTGCAGCGTAGGGTTGGAAGTGGGTTTCCGTGGATGTCGTAGATGTGGGTTGAACCCAACCCTCGACCACCGACCTCAAGCACCTCGATATGCCGCCCAATTTGAATCCTTATTCAATCATTCGACCGCGATTCCAGATACAGGCGGTTTTTTTGAGCCCAACCCAACCAATGGCGACAGAGGATGGATTGGCATCGGGGCGTCTCCGGTCATGAAGAAATCCGAGAGCAACTCGATTACCTTTGCGAAGTTGGATTCATCGCTACGTTGGATTCACTTTAGAAGATTCGTAGAGCGCTTCCTAGGCTAGGAATAACTCTCGATTCGCGATAGAGATATGGAAAGTATATTGGATATTGATATGCTCGTTTCTTGGGTGCGTAACTTGACTCTGTTCCCCGCCAGCCCAGCCCCCTCGTGTACCCACTGATGTATTTGTAGGTTGCGTGTTGAAGGATTGAACCTTCCCCGCTGAGTATCGAGTGCGTTTCATGGACCTGTATCAAGAATGGCGAGCTTCGTCCAGCTAACACTTATTGCGATGACAGCTCCTCCCCCACACGCTAGTCGATCCGATTCCCGGCATACCGACGCTATCCCCTGGCCGAACTTTGATTAACCAGGATGGCAAATTATTAAACCACATTAACATGCAGCACGCACTCGCTCGAGGCCAAAACCTCGAATAGATCTAAGGAGCAAACGTAGGCTGCAACCCCTTCCCGGGTTCCCGCCAGACTCGATGTACTTGGACACGAAGAGCTCATAATAACTCCCTAAAAAATGGGCGGGCCCATCAGTCACCTTTCGAAATAAGACAGAAATTGGAAAGCGATGATACGCACTGGAATTCAAAGCCACATCTCGAAAAGACCGCTTGCCTCGCTAACGCTGAACCGCTCGGGTACTTCGATCGTCTTCAAGCCTTTGGCGCACCCCGACGACTCCTTTGAGCGCTTCTCGTACGGACTTAGTGGGTGGGCGTATCCGTATCCGAGAGACAGGTCGTCCCAAAGTTCGAGGGGTCGTGTCGGGCACGGTTAAAGCACCGATGAATCTACCTCTTGCCTGTGGATAGGGAGGTTGTGAGATTTCAAGGTGGATAGTGAATCAAGAGAGGTTGACGCACGAAGGATCGTTTGCGCGAGGCGAACTCGACGATAAGACGTGATATGGACAGGTGGAACGAGGACTGGAAGTAACCGATAGCCTCTGTCTGCTTCTCCAACTTTTCAAAAGTAAGTCCAACACGACATGTGCACTCGCATGTGTCTTGTCTTTGAAGCAGATAGATAACCGCAACTTCGGCCAGGGTCTTGTCAGCTTCGAATATGAGCTTGTCGGTGATGATTGGCGTGGGTGAGTCTGGAGAGAGTGTCAGCGTCGAGGTGAGGAGCTTTTGGACGGCTTGGTGCACGGCGTAGGGTTGGGGGCAGGTTTGCGTGCGCAGGTCGTAGACGTGGGGTGTCTCTGGTGACGAGGGTCACAGCTACCGATAGGGACGAGGTTAATCGCCAGAATGCAGGGGTAGAAACACGGGAGAATGAGGTAGGCTCTCCTCGCACGATGTAATATCCCTTCTAGACGGCGTGTTGTACGGCCTGGTGGAGGAGGTCGCTCTTTGGGCATCCCGCACGACCCGCTAGTCCACTGTCAATTCCAATATCTGGTGAATCACAAATGGCCCGGCGTACATTGAAGGGGTTAATTGTTAAGACCAGAAGGGTTGTTCGCGCGCTCCAGCTCTTGAATCGTTTCGATTGTCGCGTCGCGAATGGCCAGCCTTGCTTGGCAACCTGCGGATTGGAGGCGGAGGCGGAACCTGGCAGAAATCCGACCATTGCATCTCATAGCGACGACAGATGCGCACTTAGGCTACATTTCATAGAGTCGACTTCTTGCCTGAATCCCAGGTGGGCGTCAACGAGCGTGGAGTCATCGCGGCGCAGTTACTAGTAGCCAAGTTGAGGCGTACTAGAGGAATCGTCTGGAAATTTGGGCGAGCGCCTCCTCGTTCTGACTACACCACCCTGTCAGAGTAACGAGCATCTCCGTTTATGAGCATACAGACTCAAGGGAAACAAACCTAAGGAGGGGTAAGTCCGTCAGACTCTGCGCGATGAATTTAACTTTTGGTTGAATGGGCGCGGTTGCAAATTTGAAATGTATCGATTGAAAGCGGTCAGAAGTGAGGTAGTTTGAAGGGCTTTCAGACATCGCGCAAGTGTAGAAGTGGAACTACAGAGGGAAAGATAAACACTGGTGAACGCTGACAGTGATGAGGAAAGAACGAAACAAGAAACGGTGTGGGCGCGACTCGAACCAACGGATCAACACCATGCCGCGTCAACCTTCCCATCTTGTCCTTGAACCACCTTGAACCAATGCATCGACCACCTGCATTACCAATTCCATCGAGTGCCATTATTCACTGCACCAACTGGGAAGACTGGTTGAATAACACCAACACAATGGAGAGACAAAGGAGGTGTGGTTGGGCGCGCAGAGAAGTCGACCAGTGGTTCTCTCGTCAGGCCGTCAAGACGCCGTAAGCGATTACACGCCAACGCTCGAACCCAGCCCAAGTCTTCCCTTGCTTCGTCCTTATCCTCGCGTCGAAGGGATGTTAGCTGGGTATTTTCCACGGTAAGCAGCTCATTCACCAGTATGGAGACTTTGGAAGTCACTGACCATGTATCAACGCAGATTCAAACCTACAGGTCGAGCTACATTTCTCCCTTTCCGGTTGAAGCCCTCGACGAGCCGCCAGCCATTGCTAGCCGAACCCTTCAACCAAAATCTCATCCATCTCTCGAAGCTGAAGCCATGTCGGACAAAGTCCAATCGCAATCATTTCTACCCCGCCGTTTATCGACACTCTCAAGTATTCCGAGTCCTGATCACACGGCACCCAGGGTGAAGGTCGACTCTCTAAGCAAAGTCGACGTCCACTAGAGCGGCAATTGAGTTCAGGAGGAACCTACAGCCGATGATAAAGGAGGAAAACTTAGTCGAGTCTTATGACTACACAGTCGCTCGCACGACGACCAGTATGCGGGAAGGCACATAGCGATGTTGAGGTCAGGCAGAAACTTTCACTATCGAAAAACACATGAAGTAGGTTCCCCAATTCTTCGGACCTGTCGTCGCTGACTTTACCCTCATTCCATAGGCCCCATGACCATCACCCTAGAGAAATAACTCCGCCAGGAATCGCCATTTGCCCTCTTTCGGCCCATTTCACGGTTTCCCTGGTCACCTCCAAAACCCTCCGACTCGTCTTGAGCATCAGTTCCGGCACGAACTCGCCATCCTCCGCATAAGAAGGATGGATGAACTCGAGCAAACCATTCCCGGCTCTGGGCAAGTTGACGATGCAGATGGAAGACGATCGCACTCCCTGCAAGAATAGAACAGCGCTTCCAACTGGGCGGGGTTTCACTTGGTCGTCGAGTGCGTCATCCAGCCCATCGGTCAGGGATGCCGTCGCTCATCTCTTGTTCCCTCCCAGATGATAGCGGTCTCCTCAATCTCATTGCCTTCCACTTTAGCACCCCTCGTCGTAGCCGAGGGATGACTCGCAATTTACGCTGGCGAGTCGAGCCTTTGCAGGTGAGTTTTGCTACTGATATATCAGGACTCGTGTACTGAACACCGGCTATCCTGTCAGACGAACATCCACTCGTTGGGACACTCAGCGACTCGATTCATTCGGCACCACTTCGGGAATTAGGACGTCCTGTCTCGTAGTTAGAGATACCCAATCGAAGGTTGAAATACTCTCGAGGATCGAAGACAAATGACATGCCGGGAATTCCAGGGTGATTGACAAGGCGTTCAGGTTCGATGGTATTACAGGACTGGTGTGCTGAAGGGTGCGGCGTAGGTTCAGCTGTTGAACCATCATCGCCAAGGGCATGGGGACGTCGTGCTAGATTCATTTCCACTGTGACAACAGTTCAAACGAATGCTGCGTTGGCAGTTGCCTCGCGCAAGCTTACCAGTAGGTGTATTAGAATTTCAGAGTACGGGCTCGAAGATAACCTCTATTACCGGATAAACAGAAAGAAGATAGTAAATACATGTCGTATGTCATGATCAATGAGCAATAGTCGTAATGGTGTGCGTAAATCAAGACCGTCGCTCGAACTTGGTGAGCATCTTCACGATAGCCTCGTAATCTTCCCTCGTTCCAGTCCCATCTTCAAGTTTCTTTGGCTCAAGCTTGGAAGGGGAAACTTGAAGTTTCCCCTTCCGAGCTACCGCCAACGCTGTTTCACCCTTTTTATTCATGTGCTGGACATTGATCCCGCGGTGTTGGAGGAGCAGAGAGACAGCCTCCGAGCGCCCATCCCTTGCGGCTAAAATCAGGGCAGTATCCCCATCTTTGCGGGCAGCGTTGGCGTCAATCTCGCTGTGCCCAAGGAAGAGCGCTAGCAACTTCTGCCGCAATTTCTGGTCCCACTGAGAGTACCAGTGTGGACGGTACCATTCAGGCATACTCAGCCCAGGGTTCAATGCGTGCATCAGTGCTGTTTCGCCGTCGTTGTTGGCGAGATTGACCTGGGTGTCCTTGTGCGCGAGCAGGCGCTGAACGGTGCCCTCGTGGCCATAGCACGATGCATACATCAATGCTGTCGAGCCGTAGTTGTTGGCGAGATTGACCTGGGTGTCCTTGTGCGCGAGCAGGCGCTGAACGGGGCCCTCGTGGCCATATTCCGACGCGAGCATCAATGCCGTCTGGCCAAAGTTGCCAGTGAGATTGACCTGGGTGTCCTTGTGCGCGAGCAGGCGCTGAACGGGGCCCTCGTGGCCATAGCGCAACGCTAGCATCAATGCCGTTTCGCCGTTGTTGTTGGCGAGATTGACCTGGGTGTCCTTGTGCGCAAGCAGGCGCTGAACGGTGCCCTCGTGGCCATTTTCGGACGCGAACATCAATGCTGTCCGGCTGTTGTTGTCGGCGAGATTGACCTGGGTGTCCTTGTGCGCGAGCAGGCGCTGCACTGCATCTTCATGCCCCCCTCTGGACGCAAGCATAAGAGCCGTCATCCCCCTACTATCGCGAAGATTAAGCTGAACCAGGAACAGATGGCTCCCTAGTCCCCCTTCGCCATTCAACGTCGACCGCATCATCGAACTTCTAGTGTATCGCAGCAGCGCATCAATGACTTTTACATGGCCATGCTCCGAGGCTAGCATCAATGGGGTGACCTTCCTCCGCCCACGCGTGCGCAGCGTCACCTTTCCTCCTGCGATTTTCAGAACTTCGTCGAGGAGACTATGAAAGCCGTGTCGGGCCACGACATGGAGGGGGGACAGAAATTTGAGATTAGAATAAAGCGGATCCTTCTCTGGGAACGATTTGCATCGGCGGACAAAGGCGAGGACGTTATCATGCAATGCTGGATTTGCCATGCCCTCTCGTGCGTGGTAGGCCCAGTGGTCGTAGCAGTATTTCAAAAGCGGGTGTCCTTTGAGTGCACTGTCGAGGTCGTCGTTGTACTTCATACTCGCCGAGTTGTCGACGATGCCACAGTCAATGAGGCGTTGCGCGGCTACGGCAAAGAGCACGCCTTGTGGGTCTGGGATATATTCCTTCAGGATTGGCGCGAGAGCATCTTGCGCGGTGAAGTCTGAGTCATATAGCCATTAGAGATGGTCGATGAGGATATTGGAGTACTCACGGACTAGGCGGACAAGATCCGTCTCAGCCTCCACGGTAACCAGTCCGCAGCATATTGACACAAGGGCTTCCTTGTCGACGCCACCAGGGCGATCAGGAAGTGTGAGACTGAGGGCATATTGCAGATCGGGAAAGGTGAAGGCTTCCCGTGCGAAAACGAGCCACAGAAGGACGTGTTTGGCGAGGTCAGCATGTAGTTTCGGCTGCTCGTTGATACGCTTCAGAGCTTGGGAGTATATGTCGTGAAGGTCCGCCGGCAAACTATCCAGCGCCTGTTGCAGTTCCAAGATACTGAGGCAGTGTTGGACCATTTCGATCTGCAGCGCCGCAACAAGGAACCTGAAGGGACGATCAGCAAAGACGATCAGCAAAGACATACAATGTAGTCAAGGTAATCACTTACATCCCCTTCGATTTCTCCGAAATCTGTCGGACCAGTTCGCCTTTGAAGGAATGCTCCTTCAGAAGACGCTGGAACCCAGGATTACGGTCGACCACCCGCAGGATGAGGAGACCAATGTCGAAATGGCTGGCGGTGACTGGGTAGAACCTGGTAGATGGGAGCGCTGCTTCAAGCCTCTTCAATGGCCGCGATGTCAACGCAAACCGGCCCCGGAGTGCCTTAATGGCTTTGATCAGGTCGAACTGGGTGTCGACCAGCGCCTCGTCCAGTCCGTCGATCACATAAAACACGACGTCGAACCGCTCCTCGAATTGCCGCAATAACTCCAAGAGTTCTTCTTGAGTGGGACGAGTTTCCTTCTCTTCGTGCAGCGAATACAGGGGCTTGACGAGGTCTGCAAGGGATGGGTCGGTTTTGAGGAATTGCTTCACGAGTGATTCGAGAATATCCTTGACGCTCAATTGAGCGGAATATCGGCAGTAGGCGAATACTACGCAAATCTTCTGGTGAGAAGTTCGTTGCAGTTGCTGAAGGTCGTGAATGGTCCTCGCACTGGCGACATTGTTAGCACACTCTTCAGTTGGAGACCTACGAACTACTTACGCAAGGATCGTTTTCCCGGCCCCGGCTGTGGCAATGGGATAAGCGTCATACCGCCGAAGAAATCTATGCGACCTACGAATGCCTGTGCCCCAAAGGACGCGATGTTTTCCGGCTTTCCAGTCAAGATAGTCCTCCGAGTCGGTGAACCAAGCAAGTGTTCCATTGGTCCATTTCTCGTAATTGTGCTGTTGAATCAGGTGGAAGTTGGCGCTATCCGCGAACCAGTTCAGCAATTCCTGCCTCGTTATCTTCGGCCCTTCACCCTTGGATCCAACTGGAAGAACCTTAGTCAACAGTAACCCTACTGACTGTTGGAAGCACTTGCCGTTGACAGCGTCCTTGGGCGTATTATAGATATTGAGGCTGACGGTTCCTCCAGTGATGACGTTTCCCCCAGCGATGACGGGGCCCGCACCGGTAATTTTGGAGCCGCTGGCAATCTGCACTCCTGCGTTATTTACAAGGGGAGCACGCGTGAGGATATCGTGGATAGCTTTGGCCCGAGCGGCCTTCGTCTGGACCAAGCGAGCAGTTAGAGTCGGCCCTCGACGATATAGAACTAAAACGGGGCCGTACCATGTTACCGTCCAACTGGGTGTCATTTGCCGCCGAAATGGAGCGCTCCTGCCTGACCTCAAGACCCTACGATACGGCGATGGAATAAGTTACAAATCATTATTACCGATGCCCCATACGTACCCCGAACTGATCCACCAAGGAACTCGTTGAACACCCTGATACACGTGTCCTCGCATCATCGTCCTGCATGCACGTCAGTAATCGCACTCAGATTCAAATAAACGGACGGACCTGAACAGAAGTAGCTCGCTGTTTTCCTTTGTCCAGAATGGGGGATACCTCCTCTTGGTTGGAAGTGATCCCTTCGGCCTCGCTCTGATAGTTCCAAAATGGTTAGCTTGTCAAGAGAATGAGCGGCGGTTCTACTGACCTTCAATGATGAGCGGCGGCTTCGCTGCTCGCCCATATCTGTTGTGGTGGTATATTCCTCGGATAGTGTTTCAGGGTCACCTTGAGGCTCTTCCTGCTCCTGCTCGTTGCAGTAAGCAGTAAGGTCAGCGCACAAGGCCAACGGGTGCAGATTAACGAAAGTTCTACTCACCGGAAAAGCACCAGGGAACCTTAGCTGCCCGCAGTTGTTCAATCTGGGGCTGTCATTGTTCAGGAGAGTCGAAGAGCCCTCTTCACCATCGCTCTGAGCATCGAGGGGTTAGGGTTTAATGTCGATGGAAATGGAGTCGGACCACGAGTCCAAGGGTGACTGACCTGAAACGAGACCCCTTGGCCCATTGAAGCGACGGGTTCCTTGTAGTGGCAGTTGACTTGAGAAGAACTGCCCGAAAGGGAGGAGGTTTTGGAGGGAGAGGAGGGACGGGGAGATGGTGGATCGATGACAAGAGGAATTTGGCGCCCAAGCATCCTCGAGGTAGTCAGGTGATCTTAAGATGACAGCGGAGTTCAATATGTTTCCCATCCGCAAAGCCGGGTCCCAAGTTCCTGTGCTGATAGAACAGAGAAGAGGTGCGAGTGGGTGTTTTGAAGCTTGGACTGGACCAAGAAAGAATGAGCAACCCGAAGGGACGGCGAATCAACGTCCAACCTTCAGTTCGAGACGAACCCGGAGATACTCGTTGTTGCAACTTGGCAGAAGAAAGCCCGGCGTCGCAGTCCGGGTGTTCAAACGTTCACCAGCCAACCTAGATGGAATTAGAGTATAGGGTCGTTGAGCTCGGAATCGCACACCCTTTGGCAGCAGTTCGACCGTTCAAAATACTTCATTGAAACTCGGTGGTTCGAATTCGAACAACGAAGAAACTGAGTAATGATTGGTCGTTCGGTGTTCGAGCACTATGGTCAATTTCCTGGCTGGTTGCCCTGGTGCGGTCCTGGTGGATGACAGATCTAGACAAGAACGAAAAAAGAGTAGACGCGTCTGCGATTCGAACCCACGGGACACCGGATCAACTCAACCCGCCCTCCCGGGCTTCACGCCAAGCCAAAGTCCATACAGGCCCTGAACCACGACCACGACCACGACCGCGATTCCAAAGCGCCCTCAATTTCAAACCCCCGTTTCTTGCCAATCGACAGACAATATCGCACGACGACCGAACTGGTGGATACATAAAGGAGAACACAGGAAGAATACCGAGCAGAGCAGCGCGTTATGGCTCTACCGACGAAAGGACGCGTTATAATCGAGACGACGTTTGGAGAGATTGATATTGAACTTTGGGCGAAGGTGTGTTCTTTACTTTAGTTTGGGGTGCTCTTGTTAGGGCTGTGACTGAGAACTGGTTACGAACGGAGTCTTCTCGACTCGACGAAGGAGAGTCTACCTCCCATCCAACATGGAAATAGGATTCTGTTTGAAGAGGACTCAGCTCACAGACAACCCCTCTATCTCTGGCTTTATTCGAAGTCTAATGAGCAATACCTAACCGACATCTCACAGGAAACACCAAAAGCATGTCGAAACCTTATCTCTGGAGGGTCCGCAAGTTTCTCGTCTTCCCATAACCGCCCAGTTTATACTCATTTGTCTGTATGGATAGGGTACTATGACGGTGTGATCTTTCACCGGTGAGCAGCAGTCACCACTTCTGCTCTATTCTAAGGACTTAAGAACTGATTGGCGAACCTGGTGGGTAGGGCCGTACCTGGATTCCTGGCGCAAACGGGTGACAGGACTGGGACGGGGAACGGTGGAGAGTCGTTATTCCTTCCCGCTTGACCTGCGAACGAACCACCACACCAATCACCGTCTTGCAACTACGCACACCTCCATCCGCCTACGCATAAACCACACCGGCGCCCGCTAAAATAGAAGAACCCTTCGAAGACGAAATCCACCCCAACTACGGTACATCCAACAGAGGCCTCGTAGATGGCAAACAACGGGACAAGGCACTCGAACGATTCGCAATTCTTCACTACACTTGGTATATTCGTTATAACTTATAATGTTTTCGCCCCGCGCCTTTCTCTGGGCTCGCACACCGGGGCACTGATGTCAATATTGCCGACAAGACAGGGCGGACGCCGCTCATTCATGCTGTGGAACGGGTGCTCGAGGACACAGTCGAACGCCTTTTGGCGCACGAGAGCACTGATGTCAACATCGCCGACGACACAGGGTGCACCGCACTCATTCATGCAGTGAAATGGGGCCATGGGGGCGAAGTTCAACGCCTTCTTGCACACAAGCGCACGGATGTCAATATCGTCGACAGGGAAGGGCGGACGGAGCTCATCTATGCGGAAGCCGATGACAAAGGGGATACCGCTCTCATTGTAGCCTCGAGAAAGTGTTTCCCACAGATCGTCCATTTACTTCTCCAACACAGCGTCGGGATCGATGCCAATCACCAAAACCTTAAGGGTCAAACAGCACTCATGGTGGCTCCGGAGGGAAGGAGACATTCCTGGTTCTGGAATGAGCACGCAGAAGAAAGAGTAGTGAAGCTGCTCGCCGAGTTCGAGCAACGATCTGCAAGGAGCTCAAGTTAGATAGACATTGCATTTCTATAGCGTTTATCGCAGGTTGTAGTCTTGAGGTGACCGAATTGGACCAATACTGATCGAAGTGTAATTGTTTCGAGAAATCTGCGCAGACGTACCGTTTCCACCCATACCACCTCACCCATCCCGCACCAAACATTAATTAACCAGTATCATATATTATTAAACGTAAGATGCAAAAAACACACCCTCCTTCGCGACAGAATCCTCTAACACAGCTCTAAGGAGTAAACGTAGACAACAACCCCTTCCACACGAAATCCCTAGGGTTCCCATCAGACTCGACATACTTGGACATGAACAGCTCATCATAGCGCCCTACAAACGAAAACACGTCAATCAGTATCACTCCAAAACAAACTCACATTAACAAAAGGCAAAAATACGCACTGGACGTCAAAGCCATATCGTCCTTCCACATCTCGAACAAACTGCTCGCCTCGCTAACGCTGAACCGCTCAGGTACTTCGATCGTCTTCAAGCCTTGGGTGTACCCCAACAGCTCCTTCGAGCGCTTGTCGTAGGGACTTGGAGGGTGGGCGTAGCCGAGCGAAAGGGCGTCTCGGAGTTCGAGGGGGATGGTGAACGTCGTGTCGGACGCCGTCAAGGCGCCGATGAACGCGCCTTTAGCCTGTTAATTGGGAATATGTGAGTTTAATAGGCGAACAGTAAAGCTAGAGAAGACGTACGAAGGATCGCTTGCCCGAGGCGAACTCGAGGATGAGACGCGGCATCGACAAGTGGAACGACTTGATAGCACTGAAGAACGGATCCTTGTATGCCGACTTGTGGAACATCGACTGGAAGTCATCAATTGCCATAAGCACAGGGTACTCGGTCTGCTTCTCCAGCTCCTTCAACAGTCCATCCAACACCACCGGCGCACTGGCGTACGACTTGTCCTTGACGCAGATGCCAGCGACTTCGGCCAGGGTCTTGCCAGCCTCGAAGGTGAGCTTGTCGGTGACGATGGGTGAAGAGAGGGTGAGTTTGGAGAGGGCGTCGGCGTTGACGGTGAGGAGCTTTTGGACGGCTTGGTGCGCGGCGTAGGGCTGGAGGTAGGTTTGCGTGCGGAGGTCGTAGACGTGGGGTGTAGTTGAGTTGACGAGGCTCACAGCTGCAAATGAAAACGGTTAGAAGAGTACATTGCTAGACCGGTGGAAGACAGCAAACGCACCTCGAGGAATATAGAAGACGATCCAGCCCTTTTCGGTAGCGTACTGCACAGCTTGATGAAGGAGATAGCTCTTTCCGCATCCTGCACGGCCCGCTAGACTTATGTCAGTCCCAGCACCTCATGAATCGCGAATGAGCCGTACATAGAACGAGTCGGTTGTTAAGACTCGAAGAGTTCCTGGCGCTCTCCAGCTTTTGGATCGTGTCTACTGTCACGTCGCGGATGACAGAGCATGGTTTGGACATGATACGGAACTGCAATCCAGGGGTCAGGGACCCAGTCCATTTGAGCGCTAAAACGACTTCGCACCTCTAGGAACATCTTCTTTGGCAGACCGAAGACTTTGGCGGGGTTGGTTGGTGTCAGGTCGAACCCAGCAACGGTGCCAATGTTCTTTGGCGTCTTTACTAGCATTCAGTAATCAAAGGCACCCTCGTAGCTGAAGAACGACGCACAGGCTTGAACTTGGGAAGTTCCAAAGCATGTTTAGAGCCAGGCAGGAACAAGTCATTGAGGAAAGCCGGTTCAGAGTCGGTCTTTGGCGTCTTTAACCTCTCCTCTGGCATTTTCGTAAAGACCTGTCATTACTTTAGTCAATAAACACTTCAGAAAACAAATACAAAAGCCAAAGCAATGCGCACTGGGAGGTCCCGACTCTTGCGAACTCGTTCCTGTGCAATCTTTGCCTCCCATTTCTCCTTCTGGCCCTTCTTGACACCGCCGATGGACTGAGCCTTCTTTGGTTGCTGTTTAGCGTTCTGGGCTGCGCCGCGAGTCTGCTGGGTGATGATGGTCAGGGACTTGTGCAGGGTATGGCGCTGTGACGAGCAGCTGCCCGTTGCGAATGAAAGGAGTGACATTTGGCCTGTAGGGTTTTGTTAATAGTCAATTCAGATAGACTATTAACTTTTCCTTACCCGCTGTTGTCGTCTCGAGACCGCCTTTTCTCGTCGTCGTCGCGGAGGCCGTCGAGGTCGCTGTTGACGTTGACGCGACCGCCAACGCTGCCAATATTTTCGGCGGCGTGACGGGACTTTCCGGCCATGTGATGGCAATCTCACGTGAGTCCGGCCGGACTCTTTGGACCGGGGACGCGGCTCGCGTCGAGGGGTCCCTGATGGCGAGCCAACATTTTTGCCCGTCATCGTTTAGGTCATCGTTTGGACGAACAATGGGCTCGTTTTCGCGTCTATTCAAGTGTGTTCTGAAGTTTCGAGGGAGAAGGTAATGCTGTTTAGTGAGTTTCTTATTGTAAAGCAAGCTGGCGAGACTATTCCTTATCTCCAACCCAAGAAATCAGAAATCAAATTAAAAGGATGCCTCATGTTTGCCACTTTCCCGTACGCTGATGCCTAAATGCGGGGTGCTGGTGGCAGCGACAATGGACTAAACGTTGTCTTTTCCCCACAACCACCTGTTCTCCCGACCCTTGTCTACCACCACGACCGACTCGACTATCCTACACGTCGTTTGGCGGGGGAAAAGCTGGGGAAAAGGGCGCTGGTTTGCTGTTCGGTTGTCGAGATTAGCTCCCTGAATCATTCTTGACGTCCAGGCGTCATCGAGAAGACCGCCGTGGCTATGGCGCAAACGAGGCAGAATGGTTCGGAGAGACTCCCTCCCCGCTATATTGCCCGCCAGCTCGTCATGCCTTTGCCCCTCGCTAACTCGTCCCAACTTCATCTCCAAGCAATGGCCACCGCTGTCCCGCCGGCGAATTGGGACAAAGGTATGATTTTGTTGTATTAGAATAGAAGTTTGTATTGAACGGTAATAGCGCGGTATAGGAGACGATCGTTGAGCAACCAGCTGCCTCCAAAGACGCCGGTAACATACACAGCCGCCCCTCTCCGTCCAATCTTGAAGAACCGCTCGCCGTCTTATCACCAACAACCGCAGCCCGTGCCGTCGCAGTATCGCACCAGCTCATACTACCGTCACCACCAAAAGAGTTACTCAGAATGCGGGCACAGCCAACCAACAAAGAGCCATTCGGTCGCAGGCGACCACCAGACTGTCCCTTTGGTCGGCGTGTCGAAGATTAGGAGTCAGCGGGCTGCTGCTGCCGCTGCTAGCGAACAGGGGACCGTGCGCAGCGCCAAATCGGTGTATAGCTGTCCTTCGGCAGCGTCGTCGGTGTACAGCCAGGCTAGTTATACCGGCGAGGTGCCCAAGGAACCGCTGCCGACGCAGCGAACCCCTGAACCCCAGCAAGAGGCGGTTCCTCTTTCTCAAGCTTCCTCGCCGCCTCCTCCAGCTTCTTCTGCGCCTGTAACGCCATCACCCCCACCACCACCAGCCGAGGTCCCTGAAGAACCGATAACAAATCCCGACGCGACGACAATAGACTCGTCATCTGTCCCTGAACCTCAGCAACAGGATTGCATCGACAAAGACGGCTCTGGATGGCCTCCACGAGGCTGGAATGTCTACATCTCAGCCATGACAGCTCAACTTGAACAATCTGACATCCAACATCAACAACAACAGCAATTACAAGAACAAGCTCAAAACGCGGAGGAGCCCCGAATCGAGGAGTACATCTTCGATCAAGAGACGTTGACTTTTATTCATCCATCAAGTCAACGAAAGTCTAGGCCGCTGCATGAAGTAGTGGATCAGCCAGAGTCGTCTGCGTCTACATCAGTGGGTTTAGCTTCGTCTACTGCTTTGCCACCAGAGCCAGAACCAGCGCCAGCGGTTGTCTCCACTCCCCCTCCTGCATCGCAGAACACACCCACCGTCTCCGACCCCGCCTCCTTTACGAAACAGAAATCAACAAGCACCGTCTCACTCTCATCACGCAAATCCTCGATCTCGTCCAAACTTCGCTGGTCATGGCGTAAACGATCAAAATCGGTATCAGAGAACACCCCGCCCGTGCCGTCGATCCCAGCAATCGCTACTACCACCGCTTCTTCCCCCGCGCCAGATTCTGGTTCCACCGCCAACCCCAACGGTGCAGCAGATCCGAACGCCCCTAGGAGTAGTCGACGCGAACGTGACCGAGGACGCGAATCACCCGCTGGGAGCTATGAACTGCAAATCGACCGACGACTCTCAGCTGCGTACACCCGTTACCCAGCGGTAGACGGACCCACAGGCAGTACGAGCAAGGACTCGTTCAAAGTCCTGTCAAGGCCCCAACCCACACCCGTCCAGAACCCCAAATCCCATCTCCGCGCGTTCAGCGAGGGTGCGATCCCCGCTAGCGATAGTTTTGCGAGTCTGGGAGCGTCGTTTGAGACGCAGAGTTCGCAGTACTCTACTTCTGACTCTGCTCAGATTCAGTCTTCGTCTGGTTCCCAGACCCATTCGCCCTCGAATCCACCACAGCCTTCCTCTTCGTCCGTCCCGCAGGAGAGGGCGAGAAACCTGAGCCAGCAACCCTCGTTCTCCTCGGTGTACTCCTACTCCCACCTCCCGGGTGGACCGCCGGTCGTCCTGTGCGACCCCGAACCTGAACGTGTACAGCCCTATCCGAGGGCTTCGATTGACGCGTACGAGAGACCTGGATCGTACGTATATGCTGGGAGTGTATGTTCTTCCGCTGGGGCAGGTGGGAGGAGATACTCGGTCGACATGAGTGCGGGTCATCAGGGTGTTGGAATCCAAAATGGGATGAACGGCAACGGTGGTGGTGAGGTGGGAGGAGGGAGTGAGAGTGGTGCGAACGGCGTGTGTGGAGGCAGTCGAAGTGCGAATGGTAGTACGGGCAGTACAGGAAGCGGTAGTGGAAGTGGAAGTGGAACTGAAAGCTCTAATTCATCTATCCTCAAGACGCCCAGTGATATGAGCTCGCTGGACGCACTCCCCTCGTCTAAAGGGTCAGGCGCCGTCTCCCCCGATGCGAATGCAACCGCGAGCCCAGCTGCAAACCCCACTTCGAGCGCGACTGGCACCGTCGACTCGAATGCGAATACTTCGACCCTAACCTCAGCCACAACCCCAGCCTCGAGTGCAAAAACCCAACCAAACGCAGATCCGAACGACCCACTCGCACACATCTCGAACCACGTCCGCAAGAAATCCGTCCTAAGTGGGAGCAGGATGTCCATGTCCAACGGTGTGATGAACGAGAACGAGGCGAGGAGGAGGGAGGCCAATGGGAGTCCTGTGCCGTGGAAGACGCGGATGTGGATGGGTGCGAGTGGGAGTGCGTCGAGGAGTGGTACTGGTTCCCCTGGAAGCGGTAGTGCAGGCTCGGGTGCGAGTGCAAGGAGGAGTGGTGGTGGTGGGAGACCGAGGAGTTTGAAATCGACGTATCCGGTTGCGAGTTCGCCTCTTGCTTCTGGGCCGTCGACTTCGATACTTGACGCTGATATTCCGCCGCTACCCTCGTCTAGTAAGAGTGTCCCTACTTCACCTGTCACATCACCTGTCCATTCGCGCACCAACTCGACGGTCTACTCTCCTTCCTCCGTCTACTCCCCCGCACAGTCACCTCCCACATCGGCGCTGTCGAGTCCGAGAACGAGCGTGTTCTCGAACCCTGGGACGAGCATGTTTTCGAGCGCCATTACGCGGAATAACGCCAGTACCTCTACGAACGGCACGGTGGTGGGTGTACTGGCCAACGGTCCTTCCTCGTCCTCGACGAACGTATCCACGATGTCGGGTTCGACTGTCATAGCGCCTAATGGCGCATATACTGGTGGACCAGCAAGTGGTATCGGGTACGGATACGATACGCATACTCCCGTGTACGACTATGGGCTTGGTGCAGGTGTAGCGAGTCCCATCGGGTACGCGGGGAGTGGGTCCTACGCGGATAGTGCGAATGGGAGTGAAGGTGTGGGGTATGATCAGTATGGAGGGTTCGATCCCTATAGTGCGTATGGGAGTCCGAGTGAGAGTTTGAGTGCTCTTGGGAGTGGGGTTCTGAATGGGCCTACTGCGATTGGGAGTGGTGGTAATACGAGTGGGAGTGGGATTGGAGGTGCTGGGGCAGGGAAGAACTTGAAGGGCGGTTCACAGGTGAAGAGAGGACCGTCCAAGTTGAAGAAGAAGAGGAAGGCGCCGTTGGTGTTTGAGTTTGTGCAGCCTCATCATTGAAGCTGAAGTGGGATTCTCATCCTTCATCCTCCATCGTTCACTTGCTTCTTCTTTCCCTGTTTATTGTTCCTTCTTCCCCGTCCTTTTTTCTTCATCTTCCTTTTGGTGAACTACATACACTTGGTCATACAGCATGGACTTCTATTCTTCTATCACTATCACTATTATAGAAAAAATGAATTTCGAAGTTTGGTTCGATGGCTGGCTGGATGGATGGATGGAGTGGATGGATAGGGGGTATCTATCTATTGTATTTTCTTTTCTCTTTTCCAAGGGACGTTGTTGGTCTTCACTCTTGGTAGTAATCATAACCGTATTGTATCTTCTTCGTCTCGGCGACTTGAAAAGTTTCTAACATCCATACCACTATCTTCTTTTCTAGCGTCTCTTTTCCTCTTGGACACCCTACATACGATTTACACACCGCAGGCTACTACTTCATCTATATTCTCTAGTCAGTAACGAGTACTTTACGCTCCATTGATTCACGAATTTGTTAGAATATATCAGAACTTCATGTGCTGATCCGAGTCACGTCCAGGGTTACGGCAGCTCGTGACCAAATAAGCGCCCGGGCACTAGATAATGGAAGTGGAGCGTCAATTATGCAACGAGAAGAGACTATTTTACAGTAAAACTAACCCCAAGGTACCATCCCAGTAATACGACAACGCCCTACAAAGAGAACTCGCCCCCGGATCATACAGCGGCAACAGGCCACCCTCCCTCAGGTTCATAAGCGCCCATCCCTGGCGACGGTATCCACCCCCGTATCGACTCCAGACAACCCTCCTTCGCATATACTCTCAGCCCCAGGACAAGTTTTTGTCTGTCTTCTGGGTCTTTACATAGTTCGTACAGCGTTACGTGTGTCGGGATGGGCGGTTTCTTCTTCGGGTCCGTTGTTGTTGGTGGTGGAGGGGGTGGCGGAGGGGGTGGAATGGCGTTTGGTGGGCGTGGGGCGTCTTGGGCGGTGGGGAGGTAGGGTGCGATGGAGTTGTGGTCCGCGTCTGTTGTTGGGGTAAGGAGGGGAGGGGGTTAGTAGGGTGGTGCTGGGTGAATGGGAGGATGGGGGTGAGGCTTACTTTCCGCGAGTGCGAAACATTGTGCTCGCCGTGTTAGCGCTCGAGCGAGCTTGCGTTCGTCCCATTTCTTTTCTTGGAGTGCTTCTTTGAAGTAGCACTGTGGTAGGCCAAATGCAAACAATCTGTTGGCTGTGTGGAATGCGAATGTCGACGTTGGACGCACCATCTTCTTGAATCCAAAGTATCTTTGTACCCTGGGCTGTCAAAGGGCGGGAGTTGGGTTAACCATCGATTATCCCGGATATACGAGGCAGGCAACGCACATAGACGACGTACTCTCCCTCCTCCAACGTCTCCAAGTAGCACGAGACGCTTCTTTCCCATAGGAACGTCAGCGCAGAGACGCCTCTCCAGTCTTTCTCGCCCCTTTTGCAGACGTAGAAATCAAGGAGGAACCATACACGCCCGGAGATGTCCTCAAAGGCACGCCAGTCAATTTGGGAGAGGACGATATGAACTGGGGAGGGTTTGGAGAGGGTGAAATAATCTATGGGAAGTTGGGCGTGGTTGGTGAAGGCTGTGGGGCCCAAGTGCCAAGGGAGAGAGGAGACGTACACATAACCTCGCCGAATTGCCAAGGGAACCCGTCGGGTTTGGGAGGAACTTCGATCCAAATTTGTGAAGCCCGCCATGAAGAATCGAATACGATGACTCGTTGGATGTAATGCCAACAAGTGAGGAAATCAGAATCTACGGCCGGGTACTTAGGTTAGGCGCATCGCCTTCGTCCAATTGCAAGTTAGATAACGACGACTCACATTCCATCATAAGCGTCCCATAATCGCCCAACTTGTACTCCATGACCCTCAGAATCTCCTCCCTCTCCTCCCTCCCGAGCTCCGTCCACTCTTTCGACCCATCCCCCCACCTCCCATTCCACTTTGCTATAGTCTTCCCCCAGGGGTTGCGGATGACGACGAACCTGCGTCCGCAGACTTGGCGTGCTCGAAGAACAGAGTAGGCGTGTCGGAAGACGAGGTTCTCGGTATTGTAGGTTTGGCTGGCGTTCTTCGTGAGACGGGCGAGGCTCACGTCGAAGAAGCGGTCCACGCCTGCTTTGGATAGCTCTTCCTCCCAGAAACGGTCGGTGTCGAGGATATCCTGTAAGGACGGGGTGAGGGTTAGTGCTGTGGGTACGTGCTATGAGGTGAATGTGGGCGCGGTACTCACCATGATCTTCCATGACTCGTTCACACCACTGTACCATACACAAACTAGTGTCAGTTCATCGGCGAGGAGTAGGAAAGATGGGAATAGTCGCACCCAGTCAGATCCTCTAACGCTTGGGCTGTTTGTCCACCAGACAGAGCTTCGTACGTTCCGTGAAGTTTGGCAAAGGCCTTCTCGATCAATGGGACCCACGTCTCGCCGTCGTAACCCGACTTGGCAAAGAAGAGGCCTTCGCCTCCTTTGCGAGCCATAGCGTTGTACGCGTCCTTGTCTTGTCGGCATATTTGCTGTTCCCTCGTTCTCAGGTTCTCGTAGATTGGCATTTGGGAGTAAAGAAGACTGGGAAGGGGGAGGAATGGTCAGCTGTGTAGTAATAGGATGAGAATTTGCAGAGCGTACTCGTCGACGATGACTGGTGTCCAGATGCCATGTTTACAGAATATGAAGCCATATACTCCGACTTCTTCGTCGCGCTGAGAGTATCTGGAGTTAGTGGTACTGAGTGAGGTCCAAGTAGCCTGTACTGACTGCGACACACAGCTTCGATACAAGACCTTTCAGACCACTTATCGTCGATAGGGCTGATAAGAACCAGCAATCTCCCAGTGTGCCCTGCCGAATATCGTTTGGATTCGCATGGTCGGCAAAGAACTTTGGGTGCTCCCAAAGGTCCGTGATGCGAATTGTGTCTGCTGGACATAATAGAGACCGTCTTGTGCTCGAAAGGGTGTACAGACACAGCTCTTTATCAGATTCGAGATCGAATTCTAGGTCTCTGATTGATCGGGACGGGCCACGAGCAGCCGTTGCGTGTCAGTGCAGGTAAGCTGGATAGCAGGCATAGATGACGCACCGGAATTTGCGGTTCTCTGCTCGACATTCTCTACTAATCCTTTCAACCCTCTCTTTGCACTCTTGAATTGCAGCTTCAAGATTTCCCCCGAGTAAAAGGCCGATTTCCCCAGAAATGTCATCATCCGAGCCCCCTTTCGTCGCAGCAGACTTCAATGTAGAGGTAGCGCCACCGGACTTGGAGGTATAGCTTGACGTTCGTTCGAGTGTGGCTCGGATAGTGGCAGTAAGCTTCACCCTCGCCTTCAAGGGCTTTCCATTCCGCAGTGTCGCATAGGCGCCCAGAGCTAGACATGTAGCAGTGATGCCCACTAGCAGGGCGGAGAGCGGCTCTTTGAGGTTTCGTGTTCCAGAGCTGGGGAGTGGCATGTTGGTTGTGATGAAAGAAGTGGATGGCTATGGAGAGGGCTGTAGTGGATGTCGAGAGATTCCCGACCCCTGGGTTTAGCGCCAAAAGGATATCTTGTGAATCGACGCCGAGTCAGGTGGCGACCAGCTGGAATGCCTAACGTGATGAGCGCTGGGAGTGGCGTATTCTTCGAGGGTACAGAGGTTGGCGCTAGGGATGACAGAAAGAATACATGCAGAATGATGTGAAAGGCCGACAAAAGCGCTTTATGTATCGACGTGATTGTTCAAAAAGGGCTGTACGTGTCCCCTTGGCGGCATACAAGCCGCAACACCTATATAGATTGCAGTGCAGAGTCCCGATGTCGCTAAATACGATCCTTGAAAGAGGGTTGCAAGAGGAGTGCACGATCATTGAACCGGGGCCGTGCTTTGAGGATGGTTAATAGAATGAGTCAGGATTCCATAGGAAGCATCATCTTTGCTAACCTGACGCCCAAGCGGCTATTTCCTGCTTCTTCTAATTGTTATTATACCAGATAACAAAACGTGATACTTGCTGTTAAGAGTAAGATTATCGGCCATTGTTCCTCCATGGGCTGTGTTGCCCTGCCTTTAACCTGTTTGCGTCATGCTCACAGCTATGTTCAGATGCATCACTCTATAGGAAAGACTTAGGGTTCGAAACAGACCCTAAGCGGCAACATCTCATATCTTAGTCGCTCCAAGAACCCCTGAAGAGATACCGCCAAGGAAGAATTCGGGAGCTAATAACGCCGAGGACACCCGATCCATTGGGGTCCGGGACCGCCGGACGTGGTCCGCAGGCTGTGGGCAGGGCCGCGAGAGTCATCGCACACCTGTGAACCCAGTTTATTTGGGGTCTGATGTACTGCATGCGTACTGCTTAGGCCACAGATAAGTACTATCAATTTGTGGGGCTATACTAGTATTTTTTTTGCTTCGGGACAACGATAGGTTGCAGGCAACTTCAAACCTCCCTCCACAAGCACGTCGCATGACAAACACTGTCTTGCTGGGTCTGTAGGCATATTTAAGGACGAGATCGGGCTCCAAGACCACACTAAATATAAGGATATTTTGGTGTGTATAGATCGAGAACGATCACTACAAGGTCAGGTAAGATGCAAGGGAGAACGTCGGTACGCTGGGGCTTAGGCGCCTAGTCGTGTTTGTTCGTGTTAGGATCAGACGCCCTGATGGCAACCTCAGGTTCGCCCGCTCTGAACCTCTTTATTTCTTTATTTACATACAGTTAAGCCCAAAGAAAACCTTCATATCTGTTGAGAGCCCCGACCATGCTTTTCTAACGGCCACACCCTCGCGGAAGACGAGAAAAAGCGATGTTCTTCGTCGCGCAGCCCAGCCCGCGGCCTTGGACCGGCGGCCCCGGACCCCGATAAATCGGGTATTCTGATAACGCCGATGTGTCCGTCGAGTCTCAATTTACGGCACTTGTTCACAGCACAATATCCGGCGAACCCGGAGGATGACAGTATCATTGACATTAAGCGCCCGTATTGAAGCGGAGTCTGAAGCCTGTCATCACGTGCCAGCGCTGGCACCTGGCAGACTGAGATTGCGGGTTCAATTCTGCCTCCGGTCATTTCTTTTTGCCACCTCCATGCGGTTGCTGACCTGGAATATTGTAAGTGCGATGGTACCTGGATCCAAGGCAGGCTGGAACTGACTTTCTGAACAGAATGGCGTCCGAACTCTACCTCAGTATCACCCGTAAATCTACCATATGAATACGCTAGGGTTCGTCTAACTCAGACACGGTAGATGGAATACGCTCAAGACGTTCGATGATATCTTGAACCACTTGGAATCCGATATTATCTGCTTTCAAGGTCAGTTCGTATCGTTTTGAGCTCTCATTAAACTCACCGAAATCGACTACAGAAATGAAGAGCGGGCGAAAGCTACTGACTCAAGAGGTAGCCGTGCCACCTTCTTTCGACTCGTTTTTCTCCTTTCCAATCAAGAAAACAGGGTACTCCGGGGTCGCGACATACACACGCTCAAAGGTGGCCGTACCACTGAAGGCTGAGGAGGGTCTGTCAGGGATTCTCCAACCGAAACCACCGCTGGCGCCCGAGGAACGAATATCGAATTACGCGACCTATCCTCCTAACCTCTTGGACGATGACATGCACGACGCAGACGATGATAGACTGGACTACAAGAACCTCGACAGTGAAGGACGGGCTATTGTCGTCGACATGGGTCTATTCGTTCTCATCAACACGTATTGTCCCAACGACGGCACTGGTACAGAAGAACGCGAGGCATTCAAGATGGATTACCACCGGCTCCTCGAAACACGCGTTAGGGGCTTGATAGAGAAGGAGAAGCGCGAGGTCATCGTAGTTGGCGACCTAAACGCGTGTGCGGCTGTGATAGACCACTGTGAAGGAGAGTTGATGATCAAGAAGGGGCAGGCAATGGGTCTCGAGGGCGAAGAGGGATTCTGGGGGAAAGAATATAGGCGGTGGATTAGGGATTGGCTTGTCAAAGAGGACGGTACCGGCGGAACGCTTGTCGACATCACGCGGAAGCTTTGGCCTGATAGAGAGGGGATGTATACTTGTACGTAATCCTCGATTCTCTGAGAAGCTTTCTTAACCCTGAATTTAGGCTGGAACACGAAAATCTCAGCCCGGGAAACGAACTACGGAACGCGGATAGATTTTATTCTGGTGACTCCTGGTCTCGTTCCGTGGATCAAAGCGTCAGATACCCTTCCCAACATCAAGGGGAGCGACCACTGTCCAGTCTATGCCGACTTCCACGACTCGATTGTCGATCCATCCACAGGAAAAACCATCCACCTTGCTGATGTATTGGGGGCATCCAAGAGGGATGGGAAGATTCCGGACCCCCCTCGGATAGCAGCCAAGAACTGGGAAGAGTTCTCAGGGAAACAGACGTCACTTCAGCAATTCTTCAAAGGCTCTGCCAAGAAGCCCGCCTCAAACTCGACATCCGACACGCCCTCTGGTACCCCTAGTCTTCGCCCAAAGGACTCTCTCACTCGCAAACCATCATCTCCAGACCCACCGCTCCAGCTGCCTGAGCAAAATGTTTCTGATGTGGCCCGGCCTTCCGTGGAGGCATCCTCGTCCGCTTCTCCGATTACCGTTGACCCCAAGGCGGACATTACCGCTTCCGCGTCTTCCAACACAACGAAACGCAAGCTAGTTGGGGACTATACCTCTCAACCCAAGAAACTCAAGAAAGCTGCGAGCGCCAGTGGATCTTCTTCAACCAAGAAGTTAACCAAGAACGGCCAGAGTAGCATCGCCAGTTTCTTCTCTCAGCCTTCGACTGCGACCAAGGCCTCAGGTTCAAGGAAGGGCAAGGAAAAGGGTCGAGATGTCGAGATGGTTCCGGATGAGGACGAAGACTACAAACTCGCTTTGCTGCTTTCACAGGAACAAGGTCAAGAACCATTTCTTCCTTCGTCCCAGTCATCGCAACCTGAAACACAAGAACGAAGCAAACAACAATGGACCAGTCTCCTGGCGCCCATTCAGCCACCAAAGTGCAAAGCCCACGGGGAGCCAGCGAAGGAGTACACCGTGAACAAACCTGGCCCGAACAAAGGGAAAAGGTTCTTCATCTGCTCGAGGCAAGTCAGCTGTCGAGATTCCTAGTGCAGTGAGCTGATGTCTCTGTGTTCTGACAGACCCGTGGGGCCTGGATATGACAAAGGCCGTTCAGAACGGCTCCGAGAGCACGTTGATCCTCAATATCGTTGCAATTTCTTCAAATGGTCGAGTGAGGTAAGGAGGGATATGATGAAGGGGGCAGGTACGACCTTGGACTCGGAGTAGGAAATGTGTAACATCTTCGGTGAACACATGAACCTTAGAACGTGATGTGATCTTCCGTCATTCGCAATGAAGCTACGCGAGCGTTTCAGCCCTTTGTCCACGCCTGATGTTAATAGGACCAAAGTAGGACACTGTGGTTCCTGTGAGCATTGATTTGGGTGCAGATCATGACGTACAGTGCTCCCCCTGTCACCGAACGATGGTGACATTGACAGATCTTACATACGGGGGTGCATATTTGTCTCAACCGCGGTGCAGCCAAGGTTGCCTCAGGCAGGTACAACGTACTTGCGGGCTACACGGGGAGAGCGCCTCGCTTGGACTGGTAGGACGAGGTCCAGACGTACTGACATTTGGGAAAACCTAAACGGATGGTGCATCACTTGATTGTTGCTCTGGTATGTTGCTTCTGATTCAACCCTCTCGTTTCAATTATCTAAAGCCGTGCTTTGTGTCGATGTTTGACCGCCTGCCCCATTTTGACCAGGCTCCCTCAGGCGTCGCACCCATGGATAGTCTGGATATCCAACAGGCAATCATCAACGGCATTGCGTTCCTTCACCGGTTCAGCGTAAGCTCACTTCGCATTGACACACTAGCTCTATACTAAAGCCGCTATTTTCCAGTACGCACAAGGTAGATCTCGGTCGTATCTGATACGCGGCGTCCAACTAAGCGCCCATAACTCCCCACAGTAGCACCCCTGGTGTTGCTGGTGGGTTACAGGTGCCGAAGCTCATCCTCTCATCCACTTACTTGCCTATGCGGTCCAAATAGGTCGTGGACTATCTAGAGACATTTCCGTTGGAGGTATGTATCAATCGAATTGACTAGATGTGTTCGATTCAGATGACTGACCGTCCTGGCCGGCGCTTCCTCTCACCTCTCACACTTTCAGGTCAAGCACATATGGACGGCAGAGTGGACCAAGGTTAAATAATTTACTTGGTCACTCGGTACAGCATCTTCGTACATTACGCTCTCACGTTCGTCTGTAAGTCCGCCCGATAATCAATTGCAACCTTTCAAGGCGACTTTAACTAAGTGGGAACCCGGTGTCCAGATTACGAGTCCGAATCGTTAGACTGTGCAGTAGGCGTTTCGAATGATTGTGAAATATGGACGGTATCTTTCTGATACCTACACTATTAGGGATGTTATCGCTGGCTAGTTTCGAGCATTAGTGCGTATGACGTGCTCTCCGTGCCCACACACTCTGATACAGGTCTGACCCCGACAGTGGCGATGGTTTTCACCAGTGTCTTCTCTGAAGGTGAGCTCGCCTTTCCCCGAGTCTGCGTCGTCGACAAATATCTTACAGTCAGCCAGCCCTCATATACCTCCAGGTCTATGCACTCTCTGGAAAAAATGTCGTTATTGGTCTATGGCTTCTGTTTCAACTCATCGTAAGTTCCGACGGATTCATTCGGTACTAGAGTTTGGTCTGCTCATATCGCGCCGATAACAGGCCACCTACGCAGCCAAGCTTGGCCTCCTCTCAAGATATCTAAAGCTCTTAATTAGTACGTCGCTGCTCGTTGACGCTAATGGATGCTATTTTTTAAATTGTACCCTCTGCAGTGGCGGCTGTCGGAATACCAGGGATACATTGCACACCGCTGAATCCTAACGAAATTGCACCTTATATGGGCGCGGTTTTTGCTGTACCCATCGCACCTCTCGCAAGTAAAGTCAACTTCAAAGTGGTATTTATACTCAGTTTGGATCCTGACTTGGCCCAACCAGTTATCATATTGATATCCTTCTGGATCCATCGAAGAGGGTACAGAGGTCTGAAGAGCTCGCTGTTTGTCGTCATGATTAGGAATGGAATGGCATACGTGCTTATCATTCTCGTGCGGTGTTTCCTTTCTAGTTAGCGTCACGATAATGACCTGGGTGTTTACTAGCCACATCCATATTTACCGTGGCGATTAACTACAGCTCAGCAGTAAGTCTTAAAAACCCCTGACTTCTAAACTAGGATGCACAGCGAGAAATACAAATACAATTCAGCAAGGAAATGGGTCACTTCTCTCGATGTAAAGCTCCAATCACTTCCTTATGGTGGGATATTTGGCAGTTAACACGTTCTTCCTAGATTTCAAGGCGTATTCCAACCCCTACTTTCGACCCGGTTGATCCTTCATCTCCGAGAGGAGGCCCGGAAGAAAGTTTTCCTGGAGAGCTCGGGCTCGACTAGCGTTACCCGACCGACATTAACGACGCTGCAATTCAATGGTCCACTCGCGCGCGGCTGCCCGGATGAGACCCATTCCATTGAGATGCACAGCCGAAGCGATGTCTAACCCACAAGAATATTGCGACGGTAGCAATCTTTTTAAAACTATACATAATAAGTCTAGTTTGAACTGTTCGCGGCTCGTTTCTCGAATTCGGCGAGCAATTTGATTGCTTCCGAGCTTCCCTCCCTAACCGAAACACAGTCCCTTTTAATTCTCGGTGCCTCCTGAGCCGCCATGAGTGCTGTTTGACCTTTTGCGTTCTTGCGATAGACATCGATCCTGTTGTGTTGGAGAAGGTGACGAACGAACTCCGAATGGCCCAATCCGGATGCTAGAATGAGAGCGGTATCCCCTTCGCCATTGGCAATGATGACATCGATATCTTGGACTCCGAGGAGAAGTTGTACAACGCTCGCGCTACCGCAATTAGACGCATGCATCAATGCCGTGCCCCCACCTTCATCGACTACCGAGGTCAACGTGACGTTGACCTTTATTCCCTTATGTGCGAGAAGGCACTGGACTACAGCCTCGCTATCAACGGCATGGAAAAGAGCTGTCTGCCCTCTTCTATCGCGAAGGTTTATCTGGTCTGGGAAAGACTGAGTCCATCCACCCAGCACTGATCCCAGCACCGTTCGTCGTGAATAGCCAAGGAGTGCATCCACCGTCTCCGTTTTCCCGCGTTTCGACGCTATCATCAACGCCGTATAATCCTTCCTTTCCCCCGCTTGTCCTCAAAGCCACATTGCCCTTCGCCGTCCCCATCAGCACCGAGTCGAGAATCTCGTGAAAGCCATACCGCGCCGCAACGTGAAGAGGGGCAAGGAGTACAAGGTCAAAATGGGAGCTAGTTGGGAACGACGTGCATTGGTAGACCAATTGTTGCACTGCAGCCGCGTATTGTGGATGGTAAGCCAATAGTCGTAAGAGTAGCCGAGGAGTGGATTCCAATACAAACATTCCCAGAATTCATCCACTCGATCGAACCCCTCCCTGTTCATTGGGATTCCATGCTCAAGGGCTTTCGAGTTGTTGCCTTGAAGAGCAAACCATGTGGTTCTGGTAGATGTTCCTCGAGCACAGGCGCGAGCGAATCCTGGGCAGTGGCGTCTGGAGGAGACGACGCCTATAAGGGCGCAGACTTTGGGACAACTGCATCACTTACGAACTAAGCGGACGATCTGTCTCCACTTCTACATTGGAAAGAACCTGTTGTGCCGTCGTCTTCTTCAGGTCTCCGAGATGGGAACGGAGAACATTAATCTTTCGACTAGGGTCTGGTTCACGAGCCAGGACATGCATTTGGTATGCCTCCAGTTTTTTCCACGCCAACACCACTGAAAACTCGACCGTCCACTTATTAGTACGCGCATCCGAGAATCGAGATTCAGGGAGTATGTAAGAAGTCGAAGGATGCACTACTATCGCAGGATCGACGTGAATATAAGAGTAGATGCATGTTGCACGGTTGTACAAAGAGATGAAAATGTCCGTACATTAAGATGAGCGGCGCTCAAACTCAGTGAGAATCTGGATGATAGCTTTGTAGTCTTCCTCCGTTCCAGGATCCTCCTCGGAGTGCTCCCACTCGGAGTACCCCCACCCCCTGGCTCCAGAATCCACCTCTGCTAAACCCTCCCAAGCGACTGTAAGTGCTGATTCACCCATTTTGTTCCTGTGATGAATGTTGATCCTTGTCCGTTGGAGGAGCAGAGAGACGGCCTCCGAGCGTCCCCCCCTTGCAGCTAAAATCAGCGCAGTATCCCCGTCTTCGTCAACGGCGTTGGCATCTAAATCGTGACACCCTACGAGAAGTGCTATAAGACGTAGGCGTCGTTCCTTGTCAAACAATGACCAGGGGTCCAAACTGGTTATGTGGCCGGATCCAGGGCTCAACGCGATCATCAGTGCCGTCCGGCCCTCATTGTCAGCAAGATTGACCTGGATCTGCTTGTGCGCGAGCAGAAGTTGAACGATGGTGTCGTGGCCATAACGTGACGCGAGCATCAGTGCCGTGTAGCCGTTGTTGTCGGCCAGCATGACCTGGGTGTCTTCGTGAGCAAGTAAGTGTCGGACAGGGCCTTGGTGGTCATTGCATGACGCGAGCATCAATGCCGTCCGGCCGACTTTGTTGACGAGATTGACCTGGGTATCCTTGTGAGCGAGTAGGGGCTGTACAGTCACTTTGTAGCCCTGGGCCGACGCGAGCATCAATGCTGCCCAGCCGTCGTTATCAGCGAGATTGACCTGTATGTGTTGGTGGGCAAGTAGGTGGTGAACGGCTTCTCCGCGACCGTTGCTTGACCCGAGCATCAGTGCTGTTTGGCCGTCGTCGTTAGCGAGGTTGGCTTGGGTCGCCTTGCACGCGAGCAGGCGCTGAACGATGGCTTCGTGGCCATAGCACGACGCGAACATCAACGCCGTGTAGCCGTTTCTGCCAGCTAGATTGACCTGTATGTCCTTGTGATCGAGCAGATGTTGGACAGGGCCTTCATGGCCATTTTCTGATGCGTGCATCAATGCTGTCCGGCCGCTTTCGTCCGTAAGATTAACCTGTGTGTCCTTGTGAGCCAGTAAGCGCCGTACTGCATCCGCATGACCCTCTCTGGAGGCAAACATGAGAGCAGTCATCCCCCTACTATCCCGAAGATTAAGCTGACCCAAGAACAGATGGCTCCCTGGTCGCCCTTCGCCACTCAACGTCGACCGCAACATCGATCTTCTGGTGTATCGCAGTAGCGCGTCAATGACCTCCACATGGCCGTGTTCCGATGCTAGCATCAAGGGAGTGGCTTTCCTCCGCCCACGCGTGCGCAATGTCACCTTCCCCCCTGCAATGTTCATGAGAGCTTCATCGAGAATGAGATGAAGTCCATGCCGCGCCACAATGTGAAGGGGAGTCAGAAATGTGAGGTTCCACCCATCCGGATCCATGTCTGGGAAGGACTTGCATCGGCGGACAAAATCAAGTACCGCATCACGCAATACTGGATTTGCCATGCACTCCCGTGCGTGATGGCTCCAGTGGTCGTAGCAGTATTTCAGAAGTGGGTGTCCTTTCAATGCTTGGCTGAGATCTTCACGGGTCTTCGCACCGACAGAGTTGCTGATGATGCCACAGTCAACGAGGCGTTGAGCGGATACCGAAAAGAGCACGCCGTGTGGGTCTGGGATATATTCCTTCAGGATGGGCACGAGAGCATCTTGAGCGGTAAAGTCTGAGCGGTATGTATATATATCAGGGATGGACGATTGGGATAGTTAAAGGACTCACGGACTAGGCGGACAAGATCCGTTTCTGCTTCCACAGTGACCAAACCACAGCATATCGACGCAAGAGCTTCCTTGTCGACCCCGTCGCGGTAATCAGGAAGAGTGAGACCGAGGGCATGCTGAAGGTCAGGGAAAGAAAGTGCCTCTCGTCCAAAAACGAGCCACAGAAGGACGTGTTTGGCGAGGTTGGCGTTTCGTTTCGGCTGGTCGTTGATACGCTTTAGCGCTTGGGAGTATATGTCGTGAAGGTCCGTTGGCAAGCTATCCAGTGCCTGTTCCAGATCTGCAATGCTGAGACAATGTTGGACAAATTCAATCTGCAGCGCAGCGTGAAGGAACCTAGTGAATGTATTAGCATTAACATACTACGTAGTTAAGAAGGGCACTCACATCCCCTTCGATTTGTCTGAAATTTGCCGAACCAGTTCATGAAGGTAAGAGTGTTGCTCCAAAAGGGTTCGAAATCCAGGGTTGCGCTCTACCATCTGCACGATGAGGAGAACGATGTCGGAGGTCTTTGCGGTTACCGAGTAGAACCTGGTGGTTGGGAGCCCCGCCTCAAGCTTCTTCAACGGCCGCGACGTCAATGCAAACTGGCCTTGAAGGAAGTTGATGACCTTGATCAGATCGAACTGAGTGTCGACCAGCGCTTCGTCAAGTCCGTCGATAACATAGAACACGATGTCGAATCGGCCCTCGAATTGACGCAACAAATCTAAAAGTTCTTGCTGAGTAGGGCGGGTTTTTTTCCGTTGGTGCAGTGAATAGAGGGGCTCGACGAGGTCCGCAAGCGATGGTTCGGCCTCGAGGAACTGCGTAACAAGCGATTCGAGGATATCCTTGACGTTCAATCGTTCGGAATATCGGCAATACGCAAATACAACACAAATCTTCTTGGGGGAAGCCTCCTGAAGTATCTGAAGGTCATGAATGGTCTTCGCACTGGCACCGTTGAATCATCAGTAACGTCCGTTGTAGACCGTCGAGCCACTTACGCCAGGATTGTTTTCCCAGCACCGGCTGAGGTGAGCAGGATAAGTGGTATTCCATCATACAAAATTATGCGACCTACGAATCCCAGTGCCCCAAAGAATACGGCGTCTTCCATCCTTCCACGTCAGGTAATCCTCTGATTCGGTAAACCAGGAAAGAGTTCCATCGGTCCATTTTTCGTAATTCTGCTGTTGAACGACGTGGAAGTTGGCGCTCTGTGCAAACCAGTCTTGGATTTCTCCCCTCAACCTTTCAAATTTTCCATCCGCGGATTGCCCTTGAAGAGCTTTAGCCAGTCGAGAACATTTGTGACCATTGGAAGTGCCTACCATTTGCGACGTCCGCTGCATTATTATATATGTTAAAAATGTTGACGTCCCCGCCGGCGATGACGGGGTTGCCTGTGACCCTGGCACCGTCGGAAATATGAACTGCGGGGTAGTAGACTGCACGGGGAGTCCAGTTGATCACTGGAGTATCGTTATCTTCACCGCGAGCGACCTCCTCCTGGACCAAGGGTAAAAGCAATGGTCAGCGTTTGAGACAAAAGAGCGAAGGGAATAGTTTTACCTTAGGCTCTCGCAACATGATATCGCTGGTGGCCGAAGAGGAGGGATCTTCGATGAAGCAGTTGTCCTGCGGCGATGGTGTCAGGTACAGGCCAGATCAGCAGTAGTGACAAAGGGGGTACCTTGAAGTAGTCTGCAACGGCGCTATCGGAACTCCCCGATGCACGTGCTTGCCCTGCGCCCATGTCCTGAATACTCGTCAGGGCTTGCGTTCGAGATTTCCATTCAGAGGAATAGACAAACCTGCACACCGGAAGACAGCTGCACACCTTCATTCAAACTGGGGATTTGCTCCTCCGGTAGGGTCGAAGGGTCTCCAGAGGGCTCGTTCTGACCGTTTCAAGAGCATCAGTGCCCACTAGCGATAAAGACAGACTCAGACGACACCCTACACACCGGAAACGATCCACGGTGGCTCAACGACCTGCCAGTATCCAAACTGGGACTGCGAGCATCGGATGGCGTTGAACGGTCTGCTTCAGGTTCGTTCTGCGCAGAGATGGGTCAGTGTCAGTGATCAGATATCGACGAAGAAGATGGCCGGGGCTCGTGCAAAACCCACCTGAAACGAAACACCTTGACCCATTGTAGATTGTTAAGTTGACTGCAGCGGTTGGGACTTGGGGTGGGAGCAAAACTGGGGGGTTTACTCGAGACAAGAAGAAGGTAGGATGATGGTGGGTCGATAACAAGAAGATTTAGCGCCCAATGGTGCTGTATCCTCTTGGCTCAAGCAAGGTAGCCAGGTGACTTTGGCATGACAGCGGAGTTACCCGTCGTCGGCCGGCCAACTTGAAGGGCTATACTGGCCACGGAATGGCGGCGCACCAGAATATATGGCACATAGTCCCTCGGTGTGCAATGCACAGGGCCATCTGAGTCTAGAAAATTCATAATATCATCAGGGTACGAGCGACGAAATGGAGGATTTGAACTTGGAGCACCAGAGTCATTAACATTGGACGGGTTCAAACCGGCTCTCGACGTTCTATGTAACAAGGCACCGACTACACGGAAGGTGGTCTGAAGCGGGATTGTCATTGTTTGGCTGTACCCTGGGAACCAAGCGCGTTCAAATTAGAAGCCTGCCGGCGCTTGGCACAGTGCTCAGAGTCGATGGGTGGTTGTGATAAGGCACCAGAAGATGGATGGATATAAACACACGCGCAACTCTCTGCCTGATGTAGATAGAATAATTGCACTTGGACCTTCCCCGGACCAACTCCTCGCAAGCCTAGTACTTCAAACGAATAGGCGTGTAAGTATGTTTTTTACCGCCGCGTAGCACGGCATCTGGACCACGATATCCCACAGAAATGATGCAATGCAATCCCTCTAACAGTACTTCCCAGATTCCACAGCTTCTGCTTCTACGTCCTCCCGACGGGATCGCATATTATACGCGAATAGCACACCAGTGACCAAGCGATCACCGTTCTCCAAATATCATTCCCCGTCTGAGTAAAAAGCTCGCGCGTATCGTTTTTTCAATAAAGACAATTAGCGATTATCACGGATGACTGGCAAGTAAGCCTAGCCATCAAGGAACAGCAGCTGTTGGGCGCTCGAAGGTGGTCCAAATACTTACAAGGACGTCTACACCTCGGACTTTTCGGGTGCATCGCGGTAGTCTCTCGGTGCCATTATCCCATACCTACCTCTTCGAAGTCCCATCGGATATCCAATGTCTCCATCAGGTTAGTAGTAGTAGAAAATATAAAAATGCCTCAGAAATTTAGCGACAAGATAAGGTGGATCTTCCCTTTGCCCTGTCTGCGCTTTTCCTTCCCCCTCATTTGGTTTCGGCGCGATGTCCACAGACGCAGACCTCCAAGCCGAGATTGCTCGCGCAGCCAAAACTCTCGCAGGGGTCTCCGCTGCTGCGAGTACCATCTCCATCCTAGAGTCAGGTAAGGAAGAACCCTTCCTTCCTTTTTTCTCTTTCAATCTATTCTGGATTCTGAACCCCGGATTTCGACCCGCTCGTCAAGGCCTCCAAATATTCATGGCCATATACGGTCTCTCCGTCTGGCTCGACACCTCAGAAGAACAGCGCAAACGGCGTCTACCATACATCCTCCTGAGCTTTTCCATCCTCTTCTTATCCGTCATCCCCACCTACCTAGGTGTCGCCGACGAGTTCAAAGTCTTATACAACTCTGGTCCTGGGATTGAGTATCTGGATATGAAAGATGCCGCTCGATCCAAATGGAACCAGATGCTCTCGTATGCGTTGATCTTCGCTGGAAATTCTGGTGTTCTAGTGAGTGGGTCTTTGGTGGTATGGAGAACTTGGGAGGGGCGCTTGCCAGTCTTGAAATCTTTCGTGAATTAGCTCTATCGCTGCAACCTAGTCCGGTATGATCTTCGCTGGATCATCATCCTCCCAAGAGCGATCTACCTCGTTCTAAACGGTACGTCCTCCCCACCACTTTCACCGACCCTCCCTACTCATCCCACCTCGCAAATAAGGCCTCTCGGCCTACACCCTCTACGAAATCTCCAAACTCGACCAAAACGCCACAGCCAACGTCCACCTGAGCGTGGCCATGCTCCTCCTCAACGTAATCTTCTACATCCTCGTCACAAGCCTCATCATCTTCCGCCTCCTCCGCGGGCACAGCGCCGTTGCTAAAGTCCTCCCTGGGCGGAGCTTTACAGCGCACAGAGGAGCCATCAGCATCCTCGTCGAATCCGCTCTGCCGTTGACGATATGCGGGTTCATCTCCGGCGTCGTAAATGCCCATATCAATATCGGCAAAGGCACGCAGAATTGGGTCACGATGTTCGCTGTGGGGTACATCTTCGATGCCCTATCCACTTGCTGAACCGTGCGTCTCGAGTCCTTGCTCAACATTCTCGACTCGCCACGTGATATCAGCGCTAACCGCTTCTTGAAAATAGGCGCTCGCACCACAAATGATCATCTTCAGAGTGACGACAGGCCATTCGTTCACCCGCCATGAAGAGACACAGGTTACGCATCCGCAGAGCCGGGTGGGTGTTATCACAGCCTATTGCGTTCAATAATTGGCCTGGGGATGAGACGTCGGATTATGAGGCTGGGGCGAAGTATGATGGCCGGGATACTAGTTCGCATGCTGCGCAGCTCAAAATACAATGAATAGCCTGTCACCTACCTGTTTTGCCGCCGTCCTGGTCATAGGGTATATATTACTTATTTGAAATTTTAATGCTGTAACCATTGGGTTCCTGTTGGCATCGGAGCACGAACATACTGGCGTCGAGTACAACAGGACCAACGGACTCAACCTCCTCGATTCCACACCACGTCCACCGTGAAAAGAGAAAAAAAAAAAAAAAAAGAGAAAGAAATTCAATAATCGGGTATGTAGTATGTAGTATGTCCGTATCTCGTACGCAACATAGCACAAACCAGCTACCAGTCCAGTCCAAGATTAGCTAGCGAGTCAAAAAGTAAACGTCCACTCCCACCTCCATCCACGATTACAAAAAAGAAAAGACACAAAGAAGGTAGAAACGTCTCGAGAAATATACAACACCTCTCCAACCACCCCTCTACCATGTCTTCCCGTCACCCTCTACCCCCTCTTAGGCAAAACCCACGAAGGCGTCCCCGCCCCCTGAGGCGACGCCGACTGCGCTCTTAACCCATCCTGCTGCTGCTGCTGCTGCTGTTGGGGATTAACAAACCCCGTATCCGTCAACTGATACCTCGTAGGCGAACCAACCACAGTCTGAATCTGGTACCCTCCCTGACTAACAGTGCGATGATGCTGACTCTGCGTGTGACCTGTAGCAGTAGTACCACTACCACCCGTAGGCGACGCGCCACCCTGCTGAGAACCAACCGAAGGTGCAGTAGTAGAACCAGCCACCCCAGTCGCCGGACCCGTCACACCAGGCACGCTAACAAAATACACCGCGCCCGCCAAATCCTTCCCGCCCTGCGCATAATACTGCGCCCACGCCTGCACGTTCGGGTCAGGGTACGTAATCGACGGGTCGTACACGTATGGAGGGCCAGCTGCGAGCATCTGTTGGATCTGCGAGGGGGTTAGCGGACCGTTGGTTGAGTGGGGCTGAGGGTGAGGTTGGGGTTGGGGGTCTGGCTGTGGTTGTTGAGGTTGGGGTTGAGAGGTAGGTTGGGGTTGAGAGGCAGGTTCTTGTTGTTGAACAGGCTGTTGCTGACCCGCCGCCGGTTCCTGCGCAGGCTGCTGCTGCTGCTGCTGCTGCTGACCACCACCACCAAGATTCAGCCCCTCAAACGACGCAGCCAACGGCGCCGTCCCAAAATCCTGCGTCGCCCTCCTCTGAGGCTGCGTACTAGGCTGATCAAACGGGGTAGGAAGCGGACCCGAACTGCTGAAATCCTGCGTCGCCCTCCTCTGTGGTTGCTGCGTACTGGGTTGGTCAAACGGTGTGGGGAGAGGGCCAGAACCGAATACAGAATCTTCAGTCGAACTACGTTGAGGCTGCTGGTCTTGAGGAGACTGTTGACCTTGAGGCGCCTGCACACCACCACCACCTCCTCCAGCTCCCAAATTAGCCCATGGCTCAGGCAACGGCCCATCATCCAACCCACTACCAGCATCACCACCGGTAGCCGGAGCAGGACTCGTAGCAGCGGGAGTCTGCGACGAAAGCAAATCCAGAGGCTGAGTTTGAGCCTGTGGTTGAGGCTGGGGCTGTTGAACTGCGATGGGTTGTTGAGGCTGAGTAGGTTGAGTGGGTTGGAGCGGTTGCGTTGGCTGCAATGGCTGAGTAGGTTGAGTAGGTTGGAGCGGTTGAGGTTGGATCGGTTGAGTAGGCTGCAATGGCTGAGTCACCTGCTGCCCTCCCAAACTCTGCGCCCTCCCCAACGGCTGCTGGTGCGGCTGTTCAACTCCACCAGGCGACGACACCACACCAGCACCACCATACGGCGAAGCCCCATACGCCGCCTGCTGCTGCGGCAGATGACCTTGAGCACTCTGCGTCCTCAACGGCTGCGCCTGACTCTGCACACCGGGAGGAGTCTGAACCTGGCCTTGTCCCTGGGCAGCAGGAGGAGGATACGGAGTCGGACCCTGGGCACCATACGGCGCGGAATACCCGTACGCATTGGGTTGTCCAGCCGGGGTTGGTGCACCACCGGCGGGTGGGTACCCCTGAGGTGGCGGCTGATGAGGGGGTTGTTGGTGGCTCGGATGAGGGGGTTGTGGATGGTGAGGAGGCTGTTGGTGACTCGGATGATGGGGAGCTTGGTGAGGCTGATGAGCAGGGGGTTGTTGTTGTCCCTGAGGTGGCCGGCCTTGAGGTGGCTGGTGGTACGGCGGCTGTCCACCAACCGGGGGTGCGCCCTGTGGAACAGGATAGGCGTTATACCCAGGCTGGTCATACACATTCGGGTTCCAGCCGTACGCCTGTGGTTGGGGGATCCCAGCGGGCGGTGGGCCGTACTCTGGTCGCACGGATTGTGCGCGTGGGTAGGATGATTGAGGACGACCGTAGGGCGGCTGCTGGTCGTAGACTATATCAATAGATGGAAAAGAGCCATCCGCGTTAGAAACGACTGAACGAAAGAGAAAGAAGGGATGACGAATACGCACTTCCAGTATGCCTAGCCAAACTCTCCTCCATCATCCGATCGAAAATCGAGCGAGCCCGAACGAACGTTTCGTTCATCGAGACCAAATCAGCTATAAACGCCCATCCATGAGTCAAACCACCACCACCATCGAGATTAAGCACACATACCGCGCTTCTGACTATACTTATCGATCAACTTGACAATCTTGGGTCGAAGCGACATACAGGATCGGTACAATTCCTAGAAATCGCAAACCGCACAAAGTGCTCAGGTTAGGCCATGGGCAGATGTGAGATGGTATACACCCACCTGGATTTCCTCGTTATCAGCCAAATTATCCTTCTCAGGATCCAAATTCTTCAACATCGTCAACAACTTTTCAACGTTCACGGCTTGCGAGAAGACAGCCGCTTCCTGCTCAGCTTCGCGGGCCAGTTCAGCTGCTGTCGGTTCGGGCATTGGTTCCTAGCGGTGTCATAATAGCGTCAGACTTTGGAAACCATGCTGCGAGGAAGAGAAAAGGACGTACGACATAGTTGACAGGGAAGATACCCGTCCTCCCTTTCAACTGGCCCCTCCACCAATCTTTGTATCCACGATCAACAACCTTGATGATATCGCCCTTCTCAAATGCGAGTTCGCCTGGTTCGGTGGGCTCGAACGTGTGCAACGCCCGAACGCGGGTGACGATTCCGCTCGTAGTCGATGTAGCTGTAGTCGAGGCTGCCGTCGTTGTTGCCGCGGGCGACTGTGGGGACGCAGCACTCGAAGCATACGACAAACTTGATGAGTACGAATGCTGGTGCTGCGGCTGGGCAGGGGGCTGTTGCTGCTGCGCGGGTGGCGGAGTCTGGTACCTCCTCTGCGTAGCGGGAGATGGCGTGCGAGCGGGCACATAGCCCGATTGGTACTTGGGAGCTGAATACCCGGATGTAGTAGGCGCCGCAGTCGCTGTTGTTGTTGTCGAGCTCGATCCAGCTCCGGCTCCAGACGACGACGATCCAGCTGCCAGAGAATACTCAGCGGCCCATGCTCCCCGCCCGCCCTTGTCGTGCATCGACATCTCAAGCACACGCTGCAGCTCTTCCTCTTCTTTACGCCTAATCTCGTCATCTACAGCAGGTGGAAGGGGTTCGCTCGGTTGTTCGAATTTATAGCCTACAAACCAGTCAATCCACGCCCGACGATGAAAGAGAAACAACACACCCTTTGCCTTGAGAGAATCGTACAACTCCTCCATGATCCCCAAACTCGTATCCTTCTCAAACTCCGCAGCCAATTCTGCGATCAAGGCGAGTACACGCTTGCGAACCTTGTCATGGGTCGTCCTATCCAGCACGATCTTCTCCAAGGCCTGTGTGAACGCTTTAGACGAGATCTCCCTGTGTACTTCGATGCCCAAGTTCTTGGAGAGGGATTCGGCGAGGGAGAGGGCGTAGAGCTGGACGTTGGGGTTGCGGTGCGCCAGGCGCTTGATCACTGCTGCGATGGCGTTGCGGGCTCTGCGGTTATCGTGATTAGAACTGGTCTAGTAGAAGAGGAAGGACAGGACACACCCTTCCTCGCCTTCATCTCCTACTTTGTCGCAAAGAGTGAGGATGATCTCCCAATTCTCCCCAGTCAGATTCTCATCTGTCGCTTTCACTATTTATTCCCCCTAGATCAATCCACGCTCTCTCATATACAACCAAGGTAACTCACCGACGATGTCGTCGTACGGATTAGCCGTCCCTCCTCCAAACATTCTGTGCAGTTAGAAAAAAGAACGGGAGGGGTGTTGTGGGTATAAGTAGTACAAGGGACAACTGGGTGCGCAGCTGAGGCTTGGGGGAGACGGTGGCTGTGGTGGTGGCTAGGCGCGGTAAACTCCGTTTGTCGATGATAGTGATGTGCCGCTGATGATCGCACCGCCCTCTCTCTCTCTCCCTTCTATCGATTCACAGCTAGTCCATCCATGGCTAAAGGTGCATTCCCTCTTATCCAACGTCTATAAAATTCTGACCATCCAACTTATCTATTACCGAAATCACCTTTATCGCCCGCCTACAATCTGAATCTACAGTTCCAAGAAACTTCCGATTGCTCGAGGAGCTCGAGAAAGGCGAGAAGGGGATCGGAGACGGGTCGTGCTCGTACGGATTGGAAGATGGCGACGACATCATGATGAGCAACTGGAACGGCACCATCATCGGGCCAGGCCACGTACGTCCCCCTTCCCGTCTCACTTCTTAACAGCATCTCCGCTAACCGCCAATACACACGATATCTGTTATTAGACCGTCCACGAGAACAGAATATACAGCCTCAAGATTACCTGCGGCGAGAACTACCCCGACTCCCCACCCGACGTCCAGTTCCTCTCCAAAATCAACCTCCCATTCGTTAACCCCAACAACGGCAAAGTCGACGCCTCAAAGGTCAACGTACTCGCCAACTGGACGAGGAACAGCAGCATCGAAACCGTCTTGGTCGAGATTCGCAAGTACGTTTTCCTATTCTATCTTGCCTTTTTCAATATTAGGTTTTGAGACGTGCCTAACGGATGTGCTTGCAGGGAGATGGCATCGTTCAATAACCGAAAGCTCCCCCAACCACCCGAAGGATCCATGTTCTAACCACATCAAATCTAATCTACCGAATCAACACACACGCCTCTCTCGGTTTTTGGGTTTCTCTCTTCTTTCCTTTTCCTTTCCTTATCTCGGCCTACCTCTGGAACACCCAGATCTGACTCTCCAGTCAACCAATCCACTTATAACAAAGACAATCCACAATGTACTCATAACGATCCCCGCAATCCATTTCTTACACTAGTAACCCTCTGACCCACTGGCTGGCATTTAGATGTCCAAAAGACAGGTACGCAAACGCAGAAACAAGGCACTTATCAGCGCCTGGACCGATCCCTATCCCTCTCCTCCACACGCTCCTTATAATACCCCGCCCCTCCCCTACCGCCTCCACCATACCTACTACCACTCCCACCCCCCTTCCCAGTCTTAATCCTCTTCCTCTCCCTCTCCTCCTCTCTCGCCTTCGCACCTCTAGCCCGGGGATCAATAACCTCATACTCCCTCTCCGCCTTCTCCTCCTCCTCCTCATTCCCCTTGGGGAAATGCAACGAATGCGTAAGGAACCCAAAGTCATTGTCCACTTCCATCGGCGGATCCTCTCCCTCTCCTCCCTCTCCTCCCCCTTCGCCTGGTTCATTTTGACCTCCACCTTCCCCGCCCATTTTTTCGTCCCTCCCCTGATCACCACCACCATCATCATCATCAACCTCCATCCGACTCCTCAACTTATCCCTAAACCCATCCAACACAGCCAACACATCACTCTCATCCTTCTTCCTCCCCTTCTTCCCACCTCCCACAACACCCTTACTCTTCGAAGTGTACTTGGCCAACTCTTCCTCCAAATACGATTTCTTGGGTTTCTTCTTCTTCTGCATGTCGTCGTCAGAGTCGTCAGAGTCGTAGCGTCGAGTCATCTTTTTGATCTCGGCTTCCATTTGGGCTATTTGGGCGCGTCGGGCGTCGCTGTGGTCGTGGCGGTAATTGGAGTTAGATAGGTGTTGCATTGAGAGGAGGAAACAGGGAGGAGAGAGGATTCAAACAAGCGCACCTAGAACTCATCTGCTCCATCGCATGCTTCTCCCGAATCTTCGTAATATCATCCCCATCCCCATCCCCTCCTTTATCTTTCCTCTTCTTCTCTTTCTTGGATGCTTTTTCAGGCGCTGGATCTTCCGACGCCTTCCTCTCCTTGTCCTTCTCTCTTTCCTTCTCTCTTTGTTTCTGCTTATCATCGCCATCATCCTTACCGGCAGCAACAGCAGGGTTAACCACGAAATCAGGTACGACGGCTACACTCGGGATCGAGGGTTCAGGTTCGGCCACTGTGAGGGTTCGCCATCAGTACAATCCCAGAACTACCGGAGGAAAGGACGACTGGGGGAAAAGAGGACTGGGGGAAAAGAGGACTGGAGGAAAAAGGGACTGGAGGAAAGAAGGACTGGAGGAAAAGAGGACGAAAAGGAAAAGAAAGAAAAAAGAAAAGAAAAGAGACGTACGATCAGGTCTAAAAATCGGCTTCTTCTTGAATACAACCTCCTCCTCTTCCTCCCCGCCTTCCTCCTCTCCAAAACTCAACAGCTTGGTATTCCTATCAAACCAAAACGAGACATACGTTTTCGTCAGTTCCGGGCTCGACTGTAGACGTTGAGGTAGAGTAATATAGTAAAAACGAGAACCGAAGAAAGCGAGAATGCAGTAAACCCAGAATGTAATAAAACCAGGATGTAATAAAAACCAGGATGTAATAAAACCAGGATGTAGAAAACACCAAAGACAAGAAACCCCCAACAAACCACTCACTTCTTAGCACCCCGCCTCCTCACCTCCTCCTCCCGCGCCCTCTGCGCCTCCTCTCTAGCCCTCTGCTGCGCGCGTCGCTCAGCTGCAGTTATACGCGGGATGATATCGTCAAAGGGGTTGTCGATGATTTTGATGGATTTTATTTTTGGTGGGCTGGATAAGTAGAAAAGAGTTGTTGTTGGATGGTCAGTTGGGTAGTTCGGTGAGGTAGATGGTTCGGGGAGAAGGGACGTACTACACCGGTCGACCGTTCTTGTCCAACTCTACATCCCAACCACGAATAGGTATCAACGATCTGCAGCAGCTCAAATAGAGGGAAAGTGCGTACCCAGTTCTGAGAGTTTCATCACATCTATCATGGTCAAACGAAGGCTCGTCAGTACCAGCGAGCTAGAAAAAGAGGGGAAGATGTACGTACTGTAGATGGTATCACCAACTACCCGCCCGAACAACGTATGTTTACCGTGCAATTCGTCTGCTCTATCTGTATTTCTAAAGTCAGTATGTCTTGCCTCCACGGAGCGGACAGTATCATGGAGTGTGTCTTTCCTCCACGAAAAGAGCAGTATAACGAAGAGACGCACCAAGCGTGATGAAGAACTGCGAATCGTTGGAGTGTCTCGTTCCGTTGTTGGCCATCCCTACGAGACCTCGGTGGGTGTACCGCAGTCGGGGGTGGATTTCGTCTTCGAATGGTTCTGTTTAGCGCGCGCCGGTGGATATCGTCGTGGTACGTAGGTACGTGGGTGGACGGTTGGATATTTGGGATAGTGAGAGGATAGGGATAGGTATGTTCATATCGTTGAGGACGAGGCGAGGATCGGCGTGGTGGTTGGCGCCACAGGTTGGGTGGCAAGGAATACGGTGAGCATAGAAAAGAATGGTGAGGGATTAGAGACGTACCGCCGTAAAATGACTCTCCACCGTTCCCCGTCCCAGTCCTGTCACCCGTTTGCGCCAGGAATCCGGGTACGACCCTACACACCAGGTTCGCCCATCAGTTCTGTGGTCCTTAGAACAGAGCAGAGGTGGTGACTGCTGCTCACCGGTGAAAGATCACACCGTCATAGTACCCTATCCACAGACAACATGAGTCCAAACTGAACGGTTATGGGAAGACGAGAAACTTACGGACCCTCCAGAGCGAGTGCTATAAAGTTTCGACATGCTTTTGGTGTTTCCTGCGAAATGTCGGTTAGATATTGTCCATTTAACTCCAAATTAAGTCAGATATAGAAGGGTTGTCTGTGAGCTGAGTCCTCTTCAAACAGAATCCTATTTCCATGTTGGATGGGAGGGTAGACTGTCCTGGACATCTCGACTTCGTCGTCGAGTCGCGAAAACTCTTTTCGTAACCAGGTCGCAGCCACAGCCGTAGCAAGGACAGCCCAAACTAAAGTAAAGAACACACCTTCGCCCAAAGTTCGATATCAATCTCTCCAAACGTCGTCTCGATTATAACGCGTCCTTTCGTCGGGAGAGCCATAACGCGCTGCTCTGCTCGTCGCCCTTGGCAATTTCTCCTTTATGTCTTCACTAGTTCTGTCGTCGTTCGAAAGTAAGCCGAGGACGCTTGGAGTCGTGATCGTCGTGGTCGTGGTTCAGGCCTGTATGGACTTTGGCTTGGCGTGAGGCGCGGGAGGGCGGGTTGAGTTGATCCGGTGTCCCGTGGGTTCGAATCGCGGACGCGTCTTTTCTTTTTTTCGTTTTTTCTTGTCATCCACCAGCTGCAGGACACCAACAGACCATGCGTGCTCGTATCTAACGAACGAAACATTACTCGTTTTCTTTGTTTCGACTCAATTTGGTCCACCTGTGAATCCCAACGAGTTCCCGATAAATGAGCAGTCCAACGGCCCACAACGACTGGTGCATGACCTTTCATTCAGGAGTCCTCAGTCAACTCTAGTCTCCTCAGACGACATTCTCCGGCAGCCCAAGGCCGATGAATCCAATACACTCAGGTTGTTTATTCGCCGCCCCTTCCAATCACTGATCCTTCGTTGGTATTTGAATCCAAAAGCACCCGCCCGCACCTCAAGTTGTCAACGATTCTTTCAGCCCCAGGAAGTTGACACTCGGCTTTGCAGATGGGAACATTGAACTCCGCTGTCATGCCAAGATCACCTGACTATCTGGCCTGAACCTCGAGGATACAACGCTGTTGGGCGCCAAATCCCTCTTGTTATCGATCCACCATCTCGCCCAGCGTCGTCTCGCTTTCGAGACCCGTGCCCTTCGTCAAGACAACAGCTAGAAGGAATCTGTGGCTTCAATGGGCCAAGGCGTCTCATTTCAAGTCAGTTGCCCCTTGTTACTGGTGGTCTCGCTTTCCATCGACGTTGACCACTGGCCCCTCGATGCTCAGAGCGATCGTGAAGAGGGCTCTTCGACTCTCCTCAACAATGCCAGCCCCAGCTTGGACAACTGCGGGCAGCTAAAGTTCCCTGGTGCTTTTCCGGTGAGTAGAACTTTCGTTAATCTGCGCCCATTGGCCTTGTGCGCTGACCTTACTGCAACGGGCAGGACGAGCGTCAAGGTGACCCTGAAACACTAACCGAGGAATATACCACAACAGATATGGGCGAGCAGCGAAGCCGCCGCTCGTCATTGAAGGTCAGTAGAACCGCCGCTCATTCTCTTGACAACCTAACCATTTTGCAACTATCAGAGCGAGGCCGAAGGGATCCCTTCCAACCAAGATGAGGTATCCCCCGTTCTGGACAAAGGAAAACAGCGAGCTACTTCTGCTCAGGTCCGTCCGTTTATTTGAATCTGAGTGCAATTACTGACGCGCATGCAGGATGATGATGCGAGGACACGTGTATCAGGGTGTTCAACAAGTTCCTTGGTAGATCAGTTCGAGGTGCATTTGCGTCACCGCTCGTAAGGATTCGTAACTTATGCCATCGCCGTATCATAGGGTCTTGAGGTCAGACAAAAGCGCTCCATTTCGGCGGCAAATGACGCCCAGTTGGACGGTAACATGGTACGGCCAAATCTTAGTTCTATATCGTCGAGGTCCGACTCTAATTCCCTCCTTGGTCCAGACTGAGGCCGCTCGGGCCGAAGCTATCTACGATATCCTCACGCGTGCTCCCCTTGTAAATAACGCAGGAGTCCATATTGCCAGCGGCTCCAAAATTACTGGAGCCCCCGTCATTGCTGGCCGAGACGTCAGCATCAATATCTATAATAATCCCAAGGATGCTGCCACCAGTAAGTCCTTCCAACAGTCAGTGGGGTCTGTTAACTAAATTTCTTCCAGTTGGATCCAAGGGTGAAGGGCCGAAGATAACGAGGCAGGAATTGCTGGACTGGTTTGCGGATAGCGCCAACTTCCACCTGATTCAACAGCACAATTACGAGAAATGGACCAATGGAACACTTGCCTGGTTTACCGACTCGGAGGACTACCTTGCCTGGAAAGCCGGAAAATATCGGGTCCTTTGGGGCATGGGCATTCGTAGGTCGCATAGCCTTTTACGGTGGAATGACACTTATCCCATTGCCACAGCCGGGGCTGGGAAAACGATTCTTGCGTAAGTGGCTCGCTGCTCTCGCGGTGGTTGAATGTACTGACTATTTCCTCAGTTCGAGGACCATCGACGACCTTCAGAAATTCCAAAAAGAAACGCCTTCCACGAGGATTTGCATCGTCTTTGCCTACTGCCGATATTCCGCACAATTGACTGTCAAGGATATCCTCGAAGCACTGGTGAAGCAATTTCTCGAAACCGACTCATCGCTGGCAGATCTCGTTGAGACGCTCTACACGCAACACAAGCAGAAGAAAACCCGGCCCACTCAGGACGAGCTCTTGGATTTGTTGCGACAATTCGAGAGCCGGTTCGACATCTTGTTCTATGTCATCGACGGACTGGACGAGGCGCTGGTCACCACCCAGTTCAACCTTATCAAAGCCATCAAGACCCTTCGAGGCCAGTTTGCATTGACATCGCGCCCTTTGGCGAGTCTGGAAGCAGTGCTCCCAGCCACCAGGTTCTACTCCGTGACAGCAAATAATTCGGACGTGGTTCTCCTCATCCAGGACAAAGTGGAGTTGAACCCCAGATTTCAACGGCTCTTGGAGCAGCATTCCTTTCAAGGTGAACTGGTCCGAAAGATTTCAGACAAATCCAGGGGGATGTACGTGGCTTTTTAGTGTATAGTGTACATCAATCACTGATCGTCTCCAGGTTTCTTCATGCGGCGCTTCAGATTGAATTCGTCCAACACTGCATCAGCATCGCTGACCTGCAACAGGCACTGGATTGTTTGCCGACAGACCTCCCCAACATATACCGCGAAGCTCTAAAGCGGATCGGTGACCAGCAGAATCGAAACGCCGAGCTCGCCCAACACGTCCTTCTGTGGCTTGTTTTCGGTCGGGAAGCACTGACGTTTCCTGACCTGAAATATGCCCTTGGTCTCACTCTTCCTGATCACGCCGGTGGGATTGACAAGGAAGCCTTTGTATCGATATGCTGCGGACTGGTCACCGTGGAGGCTCGGACGGATCTTGTCCGCCTAGTCCGTGAGTACTTCAACATCGTCATCGAGCATCTCTAATGGCTATATTGCTCAGACTTCACCGCTCAAGATGCTCTCGCACCCATCCTGAAGGAATACATCCCCAACCCACACAGCATGCTCTTTGCCGTAGCCGCGCAACGCCTCGTTGACTGTGGCATCGTCGACAACTCGGTGGGTATGGAAACACAAGAGGACCGTGACGACGCATTTGCAAGACACCCGCTTCTCAAATACTGCTACGACCACTGGGCCTACCACGCACGAGAAGGCATGGCAAATCCCGCATTGCTTGATAAAGTGCTCGCTTTTGTCTGCCACTGCAAATCGTTCCCAGAGAAGAATCCAGATTCTTCTCAACTCACATTCCTGTCCCCCCTTCACGTTGTGGCCCGACACGGCCTTTATAGTATCCTCGACGAAGTTCTGAAAATCGCAAGAGGAAAGGTGACACTGCGTACGCGTGGGTGGAGGGAGGCCACTCCGTTGATGCTAGCCTCCGAGCATGGTCATGTGGAGGTCATTGATGCGCTACTGCGATACACCAGAAGATCGATGTTGCGGTCGACGGTGAGTGGCGAAGGGCGACCAGGGACCCATCTGTTCTTGGGTCAGCTAAATCTTCGGGATAGCAGGGGGATGACGGCTCTTATGCTTGCGTCCAGAGAGGGGCACGTAGATGCAGTGCAGCGCCTGATCGCACACAAGGACACCCAGGTCAATCTCGCCAACAAATATGGCTGGACGGCATTGATTCTCGCGTCGCGCTATAGTCACGAGGGCACCGTTCAGCGCCTGCTCGCGCACAAGGACACTCAGGTCAATCTCGCCAACAGCGAGGGCGAAACGGCATTGATGCTCGCGTCGCGCAATGGCTCCGAGGGTACCGTTCGGCGCCTGCTCGCGCACAAGGACACCCAGGTCAATCTCGCCAATAACAACGGCGAAACAGCACTGATGCTCGCATTGAACCCTGGGCTGAGTCTGCCTGAATGGAGACGCCAAGGCTGGTACTCTCGGTGGGACTGGGGCACCTGGAAGAAGTTGCTAGCGCTCTTCCTTGGGCACAGCCAGATAGACCCCAACACTGCCAACAAAAATGGGGATACCGCCCTGATTTTAGCCGCAAGGGATGGGCGTTCGGAGGCTGTCTCTCTGCTCCTCCAACACCAAGGGATCAATGTCCATCACAAGAATAAAAAGGGTCAAACAGCGCTGGCGGTAGCTCGGAAGGGGAAACCAAAGAAAGATGGGACTGGAACGAGGGAAGACTACCGGCCTATCGTCAAAATGCTCACGGAGTTCGAGCAATGCTCATCCTAATCTACGCACACCATCATAACATTTTCTCATTGATCATGACATACAACGTGTATTTACTATCTTGGTTCTGTATATTCGGTAATATAGGTTCTCTTCGAGCATATACTCCGAAATTCCAATACGGCTACCTACCTGTTAAGCTTGCGCGAAGCAGCGGCAACATTCGTTTGAACTGTTGCCGCAGAGAAAGATCATGATGAGTCTAGCTTGTATCGCACGGCGTCTCCATGCCTTGGCAATGGTTCAAGAGCCAAACATACGACGCCCCCCCACGACTCCAAGCGCCCTCGGCTTACTTTCGAGCGACGACAGAACTAGTGAAGACATAAAGGAGAAATCGCCAAGGACGACGAGAAGAGCAGCGCGTTATGGCTCTCCCGACGAAAGGACGCGTTGTAATCGAGACGACGTTTGGAGAGATTGATATCGAACTTTGGGCGAAGGTGTGTTCTTTACTTTAGTTTGGGGTGTTCTTGTTAGGGCTGTTACTGTGACCTGGTTACGAACGGAGTCTTCTCGACTCAACGACGAAGTGGAGATGTCTAGGACAGTCTACCCTCCCATCCAACATAGAAATAGGATTCTGTTTGAAGAGGACTCAGCTCACAGCCAACCCTTCTATATCTGGCTTTATTCGAAGTCTAATGAGCAATACCTAACCGACATCTCGCAGGAAACACCAAAAGCATGTCGAAACTTTATAGCACTCGCTCTGGAGGGTTCGTAAGTTTCTCGTCTTCCCATAACCGTTCAGTTTATACTCATGTTGTCTGTGGATAGGGTACTATGACGGTGTGATCTTTCACCGGTAAGCAGCAATCACCACCTCTGCTCTATTCTAAGGACTACGGAACTGATGGGCGAACCTGGTGGGTAGGGTCGTACCCGGATTTCTGGCGCAGACGGGTGACAGGACTGGGACGGGGAACGGTGGAGAGTCGTTTTACGGCGGTACGTCTCTAATTCACGAAACGTCATACCAATCATCGTCCTCCAACTACGCACACCTCCGTCCGCTTAAGTACCCATAAACCACGACAATTTCCACCGGCGCGCGCTAAACAGAAACCTTCGAAGTATGACGGCCAAACGTGACATTTATTATTCCACACCAATATTTCATTTTTTCCACCTTTAGTGATGCATTTTGGCCTTCTATTTGGTGCGGTCCTGATAAGTAGCGGGCAAAGTAAAGTGTAGCGCATGTTCTTGAATACCGAAATCTTTTTAACACCAATTTTCTTGTTCACGCTCAACACCGACACTTTCTAAAGGGCGCCACAATTTTTAAGGACACCGACATTTCACGACACCGAAATCGCGGGACACTAAAATCTTATCACGGTCAGGAGGCTGGATTTATTAATTGACAAGTCATGACTGTATCTATTGTGAACAGTCAATCCCAGCCGAATGGCTATGGAACCTTACAAGAAGCAGGAATTAGTCAATGTGATAGATACTACTACGACATACTAGAGGCACAATAGTGCACGTACGGACGTCGGACTGCAGTCTGAACTTGATCTAGTTCTTCTCTTTTGTGATTGAACTACTAGCAAGTAGTATCTCCTGTATGCAATCGTTAGTTTTCGAGTTTTACGGACGTCATCATGGTGGACAAAGGCAGCTGACCGTCCAGCGTTCAATGGTTAGTTGACCGTGCGTTGGAAAGGGCTCCAGGTTGTACCAGCACGGCTGGCGGCTTGAGGAACCAACATTTCCATATGTTACAGCTGCACAGTACCAACTCGGAAGTGCCAAGCCGGCATCTGACCTTCAAGTTGTCTGCCCTCGTCCAGAGTGTCGGTGTTGCAAATGTCGGTGTAGTGAAATGTCGGTGTTGGTAAAAGTCGGGTACATTCCCCTTATCCCCAATTTACAATACCGGTGTTGAACAAGCACCTATACTTTACATCACTACACGAAACTATAGACCGCACCGAGTTGAAAGCCAATTTTAGTCGAAAATGTGATATGTCGGTGTGGAATAATAAATGTCACGTTTGGCCGTCATATCGAAGATGAGATCCACCCCCGACTACGGTACACCCACCGAGGTCTCGTAGGGATGGCCAACAACGGAACGAGACATTCGAACGATTGATCAGCTCCGCGCCGCGCCTCGGAGCCCCATCTTATCCTTGAACCAACGTTTCGACCACCCTCCTTTACGGATTCCACTGCCATTATTCACTGCACCAGCTAGGGGATCCGAGACAAATGATATGTGATCTGGCGCGCAGAGAAGTCGACCAGTGGTTCTCTCGTCAGGCCGTCAAGACGCCGTAACCGATTTCACGCCAACGCTCGAACCCAGCCAAAGTCTTCCCTTGCATCGTCCTTATCCTCGCGTCGAAGGGATGTTAGCTGGGTATTTTCCACGGTAAGCAGCTCATTCGCCAGTATGGAGACTTTGGAAGTCACTGACCATGTTTCAACGCAGATTCAAACCTACATGTCGAGCTACCGCTTCATTCCTTTCCGGTTGAAGCCCTCGACAAGCCGCCAGCCATCGCCAGCCAAACCCTTCAACCAACCAATCTCATCCATCTCTCGAAGCTAAATCCATGTCGGGCAAAACCCAATCGCAATCATTTCTACCCCACCGTTCATCGACTCTCTCAGGTCTATCCCGAGTCCTGACCACACAACACCGAGCGTGAAGGTCAACTCTCGTTAACGTCGACGTCTACCAGAGGGATAATTGAGCTCGGAGGAACCTACAGCCGATGATAAAGGAGGGATAGTCGAGTCTTGTGACTGCACAGTCACTGGAACGATGATCGGGATGATCGGAAGGCACGTAGCGATGCTGGGGTCAGACTTGGTCGTCGAGTGCGTCATCCAGCCCATCGGTCAGGGATGCCGTCGCTCAGCGCTCATCTCTTGTTCCCTCCCAGATAATAGCGGTCTCCTCAATTTCATTCCCTTCTACCTCACTACCCCTCGCCGCAGCTGAGGGATAACTCGGAATTTATGCTGCGAGTCGATCCTTCAGGTGAGTTTTGTTACTGATATCAGTGCTCGTGTACTGAGCGCCAGCTATCCTGACAGACGAGTATCCACTCGTTGGCAAGCTCAGCGACTGGATTCATTCGGCCCCACTTTCGTTCTTGAAGAATTAGGACGTCTTGTCTCGTAGACCCAATCGAAATTCACAATACCCTCGAGGGTCGAAGACGAATGAAATGCCGGGAGTTCCAGGGTGATTGAGAAGGCCATCAGGTCGGATGATATTGCTGGACTGGTGCGCTGAGGGGGCGTCGTGGTCATGGTTCAGGCCTGTATGGACTTTGGCTTGGCGTGAGGCGCGGGGTTGAGTTGATCCGGTGTCCCGTGGGTTCGAATCGCAGACGCGTCTACTCTTTTTCGTTCTTGTCTAGATCTTTCATCCACCAGGACCGCACCAGGACAACCAGCCAGGAAATTGACCATACGTGCTCAAACACCACCGAACAACCAATCATTATTCAGTTTCTCGTTGTTCGAATTCGAACCACCGAATTTCAATGAAGTGTTTTGAACGGTCGAACGGCTGCCAAACCATGCGCGATTCTGAGCTCAACGACCCTATGCTCTAATTCCATCTAGGTTGGCTGGTGAACGTTGGAACACCCGGACTGCGACGCCGGGCTTTCTTCTGCCAAGTTGCAACAACGAATATCTCCGAGTTCGTCTCGAACTGAATTAGGCGGGATGAATTTCGAAAACATCATATCTCGAGATAGTCGACTACGGGGCATGGAGGCCTTAGAGTATACATGATCACGCATTTCCTGCGAAAACACCCATGGGGGCCATGTGTGCGACAAGTAGTTCAGCTATACCCGCGTGGCCCCGTTTCACTGCATGAATGAGTGCCGTCCGCCCATCTCTGTCAGGCATATTGATATCAGTCCCAGTCCGTAGGATAAGGTGTTGAACTAGATCCTCTCTGCCCAATTTCACTGCATGAATGAGAGCGGTGCACCCTTTGTTGTCGCGGACATTGACATCAGTGTTCTTGTGTGCGAGCAGCCGTTCCACTATCCCCTCGAAGCCCAATTCCACTGCAAGGATAAGCGCTGTTCGACCTTCGCTGTCGGCGATGTTCACATCAGTGCCATGGTGTGCGAGGAGGGATTCAACTGCGCCCTCACGACGCCATTGCGATGCATGGATGAGGGCTGTCCGCCCACGGTTGTCGATGGCATTGGCATTAATGCCCTTGTGCGCGAGAAGGCGTTCAACTATACCCTCGAAACCCCATTCCACTGCAAGGATGAGGGTCGTTCGTCCTTCACTGTCGGTGATATTCACGTCAGTGCCGTGGTGTGCGAGGAGGCGTTCAACTGCGCCTTCACGACGCCATTGCAACGCATGGATGAGTGCTGTTTGTCCTTTCCTGTCAGCAGCATTGGCGTTAGTGCTCTTGTGCGCGAGAAGACGTTCGATTGTACTCTCGCGGCCCATGTGCGCCGCGTGAATGAGTGCCGTCCGCCCATTGCTTTCGACGATATTGACGTCAGTATCCTTGTGTGCGAGAAGCCGTACGATTGCGCCTTGGTGGCCCCATGCTGCTGCATGAACAAGCGCCGTCCATCCTTCGCTGTCGGTGATGTTGACCTTGGTGCCTGGGTGTCCGAGAAGACATTCAACTGCACTCTCGCGGCCCCGTGCCGCTGCATGAATGAGTGCCGTCCGCCCCTGGTTGTCGGTGACATTGACCTTGGTTTCTTTGTGTGCGAGAAGGCGTCGAACAGCGTCCTCCTGACCATTCTCCGCCGCATGAATGAGCGCTGTCCGTCCTTCGTTATCGGCAATATTGACGTCAGTGTTCTTGTGTTCGAGAAGGCGTTGAACAGAGTTATTGTGACCCTCTTTTGCTGCATGAATGAGCGCCGTTGACCCTTTGTTGTCGGCGATATTCACGTCGGTATCCTTATGTGCAAGAAGGCGTCCAACCGTGCCACTGTGACCCCCGTTCGCTGCATGATTGAGTGCCGTCCGCCCTTGGTTGTCGGTGATGTTGACCTTGGTTTCTTCATGTGCGAGAAGGCGTCGAACGGTCTCCTCCTGACCATTCTCTGCTGCATACATGAGAGCTATCCAACCATAGGGGTCACGAAGGTTTATCTGGGCCTTGAAAAGGTGGGTCCCCGGTCGTCCTTTGCCACCCAACACTGATTTCAGTGCTGTTCGTCGCGAGTATCCCAGAAGTGCGTCCACCGTTTCTGCATGCCCGTACGCCGATGCCACCATCAACGCAGTGAGATCTCTACCTCCTCCCGTCCGCAATGCCACATTGCCCTTCGCGGTATCCATGAGCACTGAGCCGAGAATCTGGTGAAGCCCGTAACGCGCCACGACGTGAAGAGGGGAAAGCAGTACGAATACACCTGGGTTAAGCCATTCCTCCGAGAGATCGAACCTGGCTGGAAATGACGTGCATTTGCAGACGAATTGTCGGACCGAATCGATGTATCTAGGATTCGCCATGCTCTCCCGTGCATGGTAAACCCAGTGATCGTAAGAGTACTTGAGGAGTGGATGCCGAAGAAACCCTCTCTCAAGGTCGTACCCTCCCTCGAACCGTTCCGCGTTGGATGGGATCCCACAGTCGATGAGCCTCTGCGTCGTGGCCTTGAAGAGCAGATGATGTGGTTCCGGTAGAAATTGCTTAAGCACTGACGTCAGCGAGACCTGGGCGGTGAAGTCTGGACATATACATGTAAGAGCGTAATCGTTGGGACTGTTGGATTACTTACGGACTAGGCGGACGAGATCAGTTTCCGCTTCCACAGTGACCAAGCCACAGCACACGGTAAGAAGATCGTCCTTGTGAATCTCGCCATCATAGTTCGGGAGTGTGAGGCGGAGAGCATGTTGCAGGTCAGAAAAGGGGAGTACTTCTCGTCCGAAAACGAGCCAGAGAAGGACGTGGTTCGCTAGGTCTGCTCTCGGCTTCTTCTGCTCATTGATACGCTTCATGGATTGGACGTAGAGATCTTCGAGGTTCTCAGGCAAACCATTGAGCGCGTCCTTCAATTGTGTGAGCGTGGGGCAGTGCTGAACAAATTCGATTTGAAGCGCGGCGTGCAGAAACCTGATACATCAGTCTGAGGTCAACCAAGAACGAAGCGCTTGAGACCAAATAAACGACCCACATTCCCCTGGATTTGTCTACAATTTGCCTGACCAGCTCGTCTCGGTACCCATGCCGCTCTAGAAGGCGCTGAAATCCGGAGTTGAGTGCGATCTTTCCGTCAATCAGGATGATAACGTCTGAATTCCTCGCATAAACAGAGTAGAATTTAGGGGAAGGTAAACCATCCTCTAAGTTTTTCAATGGCCTGGAAGTCAAGGCGAATTGGCCTCGGAGGCTCCTGACAGCCTGGATGAGGTCGAACTGTGCGGTGACCAGTGCCTCGTCCAGTCCGTCAATGACATAGAAGACGACATCGAACTTATTTTCGAATTGACGCAATAGGTCCAGCAGCTCTCTTTGGGTGGGTCGGGTTTTGCTTTCGCTGTGCTGTTTGTGGAGGTGCTCTGCGAGGTCCGCCAATGACGGGTCTGTATGCAGGAATTGCTTTACGAGCGATTCAAGGATGTCATTGACTTCCAGGCGTTCCGAGTACCGACAGTAAGCAAAGACGACGCAGGTCTTCATGGAGGAGGCCGCTTGGAGCTGCTGGAGATCGGATATGATCCTGGATCTAAGAGGAAATATAGGTGTCCGTTCTACGAGAAGCATTCACGCGACTTACGCGAGGATAGTTTTCCCAGCCCCAGCTGTGAGCATAGGATGAGCATCGGCAACCAGTGGAAATTATCCTACAACTCACGGATCCCTGTTCCCCAAATGATGCGAGGTGCCCCGTTCTTCCATGCCTGGTAGTCCGCCCGGTCAGTAAACCAGGACAGAGTCCCATCAGTCCACTTGCTGTTATTCTCCTGCTGAATGGCGTGGAAGTTGACGTTGGGTGCAAACCAATCCCGAATTTCCTTCCTCAACTCTTCCTGTTGCTCTTCGCGTTCTCGACCCCGTTCCTCTTGCAGCATCCGTTGGACTCCCTGCTCTATAAATCCATAAGGCGATAGAGTCGCGTTCAGGTGGTACATGAGAACCTACCATCCAGCCCTTGGTAGACCACAACATCGCCCGATGAAACAACGGCGTTACCTCTAAAGGTGCTTCCGTAGAATTGCATGGCACGATGTACAGGCTGCTGTCTTGGGGGTTGCGTGGCCATTACCTGATCCCTGTGCGTCAGTGCATGCCCTTGGTTCAGGTCGAGGATACACAAACCCACCGGATCCAATGAACCTTTGACTTCTACCAGATTGTTCGAAACACCAAGGTCCTTGACCGCGTCTCCCTGCGCGTATCGTAAGCCTTGAAACCCGCCAAGAACACCTAGGAAACGAACAAACCTTGTGTTTGATTGGGATATCGTCATCCGAGCCCACATTACCATGGCCACCGCCCGCATCCTTGATTCGAATTAATACATAGTCTGCAAGAGTATGAAGAAAGGGTGTACCGCTGGCTCTGCAGCGGGCGCCTCAACCAGTACGGCGGCGTCGATTGAATCTCCACACTCAGGGAAGGCTCCAGGGAAGATTTTCTGTTCCGAGGATCCAGTATCATCCTATAGGATCGATAAGAGGCTCGTTAGGTTTACCAATATCTCAAAGGGAGCAGCAACGCACCTGGAACGACACGCTTTGGCCCATCGTCACTGCGATGGGGGTTGTCGAGCGAAGCAGTCAAGCGGCGGAACGGGCGATGGTGGTTCGAAGACAAGAGGATTTGGCGCCCGACCTCGAGGCTTTGGTGGGTAAGTCAGGTGATATTGATATATGTCACGGTGATTTGGTGGAGTTGAACCACTTTCCCATCTGCCAGGACCAGCCTCCAAGGCGATATGATAAGGTAGAGGTAAGAAGCAAGGGCAGCCCACTCAGGTACCTGGCGTTAAAGATGACCTTTGAGGCATGGCGTCCACGTAGGTACGGGAAATGGTACGCTTGTCGATGGAGACCGAGGTGGACGAGCAGCCTTCTTCTGGTCAACACGCTTGATTTCGGATTGGACTCGACGATGTTTGCACCTCCTCCGTTCGATTTGTGAGGTGATGGCCTGGCATATTCCTCTCGACCTCCCGCGTACGACTGGGCGAAATGGTTTTGGTGTTGCGGAACCCACTTGACAGCTTCCTAGGGCTAGATCTGGCAACATTCCTTGAATTGGCTGGCGGGGATTAATCATTCCGGAAGTGCAAGCCCTAATATGTGTCTGGGTAGGTCCAGAGGTTGGTAATCGTCGGGTATTCACCATTCCATTGTGTTGCTCACCATGGTTTAAACCCAATCAAGTACCAAATCGTTCAAGTTGAAGGTGCTGTCGAATCCAGCATCGCAATGGAGGAGAGCCAGACTGCGCGCCACGCGGTATTCACGCGTCGTTCATCTCGCCATCGGTTACTGTGCTCCCTTGAGTCAGGCCTAGCTGGGTACAGCGTCTCAAGGGCAAATAATAAAGTGGAGTGTCGGTTATTGAGGGTGCTCGAGGTTCAATGTCGCGACGGATGGGGAACCAGTTGATTGCTTTGCGGCCCACGTAATCACGCGTCGTTCGTCTCGTCGCCGGTTATAGTCGCTTCTAGACGTCGCCCTAGCTGGTTACTCATCCAACGGTGAACAATGAGGGCGGGATGGGTGGTCGAGGCGGTCGAGGACAAGCCACACAGCTTGGCATGGATGCCGGTACCGGGGACAATCACTCCCATCTTAAATCTTTCTCTCTGAACTTCCACCTAACCGCTTCTACGCTCATACGATGTGTGAAAACTCCCTCCAAGTACCGAATTGCCGACCATTTTGAATTGAAATTTACAGTGGCGCTCAAACCCGTTGTGCTGAAGAGTCTGAGGAGGCCTAGCGTCCCTTCAAGTTGGTTTTTTGTTTCAAATTTCTCCTGGGTCTGTATGCTCATAAAAAACGTGCTAATCACTTATTCGACTGGGTGTTATGGTCGGAACACATGTGTCCGTTCTCTTTTCCAAATTTCCAAACGACTCCTGCCAATGCTATACGCTCCTTCAACACTGAGACGCGGGTCATGCTAGTGCGGGGGTCCCGTGTATTCGAGCCCCAACCTTGCCCCAACCGCGTTTTACATTATTAACGACCTACCATCCTCCTCATCGTCGTCTCGCTTTGGAGACCCGTTCGCTTCGTCAAGACAACAACTAGAATGGGCCAAAGCGTCTCATTTCAGGTCAGTCGTCCCTTGTGACTGGTGGGCTGAGTCACTTTCTATCTGAACGTCACCCCTCGACGCACAGAGCGATCCTGAAGAGGGCTCTTCGACTCTTTCAACGACCTTGTTACAATCAATGCTCCGTATCGGAAAGGGCCATACAATGCCACTGTATGCACCAAACCCCGGACACACAATCCGATTGATGGTGTTTGACACCCGTTGAAACTAGTCCCATGCACCTGCAGCTTGCTCTGTGCTGTCATTGCGAGCCCGCCTTTTTAGTCGCAGACCGGAATGCGAAACTCCCCCTTCTCGATCATGCCGCAGGAGCTACTCCGCGAAGTGGTGGGGCACTTGGTAACAGAGCCAAACGCTCTCCGACTGCTCAAGCGGTTATCGCTTGTCCATCGCGCCTTCACTCCCATTTGCCAGACTTACATTTTCGAAGACCTCCGCCTCTCTGGGTTCAAAGAGAATATCCAATCCCAGCTCAGGCGAAAGCACAAGATATTGCACCTCAAACCAGAGTGCACTGATCTTGTGAAACTCGTCGTCTTGCGGTATATAGAAGGCCGTGACCCGTCCTGGCTCTTCGAGGATTCTAGGTTTCTCGACATATTTAAGAGTCTGTCAGAGTCCAAGCGGCGCCCCAGTAGCCTCGAGCTCTACACCATCTGTCCCCATCCGTCCCCAGAGAATGCCATCGGACTATGTTGGGAACGAATCACCAATTTCTTCGCGTCGGCATCCCTCACCAATCTGACCCTCTGGAATTGCAAAGGGGTTCCCCTCAAGCTGATTGCGGCATGTCCGAATCTTCGATCACTCGACCTCTTCCGCACCTCTCCCGAACCTTCGCGGACGGAGGACCTTCTCCACCTACAACCCGATACCGCTCAACCGAAGCTCGTCAAACTGGTTTACAATCAGACGAACGGATTACTCAAGAACCTCCTGGGACCTTCACCCGATACGCCCAGTATCCTGGACTTGAGCGATCTTCGAGTCATTGAGACTTGTCCGATGGCAAAAGACGAGATGGATCTGATTCCAGAAATCCTTCGTCGTTCTCGCGCCTCGGTCGAGGTGGTGCAGTGCATCAAATCCCTAGCGCCAGACCACGAACAAGGTGTGTCTTTTCGAGGTATTGAAGACAAAATCTACTAACCACCCAGAGTCCAGATAGGTACTTGCCCTTGTCAACATATTTGAGTTTCCACGACACCCCGCTTCTTCGGAACGTGGAGCTCGTTGCAGAGATAGTGGACACCGATGCCAACGCCTCAATTGTCATTGCAGACATCTGCAGCGTTTTGCAGACGATACCATCCGCAAGCAAGGTGCATAGGATCAAGCTCGCGGTTTTGGTCCGTGGCGAAAAACCTTTCACCCACGGCCTAAACCAGGAATGGCGTCGACTGGGTGACCAAATCGCCCGGATCTCATCTGAAGACCGCCTCGTGTTCGAGCTCAATGTTAAGGCCTGCAGAGTCAGAGGATTTCTATCGCGCGCTGACCATGCACCGCTGTACGAGCACGTCAGGAACGAGCTCGCAAATCTCAATTCTCTCCCTCACATCATGATGGAGTTCACAAACCCACTCAACGCGGAGCCCGACTGGGAGTGCGACAGCGACTCTGGAAGCGACATTACGTCCAGCTCGGACACCTATTCGGACAGTGGCGATCCTTGGACAGATGAAAGCGATTTCGGGGAAAGGGGGAGCTATACTGGCGGGGAGAGTTCGGATTCGGAAGACTCCTACGACAGCGGTGAAGTCTATTTGGACGAGGAGGGCAGTAGCTTCGGTAGCTTGGACGAGGAGGACTCTGATGGTGGTGCGGAGAGGTCTGGGAATGAGGATACAGGAACGGAAGTTTGATTACCGTGATTGGAAAGGTCTATGGCCAGATTTGCTCCCTAATACACCTGTCGCAATTTCAAGATGCTCACGGGGTTTGAGAAATGTGGCTCGTCCTAATCTAAGCAGCCGCAACCATCTGGAGCGGTATAATCATGAACCGCAAGTTTTCATAGTCCATAGAACACGAATGGACATGGGTACGTGACTAGGGAATTACAAGAACTGACTACTGTACTCTTAAATGTCATTCCCACCTATTCTGCCACTAAGTGTGTAACAAGTATGGTTCTTTAATCTGAATCAGAGTCGTCGGCGACCAGACCATAAGCAGATATCAAAAGTCGAAGTGCTGTTGGGAGCAGTGGTATGCGCAACGCCTTGAGTATAAGTTCGGCTGCATCCAAATTACCTTCATTTAATGCATACATAAGCGCCTGTGACCCTTCGTTGTCAACGAGGTCGACCTGAATCCCCGGCACGCGCAGAAGACGTCGGACCACAGCCGTCGATTCTCCATCCAACTCCATCGATCCCGCTGCAAGCATCAGCGCTGTGCATCCGTCATTATCCCTTTGGTTCACCGGGATCCCTTCGACTTGAAGAAGGAGCCTGATAGCATCTTCGTTGCCCGAACCCGCCGCAGCCATCAACGCATTCCGTCCATCATTGTCCGTCGCATTGACTTCCACACCTTCCACTCGAAGCAAAAGTGGAATAGCCTCTGCTCCTGACCCTTCCGCTGCAAAAATTAATGCCGTTTGTCCATAGTGGTCGGCCTTGTTGATATGGTGAATTTCCTCGAGCTGGAGTAGGAAGCGCACCACATCCTCGTTCCCCCAGTGCGAGGCGTGCATTAGTGCCGTCCGGCCGTCGTTGTCCGTCAAGTTGAGGCTATCCATTCCACCCGCTTGAAGCAGAGTCCGGACACTTGCTTCGCTCCCATGCGCCGCCGCGTGCATGAGCGCTGTCATTCCTTCATTGTCCACCTGAGTAACATTGATCCCCTCGACCTGAAGCAGGAATGCAAGCACTGCATGCCAGGTTGTCGAATGCATCAGCGCTGTCTTTCCATCGTTGCTGGCAAGATTTGGGTCATGGATGCCATCGAATCGGAGTAGAACCTTGGCAACCCCTTCCTTCCCCCGAAGTGCCGTATACATGAGCGCAGTCATCCCATCGTTGTCGGCATGATTGGGATGTATGCCTTCAATTCTGAGTAAACGCGTCGTGACGTCTTCGTTCCCGTGGAATGCCGCATGTATCAGCGATGTCTTCCCATCGCTGTCTACCTGGTTGATGTCGTGAATGCCCTTGGTTTGAAGCAGAAGCTGGACAATCGCTTCGTTCCCTCCAACCGACGCATGCATTAACACCGTCTGACCTCTATTGTCTGCCTTGTTGACATCGTGTACCCCCTCGCATTGAAGCAGCATCTGAAAGATGACCTCGTTTCCTCCTCTCGCTGCATGCATCAAAAGTGTCCGACCCTCGTTATCCGACTGGTTGATGTCCTGGATTCCGTCCCTTCCCACTAAAAGGTGGAAGATGATTTCGCTCCCCGCCATCGCTGCCATCATCACCGCCGTGCACCCAGTTTCATCTGCCTGGTTGCTGTCTGGGACGTCCTTGGCGCGAAGTAACATCTCAACGACGGGCTCGCGCCCGCCCTCCGATGCGAACATCAGCACTGTCCTTCCATAATGATCTGCCTGGTTGGTCTTGATCCCTTCTGTGCGGAGGAGTAGGGTAACGACAGCATCACCACGCCTGGCCTTCGATGCGTACATGAGGGCCGTCATCCCATCTGAATCTACCTGGTTGACTTGAATCCCTCCAACAGCCAACAGTAGCTGGACGATTTCAGAGTACGCCTCCTGCGATGCATACATCAGTGCCGTCATTCCATCGGAATCCGCTTGGTTCACTTGGAGGCCCTTTGCCTTGAGAAGTTCTCGGACAACCTCGACTTGCCCGCTCTCGACAGCATACATCAGCGCAGTTCTCCCCCCGCAGTCCTTCGCATTGATATCGACCCCTTTGAAGAGGTGAACCCCTGGCGAAGAATGTCCGCGGATGAAGGCACCGACCAACTTGCGCCGTTTGACGGCGAGCAGTTGCTTCAGGATGTCGAGATGCCCATAGCCAGCGGCTAGCATCACCGGTGTCGCACCAAATTCACCTGCGGTGGCCTGATTGCGATCTACACTGGTGGTGGCGATGAGTTTATCGAGGATAGGGATTCCGAAGCGTGCAACAACGTGTATAGGGAGTAAGAAGTCCAATTTGTCGTCGTAATCAGGGTCGGGGTCGAGGTTGCAAGGGTAGTGGGTACATTGCTCAATGAACCGTAGAACCGATTCAGAAGCTTCAGGAGCCGATGTACATTGTCGTGCATGGGAGGCCCAATGGTCGTATGAATAGCGCAGAACGGGACTTCCGGCAAGAAGCCTGTCCAAGTCCTGTTGAGTAGCCAGATCAGCCTCGTTCGTGACGTTGTGTGCGATTAGTCTGTCGGCTGCCACTTTGAAGAGTGTGTAGTGCGGATTGGGGAAGTGTCGAATTAGGAGGGGGGCCAAGGCGTCCTTTGCGGTAAAATCTGAGGTACGAGAAAGGGTGTTAGCCGGAAAGCGGAGGGAATGACGAGAGGTCGATACTTACGAACGAGGCGGACTAGGTTGGTCGCGGTGTCAACTACAACCAAGCCACAAAACAAGGATGACAACGCCGATTTGAAGCTCTCCATCTCTAACGGGCCGGTCTCCTCTCCCAGTGAAATCCCACCCGACGCAGAAACAGCATGACGGAGATCTGACATGGATAGCGCTTCCTCGCCGTATACTAGCCAGAGGAGCACATGCTTCGCAAGGGTGACGGCCTGGGGTGGCTGGCGTTCGATGCGCTCGAGGGCGGCTCGATACATATCCTCGAGCTCAGTCGGAAATTGATCCAGCCGCTCCTGCAGACTCTGTAAGGTGACGCATTCCGGGATGAGATTGGCTTGAAGAGCGGCGTGTAGGAACCTTTGAGTCTGGTCATCAGCGAAAGTTGTTGAACGAGACGAAATACGTACATTCCCCCAGCCTTTTCCGCGATCTGCTTGACCAGTCGTTGTAGAAACTCGTGGTCCTTGGCAAGATGACTGAGAACAGAGTTCCGTTTCAGTTTCTCGCAGACAAGCAGCTCAAGGTCCTGCATCTGAGCGCTGACTTCAAAGAAGACCGAACCTACGAGTTCCGAGCTCAGGGAGTCCAGTGGGCGGGAACACAGGAAGAAGTTTCCCTGCAATTGGTTGAGAGTGTCGATGAGGTCGAACTGGGTGGTGACGTTGGCCTCGTCAACCCCATCAATGACATAGTAGCATCTCTCGAACTGCGACTCGATGAACCGCAGCAAATCGACGAGCTCCTCCTCCGTGGGCGTTGTTTTCTCGCGGTCGTGACGCGCGTAGAGAGGTTCGATAAGGTCGACGAGGAAAGGGTGACGCTCCAGATACTGCTTGAGGGTTGCTTCCAGAATCTCTTTGACAGATAAAGACTCGGTGTATCGACAATAGATGACGATGACGGCGACCCTCCCCTTCGCTTCCTCCTCTAGCTGTAGGAGGTCATTGGCCACATTTGAACTAGGGAAATAGATAAGGGTTAGCCCGAGCGAACGAATATGGTACAGTGTGAACCGTACGCAAGCAGAGTCTTTCCAGCGCCAGCTAACAGGAGAATGATGAGCAGGAATGACTACAGCAGAGCGACAGAGGACTCACGAATTCCCGTTCCCCAGAGCACGCCGCTCCTACTTCCCTTCCATTCTTTGTACAGGCGGCTCTGGAGAAACCACGCCCCCGTTCCCGGCGTCCATTTCTTTCTGACGTCCAGTTGGATGGCTCGGAAGTTAACTCTGTGGGCCAATCGATTTAGAAGACGCTGTTCTCCTAGGAAAATGACAATAATCGGATTCTGAATCCCCTTGTCCGAGGGGTAAAGCACTTACTACGTCCACCGCGCGTGTTGAATCCAGCTGTTGTTCCGAAGTGTTGTTCGCCACTGGATTCAGCTTGAAAATACATCAGTTGAGCAACAACTAGAGAGTGAAGAACGTCCACCATGAGTGCCATGGTTTGATGCTATATCGACGATGCTTGAATCGCCATAGAAATTAAACGTTCCGCCGCTAATCTTGACGACCCTGCTATTGCTAGTATCTTCGCCCTCGTGAAACGGTGACGGCTCCTCGCTATTCACATCGCCTGGTAAAATGTTAGATTACGCACAGGCGAACACACTGTTTTAGCTACATGTCAATGGCCCTGCTTTGGTGTTCGGGCGTTCTCCCCCTCGCTGTAAGCAAAGGTGAGTATCTTCTGGGCGAACTGTGCGCGCGTTACTAACCCAAAATGAAACTTTTTGCCCCATTATAGATGAAGGTTAAGAAATACTAGAGACCGCCCGGTGTGTGGACGTCTCAGAGAAGAAGAGACCAAGGTTGGCTGTGGTAGCAGTAGTAGGCGCTCAAGCGCTAGCACCGCGGCCGGCCCAGAGTTGCGTGGTCCAGAAGCCGTAGCCAAACAAAAGGAATCCACGGGCCTACTAACAGCCGCTAACCCTGTTCTTGATGATCTTGCTCTCCGCCTCGACGCAGGGATTCTCATTACTCAAGGACTCAAGGTGAAGCCATCGTTCAATAATTGATCTGGTACATATAAACCTGTCTGTGGAAGTCCCGGATGTTATCCAGTACAGGGACAACAGGCTGAACCCTAACCCTCCCTCTTTACGGTCTTCCACCTGCTTTCGTAACTGAGGGAGGCGGTTCCTATTGCGATGTAAGTAACGCTTGCCTTGCCCCGTCCGGGAAGGGCCGAAGAAGAATGGCGTGCGGCGTCTATCCACCTCGTGGCCTACTCGTTGCTTGTGGATCCAGAAAGGCTGTTGGGCGCTTAATACATGCTTCTTACCACATCCACCATCCACCATCCTCTAAGCCTCGTCTGTCCAGGTGCGTCTTATGCCCGGACTGTCGCCCTTGTAGCAGACGCTGAACTTCGAATGCAGGACGGCCATTGGAAATGGTGGAGCCGGCACTGCAAGAGGAGGCTCTGGACCCGTTAGCTGCAGTGCTACCTCCTCAAGAAAGCGGGTCGGATATGAACAAGGTATGCACTATCTCAACAAGTGGTTATATCGGTGATCTAACAAGTTCCCGCCAGGATGATAGCAACTATGAAGGAACACTGGCGCCTCACTCGATTCTCCAGGTAGGTTCCTATCATTGTTCTCTCACTTGCCGTGCTCTATCTCACCCCGCTATTCAGCACGAAGCAAGTTGCGGCGGCTCAGAGGAAACCCTGACCAGACAATATAGTATTGGTGCTGAACCGCCGGGTACATCTGCGGACGGAGATATGGAACAGGTAAGCGAAACACCTCTTATCTCGCCCTCGTGCCTCTGATGTCGGAAATATGCGGCAACCGTCGGCACGGCTTACAACGGCTCTCCACGAATGCCGAGATCCCGAGCGTGGAAACGCACCCCAACTATGACGCAACGAGGATACCGCGGTTGGCCTTGCCGTGGCGACGGCTGGGAGGTCCGTTCCGACAGCGGAGCTGACGTGGCAACCGCGTCGCGACGGGGAGGTTTAGGGGCCAGCGCCGAGCCAGCGTTAGAGATTTCGTGGGCTGCCTAACGAGCTGTAGAGCAAGTGGAAATACAGAGGAATGAAAGGGGACATAACCGGGAGGTAAAGCACTACCAATTGCATGCACATATCGAAATACATGCAGATATACTGGCAGGGAATGTAAGATACGGCGCCAATAGTCAGAATCCAATCCAATTGCTTCAATGTACAAGTGCCTTCGCGTTGGGACTCCCTGGGATGCCTATAGGCAGGTCACAGATGGTTCAGTGGACAGCTGCCAGTGTCTGAAATGCCAGTAAAGCGTCAACCGATATGTTCATGTGGAGTTATGCGAGTACTCAACTTCACTCCAGTAGTCGTCGTGCACCGGCTTGCTCTTGCTGCTCGTCTCCAGGCAGGCCACATGCTCGCAGACTAAATTTGCGGAACAAACTTGCGTGGTTTCCAGCTGTGCCTGGTTGAGAAAGAGGGGGGGGGGGGGGAGAGAGAGATAGAGGAGTGGTTGGAGAGAGAATTGGAGAGAGAAACTCGCCACCCTCTGGAAACAGCCTCTTGCTGGTTGTCCCGACTCATGATGACTAGCCTGGGCCGAGTCAACAGGGCATCGAGATGGTGGCCAGAGAGGTGTCGCTCGAGGTGTAAGTTGTGGTGCGAGTTGCAACAGGCCGCGACGCGAGGACGATTTCGACGTATTTCACGCGCGAGTGATGCCATCAAAGTCCAAGATTGCCTCCCAACTGTCGAGACTCGTCACAAACCACGTTTCTAGCTAGCCGTTTTCTACTCCTAAGGGCCAAAAATAATAGAGTATAGTCTCAATACATGTATAATCCAATATATTCCATAAAATCGAATAGCTGTTGATCTGGGGAGGAGGTATGAGAGATGTAAGTGTCGGGAGCCTCAATGAGCCTGCCCTAAAGTAACCCATGGGCGCCTGTTGTTGGCCCAGCTCAAATGCTCGAGCAATTTGCAGCTGTTGTTAGACGTAGTATATGTACAACTGATGCGAGGTAATACAATGATTTATGTACTAGAAGAACATATAAAAGCTTGGTGTGATGTACAATGAAAAGTAAAGTGATGATGTGATGTGCAGTCTGTATGAGAGCCCACAGGTGACCGGCAGTGGTTCCAGCTGAGAAGAGCGAGTATGTGGGTAGAAGTTAAAACGAGCGTTGGCGCCATTCTGTAAGCTCATTTGACGAGGGAATGTGCTGGGATTCCAAAATTATATTCACAAGCTCTGGCGTTGCCATTTTGGTTAGTCTATCGAGCGTGAAGAATAGAAAATAAACATACCAGCTTTCTTGGTTGCCTTTGTCACCTTTGAGGGAATTTCACGTTCTTTAATCCACGCTTTGAGGTGCCGAACTGTCCATAGCTGGTGGTATATGAATCAGTCACTGTGACGCAAAATACAGATAAAAAAGAACAGCAAACGACTCACATTTAATGCTTTCTTGACGTCACCAGATGTAGGAACCGGCCCTGCTGCGGTCAGGTCTTCCACAACAATCTCCAAGTCTGAGTTTCTTCCTGAGCTTCGCAAAAGGCTGACCTGATCCAATGATAGTTAGCATCTATGAGAGATCAATGAGGAAGGTAATAAATACACTTACCTTTGGCTCTACGACGGTCCAAAGGACCTGAACGGTCTGGTCGAGATAGGCGTCACTCAGATATTCATCATCTTTGACTGGGATGTTCCGGTCTCCGCAGATGATACGGGCTGCATGACACGTGCGGATGAGCGGCAGCAAGAAGCCTCGCAGCGTGTTCGGCACTGCCAACTGCATCCCAGGAGGTGATCGTGCTCCTCAAAGTCAGGGATCCTGCAGTAAACTGGTGGTGCCCCCAATTTTCGTTGCCATCGTCCTTCGGAATTGCAGGGTCATTGGGGTTGGCATTTTCGATACGCTCGAGGAACTTGAGGAACTGAGGGCTAGCCTCTCGTGGAACAGACGATGGTGCAACGACTTTGGAGAGCTCTTGTAGGCCATCGATGAGATCCGCCGAATGAGAGATCGAAGGGAAATGTTGGAGCTGGGAGCGTAGTTTGACGAGGTCATGGGAGATCTCGATTGATGAGATATCTACAGGCCAGCGTCCCGACTGCTGACCTAGAAATAGCAGGTCAGAATAACGATAAATAAATGTGTAAGATTAGAAGAGAACTAGAAGAGAACGTACCAAAATCATCCTCGTCTTCATCAAATTGACCCAGCAACATTGCTGCTTTTCGTTGTCGCAAAGCATTGCTGCTGCTGCTTCCTCATATTCGTCATCGTCTTGGCGGACCTCCCCAATTTCCTCCTCGTCAGTCTCTTGCATGGATCTTGGAAGAATGTAGGAGTTCCAGAACCGGAAGATATCCTTGTAAGGCTCCGACAAGTCTTTGCCATCTTTCTTTCCTAAGTTCATCCCCTCGATGAGAAACTTCTTGTAAAAATCTGAATGCTTTCTGATACGGGAACTTGGAATTGGCACCGACAGGTTCGAGATACTTGTCGTTGTTGTGAATGAAGATCACCTAAATGGATGCACAGTAAATATCAGTTCATCAACACAGACAGTACTAACGCTCACCTGAATGCATGTGCGAGAGACGAGACCTGGGCCTGCTTTCTTGAAGTACTTTATCCCTCGGGATTTTGGGTCGGGCTTGATTTCTCCATCAATAAGCCATTCCGGTATCAATGAATTTTCTGAAAAGAGGTCAACGCGCGCACACTACAAGAACATTAGTGCTGTTCATACTCTTAAAGAAAAAACATTAAAGACTCACCATCGGGAGCTCTGGGTTACGGAAAACACCCTCTCTGAAGTTCCGAACCCCATCTTTGAATAGGATTGGTGGGAACAACAGCAATGAGAATCGCACCATCCTCCTATCGTCCAACGCCTCGTCCCAGACAAGCTTGCTGAGGAAGAAAGATGTTTCTCCCCGCTGCTTGTACTTGTCAGGTGCATAGAGTGAGGCTATGTCATCAGGAGCATCGAATATCACTGCTGCTGCTGCCTTTTTTCTGAGGTCCGAAATCAAGGTTCGTCGGAGACTGGACACAGCATGTTGAAACTTTAAAGGGGAGTAAGGACACAGTGTAACAGAGAGGTTATGTGACGGGCTTACCACTGCCTGAAATGCAGGTGACGTCTGCAGCTGGGGGTGGTATAGCTCATCGGTTTTCTCGTATAGCTCTGCAATAATAGCAATGCGTAGGGCCTGAGGCTGTTTCTCTTTTTCACGGGGGTACCGCCCTTCAAGACTGTTGGTATTAGGTCGGGGTTGCATGAACCAATCAGCGTCGATGAACATTTCGTTGTTGAGGTAGAAAGCTCGTGCGATATCTCCAATTTTTTTGTCATGTCCGGGGTGTCCTGTTGTTGGGTTTTGACGGTTGCCTACCGGTGGAGCGGTGTAGCTGCTGCTGTCGTCGCTATCAATACCGTCGTCCTCAGCTGTCCTGCCTTTCGCTTTCATCTTTTGTTTGGCTTTAGCCCTCTCTTGCTGCAGAAGCTGCCGTAGCTCTTGAAGCTCCTTGGTTAGGCGCTGATTTTCAAGCTGCTGCTCTTGCAGTTTCTATCACAATACACACGATGGTTCAGTTCGATGAATAGGGACTAAAAGAAAACAGCCACACCTTGCTCTGGTACTGCTGCAAGAGCTCGTCGCTTGACATTGGGACCGGAACATGGGACGTTGATGTCGACGTCGATGCCTGAGAGGACGCCTGCTGGCTGGGGTGGTGGTATGTGCTCTCGATATCAGTCTCGGAACGTAGTGAGAGCTCCTCCAAGTAGTTGTTGAGAGCTTCCTCTTCATCCGAGTCGTAGGCGACGGGCTTCTTGCCCTTGTTCTTGGACATTGCCAGTATGGCTGGGAGAAGAAGTAGTCCACGTCAACACAAGAGAGAGAGGAAAAAGAAAGAGAGGAAAGAAAAAAAAGCGAGCATACTTGACGTGAAATAAACCAAGGAATGGTTGCCGGTGGACCTTTCTAAAGAGGAAAGCCATGTGCCCCGGCTAATTATGAGTAACGTAACTCATATATTCCATTTATCGTGCTTCATATACCACTGAAAAACAGACATATTAGCTCATGACTCGTGAGTGATAATATTCAATGGAAAGTGACGAACCTAAATGTCATTCTACGAAGGCTGTGTCTAGCAGTAAGGAAGATACAATAACTGTGGGTAGATTTAACTATCTAGATCAGCATGCGAAGCAACTCTCGAACGCGGGAGAAACATGTCTGAATCTACGACATCGAAGACTAGGTAATCGGTTTCTTGCTCATTCACAGGGATTAAAACGGCACCACGGACAATAGAACGCGCAAAAAACAGCTCTGCACCTGTTTGAACAGCCCTCCTGACACGATAGAACCCCGCACCTGCATCCTTTGCACTCTGGTTTCTAGGAATTGGTGCGGTATATGGAAGGGCCAATGCGATTGGAATGGCGTCAGAATCTGGTGTTCCGGGGGCTTGAATGGTGAATAGTGCGAGTAGGCGAGCAAAGATGTCTCCTGTGGTTGTCTGAAGAATAACCGAGTCGTAGCGAGGGCGACCATGAAAAGAGGGGGAGCACCGAAGCAGGTCGCGTTCAATGTCCCATGACTCCTTCGAGGTGTAGACTACCTCCATTGAGCGGAATGAACGAACCTGTTACATGATTGAACACGATGTTACATCCGTGAACCCACAAAGGCCATAAGGCACGTACCAGTGTCGAGTTGCGGATGGTAATGTCGAGCCCATTCAATGAGCAGAAGTCGCTCAACGATTGGCTGAGATTGACCCCTTCAAAGAAGCGGGCATGCTCTCCAAGTTCTTCCTCGTAGTGGAAGTCAAATTGGTCCAGTGGGCGCGCCTTTCGAGGTCCTTGAGGTGCCTTGAGGGTAACATTTCCGAAGCTGAAGCGATGCTGAAGTTCTTCATCGGCGCAGTCCTCGGCGTCCTCGAGTGCTTCAAGATGAACGTCAATAATTGAGTCAATAAAGTCTATGACCTGGCCACGTTGGTCTGCGCTAAGAATCTATCGAGGTTGAAGGATTAGTGATTGAGGAAAGAACACACGGTCGGTTTACGCACCTGTTTGTCTGCGTCTTTGAAATTAGTCATATACTGATAATAGAACTTCAACGCGCGGTGCATTGTTTCAAAGGTTTTGGTCGTGTAGTTCCGCGTTACGCCTTTTGCAAAGATGTCTCCAGGAAGATGCATCTGAAGATGCATCTTCGGAAATAACCAGCTCTTGCCTTCGAAGAGATCTCCAAGCTTCTGTAAGGGTAAAGATGAGATAGGCGCCACACAGCTAGAGTATGTGTACCTTGATCTCTTCGCAGAACACTTGAAGTTCCTTCTCGATCTCTTTCACCGTGGACTCAGTATGAACTTCGAACGACGAGAATGCATTGAGGTTCAAGAAGATGCGGAGGCATCTCAGAATCTGGAGGGTTGGCTTATCGGATTTATCAATCACACCGTCGTATAGAATGAATGGAAAGAGCTGAGGTTTAAAAAGTTAATAGAAGTAAGCGACGGGGACCATTGTCATTTCTCACCCGCGCCAAATCTTCCCACTTGTTCGAGTCTTGAAATGATTTTTTAGTTGTGATGTTGTCGTAATGAGTCAGTCCAGGCCATCGTGGAACTGCGCTCGCCCTGCTGAAAGCTTAGGTGATTTGCTAGAGTCAAGAGGAATATCACAACAGACCTTGAATTAATTCGTTTCTGCACTTCCGGTGTTGAATAAGGACCACGATCGAAAATTTCGTAGAGCATCGCCAGAAGATGAGTTTTTGCCAGCCCACCAGGGTAATTATGCAGTCGGTCAAACGACAGGGCACGGTGAGGGTCCGAGTTCGCGATATCTGCAAAAGCATTCTGACGAGCCGAGTCAGCGGACAGTAAAGTTGAAATAGGAAATGGATACCTTGATCGGTCGGACGTTCAGCTCCTGAAGTTTCTTGCGTGCAGTGCCTTTGACTCGTTCTGGTGCATCAGGCCTTTCAAGTACATCAACCAGCTTTTGAGTGGTCTCCGCATTTCGATATTCCCAGTTGGTAAAGAATGTTGCAAGGTTGTCCTCGTCGACCAGACACACGGGGCACTGCTTAGTCTTTGATCCACGTATACCAGCCATCACTGCCCTAAATACTAGTCAGACGCAGCCCGGATATCATTATATCAGGAGGAACATGACATACTGCTCTTCATAGTCGGCCGAGAGCATCAGAATACATGGGAAGAGCCTTCGGACAACCCCATCCCCGCATTTGTAGTAAACCCCATCCTTTGAATGTGTTCTGATAGACTCGAGTATCTCTCGAAAACTATCGTGCCATACTACGCGCTTGTACTCCACCCATTCTGTGCTTCGGTTGGATTTCTTGTCCTTCTCTGGGATCTATGCAAGTTGTTAGGGGAACGCTAGTCTGAGCCATAGGTAAACCACGCACGATTGGAAGCCATCCGACCACACAACCTCCACCGATACCTTTCCCGTTCCTTATATGAGCGGGGAGGTTTGCAATCTTGGCATACACTGGGTACGCCTTCTTGCCCCCGAACGACGAGAGCTGTGTCTTATCAGCATAGACGATCAAACAGAGAGGTACTCCGTCGTCAGGTAAGTTGTCCTGTATCCCATAAGCCTCATTTCACACTCAAACGATTCCAATCATACCTCGATCTTTGCCCAGTCATCCCCTGTCCACGGCTCCGTGACAAAGCGCTCCCACATCTCATCGTCGTTCTTCTTGAACATTTTCACGCTCTCCCAAACAAACTCCGGTGCTAGTTTGGGGTTCTCGACCAGTTCAAGTGCCCACTTCCATACAGACCGCACCCAGACATTGTACTTGTGAGGTTCTTCCTTGAAGGGCACGTCAACAGTGTTGCATTCAAACTAATAGGGTACGATTAAGATACATTCAATACAGGACGTAATTCACATGACCAACAACATACAGGAGTTACAAGGCATGAGGCATCCTTCCAAGCATCGTGGATTGCCTGACTCCCGTTGAACGTGAGGGTATCCTTCCTATCGACACATTTGTTGATGAGGGAGAGCAGTTCCTTCACATCATCGTCGCGCATTGCGGAGCGAAAGATGAGTTTTGCAAATCGATAGTCGGCATCCGTTTGGAAAGGGAAGTATGGGGACTTCGACGTCAGAGATGGGAGGGGAACGCGTGTGTTGGCACTTGCACCTGGACGTCGCCGGCGTAGGTTGTACTGATCGGTCGTGATGTGTTCCGGTGCCCGCTTTCGTTTTGCGTGATGCTCGATTCGAATGTCGGAAGGTGGGTCCAATCTTTGTTGAGGTTGCCCTATCGGATTAGCTCAACCAGTGAGGGAATGCCGATGTGGGTTGATAATACAATACAGCGTACCTCGGGAGCGGAGAGATGAACCTGCTTCGGCGTTCATGCGCAAATTGGGCACGGGTTGCCTGGATGTCGCTGCGGATGAAACATGTGAGCAAGGACACCGGTCAGAACGATGCTTGTAACTCACATGTCTTACGAGTCTGGGACGGGCGAGGGGACAAGTTCTCCCAAGGATTCTTCGGTGGGTCAACAACAACATGGCCTGGGGCTGTATCTGGAAGAGCTTTGGAACCTGTCAGTGAGTCACCGCAGCACATCCTCTATGAAGATAAAGCTCTCACTGGCTGTACGTTTCGCCCATTGCTCCTGATCCTCTTTCAGCGCCCTTCGTTTGCCGCACGACTTGCTGTGGCTAATTTGCGCGGCTTTCTTCTCAAATACAGCATTACAGCCTGCTGTGCACCGGTGTTGCATCGTAGAGAGCTGAGGGGTGGGATTTCGAAAGGAAGGAGCGGAAACCGCTGTACTGAAGGTCAAAAGGCGGCTTGTGGGGTGCGACGGGAGAGGGTTCCCTGCCACGCCTCGTCAACAAAGCCGCATTCGTTCCCACGGTTATCCCATGGACCTGGGATCGTTGGGACGTCCAAGGCAACGTGGTGACGCCGGACCGTTTGATGAGATGGCGTTGCGAGGAACCCTTTGGGGCTCCCACGCACAATTCGTGGGGACCCCGGTCCGAGATTTCCGACAGACGTACACTGACTGGGGTCCTACTTGGTTATAGGAGCTGCTTCCAATGAACGCTAATGACAACGACACCTTCAACATAGCTCGGGCACAAACCACGTCTTCGAATGTGATCTCAATTGCTCAGAACTCGGGGGTTAGCAGAAGCACCATCGCTGTTGGGGATGTTCACCAGGTTATCTTCAATGTTTCTCGCGCCCCGGATGGTAAGTCTGCTGTGTACTAGGCCTTGCGCGCCGTGTAACGCATTTCGAATTAGACCAATCAAGGTTGAAAGAACCGGACATTCCACGGGGTGATGTCAATTCACACCCAGGGAGCACGGCGGAGCGAGAAGCGCAACAATTGTTGGCCAAAACACTGTCGGACTGGCTCTTTCATGGCACGAATTTTCGCGCCATCCACATCGAGAACCTCGAAAAATGGACCAGAGGAACACTCGCTTGGTTTCTCGAATCCGACTGGTACCAAGCATGGAAGGATGGTCCAGACCGGATCATATGGGGAACGGGGATGCGTGAGTTTCGCCCTTCAAACGGTTCGCGAGCTTGTTCCTTACTGTGGAAAATATAGCGGGCGCGGGGAAGACCGTTCTTGCGTAAGTAGTCTTCATCTGCGTCGTCAGGATTTCGTTAACGTTTCGAACCCCGCCGCCACCAGCTCCAGGACTATTCACGACATCGAGGAATACAAGGCGGCCTCCGATGCGAAAATATGCATAGTCTATGCGTACTTCCGCCACGCTGATTCCTTGACCACCAAGGAGACTCTCGAGGGATTCATACAGCAGTTCCTAGAGTGCGACCCTTCGTTGTCCAGCATTGTCGAGCCCCTCTACTCGCACCACCACCACTACAAGACTCGCCCAACCCTGGATGAGCTCCTCGACGTACTGAAACAGCTCGAGTCCCACTTCGACATCGTCTTCTACGTCCTTGATGGGGTGGATGATACACGGGTAGAGACGCAAATCGGGCTTGTTCGGGCAATTAAGGTGCTCAAGGGCAAGTTTGCTCTGACTTCCCAACCGCTCAAGCGCTTGGAGTCCGGGCTTCCTTCCGCACGAATGTACGAAGTGGTTGCGAAGGCCTTTGACATAGAGACTTTTGTTGCCCATCGGATTGAAGAAAACCCGGCCCTCCGCACGCTGCTGGACGAACACGACTACGTGCAACAGGCAACCTCGCAAATCGTCGAGAGATCGAATGGAATGTGAGCGGGCCTTTCCCTTGTGCGCCACCCTCGTTTGGACTGATGGTCGACTGTTGTAGGTTCCTACACGCTTCCCTCCAGCTGGAGAATCTCGAGCATTGTTTGAGCACCAGCACGATTCAGAGGTCTCTGGAACAGCTTCCGGAGGGGCTAGACAACATGTACGCTGTCATTGTTGGAAGGATCCAAGACCAGCCTTCAGAAAGCGCAGACGTCGGGATGCGGGCGTTGGTATGGCTGGTGTTTGGGCGAGAGTGCTTCACCGCCTCTGAGCTTTGCCATGCCCTCGCAATATGTCCTGAAACCGGCGTGTTTGAAGAAACCCGAATGGTGAAAGATAGCGCACTCATTTCGGCGTGCTGTGGTCTCGTGAAGATCGAAAAGGATACTGGGATTGTCCAGCTCATCCGTGAGTTCTTGTCAATTTTCCCTCTTTCCGTCTCTGATCATTCTCCTCACATAGACTCCACAGCCTTCGATGCTTTGAAGACGATCCTGGCGCAACGACTGCCTAACCCACACAGCCTCCTTTTCAACGTGACCTCGAGGCAACTTCTGGCATTCGGTATCCCAAATAATTCAGGGAAACTCAAAACGAAGATGGATCTTGACGCCGCCCTTCATCAACATCCCATTCTACCCTATTCATACAGACACTGGGCCGACCATGCCTTGGAATGTCTATCTTGCCATGAGTTCTCAGAGGTCGTGCTCGAATTTATCCGAAAATGCCACTCATTCCCTTATGTTTTCGCTCGCTACACAGGTCGTTCTGACGGTTTGGACTACCTCTCCCCCATACACATCGTCGCACGACACGGCTTCCACGGTCTTCTGCTCCCGCTGTCGTTGGGTGCACCAAAAGGATGGGCCACGCTCAGGACCATAGGCGAGCATATGTCAACGCCCTTAATGATCGCTTCCCAATACGGCCAGGAGGAGGTTGTCGAGCGCTTGCTTGAATACAACAATCGCCTCAGGAGTGGCATCGGATGCATGAGTCTACTACTACTACGACTTGGCCCGTGCCCGTTCGCAACCAAAACGGTCAATCTTCAAGATGACAAGGGCAGGACGGCTTTGATGTATGCATCGGCCAACGGGCACACTGGGATTGTGCAGCGTCTTCTCGAGCAGGGCAAACTCGACCCCAACATACGCGACAAGTCTGGATGGACGGCTTTGATGCACGCGTCTAGCGAGGGACATCTCGACATCGTGCTGCGGCTAATGGGTTACAGAGGGCTCCACGTCAACGTCGTAGACGGTGAAGGATGGTCGGCTGTTTTCCATGCTTTATGGAGAGGGCACGAGGAAATCGTGCAGCACCTACTTGGTTTCCGTGACGTCCAAGTCGGAGGGACGGACAAGGCTGGGCGGACAGCTTTGATGTGCGCGATCGGCAGCCGTCGTCGAAGTCTTGTTTCACAGATTCTGGGACGACCAGACACGGAAATCAATGCGAGGGACCACAAAGGGTGGACAGCGCTGATGTATGCATCGAATGAAGGGCTCGAACACATCGTCGAGGACCTTCTCCGTCACGCAGACATCCAAACCAACCTCAAAGATGACACCGGCAGAACCGCTTTAATCTTTGCTTCATCCAACGGTCACACGGGCGTTGTAAGACGCCTCATTCGACATGCCAGCACACTGGTTAACCTCCCAGATCGGGAGGGGAAGACGGCGTTGATTCATGCATCGCTGAATGGCCGTGGAGAGACGGTGGAGGAGCTGCTTGGCCACAGCGCGGTGCAGGTCAATCTGAAGGACAAACATGACCGGAGGACGGCCTTGATGTATGCGGCAAGGGACAACCACGAAGACGCCGTTCGCGCCCTGCTTTCCCATCCGCATATCCGGGCAAACGAACAGGACAGGCTCGGGTGGACCGCCCTGATGCTCGCAGCCAGGAATGGCCATAGTGGCACTGTGAAGCCCTTGCTACAACATAAACCCATCCTCGTCAATGTCGAGGCTCGCCATGGATGGACGGCACTGATTTACGCCTCGATGAACGCCTGTGAAGGCGTCGCAAAGCAGTTGCTGGAGCATCACGACATTGACGTCAACAGAAAGGATAACAAGGGAAGGACAGCCTTGATCTACGCCTCGATGACCGGCCGCGATGCCATCGTTCAGAGTCTAGTTGACCACAAGGATACCAAGGTCAACCTTGAAGACGACGAAGGGAAGACATGTCTGATGTATGCGCTAATGCGAGGCCACGATGATGCTGCCCAGATCCTCCAGCTCAAAGACGCCATCGTCCCCGTCAGGATCGACAATGGAGGAATCGCGATGGTCATCGCTGCCCTCAAGGGTGACCCCGAGTTTGTATATCTTCTCGAGACTGCAGGCGTCAAACTTCTCCAGAGCCCCAAAAAGAAGCTTTCTTCATTGGACAGTGTATTTTGTATCAGTAGTAAGTAGTAGCGTTGCACGGAAGATGCGCATTGAAGTAAAAAAGGATATGTAATAAGGAGCTGCGAATTGTTGGAATAAATCCGTACCAGACAAGTGCGGTGGTTGCATGTAATCGAATCAGGTTAGAATATGGACATCAACGAGCATTCCCGTCCAATAGTTATTCAATGCTACAAAATACATTATTTCTGGGAGACGGGATGATTACAAGCAAAGTGCTTGCGCTCGTCCCAAGATAATTTGGTAATAGGAAGACTGCCAGCCACCGAAACTCGCTGGTCGCGAGGAATACCCTCCAACGAGCGAGCATAAGTAGCGATCGAGTGGGCCGCAGCTTTCGCGTTGTTAACCCAGAATGGAACGTTAAGGTTCTCCACCGTGTCGCATAACAGGTGGTAGCACTTGTCGTATGCAACTTCAGCCTCTCCTCCCCACCTGTGAAGCCGCGAGCCATGAGAAAAGGTTATATGGCAGGTAGCGTAGCAGGAAGACATACTGTTCGACTCCCTCTTCCGTCTTTAAGCCCGAGGCACCGGTAAGAACACCACCAACTGGAATCCCAACTTGCAAGAAGGGATCATAGTCGCTAGACCCACTAAACGCCGCAGGAGCAGTCTTCAGCCCTCTCGCCTCGAACCAATCCTGATACAGCTTCTCAATCTTATCACTGCCCGCCGGCCCGACAAGTCCATAATCACTTCCATCTCCGTCATGGACAAAGTACGCCGCATTCGGGGAGGCGAGCATGTCAAAATTGAGGTAGAGAGCGATCTTCTGGCGTTCCTCGTCGGAGAGGTTGGTGACGTGGTATTCTGAGCCGACGAGCCCGAATTCTTCGGTCGTCCAGAACCCGAAGCGGACGGCGTTCTTGACGCGGTACTTTGTGAGGTGGAGCGCGATCTCGAGGACAGCGATGGTTCCGGATCCGTCGTCGTTGATACCCTTTCCAAGGCGTCAGTATGAGGTCTATCAAATGACAAGGATTCAAGTGCCTACAGGACCAGCAGGAACCGAATCGGTATGCGCTCCCGCAAAGACGATGTTCTCCTTGTCCCCGATCTTAGACGTAGCGATCACATTGCTCGAGTATCGAATCTCAGTCAACCCTGTTGCCCGCAGGTTACCAACCACCTCCTCGCCGCGTTCAATGGCAGCCTTCAGAGCGTTTCCCTGGATACCAGAGAGACCAGCGACAGGTACATATGGTCCAACATCCGGACGGCTGGGCAGCGACAGTGTCGCCGAGCCTACATTGCCATCGGCGTTGTTGTAGATGATGGCGCCTGTAGCTCCAGCGGCGCCGGCTAGGGCGACTTTCAATCCGAACTCGCACTCTCCACGGAGGATGAGGGCGATGTTTCCTGCGACTCTATCCGGGAAGTCGGCCTGGTGTGACATATGAGAACCGAAAGGCAATGCAGACTATGGGATCCACTCACCGCGGTGCATCCAAGGGCATCGACGGGAACGAGGGGCGCCTCGACGTTCCCAGTCGGTCCATACGTGAATGTCGTAGTCTCATACGACACATCATTCGCAGAGAACGAAACGCGGCTCTCCGAGTACTGGTACGGGAAGGTCTGCAGATAGGTGTCATAGTATCCCGTCTGGTCGAGCAGTCGCTTGATGTAGTTGACAGTCGCGTTGTGTCCCTTCGAGCCAAAGGCGCGATTCCTGTTACTGAGGTCGGAGAACTTCTCAAACTGGCGTGCGTGGTGCAGGAGGTTGTTCGCGTGAATCGAAGCTTGGAGTTTCTCCGAGTCGACGAGGGGCCGTCGAGGACCTATACCCGCTATGTCTGCTTCATCCGCGTCTGATGTACCGAGGACGAAAGAACGCAGGGAGAGTGATAAACCCAGGAGATAGAGTGAGGGTTTCATGATTGGGTTGGGGGATCTGAGGCGGGGTGCTTCGTGCACTTTATCATTTGGGCGGTTAAGCGGGTCTGAAGAAGTCGTTCAATGAATGGCGACATGCTTGCTGTGCTCTGGAGACACATGGAAGAAGTTCGCCTCCCTCGCGAACAAATGTAGCAGAGATTCATCGGAATGCGAAGAAGAACCACGACCCATGCAGCGTGACCAGCATTGCGCCATTCGAAGTCCTGTATGGATCGAGGGTTGGTGAATAAATGGCCTGGATTGGTTGCCTTTTCTACTCACAGAGTGTGGATGCGGAGTTCTTGGTTCACATCTGCCAGGCTGGGCTCATGCTCTGTATCGCGACAAACCGCCCAGCCGCCCAGCAGAAATTCTCGTTGGGGTTGGACTGGAATCCGAGCCTTCGCATCCCCGACCCTGGTTCATGTCCATCTGTTCGTATTCGCCATTGTGAGTCGACCTTGAAGCTTGACACTTCAGACTGGCAAGTCAGAAACGCGCTTTCATGAACGAGGATATGAATCTGGAGAGAGAGGGACTGAACTCGAGCGTCCAGTGTCTGGACGCCGACGCGGCAATCAGCATTGTGGGAATCTGACATCAAATCCCCACAGCGGCATTCCATCACACCTTGAGTCCTTTCGACCCAAACGCCCATCCAAACCGCAGGTCCGCAGTAATTTCAACGGTACATAACATGCTATCCAAGCTCTACACACAGTTAACTTCAAGGATGACGTCCAAAACCTCCCTCACCCTCGCCCAGCGCCAACGAGTCGCCCAAGACACGATTAAGCGCTCGCCCCAGATCATCGCCGAACACGCCAGTGCCGGCGGTAATGAGGGACCTCTCCGAAGCGCCACAGCCGATTCCACATTCATTTCTGAACAACTTCCTTCATTGGACCAGTCCAAGTGTCCGAATGCACCAGAGAGCCAGGTGCAGTTGGTCAATTCGGACGCGTTTACGGCTGCTAGGCGCTTGATTGAGGAGGTTCCTGAGGCGCATGGGAGTGTTGCGGTGTTGAACTTGGCTAGTGATGTGTATAGAGCTGGGGGGTGGGTACAGACGTTGTCGAAGACTCAGGTACGTCAAGCTCCGATCACTGTCGTCTCTTCTATTTTGCTCGCAATAAGCTGAGGGCTGACCCATCTAATCCATTACAGGAAGAAGCGCTCTGCTACTCCTCTACGCTCTACGAAACACTGAAAGAGTCGTACTACCCCTGGCCAAACGTCGGACCCGGCTCCGTCGCAGGCGTCTTCTCCCCAGGTGTAGTCATCTTCAAAGACGACCTCGACAACGGCTGCGGAGAACTCCCCGCTGCAGACCGCCGCATCGTCTCCGTGATCACAGTCGCTGCGCCGCGGAACCGCCTACTAACAGAAGACGGGGAGAACTTTCAGAATCCTTCCGTACTCGAAGATCTACAAGGCAAGATCCGCCTTGTCTACCGGATGGCTGCGCATCATGGGCAGCAATACCTCATTCTTGGTGAGTAGTAGGCTCTCTTCCGAGTCTAGATCTCTGGCGCTGCGCATTGCGATATCCCGGGCCCGTCTCACCTGTCGTACTCCAGGCGCGATGGGATGCGGTGCATACCGCTGTCCCCCCAAACTCGTCGCAACCCAGATGAAAGAAATCCTTCTCGAACCAGAATTCAACGGGTGGTTCAAATGGGTCATCTTCGCGATCTACAGTCGACCAGATAACGGACCTACCAACTTTGACATCTTCTCCGAGATTTTCAAAGACACCACAATCGGGAAGAAAGAATTGATTTAAGAATACAGTTAAATTTCACCTTGTTTTTGCTACTGCAGTGTTGTTTTACAACTCGTCAACGACATGGTTGCAAGCACGGTGCTTACGCTCCTCGTACGGGACAGACGCGAGCGAAAGCGAACCAACAGACTCGCGTTGGTCACGAGGAATCCCATCCAGCGACCGTGCAAACGTAGCAATCGAATGCGCAGCAGCCTTTGCGTTGTTAAGCCACACCGGGACGTTCAAGTTCTCCACCGTATCGCATGCAAGATGGTAGCACTGGTCATACGCAACACCAACCTCTCCTCCCCACCTGCTCACTCATCAGCAACAAATCGCAAAAGAAAAGGAAGAAGGCTGGGTGGACTCACATTTCGACGCCCTCAGCAGACTTGAGTCCTCCAGCACCAGTAAGCACACCTCCGACAGGAATCCCAACCTGCAAGAACGGATCATAATCACTCGACCCACTAAACGCACCCGCAGCTGTCTTCAACCCCCTCGCATCATACCACTCCTGATACACCTTCTCAATATAATCGCTCCCGGGGGGCCCGGCCAGCCCAAACGTGCTCCCATCTCCATCATGGATAAAGTACCCCGCATTCGGCGAGGCGAGCATGTCAAAGTTGAGGTAGAGCGCGATCTTTTGGCGTTCCTCTTCGGAGAGGTTGGAGACGTGGTATTCGGAGCCTACCAAACCGAATTCTTCGGTCGTCCAGAACCCGAAGCGGACGGCGTTTTTGACGCGGTATTTTGTCAGTTGGAGGGCGATTTCGAGGATGGCGATGGTGCCTGAGCCGTCGTCGTTGATTCCCTGCGTGGTGGAATGTGGTTAAAGAAGAGCATATGTTTTGAAGTGTATGAGATAGACTCACGGGACCAGCAGCGACGGAATCGGTGTGTGCACCCGCGAACACGATGTTGTTCTTGTCTCCTCCCTTGGTGGTGGCGATAACATTGCTCGACCACCTCGTCTCGATGAAAGCCGTAGTCGAGAGCTTGCCTACGACCTCGTTGCCTTCGGCGATGGCAGCTACCAACGCCTTACCTTCCAGACCGGAGATACCGCCAACAGGCACGTAAGGCCCGACGTCAGGTCGAGTTACTTCGCCCAAGGTTCCACCACTTCCGAGTCCAGCATCGATGTTGTTGTAGACCACGACCCCAGCGGCACCCGATGCACCTGCCAATGCGACCTTTTGGCCGAAGGGGCATTCACCACGTTGGACGAGAGCGAGGTTGCCGGCGACAGCATCGGGGTAGTCTTCCTAGACTCAACATGAGCATGGTAGGTAACGCAGAAGAGAAGGATAGACGTACCCTTGTGCAGCCAAGCCCATTAACGGGCACGAGAGGCGCTTCAACCTCACCCGCAGGCCCATACGAGAACGGCGCAGTCACATACTCCCGCCCATCCACCGAGAACTTGGCCGTACCCTCCGAATAAGGATACGGGAACGTCTGGAGGTAGGTATCATAATACCCCGTCCGATCGAGGAGCCTCTTGATGTACGCAACAGTCGCGTTATGGCCTTTAGAGCCAAAAGCCCGCGTGTTGCCGCTGAGCTTGGAGAACTCGAGGAGCTGGCGCGCGTGTCCGAGAAGCTTGCCTCTGTTGATCGAAGCTTGGAGTTTGTCAGAGTCGACGAGGGGCGGGCGGGGTCGGATGCCGGCTGCTTCCAGGTCGATGTCGGCTTCGGAGGTGTGGGTGTCTTGAGCGGTGGAGAGAGGGGAGAGGGCTAGCGCCAGAGCGAGTCCGACGAAGGGGAGGGGGAGTTTCATGGTTGGACGCGGATTGGGACTTGGTGTGAGGCGGCAGTCCGCTTGAATGGGCTTTCCGGGAAACGAAGAGCTTATTACTTATATGAAAACCCTTCAACGAAACTCGTGGAACGGAGGCGTTAGGTGGGGCTCAGAAGCACCACCTCTCGGCGTTTACAGCATCCTTGGTATTGGGAAGAAGAGCAATGCTGGGGTCTTATCGGAAGGACGACATAGGGTTTACCATGCTGGCGCGAGATGGAACCATGTTGATCTGTCTGTTGAGAAGACGGTGATCACGCGCGTTTTGTCAAATGTGGGGAGTGGGTTATGGAGAAGCTTGGGTGGTTGGGGGAGCATGTGGGTGGACAATGTGGACGCTGGGTCATTGGATTACACCATTCGAAGCTTTGGGCGCTCATTTGGATGAGCTAAGAGTCACTAGGCTAGAAGCAGAATAGGACCGGTGTGATCGATGGAGGATTTGCGTTGGTGGTAGCATGGGGAAGCCTCAGGGAATTGCAACCGCAGAGTTAAGCACATAGATAGCTGCGTAGTCTTCCCATCGTGCAAAGTCCCTCAGTATGGCGAATAGCGGCGTGAAATGACATAAATTCTGGACGTTCATATCGCTCTGGAGACCCTGGTGAGGCGATTGCGTGTTTCCTGTCTCCAAGCATTTGTCCAGCCCGGCTGAGCGAAGGTGTACCGACAAGATAGATGATGTTGAAGGCAGCCTCGGTCGATAGAAATCAAGCTCGAGATCCTTGTTTTTACTGTCAAACATGGTTTTGAGGACGAGGAAGGACGAGGAGAGTTTCGGCAGGAAGAATGCCGCGGACATGAGGTCGGCAACAACCGAAAACCACGTGCGCGGTGGCTGAACTTCCGAGCTCATCGAGCCGGACAAGGGCTCTGCTGCCTTCCTCCTCCATGTCTCTGTCGATTTGTGCTGTCCCTTTGTTTCCTCGCTTTCAAAATCTCTCTCCGACACCAAAGTGCAGAGAACGTGCAGTCGAGATGGCCAGATAAATGTGTTTGACATTACCAGGAACTCATTTATTTGCCTCAATCCCTCAATCACGGATGGTGGACGGAAATGAAGGAGAGGGAATAACTGGAGGAGACAGGTGTGTGGCTCGATTGGTATGATTCCAGCTCTCCTACGTTGTCACCAGCGAACTGCTGCGTGCACAAATCTCGAGGGACGTATCCAGGTCTCAAAGTCCAGACGTTGCCTTGTCTCTGCCTACCGACAACTCCGGTTCTTTGAGTTTCTGGAATGCGTTGCTCTTCCCGGATTTTGTGTGGCAATCTGTAGAGTACTTAAATGGTGCGTGTTTACTCCCTTTGCCTCGTTTCCCCCTACTGACTTTTTCCACCAGTTGTATCGATGTCTCAATAAATGGGATTCTACCCTCGTTAATTGGTATGATGCTTGTCATCTTTGGACATTAGGGTCCCTCCCGTTTTCCTCCGTCGTTAGACGACGCGGTGTAGGAAATCGATCGTGGGTGTTGTTGTTGGGGCAGGGTGCCTCATGTTATGATGGAGATGATCCTCGCGAATTTCAAAGGACTGGCCAATCGTCTGGCCTTGGTATGTGGCTTTCTTTCGTTCTCTTCGCTTTGGCGCATTTTCGTCTTGCCTGCTATTTCCGAGAAAGGTGCAGCAATTTGTCGTTATCTGGTCCCCTGGACCCAGGCACTGACGTCGCCAGTCGGGTTCTGTGCGTCCAGAAGCCATCGAGGGATTCACAACTAGATCTGGTAAGTGACGAACGATTGGATACCTGGTGACACTCCGCCACTAATTATCTGTGATCGCCTGATAGGTTCCTTCTTACAATTTAAGCTCTTCCTCCAGAAAACAACTTGTCCATTGCAACGCAATCCCTCAGCTAACCGTCCACCGTCGAGCAATACAATCCAGAGGCTAATTTACTTTGACTGACTGAAATGGCAGCGAGTGTGTGGGAGCCGATGGGTGCCGTCACGCGTTGTTTACGTACCAAACAAGTCCAGATTTGAGTCTGCCCGCGTTGTTTTGCCGGGCCGAGCACTTTTCGGCCAAAATCCGAACGCATTGACCCAGCGCGGACGACAATTCCAACGACGACGAGCTCAATTTTTGGCCAACCGCTATTTATTTTTTGCAGGCACACACCCGACTTCTGGCCCTCTGACCTCTCCATGACATGCCCCGACCGCATCTTCCGGGCGCCTCGTCCCTCAGAAATCGCAACCGGATTACCAACAAAACCCGTCTCCGCATTATCAAGGGCAATGTCGACGCAGAAGACGTCTTCATCCCCGACGAAGAGGAGGAGAAACATCGCCTTACCAACCTCGTCGCTGGAGTCGACGCTGAGGATGCCAATGTGAGTCCCCTGGCCCCCTTCTTTTTTGTGCCACGTCAGCAATTGCCAGTGGCAGTGCGTTCCGCGGAATTGCTTACTTAATCACGACAACAGGAGCATCACTTACAGGAGGTTCTGTCGGCGGCACACCGGACTCAGGTCACAAAGAAGGTTGAGGACAAGTCCGCGTATATCCCTACACCTGACTCGACTGGCGTCGTCGATAATGCCGATGAACTCTACCCCCCTGGGCGATGGCGCGATCCTGCGACTTATGTCTGCACCTCGGCCGGTGTCGAGGAGTCTGTCGCCAATGGTATCGCCGGAGGCTTCACATATTACATGGACGAACGGGACAAGGAGTGGCTCGATAAGAACAACGAAGAGGCTAGAGGCGAAGGAACCAGTGCCCAGGGTGCTATCTCTTCAGCATCGGGCACCCGCACCTCTGCGCGCAGTGCCAAGGCAAAGGGCAAAGAGCCTGATGTCAACCAGCCAACGACCATCTCTGAAGACGAGTTTGAGCTCGTGATGGGGCTGTTTGAAAAGGTTGCCCATGAAAAGACAGAGTTTCTGCATCTCGTAGGTCGTTCTTTGTCGTGCTTGGTATCTCTTCTGACATCGATACAGGGCCTGGTCACTGGAGCCAACTTTCCACCTTTCTCAGAATATGAATCAATCTTCTCGTCGCCTCTCACTCCCGCCACGTTCGCTGCATACACCGTTCCCTCCTGGATACCTCAACCCCCACATCTACTCCGGCTCGCACGAATAATCTATCCGTATTGGAGAGAGCGAAGACTCGAACGTCAAGGTCATCGTATCATACCCACCCTCAACTTTGACGAGACCGACACCACCAATGAGTCTTATATCTGTTTCCGACGGCGCGAGATCAAGGCTGTTCGCAAGACCCGCCAAACTCAAGTTACCTTTTCCGACAAACTTGCTCGACTGCAGACCGAGTTTGCGTACCCATTGGAGTTGGCCAAGTTGGTGCTGCAGCGGGAGATGGTGAAGAAGGAATGTGCAGTGCAGGGGCGGCAGATTTGGGAGAGGCGATTAGCTTTGGTGGATCTCAAGCGCAAGTTCCCTTCGTTCTCGGGGCAAGACGAAGAGCTGTTGGTGGACAAGGAACGACCAAAGAAGGATGTTGTGTACGTTCATTGCTTTTCTATCGCCATTGGCGTTTTTACTTATCGCATTCTAGTCGCGTACCGCCACGACCACCTCGTCCAACCGAGGTCCTCACGCCTATTCCCCAAGTCGTCATCAAGCCTCGCGAGCGGATCGCACAGGTCAAACAGCAAATCGAGGCTACTCTCGCGAAGCAGAAGGAAGTGGACAGGAGTTGGGAAGATGTCGTCGACAATCCTTACCAAGCTCCTCCCGTTCCTTTTGCTTCTCGTCTCTTCCAATATGTCCCTCCCTCCGACGCACCCTCATACCCTTCCAATACCTCGGACAAGACCTCGGACAGCGACGAAGAGCCCCCGGCGAAGGTTCCTCGGATCTCTCGTGCGGTTCGGCTTCGCTATGGCCGTGGTGGCCGCCTCCTCATGGATCGCCGGGACCCTACGCCTCGACGACCTATACCAAAGGCTGCTCGCTCATCGCTGTTTGGAGGTGGCGACGATGACATGCAAGTCGATGTCCAGGACCCCGAGGAGGTTGATCGCCTGAAGCGCCTCGAAGCTCAGTGGAGGTTCGATGCTGATGACGGTCCTCCTTGTGGTCCAGATGGTCCTGACGAACAAGATCGTCTGCTGTTGGATGACTATGATCCCAAGTAGGTTTTCTCGCTTTATAGCTACGCGGTATTTGTTTAACCTTGGCGTTTAGGTACCTACGATACGCAATGACCTTGTTCACTGACACCGACCACGCGCATCTATCCACCGACCCGACTATCCATCTCCCCAATGCAAATGGCCAGCAATCCTCGGTTATACCTTACCGACTCGGTATGCCACCGATGGTGCGGCGAGATCCGCAGGGCAATCTTCGACCTATCCACCCCGTCCATGGAATGTTCCTTGGACCTGTTCCTTATCCTGGTCTGCTCGCTACGCCTGTCGCGATGCAGCATCAAATCAAGAAGATGCCACCTCCCAACGCGCTACCTCAAATGCGTATCTCTTCCAATGGCGGTATGCGACCACCGAGCGTTCCTGGTGTCGCGCTCGCCGCTGTTGGACCTCAGCAGTCGCCACCGCCGCCGACCGCTATCCCTCAGAACCCAGCGACTAATGGTATCGCAAGACCTGCCATTGCCATGCCGCATGTCGACTTGGTCAAGCCTGCCGAGCCGGTAGCGAATGGAACACCGGCGCTTGCGTCTCAGCAGGCGGCGGAACGTCAAACCTCTCCACCTCAGGAGATGGCCACCCCCGCCAATGGCATTAGTCCGCAACGACCCAAGTCGCAGAACCAGACGCCTATGGCTCTCGGCGTGCCTACGAACGGCTACCACCTCACCTCGCTCAATCCCGCCAGTGCGGCTACCGCCGCCGCCGCCTACGCACAGCTGCAGGCCAACCAACGGGCGCAGTTGATGCTTCAGCAGAAGACACCGCAGGATATCAAGGCTGCGTTCGCCAATGCTGGGTTAAATCTCACGCCGCAGGATTTGGCGGCTCTTCAGGCGCAGGCTGCTACGAACCGCGCGATGTACGCGAATAGTGCAGCGGCTGCTCAACTCGCTGCTGGGAATTTGAACCTCAAGCTCCCGGCTGCGCGACAGATGCAGTGGGCGTTGGGTATGAACCTCCAGCGGCCTGGATCAGCTGTGCCAGTCAACAACGCCGGAGGAGGGGAAGGCGGTGGTACTCAAGTGCAGATGGGTCAAGCGCAGATGGTGAATGGGGTCGGGATTGGGATTGCCTCCCCCAATCCGCAGCATATGATCCCTGTGCGATCGCCTTCTGCGAATGGGATGCGTCCTGGGATGAGGATATCGTCTACGGGGCAGATGCAGCAGATGTCACCACATATGCAGCATAGTTCGCCTTCTCCGCTTCCGAATATTGCGCAGCAGTCGCAGTCTCCGCCGAGAGTTCCGATGACGCCTGCTATGGTTATGGCTTCGCCTCCGCAGCAGCAGAATGGGTATTAGACCTTGTTCTGTGTGTCGGTGTTGGCGAGTCTGTCACACTATACACAAATACGTACGTAGTATAAGATAGTTTTTAGTCCCTCCCTGTGTGGTTTTTTGTTTTTTTACCTCCTAGTACGATTTTATTCGACTAGCAGGCTTCGAGCCTCATTTCTGTTTCCGTTTGTTTCCTCTTCGTTTCTACTATCGACGCTTTTCTTTTTGGTACTCGGACTAGCAGTTTGACCCCGAGTACGTTGTAGAGTACGTTTTCTTTCACCCCTTTTTTTTTCTTTCATTCTGTTGTTCTATTTTCGAGGCTCGTCATTCACAGTGGTCTTCTTTTCCTCTGTTCCATTCTGTTCTCATCTTCTTATTTTCTTTTGGTATGTAGTATGTATGTATTAAATATAGTTTTACTCTCTGATCTCCTCTCTCAACGGTCGTGGTGCTTGGGAAGGTTGAACAACTGGGAGGTGACGGTGGGGCACTTAGTAGATGAGTGGTAATGGGTACCAGGTAGTGTGGCGGCGGCCGGATTGCTGCGGCTAAGCGCTAAGCGCCCGTGTAGCTCCACGCTCCCCTTAGTTTGGCCAGCGATATCCCTTCCGGCGACGTTCTTAACATGTTCATGAGGTGTCTTTCAATATGTCTAAAGACTGATGGATTTCCGAAGGCCTGATCGGATTGCGGTAACTGGGTTATGTGCGATAGTTTAACGATGCGTGTTCATTTAAGCGCCCAGGATGTATTTGCTCCGTTCTCCTTTCAGACCCGCCTGCCACTCTCTAGCCTTGATCCTTGGTTATGATACCTGCATGCACATGGTGCTGTATTTTTTCCGGGAACCATGTATCACCTTGAAGTTGACATGAGCTTTATGGTGAAGGTGACCCGGACGACGAGGGGCGCCCAAGTGACCTGACCAGAGATTCAGAGAAGCTTAGAGTCCGGGGTACGGGTCAATGAATTCGGGGTGCGAGCGCTGAGAGTATCTTGAGTTTAGTCTATCATTGCATGTATATGCGGTCCACTCTCCTTATGGTTCACCACTGTCGTTCACTCGATTCGGATCCATCCTGAGCCCTTCCAGACTCCCGTCTCACTATTTACCATGGAATTAAGTCTACGACACTGAAGCTAACTAAAGTACAACATGTAAGTATAACCCAAATCCACCTAGACTCATGACTAGCGTCGCTATAGGGAGGGCTTCTTTTAGCCGCAGAGCGTTAAAAAAGAACCTCATAGAGGGACCTGCCAAGGTATAAAATCCAGCGAGACATATCCAAAAAAGCACCCGCCCAAAAGTCACGAATGTCCCCCCGATTAAGATGCTTTCAAAGAGCGTATTTGAAGTCAGGATGCCTATCGCCAAGGTCAATCCACGCTCTTTCTCCACCGTCAGGTTCTTTCTCCGTGACATAAGGAGCCAAGATCTTGTCTCGATTCTTCTCCTTTCGCTTCTGAAGCCACATGAGCAGGAAAATGTTGCCGACTGAGCTGAGTGTCATGATCACGGCGCTATAAACAGGAACAAAAACTTGTGTCAATGTCTGTCGCCTTTTTGGAAGATGGGAAATGGAGGGAAAGCGCCCCTGCTCCAACGAGTCTGACTTACAAAGTCATGTTCATGATGGTGGTTTTTTCGAACCTCGGCCCTTCACTTGTGGGGAATCGCCAGGTACTGAGAATTCCGCCCTAAAACCGGAAATGATGGTTAGAGAAATGTATGACGGCCCTGGGAAGTATGTCGTGACGGGAGGGCACGGAGTTGGAAGGATACTCACAAAGTTGGTAGCCATGAACCCGAAGGCGATGCTGCTGGCTCGCCTGAAGTAGGGCTCGGAGTTGTTAGACAGCCATGCAGCAGCTATCGGAGATGCTGCGAAAACTCCGGGAACGATGAGGAAGAAGGAACCGTATCTAGTCCATGTGTCGTTTGATCCTGTGGATTGCGGTGAGTGAACGAGGACAGAGAACTGCGAAACCCAGAGTACTCACCATAAAAGAGAGCCCATCCTGCTGTGCACATGGCACAGAGTACAATGAGAGGTGCTCCGCGGCGGTTCCACCTATCGGATGCCCATGCGGAGATGAGACTGACTGAAAAGGGGATCAGGTCGCATACATACTCCCAACAATCAAAAAGGAAGCAATCAAACTCACTGACAAAAGAGGTCGCGAAAGGACCAACGCTCAGAAGCTGACTCTCGTTGGGCGTAAACTGCATCAGTCGAATAATCGAAGGCAGGAAAATGGCAAGCCCGAAAAAGATGGCTCCACCCAAGAAGAACACTAAAAAGACCAGGAAGACGTGAGGGGATGTAATAGAACGAAGGATCTCCCTGGGATGGAACTTTTCGGTGGCTCCAATCATAGGTCTATCCCGCTCAAGACTGAGAATCACGGCGCTGTAGAAGGGTAAGAACAATGATATAGTGAAGGGGTGGAGTATGAACACTCACTCCTGTTCGGCTTGTGAAAGGACTTTCGAGTGCCGCGGTGTTGCTGGGACGAAGAAGAACGCGACGACGCCGACGACGACAGTAAACAGGCCTTCCTGCATTTCCAGAGTTACGACCGGGCATCGAATCGAACAGAAGCAATCACGTACGATAATGAAAATCCATTCCCAAGCCTTCTTGCCACCCAGACCATCCATCTGTGAAATACCGGCTGCGAGGAGACCAGAGAAAGCCCCTGCAAGCTGCCGAGATTGTCAGACAAGCAGAGTAAGAAAGAGAGGGGGGAAAAGAAGACTGACAGAAGCGGAAGAAAAGAAGTATGCAATTCTGTGAGAGAAGGCGCCGAATACGCCAAAGTCAATTTGGGAGATGTCGAGAAGATGGATTAATAGTTCACCTCAATGAAAGGTCGCCGCGCGTATAAAATCCTGAAAGATAGAGCACGATGCCAGGGAACATCGGCCCTTCCAGTAACCCCAGGAAGAAACGAACAGCCAGTAGACCGGCGTAATTCGTCACGAACCCTAAGATAAGATCGACATTAATATGGCTGACGACTTTGGTGACGTGCTGGTGGTGTGCGGTTTACCTTGAAACGTGACGACGATACCCCAAAGCGTGAGGATGGTAGGCATCAAGATGTTCGGCCCAATCTTCTTAAGCAGAAGGTTGGCTGGCAGCTCTGTGCAGATGTAGGGCCTGCAATCGGAAGGTAAGTGCGGGAGCCACACGTATGCCAACCTAAAACGTACACATAGAGAATCGTAATGGCAATCTGGAACTGGTGGTCCGTCAACCCCAGGTCCGCCTGCAGTCCGGCCACTCGAGCGTTTCCTGTTGTTACAACGGTCACTAACCATCTTCTCTGTCAGGTATAGACCTCCTACCAATGTTTGTTCGGTCCTGAAAAGCGGTTTAGCTGGCCAACCAAATGCAAGAGCAACGCGTGCAAACTCACTAGGTACGAAAGGAGGTAGAACATGGTCATGACCGGGATCAGCGTGAGGTCGAGTTTGCGTTTGGCGCTGCGAGTGAGAGCGAGAAACTCTGGTGTTGGCTCTCCGGGAGGCCCTACGTTAGACTGCGACTCGACGCTGGATTCCGACATGGCAGTCTTCAGCTTCTCGTCGACGTGAGTATCCGTCCCTGGAGTATTAGACATCTTGGTGGCACGTTGGGAATCCCCAGAAGCGGTTGTGGGATGATTCTGAGGGACAGGCTCCTCGGGGGAAGGGCAGCAACCGTAATGGATGGGTGCGACAAGGCGGGGGGATAAGGGTGTCGCACTGTCCAAAGGGTTGTCATCTGTTCATTCAAACGTCGAATATATGGATGCGCGACTCTACCCCGAATAGAAACGGATTCAAAGTCAGCAACGCATACCTTCAAAACAGATCGAATTGATGGAAAGATACCGGTGGGAGGGACATCAAACTTCAGGTCGATGGTGGAAAGCTTCTTTGCCAAATCCGTCATGACAGGTGGGGAGCCTTTTCAAGCAGGACGGAGAAATGTAGCTGGAGGACAGCTCTGTGGGTCAGTTGGGAGGTTCCGCTTGCCGTAACTACGAAGTGATCCATGGTACTCGGGCCACAGCTGCCCACACCAGTATCCCGTCCGCCCCAGTTCTGAAAAGCCTGTGGGCTGGAAGCAGCCTCAGGTTGAAAGCCAAGCCAAAAGCGTGTTACTTCACACTCACCGCCTCTCTTTCTGAATTTTCCCAACACCCAAAGTGTATCGTAAGTCGTGTGCACAATCGCCCGGCTTGTCTGCGCCCAGCCTGTGCTGTCACAGCTTCCCCATCTCCACATGTCGACCTCCGTGGCCTTTGCGTTAAACTTTCCAATTGTATCCAATATCATCGGGTAGATTGGTATCCGTCGTCCAAGGTTAGATTGATGCTTGGCGGGCGCTCGTGGCTCGAGCGAGCCGCGCCTAAGAGCTTGCTCTATTCCTGAAGGAACGGGCACGAACGCGATCGACAGGGATCATGTTTTCGGGTGGGCCAATTTAGGTCCATGTCGTGAACACTGGGCTGGATTCTGGAAATGCATTCTTGGTGGAAGCGAACTGAAAGTTTGTCGAGTTGGGATGCCCAGCCCATCTGACCCTGAAAATGAAGACATCGCCCTCAGTATATGCTAATTACTATTCCTGTTACGAAAGGTACCACTGGTAGACAGAAGTTCCTGAAAAGAAGGATCATTTGAGATGCTATATGTAGAACTTCCATTTACTTACGACATATGAATCTCACCTCCGTTTAATCAGCCCTGGTTGTCTCTGTCAAGCTTGGATTAGGTTGTTGTGGGCGCTTAGGGCGCTCTCACATGAAGACCAGTGTACTCGTTCTAGCGATAGCCTCTGCGATGCAGGACCTGTGAGGAAGAACGGATGAGGCAAGAGGAGAACGGAACGTTGCTGGGACACACTGAGACTTAGGCAGGCTGGAAACACGGTTAGCTGTGCCCGAAGCGGGTTGCATGCTAATCCCGCCGAGGTCCCAACGGCCCGAATGCAAAAGGCGACGGGAAATGTGCGCGAGCGTTCCCACGCTCGTTTGGGCGTCTACTTTTAGGCCATCGACGCATTCATCTTCGTCCCGCAGATCCTTCAACATTCAACACGTCCACCTGCCGCACATCCCCACTAGCTCATAGAATGGCTCCTAATGGATCGAAACGAGCCCCCTTTATTGTGATTGAAGGTCTGGATCGTTCAGGCAAGACCACACAGACTGCCCTGCTGCAATCTCGACTTGAGAGTGAATTGGGGGCATCCACGAAGCTTATGAAATTTCCAGGTGAGTTGTATTTAGAGCAGCTATACGAAATTGACCCACCCTGCCCTCTTCACAGATCGTACAACTACAATAGGTCAAATGATCGATTCATATCTCAAGTCGGATTCGGAACTGGACGATCATGTCATTCATCTGCTGTTCTCTGCGAACAGATGGGAGCTGGCGTACGTATCCCCATCTCTCCCTCTTTGGCCATACGCTTGTCCTCATGACTGCCATGAAACAAACCTAGATCGACGATTGAGAGACTGTTAAATGAGGGGACGGTCGTTCTATGCGACAGATACGCCTTTTCTGGTATCGCATTCTCTGCGTCCAAAGTTGTCCCAGAGCGAAGCGGGAGTGGTGAAAGCGTTCCAAAGTTACCGTTCGAATGGTGTAGGGCACCGGATATTGGACTCCCTGCGCCAGACCTCGTGCTCTTCCTTGATATCGCTCCGGAGCAAGCCAAGCAGCGGGGTGGATATGGGGAGGAACGGTACGAGAAGGAGGAGATGCAGGCTCGTGTTCGGCAGGCGTTTAAAAGACTAGGAGAGGAGACAGCGTCTGGGTCTGACAACCGGGATAATCTCAGTTGGAGAGTAATCGATGCAGGGAGGGATGTAGAGAGTGTAGCGGCCGACCTTTGGAATGCCGTTCGCCCACTTGTTTCTGATGGACTAACAGAACCTGTCGGTAGATTGTGGGCCGATAAGATTTAAAATTACAGGGACCTCTTCCGCCGAATATGAAGTACTTGTTGAACCCACGGTGGTTTCTGACAGTAGACTCGTTTCGTTGGTTCCTGAAGGAGGAGAGCAGCACATGGAATACACGAGGCTTTGCGGAGGGCTTGGTTATGCCGCCGGTAATCAAACATTCACCTCTTGAAATCATTGGAAATATGTAAGTAAGTATGTAAGTAATTCACTTTCAGCGCACCGTGAATCAGGTTGTGTAATGTGAACGTGTTCCACAAGAGTTCCTCGGCGGACATTCGAACCTTGAAATAACTCGTCAATTAGCCTTCGCGAGGGAAAATCCGAGGAGATCTTGGGTGTTGGGGGGAAAGATATGTTCGAGCACTTGTGCTGCTTTATCGATAGCCTTCCGGTGGGCCTCAAACGGCGTTGCTGTTCAAGTCTCGAGGATGAACAATCGTGCCGTGGGCCGGCATTAGGAGATGTAACCAAATTGAGATGTGGGTTCCCACCCTTGCACAGCATCGCCCGCAATTGTTTGTAGCAGACCACGACCTGCTCCCAACCTCCACCTACCGCCGCCAGACTCAAAGGACCATGGCCAGCAAGCCAGCTCAGAAACGAGTGCGTCTAGAGCTCACAACGCCTTCTTGAAGACGATAATGACAGTAGCAACCCCAACAGTTGACAAAGGAATATGTCGCGATGCAGAAGGAGCCGCCCCCATTTATCTGGGCTGCCCCAGACGAGAAGAACATCTTGATCTGTGCGTACCACCGCCCTTTTTCCAAGATTCTCGAGACTTGAAGGCTGACGAGGAAACGACTAGGGAACTACATTATCGTACGAGTCTTTGTTGGACCGAGCGCGCCGCCTCACAGAACTAACTCTCCTTAACAGCGGGGACCACCTGATTCACCATACGCTGGCGGAGAATACCATGGAGTGCTTCTCTTCCCTGCAGAATACCCTTTCAAGCCTCCCGGAATCAAGGTGCGTCCGAGACGTGATTCCAAGGTTACCGGCCTCCTAATTCGATTGCAGATGTATACGCCTTCAGGACGATTCCAACCCGACAAGAAGATCTGCTTCTCCATGTCAGATTTCCACCCAGGATCCGTGAGTGGGGACTTGCTGTGGCATTGGCGTTTGGCTTACCGATTTTCAGTGGAACCCAGCCTGGAGCGTTGCGACAATGTGCGTCGTATCTCTCTTTCAACCCTGGCGTCGAACTCACTTCTCCTTAGTCTTACTGGCTTGCTATCTTTCATGCTTTCTGACGAAATGACGACCGGCTCAGTAACATCATCAGATGCGCACAAGAAGGCGTTTGCAGTTCGAAGTCATGCCTGGAACTTGACACAATCCAGGTTCCGAGACGCTTTCCCCGAGTACTGCACTCCTGAACCGAAGGATTTACCGAACATGGCGCAGAAGGAACGAGGGAAAGTCGATCCTCCGCCGCCGACGCCAGCTACAATAGCATCCTCTTCGTCATCTTCATCATCCGCTCCAACTGTCAACGCCGGTCCTTCACCGATAGCGAAACCACCGGCTGGCATCGCCGCACCAGCACCAGTGCCTGCACCGGCCAATGCACGCCCCGCTAGAACGACCAGGGACGAGGTTGCTGCCCCGAACCGTGCGCCGAATGCCATGGGGTGGATGACGAGCTTGAAGGAGGTCGTCTATGAGAAGTGGCGGTGGTGTGCACTGATAGCATTTGCCGTCATCCTATCACGATTCTCAACGGCGTAATTCAGATCGTACTACCACTTCCAACCGAGGGTCACAACCACTTCTCCCCCTTTCGCCTTGGGACCCTGCCTCCTCTCGCTCCTTGCGCGCAGTTGACAACTGTCCTTACTACCCTAGATTCCCCTCTCTTTTGTTCCACCTGCCCTGGGGTCTTGTGTTAATCATACGTGGGTTATCTTGTCCACCTGCCATTATCTTCTGAATTCAAAGCCCGAGCATCGATGACGACGACAACCATTGGCATTCCTTTCTCTCCTCTCCTTAGTGACATCACCCTCGTCACCGATTCACACACCCCGCTCACCCGCACTCCTTGCAGACTTCGCTAAGTACTACACACAACCACTTCTATTTATCACCGGATCTCAAGCCGTCCTTATCTTCCATTCTCTCGCTCTTTTAGTTCCTTCCTCTCCTGTTAGGCTCCTTACAGTGTTTGTACATTAATGTTCTTCCGGTTGAAGCTTTGACATTCCTTGTTCTGTTGGGTTGATGTATAACATCTTTTTTGGGGCCATTTGTCCCTTTTTCCTTTCAGCGCTTATATCGCTGACTGGGTGGTCGATTGCGGGGCCCTGGCAGCAAGCGCCGGCGAGGTCTCAGTTTGTGACAGCCAGCTGCGTGGTTGCACTGTCGCATCCCATCTCGTAAGAATTCCTTTCCGACCTTCCACTGGGCGTAACTACTTCTTTCAGCACCCTACTGCCACAACTGAATACTAATACACTTGAAGCTTTATGAATCCGCGGCGGAAAGCACGAGCCGTCACTACACGAAAGGTTAACCCATTCAAGCACCGAGCTCAGTGGCAAAGGCGACAGCAAGTTTGGCGAATTCGGCAGTGTGTGTCCAGGAGAATCCTTGGAGGGTGACGAGGTCGTTGACGGTGTGGAGGCGGGAGTTCAAGTTGGCCATGTCGCCTTCGAGAGCGGCGGCAGAGGGGAAACCTTCCCTGTTCCAGCTGGCGTGGTCGGAGCAGGCGTATCCGCACTATCGGTTAACCGACGTTAGGTTAGGGCTCTGCTTGAGTGGATGAAGAGGACGTACGGCTCGGCTAGTAACCCAGGGAACAGAGAGGTAGGTATCGATGAGGGTTTGGATGGTCCTGGTGAGGGCGGCGTTGGTATTGTCCTGAATAGAGGGTTTGAGTTATTTCTTGACATCTCAGCAGGAAGGTGACCTACAGGAAGCAAACCGACAACAGCGGTGGTTCCGGGGCGAACACTGGGGTTACACAGTCAGTCTCCTATGTACCTCCAACTGCCAATCCCACTTGTCAACTCACTAAGCAGTCATATCAAGATTCAACATCCCCCTAACCTGAATACCCGAAGACTTATAGTTCCTAGCGACAGCCTGCGAGCCAAGAAGGCCAGCCTCCTCACCAGCGTAGAGGTGGAACTCGACTGTGGCGGTGGGTTTGAAGCCGCTGGCGACCAGGACGCGGAAGGCTTCCATGACGTTGACGGTGCCGCTGCCGTCGTCGTCTGCGCCTGGGGCGCGGCCGTTCATGGGGTTGGCGCTGTTGATTGAGTCCATGTGTGCGCCGATGATGACACGGGGAGCGGAGGGGTTGCTGCCTGGGATTCTGCCGATGATGGAGCTTTGGATGAAGCTGTGGGTGAAGAGGGAGACGGTTGCGCCGCTGGTTGGGTAGGAGCGGACGACCTGGTGAATAAAGAATAGGGGGTCGAGTTTATGTGTGAGTGGACGATGCGTATGTGAGTACATAGGATGGAGGAGTGGACGTACTGCTTGCATGGTATCGCGAATCCAGTTGGTGGCTTGGACCCCGGTTTGAGCGCGGTAGTAGCGGTTGTTGAAGGCGGTCAGGTTGGAGAGGTATTGTTGCATGGTGGGGATTGAGACGTCTGCCAACAAGGTTTGGACATGGGCGATGTGGGCGGGGGCGTCGTCTGTGAACCTCAAGTAAGAACGACGATGGAATACCAGGTGGCAATTGAAGACCCACAGGTTTGCTCCTCAACCGAGTGCAAAGAGATCGTCTCGGCGTCGTTGGGGTCGTAGTATTCAGTAACATCGAACTGGGATAACGATTAAGTTGGTATTTATGCATGGTTGATACTTAATGGGAAGACGTACGAATCCAATGTCCTCCCTGATGAGATCGAGGACCTCGTCCTCGGTCTTCCAGACGGGGTCGACGCCCTCTTCCAAACTAATAAGGCGCAAGCCTTTGGCGGTCTGTTCCTGGATCTCAGCCTCGGTGATCAAGGCGGAGCATCCAACAGCGAGAACAGCGAGGCTGAGCAGCGATTGGTACCACTTCATAACGGAAAGAGGTGTTTGGGGAAGGAATGCGGGGTAGGGTCACCTTCGAGTATCCCATCTTTCGATTATAAACTTCCTGAATCCCTTATCCAAAGAAGAAGCGTCGGTCACCACAAGTTGCGAGTTGCGAACTATGTCACGACGTTACCCTGAAGCAACGGCGCAACGTGGGTACACCAGCTTGACCCCTCCCATCCAATGGTCAACCGGTCATAGTTGCACGCGGTCCTAGTCTGTTATCACGGAATTCTTCACCTTCTTCTTGGGATGCCATTAGACATGTTTTTCTTTTGGGATGTTCAGTAGAAGTCGGAGATGTTGGTGATTGGCCATTGTCATGGTGCGGTTGGGAAGCATCTGGTCGCCATATTGGGAGAGAGGGGAAAAGATTCCGGGGAGGAGAATTAGCGGGAGAATGTTTGATTGGCCATGTGTGGCTGCGAGAAGAAGGTGGCCCATGACCCATGTGAGGTGGGTGGTCTGAAGATGGAAAGTGTAGCAAAGTCGCTGGTCGTGATTGCATTGGCAACACTCTGTTCGTTGAAGGAGGAGAGAGAGCGGATGGCAGATGGTTTGAGATGGTTTGGCTGAGGGCCCTGGATGCAAGCCTTGGGTCAAAGAAACCCCTTGTTGAGGTTCGAGGTGACACAGACTTCCGGCGACAATGTCTGTGAAGTTCGAGACAACTTCGAGAAGTTGACGAGCATAGCCTGTTTGACGAACCGGATGGTGCAGAAGGAGTCGGTTGTTTCGGGTTCAGGTGAAGCGGCGCCACGAAGCAAGGGACGATGACACGGATCCGATCACGAGTCGCTGATAAGATAAAGAACACAAGGTCGACCCCTGTCAAAAACCTGTTTTTGGTAAGCGCCCGAGGTACGCCAAGAACTGGTTGGAAGAGCGCCCGTGTATTTGTATGCGAGAGAGGATGTCACGCGAGGATAAGGAAGAGAAGAGTGGTTTGTTGCTGTTATTCATCACGAACGAATAACGTTTGAGAGACCAAGATAAGTTTGGATTTAGATTCAGGACCCAAGGTATTATGTTTCATGAGCAAGGTATTACGGATGCAGAGGCTTTCAAAGAGCCCAAGTCGCTCAACGGGCATATCACCCCTTGCCGGCGTTCTAACCAAAACATCGAAGCATATGTCGTACATATGGCAATGTAGCTAGGCATGTACCACTCCGCACAGGTCGTCCAATGAAGACGTTCTCGAAATAGCAGCCGCCACCTGGTGAGTTACGATAGAAGCTCAGATTAGTGCGGAGAGAAGTCCAAGCAACATGTGCGACACCATCAAATATAAGTTGCTATGCATGGATTTCTTTCAAAGCCTGCGTGGTTGCATTGAAAGACGATGACAGAGAATGGCGCGATTATTTAGCATACTTCGTTGCTTTTCCTGTTACACCTGGCGACATTAGAATTCGGCGACTCGTTGTCACAAACCAGTGTAAATATATTCAAGTTACTACACTCCGGATCAGGCGGACAGCTCGACAGCGAAAGCTACAGCGAGTTTGGTGAACTCCAAGGAGTGAGTCCAAGAGAAACCAGGAACATCGACCGTGTCGTTGACGGTGTGAATCACTGGGTTGCGCGCGTGGAAATCTCCTTCGAAGGGGAAAGTCGAAGGATAGCCTTCACGGGTCCAGCTAGCATGGTCTGAGCAACCGTATCCGCACTGTACACGTTCGAATGAGATTGTGGAAACTAGGCGGGGATAGCGAGTGGCTTACAGGAGCACTGAGGATCCAAGGGATGTCGAGGTAGGCGTCCACGAGGGATCCGGTGAAGTTGGTCAAACCGGAATCAACGAAATCCTAGAGATACGGTCAGAAAGATGAGAAGAGGAAAGCCATCGAGGTCCACTCACCGAGATGAAGCCGACGACCTCCTCTGTTCCTGGCTTAACGCTAAACACACACTGGTCAGACTCATCTCCATGCCCATTGTTTTACGAAACCCACTAAGCAGTCATGTCAAGTTGAAGCATCCCCTTGACAGCGATGTTCTGAGCCTTGTATGCCTTTGCGATAGCTTGTGAACCAAGCAGACCACCCTCCTCCCCAGCATACCAGTGGAATTCGACGGTCGCGTTTGGCGTGAAACCGTCGGCGAGGAGAACGCGGAGAGCTTCCAAGAGGTTAACCGATCCACTACCGTCGTCGTCGGCACCGGGAGCAGGCCCTGTTGGGTTTCTGCTGTTGAGAGAGTCTATATGGCCACCCAAAACTACGATTGGGGCATCGGGGTTTTGTCCGGGGATTCGAGCGACGATCGAGGGTTGGATGAAGGTGTGATTGAAGAGAGCGACGCTGGCATTGTTGCCCGGGAAAGCGTCGATGAACTGGTGTAGTTCGTGGTGGGCATTAGATTAGATGTAATTGGAGCGAGGAGCGATTATCGTACCCCTTGGACGGTGTCACGAATCCAGATCGAAGCTGCAAGACCGGTTTCGGATCGGTAGTAACGGGTGGGGAAGGATGTTAGGTTGGACAAGAACTGTTGCAGGTTTGAGACAGAGAGTTCGTTGATCAGCGCCGTAACGTGCTCTCCGCGCGAAAGAGGTTCGTCTGAAGTGTCAAGGGTAAGTAAAGTCCAGAAAGACTCCTCGAAGATCGAATTCGAGGCCGAGGGAGTCCGAGTTAAATTTCGGAGACTCACACGAGGTAGCAGCAAGTCGGAGCGGAGTCTCCTCAGCGTTAGGGTCATAATAATCGGTCACGTCGAACTTGACGACGCAAAGTGAGTATAAGACCTCGAGCCACGGATATCACTGTAAAACGTACGAATCCAATGTCCTCCCTGATAAGTTCAAAGACTTCATCCTCGGTGCGCCACACGGGGTCTACTCCCTCCTCCAAACTGATCAAACGCAGACCTTGAGCAGCATTCTGGCGTAACTCAGCCTCGGAGATTCGAGCAACAGAGCCAACGACAAGGGCTGCGGAAACCAAAAGACTGTACCACTTCATCCTGAGGGCTGAGCGTGTGGGGGACTACCGGTAATAGCCTGGTCTTTTAACCAAAATAAAGCGCCGATCACCCCGAATGTGGTGGTCAGAATAGCCTTGCGAGAGACACGCTTCCATCAGTCGTTTGAGAGGTTGCATGAGGCGAGTTGCAGCTTCGAACGGCCGTTTCAGCTCCAATGTTGGGGGGCGGCGAATTAATTGTGTGTGGGGATGACAGTGTTGGTCGCTTCTTTCCATGATTTTAGTGCGTAAAAAATAGAAGTCGTTATATTTGACGCACAGATCCACATGGGCTGCAGCTCCAAAGGGAGGTACCCTCGCGATACCTAGGTAGCGTGATGCTACCGCAGCTACGAAGCGGGCGTGGCAATGCTGAGATGCTCGGTGGCGTTGAAGTAGTCTCGGCAACCCATCCGTTTTCGTCGACAAACCCAAATCGGGGCTTGTATGAAGTGACATTAAAAGTGGGTATTTTACATGAAAGAGGCATCGGACGGGGTGTAGGACGTGGTATGAGGAAGAGAACGACGACGGCGCGACGCCGAGCGCGATTATCCTCGCTTACTTCAGCGGTCAGACATGTCCGAAGCGCGCGGAAAGCAAACCCCCCATTTTTTGCACCGTGGTATCCCAGACGTTTACGCCGGCAAGCCCCGATTTGGGTTTGTCGACGAAAACGGATGGGTTGCCGAGACTAGCGTTGAAGTTACAGTGATGCACTAGCCACTGGCCACTGTATTTCCTGAGGGCGAATACAGGATGTACATAACCGGTGTCTCGGACAATTTAAATTCGAACCCAGATCGCGGTGGGAGGTGTCAATGTCACGATGAGCGCTAAACCAGAACGATAGAACCCTGTGGGAAGATCTTAGGTAACCTTTTTGTTGCACCAGCGCCTGAGAGCAGTTGAGATTCTCCTCCTTCATTGTTCAAGTTGTCCCGTCGCCAGCGGGGTCGACAGCCGACTAGCTGAGTCTTGCTGAGTCCGCCGTTTGCCCAATCCAACCCCATTCCACAACACTCTTTGGCGACAGGAAACTGGAAAATGAACAAGCTCCATGTTTGACACATGCGATACAGACGGGAAAGCAGCCGCACCCAACCCGTGATGATGCACTGGCAAACGAGAACATCAAGTGAACATTGCCCAAACTTGGAACTTGTAAAATGGATGTCAATTTCCTTACCAGTATGAGGGAGGTTCACTCTCGTAGCTGTCCCAGGTGAGTGCTTTGAAGCTTGGTGATTGAAACTGAGAAGAAAAGGGGACTACCTACAGGACCTTCAGAATGACAGGCTGAGTTGTGTGCGGTGGAGTGCATTGACGACGCCCAAACAGGTTGATTGCGGCGGCGCCGGCGAGGCAAAACATTGGGCGTCTATTAGTAAAAAAAGGCCGGGGTTCTGTGCCTGAACCCTGCGCATAAAGACCTGGAACCGACCGTGACAGTTGAAATCTTTCCTCGCCCGTGGACACCCTTGTGCCCTTGCCAGATCTACAGGATGGACCAATCGAACAACAAGCCCACAGGTGTGTAAAGCAACTTCTGGAATCCCGTAGCAGGCTGCTGACATCGTATAAGATCAGATTGGGAACAACGCCCGTTTGACTATTGGCGGAAGTGCTCCGCCAACCGCGACCTTCCTACCACAAACCAATGACAGCGAAAGCGCCCCGTTACCCATACGTGCAAGAGACACGCGTCGTGGCACCGTTGAGACCGAACATCAGCAACCGGTCCCTCAGAATCAGCCAACGCTCTCACAAACGTCCTACTCTACCCCGAATCTTCCCAGTCCATATCCACCGCTCACCCTTGGCCGTTCAGCCTTGCAAACCGCGCCGTTGCCTCCAATTACCTGGACCCTGGAACCTTCGCGCGTAAATAGCCATAGCCCGCAAGTGACTCCTTATCCGAGCCTACCACCTGCACCGACATCTCAACCACTACCCCTGAGCTATTCATCTCAGCCACCTGGAAGTACAAGTCAAGCGATTAGACCGGTCCAGTCCGTGCCCAACCCTCAATTATCGTCGGGTTATCAGCCGCCATCGTTCAGCACTCAAGCTTCAGCACCGCCTCCGCGACGGGCGTCTGTACGACGCAGGCAATCGCACGGTTATGTCGCAAACGACCCTTATCGCCCGTCATCGGGACGCAAGGAGGATACCGTAGCTAACGACACCACATTTGACGATATCGATGTCGCTCCAGAGCCCCAGAACACCTCGGCTGGCACAGCGGGGTATCCCCACCAGACCCAGCCATTTCCAACGCCGATGGGTCAGGTTTCTACACCTCGCCCTCCAACTTCTACCTCTGTATATCCGCAACTTCCGCAAACTTCAACACAACCAATCTTGTCGCAACCACCTGTGGGGCCCATTTACTCGACCCCGATTCCGACAAATGACAATCCGTACCGTCCACCACAACAAACCGAGCCCGTTCCAGTCGCTCAGCCACCGCAGCCTATCTCTTCTGGCACACCATTGCCGTATCCGACGTCTGGCCCCCAACGATACCATTCTTCTATCGACAACCCAGCCAGCTCAGAAAGCCAACTACCCAACCCTTATTCGACCATTGGTCAACCTGCGGTGCCTGATGTACCCTCTCAAACAGCCCAGCGACCGGAACAAGGCCGTTATGGCACGCCATTGCCATACCCGACGTCTGGCCCGCGTTTGTCTTCCCCTGCTCAGTATCCGGCCGGTTCAGACAGCCACCTACCCAATCCTTATTCAGGTGCCGGTCAACCCCCAGTCATCGTCCCGCCGGGTGACGATGGACAAAGTACCTACAGCGGACATCATCCAGACCAGGATTGGGACAACAGACGCGACGACGATGGACGTCATACACCCCTAAGCACCATCGAAGAATATACCGAGCCTCCTTCACGGCCTACTTCTGTCCGTCCTCCACCACGCTTGGATACGCAGGACTCGTACAACCCGCCCTCCGCAACATCGCCGCGTCCCTCATACCAAGACCCGTGGATGCCGCCGAGCAACCCGTATGGCGACGCTACTTCCTCGCCTTACATCTACCCGCCTGTCTACCCATACGAACCTTATGGACAAACACCCTATAATCTTCCCGAGGAAGACGAAACGGCCTGCGACAAGTGTGGCGCCTGCCTGGGGAAGTCGCTTGGTATTCTCGTCTGGGTCCTCTTCTGGCCCATCCTCCTCCCTTACATGTTCTGTCGTAGACGAAAACACGAGGCGGACAACGCCGGTGTTCATTATCCCGTCGCCACCGACGAAGAAGCTCCCGGAGGAAGTCTGTATTCCAAACCTGAAAGCAAGCTCGAGGTCGCGGTCAGATACTCAACCCGGGAGATTCCGAAGGAGGTTTACAACCTCTTCTTGCTACGCCTCCCATCGCTATACTTTTCTCGAGTCGCTAGGATATTCGAAGAGGCGGATCTCAGCTTGAGCGAGCTCAAAAAGATGGCGCTGGAGACTGCAACAAAATCCAACTCGTATGGTCCTTCCGCCTATTTCCTCGAGGCTCATAGCAACCTGCCGCCGGTGTACGAAAGCTTGAAGAACACCTGGGAAGGGTTCATTGATTCGGTTATGCGGGAGTGGAAGACGTTCAATATTATCTCTGTTTTACTTCTTTCGTAAGTTCTTCGTTCACTCCGCGCGATTGCTTCTTAGCGGCGTTTCTTGAATTAACAGGGCAATTTTGACAATACTGCAAATCGATGCGGCTTCGAACGACGGGTTGACCCGGTATACCGCTATGGCGTCGCTGGTCTGCGCATTGATGAGTCTGCTATATGGTTGCGTGTACATCATCAGGTTCGGGACGATGCGCAAACCGTACAAAGCAGCTGAGTGGGCATTGGTATGGCTCTGCTCTCTACAAAGGTGATATACGGCGCTCATAGCCACCACAGGAGGCGAAGAAGTCTAGGACTCTCATATTCTGGAACGTCTGGGTTCTGCTTGCAATGCCTGCTGTGTGGTTGTCGTGGTATGTAGCCACATCTAAGTACTTTTGCTCAACATGTTTTCTAAACCATGGATTAGGTCGTTGATTCTCTACGTATGCTGCATCATGTCCTTCCTGTGGCGAACGAGTGCTCTCGATGTGGACGATACTAGGCCCATGTCGAAAAGCGGTTTACTTGCTGCAAGGGTCGTCATCACGATACTTCTCTCCCTGGGAATCGTCTACGGGGCTCTCGTTGTGCTCACCTTCCGCCGCTACGGCGAGATTATGGATAGGAAATGGAAGCAACGCATAGACGGATGGATCGACGCCAAGATCAACCAAGAGTTACCGCCCCTCCCAGTCGACTCGTATCCCCCACCAGCACTTCCCTACAATCAGAATCCCCAGACGGCACACTCCTTACCCTATGGTTATCAGCCTTCAACTCAGCAGTCAGCTCAACCACCGTCCGTGTACTCGACCCCAGCTTCGCATTCGAGCTATTACCCGACACCCTATTCACATTCCCAACCGAAGACCGGTTACTCTGGTTACTCCACCTACGGACCTCCTCCAGCGAGCTGGGATAAAGCGGATAAAGCACCGTCTTACCATGAACACGAGGCCTTCAGCGATTACTATTACAGTGCAGATAGGAAAGCAAGCTCGGCAGATGATAGTACTCCCGTTCCTTCGCCCAAGGTCCCTGCGGCTAGCGCTCCTCAAGTCGACGCACCTGGTTCTCCGGACAGTTTGAAATCGATGTATCTCCCTGATTCTGTTGCTGGTGCAGCTCAGCCTCTTTCGGCGAGCGGAACGCAAGACTCGTCTCAACCCGCCCCTTCACAGATTGCCACGCCTTCGCAACAAGCTGTTGGAACGACACCGTCAGGAAAATCCAGCACAATCGACATTGAAGTAGCTGAGCCATCTTCGACCTCACAAAGTGAGACCTCGTCTTCCAAACGACCGTACATCTCCATCCCACCTCCACCCCCACCTCCACCTCTCCCGCCTAAACCCTCTGCATGGAGTCGTAACACCGATACCTTGATTCTACCGTCCCCCGCACATGCGTATGACCGGAACTCGCCATCGTCTTCCATCGGTGTCTCTCCCGCGGGTTCCATGATTCGCTCGTATTCCGGTGGCGGTCAATCCGAGACGAGTCTGCTCATTCGGAAGGAACACAGCGACGGGTCGGATGCGTCTGGGCCGGCTAGTGTGCATAAGGAACGAGATGGTGGCCATGAACAGGATTCGTGGAAACGGGCGTCTGTGGATTCGTTCAATGATAGATTGGACGAGGTTTTGAAGAGTCGGAAGTAGTTGCAAGGCCTCGAATCATGTCTTCGTGACTTCTAGCACCAGTTATTCACTCTTGGGATGGTCAACTCTGTTGGATGAGAATCAGCATGACCCATATCGACATTAGCTTTTGAGCCTTCATGCTGTCTTTGGGCAGGTTGGGTGTGCTCTCAGCTCGCAGCGGCCAATTTGGACGGCAGGGACATCGATCTCCGATCGGAAGGCATATTCCAGTTCGAGAGTCTTTCAACGGTCTCTCGTTTGGAAAGATCATCGTCGCTGTAAGGTAGTGTAAAGTTGAAATCAGGAGCGAAATCGGTCGATTAAGCGCCCAGAGAACCGTGGGGTATGAGAAACGGTGTGTGCCATGGAGCGTAAGCAGAAATTCCCAAAGCTGCCTTTGGTTTGTCGAGTTGACTTCGGCGCTCACCAGACCTCAACTTCCACCGAATCAAATTAGAACACTGTCGACCAATGTTCCGCTTTCAATGGGTCAGCGTGAAAGCGCTGGGAAACATCCCGAGTTTCAGAGTAGCTAGTGCCCAACCCCAATCTTCCTGCACAAGCAGACTGCTCAAAATATCCTTCCTCCCATTTCAATCCGGAAAGCTGTTCCCGGAATCGATACAATACAAATAGATTCCAACTATTCACAAAAGTGTCCCAAACTAATCCTACAAAGTCTAAACGAGCCCATAGGCAAGTACTGTATGTCCAAACAGGTAATTCGAAAGGGAGGTCCACAAAAATCAAAAATGCAACAAACATAAATCACGAAAAAGACGAGGTACCAAAGCTCTCATCAAGCTTGATAGCTTCATAAATTCGGAATGTCCGAACATGGGTTAATTCGCTCCTAGAATACGGCGGCGCGATGCTCGAAGCAGGGGAACCAGATCGACCAGCAGATTCCGGACGTTGCTGTTGTTGGTGCTGCTGCTGCGGTGGCGGCAACACTCCACCCTGAGCAGAATTAAACGAGGCGACTTTAGGCGTTATCTGAGCCCTGGATCCTGTAGGAAGGTTATCCGTGCCGTCTCCCGGCCAAGCGAACCGTTGTCGCAATTCACTACAGATAGGTACCAATGAGATAAAGGCACACTGAAAGAAATTTCTGACGTACGTCTGATATTCCCACATGGCATCTTGGGCGTCAGTCGATACCGACATTATTGACTCCCTGGTACTGGCGGCGTCTGAAGTGGAAGGTGTAGGCGACTTATCTCTGCCGTGACATTCGGGCGGGTGGTTAAATCGTGCGCGAAGGAACCTATTCAAAGAAACGTTAGGTTAATATATCCAGAAAAAGAAAAAAGACGAAAGCGTAGTACCCTTCGTATTCCCAGAGCGCTTCCAGTACAGAGTCCTCATCAATTTCCTCATCTTCAGTAGCTTCCAAAGCGTGTTCGACCAAGAACTTTTTGCAAGAGAGAAGCATTCGAAGATGCTTGGATGCGTGAATTTCGAGCTCGGAATGTGTCATGGGTATGAACGTCGAAGGCGAGAGGATAAGGCCTGGGGAACGGGACAGTGGAGTGCTAGCTCCACGGCCAGAATACGCGGATCGTCCAGAGGAAGGCGAAGGGAGGTGCCTCCCAAAGCTACCGTACCGATCATGGCTTCTATTCAAGTCACTCGGCCGGCCACGAGGGATATCATCGTCAAGACCAATATCCGGCGGAGCAAGAGACAGATGCATCGTCCTGACCTCGCGAGCATGCCCAAAGACATCCTGCATGAGGTCCAGAACAAACTCTTCAGGGCTCATATGAATCCCAAACTTGTGGGTGAGCATATGTTCGAAGAGGGCTTCCAGGTCGCGACAGGTGGCTGCATGTCGGTGCCAGGATTTCAGACGGACGCTGTTGTTCGAGCTGGAGAAGCGGTTTCGCGTGTGTGGGACGGGCGTGGCTCGTGGATCGGGTGTATCCTGCGCATAAGGAAGCTGCGACGTCCTCTCGGAATCCCCGTTCAAAGTGGCCGTCTCGTCTGCATCACTCTCCCCTTCCTCCTTGACCCGATACAAATCGTAGAACTCGTCTTCGTCCCCAAAGTCACCCTCGTAAGACCCAAGACCAGGGTTTCGCAGTTCTCCATCGCTGTAGATAGAGAACGTGGAGATCGTCGACGACGGAATCTGGATATCCAACCGCGGTGGTAGTATGTTGAGCTGAGACCCCGAAGTGTTTCCAAGGACATTCGTAGACGAAGAGGGCGGCTTGCCGTACGGGAAGATGATCCCATCGTCGATCAATTCCAACCTCCCTCCAACTGTCAAAACGCGACAAACCTCCTGGAAGACGAAGATCCAGGCATCCGCGGTGATGCAGAGTGTCAGAGATGACATCCGCACGAGGTCGAACGAGTTGTCTGGGAAAGGTAAACGCTGTTTCAGGCTGTAAGAACCGGAATTAGCACCGATGATCTTGAGAAAGGATAGATAAACGTACAAGTTACCCCTAACGAAACGAATATTCTCTGCAACACCTTGCTTCACCGCCCAAGGCATCAGAACTTTAGAGATGTCCACCAGATCATAACCAGTAACCTTCGTCCCATGTCCCTTCCATGCAATAGCGGCATCAACAACCCAATGACTGCATACATGATAATGAGCAGCCCGAACGCCAAATACACAGAGACGTAGATCCTTACCCTTGTCCACACCCAAGATCCAGCGCAGTCGCTGGCGGATGATTGCCGTAATCGTAAAACGTTGGTGAGCCAGTCCCATTCAACCGGTTGAGCAAATCGCCGGTATGACGGTCGCTGAAAGAGGGAATTGGATTGACAATGTTCAGAGCTCGAAAATCAGTCATCATGGCATTCACGTACTTGTCAAGAAGAATGGAATCGTATGGATCCAACGGGTAACTCCCTATCCTAGACTTGATGCGAGCCATCCGCTCGTGTAATCGTACCTCGGGTGCCATCTGCTGTTCCCGATAAGCTTCAAACTCTGGGCCAGCAGGACCACCGTTGCTAGTTGTCGATCCAATATTGGATTCAGCCCCGTCATACTCGTAGATGGACGACTCGGCGGTGCCCACATTGAGCGTAAAAGCCATAGGCGATTCAGGCGTCTCGGATCGAGTTTTCTTCTTCCCCAACGAGATGCCCATAAACTTGGTGCGATTCGCCTTGTCCGAATTGGCGGAACCGTTGGACTTTGTGGAGCGTTTGCTGGACCCACCTTTGCGTTTGAAGCTCGGCATGGAGATGGGAGCCATCTTGGGCTGGGCACGCGATCTTCCGCCTGGGTAGACAAACCCTGGGTTAGAGCGATTGGACCCCGTGCTGCTTGTGGTGGCAGACGTCTGGGTGGTGGTGTCGGTTGCCGTCGTGGCGCTGGACATTTTCCGAGGACGAGTGGGTGAGGGCGTTATCAGTCCTCTGTCGACGGAAGTGCTCGAGGACGCCTGCTGGCTGGACTGCGAGTCCAGTGCGGAGAGATTCCTGGGTGGACTAACTGGCGATACCGGTGCGTTGCGTGTTGCTGGAGACTTGCCCTGCTTATTGAACTTGATGCGTGGAGTGCCGTTTACTGCCTTTGGTCGAGCCGACGAACGCGAACCTGGGAAGACGAAGGTGGCGGGGGAGGATGGAGTGGAGGAGGCCGGGGACACTGCTCTCCGACCAGAAACGATGCTGGATGACGAAGAGTTGACAGAGCCTCCTGCGCGCGACTGGATGGAAGGATACGGTTGTGCACTATCTGGGAAAGCCGGTGTTCTATGTTCGGATCCCGCTCGCCAAGAAGCATCATTGGTAAAATAAGGGCCTTCGGACGGAGGTGGGGACGGGTACACCTCGTCATACCCTTCCCGTTGCATTCGCGTATGCGGGGGAGTAAGGTTCGCAGCAATCTGCACTGACGGATGGCCATAGTCCGGAGGCGTTCTGTAACCAGGAGGGTCCGATGATGACGGCCGAAGAAGCAGGGAGTTGAACGCGCTGAAAGAGGGCTGCGGCGAAGGGCGAGGGGATGGAGCACCGTCCGACGTCGCAGGGGACGGAGGACTGTATAGAGGAAGAGAAGGCTGATGCGGAGACTTCTCGGATGCGCCGATCATAGGGGAGGTGGTCTGGGGGCCACGGGAACGGGGCGGCGGCGGAGGTTGATACGTCGCTTCGAGGTAGATTTGGGGTGTTTGTCCCATTTCCGACGCAGAAACCGCCTTCTTCAATGTAGGCGAGTTGTAGTATTCCGAAAACTGGCTGACCTCTCGAATTGACTCCTCTGGTGATGGATAAGGTCCCATTCTAGTCCTTGGCGAGTTGTATCCTGAAGAACTAAGCATCGGTGAACGTTCCTCAAGACGCTGTATTTGGCGGGGTGTCTCGGTGCGTGAAACTGCCATATTACGCGGAGACCCTGTGGCTTCGTGAAAGCCATGCTGAGGGAGTTGTTGGTATGGTGTTGGTGAAGGGAGTGGTGGAACTTCATGAGAATGTGGTTCTTCGAGTTTTGGAGCCGCTGACTTGGATCTGGAGAAGAAATTACGCAACGGTTTGCCGTCCTTGGAACTGACAGCTTTCGGCGACTTGGGTGGCTTGGGTGGTTTGGGTTCTTGGAGGCGCTTACGGCTTCCAGCTGCCCTGGACGACATGTCGAGGATTTGAATGAAACGAGCGTGGCGGAAGGAGCGGGGCGTCTGGAACGTATTCCAGTGTATGCTGGGAAAGAGGGGAGAAGGCCGGCGTCAAACGGATTCGTATCAAAGGGTGAGCCATTTCTTCGGCCACTGGATCAGGCACTGCGAAGGCAGCTGTAGTGGGTAGCAACTATTCTGCAAGACAGATAATCAGTAATCCCATAAGGAAATCTATTGCTTGATGATTACCTCTTTCCCTTGTACTGCGCAGCCTTCTGACGGCCTAACATGAGCGGGGAAATCCCCGCGATCTCGACTCTCAACCAAACACCAACTTCGGGATGGTTCTAACCCTACAAATCTCCTCCCATTCCGTCACGTCAACACAACGTCTCGTGAATTCATCATTTTCCTGCCCGTTCTCGAAGGGTCTTTCTGCTAACCCATAGCGAGCCTCGTCTGACTGTTGTTTAAACTTCTTGATCAGTTGATGATTTTTACGAGTGTTAGAGGGTAACATACCTGAGAATAGCCATGCATCGAAGTCTGACGAGGCTTCTTGTGCGAGTCTCCGCTGGCTTGGCTCTACCGACCATTTCAGATTTAGTTCTTTCGGTATCAGATGACATGTGGGGCCTGGCGGTTTGGCGGCTGAGGGTTATCGACCAATCGCAGCCGGCGACAACAGCATGTCTTCCGATCAGTGCATTGCTGGTGAGCCACAAAGTGGGGTTCTAATCATTGAATTCATGGTCTAGTGCTGTCCTAAAGATATCAGTTCGGTTCAGAGGGAGAAAAAAATTCGACTATTGACTTACTTTGTATTGGGTTCAGCGAGGATGAGCAGGGAAAAGCCGCTTCGCACGGCGATAACCTCGAAGGTTGCGTCGAACCCGGCGCCTGCTACGTGGGAACCCCGTTGGACACCCCGCGCCAAACCAGGGCAAACACTAGAGATAAGGGCCTCCGACCGTCCTGAAAATGGAGGGAAACTCGCTCAGAGGTGCTATACTTATTTGTTGGTGTACCCGACGAGGTTCCTAATCTTAGGCTCTATTTAATCGGTGAGGTACGGGGGCGGGATATGCCTCGTATTCGCTACCGTGAACTATCCGCCTCGCTTCATGACTTTCTTGGCATTCATCAACAAACCTTCCCGCTCAGGAAAAGGGTCGTCAACTCACGCGTTCTCCTTAATGCACCTATTACCAGAGGTGAGTTAACGCTGAACATCCCTCTCACCCATAATACCGTCTCGAATATGGGCTGAAATGTGTCTAAACCTCCTCTCGTCCCTTATCTCGAATGGAATCCCAGCCCACATGTTGTCACAACCTCAATCATGAAACCGGTGCCTTCGCTGTTCGTCGAGCTACAGCAGACATCTTCTTTAAGATGTCTATTAGAGTCTCGGTACGTAGTCTCGAGACCCCATTTACGAGTAATCGCCGCGAAAATCCCTTGGGAAGTCTCGATCACTCTCGAGGATTCACAACTCTTCACCAAGTCTCATGGCTCGGTATTTGTACAACCGTCTGAGCGTGTAGATCTTGCTCGCGAGGATCTGCACACTGCAGCTAGATCTCGTCCAATGCAGTTAACCCTTGACAACTTGGCTGGAATTTTCATGACCATAAACTTCTGCAAATTGTCTACCTCGGTTTCTCCGGTGCTTGGCGCTAAAACCTCACTGGCACCACACCGAGAACTTCGTCGATTGCTGTCATATTGCAAGTCAAGAACCCCACGTCACTTCTATCCATCCATCCACACAGCTGAAACCTTAACGGTTTCTCCCAGATCAACTCAGTCTATTACACTAGTCAAACTTGTCATTGAGTCAAAACAGAAGTCCTTGAACAACAACTTCTTCCTTATCTATGATGATGGGGAGGGTAAACATCAAGGTTCTTCGTGTATTCCATTCTCAGGTCAAGTTCTATTGTTTCGATATGTTGTGAAGTTATCTCTATAGGTAAGTGCTCGCTGACTTGGATGCCCAGCTTCTCGTAGTTGATGCTGGGGAAATTCCAATTCTACTAGGGCTGTATATAAGGTCGATACATGAATTCTCATGTCTTCGAATCCACCCTTCCCCTTCGCTTCACAGCGTAATCCCTTCTTCTTTTTTCTTGATCGAGTGACTTATTCCCGTCACGACCATGGTAGAAGTCACCTACGACGACTGTAAGTCCCTCTCCTCTCTCCCATCCTCAACACACCCCTACTCACTCCAATCTCTAATTCCTTGAACCACTTCCAGCCGGCTCCTTAAACACCCTAGACGCCGAAGGCACTCCAGTCGTCTACAGCCCAGGCGACATCGCCTTCATCCTCGTCTGCGCCGCACTCGTCTGGATCATGATACCCGGCCTCGGGTTCTTCTACTCTGGTTTACTCCGACGCAAGAACGCGCTTTCGATGATTTGGTTGTCGATGATTACCTTAGGTGTCGTCTCGTTCCAGGTTAGTGGAGATTATTCAATGATTACTTAGTTTGGTCGAGCTATGAGCGCTTATTTCCTCCTCCTTCCCGGTGGTAGTGGTTCTTCTGGGGGTACTCCTTGACCTTTAGCGATACAGCTAGTTCATTTATTGGCGATCTTCGTAAGTCTATTTCCAAAGTACGCACAACGGCAGAACAAGTACTGATGAGTGCTCGCATTGGCCATTAGGGTACTTCGGTCTCAAAGGCGTCCTCGAACTTCCTTCACCAGGAAGCAGCCGCCTCCCCGCCATCGTTTTCGCATTTTACCAGCTCATGTTCGCGGCTATAACGTGAGGTTGCTCTACTAGTAAATCTATTATTCACGATACCAATATTTATCATCTTCTAGTCCAACAATCGCCATAGGCGCCTTCGCCGAACGCGCCCGCCTCGGGCCCTCCCTCATCTTCATCTTCGCCTTCTCGACCCTCGTCTACGACCCCGTCGCCTGCTGGACCTGGAACCCCTCCGGCTGGTCGTTCGTCTTGGGCGGTTTGGACTTTGCCGGCGGCACCCCGGTGCACATCGTTTCTGGCACCGCCGCCCTTGCTATTTCGGTTTATTTGGGCAAGAGGAGAGGCTATGGATCGGAGGCTTTGGCGTATAAACCGCATAATACGACGTATGTGGTGTTGGGGACTGTGTTTTTGTGGTTTGGGTGGTTCGGTGAGTGGTCGGTTCCGTTCAAGTAGTGGTATCACAGGAGCGAGTAGTTCTGACTTTTTTCGATGTTGGGTCGTTGGTCGGTAGGTTTTAATGGCGGTTCGGCGCTCTCTGCGAACCTACGAGCTGCGCAGGCGTGTATTGTTACGAATCTCGCGGCGAGCGTGTCTGGTATTACGTGGATGCTATGGGTGCGTTGCTGTCCACTTCATAGAATCTCCATGCTCACAGTCACTGATTACCACTTCCATATGTGGCGATAGGACTACCGCATCGAACGAAAATGGTCTGCAGTCGGTTTCTGCTCAGGTGCCATCGCCGGTCTCGTTGCTATTACACCTGGTTCTGGATTCGTCGGCGCTCGTATGTATTGTTATCACTCACTCCGTCTTTAAATTTCTTATCGTGGGCTCATTGGTGATTTTCGCTTTAGCCGCTGCTGTCCTATTCGGCTTCTCAGCTGGCACACTCTGCAACTTTGCTACCCAACTCAAGTTCTTAGCTGGGTACGATGACGCTCTCGACGTAAGCCTCTTCCTTCCCACCTCCCCTTCCCACTTACTTACTGCTAACCCGTGTTACCTACTACCACCTCTACTACCACCTCTGCTATCACGTCTACTAATAGATATTCGCATCCCACGCAGTAGGCGGAATCGTGGGCAACCTCCTCACTGGCATCTTCGCACAAAAGAGTGTAGCAGGGTTCGATGGGATGACTGAAATCCCTGGCGGCTGGCTTGACCGCAACTGGGTGCAACTTGGATATCAGGTTGCTGATTCGGTGGCGGGGTTGGGGTATGCGTTCGTCATGACGGTGCGTCTTTAGCTATCCTTTTTTTTTCTTTTCTCTCAATGAATTGATTATTGTGGTATTCTATATGCGGGATGCATACCGTACAGACGGTTATCCTGTGGATCATGCACTACATCCCAGGCCTCCGCTTCCGCGTCGACGAAGAAGCCGAGATTGTGGGTATTGACCAACACGAGCTCGGAGAATTTGCGTATGATTATGTTGGGTTTGAGCGCGAGATTGGTACCCCCTACACCTCTGCTATTGATATGGAGAAGAGGGCGGTGATGGTGGAGACAAATGGGAGTGCCTTCAACGGTACCAGTAATGCGAGTGGGGTTGGAGGTGGGCATGCGAGTCCGGCGCCGCAGTTCCACGTCGTACATGCTTCGTGATTTCGTTCCTTATTGTAAGGATATCGATGCTCTTTCTATGTATTTATTTAATCGTGATACACTCGTTCTTTCATTCAGAAACACAAGGCAAAATCTCCATCATCTTCTCTTTCTCCTCAAAACACCAGATCCGGCAATTCCTATACAGTACTGCTACCCATCTTCTGAGCGTGAGCCGTTAAACATCTTATCTGTTTGACCGAGTAGCACAGTCACTCAGTCATTCCGAGCTCATCCTATAGACCCAGAAGCACTGACAATCAAACACGGGAGAAGGACGCGGTTTTTGAGCGTATCCGAATCGTCGGTGGAGTGGCAGGTAACCTTCCCGGGTCGATCAGCTGTCAATGTTTCTGAGAAGCCTGCGGGCGACGAGTAACTTGAGATCTACAGAGGTAAGCCAAGCTCAAGTTTCGTTGTTCTCCAACTCATCATCCAACTGCGAAGGCCAGGGCGCTCCGATGCTTCAAGACGGGCGCTAAAATCCAGAGCGATTTGACCACGTGATGGATCGTGGGAATCCCGTTTTATCTGCGCTCCCCGCCCAACGCGAGATTGCACAGCGTTCTGGCAACGTCGACTCTGGTCCCCATTTGAGCTCTATTTCCGGCCCTATTTGTCCTTTTCCAGCTGGAAATGGTGTAAATACTCTGAAGGAACCGATAGCCACAGCCACAAGGTGCGTCCACCTGCACGAAGCCGCTGAAACAAACGAGTTGGAATTCGAGGCCATTTAGATAACCACCGTCCGAATTGTCAAGTCGAGCACGTTAACCTTCGCCGGCAATGTCGCAGCTGCGTCAGTATGGTATCAAGGGAACGTCTTATCAAGGCGCCGTCGCCGCGGAAGATAATCAGCCCAACGAGACCCTGAAGCGAACGCGGGCCGGTGGCCCACCATCATTGAGGACGACCACAGTCCCAGTTCATCGCCCTCATCATCACCAGCTTCCACCTCGACCACCACGACCTCTGGGAACTCAGCGCCATCCAGGTGAACGCGCGGGACATCGTAGCAGAGTTGGTGGAGGGAAAAAGAACAAGAAGCGGGGCAAGGGAGCGATGTGGAAGACATCTGCGACGGGTCAAGGTGAGCCTCGAGTTGGTGGGTGTGCAGTGTGCGCACTGGTTAGGGTGGTAGTAATCCTGGTTTAGATGCGAGTCATGAACAATCGAGAACGGGATTGAAGACACCTCCGCCTTCGTTACCTATGCGTCCACCGTCTTTGGTGACTCAGCAAGCATTCGACCAACCTGGTTCTCTCGAGTTGCCCTTTGCAGAATGGACACAAGGATTTCATCTACCCCCACCCACAGACACGCCCGTCTCAGCTCCCCCACCTCCATTACCCACTCGACCTCCGCGTACACAACCTTCACTCTCTCAGAGCGCATCGGCACCTCCGCCATTGCCAACACGTCCAAAACCATCCCCACTAGCCAAAGTGAAGCAGGAAACCAGAGAAGCAAGCCCATTACCGCCTTCCCCAACCCCACAACGCCGTCTTGCCACCAATGGCTGCAAATACTACCCATGGCCAGAGGATTGCCAAAAAAACAATCCCAAATACAAACGTAACCGCGACCGCTACTTCCGGACCATCGTCAATCTTTTGAAGAGCAAGAACCTCAAGGTGAAGAAGCCGCCGCTCTTCAGGGCAGATGGGATGTCGGTCGAATGGTCAGTATGCTTCGCGTTTCATCTTTTCGATTCGGCTAATGTAAGGAATATCAGGTCGAGTGTGAAGCCAGTATGGAACGACACATTGCTCCCTGACATCAACGACATCGCTTTTGCTATCACGAGTGCGGCTACACCCGAACGACTAGCTCTATTCTCCAAATCCGAAATCCGAGAACGAGACATCTCCGCCTCGCCACGGTCCACCCCAACCCAACATTCACAATCCAACCCCGATGCTCTCCCATCTGCACACCCATCCCCACCTCCACCGATCATCCGCCCCAGTCAACGCGACCGCCCTCTCCCCAAACCACCTAAAAAGACGTTCAAGCCCGTGAACAGCACTAACCTTCGCAAGGTTAGCGGACCCAATCTTACCCAGCCAGCGAGAGGGAACGATAGTATTGTTAATACCGTTAATCGGGCGCAGAGCCAGACGCAGGCTCTGCTCCGGGTGGACGTGAAGGGTAAACGGAAGGCTGTTGATGAGCTTCCCGGGCCGCCTCCCCTGCCTACTAGGCGACGACCTAATACTCAGCCTTCTTCGACGACGCCTTCGACGACGATTCCGGCTACTCCCACTACGACTGCTAGTGAGCCGGGACCTAGTTGGTCGGTGTCGGTGTCGGTATCTCCTGAAGGTGCTAGACGGAATCTTGGGACGGAGATGGTGCCTCCTCCGCCTTTACCCTCGAGACCGCGAGTTACGCGGATGTCTGGCCCCGACCCGAAGCCGACGCGCTCGACGACTCCGCGAACGGGTTCTTCCTCATCTACGATTCCTTCGATACGGTGTAGTCCCCCGCTTCCGATCGGTGAACATGTCGCCCAGATCAGTGCAGCGGCTTCAAGTGGAGAGCCACCACCACCGTCGTCGCCACCTTCAGTTCCCGGTGACCAGTCATGTTTGGTTACCATTGAACAGTCGCCTTCAATTGTCGTTGAAAAGTCACCTTCAATTCACGTTGAAAAGTCACCTTCAATGCTCGTTGAACAGACAGAATTGTTGCCCGACGATGACATGTCTATGCATGTCGATCCTGTTGAGGAGAGGGAATCGGTGTACGACTCGGATGATGATATTCTTTCTGTGGTTGCACCGCTGGCGCAGCAGTATATCATGAGGTACGTCCAACCTCTCTTGCCCCTATCTTCCATCCTTGCCTCTACTCTCCCTTCCCTTCTCAGTGGTTTTGGTTTGGTTTCTGCTCAAATGCACCATGTACTGACGAACGTTCAATGTGGGCTATTTTGTAGGTACATGCGGACGTTTGATTATGACCGTTCGAGACTTGCAGGGGCGTACAGCCCGAATGCGAGGTTCTCGGTTTCTGTGCATCGCGTACCTGGTCCGCTGGGCGAGGGTGTTTCGAGTGCTGAAGTGTTCTGCCCTGAGGATCGTAACCATATTTCGGCTCCGTCCACGCATTCTTCATCTACGCAATCCCCATCTCTATCCACGCAATCTCAATCTCAATCTCCATCTCAATGTCCATCGCCATCGACGTCGACGTTGACGCCGACTCGGTCGTCGTCCTCGCTACCACGGTACCACCAAGGCCGCGCAGAAATCGTGCAAAGGCTGAAGAGTTTGGGTCCGCATAAATTCGACTATAGCCGGAATTGGAAGCCGCCGAGTTATGATCTTGTTTTGAGGCCTTTGCCGTATTCGCAGTATGCTGCTGCTACTGGTGGTGGTGGTGGTAGTGCTCGGATGCCCAGATCCGAATCCAACCCTACATCCTCGTCTTTGTACAACGGCAACGACCACGAGCGAGAAGGCCACGAGAGCAAAATCCCGCACTCGAATTCGAGTTCGGAACACGAAGTCGTACTCTTGACTGTACACGGCAACGTTGTGGATACCGACCTTAACACGGGAGAGGACCACATTGTTTCTGTGCATCAGAGTTTTGTGCTTTGTAGGCCGGAGGATTTGGGTGGTGGAGGAAGGGACTGCGGGGTGGTGGAAGGAGTGAAGAGGGAGGAGGAGGAAGGGGAAGGTGTGGGAGGAGTGAAACGAGAAGAAGATGAAAGTCGGGGGCTACTAGGGTTGGGACTGGAGTTGGATACTGGTATGGGAGAAGACCCGTGGCCTCTACTCGCCTTGTCCCACCAGATGGTCGTCCGGGATGGGCCGATGCTGTTCCCTGGTGAAGTGGAGGATGTGGCGCCTTGGGTGTCGAGGATACTTGATTTGGGGTAGGCTTGATGATACTGGATACTGGGTAGTTCTTCGAGTTGCTTTTTGTTATAGTCGTGGTGTGGTGTACCTTTGAAGTTCGGCCTATGTTGCGTTTCGGTGCTTCGAGTTGTGTTTTGCTGTGTTTCTTTCGTTTTCTATTTAGTTTCGTTGCTTTGATTTGTAGCTGTATTTCGATGACTTTTTTTAGGATGGAATTTCTGTCTCCTATGTATTCGAATTGAGCGGAAACGTCGGGCGTCGCGTCGCGGTGTTTCCCGCTGTGAATTCCCGCGCATGAAGCTGAAGCTTGACGCGGACGCGTCGCGCGCTTTTCCCGGCCACCTCCATACCGTCGTTCTCGCTTCCTTTCGGTCTCACGAAGGGTATTTCAAGGCTTGTCCGCTGGGATGACTGCATTTGAAATACCTACGGCTCTCCCTTCGACGACCAGGACAGCGACCCGAGATTGCGACTGGGCCTGCCAGACTGTGAATTGGCGATAACCTATGGCTAACACGCACGACGACTCGTGAAAAGGTGAATGGCGAACCATTCATTTCTATATGCGAAGGAGCCTCCCTAGATCTCAGTTCGTCACATCGTGAGGGCGTATCATGCGGCTGCCCCATATCGTCTTGCTTTACTTCACGTCGGTCTCTCTGAGCCTCGTACCGACTTTGTCGCTGTCTGTGACTCCGCTTGATCATCGACGTCGTGAACTTGAACGGCGAAGGGACTGGGAGAAAGAGGGTAGGCTCGTTGAACGACGATGGGACTCGGAGGATATGCTCGTCAAACACTCGTGGGTCGAACCTCCTCCTGGATGGGCGGTCGTCCAGTCTGCACCGCCGTCGTCCGACCACCAAATCACGCTTCATATTGGGTTGAAGCAGTGGGGTGCTGGGAGGCTTGTGGAGGAGTTGGGGAGGGTTAGTGATCCGGGTGATTCCAGGTGCGTTTTCTTTCACCCCTTTTAGCTTGGTTGGTTGCCAGGGTGCCAGTGGTGTATCTATGTCCTGAGAACGCGTACTTTCTTTTCTTTTGGAGGTATGGACAGTACTTGTCGAAAGAGCAGGTTGAAGAGTTTACGCGTCCTCATCCGGATACGAGGAGGGTAGTCGAGGATTGGCTGTTGTTTTCCGGTGTTTTACCTCCGGGATACACTTCGAAAAGCCCGTCGCAAACATACGACGCAATGGGACTAAACCACGACACGATCACACTCTCCCTCCCCCTCTCCCAAGCAGAACGCCTCCTCAACACGTCCTACCACACCTTCCTCCACCGAGCTTCGAACACCACCGTCCTCCGCACGCTATCCTACTCCCTCCCAAGGATCCTGCACGAGCATGTGGATCTTGTATCGCCCACGACGTATTTTGGTACGATACGGAGTATGAGGAGCATGAGTTTTTTGCAGCCAGAACTTGTTAGGCCGTCGGAGTGGGACTCCGTGGTCGCTACTAGTAGTACTAGCGACACTCCCAACTTCCGTAGTGGAAAGACGGGTTCGGTTTCGTCTGAGGAGTCGTCGGAGGCGGTGGGTGTCGCGGTGGACTCTCAGCCTGATCCTGCGGGGTTGGTGGATGCTTTGTTGGGACCTGTAGCGGAGGGATTGGCGGCTGCGAGTTGTAATCTGTTCGTTACGCCGGCTTGTTTGAGGAGGTTGTATAATACTACCTCGTACATCCCGACCTTGCGACAGAAGTCGGAGGGGGAGAGGGGGAACGTACTGTTGGGAGTGGGTGTTGCGGGGTATCTGGATCAGTTTGTTAATGATGCGGATTTGCAGGTGTGTACATAGTACTTTTGAGTTAAATGGTGTCGGTGAGGTTGGGTGGGAGGTGTAGTGGTTTATTGATTTGGTTGCGTTTTGTAGACGTTTTATTCAAAGTTTAGGCCCGAAGCGAAGGGGTTTGGGGTTCCGACTGTGCAGGTTGATGGGGGAGGGAATGATCAATCTAAACCTGGTGTCGAGGTTCGTTTTGTTTCTCCGCTTTGAGGTTGTCGGTGAGGTTCGAACGATGACACGGCAGGCGAACCTCGATGTGCAATATACAACCGCGATGTCATACCCTATACCAAACATCTACTACAGGTAACCCATCCTCCTCCTCCCCATCCATCCTCACCAACCGCTAAAACCCATCCGCCTTCCTATCCACAGCACAGGCGGCACACCCCCCTTCCTCGCAGACACCCAAACACCGAGCAACACGAATGAACCCTACCTCGCCTGGCTCACCTACCTCCTGAGCCAACCCACCCTCCCGGCAGTCATCACGACGTCGTATGGGGATGACGAGCAGACTGTTCCTGTTGAGTATGCTACGCGTGTGTGTAACCTTTTTGCGCAGCTTGGAGCGAGGGGGACGACTGTGTTTTTTTCTAGTGGGGATTTTGGGTACGTCTTTGTTTTTTTTTTTTCGTATATGGGTGTGATGATGGTTTGGGGTGGGTTTTGCTGATGAGGTTTCGCCCCGGATGTAGAGTTGGAGGAGGGGATTGTCTTAAGAATGATGGGTCTGGGAAGGTGGAGTTTCAGCCTGGGTTTCCTGCTTCGTGAGTCCGGCCTTCTTCTTCCTATATCCTTCTCCCTTCTTATTTCCTTCATCTCACTCGTCGTGTTTAAGCTGTCCATTCGTAACGGCTGTAGGGGGGACGACGCGCGTCAACCCCGAGATTGGGATCAAGTTCTCTGGTGGGGGGTTCTCGCGGTACTTTGCGAGGCCTGAGTACCAGGAGAGGACTGTGAAGTCGTATTTGGATGCGACGGGTGTGGAGGAGAAGTATGCGGGGTTGTTCAAGTGAGTTTTTTTTAATTCTTTTTCAGCTGGGTAGGTTTTGAATGCTCAATTGCTTCGCGATGCTGTTGGTGTTCGTTGAATGGCTTGGTTGGGTAGTGTGAACGGAAGAGCCTATCCGGACCTTTCGGCCCAGGCGAATGGGTACCAAGTTGTCGTTGGAGGACAGGTTTATTCTGTTGGAGGGACGAGTGCTAGTTCCCCTGTGAGTTCCTGCCTTCCCATCCTTCCCTTCAAAGTCTTGTCACTAACTCGCAATGCTGGAACAGACAGTCGCAGGAATATTCGCCCTCCTCAATGACTACCGACTATCACAGAATCGATCCCTTCTGGGGTTTATCAACCCGCTGATATACTCTGGTTATGCGCGAGGGGCGTTTAATGATATTGTTTCGGGGAATAATCCGGGGTGTCATACGAACGGTGAGTTGGGTTCCTTTGTTGAGTCTATTTGTTGGGTCTTCTCCGAGTCTATTTAGTGTCTCTTCTTTATTTCGTGTCGGTGTTGGGTGTTGACAGTGTTTGGGTGTGTACTAGGATTTGAAGCGAGAAGTGGATGGGATCCTGTGAGTTTTTTGAGTGTTTAAACGCTTATTGAGGTCTTGTTCTGAGAGGTTTATTGGTTTGGGGCTTTGGTGCGCGTAGGTTACGGGTGTTGGAACGCCGGATTTTGTAAAGTTGCAGGGTGTGGTTGTGAGGTAGTGATACTTATGTATAGATTGAACTAGACATCGGAATAACAATTATAGTCGAATTCCCGCCTCGAATACTCCGGACCGCTGTGATCTTTGTAGCAGTTTTCTTATCCCTGTCGGTGTTGCGCAATGGGGAACATTCTGATCACCGTGCCATGGCGCATCAGGCGCATCAAGCGCGTTTTCTGATGTTCCCGCGCTCCCTTGCGTCCGCGAACCCGGTGTGGCCGTCAACGTTCAACTTTGGTTCAACCGTCGTCGCGTTATTCCGTTGTCCAGGGCTTTCTTGGGTCTAGAGGCACGATAAGACTTCGGCTATATGCCGTTCCTTCAAACCCTCCTCTGCCATCATCACCTGACAACATTTTCCCCATCCTCGAGGCATCGCTGTGGACTGTGGTGAATCGTGATTCCTCTCCCTTAAACCATCATCATCGTCAGCCAGTCGGTTTATCCAGACATTTTCAATAAACAGAGAGGGTAATCCTCTGAAGAGATGGGGCAGAACCTCTCATTCCAGACGGTGCGTTTTTTTTCAACCTTTCGTCGTGCGTGGACCCACAATGTTGATTGGGACCCACAAATGCTAGGATGAGTGGGAGACTCCGACGTCGACAAGAGCACCCTCGCCGAACAGGGATGCAGAAGAGAACGTTGCGAATGCGGAGGGTAAAGTTCTGGAAAAGGTGAAGGTACGTTATGTTCTGGTTGGGCAGGGTAGTTATTTACGAGGGTGGAATTGCAGGGAAGAGAGGTTTTGACATCGGATGAGGGTGGGGTACTCGATATCGATAAGCTTCAGGTACGCATAACTCATTGGCTCTGGTGGAAGTGAAAGCTGATGTTTGAGTTTAAGATTCAAGAGGGCCTGCAGAGCAAACCCGAAAGCCCACAGGTCATCCTTCAGCCTGTTGTGTCGATCGCGGACAACGCTCGAATTAGTGGAGGAATAATCGCTGGCGGGGATGTTCACACCAACGTTGTAATCAACATACCAAGTGCTAAGGACAGCTCCTTAGAAGGTACGTCAACCTTTAGTGGAAATCAATCTATACCAATCCAGCTAACATTCCGGTGCTACACGCAGCGCAATGGCAGAAAAAGGAGGAAGAAAAAGCAAGAGCACGGTTATTGAGAGAAGTGCTGGATTGGCTTGCACCGAATGCGCAATTCAGAGAGATTCAGATGGAAAATCTTGAAAAGTGGACAGACGGGACGTTGTCGTGGTTTACCACAGCAGAGTTCTACCAATCATGGAAACAGGGTCGAACCAAGGTTATATGGGGCACTGGAATGCGTACGTCCTCTCTCTCTCTCCAGGCTATGACTGAATCCTGATTCCCCATTAGCTGGTTCTGGGAAAACAGTGCTCGCGTACGTCAACCTTGGTGACATTTCGACTACGATAGAATGCTGAAGTGCATCATCCCCAGTTCGAAGGCGGTGGACGATTTGGAGCAACACCAGAAGACGTCCAAAGGAAAGCTCTGCGTGCTGTTTGCGTACTGCCGGTACTCGGAACGCCTGACGGTCCAGGAAATTCTGGAGGCCCTGGTGAAGCAATTCCTGGAATGCGACCCATCCTTGGTCAGCGTCGTCGAGCCTTTATACGCTCGCCACACGTTCCTTAAAACCCGTCCGACTCAGGCGGAGCTCCTCGACCTGCTGAAGACGCTCGAGAGTCATTTCGAGATCGTTTTCTACGTCATCGATGCGTTGGACGAAGCATTGGATGATACGCAATTCAACCTTGTCAAAGCTATTAACACGCTGCAGGGCAGGTTCTCTCTCACTTCCCGGCCGCTGGTCAGCCTGGAGTCTGGGCTTGCCAGGCCCAAATTCTACACTGTGACCCCAGCGACTTCGGACATCGTTCGGCTTGTTCTGGAGAGGATCAAGCACAATCCCGGATTTGGAGACCTGCTGGATCGGTATGGCTTTCGCGACGAATTAGTCCGACGAATCCTGGATAAATCCAGTGGCATGTATGTCTAGTATTAATCATTCTAAGTATTGCCTAACCTAGACGGCCCTGACACTTTTATCAAGGTTCCTTCACGCGGCACTCCAGCTGGAATTCGTCTACACGTGCGCCACGGTTGCATGCGTCCACAGAAACCTCGACCGCGTCCCCACCGGTCTCCGGCAGATGTATCAACAAGCGATGGTGCGAATCGGTGAACAGAAGGCAGAGAATGCACTGCTGGCCAAACATACCCTTCTCTGGCTTGTCTTTGGATACGAGACGATGGCGTTCGCCGATTTGGAGCAGGCTCTCGCTGTCACTTCTCGGATCGATACCGCGGCGGATAACAGTTTAGTGGTTGACGAGGCGGCATTGGTGTCCGTGTGCTGCGGTCTTGTAATTATCGAAAAAAGGACAAATCTCGTGCGCCTTGTCCGTGAGTTACATTGCTCTATTCTCCCTCTCCGAGCGTCTTTAATGAATGTCCTCCCGTAGATTTCACTGCCAAAGATGCACTGGCACCCATCCTCATGAATGATTTCCACTCTCCCCACCGTCTCCTATTCAAGGCCGCCGCGAAACGCCTCATCGACTGCGGCATTCCCAATAACTCTCTTCTCAAGCAAGGAACAGATTTGGAACGCTTCCTCGCACAGCATCCAGCACTCCGTTACTCGTACGATCATTTGGGGAAGCATGCACAAGAATGCGTAACACACCCAGAATATTGCGCCGAGGTTTTGGAATTCGTCAAGCGATGCCAGTCTTTCCCCTGCATTGTGTGGGGGTCGTGGAAGCCGGTGGAACACCTCTCGCCCATCCACGTGGCCGCACGATACGGCCTCCACGAGATTATCGACCAAGTCATCGCTGACACTGCCAAGGGGGACGTCACGCTTCGTACGACGGGGGAGCGTGGCGCAACGGCGCTTATACTAGCTGCGCAATATGGTCAGGTCAGGGTCGTCGACGCACTTCTGAAGCACAAGCGACGGGCGATGATGAAATCCGTGATTGGGGGCCACGCCAAACCGGGGATGCATCTCCTCACTGGTCAAGTCAATCTGCGAGATAACTCGGGAAGCACGGCGTTAATGGAAGCTGTGTCGAATTGTCACCCAGATGTTGTACGACGCCTCCTCCAGGACCCGCATATCCAGGTCAACCTCAGGGATCGGTCTGGGTGGACTGCGCTGATGTACGCGGCGATGAAGTCCCATGTCGTGCTTGACCCACTTCTCGCTCACGAGGGTGCTGATGTCAATGCGAGGAACGATGACGGGTGCACGGCGTTGATGGAGGTATCGAAGTATGGAGCTGGTGCTGGAGCTCTCGTGCAGCGCCTACTCACCCACAAGGATATCAAGGTCAACCTCCAGGGTAAAGACGGAAACTCGGCGTTGATGTATGCAGCGTTGAAGGGACACTCGGTCAATGTCAGGCATCTGCTGCAGCATAAAGATACCCAAGCGAACCTGCAGTCCAGGGACGGATGGACGGCGCTTATGCGGGCGGCAAAGAATGGGAACGATGGTGCGGTCAGAGCTTTGATTGAGTACAAGGGAACTGATGTCAACGCGGTGAACAACTATGGGGATTCTGCGCTCATCATCGCGTCCAGGGAGCTACACCCAGGCGTTGTGTCTGTGCTTCTGCAGCGTGAAGATATCAGGACTGATATCAGGAACATCGCGGGACAGACGGCTTTGATGGTGGTTACGCAGTATCCGGTTAGAGTCGACAAACAGCAGAGGTGCGACGAGGTAGTTAGGCTTCTTAGGCAGTCCGAGAAGAGCTCTGACGCATAGTCGATATGATGTATTGCGTCTTTGGGGCTAGTAGAATACAAAGTAGGGGTCTTTCGGATTATATTGGAGGGGAATCACTAATATATATAATCAAATGAGTGCAAAAAAATACAGTCAGGACAGGCAGTTGGGGTTTTCACCCATTTTCTCGAAATTCTCTCCCGCCCACCCGAGTCGGTGAGGAAGGCGGATCAAACACCGCCACTATTTTCCCGCGCCCTTCCACATTGAACAGGTGATCACCGTCTCCCGAGCGTCCCTTGTGTTCCACCCATTCTATGGACTTGACTGGCGAGAAACCCAAAGAATCAGGTCTCGACAGAGAGTGGCAAAGGGAATGATCAGAAGAAGCGATGCCGTTACTCTCCATGATCACCTGATGGATTTTCTTCACCTCGAGGCCCCCGCGGCGTCCACCATCGACTCTCATGTTGACGAGCAACCGCCATTGCCCATAATCGATCGGAGCGTAGTATAAGACGATAAAGTTACCCTAAAGTTATCCATGGGCCAGAATGTATCGTTCCAGGTGAGTTTCATGGTTAGTGGCTCTGGTTCCCACAATGGACCCACAGTTCAATTTTAGCATGATCACGACAAACCGACAACGCAGAACACGTCGAATGAGACTGTAGGGGGAGGAACCGTATATATTGGTGGATATGGCCAAGGCGGGGTAGAAGGAGAGTCGCAGGTAATGTTTATTCCACTTCAATGGCGAATTGCAGGCTGAAGCAGACCGTCAGGCTAGCAATCTTCGAGGATCGGGAGCCTTATCTCGCGATGGTCTTCGCCAACAGCCTATTGGGATCTCACTTGCGGGAAACGCTCATATTAGCGGCGGTACTGTCGCAGGCGGAGACGTCTACCACAACGTAGTCAACCATTTTATTGTTAATCCACCAGACTCAAGCTCAACGAAAGGTCTGTTCCCCGATTATTACCTGCAGTGCTCAATTCGCTGACGTCTAGTCTGTTTTTGAAGAGGCCGAGCTGCGAAGAGCGAAGAAACGAACTGAGCGTTTGCTGAAGGAGATATCGAAATGGCTTGCGCCGAACGTCCGCTTTCGCAAGGTACAGAACGAGAATCTGGAGAAATGGACTGCGGGCACGCTGTCGTGGTTTATAGAAGGCGATACATACCGGTCGTGGAAGGAGGGAGGGGATCGTATTATCTGGGGTTCCGGAATGCGTGAGTTGTAGTGTTGGCTTGGACCCTGGTGCCTCATGCAAACTCTTCCGTTACAGCCGGCGCCGGGAAGACCATTCTTGCGTGGGTTGATATTGAAATTCGAGTGAAATCCGTCGACTGAACATGCTTCGCTAATAGATCCAGGGCCATTCACGATCTGGAGAAACACCAGAAGACATCAACCAAGAAGGTCTGCGTCGTCTTTGCATACTGCCGGTACACGGAACCTTTAACGGTCAATGATATCCTCGAGGCCCTCGTCAAGCAGTTCCTCGAGTGCGACCCTTCCCTGGTGGCTGTTGTTGATCCACTCTACTCGCGGTACAGCCTCGACGACTCGGCTCGCCCAACGCAAGAGGAGCTTTTGGAACTCGTGAAGCAGTTGGAAACACATTTCGACATCGTGTACTACGTCATTGACGGGCTGGATGAAGCAAGGATGGACACACAATTCGATCTCATCGAGGCTATCAACAATCTTCGGGGCAGGTTCTCCCTCACATCACGACCTTTGAAGAGCCTAGCAATGGACCTTCGCAACGCCAGATTCTACCCCATTACAGCCAACGCTTCGGATATCCTCCTCCTTGTCGCTAAGAAGATTACGCGAAACCCGGGATTTAGAAGATTACTGGAGCAGAACCATCTCACACAAGAATTGGTCGTTAAGATTTTAGCGAAGTCGAGTGGCATGTGTGTTACATTTCCGCTCCATTGCTGTTCGTACTACTGCTGACTTAAAATGTAGGTTCCTCCATGCTGCACTGCAAATCGAGATGATCCACAAGTGTGTCGACGTCTCTTGCGTGAAGAAGAACCTCAGCCGGTTCCCAGAACGGTTGCAAGATTTGTATGACATGGCGATGGACCGAATCAATGACCAGATCCCCCACAACGCCATGCTGGCGAATCATGTCTTGCTATGGCTCGTTTTTGGATGTGCAGCTCTAACATTGACCGACCTACAATACGCCCTTTCCGCCACATATGACGGGGATGTCCAGGTCGATGCAGATGGCATTCTCTCCTTATGCTGCGGCTTGGTCCACATTGAAAAGACCATTTTCGTCCGCCTCATCCGTGCGTTTTCATCATTAAGCCGCGCTGGTCTTCCGATACCTAACTACCTTTCCCTGTAGACTTCACCGCTAAAGACGCACTGGGCCCGATCCTCAAGGAGAAGACCTTCCCCAACCCACACGGTATCCTTTTCAGAGCGACCACAAAAAGGCTTATGGAATTTAACATTCTGAATAACGCCAAGCCTGAAAAGGACCTGTTCGAGCGCCTTCTTTCCGACCATCCGATGCTCCGCTACTCGTACGACCATTGGTCCTCCCATGCGCTGGAGTGCATGTCCGACCCCGTATACGCCGCAGAGGTTATGCAAGTAGTCAAACTTTGCGTCTCTTACCCGTGCATGGACCTGGGATGGGATGGGATGGAGCACCTTCACCCTCTTCATGTAGTAGCAAGATACGGCTTCCACGACCTAGTGGACGAAGTCGTGACAGAAGTAGCCAAAGGAGACCTCAGCCTGCGTACCCAAGGCAATCTCGGCGCAACGGCACTCATACTGGCATCGGAATACGGCCATGTAGAGGTCGTTAATCGACTTCTGCAGTTCAATCGATGGACGATGATCAGGTCTGTCATTGTAGGCCAGAGCCGCCCAGGGATGCATCTAATCACGGCTCAAGTCAACCTGCGGGACAATTTGGGAGGGACGGCTTTGATGAGGGCTGCGTCCAGCGGACGTTTGGAAGCCGTGCAGCGCCTACTCGACGACCCGGAAATCGACGTCAATCTCCAGGACCATGACGGGCGGACAGCTTTGATGCATGCGTCACCCAAAGCCATCGTCCCTCTCCTAGAGCGCCAGGACATCCAGGTCAACATTCAGGACAATAAGGGGTACACCGCGCTGATGAAGGCCTCCGAGTACGGCGGTACGGCTCGGATCATTGTTCAGCACTTAGTCCAGCACAAGGATATCCAAATCAACCTCCGCAACCAGAAAGGCGACACGGCCCTAATGTGCGCTGCGGCCAAGGGTCGCTCTAGGAACGTGAAGCTTTTGCTCCAGCACGAAGATATTGATGTTAACGCCGAGTCTGGTGGATGGACGGCTTTGATGCTGGCAGCGAAGAACGGAGACGAAGAAACTGTACGCGCCCTCCTGGATTTCGAGGCCACCGACGTCAACGCGAGGACCAAGATTTACGGCTCGACGGCTCTAATGATCGCCACTATTCAATCCCATCCCGGAGTCGTTTCCCTCCTTCTCCAACATCCTGACATCGATGCCGATATCGCAGGCAGCGAGGGGAGGACTCCCTTACAAGAGGCACAGATCCCTGAAAGGAAGGAGTTAAAGAAGAGGCGTGAAGCGGTGCTGGCGCTACTTCTGCAGCACAAGCAGGAAAAGGAGTCGAAGTAGATCCGTCTCACTGTATCTTCGAGCAATAGCGCGCAAACATGATAGTAGAATCGAGGCAGAGTAGTCCTCCGCGTTGCCGGGACGGCCATCAGCCTGAGGCATAATCAGAATCTAATCTATGTGAGATAATTTGCGATGCGCGGTTTCGTGTCCGCTGCAAGCCAAATGCAAGCACTTGGACACAGCCATCATTTCGTAGGCCTAGGTAGAAAGATACGAAGTTGCTTCATTTATTAATTCATGAAGTCATAATAAAGACATTACGCAGACTAGTTATAAGCCAACCCAGTAGCAGGGATACCAACCGACCTATGGAACTCCTTCGTGGGTGCAAACTTGGCCTCCTTGGTCATCACCGCAGCGCCCTTCGCCTTCGCCTCGACCTCACTAAAGTCAAATCCAGGCTCCGGAACAAGATCATAAATCGCCTTCGCATACTCGGGCGCAATACGATACTGCTGCGCCAAATAGTTGAGCACGATTATCTTGTAGGTGACCTGCTTCAAGAGGACTGCCGTGTTGGTGTGGAGGTGGCTCCTAGCTTCAGGTGTCATAACCTTGAAGTACAAATCGCGCGCCTGCTCGTAATCCGAGTCCTTGCCTTCATGCCAAAAGTGCGACTGGCGCGAGACAACGTTGTCGGAGACTTGGTACGGCGCCTCGGCAGTGTCTGGGCGGAACTTGTTGACGAAGGAGTTGGGGACGTAGTGGGGGTTCATGCCAGTGTTGGCGTCACTCCTGAGAGGACCGTCAAAGTTGATGGAGGAGTAGCTCTTGGCCATGAACGGGCAGTTGACGGGGATTTGGTGGAGGTTGACACCGAGGCGATGGTACTGCGCGTCGCGGTAGAAGAACATGCGGAACTGGAGGAGAGCGTCAGGCGAGTCCTCAATTCCAGGTACCATGGAACCGGGAGAGAACGCGGATTGCTCGACGTCGCGGTGGTAGTTCTCTGGGTTCTTGTTGAGGACGAGGCGGCCGACTTCGTGCATGGGGAAGCGGCTGCGCGGCCAGACCTTGGTGACGTCGAAGGGGTCAAAGCCGAGCTTGTTGGGGTCGGCCTCCTCGGGACGCATGATTTGGACCTTCATCGTCCAGGTTGGGGTTTCACCACGCTCGATGGCAGCCCAGAGGTCGCGTTTCGCGTAGTCGGGGTCCTCGCCGCTCATTCGGACAGCTTCGGGCCAGGTGAACTGCTTCTGGCCGTGCTCGGCGAGGTAGTGGTATTTGACGTAGACGAATTTGCCCTCTGCGTTGACCCTGCGGAATGCCCTCCTCAGCATGTATCAGCATGCACAGAGGGACTTCACTCACCACTTGAAAGTGTGGCAACCGTAGCCGTGCTGGTTCCTCCAACCGTTGGGAGTGCCATGGTCGCTGAAGAACATCATACCGGCATGGTTCGCCTCGGGTGTATGAGCAAGGAAGTCGAAGAGACTGTCGTAGTTCAACAGGAAGTTCTGTGGGTTTCGTTGTTGGGAGCGAATGACATCGGGGCCTTGGATGGGGTCACGGCAGAAGAAAATGGGCTAGAAGGCTGGCTAAGTAACGAATCTTCCCCCAATGTCAGGTAGGACGTACCCAGTTGAGACCGACGACGTCATAGTTTCCATCCTCAGTGTAGTGCTTGATAGCGAATCCTCGAGGGTTCCTGCCAGAGTCTGGGAACTCGCGACCAAAGGTGACGGTCGAGAAGCGAAGGAAGATGGGAGTCTCCTTGCCCGCCTTGCTGTAGAGACCTGCCTAAATCATGGGATCAGCGCAACGACGGGTATCATCAAGGCGAGATGACGCTAACCTTGGTGAGTTCGCTCATGTCTTGAGTACACTCGAAATATCCAAAAGCACCGGAACCGCAGGGATGGACCATGCCTGACAAGCAGCAAGGAATCAGTTTCCATACTGCCACGAAAAAAGTCATAAAGCTAAACGTACGTTCAAGAGTCTTGCTTCGGTTGAAGGTCTGCTGCTTCTGCAAGAGGAAGGTGTCGCTAATGAGCGGGAGACCACCCACATTCTTGCTATGGGTGGGGTCCGGCCATGGGATACCCTCGTTGTTGGTAAAGTACGGCGCATCATCCTTGCGTTTCCCAGCAGACACAACGCCAGAGACCTTGGCGATGATCTCTGCAGGGCCGTCGTTGGCGTTCATAAACGTCGAGGTGCGCTGCATGGGGCGCGGGTCGACGCCAACGGCGCCCATAGCTTCTTTGGCGGCTTGCATTGGGTGAGTCAGAGGGTTGCTCGAAGGTTGAGACATCAACTCTTTGGGAATCGGATTTCGAGAGTAGCTTTTAAAAGCCAGCGATCCAGGGGAGTGACATATCGCGTCCGCCTGGACTGACGCGCTGTCGACGTAATATCGGTCAGAGTAGAATGGGAATATGAGAGACTGGGGTTCGTTATGTCCCTTTGACTCCACAGTGAGCCCATCTTCCAACGGGCCTACTGAGTTTTCAGTTCAGAATCGGTCTTCTGAGCCAATGCGATCGATTGCATTGGGGCTGGTGGATCCACCGGGATTCATAGTTCCGTCGCTTCTCCGGACAACTGTTGGGGAATTTGGCTTCGAGTTTGTCGGGTATTAGGTGATATAGTGTTGTCGGATGTCTTCCCAGGTAGAGAGCAAGCCCAGGCGTCAGATGCAAAGTACATCATGGCGTTAAGAGGCAAGTAGCGCTCGTCCATCTCCTGCGTGAGACACTGTCCCACGCCGCCAGATTGACTACCCAAATCAGGAAGGTCGCCCCCTAAGCAGTGACGTCGGGTTCGACGCAATTAGACCCACTATTCTTTCATCCTCCAGCAAAGAAGATTCACAAATGACAGAAGAGGACAGAGGCTAGGGGTCCCGGAATGCAAGAAAGCAGTTGTCATTTATTAAGGCCAGAATATGGAACCAATTACATTGAGAGGAGATGTAATAACCCAGCGAAACCCTAGCACGTAGTTCATGAGCCAAACAGGCGGTGGTAACTGTAGTAGTCGTAGTCGTCTCAGCAGTAGCAGCATCGCCCTTTAACCTTCCAACAGCCACAACAGGCACATCCTTGCTCGTGCAGTACACCCGAAGCCTGACGCAAACGGTGTCATTGTCGCTGTATGGCACGTTGACTTTTGCGGCGACGGCGTATCATACAAGCGAGGAGCAAGAAGATAATCGCTGCAGCGGCGACGACTCCTCCTACGATTCCTCCAATCTGCGCCGCAGAGAGCGCCCTTCTGGCAGGAGGAGCTTGATCTTGACTTCCGCCGTCGGTAGGGAACAGTTTGTCCCACTCGGACCCGGTGGTGTTCCCATTTGCTTCATAGATGAAGTGGTCCAAAGCCAGTGGTACGGACGAGGAGTTGCCATGGTACACGACCCTGAGGCGGTGACTCTCGTGGGGCAATTGTGGCGTTTTGAAAAAGAACTGGTTCGTGAGCGTATCATTCGTCTGTGGAAAATCACTGAGGAAGAAAGAGGTTGGAGGGCCGCGGTCGATGGACCATTCGATTCGAGAGGGAGTTGAAGGGGATCCACCCGGGATTATACCATACCACGCGGCAGAGGAGCCTACCCGTTATACTCAGCGACATCCCCCAATAGAAGAGGACAGAAACCACTTGCCAATGAAATAAAAGTCCAGCTGGGCGCCAGGGGTGTTTGTCATGCGGTTGGGTGCCGACGTACCGGTTACGTTGGTCCACGAAGAATCATACTCAACGGCTGGGGAGAGTGGACCCACGAACCAGGTTAGAGGTGGATCGAGAAAAGGGATGGGTGTAGGGGTGTACCGGAAGAAATCGACCCAGAGTGGGTCACCCCTTCCTGTTACATTGAGGGTGAGGGTGTGCCATTCATGGAGTACTCGGCCTGAGTCGCAGAGGATTTGATTATTGAGGAGGCCGAAGGAGGGTGCAATTGAAGGCACCGGCTGGCCATCGACTGAACAGGTCCATGTTGGGCAGGTTGAACATGAAGAGCTGGTCAGATTGGTTGTTCCCTGTAACAGGGCCCGGTTGCCTAATCGAGTAGGCATGAAAATCACGGTATGTATCTCAAGAGGTTTCGTGGGTGACATACCTTGGAAGGTAACAGATACACTCCCGCCACTTCTCGTCCACCGAGAGGTGTAATTGAAGACGGGTCCAGCCCGAATAGACTCCCGATTAATAGCTTCGACTCCTTCCGGGTTCGTCTCCCATTCACCTTCGTACTGGAAAACAGGGTCGTCGTTATCGACAAGCACCCAACTCGAGTCCCGAGATAGATCCCTGTTGAAGTAAAGTAACGGTAGGGTTGAAGGGCACTCCGACCTTGTATTTGACTGTAAAGTGCCCTCTAAAGGGCCCGTTCAACGGGTTTGTCGGGGACCACTAGAGCGGTTCGTCGAAGGCGACGGTGACTGCTGTGTTGCTCGTCTCAACACTCCGCCCATCAAAATAACCCTGTCAAAAGATGTTTGCAGAGATACCACCTCCCTTTCCAACATGAAACACCATTTAGAAGGAAGCCAATTTCTGTTGGTAGCATAGCGCTCGAGCCTTGGGCTTCCCAGGCTGTAGGAATTCTATCAACATTGCCCCCCATGTTGTCACTGCCAATCATCAAAGTCGACATCATTGTTAGCAGTGCGAGATTAGAGCGGTACTAGTTCCCTGGCTCACCGATGCGTTCCATTTCTTCAGGAGACGAAGTATTTGTCCAACCGACTCCATTCGTTTGAGGTCGTTGAGGGGGCAGCAGAACGATGTCAAATCCAAGAATCAGATGGACCAACAACGCTGTTGCTTGGTTTCACTGTGTTGAAGTCGCCACCCGCATACAGGTCCGGGTTCGAAGGATCGGGTGTACATGTGTTACAAGCCACGCCTTTCATTCAGAAGCTGGAAGTGAAGAGGGTTCACATTCGGGCGATGGAAACAGGAGTCGAACACCAGAAGCTACAGGTCCCGGAATGTAAGAAAGCAGTTGTCATTTATCAAGACCAGAAAATGGAACCAATTAAATTACATTGAGAGGAGATGTAATCACACTTAACTCAGGGAAACCCCATGGCCAGCACGTAGATCATGAGCCAATCAGGCGGTGGTAACCGTGGTAGTCGTAGTCGTCGCAGCAGTAGCAGCATCGCCCTTTAACCTTCCAACAACTACAACAGGCACATCCTTGCTCGTGTACACCCGAAGCCCCACGCACACGGTGTCATTGTCGCTGTACGGCACGTTGACTTTGCCCTTCTCGGGCGGAGTGGTTGTCGTGCTACTAGTGCTGGTGCTATCCGTGGAGGACGAGCTAGCGGTGGCCGTGGGCGCAGCTGCAAGTTCTGGTTTCGCGTCATCCGACGTAGAGAGAGCTCCCGATGCAGCGTCGTCGCCTTCCTTGCTATCCTTATCCTCCGCAGCCTTGGGCTTCGCAGATTTCACGACAACAGTCTTCGTCTCAGTGGTAACAACCGTCGTGGTCGTCGTGATCGTTCCGTCTTCACCCGTCTCTTCCTTCGTGCTAGACTCGGACGTCGTCTTCGCCTTCTCGGCGTCTTCCTTCCTCTTTTTCTCGAACTCGGCAAAGTCGCGTTCGATGAGTGTTTGCAGGTCGGTTGGGAGGTATTTGGCATTTTCCCTAGAAGTCTGGTTAGGACAGTCTTTTGAATGTGAACATTGTCGACATACTCCTTCTTGAAGTCTGGTTAAGTAAGGGTATCGTTAGATTCGGCCTTTGATGCGAGAAAGAAGGGACATGGAACACTCACTCGACGCAACGGATTGGCTTTGAGCTCTTGCAGTAATGATTCGTGACAGTTTGCGAAGATTCCATTCGTCAACCGTCGCTGGGTTCTATAAACCAGCGATTAACTCCCGGAGCAAGCCACTCGACATAAAGTCCTTACCTCGACAGACTTGATAGTTCGATCTAGTCGAACCTGTAATGCAAGTTAGCCATGTACCCTCCCCCCTCTAACAATCGTCACGTACGTATACAATGTAATTTCCCTCTTCCAAATGGATCTCCATGTTCACGCTTCGTAGGTGGAACTCGGAGTGTGTAACTTCAGCAATGGGCTCCTTCTCTCCTTCCTTGACAAGGACAAAATCCAAAGACCATCTCGCGCGGCCAGCGATATCCCTAAAGTACCTGGTGTCGATTTGCGAAAGCACGATCACGGCTTGAGTGGGACCCGAAAGGGAGAAAGTGACTGTACCCCGTGGCCGTAGTTAGTGAGTGTACGATAGCGGAAGCTGCATTGTGAAACTTACAAGAGACATCCCCGAATGACCACGCAGCTGGCAGAGGAGGAACGGGGACCTGCAGCCACTGCGAGGACATCACCCAACTCGAATCAAACAAGATAGTCCGATCAATCTGGGCAAAGCAGTCCAGCCAATCCGAATCTGTCGACATAAGCGCTCACCGCTCAGCTCTTCCATGCAGTAATCGAAGGAAATCATCTATGACTTACACTCCATCACGAACTGCCCATCATCGCCAAACTTGTGGCCAATCTGGGGCATAAGGTCGAGCCACTTGCTCGTCCACTCCTTCGAGCCATCTGACCACCGACCGGTCCATTCGGATTTGCCCCATGGATTGCGAACGATGACGAAGCGCTTGTCCTCCACTTCGACTGCGCGGAGGACCGAGTAGGCGTGGTCCCCAATGAGACCTTGGACAGTTAGTTTGGTGGAAGGATAGCCGTTACGCGTCCCAGCGAGGCTGTTGAAGGAGCACCCGAACACGCGGTCTTTGTTGGCGCGCAGGAGTTCGTCCTTCCAGAACCTATCTGGGTCAAGAATGTCCTAGCAAAAGAAGGTTATTACTTATAGTTGAAGAAGTGCCAAGAACGCATAAGCGAACCTTGCTCTGCAGAACAGTCGAGACACCGCTATAATTAAATTCAACATCAGACATTCGTAGGGCCCAAAAACACGTTATGTTTGTACACACCCAGTCAAATCTTCCATGGCATCACTCTCCAGACCTCCGACGATATGGGAGAAGTTTCCATGGAGCTTCGCATACGCTTTCTCGATGAGGGGCACCCAAGTCTCTCCTGTCTCCCCACTCTTGGCGAAATACAGCGACTTTCCGCCCTTCCTCGCGGACTTGTTGTAGATCTCCTTGTCGTAGTGGTAGAGTTCTTGTTCTTCCCGTCGGAGTTCTTCGTACTTGGGAACCCGGGTGTATAGCATACTGTGGATACGCGGTGGTGTTAGTTCCGTCATCAGCTCTGTAGAAGGTAGGGTGCAGGAACGTACTCGTCAATCACGACTGTCACCCAGCTGTTGTCCCTGAAGAAGATAAACCCATAGACGCCCACTTTTTCATCGCGCTAGAAGGACAGCGTCAGGATTACCTAGCCTCGATAAGACGGAGGGTGGCACGTACTGCAACGCAGAGCTTCTCAATGAGGCCAGGGCAGGTCGAGACGGTCGCCAGAGCAGAAAGGAACCAACAATCCTGCAGTTGTCCTTGTACGATATCATTCGAGCCCGCTTTCCCATTCTCAAGGAACCGCGGATTATCGAAGATCTGAGTAACCCGATGGACGTCCGCAGGCTCGTACCGCTCCTCGATGAACAACCCATACAGACATTCGTCTTTGTCGTTCTCCAGATCGAACTCGATATCCCTGCAATGGAACAAGATGAGCGCTCAGTGGCAACACAAGCTTCGATACAGAGGCGTTACCTGAACTTCCGGTTGCGCGCTCTACAGTCCCGTGCGATCCGCTCGACTTTGGCTTTACATTCCTCGATCGCTTTCTCTAGCTCCTTCGTCACGAGCAGCCCGGCCTCCTTTTGGACGTAGGTCAGAACCTTGGGCGGCGTCGTCTTGGTCTCGACAGTGGTCGTCTCGGACTTCTTGGTCGTGGTGACAGTTTCTGATTCAGCCATGGAGGTATTCGTATCAGCGCCCGATGAATAGTAACTTTGCGATCGTGGTGGAGGTGGTGGGGAGAGGTTGAATGTAGATGGTGAGAACCCTGAGCGCCCACTAGTCAAGGTCTTTATACAGAGACAGTTGTGATAGGTCGGGCGTCTACAGCCTCTCTGTCACACTGATGCATCCCGTCAGAATTTCCCAAATGCTATAAAATTAGAACATACAAGGCCGCGCATTGTCCGGTTTCCCCGACCCATCTGGACTTTCTTTGTATGCACGCCCATGTCACGACGTTTGCAACGAGGCTGTTCGATAGGGCTGCGGTCATTGAATTCGAAAGGTGTTGGGCGCAAATTACTGTGGATTATTCATGTGTACATGTGTGCAGTGGCTGGGTTAACGGCCCCGTTGGGAATCGTAGAGTGGTCACAGTGCGAGGCTGGAGTCATTTGTGATTCTGACACAGGTCGCTTCTGGAAGAGATGAAGGATTGGAGAAAGGAGAGTTGGACAGCTCAGCACCGCGTAATGCTGGCAGGTGGTTGATCTTATCAGATTGTGATCGACGTTGGGCGCTTAAGGATCTTAGGTGGCCGCCCTCGAGATCGCCGCTCATATTACGACATATGTGTCCTGAGTTTGGTTGTAGACTGCAAGGGCTGGAGTAAAATACGAGGAATATGGGACTGGGGAACGGTGCGCAGATGCCTTCAAGTAGTACCTGTGATGTTCCAAGTTTACGGGTCACAGATGGCAGTCAACAATGTCATAACCTGCGTCAACAGCGAGCCTGAATACCTCGTGTATACATACCAAGACACCCAGTCTCTCACCCACAGATCTTGGCCATGCCCTCAGAAACCGATGATGACGGGGAATTGAAATCCCCGTGCTGGTCGGAGTTCATAATTTGCCTCCAGGTGCTCTGAGCGCTTGCCACGCCGTCTACCTGGACTAGCCAAATACATCTAGTTCCTCCTGTGGAGGTTGAGCCATACTACCGCAGCACACACCATAAGAAATTCAAAGTATGAATGCCGAAAATCACTGGTGGGTGCACTGTATCATTGATTCCGTACTACAAATTTGAGAAGGCATGGACTAATCCACTGCCGAGACTACGACAGCTGCTCAAGTCGTTATTTCTCTGTTTTCGAGCGAGAAGCGCAAATGTACCCACACGCCGATCTTAGTAGCATCGCCGGGCCCGGCGCAAGTCCATCCTTCAGGACCTAAGGACAAAGGTATTTTGAGCACTCTGTAGCAGGCATGGTACTGCATGGTTTGAACTTACAGCCACCATACTATGTACACAAGTCGAAATGCAATCAGATTATTCTCTTTCTGAGATACGTTAAATACTTACTCCTTCTCCCCAGCCTAAGAAAAATCGCGGTGAGTCGCAACCCTGTATCAAGAATACTATAGTGAGACTTACAAGCTCGCCCATCGATGAAAATATAATTTCGAATCTTAACGCCCGACACAAAGTAGAGGATTGAGGCGAGTACGACGGTCGCGATAAACAATTTGAGAGATCTTTGGATGCGCGGCATGGTAGCTTCAAGTTGGAAGGATTCGGAGCGAGTCAGTCAAGAGCGAATGGTACTTTGTCTCAGATTCATGCCCGACCTTTATAAATGGATGACAACCCTTGATCTTGATGCTGGTCGACCACGTTGAACACGGATGGGACCTGATGGGACACGTACTCTTGCAGCCATGGAGTGACTCGGATGCACAGCATTCATGCGAGCGAGGTTCACGGGGAACGATGCGTCATGGGATAGGGCCTGATAGTAGGGCTGCTTTTCGTCATATCCGTTGAGTCAACGTTCTTCAACCCATAAACATCTCTACTTGAAACTCGAAATGAAGTACGCCTAGACCACAGGAATAGTGAAAAGCTGTACAGGAACGTTGCAATCAACAGGTTCATCCGACGGGTTTGCCTTCCAGTAAATCTATATCCCAAGTGCACGATCAGCAACCACTGCCCACAAAACGCAATGCTAAGACACATAAATCTTACATTTCTCCCCTTTCCACAGCTATAAAAGTCGGTCGAGTTGCCATTGTAAACGAGTTTGGCGCCAAACTGAGGATCCTCTGGGTTGGGAAGCAGGGAGAACGGGTTGAACTTTGCGCATTTGGGCGGAGCGGTGATAATGCCATCCGGTCGGTTTTCTTGGATGAAGATGAGAGGACCGGAAGTAGCAGAGCAGTCGTCGTTAGGGTCATTTTGGGATGCGTCATAGGCACCATTTGCGTCTCGACCTTGTTGGGCCCGAGTCAATCGACAGAGCTCGAAAGGTATGGTTTAGACATACCAATCTTGGTGCTCAAGTCGACGTAGGGACGATAGACGTAAGGCGACGAGAGTCCATTAACAGGGTCCTCAGCGACGAGAGAGTTGTTGATCATGTAGAATTGCCCCACAACGTTGTGGCCTGTGAGTGTAGCTTGGTTGGACCATCCCGTGAGGCGCAGGGGCTAGCATGAGGTCAGCCCTTTCCACCAGAACCCAGTTAGAGAATCCAAAGTTTCACCAGGAAGAGGTCGCCCTCAGAGACAGGACCCGTAGCAACAAGGAAGAACAGAGGTGTACTAGCTCCGGGTATCAGTATGGCAGAGGCAGGGACGAATCCCTTGAAGGTCGTAAACGCTGCGACGACGAGAGAAAGAGCTTTGAGCTTCATACTGGTAGCGGATTCTATGGGCCATGGTAGCACAGAATAAGTCCCATTTTATGATACACTGGAGAGATGCAAGCCGCCAGTGTGTAACAGAATCGTCCAAGGCAGCCGCCCATGCTGGTGGCTTGGCATCACTCACCCACGGCAAACGCCGAGAGGACCAGAATCAACAAAAAACACACCCACCATCGCCTGCACCCAACCCACAAGACGACGACGAAATGGTGAGTTTTAGCGGTCTATATGCGTGCGTAGGAGGACTATGGACGACGAAACGCTGTTGAACGACGGTTGGACGCGAAAATTGGGCTGGATGCGGACTTTTGGTGCAGATGATGCTCGGGCGACTTTATCGGTTTTCTGTTGGGCGATTTGGGAATGGGCTTTACTGACGGATTTTCTTTTGGGTCTTTGGGATTTATAGTCGAAAGGTGCGTCTTCGTTGTGCGATTTGAAGTGAAACGGCGGATTTGACGAATTTTCAGGTACCTCGTCCTTCGGGTTCGTCCAGATCTACCTCGCTAGTGCGATATGCCCCGCCAACTGATTTCCGCACTACAGTAAGAGACACACCAAGACCCACACCCTCTGCCGCCGATGTGGCAACCGGGCCTTCCACAGACAGCACAAAAGTACGGAGACGAAACTTTCAACTTGGGATTTTGTTTAATCATTTTTTCCAGCCTGCGCACAATGCGGCTACCCCTCTGCTAAGCTGAGGTCATTCGAGTGGGGACAGAAGGCCAAGCGCCGAAAGACTACCGGCACTGGCAGGATGAGGTACCTCAAGGATGTGTCGCGAAGATTCAAGAATGGCTTCAGGTGCGTAGTTGCATTCCAGATTTTATGCAATTGCATTCTTATCGATTTGTTGCAGAGAAAACACGGTCGCCAAGAAGCGATCCAAGCCTACCACCTCGGAGTAAACGTCTTCTCGCTATTCGACATTTCACCGACCCTGTATGATCATGCATTCTCTATGCCAAAATACACACATGCACCTCTTCTGCGACGCACACGCTTGTACTCTTTTTTCGTGAATATGCCCGTCCTGTTTTTATGGAGTACTCCTGAGTTGGATTACGACGGACTTTGAAAGTTGACTCGCGAGATTTTCTCGTGCGCCAATGGAGATGACCGGTGAGCGTCGGCCTATCTTCAGAACCAGGTCACCGAGTCTCATCTTCGACTTTGAAGTACTGCCAATGATCCCTGTGGCCGGGTATTGAGTTTGTGGATTTGCAGTGAAGATAAACCTACTCTCCTTACGCACTACCAATCCGACAGTACAGTGGTCACTAAGGTAACCTTCTCCGTTGGCGCTGTCCACTCGGACGCTTATCATAGAAACGAGACTCAGTAGGTAGGCAAGTGCTCAGACATTCATTCATTCAAGTTCGGCTCAACAGAATTGCTATTTACGTGCTACACCATCGAAATCTACCTCCTTAACCTACTCGGTCCCAGAGACGGAAGAGATAGCAGAGGCTCTTGTTTCACCACAGGACGCTTATCGGAGGGCGTTGTTGTTTTGGATTCGGTAGTTAGCGCCACCGTTGACGACGACGGCTAAAAGGATCGAGTGAGTAAAGGCCTACTAAACGATTGCGAAAAACTTACTGATGTAACCCAACAGACCCTTGTTGATGTCCTGACCCTCGAGGTATTGGAGCCTGTACGATGGTCAATCGCCGCCTCTGCAAAAAGAGGGCGGTTACTCACTTGACGACAGCACCTGGACCAGCTTGCTGCATGATCCAGTCACGGCTGTTGAGGGTTCGGGGGACGGTGTTGGTGGTGTAAGGGTGGGTGCGGAAGACCTGGTCATTCCACGACTCGTCGAAGAAGAATTGACCGATGTGGTTGACGGATCCCGAGCCAGAGACGAAAGTACTGCAAAGAGAGGTGCGTTTGCTCGTCAAGGCATGGAAAGCGATATGTAGAAGTTGAGCTGACGTACCCGTTGGACCTCGTTTGCCAGTTACCGCCGTGAACCATGGTGTGGATGTGGGTGGTGCGACCGCTGTAGTAGCCGGGGTAGATGGTCACGAGTTCGACCATACCGTTCTTGTTAGTGAAGAGACCGCCACGGAGCCAGGTGTCCTCCTTGATGCGGGTGGGGAGACCCCATGGGCCAGTGTATCCTCCGTACGCGCCAGTGGCGTTGGCAGCCCAGATCTCAACAAAGGCGTTGGGGTAGGGTTGGCAGGTCCTGCTGTCGATGACACCGACGTCGAGGACGAGGGTGACGCCTCTGCAAAATGTTTGTCAGTACTTTTTTTGCGCCGGGCGCGTGCGCAAGCTTTGGACTCACGGTTGGTCCTCTCGGACATCACTGCGGACGAACTCGTTCCTGATGTAGTAGGGGCCCTCGATCGTCTCTGGGTGGAGAACGCAAGAGTTCTGGCGGGGGAGTAAAGGTGAGGTTCCTACATTAGCTCTGGAAGCAGAGGGTGGAGACTTACATCCTGGATGGAAGTGATACGGGGGGTAGGAGCGGTGAAGGTGCCGGTGCCTTGCCTCCTCATCAACTTGTTTCGCTTCTCGATGCGGCGAGCCTCGTATTCAGCGATCTGGGGAGCACACTTGCGGGCAGCCATCTTGCTCTCCTCGACGGCGATCTTGGAAAGGCGAGTCAAGGGCTATCCAACTTGGGTCTGTGAGAAGGGGACTTACGTTGCGAGCGATGAGTTCCTCATTGCTGGCTGGGTGTTCGTGGTCCTCGTCACCGGGATGGGCTAACGTTGCTTCTCTGTGAGTCCATGCTCGTACTTCAACCACTAAACCAAGAGGATACTAACCGACGACGAAGGACGCGAGAGCAAGCAAGGGTGCAAGCGCGAAGAAACGCATATTGCTCGAAGCACTGAAGAGACGAGAAACGTATGGAGTCGACACTTGGCCCTTGACGGTGCCCTTTTAGAGGATTTCGTGAAATGCAAACTCCCCGAGATTGATCAGGGAAGTGAGGTTCGTTGTGCGAAAGAAGTCGCGAAGAAGTTGAAGTTGTCACAATTTACTTCTTTTAATTCGTTTTAGCGGACGTACTCGTGGCTTGGGCGTTTTTGGCGGCCCCGAAAGAAGGACCTATGCATCTGATAGTGGGGATTTAACTTCAGTTTTGCGCTTGTAGGTGTGGAGGCTCGTTTAACTCCCTTCTGTAGCCTTACGAGGCAGATTGGCAAGCCTGTCGTTGCTCTGGTACGTGCTTTCAGTTATGAATCGCGGCCTAACGCGTCTAGTCGACAGGACTAACAGTAACTATCAATGGACTACAATGGATGTAATGTTTCCCCAGATCTTGCGGCGTATAAGCGAAAGAACGGAGAAAATGGTACCAATCCGATGGACGCGCGCCCATCAAGTGCTCACCGGTACCGTCGAAAGAACAGCGACCATCGGGTATAACCTCGTTACTTTGACAATTAAACAAACCAGCGAGAAACACGAAGAGTTTGCGCGAGAGGCCGCATAACCGGAGCCCCATACCCAAGGGCGTTCAATTCAATTTGATTCAATTCTCGCTACTAATGCGACTGGCTTCTTTGGCTGGGAGGGGCCGGAGGAAGAGCCTCGCTTCAAATCAAAGCGGTCATAGTCGTAAACCAGGTGGTCTATTCGTTTTGTGGGAAGCTTTGAATCTTCCGGGAATCTACCCGATATTTTCGAGGCGAGTTGAATGGCGAGGACGAGTGCAAGTTGGTATAATTGTTCACCCGTTGTGTTTTTCCGTTGGGGTGTATGGTTGTGGTGTATGTTACGAATTCGAAGAAGGATTGCGGTAGCTGGGTATCGCGAGGTGGAGAAATGGCTAATGACAATTGCCTCGAGGTTCTGAGAAGTTCTCTTATTGCGATGGACAAGTTGTGTGTTGTGTTATCCGATTACCGGTGTTCGGAGTCATCAACCATCAAGATATTGGGTTGAGAGCTAAAGAGGTAAGCGCCCGGCGCGTCCCTGACAATCCTACCCCCCACTATGCTCGACGAGATTGTAGACCCATTCTACAGTTTGAGCCTGCGCCTCGATAAGAAATGCGAGCATCGCGATAGGCTGCTTGAATAAATTGCCTCCAGCTCGACATCATACATCACGGAACGAGCTTCTTCCCCGTTTAAGAAGCTGGAATTCTCCGTTCAGAAGTTGAAAGAAAGGAAGCCTTCATTCGTTGTCAGCCAAGGGAATCTATAATAGGAGTGTGGATGGCGTCTGTGCGGGGAAACCCATCTCTAGGCTTACACTATGAAGAAAGCGAGAAGGCGAGGTGTAGGGCTTGTCTTACAAGGCGAGAACTTGAGAAGGGCCCGGAAACGGAGACGAGAGCGCGAGAAGAGCTTAGCGTTTGGAGAGCGAAGCTCTGGCAAGGCCAACTAGAACAAGATACGGAGTAGGGGTACGTGAACGTTTCATGCGATGTTCGCTCATCGCTTTTTCGGGGAGAATTTAGTGGTATTTTACACGACCTCTTTGAACACGTGAGATGGTAGTCTGACCCGATTGACTTTCGACATGGCTTCGATAAATTCAATGGCGCTGTCATGAGGAGGGAGAAAAGGATCGGTACCGGGATGGTTTGGAGGGAAAAGAAGGTGGGTTGACTGGGACTTTGCCGAGATGTGTCCTTTGGCTTGGGGGAGTTTACGGGAAGAGGTGTTCGGGCGTGGATGTGCGAGAAGGCTAAATGGTTTTAGTAACTTGAGGGTTCTGAGGGTCTTGGATGAGGTAGGGTGGTGTAAGGCCAATCCTGTGATAAACTTCGAATCTGCTGCGGTCAAGCAGTGGGTACCTGAAGGCAGTAGTGTATCTCAATTCAAGGTTGTCGGGTCCACAGACGGCTTCTCACACCGCGGCCACCATGGCGGCACCCGGGGTTGTATGGTCCCATTAGCAAAGACTTCGAGCAGATGAAAAGTACTCCCTCCAACATTTGACAACGCCTTCAAACATGGGGTGTACACGTACTTATTTTTGGAGTAGATAGGAGGAGGTCACCTCGTGAACCAGACTCCGAGAATGCCTAGGGAAGGCAGCGGAATGAATCCACGATATATAGCAAGGATTTGGACTCCGATATCGTGCAACTCGAAGAAGTGACCACGAGGATCCTTGGTTCGACTTCACAGCGAGAAACTCAGAAGAACACTCTCAGGTGTTCGTCAGCAACCACACCCTCCCAGTCAAGCAGTCAAGCATCCCACCCAGAAAATGCCTCCCAACTCCCCTGTGGAGGTCGCTGGTAAGTAACGAAAGGATACCAATTTCATACCTTGGTACAGCCTGGTATACCTCATGTGGGTGGGGTAAGAGCCGTTCTGGCCTACGTACTACTGTGCTTCTCAAAGGACCCATTGGAGCCATTCCGGCCTGGGCGCTTTACCTAGCCCCTAGGTGAGAACGCGGTGAGAATCAAATCCCATGTTGATAAGATATGATAAGATAACCACCGAAGCGATTCTCATCTGATTATCACCTCGTTGTTGTTCGGATGGGGTCTTTCATCTTATCGACCCTGCATGACGGGAGGAACGTTGATGAGAAAAAACGAGGGCACCCACCGTCGTCAACGGAAGTGATTTTATATCACTCTGGCGCCACTTTCGTGTCCGCTGGTTCTCATCCCTTTGCTGTCCTCGATCCTCCCACTCCCCTCGTTCGAGGACGTTCAGAGGCTGGAAAGATGTGTTTTGTAGACGGCGCGGAGGCATGTTTGTCTTCCCCACACGCATCAGCGCCATGAATGTTGAGATGCTGGTTGGCTGACATCTAATCATCGGTAGATCCGGTTCCACGTAATATCGCTGGCCTCAGATTGATCGGAGTGGGAAGCGGGCCAGGCTAACCCCGAAAATCAGAATAAACGGACCGAAAATCGAGGGCAGAAATGTTTTTTGGGCGTTGGCTAAGTGGTTAACGGACCAGGTTAGGCCTTCTAACCGCCTCATTTGCCTTGGTATGGCGGAGGTCATTAAAGTTGTCGACAGGATGCACGACATGGGAGACATGAGTACGTTCTCATCGTCATGAGACAGACTGACTGCAACTGATGTTTGCCAAGTTGTTTTTGTACACGGTTGGGAGTGAGAGCGCCGACCAGAGGGTGGAAGACCCTGACAACCCTGAGTAAACAGAAAATTTTCGCGCTTGTTCCCGCCTCAACGAGGGCGTCTTCATCGAGTCTTCCTCCTCCCTTTCGCGCCTTCAGACGCTGAATCGAGGCTCAGGAGGGTCGTATAGAGCACCTGCGATTTTTCTGGATTTTTTGCCATAATTTTCGAGTTTATGGGATAAGTTGGGACTGAGGCCGAGATAGCGGTAAATAAATCGGCAATCTACAAATGGAATAGGCCTGATTGGACCGGCTTGGTTATCTAAGGTTATCTTGTCGCTTTGCCAGCACAACTTACCCTCTCATACATTCCTCTTCCTCCGTCGTCCGCATCGTTATCCACAACGAGCTCCCTACTTATATTCCTATAATATACGGTGAGCACGTTACTCGTGACGACGACGACGACGTTTCTGACGCCTTGGCCAGTTCCTAGTATCCTGCTTGTCCACGGCGTTAAAATACGTTCGTGAACCCGACCGCGCGACCGAGACAGCATGTCGCCAGTTGTAGTCGAGGCAGCCCCCATTAATCTGCACAACGCCAATCTCGCCGCCATGGCCCGTATGCAACTGCACACCCCAACGATCCCCTCAGAAGAGCCACAGGCCGAGCAGCAACGGCCAGGTGCGTGGCTCGGAGGTTTATAATGATCCAAACGCTAACCAGCACTATCTCTTGTTACAGCTGAAGAGCCAACTCCTGCGACCAATGTAATCGGCCCAACACGGGCACCATGTCTCAACTGCGGGACAACAGAAACGCCACTCTGGCGACGAGATGCTGACGGAAATCCCCTCTGCAATGCCTGTGGTAGGTTATCGCCCTTCCTCTCATGATGACGCCAATCCCTTTTCGTTCCGCGCTTGTTTCATTATCTATTTGGCCTTCGAAGATGACGCAGGACGATCGTTGCTGGCATAGGCAACACGTGGTGAACGTCCTGCACAACGTCCCCCGTCAGAGCCACACGCGTCCGTCCGCGCCCTGCCTGCGCCTGTTTACCGGATCGCTATAGCTATGGTTGTCAAAGACCTGATACAAAACCAACTCGACGTTCGCGTTCGTTGGTCTTGAGAAGGCATGTTTGGGTCAGGCTTGGGGCAGGTCGCGTGTATCGCGTTGGGCACGTTTCTTTCGGGACTTTGCTATCGCTACAAGATCTCCGAACCGTCAGCCATCATCGAGAGCCTTCACGGGCAGCTCTTAAACAACTGTTTTCCCCGTTCACGGGCTTTGCATCTTGCCCCACCAGTCTATCTCGACGTCGTGGGACGATCTCTCACGCGTCGTTCATCTCCGCACCCTAGTTCTATTCGAAGCTCCAATGTGGCCGTATCACCATGCGATACATAGTTCGTAAATTCTTTGTTGTTTTGACGAACGACTATCGCGATACAGCACGCTGGCTTTCATCGTTGCTTTGAACGTCAGCCTGTAGACGCGTTCGCCGTTCACTTACCTCTTGTCTCACCGTTCATATTTGATTTCATCTCTTATCTCTTTGGCGCTCCGTTTAAACTCGGCTTTGGGCTCACCTCATTTCCTTTGCAGGCCTTTATCAAAAATCTCGACACATGCCACGACCTACCACACTAAGTAGGGGCACCCCAGTTCCTCAGCAGCAACAAGCCGCGTCGACAACGTCCTCCGTTGGACCTTCTCCCTTTGTCGCTCCCGACCAGGCAGCATCCTCGAAATCAGCAACCGCACCAGCAACAATGCAGAAGCTGCTCCAGCAGCACTCCGCTTCAACGACGACAAACGGCACCGCCGCTTCAAATCCGACAGGAGGCAAGTCGAACGGTGGAACCTGCCCGGGAGATGGTCGATGCGACGGTACGGGAGGGACGTCTGCGTGCGCCGGATGTCCGACCTATAACAACACTATTGCTATTTCAGCCCGAATGGAACTTGACGGTCCTTCTACCGACGGGGCCGACCAGCAGGCAGCTTCGCCTAAAGGAGACGGCGCCGCCTCCCCTGCGGCCAACGAAAGCGACGCAAGCACGTCCGCTGTCGCTGCTCCGAACGCGAGGACAAAGGGCGCGAGGCCGGCTGTGGGAGCGCTCAGCTGTGCCAACTGTGGTACCAGCACGACCCCCTTATGGAGGCGAGATGATGTGGGCAATAATATCTGTAACGCATGTGGTGAGTATATCAGTTGTTTCATAATGGTCATCTTCCATTTGCCTCGGTGTCGTGCCCTGCTTTATCCCCTTATCGGATGGGTTGGATACTCGCCCATCCTCAAAGGGCATCGGTGCGATCTGGCATTTATCTTATCTGATACTTGCCTATCGATAATCTCCGATCAACTTATCTGTTTAAACGTTATTCCTGCGTTTTTTTGCTTCCTTTCCGTTTACCCCACTCGGAGGCGGAAGCGGAACCAAAATCGATCTGCATCCTTCACGCCATCACACCCATCATGACCTCATCCCTCCCCGTTTGTTTGACTGTCTCGATGTTTTGCTGACCTGTTCATTCTCTGTTAGGTCTTTACTTCAAGCTCCATGGCACGCATCGGCCCAATTCTATGAAAAAGACTGTCATCAAGCGTCGCAAGCGCGTGCCCGCCGCCCCTGGTTCTGCTGGTAACACGCCCGGACGTTTGTCAGACCAAGCCGCCGCCGAGGCTTTGGTGTCCGTTGGCCGTGGAGGCGTCTCATCCGCTGCTTCTGGCGGCGGTGCAACTGGAGAGGAGAGCGAAGGCGAAACCGACCAGCCTCGTAGGAAGCGAGTCCGCCGAGGCAAGACACGTTCAGCAGCCGCTGCTGAGAAAGAAGATGAGGATGTTACCATGGAAGAAGAGAGTGGACCTGAAACCCGGAATCGTCGCAAACGCGCCAATGGATGGGGCGAGGGTAGATCAGCCTCCCCTATGCACCGGAATTCCCCTCGTGTACCCCAAGCTTTCCCTGGTGGCCCCCATTTTGATCTCGCTTTCGGCTCTCTCGGCAACAACGTCGCCGCCGCTGCTGCCTTGCTCAGCGGGCAGTCCAGCTACATGCGCTCAGGCTCTAACGCCCCCAGCCGCAGCCATTCGCCTCTGAATCCTGCGGCAGCCATGCCTCCTCCAGGATACATGCTCCCTCCACCCCACGGCCTTGGCGTCCCAGGGTACTACCCACCCCCACCCGCAGACATGTCAAGTCTTATGAACCTTGGCATGGCTGCTGGCGTTGCTCTTAATATGGGTGTCCCAACTTTGATCGACCTCGAGCGTCATTATATTGAGCTGCAGGAGCAGAAGAAGAGATGGGAGGAGATGATGGAGAAGACGGAGAAGCTCATGGCCGGCGTGAAGCGAACCATCGACGAGATGAAGGCTATGTCCGCGTCCGCCGCTCCGTCCGCTACCGGTTCCCCTCAACAACAGCCCCAAGTCCCCGTAACCACCGTGCCATCGGCATCCGCGCCTGGATCTCCTCAGCACCCACCGCCGCCAGTCGAAACCACCCTCGTCCAGCCCACCCCCGCTCCTGCGGTGCCTCTCCCTCGTGCAGAAGACCGTGAACGCAGAGACCAACCCGTTTGGACCGTTACCGAGCCCACCCCCTCGTCTTAGATCGACCAACGAATGACCTTATGCTCCTTTTTTTCTTCTTCATTGACCTAGCTTCAATCTAGGTCCTATATCCTTCTCTCTTCTCTCCCTATGCCCCACCTTTTCCATTCCTTTCGGTTCTCTACCCTACGAAATCTTATTGGAGTATGCGTTAATGGTCTATCGAGCCTCCCTATTGCAAATTTACATTCAGGGCGGAGGGTTCGTTCGCAAAAGGACTGACCCCCTTTGGTTTCTGTTTTTATCTATCATTCTTTCTTGATTGCTGCTGGCCGCCGCCCTTGTAGTCCCCCACCCTCTGCCTTGACGTCTCGGATATTTCTTTATATTTACTCCGAGTTTTACCTCGTATCCTTTTGGTTGTGACCCAGTCACCGTGTATATCTTACTCTCGTCTTTTACTTACCTCCCTTTCGATTGCTTTCGTCCCCATCTCTTGAGCGACATTTTCTTTTTTTTTTTTTTTTGCCTGCTGTCAGTGTCACCTGTGTAACTAACTAGTCCCCCGCTTACTTGGCCTTTGCGTAGTTGTGTTTACATTACGATATGTATTTGCGAGACCGTGTAGAACACACTTCTCATTAATGTACTGTCATTATATGTATGTCGTTATCGAGTACCCTCGTTCCAATGCACCCATTTGACATTGGATCCTGCCCTATGATCGTTTTGGTGCAACGGCGAATGAAGTCCTTGAAAAACTTGGTAAGTGTGCAGTGTGGGAGATTTCGGTCGCCGCTTGACATTTGCTGTGGCCTCCGCGAGTCCATCGACGTCGTTCAGCTTTTTGCTCCGTCTTCCTCGTCGGAAACCATGTCCTCGTCGTGCCGCAGCACCTCTTAGACCATGACCTCGTCTTCATCATGGTCACTATGCCCATCTTGGTCCATCGAGTCGTCAGCATCGTCTTCAGGGCCATACTCGCCTTCTTCAGACTCGGAATCGTCCATGTCGCTGTCGCTTTCGAGGTCGCTCGCATGAACTTGGTTGACTTGGCTATCGACCAGAATCTGCAGCTGCCTTCGAACTTGCGGCACAGCGGTCTCCACGAACTCGTCCGTTAACCATTCTGGAAGGTGGCACCCGTTGGCTGAAGGTGGTGTACCAGGCTCAAGTAACCATCCGGGCAGAACTAGGCGATGGTACTTTTCTCTGATTGCGGCGAACACAGCGTTGCAACCTGCGCAGTTGCTGCCTGAGGTGCCGACAGGGATGATTTCTTTGAACTGGCGTAGGTGAGTTAATATGTTAGAGCTCCGTGAAACGTTGTGGGGTCGAAACAGGAACTTACGGGTATTGGATTGTCAGTGTTAGGATTTTCGTCGTTTTGGGCGTAGTAGCTCAAAAGTGTGGCGAGACACAGCTCTGGGTGGAAATGACCGGCATTTCCCAGCTCTTCTGGGTGTGTACAAGAAGCTGAGCGAGTCGGATCGGGATCTGTGAGGAGGTCACCGGACTTGGGCAGCCCTGCAAACTCGAGGAGCTGGATATATGCCGCTGGTGAAAATCGGGCTCCTGGTCCCTCCGATGGCGTACTCTCAGGGGGACTAGCCTTCAGCGCTTCGGTGGCGACGCTTCTCCATTCTCGGCGCTTCGCTCGCTCCGCTTGGTGGGTTCTATATTCTGCTGGGATGGTGATGACGGTGTTGAAGGATATCTTTGGCAGAGGAAGCCTTTCTTCTTCTGCCTGCCTCTTGTACTTGGCGAAAGCCTTCTGGATGACCAGAAGGCTCTGCAGGGGTCCTAACAGCGACTTCGTCCATGCGATGTAGGCCCCCACCACGTTCCCAGACAGGAGCGCGTTGTATAGGGCCGACCCGCTACGCGTGTATGGGGCGTGGTGGGGGTCCACATCCGGGAGCGTCAAGAATCTAGACACCCTTTTCAAGTGCTGAACAAACGCAGGAGATCCTGCCAAGTCGCGAAGCACGATTCCGTAGGCTGTCAGCGTCGTACAGAGTGTTGAGAATTTCTTTGACTTGTTGCGATCCCATTGGTGGGTGTTTATGGCCACTCTTCCTTCTCTTGCGGACTGAACAAAGTTTTCCAGCTTTGCTATGTAGCCGTTGAGAAGGAAGAGAAGGAGGTGGTGGAATTCGTCGCAGGTTTCGGCGGTGTAGATCGGGCGGGATGGGGAATATGGTTGGTTGGCTATTCTTGGCAGGTGGACCAAGTTGGGAGGGTTGAGGGTGTCCAGCGCCGATTTATGGCGGAGATGTTGGAGGAAGCGGATATCGGCGTCGATCTCCCATGGTTGGCACTGGTGGAGGTGAAAATCTCCCTGGATGGTGGAAGGGAGTGGTTCGTCACGCAGGGATTGGAGGAACTGCCTGTCTTCTATCGAATTTTCAAGGCGGATGAACGTCGATTCGGCAAAGGAAGCCGTTATGTATCTTGCGAGGCTCTTGAAGGCAGGTCGTGTGCTGGGCTCCGTTCTCAGGCGCTCCAGAAAAAATTTGAGCGCCTGTATGTGGTCCAGGAGGGTGACAGTTGGCCTGGAAGGGCACCCACATCTTGGCTTATTATCATCGGCAGGAAAATCGTAGGAAAACTCACCCTCGTCGCAAAATCAGTTCTAGAGGTTTTATAGCATTCGTTGCTGTTAAAGCTCGGTCAGCAAGGTATTTTCTCCATATTTGAGGAAACGGGTACTGCCTCGTGTGGTGACAGTAGGTCCTGGTGGACACGTTCCGCACACAGTGAGCTCGAGCGACAGCACCCCGTCGTGAGTCAGTGTAGTTCTGCTGCAAGAAAGGGCTACTCTGGATTGGTTGACATCCGCTATATTGGCGAAGGCATCTAATAATCTTAAAATTGGGCCTTGTTTGTTGGGGTTGACAGGGCGAACTGAAGAAGAGTATGGAGTTGATGGAAATCCGAACCCAAGGGAACGGAGAGAAGAAAATAGCTCGTTGGTGGAAGAGTACCAGACTTCGTTTTCTATCCGTTGAGGCGACGGAGGTGAGTTGAGGGAGGGGTGCGACATGATGATGGAGTAGGGCAAAGGGGCAACTCGCGGGACTGGAGTAACACCTTGTTATTAGCGCTTGCAAGAGGCGCCGCAACACATCATTACGTCGGAGTATTTGGTATACAGCTGTTAACAGCTTTCTGTTTGTGTTGCGTATAGTTACGGTGTTTCACCCGCTGGACGATGCTCTGGACAGCCAGGACTCGGACGTGTTTCGTTGGTTGGCCTCGCAGGCTAGGGCTTTTGGTCTACTGCTCCCCCATCAGAATCCATCCGGAAAAGAATTATGAGAGACAATTGGGACAGTTGCACTGATGTATGGCTATTCAGTGAATAGTAAAAAGATGTGCTTCAACGGTCATTACAGAGGCAATGACGCCAAAGGATACAGCCAATGAGGCGAACATCCTCCAAATGCCCTCTTTAGGACCTGCATCAGCACCAGTGCCGCGTCGCCCACACCAACATGCGTGTAGCTCCGAGCACTTTATCCTTTTTGGATTTGTCCGCAAAGGTAAAATATGCTTCTCTCGGCCTTCTTGAATCGCTGTGACAAACCGAAGGATGATGCAGAATGCACATCGTTTCGGTCTTTGCCGTGCGAGGGCTCTGGAACAAGGGATAACGTTACAGAATGGACAATTTGAGTGTGCACTCAACTCTGTTCAGACGCATCTCAATGCACTTTACTGTGAAATAAAAATGTCACTGGAGTACCCAGTGCAGTCCCTCGTGGCAGGGTCTGGCAGGGATCGCCACGCTCTATCATCACGCTTGCCATTCAGTTGTTAGCTCAATCTAGTGATACTATCAAACCGGGAGTTTCATCCAAGTATGTGAAAGAGAGTGCGATGGAAGTTCATCTTTGTTGTAGTTAAGCTACGGCAGATCTTCTGTTCGAAATGTTGCTCATGAGCGCTGTTGCACACCGCCCGAGTGATATCCATCCCGCTGCAGCGATGCACCCGAATATCCGGTTCCCAGAACGGGCAGGTCCTCCGGCGGGTCAGAGCGCGAAGAGGACCTACTGTGAGCTGAGTAATGGGTGTTATTATCTGAACTGGGCGAAATACGCTCATCGCTATATAGAGGAGAGTGCAAGCCCTTCAAGAGGCCTATATCATCGATTTAAGCGCCCAGCGCTCATGGACATGCTTAGTCATCACCTTGGCATTCCGGATCTCCTCATCGGGTTTGGCGATCTTCACTGTTCGCTCAGCTTTCTTCATGACCGCCATCACTTCCAACATCCAGAGTTTCAACTCTCCGGATGTCTTTGATTCGCAAGTCAAAATGCGAGTATGTTCGCAGTGGTTCTTCACAGCAGTCCCAAGCTTATGACTTCTTCTGCACGACAGAATGCGGCCTGCGAATGTAGCCTGGGGCATCGAGTGACGTCGGCGTTTGTGTCACTCACACTTCCAGGTGTCCCATCTCGCTATGGCCTGGCCTTTTCGAAATGGACTGCATTATCAACCGTGCTTATAGATCTCCAGCCTTCGAGACTAGGAAGGTTCCCAACACTCGACCTGGCTTCTCGGCATGGCGAGCGTCCCACCGAAACTTGTTATCCTGGTCCAAGTTGAACTTGTTGATATGGACGCCCGGTATTCAAGAACTGAACCCGGCCTCTCCTTTCTCAACATTCGCCCTCCCCTTTTGATAAGGTGGCTGACGACATGGCCCACACCTCCTGCTCAGGTCTCGACGGTGCTTCAGATTCTAGGAGCAATAAAGGCGCGGTCGAGGAGCCTGTTTTACCGGAACCATCGCCAAAACGAATTAAGATTGGGTCTTCGCCATGGAGGAGCATGCTTCCTTCTCCTGTCGCAGTATCTGGGGATACCTGGGGTAATAGTAGCGGGCCCATCCGCGACTCGTGGTCGCAGACTCTAGACTCTTGGTTCAATGAAGCACTTGGTGTGTGATCCTTGCCATTGTCTCTAACGCCCGCTTACTCACTCGGCCTCACAGAAGGACAATCTTCTTCAGGCTCAAGTACTTCAGATTCTCGAGCCACTTTCTCGGGATCGACCTCGTCAGCTACCACGACTTCCGGCACTACCGCGAATGAGGACTCTGCATTTCCAAACACTTCCAAGGAATGGGAATACCTGCTCAGTACCACGCCTTCCGATCCGTTCAACATTTTCCCTTCCGCTCCCAAACCCCGCACAGAAGAACACGCAGCGTCTGCTCTGTCAACAGATAACCCTCCGCTCTCCAACAGCCCGCCCCAAATCGAAAGCTCGGCCAGTTCGGGAGCAAGCGTAGTTAAGCTTCCCGATATCCGTACTTTCCAGTTCCCAATCTCATTTCGAGCCCGTGCGCCTGCCTTGGTGCTCGACCCCAGGAACTTCGTCTCCCCGTCCGAACTTGCACCAGCCCTACCTGAAGGGAATTTAGGTTGTGATCAACCACGCCCACCCCTACACTACAATGCTCCGAACATCCTATCCAACCCATCGCCTTCGACAGCGGTTACGCGACAAACTGTATTTTCTGCTCCGACCCGGGGCTTAACAGGGTGGAGACCGCTGGACAATTCGGATAGCCTGGTGCTAGACGTTATCCCGAGAGGCGCCAAGTTCTTCAACACGTCGACACTTTCATCTCTCCCCCCTCTTCAGCCTCCTTGCCCCCGCCCATCCGGAGGCAGGGCGTCGGCTGCCAAGGCTGAACCCTCTGCTGCTCCAACTGTGACTACTAGACGGACTCGTCGTAAGAACCCGCCTATTGTCGCGGCACCGACAGCTGACCCCTCCCATTCCGACGACATGGAGGACGAAGATTCGGATGGCTACCTCCCTTCGAGCTCGCCGTTTGGCTCCCGTCACAACTCTCCTATTTCAAAGCGTCCTCCGTCAATCGGTCTCAGCGACGATGTCATGGAGCTCGGACCTCGACCACGTCGCGGAAAGGGCAAAGCGAAGGGCAGCGCTGCCTTGGCTCTCGCGGTCGTTACACAGATTAGCAGGCTCAAGCAAACCGTCGAGAATGGGTTGAGCGAACCAGTCGATGGCATCACTGACTTGGACCTGGATCCTGACTCAGTTGCGATCCGGCCTGGTCGCAAGAGGAAGAACAACCCTATCCCCTTACCTGTCCCTGTCCCCCACCTTATCAAGAAGAGTCGCGGAAGGAAGGTTCCCCACGCTCGCGAACTATCTTCGGATTGTGGCGAGTCCCTCGAGGAGCTGCTCGACGACGAACCCGAGGCCTCCAGCACCACCAGCCGCACTCGAAAGGCTGCAACACCCTACTCTCTCGGAGAAGGAGGCAAGCGGACATACATGTGCGAAGTTACTGGCTGTGGTAAATGCTTCGTGCGAGGGGAGCACCTCAAGCGCCACGTCCGAAGCATCCACACCTACGATAAACGTACGTTTTGATCTCTTGGATTGGTCCATCGCCCTCTCTCCCTTTTCTTCTCTCCTGTATGGCAGCACATGACATCTGATACGCGCTTTATGATTTCATTTCGATAGCCCATCCTTGCCCCTACGAAGGTTGCGATAAGTCTTTTAGCCGAAGAGATAACCTGGGTCAGCACGTTCGCATTCATCTTCAATCGTAACCGTGCGTGACTCCCCGCCTGTACTCTTCTTTCTCTTCATCAAGCTTCCTATCTATTCCAATGATACCTTGTCACCCTCGCACCAACGGACGTTCTCAATGATTCACGGTCGATACACGATCAGCGACGTGTTATCAGAGGAGTCGGCGCCAAATCTCTCTTCTTCTTCATCTTGTCTCCATCACACACACACATACATCATCTTCGAAACACGAGATTTTAGTGTAGCAGTCTTGTCCTAGCACGCAGGTAGTGCTTCCGATAACTATCCTAGGTAAATAAATTGCAGGGCCCATCGAGTCCACCTTCAAAATGACCGAACAGTGTGTCGCGGAGCGTTCACAAAACGAGTTCACCGCCTGTCCTTCTTTGCTCGAAGCCGTCCAGTAATAGACGTCGGAGCAACTTTGTGAGTATACACCTTCAGACCGACCACAAGTCCGTTATCGTCTTCCGGAAAACCAGTGGGTGACTGGGACCTCGGTGGAATAGGTGAATGCGCTCTTCCCAAATGTAGAGGCGCCACAAAGGTCGGAACCTGCAGAGGAGGTGGAGGTGGTGGGGGCCCAGGGGGAGGCGGTGGTACAGGGTACGAAACAGGGCCTGAAGGTGCAGGCGGATTTGAAGGGAAGTAGTACGTCTCAGCGTGAGGGGAATTAGGCGGGGATGACTCCGCTTGTGAGCCATCGACAGGCACCCATCCCGGCTCTGCATGCTTATAGTTCATGCCCTGCTGCATTCCACTAAGCTTGTTGCCCGAGGCGTGCTTGCGGCTTGGCTGAGGGCAGGACCGTGCCTCATACGGTGTGTACGCCACCCCGTTACCGTATGGCGGCACCTCGTACGGACTAGCAGGGCTTGGCCGACTGCAGTCGCCGTGTTTCGAAACCACGGTTTGAGTGGTAGTCGTAGTGGTCACCGTGATGTTCTCCCCTGTTTTGATTTCTCGTGCATGCGTATTAAGAGTATCCAGAGTCGCCTTGTCGGAGTTGGCTGCGTCGTCGACCAATAACTCTGATAACGTTTGGACGAGATACGTATCACTAAACGTAAAAAAAAGAGTAACCATTTCATGGTCAGTTAATGGCATTGGATAGATTTGGTGGCCAGCTCACTCGTGTTTGTAATCTAAAGGCTTTGGGGTGAGTAGAATGAATGAAACATGAAAGGACGAAACTTACTCGAGGCGATCGACCAGCTTTTGGCACGTTCCATCAGGATCCTGGCGACCTTCCGTCGATCCCACCCGGAGTTCAACCCAGTCCTGAAATAGTCCTGCATGCACCCTTCAGTCTGAGCTCCGTTTCATACAAAGCGATCGGGGAAATAGAGAACCAACCTTGTCCCGGATGGAAGCGGAGTCAAGTCGTGCCTAAGTAAAACTTGAATGAGCTAGGGAAAAAGGGGAAGGTGAGAGAAACAAGCGTACATGAACGACATAGTTCCCTGGCTCCAGATCAATTTCGAGTGACACACTCCTCGTGTAGAAGAACGAGTATGTCGATTCGGCCATAGGCTCCGTCTGACCTTCGCGGACCAAGACAAAGTCCAAGTTCCAAAGACTGTGACCGTGGAGATCTTTGAAGTATCGCGAGTCGACCTTGGAGAGGACGATGATCGTGCGGGAGGCTGCTGGGAGTGAGAAGGAGACTGGAGTAATATGCAGAAGGTGAGAAGTGAGAATTTCGGTGTTTAGGAAATGGTAACACATAACGGCTTACAGCTCAGATCGCCATAGGCCCATGGCGCCATCGAAGGCCTGTCTGGGAGGTAGAGCCACTGAGACGACATGACCCAATCCTCGTCAAACACGAACGTCCGCTGGATCTCCTGCCAGACCGAGAGAAAGTCCTTGTCTAATTTAACCATCAGTTCACCTTGCGACAACCCAGAGGAAACCAAAGTAACATACACTCCATCACAAACTGCCCACTCCCACTAAAGTCATGTCCAAGCTCGGGGAGAATCTCCAACCACTCGGGTGTCCACTCCTTCGAGCCGTCGGACCAGGGACCACCCCACGCCGCCTCTCCCCACGGATCGCGAAGCACGACGAAGCGTTTACCTCTGCATTCGACTGCTTTGATGACTGAATGTGAGAGGTTCCCGACTAGACCGTCCACGGTAGCGTTCTTGAGCGTGTTCCGGCTCCCGTCTAGAGCTTTGAACCAGCACCCGAAAAGCCGGTCTTTGTTGGCTTTGACGAGCTCTTCGTTCCAGAATTTGTCAATGTCGAGGATGTCCTGGATGGATAAGCATATCGTGTGTCAGTGGAGGATGTCACGCCATGTCTCTGGTGAGTAGTGGGATGTTGGGAGCTCACCTTGGAAAGTATCAAGCTAGACACGCCGCTGCAGATAAGGAAAAGAAAAAGAGGGAAGGTTGAGTCATGATCATGTGAACCAACCGCCGATTCCCAGTTCTCATCTTCGCAAAAAGAATCGAACCAAAGAACGAAGGGAATGAATGAAGAAGCAAAAATAACATCCCACTCACCCCGTCATATCCTCCAAAGCATCGCACGTCCTCCCAAACATCACAGAAGCGTAATCCCCATGGACCTTGGCGTACGCCTTTTCGATTAAGGGTACCCACGTATCCCCTCCCCCTCCCCCACTACCGCCATGACCGCCATCAACATTATCACAATCCGGCTTTACGCTATCACTGACATCTGTTTTCTTCTTCCCCGCGGATTTTGCAAAGTAAAGCGACTCCCCGCTCCTACGCGCCGTCGAGTTGTAGCGCGATTTCTCGAAATGGTAGAGTTCTTTCTCGCCGGAGGTGAGTTGTTCGTATTTGGGGACGCGGGTGAAGAGGAGACTGATTCAGTTGTAGATGGTGGGGATTTGGGGGGAGGTCGAGTGAGGGAGGAGGAAGATGAGGAGCAGAATGAAAGAGAAGAGGGAAAACGCACTCGTCGATGACCACCGGAACCCAATAACAATCCCGATAAAAGATAAACCCATACACTCCAACTTCTTCGTCACGCTAAATGTAAAACCCATTCGCCATCACGTCAGAACCGAATTCAACTCAAACTCACACCGCATCTCTCAAGCAAAGAGACAAAAGATACAAAAAGAAACTCACAGCAACACAAACATTCTCCACCAGCTCCGGCATGCAAGTCATAGCCGACAAGGCAGAAACGAAATAACAATCTTCCACCGCGCCCTGCACGATCTCCGCCGCACCTGGTCCTCCATGGCCAGAGAAGAAGGTGATAGGTTTGTCGAAGAGTTCAGTTACACGACGTGCGTCCGGGGGTATGAAGATGTTGGTTTCGGTCAGGTTATGGAGGCACCGGTTTTTGTCGTTTTCGATGTCGAATTCGAGGTCCCTGGCAGGTTGGAAGAAGGATATGTAAGTCAGTACTTGTGAGTGAGAAGTGACGTGCATATGTACTACTCGTAGGTGGAGGAAAGGAGTCGATGTGTCGAGGGGGTTAGATTATGGATACAAGACTCACCTGAACTTCCGGTTCTGCCTTCGACATTGCGCGCTAATACGGTGCACCATCCTCTTACACTCCTCCGCTGCCTTCTTCCTCCCATCCACAATCGAAGCTCCCACCTGCTGCTGTGCATAGTACACCGCACTCGTCCGATTCCTTTCTGAACTTGAACCACTAGGGCCGCTCCCAGTCGGATTTCCATTCCCCATCCCAGTGGCATTCCCATTCATAGTGGCATTGGGACTCGAACCTCCGCCGCCGACATGCAACGTACTCCCAGATGAATTGGGGTGGAGGAATCGAGCGTGGGGTGGTGGTGCTGGTGGTAGGAAGGAAGGATTCATTTCGTACTGGGTGAATCTGGAATCCATGCGAAGGACGGATTTAGGGTTCCCAGTGTGTCTCCCGCTCTGTCAGAAGAACTTCTTTCTCTTTATATATATGGTGAACTCCAGAAATAGGACGGAAGTCTAAGTTTGATTTTCATGAGCTTATAAGACATCGATGCCTGGTGAATATGGCTCTTGACGTACCTGTACCCGGCGAAGGAGACCGTGGCAAGCAGCCTCTCAGGGACTTGGACGAGTCCGCTGTGTGACTCTGGTTTCCCAGTGACACCGGCGGCTTATTAGATACAAGCCACTTATCTAACTTCCAACGGTGGGTCTGACGATGCGGTGGGTGACTCGGTCAACTCGGTCACGTTCCACCTCCTTCCTTCAAGTGACTATTGCCGTCTCTGTTGTTTTCCCGAATTGTTGTACTTAGATGTTGAATGTCGTTTTCTCGAGTTGTTGTTATGTATGGCGTATGTCGTTTTCCGGAGTTGTAACAGATGTCGTCAAGTATCCGCGGAGAACAAATGTGAGGGATGGGCGTCGTACGTTGTCAAGAAGGATCCTATTCGAGCGAAAGAAGTCGTCCGGGAGTAAAAGAGGGTGGCGTACGAAAGAACAGGAGAAAACGAGGTGATGGCGAGAAAAGGCTGTGTAGAAGGTACCGTGTAGAAGGTGTAGAAGGTGAAGAAGGTGTAGCGGGGAAACAGGGTGTAGCAGGGAAAACAAGGTGTAGCGGGGAAAAGACAAAAGCTGTAGAGCAATGACATGCGTTATCGAAAACACAACGTGTTTCAATTGTCAGATTTCAAAAGCAGCGAATTCTCTTCGGTGCGTGAATGATACCGCCGGAGGGGTCCGCTCGTTATGGGCATTCAAGCCTCAAGAAGTTGAACCATAGGCGCCCAAAAGACGATCCAGCTGGGAATCTAGTGATGGAACTTGACTGTTATCACCAACTTGAGTCAACGTGGCAAGGCAAGGTGAGTATGTGAGTATGTGAATCTACCTTGATTCCGACACCGGTTTGTGATTCGAAAAGAGCAGAGAAGGTGATCATGATCCAGAAGAAGAAGGGGCGATTCGAATTTCGGGAAGATGAATGTCATTGGTTAAAGGTTCGTCTTTGTCGGAGGTGTCACGGTGGTTTACTGTATAGTTTATAGCGCTCTGGAACCGCCAAGATTGAGGCCTGAGGGTGGCCACATTCACCTCGCTGTGTTCAAGTTGGGTTGTGGATACCTAGTCCCGTGAGCCAGAGATACCCACTCTGCGGTAGGTAACAAACATAACCTGTGGCTTCTGCAGATTCGAGGTGGAGTTTCAAAGTTTTCGGGTACCGAGTCGGAGGAGGAGAAGCGGTTTCGTACAAAAAGAGGGGAGGAAATTCGAGGGGAGGGCCCCCCAGAAAGAATTTAGGAACAACAGATGATGGGTGGGTGGTGGTTTCGGGGTTGACTCGGAAAGTGTTTGGCGCCCACGTAGTCACGAGGTCCGGCTGGCCTAGCTCTCGTCAGCATCGGAGCAGTGATCTGCGGTGTCAATGTACACAAATATTGCAGAGACATACTTAGCGATGGTGATTTTTGCAGCGCTCTGGGACCGCTACGCCCTGTCAGAAATAGCCTTGTCTGTGTGTGCTGCTTCGTGTCGTATAGGAGTTGGAGACTGGAGTCGGCCTATGGAGGAGGCGGAGAGGCGTTGCGTAAGAAGAGAGAAGGGCGGGGAAGAGGCTGGAAGAGAATAACGACTTTGCAAAGAACGACGACGCGACGGTCGTCGAGCCCGAAGCGTGCGGAAGGGTTACATCTCCCAGCACGTGATCGTGACGAGCTCATTTAATTAAAGTCGCGGGTTTTTCTGTCGTGTGGGTGGGTCTGGCAGTGGAAGTCGTTATACGAGTCGAAGACTTAGGCTCGACGCGAAGGTGAGCCCAGTTTGAATCTAGCAAGAGACAGTGCGGAATGCAGGCTATGTTTCAGTACGGATGGGCGTTCCTTGTGTGCGACTAACTACCTACATACGAGGACTGAACATCGAAGACCAGGCTAATTCACAACGTTTCGTAGTCAACCCAAGGCTAAATGGCGCTGTTAAGTATGTACGTTTGCACAGTAAAGTGTGTTTAAATGGGTTTGAAAGAGAGCCCCCGAGAACGGGGTTGGATGGTGAGGAACTCGAGCGCCTATGCGGTGTTCTCGGTCCCGTTGTGACTATACATACTCATGGAAAGCAAGGGTCTTTAAGTAATCTCCGAGATCCCTCGCTGTTGTTACTAGGACCATTACAGTAAGCTCAAAATCCAGTCCACGATGTTCAATCCATTCGCGATACAAAGTTCATGTCCCCAACAAACGCTCTAAAGGCGCCAAAACGCCGCGTGGGGTCACTACAAACCCCAACCAATAGAATCCAGAATATTTGAAGGGGCCAAGCGTCGGACTCGAGCGCGACATGCACATACAAAGTTCCCCCGCCACAAGGGCCTCAGACCTCGGGGTCGATCCCGACGTGCCGACTAAATTCAGGTATGAGCGAAAAGTCTGATGCGAGAGTAACAAATTGTGACCCGTCCAAATCGCAGACCAATTCTTTGGAGCTGATTGGTGTGTGTGTGACATGTGTGGTGCGGTGACCTCGGAGGGTGGCGGTGGTGGAGGAGGAGGAGGCGACGGGGAGCAAAAAGGCAGCAGAGAGAAAGGACCATTCATCGGAAAAACCATTTTGCAGGTGCGTTCATGAGTTGTAACAAGCAGTACCCCAAAGAAATGGTTGTGTGCAATTTAAAGATGTGCATGATAAAAAAAGAGAGAAGAGTGGGAGAAGAAGGAATGGATTGTTTGTCATTGTTGTTGTCGAAGGCGAAAGATTCACATGCTAATGGGACTGGTTGTAAAGCATGTGGTAATTGCACTCTGGCCAAAGGGTCCCAACCTTTCGCTTCACCTTACACTATACTTACTCTCTTTCTTTCTTCCCTTCGCGATGGTAAATCAAAAGTCCCCGTCGCTACACCTCGATGACCACGACGAGAGCGTAAGAATCGCTGTACGCGCCTTGGGCGACATGCGCAATCGCGCAGAAAGTAATGTCTCCTCTTTTTTGATATACCTATTTTCCAATAAATATCTGACAGCTGTTTAAATAGGCTCAAGACAGCCCCAATCTCTTGCGATACCTGCCTCGTCGTCTTCATCCTCCGCCGCTCCTTCAATAACGACAACGACAACGACAACGACAACGACAATATCCACGTCCCAATCAGATGCGCCCCAATCACCCGCATTCGTAACAAGAATGTCTAGTCTTCCACTCGTCGGTTCTGCGCTGAGGGTATACGAGCATGGCAAAGCCTCTTCTCGAGTCGTCAAGGTCTGTCGCCAACCAGCAGTGCCCATGGCCATCCCCCATCTCTGACATGTGATTTCGTGCAGTACGGCGCAGAAATGGTCGAGTCCAGCGTCAAAACACTTTCCAGACCAGTCATCGACCGCCTCCCAGTAAATGTTAACCAACTCGACGAATTTGCGTGCAGGCAATTGGACAGAGTGCGTGTTTCTTCAAATCGTATCTTTTGGCCTTACCTGTACATCTGCTTCCGTGCAATGATCGACGCTGGGTTTACTCAACGCCGACGATGCCATACGATGTCATTTGCCTCATCAGAGTGGATAACGGTTAACTCTAATCGTATCCACCTTACCTTGATCTACCGAGAGCCATCATCAGTTTCCTGACTGACTTGTGTTTTATTTTAGCTCGATCGCTACCGGAGACCCTCGAATGGGGACACATCCACTGTCTCACCACACGCACTCGAAAGGGAAAGGGGCAGATCGAAATCACGCGCGGCGCTCAATGGTTCAGCGGTGGACGATAGCCCGTCTATGGAGCGGAGGTCGCCTTCGCAGAGCACACATTCCTCCGTCCCGGAATCATCGAATTCATCAGTCGGTGTGCGGTTGAGGAAGGGGTGGAAGGAGGGAGGAGAACGTGGTGTACCGAGTTGGCTGGAAGGTGTGTTGCCCGTTACCCACCCCCAGATACCAGACTCACTCATTTTTTTTCTTTCTTCGAGCAGCGACCAACTCGTACGCAAATCGTCCGGCGGACTCTGAGCGATCCGCCACACCGACGCAGAACGGAAATGATGCCTCGTCGTCCAATCACGACGCAGGTATTTCCGACTCTAATGACCAGCAAGTCGCACAGAGAAGTCGGTGGCAGGCCGTCCTGCTCGAAGCTGGCGGTCTCAGTGCAGCTCTCAGCGAAGATAGCATGCGTCGATTGAAGTACTGTTTGCAATGGCTACAGGTGAGTAATAGCCCTAAATCTTTCTCTCTCCATTTGGTCGGCATAACTAACCATCGGACATAGTACGCAACAGCACATATCGACGCCCAAATCCTCATCCTCCGCGAGTTCACCGCAAGTTTGCAGACCTACCCCCCAGACGCTCCTCCCCACGCCAGACGACCGAACCCAATCTCCGAAGAGCACATGCGGAAGCTGGCAGAAGTTCGGAAGGACGTGGTGCAGACTGTTCGGCAGGTGGTGGATGTGGTGAGCAAGTACGCGGGGGGTGCGCTGCCCGAGCCTGCGCGTTCGACCGTGCGCGGGTTTATACTTAAGCTGCCGCAGCGGTGGGCGAGTAAGGCGGGTGTTCCGACGAGTGGGAATGCGATTAACCCGCTTGGTGGGGCTGGCGGTGCTGGAGAGAGGGGGGAGAGGGAGAGGGAGACTGTTGCGGCTGCTGCGGGTGCTGGAGCGGGTGGTGCGACGAGGAGGAGGAGGGCGGCGAATAGGGAGCGCGGGGCTGGTGCGGAGAATGGGGAGCGGGAGCTTGGTGTCAAGTCTGCGCAGTCGTCGAGGGCGCCGTCGCCTTCGTCTCCCCGGGTGCCGAGGGCTACTATCAACACCTCTATTGCGCAACTGCAGCAGGAGGGTGGTAATTCGTCATCAGCGGCGGGAGGAGCACCCAATGGGGCTGGAGGAGCGCAAGTCTCGCATGGTGCTGCTATGGTGGCTGCGCAGCGTATTCTTAGTCTTGCGACTGAGAGTTTGGATATGATGCGTGGTGTGACGGGTGTTGTGAAGGATAGTTTGGATCGGGCCGAGTCGTACGTGTCCTTTACTTATCTCTTCCATGCACATACTGATACACTCGTTTTTTCCAGATGGGTATCCCGCCTCCGCTCGGTTGGGATCCAGCGTACCGGCCAACCCAACGACGACGGCTCCGTTGAAGGCCCCTCAGAAACAACACTATCAGAAGCAGATTTCGAAGCTATACTCAACAACCCTGATCATCCTTTGCGACGTGGTGGTAGTGGCGGTGGGGGTCACCACCGACGCACCAGTTCGTCCATGTCTGATATGACGCCGATGTCCCCGTTCTTCTCTGGAGCGTCGACGGCGACGTGGGGGTCGAGTATTCCTTCGACGCCTGGTGGGCCTTATGGTGGTACTGGTAGTGGTGGAGGTGGGGATGGCGCGTTTGGAGCTGGAGGTGTAGGAGGCCATGTGATACTACCGCCTATTGGGCAGATGACGTTGGATTCGAGGTGTAATACACCGAAGAGTGTTGTTGGGGAGTTGCCTGAGGAGGAGGATGGGGATCGTCGGTTTGGTCGAAGTGATGAAGATGAAGATGGGATGAGGATTTCGAAAGATGATGAGGAGGAGGATGGAGGATTTGGTGTGAGACGGGGTGTGTTGTTTGGGAAGGAGAGTGAGATGAGGACTACGGCTGTTGGTGGTGGGGGTGGGGGTGGGGAGGTTAAGGTGGTTGGTGTTGATGATCGGAGGGGTGTGGGTGTTGATGAGGAGGGCCAGAGGATGGATGTTGATGTATAAGACGTGCGTGGATCGATGGACAGCTGAACTTTTTGCTCATTCTGTCTTTTGGATCTGCGTTTCGTTTTGTTTTTCTTTTCTGCTGTTGCTCGATACCCCCCACTTCCCACTTCCCTGCTGCTGCTTTCGTTGGTGCTTTGTTGTTGCTGTTGTTGCTGTTTATCGGTCTCGTTGGTGCGCGGTTGTTCTCTTTCAAGTGGTTTTCTTCATCTTCATCATTGAAGCCGTGGTCACATACATGTACATCATCCATGGCTTCCCTTCCTTCCTCTTTCCGTTATGCAAAAACTTCTCGATGGACGTTCTGTGTTCTGTTCTGTTCTCCCGTTGATCATGTTATCTTTATCCGTACATATACATACATACCTCGGTCGTTCATTGTCTCATTCATTCACTCGTTCCGGATTCTTTTTCTTCTGTTTTTCTTTTCTTGTTCTACCAGCTTGAAGGCGGTTGGTTTTCGTTTTCCTTGGTTGGGTTTTTCCATGCACATTCATTCAGATTCAAGGACATTCACTTGATGTCAGCATCGTCTTCTGTCATTCTTTCATCTCTCTCATAAGAGTCTTTCTTTTTTAACCCCATATCTCTCACAACTTTCTTTCTCCCCAATTCCATATCTCTCACAACGACAACGAGTCTTTCTTTTTCAACCCCATAACCTCCTGCAAATCTTTCTTTTCAACACCATATCCCCCTGCAAATCTTTCTTTCCAACCCCATATCCCCCCTGCACCAACAAATATCGTACATACCCCCAGGTTGTATTGCTCTTCTCTTTTTTTTTGTTTTTTACCCTCCAACTCTCGATATATATCATTATCGATAAACGTTATCGTAGTGTACAATATTTATATATTTCTTTTTGGAATTCCAGTTTGAGATGTGAGGGTGAGTCAAGCGTCTAGCGGAAGAGAGGGAAGGGTGCACAGAAGAGAAAGAGAACGACGAGGAAAGAGAGATCAGAAAACGGCCCCTATCTCAGCACAGCCACATCAACGTTTTTCGCAACAGCCGAAATCCCAATTCTTTCTTGATCTTGAACCTCGAAAAACGACGATATGGCGACCCTCCTCCCCCCACCCAAACGCAGAAAAGTGTATCATGGCGTCCCAGAGCCAGAACCCGAACCACCCAAACCATCGCCGAATGTGGTGGTACAGTTTGTGTCTGATGAAGATGGGAGTTCGTTGGCGCCTGTTGTGAACCTTCCTGCTAATTTGTCGAGGGAGAATTTGGAGGCGTTGTTGAACAAGTTGGTTGTCAAGGTTGGCTAGTTCTACTTTTTTCTCTTTTCCTTTTCCTTCAACGATACTGATGGATAAACCAACCACCTACTAGGAAGGCGAAGACGATCCCGTACCCTATTCTTTCCATATCAACCTACCCGAGAAAAAGTCTAGCGAAGACGATAAGGCGACGCCGAGTAATGCGCCGACGAGGATTGTACTTTCGAAATCTATCGAGGCGGATGTGTTGGACCACCCCTCGGGCGAGTTCACGCCTGAGGATGTGATCGTTGTGCGGTGTGCGCCGCAGAGTGTGTTTAGGGTCCGTCCTGCGACGCGGTGTTCGTCTACTCTTTCTGGTGCGTTCTTTCCTTCCTTGAGAGGAAGGGGTTTATTCTGATCTACTGTCTCTCAACCCCTTGCGTGTAATCTTTTTACGGCGCGTTGTGACAGGCCACAAAAACCCCATCCTCTGTGCCTCCTTCTCGCCTACGGGCAACCTCCTCGCGACTGGTTCAGGGGACACCAACGTGCGGCTGTGGGACCTCAACACCGAGCTCCCCTCGCACGTCCTCGCGGGGCACCGCGGGTGGGTTCTCTGCGTCGAGTGGGAGGCGATGGAGCGCAAGTTGGCGAGTGGCGGGCATGATGGGCAGGTCAGGCTTTGGGATCCGAAGACGGGGAAACCGATTGGGGATGCGCTCAAGGGACATACGAAGTGGATTATGAGTCTTGCTTGGGAGCCTATTCATATGTGCGTTTTTTCTCCTTCCTCCCCTCCTCAGGAACAAGATTCACGAGGATAACCATGTGATATAATAGAAACCCCACCTCCCCGCGCCTCGCCTCCTCCTCCAAAGACTGCACCGTCCGCGTCTGGAACACCTCCACCCGCCAACTCGAGTACACCATCGGCGGGCACACCGCCACCGTCAACATCGTCAAATGGGGCGGGTCCGGCGGGCCCAAAGGTGTCCTATACACCGCCTCCAGCGACCGCACCGTACGAATCTGGGATGCAGACCAAGGCCGGCCTCTACACACCCTCAAAGAGCACGCGCATTGGGTTACGACTCTAACGTTGAACACCGATTTCGTGCTTAGGACGGGCCCGTTTGATCATACGGGCAGACGGCCGAGGGATGATGACGAGGCGAGGGAGATGGCCAAGAAGAGGTTTGATAACCTACTCAAGACGACGCCTGAGCTGTTGATCTCTGGGTCGGACGACCACACGCTCTTTCTGTGGTCTGTATTCCCGAGTGCCTCGCCGGCTGGTGCGACCCCGGGGCAGACGAGCGTGACGAAACCGCTGACGCGGCTCACGGGGCACCAGCGGCAGATCTCGCATGTGGTGTTCTCGCCGGATGGGAGGTGGGCGGCGTCGGGTGCTTGGGATAGTAGTGTGAGGATATGGGAGGGGCGGACGGGCAAGTTTGTGGCTACCCTTCGTGGGCATGTGGGTGCTGTGTATCGGTTGGCGTGGAGTGCGGATTCGAGGATGTTGATTAGTGCTAGTAAGGATAGTACGCTCAAGGTGCGTCTTCAGCCTTTTCTTTTTGTTGTTGGGATTTCGGGATTGACTGGGCTGGTTGGTGGAACTAGATCTGGGATCTCAAAACGTACAAAATCAAAAACGACCTGCCTGGTCATACAGACGAAGTCTACTGCGTCGACTTTGTTGCTGATAAAGTCGTCAGTGGAGGAAGGGATTGTACGGTTAAAATGTACGTTTTGCCTTCGTCGTTTGATTTTTTCCTGGTAACCTGGATCTGACTCGCTCTGAACTTTCTAGTTGGAAAAACTGAAAGGATATCGTCGAATGCGAATACGGTATACCCTGTCCGAGCCCCGCTCCTGGCAACCCAAACTACCGTTGTAAACTGGAGAGGGCGGCCTGCTACTATCGGTACACAAAATGTCCACTACGTTCTTTACACTCGACTATCTCATACAAGCGGAGGAGTCACCTATCCCTAATCAACAACAACAGCTCTGAGTGAACAGCCAAGATGTACAACGCCAAGATGGAGAGTAGACTTGAAAATGTGAGCATAGTCAAGACGTAAGAGTCTAGACGACGTTTAAACCAAATGTGGAGCATTCCGCGCGGGATGTCGTGGTAGAGCGCGCCAATCCCAGTCATGGAGTAGGACGACTATGAGACGATACGTACGTCTCCTTGCCATGTGCCAGAATTTGAGGAAGGGCAGGTGCGTACATGAAAGCCCATAGGAGACCCAGAACGAGGTTCCGCATCCTTACTTCAGAGTTGTCTCTGCAGCTGCAGATGGCCTTCGATATATATAGTCTGAAGGAGAGTTGGACGGAGGCAAGGCGTTGAGGAGTCGCCAAAGGTGTGAGTCTTATCCCTGATTCGTTCCGGGGAGGGGAGGTGGTGGGTAAGGTTGGCTGGCGATGGAGAGACAAGCTTAAGGTAGGAAGATGGGGGAATTAGGAGGCATGGAAAGGAAGCTTGAGATTAGGATGGTGGTTTGCCATAGTGGGTTCGGAGAGGGTGTTGGAGGATGGAGATTGGAGATGGAGGAGGTGTGAGAGTGGAGATGGATGTGGTCCTGATAACCTTAGATTGGACGTTTGTTGAGCAAAGATTAGAAGGTTAACGGAAGAATTGGAGAACGTATGCACGTGCTCTGAAACGATGCTCTCCCTGTCTCCGACTCCAGACTCGAGGTCGAGGTCCTCGATCGACGGCCCGCTTGCTCTTCGTACGCACAAACCGTTCCAACGACTAGAAAGATTGAGATTGAAAAAAAAGGCATAATAACAGGTTCCTCGTCGGGTGTTCATACGATGTTGTGAGTGGTGTAGATGTAGTTGGATTGAGGTATGGTAGTGCGGCGCTCCAGTGGAATGGGGAAAGGGCTTGATACGTAAGGACTTGCGCTTGAAGGAGGAAAGAGGGATGGGGCGTCATGTCGGCTTCGCAAACCATGCCCCCTGTCAGAAAGGAAGGTTGTAATGGTGGGTATTGTTAGAACTCTGTCCTAGGAATCCAAGAGGTTAGATCAACGGAGGTTACCAGTATAAGCCCCAGGGCAACCAGAGGTATGTTGGCTGAAGAGGGCTGAAAACGGTCGCTCTTGGAGGCACTGGCGCAGCCATGAGTCACTATCACTCGTACGAGCACAATAAGGCCAGACACCACGAGGCTTTGCGGGCGCTAAGGATATGACTGGCGATGACAGTATCCGACGGTTCGACTTCGAGGATAAAGAGCGACTTCAGAACGAGAATAGAACCCGGCGGGCCAAATTGTAGCCAAGCGTCGCGCTTGTACCGGCTCGGAATACGCCCATATAGCAACGTCGTTGGAAGTAAGTATTCCCGTTGCGCCTGGATGGAGGTATGTAATAATAAGTGTCTGGGTGGTTATAATAAGTGACCCTGCAGAAATAGAAGGCTGGGAGCACACCAAAAGCTAGCTTCCTCCGCCGACGTCTGGAACGCTTATTCCATCCGGAGTCTACCCGTTGTCTCAGGAGGGAGACTCCACCGGCAGGGCTGCGTTGGGTCCAAGCTCTTCTCGCTGTGTGAGGTCGATTTCAACGTTCTCTAGGTGTTGGGTCATCGTTAACTGCTCTATACAGAGACATCGTCGAGCAACATTTTCGATATGGCGACTGCAGCACGACAATCCAAAATCTACGCGTCCGTCGCGTCGAGGTTCAAGGTCAAGATGACATCCGAACGACACGGAAATGGCAGCGTGTGGCTATGAAGGGGTTAGTCAGCGATGACGAGGTGGTCGTCCCGCACCGTGGGTTGGCGATGACCAGAACTGGTAGGGCGACGACAAAGACGATGAGCAAGACCGTCCATATAAGAGCCATGGTGTCCCAGACCTTTTGTCATCCTCTCTGCACCTCCACTATAAAAGGCTGCCTATCCAAGTCGTTCTCTCCAACAAACAGCAACCCCATTCAAACTGCAGCGCCTTATCCAACTTCGACAACGCGCCCCTGAGCATCTACGACGAGCTCTACACACGAAATCGCAATCGCCTATTCGAAAAATGGCTTCTGCTTTTGAGATTATCACTCGAAGGAGCGAGGAACGCGGACATGCCGACCATGGCTGGCTCAAGACGTTCCATACCTTCTCGTTTGCCATGTGAGTTCGCCGTCTCGAGGCGATCATGCCAACTAACTGAACCCTTCTCCGCAGGTACTACGATCTATCACATCAGCAATACGGTCCTCTGCGCGTCATTAACGAAGATCGCGTCGCAGCGCATCGAGGATTCGGCATGCACTCCCACAGAGAGTTTGAGATCTTCTCCTATGTCGTCTCAGGTCAATTACAACAGTAAGCCCACACTCTTCATCTCCAGATTAACCGCAGTTGATTGATGCACCCGTTCGCTTCTACTTTTTTCATTACAGCAAAGACTCGATGGGCAACGTCGAAATCCTGAAACGCGGGGACATCCAAATGACCTCAGCAGGAACCGGAATCTCTCATTCGGAAGGCGCGTACGGAGGGGAACCCGTGCATTTCCTCCAGATATGGGCCCTGCCTTCCCAGTCGCGCCTCACACCAAAGTACTACACCCGGCACTTTTCCGATGAGGAGAAGAAGGACCAGTGGGCCAAGGTGGTTGCACCTGCGTGGTCCAAAGGTATCAAGACTTCAGAAAGAAACGGCGATGGACCGGCACCCGTGAACAGCGCTCTGACGCTCTACTCCTCCATCCTTGGCGAGGGCAAAGCTCTCGACAGACCACTGGAGGGCAAGAAAGGGTATATCCATGTCATTCAGAGGAGCGGGTATCGAGAAGGGCCGGCCTCGGGTGCGACTGTCCAGATCGACGATGGGCAGGGAGGGAAGGTGGACTTGAGGGAGGGTGACGGGGCGTACGTGAGGATCACCGCTCCCAACGCCGTGCTCAAGTTCCAAAACACGGGAGATCGACCCGCCGAAATCCTCGTCTTCGACCTCGAGTAACTGTAATCCATTCGAACTTCACTTCGCACCTCTTGTTTGTGTACACATTAGATACCAAGTAACTTATATTCTGATGCCTCTAATGAGAAAAAATCTTAGGATCTTCACTCCATTATCCATAATCCATTGGCTCGATTTCTCCAGGGGCCAACGTATCTGGGAACTAGAACCACGACGTCAGTCAAGACAAAAAAAAACACAAAGCAAGCCATTCGAAATCTCAAATCTCGGATGATGTGCAACCTTTTAGTTACAACATATGGCATACGAATAGGCCTTTGAGCGTGGTTCATTACTTACCTTCCTTCTCCCAAGCTCATCCCAATAGCCACCACCCACACACCCCGGTGCTTCGTCCCGAACGGCGAACTCGAGGTGGGAGGATTTTGAGTAATTAGACCTTCGAAATCTCCTATTGGGGTTGCGAGTGGGTTTTTTACATTTATTGAGAAGAACTCCGTGGGTGACGCGCTGAGGTCATAGATCTAGAGGCGAACAAGGCGTGGTATTCCTCCCTGGCTTGGCCGATGTATTGGCGGCAGGAACTTAGGTGGATGGATGGAAGGAAGAATTGCTGTGAGCTCTCCCAGCCACACCGAGTGTGGTGCCAGTGTGTGCGCCCCATAGTATACTATACATAGCATAATATCCCACTAAGGTAGTGCCATCCTGCAAGCACGGAATGACATCGTGAAGAAGCACAAGTTCCCCACTTACAGAGTCGACAGAACGACCAGAGTTGGAGCATCCGAATAGACTCGAAGCACTGTACTGAGCCATCCTCCTCGAGATGGAGACAGTACTTTCAACTTCTCAGATCCGTTACTCCAGGGAATTCCGAGATTTCCATTCCCTGAGCCCGCCTGAAGTTCTCCGAAGATGATGATGACGATGAGTACCATTGCACTGAGAATAATTCGCATGAAAAAAAAGCGGTGAAACTTCCTTCTCCTCTCGTCTACATAGTAATCTTTTTTCGCACAGCATCAAGAGTTCGAATTCGCACCGCGCTGCGAACCCTGCGCTACCCCTTCGGCCAACTTGTTACTCGTTGCCCCCAGCGCCGTAAGGTCCTTGGTGGTTTAACGTTTTATCACGCACACGCGTGTGCGTGTGTGCCCACCAAGACCCTCTTCGGAGAGACAAGCTTGAGGCTTGAGACAGGCCGTGACCATCGCCGTGATAACCATTGAGAGTAGTGGGAATTTGGGAATCTGGATGGGCTGGGGCTGGGTGGGGCTCGCGGACTGTTGTCCACCCGGGTGTATGTCCATACTGAGCAAAAACCGCCAGACTTTTGGCAAGGACCGCCGCAAGTTCCGAGTTTCATGAGAGCGCAACCAGCCAAAGGACAAAGGATGGGGAAGGAGGCTCCCATCCTTGATTTCTTGAGCAAGGAACTTGCCGGTCCTGCGCCCCGAATGTAAGTACGACCGCCCCCGCCGCACTGCCGGGGTGGGGGTTCACGCGGGTGTCGCCCAGGACGAAGAATTGTCCAAGCTTTTGGCAATGAATGCGAATACATGACGGGCGTTGGAGCCGGCTCCTAGTTCAGCCAGAGGGTCTCGAGTCCGATGACATGAGAAAAGGGACTCGGAATAGACTGAAGAAGGATCGGTGTGTGCTTCGATCGAGTGTGAATTGTACCATAGAAAGCAAAATGTGAGGTGCGTGCAGTGCGGTTGTAAGACCTTGAACTTGTCGTAAGGCCAGCAACTAAGGGTCGTCGGTGCCCCAGAAAAGAAGAGCGGAGAGCTTGTCAGTAAGTATGAGAGCGCGGCGTAGTCCCAGAGTCCTCAGATAGTTCGGCGATTGTATGGTGACGTTTCGATGCCAAACAGGGATAGGGTGAGGTGAATATACAGTGTACGAACGCTGAGAGAGCGGGGAAAGAAATGGAAGAACGTTTGTCGAAAAAGTCTAATAACGTTGCGCCCATACATGGTATTCAAGCTCTTGCGTTGCGACAGGACAGCCCCGTTGACTGAGTGGGAAATACGTGGCAGGTTGAACGAGTAGAGAGGGAGGGGTCACCAAGCGACCAAGAAGCGCAATCGATATCCCTGGCACATGCTGTCATATCATATCGCCCCAGTTAGAAACCGCTGCTTCACCCCAAACCTCTTTTTACCAGTCGTCGGATCGTTCTAGGTCGTGTTTCTGGCCTCCTCGGTTCTGAATAGGCGGGCTGTCGTCACCGTAGAGAATAGATGGATGATGGATCATCAGGGATTCGCTGCCATTGCCATGTCCTGGGAGAGAGCGCGAGGAGCCAACGTGTCTACGTGCCTCCGTCCCTACAGGTAACAAGGGGGTGTATGGAACAGCCAGCACCAGGTAGCAAGGACCCCATAAAAAGGAAATATACCATTAATGTCCATGAGTACCCTTCGCTGATAAGAGCATCACTCACCTCCTCAATGGGGCAGCTCGATCTTGAGTTTAGGCGTGAATTTGCCCACAGGCATATGATGCATTAGGTTGTGAAGCCGCAGGGCCATTCAATGGTGTGATTTAGGCGGTTGGGAGGGTAATGCAATCCAGCGCAGCCAGGAGACGGTGAATGTCCATATTGGACGAATGGACAAGAGATCTGGGATCCCCGAATCATTATTGCTTTTAGGCGCTGGGAGTGTACCCTAACAGACTGGGTTTGTGGACCTGCAGCGGAGGCATTAGTCAAAAGGATCCCATCAAACCCTCATCAGAATCCTGGATTCCTCATAATTAAGCCCTCTTGGCGCTTTGATAGACCTCAAACGAAATCCTGTCATACAGTCCGAGCTCCTTCAGGCCTCTAGCTCGCAGCGGCTATACAAACGTACCGGTGGACTCGCCATGGTTGTTATCAGACAGGTGAAAAAGCGTGAAAACCGTGGAATGTTTTGGCAGGATGCGACGACACCTACAGAGTTGGATACATTTTGGGTGAAAGTCGGGTTTGAGGCGTTGCAGTAGACAAGGGTGATTGACTGTTGACCTTCAAACGATAACCAGGACATCCTCTGTTCCTGAAGGAATGTTCGTAATTCTGGCCTGGAACTGGAATTTCCATCGGTGGGCGATGTCTGAGAAAGATTCCCATGTTCGTTGGTCAACGGATCAGTTAGGCTTGCCCGTGCCTGGGGCTCCTATTGCATCGAGGCACGGGAAGAAAGAGCTCGAACATACCCCCTACCCATGAAAGAAAGAGCAAAACCACTCGACCTCTCCAGCGCCCTCACTCACAGACTTCAAACAAACTTGCTCAGCTAGACCACACATAGAGCGAGACAACCTCAAATTGGCCGGAAACGTGATGGCCGATCTAAATCCCGTTGAAAATAAGTTGAACGGCACGATGACGGCATTGCTCCAGTTCCGTTGAACCCATTTTAGGTTCCCGTTCCGATTTTCAGGGCCTTGTGCTGCCTGTTTTGAAGGGTTGGTTCCTGACTCGACTGTTCACTCAGTCTCAGCTTTGTTTTCACCTTCCTTGTTCAAAGTCTTGCCTCGAAGTCAGGTCACAAGGTGTCGTTACAAGCCCTGCTTTGTATTTGACTTGCACCTTGTTCTTCCCATACCCCGCTCCCTCCCACACTCACGATGCAGAATCGGTCCCGACGAGTTAGGAGGATGCCTGATACGAGAAGTAAGCTAACGACGTACAGCCATGTTGCGTCGAGTTCTATCGCCTGAGTGATACAGATCAGGTATGCGACAAGTGCTTGATTTCACCAAAGCGCCTCATGTTCATCAAGCTTTCAAAAGGCATTGGCATTTTTGTGAATGGTGAAACAAAAAAAGACACATTTTGGGCGCCTACACACCTCCCCCATGAGGGCAAGTGTCGTGCGTAGTCGGAGGCGTAGGAGTCCCGTCAAGTGCCGCTCGTCACTATTCGGCACAGGTCGCCGGTTTGGGCGCTGCCGTTTTAAGACGTTATATGTCCATTTTAGGTTGGTTTTCTCCCAGTCCCTCGAAGTTACTCCCAGGTTCTGCTCACGGCTGATAAGGGCATAGTTATCTATCTCTTATGTGCCTTTCTTGATCTTGGAGGCTGACCGCCGTGACCGGTGGACACTCTCGTCCCCGCGAAGGTCGCACAACAACAGCAAGAGTCTAAAATTCAAGTGCCGGTTGCGGGAACTTGGAACCACGTAGGCCTGTGGTATTATTCTCGAAGCGACGCCAGGACTCTGGCCATGCCTAGAGGCTTTGCAGATTCGAACGCGGACGCATTGCTTTGACGGGATTGTCTGACAGTCGAACCTGCTGGAATTTGCGCTCGAGCAGGCTCGAACCTCGCCGCTGGGAGTGTGGCGCAAAGTTCTTGGCAACACGACATTGGCTACGTCGGTACCTCGCACTCGACTCGCGATCTTGTCCTCACCTGGTCCGCTGTCCAGCTCCACTTGTCGCCAGAGTATGCTAGGTATGAACGAGCTGCTCGTCGAGGCGATACTCATATAATCGAGCCTGATCGGACCACCTATTTATTTTCACGGGCGACTTTGCGGGATTAACTTGTGCTTTTGCTGGCGAAACGCTTCCTTACGATAGCAGTTATACGCTGCGGTAGTCTCGATGGAAAATCCTTATCGGAATCTTAGGACGCTCGAAACCCGCAAAGGTTCCCGTCTGCCACGATCTACTCGCATGCCACTGTTGCCGGAGAAGATGGTAAACCTTCTCATATCGGATTCTAAGTGGGACTCACGCCAGCCTACAAATGTGAGTGAGGATCATCGAAGCTTCTTTACTGAGCACCAGCGTTCCATAGCACATTCTAACCCATACTCTCCGGCTGCTGCCCGAAGCTAATTTGCCTAAATCGATGAGAAACCGGCAACGAGGCACCTGCAATCACCTTCTTCGCTCTTGCCTCGCGCGTACACGACTCGATCGACTCTCCGCAACTTCTCCGAGACACAAGCACGTTCCCATCGATATCAATTCGAAGGTGTTTGACGCTGGAGTGTCTACCCCAGGTCTTGTATTGGTTTTGCTTTGTCAACGCGGAATCTCGTTTGGGCCTACTTGCCCATTTCCCTTGCGGGTTGTGACTGAAGTTCACAGGCAAGTCAGAGTCCAGACACTCTTAGACATGATTCCAAGCAGATGACTACTATGAGCTTAGGCCTTACGCGTCCGAGAGCGAAAAGATCAGTCATTGGGCTCGGTATGCTATGCGAAATCGGTCTGTGACCTTCAGAACTTCGATGTAAATTCTCCGAGTTCATATGTGGACCTCCATCCTGGGCACATGCTAGAATTGGAACGGCTAGAAGATCGTGCAGAAGGCGAGTGACCTGAATGAATCAAATATCACAGTATGCACGACTCACACGTTGACGTAGGTAAGCAGGTTTCGATCTATTGCCAGTGATACTTACTAGTAGAAGTGATGAATGGAATTATCTGTGTGAAACGGTGGGGCCCAGGATTTCTTCCACGAAGCACGAGAGGGCCACAGACGTCGAGGTGCGGTGATATGGCACGTTCTTTCTGAAAGATTAGGTCTACTTAGGGATATTTGAAAGCGCTTGCTTTCTCCGTGGATCGTGAGACCTCGAGAGGAAGATGTCCGGAGGTCTGTTCTACCGCGCTTTCGAGAAGAGGGCGCCCTTGTTGATTTGCGGCTTGGTAGTCGTCGATTCTCGACCGTCGGGGTAGAAATACGTCTTGCGTGACCTTAACGACGTCGACAACACGAACTAGAAGCGACTCGGAGAAATGGCGGGGGAATATCGCAGGGTCGCGAACCGGATTTTCCTTATCATTATTACAACATCAGGGCATCGCAATTACTTAAATAGTCGTTCGGGCTGCTATAATTATAACCGGTGCTCGGAGAGTATCGAAGGATGAGCGTGTAACCCGTGCAACGAACCTGGGCTTATACGCTTTCCCATGTCTAGTAGACCCTTCAGTTGGAACACTACTCTGTCATATTCCCAGGCCTTCAGCGGTATTGCGATTCGAGCGCTGGATATGTTGACAAATGATCATGCTATGAATACCCCATTTCACGCTAATCTAAGAGGTGGAGTCTCATGCAAACCCCCTATAGGAGGTTAGACGCCCGTCGAAAGTTATAATAGAGTGGGTTCATATTCGACGCTGTCCCCTCGTCATCGCCGGAGAAATGCTTTTGTGTCTGGCAGAAATTGGACTTCCGCCAGTTCCAAGGTTGTTGGGTAATAGGACTTGAAAAGATAAGAACGCACAATCTTAAGCGCCCACATTCTCTGGAGCCGGCCGGCCTGAGCCTTGCAGAAAGCGGCATCGAGCAAATACCCCAGAATCATGGTAGGATTCAGAGCCAAACCTTGTAACACTACTTTACTACTTACTATAGCCATGGCCGACAGGATTGTTCACCTTAGGAAGATTGTCTAGCAGATCCGTACTCGACGTGGGAGGGATATGTCGCCCCTCTGTTCCGATGTCATTCATACTCCTGTCTTCTGTAAAACTGTAAGCCAGCAGAAGAATAGCGGGGACGAACTTAGACTCTACTCCAAGCGTTCTCTTCGGAGCGTCATGTGCCTCTTTGGATGACATGTTGCTCCAATCTTCATCTTCAGTGGGAGCATGATGGAAGGAATTCTCTGAGTGGGCGGCAGCATAGCCCGTCGGCGGAACGAAGCCAGGATGTGATATGATTACGTTCAATATCTATAGTTATTTTAGAACTAAATTATAGTATCGTGGCTGCGCATACTAGCATCCTCATTTGAGGGTGCAGCGGTCCTCTTCATAGAAGGTACTGATGGGAGTATCTGGTGCAGATCCGAAATGATGGTGCAGACTACTAATTCAAGTTGGGCGAAATCAAGGGTCTACGAGAGTCGTGACTATCTGCAATAGGCTGTTTCCGATTCACAGGCGAGCGTTCTCTGTACTCCTGGATGATCGTGACGATAGATACTCCGTGGTCAAAGGCTGATAAGGGAAGCGCCGACCCTAGGCGCTCCCCACGGTCACCAATACCACCGCTCACCTTCAAGACCCCAATACCGTCGAGAAGTGTTCATGACCAGCTTCCGTTCAATCAATCGCTTAAGAATCCCACTTGATTCTGCACGAGATTTCGATTGGATCGGAGACAGCGACTCAACGTGACTTGCTTACTGTTTCGAGTTGAAGATACTTCTCAGGATCAAGGTCATGACTCGGACGGTCGTAATAATGAGACAGATAATAGTCCTTTCGATAGATTGTGGGTTGTTGGTACCTGTATTGCAGTGTCCCCAGCAATAACCATGATCAAACGAGTAGTATGGCTCATGTAGACCTGTGTCGACGCATCATGAAAATGTCAAGTTCCATACCTGGTGGGAGACCCAGGTCCGTCCGATATCTGGGTCTCCGAGCATATATGCCCCAGATATGCTCAACAGCTAGTAGTTCTGAATAACTATGGACCAGATTTTGTTATGTTTGCTGTCTGTGAGAATACATAGCTGCTGTAGGCTAGGTGTAGGCCAACTATGGGACAGACTTACTTTCCGGGATAGACGTGACCAAAACTGGCCCAGATATGGGCCAGATATCATGTCAGCATAGAGCTACAGGAGATTTGGGGCAGACCTGGTGCTCAAGAAATGACGCAAAAACTTGCGCTCAGAAGTATTTTCCTCTAAAAAAATAACGAGCAACAAGGCACCGGTGACCGGACAGAGCTCTAAATTGCTGCATGTTCGACGCAGACTCTGAACGTTCGAAGTCAGTCTGGACTTGGCCTTGGCATTTGATGGAACACGTGAGCGTGTCTCAAGACCAAACAACCGGCTACAATTAAGTCGCTCGCGCCTCCTCGGAGAGTCCTCGTCGTTTCTTCCCTTCCACCACCATCGTCGACTATCAGCTCTGTGCAGCGACCATTCTAGCAACCCGCCCTTACGGATTTCGTGTTTCGTGGCCCTCGAGTATGTTTTTGACATATAGCGTGCGGTCTGAGGACGGAATTCGGCGTCGCCAACGTCAGGGAGGTGCGGGGCGGGTGTGAGGGGCATTGACGCGAGAAATGGGAAAGGGCGAGCTACTCATAGACCTCTATCAGCGCGGATGTGAGTGTATGCGTCCTTTAGTCCTCACGGTGGCCACTGAAGACACACAGAACGTTCAGGAGCATCCGAATCACGACGGGCGGTCGGCGCTGGGGTGAACACGCAAGTGGATGCTAGGCGAGCTTGTGGATGGAGGTCACCACCGCTACCCATTCTTTTTGACAGAATCTGATGACGGTCGTGCGGATTGCCCATGCCCCTGCCAACACAGATCACGGTCGTCCACGAAGCCAGCCCCCTCGTTGGCCTTCCGCTCATTCGACGATTGGGCCCTTTTTGGCGACTCGTCCGTCGCGATAGTTTGGTGCGTGCTGGTGTTCACCTTTCTACTTTACCCCTCGACCATACAAGCTTGATTAAGCTTCGAATGTACAGTAGTCTGTAGACTACAGAATACATTATTCTCCACTACGCTTGCAATGATATGGCAGTCAAATGAAGGGGTAAGCTTGGGGTGACACACGACGTGGTATCTACCAGCTGCTCCCCAGATATGGCCCAGATATGGCCGTCTGCCAACTGTGGAAGGGAGATCCAGATTTGAAAGTACTTTCAAACCTGGATCTCCGTGCCACAACGGCCCGCTCCTCCCATATATGTATATCCCTGTATATCTGGGGCACTTCTACGTCGCTGGCACCATATCTGGGGCTCGACTTTTTCATGATGCGCCTGCCAACGATCTGCCACTTGATGCGATATCATCCAGGCCTTGCGTTCTAGGAGATCAACGAAAAGTGTGGACTGTCGATGGGGCAGATGAACAGTGAGCCACAGATTGAACACAAGGGTTCTGCCGTACTACGCCTCCAAGTTGGTGGTTGAGTCCCACCGGGCACAGGAGGCCGGATCCACCTTCATGTTATCAGTAAAACATGAGGCATCTCCAGCCTCGAGGCTTTCTCCGCTTGTGACCGTGATGGAAACTTATCATGCTATAGACCCTGAGGCTAATTCCTCCTTCCATGTACGAACAACCGAGCCTCAAGGCAAGGCAAAATCTTACGAAGGGAGGCAAGGAATTCACCGGACGAGCGCTTATTTCCAGGAATCCCGACAGGGGCGAGATTTCGTCAGGTTCCCATTGGTTGTGTTACTGTGATGCTGCACGTCACGGTCTTTCCGAGATAATTAGTGGGTTCACCATCGATCGATTTTAGCCTTGGGTGCCTTCATCGCGAGTATAGACGTTGATTATCATCGACATAATCTCTCTGAGGCTAACCGTTTCAACTGTATGAAGATAAATGAAGGCGTCGGAGGACGCAATCCCTCGCCTCCGAGACGAGAAAGATCACCTGCGTCTGCCTGGCCTGTCTGTCCATCTGTAAACTATCCTCAATTCGCTCTCTCGGTTCATGAGAGTACAGCTTCCTTTCCGGGAGACTCGGTATGTCACGTTTATGTGGCACTCACCAGTCCCTTCAAGTGTAAGCGAGAAACGTTACGGGTTCAAGTCCAAGAGCACAAGGAAGGGTTCTCACTCTTACGATGACTTGTATGTAACGACTCGATACACGCTTTGTAGGTGCATACGGTCTCTTGTTCTATCGAACTCGTGTATCTTTACCCTCATCAAACGGGATTCTCTTACTATATCACGATGAAAGAAGGATTCTATTGTTGTAAGCAAAGCAATTGGGGCATCAGTCCTGTCAATAAGGAAGAAAAAAAACTGATGATGTCTCCTATAGACACATCATGTCCAAGGGAGCCCCATAGCACGCTCCACGGGCGACAATCTTTCACACTCCCTGCCAGCCAACAACAATTCTGTCAATCAAAAATGAATAGCACCAAGCACGAGCGTCCTTACTCAACGGAACTCGATCCTTGCCTCATGCACACAGCCTAAACTACTTGCCGTACATCGTGCTGGAGGACCGCATTCACACGAACCTTCCCATGGGAAGAAGAACAGAGTGGAGGTGGAGGGCGAGACTTCCGACTTGTATGTACCCTGCATCTATGCTGTAACCTAGTCCAGTTCTGAACACGCCAGTGCGCTCAGGGAGTACATCCATGTTCGTTTACATAACTGACAGTGCGGTGCTTACCGGAGCCCTGCACGCTTTCCTTGATATCGATTATCATTCAGTTCGCTTCTGTGACGGGGAGTTGAAAGGCTTGGGAAGAGAGTTTCAGTCATGACACATTGAACTTGGCTTGGGCTTCGTTTAGTTGCCGTACGGCTTAGTCCTCGTTTTTCAAGGGTCCTTCGACACCTAACTTATCTATACGCATCGATAACAAGCCGGGAAGTGGGTACTTACTTGCCATCATCCAAGCTTACCAGCCAGCAAGATGCCGAAAACGAGACCAATGCAAGGCGTCGGAATCGGGGGTGCAGACGTTTTCAAGTTCCCAAACCTTGACAGAGCCGAGTTCGCGTTCTCAACGTCCCTCATGGTGCGCTTACCTGCCAGCTGGCTTCGCGAAACCAGGGATCGAAGCTGGCCGACACGGCGGTGGCAGAATCGTTCTCAGCGACTGCCAGAAATTTTGCGTGTATGTATCTCGGGCTGCTTCTGAATCCAATGTTGATGATCGTCCGAGGTGGACGAGCTGTCTCTGACATGGCGCTACTGTGGCTCTTCTATTCGGCCAAACCTCGAGTGAAATTTACTTGGAGGTGACACAACAAATCCTGATTCCTGTGCACAGAAGCTCGTTCTTGGGATTCTTGAACTCCTTCGGTTATCTTTTATTCCTCGTTGTCGACCTCGAGGCTGGTAGATCTTGCATAGTTCGTAATCGTCGTACACCAACGGGCCTCTGGAGCCGTAACAGAATGCTGTTTACTCACTTGGTCCTAGGATATGTTCTCTCGCCGTCGGAAACCGAGGTTCCGCTCTGGACAACACACCATCTAGGCCGTGGCCACACTCGAGAATCCATAGGGTAGTCATCTACGTGTGCAAGTAACACCCTTTCTTTCCCGTGGTTTCCAAGACCTTCCTCGAACTTCTTCTCCGGTCAAAGTCTCTATGTAATCGCAACTAGGAGTGAACCATGCATGCGAAGCACACAAGTGGGAACCGTACCCAGGCCTTCCAGCGCTAACACAAGGCATGGCGACAACTCGGGTAGAAAGGCGAGTCGGCGGTCTCCATCAAATATAGGCTAATGGACTTACCTATTGAGTTAGTTCCACGACTCTATGTCCGTTGAACTTCACACGGAGCGGAGGGCAACAAGCATTGTAAATTATTGTACTGAGAGCCTGAGAGGTTCGCACACGTACTGGACGCGGACAAGAGAACGAACTTCAGAAGCCCCTCGATTATTGAAGGTGACGTTACCCCCTCGTTCGAAACTTCGTTGTACCTGCGCCTCCTACGCGAATACCGTAGTAACACACGGATGAATGTTGGAAGCATGAAGATTTTTTTCTTCTTGTTATCTAGTTATATTACTTCTGTATAGAGACAAAGGTACGCTGTCAATGCGTTGGCAGCGCCCGAACGTCGCTGGGAACATTTGGCCTCGATTCTCGCTTTCAACAACACCCACAACGTGAACGTGCGTGATGCGCTTTTCAAGGAGAGAAATCTCGAAGTAGAAGGTTGTATGTATGTACTTTCAGTCTTCGGCACCCCCAGGTTGGAGAACAAGCCCTTCACGGATCCAGTCTCTCCGCCCCCACCCCACTGTAAATCACAGCTAAAATAGAATAAAGAATGGAATAGACATTTTCAGAGCAGGAACTCTCCCACAGTGTCGCACCTGCTTCCCATAACCCGCACCACCCAATTCAAGAAACGCACTAAGATTTGATAAATATAGATCAAATCACCAGTCTTAAGCGAGAAAGCTTGTTAGAAAGAGCGAGGGAGCGAGATCCGCATTTTGAGGCTCTCAAGTTGGGATCTGACGGGCTGATGGAGGCACGGAGCCGCCCAAGAAAGCATCAAGACTGTAGAGTGAATAAAAAAAAACGACGATTAGAGTGGTGAATGGGTGAGAAGAAACGATGTAATCGGAGAGGCGCTCGTTATGTTCGTACCTTCCAAGCCTAATAACTCGGTGACCACGATCTCGTCGGGGAGTCGAGTTCCCCGTTGGAAGTCGTCTGTCGTCCAAGAGCCATTTTGACTGCATTCTGAACTTGGGGAAGTAAGGAATGGAGTAAGTAAGTACACCCTACTAACCTTCTACTCTGACAGACGTCTTCTCATTCTCCGAAGTAGTTCAACTCACCCAAGGCGCTAAGGACAACCACAAGGAGGCGTGACGTCCCAACTTCAATTAATTCCCAGTGACCCTGTCCATCCGACGTAACCCAAACCCAAACCTATCCGTAAACATACCAAATTAAATGTGACGTCCCCGGTCCCACACACGCATTAAGTATGACACCCCCTCCAAGGAACCCCAACTGCACCCATGTCCATGCCCGAGTGAATATCTCGACTTTACATACCCAGATGCCCGCCAAACTCTCGAATCTGTCTGACCGACGCCCTTTCCCATGATGCGCCATAAACTCTGAATAGTTCCTGCCAGCTAAGCCGTTTGATTTTCTCTTTATGTACACTGGAGGAGACGGAGAGGGCTGGAGAGTTCGGAAGGTGGTCCGTTGTTTCCGTAAGCGCTGAGTTGCGTTGCGACGCGGCCGCGCGCTTTGCGGTGCGATGCACTTAGGAGCTTAGGCTGCCGGCGCCTGGAACTCTGTTGAATTTATCGTGATTTATGATTTTGAGGACCAGGAGGATGGTCGCATTCTGTACGTACCGTACGTACTACATCATCTTCTACTAGTGTACCTTGCTACCCATGGGTCGACCCGCCCGCACGTCCGTCGGGCGCCTCTAAATTTAATTACTGTAACCTGCCCTGATACATGTACACCACTCGACGACCTCGACAGCGGCCGGCGAAAAGCCACCCCACCTGGGCCTTGAGGCGTAAGTTCAAGCTGGTGCACATCTGACCTGGGAGTGAGGGCTCCGGTAATCAAGAGTTGTCTCAACTTGTTCTAGATGTATGTATGTATTGAATGGTAATGACAGCGTATGTGTATAGTTCTTTCAATTCCGCCAATACGAACTCCACCTATACATTCGGTCGTCGGGTTCAATCACCTTTCCTTTTTCTCTCTCCCCCTTTTTCCTTTCCAGAGTCAAAGATGGATCGAGTTCTATTGAAGACTGAATGAAAGTGTGGGGAAGTACTTAGGCATTCTTGTATGTATGGGTACGGGTGCGGTTCAGACTCCAGAGTCCATTGCGAGTATCATGTATTCCAACCTAAGTAGGGCTAGCCTGAGCACCCCATTTCTGTTGTGACTTCAATGAATGATGATAAGAGCCCGAGCTAGCTAGCACGGTACGGTATGTACCACGAAGACGTGTGACATGCAAAATAGGAGATACTTGCGATTCTAAATCCTAGTCCGAGTTCACTGTCAACCCTCCAACTGGCATTACGCACCTTCCCAAGCATTTGACTTCGACAAGAGACTACACTTGGACTCTCTTTGACTTCGGCGCCGACGTCAAATCGAAATCCCTCCTCGTCTCCGCTTGCGCTCGGCGGGTTCTCGTCAATCGTCACCTCGACCGTCGACGGACGTCCTTGAGTACGTTACATAACGTTAACTTTGGCGTAAGTAAGGAAGTAGACGAACACAAGCTTCGCTTGCCCGTGCCTTCGGCACGGGGGCGGTGGTTAGGGTCGGGCTTCGCCCTCCACTCACAGCAATTTGGGGGAAATAGATGCTGTGTACTCGCTGGCGCCCGCCTGCGGCGGGCTTTCGCTCGTACACGGGCCTTTCAGTAGCAGGCATATATTAAGACTATCTACTGGGTAACACAACAGAACAGTCCCCGAAATTGTTATTATGATTTTATGATTCAAAGAAATAAGAACAGTGGAAATACAGTCGTAAACGCAGCCGATAATGGTAACCCGTAGCTATGAATCAAAACAGCTTGGGCCCTGCGCTCACTGGCGCACGCCTGCGGCGTGCTCGCGCTTGCGCAAGTGTGATTTCTTTTTTTCGCCACAGCCAGAACTCGCTTTCAGATGGACCTGATCTTTTACAAAGCTGAGGAGCTGTGCTCGGGAATGAGTAGCACATTGCAGGTGCACTTCACTGCATCTTCCTTCACTAATAGCCAGAAAAACGACATCAGGGGAATTGCTCGCCCTGGATTCAGGATAGGGGTGGTATTGCCTGACAATTGGATGGAACTGACACACCCGTGGTTGGACGCGATAGCCAGCCAGGCTGAGCCTCCTTTTTATTTAAGTTAACCGACTCGTTAACTACAGTCGACCGAGAAATGTGACTCGCGATTTACTTCAGAGTGGACACTGCACTCCGACTTCCAGCGGAACCCGGGCCACAGGCTTTCGTCGAGAGTCTGCCATGTTAGACGGTCCTGGTATCCTCAGAATCCCCCGTGGTGCCTTTGGAAGCTCCTGTTTGCTTCGCCGTGTTAGGTTTTGGATACCTGTGAAGCTTTAGCTGCGCCGTGCGATAGGGGCCGCTTCCCAAATACGTACGCGCCTGGTGCTTGAGAGCAGGAGCCTTGCTTACCTAACGAACAGGCTGAAATTCCCACAATTTCCGATTCTTCGGACCTAGTTTGTTTTAATTATATAGATCGGCTATGTACGGTACTACCAAGGACGGAAATTAAATCAACGAAATAAATATACGCATGTACGTATGTAAAATTGACAGAGGGTGAGAGACAGCGAGGAGGCACTATGACACCCGTGCCGTCTCACCCGCCCTTAATCGCTCAGGTTGCCAGCGTTGGGCCCCGCGATTGACGTCGACACATACACTATGTAGCTATTCATTAAATAACTTGAGGGGCTTAGAGCCACCTGACGGCGGCTTGCGGCTTGGGAAGGTGGCGGAGGATAGATAGGAGTCTGAGAGCGTCTTGACGTTCGTGGAGATACGAATTATACTGCGCACACGCTGCCGCTCTACGATAGCACATACGTACTATACTAGGTCAAACTGTGACAGTATACCATCGCAAAAGAGTATTCTTGTAGCTAAGGGGCTTAGCGCCTACTGGGCAGATGGAAAGGGAACGAATTCCCGACACCGTCGAAAATAAAAAAATAAAAACCTGAATCCAACGAATCCAATCCAACAAAGTACTACTTATTATCTACTTGGTAGTAGTTACTCCTGAATCCAACCTAAGCACCATCAGCTTGCCGGTACTCACTGACTACACGTACGCTTCAAGGGCAACTGCGATCCTTCCCTTCCCTTCTCTGGATTCAAACTACCTTAATGCAATGAGTTGCTCCCCCGCCTTTCCAGCGACGCTTCGACCATTGCAAGCCCCAAATCCCGCAATCAAAACTAACTGGTCATTTAAATTCATGATCATTCATCGAAGAGTCGGAGCAAGGTAGGAAAGCAGCCTTGAATTAGGAAGGAAAGGCGCACTCAACCGTCGTACCGGGAAAGAACGCAATCGTATCTGGTAAAGAAGGCAACAAAGAAGGCACCCTCGATTCATATTCATCCAACGTTCCAACTTCCAATCACACTCAAATTCCAATTCCTTCTGATTCAGATAAATCACACAAAGTAGTTTCTCGAAAAAGCCAAGGATTGATTGATGAGTATTAGTTCTGATACGTTAGAGCGTACCACTACAGAGTTAGGTATCGTAGGGTAATACGAGGGAAATTATAAAGAGGTTGGCGGTAAAGTAAAATGCAAACTTCAAATTCGTACGTAGTACAATACTAGCATCACACGTCAAGTCGAGTCGAACGAGTCCAAGTCGAGGGAGGGAGGAGTAGGATCAGGAGTGGAAGTCGAAGGTGAAGAGACAACGACGACGATCGTGTGATATATGAAAAAAAAGTAATGAAGAATAAGCGATAATCGATATGCAACAGGACAGCGATTCGATGATGGAGATGAGAAGATGGTTAAAGCGAAAAGAAGTAGGTCGATAAAAGGGCAAGACCAGGCGGTCACAAGGGATATGTACAAGGAAAGTAATAGACAACCAACACGAGTTTTGATCAATCAAAATCGTAGTGGCAAAAGAATCCAAGAAGAGGTTCGATGGCGAAGGGAAGATAGAGAAAGAAGAGGATGAAGAGGGCAATGTGATATTGAGAAACGATGATGGATGGGTGTGTGTTAATGTACAATTGCAAGAAAAAATAATGCTTCGATGCTGGGTGCTGAGAGATGCTGCTGGTCGTCGAGGGGTCGTTTCAATGCTGAGAGAGAGAGAGATGCACGTGTTGCTGGGTGTCGATGCAAAGAGTTTGATGCTGATGAGAATAGACCAATGATCGTCATAGAGAAGGCGAGGGGTTGTGGAGTCGGTTTAAAAATAGGCAAGTCGGATGCCACTCCCGATGGATGGATTATCGATGCCCACTGGGGGATGGGAGACGATCCATGTGTTGGCGATGGAGACGATTACGATGGATGCTGATGCCGATACGATAACTTGTTGCTGTCAAGGTCGGACGTCGTCGAAGCGTGCTGCTGCTGTCGCTGTCGCTTGGGTAGGCGCGGAGTCGTAATTGAATTATACTTGTCACAGAATACTTTCTTCTTCCATCCCCCGTTCTTTCTCGCGCCAGGGGTGATGTGAGGTCAGGGCGTGCGAGCTTGGGGGGATGGGTGGCCAAGGCCGACGTTCCATAATATCCAGGGTTGCCGTCTAGGATGGAGAACAAGAACCAGATCGCGGTGATAGGATATGGGAATAAACAACTTGGATGCCTTCTTGTTGGGGTGGGGGGTGCGGCGGTAACCATCGGCAGAGCGTCGTCGTTTACTCAAACTCGTACTCCACGGCCGCTGAGCACGCCTCATTGTCAGCCTTTGCATCAAGCCCATGCTGTCGCAAACTTTGCTGGGTGTCAAAGAATGCGTCGCATGCCGGACAGGAGTGCATTCCGAGAGAAGTGACGCTCGTGCTCGTCCTGCTGTAGTTGCTGCTGTCGGACCGGGATCGTTTCGACGATTGCGAAATCTGAATAAAATAATAATAATTTAGGGAAACCGTCTATCAGCTGGTTCGAGAAGCTGCTACGCACACTATCCTCCTCATCTTGGTCCACTTCGAGTTTGCGCTTGAGCGAAGGAAGAGAAGTTTCTATAAACGGGCATCCATCTTAGCACGGGAGTCAATTGAGCGTAGAATGGAAACGTACCACTCAAGCTAGCGCCAATCTGGGCGTAAAAGTCCTCGCGCCATGCAAGGATGCGCTTCATGCGCAGAGAGTAGGTATCAGGCGACGCCACAGAGGATGATGGTCTCGAATCGTCGTCTGCCGCCATGTCGCAGTCTTCCGGTGGGAGGTCGGAGGAGCAGTACGAAGAGCAGTCCTCGTCGTCCTCGTCTTCATCGTCATCGTCATCCGAACATGCCGAAGAGGTGTATGCCGAGGATGACCAGTACGACTGCGACGACGAGGAGGCCATCGAGCTTGAGTAGGATGAGATCTTGCGTGGTGGTGGTGCGGGCTCCTCGGTGAGCTGGATTATCTGCAGGCTGTAGGGCTGCTGGACAAAGAGATGACCGGAAGAGTACTTGTCGTCGTTGGCGCCAGTGACGGGCGACATGGCGAGAGACGAGGAGACGTCGGTGAGTGAGATAGTGGCTGGGAACATGGAGGGACGGTGTTCAAAGTCGAGCATGTCGGTGATGTTGTTGGGGTGAATACGAGCAAAGGAAGAAAAAGATGGCAAGTGACATGGGTATTATATGGGTAAAAAGCCATACTAGTGGATAGCATCGCCGTTTCTCAAAGGGCCTGCGCTTGCACGAATTCCCATTGTGTAATGCAAGCGAAACAAGGAAGATCGATCCAGATTACGCCAGCTCCGATTATTTCGATCAAGATCCAATCGGCCAACCTGCCATTTTTCCCATCCCTCCCTCCCTAATTCGCTCAGCCGCTTAGCATGTGAATCAAGATCTCGGCCAGGATTCCATCTATGTCCTAATTGACGGATCCCACAAAACACAAAATCCCAGGATTTCGTCCCGTCCCTTGTGCCACACAGTCACCACAGGAGAACGAACACACAACATCTCAATTTTCTCTCAGGCAAATCAGGTTCAGGGCCACACCCATAATTGAATACAAACAACACATCCGTTATACACAAACTGCTGTACAACAAAGCACGACGACGAAACTACAACAAGAGCTTTCAGAACGTATCAAGCCAAGTAACAACCCAGATTCCCTGCACAGACATCTCCGACTACATCGAGAGTCGCACACCTGTCCGTCAAGTGTGCAAGCACAGAAGGCCTGGATGCTCCGGCTACACACACGCCCCTTAGCCCCTTCTCATGCGGGAAAAACGCAAGAACATGGGCCCAGAGGGGCGCCGTGTAAAAACACTCTTCCTCCAACACCCAAAAAATCACGGTCGCATAGGGGCCAGCCAAGCTTCAGCCGCCTCAAATTGGTCAATCAACTCGCGGAGCACAGCTCCCTCAGAGTGCAGTTGACGCATCGCCGTAAGCGCCTAAAAATAAACCATCCCCTTAGCATCTACCGCCCAAGAATCACGGGAAAAAATCGAGTGAAAAACGCACCACATCCCAGAACCTAAAGCCTCGTTCAACCTCCAGCTTGGGGTTCTTGACACCGGGGAAAGTGTCTTCGCAGATCTCCAAAGCAAGCTGCTTGGCCTCCTTCACACCCTCGGCATTCGGATCCCTCACGCGAGTCCGGTTATTGATATGGGTGAGAGCGTCGAGATACACCTTGGCCAATACGCCAAACCCGGTGTTGACTTCCGTCTGGAAGGGCAAGGAGAGCGTGATATCCAACAGATCGTCCCTCGCCCGTCGAGCATCGTTCCGAAGCAACATATTCAACGAAGTCACTTCCAGAAGCGTACGTAGCGCCCGTGTGAGCGATCGCACAAACGAATTGAAGACAAGCAGCTCCCGCGACAAGGGCGCCGACCAGGCTTGGGCCTACGAAAAACGGTTTCATCAAAATTGGGGCGGTCACGATGAGAAAAAAACTTGTGGTTTCACGCACCTTGAAGCTCAAAGGAACTATGCTCAGCACCCGCATCACGAGCAACATGGACGCCTTCTCGTCCTCTAATCCGCCATAATGAAAAACAGGCACCAGGGATGATCAGAAAGGGCGGTTTGATGCGATGACGAAACAGAACTGACCGACGCCAAAGCTGGGCCCTCCGCTGAAGGCTCGGCCCGACCACAAGTGCCCGTGCATCACACCCGCTCGAACGAGCTCCAAAAAGAGGTAGAGAGGATCTTGGAACTTGTCGTTAACACGCGCCTGCTTGATCGCGGTGTACATCGCACGTGCCAACGCGGAATGCGTATGTGTGTTGAGCAAGAACCTGATAGATCGTTAGAACACATTATCCAAGTTCAACAAAAGACACCCACCCTCTCAGTTCCAAGAATCGCCAGATGACATTGGCCACCACTTCATCCTTCTTCTCGAGTGGCGCAGAGTTCGGGTTCTTGACCTTCGTGCGTGCCGCCAATCGATCCGTAGCAGTCGCTCCCAAGCACAGCGCAAAATCAATAGTCGAAGACTGGAGTATAAAAGCGCAATGTCCGTTAGTATATCCATTCTCAGCAACATCGGCCCACACACGACACGCCGACAGGCAGATGACTACTCACGTTCTGCCTCCTAAGCTCTTCTTCAATGATGGGATAAGGGACGTTCCAGCCACCCACGCGCTCAACCAACTGCGTGGTCTGCGCCGAGTTGTGGGCGATAAATTTAGACCCTCCCCCGTGCGCGCTGGGCTGATCAAACCAGAAGAGGCCTTGCACCTTCCGATTGGCCCAGAACGACTGCGAGACGCCACTAACGAGGGCCAGCGCAGTCGCCCGCGGACCGGTCTGGCCGTCCGTAATCACCTCCTTGACGAAGCGCTTATATTCAGTGGTTTCGCCGTTATCGAGAGGGGGGTTTTCCACGATTTGTCCGCTGGTGAGCCAGATGAGAACTTGGGGTCCCAAAAGTCCGCGGGAAAGGTAGAAGAAGACTTCGTCAGGTAGACGATGGGTGAAGATTTCGTGGAGGTCGGAGGGAATGTCCGCTGCGGTGGGATGGTGGTGATGGCCAGGATGCCCATGGCCTGCTGGAGAAGGGATGGCGAGAGGAAGCGGCATAACTGTACCCTCGGAGGAAAGGATCAACGAGAACTTGATCATGGAGCGTGTACGCGCAAAGTGATCCAGGTACTGGATCGACTTGACCGCGGGATGTTCGGCGAAAGCTGATACAGCGGCGTGGCCCGTTTTGTAGTATTTGACCATGTCCACAGTGGCCTTGAGAGCTTGTTCGTGGATGGTGGGAGGGAATGGGGGCGAGTGGTCGAAGCCGACGAGAATACAGATGTCCAAGAATTGATCTTCGCTGACCGCGAGTTCTTGAAGAATGTTGCGCTTCGAAACGTATTGGAACGTCGGGTTCGCCGAGGTAAGATCGATGTGTGTGATCACTTTGTCGACCCCGGGATACAGCAGCGTATCCGTCGGCCCGTAGATAGCATGGATATACGACTTGTTATGACGTTGCAGGTAGATTAGCTATCCGCGAAATCAGTATCTTATCCTTGTGAATTGAGCGCTATACGAAAAACTCACCTGGGCCCAAGCGAGATAAGGCGCAATAATGAATTCGACATTTCTATGTCTGAAAATCCGCAGAATCATCCTCCAAAGGTCCCACTGGGCGAAACAACTCCGTCCTTCGAACAGCTTGGTGGCCTGGTCTTCTTGGCCCGATTCATACTTTGCCCACGCGTCGCGCCGATCTCTGCATGCCTCTGCAGACTCGAGATGTGGGTTGGGCTTCCATCGCTTGTTGGGAGGGAGACCGGGGAAGACGAAAACGGGTTTTATGTTGAGTCGTTCGAGGACACGTAGGTCGGCCTCGATACGGGATGAGAGCGCTAATGGGAGACCCCCTGTGGCTGCAAGCAACGGCTCGCGCGACGACGGCGAGTCGAGCAGGTGCTGGATGTAGTGTGAAGCATCGATGCCCAAACGCGAGTCTGACAATGCAGACAATGCCAGCGTTTGGACGTGCTTTTGCTGGGAGAGATGGTCTGCCAATTACATTTTTTGCGTCAGCTTTCGCGCTCGTCCGATGTCCTCATCGCACAGACTAGATTCCTGAGATACTTACTTTCCAAATGTTTGATAGGCATTTGGGAGCCAGTAAGCGGTGGACAGGGGTCGTGGACGTTGAGCAGACCGTTGACGACGTTGGCAACAGCGACAGAGCAAACAACCAGACTGTGGGATAGTTACGTAAGCTTGTCTTGGCACTCGAAAGCGCCCAAATGGACAGACGCGATTTCTCTCTCGACGCGCTTCATCAACAGCCTTTTTTCATGTGAGAAACACTTTCTGTGCATTTGCCAGGTTCAGACGTCGTGGGCTCGCCCGGCGCTGGAACCCAGCGGGAGCATGAGGAGGTGTGAGTGTTCCTCTGATAAATTCGTCCATTTCCATCAACCTGTTGACCTCTTCCAAAACAGCAGCACCGCCATGGGCGTCAACCCTGCGAGCATTCTGGTTCGTATATGGCATCTCAAACACAACGGTTCTAAGATTCCTCCGATCTTCTTATCCTCGAATGTTATGAGAAAACTGGCCTCGTGTTTGCATTCGGAAACCCTGGGATTTCTCTCTATTGGAGTCTAACGGGACATACGGCCAAGGCGAGATATGTCTATTCCAATTTCTCTCTCTGGGAAGTTCGTGTCTTTCGGATTAGGTTCTTCCGGATGACATGCAATGAGGCGCACCGTCTTACAAAGAAAACGTGCTGCTGCCACCCTTGCTTCCTTCCAAAGTCGTCTGAACAGGCCTAATCTACCCGAACTTGGGGGGCTTGCAAACACGAAGATGTGGAGAATGATTCTAACATGATGTCGTCACCCGCAAAGTAAGCACCGCTAGCCTCGTTCTTCCAGCCCTTTTTCCCCTGACGTGTGACCGCCCCCGTCATACAGCTCTTCGCAGCACCATCTAGACGAATTATCGTCGAAACTCTGGGGTATTTGTGTCGATATTCTCGGTCTCCCACCCGCAGAAGCTGGAGCGCATTGGATATTTCTATCAGGTGTAGCCAAGCGGCTCATCGATGGACGATTTCAGCGTGGTCACGGACCACCGGTGGCAACTTCTTTTTTGGCTCTTGGGAACTTCGCGCATTCATTCAACTCAACATGCACGCAGTTTTCGGTCCGGATCACTCGAACTGTATAACCCAGGCTCCGGTCTTTTCAGGCTTGACTGCATATGTATGTCGAAAGGAACGGCGCTGGAAACGGTTTCATTTGATCCTATTCGAGTCTCTGTGGGAGCGTCTTTCATCGGTTTTTGAAATTGCATTCAGGTAGAGTAAATCGCTTTACCTATCTGCGCATACCTGACAACGCTTACCTATCATCGTTGGATCAAAACCAGGGGGAGGGGTAAGTACATAGGGAATATCAGTCCGTGTGTACGACTCGTCCTGGTGAGTACCCTCGGCTCTTCGCGACTTTACCTTTCGAACTGCTGAAATTATCTTTATCCACCTATGTCACGAATCAGGTTCTCTCCACTAAGATCACTTCTATGAACCACGCACTCATTGCCACTGGGATCGCTTCTCAGAAGCTATATATGGCTCAGTCGCAGAGCATCCCCCACTTCTCGAGTAATCTAGCATCCCGACAAATAAGCGAGTGATGTTTTGGCGAGGTTATGGCTAGCGGTCGGGGCCAGGGCGTTTACCGCGACTTGGTAACGAGCAGCTTTATCGTCGCTATTTTTGTTGCCAACACTACATCTCCCTCTAGAACATTGATCCGAGGGGGAACGAGCCCGAAGCACAAGAGAACCTCAAGGTTTCGAAATCTCTCTGCTCGTTTTGATTTAGGTGTGTCTTCGGTGATATCACTCGTCCCCTTGTCCATTCCACAAGGGCGGCTGTGGACTTCGAAGCACTCTCAAGCTCTTGGGAACGTTCGCTGGGTTGGTCTTCTGTGTACTTGGGCATGGGGTATGCCCGAGGCGTTTCGCTGTCCTATTCCTGCGTCCATCTGTCTACACTGGCACTCTGGGAAACCTGTTATCTTCTCCCTCGTGGGTTTCACGAATCTCTCCCTCCTTGAAACCATATCGAGATACAGTTTGAAAACCAAAAATCTCGGTTACTCGTTCATTTACCGTCCCGCCATCTTTCGGTACTCCATTCGCCATCCATATGCTGCCCTTGAATCTCGGGACTGTCGAATCACATCTCCTCTTGACTGTTGCCGGTCTATTCACTAGTAGAAAGACGAAACAGCGATCTAACCAACACCAATACAACCATCGCCACTTATCGCGTCGGAAATGGCAACTCCCTTCACATGTTCGGTAATATCTTTAGAGCTCCTGCGACAATCTCTGAGATTTGATGTTCTTTTGATCAGGAGCATGAGGCTCGCTGCTCAATTTCTTGATCCACCAACCACGGCTTGTCCACGGTGGTCTCACATCTCCATGTCTTTTTTTCCTACGCTCTAATCTCCTACACTATACTACTCTGTTTGTTGCAACTCCACCGCCATCTCACCTCCATCTGGTTGTTGATGTGGGTCGACAGCTGGTGCTTGATTCGATCTACATGCGAGGTTGGCTACGAGCGCTGCGATTTCCATGGTGGCTGCTACTACGTCATGACCCATGAAACCCTTGTGCTCTCTCTCCTCTCTCTCTCTCTCGCTCTCTTTCGGTCGGAATAGAGCTTGTTTCAGACTTAATAAGGACTATCTGGGGTTCCCTTCTCGCCCTATATCGAGGCCGGCTTTACGAAATCCCCTTACGAGTCGGACTCGGTTGTGGACTTCTTCTTTGCCTATTACAATATGATTGTTGGGCAGTGGGAGATTCGACTACTCGACTCGTCGCGTTCTAAGGTTCAACCAATGTGCTTCTTCGCGACAGGTAAACAACAAAATCCCAGCGCTGTCAGTTAAGCTTTTTTACTTTTTTCATTCTTCCCAGCAGTGTCATTCTCACAGGGGTCCGGTAGAGGCGCAGAAATCGATGCTGCACTTGGATGGGCCTGGCAACACGCCGTCGAAATAAAGTTCGTTTGCGCAGCTCTCCCTCGCTGTCGGCAGCAGCAGCCTACTGGGACCCTATGCGGTTTGATGACGCTGCGCTGATAGTTATCTCGGTGGACAGGCTAGTGAGAACGAGCGGGACAACTTGTGGTGTTTGCTAAACTCCATAAGACGATCGTTTACTCACCGCATGTCGCGCTAGTCGCGGCGATGCTCAGCAGCTGTGGAGAAGAACGCGTTTGAGCTGCCGCTCGGGTTCAAAGGTAACGAGTCCCCAGGTAGATTGATATTCCGCTAGTATTCTGTCGAAGTAGTGTCACTGACAATGCCGGCTATCAGGGGTTGTATAGACCGGTGAACCTTGCTCGTGTTAACAGCAACCAGGGTAGTTGGACACGGTCACACTGGCAGTTATGGGGTTGCGAATATCCAGGTTCGTCGGACTCACTGTCAGGTATGTACTAGCAGCGCACTGAGGGTGACTGAATTCGCTTATCCTCCGATGAATTAGATACCCTATACGATTAATCCTTATAGACTGAAGCCGGGACTGCCTTGACATTATCACTTCACGTCGTAAGTCGCGTCCATAGAAATTGAATAATTGGTGCTTACACTCGTAGTGTGCTTCCCTCGGCCCATCCTCGTGACCCAGCGGATTCAAAAAGGTTGCGATGTCCTGGAATCCAAGGATTCCACCGCTGAACGTCAGGCAGCCATCTCAACACACCATAGATAGAAGATAAGTATCCACTTGTTCTGTCGACAAATGATACCGGCCTTGGGGTCCTGGGCAGGGGGGCAACCCGTCACACCGAACAAAATCTCCTTCCCCTGGCCTTCCTAATCTTAATCCTATCCATCCCCATGTCCCATCCCGAGATCAGCGCACCCACTTCCAACAAAAGCAGCTGTTTGTTTGCATGCTCCTTTCTCCTTTCTCTCGCAACCGACAGCCTGGTCAAATGCGGTGATACGTATCACATAAACAGGCTGTTGGTTGGACTGACGTATGATCTCTGGGATGTTGGCGAGTTTGGCATTATTCAGGTCATGCTGGGTATGGAGGGGAACGACAACGTGTGAGTGCGGGTTCGTCGTGGCCTCCTTTTATCGATCCTTGTGCCACTCGTCACTTGAAGTTACTCCAGCGAAGGTCGGGCGGCGCTGTCACAGGAATATGTACCAGAGAGCTGGCGGAAAGGGCGATAGCATGTTTTTCGGACCATGAGACTCAGTTATCGATGCGTGGGTTGCTCAATCACAATCTTGACTCGCGTTCCACCAGGGCAGGGGGGATATAGTGGGTGCGTGTTTCTTGGCTTCACAGTCTATCAGTAATAATGGGCAGCAGGGCCGTTCCTGAGCGGTTTTAGAGCTTGCGGTCACATGCGTCCCATGAGTGCTCGGGCAACAATGGGAATATGTAGGTGATATGGAGGTGAGCGGGTGCGCTTTGTACCCTTGCTGCGTGCCTGCGACTTGAAGGTGTGGGACTCGGCACCGATAGAAAGCGACGGCCACATCAGAGTTTGTCGTACCCCACGTTTTCCCATTGCTCTCATCGTCTCGGTCATTCAATTGAAATGAACTCTGATCCCTTCATCTCCAAGGTATCTCCATCGTTCAAGGCGCTCGTCTGCGGCCTACCGTCTCCGTTTGATCATATCTCAGCTCTTCAGCACCTCCTACTCAATCGGCTGGTTCTCACAGTACTGCGCCCAGTTCTCAATTCATCAGCGACGGCGCCATCTGGACGTGGGATGATATCTCATTAATGAGCAATGCTCTTATCCTTTGAAGAGACGTTACCTTGTGGACTGGACGCTCAAGCTCGCCCGTTCATTCCATGTCGTCTTTCAGTCCTACAGCACCCAACTTGGCGACTCGTGCCTGAACTCGGAACCTTCGGACAACACTCCCATGCGTGGTAAGGGAGTACAGCAGGACAGGTCTCGACAGTGCGCTTGACGCTGTCTGGACCTCTTCAGCTCGTCCACACCCAACTGCACTCCCTCGCGTACCCACGAAATTCACGTCCTGTCCTTGGGCTGAGACAAGCGATTACCCCAGATGTTCACCTCAATCACTGATTGCGCCGTCAGGGCCAGGGGGAAGAACTTTAAAGTACGTACATATGACAACATTGACAAGTGGAGGTAGCGAGGACATATCCCGTCTGTCGTTGTCAGCCTTGCAGTATTTCTTACTCTGCTCTTCTCGCGCACGGCTTGGAGCGTTGGCTTGGAGTGTGAGTGTGACTCTCGTGGCCTCGTGTGTAACCTAGGGAATGTGGCTGGGTGTTTTGCTTCCTTGTTTAGGACCCCGGCTTGATCGTTCCGTCAAGTACTGTTTTTCCTCGTCACAGACCCCGCATTTCCCCAGAGATGAAGTGCACTCACAGGTTCTGTCGCCGCCATAGATTCCAGGTCAGTTACTCAGGGACCTGGATCCTGGGTGAGCGGAAGAGAGGTGGGCGTTCGGCACAGTACTCCTCTAGACACCCCGATCTGTCTCCTCTTCAATCTGGATTGTGAACGGGGTTCAGGTGGGTACGCTTGTGTGTGATATAGACTGTCTGTTATGGGACACTGAGCATTGACGCCAAAGATAAACCTCATGCCGTAGATCCCTGGATGCCCGAGTTTGGATCGTGGAATTCAAGAGGAGTTGGGGGACATCGGAATCGAACATAGGATCCACCACAGATCCATGCAAGGATGGACTTCACTATGGCACTCCTGTAAGCTCGCCCGTCCTGAGCGCAGTATCCGTTACTAATGAACTTGTTTCCTAATACCCATGGTCCGAGACCATAATATTAATGACAGTTACCTCATGGCAAGAATATCGAAGCGTCATTCTTTCCCCAGATAAGACTTTCGTACCTGGAACGGATGTTTTCTCCCATCCAGGTAGAAATTGAATGCGCCTGTCGTGGGCTCAGTCATACAGCTTTGGAAGTTTTTCCTTCCCTGTTCTTAACTTCCATTTCCGACAATCTCAGAGGATGCCTAACCAGGCGTCTAACAGCTCCCTGGCCACCCAACGCCATTCATGGCTTCGCTTTCTCCGTATTCAGGGGAGAATTAGAAGCTATCTGAGGTGATATTCATCCGTAACTATTGCAGGGAGTCACGTTCATACCCGTTTCATATCAGTTCGTACCCACAGCACTGCTATAGTAGAGTTTAGATTGATAATAAGCCGTCACATGTCCACCAATACATGCTGTTGAACAGTCAAAAGACGTTGATTGTTTCCCATGCACTAGAAGTGTTCGAGGACGTCATAGGGAGCGGCCGTTTGTGGAAGGTCGGCTGAGATCTAGGGTACATGGTACACGGGATCAAACCGGCGTCTATCCCTAAGACACTCAATGGAAGGAGTTTGGTTGGAGTTTCAAGGGCCTAGACGAGAAGAAGAAGCGATGTATGTATTTGGGATTCTACTTTTGATGTCCATGCTTGAGATGGCCTGTAGACATGCTTAAGGATGACTAGGAATCGCTTTATCAGTCCGAGAAATAGGCGCCGGTCACACCAGGAGGTGTGAGTCGGAATGTCCGGAACGCGATGCGAGACATCCATTCTAGAGGCTTTGAGAACGACAGGGAACAGCCGAGAGCAGCTGCCAACTAAAGTGAGGACAGCCTGTATCCAAAGCTTCGGTGAAACTGAGTGACATCAGATGGGGGATAAGAGAACATCTCAGCATCGTTACGGACCATTTTCGGAATCCCATGTCGATCCACCAAAGACGTGATCTTATCATTGGTGCAAGACCGCTATCGGAGTGGATTGGCATCGAAAGTCTTTAAACACCCATTTCAAACAAACGTGCGATGTATCTCATGAGTGCGCAGGGAAATTGGTGAAGCTCGAGCGACCCCTCCGTCATTGCATATCAAAGTTGCCGTCAGCCAAAGTACCGTGGTTGAATCGAGTCCTTTCTCTCGTCAGCCTCTATACTTTAGAAGCGCAACAGCAGATGTTCCACAGCACAGGTCAGACTGGTGTGGTGTGGAAGTGCCATATGATGATCGCTGGGATGCCGAAGGACGTCGACGTAGGTTACAGCTCTTTCGAATTGCAATATTCCACGCGTGGTAGAATGCCTGGAAGGCTGGCACGTCCCTCTTCGTGCCACGGCTTGATTGCCGCACTTCACCGGGACCGCCATCAGCGACCAGCTGAATCAGCCTTGGCCATCGAGCCAGGTTCGAGTCAGGTTAGTCCTTCTATACCTAATAGCTTCGCTGAGATTCATGTACTACGCCGACCGCATCGACCTGGAAATGGCGATGGCTCTCAAAATTTTGAGGACCATCCCATCCCAAGAAGCCCTGTCATGTCGAGATATCATGTTGCAAGTTCACAGGCATTTGGAACCCCGGGACTTTCTCTCGATGCGACAGGTACGTGCATTGTAGACGGCGATTGCTACCGACACCGGGTGCACGGCTGAAACACTCAAACAGACATGCAAACTATGTTACGGCCTGTCCAAGACGAAAGTCCTGTGGATTTACGCAGTTGAGGATCTCTACGCCTGCCATGGCCTTCAAAATTGGGCTTCCTAGTTCTCCCTGGAGAAGATGACTCTAGCAGAGCTTGAACGACTGGCTCTCTCCCCCTCTCGATTTATAGCCTGGATGAAACGCGCCCACTCCAAATTCATCCCCCGACCGGAGTTACAACCATCCGGCCACCTTCGTTTGTTTCCCGTTATCCATATCGTTTTAACCGTCTCTTCATGGTACCGGGCGGGCGGTTTCTTGTAGCCTTTTCTTCCGTTGATTCCTCTGATAAACACCTGGAGCCAGTGGCCTGTTTATGGGACTTGGGCTACGGAGAGCACCATCCAATGCAAAGGTCCCCGGTGACCTACATCACGTTGCCCACGTGCTTTTGGATGACATGTATTGTCACTTCATCGCACAGTCGTGTGGTTCTTTGTGGAAATATTATACAGTCAGTCGGCCTCTACGAACTGAAGTCGGCATACTGAGCCCCATTCTTTGCAAAACAGTTCTCGCTTTGGCGATGGAATCCTCAAGCAGTGCGCCCAGGTTTACTCGGTTGATATCCACGACCCCGCCAAAGGATTTCGGTTAGAAGCGGAACTCAACCTTTACAAGTCAGGTCGCTGGTGATTCCAACCTCTGATCTCAGGAAACTACATGTATATGAAGGTCGAGACCGGCGGGGCACCCATAGCGCCAGGAAAGCGAAGAGGTAAGGTATTGGTGTGGAATTACCGTCCCGGAACTGTAGCGCGTTTGGATCCGGGAAAGATCGGGTCTGTTTCACTACCTGCTTGTATTGACCGGTACTAACGACGTTATCTTCAAGGTGTCGATTGTTCATGATTCCCTGGTGACGATGAAAGTGGACGTGCTGGCTGTAGAGATAAAAACCTTCGACATAGCACCGCTGCACAAGCGTGTCGACTTCCCGGATCTGAAAAACCTCCCCATGGCCACCATCCCGGCAAAGTCGAAAATGTTCAGATACAGGTTTGCCATGGTGGAGGACTTCACCATGATCCATTCCCCAGCCCGGGCCAGTGATTGCGAGGAGACGCTGCCAGCCGTGGTAATCATGGAGGGAGATGACACTGCTGAATCAGACGAAAGCGACTGGGGCATCCGTGCCAAAGTCAAGGTAGAAGCTCGCCCCTCCTGGGGCTTGGAACTTTATTCAGTCGGAGTGGACAAAGGGAACGAGGAAGAGGATACGGATCGTGTGGGGACATCGTCAGCGATGCGGCCGATCGGTGTAACGGCCAGTTACACGGGACGCCCCCGCTTCTATAACAGAGACCACGATAGGCTCCCCCATCAATTTGACCAGTGTGCTTCCTACACCGAGCACCACTTTTTCTTCGTTCCAAGACAGGTAATCCCAGAGTCGCCTCACAGGGTCGCGGAATAACGGCGGTTCCTATCCCAAAACGCAACACGGATTCTACCACGGAGGAGCTCTCGTGTTCCACAGTCTTCATGGATGTGGGGGAGAATTTTTCCAATTACAATGATCTTTGGAGTATCTGTCCGTTAACTGGTCGAATGGCTGTCGTGACACCCGGGCCTGCCCCCTGGTGGAACCCGGCTTACCCCAGGGATCCTGACCCAATTCTAATCCTGGACCTTTTGGATTTGCCTGTTCCAGGGCCGACGGCGTAACGTACTTTGTAGTAGTCATTGGTCCAGCGAGCTGTGACGTTGTTAATTCTTGAGAGCTCGTATGCAGTTGTCTTAGGCCGCTGTAATGTAGTGTACTTCTTGTTATTTCACTGTCGATCGTGGAGTTCTTTCTTTCTTATCTCCATGCACATTGGCCTCATCTACGAGGATCAGGTACCATAAGTGCGGGGAATACCGCCTACTTACACTTCAAAAACGCTTAATTAAACCTTTCTCTCACCCATTCATTTCTCTTTAGCTACGCGAGATGCACTCGTGGCCTTTTCACTCGAGCTTATCTCTCCTTCTATTGCTCACGACACGGCGAAATGATCTTCAGTTTTCCTTCCTGGCAAGTCTGTCTTCGATTTCTTGTTTTCCTTGGGCCTGGGAGATACGTATCACTGGTCGAAGGTAAGGTTTGGTCTTGAGGGTGGGAGCGCGAGTAAGTAAGGCTCGAACTTAAGAACAAGTAGATGCGAAGTTCGCCTCAAGGCAAAAGTCAATTTGAAGTCAATCGCCTTCGCCTTGGGCCGTGTCGTGGCCAAGATTCAGAGTCCTCCAAGGGAGGAATGTATCCCCGATTGGTAATAGTGTATACTAAATGACGAAAGGCTCGCCCTTGAGCATCAAGGCCGAGCCTGGTGTCCGGCCGCGGTTCCTCTATGCCTCAGACGAAGGGCCGGACCTCTGCTGGTAACTCGGCCGCACCGCTGGATCCCAATTTCTCTTCCTTCACAGCACTACACTGATCCACGACGCACTGCATGAACCGACCCAATTCCTTCTGACTTTGAATCCCCACGCTCGCTTCGAAGATAGGAAACGCTGAACTTACGACCTGGAGTCTGGACTTTAATGTGAAATGTGATTAGAAGCTGTCGTTTTCCAGCCCTCCCGGCCTCACATTGACTATTCTGACTATACCGACAACTAGACAACAGCCCACTACAGCTCATAAGCTCATACATCATGACGCAATCCCAATAACAAGAAAAAGGAAGCATAGAAAGAGAAGGGATAAAGAATTCGAACCCCATGGGCGTAGGACTGTGAGATAACAGCTAAAAGGAAGAGTGGAGCTTAAAAAGTCAAATGAGGGCCAGAACGTTCCAAGACGGATGACTACCTTACCTGCCTTGGTCGTTTAGGTCGTTGCTGTGAAGAAAACGCCTTAGTTGTGACAAAAAGGCGGCGGCGGCACAGCCTGAGCATCTTGATAAGACAATCTATTAAATCGAGGCGAGTATGTACTTAGGTGATATTGAGGTACTACTCATCGATAAGTTCATAATGCCGTCATGCACCGCTCATTTCACAAAGGAAAGTAGACGGGGGCTAGGTAATAATGGAGAACTGACTCGGAGAAGCCACGTCTTTTGAGTTCGCGCAGGCGCTTGGTAGTAAGCACCTGTTCAGCGAAAGTCCCGTAGGAGCGTTCTCGAGTCTCGACTGCGAGCCCCTATCCGTCCGTCCTCGCCTCTTCCATGAATTTCTCCCAATCCAAACGACACAATGACGAGGGGCCACAATTTCCAGGAACAGCAGGAAACATCCATTCCATTCCACGACGACGTAACCAGTCAGGCCTTCGACTACTCACCCACTCAAAGATGGATACACCAACCCAAGTACCAAACAAACGACCGACGGATGCCTATTCCAGACCGTCTTCCCCAGTTCGAACCTTCGAAGACCTAGTCACCAAAACTTCGCAGAGCATGTAGAGATAAGGGACTCGGAATGCGGTGCCCAGACCCCAGACCCCAGAGTTTCTCCGGTTCTAACAAAGGAAGGAGAAGTGGACGTCCATCGATGGCTGTGGTGATAAGGTCCCTTGGTTCGATGGAATCACGTACGCAGTCCCAGACGCGGAAATTTAGTTGGAAGTTGTGCTCGATTGGGAAAGTCCGACGTATTCGACAGGATTGGATACTTGGCTGCTGCCAATGGATCGCGCCGCACGCCCCCAACCTGTACGTAGACACAGACTGGTGTCCAGACATAGTGTCGGTCACACCCACGTTCGCCAAACGTCGCGTGAAGAGCGAAGTGGCGGCGGTGACGACGCGGAAAAAGGAGACTAGTCTGGATGAAGCAAGAATTAGCCCGAGTCAAGATAATGAGCAGGGTCAAGGGGACACGAACAGACAGCATCCACCAAGTCCAAGAATGACATAGGAGGAACTTAGAAAACGTGTCGATAAAGCCTGCCTGTTGACGCGAGGATCAATCGAGCCCTGGACCATACCGTATGTACGCGGTTTCACCCTGCCAACGAACGCGGCGAGCGCCTACGGTTTCAAAACCTCGCTTAGGCCACGAGCGGCAAGTGGAATCGAATATCAAATGCAGGGTCTGCTGCGGGGAGCGAGGGTGGCTTGAGGCGACGAAGCAGCAAGAAAATCGCGAATGGAACCCTGTTTGGCGATCGAGTAAAAGATTACCGCCGTCTGCGTATCAGCCCACCGGCCCAAGACCAGCGGGTCAGGGAAGAGGAGGACACGTAGTTATCCGTGGGGTCGAACGTGGCGCGTTGTGTGCGTTGGGGTAGATTGTTGCTTACGCAGGAAGGAAAGATCGTCGCCATACGGGGAGTGCCCTGTCGATTAATTGATCATCCCAATCTGCGTGATGGTTGACTGAAAAAGCAGAGGCGGATGTAATGTTGAGACGGTGTCGAATTCGGTTGGGTGAAGTTGGGCTTTGGGAAACCCCAGAGAGCGTCAGGTGAGTACTGAGGTCCGAAAAGTAACAAGGGTGAGAGTGCGGGAGCGCTCGATGCACCAGACAGTTGGAATGTCCGCCTGTGGAATCAAGAACGTAGCAACCCGCATAGGATGATTTGTACCTGGAATTCTAGTCCCGGTGTGAATTAGTACTACCCGTTGGGGTGGAGGAGTGGGCGGCGTGACCCAGAATAGATGATCCTTCCAGACGAGAGTCGGCAGGAGCATGGAAGCGAGGGAACGACATTTCGGCACATCAAGGTGTGGATGCATACATAGTGCCGTTGGCAGTTGGTTGGCGGTATGCAGGGTTCGAACTATCCAAAATTAAATGTCTTCTCCCCCGAGTGAAAGCGAATCACCTTCTTCGAACACGGAGAACTCTCGACAATCTCCCTCTGCATGCGGTTTGTTCGGGAACCTAAGAAAAATGTTTTCGTATGAGCACACTTTTCTATGTGAATTACTCAAGAATAAACGTCACCACGTCAGATTGGGCGTCAGCCCTCTCCACAGAGGCACACACGCTGATGGAAGGTGGCTAAAAATGTGAATGAAGCAATTGAACTGGGGTACAAAGGCGGGGAAGAGACGCACATTTTATGTAAAGACGATTGAACTAGGTATAGTTCGCAGCCTTGGCTATTCCTGAAATCAACTCGTGTTCAGCCGATGATGAAGCAAGTATGTAAAAGTCTCCTGTTGGGATCGGGTAAAGTTCGCGCTCCCCTAGCGTATCGGACTCGGGCGACGGGGTTGATATAGGCGTTAGGGATAGCTGGATGATAGGGTCGGCGCTCAATGGCGTATTGCCCTCTGAGTGGGAATAGCGAGTACCTCGAGGCGACGCATGCACCGTGGTTCTACCGATGTAATTATCAAATTGGAAAGTAGCCTGACACCGAAGCTGAGAACCGCCTCGATTTGGAATGCCGGCGAGGACTTGTGTTCTCACACGACCTCTTTTTGCGGGCTTGGTCCATGACACTGGTGTTTTAGAATTTGGGACTGGGTTCGAGATGGTAGGGGTTGTGAATGGTGAAGGACAGAAAAACCAAGTTAATAGAACTCTGGGTGACAATAGAATGGGCGAATGGCGAAATACAGGGCATGAAACGAGCTTGGACTCGAAACGTTCAGGGGCTGGTGGTTTGGATTAGGAAAGCCAAGCCTGGTTATGATTCGAACAGAGCCACAACATGTGAAAATGGGCAAGGGCATTGGTTGCTGTTTTCTGAGGAGGTTATGACTCGGATTGTCGAGTTGGCAGGTTAGAGAAGATATTTTATCCGATAGTGAGACATATATGGGCCATCTAAGGACGATTTTGGACGGGACTTGGACGAAAACACAGCCGCCGGACGGAGGCGGAATGACGGAGATGATCGGGGTGCCATTTGGGGACAAGTTGTGGACCCTCGTTGACTCCTTATTTTAACCCAACCACGCTTGTCTCTTTTTCCCAAGATCTTGACCCCTCCTCTTCTGCCAGTCTGGCTTCATCCATTTCTTCTCCCTTTTTCTCGTTATCTGCCCACCGCGCATTAGCGCACACTAGACAACAATGAAGGGCTGTCTCAAACGTTCTCAATCTTCCCCAGCGTCGCCCCACACTCAAAGTCCGCTGTCACCACGAAAGGCGGTCACCTTCGAGAGCGACGATTCGCTAGAGCAAGTCTTCTGGGCCGACGAGTGGGATAGAACTCCCACAGAACCATCCAGAAAGCTGTCGTACCAGTGAGTTTCTTGTTTTCCTGGCCCAATGGCCGCTGGAGGCAGGAACTTGGAAGTGCACCGCTACCGCATCACCCCACATCCATTTCCATGAGCCCACCGTATCGAGAATAGCCTTTGGAGACTGACCAGACCATCCAGGGACTTGCTTGAACTCAAGGAAATACAACTCTCCTTGCCTAGAGCAAATCAACCTGCAGATGCAGTCACCGGCCGTTTGGGCTCCCACTATCTGAAGAATGTGCCCATTGGCCTATTGCCATTGTTGCCGGACTCGTCCTCAACAGCACCACCGAGCCCCCGGTCGCCCGCCACGAGACCTACGACTTCGCCAATGTCGCCCAGCTGGGCGTCGTTCACCCCCAACAGCCGACAATGTCCATTGCCAACCTCTCCACCCTTGGGCGGCGTCGACGCTCTCCTGAAGTCACCGCATCATCCTCGACACCTTTCGCACCTCCCTCCGGCACCGACCCAGGCCCCCAAGCCAAAACCACGCTTTGCTTTCCTTCCTCTCTTGGATTCGAGCTCGCCAGATCCGCGGTCTCGCTCGCCCTCGCCCGATCTTGCCTCTGACACGGACCCCCCTACGCCATCTCTCTCAAACGCCTCGCTTGAGAGCAGCCCCCTCTCGCGTGCATCCTCATGCTCGCCCGAACCACCGTTTTTCCAACTTCCACCGCCACGGAAAAGACCCGGTTTCCACGACCCTTATGCTCCGGTGTATGGGGACGACCAGTCAGACACAGAAACGGGCTACCCTGCAATCTCCTCCACCCTCGCCAACATGCGTCTAGGGGCATCCAACCCGCCTTACGGCCATCCGTCGAAACCGCAGCAACCTTTCGGACGACCTCCGCTCACCCGCTTCGTCCCACCGCCTCCACCCGCCCCTGCACCTAAACCAACTACTTCCAGAAAGCGGAACGTCATCTACGTGAATGGAATGGAGATGGAATTGGACGATTCAGATGACGATGAACCATCCACGCCCCCCGCTGTCATCGCACCAACCCCACGTAGTCCTCCCAGAACGTCACCAGTGTCGATTTGCAGACCAACCCCTTCCTCTCCCACCCTGAAATGGCAGTCTTCGACGAGTACTGCCTCTCCAACGGAATCGTCGCCATTCTCCGGTCTACACGCACCTGTGCGTTTCAAGCGCCAAGCTCCCTCGACAAAGGGAGACTCTTCTAGCTCGATCTCGACGAGTCCACCATCGCGCCGCGGATCGATTTCATGCTCGCCACGAGTGAAGCCTCCTCATGTTGTAGGAAGCCCTAGATCGCCTGTGCTCATGCCTAGAGCCTGAAGCGTGAACACAGCTGGTCTGTCGTCGCTCTATTCTCTTCCTTTCTCTCTTCCGTTTTGACTGTCCCATTGCCACGATGATGTGTTTGCTACCCACTGATTTGACATACCTTTTCCTCTGTATCCCCCGCATCTTTTACCATATCTCTCTTCTTCGGTTTTGCTTGGGTTGACGGTGACGTATTTTGGATGGACGTCTGTACATTATTAATTGTTTATGCTCTTTTTCCTTTTTACTTAATTATCTGTCTGTCTTCGTCTGCTTGTTAGTTAGTTAGTTCCCCTTCTTCCTCGAACGTCCAGCAACTCGTCACACACTACGACGTCGACCTCACCCCAATCCCCTCCCCCCCAGAACGTTCTACTCAAAAGATGCGACACACATCACATCACACACACACACACAACACATCCTCGTCGATTATCTACTGTTTACATACATACATGTTTGCAAGTTGTTTTCTTTTATATGCTTGTCTACTTGTTGTCTGTTTCTGGTTCTTTTTTCGTCATTTTCGTGTTTCTGCCTCTTTTTAACTCGTATCTTAGTAGACGTACCATACAACATCTCGTTCTCTCTCTCACTCAGTCTCGTTATCTCCCTCTCTCCCTGTTCTCCCTCAGGTTTTTCGCATTACATTTTTTTCCTGGTCTGCACCATACCATGCATGTCATAGCACCGCCTGTAGCGTTCGTACATCATCGCCTGTAGCTCCTCCCCCGTTCTTTAGACAGTCAAATCATTGCTTCGTTGCTTCTGCTTGATTTCATTCCATCCCGCCCTCAAATTTCAAACCTCATCGTCCGTCCACTGAGACCGAGGCGAGAGGATTTGCGTGGTTTTTCCTGATCATGAACTGGGTTTGATCATGAACTGAGTTCGAACGGAGAAAGGTGAAATTTTGAATGCGATAGGTTTCGGTTTACGGGCATCATTGCAGTTGCCACTGCCAGTTGTCAAGGTGAGCGTTTGAGCGAGAGATTTTTGCGTCTCCGTTTGTTCACTGGCGGGCACACTGCACGTATGTAGATAAGATAAGGTACAGATGGCTACCAATGGTGGGCTTGGCGGGAGGATTGAAACTGCCAATGACGGTGTTGTTTTCTAAGGCTCGACGATTTCGAATTAATTAGCTACTTCACGCTGGAAGTGTAACGAATCTCTCTCGAAAAGTGGGAGCAGATCGTGACATTGGAAGCTAATGCTCTGAGCCATCATCATCCAATTCGGAACCATCCCCCTCAGCCACCTACCTGGGTATTAGGCTGAGCGCTGGGCACTTAGACTGGGCACTGGCAAGCGCTCGCTGAACAGAAGTCGCCCTAGTTGGAAATCTCCAAGACCTTCATGTCATTGTAGGTACTTTTTCATTGTGGAGCTTAGTAGGCGTTGGATGTAGGTTTTGGTTTTATGAAATGAGGATGATGGATACTCGGAGGGCGTGTTTGGTGTTTGTGGGAATGGTCCTTCCGAATCCGAGTTGCTGTGGGACATGATGGAGCACGTGCACTGTAGTATATGGGGTCGTGCTACTAGTATTAGGCGCCCGTTAATCAGAAGACCATGGCATTGGTACTTAATGACGAAAACACCGTCGGACCTGGGTCCTGAGGTCCGTACTAACGTTACGTTCCCGCTATCTCATTGTGACCCCGGAATGCTGTTAGACGTGTATGGAATGAAAGGTTTATATATGAAACTTGTACTAGCCGACTAAGGTTGGCTGTGGGATCATGTACCTTTAGGCATTCCCCATGGGAGGATGGGAGAATAGTAAGGGGAATACGGTGCGTGCTCCTGCCTCGAGGCTGCGATTTGACTCTTCCGAAGATGAAAGTTTTTCGAGAAGGCTCTGTACTTGGAAAAAGGAAGGGTGGAGGAGGAAGAAGAGATCCAGACTAAGAGAGTGCACTGCCTTTGGACATGTGTGAGTCGGAGAGACAGATGAGTTCAATTGCCTGGGCAGGTGTACATGTAAGTTACTGCAACCTTCTCGGAAGTGTATGTTCTTATCCAATATCAAATAATATGGCAGCCGCCGAGGGTGTCGGGTTGGACTTAGGACACCTCATCCAGTTCGTCCAATGATAATGGTGTGAGAGCATACGAGTACTTTTGGACAAGATAAGAAAGACGTTTGAGATATGGAAGCAAGCCCGAAAAGTCAAGTCCCGCGAGACCGTGCAATGCGACGACAGCGCGGAATTTGGATGGCGTTATTTGACTGATAATAATACTTGAGAAGATCAATTGAGCGCTGCGTCGGTGCTATCTATATCCTTGTCTTTCCGCGATCCATGTCCACGTCCAGCAAGTTCTGGTCCTTGAAGGGATGCTAAATCCATACTTGAAATCTCACAAGTGACCGGCCCTATTCAACCCGAGAAATATTCGCCCGTGTGCTATTCAGACCGCATTACCCATCTCGACATCATAATTCCGGCTCAAGGGGACAATCGTTTGCAAGAAAACCCCGTGAATTTCCCTCGCTTTCCAGTCAACCTTGAATCGACCCTAGCTCTGGCGGACGGGTTAACCAGCTTGCAACAACTCTCTCTCGTAATACCTAAATCATGTTCGGAGACTACGGATAGGGCATTACGTTTATTCGTTCAAGATCTGCCTCCCCGACCATCCTATGGAACTGACGAACTGAAGAGGATGTTGCAGGAATGCATAGACTGGGAAAAGTTGGATCGTATCCTTCCTCCCGAGCGGTTTCCGAAGTTGTCGAAGGTGGTCGTGGACGTCAAGTCCTTCGGGTTTGACCGCACTAGTGCGAGTGGGTACGAGGAGTGGATTATTGAGAGAATGACGGGGTCACGATCTAGGTCTGTTCGTATATCTGTAGACTACTAGGCATTGGTTTAGCAACAACGATCCTCTTGTGCAAGCATTTTGCTCATGATCCTCCTGTCACACCTACAGATTATATTTTGGAAGTCCACTAGTACTGTACGCATTTATCTTTCTCACTCAAGGGTCACTATAGATGAATCGACATCAGTCTGGAGGTTTGCGAAGTTGGGATAAGCGCCTGGTTCATCAATCAAGGTCAATCGCCCCTATTCTGGTTATTTCCCACACTCTGCACTTGGCATCGGAGCCGTGCCCGTACGAAGCGGAGCCAAACTTTCTCCTCGACCACCATGTCGGCGCTAATCAATACGGATTTTCCTGACCTCAAGCTCGTTTCTCAAGGCAAAGTTCGCGATATCTATGCGACAAGCTCTCCAGATCACCTCTTGTTCGTCGCCACGGACAGAATCTCGGCTTACGATGTCATCCTCAAAAATGTGTGTTCAATCGTGAAAAATCGACTCGACCGTTTCTTATGCCAGATGTGGTTCAGGGGATTCCGGACAAGGGCAAGCTTTTGACGACGATATCGCTATTCTGGTTCAAGAAACTGGCAAACATCATCCCCAACCACTTTGTTACCGACAAAATCGAGGAGATGCCAGCGGAAATCCACAAATACCGTGATCAGTTGGAGGGTAGGGCGATGTTGGTCAGGAAGGCGGAGGTTGTTCCACTCGAGGCCATTGTTCGAGGGTATATCACTGGTATGTGGAAACCTATGTCAGTATCCCGTCGTGATTCATGGCCATTCAGGTTCTGCCTGGTCCGAATACAAGAAAACGGGCACTGTGCACAAAATCCCCCTGCCGGAGGGGCTAGTCGAGAGTCAGAAGTTCCCTGAACCATTGTTCACCCCATCTACGAAGGCTGAGCAAGGTGCTCATGATGAGAATATATCACCCCAGCAAGGTATGTTTCAATCAGTAATTTTCTAGGCTCCAGGCTAAGAACTTTCACAGCTGCGGAATTAATTGGGAAAGAGCTTTACGAGAAGATTTCGAAAGTAGCGCTGGAGCTGTACACAACCGCCGCGGAGTATGCCTTGGCCAAGGGGGTTATCCTGGCCGACACCAAGTTTGAATTTGGTCTCGTGCCCTCTGCGGATGGCACTTCGAAGGATCTGATTCTTATCGATGAGGTGTTGACGCCCGATTCCTCACGTTATTGGCCGCTCGCGGGCTACTCGGTCGGAAAGTCCCAACCCAGCTTCGACAAGCAGTACTTGCGCGATTGGCTCGTTAGTGCAGGCTTCAAGAAGGGCCTTGAAACCGGCCCCGAGGGCAGGGAAGGGCAGGGTTGGGTTATCGAGGAGGACATCGTGAAGGGGACTAGAGACCGATATGCAGAGGCAGTAGCATTACTGACTGCAGATTCCAAATAAATTGAGTGTGGGTCCCTCATGATCATCGGCCATGGCGTGCCTATTGACATAGTCGTTCTCATCTTTGTCCTTATCCATGGCCAGGTAACAAAAGTGGCGGCAATCAATCATATTGTTCCCGCTGAGCGCTACGCCCAGCGCCCAGCGCCCAGGGTGAATTCGACGCTCGAAGCGGACATTTCGGTCCATCAGAACAAAGAAGATGAAGAGAGGTATGTCAAATTGGTTCGAAGATGGAACGCCAAGTTGGGGGGCCGTGGCCTCGAAGTCATGTCGGGACCGGACTAAGGGCAGGGATATGCGAATATAAAAACGGCCGTACGTGGCGGCCACAAGGCATCCTCATCCCCCATCTACAACAACGATGTCTGCAGACGATTTCACCGATGACGTTGTGTCCAATGCGACTCGGCAACTGGAAGAGTGGAATCAAGCTCATCGTCGAATCAAAGACAAGCCGCCAAAGGACAGTCGCCAATATCTGAAGCATGCGCTGAACCTCCTGCCTTTGTTCGAGAGTATTGCAGAATTGCATCCTGTCGCGAAAGGTGCGCAGTCTGTGTATCTACGTCTTGAATTAGCACCCTTATCTCTAACTCTGGTTTAATATGCAGCTATTGTCTTCAGCTTCAGGGCGATCATCAACTTTGAAGATGACCGAATCGAGAACGACCTTCGGGTTTCGGGTGTGTTATTGTCAGCGACCGACATGATGAGCGTCGTCCTGGAGTACGCTGATCTTCCTACGTTTATGGCTACCTTCGACTAATATCCTTCTGACCAGGATCGCTATCATTGCCACTCAAGAGGAGGAGGATTCTGAAGTGATCAGTTCCAACGAGGATTTGCTAGTTCTGCTTCAACGTATCCAGGCCGACCTGAAAGCGTGCGGAAACTCTATCGACACTTACTACAAGTCATCGAAGCTGGGTAAGTGAAAGATAAATTCTCCTCGGTGCAAGTGTCCTGAGGTTCCTCGTCCAGCAAAGTTCCTTAAATCGCAAGAGTGGAAAGGGGTTATGACGGAATACAGCCAGACATTCATCAACCACCGCACCAATCTCCACACCATCCTTTCCCTTCGGATCACTCGCGCAGTGGACAACCTCGGTGCCAAGATGAAGATTCTCATCGCTCAGGCATTCACCCCTCAACGTGACTGGGAGAAGAATTTGCAGAAGAAGCTCAAGGAGTATGGACCGAAGGAGAACTGGATTCACAACACAGAGAAAGTGAAGGAGTTGATCAAGCTGAGCGAGGACCCTATGATTGATAGAGGCCTTCTGAACGTCCCCGACGATCCAGCAGAAGCTGCTTCTGCAGAGCAGAGATTGGCCACCTTCATTGCGGGACTGAACCAGGAGATCAGCACGTCCCTCAGGACACTGTTCGACCGCAACATGGGGATCTTCGAGCAAAAGCTCGACTTCCACACCCAGGAGCTACAAGACTCCATTGAAAAATCGGCCAAGTATGTTGTTCGCGCGCTAGCGGGGCCGTACGATCGACTTCAACACGAGGTGAGTGGTCCATCAGTTGAAGAAAGATAAGAGACTCTTTATGCTCATGTCGGATATTGTAGGACCTACGCAAGCTCTGGAAGGAGATGGTAAGGAGGCGTCCCATTCTCTCTGGTAAACAACGGCCAATGCATTATCGCGCGATAGAATTGGATCTTCTGTGTCGAGGACAAGCTCTTCACGATCGCCCTGTTCGAATACTATCTCGACTACTTCAACAGTAAATATTCGACTCGACCCATAGGTTCCGATGAAGAGCCCAGGAAACTCTCTCAGGAGGAACTCAACAAACGTCGTGAAGATTTATGGACTCTACCCTATCTGAGCAAGTACGGCGAGAAGATCAACGAGGCGGTCGACACGGATAAGTCGGGATTCATTCGGATCAGCGAGGTCAACGTCTTCACGAGTCAAATCCCGCCCGGATGGACACTTCCTCAATATTGCGCGTACGTTGCGGTCGGTATGTTCACGTAACTTTTTTCTGCAGAAGACATCGCTGAGGACAAACCTAGGGTGGGAATACGAACTTCACATTTACCAGAAACGTCTTCAGCATCTCATGGACAAATTCTACGAAGCTCAAGCCATAGGTGAGTGTAAATGTCTGGCTATAACTTCTCGAAGGATGCCGACAATTGAGTACCCCAGTCCACCCCGACAACAGGGTATATCTGCTGTATTATCTCCAGCAGTATTTCCTCCCAATATTGCTCTCCCGAGGTCCTACTAAGTCTGAATCCGATTTTTCGAATCTTCCTAGCGCGTTCCGAAGTCGCATCCGCGAAAAGATCTCGGCACAAGACGAGCGCATGCGAAACCTGTGGAAAAAGTTCAAGTACCGGATGGACGATAGCGGGACCATTGGCATTCTGTACTCCGGTCGGGATCTCGAAACGGTGCGACCTCCATCCTCATATATTACCCAGCCGAAGTGACGAATGATGGCATTGTCAGTATATCCTCCAGCTGTTGATGATCTTCATGGAGCACACCTTGGACATCGTTGCCATTTGCAAGACCCAAAGGATCGATTTGCGTGAATGGAGGAAATTGGACAGTTCCTTGGTCGAAATCAAGACCCTGTTGCATGCTCGTATTGAAGAACTGGAAGGTATTTTCTCTGCTTTACCTACAGAATTGGCTTTGAACGAATCCTATCTTCCACGCAGGGCGATATTCATCACAGGACGGAACTGATATTCAAGGTGTGCTCTCAATCCTGCTTGCAGCCAATTGAAAAACAGGTTCTTATATACAATTTCTCAGAATTTGTGAAAAGCCATTACGGGGGGCTTCTCAGAGCTTACTACATCGAGCACTACCATAACGACGACTGCCCTGTTACCGAAGCGGAAGCGGAACAGCGCCTGTCCCACCTTTTCATCCTAGACGATTTCCCCATCCCCGAACCCAATGTTAACACCGAGGAAGTATTGGAATACCAAACATGGGAGCAACACCTCGAAGGGATGGACGAGGATTATGAAGTACCTGGCATTCCACCTCCAGTGTGGGGCGCCACAGACGAGTTTTACGGTGGGGAGTGGTCCCTCCCAGAGAGAGATCACACATACCCCTTTCACTTGTGAGTCAGGGTACCTTGCTTATCGCGTCCTATATGCTGATTGCCGACCCCCAGGACCATCACTTGCGATCTTTGCAAACGCTACCCGTTAACAACAGTGTGCTTCCACTGCATCGACTGCGATGGTAAGCTGAGTGTTGCTTGCAGTAGCACCATCTTATTAAAAATGCGCACCTGACATCTAGATTACGACGTCTGTGGGGATTGCCACAAGTTGCCCTTGTCTGGCTTTGACCCAGAGAACGTGTCGTCGCACGCCGAGGACCACACCTTGGTCCGGTTTGTGCTCTACTTTCCTCATGAATACAGGGCGATTGCCAGGGCTATTGCGGAGCATCGCCAGGAGGAACATTACTTAGTGGCCTTCCGGGATCATTTCGAGAAACATGGATATGTGACTAGTAAAGGGGATGGAGGTGACGACGAAGGGGACGACGAAGGGGACGACGAAGGTGAAGATGAGGGCGAAGATGAAGATGAAGGTGGTAATGAAGACGACGAAAGCACCGCTCCCGAAAACAGCTCGTCTGACCATCGTCTCTGCGTCCAGTGCGGAGAGGAAATCTCCTCAGAGCGCTTTTTCCAATGCATACACCAGGATTGCTTGGGTGCGTATCCTTCGGGAGGGTATGGGTGGCGTTGGCTGACCTCTGTTTGCACAGATCATCATCATTACGTTTGCCTTGAGTGTGCAGCGACATACACTCAAGGCGATGAAGATGAAGATGAAGATGAAGAAGAAGAAGAAGAAGAAGAAGAAGAAGAAGAAGAAGATGCAGTTGTCGATGAAGAGGGAAATGAAAACACTCGAAGACATCACAAGTGGTGGCACACCCTCCTTCTACTCCAGAACATCGACGATGATTTTGCGCTTTCCGACGACGATTCGGAGGCGGGCCAGACAAACGAGAGCGAGGGAATACTTGCTCAAGTCGGCGGGTCCACTCTAGAGGATCGTGTTGGTGCGGTCGAAAAGAGATTGGAAGCAGTTGAAACCGGCATTGCCGCCATGAATACCAACGTTGGAGAGCTGAAGGGACTGTTGGAAGCTTTGCTCGATAGATTGGGCTGAGGTTGCGGACGGTGTACAAGGTCAAGTAGTGGAATGCTGCGGGTGCGCTGACTATCAATGAAATCTGTAGGAGGTTATCGATGTGTACATAAGAGCGGAATACTGAGCGATCACGTAGCCCAACTCGCTGCTTCCCGAACTCTTGTCAAACGTTGTTGTGGATATTGCTTGTTCTTCAGACTCCGGAGACTCCGCTCATCGGTTCGATGCACGATTTTGAGCAGCTGTGGGGATACTGCCCAACTTCCTTTGTGCTCTGTGGACCCACATATGCCCACCCCAGGTATCCACTTTACATCCACAAGTAATTTCACGACTGGTTGCCCCAATACGAATCAGAAGTCTGACGGCTTGGGAATGTACGTCCACATATTCTTGTGTTCCGCAACTGAATTGTTTAAGGACGGTTGCAGCAGAAGGACAAGGCTTTGGCCCTGACCGTGACTCATTCCGACGTACAGTGGGCTGCATCTTGGACACACTTGTCCATTTTCAACATTGTTCCGGAAGGACGGCGGTACAAATTGGTCTGCTCTATAACTTGAAGCCGTTTCGTAGGCAATCGCCAACGCCCCAGCAATGATCCCCCAAGATTCGCATGAAATCCCCTCCATCTCCCTTAAGCACGATGAATGGTATCAAGCACATTGTCGAATCAAGGACCACCCCCCTAGGGATAGATGCGCCTATCTAAGGCACGCGCGTGCGCTCTTGCCGTTATTCGAAGGAATTGTCGAGTTACACCCCGTGATGAAAGGTCGGTTGGCTCTTGCATTACAGGTCGAAATCTTCTCATGTTCCTTCCCTTTTCCCCGTGCAGCTGTCTTTTTCAGCTTCAAAGCCGTGGTCAACTTTGAACACGAACGGCTTGAAAACGACCTTCGAGTTTCCTGTGTCTATTTTGCCGCTTCTGACATGATGAGTGTCGTCTTGGAGTACGTATGGCCTTTCGTTCCCGTTATCCTCCAGGCTTATCATTGTCAGAATCGCTATGCTCGTCCGTGATCAACAAGACCCTGGGTTCATTGCTTCTAACACAGCGTTGTTGAAGCTCCTTGAAAAAATACAAGCCGATACTAAAGCATGCGGAAATGCAATCGATAGCTACTATAACGAAGGAAGGCTTGGTATGTAATTGCCATTGGGAAGAGAAGGACCAGGTCCACTAATGGTTTTCTTAGTTAAGTTTCTCAAGGCACCGGAATGGAAGGCTGTTATGGTTGAATTCACCCAGATCTTCATTAATCATCGGATTAACCTCCAAACCACCGTCTCCCTTCGTATCGCACGTACAGTTGACGACATAGGCAGCAAGATGAAGATCCTCATCGCGCACGCGTTTACCCCACAGCACAGCTGGGAGAAGAACCTTCGAGCGAAGCTGAAGGAGTTTGGGCCTCGGGAGAACTGGATCAACGACGTGGACAAAGTCAAAGCCCTTGCCCAAGCCAGTGAAGACAAGATATTTGACTTTCAGACTCTGACGGCCAATGGTTCCCCCCAGGATTCTGTCCATTCGGAACAGCGCTGGAAGGCCTTTGCGGCTGGGCTCAATGAGAACCTCGATTCGTCGCTTCCCCAGCTGTTCGCACGGAACATGAAGCTTTTCGAGCAGAAGTTGGACTTCCATACGCAGGAACTGCGCGATTCTATTGCGAGCTCGGCGAAGTACATTGTTCGGTCACTGGCAGGTCCATATGATCGATTGCAGCACGAGGTCAGGATATCACTTCACGAGATGAACAGGACAACCAACTTATACCACGCCTTCCACCAGGATTTGCGCAAGGTCTGGAAAGAGATGGTGAGTCCCGCGCACGGTCCTTCCACAAGCTCATCTATCTCATTGACAGAACTGGATATTCTGTGTCGAGGGGAGGCATTTCGCCATCGCTTTATATGAGTACTACCTGGATTACTTCCATAGCAAATACTCGACATCCTCTTCCGGATTGGATGGCGAACCTGGAGAGCTGTCACCAGAAGACCTGGCAAAGCGTCGGGAAGACATGTGGACTTTGGAGTATCTCGAGCGGTACAGCGAGAAAATCAACGACGCCGTTGATAACGATAGGTCCGGGTTCATCCGCATAAGCGAAGTCAACTCCTTTACGAACCAAATCCCCGTTGGCTGGACGCTTCCTCAGTATTGCGTTTATGTCTCTGTCGGTATGTCGAGTTCCTGATTTTACCGACGTGGAACGTTCTTAACACGCTCGTCCAGGCTGGGAGTACGAGCTTCGAATCTACCAGAAACGTGTCCGATGCCTTTTGGACAAATTATGTGAAGCACAAATGCGCGGTACGGTTGTGCATCCGACACTGTGGTATTCATTCTGAAAAGGGCATTCAGTCCTCCCGGAGAACAGGGAGGGTCTTTTAGACTTGATTTATTGGTGCGATACCCCGAGCTTGCTCGCTCGTGGTTGCCAGAAATATCCGGACGACAAGGCGCAGCACCTTCCGGAGGGGTTCTGCAACCGCATCAAGGAGAAGATCAAGGCCCAAGACGAAAGAATGCGAACTCTTTGGAGAAAATTCAAGTATAATTTCAACGATAGAAGCATCATCGCCATGCTCTATCCTGAAAAGAAAGCGGAGATGGTTCGTAACCAGCGAGCAAAAGGCTTGTTTTGTTTCGACTTACACGCTTCATTTCCTTTTCAGTTTGTTCTTCAACTGTATACCATTCTTTTGGAGTACGCATTGGACGTAGTGCATGTATGCAGGACCCAAAGGATCGACCGTCGCGAGTGGGAGAGATTTTTGCCTCGCCTAGGCCACATTGAAGCTTTGTTGGACAGTCGGATAGAAGAACTTAAGGGTAAGTTTCAACATCTTTTCCCTCTCTCCGCTCTATTGTATGAATATGAACTCACCGCAATCTATTTGTTACAGACGAATACAAACGCAAGGGTCACTCCGACGTGAAAGGCGAGTTGTGGTTTCCGTTCCGTGGAATGCATATGCTATGCATACAATACTCACCATATTTCTGGTATCATACAGAGGCCATTCAAGGGCACTACGGAGGGATATTTCGACCCTACCATATGTGTTCTGTAGCGGGCTGCTTGCTCTCGCCGACAAAGGAAGAAGCGGAACATCATTACATGTCTGGTGACCCCCTTTCACTGAAGGACTTCCCCATTCCTACGCCGAACACCGAGCTTGACGAGATATTGGAATATTCGACTGGGCAGAACGGCACTGAAGAAACCAGTATTGATTTCGATAGACCGGAAATCGGGTCTGAGACGTCGAAACCGGATATTGGAGAGAGCCTCAGTGAAGGTGACGAAAATCCTGATTGCGTTCCACCCGCCTTTCCTTACCAGTGCGTCTAAGGCCATCTCCTATGCTTGAAAGGTCTGACGGAATAATATCAGAAACGCTATTTGCGACATATGTAAGGTCGTTGCAGGCTGCAGCCCAGCTTGCTATCATTGCATCGACTGTGACGGTAAGGTAAATCAAAGTGGGAGGCTCCCTGCTAACACGAATGTCCAGATTTCAACATCTGCGAATCTTGCTTTCGGAAATCCCCTTCAGACTCACTTCACACTGGCGGTCACGAGGAAGATCATGATCTTGTTAGGATGGTTTTGTTCTTCCCACACGACTGCGTGATCACTATCAAAGCGGCTGCGAAGCACCAACGCCGGCTATATTGGCAGTCTCGCGGATTCCTCGACGCTGAAGAACTTGAAAGCGATGGGGAAGAAGATGACGAAGACGTGGACGGAGATGGATGGGACGACGAGGAAGGTGACGGCGAAGAAGAAGGAAAAGACCAAGGAGATGAAGGGACAAAGTTGGATGTCTTCGAAATCCAGCCTGACCCCTGTGTGGCCTGCCGATCCGAAATCGCCTCGGAACGGTTCTACCAGTGCATCCACTATGAGTGCTTAGGTCCGTCTCTGATGCTACCTATCCCGATTCCTCTGACGCATGAGTTACACATCGCCCCTCTACTAGAGCCCAGACATTGCATCTGCTTCGACTGCTTCTCATCGCTGCCCGAAAACGAAGGGGAGGGCGATAGAACAGACGAACTAGCAGGAGAAGGACCCGAAAACACAAGGACCTCCCACAAGCCCTGGCACTCTCTTCTCCTCATGCACAGACTCGATCCCGACGACCCGTGGGAAGGCGTAGAAGAGGATGATGAAGACGACGATACGTTGACCACAGAAAGCGGCCATCCCCCACCTGATGATCGGATAAGCGCTCTCGAAAAGAAGATAGAGACTCTCGAAAGCAACATCAACCAGGTTAATGCCCATGTTATGGATTTGAAAGGGCTGATGAGCGCGCTGCTCGAAAGATTAAGCTGAGGCAACAATCGTAATATATGTCAAGTACTTCTTAATTCAATCACTCTTGCTCTCTATCCACAAGCCGAGGCAAACCTTTTGTGTCTAAGGACCCAAAATGAGCTAACGCTTGTACCGACTCGGGCTCCTCGCTCAGGGGTTTATGTCCATAGTGTGCTTCGGCAAACGAGGGGTGTTGGCAGGTAGGAATGTAGGCCTAGTGTGGCTTAGTGGTATCTTTTAGTATCCTATCTCTTCAGCGCATTTTGGGATAGTTGGTTGTCACTCAGTAGATGCTCTCGTTTAGGCTCGAGCGAGCGCTTACCACCTCCTATTTTTGGCTAATCATTGATCGGAACAACTAAGCATGCTTTGGCAAAACTTTGGCATGCATAACCTTATGCCGTTAAGATGCGTTTTATGTCCCAACGTTCTCCGAGCGAACCCCTACGGTCTCCTGGAGAATAGGGTCTTGATACTGTTCACAAGAACGTATCCATGACAAGAAAGTCCCAGGTCATCAAGCTTCTCGCTGCAATTCTGGTCAGCGTCCACCTCGGCATCTGGTTTTCCCGATATCGGGACTTGGGTGTCGAGTTCCAAACCCTCCTTCCCGACTTTCGTACCCCTACAAATGCTTCAAATCGCCTCTTTCCACCATCAGAACTGTGTCTTGACAGCGAATGTCTCCGAGGGCATTGGAAACGTCGGGATCCCCCTTTCGATTCCTTAGCAAGCTTCCAGGCAGAGCTTGCCGCTAATTCATCTTCCAGGTGGCATCGCTGTGCGGTTCCACCTCCTCCAGAAGGTGTAACTCGAACCGAGGAGGAGATTCGTAGGTTGGAACAAGACCGACTCGTCGAGCTCATGAACTGGGTCTGGGAGCCCGAGAGAGGAAGGATGGTACCCTATGATGCTGAGGATTTTGTCGTCAAATTACTCCAGAGGCCAGCAGGAATCATATTCATCGGGGGTATGTGTTCTATTGCTTTTGATCCTTTCCAATTCTGAAAGGTTTTCAGATTCCATTTCAGCGGCGCATGAACACGGCTTTGGCTCTCTTCTGGGAAACTCTGGTATTCGCTTCATGTCCGAAGTGGACCACCTTCCCTTCTCAGGCCGACCCCACCTCAGGCAACATATTTTACGACCAGGGGAGCCCATGACCCTCAAACTACAGAGGAGGGCAGGGGTCCCAGATTCACGCCTTCGCTATCCGGTTTTCACGATTATCGAGGATCACATGTTGATCCACGAGCCCGAAATACGACGGATCACGGAGAAGTTTGGAGCGTCGTCCCAGTATCATTGGTATCATAACTTCAAACGGGTCGAGGGGTGGGAGGACTATGTGAAAGCGATTTCGAGACCGAGGGTGGGAGAGGAAGACACCGTGACTGGTGACACGATGCTAGTCATGAACGCGGGTGCACATGTAAGTTCATGTCACTTTCTGTCCGGCAGGTTCTAGCTCAATTTAAACCCGCCCAGTGGTCCCGTGCGGAATTAGCCATGCTTCCAAGTAGGGAATCTGACGCCGCAGAACAGGAACGAGTAACGGCGAGCTACCGGGAAATGGTACTGTCATGGCTTCGACTCAAATCCTGGACCTACCTCGCTCATTAAACACGCCCCGTCGCAGATGAGACTACTTGTCGACCGTCTATCACCCATCCCTAGGCTATCCGTCTACTACCGATCAACAACGCCAGGGCATCCCAACTGCGGAAGCAAACCTGTCCCATATTCCAACTATTCCGCAGCGGTAGTTGGAGAAGATAACCTCGTCGTGCAGCTTCTAAAGCCCCTCAAAACGGATCAGGATCGAAAATCGAAGAAACGATGGGACTGGGACTTGTTCAATGTTCACAACCAACTTTGGCGAGACGAAATTAAGAGGCTGCAAGCGCTCCAAGTCGAAGGAGACGAAAGTGACGAATCGAAAGCCCGGTGGTTCTTCCTCGACTTCTGGGAGATGACATTGCAAAGGCCAGACGCCCATTCAGCACCTGGAATCGATTGCTTGCACTGTAAGCACCTTTCTTGCTACTGTATCAAAATTGCTAAACACGCGACTTGTAGGGTGCTTACCAGCGGTGCACATGGAATGGACTTACTACCTATACCACATGGTTTATCTGCAAAGCATGTATTAGCCAGGGCATTAGAATAGTTGGTGGTGTCTGTTTTTCCCTTAGAACTGAGGAGCCTCCTTTTCCGGTGACCTGAGTTGACGATAGCTGACACCCTTCATAAGGGTTTGGTCGAGGAGGTTGTTGGCCGATGAGCTTGAGCCCAGTGTCAGTCAGTCTAACTGACCAGTCATTGATACGACTCTGGCCATACACTACCAAAGTGTTCTAGCCACCTACATTGAAAAGACGTAGCATGAAAGACAGGCTTTTTGTATCAGCTGGTTTAGGTCTTCGTAATTGTGTCCTTGCAGCAGAACTGACCTGGATACACTGTCCGATATATACTGCGCCTTCTCGCAGTCAGGACGAAGCGTGAGGGGGATTTGATTGACCAACTACACGTAGGAGACAGGATGGTTACAAGCAAAATGCCTGCGCTCCTCCCAGGACATCCTGGTGATAGGAAGACTGGCCACCGAGGCTCGCTGCTCCCGCGGGATACCGTCCAATGAACGAGCGTATATAGCGATGGAATGAGCCGCAGCCTTGGCATTGTTGACCCAGAAGGGAACGTTCAGGTTATCCACTGTGTCGCACAACAGGTGGTAGCACTTGTCGTAGGCAACGCCAACCTCACCTCCCCACCTGTAAGGTACATCCGTCAGCACGAAGAAAAACGGAGGATGGTGGAAGTTCTTCGGACGTACTGCTCGACTCCTTCTGCTGTTTTCAGACCCGAAGCGCCTGTGAGAACACCGCCCACCGGAATTCCGACCTGCAAGAACGGATCGTAATCGCTTGACCCACTAAACGCAGCTGCGGCAGTCTTCAGTCCCCTCGCCTCATACCAGCCCTGATACAACTTCTCGATCTTATCGCTTCCCGGAGGACCTACAAGACCGAACGTGCTCCCATCCCCGTCATGCACAAAGTACGCCGCATTGGGTGAGGCGAGCATGTCAAAGTTGAGGTATAGCGCAATCTTCTGGCGTTCTTCATCCGAGAGGTTGGAAACATGATGTTCGGAACCTACGAGTCCGAATTCTTCTGTTGTCCAGAAACCGAAACGAACGGCGTTGTTGACGCGGTACTTGGTGAGATGGAGTGCGATCTCGAGGACGGCGATGGTTCCCGATCCGTCGTCATTGATACCCTGCGGGGCCCAAGTCAATGTGTTCGCTCTGACCATGGCCAACGGAACGACTAGTACTTACAGGACCAGCGGGAACGGAATCGCTATGCGCTCCAGCAAAAACGATGTTATCCTTGTCTCCACTCTTTGACGTGGCGATGACATTGCTCGAGTACCGAACCTCAGTGAAGCCAGTCGCTTGGATCTTTCCCACCACCTCTTCGCCAGCCTCGATGGCAGCTATCAACGCCTTTCCTTGCACACCTGAGATACCGCCAACTGGAACGTAAGGGCCTATGACGGGCCGACTAGGCTGGGCCAGTGACCCTCCACTCCCAAAGCCTGCGTCGATGTTGTTGTAGAGGATGGCACCGGATGCGCCGGCTGCACCCGCCAAAGCGACCTTTAGTCCGTACTCGCACTCGCCGCGCTGGATAAGGGCGATGCTGCCCGCTACTTCGTCGGGGAAATCCGCCTAAATGGTTGAAGCAGCAAGTCAGCCCTTGGGTGTATGAATAAGGTCAGGTCGTATGATCGGTACTCACAGCAGTGCACCCAAGAGCATTAACAGGGACGATGGGAGCTTCCACGTCCCCCGCTGGACCATACGTAAATGGAGCAGTGGCATACTGCTCCTCGCCTACGAAGAACTGCACTCTACTCTCCGAGTACTGCCAGGGGAACGTCTCGAGGTAGGTGTCATAGTACCCTGTCTCGTCCAGCAACTGTTTGATATAGTCAACAGTGGCGTTGTGGCCGAGGGACCCGAATGCGCGATTCCTGCCGATGCCTGTGCTTGTGAGGTCAGCGAAGGCATCGAGTTGACGGGCGTGGGCGAGGAGGTTGTGCGCTGAGATGGAGGCCTGGAGTTCGTCCGAGTCGACGAGGGGGCGGTGGGGTCCTGCTTGGATTTCCTCTGGCGTGGCGGAGATGAGGTAAGGCCGAAGAGATACTAAAAGAGCGATGAATGGGAGTGGGAGCTTCATGGTTGGTTTTACGGCGACCTTCTCGTTTCTCTTGCTCTCTTAAGGTTTGGAGGGGTGGAGAAGTTGTGTTGGGGATGGCGGCATTATGTTGAAAAGAAGGTCGAGAAGCTGATCTTCCAAGGCATCTGCGAAACCGTATGGGTCGTCGCAGGAAGTCACAAAGTCGATGCTTCAATTGAATCGGAAATTAGTATTGCACCATTCGAAGCACGATAAGATAAGAAGGCGAACCTAGATCGGCTGGAGTACTGGAAAACGAGTCACTGTAGAAGGTTAGGACGATTCAAACCAAGAGACCACAAGACATCAATGGATTGGATCCCTAAATTGAATCTATATTCTCCCAATAAATTACTGCAAATCCTCTAGATACAACAGATGATACAGATGTCGAGTCCATTCTGAATACATGGCCGGCAAGCACCCTGGAACGATTTATGAGCAAATAGCGAGCAGAAGGATGAAAGGGGCGACACGTACAATGCAAACAATCGGAGTGCGCATCTGGCCTTTGAAGCGCCATCTCCCAAAAATCTACATACAGCCATTTCGGTCCCAGCCCCGCGCCATCTAGGTCTTCTGGGTCTACGCCCATCTCCAAGGTTGTCTTTGTTTTCATCTTCCTCTCCTCTTGCAATCGCGCGACCTCGGTCTTCCACAGCCCGTTGTGAACGTTGAACATATCCCAGTCCCAGCGAAGACGGACCCACGCTGGTCCGGCCGCTTCTCCGTCATCTTGAGCCCATTGTTTCACGTTTTCAACGTAGGTGGCCTCAGCGTTCCGTGCTGCTTCGTAGTTAGGATAGGGGAATTTCTTTTTCCTGCAGTTAGGGTGGGCGGGACTGGTGCTTCTGTAGATAATTTTGAATTGTCGAAAGACGGAAAGCTTTTCGACGAGTATTCTCATCTAGTCATGTGTTTGGTTAGGTGACGAGAATGTGATGAGATTGGAACGGCGGCGTACCATATCCTTGTACACCTCTGTTAACAGACGCTGCTCTTCCGCAACGCCCAGATTTTGGGGCAGCATATGGAGCGTACCTCTAGACCACTGGACAGATTGTCAGGCCTTTCCAAAAGCAGTTAGTAAAGGGTTGGGACGTACGTGAGCGCCGGTGTTCACGACAAGAATCGTATCCGCAGTAACACTATCCTCCTCCCCTTCCCGCGGTCTAGTGATATCCGCAAGATAGTCCTCCCAACCATCGACCCGCTTCATCTTCAAATGCCATGTAAATCCCTCTTCAGCACCGTGATTTTCTGTGATTCGTCGGATATCTGGGGGATGAAGCAGCATATGGTCCTCGATTATGTTGAAGATGGGGTACTTCAGCCGGGAGTCGGGTACACCCGCGCGTCGTTGGAGTTCATAAGTGAGAGGGTCGTCGGGGTGCAGAATGTGTGGTCTGATTCCTTCGGTTTGGTTGCCGTTTATCACGACTGGAATCCTTTGGAATTTGATACCTCCTTGTTCGAGGTAGGAGCCGAATGCGTGTTCGTGGCCTGCTGACACAGAGTCTAGAAAGAGACGTGTCAGAGTCAAGCGGCAGTTTGCTGGGCGTTTGGCACATACCTCCCATGAATATTATGCCTGCCGGTGCTTTCAGCAAGCGCACGACAAAGTCCTCCGCGTCGAATGGGATCTGCTCTCCGGTTTCTGGTTTCCAGACCCAATTCATCATGTCGACCAGCCTCTGCCCTTCAAGCTCTTTCGTTTCCTCCTCCGTTCTCGTCACTCCTGGGGGAGGGCCATCAATGGGACACCTATGCCACGGAGAGCCGCCTTTAGCGAAAACCTCCTGAAACTCTTTCAAATTTGCAAACTGCGGCTCTCGGGGAACCCAACGACCCTTCAGACAAGCATTGTACCGACAGTACTTGGGGTCAATCCTTGGTTTGCCGTCCTTTGTCAAGCCTTCGTTGGGTATCACTGCTGGGGGCTCATTAACGAAATCGGCGCCGACGTTGTCCAATCCCGATGACCAAGGAGATTCGAGGTAGCGTTTGAATGCGAGAAAGCTGAGGTGGAGGAAGACGAAGAGGCCTACGAGGCCCAAGAGCCTGTTGAGGACCCTAGCCATGGTGGCTCGTGGAAAGATGGATGAGCGCTAGAATATTCATAGCGACAGGCCCGTGCGTAAGTGAGGATCAGTTGGATGGAAATGAGCCAGGATGCAACGCTACATGTTCGGATCAGAGGAAATCAATCCAAAAACCCCTAGCTATAGATGGAAAAAAGCTGTGCTGCTGTCGACGTCTCGCGGCAGCAGGTATCTTTATCATGGAAACAGGTCCTGTGGCACTTTGTCCACAGCTTGGTGGCTGAAGCAAGCGGAGAAGTCTAGATCCAAGAGAGTGAGGGTGAATTTAAGCGCCTGTACAATTTCAAGCTCAGATGATGGTCCTGTGTCGGACCGTGAAAAAGATGCAAAGTCCGCTTTTGTCGTGCTCGCCGTTTAGAGCGGCGTTGCGGGGCATCATCCCTGACGTCGACGCCGTCGAGCTCGATGAGCTCACCATCTTTAATCTCAGAATCAACCGCCGGCTTGTAGCCTCTCAGATCGCTAAGACTCTCTGAGGCTCAGACTTTGTCGTTGTGAGAGTTCAGACTTCCCGAATAGGGCCTCTCGGGCGTCGTCGTTCTTGTCGTTGAGGACGGTTTCAGTTCTTGGTTGGGTTATGATAAAAGGGTTTACAGCGTAGGGCTCTCTTTCTGCAGTCATGTCTTCAGGTATGTTCGCTGTTGCGGTCTGTTCTGTCGATGCTGACCATGGCCCGTAGGCACGTCGTCCGTCGCTTTCCCCGGCTCTGACCCCGCCATTAAGCAGATTGCTCAGCCCAGGGGCCCACATCTGCCCTTCAGACGGATTTCACTCCCTACAGCGCCTACCCCACTTCATAGACATAGCGTGGTTAGCGTTGCCTCTGCAGATTCGGTCCCTGAGGATGCCGAGGCGCAGCAACCATCTCGCCCTGGTGGGCTGCGAAGCCCAAGCCGTGCTCGACCCCTGTCTGTCGAGTCGCCTCGGAGGAGGACCAGGCGACGCGACTCGAGTGTGAAGCCAGCCATTAGCGATGCTGCTCGGGCACAGAAGCGTCGCAAGATTGTCGACGAGCTTTACGAGACGGAGAAGGCGTATGTCGAAGGCTTGGATCTCATTTATTCCGTGCGTAGTTGATCTTTAATTCCGTCATCCCAAGCTAACGGCGGTCTGTAGCATTTCCTAGCTCCCCTTATCGAGTCATTGGACACCCCAGAACCTATTCTCAACAGAGCCACCCTAACAGCAACATTTTCCAACTTTATCGACATCTGGAACTTTCACCGCTCCTTCTTTTCCGCGTTGGAAAAGTCAAGAGACTCTGTCACACAACTTCTTCTATCCCATTTCCCTTATCTCTCCCTCTACAACCCTTTTATTACACAGTTCTCGTCTATCATTTCCTCCCTAACCGATCTCGTTACCGTTCCCACTCTGGCGAGACCAAACCCACAGTATAACGCTACCTTTGCTGCGTTTCTGAAGGAAAAGGAGGCTGACCCCCGTTGTGGAAAGCTGAAGCTACGAGACTGGCTCCTCACCATTGTTCAGCGGTGCCCTCGATATCTCCTCATGCTCAAGGATCTTATTAACAACACCGACCCGGATGATCCTGAGCACGGACACCTGACTGAAGCTCATGGCTTGGTCTCTAAAAGTGAGTACAGCTGTAGACCCTTCTTGTATTCTCACTAATCCCGTTCCGTTTAGTCACTCTGGCCCTCAATGCTTCCTTGCACAGTCACGCTCAAACACTCGCCCTACTCGCCCTGCAACGCTCGACGTCTGGGTTGCCATTCCAACTCATCTCACCCGGTCGCACCCTGGTCAAGCGCGGAACACTCATGCAAGCAGAACGCAATGCCTCACCTCGCCCACGCGAGTTCCTCCTATTTTCCGACTGCCTCATCTGGCTCGCCTCAACCGATATCGCTGGAAACTCGTGGGACTGGGAATGGAGCATGAGCGGGTGGAGTAGTAGCAGTGCCAATATGAGCAACGGGAGTGGTAGCAACCACTCCTCCGCGATCTCCATGCCGAGACCCGTCCCACCTCCCCTTGTCAGGAGTCGCAGCAAGAGCGAAGCTGAACTCGTTCGTGTTGGGTCGGAAGGGCATCCTAGCTCTTTGCACGCGTCGTCCACCGAGTCCAGTGCTCCTTCGACCCCCATTTCGCCTTTGACTAGGGCTGTTCTGCACAGGAGGTCAAATCAGTTTTCAAATCCTCCTCCAGTCCCTCCTCCACCGACGTCTAAACGTCGGTCCATGGGGTCTTCTGACGAAAAGTGGGTTTACAAGGGTCGGACTGACCTCGTAGACTTGGAGGTCACAGTCGGGTCTGTGATAGGAGAGGAGAGACGGTTTGAGGTGCTCAGTCCGGATGGTAGCTTTGTCGTCTACGCTGGTAAGCCCCATTGACGTACTCTCCAGTTGCGTTTTACCTGACAGCGCCTTCCTTCTTAGCCTCTGAAGACGAGCGGGAAGAATGGGTTTCTTCTATCCGTCAGGCTAAAGCCCACCTACTCGTCACGCTGAACGCGACCAACCCCAACTCCACCCTGACATCGTCGTCATCTACCAATCACATCCGAAAGTCACTGCAAGCACTCCCCTTCCATCCGTCGGACGACCGGCTTGCTGCCCTTGGCTCTGAGGGCAATCACAAAGTGCTCACCCCCATCTCACCCAAGAAGGCAAAGGGCCTGGTTGGCAAGAAAGACAAGAAGGTCGAGGTACGCAGGAAGGTCGACCATTGGGTTCCACCTGTTTGGATCCCCGATGGGAGGACAAACGAGTGCATGCGATGCGGAAAACTATTTGGGTGGAGAAGGCGAAGGCATCATTGCCGGCTGTGTGGGCGATGCGTATGTGCGGATTGTTCTGGACGCGTAGGTTTCCCTGTTCGTGGTGTTTTCTGTCGAAGCTAACAGCACATCACCTAGACTTTCTTCATCGCTGACGCCACTGGCAAGGCCGAGTCTACAAAGCCGGCCCGTGCATGTGATGCTTGTTATGAGACAGTTTTCCCGATTGTGGAAGAACCCTCCGCAGAATCCTCAGCTTCTGGAAACGACGCCAAGCCTCGTGTTGCCACCGACACTATCTCTTCGTTGTCGAACCTCCCAGCATGGGTCTCGATGCCCTCGATTCCTTCATCCAAGCAACCAACGCCCCAGGCCTTGATGGCCATCGACGTCACCTGTAGCCCTGATACATCGGTCGAGGTCCATAACCCTCATCCTGGCAGGAACGTCTTGCTGGAGGATGAAGGTATCTTCGAAGATGGCCATGATGACCGCTCGCTTCAGGTGAAGGAGCGCAAGGGTGTCCTTCGGGTTAAACCTCACCATAAGTTGAAGAGCTACCACCAGATTTTGGAGGACTTCGAGGCACACGAGGATGATCATGATGGGAGTCCTGTTCGAGCGAGACCCGAGAGCAATCGTTTCGATTACGATGAATCGGATGGGTTCCCAGTCAGCCATGGAGGTATTTTGGAGGAGGAGGAGGACAAGGTGGTGATGGAGGAGGTCGCTTTGGAGGAGGATGTGGAGGATCAGTATCCTCATCTGTTCTTTACTCCGCCTGTTTCGAATCTTCCCTCGCCGCTTTCCTCACCTCGGAAGAGGAGGGAAGACACGGTTAGGAAGAGCCAACGCTACTCCCTCCCGGCCCTCGCCTTGCAAACGACACCGATTACCGCGCGTGCATCGATGGTCATCGAAGACGATGTTGATCTATCGAGGGATGGGGACGAGACGGCGGCGAGCCCGAACCGAACGAGGAGGTATTCCATTGTGATGTCGCCTGGCAAGTCGGGTGGGAAGGGAGGTTCGGAGGTTGGAAGGGAGGAGGATGATAATGCTGTGTCTAGGAGCTTGGCGGTGGACAAGCTGAGCGAGTTGTTGCATCGGCATTTGGGAAGGGATCCTTCTAGTTGAGAGGATAGGAGCGGAGGTTTGGGGCTTAGGTCAGGATGCCTTTCTTCGCGTTTCTGTTTACTTTTGGCTCCGCTCGGCATGATGCTTGAACGTTCAATGATCACGATTGTGATGACTTTTTTTAACTCTAGATTCCTCCTCATTTTGTTACTTTGTGTATTATTCTATGTATGTATCCACTATTCTTTCCTTGTGTTCGGATTGGCTTTTACTAGCATCCCTTCGTTGTTGTACCTCTCGTCATACCCTACCCATTTAGGCGCCCAATGAATAATAATTGAAAAATAACTGAAACGCTGAAGTTAAACGTTGAAGGTGACGTTCAAGTTGTCCCTAGACGCCAACGACACTCGCCATGGACTATGGTGAGGGTTTATACGACCGGTTCTCTCGGGGGGTGATCCCAATTTGTCGCAGGATCTCGCGGACTCTTTCGGAGCTGCCTCCGAGTCCGAGTCCGTATGCGCCAATAACGAGACGACGCCTCTCCGAGGGGTGCCTTGGACTGTATGCAATCCTGGCCAAGTCGGTGGACTCGGGCGTTTCATCTCTAGGCGCCGAAACCAGGGAGGATCGATTTGATGGGATGTGGGACGGGCTTGGCATTCATTTGCGTAGTAGCAGCTAGTAGTAGTAGTACAGAGGTCTTTGTCCTGGCGCAGAGTGCCTCGTCCAGTGTACAATCTCTTTACCAGTGCTGCTAGCTGTGTTGAGTTGAGCTGGTCAGTCTTTTTTATTTGAGAGCGGCAGCTCAAAGTTGTTTGGGGGAGAGAGGCACTCGGGATGGGTAGGTGGCAGTTAGGCGCCGGATCATTGACATTTGAGAACTTGAAATGAAATTGATGTACATACATTCGCGTAATGACAATGGCAAGCTAAGTAGCAGTGATTGATTCTGTGGCAAACACGCTGTAAGTATGTATAAGGGCGTTCATTCTGTGGACTTCTATAAATTCATAGCGTACCGACGTTGTCCAGACCTCGAACTTCCAAAGGTGCTTTATCCTTATCCTTCCATCCCCTCCGGGGCCTGACTCCAACTTCGCCATGCCTTCTCTCACCTGGTCCTTCGAAGACTCGTCCCCTTACTTCACATACACTGGAGCAGCCTGCAGGCTGGCGGTCCACTACATTCTGTAGGAATTATTATAATATAGTGGATACAGGTATCACCCCTTTATTATAATGCCATGGTTGCCCGTATAGCGGGGCAGGCGCGTGATGCCCAGCCACGCCCAGCCCCTGATGGACCTGCCAGGTATGGACTGAGCAGATCCTCCCGTCAGACAGATCAAAGACCTCCACCCCAAAGGAGGTACGTCCCCGGTTGGGGCCCGCCCTCGTGCGCGCCACTTCCCAATCGGGACCCACGCGCCAGGGACTGTCCCGAGTCTCAGCTTTGATGCTAAAAGGGGGTTGGGAAGGCGTCACCGGGACTGTGACTTCCCGCGTCCCGTCTGGGACCCCTCCGTGCTCGCGGGAACGACACGTGTTGCTGCCAAAAGGGGTTGGGATGATGTCGTCGCCCCACCCGGGATTCTCTGTGACGCACATCAAAACATGCGCATCAAAACATGCAAAGCGCCCTATCCTCCGCGACACAGGCCTGGGAGCAGCCCTCGCAGCCCGAATGTCCTCGCGCGATCCCCTGCGCCCTGATTCCTCATAGAGCCGTGCATGACCAGTAGGGAAAAAGAAACCAACAAAATAAAATAACAGCCACAGAAAAAAGAAAAACATGAAACATTCTAGGAGCAAAACATACTAAACGACATGCTAAATAGCTCAACCGCCTACCCTCCCTCCCTCTTCCTGTTCCTCATCGTTATCCTCAAATACCACTTCGTCGTCAGCGTTCGCCTCTACCGGTATAAAACCACTGCGCCCTTCAAAAACCACGAGCCTCTCGCGTATGTCACCCCACAACCGCTCCGCCGTTTCCAACATTCGCCTGCGGATCGAAATCTGACGCCGAGCGTAAGCCACCTTCCCGTCCCGGACGACCATTAGCTTGTCGACCTCCGACTGCCAAATCTCAGGTACAGTGTTGAACTCGGTCTGCCCCGGGGTTACGAAGTGCGGGTCTTCGGCACAAGCAGCCGCTCGCTTCTCCCAGACCTTGATCTCGTACTTCCAAAATTCCAATACCCGCCTCATCTCCTCTGCGAGGAGCATGCACTCCTCCTGCCAACGATGTGTACGCGCACGCGTTTTGCACCATTCCACACGCAGCTCTGATGAAAGACAAGAGGAGCGACATAAGCTTACGTCGAAGCACCAAGCCGGAAGGACGCACCGGTAGCCACAAAACCCTCCATCGAATCTCCCACCCCCGCCGTCGTCCAAATCCACGAGAGCACCCTGTGTCCCTCCCCTAATGCCTCATCGTCCCCCGTCAGCGCTTTGACGTCGTCATCCGCGAGTACCCGCAAACTGTCCTGCCAGCTGACATCTCCCGATATCAGTGACAGGTTGACAAGGGCAGCCCGGAGAAACCGGTACTTCACTGCCAAGCGGTTAAGTTTGACCTTCAGAGTGTCGAGGACGACGTTGCTCCGCGTATGCTGTCTAGTTCCGCTAGCATATCGTTTTTTCGACTTCCAAAGTTGAGAGCGGAACATGAGCACCACACGAATATCGTGCAGTGCCGTCTCGGCCTGAGCCACGCGGAAACGCTGTTCACACTCGATAAGCCGCTTGTCGCAAGTGATCGACCCACAAATCGACGAGGGCAGGTACAGAGCCACCTTTTCCGTCGGGTCGTTAGGACCAGACTTCGAAGCTCGATGCGCTGACGCCTGGGGCATGAAGGAACCCTGGACGGAGATCCAGGCGTTGATCCGCCGTTGAACGGCAGTAGAGAGTTGCAGGACCTTCGATCGTTGAAGGTCGGTTGAGTGGGGTCCAAGGGCCTCGGATTCGTACAACAGGCGGCGTCTAAGAATTGACCGTTAGCAACGACGAAAGTAAAGGCAGCCAGAAACAGAACGTACTGGGCCATCCTCGAGCTCGATACCTTGGAAGATGAACACACTGGGTGTCAACTCAGAATGAGGCGACGACAGTGTTCCATCCTTCGCGGCCTTCTCCTCTTCCTCCGCTAGCTTCAATCGAACAGCACTCGGTGTCAGATCTGTCATTGGAGTGAGAAAAAGAAGGAGGGAAGCCCGAGCCGGTAAAGCCGCCTTACGTGTTTTAGGGGACGAGAAAGGGTTTGGCTTCGAATTGTCGGCCTCCCAAGCCTTAACCAATGTTGTCCACCCCTTGGGCGACTCCTCCAATGCCGCTGAGAACTCTCGGAAAGCCGTTACCATCTCTGAGCGTTTAGCCAAAGCCTCTAATGCACGATCCTTTAATGTTTCCGCTGGGAGACGCAGGTGTCAGCCAATGCATAAGTCAAGGAACCAGGACCTTGTACCCACCGATCTGGGTCGTCTTCTTCCAATTACGATCACCCGCGTGATCGTCGTAAGCGTCTCTGCGACAACCAGGACCCATCTGCATAGTGCTGGATGCCAGCTTGTTCGTGTCCGCGAAAGAACGCTCGGGACATTCCCCGTCTGTTCTGCCTACCCCTTTGGTAAAGTTAAAAGAGTACGCCGTCTGACATTCGCTGACATGGGCCGGGAGATGGAACTTTGGGACGAGGAACACAAAAGCCAGTTGCAAAACGGAAGCCGTCAGATGGCGGGGGTACTTCTTGAGGCGATCCGCGAGATTCTTCGACCATTGACATGCGATGTCGTGCGAAACGACCACCCACAACGGAGCCAGAAAGCAGAGCGTGGAGAGGAAAACATAATCCATGTTCACATATCTGCCAGAGTGTCAGAAATTGGGAGACCTTATGGGTCGGGAAACCGCTGACCGTTCACCCTTCTGCAAATCACAAACACCCAGAGGGCGGGCCATGTCATGGCGGCTGCACTGGGCGGTCCCGATTCCGCTGGCTGCAGTCCCTCTTCCGCCGCGGATACTGGCCGATTTGATGGCGTCGTGGTTGTTGCACGTACTCTTGTCGTCTTCAATGAGAGTGTTGTAGATGGTCAAGTGATGTTTGAACTGTCGTTCCTCCACGAAATAAGCGTACCCATGACTCAGCCCGGGGTCGTTTTCGTCGCTAGATACAGCCTGCCGCTTGAGGCGGAAGTTGGCGTCCAACGCGATGAACAGTTGGTAAATAAACCTGGGGGCATCGGTCAGCTGCGACAAACGACCGCGATCACCCAGCACCACCCACCTCTTCTCGGGACGGCACCTCTCCCAACCCTTGGGGAGATTGATGCCAGGGTAGGGACAGGCGGGGCACAATACAGCACATGCTGCAGGTGCGGTTCCCCAGCTCCCACCGGCGTCATGTCCGCGTCCTTTTCGCTTCAAAACACGCACGTGTCTCCACACATGTACCATCCTAAGGAAAGGCACGTAGCGGTCCTGCGCAGGACCCGATCAGTGTCAGGTGTGAGGCTACAAAGCTAACGGACTCACCGGAATCTTGAGAGTCCCGGTATTATCTGACCGACGAGCGAGAGCCTTGTAATACTCCAAAGCGGATATCTTGGACGTGAAGCACAGCATCTGGAAGGTCTTGAGGACGTCGAAGGTGGCCGCCGTTTTGGGGTCGATCGTAGTTGCAGGGAATAGTCGTGCTCGCAGGAGCTGCACAAAGTGGGAAGGTGCTCCAAGGCAGCCACAGAAGTCCAGGCCGATACAATGGATGCCGTCTGAAGACACCACAACAAAGTCGTCGTTAAACGCGCGAGCCGGTACAGGACAAGTAGTTCCGGGAGGGTGCCCAAGCTGAACGCGTAAACCGAGAGACTTGAGGGTAACTCTTTCAAAGAATGCCCCGTTCCAAGCCTGTCGCAGCGTCAGCATCCTTCCTCACTACCCTAAAGCAACACTCACATGGATAGAGTGATAAGGAGAGGACGCGTGGCGCTCCACCAAGCACAGGCGACAATAAAGCTCCGATGAGAAGCAGTCCTCGCAGCGAAAGGCCTGCAAATCATCATCCAGAGTCAACCCGCATGCCTCGCACTCCAAAGGGGGAGTCGATATTGTCTCCAATCTCAATAGCTCGTCCAGTATCGTGTCGACCTCGTCGACGAAACCCAAAAAGGGATGGTCGGACTGACACCCATGAGTGAGCCAACGGAAATGGTAGAGACGTGTGAATGGGCTCACCGCGTAGTGCCGCTTCTTCTTCTCGCGTCCGGACCCATCCACCTCAACAGACTCTTCCTTGTCACCAACCTCCGGCCCGTTGAAGAAATCTTCGAGGTTGGAGTACTCAAGGATCGTATCTTCATCGGCGATGGGACGAGATGCCCCCTTCTTGTGCGGTGAAAGGGGGACGTTCACGAAGCTGGTGGATGTGTGGATGTCGCCTGCGACGCCCGCCTCGTAGGTGGTATGTTCCTCCAACCGGGTGCGCTGCTCTTCCCGAGGAACCCAGGAGGGGTGCTCCTCGCAATCGAATGTGTCCCTAGCCCGCGTTTTTCGTTTTCTTCCCATCGTCGAGGTATAAAGGTCGAAAGCCAGAAGACTCTTGCCAGTCACGGCCCGAGCAAACGTACGGGTAGGCCCGGTGGGAACCCCAAGCAGTTCTCATCGCGGTATGCGTAACAAAGTCCGGTCCACGCCGACACCCACCCAACCCGCCTGGGCGAGGAGGAGAGTAAAAGCAGAACAAGAAACGGTGTAACATTCACGGCGTTGGTACACAAGATGTTGGTAATACAAATACATAAATATGCGGAGATCGTGATTTTTGGTAAAAAGTCCGCAAGCGGAGTGTCAAACAAACGGCGCAATCGTCTATCGCCTTGTTCCCGCCGCGGCGAGGAATCAGTCGTCGACACCCTCCTCTGAGGGACCAGCAATGACAATGTCAGTCTCAGAGTCGGAAAGATCGACCACCTTGACCCCCTTTCCCTTGCCCTTCGCGCTTTTCTTCCCGACTCTACCGCCCTTCTTCGCGCCGCTCACCTCCCGTGTCTTGCCCTCGTCGACGACACTCTTCTTTGAGGTGGAAAGGCTGGATCCGCCGGCGTTGGCCTTGTAGCCACGTTCGCTGTCAGAAACAACCGCAGCGTCCTCCCAACGCGGGTCCGAGGTTTTCTGACCCTTGGAAGCTTCCATCAACCGCTTTGCCACCAAAGCCTCACGACGTTCAGCATGCAGGCGGCGTTGGCGTGCCATCGCCATAAGCAAACCCCCAGAGAGCGTCTGGAAACAAGGCTGTGAGAAGGGAGGAGATCCGGCAGTCGACTCCACGCACCAAGGGTTCCGCGGGGGCAGCATCCCCTCGGGGGGGACCACCACAAAGCAAGGTGAACTCGAACTCCTCGCGGAGGTCAATCTGGTGGTCGGACATCAGCCCAGGCAGGTAACGACGCGAAACTACACTAGCTTACCAAAACACGCTCCCATCGGACGCCGCGAAAGCGCCAGGTCCTGACCTTCGCCCACTCGACGGGCGGCATGATGGGATAGCGTTCAACGGACCTCCTCGCCAGCTCCCTCGAGATCCACTGACAAATACTGTGAGTAATACGGACCGTCTGGCACGAGATGGGGTCTGACCTTCCTCTTTTCAGCGAACGCATCGGCCGCCCGGTTCTTGTTGAAGAAACGCGTCACGGTACAGTCGAAGTTCTGGATGTGGAGGTTCGTTACGTCGTCGATGAAAGCCTCGACGGTCCTCTTCTGGGTTTCTGGGCCGTACCAGAAGGAGCAGTCGTCAAATAGCCTGTTCTCCAGGTGGGTGAGGGGAGGGGTTGTCATTTCGAGCCTGCGGCGGGTGGGAGAAAGTTTAACATTATCAGACCAGGTGGCAACAGCAAATACGGTTAGGGTTGGGCTCACGGATGCGGGTGAACGGACAAGATAGACTCGAGAGGGGTCCTGCAAGGGAAGGGAAGAAAGGAAGGAAGAACCGTCAAATCCCCAGGCAGCCAGTTTTTATGACAGGCGGCAACGTTGTTTATCCTCGGTTTGGGGTTCGACATCCCCGAGGTAGGTCGTCGAGGAAGCCTCCGGCCCTGCGATACTCATGACCTCGACTGTGGTGGAGGGAAGGACTGGTAAATTACACAAAATTGGGTACAATTCCAAGCTAAATTCTACCTATCCAAGGGTGCTTTTTTCGCGGAAATCCGAGCACTTTGAAAATAAAAGTCAGACACTCCACATAAAGGTCAAGGGTTTCCATCTGATTGCCGCCTTTGAGCGCTAACCACGACCATGGGTCGCTCCCGAAAGTACCACACGGACGAGGAGCGCAAGAACGCTAACCGAATCAAGAGCAAGCGACACTACCACAGGTGTGTATGCAACTAATTTCGTGTTTAAAACCCACTGACGAGCCCTACACCAGCAACCGTGAATCTATAGCACTCCGGCGCCTGGAACGCCGTTCGAGCAAAAAGTGATGACCAATTTCCCTCAGCCTCACCGCTGCGGTGCACAACATGCTGACCTCCCTTTTCAGAGCCCCTTCGTTACAGGCAGCCGCTTCGGCGAGTTCAACCACAACCACTACCGAGTTATCCAGGTGGGACTCCTGGCCTGTGCACTCAGCATTGATCGTGCGCTGATACTGGACTCAGTGATCGTTTCTCAGACCCAGTATATTGGGTTGACCGGGCGAAGAGACAAGAGCAACAAGTGGCCACGCTGCTATCGAACCGTGAGCCACAGCGCTTCCTCAGGGACCTGGGTGAGGATATTGCGACGGGGCGAATGGGAGAGCAAGAGGCTCGGATGCGAGTGGAGGAATACCTGAATGGACTCTCTGCCATTCGCAGGCGAGTTGACACAAGCCACGGCCACGTTCTCAACCTGGTAGGGGTTGGCGACCAACTGAGCAGAGTGTGCGCCGCCTATATGGTCATCGACGCCGTCCAGCGCCCGCTAGAGGAGTTCACCGTCGCACTTCTCCTCGGTCTTCCCGAGTTCACCAGCCGTTTCTCGAAAGGGGAACTCTTCGCCACATAGAACCAGCCGTCCGTGGCATGTAATCTATCACTACTAGGTGTAAATAATTTCTTGAACCACGGAACGAGCTCGCGAGGTACCCTGAAATGGTTGAGCACCCATCAGGGGCGGGGTAAGTCGATCCGGCGAAGCCGCGAGCGAGACACACTCCCGATTATTCCTTACGGTTTAGATCTGGGCACGTTCACGGGGATTTCCTGCCTGGACTGCTTAACACAGCGGAGAACAAGAAATAGCATTGGCATTGTGGAGACAGACACAGCAGAGTAGGTGACAGGTATGACGAGCACAGCAGGTACAACACAAGCAATTAAATATCGGGGAGCAGTGTCCGAGCGGGGGAGGGCGACGACTGGATACCACGACGTGTACATAAAGGAGGAGTTCAAGGATCGATCTCAGCGGGAGGGAAGGAAGCATCCCCGAGAAGGTGTGCCTCATGGGCGGCAACACCCGCGGGGTGGAAGGTGTCAGGGTTGGTGTTGTCGACGCCGGGCCATTTGACGTTTCCCGCCTTGCACGCTTTGGCCCACTCAGCCAGAGCAGCTTCGCGGGAGGGTGCCTTGGTCATCGCGGCGCCCGAGAACCCAGTTCTTGACGGTGTGGAAGCCCTTGTACACCCCTACCCTCTGCCCTGTGGTGATGCAGTACCAGGTTTCCTTGGCGTCACGCACGAGATTGTAGACGTTGCAGTTGGCGCACACGAAACCCGTGATGCTGCCAACGTCGCGAGGAGGGTTGCGCACGAAAACGCTGGTGCCCCCGGCGGTGGCGAGGTGGGTGAGATGGTCGGCATGGTCCATGACAACATCGAAACTGTCATCGCTGGCGGGGGTGTTTGGCTGCGTGTCTAGGAGAGCCTTGAGACGAAGTAAAATACGGTGTTGAACAGTGACTTACCGTCCTGACCCCCGCGCAAGACAGTGAGCGCGGCGGCGGTGGGAAGACCTTCGAGTGCGGCGGTGACCGCGGCTGGGTGGACAGACATCGCCTGGAGGACAGCGACAAGGGCGGAGATGACTTGCTGGGTGGTAGGCTGGGACATGACGGTAAGCGCGGATACGATTTGACTGCTGATTGATGGTAAACGAGAGCCCACTCTTCATATTTATTCTGCTCTTGTTTGGCGCAGTTGACCAGGGTGCCAAGCAGGACCAAATGCGACTCACTGGTTCTTTGGCCTCCAGTCGTGGTCCACCCATTTTTGGGCCATCGAGATAGTGAAAAAAAAGGTTATATCCGCCTAACCCAGGTGAGTCTTTCGTCCCTTCGCGAGAGCTAATCGCTAATCTGGCACGGCGAGGTCAGGTGTTTCACCATGAGATTCATCCGACCGATGATCGAGTACATGGAGAGTTAGTACCCGAATTTTAAGAAGGCACAGGACGGTGGCCAGAAGGCTCTCTCTGCGTTCTGGGTTGGCATCCATACGCGTGTTGAGCTGGGGTGGCCTACACCCGCGGACGAGCTAAAGGCCGAGCAGGAGGCGCACGCGGCGGCGGTGTCCGCAAAGGGCAAACGCAAGACTTGGCGACCTGTATCGGCGGAAGCGTACGCGTTTGCGGACGCGCCATCGTTCGACCTGGCGAAGTGGAAGAAGGATAGGAGACAGGTGAGCATTTTATGACAGTTTTTAGGTCGCGATTGCGGGCGCTAACCTTTTCTCTCGTCTATTTCCAGCGCGTCTCGCGGTGGTTTTACAACACTTCAGGCACCGAGGAGAAGAAGAAGGCGGAGATTAAGGTCGAATTGAACCCCGTCCCTCCTGGCCAGCCTTCGCGAGCCCTCACTAAGCAGCAGCTGTATTCGAAACGTTACTACAAAAAGAGGGTTAAGAAGAAGGTTCGTGCCGAGTTTGCCAAGCTTGGCCATCCCCCCACGGCGGGGGAGAGGATTTCCATCATCCATCGCGTGACCGAGGAGTGCTGGAAGAATGAAACCCCTGAAACGAAGGCGGAGATTGAAGAGTTAGAGAAGCAGATCCTGGAGGAGAGGGAGAAGCGGAAGGAGGTACTCGCCAACGTGTTGCTCGATGCCATGGAGCGCGATGAAGAATCGCCGGAAACCTACATTCGGTATGTGGCTCCTTTTAGATCGCTCTGGGCTGCTGGCCTGACCCTCGTTCTCAGAAACATCGAGGTGCTGAAAGAGATCTTTAACGGGGTGCTCTCGGCGCTGGCGAAGAAGACCGGTTGGAGCTTCACGGTGCTCTGTGGTGGACCTGATCCCATGAAAAACGACGGCGAGATCAGGACTGTTTCGTACCACGAAGGTCGCAACGTCCATGGACTGACCTTCAACAAGGCCCATCCCACGTTCCACGACACGTACATCAAGCCGTTTTCCGCTTTCCTGCATATGATTTATCGTAAGTCTAGTCGCGTGTAATTGGATGAACAGCTGACTTACTTCGCCGATCATCTAGCCGAGGATGTTCGCAGAGCCAGGGTGCTGAAATCGCCGCTACACGCCGTCATGGACGTAATGCTACGGTTGCCCCGAGGATGGTGAAGCTTCCGACGAGTTGGACGAGGCTCGTGAGGAGGTCCTTGGCATGAATTTGGACGAGCCGCACGAGGAAGATGGTTCCTCTACCTCGAAGCGGCATCCGGGCGAAACTCCGATCCCGGCTGTCGCAGACGCCGGCGGTGCACCTGCTCCTCCTCCCGTCCGTGACGTAGGCACTCCCCCTGAAGCGCCGATACGCCCTCCTGGGCCTTCCCCTGCGAGTGCACTCGCTTCTCCCCAGGACGTTTCGCAGACCCGCATTGTTTCGCCAGTCCCAGAAGGAACCTCCACAGTCCCCACAGTCCCAGAAGCAGGCACCACTGTCCCCCCCCATCCCCATTCCGCCATCCCAACGCACTGCTGTCCCAACGGGGCCTCTGGATGAGCTGAAGGAGTTGATGGACGAAGCTGCACATGTCATGGACCGTCAAAGGGTAGATGGTCCTCTTGCTATGGCTCTGCGACCGGTGATGTGCTGGCTAGCACAGAAAGCACAAAGAAGAGCAAGAAGACAACCGGCGGTCCCGAATCGAGTGGAACTTGTTGTGAGACAAGTGACACGAAGATGAAGACCGACGGCCGAATCTAAAGACTTTTAGGTACTGTCTGTACGTTGGCACGCAAGTTCGACGGGGTTGTTGTTTTAGTAGACTAAGTTAACGAGGAGAAGACTCTCTGACTCGTATAGAACGGTTTTTAGGGTTTTTAGAGCTTTGAAAAGGCTCTTGACTTTATGCAGGTGGTGTTTTGTATTTTGTTGTGCTCTACACACAAGGGAAACACTAAGTTCAACTCGCGACTCGATTTAAACACGACTTAGACTCGAAACTCGAATTTGGACTTGGAAACACTTAAAACTCGTCCCGGCGGGATCACTCGTTGACTCGTTTTAAAAGCTCGGACTGCGTGTATTCACGCACAAACTCGGACTCGACTCTAACTCGTTAACTCGCTCACTCAACACTCAGAGAATTCCTCTTTGTTTTACTGAACGACTCGTGCCGATCAGGACAAGATATATAATCGAGTCAAAGGGGTATCTGTTGATTCTTTTGCCCGGCGGGCCTATATATATGGTACAAAATGTTTGACTACGAGCTTTAAAACAAAGACTAGCAAAGACTATAAAACAAACCGAATACATGCGCATGATACAGAAAATGAGAGTAGAGAGACGGAGCGGAGGTACGAGAGAATCAGAAATACGAAATAGGAAAGATACGCGACAAAAGAAGCCCCGGCGGTGTCGTGCCGAGTATGCCCATAGGCGTCTATTGATGCGCTGTTGAAGCGCGTGAATTCTGGTAGTTCCGTCCAGTCGGAACGGAACCAATGTGTTGTGGGAAACTCCATTGTTACTCCGTGAAGATGCTTCCGCGGAAACAGATGGTATACCCTTTTTGTAACTACCGCCGGAGGGCGGCGTATGGATTCATCGTTCTGTCCCTTCTCTCTGTACTACTTCTTTTCTGTTGACAGGGTCATGGGACTGTTAGTACCCTGTTTCATCTGTCCTAGAGAGGACACCTGTCCAACGGAATAGAACCTCTCGTGTGATCCGTTCCTGGTCCCGTCGTTCTGGTTATCTTATCTCAGCTTCTATCTTATCGATCTCGTACCTAATCCGTAGAGGTCCCTTTTTGCTTTCCGCGACTGATGGCTGATTCCGACCGTCCGGCGGCGCTTATGGGCGTTTCCTCTTAGGGTACTGACAGGCGCTGGTGCTAAGTGTCGTCGTTCTTGTTAAGTCGCTACTAGCTTTCTAGTCGATTTGAAGTCGATCGTGCACTCCCATGGATAGTCTTGCTCCCGGCGGTGAGGACTTCGTGCCAAATTCTCACTACCGTAGTTCGATCTTCAATCGGTCCAGTACACATCCTTAACCCGTCAGTTACTACGGTATCAATGATGCGTTACGTTCAACCTCTTTCAGAGTCGTTCTTAGAGTTCGACTTAGTTGACGACTCTGGGCTCGGTCTCAACTCATACGACAGAATAAGTGACCGCCGGTTATGAAAAACACAGTGCCTTAGGGCTTTTCAGTCACTTATCGAAATGTACGCTTTACCGGACGAAATTAGTCCGGCGGTGTGTTATTCGCGATTTTTGAAGGGTCAGATGACCCTCAGGCGTAACATCTCCCCCCAACTTATGAATGAGGACTGTCCCCAGTCAGATTCTTGTCGAAGTTCTTGGAACTTCGACATATACGATCCGTCACTCCTCTTGACATCCGACTTCTGAAGTTCTTCGCCACCTTACAGGAACTCCAATTCACTTCTGCTAGACTAGCCCGTCGTCCCAAACTTGGACTTGTCGTGATACGGTGGTGTTTTGTGATCTGGCGCTTAAGTGGCTCTTGAATCTGCCGCCGTTACGACAAGACATCAAACGTTGCTTTCAAACGTACTTTGGATCGACAATTTCGCTTTTCTACTTTCTCTGATCTTTCTGCCCTTGACTTAGATGAGTAGAGCGTTAAATTCTAGTGGGGTTTGATACCACATATTAAGGGTCAAGCTGCCGTGGTTTGACTCCTGTTAGGGTCTATCACTTTCCTTTTTGGGAAGTACCAGCGTTAATACTTTCCCCACCTCTTCTCATGAAGTCAGTCTGCGCTCCTAGAGGGATTATCCGCTCGGGGTCGTTCTTTGGCCTATATATAGGGGACGACCGCCGGTCTTCCCTTCTCCAAGCTCCTGGCTTACTGTTGTACTGTGCTATCTTTCATCGATGTCCACTCCTCAACCTGCTACTCTCTCCGGCTGCGAGGCATTCTTCTCGCCTCAGCAGTTCCTCATCCAAATTGGCGACCAACGTCTCCAAATTGACGACAACGCTGAAACGTTCCGTCTCTTTCGTTCTTCCCCTTATCTTCGACAGTGCTGGAATTTCATCGTCGACCACCTCAATCGTTTCCTCGGCCAATTCAGGTTCGAGGAGGCGTTTATATATTCCCCTGAGTGGGACTTCTTATCTTTCGCCACTTATAACGACTTGGTGAGTCTTTGTGCTGTTTCTTCAACTTTCTGTCCTCTGACTTGACTTTTCAGTGTATCTTACAGAGGTTGCCCGGCGGTCATTCGCTGATGGCAGTGAGGGCCTACACCATGGCCTTCATGACTGTCTATCAAGGCAATGACGGTCCCCCTGGTCATCCTCGCTACCCTCTTACTGCGCCTTACTCCTGGCGGGCCTGGGCTGAACCTGTCCACCGAAATATGGGCATTCGTCGAATGATGAACGTCGTCTTTACCGACCCCCAGATGGCTATCTTAAGGTTGACCCGTCCTATTGTTCCTTCGGCGGTTCGTCTTACCTTATCTATCTCTTCTCGGCTACTTACTTACTATTCTTTTGTTAGGACGCTGAGATGCCGTTCCTCATCCCTCGTCGCCTTCGTGACAACACTTTACGAGGATGGCGACTCATCTCTCCTCCAGCGTTGCCTATGGATTGGGCTACTTGGAGGGCAGATCCTCACTATCAAGTAAGTTTCTGACTGTCCCGGCGGGTGACGTATTACTGAGGGATCCAATATCTAGCACTGGCACATCTATATCGATGTGGCCGTCTCTTTTGAAGAGGCTTTGGCCAAGTACAGGCGGGAGCGAGCTGCATGGCTCGCTGACCACACCTCGCCTCCTCCTGGTACCCCTGTTATTCGTCATCCTCACCCTCAACTTCCTCGTCTTACTGTTCGTCCTCGCAATTTTTCGCCGGGCGTCGTTCTGCCGCCCACTGCTCTCTCTCGAGGGGAGGGACGCGAATCTGCTCCTGCCTCCCTCTCGCCTTCTGGTACTTCGAGTCTGGAACGTCAAGTCTTTGGTACCAGCTCGTCAGTCTCCCAAGCGGCTCCTGCTTCTTCAGTGCCTCCTGTGTCTACTCTGGGTAAGTAGGCTCTTCTTTCTTCTTTCGTTCCTTTAACTGACGAGTTGACGACTCCCTAGACGACCGTCGTTCCGTGTCATCCTCTGTGGCCGCGTCTGGTACGGGTCTGACGACGGGGGCGGGAATGGATTCTCGTTCTGTCCCTTCTCTCTGCTACTACTTCTTTTCTGTTGACAGGTCATGGGACTGTTAGTACCCTGTTTCATCTGTCCTAGAGAGGACACCTGTCCAACGGAATAGAACCTCTCGTGTGATCCGTTCCTGGTCCCGTCGTTCTGGTTATCTTATCTCAGCTTCTATCTTATCGATCTCGTACCTAATCCGTAGAGGTCCCTTTTTGCTTTCCGCGACTGATGGCTGATTCCGACCGTCCGGCGGCGCTTATGGGCGTTTCCTCTTAGGGTACTGACAGGCGCTGGTGCTAAGTGTCGTCGTTCTTGTTAAGTCGCTACTAGCTTTCTAGTCGATTTGAAGTCGATCGTGCACTCCCATGGATAGTCTTGCTCCCGGCGGTGAGGACTTCGTGCCAAATTCTCACTACCGTAGTTCGATCTTCAATCGGTCCAGTACACATCCTTAACCCGTCAGTTACTACGGTATCAATGATGCGTTACGTTTCAACCTCTTTCAGAGTCGTTCTTAGAGTTTCGACTTAGTTGACGACTCTGGGCTCGGTCTCAACTCATACGACAGAATAAGTGACCGCCGGTTATGAAAAACACAGTGCCTTAGGGCTTTTCAGTCACTTATCGAAATGTACGCTTTACCGGACGAAATTAGTCCGGCGGTGTGTTATTCGCGATTTTTGAAGGGTCAGATGACCCTCAGGCGTAACACCGGAGGCTGGTTCCCTTGCGTCAGATATGGTCTCGCTTGGCGCTGACTACAGCGACATGACCTCGATGCCCTGGCCTGATCGTTCTGCCCTAAGCCTGAATTACGTCCTCCCTGCTCCTCCTCCGCGTGATGACGAGTCTCCTCCTGTCTTCGGACCTAGGGTTCCAGGTGGGCTTGCGGATATCACCAACGGGCAGGGGGCTAGAGTGGATTCCGTATCCGCCGAGGATGGTTCTGACGAGGCGGGTTTGGTGAGGAAGAGGGGTTTGGAACAGTCGACTGCCAGTGAAGGTCGGGGGAAGCGAGCTCGCAGAGGGAATCGCGAGGCGAAGTCGTGGGTGGCAGATATGGCCTCGTCGTGGAAGAGCAGATCTGGATCTTCAGCGTGGGTTCGGTGTGTGGACTCCTGGGAGGAGTTTGAGAGGGACAAGGTGGTGGAGAGTCGTCTTCCGAATTCGAAATCACGTCCGGCAGAGGTTAGCCGCTGGGTGACTTCGGGCAGGAAGATGGGGGTTGCCCCTCCGATTGACGACATCGACGACTTCGGGAAGCGATGGGTGGCCTGGTGGTCGAGTATGCAGCCCAAGTGGCGTAAAATTGGGGTAGATGGCCTACCTGTACCGATAGGCTCTTCTGGACCTGTCCAATCCCTCTCGACTGTGCGAAAACCCGGCCCTACGGGCATTGCCTTCGTGTTGGAAACTTTGCTTTGGTGGAAAGACGGCAGTGACACGCGACTATGGGAGATGGCGGTGGATGATATGCGCTCGTGCCTCGTGCCCAACGAAACTGATCGTTGAACGAGTTGGATGCCGGCGATGGCTGTGTTGACATTTTTCGCACGGCATGTGGATCTGTTCCTTGCTCTTTACGTTTTGGACTTGTCGAGCCTCGAACGCTCGAACTCTTGGGTCTGTTGACATTTCCTTTGGACTCTGCGTGGTTTACAATCCCGACATCGTTTTCTTATGTTTAGCTTTGCTTGTGTACTTAGTGTAGGCGCTAAGTTGTACGTTTTTTAATAATGACAGGTTTTCTTGCTCCTTGGGGGATGTTTGGGGTATGAGGGGTATGAGAGGCGCTATTCTAGGTCTCTCACTTTTCCCGTCAGAGTGATCGGTGAAACCATTTACGTCCCAATTGCCTTTCTGGCGCGCCGGATGTTTTCCCTTCTGCATGGTGGTACACGCTTGCGCTCTTCGCATTTCTATGCTTTCGCTGTGTGTCCTTTTTTTGTGTGTTTTGTTGTATGTTTTTATGTATTTTCTTTCTGTTTTTTATGTTTTTCATATGTTTTTCCGCTTTTTCTTTTTCTTTTCATTTCCATCTTTCTTCGCGTTCTTTTTATGTTTTCTTTATGTTTTTCCGCTTTTTCTTTTTGCTTTTCTTTTCCATCCTTTTTCGCGTTCTTTTTCGTGGTTTGGTGGCGCTTTTTTCGTTCGTTCTCGGGGGCTTTTGTTACGGTTATGGCGTCTCATTTGGTCTTGCCTGCATCCCGGGAGGTAGTCCGTGGCTGCGTCTAGCCCCAGAAGGGCCGAGTGGGTGCGGGGGGCGAGGGGAGTGATGTCGGCGCGACCCCGTTTGTCTCGGAAATGGTCGCTGGTTATTGGCTAAATATAGATCTGGTTATTGGCTAAATATAGATCTGTCCCTGGTGCGTGATTATCTGTGGTGATGGATTGACGCCGCGAAGCGACAGCTGCCGTGGGACCTGTTCGTCATGGCTGATGGCGGGCGCTGGGCTGATGAACAACGTGTGGGAAGTGGGTTGCGGGAGTGATGGCGCCGCCCTGGTGCCAGAGGCTGATGGGGAGTGTCACCGGGTGTCACCTGGGTTTGCTTCTGGTGGGACTGATGGTACATATAAGGCATGTACGGATTATACACGACATTATAATAACATCGATCTGAGGGATCTAAGCGCAGATTATAATAACGCCCTGCCTTTTACAACCTCTGTATTATAATAATTAAGACAGAGTGTCCTGGGCGGTCTGGCTATAGCGAAGATGCCCTCTTGTCAAAGTATGTTCTTATAAACCAGCCCGGGGTTTCTCGTCGTCACAGTACTCAACCTCACGACTTCGTCCCGCCGTTATACCGACAGCTACACCGACACCAACTTCATGGGGACAGACACCTTGGGTGACTCGATGACCTTCCAATTCTACGGCACTGCGACTGGGATATACGGATCTATGCGGGGGAACCACGGTCGATACCAGGTGTCCGTGGATGGACTAGAGTATCCTGAAGGGAATGGAAGGACCGCCCAAGGAGAGGATCAATTCAATGCTACATTGTTTGAAGTGGAGGGGCTTCCGCAGGGAGTTCATGATGTGACGTTGGTCAACCGAGAGGATGCTTGGTTGGATGTTGACACTGTATGCATCCTCTTCTCCAAGTCATTCGCGGTCTGCAGGGAACTCAACAAGATGGTGTGTCGGGACAGGTCTCCTGGCAAGCCAGCATCGGCGAGGACGGAGAAGATATCATCGTGAATACTATTCAGGATTCTCATCCGACCTTTGTGTATCAACCAGCGGGCGCATGGAATACTGCGCCTGAGGGAGTAAGCTCGTTCAGTGGTGGATCGGGACAGTAAGTCGCTGGGGCCCTTGGTTTGGCATGTAACTGACCGCCATGATATTTAGCGGCACGTCACAGACGGGGGCAAGTGTAGAGCTGTTTTTCAGAGTCAGTTACCAAAAAGCCCGCTCTCGTCTCACAACACTAACCCATTTCATTACAGGGTTAGTCTCTATCCATTGCGGCTGCATACACCGCGGAACTCAGCATCTGTCCTGTTCTCAGGGGACTGTGTTGCTCTCTTTGGTTCTGCTGGACCGAGGGGTGCTTCTTCATACTCGGCGAGTGTTAATGACAGACCTGCGCGCTCATTCTCCGCCAACCGTCATTACCATCGGAATAAGCAGTTGCTATTCTGGGCTGGAGGTCTTGGGGCAGGAAATCATACATTAAGGGTTGTGAAGGATTCCCCAGATGCCGGTGAAGTTCTGGCTATTGATTACGCTGAAGTCTACACGACGGAGTCGATAGGGGGAAGGTATGTGATATGTCTGGGCCTACGTCGTTGAGATACTGAGCCGTACATTGCTTATAGCCTTTCGGAAGGAGGGGCCGTCGTGATTTCAGCGCCCGCAGTTACAGTAACGCACCAGGTGTAGGTGTAGTCACCATTGCTTCGTTGAAGGGCTCTGACATGCTATTTTTGATTAAGCCTCGTATCTGGCGCTGCTAATAACAAACTATCTTCAGGCGCCATTGCAGGTATTGCGACAGCGTCAGTTGTAGCAACAATCTCTCTTGCACTTGCAGTAATTGCAGTGCTCTTGATGATGCGCAGGAGAAGGGACTCGGAGAAGGGGGCGCAATGGGGACACTCCGGTGCTGTCAACCCATTGATCGCCCCGACCATGGCGTTGAATACGAATAATACAAGCGCCGCCGGCCAACCGTTCTCTTCAGTATCTGGGTTCCCCCCAAGTTATGCTAAGGTACGCACAGTGCACTGTATGTATCCACAGACACTAAAGTTACATGCTGGCTAGGCACCGATGATGCATCACGCCGGTGGACCCTAATCGAGAGAATAGCACGAAACCTCATGATCTGAGGGTTACTTTGAGGCGAAGACTGATTACTGGTCACCCGTCCCATTTCTCAGGAGGCCATTCCCTTTAAATTCTCTTCTTCCTTTTGATGGACGATCTTCTTCCTTTGCACAGTTGCCGCCGGCCGCGACGCATTGACAACCTACTTCACGATGGTTTGTTCTTTAGGAACACTTTGAACAGCTCGAAATTGTCTTCCTTTCGAATTTTCCGTTCAGATTCTCTCGTCGAGTACCCTTTTGTACACACATGCTATTGATTACAATTAAGTAACACCGTACTTCTAAAACCTTTCGACCGCCCTCGAAATTCGGGGCCGACCCGTCCATCAAGGATCCGGATGCGCGGCTGACTCATGCGTCGGGATCTGTGGTGAGTGCGTCTCTGCCCGTTACCCGTTCCTCCTCTTCGACCTCCCTCAACAAGACTTGCACCACGCTTTTAAAAGCATCAATCATATCATCATGTGTCACGTCCTGACCCAAACCTGTTGAAGACGTCGCAATACCGTCCCCAAAGAGTAATTCGCGCAATTTGCAAGCAAGGGGTCGCAGCGGAGCGAATCGTGGCAAGAAATGGGCGAGAAGCGTGGCCCGGAATGCGCTTTCATTGCACACCATCCCCCACTTTCGTATACCGACCTGTCTTGCTGCTCCATTGGCCTTGTTTATGTGCTCTCCTTGACCAAGGATGCGGAGAATTGCGTCAGTGGACGGTGTACCCCTAGGGATGGTCAAGGGGTTTTAAAACCCCCAGGGTAGAGGCCAGGGGTAGACCGGGGGTAGGGGTAAGGGTAGGTCTCCGGCTACCCTTGGCCAAACCCCTACCCCCAGCCGGGGGTAAGGGTTTTGATAAAAATCAACCAAAACTAGTGGGCTGCGGGCCGTTAAACGGCATACAACCGAGGCCTGTTGGGACAAAATGCCCCAAAACCAACAAAAGAAAAATCCGCAACATCGAGAGTCGAACCCTCGACCTCACCAGACGTCACGTGGCCTTCAGGTGTCGAGAATTTTGGACGCGCGAAACCCCGCGCAAAAGAACCCGAGTCCCAACAGGCCTCGGAACCTGTTTATTTCAACATCTGTGTATAGTTTCTACTAAATAACTGCTGTATGAGTGATAAAACACATCAAAATATCTATATAATCTACTGTAATTAATGATTAGTGCCAAAATGCTAAAAACCCTTGGTCAAAACCCCCAGGGTTGGGGGGTAAGGGTACTACCCCTACCCCTGACTGAGGGGTAAGGGTTTTGGGGGGTGGGGGTAAGGGTAGGTGTCCGACTACCCGGGGGTTACCCCTGTCCTTCCCTATGTACCCCCCAGGGTTCGGGATCCTTCAGTAGCGTGGCCAACGCACACAACGCAAAACGTCCAAAAGAATGACTCGAGGTCGTGTCTGACATGATGAGGACACTTTGGGCCTTGCACGAGCAGCTCAACTGCGACGGATGTGTAGTCGCCCTGTGTTTTAAGGTCAGTTGTCGTTCGTCAAGCAACATATGGTTCCGGGCTTACGTGGAGGCAGTTAGGATCGGAGGCACTGTGGACATCGTCCTGAAGCTGGATAGCGTGACCGAAGCTCGTCAGAAGTCCCGCTCGGAGGAGTCTCTTGGTCAATGGCTTGAGGACGCAATGCTGCAAGGAGACCAGGTCCAGGTATCTCGAGGAATCAAACATCATGATGCTCCAGACGCTTATGTTTCGATGAAGGATGTTGCAACCTTCGAGCAGATATAGGTGAGCTATGTTTCCGACATAAGTCACATTCATCCTCGACAGCTAAACTACGCACCTTGAATAGTGTCCATGAAGACAGACAGCAACTCCAGGTTGTCTCGATACGACAGGAGAGCGTCCGCGCATGGCACCATCGTTATCCGGCGAAGCATCAGTGGTTGAGGTTTCCGAGCAGGCGTGGGTTTCTTCGATAGAAGGAGGAAGATCGAATCCTTGCTACTCGTCAACACCTCGATTGCTTGCACCTGCGGGACTCCTGGAATATCCTTGATCGCTGAAAGGATACCAACTTTGCAGCCGAAGACCGTTCCCTCCCAGACCTCCTTTACAACGCACTCTCTCCCGCTCCTCGTTTGCCCCTGCCACACTCGAGTTCTTCGTGTCGGATAATGGGTGCAGCGTCTTTACAACACGGCATTCCAGGGCTGGGTTCCACCCCTTCAGAACCCTGTGGTCATCTTCATACACAATGAAGGGTGACTGGCCAAGCATGCGATAGGAGCCAAGTGTCAGTCCAGCCAGCATCCGTATGAATCGAAGAGTATCTTGGTGGGCGTTAAACAGCTCGGAAGACGCGAATCTCTGGTGGTCGTAGTACAGTAAACGGACTTGGGGTCCGTCAAACTGAGCACAGAGGTAGAACTGGCGGTCTTCTTGGGCTTTGAACACCCTGGCAGCCCCATTGAATGCTGAGCGGTACGACCGGAGGAACAGGCGGGCACCGGCGAGTGTTGGCTTGGACGGTCCATCGATTGGAACGAGCTCGAGCTCTGGTGTCCAATTATTGTTACTGTAGTCGATCTTTTGGAGGGTCCATATCCTTTCATCGACAGGCATCCTCGACTCCGCGCAAATGTCCCGCAACCTCCTCCCTATCATGTTCAAAAACACACATAGCTCCGCCGCGTGCTGTCCTCGATCGAAGGATACCGGGTACCCCTTCCAGGCTTGCGAGCTGGGTGAATAGATCTCATCATTATGGGTGAAGGAGTTGACGAGGGTGCTTGCGGCAAGTGGGAGGGCGGCGTCAGGGAAGAGGTATTCCACCAAGCCGACGACGTCCTCGTACTCTGCGAGGCCGTGGCTCCGAAGTGACAAAGGGGAAGCTTGCATGGGGAAGGAGAGAAGGGGCTTTTCGTCCAGGGAGGTGCAAGGCTTTTGCGGTAAAATGGCTCCTCCCCGCCTGGACAAAGGCTATCTCGTGGGAACGATAGCCTTGCCAGCTGAGCCATCCCATATCACCAAATGGCAGTGAGCCTATCGCTTTCTCGCCGTCGAACATTCCCGCAGGCATGACTCGCCTACCAGGGCGGATTGTCTTCTAGTAAGTCGTATTGTCGATATTTTTTCTTTCCTGGAAACGGGAACAAGTCTGACCGACAACCCCAGCCGAATCTCTATCCTTCTCGCCGAGATTCAAGCCCAAGCGGTTTGTGGCCACCAGGTGTCCGGCGGTGTCTCCGCATTGTCACCAGCTGTCATGTCTACAACTGGGCTGTTACTCGTCTCAGCCTTATGAGGCTTCCCAAAATCTCCGAATTTCCTCTACAAGGCGACATTATTATTCCCAGCGTCCCGCGGGCCAGGACTCGCGGGATTGCAATATCCACATGTCGAGTCAAAATAATTTCTCTGGTCTCGAATAGACATCCAAGAAATACGCCGGACTGTACAAATTGCCGTCGAGTCCTCCTTAGGTTCGTCGACAGCAGCGGCGCTGACGCCTTTCGAACTTCCAAATTATTGAGATAAATTACATGTTAATTGGAAATGGGTCTAGGCTACAGATAGAATGTTCCATGGATTCCTAATGTACCGATGTGCGCTCTTGGGAGCCAGCTCCATGATGCAAAGCAAAGGAAAGAGAAGGATGAAGAAATTAATAGCCTTTCTAGAATAAATCGAGGATACCGTCCTCAAGTTGACAGAACTCGCAGCGGCACGGATACCAGGCGGAGGCGGTATGCTCGAGCAACTGCTCTAGATAGCCCTTGTGCTTCATTACGGCGGTGAATAAGTTAGAGTACCCCTCATTATGAGTGTACTGTAACCGAGGGTTAGCCGCAGTTCCTTCGAATGAAGGTCAAAGTAGCACATACGTCGTGTGTGGATGAAAATTCCTCGTCACAGCCCCATTCTTCCTCTTCGGAGAAAATGTCGAAGGTTGCGGTGGCATCGAAAGGTGACACGGAGTCCAAGTCCGATACGAGAGTCGTGCCACGGCTAGAACAGGTGGACGCGCCTTTGGGATTACAGTCAGAAAGCTGCGGGCACAAAATGGATTAGGACAGAACGTACTATCGCAATCGGAGAGCTCGAGGAGATCTTCTTGGGTAAAGTATATGGGATAGTGCTTTTGTGCGAGATCCTCTGAAAGTGAGATAGTAGGTGTTGGTTCGGATTCAAAGAGCGACATGGTAGCGGTGCTGTTGTAGGGAGCGACTCGATTCCGACTAGTAGCAGACGTGAGAGGTGGGTTGTGGAGGCTGACACAGAGAGCCAGCCACGGAAGCCCAAACTTATATCCCAGGACACAGTACCGGCCATCGATAACTCGACGAACATGGACAAAGTGGTACCCCAACACAAAGGGTCGCAATCCTTTCAAAAGTCCAAAGTCAGTCTGCAGAGACAAAGGGTTCGAGTGGCGAGTGAAAGTCTTCTTTGTCATTATGGAACATCACGTTGTCCGTCTTTGCTGATTCTCAGAGGGAGCCAGTGCCTTGGTGTTGTGATTGGGGTGCGATGTTCGTGAAAGACAAGGGGAGAAAGAGTGCTTTTGACCTTTGTTTGCGCGACATTCATGCCAGTCGGAAGATCAATGATGCCAGTGTTCGAGCGCCGCCTAAAGTCAATCCTCAGAAATGCTGAGTTCGAAGGACCGGAGGCAAGTAACAGTAAAAAATATTGAGGCGTTGTCTTCAATCATAGGTACTAGAGTGTCGGGCCCAGATAGGAGAACGTGAGGTTCGAGGAGGGTGCAGCGGAAAACATTGCGTTTTAATTGCCGGGAGTTCGGTAATCATACTGAGGATGAAATTCCCGGCATCGGACGTGCATGCAGAGTCATGACGTCATGACCAGGACACGTCGTGTGACAACGACATGGCTCTGATGGAGAGCAAAGTGACTTCGAAGTCGAGTCCGGAGAGCGTAAATGTAAGGTACAAAAGAGATACAAAATCCAAGTAAAATACGTTCCTAATTTTGTGCCATAAAATCATCCGCGCTACCTGTCTCTGTGTCGCATTCTCTCTTAATGCTTTCGACGAGCTCCATTAACTCGGATGCACCTTCCTTGGATAAGAGATCCTTCGTCCAACGATCTCTCGGTGCCACATCCTCGATTCCCTTTTCCGATTCGCGGAGAATAGCAGCGGGTTGGACTTCTGGTTTTTCCGCGTTGGTATCAACAGTGAAGAAGCAAAGCTTGGTTCCGAAGGCGCTGATGCCGCGTAAAGTGTTAAGGGGACAGAGGCCTCGAGGGTGAATGAGCATTGGACTCATTGAGCAACCAGGGGAGGTATTTACCAGCAAGTGACATCAGCTGGCCCCGCATCTGAGCGTCCGCCATTTCCCTCGCGAGTGGCGACTCTACCACCGCTGGCGCCGTGATCAGAAACAGGAGCACCGGCAGGTTCTCGTACTGAATTTCCAAAAGCATGAAGGCGAGCTCTGGCGGTTTTCCTGTCTCAGGATTTGGACGATCCTTCGCTGTTATCGAAAACGAGGATCGCGGAATGACGGTGTACTCGGATGTTGGAGAGAACATGTAGTTAAGCAGCTTGTTATAGGGGCCGTGAAGGTCCATTTCCCCAGACCCCTCGGGAATGATTTGGAATTGGCGGGCAATTCTGGTAGGCCAAGGCATGGTGCTGGCTGGTGGGGAGCAGTGTCGGGGAGTATAGTGAAAGGGGATGGTGTGCAGAATCCTTTATTCGCACGAGACATTTACTTTCTCAGAGAGCCACTCGCTCCACGACTATGACATAGATTATTGCTCGGACTGAAGTTATATTGGGCCAGATCCTACTGTAAGGATTCGAAGCCCCTCATTGTCAGAGAAGTCTCGTCCAGTCGAATCACTTGCAGCGGGGCAGTTTAAAGCACATTCAAAATGTCCATTGTCGTTATTGGCAGGCACTACTTTACAATTAACGGAGACAACGACAACGTAGGTGGATCGCAGTGCTACTTGGTCACGGTGAAATCAGTGTATTTAACACTTGCACTCTCCGGGCTTGCACTTGCAACTACAAAGGTTAAAGTGCTGTCAGTTGATCGGTCAATACCGCGAGCCTATAAACAGTACGCACTCGCCACAGGTGCAGCTGCTGGAACCGCAGCTCGCGGTCGATGATTGAGGCTTGGCGTCACCGCAAGTGCATCTGGAGGGTCGGTCAGCGAATGAAGTGAGACATCATAACAGTAGTTGACATACGGGTTGCAACTGCACGAGGTACCGCATTTGCACTCGTGGAGGTCAACGGGGGTGGTGAAATCAAAGATCTACAGCGGCAAGTTGAGCAAACCGAGCACGACGAGCGATTGAAGCTGTACCGACCATTGTTGCGTTTCGTGTGTACTGTTGGAAGACGGATTGAAGTGGGTAGTAGCTTGATGGATTTCTGAGTGAAACCACCGACCTTTTATATACCCTTGAACAGCTCCATTTTAGCGGATACCTGGAGACCGCGTTACTCAGCACAGACCATCCATAAAATGCCTCACCCGCCGATTAAAGTGGGGGAATAGGGGTGGATAGGCAATGATGTATGCCAAGACTGAGGCAAATGTGCGCAGCCAATCAGCACCTTCAAGTTGCCCTGTGGGCGGAAGTATTCTGCATTTAGCAAGCTAACGGCTCCAAAAATACTACGCTATACTACGTCCAACTTTTTGAGTGCCCACGTATGTACTATGCCTTCCCCAGATGGGTATCCTTCACCCAGGTGGGATTAGCAAGTGGCTTTAATCTCCAGACATGCTCCAGGCCCTGGAGCTTACCCGGACGTTATCCCACACATTACACAACGGTTTAGGTCACACAGCCCAAGGAATAGCATCATTATAATGTACAGTAATCAAGGCGACTCCAGGAAATAAGTTACGAATGAAAGCCGAAGCCCCTACAGTGTATACTTGAAGTCAGGATGCTTGTCACCAAGCTCCAGCCACGCTTCCTTCCCAGTTCCATCCGAGTCGCTTTCATTAATGAATGGAGCCAGAATCTTGTCCCGATTACGAGCTTTCCGCGAGTCCATCCATCGGAGGAGAAGCATGTTCGTCGCTGCGCTAAGGGTAATGATGACGGAGCTTGATAACAGGAAGAGTCAAGCTCTACTTCAATCAGTCGAGAAAAGGGAGATCGAACTCACAACGTGAGGTTCGTTATCGTCGCTGTCCGGTACCTGGGCGCGTCCTTTCTAGGGAATTGTGTAGTGCTGAATATGCCCCCCTGTCCGGAGCAATGCGTGTTAGAGTCCCACCCCTCGAATCACCAAAGAGGTTGTACTTACGACATTGGTGGCCATGAACGCAAATGCAATGCTGGTTGCCCTTCTGAAGTAGGGCTCGGAGTTGTTGGACAACCAGGCTGCCGCGATCGGCGTACAGGCATAGATGCCAGGAACCATGAAGAAGAAAGACGCATAGCTGAGCCAATTATTTTGTGAAACTGAGAAAGGTGGATGAGAAACTCCGCCACTTCGTCCAAGCCGCACATCGTGTGACGCTTACCGTAGAAGATTACCCAACCGATGGTTAGAATGGTGGCAAGGACAATAAGAGGGGGACCACGTCGATTGAACCTGTCAGAAATCCATGATCCAATGATGCTGACTGTTATACCGGGGTCAGAAACAATCTGGAATAGAGCTAACAAAGAATCGAGCTCACCGACGAAAGCCACGGCAAAAGGTCCAACGCTCAAAAGCTGACTCTCGTTAGCTGTGAAATCCAAATCATTGATGATGGTTGGGACGAAAACAGCCAGCCCGTTGTATATGCTTCCTCCCAGAATGAACACGACGAAAACGAAGAAGACGTGGGGTGAGGTGATAGAGCGAACGATCTCCTTCGGATTGAATTTCTCGTCTGCTCCTATCGGAGGCCGGTCCATTTCAAGAAGTTTCGCTACAGACCTGATCAACAACCAAAGGATTAGTACAGGCGCCAAAGATTGACGTTCTATGTAACCCACTTTTTCTCCGCTGGCGAAAGGACCCTTGACTTCTCCGGGTTGGCGGGGACGAGGAAGAAGCCTATGAGCCCGACTACAAGGGTAATTAATCCTTCCTGGAAAGACGTGAGCAATCATGAGAACTTGAAAGATGTCGGGACACGGTTCTTACAATGATGAAGATCCATCGCCACCCAGGGAGCCCCGATTTCCCGTGCATTCGCGTGATTCCAGCCGCCAGTAAACCGGAGAAGGCACCTCCAACAGACGCAGAAGACGCGAAGTAAGCAATCCTTGACAGAAGAAGAATCAGGAACTATCCACTTGATCAGCACAGTTTATCCGCTCACCTCAGAGACAGTTCTTTCCGGGTATAGAATCCTGATAGATAGAGGACGATTCCCGGAAACATAGGGCCTTCCAACAGTCCTAGCACAAGACGAATGGCGAGAAGGCCACCATAATTTTTCACGAAACCTAAGAATAGGGCTGGTGAGAACTGACGAAGGCATGTTGAGAGATAAATACAAACCCTGGGCAAGAACGACAATCCCCCAACCGGTCAAGACCGCAGGAAGTAGAAAGTTAGGCCCAATCTTTTTGAGTACGAGATTCGAAGGTAGCTCTGATAAAATATACGGGCTGCAGAGCTGTTGTATCAGCCAGTGCCCCAGTAGGATTGTCATAGAAAACCAACCCATAGAAAACAGCTATAGCAATCGAGAATTGTTTGTCGGTCAGGCTCAAGTCGGATTGCATTCCGGCGATGCGAGCATTGCCTTCAGCGTTCGGATCAGCACTTCATGGTTTCCGGGAGATGTACGGCGAGCAGCTAACCGATATTAGTGCGATCCTGTAGCGCAACCCAGACTTCAGCTTCATCCTTCCAACACAAAGCAGTCGATTCCTACTGACCAAATAACCAAGGAAATTGAACATCGCCATCACAGGCATTAAGGTGAGATCCAGCTTGAGCTTGGCGCGTCGAACCAACTCCCTCTCTTCATCTGTTAGCCCGTCGCTGACTTTGCTTTCGACGGGGGACTGAGATTCCACACTCGACTTTGTGCTGGACTGAACCTCGACTTCGAGCTTCTTCTCATCCTTCTCATCGGGCGGGTTTGAATCAGGTGCGGACATTGGTCGGCGAGAAAAGCGTGAAAGAGCGTGAATGCACCTTCACGCTAAAAAGGCGGGGTGGATGAGTTGGAGGGAGGGAGGGTATTGTTGGCGAAGACAAGGCGCTATATGACAACACAGGGACGTCGGTTATTTAAAGTCGACAAACCGAGCTTTCCCCTGGTCACGCAGGCGCACACATGGTTGGAATCTCGAGTGAGACGTGGGACAGTCAGTGCCATATGTGCACGTCCCACAACGTATCTCCACCTACACACAAGCGGTGTCAGTGCGTTCCTGGTCATTAGAAGAGATCAGATGTTACATCCACGGGTTGCGTCGTTCTCCAGCGAAAGAGCTGTGCGAGCCAAGCCGAGGGGAAGCCCTCAAGTGACTTCGCTACCATATGAACATGTACGCCATCTATGATAGATGTCCCGTGCTTCGTTCTCGTTTTGGTCAAGGCACCCACTTTACCCTGTCCTTTGAGATCCACGTTTGTCGAAATAGGCAGGCCATGGCGAGCGATCTGAGGCCCAGGTCAACCAGCTCCAACTTCGATGCCACCCATCTCTGTCAATCCCTGGTCAATCCCAATCAAGTATCACGTCGAACGTAACGCGTCTAACTTCGCCGATTACACTCGATACACTGTGTCGAACCGGAGTTTGATGGTCGGTAGTAACAGTTGCGCTACTTTCATGTTGCCGCGGCATGGGGCGACGATGATGGCGCTGAAACTTCAGTCGTCGCTTACACTTCCGAGACGAACAGTCCCGCAAAAGCACCTCGGCTAACTATTCTAATTACCTACATGTGAGAGACGTATTCATCAAGTTTCAAAAAACCAAAAAGCTCTCACGAAGTGTTACCAAAACCTCGTTTGAACTCCATCCAGACCATCTTTCATCCTCAACATCACGGCGTTAGATGTCAGACTCGAGAACTGATGGAAAATAAGGAGTGAGTACATACACCAGCAATCATCGGAGAACCCCCCGATTCGGAAAAAGAAATTACTTACCCCATTCCCAATGAGAAGCTCAGCTCTCTGTGCCACGTACATGTCGACGGCCTGACTGGCATGTTTTTCTTCAGGTGTCAAGACCAGATTTCGGGAGGAGCTGATGGTCAATTTACTTGCTGCGTGAGAGGATGATTTTGGATCCGTGTCGTCTGCTGCTCCATCGATCAGTTCATCGTCCTCCCAGGTGTCCCTCGAGTCTAGGTCATCATCTCTTCCTACGACCACATACAATTCCCAGTTCGGATTCGACCATTTAAATGACCTCGTCCGTTTTTCAGACTCTCCCGTCGACTGTTCCCGCGAAACGACAACCTCCACGTCGATCTTCACCTCCAACTCCTTCAAGACTCTTCCCACCTCCCTCCCGACTTCCCCAGCCCAAGCGTCTCCCCCATTGGTCATCAAGTAAACCGACCTCACGCTTCCTTCCAGACTTCGCCTGAGCTCGGACAACTCCACCTGATAACTATCCTCTCTCCTGCCAGCGTCTCGACTGCCCATCTCGAAGGCTTCAACAAACTTGACGAACTTCCACGCAGCCCAATCGTGAACCACCTCTCCCACGCGTCTCCCGATCTGCTCGGTCGATGGGAAACAGCGCTTCATATAGATGGCTTTCTTCGCTTCGTTTGTGGGTACGTCGTGGACCAGGGCTTCTGTTTGAGGAGGAACGGTAGGCGCCCACTCCCCTGGTGGGTGGGAGACGGCGAACTCGACCTTCGAATTCACCTTCCTCGTACCCACATCGCCGCCTTCGTGATCATCGGGGATAGAAATTGTTACTCTCGCCAGTCTAGCACGGTCGTGTTCGTATCCGCTGTTACCACCATCAAGCGGAGTACTGCCCTCGACCACGCGGGGGACGGTGAATTGATCCCCAACTCCCGGTCTCCTATCGCCTCCGACGAACGGTACATTCGCGCTGCTGAGGGAACAGAAACCCGTGAACGGGGAGTTCCATTCCGCGAGATTGGAGCAGTGCTCAGCGAAATCGCCGCGTCGAAGATGGAGGGCAAGAATAGGAAGGGTGGATGGAGCGACGCTTTTCGTTGAGCTGGGTTGGAGTGACTGGCCACCGGCCGACGGCGTTTGAGGGTATGGAAGTGTGATAATTGGTGCACCTCGTAGACCATCCACATCTGGGGCTCCAAGTGCGAGTTCCTCGGACGAATTCACGAAAGGAGGGTATGGGTAATGATTTGGATAGTCCGGATAACCGAGGGTGATGGCTGGGAGACGGGTCTGCTGCGCTGTCCTGAACTCGTGCTCCACGATGGCCTTGACATGTGGCCCGAATAGCTGAATACCTCCGGGAGCGTTTGGGATTCCCCTAGGACCCTTTGGCCAGGTGAAATCCAGTCCGAGAGCATTCCGACTGAACACTCCGTAGACGAGGGGTGACCACGACCAATGCTGCAAAGCCGGAGAAAGGCGAAGTGATGGCCACAACGGGTGAATAGAAGGTGTCCCAAAAACCCTGGAGAGCGAGTCAGAACCAAGGAAAAACATTACAGCACTCGTACGTACCAAAAGTCAAAAACCTGGCCAGTGTCCTTCACGATCTCGACGCAGCGTTGATCTCGTACGTCTTGCATCCCCAGTCGAGCCACCCATGCCTTCATGATTTCTTCTCCCGTCGACTCTCGTACCTTCTTGCTTCCAGACCGTCCGTCGTTCACATATCGGGATAAAGGCGAGTCGCTCACTTCGTTCGCACGGATGTAAAACCGCTCCTGCTCCGGACAGATGTCTTCAAAGTGCGGCCTCGATACTGGCGTAAGATCGTCCTCTTCTCCCTTCCCAGTGGCGTTTACACGCACACCACCCCCAACCCAGCCCCCCAGAAAGACGGACAGTGGTATCCGGCTAGGAATGATCTTGCCGCCGCCAGCACCGTTCACAATTCTTCCCTTCGCCCTGGTTCCCCCGTCCTGTTGTCCGACGACTTCGACTTCCCCGCTGCCTTCTGGCCACACACTCCACAGCTTCCCTTCTTCCCAGGCAGGACTCCACACGTACTCGTAGAACACGAATGACCGATTTGACAGGTAGGCGAGATGAGCGTTGAGGACGAGCTCTTGCAGGTGGTTGTTGAATCCAAGCAAATGGACATGGTTTGCAAAGTGGATGTACTTGGTTCTCGTGGCACTGACAATGTTCTGGGGGAGCGATTCCTCGTAGTCGAAGTATTCTTCGTATAGTGGTGGTAGATCGACAACTGGCCCATGAATCTTCCACCCAAGGATCTCCTTGTTTGGTATCAAACCTGCTCCGTCAAACGCGCCATCTCTGAATGCGATGATTGGGATGAGGTGGAAGGTGAGGTAGGTCATGACAATGAACATTGCGACCATGAGGAGCAACCGGTAGTATCTTTTCATTACGACCATCTTGCAGAGAGGGGGGATCGGTGGCGAGTTTCGTCCTGTTGTCGGTGCTGCGTCTGATCTCTAGTCCTGCTGTAGTACCTGGTGGTTATTTACGAGCAGCTCATTTCCGCAAATGAAGTGAAAAAGTCGTAACAGCCGGTATCCAAACGTTAGGGTTTGATGACAAGCTTGAATGTGAATTTTTGCTGACGTTGAGAAAACCTAGTGCAGGTACGACAGCTTTGAACAGAGAGAGGCCTACAAGCTCGTCTCCGTAGTAAAGCGACTGAGTTGTCCTGCAGAGCTCAGATTGTGATGGTCGTGGTGGTCGCGATAGAAGAAAAGGGACTGCGATCAAAAAGTTGGCTGGCAGACGTGAACGGCACGCGTGCTATTTTTAGATCAAATGCCAAGCCAACCGTCGGGCGCTTAACTCCATGCAAGCCTTTCCAAGGGCGCGTTTTGCGTTTTTGGCCGACATTTGCAAAGGACATAGACTAGATAGTTGGACTCCTTCAATGATCCGCAGAGGGCATGGGAAACCTGAATGATCAAAGGGTTCGTGCTCTCCGGCGCTGCGCCTTCCGTGAGGTCGTACTGTTTTCTCCAAACGGTTTCGTTCCGTGCCTATCTTGACAGCTTCCGCTCATTCTTGTGGGACTCATCAGTATGGAGCCTAATGCACGGAGACTGACCTCGACACATGCACACTTAGGATCGGACTTCATCCTACTCCGGACACATCAGCAGTAGTGCTCAAGTTACTAGTCTGCGCGTTTAACGACAGTCTTACGAGAGGGCCCTTCCGTTAGCCCAAGTACTTACAACAGTCTGAACGCTGTGATCCTGTAGCCCGGAGACCTATCGACCTCCGACTCGACCGTCGTGCCGCGCTAAATACCATCGCGGCTCGCTCGACTTGGCTGCTCATCATCCAAATCAAGAGTATGCGGAACATTTCCCGAGAGTGCGTGATGATCTTCCGAGTTTAAATGTCAGGGCGCTCTGAGGCCCCTTAAGCTAAAATGTCTAACACTTCCATAATGACGGTTCATGGACGCATATCGTGGAACATTCGGCTCGTGACTTTGCCATCCCAGTGTAGGTTATATAACCCTCGCAGCCACTGCTTTGGTTACATTAATTCTCTCAGCAAGATGCTAGGCGCCTCCGGTCTCCTGGCAGATTTCACAGTTCCTGTCGTCCCCGTCTTCATCTTTCTGTTTGGGTTCGGATACGCCTACGTTACTCGTCAACGACGACCCAAGAGTACCTTCCCAGTTCCTCCAGGGCCCAAACGTCTGCCATTCATTGGAAACGCTTTACAAATTCCGTTGGAGGAGCCTTGGAAGACATACAAGGAATGGACACGGCTATACAGTGAGTCTCTCTACTCTAGAAAAACCATACTCCCGATAGTCTGAACTGACGTCTGTATTGAATACCAAGGCAATGTCATCTACATGGAAGTCATCGGTCAACCCATCGTCATCCTTAACTCCTTCTCTGGAGTACAAGACCTCCTTATCAAGCGAGCAGCAAAGTACTCTGATCGTGCTACCATCCCCGCAATCGAAATGTAATATGTATCTTTGCCTCTTAACTCAGACGTTCCATTGACCCGAACCTTTTATTGACCTCAGGTTAGGATTGGACTGGAGCTTCGTCTTAATGGGCTACGGTCAGAAATGGAGAGACCACAGACGGTCATTCCACCAGTTCCTCAATCAGGCTCAAGTCCCTCGCTTTTTCCCAATCATCGAACGGGAAATGCATACGTTCCTCCAGCGCTTGCTCGCCGAGCCGGGAAACGTCCATCAGTTCATCCGCCAGTGAGTTCAATTTCCATTCTGTCTCCTATGCTGTCGTTACCAATAAAACTGACAACGACGCTCAACGAACTACCGGCCGGAGTAGTATGGTCGGTACATCCCTCATGCGCGTCTCCTACGGAATCGACGACGCGACTTACAATGGGCGCTTAATCGGCCAAGTGGACGAATTCATCCGGGGTTTCTCAGAGTATTCTTCCCCAGGTCGGCTATTAGTCAATTCGTTCCCTATGATGCGACACATGCCCTCATGGCTTCCGGGGGCTGGGTGGAAAAGAACCTTGGAAGACCTCAAAAAGCTCGGCACCGATTGTGTTAACCGACCTTTGGATGACGTTCAGAAACAAGTGGTGAGACTATAGTTCGATTTGCCGAGATTATTATGGGCATGGGCTAGGGCTGACCGCACGGCTTATAGACGAACGGAGAGCAGAGTGAATATCCCAGCATCACTCGAGAGATGGTCGATGCTCTTCCGAGTGAAGACGATCGGGAATACCAATACCAGAAACTCCTGGCTCGGAATGTTGCCGGGACGTCGTACGTCGGTGCGTACTAGATCGCCTCTACAAGCTGAAGGCAATCCTCAAGCTCCGTATCTCGAAACATACGTAGCTGGATCGGACACGACAATCAGTTCTGCTTTTGTAATCCTGTTGGCGCTTGCGATGAACCCAAAGGTCCAGCGGAAAGCCCAAGCGGAGATCGACAGCGTTACGAAGGCTCAACGGCTCCCAACTTGCGCGGATAGAGACTCCCTTCCATACATTCAAGCTATTGTGAAGGAAGGGAGTCGGTGGTTTACTATTCTCCCGCTCGGTGTGTTCCAGTCCAATTGAGCGCCAAAGCATAGCAAGGATGTTATTAAAGGAGACGTTTTTTCACAGCTGTTCCACATGTCGCTCAAGAGGACGACGTATATAACGGTCATCTCATCCCAGCTGGTACAATGGTGCTGCCAAACACATGGTACTTTCCATCTCTGATATTTGAATCATACCTCCGACCGACCGACACTGCAGGGCAATTATGCACGACCCAAACGTTTTCGAGAATCCTATGGAGTTCAAACCCGAGCGTTACCTGAAAGATGGAGTAATCGACTCGACAGTGCTAGACCCAGAGTCCGGTGCCTTCGGGTACGGTCGACGAATCTGTCCAGGGAGGTACTTCGGTATCGAGTTGCTGACACTTTACGTCGCCTCTCTCCTCGCGGTGTACGACATCAAACCGGCGAAGGACGACGCTGGAAACCCGATTCCAATCAAACTCGAGATTGATCCTAGTTTGTTGCTGATTGTGTGAGTCTTTCGTTTTCCATGTGGCTGTTTGGAGATTCACTCGTTATTAATGAGATTGGTAGGCAACCTAAGGTTTTCAAGTGCGAGATTGTACCTCGGTCACCGGAGCACGCTTCTCTACTCAAAGCCAGTATATGTTGAAACACCGTGTTTACCTTCGTCAATGGTCACGTTGGACTTTCGTGGATGTTGATCATTGCCCCGAAGAACAACGCTGGCAGGACTCGGAGACTCGAAAGCAAAGAGCCTTCGCGGCGCGGCTTGCGGACTTTGAACACGGTTCTACCCGTGCCGACAGCAAACGGGTCTCGATTTATTGAGAAAGTCTTCTCCTGGTAAATAGACAACAGAGGATATAACTAAAAGAAACCATAGTCTTTCAGTACAAACGTGCAATCAGCGCATTTATTGGTCTTTAGCTTTGCTCGGACCGGCAAGTTGGATCGGAGATCACATCGAGGATGGATTGCCATGTTCTGAAACGGGCCTTCATGAAGGGTTCAACTTCTCAACCTTCACCAGCTAAATCCAGCGCATATTACAGTTCTAGAGCGCCAGAGTTATTGAAATTACGGCTTCCAGAGCCCTTGATATCCCAAATCTTGACGGTCCGGTAGCTCAGGCAGGCCTAGCCTCCTCTGGCTGTCGTACGCGACTCTGGGCAGGTGAACGAGCGTTAACGACATATTTCTACCTTGAAACCACCTTGAAACCATCTGTCACTTCTTCTTCAGGCCAGGTGCGCATTTTCAAGCAGTAATATGGCTCAGATTCAAAATTGTGACCCGCTATCTCGCCGTTGAACAGGGTCCGTGATTTCAGGGATTCACTCAGGCTGCCAAACCAAGGTTCTTGGCGCACGGACATCCCCAAGGTTCGTGTCGTCATCTTTACCGTTCCAGCCACGCTGTTTCCACGAACGACACTTGTTGAGGCTCGTCTAACGAGTCTCTTTACCCTAGATTTCAACCTCTGGCCAGACTCGACGCCGCTCATGTTCGCGCCAGACGTCGATCTCATCATCGACTTTCGCGTCAGCAAGACTGTTTCGCCGTCCAAGCAGCAGACGAGGGAGGAGGCGAGGAAGGCGGAGAAGCAGTACAGTCGGTTGATTGAGATATTAACCTATGCTGGGCTGAAGGCTGTTGGACGGAGAGGAGAGTCGTTGGGACATATTTTGGTCTTTGTGAGCTGTCCCAAGGGTCTGTTGGACAATCTTATCAAACGCGAGCGGTGGGTGCACTCTTCACGTCGCTCGGTGCCTTTCTGACATACGTTGTAGACGATCCGACTTTCTTTCTGGTCTTCCAGTCACCCCTGTCGCCACAGGGAGCACCGTCGAGCCCCTTTCACCGGCAGATCGTATTCGAATCGTACACTCATACATTTCTTCGACTCCCGCGGATGGTGGCTTGGGCATCTCACCTGATTCTCCCGAGTGGGACCTCGTGCAAGGCATATTCCCTCTTCAGGACCGCGAATTCAACAAAGTCTGGGTCAAGGCATGGAAGCCTAGCACTATTGCGTCTGTCAATCTAGGGAAGGTTCGGGCGCAGGTATGACCACGTCCACTTCATCGCGCACATCCCTACTAACCACATCACATAGTTCGGTGACGCTGTGGCGTATTATTTCGCATTCTTGTCCTCATACACCACCTTCCTCGTGTTTCCAGCCATCCTCGGCATCTTTGCCCACTACGTCCTCCTGCCCTACTCCCCTATCTACTCGTTCCTCATCGCAATCTGGGCCACGTTCTTCGTTGAATGGTGGAGGGTCCATGAACGTATCCTCGCATTGCGATTCGGCACTCGCAACTCCTTCCGAGTAGAGAAACGACGAGCGCAGTACAAGCAGGGTGTACCATGGTGGCGGCGCGAACTCCGAATCTTCCTTACCCTCCCCGTAATCCTCGTCTTCGGAGCAGCCCTGTTCGCCATCCTCACCGGTATCTTTGTATTCGAAGCCTTTATCACGCACCTTTATCAAGGACCTGGCAAGCAGATCATTGGATTCTCACCGACAATACTCTTCGTTGTTTTGGTTCCCCGGTTCCTCGCCCTCTATCATGCATTGGCGGTTCGCCTCACGAATTGGGAAAACCATGCCCACCAATCAACCTACACCTTCTCGATGACGCTCAAGACGTTCGCGTTGGGAGCACTTGTGGCATACTCGGGCCTCGCTCTCTCGGCATTCGTTTACGTGCCATTCGGAGAAGGCGTGATGCATCTCGTCCAGAGGTTGTTGTTCGACCCTTCGAAAGCTGGAAGCGCAAGCGGGCTCGCAGCGATGATTAGCAGCGTGCTGAATGGAACGACCAGTGGTCTGGAGGTATCCGAGAAGGACACTGCTGCGGGAGGAACACATCTTGGACTGTGGGACATGGACACCATGAACGCACGGAACAAGCTCAACCCTGCAAGATTGCGAGACCAAATGTTTGCATTCACGGTAACCAACCAGATTGTCAACACCTTCACTGAAGTCGGCCTCCCTTTCGTCCTGCGCGGCGTGAACACGTTCTTGAAGAAGGGCAAACCGACCAATGGCAATGGTGACTCGCTCAAGAAGAAGGTTGTGTTTGAGGATGAGAAGGAAAGGGGCGGATTGGAGGAGCGTGCATATTTGGAGAGGATACGGAGTGAGGCGGCGTTGCCCGAGTATGACCTGTTTGCGGATTACAACGAGATGGTGGTGCAGTTTGGGTATGTTGCTTTGTGGTCTACGATTTGGCCTCTTGCTGGCGGTGAGTGCACAGGACCTTGTCCTCCCTTGCAGTCTCTGACGCGCGAATCTAGCCATGGCCTTCATCAACAACATCTTCGAGCTTCGCTCTGACGCTTTCAAGATCACCGTTCACCACCGCCGGCCTATGCCAGTCCGAACGGACACCATCGGGCCCTGGCTCGATGCTCTAACCTTCCTGACGTGGTTGAGCGCACTGACGAACTCGGCATTGCTCTACCTCTTCTCTCCTTCTCTCCTTTCTACACCATTCCAGACGCTCGTCAATGTCACCGACACGGACGCACCAGCCAGTGACGCCAAACTGACGGCAGAAGAACACCTCGTCGCAGCTGCAGGTGGAACGGGCTCACCGAATGCATGGGGTGTGGACGCCTCTGCCAGTCCCTCGAACGTCGGAGCGACAAAAGAGCTGCTGTTGAAGGCCGCGCTGGTCGCTCTGGTCGCTTCGCATGTCTACATCATCGTCAAGGCTCTTATTCGACATGTCGTGGAGAAGATCTGGTGGAAGGGCAGCTCAGAGGTGGCCGAGAAGGAGAGGGAGGAGGTTGAGTTGAAGCAGAAGTTTTTGAGTGGGGTTGGAGTGCAGGTGGATGGTGGGGAAGATGGGGTGCCTGTGGTGGGGAGTGCGGTGAAGAAGGAGAGGGATGTTAAGGTTGCCAATGCACCCCTAGGCGATCCTGAAGGGTTCTGGGACCATGACGAAGGTGTGGATGAGATTCAGAGGATCGTGAAGGAAGCGTAGAGTTGCTTTCTTTTTCTTATGACCAGCTTCGGACGTTAATGACTATTGTCTTTTTTGCTAATTCGTGGTTTACCCTTTCGTTCTATTTTGTTTGCTGAGCTGCCTCCACGCTTCCGTTATGCCAGTCGATTCCTCTGTACGAAGGATTGCACCGGGTATCCAACCTGCCTTCCCTTAATGCGTGCAACAGCGCTTGTGAACGAGGTCGACCTCAGTGCAAAAAAAGGTGTATCTCTTCCAGGAGGATTGAGTGCGTGCTGCTAACCCAAAATGAAATTAGCTTTTTCAGAGAAGCAGAGACCAAGGCAAACTGTGGTAGAAGCGGTAGGCGCCTAAACACCTCGGCAAACACTGGTGTGGTCCAGAAGCCGTAGCCAAACAAAGGAAGTGCCCTGCGTCGCCCAGAGCCAACTTGAACCTCGTTCAACAATTGGCATTGCTCTCCCTCCACCTTACAGAGACGCAGGCGATTGGTATTATTTAACGATTAGAGATGAAGCCATCAATCAAACAAAGACCTGGTTAGCATAAGCATGCTCAAGGCGGAACGCTATCCAATCGATGGGTACATCGATGGCCTATCAAGATCACCTGACGAACACCTTGCTCAAGCCTCGAGGATGCAGCTCTGCTGGGCGCCAAATCCTTTGATATCAAACCACCATCTTCTTATCCTCATCTCCCTTGAAGTACCTTTGGCTTAGGAGCTGCAATGGGCCAAGGGGTCTCATTTCAGGTGGGTGGCAGATGATGAGCATTTCTTGTATCGATGCTTAACGTCTGCACAGAACGAACTTGAAGGAGACCCTTCGAAGCTCGTAGGGGATCATATAGCCAGCGTGGATAAAGACGAACAGCCAAGTAACCATGCACGCCTTGAGGCGAGTACAGCGAAAGATACCTCTGTCTTCATGGGTAACAGGTGCTGACCCTCCTGAAAGGGTCGGGACGCGCCAGAACTACGTCCTTTGTTGCTCACAGACCATCGAGCAGCCAACTCTGGCAGCGGAGGGGAGCAAAGTCTCCGTGCACAGGTCTGTCCGACGGGATACCCTATTACCCGAAACTCAGGCACTGACGGGCATGCAGGACGCTGGTGCAGTGCAAGGGCTTTTACCAGGGAGCTCGACTACTTCCGCAGTAGATGACTTCGAGGCATGGGTTTTCACTGCTAATATACTTACCCCTCACTCATCCGTCACAGTGCCGTCACACCACGAGTGACGTTGCTCGGGTCGAAGATGGCGATGGAGCAGTAGCCAACTGTCCAACCGTTGAAAGCAACCCGGCGGTTCTTATCTCTGGCGGCGCCTGCGTCACCGGCACCCCCGTCATCGTTGGTGGAAATGTTACCAATGCGAACATTTACAATGGCCCCGTTCACTTTACGATGGGTAAGTGTCTGGCAGCGCAGATAACATTGTTTGGCTAAGATTTTTATGTCAAGGCGGATCCAAGGATGAAAGGCTCAATGAATTGAGTGGAGAAATCCGGGACTGGCTCGCACCCAACGTCAACTTCCACGCCATCCAGCAGCTAAACTACGAAAAATGGACCGATGGAACACTGTCCTGGTTTACCGAATCAGAGGACTACCTGACATGGAAAGATGGAACACATCGTATCCTTTGGGGTACTGGAATTCGTAGGTCCATGACATGTTCAAATGTCGGCTCGATACTCATCCCATCGTCGCAGCCGGTGCAGGTAAAACCATCCTTGCGTGAGTCGCTCCCAAAATCACCAATGATGACGGAACTGATGATTGTCCAGTGCGAGGACCATTGACGACCTTCGGAAACTTCAAAAAGCATCCCCCAAGAAGCTTTGTGTTGCTTTTGCGTACTGCCGATATTCCGAACGATTGAACGTCAGGGATACCCTCGAATCCCTCTCGTTAAGCAATTCCTCGAGACCGACCCGTCTCTTGTGGACCTAATCGAACCCCTCTATTCTCTGCAAAAAGAGAGGAAAACCCGGCCCACCCAGGAAGAGCTCGTGGATTTGTTACGCCAATTCGAGAGCCGGTTCGACGCCGTCTTTTCTGTTATTGACGGACTGGACGAGGCGCTGGTCGATACCCAGTTCGACCTGATCAAAGCGATCGGGACCCTTCGTGGCCGGTTTGCGTTGACGTCGCGGCCGTTGAAGAGACTTGAGTCAGGACTCCCAACCACCAGGTTCTACTCGGTAACGGCGAACAACTCCGACATCATCCTCCTCATCCTCCAAAAGGTTGAGCGGAACCCCGGCTTTCGAAGCCTCCTGGAGCAACATTCCTACCTAGGTGAACTGGTCCGACGAATTTCGGACAAATCTAAGGGGATGTAAGTAACTTCCGGATAACTATGTCCCTTTTTGTTGACCGTCTTCTCAGGTTCCTTCACGCCGCCCTCCAGGTCGAAGTTGTCCAACACTGCCTCAGCATCGCAGCCATGGAACTTGCTCTGGATAGTTTCCCAGCAGACCTTCGCGACATGTATTCCCAAGCACTGCAGCGTATCTGCGACCAGGAGAAACAAAACGCCGATCTAGCCAAACATGTCCTTCTGTGGCTTGTTTTTGGGTTAGAGGCACTTTCGTTCCCCGACCTGCAATACGCCCTCAGCCTCACTCTTCCCGACTACCCCACCGGGGTTGACAAGGAAGGCCTTCTGTCGATATGCTGCGAATTGGTCACCGTGGAAGCAGAGACGGACCGTGTCCGCTTAGTCCGTGAGTTCTTCAATCATTTCGTTCGAACATCTCTGATTGGCGCTAGACTTTACTGCTCGAGATGCTCTCGCGTCCATCCTGGACGAACATATCCCAAACCCTCATGGCTTGCTCTTTAAGGCAGCTGCTCAGCGCCTCGTTGACTGTGGCATCGTTGACAACTCCGCCGGTGTGAAGACCTATAGCGACCTCTCCAACGCATTCAAACATTACCCGCTTTTGAAATATTGCTACGACCATTGGGGCTACCACGCACGGGAGTGCATGGCAAATCCAGTGTTGCGTGATGCGGTATTCGACTTTGTCCGCCAATGCAAGGCGTTCCCAGAGGACGGTCTGCACTTCTTTCCTGGTCTCACGTTTCTCTCCCCCCTTCATAATGTGGCGCGACATGGACTTCATCACATTCTCGACGAAGTTCTCGTGAAATGTGCAGGGGGAACGGTGACGTTGCGCACGCATGGGGGGAGGAATTTGACCCCGTTGATGCTGGCCTCTGAGCACGGCCACGTGGGGGTCATTGATGCGTTGCTGCGGTGCACCAGAAGCTCGATGTTGCGGTCGACGTTGAGTGGCGAATGTCGACCAGGGAGACATCTGTTATCGGTCCAGCTCAATCTTCGCGACCGCTGGGGGATGTCAGCTCTCATGTTTGCCTCCAGAAAGGGGCATCAAGATGCAGTGCGGCGTCTGCTCGCTCACAAGGACGCGCAGGTCAATCTTACCGACAGCAGCGGCATGACGGCTTTGATGCACGCCGCCGCGTCCTACTCTAGCGAAGAAGACGTCGTTCAACTCCTGCTGGCGCACAAGGACACCCAGGTGAATCTCGCCGACAACCAAGGCTGGACTGCATTGATGCTCGCGTCCCACACTGGCAAAGAAGGCATCGTTCGATGCCTGCTCGCTCACAAGGACAGCCGGGCTGATCTCACCAAACAGAGTTGGGCAAACGGCATTGATGCGTGCGTCGGGAAATGGCCACGAAGGCATCGCTCAACTCCTGCTTGCGCACAAGGACACGAATTGCTTCGAGAAGTGGATGTTGGCGCTCGGAATCTATGCGCGCTGGTGCCAACGACTCAATGCCCTCCGTCTACTGTCACATCTCCCAGTGCATGATGTCACTACCCACCTTCCGCTGTGCGCAAACCCATCGACTCTCCTATCCATGGAGGCAACAAACAACAGGTTCTATAATTGGAGAGACTATCTCCAAGACTCTCTTATCTCTCCAAAATCACGCAATGCATCGAGAGATGATGGAAGCGTCAAATCAATGGAAACATAGTAGTTAGCTGAGAACTGTCAGTTGTACCTTGTTACGATAGGAAGATACATCAGGTGTTAATGTTTTCGTTGCCTTCGCTCAGTTCGCCGCGTCTTCCTTCGGTGAAACTATAAATAGTCTTATCCACGCCATTCCCAAAAAGATTGGACTTGCAATCTGTTTTCTTACTTCCATGGTTCCATCAACTCTCTTTATAGATTCATGAAAGCGGCGTGTGATCTTTGAAGCTGCTCCAGTTTTGTCATTTTCACGACCCCTGTCTGTCCAGCTCCTTCGCAATAGAATCGGCTGGGAGTGACTTAGAAGAGAAACCCAATGGCTCCCACTTCTGCGAAGTGCAGTAGTTGAGATTGCTATCAATAAGAGACATGAGGTTTCGCGGAATCGGGTTTTGGAAGTTGCGAGCCAGAACTCTAATTGCACTGAATGAAAGAGGTACTCGTCTAATGCGTTCAGACCACTGCGGGAACTTCGCCCCCCTTCCCGCGATGCCTACAAAGTTCCCTTCCTGATGATGCCACCCGTGGAACCGACTCTGCTCCGATCTTTTTCTATTAGGAAGACCACGTGCACTTGTGTCGAAACCGATTTGCGTGCGAGGGATGTGGCGTCGAGACGGACCAAACCGACATACGGGCTCACAAGTTCCTCCAAAACCTCGAAGGTCGGTCCGAGTCTCTTCCCATTGGATTGACGATCCCTTCACAGTTGTGGTGTCGGCAGCCGTCGAACCTGTCAATGAATACGACGAGAGACTACTCCCCTCGCCACTCTCCACAACTCCAGTCTGTCCACTACTCCACGTTAAGAGACATCTGGAAGTCGTGTCTGAATCCCTGTTCTTCGCCAGACGTATAATAGAAATTGAAATCAACAAAGATTTCAGGATCCAACTTGCGCGGAGTTGAATTTCTGGAAATTGCGAGTCGGAATTTTGATAGCACCGAATGAAATAGGTACTGGTCGAATGTGTTCAGACCAACTTGGGAAGCCCACTTCCCTTCCATGACACTTGTAAGGAGTCCCTCCTCGCGAAGACATACGATTCTTCCGTGCTCCTTTCTATTGGGAAGAAAGCAGCTCTGGTTCGATGCTGATTCACGTGTGAAGCAAGTGGCGCCCAGTGGGTTCAACCAGCTCTCCAGGCTCCCTCGAGAACCTAGAAAGGTGGGACATCCCCGCCCGGCCTTCGAGATGAATACAGCTTGGCGGACTATGGACGGAGCCGAATTCGAGAATCGGTGGAAGAATTCGAAGTTGGGCCGTAAGCAAAGCGGCTCTCCCTGGTATCCAGTGACGATATCCTTGCTTCCTCTGGAGTGTTCCTTATGGGTCCGTTTACCCGTGACTCCTCTTCAAAATACTATAAATACAGTGCGATTTGAGGCTTGGTTAATCCCAGACCAGCTTTTGAAACCGACCAACTGCAAAAACACTCAACAAGTATCATCCATCTCTTTGCACAAGATGCATAGACACTGACAGCTCTACGTTCTACAGTGTCTCAGGAGATCAAGCCTATTACCGAGCCTCAACCCGGGCTTCCCCTCCTACTGAATTCATTCTCCCAGAATTCGTTCATTTCAAAAATCCCCAGGGTCGATACCTGAAGAGCGTTCCGAACAGCATCGGATGGTACGGCCTCAAGTGGGACCCCACAGCTCCCGACCTCGACTGTCGCTTCAGGGTTCGACAGATCCCTGAAGAACCGGTGAGAGCATGCCTCCGCCTACAAGAGGAACACACTAACCTACCATTTGACAGGGCAAATTCTACGTCCTCGGACGAGCGAGCGACGACTATCGCTTCTGCGTCTCCTTGTACAAGTCCAGCGGAAGTACCAAGTACTACGACTGCGACGTTTCCAGCATCCCCATCAACGGCGTCCCCTCTTCCTACGTCTGGCGTATCGTACCCGTCGGCGGAAACGACATCTACCTCGTTTCCGACAACACCTACGACCGCCCCATCATCTTCATGAGCAACTGGGAGAACCAGCGCTACAAACTCTGGGACCACAACGACTCTTTTCCTGGCTCGACGTCGTCCGCTCCACCACCTACGCGGGCGATTCCAACAGGATCACCGTCGAGCGTGCCGCCCTCCGCACCGACGTTTACGACGTCCAGTACAGGATTGACGATAGCAAGATCATCGAGCTTACTCCTACTATCGCGATCGAGAAGGTGTTGGAGAATAGGACTGATGCTGATGCCAGCCAGTCCGTCTCTTACACCTACACGAAGAGCGAGGAAGGTAATTGGAACAACGCCGCTGGTATCGAGCTCGGACAGGGGGTATGTGTGGAATTGACTCTTCCCTGCCGCGCTGTCTGACATGGATCTCTTTTTTGTCCTAGTTCACCTTCAAGGCTGGTGTTCCTTTCATCACCGAGGCGGAGGTCGAAGTCTCTGTCACGGAAGCGTATGAACACCAATGGGGTGGGTCAACGATCGAGTCGGTCGAAGTGCAGACTTCCACCTCTACCGTTGTTCCGGCCCACACCACGGTCAAACTCACCGTCTTGATCTACAAGAGTCAACTCGACATTCCCTTCTCGTATACGGTTCGTTGATATTCGTCTTCTTTTTCTTTTGCTTTTGCAAGGTGGAGCTCTAACACCGTCTGCATTCAATAGGAGAGGGTCACCAATTTCGACGGAAGCGTCGTCGAAGTCAAGAACAAGGAAGGCGTTTACCACAACGTCCAGTTCATCAAGGATCATGCCACCAGCGATCCTATTCGTCGCATCTAAATCTCAATTTGATTATTGTCCAATTCCACCCCCTCTCTCCCCATTCGTCCCCATTCCTGTCTCTGAAAGATCGCGAGTCGTGAAATGGCCTGGAAGAAAACTACAACTAAATAACTACAATAGCGGACAATAGCGTTGTACTACCATCGTCGTTCTTAGCCAATCTATGTGGTTAACAGACCCCGGCAGTGAACAGCTCTTCCAAATATCAGCTTTTCCAAAGGGGTCTCTCATGTTGGGCGTCTATCTCCGAGGTCATACCTTCGCAGCGTAGGAGTTGAGTACTTCCATTGTTCAGATTCTCCAGTAACATATTCCTGTGCAACTTTTGTGGAGGTTCATCAAAAACACAAGGGCGAATAGCAATCCACCAACTCTCTTCCAAGTTCCCTTATACTCGCCTGAGAACATACACTCAGTCAGACCGATGATTGAGGTACATTCATTCCGCCACGAAAAGGATAGAAACAAACCACGAAGTAATAGAACCAAATGTATTATACAACAAATAACAACCATTCACCTAAGGACTCTACCGCCCATTGACAGTAGCATTCGAATCTCTCCTACTCGACGTCGACGTCCCAGAGAACATCGCAACATGAGGCGGCACTTTCGAAGGTTCAGGCTCAGACGACGGAGTAGGATCCTTGTTTGGATGATCAGGAATCTTCTCAATCTCCCGCTTCGCCTCTTCCCATGCTTCCAGGTTCTATAATTGAAATCGACAAAAGGAAAGAAAGAAAAAAAGAGGGCGAGTAAAGGCGGGACAAAAACGAAACGAAAATGACATCAAGTTCAGCCTTAATGAGAGATAAATTTAGAATCACAATTTACGAACCTTCTTGCACCAATCCCGATGCGCAATGGCCATCGCGATACCCATTTCACGGAGGTCTGCAACTTTCTGGCGCTGAAATCGATCCAGATCTGCTTGTATCGTGGAACTCGAATACTTGAGGTCTCGAGCCGCCAAATGGAGAGCATCTTCCAACTGCACGGAGGAAACAAGGATGAGCGATAGTGATAAACATATAAAGGATCCGAGCAATTCATACCGTGGAGATGGATTCCCGTGTTTTTGTTATGCTGTTCCTTCTTGCAGTCTCAGGATCCACATCCATCATTCCATGCAATGAATAGCTCAATGCATTCAGGAATCCCATGCCCGGTGCCCTTACTCGCCGTTTCGCAGGATTGGAACCAGGGTGGGGCGGAATGTATGTTGACGAGGGACGAGTGGATGCAGTTTCGCTTTCGTGAGTTTCAGAGCCTTCAACGCTGGCTTGCGCTGTTCCTGGCTCACTCGGCGTTGTTGGTGATGTCAGCGGATTAGAAGAAGCCCGCCCCCTGCCCAACGCTTCCTCCAATCGCTTCGCCTCCCGCTCACTCTTCTCCAACTCCTCCAACTGCTCGCGTTTGTTGTCCAGCATGTCCTGCGTCATTTCAAACTGCACGTGTTTCTGGTGACGATAGGCTAGCAGCTTCTTGATAATAGACGCGAACTGGCTGTACTCCTGCAACGGTTCTTGCCAATTCTGCTCTATATCTTGTAGCAGCTTCGTCGTGGAGACGTAACCCACATCAACCGCCTGCCCCGTCTTCTCGATCGCCGCACCAAGCTCGTCGTTCTCGTTCAAGCTGAAACCGTTGAGGACGGCGCCCAAGTCTGCTTGATCTTGCGCGTAGTCTATTCCCACTGTTATTATCCCGTCCTAAGAGTCTTCAAAAAGCAACACACCTTTCCAGCGTTTGACGACCCGTCGTGAGACCTTCTCCATCGGGCCCATCATATGGTTCGCGAACTTGATGGTAAACGCCTCTGAATCCAGGAAGCGTTGGTCAGGTCTTCGCAGTGGATGCGCCGCCGAGGGGTTAGGTAACGCAGAATAAGCCGCTAGAGAAGTCTGATCTGTGGGGTCGTGCGAGGGGGCTTTCAGGATGTTCTTGGGCAGGTTGGAGATGGGGGGCGAATTGAGAACCTCGTTCTAGATGCAATTTAGCGTTGTTTCGATGGAGCCAGTGGTAGGGAGAGACGAACCCACGAGACTTCTCCCTCCAGGAACCGATGGAAGACGTGTTCATTCGAGAGTATCGGATGCCGCGCTAGGCGATTGAGGAATGTCTCCAGCATCCGCTTCCTCCGTGAGATTAGCCCAGCGTCTTCCTTGGCCTTCCCTTGCTTGATAGCATAGTCTCCGATCGTCTGCTTTGAAGGGATAGGTGGTATTATCAAGGTCGGATACAGCTTCACCAGCGATTCGCGCAAGGATTCAAACTCTGAATACCGATGGCGCGCTTCTGCAGTCTAGACAACAGGGTTTAGTGACATTAGCGCGAGGTTTACGACCTGAGGAACGAAACGTACCCCAGTTCTGATAACGTAGGTGATGTACGGGGATGTCGAGTTCACAGACGTCTTCTGGGCGTCTACGATCTGCATAACAATGCCTGAAGTGAGTTCAACCCCTCGACATGCATCCCTAGCCACGCACCCGAATCTCAAAGTCATCGTTCTGGTGGAGATACCTGTCCTGTGAGCAGCAGTAGTCCGTCTTGGGATGCACCTGGTGCTGTCTGTGAGACCCGGCTGAGGGAAAGGGTGGCCTGTCGGTCTGCGAGGTGGGCTGGCTAGCGAAATCGGTCTGCGGCGAGGGCTGGTCGTACATAGCGTCTTTGGATACCGACGACGTTTCAGAGTTGATATGCTCGACTTCCTCGAAGGGGTTCTCGTCTTCAAAGCCTTCCATGTCCATGATTTACTGCGGTTGGCGGTACGGGTCGTTGGAATCTGGATTGAGGTCGATGCTGTGTATCGGTAGCCAATGGATGAAAGGCTGCTCTGGTCGTCGATATCGCGGGCTCTTATGGATATAGCGACGCTGCGTGTCGTCCTGGATAGACTCTGGGCGTTGTTCCTAGTGCCGTGGGCTGCGGTACGATATTGTGGTTCAGGTCAACGCTGAACGAAGGCCTGACGACATCATTGCCGCCGCCGCGGTTATCCAGGGCCGTATTTGGCACTGTTAGGTTCCCAAGCTCATAAATAGGGGCCATGCTCCGATTCGGCTCCAGGCCCAGAATCTGAGTTAATAGGGGCTATGTAGTCAAGAGACCATGAGTCGATGGAGGAAAAGCAGACGGCATCGAAATAGCCTTTCGATGAGGGAATAGCAGCATACGAATAAGCCCAAAGGCATTAGTGCACATATGTCTATACTGGCTTTCAAGCTTCATGGTGAGCAGATCGTCGTCGTACTCATCTACCCCCGCCTTGAGTGCTTCACCAAATCGGACGAGTTCATCTAGGGTTTCAGAGTATTCTTCCTCAGGTCGGCTACGACTCAGTTTGATAGGGCAAGCGGCTGCAAGCGGGTGGGCGCCTACCAGCATGATGCGCCTGGAACACAGCCACTGATGCGCTCCTAACCTTGGCGGAGCCGACGTCAACAGGCACCGCGCCTCTCTTCCAGAACCACGACGATGGAAGCCAAGTCAACGTCCTCGAAGCCCAAAAGAACATTTCCGCCTCTCTACAAAAGCATAGGCGACGAAGATAAAGACAAATTGGCCTTCATCCACGTCCTAGAACGGTTGAAGGTAGTCGCGAATTTCTCCTGGTCAACAAGAACCCAATCTAATTTCTTTCTTGGACTCCGATAGACTCAGAAGCGAACAGGATGGGTCAACCATAACGTATGAAATTACGCGCTCAGCACTTTTTCAGCACTGGAATAACATGCGGGTTGGATTTACCCTTAGGTCGCTGGGCCAGAGAGGTGCGTTCGCTAGCTTGTCTGATGTCGAAAGTGGTGTACTAAACGCTCTACAGTATCTCAGACCATATGTACCGAATGGCGATGCTTTGCATGCTCACCTCTGACGAATCCCTGGACGTGTCGAAGTGAGGATAAGCTTCCCGGTCTCCAGTGTTCGCGTTAACTGACTGGACATGCATCGGCTAGATGCATCATGATGGCCCTCGTGCATGACCTTGCAGAAGCGCAGGTTGGCGACATTGCCCCCAGCGAGGGGTTCACCAAGGCCGAGAAGCATAAACTGGAAGAAGACGCCATGAGGAGCTTTATCCACGAGATGCTTCATGACTCGCCTGCTGCCAAACGGATCGAAGCGCTCTGGCGGGTAAGAATCGTGTAAATATGGATGTTATGGCTTGACATGGACTCGCTCCGTTTATGGTTACAGGAATACGAGGAAGGAAACACACCCGAAGCCAAGTTCGTCAAAGGCGTGTGTTCTCTCTTCTGGTGCATTATTCGTTCAGTTCTAACCGTAGATACAGACCTGGATAGGTTTGAAATGGCTTCACAAGGTACATCAATTCAAAATTTCGATCTTCTGCTCTATCTCATTCCTACCGACATTCAGCGCTGGAATACGAGCGAAACCAAGGCATCCCAACGTTGCAGCCATTCTTTGACTCCAGTATACCTTCCCTCCGTCATCCAGAAGTGCGGAAATGGGGAGATACTCTTATGGCGGAGCGTGCGGAACTCCACGGCTCTCGACAAACGAAATGAGTGTGTTCTAGAAAGCTCCCGGAAAGCGGTACAAGCAAGTTCCAATTTACCGAACACTTCTGTCTCGCCATTCGATTGTTATAAAAGACAATATACATTTCAATGTGATACTAGAATCTAGATACCTTGAAGGCTTGAGCCTGAGGTCTAACTCTTGAGGGCCACTGTCGGCCGATCGTCTATTAGTCGCCAAGACAGCAATATCTTATCTCAGCCCGTTCCATCTTATCACCTTCCGTTTCCGTTCCATGAATTCCTGATTCGGAAGCCAAAGCCCCCGGACATCGACGACATTTTTCTAATCTTTCTTTCACCTTACGACTTCCATCCACCATGTCGCAGCCTATCGGTACGCCCTCTACACGTTGTGTTCATATTTGAAACTGAAATGTGATGGAATGAGCAGCCCTGCTGTCCGTTTACGACAAGACCGGGCTGTTGGAGCTCGCTAAGGGCCTCGCTGATGCCGGCGTCCGCCTGCTAGGATCTGGAGGAACTGCAAAGAAGATTAGGGATGCTGGTCTGGCCATTGAGTGCGTTTGTCTTTCCAATACGTTTGCCAGCGTCATCTGAAGTCATCTTTTACTTCTGTAGAGATGTTTCCGACATCACCAAGGCTCCTGAGATGCTCGGAGGCCGAGTCAAGACGCTGCACCCTGCCGTCCACGGAGGTCAGTGTCACTATATTGGCCAATGCAACGTGGAAACTCACGGAGCTTATCGTCTACAGGCATCCTTGCGCGAGATATCCCCTCCGATCAACAAGATCTCCAAGCCCAATCAATTTCTCCCATCTCCATCGTCGTCTGCAACCTCTACCCCTTCACCGAAACCATCTCCAAGCCCAACTGCACACTCGCCGACGCCGTCGAAGAGGTTGACATCGGAGGCGTCACCCTCCTCCGCGCCGCCGCCAAGAACCACGCTCGTGTCTCAGTCCTCTCCGATCCCGCCGACTACCAGGAGTTCTTGGACGCTTGGAAAAACGGCAACGGCGATGTGGGCCAAAACATCAGGAGCAAACTGGCTTTGAAGGCGTTCGAGATGACTGCCAAATACGATGACGCCATCAGCGGTTATTTCAGGGAGCAATACGCTTCCTCGGACTTGCCCGAGGACAAGTTAGCTGCACCTGTCCAGAGGACACCTCTTCGATACGGCGCTAACCCTCACCAAAAGCCTGCTCAGGCCTTCGTCACTGAAGGAAAGCTTCCTTTCAAGGGTGAGTCGGACGTTTCATGTTGCATCTTTGGCCTGTTGACCGACTGTATGTTTAGCTCTCTGCGGCTCCCCGGGATACATCAACCTTCTCGATGCTTTGAACTCGTATGCCCTCGTCAAGGAGTTGCAGGAGGCCCTCAGCCTCCCCGCAGCCGCCTCCTTCAAGCACGTCTCCCCCGCCGGTGCTGCTGTCGGCATCGAACTCAACGAGACCGAGAAGAAGGTCTATGGCGTCGATGACCTCAAGGAGCCCCTCACTCCTTTGGCTTCTGCCTACGCCCGCGCCCGAGGTATAACTGTTATCTGCCTCGTTCACCGTTGGTGTTCTGACAATCATATCTAGGCGCTGACCGTATGTCCTCGTTCGGCGACTTTGTTGCCCTCTCTGCTCCTTGCGACGTCGCCACCGCAAAGATCATCTCCCGCGAGGTCTCCGATGGTATCATCGCGCCCGGATACTCCCCTGAAGCCCTCGAGATTTTGAGCAAGAAGAAGGGTGGCAAGTACTGTGTCTTGGAGGTGCGTTATTCTTATGCCTCTATCGGCAACCCCATCTGATCGATGACACCTTCCAGATCGACCCCACCTATGAGCCCCCTGCTCTCGAGACCAAGCAGGTCTACGGCGTCTACCTCCAACAGAACAGGAACAACGCCAAGATCGACAGCAAGCTGTTCGAAAACCTCGTCACTCAAAACAAAGAGGTAAGGCTCCAACTACTTTTTACCAGAGACTGATTGGGAATGGAATGCTGATATACGATTGGAACCTGCTTCAGCTCCCTTCGGAAGCCGTCACCGACTTGATCGTGGCCACCCTCGCCCTCAAGTACACCCAATCCAACAGCGTCGCCTACGCCTACCACGGCGCCATCGTCGGTATCGGCGCAGGCCAGCAATCCCGCATCCACTGCACCCGCCTCGCAGGCGGCAAAGCCGACCTCTGGTGGCTCCGCCACCACCCCCAAGTCCTCGCCCTCCCCTTCAAAAAGGGCGTCAAGCGCGCCGAAAAGGCCAACGCCATCGACCTCTACGTCAGCGGCGAGGTTTTGGAGGGCGGTGAGAAGGCGCACTGGGAGAGCTTGTTCGAGGGACCCGTTGAGCCGTTGAGCGAGCAGACCAAGAAGGAGTGGGCTGCCAAGTTGGACGGCGTTTCGTGCTCGAGTGACGCGTTCTTCCCCTTCCCTGATAACGTCCATCGTGCCAGGAAGAGCGGTGTCAAGTACTTGGCTGCGCCTAGCGGAAGTGTTATGGATGCGGAGTGCATCAAGGCTGCTGATGAGCATGGAATGGTCTTTGCTCACACTTCCTTGAGGCTCTTCCATCACTAAAAAGCGTTTGGGAGATGGATACTCTGTAGCTCAAAAGAAGAATGTAACTTGCTGTATTTTATTGAAATAAGTATCTGTGGATTGTTGGACCATAAAGATTGGCCATGTACTAAGACTATTTACTGCCCGGGGGACGATTTTCGTTCTGAACTGTAGACTGGTTTCCCCCTGCTCCTGATGGTACCCTTCCTTTTCCCCTTGCATTCAACAGAACAGATTATGAACAAATGTACAAACACTATCATGTAGATTACGGAATACCGTCGAACAAAGATGATGGACACATCCCTGGCTCCTGACGACGAACTCGTTCAAAACTACCAGCACCTTTCTTCCACCTGCTCCTGCTCCTCCTGGTACCTTTCCTTTCTTCCCTCCAATAAAAAACAGCGTAAAAAATGGACAAATCCGGAATTGAACCGGACACCCCCCGCATGCTAAGCGGATGTGATAACCAACTACACCATTTGCCCTTGTGGAGGGAGGGGAAAGGAGAAATATTGAGGCGGAGGGTCAGATCGGGTCCGGGCACCTCCCCTGCATTCCAGGCATAAGAACCCCGGAAAAAGCTCAGAGAACAGATTTGGTAGGATAGTTGTCGAGGAATCAGGAGACTAGAGGTGTTGGGAGAGAAAGAGAGCATGCGGTGCCTCATTGATGGGTTGATGCTGAGATCTCCGACTCGGAGATCGAACTGCTCCGATGTTAACGAGTGGTAACGCTGGCTGCAGACGAGTCGCTAACGGACGTTGGTTGGTCGTTCTAGGGCAATGCAGTCCAGATGAATCATTTTCGTGCACATTATGTGAAAGTATCTATCCCACATCGCAGGCGCACCCCCAGTCGTAGGCACGGGGCTCGGCCGAAGAGCCCACTGGCAAGATTGTATAATTCGCCAATGAACACGACTGCTGGACGAGTGCATGTTCTACCTAAGAGCACGGCGACGAGGTACGTGAGTGAGCTCGAGGATTTCAGGAACATTATTGATGCCATCCATGACGAAAATTGGATTATGACATTGCTGCGAGGACTTGGGGGTGTGGCTACCGCCTAGATCATGTACTCGACATATGTGTATCCTAAACCAGGCCACAGACATCACCGTTGTGGCCACTTGGCAATCTTTGTAAGTGGGTGCGTACGACATCCTGTCGGTCGCAAGCATCTATACATTGCGACGGCGATACGAGATAACATCGGGAGCTTTGGGCATCAAGATCATAGTCTAGTAACGAGCCATATGAGCATTACCGGGAGTATGACAGCAGAAGACGGAAGAACCTACATGGTAATTGTGCTCAGGAACTTTATCCACCCTCAACTCCAGCTTTCGAATGATAGTAGCGATAAGGGTGCCGAGTTGGAGGTATGCAAACTAAAAATCATTCAGCCTCCAGTTCACTTCTCGACTCTGAAAACCACGTACCTGCTCACCAATACACCGATGCTTTCCAGCACCAAAAGGCTGATAGGGCGACTCAGTACCTTTGCTCACAGCTCCAAAGCCATAATCAATCTTCTCTCCGTTTCCATCCACGTAGGTGCTGTACGCTTGTGCAGCGACGCCGTTGGGGTCACTCCATCGAGCCGGTTCCCACTTTTCAGGGTTTCTCCAGATTCGAGGATCCATCTGGCTGACGACGGGCGAGGCGAGGACGTAGTTGCCTTTTGGGATGACGTAGGTTTTATCCTCCGAAGCCGCGGCGAGGGAGCCAGGGACGACAACATCGTCTCGAACATATCGCATTATGCTGTGGATAGGCGGGTGCATTCGAAGCGTCTCGCGGATAACAGAGTCGAGGATGGGAAGGGCACGGAGTTCATCATAAGTGAGGGGTCTGAAGGAACCATCTGGGTTGGAAAAGTGTTCGACTTGTTCGTTGTACAGTGCTTCGCTGGAGGACGAGTTAGGGAGAGAAAAAGAGGAGGGAAGACCTGACGTACGCGACTTCGACGTTGTGGGCAAGGTGGAGGAGCGCCCATGAGCTCGTGGCAGACGATGTGTGCTGCCCTGCCATCAGAAGGGCGATCATGATGTGGGCGATCTCGTGGTCCGGGAGGGGTGCGCCAGAGCGGTATCGTTGTTCAGAGAGTGAGGCAATCATGTCATGCTCGACCTGTACTCAGTGGTTAGGGGTCAAACGACACTTGAGAAAAATATGCGGACTTACCTCTTCGACCTGAGCAAGCTTCCGCTTCTTGATAATGTCGATGTAAAAGTCACTCATCTTCTTCTGGGCACGGTCGCGCCTCCTGTAACTCTCGAGCGGCAGATTGGGAAACAAGAAATTCAGCGGGGTGAGGCCTCCGTCTAGGTCGTTGTACGTTTGCGCAAATTCCTTCGTCAGGCTCGAGCGAACCTCTCTTCCTTGAAGGGTCCTAGAGGCGGTCAAGATCGTAATCTCTTGCATGGTCTTAACGGCGTTGAATCTTCCCCACTCGTTTGCTGGGTTCCGTTGTTGGTAGGTAGCAAAAGATGGATCTTTCTCGAGGAAATCTTCGACCTCCTCCTCAATCATACCGACGTAGGCACGGAGGTTCTCCGTCGAGATTCCAGCCTTGATGAATCGTTTTTGCTGCATGAACTTTTCGTTCGGGACATCGTACACAACATCCTTGCCGAAGACGGGCGTAATCAGGTGCTAATATTAACCGAGTCAAAGAACGAAGAGGTAGAGGGATAATGCATTTAACGTACGGTGTATGCATCCTCGGCGTTGAAAACGGTCGACTTGCCACCAAGGATGAAGTTGTTGCCTTTGGGTCCCAACGCCACAGTAATTCTTCTGCCAAGCAAAATGAAAGTGAAGACGTCGCCGTACTGGTGAAAAAGGGTTCAGATATCTTAATCTCAAGGGTCACTATAGCCAACCCACCTTCTCTCGACACTTGAAGAAGAAATTAATGGGGTCGTTCCCGTATTGGAGCGCAGATCCAACGATTGGAATCCAATGAAAAACCTCTGGTGGATTCGGCGCTCTGGTAGGAAAGAGCTTCGAGAATGAGCAGACGAACGAGATGTGGCGGTCAGGACATACCAATTGACGAAGAACGTTCAGGAGGATGGTCGCCACAGGAACGACGGCAAGGAAGAAACCGAGCTTCACCAAATCCAGACCCATAGCTGAAGGCGGGAAGATAACCAGGACTGTGTCGATTCGACTGGCTGTGGTCCGAAGAGGTTGGGAGACGTTCTTTCCCTCCGATCAGGTTCTCTTTATACCGTTCGGAGCCCGGTTAGTTCGGGGGATCACTGACATTTGACCTCAGCACACCTCGAGACTTTGCTGAAAATCGGACGATTTGGTTTCCGGGAAGTCCATCCTCTTTTCCCTGCCGCACACTGCTCCAAACGGCTCTTCGCCAAGGCGCCCACATGAGGAATAGGTTGACGGCACTTTGAACAGAGTTGGAGTCCGACATTTCATCCCGATTGCTTAATCCATCCAGACTCTGAGGTTGTTTTTACGACAGTCTGCTGTCCGTTACCCAGAGGCGATAATTGCTGCCACTGTGCCTCGAGAAGATAGGCTACACATCTGGTCGGATTATTTCAGTCAACATGGTACCACCGAAATAAAACATAAGCCATACCTTCTAATTTCAGGAGAAAAATCAGGTCACTTCTCCGCACGTAATTCCAGAAAACAAGGCATCATTTTCAATGGCACGAGAATGTGAGCGCAACACGTTTCAGTGATCCGGCGGACCACTGTGAGTTGGGCGGCTTCACACTTTACTTCGCACGGCCTTGAAGCGCCGTTCACATCCCTCGTCTGCTAGAATGGCTCCAACACCATCTATGATCTCAGCGTCAGCACAGCGTCAGCAACATCTTCACTGTCTCGGGTGTATCGTCATCGTTGTCCTCTGCATTGACAGCGGCTACGCGTGTATAACCATACACCGACGCCGCAGGAGTGGCGAGGGGTCGAAAGAAACAGGCGGCAGGCTTTTCATCGTTGCGCAACCTCGACTTCATCTGGAGAACAGCACGGAGGAACCTGCGTAAAAGCGGTGAGATACATTTCAAAGGCCCAGCATATTATTCGCACTGACATACCGCCGGACTCGAGCAGGATTCGTCGAATGAAAGCATAGTCAGCAACTGTCACACAGTTTCCTCTCACTAGATTGCGATATCCACAAGCGCGGCGCACTTGATACCAACGTCCCAGCCGTCAAAAGGCCAGCGATGGGCAGCCGGACTATTCCAGTCTTGACCATATCGGGGGCGAGTCATCTCCTCGCTCCCATCCAGTCGACCCCGCGGTGCCTCTCCTCGAAGTGAGTGGCGATCTCTCCCGCGAGGACGACTCTCGGTTACAGTGTGCGCTGGCGCCTGGGTCGGGTATCCAGAGGTAACTGCGACGCAAGTACGGAGCACGGTGGTGGCTGTTGATTCCCAAATGTCGCTCGCGGAGGAGTTCAGTGTCGCGACCAGAGACTTTGCAACGTTCTCCCAGAAGTAACGCAGAACACAAGCGATACGCGACCAGCCGACACATTGACGCGTTGACGCGCAAGGTCCGCCGGCACACTCATCGAGACTATTTAACTCGTGTGACCGACAAAGTCAGACTCTGTAAAGCGAGCTGTCGGTTGAGCATCACTTACACATTCACATTCTCCCCAATCAAACCTGCCTTTACTCTTCTTCCCCTACAGACTCGGGTTTAGCCAGCCAGTGCATCCCAAAGTTGGCCAGCATTTTTCAAGGGCGGCGGTTCCGCTTCCCGCCGTTCTCTAGGTTCTCCTCCGCTTTCCGCATACGTTCTCCTGCCTTTTTCAACGATCTGCTGCTGGCGGAATCGAAACTTGGACGTGGTCGTGACGGTTCAAGACGATGAGCCAACCAAATGGAAATGAGCCAGCGCGAACCCCGCCATCAAAAGACCCCATCAGCGCATCACGGATAATTGATGCGCCATCCAAAATTCACGGTGACATCGATGGCAATCAAATTTGGAGGAACTCAGGCCAGAGCCAGAGGATGGTCAAGATAATTGTATTAGGATGTAGTGAACTCGAATGGTTATAGAAGGATGTGCGTAGCAGTGTAGGGATGTGGTCTAGTATCTCTGAGACAGGAAGTAACGACTGAAGAATGGATCAATGCCAAAGACAGTCCACCTCATCCGGCATCTCTTCACAAGCCAATGTTAATAGGAGTGCATCCAAGGTTGATAAGACCGTCTAAAGCAATAATTGAATACCTGCATTTGCACAAGAATCAAGTCAATACGCACTGAATTTATTATCGGTGCAGCAAACAGGCGCAGCAGTGCACTTGTTGCCTCCGCCAATTCCAATGACGCTGATAGGGCTGCATCCAGACCCGATATCACCAAGGAGGTTGCCGAGGTTGATACCAAGCAAGGAGCCCAGGAGGCCGGCTTCACGAGATTCAGTAGGGTAAAGCTTCTCGCCTATACACGCAGGATTGGTGTCAACAACGAGCGACGCGTCGGGGAAGGAGGAAGACGCGACTCACAGCATTGGATGTGACCAGTGTTGCAAGTTCCTTGGGTGCTGGGAAGAGGATTGGCAGTAACGGAAACGGCGACGGCAGCAGCGGTCAAAGCGAGGATGGCCTTCTTGAACATTGTGGAGAGGGATAGCTGAGGTAGGTAGTTGAGAGAGATCGGGAAGATTGGTGAGAAGTGAAAGACGCTGTTGGTCTGAGGTAAAACAGAAATAATCTCAGGTCTTTTATACCTGTATCGCGGCGCTCACGGCCACAACGGGGCTCGAAAAGGTGGCTTCTAGCGCGCATGGAGTAATGCTGGAAAGGTGGAAGCAGCAGTACGGGCGACGGGCGATCATTCCAGGCGGTTTGAAACCGTGACACTGACGAAAACGTGTTCAAAGAGTTCTTGTGGACCCCAGAAGACTTGGATTCGAATTGCTTTCAATCCCTCAAATCCAAGGCATGGATTGACCAGAAAGCAGGAGAAAGAAACACTTTCTATCATTGTCTACGCTCATGGGACAATTCTGCGGGTATACCAACGTCGATCGTTCATAGAAAAAAAACTCACTAATGAACAGCGACAGAGAACCCAGCCTCGAGGCCGAAATAATCTAAATCTCTTCAATAATCAAGTCCTCATCATCACTCTCCTCCTTCTTGGCCGGCTGATCCAGATTCATCTCCACATCTTCTTCCTCATCTTCGTCATCGGCCGTCTGGACTTTGGGCTCTTCACTTTTAAGAAGTACGACGAGGCGCTCAATGTGTTCTGCAACCTATATTATGCGAGCGTACGGCATCAAGAACCACTCGCGGTGAAATAGTAGCTTCCTCGTACCTTTTCATCCTTCTCCTGCAGATGTAGAGCCCGAACGATTTCATACACCCCATGTTCGCGTTGGTAGTCCCTTCCCCAGCGCGTGTGACAAAGGAGAAGCAGAGCTTCTACAAGCGTTAGTCTGATCAAAGCATCACTCTCCCGCTTCTTTTCGGGTGGAAGGAACTGAAGAGCCGGAAGAAGTTTTTCTTGATCCTAAAAGCGGTAACAACGAGCTCAGAATCCCGGAACTGGGCCACAGATCGAAGCGACATACATCCAAATCAAATTCTTCGGGTCCAGCGAGAGGTAGGAGGATGTAAGGCAGGGCATCGACACCAGCAGCCAAGACTTTGGAAGGCTTGACAGCGACTTGCTCGGTTTCAGGTGTGAGGATGGCCTTGTGACCCTTCACCAGGAAACAGCAATTTCTGCCATGGTGTTCATACGCGTCCCACAATGTGACAGAATGAAGGCGGCTCACTTAATTGTCGACGCAACACCCTTCCGTCGAATGCTGTCTTTGTGTTCGGTGAAAGGCACTATCTTGGCCAGCGGATACTCCAAAACCTCTTTTTCGGGCTGAGGCTCTCCGTCGGGCTTGACGATGTGCAACGGCTGCGCTTTCAAGAACAGCACTCTTCCAGCGGGAGACTTCACATAAATTAGTTAAGATCCCCCCTTCATAAATTCCACAACGACACTTACGACAGTCAAATTCGCAAACACACTCGCCAAAAAGTTCAACTCTCCTTTCCTCTTCCTTTTCGAGAGATCGCTGATCTCGCCCATGGTGGCACCCTGGACAAATGCGTCGATAAGCAACGGGATCGCTGCAACCTCCTTCGGTTCTCCAGGAGGATACGGCACGGGAGTTGGACATGACCCGCTCCTTGAATCGACGGGATAGACAAGATTTGAGCCGTCCTCGCGCGATTTGTAAGGAATGACGGAGATTTTCATGTTGATAATGGCGTTGCAGGGAACGGAGGAGGCGGTAAGGTTCGAAAGTAGCATTGAAGCGAGGTCGGCGCATATTGAGTGAGGGTTCTAGAGATTGGTCTGGTACCAGGGTCGGAACACAGAACTGGAGGGGCTTACGATGATGTAGGAGACGATGAAGTTGAGGAAGGTTGGTTCTGAGAGGGGACCAACCAGAGCAGGCGAGTCTGACAGGTTCACCAGCGCCCTAAATGCATCGTGCGCGACATTCTAACCACATCGTAAGCCAAGTCCACGACTTGACACTTGAAGAGGACGCACCAACTGATCACGGCATAACAGTTTCAAGTCCCTGATGATATCCGTTTCTTTGGCCTTTTGCAGCCCTCCGCCTCCAAGGCCCTTGAGAAAGATTGCATCGCGATATGGTGCTCCTTGTGCCGTCTGAGGAAGAAGATTCTCTAGCGCAAGATGGCGCGCCTGGGGATTTTTGTCTCTCAAGAAGGGGACGAGCTACAGCGGTCGTTCAAGGTTGGTTTCGAAATGTGTCGGCGTAATGAAACAAGGTAAACAGATTGGAGGAATCCAGCCTAAGATCGGTTTTGAATGTATTGGTTGTGATGCAAAGTGCAAACTTACCTCGCGTAGTTGGGCCTCCATGGCGATTAAAGAAAGAGGACTGAAGGAGCTGGTAACAGAAAAAGATGATTGATCAAAGTCTGCAATCTAATCTGCGACGTCATCTCACGTGCGATCCTGGACCGATAGGGGTCATTGTCGGAACGGTCATTCCCAGCGTCCCTTCCTTGCCTTCAATCTTTCGAAAGGACGAGAGAACAAGGATTACATTGCATTGATAGATATTGCGTCGACAACTAGTAACAATCCTAAACTACAGAATGATACGAAGCTCCGAGTCATGTCCGAAGGCGACTTGAAAGTGAATAGACAACAAAAGGCCATATCAACAAACATCCGCGCAGACTTTAGATAGGAAAACAAGTTGGTTATTATTACAAATGAGGCACATTCAAAGCTTCTATGCCTTAGTCTATAACCGCGCGTCAAGTAGGCTCACTCCAACGGAAAACCAGGCGCAAACACACACACCTCATCTCTTCTCTTGGAGATCCATACCCAAAGGCACGACCCAAAATTAACCAAGGAACTAAACTCATGCTCCCAACATCCGTTTTGAACGTCTATGGTTTTCCCGAAGCAGTATTGCTGTCTTCGCCCCTTAAAGGCTAAACAGGTGCTGACATCGCCGATAGACGACAACCCATCCCCCGAACATGGGCCTGCTATAGGGGTCTCGCACGGAGACCAGCCGTTTTAGCAGTCATGAAGGGGGTGGTTGCGCGGAGTGGGTGAGGGCTCGTGGGTCGGGGCCATGCCTTTGCCTTCCTAATTGCGGAACAGGATCGACGTATGGCTACAGAACGGTCATCAGGTTTGCTGGTCATACGAGGAAGGAACAGGTCCCACTTACTCTGCGCAGGACTTCCTCGACGTCCCCGGAGGGACGGGGGGTGTAGCGAGAACTTTTGTCTCTGTAATCCAGGACCCCGTTAGCTACCAACCGCAAGAGCTCCGGTGGGCCTACGCTTTGGTTGATCACGCTCCGAAGGTTTGAAGGACCTAGGAAGGGCCGACGCTCGGATTCAGGTAATAGTATGCATCTGTTGCAAAGGGCGAGATAAACCAAAAAGGTCGCTTGTGAGGGGCAGCAACGCATACCTTAGTTCTGCCTCGGCGACATCAAGTTAAGATAATTTGTCGTCGCTGGTCATGATGATGGAGCACTCTGAGCAAGAGGGCAGCGAGGTGTAGAAACGCGACAACGAAGAGAGCGTCATCTCGTCCAGTACTGTTGGCTGGGAGATGGTGGTTAAAAAAGAAGAGAGCTGCTCTGACGAGTGGAAGGCGAGATGGGCAGGTTTATATACCTTTCGTCAAGGTTGGCATTGTTTGCCAAAATGCGTCCGTGCGCCCGTCTTATGTTTTAAATCGTTCCGTGTCAGTCTGGCGGTCAAGAAGGTAGGGATCGGATCTCACACCCTCTAGCTTATGAAGCACCATACTTCAGAAAGGAGAGTCTGGAACGGGTTCAGTCCCTGACCCATTCAAACCGATTGGACGTTTTAGGAAACATGCCTTCCTAATCTGGTAATTCCAGCCACCCCAGAGGCGTGAAATCAACAAGTATGAGAAACCCGTGGCAAAGAAGTTTTATAAAGGCAGATATACACGAAGGATGGCTCGAGGATATTACATCAACACTTGTAGCAAAAGCTTTCACAAAAATACTCATATGGCAACAGTCCAAGAGGAAGAATATTCAATACAGCAGATAAGCCGGGAAAGAAAGACCATTTTGTGAAATGACTTAACCACGACCATTGGAACATCACAACGGAATTCCGCGGTAACTCAGATCAGGACACCGACGATCCCAACTGTTGCGCTCAGGCTTTGCAAGTTTCTGAATGGGATCGTCCCAAGGACCCAAGATGTGGCCAGCTTGCTGACTCTGTTCATGTCACCACTGATGCCTGTGTGAGTACACAGATCTAGATTAATGATCACATGGGAAATCGTATAACGCCTCGTTGCTGCTCAACTTTGACTCATCGGAGTGGCGAGCGTGGGTTTGCCTCGAAAGCTGTAAAGTTCTGCCCCATTCCAGCCCTCTTCCCTGGCGTTTAGTCTTCCCAATTCGCGATGAATCCCCATGCGGTACAAGCAAAAAACTATTTCACTCATATGGCACGTTGTTTCGCACCCAACACGAGGGCACCAAATTCAAACAATGACAGAGAAGAAACAAAGCCCAGTCAGACAGGCACCTAGTCATTGAGAAGCGGTTGTGTGAGATAAGAAGACAGAATAATGACAGGACAATGACAAACGCGCCTTAATCGCATCAGAAAAGGCACCAAAGAACACTGGGGAACGAAAATAGGGGCCCTGCCAGTCTGGATGATTGTGGGCATAGTTGTTCTTCTCTGGGCGCAGCGTAGAAGCAGGTGGAGGTGGCAATACCAGCCCCCTGGTTTTCTTCTCGCGATCGTTTCTGACTGGCTGGGAATAGATCACGCGCGCTCGAACAGTTACGTGGACGCGATTGCGAACACCAGCCAAACTCCGCCATGGTCCGACCTACCGCTTCTCACGGCCCCGCATACTGAATGAGATGAGCATAATCGAGCACTGACTGTGGAGAAATAATGAACCTTACCTTGGTTATCACAATCGTAATGCAGCGAGACCGCGACGAGTCACTCACATCTGGCATGTGCGGGGAAACGGCAGGCCGAGCCGGATCCTGATCAAGACAATGTGACGATTCCAGAAATCCAATGCTCGTGGTGCTCTTTGCAAGTTGTGTTCACCCCGAATCCCCAAGGATGTGTCCAGACTTCTAGCACTCCGATTGTCTCTGATGTCTGTGAGCACACGCAGGTCCTGGGGTAAACGTTCATCGCTTCTCTTAGCCATTTGTCTTGAGAATTACCATGCTGTTGTGTAAGTAGTAGGACTCGTCGGAGTGGCTAGCATGGGTTTGCCTCAAACGCTGTAAAGTTCTTGGTCATTCCATCGAGTTCCAAGCCTCTCCACCCGGCGTTTAGTCTTCTCATTTTTCCGTGAATCCCCTTGTGGTACAGGTAGAAAAATACTAATTCACTCGTACACGTTGTTTCGCGCCCAACACGAGGGATCCGAATCCATCGAACAATGGCAGAGAAGGAAGTGCATCTTAGCCAAATCAGACAGGCGACCCAGTCATTTAGAAGCAGCTGAGCGCTGAGCACGATGAGTAGACAGAACCGTGACAAAACCGTGATAAAAGTACCTTAATTGCATCAGAAAAACGCCAAAGAACAAAGTCGCCCGCACTCGTGCCCTCTACCCACAACAAAAACTGGGGTCCCTCCCTATTCGGGCTGAGACGATCGTTATGTCTCTGACGTGTCCGCACTAGAGATGCTCTGCACTCGACATTCGGGAACCTTTGGAAGCTGAGGGGTGGTGCTTCTTGGTTTCCCTTTCGAATGCGTAGAAGGGTATATGCAGGAGCATACTCACGTTGTGATGTAGACCCCACGAATTCCTGCCTTAGCGCTCACTGAACAGCCACACTGGCTCACATCAGTCAACTGGCAAGCACGGTCATAGAACTTCGGAGAAGACGCTCCGCCCACAAGTATCATGGACGTATCGGAGGCTGGAGTTGACTTCGTCCACTGGCACCTCATACTGGGAATAACTCACCAATGTGACAGGTCGGAGCGAACATGCCAGATGTTACACCATGTGGAGAACGCATAGTCGCAACTCACAGCCGCCCGCTTTCCATGGTTCCCAGGTGGAAGTATTTGGATGACAACAATAAAACGCATAGACTATAGACGTACATGTTTCATATAGACTTGGATTGACAACTACGACAGTGAGACAGCAATGAACGAGGAAAGCGACCGGGTATCGAAAGCGAAACGACAGCGTGATGAAACGAGAGTGTTACTGTTGAACATGATTGAAACGTCAGTACAGCGTTGAGAGGAAAATCCAACGACAAATCTTACTGAACAAAATTAAGGATTTTCGAAGAAGTACCAAGCAGGGGGCGTCGTCACACCCAGCCCTTCCTGCGTCTTCTTAATCAGCTCCTGGTTGTCCGCGTTCACCATATCCTCGTCGGTCAAGTTGGTCGCAATAACGACACCCAAAACAGTCACGAGGTCGACCTTAACTTTCTTGTTGGGGCGTTTGAAGGGGAAAGGAACGACGAGGAATGCGAGTCGTTTGACTTCAGGAGGAACAAAGGGTCGAAAGGCATCCCGGAACACGACGCCTGCCTGTGGCCCGGTGCAATAATATTGAGGACACTTCTCCTTCAGGAAACGTTCGATGTGGTGAGAGAGAACTGGGATGGCGAAGACTCTGCCCCAGACTCGCGGTCGTCCCAGAGCTTCATCGTAGCAGTACCTCTCTGGGCGCTTCAGATAGCTCGGCGGTGGAGGTGGCAATTCCAGCTCCCCGGACTCCATGTCGCTGGAAGTTTTGAACTCAAGGTATTCGGGGGTGGATTCCTCTGTGTGTTTCTCTGTCTGTGCGGGCGACCTAGAAGGGTGTAAGGTGTTGTAGAAATGGGAGCAATCGGAGTGCTTACATGGCGAACGGAGACCAAGCGTGCGGGTTCAAGTTCTCATTCCATGAATGACGTTCAACTTGATATGCCACTTTGGGAACGGTCACGTGATCGTGACAAGCCTCATCATCATTGTTTCAATTTGCCTCCGGATCACTCTTCCCCGATGGGGGAGCTCCTCAAACCCCTGGAGGTGCCACTCCGACCAGTGCCCGTTCCAATTGGCGAAAATTCGAGAAAACGTTTAATTGAATAAAGAAACACAATTTATTGACTTCAATAGCAGCTGTATCGAGTGAACTTGTGGTCGATCAACAAATACAGCAATTCCGAGCATCCCTGCCTCGGTGCCAACGAACCTCTCCCTCGGTAAGAATAACTTGTGCTGATGAGAAATGCGACCAAACAGTGTGTACAGTAGAGTATACGGCTGAGAGTTGATGTCGTTAATTTAACCATTGTTGGAACAAAGAAGTTCATCTTCAACAGTATCCAGACTTGTCAGGAGCCCGATTGCTTTCTAAACACGCCTGGTTCCAGGAAAGCTGGCACGAGGCGAGCACGGAAATTCAGCCAAAATCGTCGAACAATAACAATCGATAATCAAAGAAGCCCTGAAATATACACTCTACCAATGGGTGTCAGATTGATAAACCCCCAACGACTTCCTGGCCTTCTTTCCGATTCCCCCGACTGTGGTTGGCCCACGGGCTTTCTATCTACTTTCCCCACACCACCCCTCCTCGAGCCCTCTCGTCCTACGTCTCTCCCGATGTCCTCGAACAAAGCGTTCGGGGACTTTGTCCTCATAGACACAGCCTATAAGCGCTTCACTCACTCGCTGGCTACGGCACTCGCATACTCTCGACAGTTCAACTTTCGCAGGCTCGAAAGTCCCACCTACGGGCCATGGGGAATGGTTTTCCACGAACTGGCCAGTAAAATCTCTCCACAAGTCATCTGCATCCCCCAGTACACATACACATCCTCCCCGACTACAAACCCCGCCTCCCATAACGACTCCATCAATACCCTGACCCCCCAGAACTACCAGGAGCGTATCCCCGACTACGCTCTCGTGTGGCTCGCTGCCGAGCTGAGGAAGGGCATGAAACATGCCTTCAAACAGCTTCCATTAGGCCGCGCGTGGCGTGCTTTTGACATACCTCTACACGAGCAGGTGCCTCGCGGCTATATGGCCATTCCGAAGGCCGACGACTCGCTATACGACGACCCAGTGAATTGGCACCTCCTCAAAGTCACTCACCAACATACCTTATCCCTTGGTGAGATGAAGCGGTCTGCCGGGCGTCGTAAACCGACTGCCAAGAGCTTCTTCGAGGACCTTGGGAGCCTTATGTTGAAGGGCATGTTTTGTGCACAGGAACAGGCCGATCTGGCGTTCGAAGTCGAAGAAGACGAGACGCAGCGGATTATCCTCGTGGTGGGTGTGGGAGAGTGGTGGTCTTTCCGCATTGACTGCAGAGACAAGACTATCAAGACTGAGGACCTCTATAAAGGTGAAGAATATGCTTTCCTCGATACTTTGCACAGCAATTCTTCTCGGACAACAATCCCTCCACCGGGGCGCGACTCACAGGACTCGCAACGCCCAAAGGCACTCAATACCGACTTTGTGCTTGCTCGGGGTCACCGAAAGGTCGATGCACACAGCGATATCGCGGCTGACTATGATGGTTCTTGGGATGACGTCGAGGAGCCTGAAGAGGCGTCGGTGGACGTTGGTGAGGATGATTTATCGCTCCTCACCGACTCCGGCCCCGATAGCGGCGAGTCGGATGATGATTTCGATGAGGCAAATCGCAGCTTCTCGGCCTATTTGAACCTTTTACGAATTTCGCCTCAACGTCCTACTGGCCAAGGGTCAAAGAAGAAAGGAAGGCCCTCAGCCCGTACGCTTTCTGCTTCTTTCTTTACACTTTGTGCTGACTCCCCTCATCCAGCGCCGGTACGATATTTGAACAACCTCGCTCAAGGTCGACATTGGGGGGCGAAACTAGTTTGGAAGCTGCGAGACGCATTGCCATATCCTAATGTCTGGAGCCGGCCAATCCTTTGGGGGACCCCTGCATCTAATCAGCGAACATACTTGATCAAAGAGCTTCTCAAGGTCGAGGCCAAACGCCTGGAGGAGAAGTTCCCAGGAACACCTGTCCCAGAGCAGGACTTTGATTTCTCAAGGTAAGCCACTATGCCTCGAAAGCGACATCTGACTCACTGCGCCTGTCCACAGTTCGTACGAGAATTAACAACGCGTTGCCGAGTTTGGTTTCAAAACTATCTTTTTTCATTGAATGTAACACCCGTATTTCCCTTTGTACATGTCTACTGTACCCCTTATGTTGCCCCGTCAACTGCTCGAAATTCACTCACTGCTTTCAAATTTATTCAACGCATTGTGAATGAGGTCGCTGGGACCAGCCTCCATTAAGTTGAGCGTAGCAAGTTTTATAAAGGCAGATATAAACGAAAGATGGCTCGAGGATATTACATCAACGTTTGTAGCAAAGGCTTTCACAAAAATACTCAAAGGGCAACAGTCCAAGAAAAGGCGGCTCGGAAACCCTGAGCAGGCGGCGTAGTACAAGCGTTACAAGATCAAGTAAGAATATTCAATATAGCAGGTAAGCAAAGAAAGAAAGACCATTTTGTGACATGGCTTAACCACGACCATTGGAACATCACAACGGAATCCCGCGGTAAGTTGCGATCTGTGCACGGAGCCGGTCGATCTGACCCTGGGTGAAGTTGTTCATGCACACATCGTCGGCATAGTTCATATAGTTATCTAGACCATACTCGTCAACACTCTCTCCACGGAAAAGGAAAAAGAAAAGTGGTAGAACGACGTACGAATGGAATCCACGCCCTCCGAGTCAACACACGAATCCCTACTCGCAGGGCATCCGTACGTCGGTGACGACTCAGGCGGGGTATCGTCGACATAATCTCCCGGCGGCGGGCATCCGCCTTGGAAGGTGTGGTAAAGACCAACCCAGTGCCCGATCTCGTGTGTGGCGGTATGCCCGAGGTTGAACGGAGCGAAAACACCTCCTGGAACAGACGAGTAAAGGATGACTGTAAAATCGAAACAAGCAGTAAGTAACTGATGTTAGCTTCGACCGCTCGGGGGACGGTATGGGAACATCAATGATACTGACCGATACCGTCATCCTCTGGCTTACGCTCGTAGTCACCGGGGAATGTGGCATATCCGAGTAGTCCAGTAGTTCTGAAACTGATCCAATGCGAGGTGTTAACGTGAGCAACTCGAAGTACTGTAGACCATCCATCAATCGCAACTTACGCTACACTGTAGACGTTCAACGCGTCTGGGCGTCTGACGCCCAAGGCCGCCTTCATGTCGGCCTGCTGGATATTATTAGGCCCAGCACCTCGGAACCAATCCGCGTTCGTAGTACGAGTTACGTTCGCGAGGCGGAACGACAAGGCTGCGGGCGCGTAAGCCTTGTTGAGAACGTCCAACTGAGAGTCAAGTTGCGAGTCCCTATCAGTGAGCCGTCAGAAGAAGATGGTCGATGATCAGTACAGAGCTTGAAGAGAGGCTAAAATAGCTTACGGGATGTTGCCTTCATCCTCTTTCTCACCCGCTCGAATGACGTGCCAGTGCACATCAATCACTTGGGGTGTGTATTCGGTGAGGATGCCAGGAGCAGAATCACCGAAGGCGGCTCCAATGGGGGCGTTCTGCCTGAAATTGTCCTCGGCTTGGGATAGCTCATCTGGTGACTTGTCAGGCGCTCCGCAACTGCGACGAGGGAGACGCCTGCAGTCATAAAGGAAGACGAGGAGTGTCAGCAAAACGGGAATGCGACAGTCGAAGAAGAAAAGACGTACTGAGCTTCGACAAGTGAGGCGAGACCGACAAGAAGAAGAGACGCGATGTCTATGATTCGCATGGTGATGTCAGTACAAACTCAAACCGTAAGAAAATACGGATGAGGAGAGCGAAACATACTTTCTGGCGCCTTTTTATGCACTTCTTGCTGTCGATTTCCAATCCCGGGGGATCCCTTCCGTCGGAGTACGGATTGAATTTAGGGGTCTCTCCAAGGAACAAGCCGAAAGAAAATGAAGGGCAAGAAGACAAGAAGGTGATGCAGGTCGGAAGAGATAGGTAATTGATGACAAGGAAGCGCTGGATTTGAAAGACCGGTCGTACCAAGAATACGTTCGGAAAGCAACTCGCGTACAGAGGCATGTTGCCGAACGTTCGACGCAGGGCCTAGTACACATAAATCGCTAACAGGACTGCGTCCTGAGTCATATCCAACCACCTCTTGTCAATGATAGAGTAATCAACGAAGAAAAAAAGCGTGTTCCAGTGTCAAGACTAGCATGCGGGTGCTTGCAGACCTTCTCACAAGGCACCCCATTTGAAAAAGAACATTTGTGCCTGAGCAGAAGACATTCACAGGACGAGGTGGGAATGGAGCTCGAAGGGACGAGGAGAGGGGTGTGAGGGAAAAGAAGTCACTGAAGGAAGATAGGCCACGGCCTTTGCCGACTTTCTCGGAGACAACCGTAGCGATTGGAAGAGCCTGACAGCGCACGGTCGAACGCTAACTTGATTCTCTGGGTCTTCTGGCTTCTGGATTTCTGGTTCGAAGAGAAGTGCCAAATTTGAGGGGCGCCCGGCTGGTAGAGCGGAAACCGAATCCTAGAATACAACAACCTTCGTGCAAACCATACATAGTCGTCTCGGCCATGATGGATTTGCCATCATGGAAGACTTTGTTGCACTTAGCTTCGTCTAGGAAGCTTGAGCAAAGAACCATCGTACGCGCCAGTGCAGTCTGGGTCGCCAGAGGATTTGTAGATTTCTGACCGAGTCGTCAGACACGAGTGAGAGCAGTCGGCAGAGTACTTGAACATAATGTGGCGAGGGAGTGGGGTTGGAAGAAGGTTGCGTCTCCTATTTCTGGCGGCCAGGCTCAGCCTGCCCTGTTCGCGGAGCGTGAGAAAAGACTGTGTTCGTCGCGTCGCGCGTTGACGAGACGGTTTTTGACGAGGCTTTCTCAGACTCACATGTCGTTGCAGCTGCTTCGACAGAGACTTTCAAAATGGCGACCACCACTTGACCGTACAAGGACTAGTCCGACCTTATTGCGACTACACAGCACGCATTCCCAGGCGGAACGAGTATTCTCGAACACGGGCGCTGCAGATTTTTTGGCTGCAGCGGCATCGCCGAAGTCGTTCCCAAACTTCAATGGACTCCCTGAAGTGAGTGAAGGTTACGTTTCTTCAAGCGTATACTGACTGTCTGCAGGTAATTGTGACAGGTTAGAGCTGAAGTAGTCTCTCAGATTGGACTATATGTGACCTCAATCCGCAGGGAGGGCGAACGCCGGAAAGTCAACGCTCTTGAACGCGGTGTTGGGCCGAAAGGCATTATTGCATACAAGTTCAAAGGCGGTATGTCCTCCATCTGTCTCTACTACGTTCTGCACGCTGACTGGTGTGTCAGGGAAGAACTCGAGAGCTCAACTTCTATCGCGTCGGCGAGGAACCAGGCCACCTTATCCTAGTCGACGCACCTGGCTATGGAGCTCGAGGGCGGATTGAATGGGGCAGACTATTCGATGCCTACCTTGACACCCGCAAAGAGTGAGCCTTCCCTGCTCGATGCCGCCTCAGGGACCTAACTCTACCTCCAGATTGCGTCGCGTCTACATCCTCTTCAACGCCAAGCACGGTCTAAACGAATTCGACCGCCAAATGCTCCAGCACCTCTCCCAGAAGCTCATATCCACAGACGGCACCCAGCCATGGACCCTCCAGTCCGTCATCACCAAGGCTGACCTCGTGCCAACCTCGCAGTTGTCCAATACCATCTCTCGAATGCGGAAGGAGATTTTCGAGGCCTCACCATTATGTCTCCCTCCCCTTATCACAAGTTGCGAGATGAACCCACCGTTCGGTATCGAGAAAGTCAGGGAGAACATCGCCCAAGCATGTCAGTTAGTGTAACTGTTAATGAAGCACTGCAGCTGGCCTTTCCCATGCTCGCCGGGGTTTAGCCCAACATTCCCATTCAAGAGCACCATTTCCTCATCCCGTCCGCCGAGTCCTCTCAAGCAGGTTGAGCTTTTAAGCGCAAGGGGAAGTAATCCTCTACACCCCCAAGCCGATGAAAGTGTCGCAACACCCAAGGTTCTTTGCTCGCAAGTTCCAGTCGTTTGGTGGCCAACTTGGGTTAAAGAAGCTGTTGATCCCCGCGGTCCTTAATTCACCCTTTGCATGTCCTCATTATCAGCTGTATCTCATGCCGCGCGCGCAAGTGACTTTTCTTTCGACTGAACGTTGCTACTTAGAGCGCAATACCAATCCAATACGCCTTTCGGACCTTCGGTGCAACAACTGTGACCTCCATCAGGACAGTTGTTGCTTGCGCCGGGTATGTAAAAGCAAATTTACCGAGAACTCACACAACTCCATCAGCATATTAGAAGTAATTGAATAGCTATTATTGGTGTTTCGAGAAGCGAAACCTGGAATCCTCGTCCACATGATAAGGCTAATAATGGTTGGATCGCTGAGGTTCGGAGCAAGTTCTCTTTTCGGATGGAATGATGGGCCTTCCTGATTAAGGATGTTATTTGGTCGCGCCAAACAACCTTGGGTGCACAACGTCCACGAGCGCCTGACTGCCTGCAGCGACCAAGTCTCCAGCGTCGTTGGCTGAACAGTGACGCCATGAACCTGCTTATCCTTGACCATAACTGTTCGTGAGACCATGTCCACCAACACTGTTCCCCCTTGGCCCTCGCTGTACAACCCTGGTCTGGAAATTCTGAACGTCAACAACCGCGAGCCTACCCAGCCAGGCGGATTCTACCTGTACCGAGGAGGAGGTGCGCCATATCTCACATCTGGATGAAAGCATTACGCTGACTACTCTTAAGATGTATTCCGGTTCACATTCTACTGGTCATTGATATTCTACACCCCGTTCTTCCTAGTCTGCGGGGCGTACGCTTTCTGGAACTACACATTCCCTCCTTCCTCTCGACTTCCTCGTCGACTATCGGTTTCCCGAGACTCAGTGGCCTATCAGCTGGTCGAACTCTCCCATACACCCACGTCACCAACTACCCCAGCACCCACCAAGTTGCCCAGAGTCAATGAAAGACGATCAAGGCTGGCGTTTGCGGTCATCGTTCTTTTCATATTCCTGATCTCAAGCCTGGGTGGCTCCGTTCTGGGATCTGCCCTGCTGGGATTCATTACGACCGCTCTGTACAAAGCTGGTGGTTTCCACATGTCAACGTAGGTGGAATCTGTGCTTCTGCACGATGCTGTTTTCTTTACTTACCCCCCTCTCGTTACCCAGATGGGTTCCGTTCCTGCTCGCTCTCCTTCAGGTCCTCATCGGTTTACTGAGGCAAGTCCCCTCTGTGCCCAACTCGTTCATACCCACTCTTACCTTTGACATCGTTCTAGTATATGGCCTTCAATCATTGAAATCATCTAGAGAACCTTGCTTGTTGCGTATTTCATACGATGACCTCCATCCTGTGAACTGGTGCACCTTCGATTGACCGCTTTTTTCGGAGTGGACACCGTGTGATCCCAAAGACCCAAAGATAGGCTGAACACACATAGTAGTCTCCGACAATCGCCTAACGGACATGAATGCTGTGCCTCTGCATCTCGCAGCAGGTACTATCATTATCACTGGGTTGTAACGCCGACATAGAGTTGTAACGTGTCTTATCGGGGCTCAGATTCTTCTTTATCGGCCAATATTTTTGCATATCCTGTGAGAGTATACGTGGAGAATGTTAGCATCCACTTTCTACAAAGAAAGGGCAATTTGTAGTTGGAAGAATGCGTTATCAGTGGTAGAATTTTTGCGACAAGCGCAAAATTCTGACGTAATTCGTACTTTTCTAAAGGTCAAGAGCTCGGAATAGCGAAAAAACACTGGGAAAACAGATGCAGGTCATTTTTGCTCCAATTGTGCTATCTTTTCAGTTTCCTACTGTAGTCACTGAAGAGAGAGGGCAAAAGTGCTCGAGCGTGACAGGTACGAGGGACCATTCGCAGCAGGTTGCAACTCCTTTCCCATCGGACAATCAAACTTCTGTCACGCTCTTCGCTTCGGGGTTGCGAATGATGTGACAGCGGAGTGATCGCAGGCATGTCACACTCGTTGCAACTCCCTGTTTTTGAGGCCTTTTGGATACCCTTCACCGGCTTTCGTCTGGCATAGCAGGATCCTCTTCGATCTTACAGAGATTTGAAAGTAGTATAGAGAAATGGCATCCCAATGTACTTGCAAAAATATGGAAGCGAGGACCTCCTACTTCTTGAGTTATTGAAGGATAACTGAAACCCGTTACAACTCTATGGTAATGATAGTACCCACTGCAAGTCGGGGGCCCTCCGTAAGTACAATCGATATCCTCGGCCAAACCCGGGTTCCGTGAACCGTCAGATCCGGGAAATGCACATGAACACTCCAAGTGTTTTTTTTTTTTTTTTTTCGCAGCTTTTTCGGTCTTGTCCTCGTACCTTTGCGCAAGCAGTGCCGCTGATATCGTCAGCCCACGTCACTGCCAAACCAGCCTGAGTGTAACCTTTAGGAACCAGGAAATCCATCGGCGCCCGTTCGTCTTCCGGCTCAACGTACCTTGAGGCTCTGCTTCCCTCGTCTTCGATCAAGCAAGCCCGGTCGATGCTGAAACTGCTCGGAGGCTTGGACGATGGAAGTATAGGATCTCGCAAGCCTAAGCATATCACGGCCTACATACGCAGGTCCAGGCCCCCAAATGCGGTGTACACACAGGAATGGTGCCTTACGAGTCCGGAACTCTTGAGAGCGCGGTGTTTACCATTTTCCGAGGTTTCGTCAACGCGTCCTCGAGTTCTTTACGCGGTAGGCTTCATTACTGAGTACTGACCGACCAAGAGGCTCCAAGAGGCGGAGGCGCGCTGGGCGGCCTATATCAAATCGATACGTATAATGACTCTTGTTGAAGGACGAGGTAGTGGGTACTTAGGTACATGTAAGTTGTAACAGGTTATGTATCGTGAAAAATGGTGGTAGAGTGCGTAGGATTAATCGTGTCAATACACATCTTCATGATAGAAGGAACAGACTCGTCTGTTCGGGGGACGTGCTCTCGGGTGTGGGATGTCCGAGACCTCCTGGCCACTTCCTTCGAGTTATCCACCGTACCTGAAGGAGGACGCGGCAGCCGTCTGGGGAATCAGGCAGGCTGCTTTCGTCACAGAGGGCTCGGATAGCCTCCGCCTGCTCTGATCCACTCTACATCATCTGAATCGACCCATAAGACCGGTGGCCCTGGATGAAGACAAGACCGTAGACTCAGCCATCGGATAACGCAAGGTCTGCTAATAGGCCGGGACCCTTGCAGAGTAGACATCCTCCGGATCCATCCTCCAGTGCGAGAACGGAACCGATAGAACTCCAATAGACAGGGAGAGCATCATCATGGCAAGAGACTCGAGTCTGCGTCTGCGTCTGCGGTCTGCGGTCTGCACGGAGTGGAGGTCGACGGAGTCGGCCCCCCGTGCCTGAGGCCTGACGCCCTGGCTAGCATTCTCGAGGAGATAAACGATGCCTCCGTCGCTCAAGATCCAGCGCTCAGCGGACTCATGATCACACATACACATCTCTCAGCGGTGTGGTGGCAATACTTACCACATACCAATGAGATGATGAAGGATCTAACAGCAATATGATCTCCCAAAGTCCCAAGTGTCAACTTCAGATCTACAGTACAGATCTAACAGTTTGGAACAATGTTGGAAAGTTTGCAAGTTTGAACGTCTGGACCCGCCGTCAGGACCAATCAACAGGGGGGCGATCAGTAAATGATTAAGTTGCTCGAGGTCCCCATTGGGCGAGAGCCTTTTTTAATGGACTACATACTAGTTTAATGGGTCGGCGGAATTAAAAATTGGGTGAAGCAACTACTAGTACGCTGGGCGCTTAAAATCCAATGTGTGCATGCTACGAGCAGATGAATCTAAGTACCTGCCTTTGAAAGTTGCCCATGCCGAGCTCGGATCGAAAATATAATGCAAAGGTTCAATCAGAGCCATCCACCAACTTGAAACACGCAGTGCATGTATGGACACAGCCAGTCTGTCAATAAAAGTTCCCGTGAAACAAAATCTGTCATTCCAGGGGAAAGCATTTACACAAGTGTCTTCATGACGAGCAATTGCGTGTTTGACATGTACTCGAGTATGCATATGGTACAACCAAAGTCAGCTACGAAGTTGGTACGAAGGAGCGGGAAGGGGTGGAAGGAGAGACATAGCGGCGGGGAGGCACTGGAAGGCGGTAGGAGGGGGAGGGTCTATACACATAATGTACAGGGTATTAATGGTGTTACACTAGTCATAAATAAGCTGCATGTGTGTCCGTAATTTTTTTCGTCTACTACATCACGCGCACTGGCACAGTGACGGCGCATTTCAAAATAAGTCATAAAGTTAGTCAATAATAAAACAACAGATGAACTCGAACGAATAAATCAGGGAATAAAGTACAACAGGGGAAGAATAAGAAAGGTCGAATGTAAAAGGGCTTCAAAGGAAGAACGAAGAAAGGGTGTGGAAATCGAAAGTCGAAAGTCGAAGGCTACAACAGAGAAACACCACGAATAGCCCAAGTTGAAAGGTCGAAGGGAATAGATGGCCGAATGAATAAATACGAGGGAGGTGGCGGGTGTCCATAAACAAGTGCATCTGGCGAAGGAGTTTAGAAGGGGCAGAGAGTGGGGTAGGAAAGTTGGTCGGTGTCCAAGAATCCACCAGGTTGTTCAGGGCCCATAGCAAATGGATTTGCCGAGTAGTAGTTGTTCGAGAGGTACATCGGGTTCATCCACTGGGAGGTCGGTGTCGCCACCTGGTCTCCGGCGGACAGAGGAGGGAGGAGAGAGATGTCGCTAGTGTCGTAGTCGTAGTGCAGAAGATCGGGTGAACAGGTGGGGTTGGTGAGGATAGGAGCCAGAGGAATGCGCTCATCTTGGACGGAGCTCGGGTATGAGGGGAAGTAAGAAGTGTCGACTTGATCCAGAGGGAAGGAGCCGTCGAAGTTGTAGATGATGGAATAAATAGGCTTAGGGCCGCGCTCCCCCGTGGGCGTGAATTCATGAATGTCTTGAATAACAGTGCATGAGCGCAGGTCTGTACAGCTAAAGTCAGCACACGGAACGTCGCGAGTCAGAGGGAACGGACATACCAGAATATCTGGCTGAGATGCTCCCCCAGAACTTGGGAAGGAGGGTCGTACGAAAGAGCGAAGGCCGAACAGAGTCTTCGGAGACTCGCTCCAGCTCCGTGACTTCCTCGAAGAGGAGCTTGTGGTCGCGTTGAACACGGAAGACTGACTCGTATCGACCTTTGGATGCCAGAAGGGACGAGCTGACGGTCACGGACGGGGTATAATAGCACGCAGGGAGGGCAGTAGGGACGGAGATGCGACGTTGCCACTTCCATGCGTCTGGTCCAGTGAGAACGGGGTTCTCGGTAAGACCGGATTCGTCGAGGTCCAGGGTAAAGGCCGTCGCGAATTCCTGGGCGACGGCTCCATAGTGCTCGCCAGAAGCCACAAGGTCGATGTGAACGTAGGCGTGAGGCCATGAATTGTCGTGAGGGGGCTGGGGAGTGCGTTGCTCGAATTCATCGGAGTAAGGAGTGACTGGGTATTCGAAGGGATCGACGAGTGTCAGCGATTCGACTGACTGAGACGTGGTTATGGCAGACTCAGTACCGGAAGAAGTGGAGGAGGAGAGCGGGAGGCTGGTGTTGATACGCAGGTCCGGGATTATCTTGGAGGGCGCCTGCGCTGCAGCAATACGATCGGGGGCATCGAAGTCACGCGAACAGATCAGGCGAATGACTGAACAGGCAAACAAAAAGTAAGGTTCTGCACAGAATGGAGGCGGGTGCAGAACATACCTCGCTCTTCAGTACAGGTCTCGCGTAATTGCTGGAGCCGGCTTCCGACTTGCTTAGGAGTCCGGCTCCTGCCAGTCTTCTGCTTGATGTAGTTGGAAATGAAAGCGTTTCGCTTGGGGAAGCGACGCAACAAGCGGGGGTCCTTGGAAGAGGTGGGTCGGTATCGCTCGAGGGCTAAGCGTTCCAATATCAGCGGCATTCAGGAATGATGGTTATCAACGGTTAATTACCTTCGAGGAGCGCCTCCTCCAGGAAGTCTGGCCAGACAGCTTCCTTCTTCTCCTTGAGGGATTTCCAGGTCTTTCGACCGGTTTTATGCCTTTGGCTCGGGGAATATTGCGTGGGGCTCGTCGGGTTGGTGTGAACGAAGTCTGCGATGGAGGATGTCGAGTAAAACTGAGGTTGTTGGGGTTGTCGGAGAGTGGTGAGGTGGGTGGGAGTTGCGCAGTCCATGGCGAATACGTAGCTGGGGATGAGACGGTAAAGACAGAGACGGTTGAAGGTAAGTAGACGAGCAACAGACTCCAAAGAACTGCAGACCCTTCGCATTGGTTATTATAGAGGAGAAGTGGGGTCGCCAAGAGATCTGAAATTCACCATTCAAGAGATTCGACGGCCGGAACGTCAACCAAAGGTGTCCCGATCGCTCCCAAGTTGGGAAGGTGAACGGCTTTAGGTTAAATTGAGGTCTGTGATCGAGTTCGAAGGCGCTGTTCCTGTTTTCGGTTTAGTGTGGTGGCTGTTGAACCCACCCATAGTTTGTTGAGGGAGCATCAACCGATGCTTCTCCATTGGTCGGAGCGGGTTCTTCCAGAACGGAGAATGAGATAGTCATATTGTCTAGTCAGCTATAGTCCGCGTGGTTTCGATGAAGCGAAAAGGAGGATAATTCCGGTCTGCGGAGAATGGCAGCTGACGCAGTCACTCGACAAACCTTGGCCTTCGCTGGAGACCCTCAATCTTCAAGCCCCGAGGTCTACGTTAGGAGGCCCACCGAGCTCTTTTCCTGATTAAGTGATACCTCCAGCCCGGTCGTGATTGCGCCTGCCGATTAGGCAGCATCCAAGTGGCACTGTATTTCATCAGGAACCTCGCCGAAGACGGATTGGGATCGACCAGATCCGGACAACAACCTGTCAGCCTGTCTTGACAGGATCAACAAGAGAAAGTGGGCGTCGGTCTACAAGGGCTGAGGTCGATTATCGCCAAAAGCAGAAACCGCGTCGACCAAGGGGGAAACTTGCAGGATCCAAATCTAGCATTGTCCCTGAATCCATTTTTTTCGAGGCGTTGAAAAAAATAGGAGCCTCGCGAGCCACGGGGTCTCCCAACAGGACAAGCCTGGTGTGAGTACGGACCTGTACAAGCGAGACACAAACACAGCCAGCCTACGGAGACATCAAGAAGGCGTGCAGCCAAGGCCTTCGAAGCCTAGCGGCGGTGAAGGAGTCGAACAAGCGATCTGACGAAGCGCTGCGCAGGTGTTTGTGCGTGTTATATTCGGAGGTTGCCGCCGCCTAAACGCAGTAAAGCCCAGCTCTCGGCGCTTGTCAACGATTTCTAGCGAGTGATTACACCAGTTTTGTACAACTTCTAAGTCGACAATGGATCCTCTAGCTGGGATGGACGATTCCTCGACCGACGACGAGACTGCGTCGCAGACTACAGAAGACGACCCCCAGGTGCCTGAGCAACACGCTCAAATTCCACCACCACCACCTGTCGTGCAGCCACCACCACCAGTGCCTTCTTCATCGAATGTGCAGCGAGAAAGGCCCAATTATCAGCAGCGTCATGTCCTAAGAGGGCACACAATGTCCATTTCAGCTGTCAAATTTAGCCCAGACGGCAAACTCCTCGCCTCTTGTGGTGCGTACATCTGGGATTACTGTTGTCCTTATGAATGTCTCACTGACTGAAAGCCTTTTTCCACCTTCATCCAATTCCCTTTCACGTTCACACACATAGGCGCGGAAAATGTCGTCAAAATTTGGTCGCCGGAGACTGGAGAATTCATCCGCAATCTCGTCGGGCACACCGAAGGCCTCTCGGATGTTGCTTGGTCCTCGGATAGCGTCCATCTCGCCTCTGCTTCCGACGACACGACAATCCGGATATGGAACGTCGAGACAGTTAGTTCCGCCCAACTTGGAGCCCATACATTGTCTAAACGCACGCGTTTTCCAGGGAATAACTCGGAAAGTACTCAAGGGCCATAGCAAATGGGTCTTCTGCCTCAACTATAGCACATCAGGAAACCTCCTCGTTTCGGGAGGTTGCGAGGGTGAAGTCAGAATATGGAACGTGGCTCGAGGTGCGTTGCTTGCTGCACCTTCTTGTTCGCTCGCCCGCCGTATTCATAACAAAGCCACCACAATTTTTCACAATCCTATACCCACTCCCCACCCTAAATCTCTTTCTCGGTTCTTACACATACAGGAAAGTGCCAGAAAGTTTTAGTGGCCCACCTAGACTATGTTACGGCCGTGCATTTTAATAGAGATGCCAGCTTGATCGTATCTTGCGCTCTCGACGGCTTGATGTGAGTTGATCTCTTCTTCGATAATGGGGCTCGGGGGCAAAATCCTAATTGGTTATTTCCTCTGTAGTCGAATATGGAATGTCAATACAGGCCAGTGCTTGAAGACGCTATCCGAATCACATGATGCTATCTGGTGCGTGGGTCTTCTCTTCGTTTACATCCTCCACCGACATTGGCCCCATCTCCAAGCCAACACGTCCAATTTTCGCCCAACTCCAAATATATTCTTTCTACCGCCCATGACAGTGCCATCCGTTTGTGGGATTATCAGACGTCACGGTGTCTCAAGACATACACTGGGCACACCAACGCCAAGTATTGCATTTCTGCTTGCTTCAGCGTAACAGGCGGAAAGTACATCGTCGCTGGTAGCGAGGATCACAAAACTTACATCTGGGACCTCCAAACAAGGGAGATTGTACAAGTTCTGGAAGGACACAGCGGTAAGTTCCGTACCGGTTACTCACTTTGCCCAACTCTCCTAAACGACTAAATAAATTTTGATGTTCCCTTTTACAGACATCGTCGTCGCTGTTGCTGTACGTATGATTCACTCGTGAACGCATCCCTTCATCTTTGGCCAAACCTGCTGACCACCACGTCTATTGTTTCGTTCAGACCCACCCCACTGCGAATATGATTGCAACAGGTTCAATTGAGTCAGATCTCACCATTCGCATCTGGGTTGACCACGGGCCCCGACCAACTTGACGCACCAAAAACGCTTATAGCCACTCTCGACATCCAACACCTCAACATACCTCCTATCTCTGTATATCCTGCAAAAAGCCTATTCGGTTAGCTGTAATTCTATGTGTACAATGTGGCTCGCACGGCGATGTGTATAGTAGTAGAGAATTTGAAATCGTCCTCTGCACTCCAGGTACCCCAGCGTGACTGACTACTTGACAGGCTCGGCATTCAATAGATCTAGCGCAGCAGGGTATCAGCATCCGCAAAATACCCCAGCTAAAACGACGGCGTACCATTGGCGAGTTTCTTGTCAGCTTCAGATAGCCCAGAATCGTGGGCCTCCAAGAATGCATCGACCTGAAAGCAAGGCGGTGAGGACGAGGCCAGCAGCAAAAAACACAGTTTTCGTACCTCATCCAAGACCTGATCATCGTTGTCGAATTCACCGTAGTCATCACTATCTTCATCCTCATCATCCTCAGCGTTATCAATAGCAAACGGCGTCCTCTCCATCATCGCAGCATGCTGTGCAACCTTGAGCATTGGCATCGCCGATAGGCTACCGCTCTCGGGAACGTTGGGCAAGTTCTTGGTCTGTGAGGCAGTGGGGATGTTGACCGCCAGGGACGGATGAGAAGGTGCGTTGGCTGTCGTCGACGTCGATGCTGTAGGGGACGACTCGGATGTAGATCTGAGACTCGACTTGGATGCAGACTTGCGCATCGATGGGGTGAGCAGCGATTCACGGGCTTTGGGTTCATCCAGCTTGGTGTATCGACCAATGGATGGTTTGTGGATGACCTTCGAAAGCATTGGGCATCAGCGCTGGTCTGCCCATGAGCAGGAGACAAAACTTACCTGGTGTTTGCCGATAGTCTTGCCCAGTTCGTCAGTGAACATGTTAAACATCTTCTTATTGGTATCTGTGGCAATAGACGACCATAGGTCGCCCAGAAGACCGCTGCTTGAAATGGGCAGTTCCATTTCGGGGAGGGGGACCAGCTTGAATGACCCAGAGAAATCGGTTTCGAAAAACGACTCGAGGACCTCATCTGCCAGCACCACCATACGGAATCTAAGGGATGTGGCTTGTCAGGACAACAGGGAAGCGTGGGCCATACAACTTCGAGGAGGCTTACGTCGCAAGGTTGAGGTAGGGTTGATTGGACTCGATGTGTGGTGGGTCATCCGAATCCCAGTTCTCGGGCCGTGGTAGGAGCGCATCGCCGTACTCAAAAGCGTTACTCATAAACCTGCTGACCGCGCCCAAGTAGGCGTCGCCGACCTCAAACCTGAAGATGAACTATAGAAAATGATCAAAGATGCTCCATCCCGTCGCTGGCATTGAGAAACTAACCAGTAATGATTCTGACAGGGTAAGGACCTCGTCCTTCGTCAAGTAGCCATCCTTGTTCTTGTCATGCAGATTGAAGAACCATTCGATATTCTCCATCAAGTCATTGAACATGACGCCATCCAGCCCAGAAACGAGATCCTGAAAGAAAGCATCAGCCCCTCTGGTGCGAATAGGAGTCGAAGAAACAACTACTCGCCTGGAAAGAAAGCCCGCCTCGACACGAAGTGTCCCAGAAAAAGAACAACCGGTCAATGAACTCGTGCTCGGCTACTTCGCGGTCGATACGTTGCTATGCAGGTGAAGCGGAGTACGCGTATCGCAGAATAAACAAATCAAGATTAGCTGTGGAGCGATGCAGAATGTGGCAATTGGCTCTTACCTGGAACCCGTTCATAACAATCTTCTCATCTCTCGCCCATGTGGCAATCTCACTCAAGAATTGCCGGAATGTCCGAAGTTCGATTCTAGTCTCGGGTTTAGCCTCATTGCCTTCACCAGTGGTAAAGAGCGTAGGCGGTGGTGCTGCGGCTGGCGGTGGAGGGACAAGACACATTGCTTTGTATAGCGCATCATAAATGAATCCAACTTGCTCCTTCGAGAAACGACCGAAGCTCTTTAGGTTGCGGATGGCCGAGCGTTTGGAGAAAGATTCGATGCTGTGGATGATTTCGCTACGATAACGCCTGCGTTCAGATTGGATTGTCTCGTCCGTAATCACCGAGAATTCTCGGAAGGAGACGAGGAGGAGCTCTTGGAAGTTCGTGATTGCTCGGGCACGAGGGTCCTCTGAGGTTGGATGGGCGGACTCTCCCAGGGAAGCGAAGTAATCCCGCATGAGACTGTCAGTATGGCAGGTGTCAGCGACGATGAAAAGGTATAATCTGTAAACCTTACTTCAAGAAACCGCCGTCATCTGTTATTTGGAGGAGCTTCTCGCCATTGATTTTCAAAATGGCTGAGTACAGCGTCAATCAAGACTGCCTTGCGGATGAGAAGGTTTAGACTGACCAAGCCTGGGTGGGAGATCAGTGAACCTTGAAAGGTATAATTGCAGAGCAACTCACCCAACTTGGAATAGTACTTTGGGCCCCATACAGAAGAAGCAGTCCACGATTCGGAAGGCAAAGACCATGGGCATACTGTTGATGAACCTGTAGACGAATTGAGCAGTTGCCGGCTTGGGCGAGGGTCAAGGCGACGTACAAGCTGAGGAACCATGGTAATGAAGCGACAGAAAGTTGGACATCTACCAGTTGGAAGTGTTCGTGAATTATGGGAAGACACCGTTGCACGAGCGACTCAAACACCCGCTGATCCAACATCGTTCCATGCATGGAAGGTCTACATTTCCGTGAGCGATGCTAGCGAGAGGATAACACTGTAACCACCTACGCGTAATAACCGGGTAGTAGTCGGTCACACAGCACCTCGAGGAGCCAGAAGGCCTGCTCTTCTGACATGTATCTGATAGGTATTGAGCATGGGCTTGCAAAAGAAAGGGATGTCCTACATCAGGATAGCAGCCGCAAGGATGTTCATGGCCTGAAGGAAAGTCAATCACGGTTACGACGTGACCAGTAAACAGGAAACTTACTTGACAATAGCCCAGCTCAGGGTTCTTGAACGAATAGGCCTGCAGGACGTTCCTCAAGGCAGAGATACCTTCCTCACTTTGATAACCAGAGTATTCGGGCAAACTGCGATGGAGGTCCTTCTCAATATCTTCGGTACTCGTTGTTGTGCGGCCCTTGTTTTCTTCAAGAAGACGTTGGTAGTATCCAGGGTTGGCGAAGCGAAGATAAATTGAGCCGGACAATACCTCCCACATCTCTCCACGAAGGCGGTTCGGAAGGCCGACTTGTACAAGCCGGGTGTATTGAGGATATCGTAGAAGCGTGAGGTTGCGTCCGTGAGTCTTCAAATACTTGGTCCACATCTTGATCTTGGACGTCTCCCGTAGTCTGATCTCGTAACGCAATCAGTGGGGGCAGGACGGCAGGAAGGACAGAACACGTACTTCTTTGGATCTCCAGGAAACTTGAACTTGAGTCCCAATCCCCCAAGGTAATGAACGCCGTCAGAACTACCCTCGACCAGACTTCCATCCTCCCGTTCCCGTTCGGTCATGGAATCCTTCTCTGACATGGACTCGGATACCAGCACCTCCGAGTAGCAAGTCTTGACGAAGGACTTGACCAGCTTCATCTGGCCCTTCTGGAGTTCGACCTTGAGCGCATCCCGCAATAGTCCACAGAACAGATCAGCCGTAGGACGCAACGATGTAAGTTGCACGACGAGCTTCATGCCATGCCAGGTCAACAACGCTAGCGCGTAGACTCCCGCCCGCGCATTCAGTCGTTCCACCCTCCGAATCGTGGACAGCGGGATCGTGAACCGGAGACTCTTGCGGTCCACAGACGTGAACGCCAGATAAGGCGGCATGATATGCAGTTTCCCTGCCTAGACGAGATAAATACACACGAGATCGACGACGGCTTATCCTAATTAATGCAGCCTACTCACATAGGAATCCTCGTCTGCCTCAGCTACAGTCAACACCGCGTTAATGTCCATCTTCTCAAGCTCCTCTCCATCCTTCTCTCCCTTGTCCTTGTCCTTATCCTTCGAAGGGGGGATCGAGAAGAATATCTCAGTTAACTGTTCCTTGGTTGGCTCCTTGAAATGGCGGAGGGCCGTCGAGATCGTTGCCATCCTGGTCGGCGATGGTTAGGTCGTCACAGATTATGGTCGTTGTATCGTCAATGTATATGTCCAGGGTTCTATATCGGTGTGAGACGGTTGACTGGGATTGCCATAGGAAGTGTGGTAGACAGAGACCTCTGGCCTCACTTGACCCCGCCCCTGGCCGCTCGACATCGCGCTGGCAAACAAACTCCAACACAAGAGCCCCTATTTTATGGGTGATGCGGCATGGGAGCCTAGAGGGATTGCATAGGGAGGCATATAGACCTGGAGTATATTCACGCGGGCATACATAGATACATATTCAGTAAGTAACGGAAATGAAGGAAGGCGACCACCAATCCATAAGTTAGAGCAGACCGCCAAGGAACTATGGAAGACGCCAAAATCAGCACTAGGGTACGGCAAGGGGAATGGTGTCAAAGGACGTACGATGGGAACTACTGGTTGGGGATAGTGAAGGAGGAAGGCGGCAATGTCAGCGATGGCATAGATGACCCCATTCTGAATGTACAGCTGGAGGGGGCCAGAGGAAGCTAGTGTGGGGAGGTAGCCTGTTAGACGTCGAGATCACAACAGGAGTCGAAGAGTCCTTACAGCCATCGGGGTTAATCCACTCAGGGACAATAGTACCTGTAAGGCGGTTGAGTCTCCACTACAGGGTCACCCTACATCAGAAACCAGGCCAGGAACGGAAAGCGAATGCACGTACGACGTCGGTCTGAGCAATGCGAGGAAGCCCGGTAGTGTCGCTGAAGGAGTTGCCAATAATAGTGGAACCAGTGGAGCCAGGCTCAGCTACAGAGTGCCCATGACACTGAGATGAACGCTAGTCCACGGGGGCAAGGGAGAAAATACTTACTCCCGGCAATATCTACGCGAGCCAACACCAAGTAGCTGTCCAGGTAGGGGACATTAAGGACTAAGTCACGGAAGGAATAAAAGAGAAGCTCACTTGGGCGAACCAAGGCCAATATAGCCGTTATCGTTGTCCCTTCCCTGAACCAATCCAAGCAAGGGGTAGTCCTCCTCGGCAATCTAGGCCACGGTGAGCAAATGGCCTGAAAACACAGTCCGAAAGGGAAAGTCACTTACACTAGGCAAGGTAATACGAAGGTTAGTAGGTTGAGTGACCAAGGAGTCAACCGTGAGCGAAATAGTCAGAGGAGTGGAACCTGGAGAACCAAGCCCCAGCTGGCCTGACGCGGTAAGATCTGCGCTCAGGACACCACGGTTACCTCCGATGTCGTCCAAGAGGCCCAGGTTGAGGCTCAAGATCTCAGGAGGTCCGGAAGAGGCCTGGCGTGCCATAACTAAAGTCATCAACCAGAACAGCATCAGTACAACGCGCAAAGCCAACGAAGTACGAAAAAGACACGTACGTTGTTTGGCACGGGCGTCCCTTCTAACTGGAGGATTGAGCGGGAGGCCCAATGCGAGACGTTGAGCGTTCGTCATCTTCTTGATGGTGGTACCACCGGGAGTTTTGATTTTGTAGCGATTGCGCGTCGAAGTGGGGAGGAGTTTCTTCAATTCACCGAAGTTCTTGTATGCTTCTTCGCTATACTCGCCGAGGCGGTTGCCTTTGGTAAGGCCACTGCTCTTGAATAGGTCCTCGAGGGTGTAAGCAGCGCTTGACTCGGAAGTAGCGGTGGAGAAGGGCAGGAGGCAGGAAAGGAGGACTGCTGCTGAGAAGAGGGGCCTGAGGTACATGTTATCGTCGAGTTGGCGTAGATAGGGCGATGTTGGTGTGTTGCAGGCGTCGAGAGAATGTCGAAGAAGAGCCAATGATGTCGAGGGTGAGCCTACTAGCTGTAACGAACGTGGGGGTAAAAAGAGCGACCGCAGAAAGACAGAGGAATCAACGAGAAAATGAATCCTACGGGGGCCTCGACTTTAAGTTTACCCAGAATATTCATGGCAATGACTTGAGCAAGAGCAAAAATTCGATCAAGAGCTTGCCGATGGGATTCAAGTGTCGCAAGGACATAGGAACGCGGCGTTGGCGGCTCTTTTCCAGGGCGCCGTGAGATATGGGACTACGTCGGGTTTCTATAAAAGACAAGTCATGACACCGGAAAAGGAAATCAAACATACATGTCGGTCGATCGTTGAACGGCTCGGTTCCCGAATGTCAAGCAAGGGCCTGGAAACGTTCCTGAGTTATGCATGCATCCTGCAGAGCAGACGCTGAGCCAATAGAGTTCCAAAAAAAGGACCCAGAGGTGCCAACCTCTTTCACCTGGCGTCCAGACCTGCCATCCTAGCCATACATGTTCAGTTTTCTGCAATGTCGATGGGTAATTCCGGTGCCCTTGTTCGTCGCAGTTCGGGTTCAGAGAAGTAACTTGAAGAGTCATGGCCAACCGGTTCGTTATCGACAGAGCCAGAGACCATTACTTTCAGGCATGAGTTACCTTTGCAATCATTTGCCTGGGCTGTTTAAACAGGTTTAGCCCGTTGCGTTTAAGTCAGGGGCACCGACAGGATGATCGCCAGGGCGCGGACGCTGACAGGTCGGGACCGACGACTCCCACGCTCTCTTTCGGCAGTGGCAAGCACACACAAATAAACTGGAACCCTTCTGGCCTTCGAGTTGGACGTAGAGGTATCGGTACCCGTTACGGGGAGACGTAGTGGATCCAGAAATAATACGCGATTGAAAGCCTTCCGCAACGTGAAACTCGAGGAAGCCCAAGCTCCAACTTGAATGAGAATTGCACTGCTTGCGCGCTTCCGTAGTAAAGTATCATTCAAGAAAACGAAAGTCACGGAGGGCGACTTCATTATCGTCCATATGAACGACTCACAAGTGCTCAGCATTCAGGTCTTACAGTGGCCGCGCCCTGCCAGCAGATCTCTAAACAAGAAGTCTCCCGTGTCCACCGTACTCGGTACGGTGTCTCCATTCAGAGATTCCAGGATAATCCTGTACTCCCTTGGACCAAAACCTAGGTACAGGTGCAATGGAGACCACCCCAGCTTGACATAAGCGCCCATGCGAGTCCAAACTACTACAAGTCTACGGTAAATGGTCGGTCAGCGGTCGCTGTGCCGCAGCGCAGGCGGCTGCGATCAGCGGACCTTGAAATTCGTATATTCTCAGAGGTCCGACTCGGAGGACAGGCGGGAGCGCAGCGGCACTTCGCGTGCGCAGGAAGGCACTATCCAGCCAGCTGCCAGCGCATCGTCTGTTCCTGCTTCACATGAAAAATGACACCCAACAGCTTTCAAGTACCCCACACCTACCCTCGCTGAAACCAGAAGTCCTCTCTCATCGTTCAGACCATGCCGGAACCGAGCTCGTCGTCGTCCCACAATGTTCCTTCAGCCCAGGTCAGAACATCCCTTTCCTTGCCTGCGGTCACCGTTAAATAACCACTTCAATAGAAATGGGAGGAGTCTCATGTCGAAGCAGTCACCTCCAATGTAGGCTGCGTCGCCCTGCGCTACCTTTCCCCGGAAGGCCTCCCTCCTCCGACTATACAAGCATCACCCTTCAACTGGGAAGGAGCCTCGAGAGATGCGCCTCCATCGTGCACAGAAATCAGAACGGGACACCTAACCTTGAGCAAGCTATCGAAGAGTACAACGTGATTAACGACGCCATTGCCGGAGACTGTCTTGCGTACGCGGCGATCCAGAACAAGTATGAAACTCTGGGATACCCTCAAGTCGGTGTGGCGATGGATGGACTTCTGGACCTCCTCATTGATAGTGCGGATATGCGGGTGCGTATTCTCGCTCTCGAGGCCCTCAACCTTTACCGATGAGAATGTCGGACATGACTAGGCCGACTCGAACACCACAGCGCCAGCGTAGCGGCCCATACGATTGTCGATCCCCTCTTGCTTCCATCTCTGCCGCAGGCATCTACTATTCGGCTATCTTTTCTAACCCTAGTCCGATCCTACCCTACCTTACTCGGTGCATGTTCAATTATCTGGATCCAGACTCGCCAGCTATTTCATTATCGATACCTTGCCCCGTTGCATTGAATTAATTCCCGCATACCTCCATTGTGTGTTAGCCTACCCCCGACGTCCACGGTCCAATTGCGCTTAGCTCATAGAAACATTCTTTAACATTCGATAAGGCGACCAAAGTTCATTCAAATCTCTATCAACCACTTCTGACACCGGTATACCATACTATTACTTGAACGGGAGTGAAATCGAATCCGACTCCCGAAAGCCCAGTGGTGAGTGATTCAGTTCCCATCCCACTGGGCCATATCCTTTCCAAACTATGCAGTAAACTTGGAGAGCACGTAAATTGACTGAACGACGAGCGAGGAGGAATGCGAAATTCAGGTTAGCTACCGTCAACGGTTGGAGCAAACTGGGTCGATTACATAGTCACGACAGGACTCGCGTCCGTGTACGTGCTTACAGCCAGCTGGCAGTGCATCGTCCATTCCCGCCACATATAGATATGATTCATGAATACAGGGACACCCATCAACCCTTCAATCACCTCCAAACCTTTACCGCCATCGTTGAAGAGAGCAATGCATCTAGGCAAACGCGAAAAACACTGCGCCAGCCTGGGTGTAGCGGATACGATGGTCGATCCTCCCTGCAGCCATCTCTATCGCCATTTATTATTCAACATTCTTTCTAAACTTAGTCCTATCCTGCCCTGGCTTAAGTACATACTCGAAGGGACCATGCGCGGACAATGCAGACAGCGCGTTTCCACCCTCTATCCCGGCTAAAACAACTCTGATGCGCAAATATAAAGAGACCAAATTACATTCAGACCTCTCTCTACGTATCAACCTGTACTGTACAAAACGGAATGAACGCCAAATCCAACCAGCATATGCATATGTATAACGAATGCTTCAATCTAACGACTGTTTCAATCCTCGATCGACTATTGAATGTCAACCGATCATGGCCAACACCCTAGCCCTTTCAGATCTAAACTTGGAGCACACGAATGGACTGAACGCGCGAGTGAGGAGAGGAAGACCAAATGCAGGTGAGCTACCGTCACTGTCTGAGAGAGCTGGGGGTGGGGTTTACTTACGATGGGTTCAATAGGATCAGGATACACAGCCTGGAACGCATCGGGGTCGCCAAGGAGGTAGATGTTATTTCCTTGCATGTAGGCATTGGCGTTGACGATGGCTGTGACGACGCGAAGTAATCAACAAAGGTTTCCGAAGGAGAATAGGTAGAGTGTCACTTACACCCATCAGGATTCACCCATCGCGCCATAACCATCCCCGTAGCAGTTTGAACTTGCCACTAAAAAAGAGTTAGACCACAGTCAGGACTCACAGTTCGGGGTTAACCAAAATTCCATCATAAAGACGACTCACGATATCAGTTTGGACAAGGCGATCGATACCAGTCGCGTCCGTGTACGTATTGCCAATCTCTTCGCCAGGGGATTCAGGCACAGCTGTAGGTTAAGAGTGCGAATTTTTAGTCAAAAGGGTTGACAGGTATACGCGATAGAAGGCGTACTTCCAGGTAGCTCGACACCGCCGACGTATAGATAGCTGGTAAGAGGATCTCGATGTCAGACGAGGGGCAGAAGTCGAGGTTGAAAAACGTACTTGGGAGAGCCAGGCCCAATCGACGCGTCAGAGTTGTCTCGTCCTTGGATAGCCCCAACGATAGGGAAATCGGGATTCTATCGCGCATTGCAGATCAACACCCACCATCCACTTTACAGGACAGGGAAAGAAAACGCACCGCCATCGTAATCCGCGCAAAATCAGACACACCAGCAACGGGAGGCTGGTACGCAGTAACGAAACTAAGAACGTCGTTTTCATCGGTGGTCATGACCATCTGCCCGCTAGGCGACAAACTAGCCGAGACGTAGCCGATGAGATCGCCGTTCTCGTCAAAGACACCAGCGCCTCCTTCCGTGACGACAGGCGGGAGCGGGGAGGCCTGTCGAGGCGCAACTACGGACGTAAAGTAAGTACATTAGTGTTTTACGTCGAATGGGCAATTAAACTCGGTCGTACCCCTTCTGGAACCATCCCTTCGGACGGGTGGGTTCAGGGGCAGCTTTTTCCTCAGCCTCTCGGCGTTGGTCATCCGCATTTGAGGCCTGGACTTTGTCTTGGTAGGAAGCATCTTTCGGAGTTTGTTGAGGATCTTGTAGCCTTCCTCGTTGTACTCCGAGGGACCAGGAGTGGTGAGGCCGCTGTGCTTCATGAGGTCCTGGATGGTGAAGAGCGCAGCGTAGGAGGTGAGGAAGGTGGAGAATAGGAAGGTAGTGGTGAACAAGGGCTGGATGCGCATGGTTATCGAGTAGGAAAATCAACAGCCGCCGGGCTGGAGTAACTGGAAGGAAGGGAGGGTAGGGAGATGGTTGTGGGGGAAAGGGAACCAGCAAGAACGCGTCGAAGCATCCTTTTTGAAGCTTTTATGCTTGTTTATTCACCTCGTGGGGCTCCAGGACATGGGTAGATAAACGAGAGGTCGATGGTTTAGGACGGCGCCACTTGTTCCAGCGGGCGACGCGTTGTTAGAAGGCTCCCATGCATAACATGTATGTTTCATCCATGGAAGAAACTTCTCTTTCCTGGTGCTTGTTTAAACACAGAAACAAGAGAGTGCATCGGTTCCCGGTAGCTTTTGGTTTGAGGTACAGAGGAACTCTGTGTGGCATTGAAGCGACACAAGGCGGGTTGGCACAACAAGTCGACGCAGTCAACAAAGATGAGTTTCAGGGGAGATTCACAGCACGACGCGCTTCTCCACCACAGATACTCTGCTTAGGCAAATAGGATTAGATCAGGACCTGTGCAGAGAACAGAGCTCGTCAATCGCGGAGTGGTCGTAGTGGTTGGTGGGCGAGAGAAACGTCGGCACCGCCCTCTGATCCCAAAAGCGGAACAGCCCCGCCCCGGGTGCCGAAAGCCTCCGAACGCGATCTTTTCAGTGCGTCATTTCGCCAGCAACTCTCGTCGACTTTTATGTTTGCGTCCCGGTCACTTTACCCTGCGTCGCGCAGACCTCTACACAATGCTTTCTCCAAAAGAAACAATATCTTGAAGAAATCGTATTCAAGTTCGCAAGCTGCAGCACGGACAACGGACCCAGGTCCTGAACGAAGACAAACCCATTCGCGACATCCTGCACAAGGCCACGACTCGTTGCTTGGTCGAACCCACCGACATTCCACGACAGATGCGGTCAAGAAGAGTCTACGCGACCTTCTGAGGGAGACAGCGCAGCCAGTAGCAGTCGTCACGTCTCTAATGCCAGAAAACGAGAGACAAAACTGCCAATTCCACGGTGCAACGCTATCTTCGTTCACCTCAATATCCATGGACCCGCATCCTCTCGTCGCCTTCGCCCTTCGGATACCCTCGCGAATGGCATCAACTTTGACTTCACTTGCACCACCCCTTGCACCACCTCAGTCGGCGCCGAGCTCAGTACCAGGATTTGAACATAGACCCAAGTCACCTTCAGACGCGCATATGGTCATCAACATCCTCTCGCATACCCAAGCCGACATTGCACACCGTTTCTCAAGACCCGACCTCTTTCCTCAACCCTTCTCATCCACGCCATACTCCCTGACAAAAGACGGCTTGCCCATTCTACACGACTCCCTAGGCGCAATATCGTGCAGACTCGTCGCGCGGCCTCTAAAGCTTTCTGAACTCGGCGGGAAACACCCGGAAGAGGCTGAAGGGGAGAGGCAGCCACAGGAAGCAACAGGCGTGGTCTCCGAGCTCTTCATCGCCAGGGTGCTGAGGGTGGAGAGTTTACCCAAGGGAGAGAAAGAGGACAAGCCGTTGTCGCCGTTGCTGTATCATCGAAGAAGTTATACCACATGTTGAACTACTCATAGGTTCGTCATCTTTCCTCAAATTCCAGACTGATGTTCATGTCTCCCTTCAGACTTTATAGCACATTATTCTAATAGAAACCATAATAGCCGAATGCTTCGAGCTCCCCCTCGTGATCCTCCCATTTAACAACTCTCGCGATTTGCTCTGGTGAACAAGGGACCCTTCTTGCGGCTTCGCTATGCCCATCGTTTGGCGCTTCTTGGGGAATTCTACCTCACACCTTGCACTGATGTATCGGGGGACTGGCTTTCAGTCTTCAGAAGGTGTGATAAAAAGTTGGTATGGGTTCATGGTGAGTTCACGGGCCGTCCATGTTCTTCACTATTGACGAGAGGTTGACAGCCTATAGACTACTTGACTTCTCTCCCGACGGGGGGACAGGCAATAATGGGGTGAAGTTTTGTATGCGTGTGCTACTACAGACAAAAAGACGACAAATTGTACCGGAAACAAATGAATTGGGTGGTGCTGTAGTAGCTGTAAGGCTGCAGTGGGCTTCGTGCATGTCGTACATTTGCCCTCCATTGGCCGAAAGTCAACAGCACACTCTAAACTCCAACTCGTGGAGCGTATGGTCCAGGTAGAACGTAAGTAGCGAGAGAGTCACGTCTGCCTCGAAGTAGCCGCGAATGCCGTAACAGTAAGAGTACATCTTGAAGTTCAAGTGGTAGAACTGTCTTGAGGTCCAAAGCGTTTTCGTTTCTACAGCTGCAGTGCTCATTCCTTGTTGGATCTTCGCTCGCCACACCCGCCTCTATCACGGTCCATGTAGGGACTACACCTCCGTTTGCTAGCAGACTGCGCATTCGATTCAGAAGACTCGCTCGCCACAGACACCCAAGGTCGTTTCCGACCCGAGCCCATGGCCTGGGGCCGGCAACTCGAATCTGCGTCACGTCGCGACCGGTCGTCCTCACTAGCTTCAAGTTGCTCTGAACGCAGAGCAGCCGGTGATTTCGAATGCAAGGTGGACGATGTCTGCGGACTGGGTAAAAAAGAAAAGAAATGGGGGTGAAGACAGCTTTCTTGGTATCCCACCTGTGAGCACCCTCGATCTCTATTATCCGACTCCCGGGCCTGCAGCACAGCGCCAACGTCGACATCGACGTAAAAGTGGGGATAATACAGCGGATCGTAGAATTCAGGGTAATCCGATATCTCGTGCGCGACGTCGAATGGCGGGCATTGCTTGATGTCGAGCACCCTCGCGAGTGTACACTGTGCTGTAGTCATGATACAGATAGAGGTGGATAGATGTTGGTGGTTCAAGTTTAAGAATAAGCTGATGTGCGTGTGTGTGTGTGTGGCCCTGCTATAAACGTTTGAACAATGGGCTGCTGTCCGTATTCAGCACTCATCTCACGCGTCCAAGGAACGTGGGGCGGTGGACTCGTGGAGCAATAATAATGCGCGCCGCAGAACAGAAGCAAGGTTGTGGCTCTGGACAGCTCTCGGCTGGGGATGCTCATAGAAATTCCCGCAATTCTCAATTCAAGTGACTCAAAATATTTACTCATCCATGACGAGCACCACCAAAGTCTCTTTGTAAGACTTCAACCAGGTCGACATAGAAGTGCCCTATTTGGGATATCGATGACCCCTTATTTAGCCCTTGTGCTGATGTCGGATTACGATTGTGCCTTTGCGTCTCTGGCCTTTCGCCATGCGCGATGACCCAGTCTCGAGAGACTTGGTCACTGGCTGGCCAATGATCATGAAAGCAAAAAAGATATCTCTCTGTCTGGGAGTCGAACCCAGCTTTCGCGCGTGACAGGCGCGTGTACTAACCGATATACTAACAGAGACTTGTTAGTGGTCCCCCATGTTGGCAGAACGGGCACGGGCCCATGGGTGTCTCCACTGAACATTATTCTTTCGTCCAAGCCTGCCTTTCAAGCCCATGCTCCAGTCGAGACTCGAACGTGGAAATCCCACAACAAGACGTAAGTGTCACAAGACCGATGAATCAAGCCATCATGACGAGAATGATATGCGCTAATCTACATTTGACAGGTAATACTTAGAATAAATTATCAAAAGGGGAACTAAGTACGAATGGAATGGTCAAGCATGGTCGTTTCTCTACTGTGTTATTCTTGAGGGAATGCATAGTCAATGTACCGAAAGTCAAAGAATGGGTTCAAAATGCGTAAACATGCCAAGACGCGTGCATGTACAAGCCTAATCTACAGCTAGTCCGATAGTGTAGGGCTAATCTCCCGGGAGGATGAAACGTCCCTCAGAAGCCAATCAGCATCAGCCGGGTCGCTGCTGTCTGTCAAAGTTCTGAAGCCGTTGTTGGCCATGGTCCCAACAACCCATGAATCATCAGAAGACCGTCTACTATCAATCAAACATGAAACAACGGACAGAACCTAACAGAGAAAGAAAACAAGCTTACGCGGGGGCCTTCTCCTTGCCGGTGTTCTTCGAACTTGAGGAAGCCTCCCGTTGAAGTCTGCGAGCCCGAGCACGCTCCAGGGGCGGCATCTTCACGTCGGTGTCGTAAGCAGTGGAAGAAGCCACAGGATCCGGAGCAACGCTTGTAACACGCCGCTTTGGTTTAGGTGTCTTATCCTCGATCAGCTCGATGGACATCTCGCGAGACTGGGATACCCGTGACTGTCCCATCTTCGATGCTTTGGCTTTGGGCGTCTTTACTGTAGAAACCAGGACCTGGAAATCCTCGTCACAGCTCGAGACATCCATGTCGCTCTCGTCCGAGTACCGCTTGCTACTCCTCGACGTCACGCGTTTCGGTTGGCGCTTCTTCTTGGACCGTGAATCCGATTCTTCCGCCGAGTCGGAAACAGGGAGTCTAACTGGTGTGGGTTTAGCACCCGCAGGATTACGGAGGCCCGAGGGAGTGGTGACGTCGATCTCGCTAACGGTGGGGGAGGTAGGGCTCTCTTCCCCTGGAGGCTCAGCATCTGCATCTGAGGACTCGGAGGCACCTGATGTGTCGGTCTCGTCACGAGAATAACGTCCAACATCTGTATCGTACCGGGAAGACCTTTTCCGAGAAGCACGAGGAACGAAAGAGTACTCTTCTGGGTCGGTGGTGATGCTCATTGCGCTTGAGCTCGCTTTCAAAGGCCTGGGTCGCGGTCTTGGTCTAGGGACACCGGCCTCTGCTTCCCGCTTCTCCCTTTCCCTCCGCTCTTCTTCAGCCTTCTCTCTCTCCTCTTCCTCCTCGATCTCCTGTCTCCGTTTTCGAGCACGCTCCATTACAATCAACTCCCCGGCCTCAACTCCGTCCCGTTGTTTCTTCGCCCTCGAAGTCTCCACGCCTTCGTCCCCTGCGTCCGCCGGAAACATAGCAACGCCATAAGCTGAGCTTTCGCGGAGAATCTGAAGCGCAGACTTCTCGCCGGCAGGGCCGTGCAGGTTCCTGTCCTCCATAATCAATCGGAGGCCAACTTCAGGAACCAGAATCTTCTGCGTGAATTCCTCCGGACTCAGAGGTGAAATGGAGTCGAGATCGAACGAAGAAGGCGGGAACATGTCGTAGAGGGTCTGGTGTATAATGACTGAGCCCAATTCACCGTAGCTGGCAGGAGTTCTGGATTAGAAACAAATGATGCGGGAAAACAGCTTTGAACTCACTATCCAGGTTGGGTCTTCTCGAAGTTTAAGAACTGGTCCTTTACGCCAGCCGCGGCTCGAACACCCTTCTCCTTCACTACACTCATAACCTCGCGCCAGAAATGACTTTTAGACCGCGGACCTGATCCCAGGTTGTCCGAGTCACTCCCATCTTCATCCACGACTTCAATCACATCCCCGTCATCGTCGATTATCTCCTGAAGTTCCCGCTTCATCTTCTGGATGCGAGGGCCCAGTTTCTTCCAATCGATTGATTTGGGCCAGCGTTTCTTCTCTGCCTCGGGAAGGATTCGAATCTCGAATCGATGGCGCTGGCAGACTGCGATGTATTGCGTGAAGGGTGCTTTCCTTCCGAGGGGATTGGAAGGACGAGCGTCGGGGTATGACTTCTTCTTGGCCGTTTCCAACAGCTTAAGCAGCATGGGAGATGGGGAGGGAGGAAGGGGAGAGTCACAGTAAGGGCATAAAGTGGAGGGATCCACGCTGGACGAGAGGAACACTAGAAAGGCCATGTTAGCTTCGTCGCTTCCGGCGGACGGTAGGACAAACAACGTACTTGAGTTTCCTTCCCCGAAATCACTCAAGTTTAGCATTCTATCCAGCATGAGAACAGGTAGGTACGATAAAACAGGGTCAAGGCGTACCCAATGCTATCCCGTACTTTCTTCCTAGGGGTGGTGTCATCATCATCGCTGACCCCGCTCCTGGAATGCCGTTTGCGACGAGTAGGAGAAGGTGTGCCGTTCAAGAACTGGGTGCTCAAGGGGAAAGGTTGGGGTAAGGGTCCACCATCTTCATCGTCAGTGAAAAGACTTTCTTGTTCTTTTCCCTTCTTGGGAACGAGGAAAGTCTTGTCTTGACGACTTGGTACCTCCAGTGGGAACGGCTGAACCACGGCCTTCTTCTTACCCTTCCCTGGCGAAAGGGAGGGTTTGGCAGTATCGGTCATCATTGGGAAAGGCGCCGGCTTCGCCTTTTCACGCCTTGAAGAGCCCGAAGAGACTGGCTGAGAGGTGGGGGGTGACACGGGAAAATCCTGTGGTTGTTTGCGCGGACGAGTTTTCGTTTGCTTTGGCGTTTGTTCTGGAACTTCATTCTCGTCGTCGGAAGAAATGACGCAGTACTTATTCGCGAGCCTGGAGTTACTGCCAGCCCTCTTGACAGGTGCAGCCTTCCTGGATGGAAGCGATGGTTTGTCTGTCGTCGTTTTGGCGACAAGACGAGGGCGAGGTGCAGGTCGAGAGCGAGTGGGAGGTCCCTTGGGTGGTTCATCGTACAAGTCAACATCCTCCTTGGTCCGTGTTGTGGGGGACAGTCCAGCGTCGGCATTCTTCCCTTTGGAGTCAAATTGACGCGGTTTATCATCGCCTGCAGTGCTTTTGGATCCAGACGCGCCGCTTCCAGTTTTTTTAAACTTGAGGTTTTTAAAAACATCGTCTTTGGGCTTGAACAGTGGGTGATATTCGTGTTTCTGACCATCATCGTCGATAAATCCCTTCTTCTCCTTCGACTTGGATGGCGAGGCTTCAGAGAGTGAATCCAATGGGTCATCGCTGGACGAACTGTCGAAATCATGCTCCCTGTCCTGGATATGGGGTCGTTTCCTCGTCGTGGACTTCTTGGAGTACGTCGACTGAGATTTCTTCGCTTGTTGACTCGAGAAACCTGAGCCATACTCGTCAAAGCACGCCGTGCGAGACTTGCCCGATGGCTGACTGGACGAGCCTGAACGCGTCGGGCGTCGTACACTGGAATCAGTCCAGATGGTGGTGCCTCTGTCCCTGAACCTTGCGTTCATCGACTCCATCACATCACCTCGAGGATTCTGTGCGCAAGGAAGATATAAGCGTGACAGTCGGGGGCAGAGATCAACGTCGACCGCGAAGAAAAGACATGTAGAGATTTGAGTGTCACCACGACTTCGGACGCGACGTATTAGGACATTAGCACACGTGATCGTCGTGATGACGGTGATGCGCGTGTTCGTCGGCCCCGCCCGCCGACAATTGATGGCGGCATTCCCGCATACAGCATTCCGGACATCAGTCCGCGCCAAGCCTACCCGTCCACAATCCAGCCACACCAGGCGCATAGGCATGACTTCATTCGCTCGACTGACCACGACTCATCTCTACACACAATTACAACGCTTGAGTTGCAGTCAACACATAGCCAACGGGCACCGCCTCACCATTATCAGAAACCTTCATTGGGTCTGCATCTTATCCCGTTACCACCACCTTCTGGAATAACCCCAACTTGCAGAATCGCAATGGACCGCGACGACGAACAGACATTTGCAGAATCTTCAAGACATAGAGAAGGAAAAGGGTCGGACAGGCATGGAGGAAAGGGGGGAAAGGGTAAAGGAAAGTCAAGTGGAGGCGGTGGTGGCGGAAGGGGCAAACCGTCTAGAAGCACCAAACTTCGAGGACTCGAGAAAGATTCCCCAGACGTCCGAATTTCCAAAACACTTTCATGGCTTCTACGACACGGCGCAGCCAAAGAGGGTCTTTCAATCAGACCAGACGGTTACGTGCGAGTGGATCAACTGGTACTTGCCCATTCGATTCGATCCATTAAACGAGCGCTACTGATTCTCGATTCATTCTCTAGCTAGACTATCCCAAACTCAAAGCTGTATCCCTCAACTTTAAGAACCTCCAGGAAATCGTAAAGGCAGACGCGAAAAGGCGATATGACCTGCGGTTCGAGTTCGAGAATGCAACGGTAGCGACGGAAGCACCTACCGACGAACAGCCTTCAGCAGCAGGATCGTGGTGGATTAAAGCCAATCAGGGTCACTCAATAAAGGTGCGTTTGCCAGCACTTTCCCCTAATGGAGAACGAGTGTCTGAATGTGGCCTGCAGGCTGTCGCATTGGATCTCAAGCCAATCAACTCAGTCGACGACATACCCACCGGCATCGCAGTGCATGGAACAAATCAATCCGCCTGGAAGTCTATAGGTAAATCATACTGCACTCTTGGTTAATTAGCCTTCTTACACTCTATCTAGCAACGCAAGGTCTTTCCAAGATGTCACGAAACCATATCCATCTCGCGCAAGGCGTCTCTGGCGAGAACGTCATCAGCGGTACGTCCCTTTTTCGTTGTACCGTCATTGCAATGGGTCACCAACATCCCTATCCCACCAGGCATGCGCAAAAGCTCCCAGATCCTCATCTTCATCAATGTCCAAAAAGCACTTGATGCAGGAATCAAGTTCCACTTATCTGACAATGGTGTTGTCCTCACCGAAGGCGACTCATCCGGCTTCCTCAAACCCGAGTTCTTCGCCAGAGTAGAAAACGCTAAAAGACAACCATTAGAGGGCTGGGGAGGCTCAGGGCCTATTGTCGCCAAACCTATTGCAGAAGAACAGAAAGGGAAACAAAGCGGAGGAGGATCACTCGCGGTAGAACCACCAGCGATTGACAGCCTCAAAATCGAATAAATTAGCATTTACGTTTGCTTCTATGTGGTATTACAACAGAAAATACATCGAAAACATTAGAAAGACCTCAAAGAAATCTGTGGTTTCGCGGCGGCTTGTGTGGTAGCTCCGGCAGTACCACCCACAGCCCTACGAATCGATTGCTCCAGCAACTCCCGAACAGGAGGGTCTAGTTTTGCTGCGGCATCCTTAAATCCAGCAGGGGAAGCGGTAGCAAATGCAAGGAGCTGCTTCACAGTCTGCGACGAAAGTGACGCGATGGGCCCTTGTGACGGAGGAGAGTTGAGCAATAGAAGTGCGATGGTTGGGAGCAGCACTCCGAGTACCCGCGACTCTGCAAACAGTCAGTAAACCACGCTCCTGTTCCAGAAAGGTTAGAAAACACTCACTGTGATCCTCGGCCGTGGCAGCAAAGAATGCAGCGAAAGCCTTCCAGATTTCTCCAATCCCGGCCAAGTGCACGTCCGTCAGAGTACCTTCGTGAACGTGAGGTGCCATCTTCGCGATGTATTGAACAAGACCAGGAATGAGCAACTTCACACATTGTCGCAATGTTGGGTTGCCAGCCGAAGCCGCCATGATAAGCGTTTTGGCACAATGTGCTGCGGTCAAGGATGTCTACGTGGGCGATCAGCGCAAAACCTGTCAAGGATGGCCAGTAGATACGCACCTCGTCCCCATCTACCAGCTTCTGCGAAATGAGCAGGCAACAATGCTCGATCACTTGCCGTCCCAGCTTGACATCTTGAGGAATAACTGTCAGCAACAGGACCGCGGCCAGTAGATTGTTCTTGATCTTCTTGGAAGCGCCAGGCCCTTGCCGGTTGCTTTGTGGCAGTTAGCATAAAGTCCCAGACGAATAGAAGGTGACCTTACCTCATCTCATCGACATGTCGGAGGCACGTAGACAACAGCGCGTGCATCAACTGACTGTAGGTCTCTTTATTTCCAGGACCAGGTGCAGGTGGCAGGTCGAGCAAAGTCTTGAATGCCGGAAGCGTCGGGCCAACCAGGTCGATTTCAGGAGATTCATCCTTGAGGAGATCTAAGAGAATTCCATCAGCAAGCAACCCAATCCCACGGCGGGAGGCACGTACCGCAGTACAGAAGAATACCAACTCCGCGAACATCTTCTCGTACAGAAGTTTCCAGGCCTGTGGCTATAGTGCTGAATGCGGAGATCGCGGCCGATACCAGAGCGACCTTATCACTCGGTGAACCACCTGAATGTCGGGGTCAAGGTCTGCTTTTAACATTTTACAAAGATGCAGCGTACGAATAATACCACTTCTTGAGGCAGTGGTCGAGTTCCTGAGAATTTGAGAACATATCCTGAGACAATGAGAGCGAGGCGAAGTCAAGGATAGCGGATCTTCATCGCTACAGCGACGAGTCAGCGTCTCTATCCAGGGATGGGGAGTCGATCACTTACGAACTGTCACTCTGTGTAGAGGCAAAGATAGACAAGGCTTCGATGAGATGAACTTGGATGTCGGCAGGTTCCGTCATAGCGATACGATAGAGCAGACTGGTAAACTCGTCGAAAATGGTCGGTTCCAATATGGCCTTTCCTGCATATTCGGGTTTGACCAAGCATTTCAATGCTTGCAGGGCCGCAATGTAGTCGGATTGTCGCTGACTGGAGCCCGACGAATCAGATGATGAAGTCGAGAGGGCCTCGTAGACCAGGCCAAATAGGATGAAGAAGAACGCCGAAGGTTCCTGTTTGGGACCTTGACTGACAAGAGGCTTCTCGTTGGGACCAAGTTCGCGACCATCCATCGCAGCGACGATATGAGGATCGTTTGTTTGCATGGACGTCGCAACGGCTTGGAGGATAGTCGCCCATGTTTCTCGATAGTACTGATAGGGAGGGATGTCAGTGCAACGTTACACGGGAGGTTAACAAAGCATACCGGTAACAGGACCTCCTTTCCAAGACTCGAATGGGAGGAGTCGAGAGCGATGGACGTTGAATCATGTAAGAACTCCGAATCCACTCTGATACTCGCGTAGTCCCTTAGCGATGCTATCCAAAGCGATGCTAGAACGGGACGGTAAGGCTGGACCACCTTTTGAAGGTAGCTTTGTTGCGTGCTTGAAACCTGGAGCTGAGCCCATGCGGAGAGGGTGCAAATACGCAACATGGCCGAGGCATTGGGGCTCATCTCCCCAGTCTCTCCGAGGGAAAGCATTCCAGATTCTAGGTGTACGAGTCAGCTATACAAACAGGGAGGTCCAGCAAAGTACCCCATACCTTTGGACTGCTCCAATGCGCTCGTAAGGAGCTTCAAGATCCGTCCCATTCGGCTGACGTCCTTGACGACCCCGCACCCGACAAAGACAGCACAGGCATGCACTGCAGACGCGAGAATCTCAGGTGTTGAATCCGATGAAAACGCCGGTGTCAGTGCAGCAGTAATAGGGGCTTGATGTTGTTCCAGCAGAAGGGCATCGTCATAAGCAGGATCCGGGGACGAGGCAAAGACCTGAAAGCAGTTAGGGCTAGATGCGGGCATGCTAGACGGGCATACTCACTTCGATGACATCCCGGAGAACCATTAATCCTTCCAACCTAATCTCCGTCACATATGCCGCAGACGCTGTGAACGCCATCTTGATCAAATCCGCTACACGGTTGTACAAGAGCCCTTGAGTTGGAACGCCTTGAGACCGAGCGTAGATAGCGTTTACATGCTCCTTCCTTCCACTGTTTGACACGATCGTACAAATAGTGTGAAGGCACTGCAAAGCAAAAAGCTGAGTTCGCCACCTCGAAGTTGCATGACCGCGCGAAGCCGAGGCGTTTCCAACATTCAACGATTCCCCTTCATCGTCGCGAAGGCCCTGACCGACGGCTGCGTCTGCTGTCTGCTGCGAAGCGTTGGTGCGCGACATGATCCTTTGGCAAAGGTCGATCCATGCTCCCGGATTATAGATCACCGTCTGTTGCAACCAACTGGTGATAACGTTGCGGACACCCTCGACCGAGGAATCATCATCCAACATGGCAAACAAGTCTTCCACAAGCCTGTCTCCTCCCAACTTAGACATCGCCAAAGCGTCCTTCTGAACGAGCTGGTACAAGGCATTGATCGATGCCAGTTTGAGTGGTCGTCGACCCGAAGACAGATACTTCCTGAACCTCTTCACCAGATCTGGAGTGTCGACGTGCTCGGGAGCGAACATGAGGAAATGTTGGATACACTTGATTGACTCGACACGGATCCCATCGTCTTCTTCTCTGGAGAATTCGTGGACAAGGTTGAGAATGAGCGTCCGGACTCGTGGCGATTCTTGGATGTCAGGGCCAAGGACGTTGATGATAGCGTCGATGATTTGGCACATAACAGGGTAGGCCGGACAATCGCCGCTGATGTTGGAATTTCCTAGCGTTCCCCCTTCCTTCTCGTGAGACTCCATAAGGTAAAGCTTGAGGAGGAGCCCGAGCGTTCCTGTCACGTACGGTGCATAAGCTAAACTTGCTGCGTTGATAACCCTGGTCAACGCATTCAGTGCCCAGAAATGGACCACTGGATGGGGATCGTTGCTCAACGACATCAAGACGTTGATGGTCGTCTTGAGCAACGCTCCAGCAGCAAGTCCACCAACGTGGGTGTAGATAGACCCAAAAGCCAGGGCACATCCTGCGCGACCGTACGGATTTCGGTTGGAAACAACTTTGTCCACCAGATCCTTGATCTGGCTTGTCAAGTAGTTGGTTCCAGATAAGCTCGCCAGACGACCCATGGACTCGCTCCCTGCTGACCTGAGGATTAAGTCTCCATCGATTATGGCTTCCATTAAGAATGGAGAAAGCAAAGAGGTAACTTGGCCATTGCCAAAGGTCTCCCGGCCCTGGCGGGCATGGGAGGTAGTCGCCACCCGCAGCGCAAGGACGATGGCCACTGCTGCATTGATAAAGACCGCTGATTTTCTCCCTGCATTCTTCTCTAGCCGAGGGGATCGCACAGACTCCAGCAGCTGGTTGATGATCTTAATGCTCGAGCTGAGGTCTTGCAATGGCAGCAGGCGAGAGAAGAGGTCAATTGCGGAGTCGACAACGGATGTGGCCCCTGGTGGCGGTTCTACGAGCCTGTAATCCGTCTCTGTAATGACGCTCTGGCACAGGGAAAGGGTGTCGTGTTCACATGCTCCAAAGATAGGCGTCCGTAGCTATTCGATGATGTGAGCCCAGTACACTCTATACGGTATTTGCACTTACCAGCGTCTCGAGTGATGCTTCGATAGAGTCACGGTTCAGGTAATCCTGATTGGTAGACGACGATTCCCCGTCTACTCCAATCCCGCCATAATCCACAATGTCGTGGGACGTCACGCCATAGGCATAGCCATCCGTGCTGTTCCAGACAGTGGTAAAGCTTCCTGAGGAAGAGGCAATCGCGGCTTGTACGGAAGAACCGGTGTAGCCCTCAGGGCTAGCGAACAGCGAAACCGCAGACTGCAACAGAGTCATCTGCGTAGATTCTGCTATACTCGAAAAGCCAAGAGCACTGAAGCACTGGTAAACCCTCCTGCGCAACAATGCTTCCCGATCCCGCATTGAGAGACCTTTTCGGGGAATGACAGGAGGTTGTGAATCTGCTGGGTCTTCGACATTCTGGGAGATGAAATTGTTGGCAAACGAGAGCGCGTTGCTCAGTACCGAGGCAACTCTGCGAGCGACGTCGAGCGTGACGAGAGTCGAGGCATTGAATTGTAGGAAGGAAAGGATGGCACCGAGTGCACACTCCCGAACGTGCAGCAAAAACAACCAATCAGCGACCGAGCGGACGGCATTGTTCGCTGTATCTTTGTTGGTTGGTTTTGGCAGAGCGTTTCTCCACAATACAAGCAGTTGGGATAGGTGAGGTCGTACGAAGTTCGGGCCTAAGGACATGAGAGCTGAGATCAGGGTCCATGAGACCTCGATTTCAACTTCCGCGACTTTGAGATCGTGTTCTCCAGCGCGCTTGAGGATCTGTGTGGCAATGTCGAGGATCTTGGCAGTGACGTCGTAAGACACGTAGAGTGGTCGTTGAGGGATGATTGAGACGAGTGCAGCAAGGCCATAGGCGTGGCCAAGTGCCCTGGCGGGGACATCTGCAGACGCAACGGGGGTAACCAGTGTCGCCAAATCCTTCTGAAGTTTGTCCACGACGACGAGTATCGCTTTGGGGAGGCGAAGAGGAGTAGAATAGCAGAAGCACCGCAGGGCCCATGCAGCATTGACGCGAACCGTGTGGTTGGGGTGAGATAACAGTGTAACCAATGGTTCAGCCAAAGCGTCCTAGTAAATAGGGTAGGTCACCACGCGGGCAGGTTTCAAGCAGGGCGAACAATCGTACCTGTACAGGGGGAGGCGCATTGCCTAATTGTTGAAGTAGTCCTGCCACCTCCCGCAAAACAATGACGAGTGCAACCGGACTTGGGGCAACCTGTCCAGGCATCATAGCGGGCCATCTCTTGAGATACGATGTTGCCAACTCCCTGATCGCGGTAATTTGCCCTTGCTCGCTCAGCATGCGGACTCCTATTAGGTCGCGTAAAAGGATCGCTACTAATTTCCGTGTAAGGAGGGCCTCGTAGCGATTGAGGGTGTTACGGGGGTACAGCACGACCTCATTCAAGAGGTGCGCGACGATCAGCGAGAAATTGCTTTCCACGAAGTTTGGTCCTAATTTGTTGAGCAAAGCAACATAAAACTCGAAAATCCCAACACGGATCTTGCGAGAGAGATGGTTTCGGTTGAGATGGTTGGATAACAGGATGAGCATCTCTTGCGGAGGCATCATAGCTTTCAAGGTTTCCGCAACTACATGCGCAGCTGCGCCTGGTTCATCAGCCAGTGATTCTTGATCTTTCTTCGCCTTTGGATTGGTTTCTGGCACTGCGACAGGGCGCTCTACTTGAGTTAACGAGAGGAGATGGCCTATAAGATGTGCATGGCTCTGGCGAGTAGTCTGATCAATGTTTTCAAGGTTCTTGACCGACGTGGAGAGGATGCTTTCGATATCGCTCGCAGTGGGGTGTAAGGCGTCTGGCTCAGAGTAGATAGTGACGATGACCTGTAGGGGAAATCTCGTCTACTCTCTGGAAAGTTTCGGGCATGGCATATACTTACCTGACACGCGGCACGTTGCACGGGGAGACTCTTGTCTGTTAGAGCGTATCTCATTTGCTTCAATGCATCCTTCAAGGTCGATTCTTGCACAGCTCGCTTCGCAGTCGTCAGCGCCTTCTGGAAGGCAATCAACGCTTGATACCGTAATAACGGGGACTTTAGGATTGTCAACCAGCGCTCCAATTCGAACGCAAGGAACGCACCGAAGAGGACTTGGCCGTTTTGAGAGACACGAGGGCGATTTCAGCCATAAACGACATCAACTTAGGACGAGTTAGTTTCCAATTTACTTGACATTGAATGGGCACCTACATTGGAACCAAATGCCGCCATAATATCGCCAACGCAAGACCAAGCTGCACTACACTCAGGTCAGTGTGAATCCATTGGTCGTTCACAGCCGGCGCCTACATTTTGACAGTCTCTTTGTCTGATTTGACGTCGCCGACGAGTTTCATCAGCGCTTGGAGGGTATCAAACATGGTTCGCGTCTCGCCGCGCGAGTAGAGAGCTACGAAACATCTTCCAACGACTCTTCGTATTACACGCCCAGGAGATGGGTAGCCTTCGGTTCCAGATATGACTTTGAGAAGGGTGGATTCGACTTCAGATTGCGCTGGCTTTAGGTCTGCCTGGACTTGGATCAGTACTTTCAACGCCCTCGAGATGCAGAGTTACACACGATAGGTATGTCGAGTAAAGCCTTTTCTGTGCTACAGAGCCATTGAAGGAGATAGATCTCGCCATTCTCCCCTGTAACTTCGGACTACCATAGCTCAGTTTCTGCATTATAAGGACGCGGTCGATGTACACACCTCGACAATGCTTTCAATCTTCGAGTCGCTCGTCATGGACCCTTCGCTCCAGGCGTTGTATTGGGCCGAGTATTGTGGTATTTGTGGTCGTCGCCGGGTCGTAACGCAGGCTGCGGTGGATGTGGATGCTGATCAAGAGCTGTCCATCACGGCATCAGGCTCGCCCGACAAAGTGGGCGCGGGAATCCCGCCCTGTGGAGTTTGAATGCGATCCAGGTCAACGGAGCTGGTATTCGGTGAGACGTTGACATCTGCTTCTTCACCCCACATCATTCCGTCAAGGCTTACAGAGTTCCAGACTGCAGTGACCGTCAATAATGTCTGATTCAAATCCACAGAAAGACTCCCCTCTCCTGAGGCTACCGGGGGAATTGTTGCTGGTGCTTCTCGAGTCCTTGGAGCTGCCGGATTTTCTCAAATTGCGTCAAGTGGGTCAACACGAACGTTGTCAATTGTATACCGCTGATCCAATTACCAGTGCAACCGACTCCTGTTCCAAGTTTCTCGGGAACGCGCGCTGTGGATCTCGATTCTTGCGAGCCAAAGGCAGAATCTGCCTCTCCCCGCAATCCCTGGCTCCTTCAACGATGATGTGAGTGGGAAAGATGATCTAGACGGCTTCTGTGACATGTCAATCGACGATCTCGAAAAACTTGTCGCCAAATTCTACCGAATAAACAACCTGTGGTCACAACCCCGGTCGCCATCGAGTGTCTGCACCCTTCCACGAGCTCGAACGCTCGAGGGCAGCACGACGAGTCTGTTGGGTCTGGAGGTTCTCTTGGACAGATGGCTGCTCGTTCTAAGGATGGAGGGAAGGATGGAGATCCATGACCTCTCCCCTTCCAACCCGATACTCGGCGGCATCGAGGCGGAAACCACCATCTTGAGTAGTACGGTTTCCTTGGATTGCGACGGGTGGGGGTCCTACGCAGCCCGTGCAGATCAAGATTCTGGGCTCATATATATTGCCCTAGTCAGAACTGTCGAGTGAGTTTGCCTCCCAGTCTAGAACAGCAGCTGGATTGACTGGCGCTAGAAGACCCTTTCATCTCGATTTATGGCAGTTCTCCGTTGACGGAGCCATCCGCGGGCAAAGGCAGGATGACAAACTGCTGAAGCGGCTAATGCGGAGAACCCTTGATGTTCCGAAGCTCGTCAGGGACATTGACCCTACCAAACGATTGGTGGCCTTGTCTGCCCTGACGGCAGTAGAACTATTGCCCTGGGACGACGGTATAGCCAATAGCCCTACTGTTCCGGGGACCATACCTGTTCCGGGATATGACACTGATAGTGACGACTATGTGCGTATCCACTCTTTCATACATGATTTGCCGCCCTAACCTATATAAAGTGGAACGGTATTGTGAAGCTTCAATTCCTCGGCCCCTTCATGCTCATTGCGAAAACTCGTTCGGTTGAACTACATCACTACTCACCCGCTCTCGCCACCAACACCGGCCGTTTCCCCCTTTTGCGCCACACCTTCGAACATAGGACTTTCCGCGAGGTTGTGTTCTCGCACTGTAAGCACTCCAAGTCCGACTTCAAGGAGACATGGGAAGTTAAGATGCTTGCTTCCGATGTAATTCACGGCCTTTTCCAATTCGAGGTCAAGGTCACTCTTCCACTCGCGAACCCTGCCACCACAGCTTCGTCGCAATCGGATATTCACCCTCACTTGGACGTTGAACTGACTGGACTGTACCCCCTGTCACTCCTCATTCCACCAGCCCCGTGTCCTCCGAAAGCATCCGGATATCTCATGAATCGAGAAGATACCGGCACCCCAACGCCAGCGAGCTCTCATCTTCACTTCCAGAACGGATTCGGGCCATTCGGCCACAAGTCACCCTCTTCCATAACACGAGGGTTCTTGAGCACATTCTGCATCGGACCGCAGGGCAAGCGGGCACTCTGGGTGGAACGGGCCAGGTCAAGCATTAGCCGCGAGGTGCAGGTATGGGATCAGGGAATGGTCCGCGAGAGAGGATCAGGTTCGACACTCTTGGAGTCGAGTTCCTCGACAAGAGAGAGGACAGGAGCGCCCATTCAAAGGATGATAGATTCTTGGGCGGTGCAATTTGGCCATCGGTGTGTGGAGATGGAAAAGAACGTGGTGTATAAGGCGGTGTCGTACGATTTGAGGGGTGAGTGCGGCAAGTTATCTCAATCGTTTATTTGTTGTGGGATGTCAACTGAAATCCGGTCTCTCCAACTTGATATCAGATGATATCACACATTGTTCATTCTCAGAGACGATGGGTACCATTGTGCTTGGTACCCGTGCTGGTAATATCCGAGTGCTTCCTCTAGAGGTTCGTAGGAAAGGGGCTGCCCAGTAATTAGCGTGTAAACAAACTGTGTATTAGTACTCTCAGAAGGATCGTTGGAAACACACAAGTCCACTTTACATAGCAGGGAAAGTTCTAATCTGTGACTTGAAGGGAACTTTTGTGCAGCCTGTGCTGCCAAGTCGATCCTCCTCTACGGCGGCTGGGCGCTTATTCCCTTTCTTTGGTCTTGTTATCCATCAAACCTAATACAGTCCGTTTTTATCGGATCTTCACGATGACGAAGGAGTCTGAGCGCTACTGACCGCCCATTGACCACGACGAGCACGACGGCCTTGACAATGCTGCAATCTGCTCTACGAAAATCTTTTCTTACCACCGCAAGATGCTCTAATACTCTTTCGCGATCAATCACTTCTCGAGGCCTGGGCCAGGCTTGGTCGAAGGCCACCGCCAGCAAATGGGAAACCCCGGCATCCTCTAGGTCGTCTAACCACCACCTGCACAGAAGACATTTCTCTTGGACACCAACGCGGCCGCACGACTCCAAAGACGGGGCTTGTAGCCACACAAACCACCCTGAGGCAAATGCAGCCAGCACGGAAGCATCCAGCTCAACACCGGCTGCTTTCCCAGGAACTCCGTTGACGCAACCCGACGAACCCAGAATGGCTATCGCATTTACATGCACAGTGGAAGGATGTGGACATCGTCAAGCGCATATGTTTACAAAGCGGTCGTACGAGCGGGGAATTGTTATCGTGACTTGCTCTGGTTGCAAAAACAGGTGCGTCCACCCTTTGTGGCTGGAGACCGTTGGAATGTACTCATCCGTTCCTTCCTATTCCTAGGCATCTTATTGCTGACCATCTAGGGTGGTTCAAGAATCTCACAGAAGAAGGCACGCATGTTACTATCGAGAAATTAGCCAAGCTGCAGGGACAGCAGGTGACCCGAGGTTCCGTCGACGTGAGCGGTGTGTTGGAATACGCTGGAGAAGCAGAGGCTCAAGAGGCCACCCAATCCGGTGGCGCACCGTCATAAATGCTTCGACCCGAGAGTCAATGATTCTGAAAAGTACGCTCCGCGTCCAGATTCGACGCTGAGGTTAGACGCCAATGTACTCTACGATAATTCGCTAATTCTCGCCATATATCCCGTTTAATTTTAGACCTCGATTCTTTTCAAGTTTGTCCTGCAGAAGCAGTGGTCTTCATGGACTCCCTAGGTGTCCTCGCCGCCGCGGTACTTTGCCCGCCGTGTGAGCGCTACCGATCGCAATCTGCTCTGCGAAAATCCTCCCTTGCCCCGCAAGATGCTCCAATGCTCTTTCGCGAGCAATCACTTCTCGAGGCCTGAGCCAGGCTTTGTCAAAGGCCATCGCCAACAGACGATAATTGCCTAATCCTCACTGTATGACCCGTTTAATTTTAAACCTCGACTCTTTCCAAGTTTGTGCTGCAGCAAGTGTTATTCGTTGCCTCTTCGGTATCAATCATCTCCTTCCAGCACCCTGTCGTACTTCCTGAGCAACAGTCTCTCCACCCACCCGTCCTGCGGGAAGTCCTTCTCCCACTGGTTATGCAAATGGACGGAGAAGACCTTTCGCAAGATCTCATCCAGCAACCCCCCGTCTTCGGTGCTCATCACTCTCTCGCCCTGTTTTCCCGACCTCTGAGGTATCCACCGACCTTGACCCTCGCCATCCTTCTTGAAGGGATCCGGAAGCCTGTTGTCAATCCTGCAGGACCGGCCATCGCTGAAGCACCATGGAAGGACCTTGAACGGTGGGACACCAGCTCTGACCAACCGTCTCCACAGTTTGGTATAGAGGATGGAGCCCCAATCGGTTGAGCCTGGCCGCGGTGGAGGTGACGAATCCATTATATGGAAGGCTTCGCACAGATAAGCGGAGTGTGCATGGAAGTGCATAAGAGCGCCATTTAATGGTCCATATGGCTTGTCTAATGGGGAAATCAGAAGGGAAGAACAGCGACTGGGGATTGACGAGACGCACTATAGCAATCCCATTGGGTTACAAATTCATGCTCTAACAAAGGTCGAAGACTTCGAGTCAGTAGAGAATCCATGTCAACCCAAACGCCTCCAAAATTCCATAGCACCAGCAACCGCAGCAAATCTCCGTCTACCCATGCCTTTTTGTCATTCGTGTTCAGCTTGTCGCTCCCCTCCAACGCCGTTCCCATGGCCAGCTGCGAGATTTCCATCATCTTCACGGAGAACGAATCAGGAAACTGGCGAAGGTATCGTTGAATGATGGCATTCGTCCGCAAGTCTCCATTCGACCACAAAATCAGGTGCGAGTCCGGTAGGGGCTGGGTGGCAAAGAAAGATTTGAGCATGTATTCTTGGCGCGGTCCGAACGGTATTAGGTCTGTCCTCCAGTATGTGTGGTAGAAGGTTTGTTGCGCTTGCGTTGCGACATCTTCTCCATTTCCATCGTCGCCGCTTCCGACTATCCCAGCGAAGGCATAGCAATCCATGCCTCGCATCATATCCAACCCTGAATGTACCTCCCATCGTGACCGCTTCCTCCATACGCGCTCCGTGACGTTGTATGTCCCATCGTCTTTGCTTTCAAAACAACCCGCCAAGGGGGGAATGACGTCGATTTCTTCTCGAATCCAACGCCTAGAATATAGCCTTATCTCTATCTGAGGCTCAAATATCGTTAACAAAGCGATAACTGCCAGAAACACGAGAAGAGAAGCGCAAAGGGCCAACCGAATGCACCCATGTCGCGACCGCAAGACGCGTCTACAAAAGCTCCGAATGTCGCGTTTGATCCTTGAATTTCGGAGCGAAAAACGGTGCGCTCTGGGCGGTCTATATTTGAAGGTTGGGGCTGGCGTAGGAAGAAGATACGGAGACGAGGAAGAGCCCTCAGAAGAGGCAGACCCTCGCCTAGAGACGCTGAATTTGTATCGTCGGTACTGTTTTTGAGGCGAGGCCGGATAGCTGTAGCTCGATCCCAGACCTTCTGTGGAGTATCCTGGCTCATCGTTGCGGACGTCGAGGTCGATAGCTTCAAGGTCCCTGGTTTCTTTTAATCAGTGCTTTCGACCGCCCCAATTTCAGTGCGTACAATGAGCCGTCGTGGCGATTGCTCGCCATTGCGTTGACCTGTGTGGCAGCTTCCTGTCAGATACGGTAGCAGCGCGGCCTCGGCGAGTACCTGCACCTTACTGGGCTGCGTGAGCTGTCGGAAAAAGGGGAGAAGCTATCCCAGCGCGCGAGATACAAGCTGCCACGGTGCGTTATGTAAATCAAAATTCAAGCTCAGATGGCAAGCTCCAAGCGCCATGGTACCCGCCTAGGTGATTGCGCTATCAGGACCTCGAAGTTCATCGGAAGCAGAAGTTTCACTCGTTAGATATCGTCGGTTGCCCTTACTAAGGTACAAAGGTACATGTACTTTGTGGCCTTGATGTCTTCAACTTTGTCGTCGTCCAACTTGGGGCTCGCGTTTACGGGCGGAGAAAAAATGGTAAACCTCCGACTCGGCGTTTCCAGGTTTGAGCGGGAGACCTGGCCAGCCTGCAGGCCAACAACGGGAGAACCGCTGTCAGAAGAGCTCAGAGAACCGACATGGTGTCATAAGAAGCCTAGAAATACATGGACAAAGTATGGCTTCTTCTTGTAAAGCCGGCGATTTGATGCCGAGATACATCGATCATACTTTTATCGCTGGCCTGGGCTAGATGGAACGCTGAGCTGAACGATTCAATATCAACAAGGTTGACATGTTAATAAACGCTACCTTCACTCCAGACCAGCGATCGATGATACCTTGAATATGGAGCTTGAGAGAGGCCTTGCAGTCGTCGCACTGAAGGTCATCCCCCAGAGGAGCGAAGGCTTGAAAAAGCTCCTCGTTTGAAATGTCTGGTAGGTCGACGTTAGAGTGCTGTGATACTCCAAGAAATCCGGGCTATACTCGCCGCTAGACGTGTCCGCAAGAAAAGAGGTCGCAGCCAGAACCCAGGCAAAAGCCAAGTTCTCTCGGTCCACCTGCGTGCAGCTCGTGGAAGCCTGGTGAGGACTGGGTTTCTGAGCAAGGAGGGCTTTTATCACATTCCTCCGTTCCATGTGAAGGCATAGAATCTTTCTCAGGTAAACCGCCCCCATTCCGCTAGCAAGATCGTCGGTCAGCGCTTCCAAGCTTTCCACGAGGGTGTACGTAGAAGATCGCACAGCGAGGTCCTGTAGGCCATGCCTTGCAGCTAAGGCGTAGACGCGGAATGGCGACAGAGCCGCATGCTGAAGGAGGATGCCGTGCATATGGCTGCTGGCCCCTATGTGAAGACTGGGTCGGATAGTGTAAGTCGACATACGATCCAGAGCTTCTTCGAGGTGGTCCAGCGAGCCGCCGTCGCTAAGCCATGCTCTGTCGTATAGCGCATGAATTATTATCTCCAGTACTTCTCGTCTTTCTGGGATGTCGATGACTCCAATTTCTTTGTCGTCCTGGGTGCTTACTACGGGGAGAAGGGATTGGAACACCCTCGGATCCATCCTTCTCATGGTGGACGATTGCACATAGAGGAGAACGGAGTCGCTTGTCTTGAAAATCACATCGCATCCGACCTCGTCGGCCCCAAAGGAGCCCGACACCTGAAGGCCATCCTCGTTCGTACTTTCAGAGAGTGGATGATGGGGCTCGACCTGCGATGTCGGTAATCAGAAAGGAATAGGATCGCAACGTTGAATACTTACTACCATGGCTGGAGGAATCAAGAGATCGGTTACTGTGATAGTAGTGATTCTTCGGGGCCTTACATATATATGCGTATTCGGACCTGCTGACTTACTTATAAAGCGTCCTAAAGCGTCCTCAAAAGCAACCAGACAACTTCTTTTCTTTCTCTCTCTCACACTCACTGGAGGTGAGGGATCGTCCGCTGAGGGTATGGATATCATCCAGGATGGCGACAAGCACCAGAGGCCATTCATTCGAGCCCTCTCAATTCTTGGCCCCAGACAAAATCGAAACGATCACTTTCCCTATTCTGGATGATGACTATCGCTGTCGCGAAGAGCGAACACTAAACCAAACCAAAGACCAGAAGAGCGGAGCGGATGAGAGCGGAGAGCGAGATAAGAGCGATGAGCGACTAAGGCAGATGAATGCTGAAGCGGTGTATTGACGAAGAGGTCAAGCTGAGGAAATACAGAGGAATCTACCTAGCTTATATACCTATGCTACAGTCTACATAGCCGCAATGAGTCAGGATGACGAGCAAATGGTGAAATGCATAAGAACAATAAGAAGTCATGAGGCTGCGCGAAGGCTGCGCGAAGAATGAAGAAGACAGTGGCGGAGTAACGAGGCAGTGCAAGAATGGAGAGAACATATAAGATGTAGGGCAAAGGGCATAACGAGGCAGTGTTCCATGGGAGAAAGTGTCCGTGTCGAGAATAAAGGCAAGAATAAGAATAAAGAGGAGGTGATAAGAGCGATGAAAGTGATAAGATAAGATAAGGGAAAAATAGGGGGCTCGTACCCGCTGTTCACGACATTACCCCCCTTCTAAGCCTCATCGTCCTCGATGATCACTGGTAGGCGGCGTCTCCAGCTCCCAGTCGAAGTCGGTAGGCGGTGTGTCGGTGAAGTTCTCGAGGGGTTGCCAGGGGAGGGAGGCGAAGACAGTGGCTGCAATGCGACGTGGTGCAGAAGGGTGACGCTGGTGGAAGTCTTTGACGACATCGGGGGCGTGTTCCAAGTTCTCCTCCGGTTCCCAAGTATCCTCCGTCGACCCGTAGCCCTTCCAACTGACCAGATATTCCAGCTTACGGTTCTTCCCTCGGCCCTTCCAGCGGCTGTCCAAGATGTCGTGAACCTCGTACTCAAGCTCTCCCTCCAGTTCAACAGGCTCAGGCGGAGGTGGCAGAATGCCGTTGACATCATTGCCTTTCCAGGGGGAGAGCTTGTCGACGTGGAACACTGGGTGAATGCGGGAGAGGGAAGGGGGGAGCTCGAGGCGGTAATCGAGGTCACCGATGCGTTCGGTGATCTTGTAGGGGCCGAGTTGGATGTCGCCAAGCTTCCGAGTAGGGACTTTGATCTGGATGTCCTTAGCGTTGAGCCAAACGTGGTCACCAACCTTGAACTGATGGGCTGTTCGTTTGCCGGATTCGTACAAGTCCTTCTGTTGTGCTTTCTCGAGACGTAAGGCGGCTTCGGCGTCCTTGCGTACCTCTTGCAGTTGTTGGATGCGCTCGTCGATCAGGGCGAAGATCAGTGCGTTTACCGACGGGAATGTTGAAGTGAGGGATGTAACCGTAGAGGACTTCGAAGGGGGATCGGTTGTGCGCGGAGTGGACTCGGGAGTTGATCACAAATTCGGCCATGGGAAGGTGCTTATCCCAGTCGTCTTGTCGGCGACTGACGTACAGGCGGAGGTACTTCTCGACTTCTTGGTTGGCCCGTTCTGTTTGTCCGTTAGCCTGAGGATGATAGGCGGTGGTCAGGTTGGATTCGATGCCGAGACGCCTGAGAAGGGTGCGCATGACTTTGGAGGCGAACTGGGGGCCGCGGTCGCTGATGAACCGGAGTGGAAGGCCATGGAGGCGGAAGACTTCTCGGTAGTAGATGTCGGCAACTCCTTCGGTGGTGATGTCCGAGGTGCAGGGGAGGGCATGGAGAAGCTTGCTGTAGTGGTCGACGAAGACGATGATGGCATCATGTCCTTTGGCATCAGGAAGCTGGGTGATAAGGTCGACTCCAACGGTCTCCTCAGGGGCCATCGGGTACCTCCAAGGGCTGAGTCGAGGCGCGGGGGTGCTGGGCGTGTTCTCTTCCGGGCACAGATGTCGCAACCTTCCACGTACTTCTTGACAAAAGGCTCGCACGGTCGGCCACCAGTATTGTCGTTCAACTCGTTCGAGGGTTCCGTGTACGCCGGGATGTCCAGAGGTGGGATCGTCGTGGCACTGTTTGAGAACGTCGCGTCGGAGTTCGTCGTCTGGGGGAACGTAGACTCGACCCTTGTAGTAAACAAGGCCGTTATCCTCCTCCCATTCGGCGAGACCAGAGGTGAGACGACGGGGACCTGTCTTGCGGAGTTGGGCGAGTCCATCCAGGACCTGGGATTCTCGGGCGCTGGCCTGCCGGATACGGTCCTCCAAGGGGTTGACGACCATGCTCGAGGCGGCGAGCTTGGCAAACAGCTCGGGTTTGAGTACCACCTGTTGTTTGTTGTCCTCGGCGTCGGAGACCTGGTGGACGTCGAGGCGAGAGAGGGCATCGGCTTGGGTGTTTGTCTTGCCAGGGCGGTGGGTGAGCGAGAACCTGAAGCGGGAGAGGTAGAGAGCCCAACGAGCCTGTCGACGGCTGAGGTCTTGTGCGGTGCGCCAGTATTCGAGGTTGGAATGGTCGGTGACGATCTCGAAGGGTTCAGGGAGTCCTTCCAGGAAGTGGCGCCAGTCCTTGAGAGCCTCGATAATGGCCAGCATCTCCCGGTCGTAGATCTCGTAGTTCCGTTCGGCGGGCTGCATGGAGGCGGATCGGAATGCAACGGGGTGCCAGAGGCCGTCATCCTGCTTCTGGAGAAGGGCTCCTCCAGTGGCAAAGCCGGAGGCGTCGACTTCAATGCGAGTGGGGCGGTCAGGATCCCAGAGCGTCAGAATGGGGGCGGACGTGAAGGCATTGCGGAGGGTGTCAAAGGCCTGCTGTTGAGGATCGTTCCATTGCCAGGGGATGTTCTTCTTGGTGAGGTCGTTGAGCGGTCGGGCGATGGTGGCGAAGTCCTTGATGAAACGGCGGTAGAAGTTGGCGAACCCGAGGAAACCACGAACGGCGCGGAGGTTGCGGGGGACTGGCCAGTTGCGGACGGCTTCGACCTTGGCAGGGTCCATGCTGACTTCGCCCTCGCGGATGATCAGCCCAAGGTATTCGATCTCCTGACGTTCGAACTCGCACTTCTCTGGCCGGAGATACAGATCGTGCTTCTTGAGGCGATGCAGGACTTCGTGTACAACTTGTCGGTGCTCGTCGAGTGTGGCCGTAAAGATGAGGATGTCGTCGAGATACACTGCAACCTTCCCTCCAGCGATGAGGTCGGAGAAGATAGAGTTCATGAGAGCCTGGAATGTCGCCGGAGAATTGGTGAGGCCGAAGAACATAACGAGTGGTTCGAAGAGACCCTGGTTGGTGGCGAACGCGGCCTTCCACTCGTCTCCTTCCTTGATCCGGATATTGTTGTAACCCCAGCGAACGTCGAATTTCGTGAAGTACTTGGCACCGCGGAGTCTGTTGACGATGTCGGAGACCAGGGGGAGGGGGTAGCGGTTCTTGACGGTGATCTCGTTGAGCTGTGCGGTAGTCCTGAACAAAGCGGAGCTTGCCATCCTTCTTCTTGACGAAGAAGACCGGGGAAGAGAGGGGAGACTTGGATGGTCGGATGTATCCCTTCTTGAGGTTCTCGTCAAGGAATCGGTTCAGCTCTTCCTGTTTCGTTCTGGGACATGGGGTAGACCTTGGTGCGCATGGTGGCCGGAGCTCCAGGAATCAGATCGATGGCGTGATCCCAGGGTTTGTGTTCGGGTAGGCGGTGCGACTCGGACTCAGAGAAGACGGAGGCATGTCGGCGATACTGTGGGGGAACCATCTCTTCGAAGGTCTTCTGGGGTTTGGCCTTCTGAGATTCTTCGGCGATCTGCTGGGAATAAGTGAAGCCAGCAGCACACCAGAGCTCGTCACCAGTTTCCTCGATCAGCCCTGCTCGTAGCCATTTCCTGCGAGTGGTTCGGTTGGCGCGGATACGGCAGAGGGGCGGTTCGGCTTGTTCCGGTTCCGGTTCGGGAGCGGGGATTGGGGTCAGGAGTGGTGGGCGCAGGGGGAGGATCAACCGGGGCATCTATCTGTTCGAGAATGGCACCATTGGAGGGAGCTCCCCGACTAGGAGGGTGTGCGTCCTCGTCTGGAACCTCCTCAATAGTTACGCTAGAGACCTTGGAGGGAACCTGGAGGGTGCCGTTACGCCAGTCAATAGTGGGGTTGATCTTGCGAAGCCAAGGGAGTCCGAGGATAATGTCCTCTCCTCCAAGGTCGGCGATAAGAAAGTCGGTCCATTCGGAGTGACCGTCGACCGTGAGTTCCAGTCGTGCGAAATGGGTGATATTGCCTGCCTGATTGGGGGTGCCGTCAATGTTGAGAAGTCGGATGGGGTGTCGGAGGGGGAACGTGGTAATGTTGTGCCGATCGACGAAGGGCCTGTCCAGGAACTTGCCTGTTGCCCCACAGTCAATCATTGCCGCGGAGTTCGTACTGCGATTTCTGCCTCTGAGCCTCACGTTCACGCGAAAGTGTGATGAACGGGGGTTTATTTCGCGAATTGAGCTAATAGTACATGAACGGACAGAATCATATTCAGAAGTGGCGTACGGAGGAGTAAAGGGTGCCTGCGTTGCGGCAGGGACGGGCACCCGCTTCAAAAACCCTGATGGAGCCTCTGGAGTTGAGCCAGGAGTTCGAGCTGTTGTTGTTGAGTGGCCGAGAGTGAGGCGAGGCTTGGGGTGGGGGCAGGAGGCGTAGCAGGAGTGGTGGCGGCAACGGTGGCAGTGGCAGTAGGGACGGGTTCGTCGAAGAGAGAGAAGGGAGCTTCCTGGGTAGCGGCGACACGGCGACGTGGGGGTTGAGAGAGTCCTCGTCCGGGTGGGAATCCCATGTACTTGTCTTGGCAGACGGTGGCAGCATGTCCCATACGCTGGCAGTAGTTGCAGCGTAACGCTCCGTGATTCCCATCCTTCTTGTTGTGACCGGTGGACCCACAGCCAAAGCATCGACCGCGCATGGCGTTGAGGAAATCCTGGCGGGTCTTGCCGCTAGGACCGGGTCGGGTGGCATCAATCTCCATCGCGTACGGATCACGAGCGGGGGCGGGAGCAGGAGCAGGGGCATACTGGGCCAGGGAAGTGCGGGACGAGTTGGGGTTCATGTTCCGCATGACGAACTCGTTCTTGATGGCTTGAGCGACAAGTTCCTCCAGGTTGGCAGGTTCCTTGATGAGATTGCTGAGGGCGAGCCAGAGAAGGTGTTCCTGGGAGAGCTTCCTCTTGAAGCGAGCCATTCCGTCCGAATCGGATAAATTGGTGCGCGAAAAGATGTCGACGAAGCGAGAGGCGAAGTCGGCTACAGTCCCTCGACCAAGAGTGAGCTGCTCAAGCTCCTGGAGGGCAGCCTGGGCGTCGTTGGCAGGTTGGAAGCGTTGCTTGAACTCGGTGAGGAAGTTAGCCCACTTTCCCCCAGTGAAGGGCCATGGCTTGGTGCTATCGGCATCGTGGTCGGCAATCTGCTGGAGGAAGCGAGATGCCCATCGACCAGCTTCTCCATGCATATACGAAAGGGCTGTAGAGATCCATTCCTTGTCGTCGCGAGTGCCATCGTCCTTCTTCAACTGGGGTTGGTGTCCGGCCCAGTTGGTAAAGAACTGGAGGAAGCGTCGGGCATCTTCAGCCTTACCGTGGAAGGGTTCAGGCGCCTTGACCGGGCTCTTACTAGAGGAGGTCTTGGCAGCTGTAAGGTGGCTGACCAGGGTAGAGATGGCGGTGGTGAGCTGGTTCTGCTGCTCTTGAAGTTTTGCGAGATCGGCAGCGGACATCGTGAAGTCGTCAGTGGTTTGGGAAGCGGAAGAGGGTAAAGTAGTTGGTTGAATGGAAGTGGGAGGTTTCTGTTCTGAGCTTGGAGCGTCAGATGTGTCCTCCAACTGCCGAGAGGTGTGGAGAGGGGGATGGATCGGGCGAGAGATGAAAGAGGTGGGGTTCGTCGGTGTAGAGCGGCCGGAGGAGCTGAGGCGTTGTGCGGAGATAAGAGGTGCGGATGCGGCTAGAGCGGAGTGGAGAGTGCTGAACGGTGGGAGGGTGGTTGCTTGTTCGGGGGATGCTGATCGGACGCTAAGGGACTGGACAACTTCTTCTTCGTCTTCCTCGTCGTCGTCGTCTTCCTCGTCTTCTTCTTCGGGGTCGGTGTCGGGATCTGGAAGTTTGAATGAACCGGCTTTGGCAGCGGGGGAGGTGTTTGCGGAACTGGTAAGCTTGGTACGGGGTTTCTGGAGATTCGGCGGCGTTGGGTTGTGTTTCAGAGGGCGGAGTCCTGGGGTTGTTGCGGGCGAATTCTTCAACTGCTTGCTGATTAACGGGGGACGGTGATTCGGCGTTTAACTTGAGGGAGTTGATATAGACCCAGTCGTGTACGGAAGGTTCGTGGTAACGGTTGGGGCAGGGCTGTTCGGAGCAGGCAGTCCAACGGTTGAGGCTCGGTAGATGGACGTCTAGGACGATGGGGTGACCGTCGCTGACCCGAACGACGAAGTGCGGCTTAAACAGACAGGAGGTGTCTTCCGGTGCGGCGGAAATCTTGACGGAGTGCGGGGACCAGAGTTGCCAGGGAGGGACCTGATCGGCAGGTCAACCAGGAGCCAGAAATGCGGATGATGCAGGAGCAACGATCGGCGTTGCCGGTGCACAAAGGTAGCTTGACCTAATGTCGCGAAGAGCGAACACTAAACCAAACCAAAGACCAGAAGAGCGGAGCGGATGAGAGCGGAGAGCGAGATAAGAGTGATGAGCGACTAAGGCAGATGAATGCTGAAGCGGTGTATTGACGAAGAGGTCAAGCTGAGGAAATACAGAGGAATCTACCTAGCTTATATACCTATGCTACAGTCTACATAGCCGCAATGAGTCAGGATGACGAGCAAATGGTGAAATGCAAAAGAACAATAAGAAGTCATGAGGCTGCGCGAAGGCTGCGCGAAGAATGAAGAAGACAGTGGCGGAGTAACGAGGCAGTGCAAGAATGGAGAGAACAATAAGATGTAGGGCAAAGGGCATAACGAGGCAGTGTTCCATGGGAGAAAGTGTCCGTGTCGAGAATAAAGGCAAGAATAAGAATAAAGAGGAGGTGATAAGAGCGATGAAAGTGATAAGATAAGATAGGGAAAAATAGGGGCTCGTACCCGCTGTTCACGACAATCGCCACGAGCCAATGACAACCAGTGTGGACAGCCATGTCGGCACACGACTCACGAGGCAAGAGCATGTTACATCATTTACTATGATTTGGAACTGCATGCCATATTCTTAGTTGATTCAGAATCAGCCACCTGGTAGGCCCTGGTCCCACTGTTCCACGAATGGCATATCGTCCGCTCATTCCGTCGTCATTGGCTCGATTGGGTCAGGAGTCATTCAGGATATCACAAGCCCCCTTGGCAAACGTCGATGCCCACCGCACCACCTCGAATGTATGTACGGTAGCAGTAGAGAGCATCGTAAAACTCCTCGTTCTACAAAAATTGTAGACCACAAGAACCCAGTTTTCAACTGTCGCAACAGAGCAAGGTCAGCTGCATATGCCATGATGCCATGTCTTTTTCCGACTCGGAGAAGCGTGCAGATTCAGGTATGTCCAATGGGAAAGTTGTAATCCATGTATCATTAAAGTTCCCTAAAGCTCCCTATGGTCATGATGTAGGTGGCAAGTCGATCCTGCATAGGATCATGAGCAGCGATGCGTTGGAAACCTTGACAGGTAGTAGGCTCACTCCTTTTGCCACTGCCGACGATGATTTCCAAGTCCTCTATCTCGAACATTGGCAGGCTCTACGAGGCCATAGAGGAATCAGAGGGAATCTTTAAGTCTTCTAGGATCGTAACGAGCGGATGATATTGGGTATGGGAGTCACCTTACAGTGGTTATTCTAATTGTACACGGTACCTACTTACAATCTGCAGATGTCGTGCTTGATACCTTGGCGGTATATCGTTTCACAAGGAGTCCTTCTTCAATGGCCTTGATTTCTGTGAAAACGAATAAGAATTGTTGCTCCACTTCCGGTTATAGGGATACTTACGAAGGGCAAGGTGTTTCGAATGGAAACGACTAGGGGCGAGCGAGCCTGGCAAACATATTCTGAGCACCGTTCCTTCATAAAGACCAAGGACATACCCATCATGTACCAAAACCTGGGTATTCCAGTACCCCTCCAGGCACCCCGTATTTCTCCCTCGTCATCTACCCCCCAGATCTCGGTGCACTCCTTGGCAAGGTCCTCACCAATGAGGCGACTAATACGCTTGTTAATATCGCCCAGACTAAACTCAGTGGCCCGTGGTCAACCAAGGGAGAGTTGAGACGGGATGGAGACATGAGTTACCCTGTAGCGAACACGACCACGTCTGCTTCGAGCTCAGATCCATCCTCAAACCGCAGTCCGGTCTTGGTAAACCCTTTGATTAAAGAGTCGTTCTTGAGCTTGATCTTGCCTTCAGCGATCAAGCGGGATGCCCCTGTATCTATAGCCCACTCAGCGGTTAACCATACTAATTCTTGAAAATCACGAACCAAAGTAGTATCCTCCAAGTCTGCCCAGGTGTGACAGTGCTGACCCGGCGTCCATGTATCCAAGGTTTGTTCTGAATCCGACTTTATGGAGAGCATCAAGGAGTGGTCTTCGAACCGAGGTCAGCCTCAGGCTTGTCTATCAATGCGGAAATTCAAGATGTCTCCTTACTTGTCGAGCTCAGCAATCTTTCGAACCTTTTCCTGGATCAATGGGATAGCAGCCCAGAGGGGCAGAGAAGCGCTGATTCGATCAGCAACGTCGACTGGAGGGGATTTTTCTCCGTAAAGTTCTTTATGTTTGACTATAATCAGAAGTTGATACCATGAAGTTAGAATCGACGTCACCTTCAGCAGCCTTCCAGCCATTCGCAACAGACATTACATACGTCGAAGAGCGCTGGAACATTGTCACGTCTGGAAATGCCATCAATCTTAGATGACTGTGTACATCCAATAGGAAACATCACTTGCCGATGTTGTTGTAGTGGTAGTCCGCACAGATATCGTGGGCACTGGTGCAAGCCCCGACCACCACCACCTTCTTTCCTTGATGGTCTGCCGCTCGTTTGTGCTGGGTCGAATGGAGAACAGTGCCCCCATGGGCCTTGAAAATGTCCATACCTTCAATTTGGGATCAACAACGGTGAAAACTCGAATTTGCGGATACATACCGTCGATCAGGGGTATTTCCGGAATGCCGCTACCAGAACCAGTCGCCATTACGAGATGAGGAATGGCACTGAAGTGGCGAACGACGTCGGTTGTGGTGCCTGGAGGAAGGTTTAGACGTGGGCCCGTAGAGCCAAAGTAAAATGCGCACCGTCTGCTCGTCTGACTTTTCTTACAATAGTAACGTCCCATTTCTTCGTCTCTGGGTCTTGTGCGACGCGCTGGGTCGAAGACGACAACCACACGTTGAGCTCCATTATCTCCGCATAGTGCTCAAGCCAATTGGCGAGCTTCGTTGCTGGAGTGTACACCTGCCAATTAGGGGGGAAGCTAATCCATTTTATGAGAAACTCCCAGACCGGAAAGCAAGGACGAAGGTGAATCGAATGACGTACGGAAGATATGGCATATGGTCCATCCATACAGTGTCATGCAAGCACAGCGCTTCGTAACGGTTTCTCCAATTGTCGCCCACACGTTCGTTCTGCTCGATGATGAGGGACTTCAAGCCGAGCATCTTCAAACGCGCAGCCAGCGCCAGACCGCACTGACCAGCACCAACAATGAGGACGGTGGGCTTACCCTCCACTCCGGCTCCTTCGCATTCCACCTCTTTGCGACGGTTGCTTTCCCAGTGGCCGTGACTTGGTTCCTGATTTCGCAGTGAGCCCACTGCTTCAGGATGTTCGATCAAGCCCTCGAGGTTAGTGTAGATAGTATGGGCCTTCCAATTCCCTGCATCAGAAAGTCCGTCGACGCTGGAAACACCCACAGGGACAACGCGAACGATCCCGGATCCGATTCCAGAGACAGTCTTGAATCGGAAGAAGAACTGAATCCAGGCCATGTCGGGTGAGGGTCGCTTGAAAACGGGTCCTAGTGCGTCCTTTGAAGTTGTTTCGGCAAGACGAAGGTCCTCCATCTTGACCTCACTCCGTGCAGCTGCCCCAACGACTCGATCCAGTGCGAAATTCCGAATGGCATCGCGCCCCACAAACGTTCGGAAGTCCCATGTCAGTGCGAGCATGTCCCTCCACCAGACTTGGACGCCAGTGCTTTCCGGCAGAAACAGGTTGACGAGGGCGCTGGGATCGGGTTGGGAGGAAGCATGTTGGAATTCGAGAAACCATTCCCGGGCAATCTCTTTAGCATCTATGGCCGAGGCATCGAACTCCGGTGGTAAGGTCGTACCCAACACACGAAGGGTAGGGAACAGGCCGCTGGGAATATCTGGGAACTCCATGGACATTGTGAGCTGTGAGCTGAAAAGGGCTTTTATTAGTGACTCATTGCTTCCGTCAAGGCGCAACAAGACCAGTGCGAGGTTTATCTTGCCGCCGACGGTGTGTCCTTATGACTCGAGAGGATCTCATGCCGCGTAACCTCGTGGACCGGAGGTTTTCCAACCCTCTGTCCCTTGAGTCTGGACGGAGCCTGGGACATTGAAAGTGCTTAAAGGAGCTTTGCTCCCTGAAATATCCAGAGAATTGGCTTCAGACCATTCGATCCGTGACAGCGTGTCCAGCAGTGTAGACTCCGCACGCAATCCCAATGTAGTATCACCGTAAATAGCGGGAGTACTAGTTCGAGGCGAGATCTGGATTTCCGTTTAGATAAATGGGCGGAGCAACTTGCGAGGACTGACTGATATATGAACATATTTCGCTCTCCTGCCAATACATCATCATCGAGCCCCGTTATGTACACAACCGTCAAAACTTGATCCATACGAGCGCAAGAGAAAGATACCGCATCAAACTCGATAGCGTTGACCAAACAGCCCCTCTTCTTGAGCTTTGATCTCTGAGCGTTCCAACAATGTTTATTAGCTTTAGCAACGACAGTTTTGGAGCACGGACTTACGGAGAGCAACGTGCTTTGAAAAGAAACGACCGAAAACGAATCCGCCTGTATGTAGCTGTCACAAACTATGCGCCGGGGCCCAACACAGGAGAAACCATACCTCTCATACACCAGAGCCTCTCTATTCCCACATCCCTCCATGCACCAATTATTTCCCCCTCCTCGTCGAGTCCCCAGAGCCCGGTAAACCTCGCTGCCAAATCATCTCCGAGGAGGTGCCTGAGGCGCTCGCGAGAATTACCATGACTGTAAGGGCTAGATCAGCACAGGCAGTTGAGGTCTCACAAACCGACCTACCCTGTTGCAAACACCACAACGTCCCCTTCAAGTTCTGACCCATCCTCGAATATTAATCCGCGTTCCGTAAACTCTTTGATTTGTGAATCGCTTTTAAGTTTGATTTTTCCGTCAGCGATTAGATTGCATGCACCGGAATCTGGAAAAAACAGTGAGACGACGGGACCTTCTGCGAAATATGGAGAGGGTACCGAGATACAACGCTCCTCCGCCAGTAGGGATAATGTAAGTAAAGCCTGCCTCTAGGACACCGAGATTGGTCTTAAAGCCAGCTTTGTGTAGGCGGGCAAGGAGGCATCTGGAACGCTGTCAAGCTCGTCGCTTTCACTACCGACACTTCAGGAAGGACTCACTTGTCGAGTTCAGCGATCTCTTGGGTTTGCATCTGAGTCCGTCGTGAGCGAGACCAATAAGGATGGGATTCGACAACCCGATCGACAACACCGACCCGAGAGTTCTCGGAATAGAGTCCTGGTCGCAGGTAAACAATTATTTAGTCAATATCCGCAAACCAATGATCAGAAGGGATATACCTCTCCAATAAACCTTCCATCCATTCTCTTTCGACATAATATATGTGGAGGATCGTTGAATCATGGTTGCATCTTTGTGCCTTTGAGCCAACTTGAACGAGATTGAATTTGGAATGCCATTACACACCGATGTTATTACGATAGCATTCGGCACAGATGTCGTGGGCTGAGCTGGACGCTCCGACGACGATCACCCTCTTTCCCGCATACTCAGACGCCCGCTTGTACTCGGTGGAGTGAAGGACAACGCCGCCATTGTCCTTGAACTTGTGCAGTCCTTCCTTCAAAGTCAGCTGCCAAGAGAACTCAAAAGAATTATTAGGCGCACCTTCAATGTGAGGTATCTCTGGTAGCCCATTACCCTCCCCGATCGCCAGTATGAGGTGATGGACGGCGTGAAAACGGCGGGTTTCCTCGAGGACCGTACCTGAGCGACCTGGTCAATAACTGGCTCACCTACTACGCAGTCCGAACGTGAATACACACCGTCCACACCTTTGAGTTTCCTCACGATGCTCACATCCCACTTTTGGGAATCCGGGTCCTGCCTGATGTCTCGAATAGAGGACGACAACCAGACGTTAAGCTCCATGATCTCAGCGTAATGCTCGAGCCAATTGGACATTTTAGCTGCAGGAACATACAGAGGCCAATTGGGAGGAAACCTGAGGGACAATAATGATGTCAGTGAACGGCGCCGAAGAGAACTACAGAGAGGTAAACTTACGGAAGATAAGGAAGATCCTGGTTCCAGATTGGTTGGTGCAGGCACAGCGCCCCGTAACGGTTCCTCCAACCATCTCCGACGCGTTCACTCTGCTCGATAATGAGCGACTTCATCCCGAGCATCTTCAAACGCGCTGCGACGGCCAACCCGTTGTGTCCAGCGCCAACAATAAGGACAACGGGTTTCTGCGCTTCTCCTTCGCAGTCAATTTCCTTGCGTCGAGAGAGCTCCCAATCGCCGTGATCGAGCTGCTGATTCCGGAACAGTCCTATTGCTTCAGGGTGTCCAGCGAGGGCTTCGAGGTTGGTATATATGGTGTGTGCCTTCCAATTCTTCGCATCTTGAAGACCATTGGCGTCCGTAACACCCACCGGGACAATCCTAGCAATGCCAGATCCCAATCCGGACTTTGTCTTGAAGCTGAAAAAGAGCTGTATCCAAGCAAAATCAGGCTCTGGTTGAATGAACGCGGGCGGGAGTGCGCTATCGGATTCGGCTGTAACTAGTTCAAGATCGTGAAGGTCGACCTCGAACTGGGCTGTTGGCCCAAACAACCGATCTGTTGCAAATCTGCGTATCTTCGAATGTCCTATAAACGTGCGGAAGTCCCAGGTCAGCGCGAGCATATCACGCCACCAGACTTGGATCCCGGTGGCTTCGGGTATGAAGAGACCCATGACTGCGCCAGGAATACTCTGGTTGGCGACGGCAGATTGGAACATGGAGAACCATCCTCTCGCAACGGTCACAGAGTCGAAGGAAGTCGGGTCGAAGTCCTCGGGCAGGGTGGTACCGACTAGGGAGAGTGCAGGTGACGTCGTATCGGGAGCGGGAGGGTGACTCATTCTACCAGTGAATTGGGGGCGGAATTCACTTGAACGCAGAAGGAATCGCCTCAAACGAGGCCAGGACTTTTATCTGTGAGGTTCGCCTAGATTGATAAGGTTTAGCGTGCAGGGTAGTAGCCAGTGGTTGGTATTCTCGTCAATGCATCTTCTGGGTTTCATTGACATCAGCAATAAGTGTGGGATACAAGATAGATAGGTGACTTTACATTCATTCAGATGGGGAGCTAAACTTCTTAAGTCCTCCAAACGTTTTATCTGATTTTCTTATCCGAGCTTTGCCGGACCGGAAGAAATGCGCCAGCGGTAACCTCCCGCGTTAATGAGGAACTCAAGAAGAGGAAACGCTTGCGGCGAGATTGCAATGTAAATCAACTATAAGTATGGTGACACTTTTATTAGCTAGAACAAAGTTACAGTCAGAATAGGCCCATTGCATGACGAGATTTCGGCTCACAGTGCTAAATAATAGTTTACGACCCATAGTGAGCGCTGGCAGTCCCATTTCCGAGTTGGCTCAAGGACTTGAGGTACAGCTGAACCATATCATGGTTCACATACAACCAGGACGTCGCGACTCCTGACAGCGTTGAACGCGCCTCGGAACCAGTTTAAATATCTCCGAAAGTTCGCACGCCCCTAGTATTAATTCCAATCGGGAAATGGAGCCCCTGTTTTGAGCTTACTCGACTTGGCACTACCCTAACGGGCTGCCCTCAAAGTTGGCATTTAGACTGCCTCGCCTCCGGTACGTGCTCAAGATCCAAACACCATTCCTTGGAACTGTACTAACCTCCGAACATACTTCTCGCACGATCCTCTCCCCGTCCGCCTCATGAAGATCCCATGACCTAGGCAAAAGGAAGAATAAGAACTTAGTCAGAACAACACGGTCGAGACTGGGAGAAGACTCATGATCAGGCGCTCACCAAGTATAAAACCACGACCTTCTCCTAGCCCGAGATTCAGATTGACACCTCTATCTCTCAAATCCCTGACCCAACTACTTACCACCATCCCAATCGATTGACCATGGCCGACCCCAACCTCGCACCCGAAATCCGAGCAAAGATGCAGGAAATATTCAAACCCGACGATCGTCACAGTTGGGATTTGCTCTGGTGAGCACTATCATCCCTTCAAACCCGACCTATTTCCCAACATTGGACATGTGACATGCGCATAGGAAAGAGAATATAACACCCTGGGACGCCGGCGATGCCCAACCCTCCCTCATCGAACTAATCGAGGAATCCGGGCTCGACTTTGCGAGAAAAGGGAGGGCTTTGGTTCCCGGATGCGGAACTGTACGTCATACAATGCTCGCAAGCAAAGCGACCAAACGAATTGACATGAAATCTACACCGTCATAGGGATACGACGCAGTCTACCTTGCAAGTGCATTAGGACTGCAAACCATCGGAATGGACATCTCAGAGTCAGCCGTAGAGGCTGCCAATCGGTAAACTACTAGTACTCCATCGACGCCAACTTCTTAGATCGGACTAACCTCCCATAGGTATCGCGACTCGAGCGGGGTGCAAGGGGCAGACAGAGCCATTTTCCAAAAGGCCGACTTCTTCACCTACAAAGTCCCAGATGAAGAGCGTTTCGACTTGATCATGGACCACACGTGAGCCTCTTCTGAACCAACCTCAGACTAATTAGTTCTTCCACCACTAACGCACACCCCACTCAGATTCTTCTGCGCAATCCATCCATCCCTCCGCCCCGAATGGGGTCAACGAATGTCCGAACTAATCAAACCAGGAGGATACCTCATCACAATCTGCTTCCCCATGATCCCAAAGGTGGAGACGGGACCACCGTACTATCTTCGACCCGAGCACTACGATGAAGTGCTGAAAGAGACGTTCGAAAAGGTTTACGATAAAGTGCCGACGAAATCTTCGGAGAACCATAAAGACAAAGAACGGATGTTGGTTTGGAAGAAGAAATAATCCTAGGAATCTCCTGCGTTGTGTGCAGTGAAGCCGTGGAACTGGGCACGCCGCCCCCATCGGGGTATGGCGTCTAGGCTTTTGATGAGCGTCTAAATACACAAAGTCTATCAAGCTATGATGCTATAATTACACAAAATAATACCCTAAGTCTATAAGCCGAAGAAATACAAGTAGAAATGGTCGTAAAAGGTCGTAGATGACGTCTAGTTCTGGGTTCAAATCGTCATAACTTTTTTGCATAGAGCGAGTTCACTCGATGAAGGTGGTCATCCCTGAGACGAAACCGGTGATTCCGTCTCCTTCGTCGGCACACCATCCTTGATGCACCGGCTACTCCGCGCTCGAATACGCGAGCCCCAGAAGAGAAGAGTCTGAACAGTCCATGCAATTAGCCAAAACAATTCACATCCTGAATGACGATAAAGATGACGACGTACCACTGGTATAGGGATCATCAGCACCCCGACGATTGCAAAGATCGTATTGGCCCAAGAGTACCCAAGAGCGTCAAACATCTGCGTCGTAAAGAGAGGGAAGATACCACCAATCACATTTCCTACGTCCATCAAATTAGTTATATGAGATTGCGGTTTCAAGCTGAAGGACCTTACGAATGAGACTCTGTCCTGCCAACGCTGAAGACGCATATGTATCGTAGCTGTACCCCCAAATCAATCCCCACCCCTTCCCAGTTGAACATGACCACTTACCAATCAGCCAGATAGCTAAAGATCGCGAGATAGATGGTAAACACCGCCCAAAGGTACAACTGCAGCAACCGCTAGCCCATCAGCATCCTCAATGAAAAGGGTAATAAACATTGACTCACGGTGAACGAAATCGCCAACGCGATCCAATGAATGTCAGACCGGCAGAACCAAGCGAACATGATCATCGAGATAGGGAACAGAGCAGCAGCCGCACAGCACATGTACAGCCGTGCTTCGACAAAACGTTTGACGACTTTAGTGCTAAAGGTGGGGGGACTCTGTCAGGGGATTCATCCCTTCCTGGAAGGTCAAACAAGACGTACTGGTATATCCGTTCCTGAAACAGGTTCGTGAAATAGCCGATGAAAACCGCTACACTGAACGCAGGGGTGAGACGACGATTGAGGGAAGGGAATTAAGAACGTACAGCATTGCAATGTTCACAGTGCCGACTTCACCGATATTGAAACCATGCAGTTCGCTGAACACTTGTGGGACCGATCTAGAGAAATGTTCAGGTCGTCAGATGGCGGAGGCAGAAAGTCTGAAGACGTACGCAATCATGCAGTAAAACACGCCCCAGACGAATCCTATCCACAACTGGAAGTATATCAGCCACCAACACACTAGCACTGGGTTGAAGAAGACGCACCGACATCGCAAAGATGATAGGTTCAGTGAGGAACAAGACTAGTTTCCAAAATCATCGTCAGAACTGCATCAAGGACGCGATATACTGCGGACGAATGGAGGACGCACTCAACGGCCTGGTCGCCGAGATCCAAAGCATAGCCTTCAAATCCAACTTGGGCGGCGGCAACCCAACCTTGCTTTCAAGCTGCTTCTCGCCCGAGGCTTTAACCCTCTTCCGCGTGATAACAGCTGACCGCGTTTCTTGCATGACGAGGAAGAACACGAGCGCAAGAGCTCCTCCGAAACTGTTCAATCGTCGTCAAAAACGAGGCTACATATCGGCCAAGGATAAGGTGGACGTACATGAGGGAGATCCATTGAATCCATTTCCATCCTAGCCGGGGGTTCATCTCGATCCAACCACCCATGAGGGTACCGATGCCATTTCCGCCGAATGCGAGAATGGAGTACAAGCTCATGGGCAAGCCACGCCTTGGTGCCCGCGCGTTAGTCCAGCATTAGCGCGATACAAGGATTCAGTTAGACTTACTCTTGTGGAACCCATATATCAGCGATCGTCCCCGCTACCATCGTAGCCCCAGCTGACCCCGCAGCACCTTGTATGAACCTAAACACCACGATTGCTTGGTAATTCGGGGACCTAGACGGTAGTTCACGGTGCATGAGCAGGAGAAGCAGCACATGAGGAGGAGAAAGACGTACAAAGCCACCGCAACGTGCATGAGCAAGAAGACAGCCAACGAGCAAAAGTACAACGGCTGTCGACCAAACTCTTCACTGAAGGCCGAGGTGAGGAGGGGGAATATGCCAAAGGCGATGACGTAGGTCGATAGACCCAGCACGGCTTCAAGTCGCGTACAGTCGAGATCGCGCATCATGGACGTGAAGCCCATCGTGTAGGAGGTAGTGGCGGCAGCTGGGAGGGACGAGCGATCAGCGTCATAGAGGTAGGACAAAGACCGAAAGTCGAGAACGTACAGACTAAGAGAGTGAAGGAACATGCGACTAGCGTTACGATCCATTTGCGTGTCCTGGAGAAGGCTAGGATAGGGTCGTCGACGTGAAGAACAGGCTGGGCGACCTATGTCGTGCATCAGATTTCAAGGATATTGGGCGGAGACAGGGGGAACGACGCACCTTCTCTGATGTCATCGAAGGCTGAATGATGCCTTCAGTGACGGTCAACGTCGACGCGCGCCCCGATAGGAGGGTAGTGGGCGTGTCAGCGACGCCAAACGCGGCCTGGCTGCGCGACATGTCGAGGGACGGGAAGCGGACTCAAGTCACCTAAGAACCCAAAAGACCCATGGTTTTATATGACACAACCACGCTTCCGCTTCCTGATCACAAATCAATTTTCTGAAAGGGTATCACAAAGAACAACTTGGAACCATACATACGTAACAGATGGAGGAAGTTTGAATGAGGATCCGAGCGTTTTTGGGTTCTGAAAAGTAAGTTTTCTGTGCTGTTCTGTGAAGAAAAATGTTTTTCCGAGATCAATTGAGGCTTTAGATCACCGGCGGCAACGGTGGAAGGGTCTTGTCGGCCAGGGCACCGTGACGAACCATGCACCTACAGAAACCCTGGATCAAGGGACTCCAAACAACAAGAGGTCGCTTGCAGCTTCGCTGGAGGAAAGATAGGCCGGGACATCTCCCTCATGTCCCCCAAAAATTCATAACAGAGTCATTCGGTAGTCGGAAAGCAGTCGGAACTGTACTCTGGGGAGCAATTGGGTAGGAGACGCAGTATATCGCGGTCATGAGGACGTTGGGGAGCAATCGCGCTGGACGAAAGCCTACGAAAGCGTGGTTCGGTTAGATGGACGGGTCCCGGAAGGAATATCCGTCTGTACCCTTCTGCACCACTTTTTCGTGCCTTACTAGCGCCAACACGCTGGCGGTCCGCATGCGCCAAGCTTGAGGCAAACTCGGGAAGCTTCAAGCGACTTGCAGAACTCTACCCTTATCTCGTCCCTAGGTGTCGTGTGTTTCACCGTGGTCAACGGCCACCGCGACTGAAACTCTACGAAGCGCTGTCGAAAAGAGTTTTCGGCATCTAGAGGGTATGATAAGAACATACGTACGGCTTCTCTCCAGAGGCTTGCGAGGAAGGATTCGGCAGGTTCACGGGTCTGTCAAAGAGTCGGCCGGGAGATTGAGCTTCGGAATCCACCAGGAATTAATTGAAGGCATTCTTCGGGCCTTAGAATAAAGTTTACGATCTCGCCATTAGACTTTCGTTCAATGGGTCATCTGGTAAGTAAGCACTTGGTGGGTCGTGGTCATGGTCAAGGCAGGTGCGAGCTTGAGAAGCGCGGCATGTGATAAACGGCATCTCTTTCCCAAACCACGTCCGGCTTGCATGGCTTCAGAGCGCGAGTCCGCGAATAGGGGAAATGTCCTAGCTTTATCCGCTTCCTCCTTCGACTATCGCTCGCTCACTAGTCGAGCTTGAAGATGGCGACCAAGACATACGACGGTAACTGCCTGTGCGGTGGGGTGGCCTGGCAGATCCAGGGGGAACCATTCACGTATGTGATCTGCCATTGCGTCAACTGCAAGAAGTCAGGGGGAGGACCTTTCCAGGCCAACGCCTTCTTCAAGCCCCAGGTGCGTCATTCTCGTGCTCATCACACCCACCTAGTACAGTCGTTGCTAAATGCAAAACCCGTGTCATAGAACGTGAACGTTATCAAAGGCAAAGACCTGGTCAAAGACTACGTCGACGGGGATACCAAGAGCGGAAACGCCATTACTAGGTCGTTCTGCTCCAACTGCGGGTCGTCGCTCTTCATTTCCCCGGCTGCAGGTGGTATCACCATCGTTCACTCCGCCAATATTAAAGGAAGCGAGGCTTGGGGTGCGTTCGTCGTGTGCAAAGTCTAAATGCACCACTAATGCGTTTTGTAGTTCCAAGGAAGGAATTCTTTGGCCATGACAAGTGTAACTGGCTTGGGGAGATCAAGTTCCAGCCGAAGAAGGTTGCTATAGTTGGAATGCTATGAATCGCGCTATACATATACATTCAGAACTCGCCCTCGAGCTTCATGTCGTCCAGATGATCTTCCTCTCGGAAATAGCTACAAACCTGGAATACAACTGTTTTTATATACCCTTACTCAATGGAATACAAACTCATTTCCGTATGTCCGTGGACGAAACCTTAGCGTAGACGCTGGTGAACAAAACTCGCGAAAAAGGGGCCACATTTCCGGGGCAGGGAACAGTAGCAAAAGACGTACAAACAATACCTACATGCCGCGGCAGAGTGATACCTGCACACGCCCATGGATCAGTACCGACATTCAGTCTTACATAACACTTGTCTCTCTTCTTCCACCCCCCCCAAGTCCCTTTGGTGCACACTGAACAGTTCATCTCACCAAAGCTCGGTGCCACATCACATTTTGCGCACTTTGCACTATCTATTACTGTGCTCGGGTGACCGAATTGCGATGTGCCAAATCCCCAAATTTGCACTGGGACGATTTTCGCAGCACCCGACCGTTTGCACTGCAAATTCACATGGTGAGTGCATCCGGCCTTTCAGCTATCCGAGTCCTCTCCTCTGACCAATTAAAATGGTTCAGTGATGTCATACCGGGCCAAAAACCTTTGAACTGGTGCTCGATGACGCACTCAGAAGACCACTCCGACACGACACGTCAATTACCGACACTCGTTTCTTGTTTGCGGCGCACCAAACACCCAGCCGCACACCGAACTGGCGGGCCCAAGAGGTTTTCGGCGCACCGAACGTCGCGACTTTGTTAGTCGCGCACCGAGCTGGTGGGCCCAAGGAGTTTGGTGCTCAGCGCACCGAAGACCTACCCCCTCTCGATCTGGTTCGTGGCGCACCGACCTGGCGGCCCCAAGGGTTTGGTGCCCGACGCACCGAACACCCGCCCCCTCGCGACGTCCATCGCACACCAAACTGGCGAGTCCGTTCACCTTGGTTCCCGGCGCACCAAACTGACGGGCTCAAGGAATATGGTGCTCGGCGCACCGACACCCGCCCGCCCGCGGCTTTGTTCGTCACGCACCGAACTGACGGGCTCAAGGAGTTTGGTGCCCGACACACCGAACACCCACCCCCTCGCAATTTTGTTCGTCGCGCACCGAACCGGCAGCCCCGGCCCCCAAGGAGTTTGGTGCCCGACGCACCGACCACCGCCCCCCTCGCGACTTATCGTCCATCGCGCACCTGACTGATGAGTGCTGCTACATTGAGACTCCCAGAGGAATGACGTCAGTCATCACCGCAAACCAGCTTTTGCGGTGATGACTGACGTCATCGCAACTGGTCGGCCATGGTCTTGGCATTGGTCAGCAGGCGTATCGATACGCTGGATGACTAAGTGTTGCACTGACCACCCACCCCCTCGCGATTTTGTTCGTCGCGCACCGAACCGGCGGCCCCAAGGAGTTTGGTGCCAGACGCACCGACCACCCACCCCCTCGCGATTTTGTTCGTCGCGCACCGAACCGGCGGCCCCAAGGAGTTTGGTGCCAGACGCACCGACCACCCACCCCCTCGCGATTTTGTTCGTCGCGCACCGAACCGGCGGCCCCAAGGAGTTTGGTGCCAGACGCACCGACCACCCACCCCCTCGCGATTTCGTTCGTCGCACACCGAACAGGTCCAACAAGGATGACGTTTCGTGCGGCTTTCACCTACGTCATCTCATCGGACTGCCTGTTTTACCACGTTCCCACCGAAGTCAGTGGTTCCTCAACTCATTCTTCGCTTCAGAGCTGACTTGTATTTAAACTAGATTTGTATTGAACAGATGTAATCTAAATACACATTGTAAAGTCTATGTGGCTCAAAATCAGTATACCGGTTAAGACGGTGGTGGGGCTGGGGCTGCCTGAGCGGGTTCGCGGGATAGTGCAATTGTGCCGTCCTTCACCTGTATGAACAGACCCACATTGTTCAAACGCGCCATTGCCCGGTTCATTTGGCGGTGTAACAGGGCCACCTCCCACTCCAACGTCCCAAACTCCGCACCTGTGTTGTAGAAGTCATCGATAGATAGGTTAGCCAGTCGACTGAGAGCCGTGAAGACAAAGGTTCTTTGTCTCCCGGTAAAAATGTCCTTCTTTGAAAGGCCTTCCTTGATATTAGAATATTTCGGGTTGGTCGACTTGATTTTGACGAGCTTCCAAAGGAGAAAGTCAAGGAGGACGTGGTCGATTGCGCAGCCACAGTGCATGTGACCTGGCTTGGCATCGGCGGGCTTGTCTTTTGTCCCCGTGTCGTTCTTGTAGGCGGTACCTTCGACAGTGTTGAAGCGACCAGGAACAATACCGTCAACAGGAGGACGGCCGCCACGACGCAACCGGTGAAGGCGACAGACGTAATTGTTGCGGGTCGAACGATGGAACTCGATAGCAACCTCCCGGGAAGTAATTGCACTCTCAACGAGATATCCTTGACTCTCCCGAACCATTTCGCGGATGCGTTGGGGGATCACGCTTGGGTTCTTCGTCCGTTGGAATTTGGCAATCGCTTCCAGCCCCTCCTCTGTTGCAACTAGGTGAGTCTCGTCCTAAAGAATCACATCGTAGATGTTCACTCACCCGTCCATTCCTCCTGTGCATTCTCAGTGAGATCTTCGAACACGACCTTCGCATCTCGTTCCTGTTTAACCTTCTTGGCTGCAGGAGCAGCAGTTTTCTCTTCGTCTTCCTCCTCTTCCCCATCGTCACCGACCTCTGAGACAGCATCCACGCCGGCAGCATCCGTACCTCTCATCCTTTTCTTCCCCTTGGCCGGTCCCGTTGGTCGCTTCTCCAACTCTGCCATCAATGCCGCCTTTTTTCCCTCCAACACATGCATCTCTTGCACCGCCGCCGCATACTCCTGCTGGACCTCATAGGCACGAGTCGGGCCTAACCCCACAGTCCTCATCTCTCCCTCCAACTTGCTCAACCGGCTACCAAGTTCAAGAAACTCCCGCCCAAGCCGTTCTAGTGCGTCTCCGTCCGCCAGGTCTTGATATCTTGCAGCACGTCGCTCACGTCGCTCCTTCTCTGCCAGATATCCCATCTGCAAGTTCAAGAGCGTGTCGCGGGCACGAAAGGTGGCATTCATCAATATCGCCTGCTCCACAGGCGTCCTCGTATTTGGAAATTGAGCCCCTTGTTGAAGAAAGGCATCCAGGTGCTGGGCTACAACCTGGATGTCAGCCTCGTAGATTTTCAAGACCTCTTCCGCCTCCACAAGTACCCGACGAGCTTCAAAAACCTCCTGGCTTTCCCCAGGCTCCTGCGGCGCAATAGGAATTGAATGGATGTCAGGAGCTGGGGTTTCTTCGAAGGGAAATAGCTTTTTTATCTCCTCGTTGTACTGGGTATAAGCTTCTTCTCCCATTTTTGCGCGGGTGTACATGCTTGAGACTGACATGAGGTATGTGATTGCTCCAGGATCGATATTCAGCAGATCAGCTAGCTCATCGTCCGTGTAATGCTTTGTTGCAGAGGGAATAGAATTGGAACCAGTGTTGGGCCCGGGAAAATAAGGTGGAGGAGGGGGATTAGTGGGAGGGTTGGTGGGACTGTTGGGAGTGGCAGGACCGAGTCCGACAGGAGGGCTAGTGGGACCGTTGGGAGTAGGAGGATTGGCAGGACCGTTGGGAGTGGCAGGACCGACAGGAGGGTGAGCGGGACCGTTGGGAGTAGGAGGATTGGCAGGACCGTTTGGAGTGGCAGGACCGACAGGAGGGTTAGCGGGACCGTTGGGAGTGGCACTTAGGCAGAGGTGCCTTCTGAGCCGGGCTAGAATTGGCAGTTGCATTGACTGGTGGAACACTCTGTAAGGCTGGATCAATGGGTATTTCTGGGTCGATCTGAGGCGAAGCTGCCGGTGATGTTTCTAAGGTTTCCTGAAGGGTATTTGCTGGAGCAGCTACAGTTGGTTCGAGAGAATTCATTGGAGTAATAATTGGAGGAGGTGGGTCAATCGAAGGCGTAGCTGAGGATGGCGTTCCTAAGGGTTCCTGAAGGGTATTTACCGGGGCACTGAACGGCGGAGTCGTTATAACTTGCGGTGTAGCCAGATACGGCAATGCCGCAGTAGCAATTGGAGGAGGGGCAGCAAACTCCAAGGCCTGTAAAGCAACGAGCTTTATCACATATATGACACTTTTTGGCGACAGAGAATCTGACCTGTTGGGGAAGGGATTGTTGGACACGGGCTAAATACACTCGTCCCGCCTTTGTACACTTGCACTGTGACTTCAGAGGACGTCCAATGCATATAGTGCAGTGTGCAGGACGGCGCTTTTGCTTTGGAGGGTTGTCTTTGGGCATTTCAGGCGATAATAAATGTGGTATACCAACAAGAGGTGGTTATTCATGCATCGTGATTGGCGAGCATATGAAACAAAGTGATTTTTGGTGCGGTGGGCAGCAAAGTCAGGGATGGTGCATGCTAAACTATGTAGCATTCTAAAATCCAACCCTAATACACCACCTGCATCGTCTTGCTATTGTCGCACTCTAGATCATGTCACCCCCCCTGTCGCGTATCCGCCTCTTACCCACCCGGCAGCCTGGATACAGGCCAATTAAACTGCTACCTACAAGTAGTAGTAGTAGAGTCGAGACGCCCCAGCGGAAAAAGCGAAAAATTGAGGAGGTGGGAGCACGCAAGCGTCGAAGACGACAGGCTACCCCTCCTCGTGGCCCGGGCACACCAGTCAATAACACATTTACTGGGCTATCTGATGCGTCGCCACAACTAGAGCCAGGAACACCATACCAGCCCACCTTCTCGCCACAAACACCCATACGCCTGAACTTCAGCACCAGCATCGGGAATAGTACCAACCCAACTTCCGATACCCATGATCCGTCATACCCCTATTTTCTTGATTCTGTTCTTTCGGACGACTGTGGGTTCTATCAGCTTACCCGTGGTCTCTTTGTCGTGAATGGGTGGGATATGAAGAAAAGGGCTGCAACGGTATGTTGATGTATATCGTCTCAAGGTGGATAAAGTCTGAATTGTAATGTATAGCAATCCTGGTACCATGTCCAACGTGTTGTGGGCCAAGATATTGTTGTCTGTACCTGTTCCCAGTACTCTACCCACGAAAGTTGCTTCCATACCAAGTTTCTGAAGGATTATGGTGAAGATCGTTTCCCTGACTCCAGTGAATCTACGTATTGTTAGTATGAAGCTCTCATTTCACTGCCTGAACTGACGGAGAGGTATCACAGATAACGAGCAAGATCCTATCCTATTTCTCAGATATCCGACAGATAACGGCAATAGCACCTACTTGAATCTGCTATCAGTGCCTGCTCGGTCAATGGCGACTGTTCGCAACCGTGCTATTGTTCAATTTGAGGGGCTAGACACCGGGGTTGGTCGCTGGTCATGCTCAAAAGACATCTCGGCTTCAAATTGTGCCCATATCAACTCTGCTCGACAGCTGCTTCAGCATACTCAGGCTTCAGACCAGTCCGGAGGAGTCAGGCTTCAATATGATCGTACGTTCTACATATGTCTTATTTTTGGTTATGAAGAAGCTTATAATGTTATAATCTAACTGCTATAGCATCTCGCATTGGCACCCCTCGTCGGACCGTCCCAGTTTCCTACCTCGCCCGACCCCCACCCATCTGGGCTTGTCTCACGGATGAGGAGCAATCTATAAACCGCTTTCACAGCCCTGAGAGAGAGCAGGACTGTCCAAAGCCCATCCCATTGCCATCCATGTCAGCCTGCACATGTAATCGGGGATCTACCGCTGACGCCAACCCTTTCATGGAATTGATTGAACGTGAATGCACTGTGTACGGCCTTTCACATGCATGGAAAGGGACGGTTATGGTGCAGAAGTGTGGACTTTGTCAACGTCGCATGATAGGCCCTGACTGTCGCGAATTAGGCCTCTTCAACTACAACAACTCAATCATTGTTGCCGAAAGCCTTTTGGACGACTTTACAAGCATGTTTATTGGATCGGAAACCCCGTTTGTTGCCTATGCTGCTGCAGCTAGTCGTCGCTACGAGACCCACAGCTCGCCAATTCCATTCCTCTCGGAAAAGCTTTTCCGAGAGATATGGTTCGGCTATGTCGTCTTGGTGGATCTCAATCTTCGTATTGATGGAATGTGTCCCAAGTGCGGCCCAGTACCTGAAACCACTATCTGGGATGGTGTGACAGTAGCATTCAGTCAACGCTACCTACAAGCTTCATTGGAACCCCCGACAGTTTCTTCCGCGACTTCAGCAACTCGAGCCAACGTAAAGTATATCCATGGCCAGCAGTGCATCGAAGACAAGAACCTCCGCCGGCAATTACGCCAGATTCTTCACGGGCCATCCCTCTTTGCCACTACATCATTTACAGAGTCAACGGTTACGGACGACACATCAGAGAGCGAGTCCGATGGGGCCGACACCGACACTGCACCAGCACCTCCAGTGGTAGGAAAGCAGAGAACCAAAGCTAAAGAAGAGGAACTCAGGCGGCTCAGGGCAATTCCACGGGTGCTTGAAGGGTTACAAAAAATTAACCATGGACTAGCTGCTACATTCAATCGGTGGTTTGGAATATCAGCCATCAGCGCCTGTCAAGAACCACCGTCGGTCTATACTCGGTTGTTCAAACAGGTGAGAGACGTTGCACAGTACCCTTGAGCAGTGCTAATTGGGTCGGTCCCCACAAGCAGATCGTCGCTGAAGAATCAGTGCTTCAGATGATGAACCGCCCAGCGCTTCATGACGTGGCCAAATTCCTATCTGCGACAACTACCAGCGATGCAGCACCTGACCCCACCCATCTTATATCCGTCCCAGTGTTTTACGATGTCGCACAGTATGAGCTGGATCAATTTGGTGGACTTCAACCGACTACCAGGGAGCTTTTCCATTGGGCATACACTCGGGGCTACCAGGTTGTCCAGACATTACTGGAGAAAAACGGGGTGGGTGCGTCTCTAGCTCCAGAGTCAGGTGCCGAGAAAGATTGGAAGAAGGTATGTTTCTTATGAATGAGTGCCTCTATGTTGTTCATTCTTCTGATCAACCGCTAGACTGGGTGTTATTACGCGCTGCCTCAACTTCGTCACCGGCCTCGGTATCCTAATCTCAAAGGGGACCAAACGCGCGATGCTGCTGGGAGCAAAGGCCAAAAAAGAGGCATTTGTTCGAAGTTCTATTCCCAGTATAGTGAGCAGCGTTTGACTGGAGGCATAATGTGCGTATGGTGTCCGCACAGCATCTGCTACGGTTTTCACTGCATCCCAAAAGGGGAGGGAAGAAACGATGTGTTTTCAGCGATCTATACGCGATGGGAAAGAGCACCGACAAGAGTGATTTACGATTTTGCCTGTGCGTTGGGACCATACTGTTTGACGAGGGAACCCGACTTCTTTATGGAGACAGAATTTCGCATTGATACTTTTCATGCCAAAGATCACACCAAGTGTGCCCCAGCAACGTTTCTTTCTACGTACGCTGCCACAGATCCACGCTTGGTGGCCATCAACACCAGCGCAGGGGAATGCGGCAACAGTGGCCTCCTCAAGATTCGGAAATCGGTTAGCTATATGGCCCAAGACCGTGCAATTATTTTCATTCATGTGTATTTTGCTTTGTGGAACCGCATCCGTATTAGAAAATTTCGCGCCTAATTAAAGCTTTACATGTACGTTGCGTAGACAGATGACTGACTTGAATATTGACGACGGAAGTTGAATGTTGAACCTTGGACGTGGTCTGGCAAGTGATGTGCCTGTGATACCCATATCTGCGAGCGGTGAACAAACGGGCAAGGTACACGTGGCTTGGTGAAAGGAGAACAAGATGCTGGTCGGTCGGCGAACGCTTTGGTGAATGGAGCACAGGATCGCGGGTTGGCATTGGTCGGTGAACGATTTGGTGAAAGGAGCACGGGACGCTGGATTTGGTGCCGGTTGGTGAACACTTTGGTGAAAGGAGCACAGACATCGGTCGATGAACGATTTGGTGAAAGGAGCACAGAATGCTGGATTTGGCGTGGGTCGGTGAACAATTCGTCGGTGAAAGGAGCACAATGTGTGATTGACGGCGTTTCGGAATCTGTGCACAGTCAACATGCACGGGAATTTGGTGTGGTGTAGCATCGATCGCGCTGCACTGGTGTTTGGTGTTTAGTGTCGAGGGGACAGAGAGGGAGGCAAAAAAAGCTAGCAAACCCCTGAGTGAGTAGAATGTGAGTATGTGCAAGGCGAACGAACCAGGTGGCCGCGTGGAAGACTAATGCCATACGCTAGGGTTGAAAAGTCGAACGCAAAGGTGTACAGCGTACTCAACGTCCCGCCCCTCCCTTCGCAGATTGCAGCTCTTCATCAAGAAGTGGAACAGGCGAGCGAGAGGGAAACTGGTTCTGATTGATCATGAACGCGAACGTTGTGCGAGAAACACTGAACTAACCTTCGTCACTGAAATGAACCTAAGCCGGGATGACATAAACCGAGAGTCGTGCCTTGAGAATACACGATGCAGGTATCGATGTTGAGGGACATGTAGGTATTCATGCTGTGTGCAATGCAGGTACTGTTTATACTCATTTGGCTCTGCTCGATATCCGACATTTCCGTTTTAGAAAACCAGCGATTACCTCATCGTATCTGTCATTTTCGCTGCACCCGCCCAGCTCATCGTTCTCTACACCGACCACCATGTTCCGAACCAGTCTCACATCCTCCGTAAGCCCTCCATCCACCCAAACCTCCCATTCCCCCAATACCTAACCCAATACGCCACAGCTCCGCCTCCTCCGCCGTAATGCAGCACCCTCCACATTCGCCAAAGGCCAACTAACAGCCTACCGCTACATCACCCAAGAAGCGCGTGCCCAAATCCAAAAGGCTATTGAAGAAAAGCCCGTGGTGCTGTTCATGAAGGGGACACCCGACGCTCCCCAGTGCGGTTTCTCGAGAGCGGTGGTACAGATCCTGGACATGTACGAAGTCCCTCCGGAGAAGATGCAGACGTATAATGTGTTGGCGGATGCGGAGCTGAGGAGCAGTATCAAGGAGTTCTCGTGCGTCATCTTTTCTGGTTGACTACAGGTGCAAAGTCTGACTTGGTTTGGAATTCAGGGAATGGCCGACGATTCCTCAGGTATACGTGGATGGAGAGTTCATTGGTGGTTGCGATATTTTGCTCGGCAGTGCGTTGTACATTCCATTCCTTCACATCAACTATACTCACCACCATTCCAGTGCACCAGTCCGGCGAACTCGAAACCCTGCTCGAAAGCAAAAACGTTATCCCCAAGGTGGAGGAGCCCGCCTCGACACCCTCATCCTCATAGACATCTTCCAACTTGTATGTTACCGACTAATTCACCCCTCTAATACACCGGACTTCTGGCACCGTGGAACAGAAAGAAACGTCTTGAATGGACCTGAAGCTCGAAAGTGCTGGTGACGCGACACGGCCCTCGTCCCCCATCTCTGACCCCGGTCCCGTACGCGAGCCTAGGCCTTGGCACACAATCCCAAGCCCCGCGATGCCCAACCAATCACAAGCTGTGCATATTGCTGCTCTGCCTGACAAACCACCTGAAATCGTCACTGCGGAAGACCGAAGAGCGTACGGAGTAAATCCTGTCCCTCTCGCACTACTCGCTGCACAGGACGAACTAATCCATTTGAGTACAGTATAAGCATGAGTGGTGAGAACAATAATAATACACTTTCTTTTTTTAACTTTGTCCAATATCAAACCCATTCCCTCGGATGCTTGAGTACTTTGAGCAGCTTTGCCTCTTCCGACCCTTCGTCCTGACCCATGTCCGACATGTACTCCCACCTAGCCGTCTCAGGCAAACTCATAAGGATACTCTCAATCCTCGCGCCAGGCGTCATCAACCCAAACTTGGTCCCCCGGTCATACACCAAGTTGAACTCGACATACCGCCCCCGTCGAATCAACTGCCACCGTCGCTGGCGGGGCGTGAACGGCTGCGAATGCCGTCTCTGAAGAATGGGGAGGTAGGACGGGATGAACGAGTCCCCTAGATCCTTGACAAACTCGAACAACTCCTCTGGCGAGGACGGGCGTTTCGAGGCCGCCGAGGAAGACGGGAAGCGGAGGTGCGGGCCCGTGTTCAAGTCGTCGAAAAAGATCCCGCCGACTCCTCTCGTCTCCTCCCGATGCACGATATAAAAGTACTCGTCGCACCATTTCTTGAACGTCGGGTAGAGCTGCGGGCCGTGTTTATCACAGGCGTCTTTGATCGTCTTGTGGAAGTGCACGGCGTCTTCTTCGTACAGGTACGAAGGCGTCAAGTCGCAGCCTCCGCCGAACCACCATGCCAAAACTTTGCCTCGCTTCTTCTTCTCCTGCCCGCTGCCTTCCGCTCCTTCGTCGCTTTCGTCCCCCTCTTCGACAGGCTCGGTGATTTCAAAGTAGCGGTAGTTGGCGTGGACGGTGGGTGCGTTGGGGTTGCGGGGGTGAACGACGAGGCTGAGTCCAGATGCGAAGAACGGGAGCCCCTCTTTCCTCTCAGGGAGAGGCATCGACGAGTGGTCAGCCCGCATCTGCCTGATAGCAGCCGGAGGCAAGACACCGTGGACGACCGAAATGTTCACGCCGGCTTTTTCGAGTACGGATTGGTGCGTGTCGGATCCGGTCGCACCTTCGTCGACGGGCGCAGCGAAGACACAGGAGCGACCTGTGCCTCCTTGCGAACGGACCCACGAGTCCCGTTTGAAGGGAGGAGATTTGGGATCGAGCTCTTCGAAGGCGGTCACGATTCGGTCCTGGAGATCGTTGATGTACTCCTCCATGCGCTCGCGCATGGGTTTTCGATTTGGGGCGGGATAAGGCATCTTGTTCAAGGATTAAGTGGGATGGATCCTGAAACCAGCGGTCTCTTATCAGCCTTTTGTCGCCAGAATCGAAAGCTCCACCACTTACCTCGGTAAACGATAAAGTCGCTGCTGTTGGTAGCGATCAGGAGAATGCGGTGTATGGGGGATTGGGAACCAGGTAAAAGGTCGAGGTCAAGCTTTTATGTGGAGAAGGCTCGGAGTAGATCCATTGGCAGAGGTGGATTTCGTGATTCCAGCCCCGCGCTCCGTGTGGTCCAGATGATGTCGGTCTTTCCCGCGGTGGTCTGGGTTGGATCAGACTCTATCAGACTCCGACTCGGGAGGCTAGGTTTTGGGCGTTCGTGGTCGAGAGGGATGGCGTTGCTTGATGGAAATTTTATTTCAGACTATGCAGGGCAGACCCTTAGAGGCGCCCATATTGATCATGCACATTCAGGTATTGGCGCCCGTGAATAAATAACATGACAGTGATTCAACACTTTTCTATCAGTCTAAAGAGCATCTTGGAGTCAACGATGCTACTTATGTACGCTACTCTTTGTTTAATTCTAATACTACAATGCCTAGTGAGTGCTCATTAGTTCACCGCGGGGTGCCTGTCATGGGGAGACCGCCTTACATGGGGGAGTTCTCTAGGGTTGTCTTGCGTGGAGGAAAACACCCCGTTCCGAAATTTGAACGTAGAGGTGGATAAGACTGAAAACCACCCAGGTTAGCAATTGTGTTTCGCCTCCACCAGAAGTGCAGAGGGGTATAACCAACTTGGTTTTCCAATCCCACAAAAGGGAAGGGATAAGCGCAGGTACGACCCAAAATTGACCGAGGAACTGAACTCATGATCCCAGCTCCGTTTTGACATCTATGGTTTTACCGAAGCAGTATTGCTGCCTTCGTCCCTTAAAGACTAAGCAGGTGCTGACATCGCCAATAGACGACAGCCATCCCTCACATGTGTTCGCTAAAGGGGTCTCGCGCGGAGACCGGCCGTAATAGCCATGCAAGGGATGGGTTGTGCGGAGAGAGTGAGGGCTCGTGGGCCGGGGCCGTACCTTTGCGCATGAGTGGAAGCAGAGAGGCAAGCGGATCTTCTAGACGAAGGAGTTATATGAATTGTGCTCTTGTCAGTCCAGGAAGAAAGCTTACTTTAGGCGATTCCTCTCCTAGCGTCTTATCATACAGAGACATTCTATCGAGTCGACGGTGGACTGAGTTGAAGAATTATCTGAGGGCGGAGGCGTTAAGATAGAGTTCCAAGGAACAGAAAGGAGGCGGGAAGATGTACCTTTTGTTTCATCCCTCGCATAATAGCATCATCGTCATGTTTAGACGGATAGAAGTTCTTCTGGCAAACAGCGGGTTAGCCGTTGGCAACTAGACAATAAGGGCGAGCTTACTTTTAAATGCGTCCGTCCTCGATGATTGTGGTCGCTGCTGACGACGACGCCGCTGACTGCGAGTGGTAGGCGAGGGCATAGGAAGAGAGCTGATGGTGACCTCGCCGAATGAGTTCTGGCAGAGGGATGATTGTAAAAGAGGGAAGAGGTGCTCTGGGGAGTAGAAGACCAGGGGGGAGGGTTTATATACCTTTCCAGGGGTTGGTTCTGTTTGTTAGAATGCGTCCGAGCACCTCACCCTATGTCGTCGATCGTTCCGTGTCAGCCTAGCGGGCAAGGAGGTGTTCATCTGGCAGACCGAGACCGAAGACATGAGAAAAGGAGGGCTTGAGTCTGTTTGAGGCTACTGTTGTTAGGCGGTTTAGGCAACGGTGGCTCCTTTTGGGGATCCTTAGCGCCTCCCTCCGACGTTGGTCGTGTCATGACGTCGTTGGCGCGCTGAGTTGCCGGAGGCCCCTGATCCTAACAGAGACAAACATGCTGACAGGCCATTGTTGCGCGAGACTGGATGCGGCACGAGCTATCATCATCCACGCTCAAGACACCACTTTCTCTTATTTTGTTTCTATTTCTGCTGATTTGAAGGAGCACATCAGTTCTTAACTGAACTGTATAGTCTCGACTCCAGTCATGCAGGACGGCGAAGAGCCAGGTACGTCTCAGCGCCGACAGGACATTTCCCGATTCAGAACCTGACAGAACGGGCAGACACTTGCAGGATATGCAGCGCACCAGCAGAGCCTGATCAGCCCTTGTTCCATCCATGCAAATGCTCCGGCACAATTCGCTATATTCATCAGGACTGGTGAGCCAATTGGCCTTCGAGACAGGTGCAACTCTGGCTAACCCCGGTACAGTCTGACGACCTGGCTGGCACACAGTAAAAAGAAGTCATGCGACGTCTGCAAGCACCCGTACGCCTTCACCAAGGGTAATGTCGTTTCAGTTCGTTGGGTACTGTGTATTGACTGTGAACTGTGCAGTGTACGCACCGGACATGCCGTCGCACATACCACCACTTCTGCTTATCCGCCGCCTCATCCAGCAACTACTGTTTGGCATCCTTTTCGTCTTTCGAGCTATTGCAGTGGCAATCATATGGTTAGCGGTCCTCCCTTGGGTCACAGTGTGGACGTGGAGAATGTATTTTGCAATGGGCGAATCAACGTGCGTCCTTACTTTTTCTAATACCAGGTGTGGTGCTCAATCCAATCTTACAGAGCCTGGTGGATCAGCAACTTGCCCCGTCCTTCGCAAACAAACTCGACCTCTCTCTTCCACAAAGTTCGCCTCGAACCCCTCCCACCGCCAGCCCAGAACGGAACCTTCATCGAGCGCGTTACTTCGCATCCAGCTTGGGCCTCCATTTCCGCCGACATCTTCACCGGCCAGATCATCGCCGCCCTCATCGTCCTCACGTTCATCTCCATATTCCTGTTGAGGGAGTGGATATCCCAGAACGCCAGACCCGGCTTGTTTGACGACGACGAACTCGAAGCCGACGATCAAGTACCGAATGTCGCACCACCACCTGTTCAGGATCCCGCGTTCCCGCCTCCGCCGAGAGACCCGCCAGAGATCGAGGGATTCCCTGAAGCCGACTTGGCACACCGGCAACAGCAGGCGATGCGTGCTATGGACGCGCTCAGGCTTCAAATGAACCAACGCCCGCAATCGACAAGCGCCGCCACACAAGATGGCTTTTCTGACCACGACAACGACGGGGCTATCCACAGATGGAAAGGAAAAGAGCGGGAAGATGGAGGCGAGTCATCGAAGCGACCACGAACCATGGAGTGGGACGAAAAGGAGCTGCTGGAAAGGATGAACCGACCAGAGTACAAAAGACGCGTCAGGATGGTGGGTCGGTTGGCTGCTAAGCGGAGACTGAAGGCTGCCCGGGCTATGGACAAGAAGAGGGACCTCTCAAGCTCTTTACCTGAGCTAGAAGGCGGCAAAAGTTTTGATTTCACATTCAAACCTCCAACCTCAAGCGGCGAAGATAAACCGACTTGGTTGTCAGAGCCTTCCACCCCTTCCGAACCACTGGCGTTATCAAGTGGGTCGTCCCCCTCTAGTCCAACAGTCTTTCCGCCCGTGCAACTCCAGCCTCCCACCCACGACATACCTTTCTCCCTGCGCAGCCCGAAGTCCGAAAGCTCGGCCCCGGCACCGACCTCTAGCACTTCCGGCGAGTCGTCGACTAATGTCCCCAGGTCCCCTCAGCGACCACCCATGCCTTCGTCAATTTCCAGTCCGCCTCCACTACTACTCGACAGTACGTCGTGGGGCACCCTTGCATCTCCAGGATTGGCTACCTATCGGCCACCGGAAGACCTCTTCGAACCTGGTTCATCAGCTGGCCTTTCAAATGCACCGTCAACTTACTCTGCAGATTACTTTGGTAGCAGACAGAGTACGACTTCCAGTACGATGGCCACAGCGGGTTCCGACGCGTCCGCTTCTGGATCTTCTTCGAGCGGAGCACAAATGCCATGGGATCCTCCTGCAGGGGGTGAATACGGTGTCGTCCCTCCACAGATGAACGAAGTGCACCCTCGCAACGCAAGTTTCAACGATCTTCCTCGACTGGTACACGTACAGAGTGATAGCGATGAGGAAGATACCGATACGGAAGAGGACGATGTCCCGCTCATTCGACCGAGGCCTGGGATCAGACCGGCGGATGCGAGAGGATTGTTTTGGAACCCTGAAACGGACGAGGATGAATTCGATGATGACACTGATGAGGATCATGAGAGGGAGCAGGATATGAGGAGGTTCTTTGCTGACCCTGAGGATGGGGAAGCGTGGAGGCGAGATGGGGGAGGGCAGGTGGGCGAAGGAGCACCGCGCAATGAGAATGGGATGGGTGTGCAGGAGAACGGGGCTGTTGGAGTCGGCGAGCAGGGCGATCCGGCTGAGGGTCCAGTGGATCCTAACGAAGACATTGACGGCAATGTTGAGGATGATATGGAGGGTGCTATGGAAGGTGAGATTTTGCGTCTGTCGTCTAGAATACAAATGCTGATTGAATTCAAAGCTATTGGAATGCGAGGGCCTATTTATGGCGTCTTCCAGAATGTAGGTAACCATACCCTCTCGGGACGTCTTGTTGCTGATCTTGATCTAGGCTGCCTTGATGGTGTTCGTGCTCGATACCGCCATCGGCCTGTGCATATGGATTCCATTCACCGTTGGAAAAACCGCCGCCTTGCTCTCGGTACGTACGTCCGTTCTGACCTTCATATCGGTTCTTACAACCTTTCCTAGATGGTTCCTCATCGCACGTTGCAAATCCTTCATCTACCTATCAAAGCTATGCGACTTGTTACGGACCCCATTGTCGATTCGGGCGTCTACGTCATAACCAGGTTCCTCATCCCCCCATGTCTGGATGTTGTCAAAGGCGCCATCAATGTTGCTGGGATCATCACTTCTTTGGTTGTTCGAAAGATCTTTGGCAGTGGAGCTGCGGAGAACCTCTCACAATCGTCGCATGAATTCGTATGTTCAAAGTTCTTCGTCTTTGATATGCTCGATTAACTGGTGTATTCTCTAGCTCGATCATTCCAAGGATATCCTGCTCTCCTCCCTCGACAAATTCAATCCCTTCTCACCTTCACCAACCTCCAACGTGACTGTACCAGAACCCGGACCGCTTTTCCCTGCGTTTGCAGAACCCCTCGAGCCTTACTTTGCGGCTCTTGGAAAGCAAGTCCGACTGTTCCTTCTATCCCTCTGCCGAACTTGGGCCAGCCTCGCGATGGGTGACGGACCGACTGACAAAGTGTTCGCCATCCTCCTCGGTTACCTCGTCTTTATCCTCAGCCTCGCCATTTATCTCAACGTTCTCACGGTTGGTAACGCCCGCAACGCAGGCCGAGCTGTCAGGAACGTCGTCCGACAGCAGGCGTTGGTGGTCAAAGTGGCAGCATTCATTTTTATCGAGCTGGTTATCTTCCCGTTGGCATGTGGGATTATATTGGATGTGTCGACTGTTTGGCTGTTCCCTGAAGCCAATATTCATTCGAGGATTGCGTTCTTTGGGCAGGCACCGCTCACCGCCATGTTTTATCATTGGGTTGCGGGGACTATGTTCATGTGGGTTTTGCTTCGTTTCTTTCATGGCTCGTTGATTGCTGATTTGGATATGCGTCTCTAGGTATTCGTTCGCTGTTCTTCTTTCGGGGTGCAGGACTATCATGCGGCCGGGAGCTATGTGGTTCATTAAGGACCCGCAAGACCACAACTCGCATCCTATCCGGGACATTCTTGAACGGCCTACCTTGGTGCAGCTCCGCAAGATCCTTGTGAGCGCAGTGATGTACGCTATGGTCGTTTTCTGTGTTGTGGGTAGTGTTGCGGGTCTTTTGCTCTTGGGAAGCAAATCCATCATGCCGTTCCGATGGAAGAACAGGTAGGCGCCTTTTCGTATTTCACAGGTCGACTTGGGTTGCTAACTTCCATTCCACAGAGAACCGCTGTCCAACGTACCTGTCGACCTTCTCTTCCTGCATCTAGTGCTCCCGCAAACCTTGCACTATTTCAAGCCGAGGAGGGGTTTGAAGACGATTGCGACAAGGGTGTGGAGATACTTGGCAACCAAGTTGCGACTGACGTCGTATTTCTTTGGCGGTCGGTATCCGGATGAGGAGTATGCTTCGGGTGGATGGTTTGGATCTTCCTCGACGGAGACGACGGATGAGACTGGCGACACAAGGGTTGTCAATGGGACGTTCCGCCGAGTTCCTGCTACCGATCATCTGGCGTTGCCCCGCGAAATGAGGGCGACAGCGCGGGTTACAGCCGATGGTACACCTTACGACGAGGAAGCTGCAAAACTCATCCGGATGCAGAACGCCGAAGCACAGAAGGCCAGACGGGACATTGACAAGGACTATATGGTCGTTTTCATCCCCGCTGGGTTCCGATACAGGATTCTCGCGTTCATCGGTCTCCTGTGGACGGTGGGAGCGCTGTTTATCGGGGTTGCCGTCGCGCTACCGGTCCAACTTGGAAGGAGCTTCTTTGGGCTGTTCACCACCCGGGAGGTGCACGACGGGTACTCGTTTATCGTCGGGTTCTACTCGCTTTGGGCATGCTACCTCTGCGGTCGTACTATCGACAGACTCGAGAAGCAGCAGCGTCGTATACGGGAAGCCCAGGACGAACGCGGACGAGTGTATGTCAGGGACGTGCGGATCCTTGCGATCAAGCGTAGTCTCTGCTGGGTGTCCAAGGCTGCGTATGTGGGGTTCTTCATGGGTGTGGTTGTGCCGATCTTGGTGTCGTTTGTGATTGATTTGTATGTGGTTTTGCCGGTGAGGAGTATGTTGAATCCTGGGGTGACGCCGAGAGTGAGGGTGGTGGATGCGTGGGCGTTGGGGTTGCTGTATGCGAAGATTGCTATGCATGTTTTGAGGCTTAGACCGCCTAACCAGTTGACGAGAGCGCTTCAGCACGTGAGTACATCTCTTTTTCTCCCATCGTGGATTTGGTGACTGATTTGTATGCTTTGTAGATGGTTGATATTGGGTGGTCAAGGTTGGATGCGCTAGTTCTGACCAAAGAGGTGATTGCGCCGCTCGTTGGAGGGTTATTGGGAATGATCTTGCTTCCTGCGGTTGTTCTCCAATGTGGAAGGTTGTTGTTCCCAACAGCAATGGCCAACACTCAGTTCATGTGTACGTCCCCTTTCTTAATTTTCCACAGCACCCTGTCTAATGGGACTCCCATCTCCTCCAGTCATGAACATCTATCCCGCCATTTTCGTGTTTGCCACCCTCGTTCGATCCAGCGTCGTGTTCTATGACGTCCTTTCGAGTTGGTCGCAGTCTATCCGTGATAAAGAGTTTTTGGTCGAGTTGCGTCTGAAGAACCATGAACCGGAACCACCGCGGTCTATCAGCAACGAGCCATCCGCAAGTACGACTACGTCGACTGAATCGGGTACGCAGTCGGGAGGCGAAGGAGGAGGTGAAGAAAGAGTCCCACCGGTGCAGCCGCCAGAACAAGTTGTAGTACCTGCGCTGGATGGTGGTGGTGATATTCCATAGCATGACCCCATGATCAATACATGACTCCGACCCGCTGAGGAAGCTGCATTATAGTACTATCAACTAGTTTGGGCATCTTTTGTAAAATAATCTGGCATTTCTTTTGTACAATGGACTATATATCTTTATCTCTGAAGTGGTTGGGCTGGTGCGATGACCTTGCACTTTCCCTGAGGTCGGGTTGAGACTCAGAAGTCAGGTCGAAGCGCCATCAAACTTGACCTTTGCCATGAACCATGGCGTCGCTGCCTGTGGTTTCTCTTCCATTACCTTTGCTCCTCCTCGTTCATCTATACATCCTCGATTATCCTAATGTGAATGACCCAGAGTATGGACCAGATCTGTTCAACCCGCGCGTTCGAGGGCTGCGCGATAGGACGCGGTCAATGGAGGATATCTTCTATTTCTTGGTGGGCTGTTTGGAGGGTGGAAAGGCTGGTGCTAAAACTGTATGTTCCTCCAATACTGTTGACCAACAGGCTCTGATTATGACCTTGGAACGTAGATCTTGCCTACATATCCTTGTTCACAACCATCAGACACAGTCGCCTTTCGGACCTCCTTATCCAAGTACCTCGAATCTCTTCGACATGGAAGCCTATACGGTTCCGCTTCAAGGAGCTCCTCATCAGCCCTCGGAAGCAACAGGCAGGGAAAGGAATCGACTGTGGCAGCAGCGTGGTGGTGGCGGGACGTTGTCGTGCGCAAGACCCTCCTGGAGGAATGTTCCGGTGAAAAGTGAACGGGTTGTAGGTCTGTCGATGGTCTCGCTGACGATTTTTAAACCCTCTTCTTTCTTGCTGGCTGTTGTAGGTTTGAAAGGCTTTTGATTGCTGTGTCGACCCATGTTCTGTTTCGTCGGTCGGATACGTTGCCTTTGGCCAGTGCAGCGGTGCGTTTGGTTGATTTCACTCTCTCTCGAAATATGCGTTAATAGAAACATGATCGCTAGGGTGTGCTGCAAAGCCAACCGGTAGCCTATGCTCGAGCGCTACATCGCTCTAGATTAGCTCAAAGGGAATGGGCCCTTCGAGCTAGCCTTCTTTCGCAAAGGCTGGCTTCAGTGGAAGAGGCGAAGGTACTGCTCAAACCATCCGTGGAGTGCTGATTTCCTTGGCTGATAGCACCCCATTTGAAAGATGCAGGTACCTGGACCCTCCAGATTTACAGACACGCCCACAGAGAGGTTATTGGCTATCGCGGAAAGCGCCAAAACCCATCTGATTGAAAATTACTGGGGCTCTGACGGAAGCGCAAGCCTCCAAAGGCTTATCTCGGCCGTCGGATTGGGCTCTATTTCGCCAAAGCCCGCTGACTCTGAACCAAGCTCGAACGAAGACTCTTCGTTATCAAAGAAGGTTAATTCTATTGCCTTGGTCAAACTGTGGTTTGCTCATTGAACGTCAAGAACACCGTCATACTCCCCGATCCACTTCCTGTCGCTGCGGCCCATCATCCTTCTCGACTGCGCAAAGTGAAAGCGTCACCCCAGAATCTCACCAAAGGACAACCCAATCTCGAGGCTAAATCCAGCGGCAGCTTCAATTCCCAGATATGGGGAGATCCATTGGATCTCGAGTTAGCGCTGAATCAGTCTCTGAAGAGTGCTCGTGTTTCTGTCAAGGCTTTGAACGAAAAGCTTAAATCCAGATGGGGAACGAGTAGTGGCAGGACCCAGTCGATCGTCGCGGCTTCTACCCTTTGGAGGCCGGCGCTCGAGGAGGATGCAGTGTGTGATTTGCCTGTGGTGAGCTCCGGCTCCCTCTTCACTGCCCTCGATTTTCTCTGAAAATGACCCACAGGTTCAAGCGGAAGAGGTATATGATTATGATTATGATTATCGGATCGATCAGATTCGTGAAGAAATGCTACCTCCATATCCAGCGCGTCCAAATCAAAGCAAAGAACGCCTTCCAGCGATCGTGTCAAAGATAGAACGGTCATCACCGCATGCGACTGCCACCGGAAATGAAGATTCAGCCCGGAAATCCAACTTGCCTCCTCAACCGCTCTATGGCATTGGTAATTCCACTCGACCGTCGAGGTTCTCTATTGCCCGGACAAGGCAGACCTCGACCTTGGTCGCATCTAACTCGATGGATGAGGTGGACCAGGTATGCTCAATCACTCGACTTTGGACGGTCCATGGTGCTGACTTCGCTTAGATGGTTGACGGGGTCTATGACAGCTCGACTGAGTCACCACACCTGACAGCTCGGATGAACGCCTCATCTTTGCAGTCACAAACACCCAAGAAACGGGTGGCTCCCAACAGGATTTGGACGTCTGGCACACCGAAGCCTGTGTCGACCGTCCGCAAAGGCAGAGAATCATTCCCTATGGAATCTCTGCTGGAACCGGCCATCTCACTTCCTTCGCTGTCTTCGCGGACGTCAAATCTGTTCGATCAGGAGATGATTAGCGGAATACTAGATGCGGATGAAAGCATGTTCGATACCGCCTGGGACGGATCGCCATTCAAAGCGGCAGGTCTGCGGCTAGTCGGGGACAACAGGAGCAAGGGTGACCGTGGAGGATTTGGAATCTTAGGGGAGGGTGGTGATGACATACAAAAGGAAGAACTTGAAGCCCGAGATGAATGGCTTAGCGGAGGTGAAGGGCCCAGTGTGACGCTTCGCGATATCTTGCTACAAACTGACATCAGTCAATTTGACTTGTTGAGTAAGCTCATTACTGCCTCGAGGTTTTGTTGGTGTTCACTGAACCCTGTTTTCAGGCATCGAGGACGGCGACAGTCTCGATCATGGTATGCTGCTCAGCGAGCAGTCTGTAATTTGGGAATGAAATTCATTTACTGAGCTATCCTTGCTGTCTGTTTGCCTCTGCCTTGCCTGAGATTGCATATGGGATCTAGGCACAAGGGACTAATTAGAGGTTTGGACGAAGGGGAAGTGGATCTAAATTCTCGAATCAAGAACCGACCCGAAGAAGAGACTTCAAGGGCACTCGATCTCGAGCCCTTTACCTTGCCTTATGGCCCAAGCCCGTTAAGAAAATCAGTGGTCGCCATAAACGGGTTAGCGTCGTGGTCCCTGAAGTTGTCGAATCAAGGTCTTGGGCATCCTTCCTTGTATTTTCCCCTCCATTCTTCACATCTTTCGCCTTTCTGAAACAGGGGCGGGATTGGAGGTCGCCATGGGCATTTTTCGGCCCAAGTAGTCATTGACCTACAATTGTCGGTGCAGACTTTGCAACGCGACCATCAAGCCGCACATGCACACTTCGACCAACGCGCCGCTAGGGGCCCCGCCTTCTAATCCATCCATCATGAGACCGCCTACAAACGCTAGCTTGAACCTTGCTAGGGTGGTGGCGTCGACACGTTCTGCGTGCACATCGCGTTGCTAACACTCGAGATGCGGAACGAATCACGGAAAATCATTTTGCGTTGCTTTGTCCTCTGTAAATTCATGGGAATATCCAATGCACCTTGGAGCGCCAATGCTTCGTGCGATCGCCGGGATGGCTTTACTTGAACTGCCTTTGAGTTAATGGTGGAGCAGCCATCTTGAATTTTGGCAAGTCGAAAAAGGAGGACACCCAATCCATTGGGGTCCGGGACCGCCGGACCTGGTCCGCGGGCTGTGGGCAGGGCCGCGAGAGTCATCGCACACCTGTGAACCAAATTCATTTGGGGTCTGATGTACTGCACGCGTACTACTTAGGCCAAAGATAAGCACGATTAATTTGTAGGCTTATAGTAGTCTTTTTTTTTGCTTCGGGACAAGGATAGGTTACAGGCAACTTCAAACCTCCCTCCACAAGCACGTCGCACGACAGACACTGTCTTGCTGGGTCTGTAGGCATATGTAAGGACGAGATAAGGCTCCCAAAAAAAGTAGATATAAGGATAATTTGGTGTGTATAGATCCAGAACGATGGCTACGAGGTCAGGGAAGATGCAAGGGAGAACGTCGGTGCGCTGGGGCTTAGGCGCTCGATCGTGTTTGTTCGTGTTAGGATCAGACGCCCTGATGGCAACCTCACTGGGTTCGCCCGCTCTGAACCTCTTTATTTCTTTATTTACATACAGTTAAGCCCCCCCAAAACCTACATGTCTGTGTAATGTGACTCAAGAGCCCCCTTGCGGAAGACGAGCAAAAGCGATGTTCTTCGTCGCGCAACCCAGTCCGCGGCCTTGGACCGGCGGCCCCGGACCCCGATAAATCGGGTATTCTGCGAAAAAGTGAATCCACCTGATTCAATCTCCCCTACTGCGAATGGGAATCGCGGCTACGTCCTCAACGGGGGCCTGAAATTAGATTCGCATAAGGTGGCAGAAAAAAACCTTCTTTCGTGGACACAACCATGGTTTTGACAGTGTTAAGGCTGCCAATCGATGTGGCAAATGTGTTAGGCTTTCTGTTTTGGGCGGTGACCACTAGTGGCGAAGCGGCGTGCAATCACATTTATACCGCACAGGCTAAGGAAAAGCTACAGTAGTCTCGTCAACCTTGCCGTCAATAATCATCAAGCTCATCAACAGCCATTGGAGTACCTCTGTTATTCCGGACAGGACAGAGACACTTTCTCATGCCTATCTTCACAAGTCAGCCAATGAGAATGTCCATGGCACTCGTTCACGCCCAATGTGCAAGTCCTGCATCCACGGTGAAGGCTGGAATCCGATTGGCTGGCTTCACCTTGCCCACCTTGCGCGCTCAATCAAAGTACCCGGTGGGTCCGGCGCCATTTGATACGTCACTGAAAGCTTCCCGTTGCCACGTGGGAGCGGAGAAGTCGTTGTGGGCGCTTAAGAGTCGGTCAGTCGGTGGTATTCGAGTGGCATTCACCCTCTTGCTTTGTTTTGCCTCCGGTTTCAGATAGTTTCGTCATTTCTCAGGCCCTTCCGTTGGTCATTCAAATGTTGATTCTTATCGACCTCCGTTTGTCGTACCTCTTTGGACCGAGGTAACTCGCACATCCAATGACTGGAAGGGCGGTTAGAGGCATCTTTTTGGGGTGTGGAGGATGTCAAATTGAATTTTGAGATATAAGGCCCCGCGACGGGGAAGTTAAATTAAGGTTAGGTATTACAAGATTAGCTACAGTGGCGGATGAATGGATGGATGGACAGACGGTATGTACGAAGTCTGTAAAAGGTGGAGAGAGAGGAAGCAGGTGTGACGATGGGACACAGGCGGGACCGATATGCTACAGAACTGATGTGGCGGACAGCGGGAGAAAAACAAAGAAAGCCTAGACGATGGAAAAAGATATACGAAAATAACCCATATGGCCCAGTGGGAATGCCAGCCCAACTTGCCAAGTCTGAACAATGGAAACCAATATGCGTAACAATCGCGCGAACAGCCTATGTTCGGGAGATGTCTAAGGTGGAAAAGAAGCAAGAACTGGCAGACACCAAAGGAAGGATGTCGGTGAAAACGAAGTATGATCCGGTGTTTTAGGCTTCGACTCACAGTGTGGACCCGGTTTACTACTTGTACGCCAGGAAATATGCTGAAAGAGCTGGGAAGTCGTTCGAACTTGCATCGGCGTACCCTTGCCGTCTCGATCCGTTGTATTTCAAGACTACCACCGTGCCACACCAAGGTTTTGTCGCGGCGTTGGAGGTGATATGACAGATGGAGCGGTTGACGGGTGAGCCCCGCTTGAGTGCAGACGAGTTGTACCAGATGCTGAGAGGGAAACGGAGGTTCTCGCCGTTGAGACCCCGCGTTAGGATGAGGCTCTCGGCGGTGCCTTCAGGGAAGTATTTCTGGAGGAGAGGCGTTGGACAAATGCCTTGCGACATCTTGGGCGAGGGGCGGCATTCTATCACGACGGTCCGAGGTCGCTCTTGGCGTTCGAGTCAATAAACGGGCAACTGCTGAGATTAGAACAACTCCTACCTTCCTCTGCAGCGAATAGGATAGCCGATACCCTGATGGTCTGCAATTCCGCAGGCGGAGGAGTTGCAATCATACTGACGTTGTACGTGGTGACGGGGGTGGCGTTCGAGGCCGGAACACACTCATTACGGTGACGACCCCAGTCCTAGAGATATCGGATTAGACGCTAAGTGTGCAGGTTGAAGTCAACGATACTTACTGCCTTCAAGTGCTCAGGGCTGCAGTACCACGCGCTCTGGCACCGGGAACACCACATCGAAGTGGGGTTACAGCAGACGGTACACGGGTGGTTAATGAGTGGGATGGTGTGCATTGCGTATCAGCAGTGTGTGGATGTTGGAGGCGGAACTGGAAGTCTTGGAGAAAACAGAGATGGGGAGTGTTGGGACTTGGCCTTTGAAGACCAATGGTCAATGTGCTTAAGTACCTATTTGCCAGCGCGGACCGTGAGGTCGAGGTGGTGATTTGGAATAACAGATCTCGGCCTGTTTTGAATCTCGATGGTGATTGTTGGCGTGGCTAAATCGAGATCACCGAATAGAGTTTTGGTGGGTGACATCCTGAGATATGCAGTCAGGAACCTCATCCGTTCGTGTGCGTCAACGTTGGATATTTATGTACCTCTGCTAGAATGCGGAGGCATGGTAAAACGGGCTCTCGAGTTGCTACATTCCCTGTCACGGACGAAGCATCTGGGCTATATCTGGCTTGGGATGGGCCCAAGATAGCTTGCAGCCGCCAAAGGAAATGAATAACCAGATTTCTGCTGATATTCTGATTATGATACCTACGTAACTGTTCAGACTACGGCTCCAATCCTGGAACGAGTTCGCAGAGGCAAAGCGCTGCCGTCGCAACGTTACAAGCGCTCACGGCGACTCGGTCCCGGCTGTTCCGAGTACACCGGCCATTCTCGGTGCTTCGGAGGGTCGGCAAGCCCAATCAATTCTCGATGAATAGCCACGGCCCACGGGGACCCCGAGAACTGCAGTCCTGCAGGGGTTCGCAGGCCCCCAGAGCTTGGTCGGGCTTGGCTTGTTCGTCCGCTCGAACTTGGCTCTAACCAACACCACCATGTCCGACGATGAGATGAACATTGACGAGGGTGAGCAGCATGTAAAGCATTGTAAACGATGTCTAGACTAACGAGCGTTCTAGTCGCTGCTGGCGGAGCAGTGAGGCGACGGGGACGTGGTTTCCAATCAGGTAACGAATTTGTTTAAAGATTGAATGTCGTTTGGATGTGCTGAAGCGATTCGCATCCAGGGGCATCGGGACATGAAGGCAAAGGGGGTGCGGACGCGACATACGATCGCGTCGATACGGCACAGACAAGCGGAGACACTCGCGCGGCTCGATGTACGTTCTTCGAGCGCTTTATGTTCAATTCCCTATTCATACCAATCACTCTGAACCTGCAGCCGTAGAAGGGTGGATTGTGCTCGTTACCAACGTCCATGAAGAGGCGACAGAAGAGGATGTTCAAGACAAGTTCTCAGAGTATGGGGAAATCAAGAACTTGCATCTCAATTTGGATCGACGGACGGGTTATGTGAAGGTGCGTTTCAACCTTCCATGCACTATCGCTGTTTTCTCACTTGGGACCTCCAGGGATACGCGCTCGTAGAATACGAGACGATGGCCGAAGCGCAGAACGCTATCGACTCCGCGTCTGGATCTACGCTTCTGGAACAAACGATCCAGTGCGACTACGCGTTTGTTCGACCACCACCCACAGGGCCAAAGAAAGGCAGGGGACAGCGAGGCCGCAGTGCCAGTCCAGGCCGCCGAAAGTAGCCAGTCTTTGCGATCTCTTCCTTGCTTTCTCGTATTTGCTCGTTTTCATGTAATATTTGATGCCTATTCTCGAAGAATTTTGTATTCTGCTGCACTTTCGAGGGATGACATTGTTTTGAGAATCTGAGTATCCCAACTATGCCGTTGTGTATGTATTCAGTCCATAGGTCTGACTTTTGGAGACTCCAGTGCGGTTTGCAGCCTGCTTATGGATTCGGGCTCCGCTCTCGTTCTTCGCACGGTCAGTCGAACCAGCGACGAATTACTGTTACGCTAGACGCTTGTTGCACGTTCACAGCGGTAAAACCACAATGCCCGCCAAACGTTCTCGATCACCCAGCTCCGACGACGACGTCCCCAAGAACAAGGACAGCGCGCCAGAGAGCGAGGAGGAGGAAGAGGAAGAGTATGAAATCGAAGAGATCCTTGATGCACAACGTGGTCGTTTCCCTGGTGTATGTATTCCATGTTATCAGGGGCTCTACGTTCCTAATCACCAACCCTCAGGGCCGACTAGCCTACTTTGTGAGATGGAAGGGATACGGTCCAGAGGACGATTCATGGGTCGACGAAAAAGACGCGTGAGTTCTTTCTGCACGCCATGCTGCACAATTCCTCAAAGCAACGACATACGAACTTAGCGGAAACGCGCAAGAGCTTATCGACAACTTCTGGAAAAAGAAAAACAAACACGACGAGCTAAGGGCCCAGAAGGAGGCCAAATCTGCGAAAAAAGCGCGTCAGTCCACGGCAAGCGCGTCCGTCAGGAAGTCAGGCTCGACTGCTACATCTCGGGGCACGAAATCCGCGAGGTCCCATGAGGATGATATGGACGTAGACCGCGACGAAGATAGCCCGCCAGCTTCCAAGAGGGTCAAGAGAGCACCGAAAACGACCGGGAGAAGCGTCTCAGAGACGCCAGAGCCGCAAGCCCCGGAATTCAAGAGCATGGACGCTTCATACATGAAGGTTGCCGACTGGGAGCCCTTGGTCAAGCAAATTGATACAGTGGAGAGGGTGGACGACGATTTGATCGTCTATTTCACTCTGTGAGTCTCGTCTGTTTCGTTTCTTGGCTCGAAACAGCACTCATCGCGTCGCAGGAAATCGGGGGAACAAGTCAGGGAAAGCAGCAAGGTATGCAGGAAACGTTTCCCCCAGAAGGTCAGTTTGTCAAGTCCCTCAGTCAGGCTCTCGATTCAACCCCCCCCTTTTTAGCTCATCGATTTCTATGAACGCAATTTACGCTGGAAGATGGCGGATGACGATTCTTGAACATTTGGAGATTTTGCAAGTACTTTTTCGTGTATCTATTTTTTATTCTTTGACCCTGTTGTGCATCTAATGTTTACTTAATATCACTTCTGCCATGTTCATATTGCTGGGCATAGGATTTGGGCGATTTTCACTTGCGGGGCTTGGGCCTGCCACCCTCCACGGCTACCTTTCAATAATGTCGTCCTCTGGAACCCAGTCGTCTTCCCTGTAGCTTTAAGAGGACCTCGTGGGACGTTAATGACAACTGCTCTAGGCCAGCTCCCCGCATTGAGTTTGTTCCAAGCGGCAAGTCGCTTGTTGTCTCCAAGATCGTCAGGAAACTTGACTCATTGAAGACTGCTCATTGAATGCATTAAACCCTAAGTCGGACTCCCCGCGTATGTCCCATGTCTGACCTGAATCGATCCAGGCTCTTGCTGGATGGCTCGTGAGGGAACCCATTGACTGCTCATCCAAAAAAATGCAGATGGCAGGTCATGGTATTAGGGGACTCTGCCCAATGGACGTAGGTACCCTCCACCAGCGCACTACGAGGAGGCTGATCCTTTATTGCTCAATGAACACTGCATGAGCCCCCGGAAAAGCCTTTTGCGATTGCAGTTTCTGGAGGGTGTGTGATAGACTCTCCTGGATCTTGGAAGAGTGCTAAGCGTAAATATTGTTCATGTCTGCTAAAGTCTGTGATATGATGCCTTGTCCCAGTTTCTATGGATGTCTCATTCAGCTGAAATATCGTTTTCACTGCGTGTGCCTGTTCGACCGGACATGCTCGAACCAGTTTGATTCTTGGTACAGAATAAGGACGCTCGAAAGAAAAAATACTCAGAAGCATTCATGTCGTCATCGTGCACCTTCTGACTTGTGCTCGATGGGATCCCTCAGCGCATGCGTCGGTGAAGAGAGTAGGGAGAACAAGTCCCCCTATTAACCGGAAGCCCGAGTCGGGTGTCGTCGTCTTTCTCAGGCCCCTGTCCGACCTTGCCGCGGTCCCGGGTTGACACCTCGCTCAACTTCCAACTTCGACCTTGATATCATGTCTCAAGCGGATCCTTCGACCCTTCCCGAGGAAACCATCCAATTTGCGCATCGGATGTTCGATGCAGCGCGCAACGGCAACTCAGAGCTTCTGCTTGCGGCTATAGACGCAGGTCTACCGGCCAATCTCACAAATGACAAAGGTGTGTCGGGAGGAGTAACCTCGCCTGAACCAGAATTAACTCCTTGGTAACCCTCTGATTACGATCTCGTGAATGCCTCTCTGCGTAAATGACACTCGCTCGACGATGCCTCGATTCCTTGGGAATCTCGATATCCACACCAGGCAACACCTTACTCATGCTCGCTGCCTACGCTGGACACGCGACGCTCGCGAGGGAGCTCCTTCAACGTGGGGCCGATCCCAATCGATTGAACGACCTGGGACAGTCCATCATCGCCGGGGCTGTGTTCAAGGGACATACAGAGGTAGTGACAGCTTTGGCAGAACACAACGCCGATCCTCGAGCTGGGAGACCCAATGCACTGCAAGCTGCACACATGTTCAGAAGATCGGATTTGTTCAAGTTACTCGGTGGGACCGATGCAGATATAACAGAGGATGTACCGGTACCCCTTCCACAATCAAACTAGGATAAAGTTTCGGTTCTCAAACCTTCCCCCTTCCTCATGATCTTTCTCGAAGGACAGGATCCAGGTCGTGAGTCGAACCCGCAATCTTCCTGGACATTCCTTCTATGTACTGACTTCTGGCTACTAAATCCTCAGGCTTATCCTTCGGAGGGACTCGGGTATCTTTCCCCACTCCGACGTTAATCCTCTCTGACTATTCACGAGAAAAGGGTGATAAAAATTCCGGTAAACACCTCAATCGCCGTCCAATGTCATCGCGTCGCTGGGTCTCTCGCAGGGTGGAATCCAAGCGCGTCACTGTATATCCAACCTCAAAGTTACCATCATTCTCATCATCAAGAATGTCCTTTGTATATCCGCTTTCGACAGTTTGACTGCATACCGAGGAGGTGAACAGGTGGCAGATCGTTGGCTATTGACGTTGATGTGGCTGTCGTGGAAAGATGCTTCCTCGCAAGAGGTGGTCATCCAAGGGGATATAGTCGCGATTATCATCGATAGTGGGGTTCTGGCCGACCATTTTGAGGCATTCCCATATGCACTGTGTGCTTCTTCGCCTCCTGGATCTGTCCAGATGCGTCACATCGTCGTCGTTCCCAGGTTCTTCCCGCCAACATAAGGAACCCGAGGATCCTTAATTAGTCGACTCGAGGGTCTTTCTCCTTTTGCCTTCTTTTTGAAGTGTTCAGACTTTTTCGTTTTCGCGTTTCTTCGTCTGGCCTCGTTCCTCCCTTCGTTATTCTATCCACTCGTTTTATGCAGGGACATTTTGTTTACTCTTGTTTCTTCTGATTTGACTTTAATTCATCAACACGACAAGAGCACACTTACGAGGGCTGCTCAGAATGCCGCCAGTCCCAGGTCAACTTGTTCAGGCAAATATTGGTAAGTGATACTCGTCTCTTGCAAACGGCCTGATTGAGCTGATTCACCCTTTTCAGCCGCGCTTGCTATCGGAGGCTTCGTGTCCTTTGCGTTGATTGTTTGGGATTTGTACGTCTTAAATATCCAGATTATGTCTCCCTACTAGTTTGACACAGGGGACACTTCAGCATTGCCTATCTTCCCGATGAGATTAGGCTCTTAAAAGACTTCAGGAAAGTCTCGTGGCGTACTCCTGATCCTTATTCGTACATTGTTTCTCTCCTATCACAGCTTCTAGTATTGACTCTTTTGTAGCTTCCTCCTCGTACGCTACAGTGCTCTGGGATACGGACTTGCGTCGTTATTCAACCTCGCCCTGAAAAGCGATCACTGCCAGGCAGTAGTCTCTTGGGCTCAGGTCTTGTCCATCTGCGTACTCATTCCAGCGGGTGTGCTATCCGCGCGCAGAGTCGCCTCGCTATGGAGCAACCATATGGCGGTCGTCTCAGTTGGGACAGTCCTATTCGTTTGCATGATTTCCAGCTGGGTAAGTCCAATCAACATAGGTCAATCCGGCGCTTAAATTTTCTGCAGATCGCTGTAGCGAGCCAACATCGCGGATTCACACTCAAAGAAAATCTACTCGTTGATGGATACAACGAAGAGATGGGCATCAGCCCACTCCCAGGATTTGGCACCAACTGTGGGGTCTCGCTTCAGGTCCCATGGCATTCGCTCAGCTACATTGCTTCCACGCTCTTTTTCGGCGCGACTTTCGCCCTCGCCCTCCTTCGATGGTCAAGGCAACGCACCGAGCACGTCTTCAACCTCGGTCTGACCCCGTTGAACCGAGCATGCCTTTGGTATCTCATGGTCAGCTGGATATCCTGCATCGCGCTCCTCGCTGTCTACACCAGCTCCTGGTCAACGGACATCTCACGCAGGACCGCTTCTCCCTTCTTCGTTCTCCTCGTCGCTGGGATGGCCCAACGCATCTTCCTCAATTCGCAAGCCGATTACACACTGCGGAAACAGCACATCCAGGAGATGGCCATGATGAATCTCAAGGCAAAGGTTCCGAGATGGTCGTGGTCTCCTCATGCGAAGAAGGTGTCGCTGTCGACGATCTCCACGGGCGGGTCCCCGCGGGCTGCCCCTTTGACCAACTTTGGCAGCCACCAGATTTATCCCCGACCTCCTCCACCCCCACCACCCCTTCCAATTTCAAACCCTGGGAGCCCTAGTCTCACGCCGTTGCCGCCTCAGCATATCCTGTCCATCGAGAAGTCGAGGGCAGGGAAAGTGAGCCCAGCTTCGTCGATGCACTTCAAGCCATCTTCTAGCAATGGACACGACGCCTCGGACAGTACCGAGAGACTCGTCACACCACTGTCCACAGGGATTCCAGACCTGGGTAACAAATCCAGCAACAGCGGCTCGCCTCGAGCCCAAAAGGGGAGCATCTCCGGCAGTGTATCTGTTACTTCCGAGTCGGTCGAATCATCTGGCGCTGTGGCTGCAAACACAGAGGTGCTGTCCCCCGGTGCGTCAAGTATGATCTCTTTCAGTCAGACCATAGGAAGCCCGGTCTCGACTATTGGGTTTGGTTCGCCTCCTGGGTCTCCACCGGTCCTTGGGCTGCCATGGCCAGGAGGAAGACCACCCGCGGGAGGTTCGAAGTTCAAGGTGTTGCCCGGGAGTCGACCCGTGGCTACGACGTCTAGCAGGAGGTCTGGGAGTAGAGGAAGGGCGAGTTCCGGTGGGAGGTCAAAGACGCGAACGAGAAGCGATAGTAGTGGGAACCCAGAGACCCCTTCTACGATAAGGTTCTCGAAGGCTAAATCCGAGTGGGTGAATTAGGTTTTTGGGTTGATCATTCTGTTTCGTCATGGACGCAATGTCTGTTTTTCTGCATGGACTTCAGGACTATTTATCCCTGGGATGATAATACGGACTATAGTCGTCGATTCTTACATATGTCCCCTTCACGCCGCGTGCTTATCTTGAATAACGACTTGTGTATGTAGCCGATTCGATGACTGAACGATTTCACTGGAGAACGATGGGCGAATTTGTGTATCACAAAAGTTCATTGGCATCGATCGAGGAATCGACAATCAAAAGCACAGGCCCGGAGGTGGACGACAAAGAAGAGACTGGCTCAGTTTTGGTGTTCGAGCAAACCCTGGTAGGCCCCGCACTTGGAGTGTAGGCTAGCAATGAGCCTTCAATGGATTGTCTAGACCTGACTGTTAAGAAAATTGAGGACTGTTTACAAAACTCGCGGACCTTAGGAAGGCTCCTCTGCATCGCTACTGGTATTTGCTTCGGTTGTCGTGGATGTTGATACCTGTGGGGACGGAAACCAGCCATAGCGACCAAAGTCTACTCGCATTTCGCCTGTTCTCCCCACAGTCACCTCAACACCCTCGGCTTCAAGAGCATCCCTTTGGCGCTGTGCCCCATCTGTGCCTGGGCCCCGTGAAGATATAGTTCCAGATGCCCCAATCACGCGGTGCCATGGCACTGGAGGGTTGGTATTCGGCGAAAGGAATTTGAGCGCTATCCGTTATGATCAGTGGAGTCAGCGATGAAAAAGATTCATCTGAGGAGCTTGTGTCACCTTGTCCGACGTGGCGCGAGTGGTTTGGCATCCCAATTAGCTTCGCGATATGACCTGAACGCGAGATGAACGCCATTGGAATGGGCCGATGATAATGGAACTAAGTACCGTATGTGGTGACTTTCTGGGCCGGAATCTCTCGAACTTTGTCATAGACCTAGGTGTTATTGATGTGGATCGCTGAAAAGGAACGCGAGTATATATAGACTCACTGCAGCATGAAACTCCGCGCTATCCATCGTTTGCTTTCTCTTCCAACTGAAAGACGCGCTGGCAAAGATGAAGGACCGAGTCAAGTCGCGACGCGCCCGAAAGACCCCTGAACGGAGCAATTAGTCACGTTCTCGCGACTTGTGACCTTGGCGAGGGAGCCCACTTTCAGGAATTTTGTGTTGTACCAACCACAGGTAATCAAATGCATTTGTCCATCCATGTCGAGGCCTAGCTCGAAGAGGTTTCTTGCCAACAAGAATTATAGGCGCCCAAGGGCCTGGGAACCTCCGCACGTGGTGAGGCTTATGTCATCTCAGCGTTGCATCCTCCGGCCACAGCTTGGCCTCGGTTGGGCGCCAATTACCACCACCACGATCGACTGTCGCCACCACGGGAAGGGGCTCAACTTGGAATGGCTCTCGGACTAATCGAGAGCTACAATAGGACACGCTATGTCGAGGAACTGCTAGAGAAAACCGACAGCCAGCCCCCGTCATTGACGATCCACCTCCACCCTGAGCACTGGGTACTTAACAATGGTTCCAAGTTCCTGTACCACAACCAAATCGCAGTATGTTTCCTCGAATATTGTATGACTATGAAAAGTGACTCAATGTGCACGACAGAGCATCTTGGATGACATTCGTGCTCACAGAATACCTGTCGACTTCTTGGACCTATTTGACAATGCTCGGGTGCCTTTTTACGAGGGTGTGTCGTTATGAAATTTGCAGTGGCACGAATTCTCAATGGTCCCGGATTAGGATGCATGGTTGTCGAACTTCTGGATTACCGCGCCCAAAAAAGTAACGACCCTCAACCGGAGAAACCTGAACGAACCCGCGTTATTCTTCATCCCAATCCAGAAACGCTGTACGCCGATATATGTTCGTTGAATCAAAAGACTGGTGGACTCTGGACGGACCAGGATGCGTTGGAAGTGGAATCTAAACTGCTAGTGCGTGTTGTTTGAATGGCTCTCGTTCACTGAGTCTTACCTGGAGATCGTTCATAGCTTGCATCGGCGCCTCCGCTTTGCCTGGAGCCTAATCCTCACTTGACGCGAATCGCAAACCATGTACTTCGTGCATCAACACCGACTGTGCCGATGTCTCTCAAGAGAAAAGCTGCCACTTTGGAACCAGAGGAGGACGAGTCGGAGAAGATACGCAAAGCGAAGATCATGTCCTTCATGTCACCACGCCATCCACGGAACCACGTACCGAAGTACGTCCGCAATGTATTTACATCTTCACCCTACTGACACTTTATCAAGCTTTTCATTCTTGGGTACTGTTACCAAGCACAAGGAGGAAAAGTATCAAGAGTACCAAAGGTGGCTCGAGAATCCTACAATACCTTCCAGCTTTACCCGCTTCCTCCGTGGCCCACCATGGCGTCCCCCGGTCGCCAAACCTGCCACACCGACGCCAGTTATACCTCCACCACCTCTCGCGATCGACAACCAAGGCAATGTCATTGACAAGTCAAATAACACACCGTCGACGACATTCGTTACCCCGACGTTTGTCAATCCCACCCCCGCGGCACCCGCCACGCACCAATTCATCTCTCAGCAAGTACCAGTGCCGACCCCTGGTCCTGGTATGACACCGCAGGTCTATGCAAATGTACATGCAGCGACAGAAGCCGCTGCAGCACAGCGGTCGGTGGCTGCAGCCCAAGCACAGGCACAGGGAACAGCAGCGACGGCTGTGAATGCAGCGGCTGTACAGGCAGATCCAAAGTTACAGCAACAATTCCAACTGCTACAAAAGGTACAACAGCAGCAGAAGATCGGCCAGTCGCTCATTCCGCGTCTTCCGATTGCTCAGCAGCAAGCAATGATTTCCCAACTACAGTTGAGGAGTCAAAGCGCCGCTGCTGCCGCCGCTGTTCAGAATGCAGCACAAAACCCAGGAGGGTCAACTCCAGCTCCAGGGCCTTCCACAAGTCAATCGCCGACTGCTACATCTCCGACTCCTGCAACGGCCACCCAAGCATATGGGCAAGCTGCTAACCAGTATCTTACCGCACAGGCTGAACAACAGCAACGTGCCGCAAGCGCAACTCCCACCCCTGTCGCTTCTACTCCTACCCTTGCCCAACAGACAACGCAAGCGACGGCTCCAGCTGCTGTTGCTAGTCAACCTGCAACGACTACGGCGGGAGGGAAGAAACCGCTACCCGCAAATTACCATGCACAGATCCATGCTTGGCTCACCGCGCAAAACGCCAGCTACATTCAGCAGCTTTCGGCTGCCGAAGCGCGTTTGGCGAAGAACCCCAGCGACCCGCAGGCGCAGTACGCGGTGAACAATCTTCGACACCAAATCAGTGCCCTACACCAGAAGTACCAAAGCTTCCAGCAGCACTACGGCAAATTCCAACCGCAGGCTGGCGGTGGTGCCGCCGGGACGTCTGGAGCCAGTGGGAACGCTCAACAAGCTGGTCCCGCAGGGGCGGCGGCTGAAACATCTGCACAAGCTACTGCCACGGCGCAGAGTAGTGGACGGGCGACGCCGCAGGCGACTGCGAACCCCTCTAGTGCAGCTTCGCAACAATCTGTCGCTGCTGCGGCAGCGACGCCATCTTCTGCGAGGGCGAGTCCGATGCCTGCTATGCACGCCCAACAGAATCCCACTCAGTCGCAACAAGCCCAGCAAGCGAATGCGGCCATACTTCAAGCTGCGATTCAACAACAACAACTACAGCGACAACAGCAACAATACCAGCGCACGTTGACCCCCATTCAGCCACAGAAGACGAACTCTCAAGGAGGGCAGGTGCAGATGCAGGTTCAGCCGCAATTGGCCGCAAATGGACAATATACGTTCACGACGCCGTTCAATGCTGCCGCATTGCGAGCCGCAACGCCCTTGACCGCTAGTCAGCAAGCTGCTGCTCAACGGATGGCTGCTGCCCAAGCAAATGCAGCTAAAATGAGCGCGGGGACCCCTGCACAGAATGCAGGCAGTAACATTCACGTACAGCCGTCACCGCAACAAGCCCAGGCTCAAATCCAGGTACAGCAGCAGCAGACGCTTCAGGTCCCGCAACAGCAACAGGCGAGGACACCACAAATGCAAACGCAGCAGCTACGGACGCCTCAAATTCAGGCTCAGCAATTACGGACGCCACAGATGCAAACGCAACAGCTTCAGCGAACGCCTCAGATGCAGACGCAACAACTTCAACCGACGCCGCAGATGCAGCCTCAGCAGCTCCAGTCTCAAATGGGGCAGATGCAACGCCAGCCGACTCCTCAGCAACATACGCCTCAGCAACAACATGCTCAACTTCAGCCTGTGCAGGCTCAGCAGTTAGCGATGGCCCAGCAGCAACAGCAACAGCAGCAAATGCAGGCTCAAATTCAGCAGCAACAACCACAACAAGCGCATCTGACTCCGCAACAGTATCAGCAGTATCAGATGTATAGCAATTATTATCAAGCTGCGGCGGCAATGCAACAACACGGGGGACAGAGACTGACTCCGCAACAACAACAGGCAATTTGGAACGCGCAGTTCCAGCGTGCTGCTGCTGCTGCTGGTATGCAGGGGCAGCATGGCGGGGTACCTATGAACCAGGTACAACAGGCTGCGCTGGCCGCACACATAGCGAAACAGCAGCAACAACAGCAACAGCATCAAGGTCAAGGTCCACGGTGAATGGGTTTAGCTTCGTAGATAGTGTATTAGTATTTTGTAATGGACATTGGGATTGGGTGAAGACAAACCCGAGAACGTCATCTTTGTGGAGTGTTTGTTCGGATTTGGTGTGAGGCCGTGCAAGCTTAGTCAGCAGTTAGTGGAAAAGGTGGAGGTAGAAAGAGGGCAAGGGAAGTTTTCGTCTCCTTTCTGATCTGGTACCACCATCATCACCCCAGCAAAACTCTCTACTCTCTTAGACCTTCACTTTATCCTTCACTTTTATTCTTTTTCAACTCTTTTCGTTTCTCAAGTTCTACTCCCAAAGTCGCTCGTTTCTTTCGAATTTCACGAAAGACTGCACAAAAAGACGTATCTTTGCTAGCCCTGCAAGCATCGACCACCGATATCCACAGCGATTCAAGAACGATTCGAGTTCAACAAATCTTCAACTAATATGACAAATGGTCCAGTAAACGGCAACACCGGTATCGAGAGCCAGTTTTGTGAGTTAGCGCTCGCCTTTTCGTATGCATTTTGGGCTGACCATCGTTTACAGCGGCTCTTGGTCTCGGAAAGAGTGCTTATGTTCCCCCGCATTTGAGGAATCAGCAGCGGGCTGCCTCTTCCCCATCTCCCACTCCTTCAAACGGGTGAGTTATCTCACTTTTGAGCCCACATTTTTTCTTTCTTTCTGACACATTGCATGCATATTAGGCGAAACGGCTGGTCTGATCGCACTGGAACGCCCCCACCTCGAGGTGGTTTTGGAGGCGGCTTCTCTGACCGTGGCGGCCGTGGCGGCTCCTTTGGCAGCCGCGACAGCAGGTGGGCTGGCCCCAATCGTGGCAGCGACTATGGCGGCGGCCGTGGCGACAGCCGTGGCGACAGTGGCCCTCAGGCCTCCTTTGGCTACGGTGTCTGGCGTGACGGCAAACACGTTGTAGGAGGCCGCAACGCCCGCCTTGAAAAGGAGCTTTTCGGCACCCCCGACGATCCCAGCAAGCAACACACCGGTATTAATTTCGAAAAGTACGACGATATCCCCGTCGAAGCCACCGGCGCTGGCGTTCCCGAGCCTGTCAACAGCTTCACCAGCCCCCCTCTCGACCCCGTCCTGTTGGAAAACATTGGCTTTGCCATGTACACTACCCCCACCCCTGTCCAAAAGTACTCGATCCCTATCGTCGCTGGCGGCAGGGATTTGATGGCTTGCGCTCAGGTATGTGCACTGCATTCCGATACCGTAAACGTAGACTGACTCAAGCTTCCCTAGACCGGTTCCGGTAAGACAGGTGGATTCTTGTTCCCCATTCTGTCTGCTTCCTTCACCGAGGGACCTCGCCCTCCACCGGAGACTGCCGCTCCCACTTATGGACGGGCTCGCAAAGCTTATCCGACCGCGTTGATCCTTGCACCTACTCGTGAATTGGTTTCCCAGATTCATGAAGAAGCCCGCAAGTTCGCTTACCGTTCCTGGGTCCGACCGGCCGTGGTCTACGGAGGCGCCGACATTAACCAGCAACTCCGCCAAATCGAAAGAGGCTGCGATTTGCTCAGCGCAACCCCTGGTCGTCTTGTCGATCTGATTGAGCGTGGCCGCATCAGCTTGGCTAACGTCAAATACCTCGTTCTCGACGAAGCCGATCGCATGTTGGACATGGGTTTCGAGCCTCAGATTCGCCGAATTGTTCAGGGTGAAGACATGCCCGGTGTCAATGATCGCCAGACTCTCATGTTCAGCGCCACCTTCCCTCGGGACATCCAGATGCTCGCACGCGACTTCTTGAAGGATTACATCTTCCTCAGTGTTGGCCGTGTCGGTAGCACTAGCGAGAACATCACCCAGAAGATCGAGTACGTCGAGGATGGCGACAAGCGCAGCGTCCTGCTCGATATCCTCGCCAGCCAGTCCAAGGAAGATATGGGCCTCACCCTCGTCTTCGTCGAGACCAAGCGCATGGCCGACATGCTCAGCGATTTCTTGATCGGCAACAACATGCCCGCCACATCCATTCACGGTGATCGCACTCAGCGCGAGCGTGAAATGGCCCTCCAAACCTTCAGAACCGGTCGTACCCCCATCATGGTTGCCACTGCTGTCGCTGCTCGTGGTTTGGATATTCCCAACGTCACTCACGTCGTCAACTACGACTTGCCCAGCGACATCGACGACTACGTCCATCGTATCGGTCGTACTGGTCGTGCCGGCAATGTCGGTGTTTCCACTGCCTTCTTCAACCGAGGCAACAAGAATATTGTCCGTGACCTCGTCGAGCTTTTGAGGGAAGCCAACCAAGAGATCCCCAGCTGGCTCGAGACCGTTGCTCATGAAGCTGCCTTTGGCAGTGGCGGCTACCGAGGTGGGCGTGGTGGACGTGGCCGTGGTGGAGGACGCGGAGGCGGAAACCGTGATTACCGTTCGAACTACAGCAGCGGAGGCGGTGGAGGAGGAGGCGGATATGGCGGTGGCGGCTACGGCGGCTACGGTGGAGGAGGCTATGGCGGCGGAGGCTACGGAGGAGGACCCCGTGGCGGCTATGGAGGATCTTCCTATGGCGGCGGCGGAGGTGGCAATGGCTGGTGGTAAATCACTATCGCCCACCAGTAACTGATCCATCTTATGCCCCTTCTCTTTTCGACGATGCCCACCAATGCTCATGTGCTGCCCGCTCTCGCTCCCTCCAAAACAAAATAAAACCCTCGAAAAAAACGTTCTTCACCTCATCTATTTCCCGCTCGTCCTCGACAATCATTACATGAAGACGTTGAACCCCCGGATCGTGCATCCGTTGTACTTCTACGATTTTCTTGCTGGCGCTGGTCCCGGCACCCGACTTTAGATGCGTGTTTCACTTTGCCGGAACCAACTCGCCACTCGTCTCCTTGATTGGAGAATCCAAGGCGTTTGACGTTCCTCCCATGGATTAGACTAGGGTACGTACCGTTTGGTGCGTGTCCGTCGTTCCTATTTTGTCGGACGACGAGCATTATTTCTTTTCTTTTCTATTCCTTGGTATCAGCCCCCTCCCATCGACCATTATGTGCCTGAATTGTCGCGATACATGTTTCGAACCTTGATCATTGTTATAGTAATGTAGTTGTATACCCCACATCCGCCATGCACGACCCATTGGCATCATATTCCCCATCCTCTTCCTTGTTGTTTTCCTTGCCATTTTTTTTTCGTTTGTTGCACCAGATGGGATCGTGTATTTCTTTCGGTCTGCATTGTCCACGTCTTTACGATCATCGACGTCATCATCATCCAACGACGCACTACCTCTTACGAAGAGTATACTACTATATATACTATTATCCTTATATCACCTAGTGTATTGCGACATGACTACTTACGACTCAGAGCACATTAGTTTTTTTATTCCTTTGTAGACCTTTTTTCTTGCGCGTTTATCGTTCCAGAGAACAGTTCGACTTCTTTTTTCTTACTTTTTAGCTTGTTGGGATGGACTGATATACCTCTTCTTTTGTTTCGCTGTATGTCCTTTTTTTTACTCGTTTTAGTCGCTTTTTATGTATAGAGCAGCATGTTGGCATCACATTAGCATTAGCATTGTCATAATATATTTATTCGCCTCTAAATTGACTATTGAGTGAGCGGTACGAGGAAGAGAGGGAGATTGAGTTCCGGCGAATAGACGGATCACCGGTAATTGATGGGACGTGGCATTAGCGATTTCGCAACGTTCGCATTGGGACACGACTCGTTGCACCCCGACGTCGACAAAATGGCAGACCACGGACACTCGCACGACCACGGCGGACATACACATGGCGGACAACCATGCCAGGGCCACGGACACGGGCCCCAACCACAGCCAGCCTTCCCTCCCGTCGACCCTACGGCGCAAGCGCTCATTGACAACGACTTTGTTCCTGTCCCGCTTTCTCTCGAGCAAGATGCAACCGTTGCTGTATGTTCTGCGCATAAACAGGAGAAATGCGAACCTTGCAATGTCGATTTTGTGAATATGAATCGATTGTCTAGGGTGCTGGCGTCCAATCCTCAGCTGTTGTGTCCACCACCGAGTAATGTGGTGAACCAGAAGCTGTCGCAGATGGTCACTGCTGCCAAAGATGAGGGCAATGTGCGTCTCATCCTGCTCTCTTCAATGGAACCTAGCTGATAGACGATCTCCCGCAGGTCCTCTTCAAGTCCGGACAGCATGCACAAGCACTTACTCGATACACTGCTGCTGCCTCGCTCGCAACGCAACGTGCGCCCTGGGAGAACAACCAGATCCTACGCGAGGAGCTCACGCCTGTGATGTCCAACCGCTCTGCTGCGTACTACGATTTGGGAGACTACATTTCTGCGTTGGCGGATGCGGAAGCTGTGATTCAGATCCGCAAGAATTGGCCTAAAGGACACTTTAGAAAAGCGAAAGCGTTGTTGGGTTTGCAGAAGCTGAAGGAGGCGGCTGATGCTGTCAAGTTGGGGCTGAGTTATGAACCTAACAACCAGGTGCGTTTGCTTTCATATTCATTTCTAGTCCATTGGTTATTCGGTTTATGGGATGGTGCGCTGATGTAGCTTTTGGGGGCATCTAGGAATTGGTGACGTTCTTGGCGGATATTGAGAGACAGCAGCAAAAGTTGGAGGAGAAGAGGTTGGCGGCTGGACGCGGAGGGTCCAAAGAGGATCTTCCGCCTGATACCCCCGTGACGCCTTCTGCGTAATCCTGTTAGACTCATTTTTTTGTATTCTCTTTCCTGGATTGTAATTTATTGTATATGGCTTTCGAGAGTGTTATGACGTTTAGCCAGGGGGCCGGAAGGATTATCCAGGTCTTGTCACTTGATGAGCAAGCCACAAGAAGACCCCTTTTTTCTTTTTGGATTTTTTGCGTGATTCTTAATTTACTGAGAAGACGACGACGCCCACGCTGCGAACTTCCTGCTTGCAAGCCACACTTGTGAAGGACCACTGAGTACTCAATTGGCATCATCATCAGCATCTCTTCGCTCCTTTATTTGTGATCTCTTTTTGTCGTTCGGCCATCACCATTCAGTGACCCTAAGCGAGACGAAATCCAAGGGGCCAGCCAGCGAGGCGGTCGGTTTCTTCTCCAACACCACACTCTACACAACCATCGCTTTTCTCTCGACTTTTCACAAGTTTCTCGACCAGGTGTCAATACTTGAAGATAAAGCAATAAATCGCCAATCCTAGTCGACGGACACCATCGATTCGGAGGGAACAGGGTTAGTTTGGGGAACGGGGTCGCTTTTTGGGCTGCTTTGTTTTTGTCCACGTCGTTCTGTTTCTTGGTGAGTCGTCTACCCTATTTTTATTATGTAGGGTGTCGGAGGTTGGAGGTGCCGGGGCTTCCAGTCGATCTCGCCAATGAGGGGTTTGGGATTTGGGATTGCTAGATTATTGCGGAGGATTACCGGGGGCATTGAATCCACAGTGCTGTGTATTGGCGCCTCTGCTGCCACAGTGCATGGGTCTCCACGTTGTCTTGCTGTTCGTGGCTATCGTCTACGAGGATGATGACAAATGCTCATTAATTTCCTTGCGATTTTCCTCAAATTCATTTCGTCGCCCTCGATCCCGACTGTTTAGCATTGCTGACCGGTTTATCTCTCAAGGTTCTCGTCCGACCACCGATTTTAGGATCTCCGCACTCGTCGCCCAGCGGACCAGGACTTTTTTCGGACGGCAGACTCACTGTTAGCCACACCAAGAAGGGGCCTGCAGGATGTACAGAGAGCCATCTCCCGTATTCGATCTCCACGACTTTCCAACTCTCCGTAGAGTAAAGCCTCTTCCCAAGCGGAGGCGCACTTCAGCAACCACCGCCGATATGTCAGGACCTGCCGCTGACGCACCCACCACACCCTTCCTCAGCGCCACTATGGAAGTCCTGGGCGAAACACTCGGGGACAACATGACCACCGAACAACTCCTCGCCCATGCTGAAGAAATATCAAAAAAGATCTCTCAGACGTTCTATATGAACAATTTGGGCAACCTCACTGCGAGCTTCATGGCCGATTCGTCCAACCCGGGCATGCGGAGCGCGATCGACTTTGGGTTTACGGCTAAGTTTGATGTGGGCTCTACCGGTACATCTACGTCTGTGAATACGGATGCTACCCATGGTAGCTTCTCGTCAGAATCGGGCCTCGATTCGCTACAGGCCAATGCAGCTGGCCAGATCCATAACAGTAGCGGCACGACGACGACAACTACTGCGTCCACCTCCGCTACGGCCAGCAGTATCCTCTCCGACGTCGAGCTTATTACGGACGCGGCATTGAAAGCTCAGGGTTTGCCTGCGGAGATCCTCCGCAACCTCACGGAGAAACTCTCTCTGTCGGGGTTCCCGCCCCCGCCGTTCTCCTCTGGCCGTGCAGAGCTGGACGCGATCTTCGCGGCTGGGTACGAGGCCGGACTCAATGGGGCGGGGTTGGGGCAGTTCCGTGGTACCAGTGCGAGTGGGACGTCGATTCCTCAGAGCAAGCATGCACCTTTCTATCGGCCTCAGTTCCACCAATCGACCGAATCACCCCAAGGAGCGTATATTGAAGGGACGGTTGTCACGAATGGGGAGGATGGTGCGATGGGGTTGGGTGATTCTAGTGGTGGTGCTAATATTATGCCTGGCCCCCCTGCCATGATGCACGCCCCTCGAAGCTTCGTGAATGGCGGTGATCCTGGTGGTGGTGGGGGTGGTGTGGATATAAGGAGGCGTGGAGGGAGAGACGAGGATGAGGAGGATGAAGATGGGGACGGGGATTATGTGGATCATCTCCGCCAGCCTGGTAATACAAAGAAGAGGAAGGTGCCTGCTAATGCGGGGATGTCACCTTTCCGTGGAGGGAGTCATAGGGATGACGGGGTTGATGAGGATGGGGTGGGTGTTGCTGGGTATGGTGCGAAACGGGTTGGGCCGGATGGAGGGTACGATGATGAAGGCGAAGATGGGGGTGGAGGGGGGCTAGGAGGGGAAGGACACACTGGCGATCCTAACGGAGATGGTGGCGGGCGTGGAGGTTACTCTCCCTTCAACGCCGCACCTTTAACCACGACGAAAGCGGGTCGCATGCCTCTCCCCACTCTCTCGACTGTGACGATGTCCCTTTCGTCCTCTGCTCGCGTCGGACAGCTCAATGCGATCGTCAAAGCGCGAGGCAAGTTGTCGGCTGCGATGGTGGCAGGGTTGCAGCACAAGGAGATGTTGAAGGCGAGGAAGAGGCAGTTGGCGGCTGTGATGGGTGCGTTGACGCAAGGGGATAGTTTTGCGTTGGATCAGGCGTTGTCGATGGCGGGGAGCGTGTATCCGTTTGGAGGGCCTTTGGCCCTTACGGGACCACTTTCCTCAACGTCGAATAAGGAGAATGTTGGGGTTCAGGAGGAGGATAAGACTGCTCAGCAGGTCAAGGTCCGGCTTTCGAAGAGGATGTCGGCGAGGTTGGCGAGGGAGGTGAGGATGAAGGAGAGTGTCCAGTTGCCGAGCAACGGGGTTGCTCTGCCTTCGTCCGAGTTTGTGTTCCAATGTCCAAGTGCGAGTAAGTGTTTCGCTTCTTTGCTTTTCTTTCTCTCCTTCGTCATGACTCCTTTGCTTTCCATCCGTTCCGCCTCGTCTTGGCTTTTGCACTTGGCGTGATGGCCACTTTTTACACTTCGATTTCCCATCTTAACCCCCTTGGCCAATGCTCACTTTGCTCTTGCCCCTGGTCTTGATTCGGCGTCATTGATTTTTCTTGCTTTTCTTTTCCGTCACTTGTGTGCGTCGTGATTGTAGCCGCGGACAGGCTCCTAGCGACGAAGCAAGAGGTGGAAACGTTACGTGGCCGATTCGAAGCAGAATTGGAGAGACAAGCTGTCCAAGCCGCCAAGTTGGCCGCTGCTAGCAAGATGCTCCCGCCTCCGCCCGCCAATGGGAACGCGAATGGCGCGCCCGCCCCTGCTACTTCTGGGACTACCAAGTCGAAGAAGAAATCTGCCCAGGGAGGTTCGAAAACCAAAGGGAACAGTGCGGCGAAGCCGGCACAGCAGCAGCAAGTGCCCCAAGCTCAATCGCAGCAAACCCAAGGGCGAAATCAGCAGACGCAAAAGACGGTTGGGGGAAATCAGCCTCAGCCAACGGGTAATCACACGCTACTCCCACCGAGCAACAAGAAGAAAAAGAAGAAACGCTCCGCGCTGGCCAACGCGTCCAACCCGCATCATTTGAGGAATTACGTTCCTTCTCGACTTCCGCATTCCGGGTTCAGTCCTCACCTCGCCAACACGAATGTGGTTGCCAACTTTTTCGGACCACTTCCTCTGCGTTTCCTCAACGCAGACATCCCTCCGACGCGGAATCGGACTGGCGGGACTGGATCGACCAAGTCCAAAACCAACGCGAGCGAAACTCTCTCGACTTCCTCGTTGAGTCACGTCGGTGCTACTACGGGTACGAGCGAGTGGCTTTGCGCGTTTTGCGAGTATGATTTGTTTTATGGGGATGATGTTGCGTTTCGAAGGGCTGTCAAGAGTCGCAAGAAGATCTTGAAGAGGAGGAGGAGGGCGAAGGAGAGAGCTGCTGCTGCTGCTAGTGGGGTGAAGAGGAATGTGAATGCAGCGACCGGTAATGCGAATCCTGCGCCTGCGAATCCGGTGGGTAGTCATCCACCGGCGCCTGGTGGTGTACCTGCGCAAGCTGGGGATACGGCAGATGAGGAGGAGTATGAGGAGGAGGGGGAGGATGAGGAGGACGAGGAGTTTGATGGGGATCCGGGGTATGAAGCTGGAGGGAATGGGAGGGATGAGTATGGGAATTTGCCGAAGCATCAGACTGTGACGAAGGGTGGGGGTGGGACTGGAGGAGGAGGAGGGGGCGGAGGAGGAAGAACTCAAAATGGACAGGTCGGTCAGGCTGTTGCTGCGCGTGGATAGGTTTGTCCACGCGTGCGGCTGGGCTTTGGTAGCTGGCCTTGCCTGTTTCCTGTCTTTTGAGTTTCTTCTTTTTGGTTTTCTCCTTTATTTCCCTCTCTCATCTTTTTCTTTCTTCTGTGTCCTGTCTCGATCTTTCTCTTCTATGTTTCTCGGACTTGGTTTCCTTCTGGTCTTCTTTCTTCTTTCTTTGTGATCTCTTTCCTCGTCTCTTTTCTACCAAGACACTTGTCTATCTATTTCTCCTCGTTCCTCGGTCTCTCTGTTTCATCCCTTCCCTATCTCGCTTTCTTACAATATCCTTCAATCTGTTTCCGCGTCCAGTCGCACGTTTCACTACCACTCTATCAATCCGTAGACTCTCACCTGTCTGTCGCGCTATTATTATCCTCTAGTCACTCGCTTTCCCAAAACGTTTTCGACGTTTTATCATCGCCATATTTACCACTGCCTGCATCCATCGCCATCGTATCTATAAAACCAGTCTCTTGTCGTATTTTCCTTCATATTTCTTCTCGTTCTTCTAAACTCACGTTCGTTCTCTCCTTCCGAATCACCACAAGTCCAATCGTCCGTCCGTTCATTCATTCAATGACAATCCATCGTTGTTCCGCTACATGCCTTATTGTACACGTATATAGCCTTGCAATTAATATACTCTGTCTTTTTGGTTTGGTGTATGCTGGGAAGCTCGAGTGGTTTTGGAGTGATTTGGATGGGCTGCGTACTCAGGATTCACTGTCCGAGGCGGGTTGTTACTGTCGCGTGTAATTGAAGGACTGATCGCTGTCACTGATACAACAGTCTGTCCGTGCTCAAGCTGTTGGTTTGTGTGCCTCTTCTTCCGCGGTTTCGCCTCTGATTAAAATTTCTCATCATCGTATCACGTCTAGGTGTATACATATGTCTGTATGTGTGTGGGCTGCTGTTGACTGACTGGCCTTTTTGGCTGGTCCTCCGCGGTGTGACGGACAGACATATGGGATCAGGAGTACTTTCCTCTCTCGAGACCTGTCAAGTCAGTCAGGTGTTGCCATGGATTGGTTCTGCACCCAGGGAGGGTAGTGATTAAGAATTTAGGGTACTGATTCAACTTATCTTTGGGCTCGTGTAGCACATGTACGAATGAAGGGGCTTTGAAAGGGCACATGGCGGTGGAGTATCGGCAAGGCAAACCTGGCGCACAGATTCAAAGAACAATGTGTACCTTGTGTAGCTCACAATCGTGTACTTGTACATCGAGGGAGACGGTCTTCTGCCACATCGCCCTCCCAAGACCTCGTCCGACGGATCCGAAGCCGTTTTTTAATTCAATTGACAGCAAGGAGGGAAAAGTTCGCGCGATGGTTGGCGGCGGCGTCATTGTTGCTTGTCAGTTCCTCCGGCGAAGTTCTGCTAAATAGGCATTTTAGAGTTCCCGCCTTGCTTGTTGGAGATGTCTCGGAAAGGAACTAGCGGGAGCGTCTGCATACATTTACGGCAGTTTTCAACTTCGAAAGTCGTCACCTTCGAAGCGATGAATTGAGAGGCTGATTTTGGGTTTGCGTTCTGATGATGTGGGCGGCCAGCACGGGCTGTCAGGCGGCCTGTTGGCCGGGGTTAAGCGGGCCGAGAACTTTCATCATTTGAAGGACAGCGACTGTGGTGTGTTCACTTTACCCCTTCAAGTCAATCTCTTCCCGGCTACTTTTCCTCTTATTTTCTCTTCACTTTTGGGCGTTTACTCTGCTTCTAGGGTCTGAAGGATCCTGAACACAGCCTGACTGCACTCAGGCTACCCTATTTGGCCACGGAGAACGAGACGTCGACGAGAAGCTCTGGCGAAATCAGATTTCCCCCGCGAATAAAGCGTCTTGGGGTTCAGGCCGCTGGTTCGCCGTAGTCAGCGGCGGTAGTCTGTCTGACTTGGGGAAGAAGGCCTTTTCCCCTTCGACCTGCTTGTCCTCGTTATAAATAGGGTCTGGTCGGCTATATAAACTCGAAGAAAGGGTCCACCAGTACCCTGGAGGTGGTCTGCCGTCGAGCCCGTAAGTCTATCATTGGACTTGTCTATTCCGGGGTGCTTGATTCAAACCTCCTCAGTCTATCACACATTTCAACCCTTCACTGCAAGGTCGGAAGTTGAAAGAGGGGACGGACAACCAATCGTGGTTATCACCGCTCGTTTGCCTCGGTCAAGCTTGCTTTCCTGTCTTTCCTTCCTTCTCTGACCTTGTGCACGACTCTGTTGCGGGCTCTTGACGGATGGTGAGTGATTCTAGACTTTCCCGTGGCTGGTGGACGCTGGGATCCATGTAGGGTTTTCGAGTGTCGGAAAGCGCTGGGGGGCCAAGGGGAATGACCATATACAGTTCGAATGCTGGTCATGGCACAGCATACCCGAGACTCCGACGGATTTTTTGCGGTATGGATCATTACGAACCCAGGGAGATGACGGTATATTGTTACCAACCCCGGTGTAAACATCATCGTGCACTTTTCATTTCGATAAACTTGCTCCCATCATGCTCACGCTTTCATCAACCGTAACTTACCAACCCTCTCTCTGTCACTTTAGCTCTTCCAATCGCTTATTGACACCCAACAACTCTCACGTTTTGTTATCCATATCCTACATTAAGCCCGGGAAAGGTTCTCACTATCGAGGCCGTGTGTCAGTTTATTTAAGGACGTGCTTGGTGAGTCTTATAACTCCTGCTGGCCCTTGGACAAGCTGGTGTTGACGCTGACCCGGCTCATCGTGCAATCTTGTCTTGCTCCAACTTTCTTTCCTTAGATCTCTTCAAGATATGTCATCGGACGGGCGATACATGTACCACCATCCTTCTAACCCAAACATCAGCTACGACTACTACCCCCCTCCTGTCACGTCGTATGAGTCTCCTCCGCCTCCGCAACAAGTTCAAGCCCCGCCAATGCGTGTCGGAAGGTCGACATCGTCGTCCCAATCGGCGTACTCGCCTCCTCAACCGACGCCCTCACATTATAATCAGCCCCCTCCCCCCCCTCCTCCCCAGACATCCTACACTCCACAGTCATACACCCAACCAGTGTATCCCCCTGCTCCAGGATCGTCGTCGCATCCACATCACGCACAACAGCAGCAGCAGCAACAACAGCAACATCATCACCAGCAAAGTCATCAGCCGGCCCCTTCTTCAACGCCAGCTCCTCAATGGAGCAGCAATCCTCACAATGAAGGCTGGGGGAGTTACAATCAGCCTTACGCCCCACCACCTCCGACGCACCCCGTTGAATCCCACGTACCGACATACGGTTCATCAAGCTCAACCCGCGCCCTAGACCCTTCTCCGACCAGTTCTTCGTCGGCGGAACCGCCACGCGGAGGGTACTACTCTCAGATTAACCATAATCCTAATGCCCACGAGAGCCACAACAATACACACGCCCCTCCATCGGCTGCACCGACCGCCCCTCCTCTGTCAGGACCCTACGCGGATAGTCATTCGAGGCGTGTTAGTGATCGCATCTACCCTCCACCACCACCCTCTTCAAGTTCTTCGAGCTCGTTGGCTGCTGGAGTTCCGCCTCCCTCCTCTACTTCTTCATCATCCCTTGCTTCCCACCTCCACCAGTCTCACTCGTACCCGCCTGCCCCTCCACTTTCCCATTCTCATCAGCATCAACATCCACAGTCGCAACCTCGCCCTCCTCACCCCCAGGGCTTGCCTCCAGCACCAACCTCGATTCCCCCGCCCAGTTCATCGTCTCAACATCAACCACCACCTCCTCCGCCTCCGCAAGGTTATTCTCACTATCAACACCCACAACCACCGCAGCCGCAACCGCAACCGCAATCGGCACCTCCTCCTCCACGACCTCCCCCGAACATCAGCCCGCACTATCCTCCGCCGCCCCTGCCGCCGTCAAGTACATACCAACCACTGAAGCGGGAGAAGGAATCGCCTTCAACCCCAGCCCCTGCTCCACCCTCACAACCTAGTGCAGGAGCCATCGATTTCGCAAAGGTTCGTTTCATAGACTGCTTCTTCCATTCATTTAGACTAAAATATGACATTCCGGCGTCTTAAGCTATTGGATTCGTACAGAGGTGTAATGGAAGCCTGTGATATCTTCTCCAAATCGACTCCCCAGCAGCCGAACTCGGGATCCCCTTACACCAATCCCCCACAGATATCTCTAGATGCATTGGAGAAGATGTTGCAGCAGGCCAGCTATGGTGCACAAATGCTGGAGGCGGCTGCAAGTGCGGCTAATGCCCAGCCGTCTCAACAGCAGTACTCTTCGCACCCCCCAGCGCCTCCCACGATGCATTCCCACCCGTCACAGATGGGTCCTCCCCCGACGACACCTTCTATATCCACGTCTTCATCGCTGAGCGGTGCAAACCCTCCCATGCCATCGGACAATCGGCCTCCGTCTTCCCATGCCAATTCTACTCAAGTGCTCTCTGGGCCCGGTGGGACAGCATCTGTGGCAAACCCACCCGCCTCAAACCCCACCACCAATATCCCACCGCCGTCAGCCACGTCTCGAACACGGACGCCCAAGAAAGAGATCCTCCACCCCGGTCAAGGGCAGATGCAGTTGGAAATCATTCAATCCGACGGTGGGAAGGACGGTGCCTCTGGTTCCGCGAATGGATCGTCAGCTGGTGGTTCTGGGAAGAAAGGCGTAAGTAAAATTTCCCTCGGAAGCTCCCTTCATACAATATGTTGGCTAACGAAAATTCCCCGATGTAATTTGGTGGACTTTTTTATATTACAGAAACGAGAGGACGGAGATAATCAAGTCTGTCTCGGGTGTGGTGCGACTTCGACGCCTGAATGGCGGCGCGGGCCGTTGGGTGAGTGAGGTTTCTTTTGTATCTGGAGCTTGTTGAGCTCCGTAGGGTTATGCCCCCTCCTGTTCTGATTAACTGACTTCTCTTGCTTGGCTTTAGGTCCAAGAACGCTTTGCAACGCTTGTGGATTGGTATACGCCAAGATGGTACGTCTTTTGCAGCTGGACGCTAAGCTTGAGCTTGCTCGTCTGTGCTTAAGTTTACTGGCCCTGTCTGCGCACTATTTTCTCAACTTGCCCTTTTCGTTTTTTTGCACAGATCAAAAAGCGCGCACGGGAGGCAAATGGGAATGGCAAGGCAGAACCCAAAACCCATGCTTCCAACGCGCAACGACGGATCGGCCAAGAGGGTGGACCCGAATCGAACGACGGGGACAGCGATTTTGGCTCCCGCGACGGGCGAATGGACAACACCAACAACTCTAGGCCATAGCCCTGCCCTTTCGTTTCTCCTACACCCTTCTCCCCAACCCTTTGGTCCCTTTCTTGCTTCGTTTCTGTCGATGTTGTTATTGTATGTTTTACCAGGTCGTTTCTTCTTTCAGTGCTTTAGTTGGGGACGTTGCATTTCGATTTACATTTTCTCAGATATCCTAGTTTACAAATGATTCCCTTTCTTTTTCCTTCTTGTCGTCTTGAGGACCTAATTCTGTCAACTTGTCGTGTCGTGTTTCGTTGTTTGTCTTTGCTTTGGAATTGCAGTTGTCATTTAAACTTTGCCTTCATACCGTTGCACCGTGCCGCTGTCCATTGGCACCTTCCGTCTTGGGATGGTGCTATTCCTTTTTCCTATTTTGTCTTTCCCTGATCTTTTTTTAGCCCTTGCGAGATCGTTTGGCTCACTTAGAATGAATGGCCCTGTGCGTTCACGCTGTTAACGTTTCACATAGGGATTTGATATGACCAGGGGATATTAGGCCGCCGAGTGGGGCTTTTGACAAAGATGTTTTGCTTATGGTAAGAGGACCCTACTACCCCTTTTGTGAAGGGGAAGCTGACTGACTTGTGGGCTCGATATTAGGGATGGCGTTTTCGAATCAGATTGTGGGTCTTGCTGGGAGTTGCAAAGCACCTACTACATAATTTGTATTCGCTGCACGTGTCCAAGCTGAAAAAATCGAGTCCGATTGAGGGTGCTCGAGTTCTCAAGGGCCAAGACCCCCTCGTGGGCGCCTCTTCTACCCTTTGCCCATGTATAGGAAGGACCCAACCACACCATGGAATTGGCGAATTACTCAAGGAGAGATTCCGTCGGAACTACCGCTAACGGTTTAGAAGTGTATGCACCCAGTGGACCCTACTCATAATTGTCCTCTCAATCACCCACCCCTGCTCCTTCGCCTCCGAATTCAAGTGTTTGGTGATCACGTCTTAGATTCACCCCGGTGGCCGTTTATCTTTTGCCTGCACAGGTACTTTTTTGGATAAAGCACCCGATACTGTTGGGACATTTGCCACTTGCGAAGGCTCAAACCCAATTCAATACCGTGTCTGATTGATCAACCACCAGACTACGTATCAGAGGATATTGACAACTTGAAGGATCGGCCTTCTCAGGTTTACCATCTGTGCCCCAAATTTAACGAGGAACGTGCGGCCGATTAGCACTCGCACTTGGAATTACATACTTTGAACGAGTGATTGTTGGAACGAGTTCATCTCCGTGGGGTGTATGCGTAATGCTTTGACGAAGCTATACAGTGCCTCCGCACTTTAGTGTCGCCACCAGACATAGTCTCCTAACTAATGACCGTCTGGGATGCGATTCAGGCTACATACTTAATTCGTATTCCTTCGTGGCGCCCTTTTGATTGATGAACCGAAGGGTGAGGGTCCACTAGAGGAGATCAAGACATACAGATTGTCCTCAATGGAATACTCTACCAGTACGTGTTTATCGAGATCAACCCCACTGAACCCGACATCCACGAACACTGTACGTATTCCGTTCCGATCTGATATGTGGTCAGACCGTCAACGGCGTTAGGGCGTACATATTGGGCCTCCAGCACACAGTCTGCTTACGGAAAGCATCTCTTTCCACCGGGTTAAAGGAGTGTATCAAACAGAACGAACGAAGAGTCAACGACTAGGTACAGTGGATGTTAATGAGCCAGCATTAACATCACGCGATAGAAAATATCCTCATTCCCCATTTTCCGCTGGTAGAGTGGAGATAGCCAGTGCGGATGAATGCGAGGTGGTTCAGTGGTCCACAGGTTGCATCTTCAACCACATACCACCCTAAGTAGACAGCACGATCAGAATTCGACGCACAGATGCAGCCTCGATGCACGACAAAGAGCTTACCTTGCTCGACATTGTGAGCACCAACTTTGGCATGAACCTCTCCTTCGCCTTCCTGCTATTTTTACCGACTTCAGCCCACTCCTTTGGTACTCGACAATCGGGAGGGAAGGCCTCTTCATCAAGAGTGAATGAAGAGAACGTCTGGAATAGGCGAACAAGCACAAAGGACGTCACGTTGTATGCGAACTGCAAGGAAGTTTGGTATACGAGATTAGAACCTAGGAAGCGTTCGTATGAATGAAGACTTCGAACTTACTTGTTGGCCTAAGCATATCCTTGGACCCGCGTTGAACGGTATGAAAATGAATGGGTTGGGAACTAGGTATTTCTTAACCCTCTCATCGATGAACCGGTCTGGATCGAATTCGAGTGCATCAGGTCCCCAGAGATCCTTGCGTGTTTGTGTGAGAAGCGCGCTGTAGGGAGTTCTGTTCGCGGTACATTTAATTAGCTTGAATGAGATGGATGACGATGCCCTGGGGACTCACGCAGCACCAGGGGGTACATAGATAGGTTTCTGTGTCGGGTCGGGAGACGGCCAGATAGCACCATTGACACATTCACTAGAGGGTGTATGAATGATTAATTCTCCGGTTATCGATGAAGAGCACGAACCGGACATCCATGGGTCTATAGAGGAGACGCTGTAATGAGTTTTATCATAACGTTGAGATAAGCTATTAACATACACCGGTGGGAGCAACCTCAGACTCTCTATGAATTCCAAGTCAATACGGAGTTGCTGCGAATGTTCGAGATAGGCATACCATTGATAACGGCCCTCAAGAACTTCATCTCTCGCACATCGTCATAAGTCGGGGCTCTTGATGGACCAACTCGGTTCAGGACTTCTTCTCTGACGCGTTCGAGAACATGAGGATGAAGAGAGAGAAGGTAGATAGTGAAGGTGAGAGTCGCTGAAACCTATGCGACCCGTCAGATGGAAAAGTGATGTAGACTCATAATTATATAACTCACCGTATCTCGACCTGCCAGAAGAATGTTCAAGGTCTCGTCCTTCAGAATTCTCGGGTCTGCAAATTCCACATATTTAACCTTCTGACGCCTGGATTGGACAGTCAACAACGGCTTACCGGATGTCGACCTGACGAGATGATCGAGTAACGTCTCGTCCGCGTCAATGTCAGCCTTTTGCCCGTTTGCCTTCTCAGAGTCACCATACAACGCCTCCTTCTCCTTCCTCTTCCGAATGGCTTCGTTGATTATGGGTTCAACAAATCTGTTGACGACCGCCATATGAGGTGCAGCTTTGTCCTCGAAGATTTCCAGGAGCGGCCACGCCCATCCATTTCGTTCTCTTTCGGCAATCACGAACTGCGCATTCAAGAATGCCTGTGTGAAGGAGGTGTCCTTCGCGCTGGAGGCGGAGGAGTACCGGGGATGGTTATACGGGAGAGCCAAATCGTCGGGGGTAATCTTGAGATTGTCAACACAGGCACCAAAGAGGATATCAGTCGAGATATCGAGGGTCAAGCGCTGCATGACATCCTGGAAGTCTACTGCATACCCTGTTTTCGCCTTGGCCAAGAGAAGCGAGAGGGCAGTTTGTGTGTGTCGGTCGAAGCGGTCGAGGTCGGTGACACGTTCTCGAGAGAAGAAGGGCCGTGTCATAGAGCGGTGGAATCTAGAATCGATGGTTAACACGGTATGCCCACAAGGAAAACTGTGTCACTTGCTTCCAGAGGTCACCGTCGGAGTTGAAGACACCAGTCCCTAGAACTGCGGACATCGCGAACTGGAATCGTTCACCTGGAAACGTGGTTAATGGTTACAGCGTGCAAAACTGAGAGACGGCCTACCTTTCACGTAGTTATTGAAATCAGTACTCAAGATCAACTTGACGTGTTCGGGTTCGACTGTGAATATCGTATCTGCGAACATGATACGGGGGTTGAATGTGTTCCCCAGGTCCTCAATAATCTCTCGAATTCCGTCAGCTGAACGTTCAGTCAGTATACATAAGGGCGGGCAAAACACAGAGGGCACGAACCAGCATAGCCATTCTTCCAGCAGTTCAGCAAGTACGACAATTGGTCCATATTTCCTATTCTCTTGCCTTGCAGAACCGGTGCAAGGCGTGCACCCCTCTTCTCCGCCTCTCGTTGGTTCCTCCATTGCTGGTATACAAGGGCAGCAGCAATACGAGTGGGAATGACCAACACCGACAACGCGAGGAGCAACCACCCTGGTACACGAGGAATTCCCGATATCTTGTTCGACGCGACGCGTAGGGCCAGCGTCGCGAGACCATAGTTGAACGCTGTTGGAACCACCAAATTACGGGTGAGGAAAGCGACCCCTGGGGTCACTGTGAGGCGAGGCATTCTTCCAAGCTGGGGTTGTCCCAGAGGATACAAAACTGTTAATAAGCGATTTGAATTGTGGACATGGACTCCCAGGCTACGTGTGTAACAGCCAACTGCGGCTTGATTATCCCTTGATATTCTGCACTTCTTCCGAGTTTCCCGACAGATTCTTCAGTAGTGCCTTGTTTCCACCGGTGATTGAGAGCCTTTACGATCCAAAGTGCCGTCACAAATTCAATCGGGACTGGAGATAGGCGAGTCTGGTTTCTTCCAAAGGTGTAGGTTCTGTCCTAGAGGTTGAGTTCATTTGGTAAATGATAAGGAGCGCTGGACGCTCTCCCCTGCTCGTTCAAGTTGCGGTTGAGAAGAGGGTTAGAGCTGCCGAATGTTTGCCAATCACATTTCCCACGCCCTTGCCTTTCGTGATGCCCACCATCATTGCTTGACGATCTTATGGACTCACGGTTTGTCAAACGGACCTACCTTTCCTTCAGCGCCTAAATACTACTAAGCAACAACGGAACCAAGAGAGCAAAGGTGATATGTTCAAGAAGTCTCTTGGTTGTCTCGGCGGCAAATTAAGCGCGCGCACCGTAGAATAAGCAATCTCATTCAAAGCCCCTTAGCTGTCGGTTGTTCATGGCGGAAGCACTGGAGAACATCCGTCTCTCTAAGTTACATAAATAAACGCCAAATAACAAACGGCTTTTACAAGATACTTTACTACATTACATGGTTATAACAGATACACAGTGCAAATCTTCCCTTCAATTCTCCAACTCCCTATCCAAAATCTCCTGCGCCTCAACACACTCCTCCGGGTGCCTAAACACCCTCAACACAACCCAATCAGGCATAACCGTCCTCGCCTGCCAAACTCTCAACTGCAACTCCGCCCTCCTCCGATCCTCAACCGTAACAGCCGTATTCATCTGCCTAGTCACCCTCTCAAAACGCGCTTTAAACGCATGTCCAGCTGAAGGGTCGTTAGGATCAGACCCATCATAAGAAAATCGACTTGAAGAACTGGACGATGTGGATATTGAAGACGCTGCGTCGCCGGTCCGTTGGGAGCGCCGGGTTGCGATGTCGGCCAACGCAACGCCCACCCCTCCGTTCTCCGAGTTGGCCAACGACCGAGAGGATTTGGTCGAGCCACGGCGCCGGCGACCGTGAAGCGAAGGTGGAGGGGTAGCCTTGGGTGGCTCAGTGATGAATTGGCCAGCTGAGCTAGATTGCTTAATCGTGCTGGATGGCGTCATGGTGGGGGTGGAGTTCATCCTAGGCGTCGGATTGGCGTCTCCAACCTGGCCTTGTCCAGAAGATGTACTCTGGGCTATCTGTGGTGTCGCCATGTCTTCTGGCTCCTCGTGGAGGGCATCGCTCAGCTTCCTCGTCTCCCATACCGAGTCGCTATCAAAGTACCCATCCTGTCCCTGCGCTTGAACGTTATTGGGCGTCGAGTCGCGCGACCAGAGTGATGAGATGGATCCCGACCGCTTGCCCACTGCACTCGCCAACAGACTCGATACGGACCGCGCTACAGAGGGCCGCCGTTGTCCCTGGCCATATATCCCAGCGTCTCTGTCGTTGCTGAAGGTGCTGTCCGTTTCAGAGGCAAGGTTCGCTTGAGATTCCGAGCTGAGACCGACAGTGCTTCTTGTGGCACGGGCAATCAGAGCAAGCCCGCCCGTTGGGTCATCGATGGGATCTGTCACACCTTCAATAGTGCTCACGTCACGAATGAAGACCCCGAGAATGTTGTTAGGCCGTTGGCGTGTCAAACTGACGAAGTATTAATCCTCTTGCCGTAGAAGCGTGACACGAGAGAAGCTTACTCTGCATAGAGCTCAAGGTCTTGTTCCCCACTATCACCAATCAGGAAAAACCGCGAGTCGGGGAAGGAGTCGAGCACTTCTTCCACACCCGCTCGCTTTCGACCTGCAGCTGTCGTCATAAGCCCGTTGAACAATGAGCGTCGAGCGTACGACTTTAGCTTGAACGACCCTACACATGAAGTGGTCAGACCCTGATTATGTTGTTGGTTCGAAGAGGGCACATACCAGGTGGGAGCTGAGCTAGTGGGAAGAATTCGTTCAGGACGGAGGTATATTCAAACGGGCCGTTCGACTATTCATTAATCAGCTGCGTGAACGTCTGAAAGGACATCACAGATACTCACCACATAGTGAAACCGGACTCCATTCTTCCACATCTTCGTGTACCACTCTCCCATACCAGGGACAACACATTCTTCCAACTCCTTCGCAAACACGTTATAGAATACCGACCTCGCCCCTCCCAAAACCTCCGATTTCTTCACGGTATCATCAATGTCAGAAATGACACGAATAGGACTGTGCGTGATGGGTATATGGATGTTCGTTTTCCTGGTCGATGCACCTGTCGAGTCCGTCGAAGTCACGGTCGGTTTTGCTTTAGTGGGACTTCGAGAACTGGAATACGTGGTATAGGTAACCGGAGGGCCTCGTTGTTCCGGGGACGGTGGTTCCAGCAGCTCAGCAACGACGACAACTTCATGCTCGAGGCCAGAATCGTGCCCGTGACCAAAAGCGATATGCAGCCCTCGCGGATGACAGCAAAGCTTGTCCCAGTCGACTACAAAGCGTGCTTGAAAGCTTCCATCATTGTCGGTTGTCACTTCGACTGTATCAAGTGGGATGTTGTATTCATGGGATGCATCGTCTTCACTGATACCGCTCGGCGCGGTAGGGTTATTCCGAGGAGAGGCGAAGAGATGGAGCCGGACAGTCCTTCCAACTACAACACTCGACCAAAAAGGTTTCAGCCTCGCTTCGAGGTTCGCATGGAGTTTTGTGATCGCTTCGGATGTTAGGTTGGCGATAGCCTCTCCTGCGGAGGTTTCCTGTCGCATGGGCGTTTCTGAACGCGCGGGCATGAGAGCTGGATCCGGAGGTGGTTGGCGCAGAGTTAAGTCGGCCGTGTTCAGCGCTCCTCTATCTGGGGCGGGGAGCTCGCCGTTCTCCTCCAGGTATGCAATGTTATACGCTGCGTCCATTTCCTCTGGTCTGGGGGGAAGGTGGGCATTAGCAAGAAGCTCTTCCGTAGAGCGGGACATGGACAGGCGAGGATCATTTATTGGTGGAGAAGACGAGTTGGAACTTGGCGGGGTCGGTGTCGCCGACGCTGCCTCTGAAACCAGTTTTGGAAGAGACGCGAATCCTAGATTTGGGCGTGTTCGATAAAAGCGCATCGAAAGGCTAAATTGGGTGACATACCTTTCGCCAGTCGAATGAACGCCCGGTGAGAGCGACTCATGTTGTCTCTGTTTCGGTAGCTAATAGCATATCCAGATGCAAAGACTTCCACCTGGAAAGGTCTCGGTGCTACCAACATTCATTAGTAAAAGCCACTGTTTGTTGAACAACGCTACGTACCATTAGGTTCCAAAGTTTCCGCGGGAGCTTGATTGTCGTATCGCTTAGCAGCCCATCCAGGGAACAGCGTGATAACCTCCGTGACATCCGATGTTGCACTGTAGCCCGGGGATGTGGCTGAGATACCGCGACCGGCGCTAGACGCGTACACCCCGTTTACTTGGTTTATCGCGGACATTCCAATCCCGATACCCCTCGCTTTAGCCCTGTTCAGTTTGTCCCCCGCCCATTCGCGCCATCCTTGTCTCGGTCCATGGCTCTGATGTCGATGGTGCTGGGGTTGATGTGGTTGTGGAGATGAACTGGAGCTGTGGAAGTTACTGTAGCTTCTGCTATGACTAGCGAGCATCGACGAGGACGAGCCCTGGGACTGATAGTCGTGTACCACCGTCGACGACGAAACCATTTGGGAACCAAAGGAGGAGATCCTAGGCCGCGCCTGACCATTCCCGAGCAGAGACCCGGGTGAAGCTGTGTAAACTGCACGATTCATTGCAGGACGGTGCGGGTCGTGAGGTTGTGGGTTGTACGACATTTATCGATGGTCGCCGTTGGAGAAAGAAAGAAAAAGAGAGCCCACAATTGTGGAGAACATGAGGATCTTGGGAAGAGGATGCAAAGCCCGTGCGTCCCGCATCCACGAATTGACGTAATCAGGAGACAACTCCCTCGATAAGGCAAATGGTCCCTATCTCACACGGGGTCGTCCAGGCGATCAGCTGAGGTATAAATTTACCGTTTATTTTCGTGAACTTGGTCTACTTGTGTCTGCAAGTATGAGCATTGTCATTTACTTTTATTGGGGATGGAGCGGGAGTACGATCCTCCCGGTGTTATCTTCTTTGCACCTGTTTGATGGAATGCTCGAGGCGACTGCGGAGACGGGCGCTGATTACCGTCTAGACTGAGCGCCGACCGTTTCACCCTTCACGGCACCCGGAAGTCAAAAATAGACAAAGCTATGTACATAAGGCCCCACGCCGCAAGGCAGCTGGACCTTTTATTCTTCTTCTTTCTCTCTTCCCTTCATCCGCCCAAATGCTCGTCTCTCTACGGGCTTTTGCAGCTCTCGTTGCCTTGATCTCACATGTCGCAGCCATCCCAAAGGTCACTCGCACTGGTCGATACCTTTACCAGGAGGATGGCACTCGCTTCTACATCAAGGGTATTGGATACCAGGTGCAAGGTCCGTGCCACCCTACCGCCGCAGCGACGAGGACAGCACTGACGACCCTTTGCAGGCGAGGTCCACGACCACGAAGACAACGACTTTGACGAGCCTGCTACCTTTGAGGACCCCCTAGCCGACCCAGACGCATGTCGCCGCGACGTTCCTCACCTCACAGGTGCCGGAATCAATACCCTCCGCGTGTACAGCGTAGACTCTTCCCTCAACCATGACGAATGTATGAATCTATTCAGCGAGGCGGGTATCTATACCATGTACGTTTCAGATTCACGCGATAGCGTCCATATTTGAACTAACCTCTTCTTTCTAGCATCGACTTGTCCACACCTCTTAACGGCTCCATCGACCGTATCGCCCCCGATTGGTCGACCAACCTCCTCGATGCGTACACCCGAACAATCGATGCTTTCGAAAAATACGACAACGTTATCGCCTACAACGTCGGTAACGAAGTTGTTACAGGGACCACTCCACAGGCCGCTCCCTACATCAAAGCCGCTGCCCGTGATACCAAAGCCTATCTGTAAGTCCTGTTTCTATGATATCGTTGACGAACTCACTTAAATGTCATTCAGGAAATCTATCAATTCAGATAGACTTGTTGGATATGCAGCCATTAACGGTGCCCCCGACTTCCGTCACGCCCTTGCAACCTTCTTGACATGTGGCTCTGAAGAAACCTCCATCGACTTGTACGGCCTCAACGAATAGTAAGCTAGCTCCTCCATCGACGGGAACGCGGCCGCTCACCACATCCCACAGCTCCTGGTGCGGCGACTCCTCCATCCAAGCCTCAGGCTACGGCACCCTCGTCACCGAATTCGCCGACTACAACGTCGCAGCCTACTTCAGCGAATACGGCTGCAACGCCGTCACCCCGCGCATCTGGAGCGAAGTCGACGCCCTCTTCAGCTCCCCCATGTCCGACGTCTGGTCTGGCGGCATCGCTTTCAGCTACTTCCCAGCTAGAAGCGCTGCCGGGGAGTTTGGAATGGTCACCATCTCTGGATCCACCGTTACTGAGAGCACCGAGTTTGAGAACCTCAAGGAGAGGTATAATGCCGTTACCGGTCCTAACGAACCTTCAAGAGACTCTGCCTCCGCGTCAACGTACCCTACTTGTGCTGCTACCTACCCCGGTGCTTCTACCGACCTCCCTGCTACCCCCAACGAGGCCGCCTGCACTTGTTTGCAGAACGCCCTCAGTTGTCGCTTCACCCCCACTGTGGCGGACTATAGCGATATCAACGGCGAACTCCTCAACGTTGGCTGCAGTCTTCTCGGAGAAGCCGGTGGGTCCTGCGACGAGATCGGTGGCAACGGTACCACGGGAACATATGGCCGTCTTGCAGGCTGTGATCCCCGTGCGTCTTCCTTCATCTATTCGCTAACCACTCAGGGACTAATACTAGCACCCTTTCGCAGTCGTCAAACTCTCATACGTCATGAGCCAGTACTACGAATCTCAGGACAGGAATCCCCAGGCATGCAGTTTCAGCGGTAACGGAACCGTCAATGATGCAGCCTCCCCCACCGAGTCCGCAGAAGCCCTCGCTAGCTCTTGCATCTCCAACCCTGATGCCACGTTCGTTCCCCCAAGGCCGAGCGGCACCGGTGGTTCATCGTCTGGTGGTGGAAGCGGCAACAACAATAATAACGACAATGATGATGATGCAGGTAGTGCCAACTCGCTTGACATCTCTGCTCTTGTTGGAGTAGCTTCGATGGCTGTTGTTGGCATTGCCAGTGCCGCGTGGTCCTTGCTGTAAGTTTTGAGATACCACTGAACACTGTTGTTGGATAGCGTTGGACGTCATTAGACATTTCAAACCTTTATCTGAGTACCGATATAGTCGCTCCTTTCCCGTTTTAGGTACTTCACATACGGACTTGCTTGTTAATCTATGCATCTACGCGGACAATGATCATTTACATTCGGATTCAGCTTCCCGAGCTCGTCAGTGAGTCATAGATATGCATTCCCAATAGATTCCCATCACTATATGTACATTCACAACCTTGACTGCAACTGCGAGCCTTCTACAGCACTACGGCAATCACAATATTCCGTCAGGTTAAGTAAACAGACACCAATTTCACAAGTTCCTCAAAGTACCTTACAATTTCTCCTTGAACCACTTGACAGCAGCGTCGAACGCGCCCTCCTTGCCAGCCTTAACCTTGGGGTTGGAAAGATCGCCTCGAACAGCAAATCCGTGGGTACATCCTTCCCAGTACGTGCGCTTGTAACCCGGTGCGAATTTCCCGTCGCCGAGGATCGAGTCGGTGATGGCTTGAGCTTCGATGGGGAAGCGCTCGTCGAATTCGCAGCTGTTGATGAGAAGAGGTGCCTTGGACAAGGTAAGATATTTCTATGAGGAGTAAGTAAGGAAAGAAATTAGGCCCATTCATGGTGAAACAGGAAGGGGTTCTAACCTCGATATCCTCTGGAGCTTGGACGAAAGTGGGGTGGTTGGCGACTGCGACTGAGATGATGTTCTCGAACGCAAGGTCGAAGACATAGCGGCCTAACATGTAGAGACACCGTCAAAGCCGTACCCTGTGAATTGACAAGAAAACGTACCACCAAAGCAGTATCCAACTGCGCCGAAGGTTTTGACGCCTTGTTCTTTCAAAGCATTGATGACCTTGTCGAGAGGAGGGCGGGTTTGCTCCTTTCCGTGCGATGCAAGCCATTTCATGAGGTCGAAGGTGGACTACAAGTCGAAATGTCAGCATCTCCATCCCCGACAAGGGTCATTGTCGAGAATGCCTACTCCAGGGTTCAATCCATCGGCGGGGATAGGGTCCCCATTCAGGTAATCGGGGATGACGGTCTAGTATCATGGTTTTAGAGCAACGTGGAAGGGAAGTCAGGCTTTGCCACAAGAAGGATCAGAACAAGTCCCTCGCCTTCCACCCATTCCGCGCAAAGTCGTCGGCCAAGAGCTGGGATCATCAAGCCCCCCGTCAGTAAGGTTGAAATTCGAACAAGCGCCCAAGCCGCGGGACGGATATGAAGCATACTACATACCTGGGCATTGGGAAGCTGAGGGCCAAATACGTCCGCGAGGTAGAGAATAACTTTGTCCTTGGGGTAGTCGCCTTCAGGTGTCGCTACGTAGCTCTGCACGCCACCGATGGTCTCCCATTTTCCTTGAGGGAATGGGAGTCGGATACTTAGATCATAGGCGGATATCGGTGCGCACCAGTTGGAGTTCCCTCGTGTCTCACACCTGGAAAGTCCAGACCATGATGAGATCGACGCTACGCTTTCGTATCAGGAAATAGGCCCGCACCTTTAACACAATCGGCGCAGAATCCTGTGTTGCTGCTCATCTTTATCAGATTTTTGCGGGGAAAGTTGTGTGGCTGATGGGTGGATAGTGTAGTATAAGAGGGAAAGTTTTGAGGCTAAGTGAGAGTGGGAAACGATGGGTTATGGGTGCGCAGAGAACTCGGGGCTGTCAAATCTTCGGAGACGTTGCCGGTTGAATTGCTTATCTTATCTCGCGTCATCTTGTTCGTCGGCCCGCGACGACCGGGATGTTGAAGATTCGCAGGGGACAAACGAAACGATTGCCACCTTCAAGGTTGAGTACTGAGTCAGGGCGCCGTCGTAGCGGTCTAATTGAAGTTGTAGTGTGTCATCTGGCGATTCATACCTTAGTCTTTCCTTGAACAGTGCCCTGATGTAAATGTATGCGACCTGGGCAACTTTGAAAACTGCTCAGAGTGCAGGACTGACGAAATACCATGAGTACTTGGATGCTTATTGTATTCCAGAACATGGGGGCGTAATTTCTGAATCTACTTCGCCTGTAATCGTCTCCCATCTGACCGTGCTTCGAGGCTGTCCCGGACAGCGGCCAATACGCGACGCGTCGCGCAAAGCCAATTAAGCGCCTACAGCCAAATCAGGATGCGTGACAGCAACACGTGTGGTAACGCGATCGTCACGCCAAGAAATGGTCACGCACGGCCGTATTCTTGGCAAGGGGCAGCAAGGCGTCTGAGAAAGTTTGAATGAGTATTGTGCTCGCCGCTGCCATCGACGACCGACCCCGACCGAACCGCCAACCGAAATGCCACCACAACCCGGAGTCTTCCCCATAAACTACAGCGGCGCTTCTCACAAAGGCCGTCACGCACCCTACCCCGACGTTGACATGGCGCCTCCGTACCACCAAGCAGGACCCAGCTCCAGGTTACATGGTCAGTAATCACTGTATCGTCCCAGCGTTTGTCTGGTCTTTGACAAGGAGATAGAAGATGGAAAGAAGGAGAAGAGACGAAAAGATATCTCTGGCAAGGTTGGAAAGGAAATACACGACAGACGAGAAGAGTGAGCATCCCTTTTCCGCATGATCCCTGAACCAGCGATCTGACGAGTGCACGGTTTGCACCGACCCACCAGCGCTCGACATTTCAGCGAAACGATATCGGCACTGCACAGTACATCACTTCAACTCTCGATGCGGCCTGAAACAAATGCCATGTTCAAGCTGCGACTGTACCCTCTTTCGCTTGAACGGTCTGCGCTGCTCGCTCAGGTTGAATTTGAAGAAAAGTATGCAATTGAGTGTGCAGAACAGGCGTACAATGAGGAGCGGGATCGTGTGGAAGAAGAATACAAGCGTGGTAGGGAGCGTGTGCGGGAGCGGCTTCTGGAGGGTATTGAAGACCGTCGCCGGAGAGCAAGAGAAGAGAAGGATGGAGAGGGCACCGTTGGAGGTTCGTCCAATTCTGTCTTTATCCGAGTTCACAAATTCATGTCTTTGTTTAGATGCTGCACTGGACTCACACTCGAGGCCGCCAATAACCCGAAAACTGAGAAACAAGATGGGAACATCGCCTCCACCAACGCCCCACGGTGCGCTCGGCGCTGCTCAAGTCAACGGGCCCAGCGGGATCAGCCACTTGCCAATCACATCCGGGCCCTTCCTCAACCCACACTCGCTCTCGGTCGACGAAATCCCTTCACCATTCCCATTAGCCCTCACGTCCACAACAACGCCCAGCAACGCAAACCCAATTGGTGGCACAGGTGGTGGCACAACCAACGGACGTCGAAGGCCCAAAGGCGGTGGAGCTCACCAACATCAAAACATTGGCGGGTTGGGCAAAAGTATCGCCATGCTCGGAGCTAGCAAAGACAACGAAATCGAAAGCGACCTTGGCGACATTCGCAGAGGGAACAAGCGCAGGAGGGCGGTGCAGATGGGCAAGTCTTCGTGACCGCAACACCAACAAATATCCATTCTATATTTATCTGCCTTGTGCCAGTGGAGATCCTTTCTCACTTGTATATTATGTGAGTTTCGGGGCCTCTCCTCTCCCGTGCTGTTCTGATCGTCGCTTTCAGTTTTGTGTACTCATATGTCAGTTAGTTTGCTGATCAGTTGCCTGAATATTCCACCCGTCCTTGGAGGGAACTCCCGTTCATGAGGCGCGCCAAATCGTATATACAAGACCGCCACAGTTGAGCTTGCGCCGGAGGGTGTAGTGATGAACTAATGCTAATCTCAACTGAAAGATAGAGACGGTGAAGTCGACTGGCTTTGTATTCCATTTTCGGTTTCGATATAGTCAGAGTGTTTGGGAACGTAGGGCGTGCTACCAGAACCTCCCATGGATATTCTCTACCAGTTGGCGTCGTCGCAGTATTATATGAGGGTGAGTACTCCTTTCTTCTCGGAAACCATGGCGGATCTTCATACATACATCGTTAGTGCGCTGCAGGTTCGTCGGAATGTTTTAATTCCATCCAGTGAAATCTGTATAGTCACCGCCTGGGCCACAGTTGCAAGTACAACCCTCTTTGTGAGGATCCTTTGGGTCTCACTATGACTTGAATCCCCTCACTCACTTTATCCATCCTCTGGCAGTTCTGTGACTATCTGTCGACGTTGGCAGAAGAAATCTCGCTAATATGGCCGGGTCTGTTTGAAGGGCTCAGGTGTGGCAAGGTTCTGTTCCTCGTTTGCCGCTACACCGCCTTCATTGATATGCCCGTCGCCACTGCTGGTCAGTGTTTCGACCAACCCAACTTCCTAGCTGAAAAGATAACCAACACTTGTTGTACCAGGTCATCTTCTTTTTGGGTATTCGCCTCCCATCGCTCTGTTCAGTTCTTGTGCGTCTCTCACGATGATGTTCCAAACCTAAATGCATACATACCTTGATGGGTCCGACGAACAGCAGTCTCGTTCTTTGGCGTCCTTGCATCGGAAGGTTTGAGTAGCTAGCCTCTATATGAGAACCTGGTGCTAATTCGTCCCAAAGGAATTGTTATTCTGACCCTCTATGCCCTCATGGGTGCGAAGAAGAAGCACGCGACTCTTCTTTTGACACTATTTACAGTGAGTTCATATTCGACGAGAGGTCTAGCTTATGAACTGATTGGTTTCCATCTAGCCTCTAGCAATTGGCGTCTTGGCATTTGTAGTACTCGACTTCACAGGTTGGGAAGGTAGGTTCAGGCCCTTACAGCGATGAAGAATCGGCCAATAATAATATTTCATTAGCCTTGACTATCGACGAGACTATGGGTGTCTCTCCCGGCACAGGCCCACGCTCTGTTAGCATCAGAGGGATGGATGTCTGCTTTTGGATCCTTCTCTTGGGCCAATCTCGTAAGTTGGTGATTTGCGATCATATTCCTTGGTTTTTTTCCTCTTCAACGACGAAATTTATCTTATCTCTAGTGGTCGTGGTCATCGCATTCTCCTCGGGGATCCGCAGTTATCGCCGTACCAAGTGCCCACTACTGGTTACCTTGTACAAGGATGGGACGGTTTACTACGTTGTGTTGTTGGGTAAGTTATTATCTTGTCTTCCTTCCCGCTCGGGAGTTCAACAGTTACCTTTCTCGTACAGCGTTCAGCGCACTGAACGTGATGGCTCCCTACATCGTTTCGGTATGTTATCTTTGCATTCCCTATACTGAAGCACCCGTTTCCTGACAGAATTTTACAAGCCGTACTACACCAATGTCTTCACACCGTTCGTATATCCTTTCTCCCGATATTATCTCTGAACCCAAGTTCAAATGAATACACAGACTTCAGAGGGTAGCACATGCCATCTTGGCCAATCGCCTTATCTTCAACGCGCGACGGTACAAAGAAGGACTGAGTAGTGGTGGGATGGCAGGGTCGACTGGCTGGGAATTCAATGTCGAGTCGCGATCTGATCCTGTTGGGCGTGGTGGGGAAGGAGATGAGGTGCGCGTTGTTGAGGTTGGCGAAGGTATCGACGGACAATGCCCCTGACTCGACGGCGTGTTCTTCTGACATGCTCGGTAGGTACTTGAGTACTATGCTTCCTCTGCATGATTGAGCTGACTGGAATTCGCGCAGGTGCTAAGACATGGGAAAGACTCGAACGTGCTACTTGAAAACTGAAATTGAAGAAAAGGCCGAACCTTGTCCAGTACACTCTGACTGGTGCTTGAACTTCAGATCAACCGCTGAAGCATCCGTTGGCTCGACGTCCCAGAACCGGACGCGTCGTATACATCCTCGATCTCCTGATGTCTTCTGTAACAGGCACTATCTATTCTTTCTGCAGTCCTTCTGGGATTCTGTTCTGCACCTTAACATACAGCCTTCCAACTTAGGGCCCTTCAATCTAATTGATGCCCCAATAGAACTCGATAGCCCCCTTCCAAAGGTGTCTGTCTAGCCATGGTCCAATGCGCCCTGGACAATGCGGCTGTTAGGGTGAGCAAGCCCGAGGGGAAGTAACTTAGGGGTGCACTGTCACGGTGTGGGACGCGACCCACAACCCTGTGTCTCAACGAGAAATCTTGCTCAAGTCTGAGAAGCAAGATGTCACCTTCATCACACGTACACGGTGTGGTTATGCCAGAGGTTTACCTGTCGAGGACCTCAACGTCGACTTTCGCCACGTAGTCGCTACTCTCCAGAGTTGAAGCAAAGCGGAAATGACGTCATTGAAGTCACGGGCGCTTATGTTTTAACTGGAATCCGGATGGTAGTTGTCCAGTAGAAGTAGTAGCACTAGAGGTGTGCAGGGGACAGTGCTGCTTCCCCTCGTCGTCGCAAGTAAGTGTAAGACATGTCGCAGCTCCTGTCCGCGAGGCTGTTCGGAGCGGCGTCGTGATTATTAGTGGGTTCGATTCAATTGAATGAGCGCCCAACAGTGATGGAAACTTGACAAGTCGGCGACCCCGGACTCAGGATCTAGAGACTAGTCGCGTATAAGTACTATGCCCTGAGAAAGGGGGGCGGTCCTTGTGTTAAGACCTGTAGGCCTGTCCATCTTGAAGGGCTGGAGGAAAAAGAATATGGATGTCCAAAGTGTAGAGGCGGTGGGTAGTGTCCTTTAACTTATTTGTTTCTGTAACGCTTCTGTGACACGCTCTTTGCAGCATTTAATAGGTCGGTCGATGATATAGCTTGCGCTACATCTGGTATAACTAATGTTTCCTTCGGGGAAATGGTAGTCGCGAGCGTAACTGTCTTTGTATGTGGCCTTTTTTGAATTTCCAGTTCTTGGGGAACTTACCCAGCGCTAGTTCTGTGACTACCTTCAGACACTCGAAGCGGAGGTACGCCGTTGGGTTTCTTCTACTCCATGACCGGCCCTAAGAACACCTCTAGGTCTACAAGATATGGAAACCAGTCCACAGTAGGGGCTGTGGTCTTGGACAAGTCCTCTTCCTCGTCTGTCGCTATACCGCTTTTCTCGACTTGCCCGTGAACACAATCTGTGAGTGAGGCTCTACATCGAATACCCTATCGATCGTTCAGACTGACCTGGGCGTGGACCAGGTACCTTTTTGACTGGGACCCTGTCCCAAGAGGCAAGTCACCAAGCCCGGCCAGCCCAGGGTCCACCGTGAGATACTTAGACTAGAGTCAAACAGGCGTTCAGCAAGATTGTAATAGCCATTGCAAGTGAGTTTGCACCCCTCGATGTTTTAGGAGAGTCGGTCCCGCAACTGATCATCCCTCTCGTGGTCATATAGTATCGGAGTTTACGGGAATTGTTGCGGCGGAGGTGATACACTGGTGTTGAGCTTGTATGCTTTGTTGGGAGCTGAGAGAAAGCATACCATCATCCTCTCTATTATCTGTATAGTGAGTAACAAGAACCTCAATTTCCGTGAATAAAGGATCGCGCTAAGGAGCTGTTCGGGGGTTCGAACATTTGTAGCCAGTGACACTGGGTGCACTTTCCATCTTGATAGCTAGCTTCATTGTGGATGGTACGTCGTCAAGTCGGTGAAACGTGTACCATGATGTATCTTCCCATCCATGATCACTACATCTGTCTAGGGATTAATGGGTTCAAAGTGTGCTATTACATCCTGCTGGCAGGGGAATTTGGTGAGTAGGGTACTTGTCCACTACGATGTCGGCTTACTGGAACATGAATACTATGTGCATAGCCATCGCGGCCGTCGCCCTACTCCTCGGGGTGCGCGACCATTTTCGATTCAAGGGCCCACTGTTGTCTATTTTGCGAAGAGACGGAACGATCTACTATCTCGCTTTGATGTGTGAGTGTTCCGCTCTCTTCATCAAGGCAGTGGTGAATTGAGGTAACCCGGTGGTGGTTCTACCAGCATTTACAGGTTTGAATGTCCTGACCCCTTATATGTTTCCTGTGAGTTCTCCCTTGTAGTCCGAGGTTCCCAATACTTACCAATCTACCCATTGGGATTCAAAGCCTGCATCCGAGCTGGCTTTTTCATCGCAAGTCCTTCTCCACTACCATCCGTTCCGGCTGAAATGAACCCAGTCTTTAATTAGGTGTCAGAGAGCCGCACATTCCATCCTAGCGACGCGGCTCTTGCTCAACATGCATCAAGAGAAGAAGTCCCATGAACAGCTAACGGCGGACATCTCGACTGATTTCGAGTTCGCTGCAGGAGGGCGTTCTGGAGAGGCGCATGGTCTGCCCCGGGATAGCTTCCAAGAGAACTTCCAGGGGATGCGTTGAGCAGAGACGAAAAGACTGGAAGACATTGGCTTTCCAGTGGAGAAGGAACGAAAGGAAGAGCCATGAAAACGAAGGAGATTCTCCTACATACCGCTTGTGATACCCTACGCCCTCGCCTACTTGTACACCACAGCCGTCTTAATCTCGCCTCGTATAATGAATGTTAATCCTGTTGTCAAGCCAAGAATCGGGGTTGGGTGGAGGCCGTAGGAAGGGGCGGTGCAAGGCGCTAAAAATAGCCCTTCCCGACGCGGTCTAGTTCCGCCACAGTACAGGGCTAACTTGCTGCGGTTGAGGGTGTTGGAGCCTGTTGCAGGCGACACGGTGCAGGCGCACTGGCAGAGCGTATAAAAATCTTCCTGGTATTAGGAGTAGATCCAGATGGGCAGCATAAAATACAACGGAAGCCGCTGGAGAAGTCTTCCGCGATAAGGAGCGTGTGCAGTGAAGGTCGAAGATACAACAAAGAGTCCATGTGGGAGGGTTGGGTTGGCGAGTTAGAATACAACGAGAGCAGCGAGGGCGGTGGTGTTACAGGCGGGTAATGGCTTTCGAATCCAACGGCATGCCTATGCAAGACGGTTAGCTCGTCAACAAAGAAGAACGGGTATACTTACCCGAAGGGTCGATGCCATTGGCTGCGAGGATACGATTCTGTCTGATTAATCTCGCCTGGTCGAAGCTAAAGGTTGCGGAAAAGGTTAGAATGTTATAGAACGTGACATGGAGAATGGACCACAGACTTTACACGTTCCCGTCTCATGATTTCCCTAACCTCTCTCGTGCCCTGCTCGTCCAAGCCCATCCGCGAGTCCCCAGTCGCAATGTTGGCTTCAATGTCGAAAGAATCTGAGGTCATGCCTGCATTGACCTGGTCGGCGAAAGTAGAAAGGGGGGTGTAGTTGGAAAGCCTCGGGAAGAACGATCTGACCCGCTCAGGAACATGCGGGATAACGAACGCTCGATAACGGTGCATCACTGTTGAACTAATTAGTTTGCCGATATCGTAGTCGACATCGAGAAATGACTTACACATGACCAGCAGGAAGAAGAAAGCCACCAAAGAGATGTAGAACAACATGCTGGGTGTTATATGCAAAAGGACCCTGAGAATTCACGATGTCAGCTCCAAGAAATAATGCACGGACTGTAATTTACCCTTGCAGATTTGGTGTCCGTTGTTATAGCAGTGCGAGAAGATGGGCAGTCTATAGGCGCCGTTGTAGTTAGCCGTGATATCACAGCCCCTTTGTTTCCACTGGTGGCCGCCGGTAAACAAACCGTTTTGCGCGCTCAAAGTGCTGTTCACTGCGTCTGAACCTTGGTCTCACCTGGGCTTTCAGATTTATACTCGGGTCTTTTTTTTTTCTCTTCCAAACTCGCTATAATTCGCCTAGAAACAACATGTCGCTCACGCACGCGACGATTTTTGATGCTCTCCAGGTACACGGTTTCCATCAAACAGGGTCGCAAACGCTCTTCTGATCGTCCACCATATGTCCTTTTGAAAGAAAGAATTCTGCCCACCGTTGGACTCTTCGCTCGTCGCTGCCTTGCTTGTAGACGTCGACTTTGACGCGCCATCTGCCGAAAACGATGTCGAAGCTTTGCGACAAACCCTCAAGGAGCTGGCAGTGCAAGCCGAGGTGGATGCCGTTCAGGCTTCATTCAGCGATGAGGTCCTGGACAAGAGCGACGACCGGGAAACGATAACGACCACGAGCTTCTTTACCTCGGAGACGGGAAACAACCACCAGAGCTCAAACACAACCCCTAGCAGCAATGGAGTCTCAACCTCATCTGACTCGGATGTTTCTGAAGAATTCGCAACTCCTCTCGGATTCCTGCAGGCGGCGCTCCCCCATGTTCCGACCAAGCGCCTTCGTCAAGCTCTCAGAGAGGCAGAGGAAGAACGAGCAAGACGCTCTCCAAGCGACTCGGATGATGACCTCGACATGTGGGACGTCATTGCCTCCGTCCTGACCACGGAATCGATTCGAGAAATGGAGGAGCGAGGGTTCGAAGGCCTTCTTGAGGACGAAGAACTCGCAAGGTTGTTGTCCGAGCAGGGAGAGCTACCCGAGACTCGTCTGGAGCGAACTGGGGAGGAGTGGGTTCAGGTAACGTCGAAAAAGGGTCCATCAAAGAAAAAGGCTGCCTCCAAACCAGCGACGGTCAAGATCACATTGAACGATGTTAGACAGAAGGGCGCTTCGAAAAAGGTCAACGGCGACGCTCCAACCTCCCCGACCTCGTCGAAGCCCCCTCCCCCCGATCGATGGACCCAAGTGGTTTCCTTGTCCTCCCTGCTCTCGACTCTCTTCCCAGACTACCCAGCCACGTTCTTCCAGTCTCATTTCCATTCTCCCAACTATCCGGACTCTTATGAAGCGTTATGTGCTATCTTACAAAAGATATGTGCATCGCCCAAGAACAGCTTTATCGACCAGCCTGACAAGAGAGCTCCGGAACGGCCGGAACCACCACCTGGCAAGCCAAAGAGTAGGGTGAGGACGGCCACTGATGGTCATCATCACCCACCTCTGAAACCGCCAGCCATTGAAGAAGGGGCAGATGAAGCGGAGGGCGGCAGTGGTGACGACGGCGACGACGAGTCGTCTTCTCGCGAGACCGCCCTCCTGTTCAATCTCTTAGACGTGCTCCTTCCTCAGTACGGACTGGACGTCGGAAGCGATCTTGCGCAGACCCCGAGCCAAGATCAGCCTCGATCCCAGCTCATCTCTGAAATCCAACTTGCGGTGCAGGCGACGAAGGGGCGGGAGGACGATGCACTCGATCTGGTCAAGTTGCTGCGAGAGCTCGATGAAGAAAGGAAGGAGCGGTTCCCGGAGTTGATGGAGGAGTTTTATAGGAACGGGGTGACGGGTGTTGCCATCGGGGAGAGGGTAGGAGCGAGAAAGGATGGTGTCAGCTATGCCGAGTTGGCTGGCGCCAATCGAAAACGGGCATCTTCTAGTCCTGTTGTCGCGTCCGGGCCATCGATGAGTAACGGTACCACCTCTGTCGTCGCTTCCCCAGTGACCACACCAAAGCCAGTCGCTGCGAGTGTGTCAAAGGGGAAGAACAAGCCTAGCCCCTACCAATGGCAAGCGGTCCCAGTCAAGAAGGCTCCAGAAAAGCAGCCATACCAAATCCTCCCCCATCTTCCCACATACACTCGCGATGTTAACGGAATCAAGAGGAGAGGTAAAGGCGTTAATGGTGATTACTTGTGGAGGAACGGTCTGGCTATAATTCCAGATAACCCTGTCCCCGGGTCGGCATCAGCGCAGTCGCGATACCTCTCTGAAGCCGAAGCGGCTGAAAGGGAGTACCGGAGGAAGATTGGGGAGAATATGCGGAAGAGGGATGAGTTGTTGAGGGAGGCTGCGAGGATGTGGACGAGGGGTGTTGGAGGGCATGGTGCGAAGCTTGCAGGTGGTGATAAGACCAAGGGTGGGAGAGGTAGAGGAACGAATATTGGTGGTGAAGTTGCGTGGTACTTTGCTGAGAGGGTATGTAACAGGCGATTGCATTCTCTTGACAAACGTGTGCTAACGTTTTCTCCGTTTTCAGGCAAGAGAGTTCCAAGAGATGGCGAAGAAGGAGAGTTTGAATGCTGCAAGGGCGATGGTTCACCGTAAACGGTACGTCAATATGTTGTCTGAGCAGTTATGCCGGTGTTCTAACTTCTCCTTAGAATGGCCTCGAATGAAAAGAACACCATCGATTTGCATGGAACGACTGTCGTAGAAGCTCTGGCCATCGTCAGAGAAGTACTTGCTGAACAGCCCACCTCTCAAGGTACAGCATATGCCCCCGTGATTTCCGTAGCCATCTCATGATCAACCGCTCTTCTAGCCCGGCCGCTCAAGATTATAACGGGACGAGGTTCTCATTCCGTCAACCAGACTAGCGTGTTGAAGCCTGCGCTTAAGAAGCGCCTGACCGAGGAGGGGTGGGTGGTTGGAACTTGGGATGCGGGTTTGTTCGTTCGCGGAAGGCGGTGATGGTAGATCTTTTGGTTGTCTCCTTTTGGCGCTTCAAGGCACTTTGCAGGCGCTTGGTGCCGCCGCTTTACTATTTTTGAGGACGTCGATGTCGGCATTTCGACATTCCTCTGCCAGTGGTTATCTATAGCTAATGTAAAAACCTGTGAATATACACGGGTAAAGCTGTGTTATCAATGTTCGCACTGTCCAACGATATTTATCCTGGAGTCAAATGTATAGGAGGATTGTCTACGACTTTTTTTCACAAAATTCCACTGCTCCCAGGAGACGAGGAACGAAAAAATGACTGCACCCAACAGGACTCGAAATAGGAACCTGGCTCCGTGTGAATCTGATGGAGAGGCTGGCGCCGCGCGAGCGCTTTTCGATAAACTTGCCTTTTAGCTCCCAACAACAGAAATTGTCTTCACAAGTATTCGCTGGCTATGGTCGCCCAAGCCAGATGAACAATCAATGCGACGCACACGATGAAAAGAGTACAAGAACTGACACAGGACCCACGACCGGCCAAGAGAGCTAATCAGGTACGATTTTCCTATTCGAACAAAACAGAACGTTCATTGACACTACCCAGGGTTCGTTCTGTTGTTCTGAAACAGGGAACCATACTGAAGGTGTATTGAGCAGCTACACAACAGCCCGGGGCATCGGGGAGCCTTTTGTCGAACCATGAAACGAGGCTGCGCATCCTGGAAAGGGCTGAGGTTCGCAGAATTCCGACATATCAGCCCATTCTCAAATTGACGACGCCTTACAGCAGAAAGTCCAACGTTCTCGTGAAGACGTCAATAGCGTCCATGAACGAAAGCTGTCAGCGCCCATACCTCTCTCTACCTCCACTCGGACCACTCTTCCTGTGAAAGACCAGCTCGAAACCGTCCAAGCGCTGAATGACATCGCTACCACGCCGTTTGTGAACTCGTTTGCCTCACGCATTCAAGGTGCAAAGACAGCAGTCACACCAGGATTGGCTCCGAACCAGGCCCTATACGTTGACTGGGATGCAGTAACACCCTGGATGAAGTTAATGACCGACGTCCGGGATCATTATGTACTTTCTCGGTGAGTGTTAATCAAAAGCATTCGTCGCTGAGAATGAGGACTTTGAATAGTAACCGTTCCTGTGTTCCTGATTCTCTCGTAGGGCCGCATCGGGGGAAGAGACGGAGCTGGCAACTGAGGAGGCAGCTGCACCGATTACATACACTACACTCCAACGTTCACATCTCCCTCAAGTCCATGACCTTTTGGAGCGTGTATTCTGGTCCGGAATAGATGGTAGGCCGACTTAACTGCCCTATCATTCACTCTTTTTAACCCACTGAGCAGTCAGCGATTCCATGGATTACTCACCGGAACGAGCAACCGTGATCGCCGTGTACAAAAAACTGGTCGTGGGCGTGGCCATCCTCAGTTCACCGCAAGAAACATACATAACATTCCTTGCCGTGAGAGCTGGGTGGGACAAGGCTCGGATAGCGAAGTGCGTAAACCTTTGACATTGGTGTATCCACACCCTCACACGATCCTATTAGAACGATTCTCTACCTTCTCATCTCGAGAAACCCAAATAAAGACATTACGCTGCATGTTTCCGTGAACAACTCAGCGATGGTATGTTACGTGCTCCATTCTCTCATTATGAACCTGTTGTTCACACATCCTGTTTGTAGCTGCTGTACAACCAATTTGGGTTCAAAGCGGAAGAGTTCGTCGCGGGCTTTTACGATGATTATTTGGATCCTCTTTCCCGCGCTTCAAAGAACGCTTTCAAGTTGCGCTTGCGTCAATGACCCCCTGTTTTAATCAAGTGGGACCAGTGCGCTGCCGCTGGTAGAGGCGCAATTCAAATCCATTGGCTGTTCCTGTCTGATAAGCATGTCGGACATTGTCCAATCCCCGCCTATACACCCTCTCCGGCGGCGGGAGAAGGCAGTGCTTCATGTACCAATTGAACAATTTCTCACCCTGGTACGCCAGATTGCTCAATTCTCACTTCAAGTAACCGAAAAATTTCCCGACAGGCTTAGGGCATGGTCCCCCATCCTTCACATGTCGAAGTGGCCAACCAGCACCTGTTTCTCTACCGCTCAAACGCAAGTTTCCATCAGACAAGCTTTGGTTTGTGGGAAGGAGGATGCACTTTTCAATCGGATACAATCGCGCCCGTTTATCTTTTGTCTGCTTGGCCGTTGGAACGTCAGCCTAGGGAAACTTTCCTAGTTTAATCCCTTTGGCCAGCTGTCAAGCAACAAACGCCGTTGATTGGCTTCCACGACTATCATGCCTCGACATACCTTCACGAAATTGCCTTTTGGCGAAGGCACCGATACTAATCGTTAACATGCAATCCGAAAGCTCACCGGTGCTTGTGGAAGCGGCCGGAGGACTACGCCGGGACGTCAACATTGTACGGTGCAAGCGCGGTGTTCGACACCGGTTGGATCCTCCAGCGGTGTCTGGGGGGCCTCGCACATAGAGGGGGTGTGGGTAACATTGTATATTGTAAGGTCCATTTACTTATGTTACATCCGTACGGCAAATCGCCTGACGCGGTTTTACAGCGAAATATTATACACATGACTTAAAAGGAGACAGGCGTTAAGAACGTTAGGTCTTCGTATTCAACATTGCCAAGAGCATTCTGGCATTCATTCAATTGCTTGGTCAAGCCGCGAGTTGCCTCTTGAGACTGATTCCCCTGGCCCGTTCACAGTCTGCAACATTCAACCCAGCGGTCGTCAGAGCTCGCTTACGAGCCGTAGGCTTTCCGGTTGCAGCCCTCTTCTCCGTCACAGTTTCTCGAGCTGCTTGTGACTTGAGGGTGTCGACGTCAGTTGCTGGTGCAGTTGTAATACCAGCCAATGTCAAACATCGTACTCGCCTTCGAGATCCCATATCGTCCGCACTCCTGTCCTCGAAGCGCGAGCCTCGGCCATCATATACCCATCCTCCACCAGCTTGGCCTCCTTCGGTGTCCTTGACTCCGCTCATCGACTTTCGTCTTCCAACACAGCGCCTCTTCAGAACTCTGATTTCGTCTTGGATACGATCCTTGTCCGCGTTCCCAGCCAACCTACCGCTGACTGGCACGTTTCCGGCGTTTGAGGCTGAGAGGAAGCGAGGTCGAGTTGCCTTTGGTGTGCCAGGTTGTTCCTTGCGAACAGTGCGGCTTTCGGTTAGGTTCTCTTCATGCTTCGCGATCTTGGGTTTGGGACTGCCAAGGTTCTCCTTCGGGCCTTCTTCGACGCGCTTCTCGGCTAGGGGTTTGTACTCCAGCTGGGACTTCTCGAGCGCTTCTTGAACCTTCTTCAGCCAATCGTCGCGGCCGTACAGCTTATGGAGCATATGTCGGAACGTGAACTGGTATTGTTTGGCGAGGGGGAACTTGGCAGCTGAGAGGATCGAGGCAGCGTCTTCATTATCTGACGTATGTGATGATGTGGGGGTTGTGTCTCCGGAATGGCCAGTTCGACGAGGCCGTTTGGCATGCCCTCCCGGCTTCTCCAGGAAGGTGCCTTTGCGGGTGTTGACGATGTTGGCTACGAGAGGGGTGATATTTGAGACGCTGTGGTCGGAGAGGAGAGGGCTGGAGTGGGATAGGGTTGGGGTGGTGGGTCGCGTGGTTCCAGTCTGATTGACATTGGCACGTCGACTGCCCCTGGACGCGAGGCGTTCAAAGAAGTCTAGGAGCTTGTGAAGTTCTGCTGCGCGTGTTTCGTTCGTCATTGTTTCGTGGGGATGAGAAAGGGTGTCGCTGTTGAAAGAAGAAGGGAGGGGAGGTAAGAAATAGGGATGCACGAGGTGATGGTGGCACGGGGGAAGTTGGTCGCGGTCGGGGGAGAAAGAACGTCCACCAGTACCATTTGGAACTGGACCATGGATATATAGTCCGTGGCCACACCCACGGAGTGGCAGCTTCACAAAGCCACAATGCGTTCGTGCCATTGTTCCAACGTCCTCGAGATCCAAGTTTGGTAACTGCCGCCACTGGTGATGCGTAAATGGGTCCGACTCCCCTTTGTTTCGTTTCTACGGCCTACATGACCGTGGCTTGGTTGTAAAGAGAATGGTTGAAAAGCAAAGTACTGTGGATTTGTCAGTCGGAAGGATCTATTGAAGGCTAATAACGATTTTGTTTCTAGTAGGACTTCCGCGGCGCGTGATTAGGAGGACAATACCTGGTCGATACAATATGGGAAGGAACGAAGTCGTTTGTGATAACTACCATATCAAAGGGCCTGGATTTGGATGGTTCCATCCTTGCGGACAATGTTCATCGTCACACACAACGAATTCCTTGGCAGATTCGCGGCTACATCACCGTCACCAGTCGGCGCCGCTGTGTCTTGATGGCCATCTTGTTCCTGTCCGTCGTCATCACTTCTAGGAACACTGTATACAAGGCCACAGCCGGCATCGGGGCCGACATCCCGACCCTTCAAACTCATACGAGAACTCGTCGATCCTTCCGGAAAGCCACAGCAAGAACTCCAGGAAATCGTCTCGAGCGTCTTGACGTACTGCGCAAGCCTAAAAGTGGCCAGAAGTTCGTTTCGACGAATACTCTCCGAAGAAAGCTGACAAGAAGCGCAGGACATCATGGTCTCGGGTCTCCATAGCCCGTCGGTCCAGTCGGGAACATGATCCAAGTGATTCTCAACGTATTCTTCTGGGGAGAGGAAGATGCCGAGCTGGACTATTCTGAGATTCTTCAGCTTTTCCAGAATCGAACCAAAGGTTGCCTTGGAGAACAATGGGATGCATCAGTGTCGCGCTCAGGATTCGGACCGGAGCCTCGGATGCTTACAGAAAGAATTTCGACAGTCGGGATGATACGAGGGATGGGAGAATGGGTTGTCAAAGTCAAACTCTCGTCATAACAGTTCGGGCAGCAGGTCAACTTCAGTCGCGATGTCGACTCCAGATAGAGCTCCTTCAAGCGAGGAAAGGCACCGACGATGGCGTTCAGGACATTGACATCGATCGAGGCGAGTTTAGTCAAATGCAGGACCTGGAGATTGTCGCAGATTGGATGCCTGTATCGAGCCACTGGCATCTCGCGGGCTACATGTGCGTTTGGATGGAGAACAGGGCTGTTGGCTTCGCCTAAAGCGCCGAAGAGGTCGAGCACCGTTTGTTTCTGGGTGTTCAAGCCTTCGTGTCGAAAATCGAGAGATAGAGTGTGCAAATTGGAGAAAAGCCTCAGTTCAAAACGGTTGGGGAAGAGTGTGGTGGAATGGATGGAGAGTGAGCTGCATATATGCGCATATAATGACATGTTTTTAGTTATATCTAGATTGAGCCAGTCTCGTCCCGCAAATCATCACGTACCGAACCCAGATTCCCCCTCCACCAGGCGAAGGGAATGTACAGGAATAAGTGATGGAGAGGTTCTTGAGCAGTACGAGAGTTCTGTCCCAGTGGACAGGGCTCGTGATCACGATGTTGGCGAGAAAATATCGGAAGGTAATCCAGCGGACACCGTGCGAGACGAGTGTTAGGGCCCATACATCCTGGAAGTAGATGTTATTGAAGTATTTTGAGCGGCATATGTTGATGTAGGTCTCGACGATGAGGTCAACAAGTTCTGTGGGCAGGCGCCGCGGTCTTTCCAAGCTTAAGGCCGTTGGAGCAGTGGCAACGACACGGACACGATTCGTAGGCCTTGTGGCGGCCATTTGAGGGGAAAGATGTGGAAGAAAGAAGGTCAAAAGTTGAGAACTGAATTTGAGTGAACTTCGTGACTTCTTTGACATGGCGCTTGACAATTCAATCTCCGATACATAATCCGTTTTATCGACGATGGGTGTTGGCTCAACTTGTCCTGGAAAACATATTGGGACTGCCATTCTATGTCCATAATTCTTGGTCCACGTTCAATAGAGAGCTCACTTTCATGTGACCTTCAAATGATAAGAGATTAAGGTGGGTACACGTCAGTTAATATCCCCACCGCCACCCATGCCGTGAGTCCGTAGGGTTTGGGACACGCCTTCCCAATGCTGGTGCACTAGTTTCTCGTGGCGGTTTAACCTGGTTTGACGACAGGACATTTGTATTGAGGATCACTTGAGGGTTTGTGCTCGGAACCGAAAGACGGACTTTTCATTTCTGCATTTTACTTCGATCTGGGTTTCCACAAGTGGCTTGGGTCCTCAACACGATCTGACTGACATGAGGAGGGCTTCTGATTTCTGTGGCGTCGGGCTTATCTTTTCGACCTCCAGTCAAGAGCCACTATTCATGAGATGGGTAAGCAGTTGGACACTTGTGCTAGCAGGCGCTCTGGGGATTTGATCATCCCTCTCGACGTCTTTGCGGATTTCGACTGGAACGGAAATGGGGTTAACGAGAAGATTTCGCAAAAGATTGAAGGTACGATCCCACTCTTTGCCCGGGCCTTCTTCCACCGCTGTTAGAGTTGGAGTTAGTCGCGGCGCATAGTAGGTAGGTTATGGTACGGGTCGGGGTTAGTGTCGGGTTACGGTCAATTTGTAAGTTTGGTTTAGAGGTTAGAGGTAAAGAGGAGGAGAACTTCACCAGTTTTCGCCCATTCGTCGCGCCTTCAAGCATTTAATTCGAGGATGTCGACTCCCAAATGGGAATGTCACTTTGATCTTTCATCCTACTCCACTAGGAGTACACTCTGCAAAGGTTTGAGTTTATATTCTCGGATTCAATGTCGAGCTTGATGCATCCCCTCGCGTCACAATCGATGATGAAGAATGCGATGGACTTAATTGTATATTATCCAAATCTATCCAAACGACAAGTTAGCATATGAACCCCATTTCCATCGTGCCCTTCGACCACAGTCCTCGTGGATTCCGGTAGAAGACACCTCCGGCAGCGAGGAGATGTATCGACAAGATTTCAAGCTCAGACTTCAGAAAAAAAAACGACACATGTCAGCCGTCGAGTCACCCTTCGAGTAAAGTGGATCTTCATCCACTCTTCCAAACTCTATCGGTTGGCACACCTGCCGTAAAGAAGGTGATTTGAATGTTTCTCCCTCAAGCTTGATTGCCGGTCGTGAGCGCCCTCTGAGTTCTCTGCCAAATTTCCAGCCCCGACCGTTTTCACTTTAAAACCTTGTCATAGTTCATCTGCCGTCTCCTTGTCCTCCCCCCCTCACGCATCGCTACTGCCAGGACCGCCAACGATTTAACGCTTCAAGCTTTCTGTGAGTTACATGTCTTCACCAAATGCGATCTTCTGTCAACCTTGATTGGCAGGGTTGGACTGGACGGTACCAGTTATCCGGATCAGTCAGAGTTTCTACCTAATTACCGGCTCTTCAACGAGACGTGACTCACCACTGCACTTCGACACCCACTGTAGGCGAGAATGCCCAAGTCGACTCGCCAGTCGCACCAATTCGAGTACGGTGCCGGCATTAACCTCCCTAGGCCCCGAGGTCCTCTCCACTTCAGACCCGACCGGCAACTCCCACCTTTGCAATTTCCAAGTCGTCAGCCGGCCAACCTCGTGAACCCATACTCCACAATCGATAACTCAGAACCATCATATTCTGTGATTCAGAACAGTGTCCCACCATATTTAACGCGTCCTCGATTGAGAGACTTCGGTTCACCTACCGGCTGGTCGACGACTCCACGCCTCGAAATTGGATGGCCTTCTACAGATACCGTGATCCCAATAATAGGCTTTCCCGGACCCCCTTTTGGCAATGCTTCTGCCGCCTCGCCTATACCCGAGCCGGATATCACTGGAGCAGGTTCGAGAAGACCTCGTTCTTCTCGCAAAAGTCCGCAAGAAAGAACCGTGAGCTTGACAGGCCAGTACATCAGGTTCGAATCAGGCCAATTCGAAGGTCGCACCATGCGAGCTGAACTGGTCGAAATTCAGAAGGCTAATGTAGGAAGAAAGTGAGTAATTGAGGCTCTTGTATTCATTCCCTGCTAGTTTCCATCGCCAACTAAATTCCAACCGTTCCTAGATTCGGGGGAGTGGATCGGAGGGCCATCGATCCCCCTCCCACCGTCCAGTATAAATTATTCGAATTACATCCCGACGGGATTGAAAGAGAGATTACAGATTACGGGTATGTGTATTATATCTCTTCTTCCAATACAGATACTAATAACCTTTGTTTTCCTGTAACCACCGCCATCGTAACCACCACGAAACGATGGGCAGAGACGTCTTTACTCACAGTCTAATATGCTCAGTTGACCTCTTCCACGCTCCTTCCGAGGACAGCTCGGATCCGGGAATTACTGGTTAGTCGGATAAATTTCTCTTTTCCTCCCCCATCCCGGCCACACACCATTCCCGCTTTGGGTCTAGACTCGGACATAAACATGAGCAATACTGACGCCCAAACGTCTTTCGCTTCACTTGTAGTCGGACCCCCGGTTACGGACCCCATCAACCCGCTAATGGGAGCAACCTCCATCTCACCGAATTTAATTGAGTTACATGGAAGAAAAGCGCTAGTCTTCGCCTTTGGGGTACGTGAACTCTCGATGTCCTACTGGTAAAGGAACTGACTCGGTGTGGATCTATCCCGTCCAGAATCTGGCAGTGAGAGCCGAAGGTGACTTCGTTCTTCGATACCGCGTGGCGGATATACTAGCTGGCACAGGTATCGACGGCGTGTTCCCAATCCAAGCAATCTGCTACGGCGGCCCATTCCACGTGTTCTCCACAAAGGACTTCCCCGGCTACGAAGCTTCTACAGAACTGACCAAGGTGCGTAGGAGCACTTTTTCGCGCATGAACTACCAAGTAGATCCTGTTCACCCTTCTTCTTGGGTATATAGACTCTCTCGGTCTGGGGCGCTCAAGTCAATGTTCGAGAACACCGGCGGCGCAGACGCGGAAAGAAGGACGCAGCACCCGCTGTAACCAAACCGCTTTACACCACTGCCCCTCTCGACCGTGACATTGTCGCCGACTCGGAGCGTCGGCGACGGCGGCGTGCTGGGTATTGACTTGTCGGAGCTCGTGATGTTGTGAAAACGTCTCCTTTTTCAACTTACGGCACCGTTTTCCGATTTCTTTCTCTGGCTCAGAGATGCTAAATAATAGCAGTGGTAGGGGACCACGCAATATTCCCTTCAAAGTGCCTTTCACGGACACAGTCCCCACTTGCCTCTTCTAGCTTTTCGCTTTCTTCTCGTGGTACCCTTCCACGCAATGTCGATTCCTCATGTATATACTATGATGGCTCTGGGACCTTTTCACACATACCACATGCACTTTTCCGATTACACCATTTCTCTTATATGCTCTTTTTTATGATACCACTGTACTTGTACAAATTTACCCAATCTCCACTAACCACGACGCACCGTCTGATCAAAATTGCGCAGCATAAATTCACACTCCAGTTGCACGGGACCGATTAGAATTTTCCGACAATAAGTAGAACAAAAAATAGCGTCACAGACTCGAGAGTAACATAACTACAACAGCCACGGAAAAAAACAAGGATGATAATAAAGTCTATCGTGTAAAGAACGCATGCAGTAAATATGTATGTAGTGGCTCGGACAACCCGCCAGCCCACGTTAGGCAACGTACGTGATCATCAAGAGCTCTACCTACAAACTACCTCGAGAGAATCAAATATGTACATAGTTTAATCAAATAAATAAACCCACGACGAACAATCAGTCCACTATTACAGTTCCTCACGGTGCACAACAGGTTGATCCTTCAACGCCTCCGCAACAACTTTGGGATCCTTCCCAACCACCACCCTCGAGTCATCTCCAACTCCCACACCCGCACCCGATCCACCACCACCAATAGGCAAAATCGAAACCTGCGGCTGCTCTCCAGATCGCACCTGCTCCTTCAACTGCTGCCTCTCCTTCTCCTTCAAATACTCCCTCATATCATCCACCCTCTCACCCTTCTCATGCTTAACAGCAAAGTACCCATCAGGTCCTTCGTCCTCCGAAATGGAAGGCGAGTCCGACAAGACATTCGCAGCCCTCTTCTTCACTTTGGAAACAGCCAACCTGAAGCCGGTAACGATATCGTCGAATTCAGCTTGGAGGTTGTTGAGCGCGTAGATGAGCGGGTCATAGTTGGGTGCGAGACTGGCTTCTTGGAGCGAAGTGTCGGGAGTAAAGATGTCAGATGGGACGTAGGTGCCGTTTTGAATCGCGAGGGCGGTTTGTTGGAAGTCTTCATAAGCTGTTTCAAAATGGAAAAGATCAGCCACAGGTGACGGAAAGAAAGCAAGGTAGACGACGCACTAGTCATCAATTCATGGTATTTAGCCCAATCCTTGGTCGAGACATCCTCCAACCATGCATAATCCATAGCAATATCAGCTTGAGCACGTTCGGCCAACTTCTTGATCGATTCAGCAGCCTCCTCAATCTATCATCATCGAGACATCAGTATCGCCACCTTTCTACTGGAGAAGATAAACTCACAATCTCGGCTTCACGTCCTCGCACGCCCAAATACCATGTATGGACCTCTCCCTGCACATCGGTAACCATCTTCTCAAACTTGGCCTCGACCTTGTCAACGACCGCAGTCCACTTGTTAGTTTCCGAATCCATGGTTTGCTGACGCTTCTTTTGCTGTTCGGGAGTCTCCTCTCCGGAAACCTAAATGGATGTTAATAACAGCGTTTTCAATCATTGAAAGCAAGTGAACTCACAGGTCGAACCCATGCATTCCTCCTAGCTTCCAAGCTTCCAACATAGGTCTCGAGACCGCGGACAAATCGCTCGCCTTGCTTGTTAAGGCCTTCCAACACCTTATTGCCCAATCCGTTACCACTGGGCTGGTCGGGGAGAGGTCGGTACCTGGATTCAGGAAGTCCATCGACTTTCTTGACTGTCAAAACACACCTTCCGTTAGCATATGTCCCGCATTTAAGATGGAATAACGTACGTTGAGCCTTGTGCTTCTTCAAATCCTGATCAGCAAACGCCTCGCCCAACTCTGAGACAGCCCATTCCCTGACACCATCGATCTCGATGTACACTCGCCTCGCCTGAATGGGAACAAGCTCGTCGAGCTTGCGTTGCCATTCAACATGTCGTCCAACAATGTCGGCGCGTTTAGCAGCAATAGCGGCCAGTGACTCCTCCGGAGTAGGTTCACGAGGCGGCGTAGCGTTTTCTTGCTCAGCAGCCACCTTAGGGGCTGTTTCCGACTCGTTCGAATCAGAGAATTCGACACCGAGTTCGGAGAGGAAGTCGTCAAGTTCGATATCGGGGGTGCTCTTGGCAGCGACTCCTCCAGCTGGAACGGTTTCTTCAGCCAGGCGTTCCTTGATCTCTTCTTCGAGGTCTTTGGCGGGCCCACTGGGAGCAGCCAAGGCTTCCTGGACATTGACATCAGGATCCGGGGTTCCGGGGGTGAAAGCAGCCTCAGCGCTTTCCTGAGCGACACTGATCGCTCGCAATTCTTCCTCGACTGCGGGGTTGACGGTGGGAGTGGGAGAAGGAGACTCCGAAGCGGGGGTGACGGGAACATCAAGGGTCGGCTCTTCTTGAGCAACATCCTCTTCGGGAGTTGCCTCGGGCGGGGAGGCTGAAGAAGCCTCCGGCGTCTCGACAGTGACTGAAACCTGCTCGGCAGAGGAGGATGCAGGCTCGACGACAACTTGAACAGGGGTGCTTTCATCCGTGTTGGGGATTTCTTCGAGGATCACAGTTGAAGAAGCCACTTCCTCGACGTCTTCAGTGGGAGTCGGTTCCGCGTCGGAAGGATAAGTTGGGTCGGGGTGGGGTGTGGCTTCGGGGCTGGTCGAGGCTGCTGAAACAAAGGAAGAGGAACTCGCGTTTCCGTCAACCTTTTCCAAAATCTTTTGGATGTGAGGGTCAACATATCTCCTCCTGGCCTCAATGGCACCCTTCGCACCCAACTTTGCGTAGACCTGCGCTTGTTCGGCCGAGGTGGCAATGATAGGCTTTGCCTTGACCCAAACCTCGCCAGCGACCTTCTGGCTTGTAGCGAAGGCGGTGCGGGCATAGGGCTGTATTTTCACCCAAAGGTCGATAAGAATGGCGTAGACACGAGCCAAGTGTGGTTGGGCCGCTTTCCAATAGGGCAAAATTGCGTCTTCAGCACGGCGAAGATGCGCGTGCAATTCTCGCTGGACCTTTGTGGAGTGGACATGGATGGTGTAGAAATACGGTCGCAGTGGCTTCTCTACACCTTCCTTCCAACCTTTTTCGAGCCTGGGGGCAACATATTGGTTCCAACGCGGCAAAAAGGCTCTTGTGTACCAAGGAACGAGGACGCCTTTGACTGTTCTGTACGACTTGACGACCTTGGGCCGGACTGCGTTGTCGACTGTGTATGTTTTTTCGACTATGGGTTTAGCGTATTGTTGGATGACGGGAGAGTTGTAGGCGGTTTTGAGGGGAGGAAGGACATAAGGGTCGAGGATGTGTTTCCGGTACGAGTAGAGGGCGCGACATGTGACAGGAGTGGAGAGGGCATCGGGTGTCGGACTTTGAAGATGCTGAGGGCAGACGACGGCAGCGTATAGAGTGAATGCAAAAAGTGAGAAGAGGAAGAGTTTGTCGAAGAAAGAGGAGCCATTCTTTGGTGGCCGTCGTGTGCGCCGGCTCGGTTGTTTCTGCGGCGACGGGCTGGGTTTGGACGTTGTGTTCTGTTCCTTGGTCTGTCTTCGCGGTGTGGGTTGTGAAGAGTTTGAGCGTGATGCCACCGCCGGGGCAGCGACTGGGTTTTTGCGCGACACCACCATCGTCGCAGTCGGTCGAAAACAACTCAAAAGACGTAGCCTCTCGCTCATGATACCGTTGCTTTGTTTGGCCCACGTGACGTAATCCAACACAAACACCTGGCACTCGACTCTCCACGTCGACGCCAATATCCCCACCTATCTCGTCATGTGCGTCCATGATAGAGCGACCCAACCCACCTTACCTCCAGCATGAACCTCTTCTCATTTTTTTTTTGCATGTTCGGTTGGGTAGGGAAGGGAGTTCAACCGGCAACGCGTGACGTCATTCAGTTTCTCGGCTGGGGCGAGTTCGATCCTCAGTCAAGCCGAATACTTTTTGCACTTAGACGCCTCTGTCACGCCGAGTGCTTCCACCCGATGGTATGTAGCGGCCTTTCTCAGACGACATCTCCCTCGAAGGCTCGAAGAGAGAAGGCACTAAAGCACAGAGGACTTGCTCAGGTGGCCCCAAGACCTCCATCTAGGTCCAGGCCTTCGATAGGCCACCTCTTCCCAAACAGTGACACCGTCCTGACATCATCCACCAAGGTTCCACGAAAGCCTCTCTGGCAGGAGTCCGCTTCCTTTCTTAAAATGGCATATCGCAGTCCCGGATCCGCCATCCCCATATAGGACGCGGAAGCTTACCCAGGACCCCCGAAAACCAGCTGAGAGGTCAGTGCAGATCCGGTTAAAATTGGGGGGGTCTGGGGGTGGAGGTCAGAAATTTTCCGGGTATTTTGTGGGGGGTTTCGAGGTCGAGGTCGGTTCCTAAATCCGGGTATCATCGACTCTCTGAGGAGGTCACTTCCAAAATCCGGGTATTGGTGCACGGCAGGCTCGCGCGACCTGATGATCTTGGGTGGTCCTGGGTGGTCTCGACCGTGAATTTACTTGCCATTTTGGGCCCATTTTCTACTCAAAACATGTAGAAGTATCTTGACTCACAATCGACTACGATTTGCGACGGTAAATCACCAAACTGGGCTATGAATTGGAATCAATGAGTACATTTTTTGTAGCCTGTAGCCATATGTAGGCTTGGGTCTACATTCTGGTAACAGCTATCCGTCAAAAGACGCCCAGGACCGTCAATACGAGCGCCTTGTCCTTAACTCGCAAGAGTCCAATTCCCTTCGTGTCAACCGCTGCTGAAGCCGTGAAGGGACTGGTGGCGAAACAGCCAAAGAAAGGGGACAGCAACGGAGATGAAGACGAGGGTTGATCATACCATAGTGTTTGCACGTAGTTACATGGATATACGAGCGAAATATGAGAATTCAGACGAGTTTTCGTGACTTGAGGTCTGTTCCAAAATCCGGGTATCGATTTTTGGCTTGGCACGGAGGTCACTGCAAAACCCGGTTAAAATCTGGGGGGTTTTGCGAGATAAAATCCGGTTAACAAATCCATTTCCCAGAACTGACCTCTCAGCTGGTTTTCGGGGGTCCTGCTTACCCACCGACTGACGTTGTCGATGAGCCGTAGATGATGTCGGTACTGGGGAGGTCGATATAAAAAGAGCTCCCCTCTTGTGGAACTCGGAAATCATAGATTGATTCTTGATTTTCTTCCACTCACCACTCACAATGGTAAGGAAGGCCCATGGGGCAGACTTTCAACTTGTTGGACGTTCTAACACGAGTATTCCTCTAGGCAATCCTCAACTACCCTCCAGCGGCTGCCCATCTCCCTACACCTACACCCACACCCACCTGGTCCAGTGACGAGGACTCGGATCATACGTCCTGCTCTAACCCGGAGCCCATATCTGTCTCCACCTCCTTCTACCCCGGATCCCACTCCCAGCCTCATAACATAGTTTTCAAAACCAGCGACTCGGTGTTATTCTACCTCAACATCCCAGCGATGCAAAGGCTATCCCATACCGCCTTCAATTCCCTCATTCCCCCAAACACAACAACGTCCTCCTCAGAAGAAGACCAAGCAATCGACGTCCCAGAATCATCAGCCGTCTTCGACGTCCTAGCACACGCTCTCTACGACATCTCCTGCGCTGCCCACACCCACCCCCTCGAAGTAATCCTATCCGCCATCGACCGAATGTCATTATACAGCATTACCCCAACGCACCTCATCTTCCCAGGTAGCCACCTCTACCAGCTCCTCCTCAACCACGCTTCAACCTCCCCTCTCCAGATCTACGCTCTAGCAGGGCAACACGGGATCCACGAACTCGCGGTTCACTCTTCGCAATACTCCATGCTATACCCCATCTCGGCTATGACCGACGACCTCGCCTGCAGGACAGGCGCCGTATACCTCAAGAAACTTTTAGTGCTCCATACGTTCCGACACGACACTTTCAAACGCATCATTTCACGACCTCTCGAATTACATCCTTTGAGTAGCGACTGTGATCCGCACGAACGAGCTGAATTGGAATATGCCTGGGTTGTACACACCCAGACATACAGATCGCCCCAGGACATCCACAGCGGAGATAAGTTTGGTTTAACCGGAGTTTCAACCTATGGTTGAGCATTTTCAACCCCCGGCTGTACGGCCAAATTTTAAGCCGGGGTCATCCCTATTTGCAACCCCTGTCTATAGTTCCACATTTTGCCCTCAATACATCGTCCTTTTGCCCTCGGGTTCACCGTCCAAACCAAAAATCCCACAGAAACACATCCAAGCCTTCGCCTTTGATGTCGGCATCGGTTCGTGCGTTGAATCCTGAACGTGAGTATCTGTGACGTCACGCGAAGCTCGGCGCTCACACTCGTTGAATCCAGACTGGACAATCACCACCAGCAGCGACGGTTCCACAGTGTATACCTGTAAAGTATGCCCTAATTATACCACTCCCCATATCCGTCACAGCACTGCCCATGAGCGCTCGCAAGGCCACCAAAAGGCTGTCCAACACGCCGAACTTGAGCAGACTGAAGGAGTCACAGACTTCTCACAGAATCCCTTNCCTATCGGCGGCGACGAGCTAGTTACCGACGATGTCCTGCGAAACATCGTCAGCGCATTGCATGGAAATGTTGTCGACAACCCTCCTCTCCCACCCTACCCTCCCAACCATCCGTCGCTGCGAGGTATTCAACTCGAGCACGACGCCCATTGGGACAGATCACCTGCCACTGGTATCAACTACGGAATCCACCAGGAACACACTCAAATCGAGTCGGAACACCTTCAACAGCTTGTCACGGAGACCACCAAGACAATAATGGACCTATTGGATTCCGACTTGAGTGACTTTGAGTGGGCGGAGAGGACTGATTCCGATGAGGACAGTTCCGAGAGTGATTCGGATGAATCTGGTAAGTACCTTCTTCCGTCCTTTTACCGATTACCTTTCTAAAGGACTTGTCAGACAATTTCCTGTATGGATATGACGAAGACGAAGAAGGTGAACCAGACGGACCTCGAAAGCGTGCTAGAGGGCACAGGAGCGATCCGGCTACAGCGCGGTCGTGGTTTCCGTGGCAAGACAAGTTGGTACGTCCTCGCTGACCTCATTGCTCGATGTTCCTGCTCATATTTCCGATTTAGACCTGCTCCCTCGATCTCCTAATGCACCTGCCACGGTCCGTCTTCTCCCAACGGCAACTGGAGTTGTTTTTATGGCTCCTGCGGGTCAATGGAGTCGACGATGTACCTTCGGTGAAAGCAATGAAACGGATTAATGAATCCCCTGCAAGACCTTTGTGGTATCGACTCAAAACCGTACCAAGGGGCGATGGGCAATCGGTTCTATGTCAACAATTTGTCCAAGATCTTAGCTCAGGTGCGCATCTCCCAAGTTTCATTTCTTTCTTCCACCTGTCTGAATGTGATACCCAGGAAATGGCAAACCCCCTTGTTCGTCCTCATCTTCAGTTCTACCCAGAGGATTGCGGAAAGCGAGTCTCCGAAGCTGTCCACGGTGCTCGGTGGCTTCATGAGCTCTCCCACGAAGACTCGACTCCCATGATTCGACGCGGTACCACAGACTACTTCATCCACGAGCCAGCGATGATCGTCGATGGATCATGCTGCATTCCTTTCCGCTGGTTCCGTCGGAAGGGCAAGTTCGTTGCCCAAGCATGGAGGATGGAAACACTTACCGACGAAAACGGACGCGAGGGATGCAGCTCCTAACGAGGACCATTCAACCTATCACCTACCACCAGCCCCATCGCGTCCTTGGTAAATAGTAGCTGATCTGCTAATCACCCGTACACGGTACTGGTAGTTGTACCTTCATGCCCTCATAATTATTTTGCTTGTTTTTAGTGAATCTATTCTTCTACTCTATGCCATCTTAGTCTACCCAATGCTCCTGTATACTTCTTAAAACATCGTAGATTAAATCTCATATTTTGTTATCTTCATTGAAAAAAAGAACGACAACTCTTTTCTGCATATAGTACACAAAGCTCGAGGTGCATTTGGGAAATGAATAGGGGCGAGTTTCACGATCACGTGTCGCGGAGTTTCAACCAACAATTTGAACCAACATTTTTGCCGCGCCTCTCTGAGTCTCTGTTGACAACCATCGCCATCGCTCGTCGACGCTCCCCTGCACGTTGAGCAGACCATTGCCCGACACTGGGTTCTGCATCTCAATGCCATGTTGCCTCGGCTTCGGCTAGGCATCAGAATTGAGCGACAACCCAGTTGAAGGCAGGCTCTACTCACCAATTTTTGCTTGCTCCCATCTGCCCCTGCTCTCTGAATCTGTGCAAGCGTTCTGACATGTTCACCTAGTGTTTGGAAGTCGTGAGTACCTTTCCTGCTTTTAACTCGTGTTTTCCTTTCTCTGTCGCTGCTCGGTGCTGCACCAAGGGTGTGGTTACTCAGCACGCCGGGCTATGCAGTGCGCCGTAAATGTTATGATCCTTCAGTGATGTTTATCATTTATGCTAATTGACTTTGTCCAGGACCATCTCCTGAATCCAGCTCGTCGTTCTAGGGTCAACCGGACGGACGTTCGCCAGACCGCAGGTTTTCGATGGACGTCCTTTCTGCCTCACCATTCGCCGCAACTCTCTGCGTTTATCGCAGCATCACTGGCGGTGAATTCGAAAGCGGGTAGTTACCGGAAGCTTGGTACGTTTGCTGGCACCTTTTTCGACCGTTGTGCTCATTTCGGGCCCTCAGGTGTGCGTCGATATGTTGGCAATGGGATTTCTGGTATATGGTTGGTCCTTTGGCATTCACGTGTTCTGCTTGTCCTGACTTTCGCTTTGCCAGATGCCTTTTCGCCGCTGTCGTGACTCGTCCTCCCTCCCCGTCTTGTGAGTAGTTTCCTTTCACCCCCATGGCAATGACGGTTGCTGATGGCTGCCCTCACAGCTGCCATTGATCATGAGGATGGAGATAGTTGCGCTATGGAGCATAGGTACGCCGGTCCATTTCATACTTTTATTCATCAGGCTCATTTGTTCCTGCCCTTCAAGGAGTCGCTCGAACGCTCACGCAATCTTTCCACAAGTCCCATCTCGGTACCATAGTCGGGGTCCGCAGTGTTGTATTAGATAGTTTCAATATAATTGTTATTATTTAAAGAAGCGAATCGATGAGGGGAAGGCCCTAAGGAGGCAGGGAAGAACCGGAAACCTGAGGAAGTAGCACGAAAACGAACGAACCGACGTGGAGCTGGGGTGGAAACTCAGGATAACTTAGGCACTCCCTGAGGTCAACCCTGGGCTATACTCTGTCGGTATAACCCAGGGTTAGGAGTGCCTAAGTTCAGTTGGGTTTAACCCGCGATGAAACCTGGGACGGTCACATGGGGTTTAACCCTAGGCTGTCCTCCGGGTCCGGATGTGTAGCCACGACAGGGCTTTTCTCGCGAAAAGGCAGTGGTGAGTCGGTTTCCCCTCGCACTTTCTCTTTATTGCCCCGGTCCGTTTGTTGCTTAATTATGACTAGTTGCAGGAACGTCGAGCAGCCAAGTCCGGGAGGCGCTTAGTCCCCCCGCCGACAAGACTAGCTGCCCAAAATGCAAAGCTTCCCTGAAAAACCAAGTCGAAGGGATCATTTTTCAATGGATGGGCGCCAAGGTGAAGTGTACTATTGGCTCTAAAATGGCTCAGGCCAACGGCGGTGTCTAGAGAACGATTTGACGACTCATGTCGCGTGCGACAAGTCTTCCGTTATTACTTATTACTCACTGACTCTGGAAGTATACGGCCCTGGTTCACAGGTTCTATTCTCGTATGTAATTAAGCTCTTATACCCATGTACTTACTTGGTGCAGCCTTATAGTAGAGCTCTGCTCTGCTCTGAACCTAGTTGCCTCGAACTAGCGACCTCGTCCTGAGATGACCTGAGTGAAAAAAGTGGGCAGCGCTCCCAAACCATCCCAGGCAATTTAAATCTTCGCGGCGACATCCATAACGATCACGCGGAGGATGGATGGATGGTTTGGGACGAGGGGAATCTCACTGGGGATGATCAAAAAGGGAAAAGATCTTCACGGAATGCAATATTTGGTGTTAAGCCGCATAGATTCATGTAGCATAGGCTAGGAATGCATACACAATTCCGCTATGTAATGTGTAGGTGTAACATAGACTATAGAAATACAGTAACAAAAAACTAATGATAAAACGAGATCCCGAAAGCTGATGGTACAAAGGAAAGCAATTTGAGAGAGAAACGAAAAGCGAGTCCATGCAAAAAGAATCTATGATCGCTCGCCGCGTAACCGCCTGGCGAGAGCGAGATCCTTGGGTTGGATGGTCACACGCTTAGCGTGGATGGCAGCCAAGTTGGTGTCCTCAAAGAGGGAGACGAGGTATGCCTCGGCGGCTTCCTGAAGGGCCATGACGGCAGAGGATTGGAAACGGAGGTCAGTCTGTGGAGAGCGGAGTCAGCAAATGGGATGCAAGTCAGATCGAGTCATAAATATGCACCTTGAAGTCCTGGGCTATTTCACGGACGAGTCGTTGGAAGGGGAGTTTGCGGATGAGGAGCTCAGTGGACTTTTGGTAACGCCTGATTTCACGGAGGGCGACAGTTCCGGGCCTGAAACGATGAGGCTTCTTGACACCACCAGCTGCGGCCTGAGGAAGGAATGTTAGTCGAAGCTTGAGGAAGAAACAAGAACATAACATACAGCAGCGGTCTTTCGTGCAGAGGACTTGGCAGCGAGTTGCTTACGGGGGGCCTTGCCACCGGTGGACTTGCGGGCAGTTTGCTTGGTGCGGGCCATTGCGAATGAATAAAGTGTGTGCGGTGGTGGTGGTGAAGGCGAAAGAGTTGGGGGATCAGCCGCTCCAAACCGCCGCGCTTATATATACGACGCGGGCGCGTACCCCACGTGATCACGCGCCTCACCCAAACGAAGCCCGCGTCGATCAACAAACGGAAATGCAACACAGCCACAGCGCGCCTGTATATAACGGGCTGCCTTGTTTGTCGAAGCCCCTCATCCGACTTTACCGTCTACCGCCACCAGCCACCGCAACCTTTCTTCTTTTTCACCACCACCACCACCAACTTTTAATCACACAACATGTCCGGCCGAGGAAAGGGTGGCAAGGGTCTCGGAAAGGGTGGTGCTAAGCGTCACCGCAAGATCCTCCGTGACAACATTCAGGGTGTGTACACAGCGTGTTTTCAAGACTCTGGCTTTCGCTGACATTCGGCCCTCAGGTATCACCAAGCCCGCTATTCGTCGTCTTGCCCGCCGAGGTGGTGTCAAGCGTATCTCTGGTCTCATCTACGAAGAGACCCGTGGTGTCCTCAAGATCTTCCTTGAAAACGTACGTGTTTTTCTTCATGCCACCTTCACGACTTTATCCTTACCTCTTCCTCAGGTCATCCGCGACTCTGTGACATACACTGAGCACGCCAAGCGCAAGACTGTGACAGCACTCGACGTCGTCTACGCCCTCAAGCGATCAGGGCGAACCCTCTACGGTTTCGGCGCATGATCTCGTCCTGTCTTTTCTTCGCTTTCTCGTCCTGCATTGCATTGTTTTCTCCTCTTCACTATCATTATTTCATTGGGCATTTGTAACATCCTGGTGTATTGTACAATATCTAATCGCATTCCCTGTACATCAATCTTCTCCCGTATACTACGTGAGAGATTCGAAGTCTGGTCATTTGTCATTTGTCGCCTTGCTGATTGGTCATGGGCATATGCTTGCCTCTCAACCAATTGCCACTTATTGCTTGTGTTGTTGATCGCTTTACTCATTCAGCATCCCCGTGGTCCAGCGTTGAACGTTGAATGGTAATGTTGCGCAAATGGCCCTCGCTATGGATACCGTAAGTACAGAAGTCTTATCGCTGCAGTGGCCTACTCCCAAGTCGCGGAAAGTGACAGGAAATGTCTGTATTACGGATTTGCCAAAAGCAAATCGAAAGATTGATCCGCATGCCAGCGTCTCTGGCCAATCGAAGGGTTTCCCAAACTCTGAGGAGACCTACCTTGGACTGTTACCATCATCATCTCACTGGAGTGCTCAATTTGAAAGTCCTCGACCAGCTCTGTGATATCCACAATTGCGTTACTCGAAACCTCGGAACAGAAAGAAACACAAGGTGTGTCGTCTCGAAATGATTGTTATCGCCAATCATCACTAATTGGGAGAGCAAAGGGGGGCGCTTGTCGACAGTCGCCGTCGATCTTCCGTACCGACAAACTGCCTCATCAAGATTCACCGACTATTTGCCGTCATAAATGGGCTCGGTCTGTGATACGAGGTTCTGGCGTAATCTGACGGCGGCCCTGCTGCTCTGCTCCTGCCAATATGGCCTCCATGGATGTCGACCGATATCCTGACCTGGTTCTCCCAAACGAAATCCTGGGGGCAATCTTTGTTGAACTTGCACCACCTGCTCTCGTGCATGTAGCAGCTGCCTCTTCCCGTTTCAAAGCGGTCGCTGAGCGAATTTTATACTCCTCCATCAATATCCAAGATCTCGTTTCATCCCACTCACCTACTCCTTGGAGGACTCTTCGATGGTGCGAGACAATCTCCCAGCGTCTCCAGCTCCTCGATCTAGTCCGCCGCGTCCACATTCGCTGGCAAACAGATGCAACTCCGCCCGCTCCACACCATTTCATCACCCTTTGCGAGCGACTAGGGGAGGTCCTGCAGTCGTTGACCTTTCTCGAGTCACTCGAACTCTTCCTCGGACCCGCCAACCTTATCGATCCACGCCATCGCGAGCCCATCCACGCCATCGAGCGAGTCATCGGGAAATGTCAGTTGCCCCACCTCCGCACCTGTTCTCTAGGCGCCGATTACACCAAAGGCGCTCAACCCTACACACCTATTCTATCCCAGTTCCTAATCAGCCATCCATCGCTCCAGCAGCTCAAAATCCCCGACTTGAACAGCCGCCTGGACATACTCGACTCCTCCCTTCCTAACCTTACCGCTTTCCGTGGTTCAGCCGACGCTGCGGCGTCACTGCTTCCGGGAAGGCCTGTTCAACAGCTCGCTCTTTTCGGTGACGACTCTTCCGTTAACCGGGAAAACCTTCCCCGGATAGCATGCACTTCAATTCCACTTCGTCACCTCGACTTATCAGCCATGTCAGCTCGCCCAATGTTACTCAAGAATATCGCTCTGTATCTGCCCCATCTCCATACATTCCGGGTGAAGCTGGCGCTCCGACATACACTTCACTATGCGTTTACCGGAATTGTGAGTGAACATTCTCTCCTCGTCCGATGATGCAACAACTTACGGATGTGCCCCTGATTTCAGCGGCTGTTAACCGGATTATCCACAGTTCTGAGTTCGTTCGGTGAACTGGTCTTCCTCGACTTGTCTCCGACGGACGTGAATGGAGTAGGAAGGGCTGACTCCCGAGAAGAACTGGCCCTCTGCCAAGAATGGCGTCGTGGCTGCCCTACCCTCCGCCGCATTATCTTCCCTTCTCAGACTGAATTCGTTCTAGGCTCAGACCTGACATGGTCCATTGTTTCTCGATGAAAGACTATTCACCACCTTTGTGAACTAGCAACACCTCTGCTTTTCGATTTTCCAATCTCATTTCGTGTTTAGGGGGTTTGTACTATCCACTCGCATTTCAACTACTTCCGTCTGCTTTATTTGGTTTAGCGGTAAAATACACTTTCAGATTATTCTTTAATGTACATGGCGAAATCTCGCAAATTCGATATAAAAACAGGATCCAAAGGTATTATTAACTATGGTAGTCAAATCAAATAAGCGTCCTTGTCCAGCAAGCCATCCGCCGTGGGGTTTTGAGCGTAAAATAGAAGATCCAAATCCAGTTCAAAGACCGTAGACGTTGCCCAGGGTATCCGTTATGATTCAGATTCGTCAATAAAGATATCTGTATAATGGTTAAGAATTGTCTCGATAGCCTGGTGACAACAAACTTTGTCAGTGACAATGCCATCAAAGGAAGGAGAGGATGCGGACTTGGTTTTGAAATGATGCATCTGCCATGGCACCGCCTTCATGCCCGGGTAGCAATTGAGCGAAGAGGGTCGGCCCAAATACAATTGCAAGGTTCTGTACGGACATCGAATTTTCTTCGGCGTGTTGTGTGATCCTGTGGAAAGAAGGAAAAATTAGCATTGAAAGCGCACGAGACCGTATACTTACCGTTGTAGGTGGCCGAGGAAGTATTTCAATGTAGAGTAGTTGGGATCAGGAAGATCGTTGACTCTTTCATGAAGTCGAATGTGGCGAAGGCGATCGTTCTCGATTTCTAGGGAAGGGCATTAACAAGGCTCAAGCGCAATGAAGAACTTGCCTACGTACTGGCAGCGTCTATGAAACCTTGATGGAGGTGGTTCGTCATGAGTGGATCCGGCAATTCACGCAGCCACATCTTTAGAACACTGGCCACAGTGTTGATATCTCCCGACCATTCAGGAGCATCCAGATCGACCGAATCCAAGTCTATTAGATGTAACGTCAGGTTCCGAAGATAAGCCAGCGAGTCATAAAAAAGGCACCTTTGTCTAAGCGCTGTTTAAGGTTTGTGACCTTGCTTGACATTCCGCTGACCCTATATATGCCTTGTGACCGGATCCCGTACTTCTCTATGGCCTGGCAACATTTGACGACCACGAGAGGCACTTCTACATTATCTCTCGCCATTTGTTCGGCGAGATCGACACCAAATGTAGGCCGACCTTTGTCTTGTAAGCCAACTATTCCATTTGGTGCATTGTTCTGAGCGGCGTAATTTGGACCTCCATACACATTCACCGGCGGAATCTATATGAAAGGCATGAATGGGGTACGAACTCCCATCGGAATATGTACGCACATAGTCTTGCGATGGTCCATCACGCTTTGGTCGTCTTGCTGCACTCATACCCCCGCGTGCATAAACATAGTTCTGCATGTAGGTCCTAAAGTCGCCCCGGTTGTCTATCGTTTCAATTGTCGCTTTGAGCCCGACGCCTGAAGGTCACACAATCATCCATGCCAGTTCCGATGACAAAAAGACCATGACGTACCCTCGTCAGCTGTAGGGACAAGAGTGGACCCGTCACTTAACACAATGCTTTCAAACAAAAACGCATAGCGTGTCAGATGATATTGCGTCCCGAGATCAACCTCGTCCGCGCATTCTTTTAAAGACTGAATCGCATACTATCAGGCCACCTGGCATCAACAATATGATAAGACCACTTTACCCGTAATATACGAGGGAGTTGGAGATTGAAGTACTCCTGTCGCATTGCTTGGGTATCTGTCACTGCTTTGCGGTATTGGTCCGAGGCCGCAGAGACTCTTCCTCTGATATCGTCTTCCTGGCGCTGAATCTGCATGATAGTTTAGAATCGGCCTTGTGATAATGAAATTCACTCACGTTTCCTGGATTTTTGCCCTTCAAGAGAAGCCCGCCTTTAGCGACTGCCTTTCCGATAGCCCGTTTACCTCCAACGCCTCCACTATGAGCCTTAACTGCGGTGTCCTTGAAGGACTCTCCCTCCTTCTGCAACAACAAGCGCTCCAGTTCTTCTGAGGAGAAGTCGAGGCGATTCTTGCACTTTTCAGTGGCAGCTTCTGACTCGTGTAGGGCACGTTCATATCTTGAGGCAAGGTCTTTCGTCTGTTGAAAACCGCGGTCAGAAATCCTGTAGCAGAGGACTGAATGCGAACCTGTTTCCGATTCTTGTCAACCTCCTTCACCAACGTTGCAAGTTCTTCGCTCATCTCGTTCAATCGCTGAGCAAATCGCAGGCGATTCTCTGCCATCATCTCGTGCACCCTCATGGTGGTCATCCAAGCAGAGACAAATGTTCTAAAGGCGGGTTAATAAGACAAGGGGACAGAGACAATATCACACACCCCGCCTTTCCATCGTTTAAGGCGTACACCTCTGCTGTCGTTCGCGCCAATTTCTGTAGCGTCTTGCCATATTCCTCTTCGATGGCAGCCCGCTTTTTGAAGAATATGGATGCCTCCTGCGGCGAGCTTGAACAACGGTAAACGAAACCAAGTTGCTTCTTAAACGCACCCTGCACGAGACAACACTTTGTTTGATTCTATCCAAGAGTAATGGAACACCGCACTATTTGGCAACATTGTTAGAGAAAGATAGCTCAATTCTCGACCACGACTTACATCCAGCTCGCACAGTTGCCTCAGTACGCTCTCGTCAAACCCCGGTTCCATCAAATTGGGTGGGTCCACGCTTTGAATCGTGGCCAGGGTATCCCGACGTTCCAGGGAGACTGAGTCATTCCACGGCGGCGAATATGGCGGTCTACCCTCAGAATCGGTGCTCGAGCGTGGTGGTAACGGAGACGTCGATGTTAAATGAGGACTGGAGGAGCTCGTTGATGCGATTGTCGGCGCCTGTCCCCCGGGCAGTCGAATTTGAAGGTGGTCGTCGCTGGGCCATGCGTGGCTGGCGTTAAATGAGTCCTCTGTGGTCGTCGCGGTGCTCATTGTGGCGACGGCGACAACGCGATATCACTCTAAGCACAATGCCTTTGGACGGCTCCTTCAAGGGCCAAGTCCGTGATGGTACACGTGAACCATTCATCACGTGTCTCTCGGCCACAGGAGCCGAGCTTGAGCGCTTAATTGCATCACGATGCCATTATCTGTGCTTGATGCTCACAGTGGCCTCTCCCTAACGGGGAAATATAATAGATATGCAATGTCGTCGATTTCCGCAGATTTAATGATTTTGACAAAGACGGAGTGTTACCGAGGCTCGGAAATGAGCTGGATCATGGTAGGCCGATTCAGACCGCACGTCGTCCAGTGCCTACTCAACCCCAAGGCTTTGACTTTGCGCTAGGGAGGTACATGTGTCGCAAGCCCCGTGGGTTGTATGGTCGATGAGGCGGATTTCAGGTCCCCTGGTTCCAGTATGCGTGAGCGGATGTGAGGTACTAATTTTGGCTATTCTGAGCCTAATACCCACATCATATGAACACAATCATTTCTGCAATCGTGACTATCCTGCCTGTGGCTCGTACTGCGGGTGCAGTTGAGCGAGCGGCATTCGATCTGCATTCAAGGTCAGTAACAGCCTTCCAGACTATCGTGCACTCACCTTTTGCCGCCTCAGATCGGTTTGGTGCTCACATTTTGTGTAGAGGCATACGGTGCTTATCATCCTACACATGATAAAAGTCTGGAATGGGATCGGAAGTAGAAAGGATGTCCGAGGGAAAATATTGCTATCCTGCCCCTTCTTATACCCAGGCACCAGGGCAATCTTTTCCTATAAATCATGAGGTGAAACAGACCACAACGCTGGCAGGTGACCATTGTGATTCCCAGCGACCCCTCAGATCTTAGAATAGGTCCAACGGGAGCCTACTCTGGGAGCCCAAAGGGCGTACAAGACATATGGGAGAAGCAGGGCTCACATTCATAAGCAGAACGCAGAAGCCAGGGTACTATATATCCTGGGAGCGAACCGTGTCTGAAGCGGCGCCCTGATGCTGTTGGTAGTGGCACTGAAACTGGAACTGGGAGCCAAGTTCTAACAGTTCACTTCTCACGCAGTCCATGAACCTACCAGGCCACAGTTCGTTTCGGGAAGGTCGCCCAGACAAATTAAAGCTCGAATTACCACCGGTTGTTACTGGCCAGGCAGAGGTTTCTAACCGCCAGGCCTATCCAAATGAAAGATCCGCATCGAGGAAACATCATTTTCAGCCTCCATGTTGATATCCGAACATTGCACAGCGGCGTCGTTCTCCGGCCAGACTTACTCCTCAGAAATGCAGTAGCGGTTCGACGAAGACACGAGGCAGATGCGTCATCCCCAGGAATGTCAGAAGCAAGTTTTATGGCGCGAGCATCGGTTCCAGTGGCAGTACCCTCCCCCAAGTCCCACCAGGCCGGAATCGACCGACCACCTCCCCCCTTACCATTATCACCGTCACTCTACGGCGGTTACTTACAGCAACACTAGCTGAACTTAAATGCTCATTTTCAACACTGGTGCGTGGCTACAGCTCTCTCAAATTACATCTCAATCGCTAGAGCCCCTCACCAGAACAGCCACTATCCTCAGTAAATTTCCACCGTCCCCCGACAGCCATCTTCTGCCTCAAGCATCCCCCACACAACAGGGCTCTAATCGCCAAAGATCTCGCCCCATCTATCGGGATACGACCATCGGGGTTGTCCAATGCCCACCGCCCAGCGACTCCTTGGCACAGAAACCACCGCCCACCGAGGACCGCCCCCTTCGAGAACCAGGCCCAACGCACTGTAGACTACTAAGGAGCCATAACCTCTGACCGAATACCCGAATACCAGGGCAAACCCAGCGCTTCAACCCACAGGCGCAGCCGCATTCACCCGCGTCAAACCCCCCGACCCCATGCTTCCAGGCCACGACCTTTCGCGACTCCTTTCATCAAGCAGATCCTCAGCAACTGCCATAGGAGACTCGAATCTCACTCCAAAGTCCACCGAGAACTTACACATCGTCGGTCAAATCGTCTCCAAGAGTGTTGCAATGCTCTGCGCTCCAGTCATACCCTCTGTGGGACTCAGGGCTCGCGTATAATTACCCTCCTTCCCAGCAGACCTAAAAGCAGTATGCGCTGATCCTTTGGAGTAGTATTCACATCATCCCGCAGCTCGCTGATCGAATCCACCGTACCAAATCGCCAACACCCATCATTCAAAGTGGAGCACCGAGCTTTGAATTCGAATCCATTATGCAAATCCGAGTCCCGCGAGCTGATACGACATCACAGTGTCACGGTAGTCAGTTCTTGAATAGTTTTCAACAATCAAGTTCGTCAGATTCGAGCAGTTGGAATACAATGATCATTCACAGAACAACTGACGTGGCCGATAAGCGCTCAAACTTTCCAAGGTTTCTGAGGCACTTCCAGCTCTATCGAATGAATTGGTCCCTCATCAGAAAAGAGAACCAAGAGAAAGAGCAAACGTACATACATCAACCAAACACCGAGCCAGTTTAGGCGTTCAGAACCGTGCACCGAGCGAAATAACGAGCCAGAGCAAGCCGAACAGTTCGCAAATGCCGAAATGCAGCTTCTTCGTCCCCGTTTATAGTCCGAGAAAGCAGTGACAAATACTCTGAAGATCCCCCTTGCGAAGACTTGGTCACGACGTCTTCAAGTCTTCTCAACAAGAGAGAAGCTTGTGAAGAAGTGAACAAGAGCTTAGCTTCTGAAGCTACTGTCAGAAACCAAATACCTTATCCGTGAAATGAAAACACACCGTGTTCGAGAAGTTCAACAGAGTCGCAGAGTACCAATGCCCACCAAGAGCTAGGCGCAAGTTCTTCATAGAAGATAGCCACCAGAGCTGCTGCCGCGTCAACAAAATCCTGGCGCGTCAGAAGCTCATGGAGCTGTGCGTATCGCACCGCGAAGACCATGCGATGGTAAAAGACCCCGTTCACCTCTGGCCTATTCCCAAGAGCCTGTATAATGGGTGCAATGGCTGAGGCGTGCTCTAGGAAAGGACCCGTTCCTGCGCGCAAACTGTCAAACCGCCATCCGGGTGGTAGCGAGATGGAAGGCGAATCCCTTACCATGTTTGACATATTCTTCCAACACATGATCTACTATTCGACCCAACCCGGTCCAATTTTCCGCAGACGTGCAATAGGAGGCGGCCAAACCATAATTTCTTTCTTGAATGAAGGTTTGAGCGGCAATCTAAATATAGGTGAACAACGATTGGGTAAAAAAGAAAAGAGACAAGCTCGGAAAACTCCACCTTGCACACGGTTCGTCGAACTGCTTCTCGTCGGAACTGCATACACGATTCGTTCACATCTTTTAGCGTCCCTACAACGTCCCCAGCACGTATCCTCTCTGCAGTCCCCGAGTTGACAGACTGTTCGTGAAGTCTAAGTGGAACATGAAGGAGCACTTCATCTCCATGGCGCTTGCCTATTTCTCCGCAGGAATACATATAGTCGATGGTGATCCGCCATAGAGCAGGGTCCGACTGGAGATACTCTGCGTACGAAAGAATATAAAAATCTCTCTGGGAAAGATCGGAACTAAAACAGTTATTGGCCACGGTTCATGGAAGAAAGGACGAGTACTCACTCTTCTTCCAGGGTGTTATCCAGTAAAGAGAGAGGCTCCATTAGATCGCTCATATGGGCGGAAAGCCACGGGTCCAGATCGAAAGCGTGCTCGAGTGCTTCACCCACTCGCGCACCAAACAAAGCCGCGTGGATGTTATCCTCGAGGCTAGTGGGATCCGGGGGAAGGTCTGCCAGAACATCAGCAGCAACGTCTCTGAGGGGAAAGAATCAGACCCATTCCCCAGGCATCAAACAGCCCACGTACGGTAGATCCTGGCGTCGGAGTCTCGGATCGACAAAGATCCCCCAAGCAACGCAAACCTCCTTCCAATCGGCACCCAAATCATCGCAAACGCGTTTCAAGGTATCCGACCGACCCTCCAGAACACCAACGATATCGCTTAGGCGGTCCCACCAGTTTTCAAACTCGTCAAACCGCTTGTCTTCAGGAACGCGGTCCAAATCCACTCGCAAAGCCTTGACTTTGTCTTTCCACCGTCTATGAGCCGTGGCAAAGTCTCGCTCGGTATTGAAGTTTTGCAGGCGTGGTTGAGACTGAATGATCGGAATCAGGATCTCGGCTATAGGCACCAGTTCTTCGGATGGGTGATTCGACAGGATGTCCAAAAAGAATGAGGAAGCCTTCGTTAGACCGCGTAAGACCGCTCTGGAAAAGGACGATTAGCCCAAGGGGAATTCAGAGGAGGAAAGAAATTACCGCGTCAGATAAGGCCAAAACGTTTCGTCTGCCCAGGGTTTGTCCAGGGCACTCAAATGGTCGCCTTCTTCGGTTGAAGGTTCGATGAAATGTGTATTCAGCCACTCCATGAGGTCGTCTCCCACTGGAGCTTGTTCGTATCCAGGTTCTGGAAGGTACAGGACCACAAAGAGTGAGAAGCAGGTGTAGAGGCTTCTGTAGTGGTCACTCGATAGTTGAAGAGCACCCTCCGGCCTTGTGATTGGTTGCTGGACGGACAAGAATCAGTATGTGCTGACGTATGGGGTAGCGCAAGACTGAATACCGAAGCATGAACCCAACATTCTCGAATGAACGTGACATAGTCAATCGCAAGTTTTCGAAGGACTGACAAAGTTTCGTCGCTCTGTAGCCTTGTGAATGTCAAAGTTGTATCACATCTCTGGCAAATTCGCAAAGCAGACCACGTACCACTCGGGTGAGCGTCCTTTGGCATTGTTGATGAATTTACGGAAGGCGGAGAATATGACAAGGGTGTCTGTGATGAACTGGGGGAAGGAGAGACGGACAAGGGGCTTGAGTATTGTAGCTGTTTAGAGAAACTGTGTCCTCTCACCAGGCGGCGCTCTGACGAAGGCGGTTTATCCACATTGGCAAAATAGATAGGCTGTTCTTCCGAGGATCTGGGGGAGGGTTCCTGTCAAGATTACAGGTTAACATCTGTGGACACAAAAGACTCGTATTTCACATACATTCTTTGCCGGCGCGACGAACAAAGCCAATGAATTGTTCAATGGCGACTGCGCGACTGACACGGTTTGTCCTTGAGTAAGGAGCGCGTCGAACTCTCCACTCCCCACAAGAGCAGGCACAACATCTATGTGCTCTGCGCGGAACATCGTTCAGTTCTGTCCGATTTTGTGTTCGTGAGATTAATGGCCAAAGGACGACGACACCGGCGACGACACGGTCAAAGTGAACAGAACTGGCATGCGTTCATCGCGATCTGTTTGCCGCGCTACTTATTGACTCCGAACTTTTCTCACACACTAGAACGCGATGCGCGCACCGGGAGACTGAAGATGGGTGAGACTGCACTGCGAGAATAGTAGACTCCTATATTACATCCTATAAAATACAATCCTAATCAATGTCCATGTCATCAACTTCCCCATCTGAATCGTCAGGATAGTCATCCGAATCGGTAGTGTAGTATTCGTCAAGTTCAGTGGCAGGAACAAGCTTCCGCACCTCCACAGAACCACCATGTCTCCGCGTAATCCGCCATCGCTCCGGGCGATTCTGAATGTCAAAAAGAACACTATGCATGTACCTCTCTCCATCAACATCTTCTTCGTCCAACGTGATGTTCCAACCAAGATGCACGTGGTAAACGGTTTCGCCATCCACTCCCTCGTCCAAGTTGGTTGTTGCAGCGTAGAGATCGTCAATGGAGTGTAATGGGACGACGATTCCACGAGAATGTGAATATCGCATGTTAAAGTTTTGGATCATCTCCCATGAACACCCTCGTCGAAGTAAAGCTAGCACACTTTCTCTGGCATCATAGTCCATGCCAGTGAAGTCGTAGTCCGTAGGGTCAATCGGAATCCAGGCAGGTTCCCAGCGCGGAGCGACAAAGGTACTTGGATGGGGCAACTGTTCTTCCGAACTGGTGTCGTAGTCGGCGTAACGACCAGAGCCTTCTTCTTCCTCCTCCTCGTCGCTTTCGCTTGACCATGCCCATCGAGCGGCCGTCCGTTCCTGAAGGGAAAACATCCAACTGTGAACGTCTTGGTCGAACTCATCGTCCGAAAAAGCGCCAACTTCTTCGTCTTCATCATCTTCATCGGACTCTGGATCGCTGTTGGGAAAGATGCCCTTCCAGGGGTCGTCTTCCGAAGGATCCGGGTCTTCTGAGGAGGGACCTTCACCCGAATCCCGTTCTTTCAGGAGGGCAGACACCACCGCCTTGACCATGAAGATCGGGGACGGTCGATGCCGGACTGGCGTCCTGCAGCATGGACAGGTTTTCTCGCGATGGAGAATGGAATCGGTGTGGTCGTCGTCGTCGTCATCCACAGCTCCAGGTGAGGTCTTGAACCATTCCTGCAAGCAACCAAGACATAGGACGTGTCCGCAAGGCGAGAGACTGGGAGAGAGTCAGGTCTACATTCGATAAATCGACGAGAGAACGCACGCAAATGGGCGAAGAGGTAACTCCATGCAAATTTGACACTGGACCGACGCTTCGACTGTAGAGACAACCTTTTCCGGGGGACGCGGTAAATATCGTACCGCCAACCCACGACCATTAGGCTTACCCTTTCGCTTTTGGCACAACGCTCCTTGAGGGTTGTCACCTCGACTTCCTTATCTTTAAGCGCCTGACCAATGCGGTTAGAATCAGCACGCAGTGTCCACGCTAAACTTTAAGCAAGTCACCTGTGCACTCGCAGACAGTTGTCCCTTGAGTTCTTCGATTCTCTAGAGTTCTAGACCATCAGCTAACACGTTCCTTGTGTTGAAAGACGAAATGAGTGACCTTGGTTTGCTTTCGTGTAGTCTTGTGCATATCCTGCACCGCCTTCCGAAGGAGCTCAACTTCGCGCTGCATGCCCTCCCATCCATACGAAAGACCACCGTCATTTACCACGTTCACCACAGGCGGCGGTTGCCTTGCGAACGAAGAGTATATCATCTCTGAGACTGGCTTCCCGGCATCGATGGGTGGTAGAGAGCGAGCGGATTGTGTATATCGATGGTGAGATTGCCGAGAATCAACAGGCAGCGACATCCGGACGTGCTCTTTCTTTGTTGTACGATTTGAAGAAAGTGAAGTCATTGATTCGGGGCGAGGAACATCACGGGGCGTGGCGTGTCGAGCTAAACTGGACCCGCTGGTGGCTTGTGCTTGAGGTGGGTATGCTGCGGGTAGTGAGGCCCTCTTTATGGGTGACCGGCCATCGACGTGTGGCACCACCACAATGGGCAACAGGGAGCTGCTCTTGTCTCTGTCGTCATGAGCGCTCCTCTGAACCCGCGTGCTGGTTTCTGAGACGGAACCACCACCGCTGAGGGGTACAATGTCCTGTCTAGCAGCTACAGGCTTTGCACAGCGCTCGATATATGATCTTTGGGAATGAGGATGTTTGTGGGTCTCCTTTCCATGGACCCGGGCGACGCCATCGCATTGGGAGGTCGTCGACATGGAAGTCAAACAGTCTCGACAGTAAACGTGTTTCTGGAAGGTAATAGCGGTTAATAAACAATACAGAGGGTCAGAGCTACACTTGAACCTACATTTGCCACTTTTATGTTCAGAGATGGTATAGCTACACAATGCTTAGCGGATGGTGCAAAGGAGAAGGGGACAAAGGCTCCATCGCACCCAATCGAGAGGGACCTGCCTAAACTGGAAGCGGGACCATTTACGGGCACGTGCCTAGGACTCGGCCGACACCGCGAAGAATATAACATCTCCTTGGCTTAAATTCGAGTCAATTCCCCCTTCGAGACCTTCTCAAACAAATCCCACCACAATCCTAAAATCCTCCTCCAAAATGACTGACAAGGGACGCGTTTTGCTCGCTTATTCCGGTGGATTGGGTATGTTTTTTCAAGATTTGATATGTCTTTTTCGTGATCGCTAACGACATGATCAAGACACTTCTTGCATCCTCGCATGGCTCATCGAACAGGGCTATGAGGTCTATGCCTTCATGGCCGATGTTGGCCAGGAAGAGGTCCGCACCTTTTATCATTGTCAAAAACCTTGATCTCATCGATCATGGAATAGGACTTTGAAGCTGCCCGAGACAAGGCCCTCAAGGTCGGCGCTAAAAAATTCTTCTTGAAGGTAACTCGCCTCCTCACCATCCATAGACTATTACTGACATATTGTATAGGATCTCAAGCGTGAATTTGTCACTGAATTGATCTACCCTGCCGTCCAAGCCAATGCTATCTACGAGGTAAAACATCTGCCGTTATCATCTCCTTTAGATAACAGTCACTCATTGCCTCTCGGTTAGAATGTCTACCTTTTGGGCACTTCCCTGGCTCGCCCAGTTATCGCCCGTGGCATGATCGAGGTCGCCGACCAAGAAGGCTGCGAGTACGTCCAAACTCTCTACTCTTACCCGATAAAACTTTTGAGCTTCGCACCAGCTTCGTGTCCCATGGTTGCACTGGCAAGGGCAACGACCAAGTCCGATTCGAGCTCGCCTTCTACGGCCTCAAGCCTGATATCAAGGTCATCGCTCCCTGGCGACTCCCCGGTGCGTTCCTTCCCTTCACCAGTCCCACCCGTCCCAATCAAAATCCCTCCTAGAATTCTACAACCGCTTCGCCGGCCGACAAGCTCTCCTCGCCTACGCCGCCGAGAAGAACATCCCCGTCGTCCAAACCGCAGCCAAGCCCTGGTCCACCGACGAAAACCTCTTCCACATCTCCTACGAAGCCGGTATCCTCGAAGACCCCAACATCACTCCCCCCACCGACATGTGGAAGCTCACCACCGACCCCGAAAACGCTCCAGAGACCCCCGAACGCATCACCATCGAGTTCAAGCAAGGTCTCCCCGCCCGCGTCGTCGTCCTGGCGGAACAGAAGGAATACACCGACGCCGTCGAGATCTTCCTCGCATTGAACGCCCTCGGCAGGAAGCATGGTATCGGACGAATTGACATCGTCGAGAACCGATTCATTGGTGTCAAGTCCCGTGGATGCTACGAGTCCCCTGGCGCCACCATCTTGCGTGTTGCCCACATCGACTTGGAAGGTTTGACCCTCGACAGGAACGTTCGTGCCCTCCGAGACCAGTTCACCACCGTCGCCCTCAGCCGAATCCTTTACAACGGCCACTTCTTCACCCCCGAACGCGAGTTCATCACCAGCTCCATCCCTACCAGCCAGAGAACCGTCAACGGTCTCGTCCGCCTCAAGCTCTACAAGGGCAATGTCATCGTCGAGGGCCGTGAGAGTGACGAGGTTCGTCAAATCCATCCAAACTGACCTACCACTAACAACTTTCTCCAGGGCTTGTACGATTCGCAGCAATCCTCCATGGACGAGCTCGGAGGCTTCGAGCCCACCGACACCACCGGCTTCATCGAGATTGAATCTATTCGCATTAAGAAGTGCGTTCTCTAACACACATCGATGATTATACAATAACTAATCGCTGTCGGTTTTTGATAGATGGGCACAAGCCAACATCCGCAAGGGACAGGGCGGTGTTCTGCCCCAGGATGTGTACGGTAGCCGGGCGTAGACACGTCGGGGGTGGTTGAAAGAGGCAGCCTGTATAATCGCGAATAGTTCGCCATGTATAGTGTACGTCCGCGAATATAAAACAACAGGGTTCCGTGACGCATGGATGTTGTTGGAGGCGCCAAATCGCGACTTGCGAAGTATCCGAGGACACCGTTGTTTGAGTTTGCCGTGGAAAAGGGTCTTCAGGGCGTCCAACAAAACTGTGCTGGCGGGCATCCGTGGACCTGACCAGGCCGGAATGGAGGTTGGGGGATGTCGAAGGTCACAAAGACCTTGGTGGAGAAGAATTCGAGTCATGTAACACAAGGGGATGGTCGGGTTACTACGTGAGCAACTCTTCTTGGTCGATATTGACTTCGACCACGTCCTTGAAGAGGTCGGGTGTGATGACGCCTTGGCGATTGCCCGGGGAGAGCACGTTCCCTGCACGAGACTTGTAGAAATCCACGCCGGCCCTCATTGCTTTTTCAACGTCCAAGTTGATATAGATGAATGAGGTGTTTACCGGATTCCGATCTGGGCCCCCAGAGTTGGTCAATTTGAGCATGCCCGCGAAGAATACACCGATGCTACCTGTTTTCTCCTCGATCGTTTGCCGCGGAGAGAGAACGATGAGACCTTTCCTGGTGACCGGGCGAATGCCGTTGGTCCCTGTTAAGCGAGGAATCAGCACTCCAGCTGGAATACAATGAGGTGACACGTACTCAGGTGGTCCCATTCCGAGGAGGGTGCCTTGTAGATAGCATGCCGCAGGTAGACTGGATCCAGGATTCGGGTAATAGCATCGTCCTTATTCTATTTCCTAGAATTAGAAATAAACCGAGTGCGAAGCGGACGCGACGCTATACCTTCTTCAACTTCTGGGCAGTCTTCCGTATCCACCATAGCTTTTGACGCTCGAGAGCCGCATGTACTTCAGGCTCCAGGGTAAAATAGAACCGCTCCGGACCACCCTGCTCCACCAACTCCTTGAATTGCTGAAAGTCACGGTTGGGCCATCTGCAGTGATTCATCTGACAGAGTGGGGTCAGACTCGAAGCCCGACGAAAACAGAAACAAACGGACCACGTCGTGAACTCGCATGTAACCGTCGGGTCGGATAAGTAGCTGTTTCTCTTTTGCTTTGAAGTGAAGCAAGGTGTCAACTTGTCTTGCCAAGATCTTGGTGTCGACTTTAGACGAGTCGAAACCCCGTAGAGAGTAGCCCTTTAACCAAGGGCGTGAAGAATAGGGTCGAGAAGAAGGAAAAGTTGGACGTTCGAAGAGGGCCAAGGCTGGAGTTCGTGCCAAAGTTCGATGGACTGAGAACATAGGCGGCCTGGGGAGGGACACGACAGGGTGTTGCTGCCTCCTGTACTTGGTCCCTGAGCGCAGCTTTAAGGAAGCAGCTCCTCAGACCTATTCCAAACCAAATTCAGCGCTCTGAACAGACAAAATAGGACAGGTTTCCTACATTTCACGGTCTTTGTTGGTGGACTGGGTTCAAGCAATTCGCCACCTCGCGCGGCTGTTGGCGGAACGCCAAATATTTCACGAGCACGTGATCCATTGAAGACATCAAGGTTAGGGTTACCCCACTGCAACTACACACAAAAACCCATTCAATTAATTATTTAACCAGTAAAGTACCGAACCAAAAGAGAAGGAATATCTGCTACTGTGTAGATTATGCTAGAAATGGTTTTAAACGCGACGCTTCTTGGGGGCCCTAGTATCAGAAGCCTGGGATCCAGTAGGCGAGGGTCGTCGACTTGAGGCTTGAGATTGACTCTGTCGGGTTTCCACCTCACCAAATGTCTGCCTCATCTCTTGCAGCCATTTTCCGCCTTCCGCACCATCGAATAGCCATATGTGACTGTAGAGTGCATAAGGATCTTGGTTCGGCCACACAAAGAACCACTCACCTCCCGCCCACTCGTTCCGGCATCTTCAATATCCTTGAATCGGTAGAAAGCCTCCGCTTGAACGAGCCACGAGAGCGCTTGAGCTGAGGACGTCCTTCGTTTGCTTCCTGTGCCACGGGCGGAGGCAGATCCCAGCCCAGTTCGTCGGCCAGATAAACGATTATTTCATCCGCATTGCCTAGTAAGACGATCTGGATAGCCTATCACTATGGCGGTCCCCATAATAATGACGAAGAAGACCTACGTCTGGGTTGATGTGTCGAATCGGTGTCTTGTTAATTAATATCTGTCGTTGAGGAGCAAGGTTAATGGCTATTCCTGAAGTCGAGGTATATGACTAACTTGCGGCACTGAATGTGGTAAGTGTGCTACGAGAGGGAAGGTCAGACTTGGCATCTAAGCACTCAATGCCACAAGGCGACGCACATAAAATATCAGCCACGGGTGCCACCTTCAGCGAGGTCCCAATCACCAACAGCAGATCTACTTTATCCCGATCCTCTGCGAGGGCACGATCGAAACTATCATTGAGCTTCTCGCCGAAGAAGGTTATGTCGGGCTATGAAGTCGGTTAGCAAGAACCCTAAAGTTACCGCACAGATCATGATCCTACGAACCTTCATTAGACCCGGTGGGTATTGTGGGGGTGGGGGTCGATCGTCATCCGAATCACTCTCTTCCCATTCCTTCTTCCCCTTTTTCGGTTTCTTCTTCTTTGGAGGTGGTGGAGGGCAAGGTGGCTGTTGTTCAGGTGCGTTGCATACCGGACAAAGTGGGACCTGTTGCGACATGATCTCCTTCTCGATGTCCTTCCCAGGGACTTGACGTTTGCACATAAGACAGCTTGCGGTAGCAAACGACCCGTGGCACTGAAGTACGCGTTCGACGCCGACAAGGGTTTCTAGAGTGTCGATATTCTGGGTGTAATTCTGGACACGTTGTCGGTGAACAGTTCAGCGAATATGCATCAAACCCTACCCTTAATAGCTTTGAAGAGACAAGCAGGTAAGAGTGGCATCCGAAAAAAGATTGGAAAACCTACTTTACCGTGGTCTTCCACCGCTTTGATAAATCTGTGGCACGGGGAAGGGACGAAGTTTGATGGATAGATCTCCCTTTGCGCGAATTAGCAACAGGACCCACGGGAAGGTGGGGTACTATTACCTTGCAAAAGAACTTCACGCTAACGTTAGAAGTTTCTCGAGAAGGAACTGGTACCAGCAGGGCTCACTAGAATACTGATATATGTCCGGAAAAAAGCGAGATGAGAAAAGGGGCAGCACAGTCTCCATGAATAACGCACCCGCGGGGTTCTCCTTGAAATAATCAATGTCGAACCTGTTGTGATTTAGTCCACCAAAGGTGTCAATTCCGGGGATGGCTTACATTTGCTGAGGGTCATCCATATCGTATTCGCCGCGCTCCTTCAGCGTGGCGTACAAACCATCTCTAGACCGGAAATCTGGGATTCCGCAGGAAACGCCTAAAAAGCCATTAGTTCACATTGGAGATAGTTCAATTAGCACCACGCACTGATTCCTGCACCGGTGAGGATAAGTATTCGTTCAGAATTTCGGATTAACTGGACTGCATCAGCAATAGAATTGTACTGCTGTAACTTCTCGCGTTTCCGCAAACTGAGAGCTGTGGTCAGGGCGGGAAACCACAGGGAAGAGAAGGACGTACTGGAATGACATCGCGACTTGCAAAGTGTACAGCAGCGTTTGTGCGGATTTGTTCAGTATCTCCGGCAGCTGGTTAACTTGTCAGTCACGACTGAGGGCGGGTTGGCTCAAGGCGTCGAACACACCAAGTCGAACCCAAATGCATTTAGAAGTCTAGTGATGGGAATAGCGCGTTTGATCACATATTCCGCTACGAACGAGCTTGCCCCTAGAGAAGAATAGAATTAAGCAAGGCGGGTTTGGCTCGACCAGATCCACGTACCCCGCTCCTTCAAGTGGTGCAGAATCTGTCTGATTTCTTGCCGGGTCCACGAGTCCTCCGCTGCAACAGTTGAAAGCAGGTGCCAAAGTCAGTTTTGGTTCACCCCGAGCTTTCCAGCGGGACAAACCTTTATCGAAGGGGTCAAAGATGGACCAAATGTCAACCTCGCCATTCCGCGTCACGATATCGACATATGGCTCTTCAGGTACTTCTTCCTGGCTCTCCTGTGGGGGCTCGTCGTCGGCAACTGGATCGACAACGCCATCCTCGTTGGCAGAATCGCCGTCGTCCGCGCTCTGTAGGCAACTCAAGAGTTCTTGAGCTACCTCTGGGGTGAGGTCGACATCGTCGGAGGCATCCAGCAGCGCCTGTATCTGGAGACCAAGCAGCTCCTGCTTGGAAATATTAAATGTGGTGGTCTCCTCCTGTTCAGCAACCGTCGCTGGTGGGGTTGGTTTGGAGGACATTCCGCCAACGACAACCGTGGAATCTGAACCGGATTTCTTCAGACTATTTACGCGTTCGAGACCCACCAGGTGAGAATCCCGTCCAACGGCGAGCGACTCTTGTCAAGAAATGAGATTGTTTCTGGGTTTCTAGAAGGAGAAAAATCAGAAACCTTAGAAGGAGGGCGGGGCAGGTGGACAAACCAATGGCGATGGAGGGAGAGATCAAAGTTCAGCCAAACATGGGCAAAGGCAAAACGTCCGGCTGTCCCTTTTGCTTCAGCGCCATCATGATCCTACCCGCCCCGTCTCTCCCATTCCGACTCGAGCTCTCCCATAATGAGCTCAAGGCCCTGATATATTATTTATAGGTAACTAGTACCATACAAATCATGACCAACTCACCCCTTATCTTCGCTGTTTTCTAGGTCTTCAGGATATTTGTGTTGCACTTGGCAGCTACGGCATAGGCACCCACAGCTGCCCTACGTCGTCCACTGGAATTTAAAGCTGGTCTCAACAATCAACGTGGCTTGTTTCCAACTCTCATCATTACAGGAGGCCAATACTGGCTTAGTTGCAGAACAGCCCACCCGACAGATACGGCTCAACTCCCAGGTCTGTCCCCCCGGCCTGTTTCTGTAACTTCGGTAATTAAACGCCTCCATTTCAGCGCTAGAGGCTGCCGACCCGTTCGCGTATCAGTTCGCTATATAAGTGTTCGGTCACCGACGCTGCCACAATGACAAGACAGAACGACATTCCTTCCAGCGTTCCCTCTTTAAAGATGACGTCTTTCGACACATATAATGCCAAAACCACGAGTATCTCGGTACGTGCCGCCTCTGCCAGTAACTCGTTGCATTAGACTTACTGTGACCAACAGTATCCTTGGCCCGCAGGCGTCACCGGTGTCGAGCGCATCGCGCTCTCTGCACATGGAGACCTCCAACGTGTCCTGAGGTACGTCACTCATTACCATCTTTCCTCGTCTGATTACTGACGCAAGGTTACAGCGCCTTCTTCTCGCGCCCCATCGTAATTGCCCTCGTCTACTCGCACACCCTCCACCAAACTTCCCCCAATTCGTCTCCCGAGCCTCTCACACTGCCAAACCCCCAAGTAATTGCTTCCGCTTCAGCGACGTCCCCAATCACCCAGACGCGTCAGGTCCACCTCCAATGCGGCGGCAAGATAGCCTGCACAGCGACCTCCATCGTCCGCATCACTTCGCCTGATATCGCGCACCTCTTCTTGGAAGAAAAGTACGCTATCGGGCAGATGTTCAGGCGTCTAGAGAAGGTGCCGGCATTCGAGCTGCTCTCCGTTGGTATCGGACCTGTGAAGAGCAGTGATAAGGAACATGCGCATCTTGCACCACGCTCTTCAACTCAGGAGCGCAACCAGCTCTGGAGGAAGTACAAGCTCGTGATACCGGATTTCGAGTGCGAGATTCTGGAGGTGTTCCCCTGTAGGGCCATGTTCACCGATAGTGAAGCGTGGCTCAAGGGTGAGCCTATGCAAGATCCACCAGCGGCAATCAAGGATGGAGAGATTAGCTTTACAATTCGGCTGTCGAGGCTGCAGCATGGCTTTCTACTCATCTTTGTTCTAACTGCTCTTTTCGTTGCAGGAATTGAAGGCATGTTGTTGTACCTCGGCAGGCCTGTGAACTGTAGACGAGCGTTAGCGTAGATGCGAACCACCTATTCGATTACAATACTGAATCTAGATGATTCCTTTCACCGTCGCATTGGCTGGAAGCCACTCCACCATGATCTAAGGTCTCTTTCAATGTTCCCCGTTGTTCGAACAAGTTCACGCGTGGATGGACCCCGGAAGATTCAGGGAGAAAAAGAAAAAATGCAATACTAAAAATACAGTACTAGTACAATGTGATGACAGCAAATAATGATACAAGTGACAAGGAATCTATGCGCCGAAACCGTAGAGGGTTCGCCCTGATCGCTTGAGGGCGTAGACGACGTCGAGTGCTGTCACAGTCTTGCGCTTGGCGTGCTCCGTGTATGTCACAGAGTCGCGGATGACCTGAAGAAGAAAGGTAAGAACGAAGCCGTGAAGGTGGCATGAGGAAATCACGTACGTTTTCAAGGAAGATCTTGAGGACACCACGGGTCTCTTCGTAGATGAGACCAGAGATACGCTTGACACCACCTCGGCGGGCAAGACGACGAATAGCGGGCTTGGTGATACCTGAACAAAATGTCAGTCGAAGCTAGTCTCTAGGACACGCTATATACACACCCTGAATGTTGTCACGAAGGATCTTGCGGTGACGCTTAGCACCACCCTTTCCGAGACCCTTGCCACCCTTTCCTCGGCCGGACATGTTGTGTGATTAAAAGTTGGTGGTGGTGGTGGTGAAAAAGAAGAAAGGTTGCGGTGGCTGGTGGCGGTAGACGGTAAAGTCGGATGAGGGGCTTCGACAAACAAGGCACCCCGTTATATACAGGCGCGCTGTGGCTGTGTTGCATTTCCGTTTGTTGATCGACGCGGGCTTCGTTTGGGTGAGGCGCGTGATCACGTGGGGTACGCGCCCGCGTCGTATATATAAGCGCGGCGGTTTGGAGCGGCTGATCCCCCAACTCTTTCGCCTTCACCACCACCACCGCACACACTTTATTCATTCGCAATGGCCCGCACCAAGCAAACTGCCCGCAAGTCCACCGGTGGCAAGGCCCCGCGTAAGCAACTCGCTGCCAAGTCCTCTGCACGAAAGACCGCTGCTGTATGTTATGTTCTTGTTTCTTCCTCTAGCTTCGACTAACATTCCTTTCTCAGGCCGCGGCTGGTGGTGTCAAGAAGCCTCATCGTTTCAGGCCCGGAACCGTCGCCCTCCGTGAAATCAGGCGTTACCAAAAGTCCACTGAGCTCCTCATCCGCAAACTCCCCTTCCAACGACTCGTCCGTGAAATAGCCCAGGACTTCAAGGTGCATATTTATGACTCGATCTGACTTGCATCCCATTTGCTGACTCCGCTCTCCACAGACTGACCTCCGTTTCCAATCCTCTGCCGTCATGGCCCTTCAGGAAGCCGCCGAGGCATACCTCGTCTCCCTCTTTGAGGACACCAACTTGGCTGCCATCCACGCTAAGCGTGTGACCATCCAACCCAAGGATCTCGCTCTCGCCAGGCGGTTACGCGGCGAGCGATCATAGACTCCCTGTTTTTCCTTTCTGCTTTTCTCTTGGCATATCTATTGTAACATGTATTATAGTGTACCAGCATTATCCTTATTCATTCCTGCATTTCTCATTCGGTGCCCGATTCAACTTTAGCTGCATGAGTGAATTTCTAGCGTGGGTTGTGTTCATCCCTCAGGTGCGTCACCCAGTTTTCATTCAGAAGGCGTTTGGTAGTCGCCATGGGAGCGAAATTGTTCCAATGCAGCTTCATGAATCATTGTCTTCCGTTCCTGTTACTGACCCATTCCCTCCGGACAAGCTTTTCACAGAATATCGGAGTTGTCGCATGCCAAAACCCCATGTCGAACAGGAGTCTCGAGAGCAGATTCAGATGGCAGTCAAAGGTGCAGAAGGCGACTGCCAGGACACGCGGGGAGACGCGCTCTATGCTTCGCCCCTATCATTGTTGCCAGTCGCGATTCGATTCTTAGCCCCTTTCCCAATGGTAGTTTCATCTCTCAAACCTTTATTATACTCGATGGAACATGTTCCAGCTAACTCCCTTCAGTTTCATCCCTTCAAGTTTCTTTGCCGTTGGTATTGACTTTCTTCTTCCTTCGCTTGATTGTGCAAGGTAGCGGGTAGATCCCATTAGATCCCATTAAACTTTTCGATACTCGCGCCATGGTACCCTCTGCTCGATGTATCACTCCTGTTCTTGCAACTCTCCTTCTGCTGTCTGGGATATCCTTGTGCGATGCCGCTGCTTCTGCGATGCGAAACCGGGGACCTGCTGGACAGACTATGACCTTGGCGAAGCGTATTCCTGCAATCCGGACAGTTGACGAATGGGGTGAATGGGCGAAGAGCGAAAGGTTGGCCTTGGAGGCCAAGTACGGGGACCAGCCCAAGACACGCAAAAGGAGTACTGGGACGAACTAGTGGGTGACCCTTTCTCGTATCCTTTGGGCGTCCTCGCTGACGGCGACTACATTAGTATTGTTAATCAGAATGGCGACTCGAGGTATGCTCGGTGTTTCCTTCCCAAGTCGGGAATCGTGAATAATGGCTCATGCTGTTTGTGACTTCTTCCAGCTACTTTGGCTCGCTTGCCATAGGCACTCCGCCTGTTTCGTACAACGTTATCTTGGATACTGGCTCAGCGTCTGTACCACTCTCGTCGTTTCACGTCGCGTTGAGACTCACCCCGTTGCTCAGTGATCTATGGGTCGCCGGGAGCAACTGTACCACCGGCTGTACGGACGTCGCAACATTCAACCCCTCCTCCTCCTCAACCTTCCAAAACGAATCATCCGCTTTCACCATCACCTACGGTTCCGGTCAGGCCGCTGGTTTTCTCGGCCAAGACATCGTCCAGATGGCTGGGTTCCAAGTTTCCAACCAGGTCTTTGCGGTGTGTGAGCAAGTCTCGGATGGGCTCCTCCAAAGTCCAGTCTCGGGTCTGTTGGGACTTGCATTTGAGACGATTGCGTCCTCCAGGGCGATGCCGTTTTGGGAGTCTCTGGTTACGGAAGGAGCTTGGGATGAGCCGCTTATGGCGTTCCATTTGACGAGGTGAGCGATGCTGGTCATTTCGAGCCTTGCGAATTGGAACTGACCAGTTCGATAGATATTTGAATGTAACGAATGTACAGGCTCTCGAACCTGGAGGGTCGTTCTCAATGGGTAAGTCTATTACATGCGCCTCTGCGATTTGGACGAGCCCTGATGGCACGGCGGTGTAGGATTCGCCAACACGAGTTTGTATACCGGCGACATCGACTATGTCGACTTGCCGACCGAAGGAACATATTGGATCTTGCCTATCACAGGTTGGCCCCGATTTCCCGTGGTTGATAGCCAATTTTTTAACTCCCTTGGATGCAGGTATTACTATCCAGAATAATTCGATCACACCGCCAACGGGGCAACAGTCCTACGCTGCTATCGATACCGGTACCACCCTCATCGGCGGGCCTGAAAGTTACATCTCCCAGATCTTCGACCAAATCCCCGGCTCTGCGCCTGGCACTGGTAGTTTCGAGAACTACTACACCTATCGTAAGTTGACCTTGTCCATTCTCCCTTCGATGAACTATTGATTTACTTGACCCATAGCTTGCGACACGGACGTGACTGTCGAGATGTCCTTTGGAGGAAGCCAAAGCTGGACCATAAATCCTGCCGATTTCCGACTGACGAGGCTAACCCGAGATAGCTGCCTTGGTGCATTCTTCACGGTTACGACGCGCGGTGCGGCGCCCTCGTGGATCGTCGGCGATACGTTCCTTGTGAGTCTACTGCTGCCTCTATCCCGAGATTTACGCGGTCTAATTACCTGAACTTGTAGAAAAACGTTTACTCGGTCTTTCGGTACTCGCCCCCGTCGGTGGGTTTCGCCCAACTCTCCAGCCAGGCGTTAGCTGTAAACGGGAATACGGATATCCCCGTCCCTACGCCTACTGTGGGATCCAGCCCCGCCTCCGTGTCCGCTACTGGTTTGGTACCAGGGCTCAGCAGCGCTGCTTCTGCTCGAACTGGACACGGATGCGATGCAGTGTTGCTAGCTCTCCTCCCGCTGGTCCTTTCGTGTTGTTCTTACTTTACACTCTTGTAGGGGGCTAACCATGGTGTCGATGTGGATTACGGTGCTCAGAATCGATACATTTATGACGTGATTTCGATTCGTAGGGGAATGTTGTACAATTAAAGAAACCTCCGTCCGCTTTTACATTCCTGCGATGAGCCTCCTATAGCCCGCGTCTTCACCCATCATCACGTCCTCACCCCTAACCTGCCTCACAAACTTCATATCGCGGACCATTATGGTCACCCTCTTCGCGTGGAACGTTGCAATCTGAACATCGTTGAACAAGTTGATTAAATATGCTTCAGAGGCCTCTTGTAAGGCATGGATTGCGTCCGGCTGGAACCGGCAGTCGCTCTTCAAATGGAAATGGATGAGTGTTAAACTGGTCGCGAGGATCAGTTGGATTGGGAAATGCAACGTACCATGATATCGTGAGCGATCTCCCGGACGAGACGCTCGAAGGGGAGCTTCAGGAGAAGTAACTCCCCTCCGGCCTGGTACTTTCGGATTTCTCGGATAGCTGCCGCTCCTCGTGCAGGTGGCTTCAAGTTGCCATGTGACGATGGGCCACGGGAGGACGAGGCCCATGCATTCGAATTGAATGCATGGTGCTTAGTCGAGTAATGCAGGTTAGTAGCCACTTTGCGTGCAGTTTGTTTTCCGCTATTGTTGGTTCTTGGATTGTCGAGGAAGGTTCTGTAGTCGGGCTTTTTGACTGGTTGAAGCAGATCTCGTCAATGGGTGTGCTATTCATTGGATCTGAGAGACTATGCCACTTACCACCGTACAACGTTTTGGTGCGAGCCATAGTTGAGTGCTACTAACGATTGCGAGTGGATTGCTGCTTTAGCAGGTAAGGTAGGAGGGCTGTTTGAGTTTGCACTCTAGAAAGAAGCCGTGCTTAAAAGAGTGGGCAGAAATCTTCATATGTGTGTTGCGTAGTAACAACAGACCGGTGGTTGACGTAGCAAAACCTAAGCTATGACTCTCTGCCTTTCGTGGAAGGTTTCCAGCCAGTCCACATTACATATCGCTTGTTTTGAAGCAAATCTCCTCCGACATGCCAGATCTTCCAACCTGGGATGTCGAGCCAAGAAAGGAGAAACTCGCGAAGGACCTCTTCAGAACGGAGTTCAGATAATACGAGGACTGTGGTGCGATCGGGGATGGTGACGTGGTCGATCGTGCTTAGGAGCGGTGGAATTAGCGACGGGTGGTAGATGCAGTCGACGACCAGGATGAGATCCACAGGGGGGTCGTTGGAGAATAATTTCGCTCGTTGCGCTGGTGTGGATGAGTGTAGGGCGATCCAATCGAGTGGTTCTGCTGAGATGTTGGGCCTAGAAGTATCCGATGGAAAGTTCTTGTTGATATTCTTTTGGATCAACGGAACGAGGGCTTCGATGTCGGTGACGGTGTACTTTGCGACCAGAGGAGATAACAAGATTGACAGAATTCCCGTCCCAGATCTCATGAACGGTGCGCCTAGTCAGTCGACGGAGAGAATAATTAAGGTATCTGAGGACATACCCGAGCTCGAGAACGTGACATTCTTTCAGTCTTTCATAGTTGAAAAGACTTTGCTCCGATGGAAAGCGATGTCGTTGGAGAACATATCTGGCAAAGTCAATACTTGTCGGGGTTGGGATCAGTCTAATGGCGAGGACAGAGAATCTTTCCTGCTCACCTGGCTTTCCACACTACGCTTCCGGTATCACCCTTGCGTGAACGCAGGGACGTGATATCCTGCAATAATTCGATCTCGACCTTCTCTGGGCCTTTATTCTGGGCAGACGTAGCTGTTGGTCGGGTCCGCCGACGTCTCTGTTTAGACTTTGGAGCTTCACACTCGACATTCATTGCGCTGGGCCATTCGGTCGATGTAGGCTCTTTCGGCGGGTCCTCTGGGAGCAGTTCTAGTGCGATCTCGAGAACATCCTTGGTGGAGTCGATGTATCCAAGTCCACGGTAACGATTACCGTCCTCTGGAGAGGCATGCACGCCCTGTAGGTCTGTGTATATGAGGAAGATCTATTGTCGAATGTGAAAGTTCAAGTAAGCGGCTGGCCAAATAAACCTTCGAACATCAGCATGTTCTTGCCTCTTCGTCGCCATCTGAAATAGGTTCAGAATTATCCGGTAAGCGGATTGGACCAAGGTTGACTTGCGTAGTCATGGTTGAATACGTGAAGAGGCTATCGTGTATGCAGGGGAAAGTCCTTTGCAAGTTTCTCAATCGGCACGGTGAGCCCGCAGATGCCGATGATGCCATGACTTCACGGAGACTTGCCACGGCCCTGCCCTGGCTCTCACCATTCACCAACATATCTGAGGGACTATATATAAGAGGACAACCCTTTAGAGTATAATAACAGTACCAGTGCGTGAAAGACTGGTAATTTTCCGAGCACGAGATCATGATCCACGGTGCGGGCGTCTAACTGCCTCCATTGTATCCGAGATCAATCCATCACGTGTGTGGGGTGGTTCCAAGTCATCGGGTGAGGCTGCCTCTCTCAGCTTGATTTAAGACTTCGATGTCTACCCAGATTGCCAATTCCTCGACAGTGAAAGAACGACCAAGGACTCATAAGCCTAGAGGTATCTGCAGATATTACACGACCCCTCGAGGTTGTTTCGCTGGAGACAAGTGCAAGTTTCTCCACGGAGATGAATCAGAGCAGGGCGACAATGGACCAGCAGGCAAAGGACCAGAATCGAGTGGGGTAGGGGTAAATGTCATTAGACCTCTGTTGACTCCATACGATCAGGCGAAGACATGTCGATATTTTGCCAATGGTACGTGGTTTTATTCTGTATACCTTCATTTGACCAAGGAATGACCAGTGACTTTCTAGGTTTCTGTAAACGCGGAGATAACTGCTGGTTCAAGCACGTCCTTGGGCCGTCGGACAAGTCGAAAGGGAAAGGGAAGGAGAGGGAGTCTGCCGATGCAGACTCAGATGGGGAGCAATACCTCTGCTCGATTTGCTTCGAGACTCCAGTGACGTTTGGACTTCTTGGTGAGTAGCGATCTCTAATCTTGTGTTACCTCAGACTAATAGACACTGCTCCCCGTCAAGCCGGATGCAACCACGTATTCTGCATCACCTGCATCAAGCAGTGGCGAGACCCAGCGGCGAAGTCAGTCGACGTTGTAACATCCGGCAACACCAAGAAATGCCCAATGTGCCGCACGCCGTCGCATTTCATTACGCCTTGCTCGACCTTTATCAACCACGGGGCACCGGAGAAGGAACTTGTGGTTCAAAACTACAAAGACAGCATGTCTCGGGTCCCGTGCAAGTATTTCCAGCAAAGCAAATCCAAGCCGGAGCGAATGTGTCCCTTCGGCAAAGATTGCTTCTACAAGCACGAGAACGACGATGGCACGCCGTATGTCTTCACTGAAGGTGCTGACGTTTGGCTGAGGAAATGGGCGAGAAGGAACTCTCCGAGGAGGCCCAGGCTCTTTGACTTTGACGACGATGACGATGGTGAAGGGTTTGCAGAGTTTTTTCCATTCTCTCTCTCTCTCAATTCAATCCCTCTATTCGACCTTATTCCTTCCATGATGACGGGAAGACCCCAGCCTCGCATCGTTCCTTTCGGGGCCGCTAGGGGAAACCCGAGTCGCGCACCTGGTGGGGGAATCGCAGACAGGCCTCCAGAGGACGTTGAAGTGACTCTTGGCGGGATGGACGCTAACAATCGGTGCGTGTTCATGCATGCTACAAGCCTTGTAATCTAAGTAAAGATGAGCAGAAATGATGACACGGTGTCGCTCCAGGACCTGGAAAGGACTGTAGACGCACTGGGCGACGCATTTCAACGAAGCACCTCCCTGGCCCAGTTGGCTGCTGAGCTTCGTGCTCTCCGTGACCAGGCCGCTAGGCTTGTCGCTTCCAATGGGTTGACAGCAAATCCGTCCACCAATGATGCAAATCCGACGCCTGGTGCTCAAGGGGAAGGAAACCGACGACGGAACCGGGTTGCAGAAACGGAGACCGAGGCAGTGGAGCGCTTGGGGATTCTCGTATGTGACTATTTTTGTCTCTGGGAGTTTTCTGACCACCCGTTTCATAGGCTGAACAAATGTTGACCTCTGTCAATGTCCTCAGGACGGGCCTTGTCCCAGGGACTGTTACAACGGGCGAAGATCGCGCGGGCACACCTCCTCCGCTTGAAGCCGTGGAAGATGATGCCAGTGCGGATGAGGATATGCCCGATCTCCAAGAAGTGTCCAGTTCCAGCGACGATGATGCGTACAGCGATATATCGTCAGGAGAAGACTACGAATCTGAGTCAGATGGGGATGATATCATCAGGGAACTGCTTAGAGATGTTATTGGGGAGGGAGGCTTGGGAAATCGTTCAAGTCGGTTGACGGATGAGGAGGGTGAAAATAGAACGTCACGAGGGTTGCCCATGCTGGGCATTGTAGGGCGATCGAACTCAGCGAACGAGAACGACAACGATAGCATGCCTGATCTCGAGCCCATAACATCTGACTCAGAGGATGACGATGCTCACTCACCACCCAGGAGAACGAGCGAACGCTCAAGGGATGTGGGCGAGTCAACGTCGACTGCATCGCCTGCTTCGGGGCCGATCTCGCAAGAGCCTTCATTACCCAGCGTGGTACCTCCTTTCGTGACGGATGGACGGGGTAGGGTTGTTTGGACGAGTGAATCGAGCCAGAACGTGCCTGAGCAGCGGCGCCGTGGAGGAGCGTCTACTCGAGCTCCACCTGGAGTGACGGACAATTCTCCGTCACCGCAGACCAACACGACATCGAATCAAGATGCTACGACCAGTGTTACGGTACCACCCACCACACCGTCCCTGGCCACAGAGGCCAGTTCGCAGTCCGGCAAAACAATCCAACCAGGTGTAAATCCGTCCGAGGCACGGATTGCGACCGCTGGAGGATTCACAACGGACGGTAGGGGGCGCGTTATCGGCACCGCAGAAACACGTTCGGGACAGGCAGGTCCTTCGGATGCTCCAGAAGGGCAGTCTCAAGATGTAGTCGACCAACATGCCCGCGTGGCTAGTGCCGTTCCGGCGTCACCGTCTTCTCACTCATCCGTTTTGGGTCGGATGATCAACGCATTCTTTGGTTCTTGAATCTTGAGAAATGGCGACGGCAAGAATGACCAGTCACCTGCCCTCAATAGGTTACATGACAGTTGGTGTACAGTATTTATCCAATACCGGCCTATGTATTATTCAATTATGTCGCGCATGTTATGCAAATACTTCAATGAGAACCTTTCTGTTCGAGTTTCTGTCCGGATGGAACCAGGGGACTCGGACGGGGACAGGCACCACTTGGTTGTTGCAAAAACTTGTCATTGATCCGTGACTTGTATCCGGTAGTGCCTCTGTCCATCTTGACCATCGCCTGCCAGTGACACTGCCATGCCGGGGAACCCTGGGTCTTCTGGACCAGCAATGTCCGACAGGACTTGCATGTCCAAGCGGAAGGCTTCTCCACTCCCATGGGTCACAGGTGGATCCGGGAAAAATACCTTCTTCGGCGATGCGAATGATAAAGTGTGGAGCTTAAGAACGCAGAAATTACAATTGGGGGGGGGGGGGGGGGGTGCTGGGAGTGCCTGACAGGAAACGGTAGCCCCCACCTGGATGGGAATAATAAATTGTGTTTCCTAGTCAGTCGTATCACGGATAAGATTAATGAGGGGCGCACTTGATATGTAATTTTCGGGCAAGGCCAATACGGCAGCAGGGGGACAGTGCTCGTGCCGTGAGACAGACGGCCAGCTCGATGACCTTGGCCCCACCGAACTCGCGCGAGCGGTTCCCTTCTCGCCCAATTTCCCTCGGTGGAAGACCCGTAGAGGTAGAGGGGGTCCCGTTACTAGTAGAAGGTCCCAGGGAGTGTCACAAGGTGAGGAGTCTCTGTGGTCCTGCTTGTTTGCCTTTGACAACAGATATGTCACCGATGGAAACCCATACAAAGAGGTCGTGATACCCCGAAAAAAGCTCCAATCCTCGGCCGAGTCAAGATTAGAACGGAGACCACATACCAATAAGCAGAGGCCTTTCGAAGCACCCAACCAGTCTATCTTTTTCTTCCCCCGCCATATTCTTCGCCTGCCAAATCACCCCATTCCCTTTCCTTCATTCGCCGATGCGAACCATGTCCTACGCTGCTGGTTACTACGCAGTCGCTGGTGGCTCACGGCTTCATTCGACTCCGTAGCCGTTCCTGCTTGTCGCACAACTTGTCGTTGCGATGCGTCGAGACGATCTTGTCGTCGACATGACCAGAACACGACGGGGACCACGTCCAAGCCACCAACTGCCAACCGATGCCAGCTCGGTCTGACAATCGTGAGCTCGTTCGTCATTTCTTCCTTCCTGTGCGTTATCTCGTTGTGACCGACGCCGGCATTTTGTCCGTGCACTGGTGGTCGGTGAAAGTGGGATACGCATGGGAATGGAGGTGGGCGAACCAGTCTCGATGTGCTCACCCCGAGCTCCTCGTGCTTCCTATCGCGATACGATACCGCCTCCTCTTAGCCACTCCTTCCAATCCTGTGTCGTCGAGCGGAGTTGGAGGCGGGGCCACCTCAAGCATGCCCGCCTAGGCGTTTGGGCCGTTGCGTCCCATACTCCACCGTGTCCTGTAGCCGGTGATTCGCGAGGATGTAGGTCGTTTTAGGTCCCCTCACCGTCCCTATCGAAGCATCCGCCAGCAGCCAGATTATCTAGAAAGTTGCCAGTACAAGCCATCGTTGGGTTCGACGAGTCCCAGGTCTGAGGCCACCGTAGTTCACGGCACCCATCACAATGCATGGAGCACTGAAGACCCTGGGTAGGACAATGCCAGGCAGGTCATCATAGTTTGGCCGACAGCTTCTGTTGCTGAGCGCTGATCGCCTAACAGGATAAGAGGGGCGTCGAGACACATATCAGGCATCCCTGGGCTATATCCCTGCTTGCAGTGGTACGTTGGCCTGAGGAGGGATCTGCTGGATCTGCCCTGTCAGCCATCGTTGCGAATGTGGCCAACGCCATTCCCCGTCTGAAGGTCCTCTTCGGTTAAGGCCATAGTCAAGTTGTCGGTGTAACCCTGCGCCGTCGCTGCCAAGGGCGTTGGTGGTATATCGTGTCGGCTGTGTATGCCGCCTTGCTGCGTACTGACCGGTCCTTTCTTCGAGCACAGGCTCGATTCGTCGTGCCAGCGGTTGTGCCAGGCCACAGCCGGCAGCGTCGACTGTGCTCGCAGTTGGCTTCGAGCGGGGAGGTATATCAAGGAGGTATGGTCTTGTTTTCCTGATCCTATTCAAAATGTTGAACGGTCCAATTCAAGACATGCAAGAATGTTATTGGGAGCCACTCACCGGGGAAAAGGCGCTAGGCTGCGATGTTGGGCCAAACCTAACTCCTCAAGGATTCGCCTTCAGTCCTGTAGCCGCATTGTCTTCGTATCGTCTCTATAGGATATGGATATGGAGTGGGTTAGGAAATAATGTTAGGAGGCGTTTGCGCAGTACGTTTCACCTTCACTTCTACTTCCCATCATTGCCTCTGATTGTGGAATGCGACGATCGTTGTTCGAAAATTTCTGGGTCTAGATCATCACGAGCAACGACGCTGTAGCACGAGTTGATGGGATTTCATTATGGGGGATATGGTAGGAATCTTGTTTCTTTCTTCTTATCGAATTGAACTGCAATTGGCTGTGTTGGCACGAGAATCTGTTGAACGTCCCCCTGCAAAGTCTCAATCAAAACGTGTGGACAAACCCAAACGTGCGGTCCGCAACGCACCGACAATTGTCGGAGCTTTGGACGGTACATGGTCGCACAGCCAAGTGGCAAAAAGGCACGTCGATGCTTCTACCGTCTGTCCCTGGTGCACGGGCTGCGAGGTCTTATGTGTACGTCGTTGACTATGAAGATGTCTACAAGGGCGACGAAATCAACAACTGTCCAAGTTTTCCCGGGCGACGACGGTTCAGAGACAGCAGACGGCTCACTTGTTAGTCTCTGACTTGCTGGTTCATGTCTCACCTGTCCAAGGGCATGCACAGTGACAGAGCCCACCAAAGAGGCCGTATCAACCCACCCGAAAAGGTAGTCGATCATCCTGGATATTCCCAACTAGTTACAAAGCCCAAGTGATTGGAAAACGACGAAAGCCAGCTCTAGACGCAGCAGTCTCCTTCAAAATTTAATCATGCATACATCCACCATCGACGCAGTTGGCCTTCTGAGCCGCGAATGCGAATGCGATGCGGTGGAGTGGGGGTTTGCAATTGCCGAATAGCGCGACCAGCAAGTAGCCTGATTCCTGTCTCCGGAAAGCGTATGTCACGAACCCTGGTCTTGTAGTCGACAAGTCGACAACTTTGCTCTCGTTCGTGCTTCGGTCTTTAGATAATAGACTTCATTGGAGGCGACACTACTAAGGGGGACTTTAATTGTGCGTCCGTCGTTCCGGTTACAAGCCAATAATTCAATCGTATTTTTGGCGCCGAGATCAGTGTTGATACTTCCCACTTAATAATCAAGTCGAGTTTACCTTGGGCTGAGACGGACAGTCGTTGCTGATTGAGTGTCTATGTCAACAATGCTGATTATGAGCGGCGATTATGATACATCGAATAATCCATTGGATACTGGGCGGGAACTACGAAGTAGGGATGGACGCCGGGTCGATGGCGAAGGTTCTCCTCAGCCTGTGCCAGAAATCAGGGCCGTATGCATAGTACGCAACACCAAACGCAGCCCCTCCCAGATGCGCCCAGTGATCGAACATTCTTCACGGAAAAAGGCGGGTCAGTTCCCTAACACCGTACGAACGTAAGGATATATCAACTCACCTCCATCCTCTCAGAATACCGATCATATCAAATAGAACGAGACCTGAAACAGCGGTTTGGATATTGATGGGATACGAGGGTGGGATGAACAAGGCGACTTGAGAGTCAGGGAAGGCGAGTGCAGTCATAGTAAGTGTTGCCCACACGGCACCAGAAGCACCAAGGCTGGGCAAGATGCGCGGCACTTCTTTAGCGGCAGTATTCGCTGCAGCCGATGACGCGGTTTTAGTAGTCGCTGCAACTGCTGCAGCCCAAGTATCAGGTTTCGACGTTGCTCTTCCAGTCGCCGTGAGCTGAGCGACCATCCGTGGGTACAGGAACTTGACAGAGGCAACGTGTGAGACGAGGCCGGAGAATAATCCAGCTACAAACATCAGCCAGTGAGCGTCGAGGTGAAGGAAGGCTGCGTTGATCATGACCTACCTGAGATGAAGAACGCCAGGAAGTGGAAAGCGCCGGTGGATTCTAGCATGGGTGGCTGGGACTTCTCTTGTTCTCGCATCAAGTAATAATACGCGGCGGAACCTAAGAGCCCGTCAAACCAGAATCAACCGAACAGATTACTGCAATCGTACCGAAGCTCTCGAGAGCAAGACAGTTAAACAGTAAGTGAAGGAAGCTCTGGTGACTATAAAAGGTGTCAGAGGCACCATCCACAATCAATAGTCGCAAGAAGGGACTAACCTGAACATGCTAGTCAGAAGGGTGTAAGAGAGGCCCGAGAGAGGATTGTGCATAAATCGCACGTTCATTGCGGGCCTCCATTTACGAATCTTCCAAGCAAGGTAGACACCTGCATTAAGGAGACATATTTTCCAGCAAAGTCGTTTGCCCTCTGATGCGTCCGCATATGGTTGAAGCACAGAGACGAAGGCGAGGCCCACCCAGGGTCTAATCAAGGCTGGCATATCTTGGAGTTTGGAATTGATGCTTTGAAACCATTCTCGCAGGTACTGAGCGAGACAGAAAGCTATGAGTAAAATCCATTTCACTGTGAAGAACGCGAGACTCACACGAATGAGGTCAGCGTTCTGGGCTCGTTTCAAATCCGTGCTCTTTATTGACTGGAACGTCCATACGGAGGACATATCCATCAACCTCTTTTTCCAGTATTCCGTCTCAATATTGGTTCTCGACGCTGCATAGCAGAAGACTAATAGAGACCCAACGCCTGCGAACTGAAAACATAATACCCAATCAGAGGAAGGCCAAATGAAACGCGTCGACATAGCACGTACCAAAATTTGATTTCTAATGCCTGGTCTTCCCACTTTCTCAGAGAAGGTTTCCACAGGGCGTGACCTCTTCAAGGCATCTCGAAACGATCTAGGTGGTTCTGTGGCCGGTTTGTCGCGCAGAGACCTGCTCGCACGCAGCGAATACCGCTGGACATTGCTCTGGAAGAACGACCGGGAACCGAAGGGAACTTTGGGAGAATATTTCCAGGTATGCAGGCCCGCTTGGCACCGTAGTTGGGAAAGGAACATTGATCTTGGTGGCCTTGAGAAGTCCCTAAAGCATTGGTCGCTAGACTTTGCAAGTACTGTCGTTGTCGTCGGCGGCTACAAACGCGGTGACGTTGGGCATTCCGACTCATTGGTGGCAGTGAAGGGTCTGGCACAGCTTTGGCTGACTAAGCGCTCGCGCTCGCGAGGTTTCGATGGCGTCCGGGATAGTTGTCGCGAACCACGATCAACGCGCCATGAACGTACCCACGAACGCGACCCAGGCCAAAGAGCGCCTCTATTCTCAACTAGCAGCAAGCCTAGGCAGAATGTCTCGAGCGATCAGCCAAACCGCCGACCTTTGCGAGCAATTGCAGGTCGATCTCCATGCGATGAGGGTGTTTGCTGGGTTGGATGCGGCGAAGTGCGTATTCTATGCTGTCGTCGCTGGAGACTTGGGGGCTCATTATATACCAAAAGGCTTATGACTGTCGCTGCCTCGCTCAACCCGGAGGATGAAGAGGAGGCTGAAGGAGCCGAGGGTGGAGAAAAATCCACGGCTTAGCCCCAGGATCACCCAACGCCGCCAGTCTTTTGCAAACTCGCGTACAGATGGCAACGATTGGGCTCCGGGATCTGCTTCAGACATCATCAAGGGTGGATGACCCTGAGTATCGTGATCAGCTTCTCCACCAATGGCGCGCCATGTCTAATAATAAGCACAAGTGTAATGTTGCAATCCAAAGGGCGACAGAAAGCAGTAGAGGAGGTCGTGGTCTGCGGTAAGCGCCTTCCCGCCGCGCTGACTAGACAGCGTCATTTTGATTGTTTAGATATTGTAGACAAACGCTCTCATCGAGCCACTGCCGCGGACTCTGGTCTCGTTAGGTGGCTGCTTCAAATCTTATATATGTCTCCGTCTCTGGGTGACTGCCGAAGGGCCGAGCGTTAGTTCCCTCGAACTCTATTGTGGGCAAAGAGTCCTTCCTTCCGGATGGGTGTTTCTAAGGAGTAGAAGGTCGACGGTGGCGACAAGTCGGTACGAATCATAATCTGCTGGAAAGCTAATGTGAGACTCGACGATCCGGTGCGTGGAATGGAGAATCGATCGGGAGCGTGGACGGGGGTTGTTCAATTCCACCCGATAACGCCCCTACTCCCTCTTAGACGTGGTCGGGCACGGGCGTCTGCGCTAAAGCAAGTACTTCGGCTATTCAACTCGTATTTTTGTTCCACAATGCGATGCATTGAAAGTGGTCGAGGACAAGACTATCTCGCCTGGGTATCCACGACGTAGTAGCAGGAATGGCCGATATTGCCGTGCTATGATTAAACCTCAAGGTTCAGATGAGTGGAGGTACCGACGCTGCGAGTAGTATGAATACGGGCTTCAGACTGTAGTAACTTGAATCTCGAGCAACTTCTCGAAGGTGTCTGTGGTCAATGCACCCGTAAAACGGGACCTTCGCGAGCACGGTCCTGATTCAATCCGAACAGGCGCCAAACAGAACCGTAACAAAAACCAAAAATCCCCGCACCTGAAAGTCGATCATAGGCGAATGAAAAAGCGAATTGATCGTGTTCCTACGGTCCTACACCTCCACAACGAACAAAAGGGGCGCGATCCTACAATTGTCCTTTCAATTGTTACTGACGTCTCAGCTTGAGCCTTGAATGCGCCTCGCTGGCCGAGAGGGAGCGTCGAAAAACTGGTGCATAGACCCTTGGAAAAAGGTATAAAAAGCCATCCCCAGCGCAGAGTGATTCCCCACTGTTCACAGTACCAAATCACACATCAGCAATGGACTCCTTCACCACCATCAACATCCCCACCAACTTCGAGACTGGCGGCGGCGGCGGCAACGTGTAAGACGACTAGCCGACGCACATAGCCGCTACACCAAAAGGCAGCATGACTGAAGAGCTTATAAGTTATCTCTTCAGCCACCGTCGGGTATATGAGCGTTGTGGGAACCGCTGTAAGCCACCGGTCTTACACCCTTCCACCCCCCGAAAAACTCCCCCTCCCGGCCTCGTCCCAATCCGTCAATCCCGGGAGGTAAATCGTCAGACAGTCATCGTCATCGTTAGTGAAGGACATGGGTCACCCATGGCTCACTCAGGTCTGACCCTCACCCATACCCACCAAAACCCATACCCATGAGTGTGGGTGTGGGTTTCCGTGGGTTTATGTGGGTGTGGGTGTGGGTCTGAAACCCATGGGTTTTGGAAGCATGGGTAGAGTGGAATTGTGAGTGATTGGAGTACAAATAGATATTGGACATAAATATTTAACTTAATAGAGTAGATAGCATTAATACAAGAGCAATTGAGGTCAAAATAGTTGCATACAGAAGCATTTTTCCCATTGGCACTTGAGACTCCAGTAACCCGTGGGTCAGGTGGGTTAGGTGTGGGTGCCGCAGATAGGGATGGTCAAGGGGTTTTAAAACCCCCGGGGTAGAGGCCAAGGGTAGAGCGGGGGTAGGGGTAAGGGTAGGTCTCCGGCTACCCTTGGCCAAACCCCTACCCCCGGTCGGTTTTGATAAAAATCAATCAAAACCCATTTATTTCAGCATCTATGTATATTTTCTACTAAATAACTGCTGTATGCGCAATAAAACACATAAAAATATACATATAGACAACTGTAAGTAATTGTTAGTGCCAAAATGATTAAAACCCTTGGTCAAAACCCCCAGGGTTGGGGGTAAGGGTACTACCCCTACCCCTCAGTCAGGGGTAGGGGTTTTGGGGGGTGGGGGTAAGGGTAGGTGTCCGGCTACCCGGGGGTTACCCCTGTCCTTCCCTAGCCGCAGAAGTGACCCACACCCACAGCCCACCTGACCCATACCCACCAACCCACAGGGTCAGCCCAACCCATGTCCTTCACTAGTCATCGTCAAGGGGAGCCGTGAGGTGGAGGGCCATACATGGGCCTGGCCACCTGAAAGGTGCGACCCTTTCCAACTGGTACGTCACTGGTGGACGACAATCCCGCCAAGCCACTTTCGTCGTGTCATAGCCGCTACACCAAAAGGCAGCATGACTGAAGAGCTTATCTCTTCAGCCACCGTCGGGTATATGAGCGTTATGAGAACCGCTGTAAGCCACCGGTCTTACACAACGGTGCCTACTGCGTCATCGCCTAGATGCCCAAACGGCAGAGTCCTGGTCTTTTGTGGTTCGGTGAATAGGTACGTGTACCAACCTCAATAGGATTGGGATCTGGTCCTGACTTCACCTTCAGGAGTCTTCCCCCTTCTTCACTGTAACCATCGAGGGCCTTGTGCTCGTTCTCTCATATATACCCAAACAATGTGTCCACATAATACATAACCTTTTTTGCGCGCAATTTGGTGTGATCTATGATCCCTTGAAAGTTGACCTTTCTGATCATTGAAGAGTCGACTCGAGTGTAGAAGCCCTTTGAGATAGGGGCGACCGAGTCGGACGATTCAGGCGAGTTGTCCCAAGGGCACTCCTGAATTCCATGAATTAAGTTACTCGAGCAACTCGAGCAATCTTGTTCACAACAACAGATACTCGTGCATGGGATCCAAGGTACAACAGTAACATGTACCCCAAGATTCGAATTGAATTCCATCCTTCGAGCCATCACATCCGCCGATACCAGCAGGGTGAGGTCGACGTCGACTACCTAGGCTGCCACCGGTAAGAGCTCTTGGCAGGTTAGCGTGTCGGTTGCAGAGGTGTGAACCGTGGTGATCGATGTAGGCGAAGTCGATGTTGGTGTTGAGGTTGAGGCCGAATGGGGAGGCACCGTCGGCAGTGGAGGGGAGCAATGGGTGAGGTCCCTCGACGGCGGGCTCCGTGCGTAGGCCAATGGAAGATCTGAAAATATTCTCTTTGTCCTCGTGGACGACGGGGACGTTGAGGCCGAAGGGTATCCCAAAGGGCCGAAAGAGCCCTCTGAACCGATGCACCGACGTTGCGGTATGATTACCACAGAAAACAATGATCTCGACAAGGTGGTCTGAGCACCGCCCAAGGATGGCCAAAGGGACTGCGCGTGGCTCCAATCAGACGCGCCCAGGACAAACCGGGACAATACACTCACGAAAGTCGATCTCTGGGGAATGCAAACGTGGATCGATCGTCTTCTTCATCGACGTCCTTACAGTCCGAAAGCTCTAGGACAAACAAAAAACACACGTGCCTGCAATTGTGCTTCCAATTGTCACTTAAATCTCAGCTTGAGCCTTGAATGCCCCTCGCTGCGCGAGAGGGAACGTCAAGAATCTGGTGCATAGACCCTTGGAAAAGAGTATAAAAGCCATTCCAGCGCAGAGTGATTCCTCACTGTTCACAGTACCAATCCACACATCAGCAATGGACTCCTTCACCACCATCAACATCCCCACCAACTTCGAGACTGGCGGCGGCGGCAACGGTGCCTACTGTGTCATCGCCTAAATGCCCAAACGGCAGAGTCCTTGTCTTTTGTGGCTCGGTGAATAGGTATGTGTGCCAGGCTTTTGGATAGGATTGGGATCTGGTCCTGACTTCCCCTTCAGAAGTGCTCCGCCTTCTTCACTGCAATCATAGAGGCCTTGTGCGGCTCGTATATACCCAACCAATGTGTCCACGTTGGAAACTCAATACATGATCTTTTTTTTTTTTGCGCGCAATTTCAATGTGTCATCCATGATTACTTGAGAGAAGTTGAATACGACAAGGGCCAAGTTGGTCTTTCTTGAAGAGCTTACTAGAGTTTGGAAGCCCTTCGGGACAGGGGAGATCGACTCGGATGACTCAGACGAGGTCAATCGTTGTCAGTGGTCAACTCGAGTAATATTGTTGACAACAGCAAGGTTACATACATCTGCATACAAGGTACAGCGATCACACTACTCTCCAAGACATGATCTGTTTTACTACGGCAATAGACACAAGGGGAATGGGATCTTTCTTAAATACAAAGCGGAAGGAAAAAGAGATGCAATGGACCAATTCAATCCACAAGAACCGGAGTCTCCCACTGAATCCAATCCTCCTCATCCAACGTGATGACCTCCAACTCTGTCTCAAACCGCCCAGTCTTCACATCCCTGCCATAGAAATACTTCTCATAAAACGGTCGCATGTTGGTTCTCCGTAAGCCAGACGGAACAAGTCCCGTCGGTTTCATTAGTCTGAGAAAAAGAGTAGGAATCACCAGCACCAAACGCCTTCCAAACGGTCTGTGCAGCCTTCTGGCAGACGTACGCAGACGACTGGCCGAGCCAGAAGCTTTTGCTCGTTTCGAGAACGACCAACGGCCTGGGTGCCACGAGCGCCGTTAAGAGGTGATGGTCGTACGGAAGGGTGTCGGTCTTGCCGATGAACGCACGGAGAGAGTAAGGATAGTTGTCGAGTACGTACGAGTTCTCCCAGAGTTGCGAGGTCAAGGTAGTGAGCACCGGTGTCCCCGTTTGTTGCTCCGCCTCCGCAGTACGCCAGCACCCAGACGCGTAGGCTTCGGAATCTCGGATGATGGTGAAAAGGAATCGGTGATCGAGCGCGGAAGCGAGGAGAGCGGCGTGGGAGTACCAGCCAGAACATATGACATCCGCCAAGTCCCGGGGATGATGGGAGACTGCGGGAGCGGGACAGTCACATGAAAGCAAACACCGTGACTTGAGCGTGACCCACCAAACTCCCTCGAGTCACCAACGCGTCGAGCAATGAGCAACGACGACGACGACAGACTAGACGGTGGCGGGCGTGACCATCGATGGTCCCATGGGTGATTGCTGTTTGCAATACCATCATCTCGCCTGCCCTGCACCTCCCTCAACCTTGCCCACCGCGCTGGTGCAAGGACGAGGACGCTCATCGTATCTACCTCACGACCGGGAGGATTGCACACCACCCTCGAACAAGAAACTCGCAACACCCCGCCAACATCGACTAGGGAACTACCCCGCCGCCTCTCGCGCCAGCACCTATGGCGTCGAGGACGGCGCCCTTCTGTAACCGTAGCTCTCCATTCACAAATAGTTCCTGAAGTCTAATTCAGAGTGTCCAGAACACACAGGATTACCATCCCCAACTGCAAGACCCCGCCCTCTATGGCCCGCCTGCCCTCGCTCACAAACTCGCCCGCACCGCATGTGATGACGCCGACACCATCCTGTAAACGCCTTAAAGTTCACTTCTGTCGAGCAGCCGCTATCACGATCAGATTCGAGCCGCTGGCGCGTGGATGCCACCGACTCTGCTTGGACAATGAAGTGGTTGATATTGCCGTAGCAGTCTCTATCGAATGTAAAACTCGGATGCTCTCGTACCAGCTACATCCGCCGATACCAAGGCGGGTGAGGTCGACCGGGACCTCTTCCATCGGTAAGAGCTGTAGCGCGTCGATAACGAGGCTAGCAGCCCAGGCGCGTTGGCCGGCCTCGGACACGCCGTGATCTCTACCATAAACCTCCGCAAACTTGTCGCGGAAGCGTGAACCGCGGTAATCGATGTAGGCGTGAACGATGTTGTTGTCGAGGTTGAGGCCGAATGGGGAGGCATCGGAGGCAGTGGAGAGGAGTAATGGGTATGGGCCTCGACGGTTGGCTCAATGGGTAGGGTAAAGAAAGATGTGAAGTTGAACTCTTTGCCCTCGTGGCCGACCGTGATGTCGACGGCGCGTGAAAAATTATACCAATCCACAACCGCGGATAGTATGGTTGCTTTGGGGGGCAGCGTTCCAAATTCGTACTTCTGCACAAGGTCAAGGATTTCTTCGCGGCGACAGGCCCAATCATCCTTGGTCACGACCTTCTGACCGTTGAGGAAGGTGAAGGGATCGTGAAGGGCGGTGACGCTAGGGAGGTCCTCAACAGGGAGATCCGGGGTGGCGGGACAGTTGGAGGCAATGGGTTTCGCTAAAGCAACCAAGGCGGTAGCGAGGAATAAGAAGGCCACCGTGAAGAGGTTCATTGCTGCTGATCCTGGAGATTTGGTAAATTGGAGCAGTCCTTTTATAGACTCGCATCGGGTTTACCTTGGCATTCATATAGGTCATGCCGTGGCCTCGCTTTCCAGGACCATGGAGTGGAACAAGAGCAGAAGGCTGTCCAGACAAGCGCCTGAACTCAGTTCGGAGTATTGCACGGCCTTTGTGAACGCAAGGAAGACCATGACACGGAGCTTGACTGCCAGTGCTTCCAAAGGAATTCAAACTCCATGATGCATTAGGACATACATGGGTCGAAGAAGCGGGTCCAAAAGTGCCCAAGGCGGTTTTGTGGGTGTTAGAACACCTTTTTGCGGTAAAATAAAATCGGCTTCTCCTGCTGACCCCGGATAAACAAAGCGTTCCTCACCTGGTGGGATAAGGCAGACATCGTCAGGCTACTGGGAGATGCCAGAATGGTTCAAAGAGCTTGAGAGGCCTACGAGCTTCTGGCAGTAGTTGAAGACCGTCTTCGTAATGTTTCCGAGGTTGAGTACCTTGCGGTCTTGACCTGGAGATAACGGCCAACGATTGAGGTGAACGGCAACACCCCGAGCCCACAGCTGACGAGGCCAAAGGGTCCATTCCAAGGGTAGAGGGTAAATTCATCAGTACTCCCCCTTCTGAAGTCGGAGAACACCCACTCAGGCTGTTACCCTGTGGGAGCAGGGATGACCCAGGGATGCATTTGAGCTCAGATCGGAGCGTTGTATGGCCGTCTGGAAAGGAGAGAAGTCCATGGCACGGAGCTTGGAGGTCACTCTTTCCCAAAGATTCAATATCTTCCTCGCACTGTTGAGACAGAACTGGGTCAAAGAAGCGGGTCCAAGGGAACGAAGGACACGTTTGAAGGTGTCAGAACATCCTTCCATGGAACGAAACGTCAGCTTTCCCTGCAGAGCTCGGATAAACAAAGGATTTCGCACCTGGCGAAATAAGGAAGACGCAAGTCCATCGAAAGCTGGGGCCGGCAGACCGGTGAAAGACGATGTCACTGTGGATTGGGCGAGCTGGAAAGTCCGGCACACTTCAGGACTGGCGCTGGTCAGGTTGTCTTTGTAATGTTTGGACAGCCAATCATCCTGCGGCCGTGACTTGGGAACAACCGCTCGCGATGGAGGTGAACGGCGACCTCGGGCCCACAGCGAACAAGGTTAAACCGGTCCTTCTCAACTGTAGACCGGAAATTCATCAACAAATACCCTTTTGAAGCCGCCATGAACACTCACCCTATGGGAACAGAAGCGGTCGTCCACGAGGGCCATGGGGTCAATTCAGAGGTAGGTTGACCCTGCTCCACAAACCGCCATCTACATGCCCAGGTGAGGGGTCACCCACGTCCGCAGAAGACGTGCCATCCACCCATCGTTCTTCATGGAGCTTCTCAGGAGTCTAGTGTAGAGCCACAAGGGTAAGAGGTCGTTGTCCAGCTTTCGAAGTTATGTGTTAGGCTGACGTCCCATACACCAGTCGAATGGGTGGAATGGTAAGGGCGTTAAGCTCCGTGTCCGCCCCGCCTTCAGATATCAGCTTGCATCCATAAGCGAGTACTCCCGGGATGAAGAAACCTCGAAGACCCCTGGGACAGCGACCCAACAGCCGGCGGTAGCCCCTCCCGTTCGCCGAGAATCTGTCCTTCCTCGACTTGAACGCAGGTCCTCCAGGTCTTGTACGGCTCCATCAATAAGTCAGGGAGTAACATGCGCTCCCCCACCAGGGAGAACACCTCCCTCTGCATCCACGGTGACTCGGGCAGCTATGGTGGATGTCAGTCTCCACCATCCAGGTAGGGTATTTTGGAAGGTACCCACGAGGCTGCATGCGCTTACCGGTCGGGGTCTTCCAACAGGCACACCCCAGTCCAGCTGTACCTATCTCGAGAACCTGAACTGTTCGCTTTCATCCAGGGGAAAGTACGGCTCCTCATCGACATGGGACCACAGTTAGGGTGTGGACGGGACTGCTAGTGCATCGACGGCATTCGAGTGTTATCCATCGGTCCACATATGTACGCGAGAGAGACTACGAATGCCGCCTGAACCCCGGCTACATAGCCTCCCCCTATGGCGGCCTACAGACGTCCGGCTCGAAGCTCCCAAATCGTTACGACGAGGCGGGTCGAGTCGTACTTGTCTGATGTACAGTCTTGCCCGCCAGCATTGCCTTCAGGATAAAGGCAACACCAATTCTCGGCAACCAGGTCATCGATTCGTACGAAGACTTCGCTGAGGTAGGGTCGTATGTTGCTTGAATTCAGTTCTACGGTCGAATTGACGTGTTGGTCTGCAACTCTTCTTCCTCGAAAAGGCACGAAGGTGGAACTGGCTGGGCGGGTGGATCGACCCCTTACACTGTCACTCACCACCTCCAGGTCGTTCAGGAACACGAAGATGACCCCCAGTCCTCGAGTCCTTCAGGATCACCGCCTGGCACGTCGCCGTTCAATCCAAGTTCGACATAACCATCGTATCGATATATCGGTTCTGGTTTCAAGTTTTCGTTGCCTGCCATGCTTCGGGATCAAGTGTTGAACGTTGAACATTCATCGAGTTCGCGCGATGACGCTTTTTGGGGCGAGGAACGCGTTTGGCGAGCTTTGCCGTAACCAGGACGCTTCCCCAAACCTAGATGCTGTTCCATAGGAGTTCTGAGCGGGACTGTCAGGCGAAGGAAGCAGTCAGAAAGTTTCCTTGGGACGAGGTTGGGCGCTTGCCCTCAAAGTTCAAAAGTTCAAACCCACTCCCGGGGCAGGACGATATTTGGCACTGTTAGGTTCTCAAGCCTCGCTCGCCACTCGCGAACGGACGGGCTCAGACCCTCCGACTTAGCTCAGAGCAGAAGCATCGATTTGAGCTCAAAAAATAGAAACACGATATATTATCAACAATCCTACAAGACGCAAATCCGCACCCCGACCCATCCACCCCGACTCAAATTACACCTGCACAGCATGATCATCACCTGCCCATCCTCGAAGAAGACAAATCCTCCACAACAGGCACACTCGCCTGCCCACCCACCATACCCGCGATAACCTTTTGTAAATCCGTCCACTCCGTTTCCCGAGGAATAGCCATATCGCCGATATCGTAGATGTATAGATGCCCGTCGCTGCCACCGAGAGCAGCGCGCCGCCCTTCCTTCCTGTCCCACTGGAGCTTGTTCAACCCACGGCCGGAGCCGACGATCGTGGAAGCCACGGGGACCTGCATAGCCAGTAATTAGGTATACGTAGAGGATGAGTGGAGGGAGTGTTTACATACCTCAGTATCAGCATTCAAATTCCAGAGATCAAACTTGCCCGACCCATCCACAGTACCAAACAATGCCGGATGAGCAGGATGCCATTTCGCATCGTACACATAATCATCAGCTTCATCAAACGAATAAAGCGGTGGTAGGTGGTGTGCAGCGGTAGACGGCTTCGTTAACGATTTGGCCCGCCACAACTTCACCGTCCAATCCACGGAACTCGTCAAGAAGAGGTCCGAAAAGTCGACGGGGCCGTTGGAAGGGTGGAAGTCCAATCCTAGAACGGGGCCGTGGTGGCCTTTGTAAACGTCGTTCTGATTCAAGCCTGCCTTTGCACCGGCGCGGTCGTAGCGGTTGGCTTGGTAGATGCTGCCTTCTTCAGTTCCAACCCAGAAAGTGGTGGTTTCGTTCGCCGGGAAGTCGAGTGTCGTGATCGCGACTTCGCTGGTCTTGTTGTGTCCGGTGTGAAGTAGTTCCAGTGTTTCCTAAAGACCGATCAGCGAAGGTCGGTCGAAGCGATCCAGCTCATACATACCTGGGGCTGCGCAAGCATGTCAACTAGCCAGCTGCAGACAGTACCATCGGAACTGCTGGTAATCAAATTGTGCGCGTTCTGAGTACCGACCATGCGCATGGCATACACAGGATGTGTGTGCCCAGCAGCAGAGAGCGGTGTCTTCAGGACAGGGAGGTGTTTCGATCGAGTATCCCAAAGAAGGATCTGCCCAGAATACGTCCCTCCGAAGATCAGATTTGAGTGGAAGGGCGAGAACGTCACGGTCAGAACGTCAGACTGAAAGAAGGATTAGCTAGTTCACGCCTTTAGAGGTTTGACGCGTACCTGTGAGTGGAACACAAATTCTGGTCGTTCAAGCAGGTGAAGGTTCCACACGGCGACGATACCGTCAGGTTCATTGAGAGCACTTCCGTTTTTATTGTACGAAGCAACGCTCAGTTCTGGATACTATCAGAGGTGAGGGCCATGCTCAAAGCAGGTAAACGCCAACATACCTTGGGCGACCAATCGATATCTGTTATTGAACGATTCTTGCCTAACCGTTCGTCGAAGAATTCACAAACACGCTTCACGCGTTTTCCTTCCGTATCATCTCTAGAACAGGGTCAATTATTGAAACGTCAGCCTAGAAGTGGGACTCACCCTCCGGCTTCAGCACCAATGGTATAGTCACGAGTATAATCATAGTTGTCGTTCAGAGCTCTTTGCAAGATCTTGGACGATTGTTCCACGAAATCAAGGAACTCTGGGGCAGTAAGGATGCTCGCTCGTTCTTCCTCAGTCAACTCTGTCGGCCAGCACTTCAGTATCCTGGTACTATTTCAGTCAAAACGGAAATCGCACCTCGAATCTCAGCCTCAATCTCCTGATCCAACTTAACACTCTCCTCCTCCAGCTCTTTGTCTCTAGCAATCCGTTCCGCCTCAGCATCCCGCTCGCGTAGTATCCGCTGTCGTATCTCTTCCTCATAATCTGGAGAAACCCCCTCGTCAACTGCAGTCGTTTGAACTTCTTTGTTATAGATAACGCGCTCCTGTATCCAACGATCAACTCGTTACCACCCACCACACGCCCCAAAACGCGAAATCTCCAAACCTTTTGCGGCAACTCGAATAGTTCCTGCTCAACATCAATAAGGTCCGTATACGAGCGCGGTGTGATCTGTCTTTGAACACCAATCCTCCATTCAGCACAACCGACAACCAAAAGCGCAAAACAAGCAGCTACTCACATCTCCATGACATTATCCGTCGCATTGCTTGACACAGACTGCGTCCCAGCACCCGAGAAGACCCTCTCAGACGCAAAATCACTCTGCCTACTAACCCGTCCCGATCCCGAAAGACCAGACGGCCCAGGTAACTGAATCGTATGCGAAAGCGCAGGGGTCCCCGGGATCGACTCGGACGGCGTCAAATCACCACTCGTCCGGCCACTCCGCCTGGGGCTGCCAACCAACATATTGACCAGATCTTCGACATCGCGTTGTTTAGCTGGGGATGCGGCTGCTTGCTGTGTAGGTTGAGAGGGAAAGTGGGGAGAGGTAGGGGAGATGGGACACGCACTTCTGAAGCCCGCCGCTCTGTCTCTGCGCGCTGTCGTTCCGCTCGTGCCCTTCGAAGTTCTTCGAGTTTGGCCTTCTTGGCCTCTATCTCAGCCCGTCGTCGATCAGACATATTGACCGGCCGCGTACTCAGGTGTGGTCGTCGTCGTCGGTGGTGGTGGTCAACGTTTCGCGTAGCCTAGGAGATTCAGACGCGCCCACTGGCAATCAGACCCATTTTGGACTCCGCCATCTTACCTCTCTTCTTGCCCCAAAACCAAAATGTCGCTGGTAGCGCCCAACCCGCAAGGCAAACGTTCCCGCAAAGGAGGAGCACGTAACCACGAAAACAACAGGATCTATGCGCATCCACTACCCCTTCTATTCGTCGATTCCCCAGCTGGCCCAGTCAAGTCTGTGCTCGGCTTACTTGGACTCTCTTTGACTCGAATCGAGAATCCTCACTGTGAAGGGATCTTTGACCCAATAACACGATCTGTATGGGTATCGAATATGGAGGATTCGATGGTGCTGTGGAGGAGAGGGTTCTTCGGCAAAGGAAACCTCTCCCGCAGCGAACCCAGTTGGCTATCCCGTCAACTCAACATACGAAAGGCAGCTCAGGGAAAACGTGTGTCTCTCATATCCTACTCCCAAAAACAATTTGAAATACCAACAGGATTACTCCTTTCCATCTTGTGTTGATGAAGGATAGAATTAACTTCCGAAGAAGTAACCGCACGAAGACGGGCAGAGCGGAAACAATTCAAGTTGGATCGGGCGAGGGCTATCGCAGCGGTCGCCCAAGAAGCCGAAGAAATCTTCGAGAAAGAGGGTAGAGTTATTGCTCCTGCGTTATCCGGCCCTGCTATCCCCTCAGCTGCAACCTGGAAACCTTCCCAACCCATCGAATTCCCCGCACGAGCAGCAACACCAGCCGACTCCATCGACGGTGCAGACGAAGGAGAAGAGGAAGAGGAAGAACTGAAAAACGTCGAGCACCTCCAACTAACACTCCAAGAAGCTTTCTTCCTCCTCTGGAACATGGATTGCCTAACCGTTCTCGATCCAAACACAGTAAGCAATTACTTCGTCTCCTAAATCCTTTGAGGCATGGCGTCTCACAGAAAAACCAAAACAGCTCGAGCCAATGTCCCTGAAAGACATTTGGATCGCCTTCCAACGCGCACATCTACCTCCTTCCTTCGACCAACCACCTCCCCCACTGCAATTCGACAACCCATTCCTCATCAACTACGTGGTCTATCACCACTACCGTTCCCTCGGTTGGGTTGTAAAAGGCGGCATCAAATTCTGCGTTGACTACCTCTTGTATAAAAGGGGTCCAGTCTTCAGCCATGCAGAGTAAGTACTCGCACATCCACTCAAGCCCCCACACCCTTTCCCGTTCCGATTTCTCAAACATAGTTTAGGTTCGCACTGGTCGTAATGCCAGTATACGAAGACGAACAAGATCAAGCCAGTTCAATGGTGAACCTCCAAAACTCGACACCCTTCACTTGGTCCTGGCTGAGCACCATAAACCGAGTGAACTCTCAAGTGCAAAAGGTGAGGATGTAGTTTGGATAGAACGCTTGCTGCTATCTTCCGACCACTGCTACAAACACTATTCTAACTACCCCACTTTCAATTAACAGACTCTCGTACTCGTCTACGTTACCATCCCCTCAGAATCCCGAATATCCACTAATGTCCTCAATTCCCCCGCCTGCTTCAAACACTATTCTATACGCGAGGTCGTCCTCCGCCGATTCATTCCCGCACGGATGCGCGACTGAAACGGAAACACCGCGTACCTTTACATTATCACGCACCAGACCCGACGTCTTTATGTGTGTAAAGGATGTAACGAGAACGTCATCGCATTCAAAGTATCGTTTATCAATAAATACTGTATCATGGGGTAGCGCAGACGACAGCATATAAAACAAAACAGAGAAGATAACGCGGTGGAGGTATAAATAGAATAAAAACTGAGCAGCGAAACACCGAGAACGTTCTTCTGATCGATGAAGCTGAAGCTGAAAGCCTGATCCCGGCCACCTCACCTTCTGCCTTGCGCGTTTTTTTTACCTTGATGTGCATGTTTTGCGTCGTGTAGCGTAGCAGAGTGTTGTTCGTCGCGTCGCCTTGTGCCACGGGCCATGACCTGCCTAGCTCCAATATCCGCCTCTTGACGCACCCCTCCATCGCTCACAAGCAACTGGCCAACCCCATCCCATTCAGCTAACCAAATCCCCAACACACTCTCCCGGCGCCCTCCATCATCCAATATACCCCCGTCGCACTCCCAAAAGAGTTATTCCTAGAAACTGCGAACACGGTTGTTAACACTGAAATAGTCGATGGATGATGGGAACACGAAGGCCGGGCTCGGAGGGATGGTCAGGAGAAAAAGCCGGGACGCATGTATGCGAGGATGGGAAAGGAGGTGTCGGTGAGGATATTCAAAAAAGAGGATATGGCAGATAGGACGCGGGCGATTGAGTGAGTCGTAATATCAGAGACGAGAGGTATAAAGCGGAAAACCAAAGCGAGAGCGGGCGGTGATGACGAAAAAAAAAACAGCCACGATGAATAAATGAACTCCAAGTTCGAGTCGAGGCGAGTAGGTGCAATGCTGAGAGCCGGCCCCTTTGACGAACTAGATGGCACCCTTGATAGCCACTTTCCGGTACTTCTCTTCGTACACCTGGACGAGTTTGGCATGCGCCGGCCGACACTCGACAATCTTCTGGCTGTCGGGATGCCTGGGATCAACGAAGCACGCTGCTGAATGAGATTGTAGAAACTTGACAGTCTCTTCCAGAGATTCGAACGCCAGCTCGTTTTGCAAGAACGTCAAAGGGACCTTTAAATATCTGTTTTTTTTGTGTCAGATGAGTATTGGCGATTGGTGAAGGGGAGGACTACATACGCTTTGGTGATCACCAGCAACGCCCTAGCTCGCTCTCGATCAATGAAGTGATCCATGATGTATGCACCCATGTTGGGTGCGTTCAGGTAAAGTTCAAAAAGGGAATGGTAGTTGCCAGTGGCCAATGCCCGTTGGACGGCAAGTGCATGAGCGACAGCGGGATTCGCCTTCTGTTTCGGTGTTAGCTGACCTACGTAGAGATTTAATTCTGGATCGAAGCGTTAGCTTTTATTCTTGTAGACGGGAGATGGAGGATTGGTTCACTGACCGCTTCGGTTCCGTCCATGCAAAAGCATGAGAATGCGGTATGCAGTAAACTCCTCCACTTTGCCTGGGATTCCCAGTTCGTAAAGTGTCTTCAGAGTCGCTTGACACTGGTTGTATTCAACCATGTCGTTCTGCAATCGATGGGATCAGATGTGGGATGCAAGATCGTTAAACAACACGACTCACGCTTTCCAATGCCATTCGTGCATGGATCTCATATACTTGGACGCTGAACTCATTCTTGATGCGTTGTACCTGAAGAGACGAGTCAGAAGGACACAGCGATACCAGTGGGATGATGACAAACGCACGGTGAGATCCTGCCGTAAACTCTTGAGCTGACTGCAGATCCAATTGTACGACACTTTCTCTCTCCAACGTTTCTTAAGCTCTATTAGGGTTTGTTGAAGAACATGATATGGACGTATCGTCTCTGGTTTCGGTTCCTAAAAGGACATCGTCAGCAAACAAACACCTGCCACACTTCTGTAGCACCTACACTGGTAAGACGAAGATAATCCTTGAAGATTTCTGTCGACGTTCCAACAATAGTGTACTTGTCCCAATTCATGGCCTGTTCCTTATGAGAAACCATCTGGGCACCAGGAAGGTACAACAAGTCAAAACGCACGTTATTCCCCTCAGGTTCATCTCTTGATCCGAATGGCGATTCTGATGATGCAGGATGAGAATAATGCTGACTATAATAGTGATTGCCCTTGGACGAATGACTGTGACTGTGAGGCGCATTCTTGGTCCGTTCGATCTCGTGTTCACGCTGGAATCGCTCTGCTCTCCGGTTAAGCGCAGCCTGATCACTGTAGTTGTACTCATTCGGATAGGAGTTTGAGAAGGCTTTATTCGCCTTTTTGGCTTTCTTATTCGAGTTTTGGCTGTCGATGCTGTGGGACACCAGTTAGCTCGGGGGGATGTACAAGTATCCAGCGACATACTTCTTCCGCTTGAGACTGATAACAGGTGCAGGTTTGGGGAGCAGGCTAGACGGTGGGGGAAGTGAGCAACGCATGACAGAAGACTCTCGGGTGTCGTCGGGAAACACACCTTTTCAGCTGAACACCAGCCCAATCGGTGGTCCAAAGAGTATGCTTTTCGAAGGCGTCAGCAATTACCTGTCTGAGCTCAGCTTGGGCTTCTTGCTTGTTGGCTTCGGTCATTTGCCCTAGACACTTTGCAACCCATTCTCTGCAAGTTTCTCCGTGACTATGGCCCGACATTCAGATTGAATTCACGCACTTTAGCGATGGAGGCCACGATTCTGACGACATTGTGGTAGAAAGAATAGATGAGGACGATGGGTAGTGTCGGCGAAGATGCGAATTGGGGGAAGAGCCTTGACCACACGGCCATGGCAGGGTCCAGCGTCGGACTTTGAACTTAAGGGTGGGAAATAATTGCCACATGGAGCTAGCCTCTCATCGAAAGATTTCACAATGCAGGCAAATGTTTTCGAACGGGTAGCATTATGTCTAATGAATGTAGAGATATGGTATTGAATGACCCTATTACAACTTCCTACGGATGTATAAGAAAAGGGCGTCAGGTCTAATGCGTTTTGCCAGCTGGAGGATTGTAGACTGGTAGAGGAAACGCGGTCAGACGGAGAACGAGGGAGAGCAACAGCAAATTGAAAACACACCGATTTTCCGATTCTTGATGACGTTCCACTTGAATCGTTTCACGTACAAGCTGAGGGCGAACAAGGTGGAGAAGATGATGACGGCCTTAATACCGGTCTTCTTCCTCTCGTCGTGCTCAGGCTCAGCAGCCCAGGCAAGGAAAGTGGTGACGTCCTTGGCCATCTGCGAGGTGGTTGCAGGGGTGCCTGAGGAAAGAATGGTGAGCTTGGGCATGACAAGACGCGTCCAAAAGCTACTTACCGTCTTCGTACTCAACCAAGCCGTCGAAAAGGACACGAGCCATGGAAATAGCACCACCGGGGAAGTAAGGGTTGTAGTTCATACCCTCACGAATTTCAACACCAGCGGGAGGATCGATGTAACCGGTGAGGAGAGAGAAGAGGTAGTCCTGTCAAGAGTTCAGTAACCTTCCAGGTGCACGAATACAGAAATACATACAGCACCACCATGGCGAGCCTTGACGATCAAACTAAGGTCAGGGGGATAAGCACCACCGTTGCTGGCACGGGCAGCCTCCTCGTTGGGGTAGGGTGCAGGCATGTAGTCGGCAAGTTTTCCGGGGCGCTGGAACATCTCGCCCTCCGAGTCAGGTCCGTCGGTGTATTCAACTTCCTCGGCCATGGCTCGGGCCTCGTCGACGGTGTGGGAGACACCGACAAGATTGCGCCAGGCAATGCGGTCGAGAGAGTGGCAGGCAGCGCAGACTTCACGGTAGACTTGGTATCCTCGTCGGATGCTGTAGGTCGGGTGAGTGGTCTGCTCCACGTCAACGTATGGTGCCGGTGCTCACCTGGCGTGGTCGAAAGAGTCGAGGACGCCACCATGAGACCAAGGGTAGGCAGGTGCGTGCAAGCCTTCGTCGCTGAGACTGCTGGCGTGGACTTCGCCGAGGAATGGCAGGCTTCCGTACAAATGAGTGTACCAGGCGATGCTCCCGACGGCGACTATCGAAGCTGAGGCGAGGGTTGCGCGGGAGCCCATTACGGACTGTTCAAAAGGTCGTTAAACTGCTGTTATTGTCCATAAAACACCTTCGCTCACCTCCAAAGTCGACGCTGAAGCATGGGTCGAGGCGAAACGCACCTGTTACCGGTCAGAAGTTTAGCATGTCACCCAGACCTGTTTCGTAGTCAAAAAACGACATACCCGTGCGCCAGAGAACAAGTTGTTGGGACGAGCAGGCCCCGAAGTCGCCGCCCTCCTAAAGGCTCCCGCAGACAGCCTCGAGAACATTTTCGTATGCAGAGATTTTGGAAGAGAAGGGAGGCTTTGACCAGTTTGTCACGCGTTACGGGGCGGGGCGGGATGAATCGGAGTTTGCCCTTGAACAATTTCCCATTCAGCCAATCACCATCAGCCTATTCGGCTAGCTCACGTGCACATTTCTAGGCCTCTTGGCACTAGGTCTCGCCAACGAACAAGCGCCCGTCAATTACTGTGTGAGGCCCGGGACGATACTATGGCTCACCAGTACATCGAATCCACCACTGAATCGAATTTTGATTGCAAAATCGTAACCATTCATCAATTCGATCACTAATTTCGCCGATGGCACTACAAATTACTGATGCCCCCGCCTTCCTTCAAACCATCCTACCTCCAAATCCCATCCGTTTTCTTCAAAAAAAAGTGCACCATCTTCATTTAGTAGTCATCTGGAATCGTCGTTCCAATTTTCAGGTCGATTGGGCCAGTGGAAGACGAGATTCAATTCAGTGGTGGATTCGATGTACTGGTGAGCCATAGTATCTCTCCATGCTATCGAGGGCAAGCTCGACAGTCTGTGTTTTCTCAGGAGTTTCACGCGCACCCATCTCCATCCTTCGCAGCCGATGAAGCTTGGATGGGTCTATCGCCCACAGCTTCAAGTAACAATCCCGTCAGAAGTGCTGGTACCCCTCAATCTGAGGCGGATGGTACATCCCCCGGAGATGGAAGCGATATGATCTGGGGTCTCCAGGAGTGACTCGGTGAGGAGCTCCTACAGGATATTGGGCTCGAGTCCGCGCTTGACGAGGTAGATACTCAGAGCGTTCACTTGCTCCTTCAGCCTGAGAATCTTTACATTTTCATGACTCTCTAAATGGGGAGAATGGATGCATATTGCCATTATAATAATAGATGTACAGGCCAAGTTAAAAGCTCGATACCTATACCCCTTTTACGTTTGCAATTATATCGCAGCGTCCTCAGGAGGTGAGGACGTCCTGAGAGGAAACCTCTGTCTATTACGATACATTGCCATTCACTCCCAGGACCGATTAGGTTGTTGATGTAGACAGAGCCACTATCCTTTAGATCATTCTGTGACTCCAGGCTCGTGGGTTGAGAATCACACGCTGGAGAAGCCTCTGTATTGTCGACGAGCTACTCTAAGTTGGGGCTCGAGGTTTAATGCAAGACTGCTAACACTGTCAGTGTCAGAACTACACGAACTGTCGGGTTTTGGCCATTCCTCCAGGGTATGAAGAACAATCATTCGACTGAGTCTATTGGACTAGCTATCAGAGCTGACTTATTTCACTCCTCTACGTCCCTTTACCACTAGGTAGAACTAGAAGCTTAGCAACAAGGTCCCTACTCATTGGCCCCTATCTTCTGCAGCTCATCACGCCCACGTGCAATCAGCGTGACCATGGTCATCCCCCGCCTTCTCGGATTCAGTGACAGTCCGCTTGACTTTTGCCAACGACGTCGACTGGTGCTGGCCGTCCAGCGAACGTCCTCGGCCTCTGCGCCTGTAGAATCCTCACTTTGCTACACTCAGAGAAAAGGTTCAAGTCGCGTAAAGTCGTCATGGACTGGGATTCGTCAGAAGAATATGTCGAAACATCAGACCCCGAAGAACGCGAGGAAATGCGGCTGAACCCAATTACTTTTGGACGGAGTCCCGGTTCTGAAGATGATTATCGGCGACCTCACAAGCGCATGAAGGTAGAAATTACCCGTTGATCTTAGTTAACTTGTGTTGAACATTTCCAGGTACACCACGATGACTTCCAGTTGGTCGATATGAAAGATCTTCCGACCGTGGTCGGAGAGACTCCAGTGCTGTCTCAATCTTCAGATAACTTCAAAGAACACGGGACATCACCTACTCGACTTTCTGGATCCCCAGTTTTGTCCCCAGCAAAGGCGAAGGTGGAGGACGGAATGGATATCGACGAGCCAGACCAATCTCAAGATCCCTTGTTGCTGCAATCCCCACTGAGACACGAAACACTCCCTATCACGCCTCAAAAGAACTCGCAGCTGGCAAATGAAGATACTATCCGTCACCGGGGCTCCACGACGCCTTTAGAGTCTCCTCCCCGTACTGCCCAACGCGGGTTTACTCTCACCGCGGACCTCTTTTCTCCGGGCATCTTCAGGATTGACCGTGACCCTCTGCCTGTCACTCCACAGAAGAACTCGCAGCTTGTAACTCATGCCATCGACTTTCACCGTGGTTCCACGACGCCTGTGGAATCTCCCCCCATTAATATTCGGCGAGGGTTTGCCCTCACCGTGGACCTCCTTTCTCCCGGAATAGTCAGGTTTGACAATGACACGCCTGAATCCCCACGAGAAAATTCGGGGAACATTAATGACCTCTTCTCTGACGACGATGAGGTGCAAGTATCCGAAGAACCTCGGAGAACAGAGTCGCCAGCTATCTCACCTCGGGGACCTTCACCATCCATTCGCGACTCCCCTTCACCTTCTGCCCCTTCTGCACCTCCTTCGCCAGTACGGCAGCCCTCCCCCGATGTGGCTCAAGCCTCTTCGCCCACGGCCGGCCCGTCTTCACTTCCACAAGCATCAGCATCACCAGTAACCGTCGCAGATGATATTCCGGAAGAAGTCCGACAAATGCAGGAAGAGGAATCCGGAAGGCGGTACGCACTCCGGCGACGCGCTCCTGCCCAAATCAACCCATATCGATACGACGAATATCAGTACAAGCTGGTAACCAAAAACGCTCCGGAGGCGCGTGTTAAGATCAGAAGTCCTGGACGGGGAACGCGTCGCGACCCAGATGATCGATACGAGGAAGAGGAAGAAGAGAGTCAGGATGTGGCAGGAGAGACGATGGTCATTGATCAACATGATGAGGATGGTACCTACGAGGAAAGGGAAAGGTCGAGGGAAAGGCGGAGGAAGCGCACAGCTTCACCTGGCGGTGTGGCTGGCGACGTGTTGGACCTTGTGAAGCAGCTGCAGCTGAACTACGGGGAAGAGCTGGAGGACACGCAAGAGGAGAAGGAGATGGCCAGGTTGGCTAGGGAGAACAAGCGGATGCTGAAGCAGAAGAAACGCGAAGAGAGGGAGAGGAAGAGGAAGGAAAGGGAAGAAAAACGACGGGCGAACAATGAGAAGGCGCGGTCGAAGAAGTCTCCAGCTGCACCGAATGTGGGTTCTTGATCTTTGCTGCGAAGTTGTGGGCTTAACATAACGTGTATCCAGCTCAGGGATAATCCTAAGGGCCCTTCTCCCTTCCCAGAGCTAGGTAGGGCTCACAATGGACTGTCCTTCCTCAGCTTCTAATTCTCTTAGATCACGACAGGGAGGACCACAACGAGAATAACTCGGCACCCCAGGATGACGACCCTGCAACACCTAATGAGTTCCACTTCGAACCATTTACGCCTGTTATCGACGACCCCCAGCCGGAAGCCGGTCCCAGCTCATCGCGCAATGTGGTCACAATATCTTCCAGCGAGTCTGAAGACGATGCCCAGCGACCACAACGACGACTCAGACGGACAAGATCATCTCGGAGTCGCAGTATCGTCTCTATCGAAAGTTCCAGCAGCTCTTCTTCCAGTTCCGAAGACGAGGCTCCTGGGGCTCTGCCCAAAGGCAAAGCGGAGATTCTGTATAGGATGTACCCTCGCAAACTAGCGGACATGATGCTCGCCAACGCAAAGAAAGAGGAGGCTGCGAAAAAGGACGCTGAACGGCGGGCACGGAGGAAACAAAGGCAGTCGTCGGCCGTTGCCAGCGATGGCGAGAATGGCGGAGTGCTTAAACCTGGTCAGACGAAGGTGCGCCGTGCGGTGGGCGGATTAATGCGGGAGATCAAGGGGGACACTGAGAGCGAGGACGAGCCTTTACCGGAGGTACCGGATCTCCTTTCTGACCATTCGTTGGCTCCTCCACCTCCTCGGACGTCGTCTGTGCACTACTCGTCACCTAACCCTTCACCTCCCCTTGATCATTTTTGGTCCGACAACCAACCCGATGAAGGTGATGACGGCGGCGTCCCTGCTCCAAAAGCACCCAAGCAGGAGCGGGAGGTTTATGATATCTCGGACAGTGACTCGGATGAAGAGATCGACAAGGAAGCCATCGCAACTTTTTACACGGGCAAGGACAGGCCGCGACTCGAAAAGGCACTAATCAATTATATGCTCAACCATAGACCACGGATTGTCGACCGAGCTAAACGGAAAGCGAGCTCGAAATCGAGGGCCAATGGTACTGCTACAGGCGGGATGGAGAGGATCAGTTCCTCAAGAGACGGTCGTCAGCAAAGCTTCAAGTGGGACATTGTCGCTGGTGGGGCAAAGAAGTTTGGGCGAGGGAAGCAGCAAGACCTCCATGCTTTCTATTCAACCAAACCGAGGCGCTCCTCTCACAGCTCGAAGCGATCAAATGGCCCTAGATCCTCCCATCTACCTCCAAGTCCAACTTTCAGTGACGATGAAGCCGACAATGAAGGTCCTGCCCCTCTCACGGGCATGGATCTCCGCAAGAAGTCCCTGCAGCAGAAGCGTAAAGAGCGGAAAGCGAAAGCAGCTAGAAACGGCCTCTATATGACTATTTCGAAACAAGGAGGGGTAAAGTATGTGAGCCGGAAAGGCCCAGATTACCAGACGCTTGACCTGCAGCAGGAGGACCGGCGCCGTGTCGCTCGCAACGCCAATCCTGGAGCCAAGATACGTCCATGGGAAGGTCCTCCCGCTCATAGGATGCCGCGACCGACACCACCCTCCCCCGCACCTCGAAGAATGTCTGTTGACCCGCCAAGTTCAGATGTCGAGATGGTCGATGGCCCGGCGTTCCCAGAGGCAGAGGTCCGGGAAGACGACGACCTGGTGGAAGAGCTTGTCCTCAAAGATGGAGGGGTTCATGCCCTGCAAGTGGGAGTCGAACTCCCGGGTGCGCAGTATATCAAGAACGGGTGGCTGCAAGAGGTCATCAATTCGTTTGGCAATGACTACCAACTGCCGTCTTTAGGCCGCCTCATTCTTCCGGGATATGAAGAATTCGATCTCAGCAATGGATTCGATGACATGCGCCTGCGCGAAGTCGTACAACGCCTGAGCGACGTCCTACTCGAATTTGCAGACAAGCTTCCCGATCCTGACCAGGACAGGGAAGCAGAACAGTTGACTTTTGTCGCGCGCCATGTTTGCCTTGCAATCTCACATCACTCTCCAGGCTCCACCGCTCCCAACGAGGTAGCGGAATCCGTAGCCAAGCCAATCGAAGAACATCTCCTTAAGCACCTGTCTCAACTCAAGGACGAACCTCGACCCGCGCAGTCCATCGATATTCCTTTGCTCCAGTTTGACTGGTATGCTGTGGAAGTCGGACTACGGTTACGACGACCCGTCCTGGACTCGCGCGGTGAGCTAATGAAGGGTTCAACATTGGCTCAAGCGATCCAGTTAACCATGCACCACCTTCTGACTCTCGGCTTGGACCCCGTCATGGAGGCAGTCAAAGAGCTCCAGGACGCTGATACAGCTGCAGACGTCTCAGCCACCCACCTCTTTGCTGCTGAAATCTGGGTGCGCCTCATCCACGTCCTCGAAGCCTTTTCCCGACTCCGGCCTCCTACCAATCGAAAACAGCCACCGTTATTCTGGCATTTCGTCCTTACTGACTTCCGAACGTCAATCGACGGCAATCCTGACGATCCCGCGCTGATAGAACGGTGCTGGCGGACCCTGTTCTCCCTTTGCGCTCTGTCTCAATTCTCCACTACGGGCATGGTCGTCCAGAAACGACATCTTCCGGCATGCTGGGACATCGTCGAACTGCTCTTCGGACGTACCCTTTCACGCGACTCGGACTCGGAATACCAAGATGCCTATCTGCGCTACCTCCTATCTCGGTGCCTGCTCCTCCAGGAGCGATGGAAATGGCAAATTGTCGACATCGCCCCGTTGGTGAAGCAAGTCCTGGACAAGGTTTTCGTTCCTCGCAAGTTTGCCGGCCTAGGAAACGAGAAAGCCAAGTTTCCCACTTTCCTTCGAAATGACTCCGGCGACAAGATTGCTGAATTCGAGCCAAAGGATTCGTCATATACGCTGTTACTAAAGTTCATCATCAAGGCTTCGCAGGATATCAACACCAATAACTCCAGAAAAATCACAGCTGGTATTCGGAAACTTATCTCCCTTTCGGACCCCGTCTCTGCCATCGCGTTCGTGGATGAAAAGAATCCTACCGAGTCTGAGCTCGCGACAGTCGTCAACCGCATCACCGCCGCTGTTGTCACAGTCTATCTCGACCCAACCACTTTCTCCCAGAAAGTCAGTCAACTCCAGAGGACCATCCCTGTCGACAAGATGACGGACCACAACACACGCATGATCGTCATCCAAGGCATCTTCTGCTGGGCACGGTTTCTTTTGCGGTGGCAGCCAGAGTTGGGGCTGGAACCCTTGGCTATGTGGGGTGGAGAGGTAGCCAAGGCCCTCGCGGAGTTGTGGCCGACGGGCAGGCCTTGTCAAGACCCGACTGTTCCAGCGGCCTGTAGTCTTTTGTTTGAGACGGTTCGCCGGATATTTGACCTCCAGGCGGAGATCAAGCAGTATCCTGAGGCTCAATTCCTATGTACGGGTTCCTTCTAATCTTGCTCCGCATGTTCTTATACTCTCCTTGCCCAGCTAACCTCAAGCCACTCACCACTGGCACACGGGAACAGAATGAACTGGTCCAAGACACGATCATTGCCGTCGTCAACGCTCGGTTCATCGCCATCCCCCCTGAACGACCTCCGCTCCCTGCTCCCGCTCAGGTACACGTTGAAGAGGAGAGCGAGAGTCAAGATCAATATGGCGATATGTTTGCCGACATTGATTGGAGTAATGTCGAGATCCCCGAGGCACTGGCTGGTCCTGTGTCTGCCCCGACACCCAAGGAAGACGACACGCTCAAGAAGGTGGGTGTGTCTTCTTATGCATGGTGGTAATTGCTGACATCGAGAAACAGGCCCTCGGTGCTCCGCTCACGTGGTTGATGTATCGTTCTATGAAAGCAAGTGTCGAGCAGGAAGAATCTCTTGATCGTTTGGATATTCTGAAGACATGCTATGAGCGGGCTTTGTGCTGGGTCGGATGTATGTTGATCCAGGGGAACGGCGAAGCGGGAGAGAAAGTGAGCATCTGTCATCCGTTTACGAGATTGACCAGTGTTGATTGTTCTGCAGGAGTGGACGGACATTTTCTCTGCGATTGATAAATTTCAGAAACCTGACTTGGTCGAGCGTGGCCGCGAACGAGAGGCACGGAAGTTCGACACGCTTATCTCTCTTGCTTGTCTAGAGCGGTATCCGAAGTGTGTGACGGTAGGTGCTCACCTCGCAGTTCACCAGATCGCCTCTCAGGGACTGTTTCAGGTTGGGCCCGTCAAATCTCGACTGTTCCATACTATGGTCAACACCTTGGTAACCCCTGCAAATCCGAAACCCTCCCTCGATGCCCAATTTTTGGCTTCTTTCTTGTCGCTGGAGCAACTCCAACACCCTCTGCTTTCGGGGTGTGATTCTCTCCCACCTGCTCCTGCAACCGGCAGGTATACTTTCGACGCCGAACAGTTCCTCCAATTCAGGCTTCCTCTCATCAACTGTACGTCGCCTTCGTTTCAAGCCACAATGCATAGACTGATCTCCGAAACAGACATGTTCAAAAAGCTGGAATCGATGGACCAAAGCACTCCTGACTTTGCGAACCATACATCGCTTGTGAAAAGTATGCTCTCCGCAATGAGGAGCAACTGTTTGGTGCGTCATCTTCGTCCAGTGAAATCCCTTCCGTTAACCACGATCAACAGAAACTCGGCGGTCAACGACGCGCTGAGTATGTAAAATTCTGCCACGAAGTGACGGCTATCGTTAAGCAATGCGACGGCCTGTCGCAACGACCAGACTTTGAGTTCTGGGTGACATGGGATCCTGCACAAGTACAACCTCATGACTAATATTAACTTTGTACATACCTGCTATCTTGAATACCCTGTCAAAATGTACATTATGCGTCTCGCTCTGTATGAGCGAGTAGTTGTATCCATATATTGACTATTCCCTACGAATCGTATGGTCGTTTCGGTTTGAACGTTCGTTGAACCGGACGACGCGTGCAGATGCTCAATTCTAGTCGACTATTCGACGAGAAAGTCCAAGTGATGACCATTGTCGCATGTAAGCGCTTTCAAGGGACTGTGAATCACACCATTTTGCGCGCAAAAAAGATTATGTATTAAGCTTCCAACGTGGACACATTGGTTGGGTATATATGAGGGTACGAGCACAAGGCCTCTATGACAGCAGTGAACAAGGCGGAACACTCCTGGAAGTGAAGTCAGGACCAGATCCTAATCCTATTAAGAATGTTGGCACACATACCTATTCACCGAGCCACAAAAGACAAGGACTCTGCCGTCTGGGCATTTAGGCGATGACGCAGTAGGCACCGTTGCCGGAGCCGCCGCCAGTCTCGAAGTTGGTGGGGATGTTGATGGTGGTGAAGGAGTCCATTGCTGATGTGTTGATTGGTACTGTGAACAGTGAGGAATCACTCTGCGCTGGGGATGGCTTTTATACCCTTTTCCAAGGGTCTATGCACCAGATTCTTGACGTTCCCTCTCGCGCAGCGAGGGGCATTCAAGGCTCAAGCTGAGATTTAAGTGACAATTGGAAGCACAATTGCAGGCACGTGTGTTTTTTGTTCGTCCTAGAGCTTTCGGACCGTAAGGACGTCGATGAACAAGACGATCGATCCATGTTTGCATTCCCCAGAGATCGACTTTCGTGAGTGTATTGTCCCGGTTTGTCCTGGGCGCGTCTGATTGGAGCCACGCGCAGTCCCTTTGGCCATCCTTGGGCGGTGCTCAGACCACCTTGTCGAGATCATTGTTTTCCGAGGCAATCACACCACAACGTCGGCGGCCCAATTACGTGGGCCCTTTGTAATACCTTTCGGACCCCAGGTTTGATAATAGCACAGTAGCATCTGCTGCGAGTACGAGCTGCATCTCTTGCTTCGAGGCCCGGCGTTCTTCAATGTCATCTAAGCCGACTCGGAGGAAGCCGCCATATTCAGCTCCGATTGAAACTCCAAGGTGGGACGGTGTGAACTTGGTCTTCAGCACCAAAACGCCTCCCAATCCGCTGGAAAAAGATGAAGGAGGAGATACCTGCAGACATCTTTCTGGAGGTTCTGACCTACCTTCGTCATGACAAACCTGCCATCCTCTCATGTTCGCTGGTCAGCCGACGCTTTCTTCCCATTTGCAATTTGCGCTACCTCTTCCAAGAGATCGATTTGTCCAATCCAAACAATCTTGCCATCGAACGGAAATTTCCTGCAGTTTATCAGCAATTAAAACGAGATCCGACTTTAGCGAGTCACACTCAATCTTTAAGCTTTAAGACTGAACTTGGGATACAGTTCCTCGTGGAGAGGGAGAGATGAAGGACCTGATGGATATGCCCTCGCTCGAGACAGTCGACTTTCCGGTTTTATGTTGAACTTCAAGAAAATCGAAAAACTGGAGCTCTGTCGAGAGGCGTTTCCCGCCCCCCATGGGTCCTCAAAACTGCGAGAGTCTATCCAACAGACACTAGCCCTACCCTCCTTCAAGTGCCTGATACTATCGAACATCCATGGATTTCCCTTTGTCAAGGAGGCTCTGCGACTTCAAGAATTGGTTTTAATCGATTCAGAGCCAACACCCAACAGCAGAGTCTCCTTTTACCTCGAAGTCCATAAGGCCAGACCGGAGATCAACCTCCAGTCCCTATCATTCCTAGGAGAATCGGATGATTGCATTGGGATGTTCTGTCCCATGCCGGAAATTCCCAATTATCTCCTGTCGATACCTCGCCTAGTCTTGGAAGCCTCACCCCTCTGTTTTACGTTCGCCTTCGATCGAGTCACCGAGAGTGGCACTTCGCGTCTAGAACACCTCGTGTGGCTCATTCCTGATAACAGTGCGCTTATTTCTTCGCTACTCAGTTTTTACGCGCTAACCTTGGCATTGTCCCCATAATTCAGCTCCGGACCAGATATTTGACTTCGCCGCCCTTCTGGGAAGGCAAACATTCTCGACGGAGCGTCTCAAACACCTTGAGATCATCTTCCCAGGATCCTACCCGTGGTCTCTCGAGCGCCTCATGCTCATCGAGCGACTCGCCGGCGCCAATCTCTCTCTCCCAGCACTAGAGCGGATTACGATCGAACTGTCGGGGCTAGTGGAGCGTTTACACGCTCTGGAAGCATCCATCGGTTGTTTCCGATTTGCCGACCAAGTACCATTCGGGACTCGATCCCCCAACTTCCGAGAACTACGAATAAACCTTACCCCCGGCACGGAATTGGGAAATGAACATTATTCAGAAAGCCACATGCACCAGGCTCGAAGTTTCATCGAGCGCATGTTTTCGTCCATCGACAAGTCAAGACTGTTGACCGTGAATTGTGTCCCTCGAAACTCGTCCGCTGTCATCCGGGACTACCACAGTCGCCGCCCATCGCCTTCGCACTTGTGATGGACAAAAGAGGTCTTGAAGGATAATCTCCCTTACAGTGCCATTCCACTGTTCTTCCCATCTCCGTGATCTCTTTCCAGCATTCAAGAAGCCCCTCCAGAATTCACCTTGACTCTCTAGAAGGTGTCACAATAGTCACTGCCACAGCTGTCGTCCATCCTCAGGCTATAAAACCTTTGGCCACCACCGACCGTTTTTATCAACAAACCTCTTTTACTTCCCCGCTCAGTCAACTGCCTCACAATGCTCAACAAGACTCTCTTCACTCTCACCACCGCCCTTCTCGCTATCACCGTCTCCGTGACCGCCAATCCCATTCCCAACTCCGAAGGTGTCTGCAACACCGGCCCCGTCCAATGCTGTGAGTAACTCCGAGGGTCATTGCGACCAAGCGTTTACATTTTTGAACCTCGCATCAAACAGGCGAAACCCGTTTCTCTGCCCAATCTCGCGAGGCCAACCTCTTGACCTCGCTCCTCGGTCTTGACCTTGGTGGTATCCTTGGCGATATTGCCTCTGGTTGCAGCCCGCTCAGCGTCGTCGGTGTTGGAGGTGGGACCAGGTGCTCTTCCGCGCCTGTTTGCTGCACCGACAACAAATTCAGTAAGTCGTCGATTTGGTGACGGGGACTATCGCGCTAATTTGGCCCTTTCCTCAGACGGTCTCATCAACGTCGGATGTGTTCCTGTTACCGTTGGCTTGTGAAGCGCCGAATCGTCGCCTGCCTCCGACCCATCATTCCGAGAGTCCTTCTTACTACCCAGCAGACTATTTTAAATCCACAAACTATCCAACATTCTTAACTAGCTTTACGAACAGATCATTCCTACAAATATACGCTTTCTGTTGTCTTCAAGTTTACTCTGTGCAGCCCTGATAAGAAACCTAATCCCCAAGCCTGGTCCGCTGCCACTTTGAATGAAGCCCTGCTTCCAGTGGAGAATTTAGGCGCCCACTGTGTCCATTAGGATGGCACAACTCCAACTACAGAATGCAAAGTAGCCTCATCGGTGCGGGCAATCAATTTAGATCAGAAGCATCTGCTAATCATTGCGAAGACGATAATGATGTTAATTAATACCATTGGAAGAAGCCCCGTCGATTGTGGTAGAGTACCGGTATGCGTTAGCGCCCAAATGGCGACACTCGGGCCTCAGCGGCATACCGCATCAGTCCCGTTTTTAGGTCCCAGATTCCGTCTAAGTAGTTCCGGGAACGCCTTCTCAAGTTGTGCGTATGTACTGCTTGGTCGGCGGAGACGGCGTGTGTGCCCGAGGTTATGTACATGACCTTCGGGGGACGATCCCCTGGTATCTGGTTCACTCTTATCGGTCGGTGGACACAAGTGCAACACATGCACAGGTCTTCCTCAGCTGGCCATTGTTCGAACTCCTTCACTCACTCACTATCTACATACCAGGAATTCGGCTTTGCCTATCAGCACGGGATGAACCGAGGTCCTTCCGAGCGCTCATAGAAACCAGGCGCGAGAGTTACATTGCACTGACCGTTCCTGGTACATGGCCGATCGTGAACCGTCCTAGATGCGACCGTTGGGGACGATGTACATGAATTTCAAGCTTCAAACCACCGCACACTCATGCACCATCCATTTCTTTGGCACTCTGACACACGGGTTGCCCGTTGAATTCGAAACGTTGACTATCGCCCTCCCTCTCATGTTCCATTTAAGCTCAACGCTCTTCACAAAATCATCCCATCTTAGGTTGAGGGACTGGGGTACGGTTGCCAAAGCGGCAAGTCGTATTAGATCACCATTGGGGATCTCACATCGACGGACACGACGAGCATTCGACTCTCTACCCATTTGAACGACCCATGCATTCGGAAATTCAGAATCACAGACCTTCCGACTCATCCCAACCGCGGTGCGTGCGCACCAGATGTATACATAGTTCGACGCAAGGTTTACCAAATGGAACAGGGGGCTGACCTCGAGTCAGAGATACCGTCCCCTCCCATGGGTATGTCAGAATGGCAAGCGCAAGCATACGGTATACCGTAAAGCAACAATAACAACTGTAACCCTCACCCTCGCCAAGAAGGGAAACTTCAAAAGTCACTTTATACCTCCCGCACCGTGACAGGAGACATTGGGATAGACTTTGAACATACCATAATCAGCTCGCGCCTCGAGGACTTCGTACATGGAACCTTTCTCGATCGAGAAATTGCACCCTTTTCGTTATCTGCATTCAGTATGTAGAGCTGACGTGCTTTGTGAAGAGGAGGAACATCTCGTACCATTGTCGCAGGGACGTCAAGCTCGTCCTGTGAGTACGGAGAAATGGCATCACCTCGAGGCACCCTCGCCGGGTGGTACCAGGAGAGCCAAGAACTTGTGTGCAAGTACTTGCCACGAGGGTGGAGTCCAGTACCCAAGCGACCCCAGGGCCTAAGATGCTGCAAGCAGCGTTCGTCTATCTGAGACTCTCCCTGTAAAGCTCAAACCCATCCTTCAAGTGAGACACTGCCCAGACAACGACAAAAACTACTCCAAATCGTGTGTGGGTGATAAATTCGCAAAAGGAGTAGAAAGAGAAGGGTCGGAACCGAACCGAGGTAAAAAGGGTGATTACAGAGGGTATGGATACAAGTGATTAGCCAATGAAGAAACAAAAACAACCTAGATTCCAGGTCGACCCAAGCGCCGCGTGTCTTTTCGTGATCATCATACAGGAAACAGTAGTGCGGAGAGAGATAAGTGGCGCGGGGGCGGACGTGACCGAACGTAAGCATAAGACGCTGCAAGCGCATCACGCGTCGGAAGCTGCGATAAGCGCTTGAGTTTCAAAAACGGGCCGAAGATCATGATCAGCAAAGGGCTACATTTCAAGTCAACCAAACGAGTCAGTTACGACGATTTTAGTATTGAACAGATGAAAATTTGACGCACCGTCGGCGCAGCAACAGCAGAGGATGGCAGCGAGACAGGCGTAGCAACCAGTGTTGCTCTCCTTTTCTTGTTGCCTGTCGAGACAGAGCGTATGAGCACGGGTCCGTGGGGAGTAATTCGCAAGGGGGACGCCAAATGAAGTGGGCTTGGCATCTTGGAAGCACGCTTCTAGGTCCCCCTGCCTCTGAACCAGAGAGTAACGTACACAATGACAGTCTGAGGAGGTCCCTGGGCAGGGTATCCCTGCTGAGGATAGCCTTGCTGCGGGTAGCCTTGCGGAGGCGGGCCGCCATAGTACCCTCCTTGTTGATATGCTTGAGGGGGTTGCTAATCGGTCGAAAACAGGCAATAGTGAGCCCGTCAGTCAATCAGCAATTGACACGCAGCCAGCCAACAGGGACTCACCTGAGGGTAATATCCGCCCTGGCCGTTATTAGGTCCTCCTACACACGGATTCAAACCAGTCAACTCCTCCTCCTTATCCTGTGGACCGACCCCCCAGCGTACGAGGCAGTGTATCTGCACTCTGGGGAAGAATCGTTTGATTTGTACAATATGACATACCTTGGTAATAGCCTCCCTGGCCCGGTGGTGGTCCCTGTGGTGGCGGGTAGGATCCATCCTGGGGCTTTCCAGCGTTGTAGAAATCTTGAGCACTCATGACAACTGGCGACGAACGGGGGGCGGGCTAGCAGACGGTGGGGTAAAGAAGAAACAGGGAAACGGAAGAAGTTTGGTCAAGCCCAAGATCACGGGTTTATTTGTGGATGTTATCCGAGAGCGCCGTTCACATGCCGCTTTGCCTTTTGCGCAGCGGGATTGGCTTGACTTGGCTTGTCCGTTTGCTGGGCGCTCTCATTGGAAGGACGCCAAGCAGGGTCTCTGAACAGCCTCATTGCACTCAAGCTCCCTCTAGCTGCATCGTGCTCTGTCACAAAGTTCATTCAAAGGCTTGGAATCCCACCATATCATGGCGCATGCCGGGGGCGATGCGGCAGATGGCACTGAAGTCCACTATCTGAGAGGATGTCTCCGAGGGATTCATTGCTCCTTCCGCAGCACATTAAAGGCGTTCCCTAGCCGAATCCTCGAGGATTTACGCAGGTCAGAACTAAAAATATGCAATCGACGAAGGGGGCGGTGGCCAACGCTGTTCGGGAGACTCCACTTCTGTGGTGAGCGAGGGAACTTAAGAGATAAGTATGGCATTGCCGAGCTTAATTAGTGGACTGGGATCATAGTCTTCAACCCGAAGTCATACACCAAAGTCATGCTAACCTCTACCAAACCTCCTACTTGGCCCTAACAATGACACAATGTCCTACAAGGGCATATTATCCTTTATCAGCGAGAGGTTGCTGTGTATGCTGCAGGAAACAGAATGTGGATTTGGTGGACGCCTGCCCCCAGGACCAGTATTCACGAAATCCCGCTGAAATCCATGTACTCAGATCTAGCGAGTAAGGAAATTACCGTACTATACATAGTCGTCGATACAAGCTGCCAGCAACCCAAGAAACGAAACAAACGACTCGGAGAAGAAAAGGCCCAACAGAAGAGAAAACCCTCGGAAACCACAAAGAGAAAACAGAACCAAAGCAAGTCACGACAAAAATCTATCAATACGCGCACCCTGCTGGATAAAGGCCTCTGTCAACCTCGTCTGAGCTACCACCGAAAGTAAACCACCGTCTCCTTTTACTACACAAAAGTAAGGCAACTCACCAGCCGCAACATACTCAGACCGCGCTACAACCCCAAAAGGCGCAGTACGCACATGACACAAAGGCGTTCCAGTCTCCGCGACTCTCACATTCCCCTGGCCATTAACACTGAAAAGAAGAGAAAGCGGCGGAAATCAACCATCTATGTTTACCCAAAGCATGAATTGAAGAGGGGGAAAGACGTGTGGCGTGTTTCGACTTGAAAGCTTTCTTCCTTTCAAGCCTCGCAAAAAATAGGCAAAAGGCAAAAAGCCCCCATGCTCACCTCGATAGCCTAGACAAAGTAACGCCCAGCTGATACCGCCCCTTCCATCGCACACTAGCGTCTGGAAATAGAAAATACAACCCAGGGGCGTCCTGAAGATCCTTTAATTGATACACGGACGAGATCAGGCCTCCGTAGAGGAGGGTTTCTTGGTTTTGTGGACCGAGTTGGGAACCTTGGTCCAAGGACTGGGTTCCGTCTTCGGTATAGAGTGAGAGATGCGCTACGAGGAAGGGGAGTTCCTCATCCCTGCAGAAGAAATGAGTAGGTATTCCGGGTTATTTAGCAATTGGTTGGGAATTCCATTAAAGAGGAAAGGCGTACGGTGTGAGGGGTTTACCCATGCTGTCTTGTATGTCCAGCCGCACAATTATCGGAGGGGTAATTGGCAATCGCTTGAGGTTGCTCGTGCCAAACTCTGAAGCAACTTTCGGCTGTTGCACAACCTCGAGCCGATACATCCTACACAAAAATCCATACCCCGTCAGTATTGCCATTCCACCAACATTCCAAATAGAACTTGTAATGAATGCTCACCTCTGCGAATCGGCTAGCAGCGCGGCAACTCTCAGTTTTGAGCGGACACAATCCTCGCGGGAAAGTTCCGGGGGCACGCTGCAGCGAGATGAATGACCACTACTCGACGTCCTCGAATCGCCGCTTGCAGTTGCTGGGAGATCCGAAGACGACGTTCTGGAACAGAATATACTGGGAGTGGAAGAGGAGGGCGTGGACGATGATTTGTCACTGCCGGGGGGAGAAGAGACGGAGGAGTACGGTCGATCTGATCCAATGGGGCTGCGTCCGTTTGGGCATTCAGGTGCCGCGTTTGCCTTCCCCCAGAAACCAGGAGCAAGGCGACCCTGGAGGTCCCCTTTGTTGAGTAGGGGCTGTTGAGACAACAAGGAAACAACATCTCGGCGCTGGAGAATCACTGTTATTAACAGTCCGTGCCAGATCAGTAACAGACACCGCGTTGTTCGGAGCGCAAACCCAAAACGAAGGGAAATACTGACTTTTTTCTTTTGTGTTTCGGGGCGATACCACGAAGGAGTAGCTTGAACTCTATTATTTGTTAGTGCGTCGGATTTCCACGTTAAAAGGAACAGTGGGTGGGGATCTGCTGGGAGACTTGACCGTTGGCTATGACCCAGAGGTAACTCAACACCTCGAGAGAGGTGACGCAAATGTAAGGGAGCAGGATGGGCTGAACTGACAAAAAAGCCAAACCTATTGAAAGGGAATCCTTATAGTCCTGCATACAAACAGATTTAGCCTTCCAGAACCACAAAACTGAAGCCGCATTGCCGCATCTGACACAGCGGATGGTATCTCATATCCAGATCCAGGATCAGGGACTGAATCTGTAGCCAAATGTTCGGATTGGAAGGGGCGAGGCGAAGGTGATGGAAGAACCGGTGGGTACGATGTTATTCGGGATCTTGACCACAGAAAACGCCAAGTCTAGAGCCGGTGAAAGAGGGGGTTATTAAAATGATTACTACAGATATAGGATGAGTAAAGTACGAGAAAGTGCATTAGACACTCTTTTTGACGAGACTCCAGATGCCAGCCATGCCCGATACGACGCTTGCAGACACAATTGCGGGACGGACACCAGCTAACAAAAAGGGTGATTAGAAACCGTATAAATACGTGAGTGGGAAGAGAAGGGAGGACATACATGTTGACTTGAATAATAGACCAGTGAGCGCACCAGCTGTCATACTTCCGGCCGTATCGTGCTTTCCTCTAAAGGCGTCGATCGAGGAGTTGATACCGTTGTACATTAACGCTGGAAACACAAAGAAAGAATGGATCTGAGTGAAAAGGCGAAATAGGAAAGCAACGAGACAGACTTACCCATAACACCTGCGGAGTTACCAATGAAGGTCCCTCTTCTCGTGACAGAGTTCAGGATGCTGTTGATCCGTAACCTTGCGTTGGACACGGCAAGTGGTCTTCGAGCGCCTTCCCGTACACCCCAAATACCGCCAAGGGCCAAACCTAGAGAATCGAGGGTGAGCATGTGACGAAAAAGAAACAATAAGAGAGCTCAAGTGGGACGTGCGAGATAAGGTGTGGGAGGTGTAATGGCGAAAACGAGGCCCGAAGCGTAACACTAAAACAAGTAATGTGAAAGAGATTCGGTTGACTCACCACTGAGATACATGGTTCCAGTCCCATAACATAGGTCATCACTCCACCCTCGAGATGGAATCGCTGTCCCAGACCCGGGAAGTTCGTTCGTCTTTTCGTCATCAAGAAGCAGATAGTCCAATTTATCCCCTATTTCGGCCAGAGGATGAAGTTTTGTGGGATCGTACGCTGCCATGAGCAAGTCGGCAGACGTGACTGGGCTTTCAGCATTGATGTCAGACCGCTGGAACTGGGCATTTTGGAAGAACTCTGGGGCGCCCTTTGAGCTTGAGGCTTGAGAATCAGCGGACATGTCGACGAGCAGAACGGTGTTGGCGACGAGGCGGCGGGAACGAGCGATGAGCTGGTGGACGTTGGCTGTGAAAACGAGTGACGAGCAAGTTTTCCACCGTCAACCCCGCGATTTGATGGCCGATGCGCGGCACGTGACAGCCCCCGGCGTCAAACGCTCGGAGACGGTGAGCAGCCTCTGAGTCTCTTTTATCCACGGCCATGTCGCTTGCTCCCTGTGCACGACGAACTTGCCTGTTCTCAAGACAGCTATCTGTTCAGACATATCGACAGTTCTCTTGTCGAAGTCTCTCCCAGATCGCTTCCAAAAGGCCCGAAGTCTCCTCGATTGCACCAAGAAATGTCTACAAACGTCACACTATTCCAGCGGCCATCCGTGAGTTTACCGTCTTGTTGGGCCGTGACAACCAACATCCTTCTCTCCGATTCGCAGGTTACGCCACGTCCGTGACGCCGCATTCTTCAGCCATAGACCCAGCCGAGGTCGAAGCCCTGCGATGTCTAGAGCAAGGGACAGCAAAACTCGAGGAGGGCGACGTGCAGGCAGCCAGGGATCTGTACAAACGCAGTGTCGAGATAAAACGAAACGCCAGTTCTCTGTTCAATCTTGGTGTGACATACTATCATCTTAGTATGTGCCTCGTGCCTTTTCAAAACTATTCATAGCTCAACCGTCTTTAGAGGAGTACGAGCAGGCGATTGCCGCTTGGAAGGAGTCTATAGCCCTCCAGCCGTCAAGCCCGGATGCACACACCAGTAAGATTCCATAGAACACCGCCCCCATTCTCGGTGCACTTATTGTATTTTCGAAGACCTCGCAAGCGCGTATATCATTTCTCCAGGTTCGTGGACCTGCATGTCCCTCACCGACTCAAGATTCACATCTTACCCCGTCTATTCACGCAGTTTCACGTCCGGATCTTGCACTGCACCACTTGGAGTAAGTGTCTGTCTGTTCTCCCGTACAGGCCTTCCAACGGGCTGACACGCACCAGGGTTGCATCTTCCCTTTCACCAGAGGATCCTGAAATAGCATTCAACCACGCTGCCGTTCTGGAAGCAAGTACGTGTAACATTTCGCCTCACCCACCCTGCCTGCAACTGGCTGATATCTTTCCCAGCTGGAAGGCTAGAAGAAGCTCTCGAAAAGTACAAACTGGCTAAAGACTATGGTGTAGAACGTGCCGCGGTCCATATCCGCAATGTAATGTTTCACCCATCTCGTATCAGGTCTCATCTTCTAACATTTTTGGCAGGTGAGCGCAAAGATCCTTGGCAAACGGATGAAGGAGGAAGAACAACCATCCAGCACCAGTTCAGCGGAAGGCTCATCATCGTAAACGTTTACCTAGCATTAGCGACCGTGCTATCCTCGTGGCTTAGACACCCACATCCTCCACTCGACTCACAAAAGCATACTGTACTTGCCCACCACGCTAATACATTAGAAGCCTCAATGTATCGCCAGAACCGCAGCTTAACCCAGAACAAAAGGCTCCTTTGCGGTACCCTCTCCACTTTTGATTTCCGTTTCACTGGACCTTCCCGTATCACCACCGCTCTGTGCGCTCGCATGCCCTCCCCTTACTCCCGGCCAACCCCGGTCGGCGGTCCTCCCACCACGGAGCGGTCCAACGTTCCATCCCCGGAACGATGTGGACAGTCCTGTGGCAAAACCACCGCGACTGTGCCCTGGACTATGGTTATACAGTCCGCGTCCAGATGCCCATCCGCCTCTCCCCCTTCCTCCGCCATGATCATGATGGTGCCACTGGCCTCTACCTCCTCCACGATAGTGATACTGACCCTGCCCTTTCCCACCTTCATAACCTCTATATCCCCCACCTCCATAACCTCCATACCCATACTCGCCTCTACTCGGCGGGGCTCCACCAAAGGACGACATCGCGGCAGCAGGTGGTGCGGCTACCACTGGCTTAGAATCCCTAACACGTTCCAAGATCCCAGCCAACTCGGAACGGGTGTACAAAGCCGATGGGTGATCCTCCGGTTTGAGATACAAAATCCTATCATAGCCTTCGTGAGATTCGGGTGGTTCGAAGTCAGCGGCGAAGCGGGAGAGGACTGAGAGGCCTAGTTCGATGCTTGTTATTGTTGGGTGATTTGTCCCTGTGGGGGAGAGGAGGACTTGAGCATGGTTGGAGCTCCAATGGTTCATTCGTTCAGGGCAGGTGGTCATCCCGCTAGGCAGTGGATTGTATTTCTTTGTGTGCGGGCACGATGGCTATCCCTGCCCAGGGAGGCGGTTCCAGGAGCAGACCCTGAGCAAACTGCGGAACTTACGTTCATGCAATCTGGCAACGCAGACCTACATTTTGAGTAAAGGAAAGCTGAATCAGTGTACTGGATAACTTTAGCCGTTGCGCTCCCCGCGCTAGGGGGAACCCATTGACATTTGAACAGATCCACTTACCTCGTAGGGAGTATCGAAAACGATGACCCAGATCAGTGTGCCGGGGAACTCACGCGCTATCTTGATCCAGTGGAATCGTTGTCTATGGGAGGTAACGGATGAGAATGCTGTCCATCGACATCTGGGTCGTATTCACAGCTGGTAGAAGAGAAGAGAACCCCGCGTCTCAGACGCGGTTGACTCCCTCCCACAACGGGTACCGGGGACGCTCGTTCGGTACTCGTTGAAAATAGTATGACCAATGTTAATAGCACTCACGATGCATTGAAGTTCGTTCTGTCAATACAAACAGACAACCCTTGTCTGAGCGACTGTCGAGCCAGGTTTTCAACACTCCGCCTATCCCCCAGTTCGTCTTGATTGCACCGCTGGAATTGAGGAAAGTGGGTTTGGAGGCTTGATGCAAAGGTTGACTAGCAGGCCATTGGACGACGTCCAGAAGGATCATGGATAATATGAAAGACAGGAAGATTATTTCCATTTGAAATGTTAGCCTCTGAAATTGACAACGACGTTTTCACGTAGTACGAGGAGGTGAACGCACTTTGCCAGAGGCAATGAGTCCACATAAGATCAAGACGACTGGTCCACCGCCGGTTTGGAATTCCTCCAAGTGTTCCCCATCGTCTCTGTCGAGTTCTGCATCGACGTCGATGATCTCGTGGTCGGTAATGGGAGCCGTGCGGTCGTTCGTGGAAAGCGTCAGTTTCTCCATGCCGAAATTGAGACTGCTCATCGTGATAGACAAGAGACTCGGATGCTCCCACTCAAACGTTGGGTGACGACCCTAACGAGTACAGTGGCCGTTAACAGCAGTGAGTCATCCAAGCAAACGCGAGCGCAGATCCCAACAACTCAAGATCCCACTCGCTACCGCCCGAGATTGGCTCTCTTCAAACAACCCCAATACTCTAAATCACCTGCAGAATGGAAAGGAAGACATCTCAAAACAAGGTTAGCCTTTCATCCAAATAAAGCCGTGTAAAAAACGGGCGAAAGTGGAAACCTGAGCGTAACTTACTTTCCCTCCCTAACCGACAAGTAAGGCAAGAAGATTCGAGAACACAAAAACAAAGAGGATTCGAAATCTTCTTCCAAAGATGCGAGAAGCATGAATGTATGACGGATCCTTTTTTCGATTCTCTCTATTGACTGTCAGTGTAAGTACTATTCGTGACGCAGCTGCGTGATAAGACAAAAACCCATATCAATAGGGGGTAATTATAACTAAACAGCATCTATTGTGACCCATACGTGATTCGGAACGAGATTTCGCTCTCTTTTCTTACAACTTACCTAGTCTGGCTGTACGGGCCAAGTAACTACATACGTCCTCGCTGAGCTGGAATTGGTGGGAGGGATCTTAGGGGGGAACACAATGGGATCTAATTTGTTTCCGAGGTGCGCCCCGGAGCTCGTCGCACGCACAAGAGCAATCGAGGAAAGCATACTTCCAGTTGGGGCCCCTAGACCACTCACAGGCTTAGCGCTTAGTTAGGTCTTAAACTCGCTTTGTGCACCTTCGAAGAGGATAGATGTATCAATAGCACACTCACGACTCAAGTACCTAAATCCGAACCACCCACCATCGATATAGGCCTCGCCTCGCGGAAGACGGTGTCTATAGCAATCATGGGGTTCCTCACGGAAGGAATAGCGGCGATCTCAAGGTCGAGACGTCGACTCTCCACCCTGTTTTTAGAGTTGAGATCCAAGTTACCACAACTTTTGCACCCACCTACCTATCCCCAGCGAGTCAATGTCATCGCCGATCCCAGCATGCACGCTTCACCATAGGTCATCGATCACCCAGGCCCAAGAAAGTTCGCAGAGCAAGAATGGCCACACCAAGTTAGCTACCGCAAGTTTTCAATGAAATCTACGGCCAGGGGCAAGGATCTCACACTGGACATGGATTCTCAGTCAAGTCTATTGGCAGTCCAATTCACCTTCCGTACCACGAATTGAGCAGGGGCTCCAGCTAGCTACCGAGCGCATCGCAAAGAAACGGGAACCATACCCATCGCCTCCCAGCTGTGATTCAAGGAACTATCGGGGCGTCTGGAACAAAGACCAGATGCTAGTGGATGTCAAGTCAGTTCACTTAATTCCAAAAGTCAACGGATCACTCACGTAAGGACCCCCAAGAGGGCTAGGGAATCTCGCCATGAATCCACCCGGGTTTGGAAGAACGTACAAAACGTTGCTTTGTGTGTAGATCTCAATTGGTCCATAGGCTGAGAAAAGGTTAGCGAAACGGTTGCGACACCAGACGAGGGAATCCTACTTACAGGACAAGTCAGGGTTGATCCAGTATGGAATAAGGCGATTGCTGCTGCGATCAAAAGTCCACTAAAGAAGCAGTGGTCAGCCGGGAGGCGAGGAAAGATTGTTGTAGGTACATACAACATCGCTCTGCCCAATGCGCGGGGTCCGAGTGGCAGCGCTCCACGCATTGCTGTTTGCAGCGTTGGATCCACCAGATCCGGGTGCGGCTAGTTGATGTGTTAACTTTTATTCATGGGAAGGAGGAAACCAAAACAAGCGTACTGCCTGGTTCCGCAATAGAGTTGAGATACAAGTAGCTGCGTGGAAACGATTGGGTCTGGCTGCCAAAAGCTATGGTATCGAAGGTACTCACTTGAACGAGTCAGGAGCTCCGACACTGTCGCCAACATTATCCCTGCCCTGCACCAAACCGAGGTACGGTTCCGGGCGCTTGCTGTTCTGGAGATATTAATGCATATGAGGTCCCGTTTCATAGTGGAGTTGAAAATTCATGGAGGCCGTACCAAGAAGGTGACCCTGACTTGACTGGGGGACGATTGCAACGAATCGACCGACAAAGACACGGTTAAGGCGGAGGCCGAGTCTGTGGAGAATCCAAGGTAAACGTCGTTTTGGTTCCTCAACCAACCCATGCTTTGGCCTTGATCGTTGACGACGGAAATCTTCCCTCGAATGGTTTCTATGGGGCCGGGCGAAGGTCGCTGTACGGCAGCTAGAATCGCGTTTCGGGGAAGTCGTCGTTGAACAGGTGTGGTTAAGACAAATGTTAAATACATACCTCTGCGTGAACTCTTTCGAACAGGGGGCTTGAGTGGAAGTCGCCTGGCGAGTCGGTCCGCATTCGTCAGGTGGTGGAAGTCTGTTGAGCGCCTCTGGGACATTTTAGTAGGCAGCCCAGTCTCCCTCCCAGTCACCAGGAAGTCGGCAGGCCTGTACTCCGCCCCGGGAGAGTGCACCAAAAGGCTGCTGTCGTCCTGTGAGACCGCAAATGCATTGGCGACCACGCTGGCGAGTAGAATTACAGAGGAAAGGAATGACTTGAGATGCATCGCGAAAGGCAGTAAAAGAAGTAGGGACTGTGAGGGATAGAGACAGTAGGGAAAAGGGGGAAGTGGGGTAAGAAGACGCTCTGAAGAAAGCCATTGGAGGGAAGCGGCACTTTATGAAATTTCTGGAGACAGAGAAAATGGTCGCAAGTCGTGATGTACAATGCACATTGACCAGCAGTCATTGTGTCCAGCCTGAAGATGCACAGGGGGATGCCGCACACCGCAAACAACTCTATGGGCCTCCAAAGATGCAGAAGCCCTGAACAGTTCGAGCGCCAGGAACAGACATGGTGAATGTACACACATCACCAGCAACCGACGACAGGGGAGACACCCTTTATGTAGAGCTTTAACTTCGAGGCTCTAATGCACTAGTTACCCCGTAAGCCAAAGGTCTTCGACAACCAGAGGGACCATGTCTTCAACCGAGATTGAAACTACCAACGGTGCAGGAAGTATTGGAAGATACCGGCCCCAATGACGTCCTGTAATTGCTGTGGATAGAGTACATTGTTGTCGGTCTCTGTGCTGTCGGTCTCGAGCGGGGCCCTGTGCGATTGACACATAGAATTTTTTGAAGCGTGCCAGTGGTGATTCATCGTGTTGGATTATGTCCAGGCAGGTCGGATGAGATGCTTCCAACTGATCCAGCATCTTGAAGGTTCGAAATATTTGCACGGAATGAGCGTGGTCACTGTGGTGTTCAGGCGCAGGGTAGAACTCGACCATGAAGCGCGCTTGAAACCCGGTTTGGAACCGAAGGCGACAGCATCTAGTGTAAAGAGTGTTATACACACTGGCCGGCAAGTTCCCTGCCAGTGTCCTCGCTAGGCTCAACTTCGAAGCCCGCTCCCAGTGTTCTCTCCAAGAGCATCTGAGCACTCTTCCGGCCTCAGACCGAAAAGGTTTTCTTTGGAATGACCTTGACAGTGTCAGCAACGTCCCTTCGAAACTCTGGCTTCAACGACAGTGACCATCTTGAGGCTCGATCTCTTCCGTGGACTCGTATGAAGCGGGGACTGATGACACCAGCAAATGATTTTTTTTCCCACTTGCGAGCAAAACGAAGCGGCAAAACGTCCTACTCACAGCGCTTCTTCCAGCTCGATCATGGATAAGTTGCTGGATGTTCCTTCTGGAATGATCGCCTGCTCTCTCCCCCAGAGCTTCAAATCATACAAGCATTCTTAGCACGGTGTGTCTGATCACTGACACCAGTGCTCATCGGACTTCGTACTGGCCACGAACCGCCAGAGCCTTGCTATAAAGGCGAATCTGCTACTTGACAACCACTCAGACCACCAAGGACTACCTCCGCCTCTCTACCCATCCACTCCCCCCAAACCTCCCCCCTTTCGCCATGTTCAACAAATCTGTTCTCGCTTTGACTGTTGCTACCCTCGCCACCTTGGTGGCAGCCAACCCCGTCGCGAACGCCCAGGGTAGCTGCAACACTGGCGATATCCAATGCTGTACGGTCCCTCGTATCAATCGTATGGTCACACCATTCACTCAACTTCTCCGCAGGCCAGAAGCTCTATCCCTCTCAATCCAGCGAAGCCAGCATCCTAGGCTCCTTGCTTGGTATTGACCTTGGAAGTGTCCTCGGTGACATTGGTTCTGGATGCAGCCCCGTTACCGCCCTCCTTGGCATTGGTGGTGGTACCAAATGGTGAGTTTACTCGGACTTGTCCTTGCAAAAATGGTTGCCGATAATCCACGTCTCCTAGTACCGCTGCACCCGTTTGCTGCTCTCATAATACCTTCAGTAGGTATTCTTATTTTCTTGGTTTGGAGACTACTCTGACGTCAATCCTTCAATAGATGGTCTTATCAATATCGGATGCACTCCCATCAACATTGGCCTCTGAATCTTCCTTCATTTCCGTCACTCAACAGCCTATCGCGTCTTAACACCATCATTGCTATATTCCTAGGATGCCATTGACTATGTCTATATGTGTACTGTCGTGCCCAATGCGACCGACACCGCGAACTAGTCACCTACTGTCCTGGCAAGTTGCACGTCAGAGCTCACAAATGGAAATCTGGATCATGCAGAACAATTGTTGTACATTGTTCCACCTCTCTTTTTTGGTCTCTCTCCCTCCCGTCCTGCAAACGGTTACCACATGACCACGAGAAACATTTAGAGTACTGTATCTCAGGCTGTAAGCCGTCTGCGACGAGAAAAGAGAGGCGAATGCGTCACAATGTTCACGACAACCATTCCGGCTGTGAAGATATGCCATGATCGCAGGCATAGTGTAATTACTCACTCGAGTCATGGTTATTGTCGAAAGTGTGCACATGACTCTGTGTAGGACACTTGTAAGGACTTTAGTGGAATGCACCGTCAAGTACATCAAAGCACGCCCTACGATAATTCGATTACTATTATCACGCCATGATGAACAACAGACTTGGAACTCACCTGGAAAAGGGTCTCTTGACATCATAGCCAATGACCTCGATCTCTTCCAGCTCTTCTGCCCCAGCGTCCCCTCCATGAGCCAGATGTGATGCGAGGTCAGATGGGTCATTAAGCCCCTTGGGCACCAGAACTCTCTTCCGCTCGACCACTACACGTTTGTACGCCCACCTCTTCTCGTAGAAGTCACAGTGATCGACCTCCTGTAAATTGGGGCACGCGACAACCAACTCTCCCAGAACTTCATGCATCTTCGCCTTCTCGCTCTCGCCAGTTTTCCCACCACCAACTGCGTTCCACAGAGCCTGACCACGGAAGATTTCGAGATTCCTGAACTGTGGGAGTAGAGAGAGGAGTGTGTCGAGGGATAGGGTTTGCGAGGTAGAGGTCGTACCACTTGGCCTCGAAGTAGGGAAGTATCGGACAGGGAGCGATAGCCATCGGAGGTTTGGGAACGCTTCCGAAATGGCAAAGACAGTTTCAACGTCGTTGAAGCGATGCAAAGCGAGTCGCTTTAGGGAATTGCGTTCGAAAAAAGGTAATGAAAGTAACTCCGACCCGGATAGCCCTGAGATGTCAAGACTCTCGATGAGGCGCAAGTACGGAGCAGACGATGGCGGATAGATGGGATCTGTGGGCGTACAAGGTGGTGCAGATGGCTGATCGAGAGGCGACACTGGTGGTAGCGCGAATGACCGTGGCTCGACAGGAACCGACGATGAGGAGTTAGCTGATGAAGACGCAGGTGGTTCGGCCTCGTCATGGTCATCTTCTGGCTCGGTCTCCTCTGGGATCTTCGAAAGCCTTTTAGAGGAGCTTGAAGAACCAGGCATCAAGCTCTCCGATGACGTTTTGCTCGTAGACGGCGATGGTGAGGTTGCCACAGCCTCAGCCTCCCTCGCAAGAGCCTTGATGACCTGCATATTGGCCTTCAGGTGTTTGAGGTTAGGGAGGATTCCGGGCTTCAATACCGGAACACCAATGGGGAACCACGAAAGCTTCTCAATAGTTGGATTGTTCTCCAGAAAGCGAGCGGAAGAGTTGTCCACCGAGGTGGTAGCGCCAGAGTACAAGAGAAGCTTGACGTGTTTCAGCTGGGGGAAACGTAGTGCATGGATTTGCTTGAACTCGAGGGGGATCTCCAGGTACTAGGTAAGCGGTCAGCTACACAGAGATAGTTTCAGAGCGCTTTAAGACCAACCTCCAGGTTCGGCGACCGGGAAAGCATAATGCAGAGTGGCAGAGCATTGGATGTCTTGAGCCAAGCATCGCCCGACAGGCACAGTCTCTTTAGGTTTGAAAGATGCCAGACCTGGGGACGATCAGCGGGCCATGGTTAAATTCTCCTCCTGAAAGGGACCCACTGGATATGTAAAGGTGTTATCCAAAGGCAGCCCCGACACATGGCTTCCAAACGTCCCGCTAATCCCAAACTCCCTCAAGCTCGGTTTCCGCACGACCTCAGCCAAAATTGCATTTTCATACAGTGGCTCACTTGTGGGTCGCGGTCGCGCTTGGCGTGCATTCACTTGCGCGTTCTGTTGATGTCCGGAGGGGGTATTGCTCGAAGGTGCGTCCCCGAAGTTGCACGACCACGTAAAAGCTCGCAAATCCCACATATGCCTGAGCGCATTGACAACGTTCGCAACCTTCACCCTCTCGTCGTACGTCCCGTTCAATCGGGGGTCGCAGTCGACATTGGAGTCCACCAGCGCCTTCGGGATACGGTCTGCAGTGGTATAGTTCTGTCGTTCGCGAATGTGGACTTCACGGATGTTGCGGGCTAGATCCGCACGACGGGAAAGGTGGGCGAATACGGTGGGATTGAGTGTACGGACGGAGAGGATGCGATAGTCGGTGTGTCTGGGGATGATTTGAGCGGTCATGAAGCGACATGTTAGCGCAAGTGAAAGGAGGTCATGGTGCAAATCGAGAGACGCGAGGATTTCTTCGAGGATCTCTTGCGGGAGGCAGAGAATTGGGGGCAGTGGATCTGGTGCAGGCGTACAATGCTGGGTTTCCAGGGCTAGAGAAGCTCGACGAGTACACAGGTTGAATTGCATAGGAAAGGTGAGGTGAGGACCTTCTGGATGCCTGCACAGATAATAAGAATGGGAAAGCGAGGGAGGATACCCGTCTGTCCCTAAATCAGAAACTTCCAGTTCAAGTCCGACGATGATGGCTTGGTACAGGGATCTCTAATGACACCGAGCTTGCAGGGGAGTTGAAGGTCACTGTCAGGCTGCGTTGCCGCCTCTGGAGCCCTTATCTGCACGAGTTGTGTCCTTCTTCGTCCTTCTTCACAATAGCGGGCCTTACGTTGGAGACCCTTGCAGATAAACGATAAGTAAACCTTGTCCAGCTACAAAACAAGAGTACAACCTTTCCGTACGTTGGCGACTGGCCGGTGACATCATGCTCCCCGAGGACGCCTCCCGAGTCGGAAGAACAGGGAAAGCCGCTCTTATTGTTCTCGTTCTTATTGTCTTTTGCCTCGCGAACCTCTAGAGAAGCCGTCTGTTCGTCAGGGATTCTGATGAGCAGAACGCCTTGTACAGGTGCTGGGAAGTCCTGGCCACGAGTTCATCTGAAGTTGGAAAGCTGAAAGGCAACCGAATGGAGAAGGTGTGGGAGGGTGAATGAATTGAGCATCGTTGGTGAGGGTTGAGGACGGAGTGTCGCAATACACATAGCTGGATATCGAGTCGCCAGAGGTCACATGGGTAAGTCGATTTGTACCCCAGCTTTGCCACCGATTCTGAACATGGGCGACTAAAGAAAGACATGCCCGATTTTCAGTCGCGGGACTTCGCAAGTCTGGGTCCACCAAGAGACTCCTGAACACGTGTATTCAATGTTCCTTTAATGAGGTCTAGTCAAGGAATTAGTAGACGTGGACAATGGACATAACCCTATGAGGTACGTGCTCACCAAGGGCATTCGAGCTGAACTCGAATTCATGGGTCGTCTATAAAGTGAGACCCCGGGTCAATGTGTAGGCACACATAGTGCAGGGCATTCAAGAGAAAAGGTGAGTGGGGAGGTCTATGCCGAAGCTATCCTTTATACGGTCTCGCCGTGGTCCTCCGCGCGAGTCATGTAGAACATTTGGGGCCCGCTCTCGCAGATTGCGCATTCCACGCCACGGAACCTGTCGAAGCGATGCTTTCTACACACCTCCCAAGTTATCTCACAACTTGGGACCTGTTGAGATGTGATAACGCAGACTGGGAATGCGCAGAGTCACCGGGCAACCGAAGCAGATGTTTGTAATCTCCTCAAAATCATCTCGCTGTCAGTGATCATGTTGAGCTCCCTACACATGGCAGTTGTCAATGCACGAATCCCGACCACGTACGTATGTATGGCCGCAGTCAATATTAGCATTCTCCCCTGCCAACGGCTTCGACATATCTATCAATAGGTATAGAATCAGATGAGATTGGAGCAGAGGGGCAACAGACGCGTCGAGGTGGAGGTCATCTTGGACGCGTCTGTGCAAATGTTTGGCAAAGGCTTCTGCCAAGCCCCCGAGCGATGCGGAATTCCCTAACGCTTCCTGTCGATTCTAACTACAACAGCCTGGACACTTGGATTTCCCGTACCAATGGACGAGTTGCGATATCACATCCCGTGGATATGCCTACCAGGGCCTCGAGGGGCCACAGCTCAGACCCAGTTGAAAGACCGCCTCACAGGCGCGAAACCGTTTGGAAACCGTCGACTTCTCCCGGTCCCTTCGAACAGCTGACTTCTTGAAAGATAGCCATGTCAAGCGTGCGCTGAAAGACTTACTAATGCCATATGGGCTGGATTAGATGACCGTGCATACCCTCTTATCGCGAGTACACCTTTAGCAGCCCGGTTCCCAACATGAGTGAAGACGCCAGGAGCGCAAGTCGAGCGAACTTGATTACAGTCGTACATTGCGCTTCTTTTTCCACAATAGGGCCTTTCGTTCACCACTTTGGCTTGTCTGTAACTTTTTTTCATCCTCCACTCAGAGCAGGTGCGGTGTAGGCCCCTTCCCTGTCTGAACAACCCAGCATATGTCTGGAAGTATTGACACAGACCTTGTTACACGTTATATTCGGGCTAATCTTCTGTCCTCGCGCTTGCCTCCGCCCAATGTGATGTGGGAGGCAAGTCTATGGCCGGAAGTCGGGCGACTTTCTTCTGGTGGGCTGTACTGGTGGGCTGTAGACTACTTATACATTTGCACTGGAGTTGCTGGGCGGGCGGAGAGATAGGGGCATCATCTCCTTAAACGCTTGTCTGGGGCGGGCGGATGCAATTGTTTCCCGGAGCGGTCACAGCCACCCCAACAAGAGGTTCAGCAACGATCCTTCGCAATCTGGCGTGCCTTGTGTTGGTTGTTCTGGATTCTCTGCTAGGCCTCGTTGCTTCCAGAGGACGCGATTATCCAGAAAACGTATTTACAGCTCATTGGTGCGTCAATTAATGTTATCGGACGACCGACACTGATGAATCGAATTCAGAACATTTCCACGTTTGTGGCACCACCACGACTGTGTCTTCATCAAGTTCGAAACAGTTATTCTTGTGCGGTCGCCTGCCTCTTTTCATATCTAACGACCATCTACGACTGCACACAACCCACTGTATATGCTATATAACGACGCTTACGACCGAGTCACGATGAACATCCTCACTTCATTCCCTTTCACCTTCAAACTTACCGTCCCTGGCTTGTCCAACCCGTTCACATCCCTTACGACCACACCAAGCCCGACATCGTCGAAGAACATACCCATACCACCAGGAGACCCACCTTTGGACCGTCCTTCTCGTTCCCTAATTCGACCGACTAGGCCTCTCCCCATCTCTGTGACCGCACCAACTCCAATGAGTGCCCCAGGCTCTCGGACTATGCGACCTCCAAGACCCTCATTTTCGCCTTCACCCTCTCCGACGCCTTCAAGTGCCCTGTCACTGACCCAGACGTACTCTCATCTCGGTCCCAGGCCACATTTTGTCCACTCCCTCTCCCCGTCTCCCGCGCCAATTAACCGCAAACGGGGATGGGAGCCGTCTTGTTCACCCACCACATCCGAGACGACGTTGACGCTCACCAATGGCTATTTGGACACACCTGCAAAGTACCGGGAGTTGACTGGGGGAATGGAGAGAGAAGCCGAACATATCCAGGGCGTGAGGGAATTGGACGAAGATGGTGAGTTTGCCTTTCTTCATTTGCTTTTCCTTTTCCTTTTTATTTCCGGGCTCCCGGCTCGCACGCACTGCACATTTGTGATTCGGAATTCAAGTGACGGATGACGGAGATGACGGTGTTTTGATCGAGGACTATTCAGTTTCCCGCTCTTCACTCTTGTCTCTGTTCTGCTCTGCGATGTGCCTTTCCCCTCGTTTGTCCTGCCTTTCCCTTCTGGCTACAACCAGGGTAATTTAATGGCTCCACCTGGTGCGTTCAAGGGTTTTGTTCAACAAATGTCGACTCTGGGGCATTGAGCAAAATGGCCTGCAATGCCATTGCACGTGTTTAATTTAAAATACGCGAGCCACCTCCTTGCCCCTTGACATTCCTCCTACCTTCAACGTCCCATCCTTTCTTTTTTTTTCCTCTTGAACTTACGCATCGTCGACGAGATCACTGACCGAATCTGTGCCTCTCTCTGTTTTCGACGCCCGCCACCCCGCCAAACCCCTTCGTCGATCTCAATGGAACCTCATGAATGATATGATCCATGCTTCAATAGACCTTCCACCCACCAAACGTCGACGAGGCCTTGCAGGCTCGATCGTTTCAACCGCTTGGAGTGCCGCACTCATTGGTACTGCTGTGGGCCTGACCGTATACAAGCTGTACGCCCTTACCTTCTTCCTGTGAGAGTACACTCACTGACCATAAGTCCAGATGGAGGAACCGCGGAGCTCAGGACGAGTCGGGACATGTCGAAGATTCTAAGATCGATGAGATGGTGGTCGAGAACGAAAGGACACCCGAACCATCCTCGCCTCCACCGCCTTACAACCAGGAATGGACTGCAATTGATTACCCCCAGCAACAGCAGCATTTGCTCACCCCGCGAGGCCGAGAAAAGGCTAGACAGCGGGTAATACCCAGGAGTGCTCGCAAACCTAGAAGAGAGCGACTCACAGTGCCGCGCAAGTCGGCTACCACTGGTCGTTCGTCTGCCAGTTCTTCCAGGCCTCCCATCCCGCCTGAATTCGACTTTGAATCTCCTCGGAAGCGCGGAAGGTCTTCGTACGGTGCCAATGCAGAAGAAGAGGAACCTCATGATCAAGCCGACGACCCCGATGACAAGATGGACTGGATAGGTGGAAAGTTGGCACAATTGATTGAGGAAGGGAAGAAAGCGTTAGGGAAGGAGGTTGTGGTCATGAGTGATGCGAAGGAGGATGAGGTGGACGATGGGTCCGGGGCATGGGTTAGCGACGAAGAGGACCGTGGCCGACTCAAGAGGAGAGGGAGCACTCGCTCGAGGCGGAGTATGACCTTTACCAACGGACACGGAGTTTACCCATCGACATCCTCTGCTGTCTCATCCTCGTCGTCCGGAAACCTGCTCGCGCCACCGACTGCACCGACGACGCCTAGGAAAACACATTCGAGAGGCTTCTCGCATGACGGAATGGGTTCTCCCGCGTTATCCGTTTCGGCTGCTGCCCATGAGGAGCCATCGAACTGGGAGAGTCCTGAGATCAGGGAGATGATGGAACGAGCCAGGGCGAAATATGCGTCCAGAGCTGGAAGGTAGAAAGGGCGGTGGTAGGCAGCAGGGACTTGGTTTGCGCATTTACAAGCCAATGCTCCCTCCACTAACCTTGTCCTTGTCTTTGCAGTCAAATTTCCTCGATCCATCCAACCATCTCCGCTATACCCTGTTATTACTTTATTTCGGTTTCTCAATTGTTTTACCCTCATCCTTTGCTATCGAAACATGCTAAATCATTTGCTATGTCGTTTTTATCCCCCCGCTGTTGTCACACGTTCGACCCGAGTATACAGGATGGAACCCACCTCTCGGAACATGTATAACAACGTATTTGTACGTATAACCTTAGACATCCTATACCTAGGTAAACTGTTAATCGTATACTTCGCTGTGTCTTTCTCCTCGCAGGCTGCATTGGCAGTGGTTATGCACAGACTGAGACGCTCCCGGCGCCCGCTCGAATCGGATTTGTCATGTCACGATCACATGACGCCCGCCGCGGAACGCTCTTGGTGCCGCCGTCCAGGGTTCCCTTTTCTTGTTCTCATCCACGATGGTCAACCGCAACAGTCACTGGAAATGGCGATGCTGCTGCGGACAACTCTTGTTATGAAAGGCTCCACGCCTTCTTTGACTTCCATGGCGTCTTGGTTTCCAGCACGTTCGTCCGAAAAATGGCAACTCGGATCGCCTAAACGCTCGCGGTGAGCTGATTGAGTCCTGACAATCCGACACAATGGCGGCCTCACAACCGTCAAAGGTTCAAACATTTGCTTCTGTCTTGGTGCGCAGTATCGTTACTCCAACGGCCCAATAGTCCCTCACTGCTCCAGCAGAGTGTAAACAGTCGGAGCGACCCTGCGCCCTCGCTAGAAGCGGTTCGCGGGCCAAATATCCCGCCCATTGCAACGCGCCTCGTCGTCGTTGGCAGCCAAAATGGCGTATATTAGGTGAAGGCTCCACTTGGGTGGGCGCGCCTGCTTCGATTTCGAGTCCTCGACCGAGCAATTCGCCAAGAAGAGACTCGGACAAGGCCAATATACGCGACAACCGACTGCCGAAGGGAATGCCTATCCCGATCATCAAACACAGAAGATTAATTTTCTCGCTAATCCTCGAGGACTCGGACTTGGGTGCTGGCTAAAAGACTGGTCTGAATTGCGAAGATGTGTTTGACTCACATCCCGCGTTCTTTCGTTCTTTCTCCCTCTTTCTTTTCACTTTTTGTTCTCTCTCTCTCCCAGCTTATGTTCTTTCTTTAATCGTCTTATTCTGCATCTGTTTCTTGTATCATGACCGGTCCTCGATCGACACACTCTTTTGAAAATCTCCCGGCGAACGCTGGGGTTCCCGCTATCGTCGTTACATCAATAGAGGCTTCACCATGCCCTGCACAGAGGGGTGAATCCCAAGGCTCGGAGTTGGCTGATCCCAGCTTCTTAGGGAAGCGGGAACGAGACTGGGTCGAGCGCATCGATGATTCTGGCTTGGGCACTCCGGACAGTGTGACTGTAACCGGGGATTCTGTACTCTATGTAAGCCCTCGGTCCATCTCAACTGCTCTTTACTTTGGTTTTGACACGCATTTCCAGGTTGAATTTACTGCAAACGACTCTCGCGACCCCCAAAACTTCTCTCAAAAGAAGAAATGGCTCATCACACTCATTGCCTGCTTCACAACTTTTGTTTCTTGTGGGTATTCCGGCCCTCTATCATCACTACCCACTCACGACCTCCTGCTAGCCTCCACTACTACCGCCTATAACATGGGCTTCCCCTCCATGATGCGAGACCTCAACGCGACAGACTTTCAAGCCACCGTCGGGCTTGCCGTTTGGTCGCTGGGCTACGCCGTTGTCCCTCTCGTCACGGCACCTTTCAGCGAAGAACTAGGGCGGCGACCGGTCTACATCGGAAGTATGCTCGCGTTTTTTCTGTGCTATATTCCCATCGCATGGTATGCTAACGACTCCCACCCATCTTCAAGTAGAGAAGGATCATGTTTAACTCGCCTTATTCTAGCGCTACGAACATTTATGCGGTCCAAGGTCTGCGTTTCTTGCAAGGTGCCGTAGGATCTACTGGGGCCATCATGGTTGGAGGAACCATTGCCGACATTTGGGCCCCCGAAGAGTAAGTCGCGCCTCTTCATTGCCTTAGATCGGAACTGACGGCGATGTGTTTCGTAGTCGTAACCTTCCCATGTCATTGTTCAGCTTCATGGTCATTGGAAGCAATGGCCTTGGGGCCCTCTTCGGCGGTTGGATCGAGTACAACGAGAGTTTGCAATGGAGGTGGATTCAATGGACACTTATGATGTAGGTCTTTTCTAGTATGTTGTGGACCGCAGCACAAGGCTGACTCCCTATCCAGAATCTGCGGTGTCTGTACCCTGTTGTTACCTCTGATGGGAGAGACTCGGTCATCTGTCATCCTCACTAAAATCGCCCGTCGACGGAGAAAGGAGACAGGTGATAAGAGGTACCGTGCCCTTGCTGAGGTCGAGCGAGAAAGTCTTTCGGACATGATCAAGATCTCGTGCACGCGACCTCTCCGTAAGTCGCGCGTTGTTATGATTGCGAAAGTCTAGAGCTGACTGCGACGTTCGATAGGACTACTCTTCACCGAACCTATTGTCGCTGGCTTCAGCGTCAGTACAATGCCTCAGTCTTGATGCCTTTCGGATTGTTGACATTCCCCTTTACAGATCTGGGTCGGGTTCGCCTGGGGAGTGCTGTACTGCTTCGTGGAGTAAGTGCCTGGCCCTGTACTTGGATATTGTCGCTCACACTGGATGTTGCCAGGTCCATCTCCTCCGTGTTCCAGGACCTTCACCAATTCCACCTGGGCCAAATTGGCTCTGTCTTTGCAGCCCTCACGTAAGCTCATCCGGTTTGGGTCTTTTGTCAGACGACTCATCAGACTTGTCGCTGCTCGTAGAGTTGGGGCATTGCTCGGATTTGTCTTGAACGTTTTTGTGCAAGAGAGGCTCTATCGGTGCGTCCTATCAATTGAAATCTCGTATTCCCTACGTCTAATCGCCGTTTCAGAATCCACCACCCGAGACGAGACGTTGAAGCCCGTTTGTTCTCTGCTTGTCTCGCCGGCATCATTTTCCCGCTGTCCATGGTCATTTACGCCTTGTCTTGCTCATCGTCTGTACATTGGATGGGATTGGTCGTCGGTATTTCAGTGAGTGTTTCTTCCAATGTCTCCTCTACACCAACGCTGACGGAGGTTAGCTGTTCTCCTGTTCCGCATACCTGATCTACGTTGCGTCCTTCACCTACATTGTTGACTGGTACGTCCTGGCCCGTACTCATTCCGACCATCGCGACTGATGTGCGTTCGGCGTTCTAGCTACGGCCCCTTCGCTTCCTCTGCCCTCGCTGGACAAAGCCTCTTCCGTAAGAGTTGCGTCTTCCGTACACAGCTGCGATGTCGCTGAATCACCGTGCAGGCAACATTCTCGGGACCGTGTTCCCCTTGTTCACCCACCAAATCTACGCTGCTCTGAACTACAAATGGGCAAACCTCCTTTGGGCGGCCCTCGCACTCGCACTGATGCCGATACCATTTGTATGTCTTCCGAATTCCCATCACCCTTAAAACCCGTTTGTTGATTGTTGCATTTAACCTCGCTCAGATCCTCTTCATCTACGGCCCTAAACTCAGGGACCGCAGCCCATTCTCCAAGAAAGCAATTGCTCAGCCACAGAACCTGGGCAAATGTGTCCAGGAGAAACTTGGCGACTGCTCTCAGAGCGTTTAAGCTCTACCAAAACAGCTCATTAGCTGACGGTGTATACCCTCCTTGCTGTGGAGAAGATACCCTTTCTCTCCCTTTTTCTCATTCCTATTCCTGAATCATACGAACTCCCATTTTGATAGATAATATCTTCCGCTATTTCCCGGTCGTGCATTGGTTAGACAGGATCCCTTTCCTGTAGTGACGGTAGATACAGTTCACGGTAGATATATAGAGCCCCTTTAAATTCCATGTCATTATTCCTTCGCTCAGGTTGGGCGATGTTGCATTCCGAATCACTTAACGTTACACTGTTGCATTCCGAGTCTTCCAATTCCCTTAGGCGCCCATGTCCGGCGAACTCGGCCTATGAGATCATAGCTGACTGACTGAGCATTCCGAGGCCGACGCCACATGGCGATCCAATGAGACCAAGTCGAAGGGTCTTTCGGGCTGGTCTGCTGGTATGGACTCCTGCGGTGCTCAAACGCTCGACTCTGACATCTTACCCTCAGCATGCTGCTGTCAATGACAAAAAACCGAATCGGATGAGTGGGTGGAATTCGAATGCCAAGGCTCAAATGGGTGGGGGTGTCCGCCCTCGGATCTTGGTGGGTTAGCTCCGAAAGTACTGCCAAGGATTGATTGAATAAGGTATAAAGCAGGCTCCGATCATCATGCAATAAAAGGCAGTTTCAACTTTCGACGAAAGTTCCAGCTGACTCGGCTCTCGCTGGCAAGACCGGTTTTGTATTTAAACTCCACGATTGGCTTAACGTTGCACCCCTTCTACGACTTATGACACAACCAATACAATGTTCAACGCCAAACGACCAACAGAAAACGCCTTGTCCGACCATCGTTGCTACGCCTTCTGCCTCAGAAACACTGCGGTCTGAGAAGGGTGAAAGGATGCTTGATGCGGCCCATGAGGATTCGCCAACCCCTGACAGTCGTACTGCAACAACAGTAGCAGATTCAATCATCTATGTGAGTTGAGCGTTGAAACAAGTTCTGTGCCCCGCTGATCCACTTGAAAGGTCGACTTCAAAGACAATGACCCCAGAAATCCGATGAATTTCTCTCGGAAGAAGAAATGGTTTATAACCCTTCTCGCCTGCTTCTCTACTATCGTTTCTTGTGAGCTTCAGTTTCGTTAGCATATTTGGATGGTTTCTCACTACGTCACCAGCTACAACATCCACCTCATACAACATGGGCTTTCCTTCGATGAACCGAGATCTCCAAGCGTCTAATTTCCAAGCTACGGTCGGCCTCGCGGTGTATTCCGTAGGTTTTGGGGTCGTTCCTCTTTTCACTGCGCCATTCAGCGAAGAACTAGGTCGGCGTCCGCTGTACCTTGGCAGCTTGGTTGCCCTGCTGCTGTTCTACATCCCTATTGCAATGTAAGTCCTCTGCAATTCTCAACTTGCAACCACAACGGACGACGTAATTGTGATGCTTTAGGGCGAAGAACATCGTCTTGGTCCAAGTTGCTCGATTCTTGCAAGGCTCCGTGGCCTCAACCGGAGCTATCATGGTGGGAGGGACCATTGCAGACATTTGGGCGCCACAAGAGTGAGTGTTAGTTGATGTACCCCACTTCGGACATAGCTTGACAGTCTTTCCAGTCGTACATTACCCATGGCCTTGTCGACATTGATGGTAATTGGCGGGAACGGTCTTGGACCAGTCTTCGGCGGATGGATAGAATTCAACGGGCGCTTAGGTTGGAGGTGGATCCACTGGATACAAATGATGTGCGTCTTTCTTTGGCTTTTCCCCATCGAGAGACTTAACCTCTAATTTCAGTTTGTGTGGCGTCTGCCTTTTGCTTATTCCTTTAATGGGGGAGACACGGTCGAATGTTATCCTCACGAAAATCGCTCGTCGAACGAGGAAGGAGACAGGTGACGCAAGGTACCGCGCACTCGCGGAGGTCGAGCGTCAAAGCCTGAAGAGCATGATTTGGATTTCTTGCACACGCCCTTTGCGTAAGTTACGGAGCACCTTGGGTTAGGCGAATAACATCCTAAGCTGACCTTGTAATAGGCCTTCTATTCACGGAACCGATCGTCGCGAGCTTCAGTGTGCGTGCTAGCCTCTTTCATTATCGCGGGACTTGTGATGCTAAAACTAATTCTAGCTCTGGATTGGGTTCGCATGGGGTGTCCTATTCGTTCTGGTCGCGTAAGTTGTTTTGCCTTGGGTTACGGTAATGATTGAATCTCATCCACATCTCATAGGTCGATTGCTGCTGTATTCCGTGATCTCCATAGGTTCCATGTAGGACAGGTCGGGACCGTGTTCTCCGCAATGGTGTAAGTTAGGCCTCTGTTCCTGCGATCTGCTGCTTACCGTCACGATACCCGTCAGGCTTGGCTCCTTTATTGGTTTTGCGATCACTGTTGGTATTCAAAATCCCTTGTATCTGTCAGTAGTCCTATTGAACTCCCGAGAGAGCTTCGATTTATGCCTTTAAATACAGGAACAACTTCAAGAAACGAGGAGTCGAAGCGAGACTCTACTCCGCATGTCTCGCAGGAGTCATCTTCCCTATTGCGATGAGCATCTATGGCGCCTCGTGCTCGTCTACTATCCACTGGATTGGACTTCTCGTCGGCATCACGGTGCGTCTGCCGTCACCCCCTACATCGAGCCGTCAACTGACATGGATACAGCTTTTCTCTTCGGCCGTGTACATGATTTACGCTTCCGTTTTCACGTATCTCGCAGATTGGTGAGTGCATGAATTACCTGCCCTCAACCACGACGATGAACTCAAATGAATCCTTTCTCAGTTATGGGCCTTACGCTTCCTCGGCACTTGCTGGTCAAAGTCTATTCCGTGAGTTGTTACCTCATGATTGTGAACTTCCGAAATTCTGACTACTGGATCAGGAAACGTTTTGGGAACCGTGTTCCCATTATTTACGCACCAGATGTACTCGGCACTCACCTACCGATGGGCTAATCTTCTATTCGCCGGTATTGCGCTTCTGCTGATGCCCATTCCATTTGTATGAGGTCATTTTCCATGCCGTCGCACTGTCACTGACGTTCTTATTAGGTCCTCTTTATCTATGGGCCTGCACTCCGGGAGCGCAGTCCATTCTCGAAGAAAATTGCTGTTTCGCCTGCGACACTTGAACAAGAATCTAAAGAACAATTGGAAGAAAAGGATGGTCGTAATTAGATGAGGGGACTTAGAGCCTAGAGATACTCACGATGGTCATGACATAGTACTTATAATTACTACACCTGCTAGCTATTGGCCACGCACATGCACACCCACTATTAATATCGCGGACTCGGGTATCATGTCAACGATTAGATTTCGATTTGGACTTTAATGATAACTATCTACCTACGCCTCATCGTTTTAGAAAATGAAGCACAAGATTGAGTCGACTTTCCAGCTGACAGAAGGGATGGTGGCGGGAGGGAAGGTTTCTACCGACCAGCCCGAAATCGCATCGACAATGTCCTCGTCCGAGACGCCTTCGATAGCCCAGGCTCTGTTGACGGAGTAAAAACCATTGCCATCCGGGCCATCGTGGAAGCTCCTATCAGGCGGGTTCTTTAACCATTTTGGTCAGTAAATTCCAACTTTATATCCGTGAGCGTGAGGTGACTGCGAACTCACGGTGAAAGGGATATCCGGGAACTCTTGGGCAAAGCGGGTTCTCAGCTCTGTAGTAAAGCAGGACAACCGTAAGAGAGTGTTCACAGGGAAGAAAGGTATCTATGTATTCCAGGACTCACGGAAGCTGAACTCGGCCTCTAGATCGGCGTCCTCCGGCACAGGAGCGGAGGGAATCAACGTAAATTCGCACTCGGGGGGAATCCGTTCGCGAGCGACCGGTGCGGGAGGTCCAGGGATGGCAGCCCCGCTGGAGGTAGCGACCATGGTGGTGGTCGCAACCAGGAAAGCGGCGAGTACTTTGGGGAACATGGTCTCTGGGTAAAGGAAGAGGATAAGATTGAGATTGGCTGAGCTTGGGTAGTTTGACAGACGGGCTGAAGGCTTCAGACCGCTGAGGATTGATGAGGATACTTCCAACTCTTATATACCTGCCATGGTTGTGGCCTGGACATGTCATCGCTAGGTGAGTCTAGGAGATGTCAGAAAGGGAAGAACTTCTTCACGGTGTTTGCAGCCCGCGCCCAAGCCCCCGCAGTAAGTCAATTGAAGGGGAAGTTCGAGGTATTTCTTCTTTCGGTACATGGCAATTCCTTTTTCGGTAATGGAACTTTGCAGATAGCCGTGAAACCCGAAACGGCGCAGTCTTGGCCGCTGCGGGAGCGTCGCAACATACCAGATTATCGCATGCTCAGGGGTTTACCTTCATCATTTCTCAATAATCTTCCCAGCCTGAGGTACAGAAGACATACAGACACAGGCTCGTCACAAGGAAAGCGTGCTTCTCCTCGCTGTCCAAGACTGCTGCGTTGGAGAGAGATACCCCGACCCCAATGGAGGATTAGCTAAAGTACATGGCAGAAAGTACGTTTCAGTCGACGGCGGGTATTTGCTCGCCTTCTCCACCCTTATTTCGTGAGTCTCGTTTCTGGACAGAGAAAGTAATGACGTTTTCTTGTCACGAAACGAGGGGAAATGACGTCTGGTGCAAATCAAAATCAAGCCTTCGTGAGGGAAGGATGGTCGTTGGTCAGTGGCGATGCAACTGGAGACAGGGAAAGGGAAGAATAATGGATCAGAGGAAAAGAAACATTTCGCCAGAAGTGGCCTGTCATCCGCTCTTCGCGATAGGGATGTCAGCGCCTGCAGCCATGTTCCGTCACCTCATAAAACAGATGTCGTACCACGGTGCAGTCCAGCAAAGGATTACAACATCCATGGTGGCTGGAGAGTGTTCGAAGATTCCAGAACATTCCAATCCATGACTGTCATTGACTCCGTTGGTGGACAGGAATTGGGTTCATTGGGCAATGCTGAGCTCTTGAGAGCTAAGAATGCGCTCTAGCACACGGTTCAAGGGGCCACGGCGCTACCGTATGTTGCCTTCGTTGCACTCGACGAGGGATTTTGAAGATCGATCGCAGCGTCCTGATTGGCTGCGCATATTTGCCTCAAAGCTTGGCGTGCGGGGTATATCATAGAACACAGCCACTGATTGAGGCATTTTGAGAATGCACCAATCGCGCGACGAGCTGCACTCCGGCTGAGTAACGGTCCATTTTCCAAAAACGCGTGATAGAGGGGGCCAGAAAGGTATAAAAGGGCACGCTGGCGGTCCTTGATTTCCCCCAGAACTCAGTGCATCACAAACATCTTACTCAACAATACCGACTTCTCCCATTTGAATCACCATGATGGTACGTCCCTCGAAGCGTTCGGATGGCGATCATTGGCTTACACTGCGATGTAGTTTATCGAGAACACTACCCCTGTCTCTTTCTGCGCCAACTGCAAGTGCGGTAACGCCTGCGGCTGTGGTAACAGGTTCGTTCCCTTCCAAGTCGTTCGAGGTCATTCAATTCTAACCTCCGTTTTCTGAACAGCTGTGGATGCACCAAGAACCAAGCAAGCAACAGCGGTTGCGGATCTAGCAGCTGCACATGCACCAAGTAAGTTGAGCTTGCTGTGCCTGAAGCCTAGGGGGACACTGACGCTGTGTTGGATTAGCTGTGCTTGCAAGGCCGGCGAATGCAAGTGCTAAACGTTTTCGCCATCCCATTCTCGTCACGACCATGACATGATTTCTGCTGCTTCTCCCATATGCCTGTACTACCAATCATCCTTATAGTTTGTAGCATATAATCCATCCAATGCCAGAGTGTGTTTAACTGTTACTCCCTACTACTGGCTTTGAATTTCTCCATTTGAAAGCAATTCCGAAGAATGCGAGAAGGCGGAAGACGCCTTGGCTGCGTGATAACCGTAGGAGACGTTCGGCCTACTGTCATCGAAGACGAACCACCGTGAAATAAGACATGCGCACAATTTAGGATTTGTAAACTCAGAGTGTGTTGCATACTGTTCAATGTGCGATGGACCCATCTTATTTACAAAGCAGTGCAGAATGGGAGAGATTTAACACCAGACTCCCCGCAGTGGAGGGATTTCAATCAAGCAAGAATTCGAACTCGACAAATCTTGTCAAAAGGTCGCCTCGGGCCAGATTAACTAATTAGTGAAGGAATTCAATGATAGGCACGCTCGGAGTAAGCTGGGACGTACAAAGGTTGTAGTATTCCTGTCTGGTGATATCAGGAAGCACTTGGCCAGGGGACGCCTCAAGGGAAAGTCCCAGGCGCTGGTGGCGGAAGAGGCGAAAGTAAACATCAATCAGGGATAAGGAGGGCACAAGTAGTACAGACCTTGGAATGTATGCGATTCCTTCGTCTCTGGCGGATTCCGAGAGCACGCGAGATACCAATCACGTCTTGCGATTGGAGATACTCTTGGAATGCGGGACCAGAATCGACAAACACATCCAATGACTCGATTAGACGGATCATTGAGGGTGAATGCAGGCCTTGTTCTAATAGTTTCTTCAATCGAGGACCCTAGCGCAAACGCGCATTGTCAACTAAGCCCGATAAGCTGAAGCTCTAGACTTACAAGTGATGGTATATTTCTACACCTCCTCTTCAAGATCTGCAGTATCGTCTCGGGACTAGAAAGCGGAACACGAGCCAAGGATGACCCATGCTCGTCACTCCACCTCGTAAACGACATCACCAAACAGGAATGCGCGTTATTCTTCCTCATCAGTGGTGCCCAATCATTCAGGCAATCCGACAAACTAAGTTTATCAGGCATCGCGCCGAGGTCAATGCGATCAAAGGAGGCATCTGTGAAGGAAGGGAGAACGCCGACAGAGATTCCTTTGGAGAGTAAGCGGGAGTCGTACGAGGTATGGTGAATGGTGATATGAAAAGATTTGATGCGGTGTATGAATTCCTGGAGTTCGTACTTGATGTGGAAGAAGAGGCAGCCAAAAATGTCGCCGCTGGGATCGAGGCCGTAGTGTTGACCTACGCGTTGAGCTCTGGATATATCCCAGCCCTGCAGAGGGGAGACGTCGTCGGGCCTCCCTAACCAACTCCCTTGGGGTGTGAACGAGAGTCTGTCTGGTTTGTTAATCAAGAGTCTAACATTTGCCCGTGAAGGCAAAGCACGCACCGATTTGGGAGGCTGAAAGGAGTAAGGTCCATGGAGAAAGGCGCGAGAACACCCGTCTTCCAAAAGTGAACGTGGGCAAGTCGATGTGCGGGTTCCAAATTGGCGAGGACCTTCTGACGATCATCAATCCTTCCAGGATCAAGAAGGACGTCTCTCATCCTTCTCATCGCTTTCGGAAGCTCATAGCGCGACAGGAACATCTCTAAGGGGCGCTTGATCGCCATCGCAGGTTGTGCCGAGTACAGCATCCCCTTTCCTCGAGTGGTGAAGCTTCTCTGGAAAGTCATGTCCGTTTGTCTAGTTGAGTCCCCGTAGATGAGGTGAACGCAGCGTTGGACGTAGGCTGCGCTGGTGGCTGTCAAGCGGGAGGAATACATCAAGTGCAATGCTAGCTCCGCTGCTTCGTCGATGGAAGGGCCAGCCGAAACGAGGATGTAGAGGATGAGAAGGTTGCGATTGGCGGAGATTGCATCAGGGTCGTTGAAGAGGATGTCACATCGACCTTGGTAGCCCTTGGGCAAACAGTTGACGGTCCGTATGAGGTTCCGGAGATCACTGGCCCCTAGGGAACATCAAAGTTATAACGGAAGTGTGTTGGATGTACAGGACTTGGCTCACCGGAGAAACAGAGCTTGAAGTTCTGGTACATCCCCATCGCCATCCCTTCATTCATGGGAAGGTTTAGGATATCATAGCCTGGGACACGTCCCCATAAACCATTGAATCCGAGCTTGCTGGTATAGGTGTTGGATGCTGCGTCAAAGTTTGGTCGGCGGTTATCTGTCACCCAGTTTGGCTGCCAACTGTACTGATTCAGCTTGCTCTCACAGTCGCTGCGATGTTTTGGCCAGTGCTGGCGCTGACAGCGTCCCGAACAATACTGGGGACGGGGTATCAGTGTTAACATCCCTCTCACAACGGAGGACCAGTCACCTTTACCAGAGAGCACTAGAAGAGAAGGCAGTCAGATAGAGAGTCCCCCTATGGGTTGAATCACTCACCTGTGCACAGACCAGTTGAGCCGCCATCGTGCACTTGCCGCGATCCATTCCAGCTGCACGATCGTTGCTGCAAGCAACATAGGTAACAGGTCGTCCATTCGCATCCGATCCGAGACCAAACGACATGTATGACTCTATCGACAGGTCGTTCGGAAGTGCCTGAGAAGATCGCCTTTCCCTACGGATTGACAGCGAGAGCGTCGGGCGTCGAACGAGTGCCATGACTGTGCTTCGGTAATCATTCGGCATTTCGAGGATTGCTGAAGACCGTTGTCGTCTACCCATTCCGGACCACGTAGGGAGGGACGATTAAGCTCCTATCAGGTTGGCGTCGTGGGCGAGTCGTTGGGGGAGGGTTCTAGAGGGTGTTGAGGGCGAGGTCGCCCCTTTATAATCGTACCATGCTTCTCAGCAACCTGGGCTTCGACAGAGAAGGTAAATCGGATTCTAACTTGATCACCTCTGTTACGTGTTCGGTCACCTTGGACCCAGGATTGCCCAGTTCTGGAAGGGGCACCAGTGGCGCAGGAAAAGATGCATAAACTCCATGCTAGTCGAGATGGCCGTCAATATACCTAGTTGCCAAAGGTGGGAACTGCTTCGCCTTCGTGATCCATCCTTTGATTCAAAACGTCCCACTGAGGCGAGGGGGTGTGGACAGAGTTGGACAGGTTATTGACGAAGTTCTGCAACACGGGCAATCTCTTCCTTTGGTAACAAGGGTCGCCAGAGCCTCTCTGTCGGGGAACACATAGAGTCGGCGGAGATCCGCAGCCCTCGGTAATTGAGTGAAGAGACTAAATACCGAAAGAACGCAGGGGTAATGGTCGGGTGGTGGCGATTGCGGTGTAGTAGCCCACTAGGTTGTGTCCTCGCGAACACATCGTTCAACTGTCATCGCTTAATCGGGGGGACAAACGTACCGAAGTCGTTCCAGAAACAAGTGTAGCCTGCGAGTACTCAGGCGGGGAAACATCCCATGGGCGCTGCCGTACGGGGACCAAAAGCGAAGCGTCAGGCGATCAATGCAAAGCCAAGGGGATGGCTCATGGCGCAAAGACGTCTCGTGGATGAATCGGAATGGTTTGGTGATTACTCCATGTCGAAGACAAGAACTTCTGCGGGTCTATCGCCTGTATTACGAACCGTCAACACTGCACCCTGTGTGTTGACTTTCACATACGCCCCATCTCCCTCCCGTAAGTCAAGCTGACCCCCAAAGGCGTCATCGAGCTGAACCGTAGCGCCAGCCCCCTCGCCTTCTCGGGACCCACTCGTCTGAATAACATGGACGTAAGCTTTGCGGCCCTCCAAATGCCTTTTCAGGTTGCTCCCAGGACTGAGGATGGTGGCGTAGAGGGTTAGTTGACTGTTGATAGGTGTGGGCCCGTCTTCATTCCTTTCTGAGGACTTGACGCCTTCAGACCATATAGGCGCAACCACCCGAGCCCATTTATCGCGTTTGTCATCGTCGGAGAAGTGTCGTGTATAATATTTGGGTTGGAGACGCGATTGAGAGGGAATGGCCCAAATTTGAAGAAGATGGACTGATTTAGAGCCGTATGTCTTTTCTGAATGGGTGATTCCAGTTCCAGTCGAGGTCATTTGAATGTCACCCCGTTTGAGGATTTCGGTGTTGCCCATCGAGTCTTTACTGGCGGAATATGAGATCAAAGCTATGTGAACTTGACAATTAACGGTGCTTACTGCTCGAGCTGTCCAGAAACGATATAGGAGAAGATTTCGAACTCTTCGTGACCATGGTTGCCGAAGCCTTTCCGAGGCGCTATACGGTCCTCATTAATCACACGAAGAGGTCCGTACTGTTGATGTGAACGGTCTTGATATCTGACAAGAACGTCACACAGTTCAGCTAAAACGAAAACTTCAAATGTTGGTGGCTTACCCCGCAAACGAGAAAGTATGGAAGGCTTTGAGCCAGCCGTGATCAGCGTGGCCGCGCTCTTCGCTCCGCCTTGGAACAAATTGCAGGGGAAGGATCATGTTGGTCTGGGACAAGTTTGAACGTAAGGCGATAACGAGGGGGGTTGTGGATGGGCCAAACGATGTCCCTGAGCCGTTTTATAGGTTACCAGCGAGGGTGATCCCGATTATCGTCTTTGTCGTCGCCTTGCCTGTTCTGGACACCGGTAACCCACGGCGATCGACCTACTCGTCATTGCTGACAGTGAGAGAGAGAGCAGTGTTATTCAGACGGTCTGTTTCATGAGATGTTTGTGCCTCCGAAGGATATTGAGCTCGTCATCGTTGGTAGCATCCAGAAAGGGTACGTTCCATGTCGTCCGACGCCGTCGTTGAGACTCGAGGTCGATTCGGATAAGCGTGACACCCCTACGGTGACCGTGACACGAGGCACGTGAGATGTGACAGGTGGTGGCTCTCCGTTGTGCAGGTCGGTGAGCTCGCGTCTTTCGCCATTCCACGAACGACGGCCATGTCGCGCTCACGAGAAAAGGTTTCCAAACTCGAGGCCCTTGCGGAGCTCAAACGCGCACGCGCTGGCGGTAAACGTATCCTCAAGGTACGTGTTCCCAAATTCGTGGCGTTTTCGCGTCTTGATTGCTTTGCAGGAAGAAGATGACCAAATCTACGACGAGATCAGCGAGGACGAGTACCGCAACATCGTCAAGGGTCGACTGCAAAGAGATGACTTTGTGATTGAAGACGGTGAAGGCAGCTCGGGTTATGTCGACAACGGCGAGGACGATTGGCTCGACACGAGGGATGCGTCCGATGAGGATTCAGACCGCGGAAAGCGCAAGACTTGTGCGTTCCATCCGTCCCTCAGGACCCATATATCCTAAAATTTTTACAGCCAAAAAGAATGGGAAGGCGAAGACCATGAAACCCAAGGAAAAAGCAAAACCAGCACCACCACCAGTTGCACCGTCCATCAACGCCTATCGACCTCAAGTTTCTGTTGAACAGGAACAGGACTTTATGGCTGGTCTCCTTGGACAATTAGACAAAACTCCAGCTCCTAGGGTTGCGTCTGCAGCGCGAAAGCGCAAAACCTCACCCCAATTTTCCTCCGACATCGATTCATCGCCCATCAGAAGCTCACATATTCCTAGCGACGATTATTTCATGAGCCCGAAGAAGCGCCCTCGAGTCCACGATGCCGGAATGACCCCTACTATCGAGCGAATGGCAGATTTGGACGTCCATACCAGCTCAGATGGAGCTGAGTCGTCAAACGAAGTCAATTACGACGACTTCTTCGATGATGACTTGATGATGGTGGATGAAGAAGTCAAGCCCGTCAAGCAAGAGCCAGAAGAACTGCAACTACCCAAGAAAACAGCTAGGGCTCCCGCGCCGGTGGCTTCCACCAGCAAGCAAGAAGAACCCGACGTCAAACCCGCCTGGCTATCCGTGTACGACACCCTCGCTGTCTCGAAGGACAATGAAACGCTCGGTTCGGCAGAGCGCCCAGCTATTAAAGGAACCAGCATCGGCGCTCTCGAGCCCGACGGCTCTCTGCGCTTCTTCTGGATTGACTACCTCGAACACGAAGGACGGCTCTACCTCGTCGGCAAACTGAAAGACAAGAAGAGCGATACCTGGGTGTCGTGCTGTGTCACCATCGATGGCCTTGAACGTAACCTGTACGCGTTACCTCGCGAGAAGCGGATCGACTTCGATGAAGACACCGGTGAGGTTACGGAGACGGACGAGATTCCTACCGACGAAGATGTGCTCGATGACTTTGAGCAATTGCGGCAGAACATGAAGATAAAGTCGTACAAGACTAGATTCGTTAAGAGGAATTACGCATTCGGGGAGAAGGATGTCCCTCGAGGCGAGAGCCGGTGGTTGAAGATCGTGTACCCATTCACTCGTAAGTACTCCCCACCTTATGGAAATGGTAACATGCCTCTGAAGATTAATGGCATCAATAGAACCCCAGATCCCCATGGGAGTCTGGAGCCCCAACATCTCCCACATCTTTGGCACCAACACAAGTGCGTTCGAGATCTTCGTCTTAAAGAGGAAGATCATGGGCCCCTGTTGGTTGGAGATAAAGAACCCTGTTGTCGAATTCAAAGGGGTACGGTCCCGAACCCCGCTCCTTGACCATGCGATGCTCACGTCCAGTTCCAGGTGTCATGGTGCCGCTTCGAGGCTTCAGTCGCTGACCCGAAAGATGTCTCTCCCATGTCGGAGTCGCTCGACCAGGCCAAGGAAGTTCCTCCCTTCACTGTTATGAGCTTGAGTGTCCGAACCGTCGTCAACCATCACGAGAATAAGCGCGAGGTGGTCTGCGCCTCTACACGGACTTGGCACAACAGTGAGTTCAACATATCCTTCCGTGAATTGTAAACTAAAGCCACCCAGTCTCTATCGACGATGGTACCCCGCCCGAACAGCTACCATGTTCCGTTCAAACCTTCATTCGAGCTCTCGACCGGTTCCCTCCAAATTTTGAGTCAGAAACGAAGAAGAAAACGCGGGGCCAGATTCTCCCCACGCAGAACGAGCGAATGCTCCTCAGCCTTCTCCTTGGTGCGTTTTCGTCTAACGTCACGCAGTTCGCCTCATCGCTGACGACTGCGTAGCTGCTATTAACAAGTCGGATCCCGACATTATCATCGGTCATGAGTTTCTCGGCGTATCGCTCGATGTCCTGCTTCATCGAATGAAGGACCTCAAAGTTGACCACTGGTCGCGCCTGGGGAGATTCAGACGTTCTAAATGGCCTAATATCGGGAAGCAGGGTACCAACGTCCGTTTCCTGAATGGTCGTCTCACATGCGATCTCGCTAGCGACGCGGCGAAGGTATGGTCTCTCACTCCGTCATTTTAACCTCTTGGCCAACCCAACCTTTTAGAGCATGATCTCCTCCACAACCTGGTCGCTCACCGAGATGTGCTCTACGCATCTTGGCTTAGAGCGACAAGATATCGACCCGGACGATACCGCCAATTACCTCGACGGAAGTCTGAGTGGACCTGGAAAGATGATGACCTTCGTTCAACATTGCGAGATGGACGCACATTACCAGATGGCTATCGCTACCAAGGTCCAGATCCTACCCCTCACCCGCCAGCTCACCAACCTCGCTGGTAACGCCTGGTATGTTCTAACTTCACTCTGCCATATCGGTTCAGCGGCTGATGGCAACTTAGGAACAAAACCCTCAACGGTGGTCGAGCAGAGCGTAATGAATATATTCTGCTGCACGAGTTCCACCGACTTAAATATATCTGTCCTGACAAGACCTACGGCAAGAAAACGGTACCGAAGGAAACAGCAGACGAGGAAGGAGACGCCCCTAAATCTAAGGCCAAACGCGACAAGTACAAGGGCGGTTTGGTCTTTGAACCCAAGCGAGGGTTGTGGGATAGCTACATCCTAGTCATGGACTTCAACTCGCTATATCCCTCCATCATTCAGGAGTACAACATCGATTTTACGACTGTTGATCCTCCTGAGGTTGACGAGGTGGGTCCGATCTTCCTTCCACTAAATCTCATAGCCCATTTTTTCGCTTGCAGAACGGCGAAGAGAAGATCCCCGACCCACCCTCAGACAAGGACAAGGGCGTGCTTCCACGACTTATTGCCACCCTCGTCAACCGTCGTCGACAGGTCAAGTCGTTGATGAAGGATAGGACTGCGACGCCCGCCAAGCTCCTCCAGGTGCTGCCCCTTGTGTATTCATTGATTCGCTCGACTGACGCTCTGCCTTTGTAGTATGACATCAAGCAGCAGGCCCTGAAGCTGACCGCCAATAGTATGTATGGGTGCCTTGGCTTCGAGTACTCACGGTTCTATGCTCGGCCACTGGCTGCGCTGACGACCTTCAAGGGTCGAGAGATTCTGACCCGGACCAGAGAGCTAGCTGAAAGCCTCAACCTAGATGTACGCATCATTCTGTTATCACGTTTCCGGACCGTCCAACAGGTTTCTGTTCACTTCAGGTCATCTACGGTGATACCGACTCGGTCTTCGTCAACTCTGGCGTCAACGATTTCGCCGAAGCTTTGAAGACTTCGGCGATCTTCAAGAAGGCTGTCAACGACCAATACAATCTCCTTGAGATTGACTTGGACTGCGTGTTCCAGCGGCTATTGTTGCTGCAGAAGAAGAAGTATGCGGCGTTGAAGGTCGAGGATGGTAGTCGGACGAGTGTGGAGGTCAAGGGGTTGGATATGAAGAGGCGAGAGTATTGCGCACTCTCGAAGGAAGTTTCCCAGTGCGTTGTCCCCTTGGTGTCCAGGAGAGCTTCGTGCTGATATGCCCCAATAGATATGTCCTGGCAAGGATCTTGTCAGGTGATAGCACCGAAGATGTTGTCGAGACTATCCACGAGTACCTGGGCACGATGTCGCAGAACGTTCGGAGCGGCCAGGTCAAACTGGAGGACTTCATCGTCTTCAAGGTATGCAGGCCCCCTGTTCCTATTCCTCCCTTTCGGGCTTGACCGTACATTTCGCTTTAGCGCCTGGGCAAAAATCCTGAAGACTACCCCGACGCCAAATCCCAACCTCACGTCCAGGTGGCGCTGAGGATGAAAGCCAAAGGACAATCGGCCCGTAGTGGAGATGTTATCCCCTACATATTCTGTCTGGGAGAGGGCGAAGAGAGTGCGAGGACTACGCAAGCCGATCGGGCGAGGCATCCTGACGAGGTTAGGAGGGGCGCTGGAGTGGTCAAAATCGACTATGAATGGTACCTTGCTCACCAAGTCTTGCCTCCGATCGAGCGTCTTTGCGATGCGATTGAGGGGACTGACAGGGCACGGTTGGCCGAATGTCTTGGTAGGGGTGACCTTTCATTTCGTTACTTGCGTGTACTGATAGACTGCCATGTAGGACTTGATCCCAACCGCTATCGAACGACGACCGCCTCCGACGAGAAGTTCTTCATGTCTTTGGACTCGCAGACGTCGGACGCAGAGCGTTTCAAGGACGCTGATCCGTTCGAAGTTCGGTGCAAGTCTTGTCAAGGCAAGACCAAGTTCCCGCTCTTGCATGATCGAACTGTGAGTTCAATCATCATCTTGAATTCCACGCGCCTCTCATCAGCAAACTTCCTCTAGATTCCATTGGTTCGCGCATCTGGGGTAACGTGTTTGTCATGCGACAAACCCATCGCCGGAGTCAACCTTCAGCTCCAACTGGAAGTCCAAATACGAGCACATATCTCGAAGTACTACGAAGGATGGACGGTGTGCGATGAGCAGACGTGCAAGAACAGGACGCGTGCCATGGGTGTATACGGAAAACGTTGTCTGAAACCCGGATGCAGAGGGAGGGTCTCGTTCGAAGTGAGTTTTAATCTCGAACTATGCATCTGTATTTTTGAGCTGACCGCGAGAACAGTATTCGGATACCAAACTCTATAACCAACTACGGTACTACAAATACCTCTTCGATCGGGAGAAGGCTTTGAAAGCTGCCCGAGGGACTGGCTCTGAAGGTTTGTTCCTTCGTCTCGTCATTTTCCGAATGCTGATCGATTCCGTCAACAGAGGAAGTCCTAGCTGTCGTAGGAAGTCAAGCTACCCTTCTCAACAACCTCAGCGATGTCGTCGAGAAGTATCTCAATCAGTGCGGAAGGAGATGGGTTGATCTCAACTCGATCTTCTCGGTGCTGAAGCTTGCATAAGGGGAAGGAAATCACTCGCTTTGGGATCATGGACTCTTGCTCGTTTTCAATCATCGCTCGTCGCTGTCGTCTACATAGAACCATCTGTATACTTGTACCCTGCTGTTATCATGTATGAATTATCTATTTAATACCGATTCTTCCCTGAAGTCAGTGCAAATGCACTTGGATGGCCCGAGTCGGGCCCAGCCCAAACGCGACAGGGCTTGGCACATGGATTGGGTGAGCGGTCGCCGGTCGCTTTTCGAAGTCGACATCGTGTTCCTTTGTCGAGGGGAAGACCTTGACAATTATTGATGAGAGGCTTTCCCTTGTTTATCGATGTTATAAAGCATCGAGTGGAAACGCCACGAACGTTAGGCGTGTTGACCACCCTCACCGACTTACGACCATCTCCAACGCGTCACAACTCAACACCAGCCTGGAATTCCCGGACATCGACTGGACCATGACGGACGGGTCGCAAGGACAGGGTTTTGGTGGTGGCGTTACAGATAAAGAGGGCTGGGGGAGGCAGGAACCTCAAAGGGATGATACCCCCAAGTTCTTGGAGGCTGCAGCTGGAGTAGTGGCTCATTTCGCTGTGAGTGCCAATTACCTTTTGGTGGGGAGTGCCGCTGACTCCAATCTCACTATTAGATGAGCCCATCTGCCACCCTCTCCAAACATTTTCTTGAATTATTGAGGAGAATCTACGCGACGGATCTCACGCTGCAGCAACACGAACGCGTACAGCTGTTGGAGAGTATCCACGAGCTGGAGAAATTGGTCGCCATGGACAATCCCAGCCAAAGAGATCAACCACTGGCGTATCCTTCCCCTTCAACCTCCAGTTTGCCTTCGTCTACGTCTTTGAACACGACACCCCCGCCACTGGGTCATCTTTCCCAGACGCATGTATCTTTGAGTGCGCTACCCAACGGCTCAAGGATGGATGTGTTTGTGCACACCAGTACCAGTACCCGCAATGATGTCTCCCCCGTTCCCCCTCCGTACGAGCCCCCTCCGGCGTCGTCGTCGTCGTCGGTGGGGTCAAGACCAAAGGCCATTGCGATTACGCCTACGACCTCTTCGAGTTCGATGCTGCACTCCGCGGCTAGCGATGTTCCGCCCTTTGACTACTTCCATTCCATACAGCCGGCTCCTGTGGGTGGCTTCTCAGCTTTGGCTTCAAAGGTCAAATTGGGTCCATCCCCAGAAGAGGTTTACTCTTCCAATCAAGCTTGGTCATTCTCCCATGACGCGTCGGACGATGAGTTTCCTTTGATTCCGAAAGAACTTGACCCGTGGCATGAAGAGGACCAGGACGAGGAAGAGCAGGTGAAATCGGCGGTTAAAGAAGAGGGGGAGGAAACGTTGGAAGCCGTCGAAACGCCTGACCGGAAAGAGCGCGTCGGAAACTCGACGAGGCTCAAAGAAGCGGATGATCCGCTTCGCTACAAGCACACCCATTTCCCTTTGTTGCGACGGCTTGCGGCTCAGGAAGATCCCTTGGGGATCTTCATAGTCACCTTGATATCTATGCTCGTTTCATCTCTTCTATTTATGGGTGAGGCTACCTCTGTCATTCCACACCCATTTTGCATTTGTACTTATCTGCTTTCCTTAGGATAAACCCAATCATATACTGTGTTCTACCCTAACCGTTCGCGTCGAGGGGCGATAGAGTTGCCCTTCAGTCGCGTCGACTTTTTGCATACCTGCTAGACGGCTCCCATTCTATTCTCCATCGTCACGATTTTTTATGCCCCAGCGTGTACCTATGATCTATTTGAACTATAGATACAAACTATCACCGTCATCTGACTAACGATTCAGAGGACGAATTCAGATCGATATAAATGAGCCAGGTGTGGATGGACGGTTAAGGGCGGTGTCACTTACTAACGCCCCGGGCTCGACATAATTTCGCAAGTAGTGCTTACTACACGCAGCCTTCCACAGTCAGAATTTGAGAGCAACAGGGGCTGGGTAGAGAGCGAGACCGTTCGATAGTCTGTACTATAATGCCATAGATTCCCCCTTCCCAAGATCCAAACCCAAAGCGTACGCGTTTTTCGCGCCAAACGCGATGCAAAGAATCCAAGGTTGAGCGACCTGTTGTTAAACAGAGATGCTGGGTACCGACGCACAAAGAACCAAGGATGTTTTCAACTGCATGGTATCAGATGCACGAAGAGAAATTGTTGGTAAAGAGAGCTCAGAGATGGCGTTCAGGATGTGTTTACGGGTTGGGGACTGAGGAGAATAAGGACGCGTGATCCACATGTTTGGGAGCAGAAAGGAACGCTAGTCGAGGTGGTAGAGGAGCAACAGTTCAACGGGACCATCAGGGTAGAGTCATAGTGCGATCAGCCTGGAATGGAATCGCGTGCTGAATACTAAGTGATTTTCCAGATGTCGACATATCCAGAGGCCCACTCAGGTCTTCCGACCAACTTCCGACCATTATTGTCTCCAAACCGTGATCGATTCGTTTAAACTGGATCTCTTTGCAAGTATTGCAGGGCGATGCCGATCTGCCCTTTCTTTATGAGTCTGTGCCCCAAAGAAGGGTCGTTTCCAAGAAGGGTCGTTTCTCTCGGTTAAATCGGCAGCTGGAGTGCGACCTGCATCGACCTGATTTCGATGGGGGAAGTGGTTCGTTGGAAGAGCAATGGAAGACGTTCAGAGGCCAAATGTCCGGATGCTCGACTCGTCCATTAGCCCCGTTACAATTGTTTGACTCCAAAGTTGATGCACAACAACTCTCCATCAATCTTTTTTGAACGCGTTCAGAGCTTAGAGAGATCTCAGCGCTTCAAGCCCGAATTCATGACCCGTATGTCCTGGAATTACTCTTTTGAACTCTTGATTTTCACCTTCATACTTTAGGACTATCACTTGCGCAACAGTTGGCCCAACTAGACGATGCCGCTCCGGTAGGTGCGTTAATTCACCCATATTCCGTCCTAAAACCTCTAACATACGTCTAGACTACGATCCGGAGGCGTTAGAGACATATGCAGAGGACGATGGGGATAAGGAAGGCGCACCAGTCGTAGCCAGGGAACACTATGTGGACGTAGGGTACGTCGTTTTCTCCTCGACATCTTCCACAGGCGCTCATACGGTACGTTCAGTCCTAGTGAACTCCGGAAACTCCACGATAGTCTTGCGGACCCAAAATACGAAGGCGTCCGAACGTCTAGGAAGGCCCTACTCGAGGCAGAGGAAGCAGAAGCGTCCGAACCTTCAGACAGCGAGGCTGAACAAGAATTTCACCCGATGAACGACGAGGACGACTCTGATATTGTTGGGGATGGACCTGACGACTCAGAAGGGGAAAGCAGCGAAGAAGAGGGAAGTGGAGCGGAGGACGATGATGAAGAGGATGAGGGAAAAGACGAGGACGAGGAGATGGACCAAGACGAGCCGCCATCGAAATCCAAACGACCTGCAGCGGACGAGGAACCTTCGGAGGACCTCACGTCCGCACTGAAGCAGGCGAGAGAGGCCGACAAAAAGAAGGGAAAGGCTGTTGCAAAGCAGATCGTGCGTTTTCTATATGTTTTCTTGTGCAGCTATTCCTTTAACTCGACGCGGTTAGGCCCTTTGGGATACACTCCTGGATTCGAGAATTCAGCTTCAAAAGGCTGTGGTATCAGCCAACAAATTACCTCTGGTGAGTGATTCAACAGCCGTAATCCAGCTCCATCATCTTATTCTCTTCTAGCCCGACTCCATATCTTCGTACACTCAAGACCCCGAATGCGCAGACGCCCTCCTTAAACTGTCATTAGAGGCCTTGGCTTTAGCAGACGACCTCACGACCCTCCAAGAAGTAAAACTCCTCCATGGTCCCTGTTGCATCTCGAACTGAAACATTCTCCAGAAACTCATGACCACCAACGAAAACATCAAGCCTCCGGCACGAAAACGACGTAAATTGGACGACGAGTCCAATCTCGCCAATGCCTCTGCAGACCTCGTCGCTGCTTGCGAGTCGGCAGCTGCTTTGGAGCAAGTGTACGTATCATTTTCCTCTTCGCTTTCCGCCTTGAGTTCTTAGTCTACTCCTCCAGATACCACCCTCAACTCGTCCAAACGCTCACCAAGTGGTCAGCCAAGATCCAAGCCGTCGCACCCTCAGTCCTCCTCCCCTCCAATCGCGGAGCATTCTCCAAGGGAAAACAACAATTGAAATCAGCCGTTCAGCTCGTCGACGATGCTTTACAAGACCACTCGGGACTCTTGGCTCGCACTCGACTGCGGAGGGCGCCTGGGACTCGTCTAAAGCCCGCTTCTGAAACGAATGGGAAGGAGGGGGAAGGAGGAGCTCAAGAGCAGAACCAAGGCGGAGAAGGAGAAGAGGATGTCGAGATCTTCGATGACACAGACTTTTACCAGAAGATGCTTCGGGATATCATCGACGCTCGTGGCGGAGGAGACAAGGACGCGGATTGGTTAGCCATCCAGAAACAAAAGAAGGCGAAGAAAGTGGTGGATACCAAAGCTAGCAAGGGCCGTAAGATTCGGTGCGTGTTTGTTACCTTTCAGCATACTTGCCACCCTTTCTCGTTTGCCAAGATTAACCACCGACTGGTTTCGCCATTTCGCAGATATCACGTCCATGAAAAAATCCAAAACTTTATGGTCCCCGTTCCAGTTGTGGGCGGGTGGCACGAGGAACAGATTGACGAACTATTTTCTTCACTGTTGGGCAAGGGTTTCGAAAACGCGGTACCAGATCTCAGCGAGGAGAAGGAAGGGCAGGCGGAGCAGGTGGTGGTTCAGGACGGATTCAGGGTGTTTGGATAGGCTGCCCGTATTCCGATGTTCTGCTCCTTGCACCGAGGAATCCCCCGACACCACATACATATGTAGGCAGTTTCAGGCGGAATACAGGAAAACGTTCCTTGCGTCGTGTTTGTTACCGCGTACCCGTGGCTTGCCGTCGGTCCGACGCATCCTGACGCAATCAAAGATTCGCGGGATGATGAATGGTTCCTGTCCTGATGTTCAGCACAGAACAGTATCAGGCTCTTGGTCTGCAGTGGGTACTCCTACAGAATGGATGCTCGGACCGACAGAATCTTAGTTGCTCACGCGTATGTGGTTTCGGACGACATCAAGTCTATTGATTCTTCTTTTGAACCCAACGGAGTACACCTCTTCCAATGCAGATGGTATACAGCTCACAACAGTCTATGAGATGGTGGGCGGAGGTATTGTATGGTACATAACTCTTTTCCTTCTCCCTGAACGTTCTTGGCCCTGTAGATGTCGTGTGCTATAACCGAGGGTATAGCACGCGTGGAATTCAACTCTTCTGGGCCTTGGCTTCGGTGATGACCTCCTTCAAGGCTTTCACGACGCGGTCGATATCGCCACGCTCTTTGTCGACAACGGTGACACCCATGTGACTGGATAAAGAGGCTCTGGTCAGAAAAAGTCGTTGTGTCAAGGTTTTTTTAATGAACTCACCCCACACGGAAGTATTTGTCTGTACAGAGAGAGCACGGACTCAGCGACCGGGATAACCGTAAACAGGGGTGGAGCATACCTTTGATTTGGGCGTGCAAGCCACCGGCGACAACGACACCACGCTGAGCGAGCCGAGGAATAACATCGGCAGCTCCCAAACCTTCGGGGTAATAAAGCTGGAATCGTGTCAGGCGACCTGAAGGACCTGGACAGAGAAGAGTAGATGGTACGTACAGCGGTCATGCCGTTGGCGGCCTCGCCGTCGGCCTGTGGGAGCTGGCTCAAGCCCAACTCAGCTGCAGCTGCCTTGACCCTCTGACTGGCGGCCTTGTGGAGAGCGAAACGTTCCTCAAGAGGAACAACAACTTCCGCAGGCTGGCCGGCGGCAGATGCGTTGCGCTTGCCGGTGATGATGCTTAGCGAAGCATGGTACGCGTAGATCAGGTTGACAGGGGGTGTGGCGAAATAGGCTGGAGAGCCAGATTCATATGCGTTCATGATGGGGAGCCATCTTGGTTTGACGACATGTGAGGTCAGGGGACCGGGAAACCAACGGAAGTGCGGGTACTTACTTTTTCCAGCTGGCGTAGTAGGACGAAGGTGGCGATTTTCGTGCTTTGAACACCTGGGCGATGTGAGAATAAACTTGGGGGAGGAAGGCGAGGGCAGACCTCAATAGCACGGGCACTGGCGACGAGAACGCTCAAACCGGGAGGGGTGCCGAGACCTTTTTGCGATGCAGTGAGGACGATATCGAGGCCCCAGTCGTCGAAACGGATTTCCTCAGAAGCGACGGAGCAGACGCAATCCGCGACGACCTAGTGAGCCACGTCAGAAAGAAGTCGGAGAAGCGAAGATGGGAAAATGTACCAATGACTCGGGGGATATCCGGCGGACAGTCTCAGCGATGCCTTTGGCGTCGGAAAGGACAGCGGTGGAGGTGTCGACGTGGGTGAAGGCAACGATCTTGTAGAATTTGCCTTCATTCTTCTTTTGAATGAGGGCTTTCTCGAGCTCGGCGAGGGCCACAGCTCGGCCGATGGGGGCCTTAACCTGAGTGACCTTGGCCCGGTACGTCTCCAAGCTACAGCAGACGGTGAGCAAGCCCGTTTGCCCCGCAACAGCGTGCGGCGACTCACCAGTCAGCAAAGCTGTCCGCAAAGTAACCAGAGTGCAACACCAAAGCCTCCTCTCCGTCTTCGACCAAGTTGGCTGCCACCTGATCCCAGCCCAGGGTACCGCTTCCACTGATCAAAAATGGCTGGGTATCCTTGCCAGCGTACAGGACCTCCCTGGTCATTCGGATCGAATCGCCAAAGACAGGGATAAAGTCCTTGGAGACATGGGACATCGAAGGGTGTGCATTGGCATAGAGGACGGAATCAGTGACCTCGATGGGCCCTGGGATGACCAGCAAATCGTGCGGTGCTTGGGTGAATGGCGACATCCTGGTTCTGGTCGTGTGGATTGCTCTGGTCGCTGTTGTGGTCGTCGCTGGGAAGAACGATCTGGTAGCGCGGAAAGAGGTTGAGGACAAGAGTCGACTCAGCATATATGCTGCCAGGGCCGTGGTGCTTGTAAGCAACGACTTCGCCGGCGCCTAAGAAGAGAAAATGTTCGCGATCTCCGTAGTCAGGCGGTCACAACACTGATAACGGAGCGGATCTCCGTACCTATAGGCACAGATAACGGATCAACTACCCTTCCATCCGCCCCGACGCCGGATTTGGCCCCGGTACGCCGTGGCAGAAAACCTATCACCGGACAGTTTGACGAGGAAGATGACTCTGGCCCCGGAGGAAGCTGCGGGACCACCATGTCCCTTCCAACGGCGATCATCTCTCTCATCATCGAATACGTCGCTCAAAGCCCGTTCACTCGCCTCTTGCCACATACACGCCCCAATATCTTCCCTACCCTCCTCCATCGCGCGCATTTTGATGGGTACCCCTAACCACCTTACGGAAAACTCGTCCTTGTCTAGTGGATACACCCAGCCTGACATCCCACGACAAGGAGCTAGTTGTGAGTCGCTGCTCAAGCTCAAAGTCGGCCTCCTAGTACTCTAAACGGGTGGAGCATCGTGCTCGAGAACTCGTTCATTTGGGATCATAACTACTCTGCTGCTCAGTGCACTATGCATTGACACTGGTATTTTGGACGATCACTGGAGTGAAACAGCGGCGGGAACAAGAATAGGCCCAGCGACGGAAATTCCTTGTCGCAAGTACATGGTCATATCAGGCAGAGCAACTTCCATCTGGAAGCCTTTCGCTTTGGTGTCCTTCACATCCAGTGTACATGTCAGTCTCTTGGTTCTCCTGGGGTGGTTTACTCGACATACCTGAGGGCTCCTGTACAGAGTAAGATTCCCGTCAATGGCAGTTACAGCACCATTCTTGAACGTCGAGGTCATCTTCAACTCGACGGCCAGGTGGGTTGGCGTGACTTTGACTAAATGGGGTGTAAATGGAGAAGGCACTGGGATATACATCACATATGGAGCTCCTACCCGACTTCACGCTGGTTCAATACCCATGAGCGCTCGGTAACCTCAAGGTAAGAAGTGGGAGTGCACCTACTCTGGCTTAGCCGTCTGGACTGCGTTGAACGTCCACTCGAAGAACTTGGCGATCTCTTGGGTACCGTTTAAGCGCCCGAGACCAGGAACGTCAGCAGTTGCATTCGGCTCGAAAAAGTTGGCCGCGAAGTCAGGGTCTTTCTTCTCGTAGGCGGTGAAGTTCTTACATAAATAAGACATGGTCAACACGCATGTTAGTAACCTGTGGTCTCGACGTTGGGAAAACAGGATATGTACCACTAGGATCCATTTCTTCGTTGCCTCCAATTCGGCTGGGGAGACCTCGGACACAAACTGGACATGGTCAGGGATTTGGGACATGGGGGTGAAGGTTTTGAGGACTCAAGAAGTAGAGGGGGAAGGATTGGTTCTGAGCGGGGAAAGGTGTTGCTCTGTCTTATAAGATTCAGGGTAGGCTTCGCGCGAGAATCCAAGGAGTGATTTAGAGGCGGCTAAACTGAAGCCTATGATAAACCAAAAGGAATTTCGAAAACACCGGGGAGCCAGAACGAGGAATCGAAGGTTCTCAAACCAGTGAGGGGTGGGAAGGGACCTTGTGGGAAGGAAGAGCAGCCTGCAAGGGTGACAATCCATTATAGGAATCTCACCAAGTGCAACGGTATAACCCAGTTGCATGCATATTTTTGGAAGGGCGGGAGAACAAATACCAGGGTCGACATCTCTCCGCCGCTGAAAACCCATTCCACAACGCGAAGGCAACGTCATACTGGAAGGGAACTGAAGCAACCCACTGAATGCAAGTGTTATTCTTGCGAGGATCGCATTCGAGCACAAATGCTATAGTTCCCAAACAGGGTTTGCAGCACACAGATGCTGAAAACTTTGGAGAGAGGAGACGAAAAGGTGAATGCGAATTCGACTTGTCAGGGTTTGCCAGGGGAGCGGAATTAACCGAGTGCGTACAATTGGGCGCTTAAACATCTGATCATGAAACCGGCTGGCTTCTGACCGTCGGCCTTTCCAAGTTCATCATACTCTTGTCTCGATTCCCCCATCCATCCTGTTGCATTACTGAAAGCAATTATCACTTAGCCATTTCGACGCTGTTGGATCGACAGGGACCCCCTATTCCATTGAAGCCGAGTTTTCGGACCCCTACTCCTTGACCCGAACCATCATGATCAACCCCGGTTATAGGTGTCCTAGAGTCCTCCACACACTCCAGCGACACTCGAGGACAACAAAATGAACACAAAGATACGGCTCGATAAACTAGGAGAAGCGGAAATCACGCCCTTCAAGCTTGTCCTATGCAGTTGCCACGGAAGATCGCTGCCAGAAGGAAGATGCTCGAGCTATGTAACTCTTTATAGAGAGCTCACCAACGAGACTATCGTACGCGCCACGCCTCCAAGCGATCTGTGCTATGCCAGAAGGACTATGAAGGGCTGGGACAAGGTTGAACACGTTCTGTGAGGAAGCCCATCTGCTGCTGAAACCAAGAAGATATTCGGCCAGCAGAGAAGGGGTCCCTGCTACTGAAAGAGTTTCATTACAGGTATGAAACATGGTGCTCACATTTACCTGGTGCTTGTCTTCGAGTGCTAAGCGCTAACACACAGTCTTGATAGTTTTCATCCCGCGGTAGTACAACGAGTCTGTCATGAACTGGACAGAGATGAACGGGGAAGCATTGAACACGTTTCGATGATTTTCGCTGTGGCTGCTGGAGGCCAGCCTCATTCACCGCGTCGGTGGCAGCACACTATGTTCGTGCCGTGCTTCTTTTATGTGAGGTTGTTCTGACCACGGAGACTGATAGCAGATTGCGCCCTTGCTTCTCGATATCTCTGCTCCGCGGACCCTTTGGACGTGGCATCTTCCTCGTCTGAGAACGAATCAGAGAAGTACCTGCCAGAAGACTCCCTCGAGGATAATTGCCTTGCGCTGTGGATGTTCTCAATCCCGTGGCGTCCTACTTCTTATCTGTGGCCTCAAGGTCTCCCAAATTCCGAGTCAAGGCTACGGTCGAATGCGAGCGTTATACTTCTCATCAAAATTCACAACATTACCCTCTCACCCGATCACACAATAGCTGGAGCGCATGTCGATGAGGCAGGCAAAAAGGCCTCCTGCAAGGAAAGAGTTTGCGCCTTTCCTTAAGATCATCCATCGCAGGTGGCGGGAAAACCGATGGGCGTACCGGTGCAAATTGGAGACTTCGTCGATGAAGGTACGACAATGCAAACGTGGATCAGCAAGGAGAACCCCATCTTAAAAAGAGAAGATAAGGTATGCGTGTTTTCTTCAACTTTTAGGAAATGGCTTAAACGTGTTTTCATAGACTGACCTCGGCTCAAGGCCGAAGTCGAATACATGTTCGCACTAGCACTGATTGAGCATTCTAATGTCAAGAAACCACCGTATTCTGCCTCGTTGTCTCGCAATACGACTTGAATGACGCGTCTATGAGATGGTGTAGAAGCAAGTAAACTAACCACGTTTTTTCTTATATTCATACGGGAAACTAACTGATATCCCTTGCCTGTCATATCAGCAACGCTCTCGTAAACCTGTCTCTATTCCAGCAACCAATGTGCAACAATCCATAGCACCGGGTTTATGTCACCCATCTAGACAACCGCCAGTCCGCAGGGCGCCTGCGGCGTGTTCTGCCTCCTCCATGTTTCCTCCATGTTCCTTTCATTTCCCTGTGCGGGTTGGTTGGCCGGCTGTCACCGATGAGAAAAAAGGCGCCTTTTCCGGAGCACGCATCCGTAAAGAGACATCTCAGGCAGGCAACGTTGAGGGGCTTGAAGCAGCGTGACCTTGGAGCGAAGCTCTAAATTCCTTCTTTCCCAAAACGTCCAGGCATCAGGTTGCTAATTTTAAGCTTCCCTTGATATACGTGCTTTCCCGTGCAGCCCTTTTCAACCCTCCACATTCCTTTGTACGGGGCACCGCCAAAACAACGCCCCTCCTTCGTTCTTTTCCATCTCTCAACTGCTTTTCCAACGCTTTCGTGGGCGGAAAGGATCATCCGTTATAACCTTTGATCGAGCGACACGAGTCTATTCATCCCAGCGATCCGGAGAACAAAGGCAAGTTTACACGCGTCGCGACAAAGCAGACTATCGAACTCACCCCGAAAACAATAGGAACATCAGTCCAATCAACTTTCTCCTCTGATCAAGACTTCAAACTCCCCAGACACGAAGGCAATAATGCCCCGCCCACCAGGTCTCCGCTCCGAGGCAGAGAATGATCGCGTATGTCGCTCTCCCATTTGCTTCCGCCCACTAAAAGTCCCTTACCGTCGCCCTTCTCTTCGGTAGATCGCTGACCACCGAGAGTCAAAGTTGACCTTCGCAGTAATATGGGATCCTGAAGCTGGAATGCAATCGTTCTCGGGTGACAGCCTTGATGTGCTGAAAGACTATCAACAAGGCGTTGATTGCCCTGCTTATCAAGAGTATGTTGCACAAAGGACGAGGAGGAGGAAGCAGCCATCAAGGACAAAACCAGCTGGGGCCGCGCATAAACCACCGGCTTTGGAACCGTTTGCAGTCCTTGGGGCCAGGAGCAAGCATTTCATCGGGATTCATACTTCTGGGGTATACGAGAAGTATTTGAAAGGGCTCGTTCCTTTTAAGCAGGCACCTGTCGAGGAGACGAAACCCGTTAAAGCGAATCTATCGACAGAAACATCAGACGACAGTACTGACGAGAACGAGGAGTACACGTTCCAAGTGAACTCAGTGCTCTTCAGCGACACTGACGTAAGTTTCATTACTTTTTTTTATCTCGTTCATGGCTAAACTCCGCGCCCTTTCCTTCAGTCTCTCCTCACCGAGTTGGACCAAACCGAAATTCGATATTTCCGACGTCTGGTCGACTCGGACAGCGACAGCCCCCTCGACTCGCCGCCAGAACATTCCGTCAATGTTCCCTTCACACCGAACTCGGTGTTTACCTTTGCCGCTCTCTGGGACCCCAAGAAGGGGTTCTCTACCTTGCAGGACGGGAAGCTCGTCCGAATTCCAGCCACGTCCGACTCGGATAGCGAGTATTCTGGCGACAATCTAACTGTGAAAGGGTCGGCTGTTACTGCGAGAGAAGAACTTGACGATTCTCTTGATGGGATCCAGGAAATCATCTACTTCCCGAGAGCTAATGACGGGTCTAACCCTGCCAGGGACGCCATCCCATCTTCAACACTCGATGGTCTGAACCGTGGACCTTGGAACGGAGGCGCCTTTTACGAGGAGGATGAAGGGTTCTACGAGACTTTAGGCGTGCAAGGCGGGCATAACGACTGTGATCAATTGGTACTTCCCCTCTCTCCTCCAGTTCATGAAATATTGATCTAGTCTCTAGCCATCTCGCTTTTCGACAACAACGACATCCACCTCTCGCTACATCCGTGTCGATGGGAACCTTGTTCCAAGCCCTGGGACGAGCGTCCTTGCATTCATGCCTCGCAAGATGCCATCCTCGACGTCCGCCAAAGGATTCATGGGTCGTGCGAAATCAACAAAGAAATCCGAGGGCGCGACGTCGGGAAGCACACCTGCAGCTCCTGCTGTCCCGCGTCACTGCGAAATGATGCCCTCGGCCTTCAAGAATATCAACTCTCCAATACCGACCCGTCTGTCACAGGTCTTCAAAACGAAATGGACGAAATGACCCAAGGCGACGGATGACAACAAGTGGGTTCTGATTGACGTCCAATCAGTCATTACAGAGAGGGTCCTTGAAATATGAGAGGAAGCGAGAGATGAGGAAGAATTTAGACTTGCAATGCCACATTTGACGATTTAACGATTTCTTGACGTTCTTTGACGATTTCGCCGACATACATATATACCCCTTTGCCAGTCTTTCGTTCTTCTTCGGGTCTGGAGCTGCGCTCCTAAATGTAGCACTCCTTGTGACAATCTTGTACCACACTGTATCTTGTACCAAATCAATACGTTCCTCAAAAGCATCGCTGGGCCGGCTCAGGGCGCATTTGAGGCGCATCAAGGCGCGTTGTTTGTCGCTGTATCACGAAAGCTTGGCCCTTCGGCGTTCGCGCGCAGGTTGACGCTGATCGCATTGCTTTGCTGCTCACCCACCGACTACCGCGACGACCATGAGTCTCAAAAAGAGGTGACCACTGAACTTTATATCTCACCTGGTATACATACTTAAACAACATACAACCAAAGCGCAAAACTCGACCTGCTGGTTCGTGTCCGATACACCAACCCAATACCGCCGCCGCCATGCCCTCCCAAATTGCTGGATATTCCAACGAACCCAATGCGATATGCGCGACCTGAATTCCTAAACGCCGTGGCGAGCGAACAACCCCTACCTATGATCGTCGATGCAGAGTGCGGAATGCCGTTGGACTTGTCACAATTCGAATCATTATGGGATGAAGGAGCGGATGATTCATGTACGTTCCGGCTTATCCTATGGGTCAGGATTTAAACTGACTGTGGCCTATTTAAATGCTGCTCATACGCACTCTTGTGTCATTGGCCATTGAATTCGGCTATTCGCAAATGTAGCATTAAATCCCGACCCTAACAACCTACCCCGACTGGATCCCAAGGATGCGTTTATGTTGGGCGACCCCTCGTCTTCAACAGGGATGTATCCCACTTCAGGACCCATTGGTCCAACACCCATCGCCCCCATGCCTGCTAGCGTTCCCTGGCTGCGAAAGACCGAATATCTCAGTCGGGAAAGTGGTCAACGTGGTACAACAACGCAAGAACCGTGCGTAGGCTCTCGCGATGCATTGTACCGCCGCTTTTACTCACACCTACGCTTTCTGTTTCAGAAAAGTCGCGACAACGACCGTGGTGGACGTTTCGAGGAATGCACAATTGGCAACCATTGAAGCATCCTTTAAAGCTTGCAATGACGACTTTGATCTCGAAAACTTGCGACACCCGAACAACCCCAACCTCACAGCGGTGGAATCATATCCCATCCTACCCGACGCAGACATCTGGGCCAACCAATATGACTTGTTCCGATTCTCTGAAAGACCGGGCGAAAGGCCTGCAGATGTACGTCCGGTCTATATCTCTCAACTCCACCCGGTTTGCTCATGGTCTTCTCTCCAAGGTTCCCGATGAGCGTCTGGATTGTGCTATCCTTCGCCCCATGAAAACGGAGCACGACTCCTTCCTTGCTTATTACCTCACGAAAGACGACGATTCGGCATTGCGTCTCAAGGAGCTACGGGCGTCTCTCAACCCTTATGAAGTTCCGGAAGAGCAGGAGGTCAGTATACAGTCCGCATCTTTCTGAGTCAGGCACCATCTCACTTCTATGAATCAGGAAACTATCTTCCAATTCGTTCGAGACTACGAGACTGTCAAGGTCGAACAAGAAGTGCCGAACGAGTTCCTGCTCACGATACAAGAAGACGAGGGTATCCGCTCGATGGCCGACGTCGTCAACGGTACCGACCAGCGCCCAAGGAAAGAAAAGGGTGCTTATTACAAGAACATCGAGCGGAAGATGTTGCTCAAAAAGAAGCGCGCAAACGTGAGTAACCCCTTTCATTCTCCTTCTTCCAGTCTCAAGTCTTGGTTCTTTCATCAGGTATACGACCAATACGATGACAAGTGGGAGATTATCCGGGCGAAGTACGCGCCGACGAGCAAGGAGGAAGAGGAGGAGCGACAGGATGCATTGGCAGAGGTTGCCGACCCAATGTACATGCTCAACCGAGACGCAGATGGCGAGATAGAGGTGGAGGATCAGGCGGAAGATCCTAGTGTAGCGATCTTTGGAAACGGCGGGGATGACTTCTAACGGCACTGTGCTAGTCGCTACCCACCCATTCACGATCTTAATGACATTTGCTTTCCTTGCATGATCATATCGGGGATGTCTTCATGGTGCATAAGCATACAGATAACAGGATGTGTGTGTGTGTCGACGAGAGAAAAAGAAGCCAGAGAGAGAAGAAATTTAAGCCTCTGTCAACTCGCGCAGCCGACGGATTGTGCTAAGGAAAAGAGATCAAAACCAAGTGGAACGAAGAGAAATATCGGTACACACCTCCGCACAGTAGCAGCAGCGGTCGTCGAAACGGTCCATGCTCCTCCAGCAATGACCTTTTTGCATGCACTGCATCCCCAGATGCCAACAGCCGTCCTCTTCACGGTGTCCTAATAAACGGCAAAACGATATTGAGCAACATTTCCTGATTTGAACCGCGAGGCGAACAGACCTTGCCGCAGAAGGTGCAGGTGTAACGGGCGTGTTGGGAAACTTCCATCTTCTTCACCTGCTTACGGAGGGAGGCACCATAACGCTATAACATCCAATCGCCCATCGTAAGCCTTCAGATTGTCCTCACACTTCAAATCTAGCTGTTCCCAACTCACAGTACCGTACTTTCCGGTGATTCCGACCTTCTTGGTGCGTTTTGTCTAGGATCATAGTTTCAGCGTCCTCGTCGTGGGCGAGCGCGAGTGCAACGGCGATACTCACCATCTTGAAACTGGAGGAGGGTTGCGGTTGGGGCTGACGGTGTCCACGGCTTGCAGGGATAATTCGATGCGTGAGAATCTTCTCAGCTTCGGCTGATCCCGAAAGCCTGTATAGTTTTACGCCACTGCGTCACGCGACTTTCTTTCCGCGTTTTCTTGGCGCTTCTTCTCCCGCTCACGACGCGTCCGAAATTGAATAGAGTCCATTGTCTCTAGCTAAACACACACAAGTCCGTTATAACAATTATCCTACAAGTTGGTGGCCTCGTCCGCATTGAGGATGATGGTCACGAAGAAACGAATCATCTCGACAAACACGTCGGCTTCAATATCTGAAGACGCTTCATTAGCCGGTAATTCCAGGAACATACATTGCGACTTACGTTCGTTAACCGTATGCACACCTCGTGCAGCAGGGATCAGGTTGTGGTAATGGTTGTAACGGAATATGTTATCCGTGAGGTCCCAATAATACCGGGTATCTGAAGCTTCACGTTAGTCGCGGACGCCAACCGCGCAAGGACAACGCACCAGTATTCCCCGGCATCATGCCAGGCGCTATAACCATCTCATCCGAGCTATTCAAACCCCGGTGAGACCTATACGTCGCCTTGATGGTTCCAGCCAACAACTGGTATGCTCCCGAATCCTTGCCGGTTGGAGTGACGGGCGCAGGCTCCAATCCATGAAGCGTCGCGTTCTTCACGACCAATTGACGCGGGGATTCCGCACCGTGTTCGCCCAGGATGACCTTGTCGAAGGCGGTGAAAGTTAAGTTGTGGCGCTTCGCCAGGGGCTTGAGCAACTCGACATAACGCCTCTGGACTTCGCCCAATGAACTGTAGGTTTGCACCTCAGCATTGTTCGCGAATGTTGCAGCTGACCACCCACCTCGTAACAGAAACACGATGGTTCACGATAGCCCATGCATCTTCGGGTAACGCGTTACTCTTGACACCTCCGTGGACCATGTCAATAGCTTGAGTCGTGCCGACTAGACTCTTGAACAAGGAACTCTTAAACAACTTTCGCTCGACCAGCTTCAGCAGCAAGTTGGAATAAAGGGACCATCGGATAGTGTGTCGCAAGGAAGGAGAGACGGCTTTGGCGTGCCGACTAACGCATTGGAGCGACTGGAACAGCGGTTGATTCCTGGTCTAAAGTGCAATTCATGTTCAGTTGCCTTCCTCTCCTTTCGCTCAACCGTATCCAACGTACCAGAGGTGCGGGGAAAGGGTTCTTCTCCAAGTGTGAAAGGATATCAGCCAGGATGCCAATACTCTATGGGCGCCTTCTGCTAAGCCATGATTCACAGACCAGGGTAGAATGGACGCACCGTATGGTCGGGAGGAACACTCGAATGTCCTCCCGGCGTTCGAACTTCGACGCGGATGTTGTACAAACCCTTTTCAGCAATTCCAGGCAAGGCAATAACCGAACCGAATTGGTTGTAAAACCCAGCTAGCACGGATCATCGTTTCAGTCCTCACGTATGGAATTCATTGCACTCACCTCCTTCATCCACAATCATAGCGATCCCCTTCTCTCCATAGATGTCCTTGATTGCGCCTGCGAGCGTCCCGGCACCCTAACACGATAACAACGTTCAGCATTTCATCGTCATGGTCGTTTTAATAATTGCGACCCACATGGAAACCACTGGCTTCTTCGTCAAACCCAAATGCTAGGACAACGCCCCGTTCGGGTTGAAACCCAGATTGAAGCAGAGTTTCTACAGCAGCTCTGAAAGTGATCGAGCAGGTTCAGTCCCTGCCTTAACGGATGTAAGGAAGGATGGCTTACAATGATCCAACGAGGCCTGATTTGTCGTCCGAACTCCCGCGGCCCCAGATCCGCACGCCTATAGGAAGTCAAAAGTTAGACTGGGTCTCTCAAAACAGGAAAGGACTAACCGTCGTAGTATCCAGAGAATGGCTCATGTACCCATGACGACCTTGTCGAGTTCTCGACGGGGACGACATCTAACCGATCAGTGAGATTGTGCACCTCTGTGCTCGATAACAAACGCACCCTGATGCGCGGCTAAAAGAATGGGCCTAAGATCTGGTTGTGTTCCCCTCCATTCATACAAAAGGCCAAACTTGTTGACCTTTGTCAACTTGAGAGAAGAGTGACTATAGCGAGGCTAAGTATATCGAGAAGAAAGGCAGGGAAAAGCAATTGCATACACCAACGGGAACGCAACTTTCAAGTACGCGTGGAAAGGGATGAACTTGTCCCATTGAGGATCTTCTCCAACTTCCCCCATGTTATCATACGTCTCGGTTCTTTCGAAATACATTCATTAGCAGTAGAAATGAGATTTGAAGCATTGACTTACGGTATCCTAACAGCATCTCCGAGCAATGTGATAGCCTTCATCTTGAACTTCTCACTCGACAGTCCCCTATTCACCTTCTCCCATAGCTCATAATGACGCCTCGGAACCAACTCACCAGGCTGAGCACACTCGCCCAGCTCGTGCATCTCATGATCATTCCACCATGCAATTCCAAGGTACGCCATATACACCACATGGAACACCAGGAAGAGGGTGATCAAACACTTTGAAGTTGAGCTCGAGGCCCTCGACTGGCGGCTGTTCCCAGAAGAGACGGTAAACGGAGCGACGTCTGGGTCACTATGAACCTCGACATGCTTCTCGACGCGGATATGGAGCGCTTCTTTCGACTTCTTTCGATGTCTGCTCCTTGTGCGGGTGGGGGAATTGGTGGAGGACATGGTGGTCGAGGGAGGGAAGGAGGGCTCGGCGATATTAAGAGCGCCTAGGATAGTCGTAAGAGCATGTCTGAGTCAGTAGAGCTGCACCTTGTCAGTCCGTCCCCCTTGTACCTGTTGTTCAATCAAGACATAGTACCTTGTGCGCGAACCATGTTCAGCGCGGCACCGACAAAGTCGCAGAGGTGTACATATGACGCCATCGAGGTTTTGATGTTCGTTGAAACGCTAGAAGAGTCCAAATAATAGCAGAATGGCGAATTACAAGGGTATAGTGGACGAGGGTACCCTCATGCTACGATGTACAAGAAAAGCATTAGTGAAAAGACTAGATGGTTCCAAGGTGTCGGAAAGAAAATATTAGTAGCAAATAGCACAAGATTCGTTAGAAGTCATTGAAATGTCGAGTGTTCAGAACGCCTCTGAGGCACCTCCATAACGCTTTGGGAGGTTATTGTCATCGATATGCGGGCCCAACGCCTTCTTGATGGCAGACGTTCCAGATCCCACGACCGACATCTTGGCAAGCGTAGCAGCGGGGATGATAGGTTTGAAAGCCCAGAAAATCCAGTTGAGAATTGTAGGAACGTTAATGAAGAACTTCTTGTAGAGGAGTTCTGGGTAATGGCTTTGGAAGATATTGGTTGCTTCGGAGGCGGCCGCTTTGGAGTTGGCGTCGCGACTGGTGAGTCCTACACCTTCGTAGTCTGGTCGAACACAGAGTGAGTCCCATTTGGCCGGGAAGTCAACGTATTGAGACATACCGTGGACTTGGATCATTTGGTCGACTTCGGTAAAATCGAGCTGGCGAGTGGAGCGTTCTTGGAGGGCAACACGCCAACTGTGCATTGAGGTCAGCAGAAAGATCACCGGAGACGCGGCCTTGACTCACCGAATGAAGCGCTGAACATCAGCAAAGACGGCCTTGATGTCAGGATTGGCGCCATAGAGATTGTAACTGTTGCGCATCACAAGTTAACTGAGGTGAGCAAGTAACCAAGAACCGTGTCTACTTACACGATAGGCCTGTTCTCCTTGTCAACGCCGTGAACGTGGGCAAGCTTGCCAAACAGGTCTTGAGGAAACTCTTCCTTGAGTGCAGCTTCGATGTTGAATGACTCGCGCCACCTGAGGGTGCCTACAAGCATTTCCCGTGCGGCAGTTGGATTAAGGTTTCTACATGGATTGGGGTGTGAGTTGTATGACGGGTGTCCGGGGACATACAAGACTCACCTGGCCCTCAAGAACTTCATCAGCACGACGCTGGCGCGCGCATCCTTCGCACCGTTCGGGTCCAAAGGAACGCCCCAGATCGTGACGACTGCGGTTCTGGCGTCTTTGCGGTCTGGGAAGGCTTCCTCGAAGATGTTGGGAAGATCGGCCTGTCCATGGGGGTCAGTAGTTGGTTACGGTGAGAATGGAGGTAGACTCACCCTGAATTTCTTCAGTGCCTCCCATTCGGCGGTGGTAAATCGCTTCGTGAGTGTGCTCTGGGGTTCATCTGCATCCTTGTCGGCAGCTTCAGAAGCGGGCTGCTTCTCCTCAGCTTTGGGCGCTTCCCCAACTGCAGCGGTAGCGGTCGCAGCTGGAGCATCAGGGGTTGCAACAGGCTCAGCCTTCGTCGCAGCCGCTGCAGAGCTTGTCGTGGTTACCTCCTCTACTTTCGGTTCACCAGATGTTGCCGGTGCGGGTGCTGGGGTTGGAGCAAGAGGTGCAGCTGCAGTGGTCTCGATGGGTGCGGCTTCAGACTTGGTAACTGTCGGGTCCTGAGTCATCTTCGGCTCCTCTGGCACGGTAGGGGTGGGTTCAGGCTGCGTTGCGGGTGCTTGGGGAACCTCTGGTGTAGGCTCTGGGGCAGGCTTTGCTGGCGTCTCGTCGACGGTCGCAGAGGGGGTCTCCGCGGCCTTTACAACAGCTGGCTCCTCAGTCTTCTCGGAATCTGCGGGAAGTTGAGCTTCCGACGGTGCAGGCACGGCGTTCCCGTTGTCTTGCTCAGTAGCTTTAGGTTCTTCGGGCTTTGGGGCCGCGTTCTGGTCGACGTTGGGATCTGGTTGGGGAGTGGGTTCTGGGACTGCCGGTGCCTGAGCAGGAGAAGGGGCAGGTGCTGTGGCTGATTCCGACATTGATAACGATTATAAGGATATCGAAACGTGTATAGAGCGTGTCGGTCACGATTAGGTTGTGGTGCAAGTCGTTGCTGCAGAGTCTAGTTCTTGGGTGTGATCGTACCTTGGCGTTGTATCTGATTAGATTGCTTACTAATAATACTTTCCCACACTCGAATGGCTTCGTTGTTTGAAGATCTGGAAATTCATTGCTGTCACTGCATTCGTCGCTGTCGCCGTCGTCGTCCTGATACCCAGCTGTCCTTGAAGGCCCTTTCGCTCTTTTCGCTAGACGACCAGTTGCCTTATTCTCTATTTAATTCTCCCAAGAGCTCCCCGGCGCATGCTCTTCAATATTCACTGCAAGCCCTAATCAACTTATTCCCGGTCGACACTCCCCGCCCCCATGTATAAATCCAACTATGGACACCACCAGGACCCATACAGTCGCCCGAACACAATGTGGCAGTCGGGAAGGCTTCCAATGGATAGTCCATTGTGGAAGAACGAGAAGCCTTGGCTTCAACGGCTAGGGTCCAATGCAGTTATGTTGGTGGAGGACATGAAGAATGCCGTGGTGCAATTCCTGCCCGCCTCAAACCGTCGGTCCAACCGAACCCTCACTGCTGCGCCCAACAACTCGAATATCGCCTTTATCTTCATGTGCGGCCTCTGGTACACGTCGTCCGCTCTATCGTCAAACACGGGCAAGGCTATCCTCACCCAATTCCGCTACCCGATCACCCTCACCTTTGTCCAATTCGGTTTCGTAGCGGCCTATTGCCTGCTATTCATGTCACCCCTCGTCCGCTTCACCCGCTTCCGCCCACCGACGAAGGAGATTGTATTCAGCACTTTTCCCATGGGCCTGTTCCAGGTCGGAGGCCATATCTTCTCCAGTATTGCCATTTCCAGGATCCCTGTTAGCACTGTACACACCATCAAGGTTAGTCCCAGTGCTAACGCTTTCCGAATGATACTAAAGCCACAGACAGGCACTGTCCCCGTTGTTTACCGTTGCGGCTTATGCCCTACTATTCGGTGTCAGCTACTCCACCAAAACCTACATTTCCCTCCTCCCCCTCACCATCGGTGTCATGCTGGCGTGCTCGTTTGATGTTTCTGCATCCAATGCCGTTGGCCTTTTGTGCGCATTTGGATCAGCTTTGGTATTCGTTAGCTCGAATATCTTCTTCAAGAAGATCATGCCCACAAACCCCTCGGGATCGTCGGCCCCTTCGCATAAACTCGACAAGCTCAACCTCCTCCTTTACTCCTCTGGGATGGCCTTCTTATTAATGATTCCGTTGTGGCTCTATCATGATCTTCCCGTCCTTCTCGCCAGCCGAAACCACAATCACGTCGTCCACCCAAGTCACGGACACGAACCCCGCCATTCAGTGTCCTACTACTTCTTCATGAACGGAACTGTACACTATGCACAGAACCTCATTGCGTTCATCCTCCTTTCCTCGACATCACCCGTTACTTATTCTATCGCTTCGCTCATCAAGCGGGTGGCCGTCATCTGCATTGCCATTGTGTGGTTTTCGCAGCGAATCCACCCCATCCAAGCCTTTGGAATCTGCCTCACCTTTGCTGGTTTGTACATGTACAACAATGCCAAAGGTGACGTGGAGAAGGGGGAGAAGAAGATTCGAAGGATGGAAGCCGTCAACAGCCTCACGCTGCCCAGCACCAAGGAGGATTCGCGGATGATGATGGGGACGGACACTCCTCCCGAGTTCGAGGTGACGGAGACGACCGGGTTGGGGTCGGGCACTTACAATCCCAGCACCTACAGCCGCGCACGTGGGCTCTCGCTTTCATCGAAAGACGGACAGGGCCTCTACCACAATACTTCATCATATCCCCACCACCGAACTCCCCAGGCGCCACCCACGAACTCTTTCGTCAAAACTGTCGACGCACGTTTGCAATCTATGAAAGAAGAGCCGGAACACTTTAGGAAGAACTCGTACCCATCCCCTCCGCCTTCTGTCGATTCGCATTCCCCTCCCGTGCGCAATGCCCCTCTTCCGAAGAATGTTGGTTATGCAGGGATGCAGCATTACAACCGCGTCGCGGCTGTTGCTGGATGATATTTTACGATTGTGATGTGATATCTTTGATCATATGGATTGTACTTTACAAGGACTTTGACGATACTTAATTGTAGTTTGGAATGTAGACCGATGTTTTCGATGTTTGCGTAGTTTGAGGTAGAGCTGTGGGAGTGAGCCTCGAGAAGATGGGGAATGGATATGTTCGTGATCACGAATTCCAATACAGTTGTTGCTTAGTGTTCTGGAGGAGCGGATGGTCATTGGCAATCAAGTGCAATGCTTCTTTCCACTGCAACGACCAACCTCCTCGCCAAGGTTGCAATCCATGTTCACACACACACACACACACACATGGTGTGCGAGGGTGTGCGCCATGAAGGTCGTCGACACAGTCCAGTTCACAGGTGCGTCCGGTATGCCGACCGTGGATGTCGAGGTTGTGTCGAGGCAATCAAGCGGTGGATCATAAACGCGGGTTCGCTTCAAATCGCGAGTCGTTACCCGGCAACAGACTGTGATTCTAGAGACGCTTCAGAGCACGATATGTGCCCTTGAGCCATTGCCATAAGACGTCGTTCAGTGCCTCTGAAAAGTAGACGTGTCTCCTGCAATGGACAGGGGTCGATCAATCTCCGCCCGCCGGACTGGCCGAGCCATCAAACCTTCGTTTCTCACGTGCTCCGGATTTTGAGTACACAAAACACACTCGCGGCGACGACGACGACGACCACCCTCCTCAAGACCCCTTACGCAGACGGCATCGCAAAATGGTTCGTGGTGTGCTCGGAGACTGCTGCTCGAGTCTATCGCCAGGTTTCATCCCGAAATTCCCGTTGGATGGCGTTGGATGCGTCGTTTTGCGCTTGGATGACCTTCGCAGTGGACTCGACGGCGATGCGCAAGTAACCTTATGCTGATTCTACTTTCGACAGGCCCGGGGACCTAAAAAGCACTTGAAGCGCCTTGCTGCGCCCTCCTCATGGATGTTGGACAAGCTCGGTGGTACCTATGTGCGTTTCTTAAATTTTGCATCTATTCGCGTACAGGGCTGATTTCTCTTGTTGAACAGGCCTCTCGTCCTTCTCCTGGTCCCCACAAGCTCCGAGAGTCCCTCCCCCTCACCGTCTTCCTCCGCAACCGTCTAAAGTATGCTTTGACTGGCCGTGAAGTCACTTCTATCGTCAAGCAACGCTTGATCAAAATCGACGGCAAGGTCCGCACCGATCCCACCTACCCCGCTGGTTTCATGGGTGCGTTTATGGTTTTTGGAGGACTTGGGAGAAGTTTTGCTCAAGCGGAAACATAGATGTGATCTCCATCGAGAAGTCTGGCGAACACTTCCGCCTGCTCTATGATGTCAAGGGCCGATTCACCATCCACCGCATCACCCCCGAAGAGGCCACCTACAAGCTCTTGAAGGTCAAGAGGGTCGCTCTTGGTGCCCGCGGTGTTCCTCACGTTGTCACCCACGACGGACGAACCATCCGTTACCCCGATCCTTTGATCAAGGTCAACGACACCGTCAAGTTCGACCTTGAGCAAAACAAAATCACCGACTTTGTCAAGTTCGATACCGGCAACCTCGTTATCGTGACTGGTGGTCGTAACATGGGACGGGCTGGTACTATTGTGCACAAGGAGAAGCACGTTGGTGGTTTCGATATCGTCCACATCAAGGATTCGCTAGACCGAACCTTCGCCACCCGGTATGTCACATTTTATCTCCGTGTCTTAATTCCCGGCTAACCAAATTTCAGTGTTTCCAACGTTTTCGTTATTGGTGAGGGAACCAAGGCCTGGATCTCGCTGCCCAAGGGCAAGGGTCTCAAGCTCACCATCGCCGAGGAGCGTGATGTCAGGAGAAAGCGGGCAGCAGCTGATCAATAAACGCATTTCTTTCTTCACCTTTTTCATCCCATGGCCACATTATGTCCTGTATGCCTACATGACTGACACATATTCATGCACCATTATGCTCTGCGGGTCTAAGATGGTTGGCTATATTTGTGAGGTATGGTTTCCGTCTACCAGTACTCTATGTGTCTGTGTGCGACTACTTCTACCTTTCCCCTGCGTTTTCTCTCCGCCTCCCACTTGCCAAACCATTTCGTCATTTTGCCTCTACTCCGCTCGCTGCCTACGTTGACCGTGGCGATCATTTTCGTCCAGTTGAGCGACATGGCGAAGCAAGTCAATTCGTAAAAGGAGGAATGCTCAGAGTATGGGACAGGATACATCAGGATCGTGCTGGTGGATTTCCCGTTGGGTTTGAGGTCCTCATAAGTGAACGGTTTCTGAACTGTGCGTGTGAGGATCGTGTTCACGCTTGGCTGCTGGTCTGTCCCTGAGGGCTGTACATATCTGCATAACTCTCGTCAGTACCACTGTTTTCCGATGCCCCATCAGAACTCACGTCCACCCTGTCGGTCTGAACCCGACGACCTTTGAGTACTTGTCGCCGAACCTTTCCAGATACTCCTTCATTTTGTCGCTGGAAATCATACCAAGGGGAAGCAGATGGACAACAGCTTCAGCGGGGTCGGATGTGAGCATGGCGTGGAGTTCAGGGTCAGCTTGACATCGTAGCAGACCAGCTTTGCGTTTTTCGCAATAAATTTTGCTACCGACTGCTTTAGCGACCGCTATAGATGTCGTGAGCAAACAGAACATCGACGCAAATCTGATATATACCTTTCACGATCCTCTCCTTGCCAATCGAATACGTTCTGCAAACGCGTCAGCGAAATCTTTCTCGCACCAAAGCTACCCGTACCCAATGACGAATAACGTCGGTTTGTCGACCTCCTTCCCCTTCCCTTTGGAAGTAGTCAGCCAAGATGAAAACATCCCAGATGCTTGACGCGTTGACTCTCCGTTGGCTAGCTTCTTAGCCAGATTTGCACAAGCTGACACGACGAGGGGTTGTGGAGGGAATGTGTACTGTTCAGTATTCGGTCAGGAAACACAATGGACGAGAAATGGGGGTGCTGACCTTGGGATCGAGATACGTCGTGTCCAAATACACATGGTCGATAACTTTACCCTTAACAGCAGGGTGAAGAACATGCTGAGGGGACGCTCTAAAATCTCCACAGTGGAGATAACGAAATGTTCGAGGGGAGCCGACATAAGCTGATTTGAAGGTGGTGTCTCCGGCGTTGACGGTTTGGCGGCCTTCAAATAAGAACAGGCATGATCCGGGACAGTGGTTTGCTTCAATGAGGGTGACGATTACACCTTGAGTGTCTGGGATGACGGTTGGCGTGTCCATGGGTAAGGGCTTTACCCATTTGCGGTCCACAGAGAGCATGTGGACGATGAGGTTGGCAGTCCCTTCGGAACAATAGATCGGCCCATGCTTCCAGCTCGATGAAAGGTTTGTGTAGTGGTCAGAGTGCGCGTGACTGTGAACAAATTGGTCACTAGATAGGTCGCGGTGAACTTGGACGGAAGACGAACGTGAGGAAGTAGGCTGTAACACCAGGTATCTTTCCGTACTTGAACGCGTCCACGGCAATGGGCATGCCTTGTAGGACCTTGTAGAACGGTGCTTTTCGTCGTCCACTGTCCCCTTTAGCTGGGCGGGTTTTGGCCTCTGCGGCACTTGCTTCCTTCCACGCTTCGTTCTCTTTGAAGGATGACATGAGGACCGAGAAAGCGTTGCTTCGGGATGCTAGATTCCGAGTGCTCGAGCTACAGCTTGGGTCGTCTATTCGGAGTACTTCGTTTTCCTCTTCCTTGAGACAGTCATCATCGACAACAAACCCCGATTCTTCGACAAATTCGTCGTCCCCCGTGCCCCAATCATCCAACGTCATGTCAATGTCCACTGGTAAGTCCCAACCAGCCTTCGTCGCTGGGATAGAGCAGATGTCGGTTGACGAACTGCAGGCCGTCTCGTCAGCAACCGCCAGTGCTGAATTGGCATCCTCAGACTGAGGCAGAGTGTCAATAGACGTTTCAAGATTCGTATGACCTGCAGTTTGAGGCGTAACCGTCGGCGAGTTAGAAGGGTCCAAAGGAAGCGGGGATTCCTGTAGCAGAACGGGCTTTCCAAACCCGCCTTTCTCCCAGGCGGGATTACGACCATTGTCGTCGAGGAAAATACGTTTGTGTGTGTCGGCGGTCTCAACAGGTCCTCCAAAAGGACTGTCGACATCGTTGGTAAGGATGAGCGCGTCGTTCGACTCTACTTTGGCGGAATTCCCCCCTGAGGGTGTCCCCGCTGGCTGAGAACCCAGCCTCTGCCGTTTACGCCCTACAAAATCAACAATCTCCACCGCGCTGTCGTCCGAGTCAGAGTCGATGACGATGACTTCCTGAACGGTAGTTCTTGACAGTCCAGGTTTGGAAGATGAGGCGGACGATGCTTTCTTCGCTGGTGGCCTCTTCTTGCTTTGAACGGGTGTTGTTCCAGGCTTGGTCGCGAAAAAGTCCAAAAGCGTCACTGAGCTGCTCGAATCATTTGCCGGTGTGCGGGTTCGTTTTTGCTTCATTCTCTTGTCCAGCAACGAGAAACAGTCTAGGTGATAATGAATTGGATTCAAGACGGTAGCACAGAGGACAACGAGCAAAGCTGGTCGCCGCTGGACGATGAAAGTGGACGAGTCCAAGACAACGCAAGAGCGCGGACCCGAAATCCTTCGTGGGAACCGCTCATATTGGTTATAAACTCCGCGTTAGCGCCCACAGTGGTGACTCGAGAAACTTTGGCATTTAAGACGCTTACACTCACCCTCTAATCTCTGTCAGTTTGCTGCCAGTGTGAATGTCTCTCGCAAATGTTTTTCACCTAAACACCGACGCCATTTCGATGGTGGGCTGTCTGTATCCAAAAACAAACCCGCATCTAGCATGAGTACGACGCCAATGATGTACCTGGAGCCTTCGAGTCCATGTCAGGCCCGCTGACTTGACACGTAAGGTATTCTCATTTCAAGACAGGAGAGACGGCGAATATACGCTGGCTCGCTACTTTACAGAAAGGATCGATGTGATTGCCCTTGTCGGAAATTTGATCCCTGGCTCCCAACGCATGCGGCCTGTTGACAGCCGTTTGACAGGCCGTTCGCCGAAAATTAAATAGGCGCCCATCTGTCATTGGCCGTTTCAGGCCGCGTTTCCTACACGTTGGAAGACCGTTTCCAGGCCGTTTCAACACCTTTTGGGGTTTGTTGAAACGGCCATCCGGGAGGCCTTCGTTAAAAGGCGTTTTTCGGCGTTTCCGGCGCCGTCTCAAATTTCCGATAGTCTGGTGACCTCCCAGTCTGCACGCACCTCAATTCAGTCTCCCTGAAACTAAATAGGCTTACTATAGATGCATGGAAGGAAGGCAAGGATAAGAAGTTGCCGCCCTCTGAGACTCTGGCCCTTTTAACAAACTTGCTCACGCTGTCCGACGTTCCTTTACGCAGGATCAGATGCCACAGAGCAATGCGCGATGGAAGTGGAGTTAAACTGACAGCATTGTGTAGTATTTCTGTCAGATGAAAGCGCTTGTTATCCAATCGTAGTATACAATACATAGATACAGTGAAGACGAGTTCTTTCATGAGGTTCGCAGATCACAGAGACGTAGATTCGTCCGCGTTGAGAATGAGGGTCGCAAAGAAGTGGATCATTTCGAGATACGTTTCTGCCGCAACGCCTACAAGTTGCTTCAGCACCAGCTCTAAAAATGAATGGGAATCTCTGCTCACGTTCGTTAACAGTGTGGATGCCGGAGCTCAGGGCAGTACCGTTATTGGCACCCTGGTTAACGTGGTTATATCGGAAAATATTCTTGGAAAGATCCCAGTACCATCGCGTGTCTATGGAACGGTGGGTCGGGTGAGGCAGAACCGATTAAGCGACGATAAGTGAAGCCATACCTGTATTCGCAGACATCATGCTTGGAGCTATGATGATTTCCTCGTCCTCACCACGGAAGCCCTCGTTGCTATGGTATGCTTTCGACCAGGCTTCGAACGCTCCCTTGATGGTGCCGCTGAGGAAGACAAAGCCTCCCGCTTCAAGTCCACTAATGGGGGTGATGGGTGCGGGCTCCAATGCTGAATTATCCAAATCCTCCATAATCAGAGAGCCCTTAGGCGTTCCAACGTCCGCCTCTGAAAGGATCTCCTGACCGAATGACGTGAAGGTCAAGTTGAATCGTTTTGCAAGGTCCACGACCAGGTTGGTATTGCGTTCTTTCAAGGACGAAACAGAGTCTGAGATGGGAACCCTGTGGTTAATGACCGCCCATGCCTGTTCGGGGAGGACGTTGGCTTTGACACCCCCTTGGATCACGTCGATGGCCTGCGTCAAGCCTACAATGCTTTCCTCCACTCGACTCTGGAAGACGATAGATTCGAGGTCTCTGAGTGATTGATCGGAGTGGGCTGCCTGCTTGATGGTGTTGCGAAGGTCGTCGGGAATCTCCTTCGCATGCTCAGCTTTACATTGAAGAGTCCAGTAGACGGGATGGTCCCGGCTCTACAGCACCATCGTGAGCCCCAAGTAAGCGAATGATGAGGGTAAGCACTTACTAGCTCGGCCTTTACTGGGCTGTCTTCGAACTTCACCAAGAGGGCGGCCAGCATTCCAATGCTCTGAAAAACAACGCCGCGGTTGAGTACCATACATGCGATTGAGAATTCAGAGGCATACCGTATGGGGTGGTGGAACACTTGCATGGCCACCAGGCGTCCTGATCTCAAGCTTCACATTCATGAACCCTTTCTCAGCCACCCCTGGCGTGGCGAGCCAAGTCCCAAGCTCGCGCGAGAAACCAGCTAACGGATGGTAAGGCAACGAACGACAAGATAAGGTTCGATACTCACGCCCTTCATCGATGACCATTGCAACGCCATTTTTGCCGTATATCTCCTTGATGAAGGGAGCCAAAGTACCTGCGCTCTGTGTTGCAAATGTGTCATTTCTAACTGGTTGACGGCGGAACAAGAACCGACTGACCAAGAAGCCGCTAATTTCCTCGTCAAAACCAAATGATAGGAGTACAGTCCGTGTAGGACTGAAGTTATTCTGCAGTAGGGTTTCAACTGCAGCGCTGGACAGCACGGGTCAGGCGTGTCTTCGAGGGAACAACGCTCATAAGCACTCACAGAGTCCCTATCACGCCAGCCTTATCGTCCAAGCTTCCACGGCCCCATATTAATTGTCCTAAAAGTCCGGCGTAAGACACTGGAAGACTTCAAAGGGCTGCTGATTACCATCGTAGTGTCCTGAGTATGGTGGATGGGTCCATTGAGACACGTTCCCGGCAGGAACAACGTCTAAAGTCGTGATGAGATTGGAGTCTAGATGCCGAGTGCCGATGATCTACCTTGGTGCGCGAGAAATAATATGGGTTTGAGAGACGTGTCAGACCCAACCCACTCATAGAGTAAGCCATAAGTATTGACTTTAGTCAACTTGAGAGAGGCATGCCTAAACAGCGGGTCATATATGATTGTTGTCGACCTCCAGAGAGATCATAACGTACACTAGTGGGAAGGTGTTCAAGAGATACTCGTGGAAGGGTTCAAAGACCTTCCAACGTGGGTCTTCGTCGATTGGCCCCATGCCATCGAAGGTTTCTGTTCTGGATAAGACGTGCATAAGTCAACAGATTGTAGGGAAGCGGCACGATGACTCACTGAATTTGAATGGCACCAGAAAGCCATTCGATTGCATGTTGACGGAATACCATGTCTGTACCTATATGCGCTGAAAGGTTCGCCCAGAGGTCGGCGTGCTTCGTCGGTCGAATGGCCGGCGGCTGAGGACAATTATCAGTGGTCGCCTCAGGTTCAGCTCGGCCAAAGATGCGACTGATCCCCCTGCTTGTCCTCGCATGATGAAGTGCGTCACCAGTATCGAGGACTGTAACGCAGTAAAGGGTGGCGAGACATGCGGTTGCGGAGAGTAGCAAGGTCTTCACGACATTTCCTCGACGAGGAACACGCCATGTTTTGCCTTCTACGTCGCGCAATTGAGTCGACGGCATCCCTGACGTGGATTGCCTTCCAATGTCTGGGGCTACCCGTAACGAAGTGGGGTCAAGCTTCGAGTATTTCTAGGATCTGGGACGCCCTCAAAACGATTCTGGAGATAACCATCCTGCTTCTAGAACATAAATGCACATCAGAAATCTGCCATGACGGAAGTGCTGAAGAGTTTTGTAACATAGGCCGACTTACGGGGGACACACAAAGTCCGGTTCTTGTAATCCAATTGTACATTCACGGTGGAGGACATCATGCTTCATGGAGCCCGTGTCTGGCGCGCCCAGGCTGAGCGCTTGTTTGGCGTTGTTAATTTCGCAAGATTGTCCTTCCCAAAATGGTATGTTGCTGCCCAATTTCCCTTCCTCATCGGCACCCAGGTGGAGGGTACCAGGCAGGAAGGGAGAAAGTCATGTGGTACACTAGGTACCGTGTATGCACTCGTTCTCATGGTTGTCCTTCTTTATCCCAGCAGGGCTGTTTATCAGGACTCTCCGCTCTTTCCATCGGGTTCTGCCAGTGGCTTCCCGGAATTTGTATACCACCCTCGTTCGCCAGTAGTCTCCTTGACCAGTATCAGCATCATGAGATGAGTGATGTCAGTGCTTCTGACCCCACTGGAATAGACGGAAGAGGGTCTGTCTTCCGTTTTCTGACACCTCGACGATGACTACTATCAGCCTCTGACTTTCAGCGTCGAAGATTGACGATTCAACTGCATCTGCTATTATCGGAATTCCGCGTTGCGATGGAGTTCACGGAAGCATAAGAGGTTCTTTTATGATTCGGAGAAGCCCTGCCTGGAAGGCGCTAATTCTGCGGGGTGACGGCTGATACCAGTCAAAACAATTCACCCGACTGCAGCGAATGCGTATACATAAATTGCCTCGAGGTATGCCAGCAATTGAATACCGGCAACTATTAGGTGCTTACTCTGGTAGTACCTTTCCAGCTGTTTTTGCTTTTTGGAAGGCTACTCCACTAGCTTTTCATGTGGTCTGCTGAAGCTGCACTATGTACCAAACCATATTGTCGGGCAACTCGTATAAAAAGCCTCTTACCCTTCCCCAGTTCCCCATAAACCCGTTACTACCTTCCTCGTGATGAAGTTAGCCGACAACATCCATATCTCCTCCGGCCTTGCCTCGACGGACGCTAAAGCAACCAAGCAATGGATGGTTTTTGTAAGGCCGCATAGCTGCTCGCTCTTTCCTGGACCATTCATCGACCCTTTACCACTAGGTTTACCTCCGCATTGGACAAGAACGGCCCCAACTTCTTTCTCACCTTCTTCGATCCAAGCGCAACTCTAGACATTGCATGTGTTGGTCGATTCCACGGCGTCCAGGCCATCAAGGAGTTCGTCGACTGGGCCCTTGGGAGCGTGGTCTCAGGTGATACCACGTAAGTAGAGGATGGCCTTTCCGGCCTCGCCTCCGTATGTGACATGCTGAGCGCTCGTACAGGGCAAAGGCCGTAGAGTTCACACCGACTGGCTTGAAAGTCGCCACAGAAGGTACTCGTACATTCAAGAACGGCGAATCAAAAGCTTTCAATTCATTCGTTACCACCATAACCAAGGCACCTATTTCTTTCTCGCTCCAAGGCTTGTAGCACAGTAGCTGACTCGGTTTAATGCCAGGATTCAAAATTAAAGTCGGTGTCAATTGATGGAGACGCTTCCGCCTTTATTGCAAGCTGCATCCGCAACGGCGGGCCCATGCCAACTGCTCCTCGCGTCCTCTCTTGAAGTCCGTCCAGCTGTCGGGAATTCCGGTTCAAATGAATTCACATCTGTTTTAGCAGAGGTATGAATGCGGTTGTATTAGTAACGTTTCAAATGTACCTTCCCTCTGTGGGTCTGTGCGATCGCGAGCCACTGCTACGTAAGAGCCGGTAAGCGCCCAGGTCACTTGGGCGCTCGAATTAGCACCTCCTGACATTCGAATTCAGGGAAAAAATAGAGTGAATAAACATGGCGAATCCCTGAAAAGTTCTGCTCATGCTATCATTGGCATCAGTACCATGCACGCAGCTGTATATTCGAAGGAAGGCCTTTCAATCGACGAACCCCGCAGTGGCTGACCTATTAATGCTATCATAGAGGCCTAGACCAAGAAAGCCGCATCGCATTGTGATCACAATATATGCAGCGAGGCTACCATATCAGAGCCTGAGGTCTGCATATGAAATGTCCTTAAGATGTAGCAACATAATACCATCGCCAGGAACGATGAGCGTCGCGTATGCAGTAGACTGTTCGTAAACTTGGTAAACATTCCCCAGTCAACCTTGAGCTTTCAATATGTCGTTTCAAGAGCAAGGAGAGGGTTGAAATAGCGAGATTTCTCGTCGAAAAATCTCCGTTGGGATTCAGAACGGATTCTCCAAGCCGCTGGGTAGAGCGATCGACGTCAAAGTGAAATAGGCTGTGACCATTGTGGTCAGCCACCAAGGTCCCAATGAATGCAAACTAAACACGATTACCGGATCGCAATATTGGCATGGACCATACGCCCTGGACCAATTCCAGGGACATCGCCCGTTGCGGCAGGCTCGAAGGAGTGCGCAAACTGAGTGCTAGGGGTGTCAATAAATTGTTCAGACCACAAGGCGCACAGCAGAACAAGGGGACACTCACCCGCCCAATATCGCCTGGAGGTCTACCGCGGACACACGGGACGCGTACCGAACGTCGTCGGATGGTTTCATAGCCGAATAGCGTCTGCATGGACTGCCCGACACCGACAATTCGAGAACTTAAGTGTCGGCGTGGCAGAGAGTCCTTGCTCTGAGTGAGGGCGGGAAGTTGAAGGCCTCACGTCCCTCTGTCTGACCTATGACACGGCGAGTGGCAAAGGAACCAGAGGGCGCTGTATCTCTCCCGTCCACCCTCAGCTATTTGTACTGCACGAAATCTCCAAAACAAGGCGACGCCATACCGGACCCCCTCATTCCCAGATCATGAACCATGCTATTCTTGCTATCAATCCTCCCAGCCAAATGAAAGGAAAGTTTGAGGCCTGGGAGATGATTCTGTTGTGAGGTCAGTAATGGCGCTAAAGAAAGAGGATTCCCGAATGGCAGGGATACACGGGACTGCTGAGAGGCTCTAGACCGATGAAATGAAAGGCAGCCCTCCAACTATCCCGAGTGCACTCGATCGATTAGCCTTGTACAACAAAGTCGAATCTATATGTACTTGTCAATGGAAAGGATCTAGACAACTGGTACAACAAAAGTCCCAAAGAAACCCGATGAAAACCAAATCAACCCCACGCACTGACCGAAAATATCTTTACGACTCCTATCCACGGAAGGACCTCATGCTACCCTGAGAGTTCGTCCTCACCCTACCCAACTCCGCTCCGCCATAGAATCCCCCATGCCCCTTGCTTCCGATGAAGCTCGAACTCGGGACGGTCCCCACGAACCCAGACCCACTCGTACTCCCGGTTCTCTTGGACCTCCTCTTTCCTGAATAATGTCCGGGTGGAGGTGAGGTAGCGCCATGAGCGCGGGGCGGTGATTGCGAACCGTGGACGTGTCCAGAGAGGGTCGGCAATCCGTTCAACCGAGCAAAGTTGCTCACGAAGAGAGGATGACCAGGAGGTCGGTCACCGAGCGGAGCAGCGGTAACGCTGTCGCTGGCGTAGCCGGTGCTATCACCTGCGTCACTTCCCTATAAAGGATGATTGTAAGTGATGGAAGAGACGTGTAGTTCAGGGCCATGTACTTACCGGGCTGGTCGCAGCCGCCATGAGAGCCGCCAAGTTGCCAGTCGATTCGGAGCGAGAGAAGGGACCAATGGACACGCCAGTGATGGATGAGAACGAAGAAGTGCGTGAATGGGTCCTGGCGAGACCTGACCCAGCGGTGACAGTTTCACTGGCAGGAATTCCAGCAGAGTTGCCAAAGGAGCCTCGATGCGAGTGTCCACTGGAGACAACTTGTTCGTTCCCACCCTCGGATTTTTCGGAAGGGAAGGGCAGGGGGTGAGGATGGTGGACAACGTAAACGCCACCGACACCATAATTGCCAGAGGCATGGACGGGAGCAGTGCTGATGCGCAAGCCTTGGATCTGAGCTGGAGGGATAAGCTCCTCTTCCTGCTCCTGCGCAGCAACTTCTTCCTTGGCGGGTTCCCCGGGAGTTTGGGTAGAGTCTTCCTCCTCTTCCTCTTCTTCGCCTTCCGCAATATCACCCAATGGGTTCCCTTCCGTCAACTCTGGGTCCTTCAACAACATAGACCCGCCAAGCGTCAGCGGAGGAGGGTTGGAACCAGGCGATGGCGCTCCACTAGGGTCAGAAGAGGCCACCAATGCTTCAATCTCGATGAAGTCTTCCTCGTCCTCTTCATCCTCTTCCTGTGCGTCGCCACCTGTCGCGTCATCTGGAGCGAGAGGCTTGGACTTGGCATAGATCGGAGACTCGATGGTCTCATCCCAGTCGCTCCAGTGACCACCGGGGACCTTGCCTTCGTCTGAGGAAATGTCTTCAGTCGCGAGCGTAGTCGCGGTTGCAGGGGTTTCCGGCGCACCTGGTTGGGGCTTAGTCATTGGTGGTGCCTCCAACTCTTCGTCCGATTCCTCGTCGTCGATCGCACTCTCCGCCTCCCAGTTGGCACTATCCCCACCCTGCAGCTTGCCGCCTCGAATAGTCGGCTTAGGTGCACCCTCCCTAATCTCCGCCCTGAGCCTGCGCATCCTCTCCTTATGCTTCTCCCCACTGCTATGCCTCTTCCTCCCTCCCTCCAACTCGTTCAACGTTGCCTTCATCCTCTCTTCCCTCTCCCAATCCCAGTCGAGGTGGTCCAACTCGGGCGGAACACCAAAGCAACCCTTGACCCTCTCCCAGATCAACTCCGAGTGAGACATGATACACTTGCGCGCCTTGGCTACCCAAACCACATCCGAATCAACATCCCGATCGACCTGTGTGAGATGAGCATGGAGCTGCGTGTACGTCCAACGAACCGGGTCCAATGGAAGCAGGATCGCGTCCGGGAACGATGGATCAGGCGATGAGAGAGGTCCTTCGTAGGTCTTTGGTAGAGTTTGAGCCAAAAGATTAAAGAGTTTGGCATCTGGCGGAGTGGAGATCAGCTGAGCAACCTCGTAAGGACGATCCACGAAAGGGAGATAGATGTCATCCGGCAGCGGGGTGAACGTCGCAGGAGCGACAACACCGGGGGTTGCACCACTAGCACTGAAGGCCGGAGAGTGCGATCGCATGATAGGGCTGCCAGGGGCGGGCGAGGACGGACCAGCACTGCTCGCAGTGGCGATCTGCGCCAATGTACGAGGGCTAGTAGCCTGCCTCGCCAGTTCTACAAGTTGTTCGGGTGTTAATCTGGGCTTGCCATGATTATAAGATGACCCGCCGATTGCTGAGAGTCTGGGAGATTGGTTAGGGCCGACCGGCCTCATACGCGGAGACAGAGTAGGTGATGGAGGAGCTATGACGACAGTCAACTAAGAGATTTGGAGCGGGGGCGGGGTCGACATACCTCCAATGCTACCCGTTGATCCCTCTCGATGGTGTCCAGGAGAGTTTTCACCTCCAAAGCTCGAGAATGCGAAGCTGAGCCTGCCCGGCGGTGGCCCGTCGGGTGGAGGTGACGTCGCGCCCATTCTGTAGCTTCGACGCCTCGACGCTGAGGTGAAGCTCGAGGGCGGGTCGTTCAACGTCGGTGGCGGGCTCATCGCTCCATGTTGGTTCGGCAAGACCTTGACGATGGTGAGCTTGCTGGACGATACACGGTCTGGGGCCTCGTTGATGTCAGCATGCAGGGCATACGGGTCAGAGGCGGTAATCGAGCCCCTCCTCGACGATAGACGGCGGCGAGGAGTGTTGTGGCCTGCGGTGTTCGTCGCTGGAGACATTGTGGGGCGATGAGTGTGGTGGTAAGAGGAAGAGAAGGACAATTCAGGGTTTTAAACGTTTATCTATTCCATCTCCAAACATCACATGAGACCTTGGCCCTTCCCGCCCCATTCATCGACTTTGCTGGCGTTTCCTTTTCCTTGCTCCCTGAACGCAACACGTAAAATTCATGGTCTTCAGACGTTCCAAGCCATCTTTGTGGCCGGAACTTGCAGGGAAATGGTCAGGAAATTAATGCTCGCGATGTATCACGAAGATCGTTGGCAGACGCGGAGAAACCGCGTGCGTTTCCAATCTGCCTCCGTCGAAACCTCGGCGCTAACCGTCATCAATGTCGCCACCCTCGATAAATATGCCTCGAAATCGATATCGACGACAGCAGTCAGCCAGGGCCCACTGCATGCAGTATAATAGTTCGCTTGAAGCTGGACAAACTCTAGTACTGATACATTCCTACCGGACACTGGAGACACGTCCGTTGAAAGCGACAGTTTTCTGATCTGCGGCTTTCTTCGGTGAACATAAAACTAACCGGTTTCTCTGAACCCTTGTTGCTCTCAAGGTACCTTTACTGTCGGACGAAGCAGGCGCAGTCCCGCATAAAGTCGTGGGCCGAAGTCATCCGGGACGCAACAACGCGTGCACTCAATTTCGCACCGCCAATCGACCAACGTGTTGATTGAACTAGTACCCATCCAATCTACATCCAGAAGCCCACTCCCAACACATCAACCCTGAATGTTCCAGTTCATAGGAAAATTATCCCCAGGATCCGGATCCTTCACCGACCAAACTTTTTCAGAGGATCATTCTTCCTCCTCCCTCTGCCAGCGCTACCTCCACGCCCTCTTCCCCGACCACGGCCCCTGTTGTTACTCGTGTTCTTCTTGAATGGCACGAACCCTTTCGATTCTGTTCCTTCAGCTCCGGAACTCGCTTCTGCGTTGACGGCGGGCGCTATCCTAGGGAGGAGGTATTTGGGGATATGCTTCATATGAGGCTGCACTCGGGCAGGATGAAGCGGCTTGTCGTGTCTGAGGTACTCCAGATCAAGGGGGTTATCTTCGAAGTGGGCCTGCAGAAGGGCTCTGTAAGTGGAGGCACGACAACGAAAAACGAGCGCAAGCAGACCTTCAGTTTATCTGAATTCAGAATCTCCGTCTTCAGCTCCTTCACCCTCGCCTCCCGAATAGCAGCACGCGTCACACTCCTGAGCGCATCCTGCATTCGATATCGGAACGCTTCGACTTGCTTCATATCAAAATTGTACTCTTTGATTGTGCTCCCTCTCGCCCCCTGCTCCTTCTCAATCCTCTTAAACACCTTCTCATCGTGCTCTGCGCTGGGCAATCCACCCACAACCTTATCCTTTCCCCAGAGCTCCCGAGGCACAACGAAGGAGAGCGACATTCCCGTTCGACCAGCTCGTGCCGTTCGACCGACTCTGTGCGTATACGAGCGAGAGGAAGTGGGTAGGTCAAAGTTGAGGACGCAAGCAACATCCACGAAATCGACACCTCGTGTAACACCGTACTCCTTGTCACTGACATGTTTGCTTTGCTTCCGTTTTTTGGATTTGGAGGATGGCTCAGGTGAGTCGACGCGTTTGCGTTTTTTGCCTTGGTTTTTGGACTTCTTGGGCGATTCTTCCTCTTCTGAAGCTTCGTTTTCGTCTGCCTCGCCTCGCTGCGTCGAAGTAACTAGAAGGATGTTAATCTCTTAAATTGTACGATGCAGCAAACCACGCACATTCCTCTCCCTCCCCATCACCCTCGTCCTCATCTTCCGTGTCATATTCATCCTGGACACCTGCTTCGTCGGTGGCGATAATGTAGTCGTAAACACCCTTGTTGAACTCTTGTACCGTATGGTAACTTATCACGCTTCGTCAGATGCAACGTCTACGGAGGATCACAGTCACGTACCGCGAGTTCAAAGGCAGCTCCGAGTTGAGGACGCAACTCTTTATCGAGAATTGTTCCAAGAACAACTTTAACCGATATGACCTGTCGACGTCGTTCACGAAGATGATGCACTTGCCCTTGATGAGCTTGAGTTTGAGGATGACATATGTCAAAAGGAACTTGTCCACTTCAGAACACCTAACCAAAACGGTTAATATCGAACAGCATAGCGTCAGGAGAGATGTCAGACTCACCTAACAGCGTACTGAGTAAGCAAAGCAGCTTCATCCTCTCCTTCCTCCAGTTTCAGGATTGCCTGTGGCCGAGTTAGTCGTTACTCGAGAACTTTCGGTAGGAGAAGGAACCGTACAGGATTACGAAGCGTCAATCCCTTGAGCATTTCTACGTCCTCCGTCATGGTTGCACTCATCAAGAATGACTGGTACACTTTGGGGAAGTGAGAGCCCTTGAAGAGTTGTCTGACATCGTCGTCGTGACCGTATGATAGAATAAGGTCGGCTTCATCGATGACAAGGGAGTCGATAGAACCAAGGGATAGTGCTTTTGACTGCACCAGGGAAAGCGTCCGGGAGGGTGTTGCAATAAGGATATCTGGCTGATCTGCCAGTAGTTGTCTTTACGCGGATTAGTGCATACTCAAAGCAGCTGAAGCAGCAAGAACGCACTTTTGTAAATGAGACGCAGATCCAGAAGTCGCATTACAAAGTGTAACTTCTTGATCACAATAAACCAACAGCGTCCGCAAGTACCCCGAAACCTGCTCCGCCAGCTCGCGTGTTGGAACCAGAATCAACGCTCTCGTAGCCCTCCGTTTGGGATCGTCCTCGTCCAATCCCTGTTTCCAATTAGAAAAACCAATCAAAAGGTAAAACAGAACGCGTACCTACGTTTTTGGCACTCAGAATCTTCTGAACTACTGGAATGCAATACGCCGCAGTCTTCCCACTACCAGTCCGTGCTCTTGCCAATATGTCTCGACTTTCCAAAGCGAGTGGGATAGCTTTTGCTTGAACTAGAGTTGGTCGAGCAAAGCCCATATCCGCTAGGGCTCGCAATATCCTGCTGTCCAGTACATTTGCAAAGCTGGAAAATGATGTTTTCTTGTCGACGAGGTGTTCTGGAGCCATGTTGAAAGTGTAGAGGGTATCCTAGCGCATTGGCAATGGCTTTGGAAAGAGGAACAGTGCCAAGCGCTTTCTTGAAATTTCGAGGATTACTTCATCAGGATTTGATCATCGGACCGCGCAATCAGTTGCTGCTGCTCGTCGTCTTGCGCGACGACCTCAACCTCAGCGCTACTGCCCTTTCTTACGTTCTCACAGACATATGGCCGACATACACAGCGCAGTGGATTTCCAACGGTGTTATCGGCGTCGAAGTTCAAGACTGCACCCTGAACAGCATACGGTCTCTCTAGTCTCCCAAATTCTACAGGCCTACCGACCCTCTGGAAGAGCCTTTGGACATGGCACATCGAAGATCTGCTTTCGTTTCTGGCTCAACGATACCAACCTACCGGCCGCTTTCGTCAGACCAAAACGAGAATCGGAAACCGCGAAAGCTCGAGATCTCGAACATCCTGACGGTGCCACAATTCTCCGTGACCCCGACCGGGTGTTCAAATGCACTGGATTTCAGGACTGGCCTTTTGCACCCCACTTTCCTAGTCACAGAAGTGTATCTCCTCCTTCACCTCATAAGGCCCCATGGTCTGTAGAATGAGGTAGAGAAGGACTTGTGGCATCTTAACATCCATCCTGTCTCTGGCTTATACTACAACGTTTCTGGAGCGGACAGCTCTCATGCTCTACACCGTTCTCCCGCCTTCTAACGTGTTAAATTCGATCTTCGAAGTTGGATCTGAAGTAGTCGCTCCCTTGGCGGTGTCCAGACCTACGAAGAACTCAACTAACGGGGTGGTGAACGCACTCGCCTTTCAGCGACCCGCGTCCTTTACGCTACTCCCTCCTTCGGGCCGCTTGTATGGAGGGAAGTCCTTCGCGCTGGACTGCCTTGGCTTTATTCCTTCCTTGGACATGCGAAAAACGACTCTCCGTCTCGCCCCTCCTTACCCAACTCCTCGTCGATGCGCAGTCATTAGCCTGCTGTTTACTGTTACACGCTCGGAACTAGAGCGCGATAAGATACTGTCAGCGAAAGGCCATTCTCATTAATTGGGCGATGATGACACTGGCTCCCGAGCCAGACTCTCGTCTCAACCAAAAATATCAGGCTAATCAATGCCTTTAACTGCACGTTTTCTGGCGCAATTGTTCATTGCATCATATCGAATCCCGCGTTCTAAAGGCGGCCTCGACATTGGTCACGGTCGGTCTCTAAACGCTGGCACGTCGAATGACATACCGCCACCTCCTATGACATGTACCATTCTACAGTCGACCTCGATTTGAAATGACCGCCGTACATAAACCCTTGACCCTCAAAGTCTAAAACGTTAATTCGGTCCCAAGTTGTCTATTTGAGGTATATGTCAACTGTCCTTATTTTTCTCCGACATAATCGACTTATCAACTGACCAGAGTTCGGCGTTGCCGCCTTGCATCTGTCGGTCTCATGACCTCGCCTTCGGCCGCTTCGACATCTCTTCCCCGTCCTCCAGCTGGGTCACCGCAGTACGGAGCTCCTTGGCCAAAGTTCGCTTGACAGTTCAAGGCTCTCTCCCGCCTCGAGATGAAAAGTTACACTGACTCCTAGATGTAATACTAAACACCCACCATGGCCAAGAAGCACAGCCTCCCCCGGACTGGGTGATCATCGCGCGCTATTCATTCATCGCCTATTTCTCCCTTGACAATGACAAGTTGATTCCTGATCGCCGATGATAAGTAAGTGACGGATTTCTCCCATTTAAAGAAAGAGTCTGTTTCCCAAGCTCACGTCTTATCGTCATTGAGGCAATTCAGGTAATCGTTTTAGACGTTAACGTACGTCGGTGAAACTTGCCATTGGGCGAAACCGAAACCTGGAATAGGCGGCGTCTGCTCACTGACGGATGGTTGTGCGAGGGCTGGCCGAGCAAGTCGAGGGAGAACCACCACTCAATTCCCTCCCCTTGCCAGAAGCTTTCACTGCCAAGCCCCAGCGAACGCGCCCTTCTCGTTCATATAGGACGCGGCAAGGAGCCAATCTCACATGGTCCTCGAGGCCAATTGAAGATTTAAACAGGTATGATTGACGGAATCCACAGTTTCGGGCTGTTTTGGATGGAAACGTGTTTATGAAGCAGGCTCGGTAGAGTCTCGTTTGATTCGCCCCTCCTCGGTGTGCGGTGTATAACGTACAAGCCAATGATAGGAAGCGGTCGGTTAACGTCAACGGCCGGGACTTGGATGATTGGGGAGGACGATGGGTGCTTCGAAGACTCGCTGCTGCAACACGCGATTATCCCAGTGGGTAGTCGGTAGCCATTGCCTCTTGTGGCGACACGCAATCCATTGACTTCGAACCCTCTTCGAGCTTGCTGTTCTCGTGCTCAATGTGCATCCCTCTATTCGATCTCTGGGCTGCGCATGTCTTGGACGACTTCTCAGAGTCCTTGCTAGGAATGAGGATTCCCCTACAATGCCTCCTGCATTAAATAAAGCTTGATGATTCCCACTGGGGATGCTAACTCATCGGACTTCGCCACACCCCAACGTCAAAATTGAAGGTCAGAATCCAATGAATTCAATCATGCTAATAGATCAAGGTATGATGATGTCAAATGAAGCCCGTGGCGGCAACTGATACTAGTAGTACAACCTGAATGAACAGGTAATGAAAGGCCGTCAAAACATGGAGAAAAAATGAATAAATGCGCGCAAGTAGATAGTGGGTGACAGAATATGGAATTTCAAGTCCGTGATGCAGAGCAAGACCCTCAAGTCGAAGGGCCGGTAGAGATCCGAAGGGCGTCAACGAGCGCTTAACACAGTGCTCGCTCACTGCACCAAGAAATCCCTAACACCCCATCTTCTTCCTCCGCAACACCTCGGAAAGATCAGGCGAAGACGTGTCCTGCCTAAACGGCACATGTATCGATTTGAACGTCTGCGAAGGAGTCATGTTGGATTGTGGATAGGAGGACGAGGAGCTAGTCGAAGGTGAGACGGGTCCAGCGCCGTGGTGATACCCATCGCCATCAGTCTGGCTATATTTAGACGCCTGCCTCCCGTTGGCATAGGTGGCCACTGGGTGATGGATTGGCGGAGGAACGCTGTGTCCGTCAAGGTTCAACATGGACGGGTGGGGCAGGATGTGCGTTCTGCTTCCATGCGCCGTGGTGGGCTGGCTAGGACCAGCGAAGCTCGTGAAGGGATGTGTGGCGAAGGGATCAAAATTGCTGAGCTGGCCGGTACGCATATGCGACCCGGAAGGCGAGGGGGTCCTGGAAGAGGATGATTCGGATGAGGAGGACGACATTGTCACGATGGTGCAGTGGTGTTTCGAAACTGTGTCAAGGGAAGATGTCGATGTGGTTGGAAGCAAAGTGGATGGCTAGTCGCGTCAGCTGAGCTATTTCAAGCCTTTGCAATGACAACTGTAATGGAGCAAGATGAAATGGTTCGAAGCACGGTGGGTGGAGTGTTCGCTACAGGAGCGAGTAAGGGTTGGAGTAATTGATGGAGTAGTGAGAGCAGTTATTCGGAAATACCTCTTTGACGAAAAGAGGCGAGTGAGCAGATGAGCTTGGGGTCGAGTGGCATTTTAGCAACGGAGATTTATAGGATTTGGATGGGTTCAGAAGCGAGTGCAAAAGGAAATTCTGGAAGAATAGGTAAGCGAAAACGCCGTCGGTTCTAGTTGACATCGTGCCTTGGGCTTTATTCTGCCCCCGGTCCAACGGAACGAGGGGGTGTGGATGGGGCCACCCTGCAGGAGCGTATTTGGTAACGACAGCCAAGCTCCGAGAGGCGAGATCTCTAAATAGCCGACCAGTTTTGATACAGCATGCTCCTTGATTGCTCCTTGAGATGAAAGAAGCCTAAGTCATCGCACAGAGGATAACGGATGTTCTGCACAGGCTCCAACCTGAAGGGTAGCGACGAGCACAAGAATCACCACTACCACCTACACCAGAACAACAGTGGAGGCGATTTGGCATACTTCAGTATGACAATTTAGCCACGATGTGAGGAGAAACATACCCATTCCCTTGAGATCCCTGCATTCATCCCTTCTTTACTAGTTCCACATTAGGCAAGCCAGAACCAACAACATAGAAGTGCGGGGAAGTTGACCTCAGTGGCCAGAAGTCATCAATCAAAACACGTTTCTTTCGTTTCTTTTTCCCTGTTCTTCGCTGTGGCTGCTTGGAGACTGATCAACGAGTTAATTACATACCACTTTCTGAACGTAATGCGCTAAAAGAAAAAGGAAGGTCTATACCAGCCGACTCGACTCTCTCTTCGAGATTATTCGCTGCGGGGTATAATTTGCAAGCGAAGTTCAGGAATCAGACGCTCCTCAGCGGTGATAGAATCAGAAATGAGGAGGATCTTCAGATCGCAAAATGGGTGGAAGCCAGCCCTCCCCTAAATTGGGACCATTTCACAACCCCTCGACTCGACTTCGTAGGTCGAGAAAGGAGAGAGCTGGAAAGGCGAGACGACGGTTTCTCCGAGGTTTGGACAGGGGCCTCTGTCCCTGCCGGTCCATGATCATCAGCGGCAACACCCACCCGACGGAGCGGCAACAAAATGCCTCGTGGCGTCCGCGTGACTCGTCCGCCAAGCCCTTCCTTTTCAAGCACCTGGGCATCAACGAATCCCAAGGTTCGAACCCCAGAAGCGCCCAGTTTCATTTCTCGACGATCGTCTGCTCATAATCGATACATACATCTAAAGCTTAAACACTCGTTAATGGCTTTGTTAGTCTGTTTGATATTGTCTTCCTGGCATTAAAGTAGCGGGTAAGCAGCATGTACTCTCGGAAGAAACACTTCCCAATAGGCAACTGTTGTGAAAGGGTGGGGTTTGCTCGCAGGAACACCCATCCCCACCCACGCATCACAGAAATCATCCAGAACTTTCGAGCTGCGATCTCTACGCAGAGAGAAGAACGGGAAGGAATGTGGGGGTGTGGTGGAGATGAGTCGATGTTTCCCATTGGCGCGCTCATTGCCCGCGGCGTTTGCTAGTGCGAGAAAGGTAGGTCAGCACCGACCTTGGCGATGCCCGAGCACCAGTTTATGGTCGGACGACATGAATACGTCAACAAACGGGAGTGGGACCATGTCAACAGCCCTAATTTTCCTGCGATGTCGGATTTGTAGGTGCATGTTGGAGAATCTAGTATGGGGGTACTTACCGCCTCTTCACAAAATCACAACATTTGGTGAGAGCTGGCAGTTCACTGTCCAGTTCTTTTCATTCATTTCATTGCAAGGAGCCAAATTCAGATAAGGGAAGCTCCGCTTCTCCGATGCCTAGACATGACAAGTTCATACAACACTGCCAACCCTTGGCCAACGCCGTCTCTAGTATTCGAAAGGAAGATTTTTCGTAGTCCGCGGCGCTCCTTTAAGACCCCTCGGTGTCTCTATAGGTGCGCAGTGATAGATGCGGCAATTAATCATGATTTATCGAATCGTATAAACGCGGACTCGCTAGCCCTTGCTCTCTACAGGCCTGAAATCCAACAATCCTAGGTATGGATGCGACGAGGGAAGCCAGTAAGAGTGGTAGAAGGCGGCGGTCGCATGCGCCTCTGTAAATAGTATTTCAGCATCAGACCTGACGCAAGGCTTAAACGTGCACCACTTTATGAAAGCTTAAGGTTCCCGAGTCTCCTGATTGAAAGAACCCCTTGCCTTTTCCAAATTCAAGCACTTCCCACTCAGGGGTGTAGGGACAGGCTACGTACGACACATCACAGATTACTCTAGTAATGTTTCGAATATAAAAGGACACTTAATCACCCAAAAACATTTCATCGGGCTTCAACGCGAGGCATGAATTTCCTTATCTCGTTTCATTGGCGGCAAAGGGACGGGCGCTTAAGTTCGATCATAGATAAGATAAGATCAAATATACCGATAACGCGCCCATCTTTACCACACAACGATCGATCGAATTCTGGAGTGTCCGTTGACGACAGCAACCTAACGGGACGGAAGCATAATATTTTCGCGTGGGCGGAAGTTGCAGAATGAAGCCGATGCTACATCCATAAACCGCTGGCGGTACTATCTAGCCAGCAGACTCTTGGGTTCCCGACTGTTTTGGAGCGCCCATGTCCGACAATGTGGAAACTCACCTGGAAGGCCGTCGATCTGGGGCACAGATACCCTCGTCGCAGTCAAATAACGGATTGAATTGAATCCAGATGCGATTTCAACTTTCTGTCAGGTATGTAGCCTTCTGACCGTTTAAGTTCTGAGGGCTGGGAAGAAATGGTGGAAAGTGGATGTGAAGGAAGGCTTTGGTGGAGCCAGTGTCCAGTACATTTGGGAGTCACAATTTCTGCCGAGTCGTGCACATGTTGTCAAGGTCCTGGGTCGTGGAGAATGAGGCCTACGCCAGTTTGTGGTCGGCGAATGGAGATGTGGACCGCGTCTGCGACGAACCTGCAACTCTGACACAATCAACGACCTAAAAAGAAACCCATGGAGGAGAGACCACTGTACGGGGAAGTCACTTACGGTCGGGGAAACCTCGTATTCGCAACACTGTCGCGTCCTTCGGGGAGGAGACACGGTGCACCAATACATTTGGAACATCGGACGAAAACGAAGGCACCAGGGTCAGTTACTTCGAATTTCGAACCCTCGGCGGCTTTAAACACCCCTCCGCACTTGTCAAAGAGATTGTAAGTCCTTAGATTTCGTTGACCCTTCCTAATACCTCGGAATAAACCCCAGATCTCCATCCTGTGTCAACGGTTGTGCACCGAAACGGGAGTAGGGCACGAAGTAACGCCCAGCCGAGTTAGAGTGGACCATTGCTCGAAGACTCCACTCCGGTTATTCGCAAGGTTCGGCGAAGTGTGAACTCTGCGAAGTAAGTCGGGGAAGAACCGCTTATGTGGGGCGCAACCTCGCGAGCGTGGTGGAAGATGACCCAGGAGCTCTCTTCCTAGAATCAGGGATTGAAATAGTGGAGGGTATGCTGGAGTCGGAACGGAGGTGGACGTCATCTAGGAAACGATGATGGCTTTATATGTTGCTGCGGAGAGTCGCGAAGCGTTGAGTGAGTGAGCTCGAGGACTACGCACGCAGCTAGCTCCAAAGTCAGAGGTTAAATCCAGTTCCTCAGGGTACCCAGAGGGACGCATGACAACCAGAACTCCAATCGACACGGAAGGAGAGGAAACCCTTCTGTAGAGTGGCCAACGTCGGCGAACGTTCGTTCATTTAGTCTTTTTCATGCAACATCACAATTCACAGTGCGTTCCAGGCTCGATGGATGCGATGCGGGGTTGATGAATGACGATGGAGGTTCGCTGACAAAACGATGGCCATGGGTTGCTGCCTCTCGTGTGACCATACGAATCCAATCTCGGGGGATCACGAAGATCGAACCTGTCAATATTGTTGTCAGCACACAAGACTTGGACGACTCGAACTTACCGATTCCCGACTAGATTTTAAGTCGGCTAGAACTAGCCATCGGCGATGGTAAAGGCTGTGCAGAATCGTGTGGCTTGAGCGGAAGCGTAAAAAGGAAGAAGACGGAAGAATACAAATTTTGAAATGGTGAAGTGAGCTCCATTTTCGGGCACCCAATTAACGCCCTGGTGTCACGAGGTCAGATGGAGACCTCGGACATAGGACTCCGTTATTCCGGGTGCCCCAATGAATTGGTTCCAGGACAAGGCGGGTGCTTCAAGGAATGTCGAGAAGTTGGGAAGAAGGGATAGAGAGGCCTTTAGAGGTCTGGCGAGGGGTTCGGGGGACGAGTCGCCGGATAGGTGGATGGCGGTCAAGGGTATTGGTAATTGAGAACGGGCACGCCTAAAACACGTTGATCATCGTCATGCGAGCCTCAACTTGCAAGCGATCTAGGGTCCTAGCCTGAACTACACTAATTAGCGTTGTCAAACAGATAAGATTGCAACGCGCGACGCGTCATCCATGTTCCAACAGGTCGGGCAACCCGCAATGCGGGTCAGATATCAGGAATTTTGCGAAATGGAGGTCACAAGACCGTAAAAGCACAGTCCATCAGTTGGGAAAGTGCAACGTGTAAGGTGGGCTGAGGGAAAACACAGAGTGCCCAGGGAATGCGGTGCGACCAGGGCCGAAGGTGGTTGCACACACTTGTATTTACCCAAGAACAAAGGAATGCAGGTAGGCCATCGTATGGAAGAGTGTCTCTGAGAAAGCCAGGTAACTTTTTGAGTTGGAAGGATATGGTTCTAGCCCTGCTTAAGACCGACGCTGTTAAGATGCAATATACAGACGCGTCGTGTGGGTTTACTGTCTAGATTTTTTCAATGGGATATGAATACGGATTGCGCGCCGAAGCTGGTGGACTGGTGGACCGTGGTAAGGGGATAAATGAAGAGAATGTGTGGGATGTGCGGTGGACAGGTGATGGAGTTGGTTCCAAAAGGGGTGAGACTTGATTTTGCCTGGAAATGGGCCCGAAGGTTTTTCCATCAAAACAGGCGACAATTATCTTCTTTCCTCAAACCGCCATAGCCAGCCTTTGCGCCCCTTCTGGGCTTCCATATCGCGTACAATCTGGATCTTCACAGGAATTCATGTTCTTCAGCTCAACAAAATGGCAAAGAATCCCTTCACAGGTGAGCAAATCATCACCATTTTTACGTCCCCGTTCCAGCCAATACTCCCGGCGACGACGAGCAACCAGCTTGTGCACGGCGACCAGAACGAGATCTCTGCCGCCCAGAGACCTGTTCTTATCGCCCAAACGCGATTGTCGCCTGGTTTTCACCGTATTCAAATATCAGACCTGGCGGGCGATCAGATTCAGGGTACTGACATGCTGTGTTCGATATCTACAGTGCTCCCAAAGCAAATGGCTTTCGCGATGTCGCCGTCGTATTCCCATACCGTAAGCGCCGTCGCAGGACAGTCGTCGCTCGACGAAGAGGACGACAACGACATATGTCCAGTGTGCGACGGAGAGTGCACATGCTCCAACAACGTCTCGCGCTCAGTGCCCCCACCGCCCCCGCCGCCGTCGCACGCAGGCCCCCTGTCCATGGAAGAACTAAGTCGCCAATACAAAGTAGTTACCTCGTCCTCCACGCCTTCTTCTCAGCAAAGACCCTCGCTGCACACCCACCAACTCCCAAAACCGTCTCTCAAAATCAAATTGACTCTACCCAAGAATCTCATCGCCAAAAGGCATCAGCATGCCGACGGAGACTCCACCCCTCTCCCAAACCACTATTTGAATCCAGACGAGACAATGTCCGCGGAAGAGAGCGACGAAGAACCCGTCGCAGGCCCATCGACATTGATTCGCTCCCCGCCGCTATACGAATACCCGGTCAAACCTCCACCAAAGAAACGCGGAAGGCCTCGGAAAATCGTGGCCGCAACTGCTCCCCGCGACCATTCTGTCGACTCTATTCACAGTCGTCGGGCTTCAACTTCGCCCGTCCACAAACGCGCAAATCCCAAGGCTTCGATCGTTGGCCGTCCGAAATCGCTCTATGCCGCCAAGGTTGCGAAAAACATCAAATCGCGCGTCGCTCCTCCCAAAAAGCGCACAAAGAAACCCGCTCCAAAGCGTCGTCGTCCATCGTACATGGACAGCGACGACCCCTCTTCCGAATCCTCCTTCAGCGACGACGATGTTTTTGGCCCAGGCCGACACTATGATCTCCATGACGCAGACGATATAGACTCGGTCCAATTCCCTACATTTGTCTCCGCTTCCGCCCTATCCTCAATGGAGTCCGACGATTCGTCCTCCTTATCGGATTTCAGCGATTCGTCGATGGAAAAGGAGGAGGAAGGGTTTATCTTATCGGAGATACAACAACGTGCTCGGGTAAATCGTGAACTCTTGGGTGAAAACTCGAGAAAGGGTGGGCAGTCCCAACACAACGAATGGGTCATCCAGCCGCGGAAGAAGAGCGAAGGGCCTAGTGATGTCGAATTGGATAGTGACGCCACTGAAGACGACGACGACGAGGAGGTGCATGCGATGCAAGAAGCCGATGAGGATGAGGACGAGGACGAGACAGATGGTCATGAAGCCGGTGGCACAGGCCTTGTCACCGGCTGGTCGGATGATGAAGAATCCAGCTTCGACGCCGATCTTTTCTTTGCGAACTTGTCGACGAGCTCCGACAGCGACAGTTCGTCCGACGAGAGCATGCGGAACGGCCTTGATGACGGAGACGACGATACCGTGTCCGACGATTCGACTGAGGCTGGCCTCTTGCATATGCGAGAGGAGCTCGAGAACCTGCCACTCGAACTCACTGAAAGTTGGGACGGACATCTTGTGTTCACCAACGGAATGCATGCAACCGGCGGGGGCGGTATCATCGACATCGACTTTGAGCGCAATGTATCTCAATTCATCCCAGCCCCGCCGCCATGCTGCTCAGAGGCATCATCACCCAATCACGAGCATACAATGGTTCAAGAACACAGCGATGTCGAGATGTCCACTTACGGAAGTGACATGGACGATGGGTACGAGGAGGATGGTGGTGAAGGTGAGGGCGACACAACCGACGAGGAACTAGTTGGCGAGGATGATCTTCCCAACGAGCGGGCCATGCGACTCTTCAATTGGCCTCTCAGCGTCAACGCCATCAACCCTTTGTCTACTGTCAGCCCGATAACTCCTGCGAAGCGCGATCGATTCATTGGTTCTCACCTTCCTCCGCCTACACCAGACGACATCCTGTCCGGTCGGCTATGGGACTCGGATGAGATGGACGAACTGTTTGATCAACAGGGTCGTCAACGAAGCCACAGCCTCTCGTCAAGGACTAGCGGAGGAGGACCCCGCAAAGGAGTGTTTGTCGTCGTACAGGAGACAAAGCAAGCTGTTATCGATGATTCACATAGCGATATTCCTTCGCCTCATCCCAGGTTCAACAGAAACCGCCGTGGTAGACGCCTCAATGCTGTGAGTGCATGGTTTCAAATTTCATTTCCCGCGTTCCATTTGAAACCCTATACCCTCTATCCCTTGCCTTCCTTTCCGCATTCTGCCTCCTTGGCCCGTACTTTTGGGACATGTGCTGATCACCTCCGATTTCTTTCCCATTGATAGATTGAATCGCTGCTCAGGAAGCATTTATCGACCTTGAGGCATGAGCCATCATCCTTCGTCTCTGCGACCACCGTAATCCCCGATCACACACCTCTGAGACTATTGCCTTCCGTTGAAATCAAAGCACCACCTGGAACCTCTTCGCTGAACGAGGAAAATGACGCCGATGCCTTGACTACACCCATCGAGCTGGACGATGTGCTGGACGCTGCCTTCCTTCATCCAGATCCATCCGACTCCAGCCAAACACCCGATGGCGATGCTCCTCCCGAGTCAAGCACTACTGCTGACGAAAGTGACACGAACCAGAAGAGCCTTCGCCACCTAGCTCGTTGGGATGTCATTTCTGTCGGAGCCTTCAGGCAGACCCGGGAGAACGCCGGTATCATGGACAGCCCTGGAGCGCCTGGCTGGACTCCCAGCTCTCGTCGCGGCTCCGCAGCTGATTATGGCAACATCCTCAAAGCCAGTCCTTTCAGTACCATGCTCTGGCCCACGAACGACAAGAGCAAGCGTTCGTCAAAACGAGATTGCGAGGCGGTTGCGCGGGCATTGTCGACTTCTCCATTCATCGGTCCCACCCGGGACGATGGGGATCGAACACCCACCAGACACCAAGGTGGGAAAGAGCATCAGCAATACGACCACAAGTACACGCACAAGTCGAAGAAGCAGCTGAAGAAAGAGAAGAGATTGAAGAGGAAGAGTTATGGGCCGACCCATCTCCCACACCATTATCATTCGCACCACCATCATCCCAATTCAAAGTCGAGAGCTACGGCTTCCTCTCAGCGCAATAACTTTTTGTCTTCGGTACCCCCGTTGCATCTTTAAACTTTTGTAGGTCTCCTCGTTGGTCAAGTCTTCCGGCTTGATCAGTTCACTCCATTATTCTTCATTCCCGACCGCCGTCACCTTTATGCATTTTGGAACTTTGTTTCAAAACCCTTTCCCCAGTTTTCGAATGCTTTCTGAATATGTTTTCTTCAAAAGGGTTTCCCAGTTTTCCTATTGGGTTTACTGTGTTGTTTCTCGCCCCATTTTAAATACCATTCGGCTCGCCATGCGAACCAGCATATTTCTCATCTGTCTCCCTCTCTCTACATCACTACCATTCAACGTTCATCTGTTGTATTCACCAAAAGTCACGCCCCATTATGAATATGTTTCCTTTACTGCAATCACCCGACTTCCCCACCCCATCCAATCCCATTGCCACCAATTTTCTGTGCTCCATGCTCTCCCGTTCAAAAGTGTATCAATTCACCCCTTCTCCCTAACTTTATTCTACCCTCATCATCACATACGGTTGCCATCGTCCAATTGCATTTTATCCACCATCCCACACACACTTTCCGGTACCATGATCGTTTTTCGTTTCTTGGTCTTCTGTTCCTTCTTTGCATCCATCATCTTCCCCCTCTCATCGTCCATTTTGATCAGCATCATCACACGCATCATGGTTCCTAGGATGGCATCCATTTCTCAAATTACTTACTCTGTTTTTCTTTCTCTTGTGTTCTCATTTACTCTCGGACAACGACAACGCAACCCCGCACAGATGCAGTTTTTGTGTCTATGCGTACTCAAAACGAGCAGGGTTTCGTTTACTTTTTGGCTGGCCGCCGTGTCGGTCAACTGGTGGACACTGCCTTGTATCCTCGATGGTTGGCGAAGAGATTTCAGTCTGTTCGTCAGTTGTCATCTTCCCTCCTTTGAACGTGTTGTTGTACTTAATTTTGTTGTAACAAACTCTGTTGTATTAGAGTACGACGCTGTTAATCCGATGTGATAAATCATTCGCGATGCGCACCTTCTACCGGGGGTGAAGTTAAGAACGTGGCATGTAGGCGCTTTACTGTTACTGGTTTGACTGTGCATGCTGGAACCCGGGCCTCCTCTCTCCTCGAAGTATCTACTAGTGCCTGGTTTTCAAGATAAATATATTGCAGTGGGTCAAAGACGAGTTTACAAACTGGGATCAGGTAACGAGGTGCCCCATTCCGGTGTCAAGCAAAAAATGGCCACCTTCGCGCGCCTGCCGTGCTTTGGATCCTTGAAGTAGTACATGTAGCTCTGTTAAAACCTCTCCGGCATAGGTCCCTTGATTTAACCTCTCCGGCCGTCTAGAAATGGGGTCGTAGTACCGCAATCTCGGGGCTACGACAACGGAAGACAAGTGTGGCGTCCTGACCCCGTCAGAAAGCAATGCATCCAGCCTTTCCCAGCTGATTCGCGTTGGCTGGTCAAATAACCACTTGCGGGGAAGGCCGCCATTGTTATTGTTGTCGTCCCAGCGCCCTTCCCATGACCAGGTGAACTCGATAGTGAGCGTCTCGATTGTCGGCTGCTCGCAGATAAAGTCGTGGAGGAAGTCTGCGACCACAGTGGGTGGAAATGCGCCTCTGATGGTATCGTCCTCCGTATAACACCAGCCGAGGTCGAGATTTAATTCCCTGAGGTTTGAAAGTGGGAATCCAAGCGTCGGGGGTGGCGTGGGCTGTTGAGCTGACACGGGCAGCTAGAGATTCACCGTAAGGGCTGGATAGTGCAGAAGAAAGGTGAAAGCTGCATTCTGTACCTAGAGATTCACCGTAAGGGCTGGATCTACGATAATGTGAGTACATGTCAGGTACAGTAGCTATGAGAGAGGATACTCACAGTGCAGAAGAAAGGTGAAAGCTGCACTGCAAGTACCTCGCGAGTCGCGTATGTGTATGTAGTCATGTGATCGTAGCTCTCGTGCTCGATCAATGAAAGTAGAACACACCCCCATCATGGAGAGAACGAGCGGAATGAGAAGAGAATAAAAGGAAAGGAGGAAGAAAAGGTGTCAAAGACCAGGAGGAAGAGAAATAATGCCTAGTGCATCGCGATGTTTTTCGAAAAGGTAACGCTTGAGTGGTTTGGTAAAAATATCGGCGACATTGACAGAAGTGTTAATCCAATGAGTCGCAAAAGTACGTTCTTCAAAGTATTGCTTTATAAAGAGTTCTTGAATGTGAATGTGTTTGGAACGCGATGAAAGTGCAGGAGAGTCGAGTTGATGGAGTGTAGAGCGATTGTCGGCAATCACGGGAATAGTGTCAGGAAGGGGGAGGTTCGCATCTTGAAGGAGTTGGCGATACCATAAAAGTTCCTTGATGAGGTTGGCTGCAGCGTAAAATTCTGATTCAGTTGACGAAACTGCAACGGAACGTTGACGTCTGGAGCCATAGGCGATGAGGGAGCTGTTAAAAAAAATCGCAAATCCCGAGACGCTAAGCCGTGTCTCTGCGTCGGCAGCCCAGTCTGCATCCGAAAAACCGGCCAATTGCCTGATGAGAAAGTCGACGGAGGAGTCGATGGTGTGGGTGGGGCGGAAGGATAAGGCATGATGTCTGGTCTGGAAGAGATATCGAAGGCCACGTTTACCAGCTGCCAGATGCTTAAATTCGGGATTAGAGTTATGTCGACCCAAGGACATTGTCAAGTAAGAAATATCGCCGCGAGTTGTGGTCGCCAGGTAGGTAAGAGACCCAACGAGTGACTGATACTTCTGGACCAAGTTATGTGGGCCAACATGGGGAAAGCATGAGGTGCGAATTGGGGGCAATTGTGAAAACAAGGCCTCCATAGGTGTGAAGACTCCATGAATGTCGTCCTTGAACCATTCCTCAAGGAGGTTGTCGATGAAGGATGTCTGGGAGAGGTAAATTGTGCGACGGGGACGATCGCAAATGATTCGCATCCCAAGAAAGACATCAGCTTCACCAAGGTCTTTGACGTTAATCCCAGCCTCCTTCAATTTCGAGATGACCCATTTCCACAGTGCAGCCGAGTTTGTTCCTCCGATGGCGTCGTCGACGTGAATAGGGAGGAGGAGGACGAGAGGAGAACCATCAGCAGGCATCGGAATAGAAGGATGAGGTGGCAAGGTCCAAATGCCAATAAAGAAGGCATGGTCAAGTTCGCAGCGACGCATACCGATCTCGACAAGGACAGTGAGAAGATGTCGATACCAGGCGAAGGCAGCTTGGCGAAGACCGTACAAGACGACCTTAAGCTTCAAGTACCACTTGGGGTTGGCGAGAGGAAAGCCTGGTAGCTGTTTAGTGTAGATGTCCTGTTCGAGAGGGGAATGGGTGAAAGCCGCGGTTATGTCGAAAGCGAAGAGTTCCCAGTCCCTCTCAGCGACGACTGCAATAGTAGTCCGAACAGCTTGCATGGTGGCAACAGGAGCATACAGGCGTGGACCGCAAGAAGATGGACGTTGTTGAAAACCCTTCACAACGTATCGAGTTTTGTAGGTTCCATCGGCTTTGATAGTAAGAACCCAGCGACCATCAACGACCTCTGCGTTAGGAGGTAATTCCTCGACGACCTCGAAGGCGGGTTTAGACATCAACCAATCGTATTCCTTTTGAAAGGCAGCCATCCATTTATCACGGTCGGGATGAACGGAAGCTTGTTTGTATGTCTGAGGAGGTCGGTTGGGGTCGACAAGTGCGAGGGCGACAGGGTTGTCGAGCAACGACGTGTCCACAAATGCAGCATCAACCATCATACCAGATCTGGATTCGCGAGATAAACGACCAGGTTCGTCAAACATTCGGTGCACCCCCACAACGGCAGTGTAAGCCTCAATGTCGTCGGGTGGGGAGGCATGAATATCGGAAGATGAAGAGGAATGGTCGTCGACGACGTCGTCGTCGGGATCCCAGGCGTCGGCAAGCATGGCGAGGACAGATAAATGAGTAGAAGGTGTGTCAGGAACCTCAGGGGCGTCAGGCATGCTTGCAAGCCGCGCTGAGCGTCGAACCTGTCGAACAGATTCCAAGGTGTCGACGAGATCAGGTGTAGGGGAATCGATGGCAATGCGTCCGCGACGTTTGGCGATGCGGCCCATGTTGGCTTCGTCGAAAATGACATCTCTGGCAAAGAAGATTTTACCAGTAGTGCTGGCGACGATGTAGCCTTTACGATGGTCATCATATCCAAGGAAGGTGGCCTCAGTACGACGAGCATCACCCTTGCGACGAAGTTCGGGGGGGATGATGGGGAAACATCGACAACCAAAGACACGAAGGTGACTGAGATCAGGTTTCTTCCCGAAAAACATCTCGTAAGGGGTTTTGCCGTCAGGGATGGCGGAAGAAGGGAGACGGTTAAGGAGGTATTGAGCACATAAGATAGCGAAGCCCCAGTAAGTCGTGGGTAGACCAGATTCAGCCATGAGACAGGCGCTTACGTCCTGGACCTTCCGGATGTGACGTTCAATGACACCATTCGCTTTGTGAGTGTATGGAGCAGTAGCCTGAATAGCAACGCCCCGTTGAAGAAGGTGTGCCTTCATTGGGCCCTCGGTAAGCTCTTTGGCGTTATCGAGACGAACACTAGAGATACGACGATTTGTGACGTTTTCAATGCGTGCCTCCGTTTGACGATAGGCGGCAAAGGAATCGTCTCGAGAACGCATGAGATAAGCCCATCCGAAGTGAGTAAAGTCGTCCAGAACAGACAAGAAGTACCGCTCAGCTGACGGAGTCTTCACAGGGAACGGTCCGGAGACGTCAAGATGAACTAAGTCACCAAGACGCTCGACACGATGACCGTGAGCTGGGAAGGATTGTGCGGCACGGCGACCCAGGACACAGATGACGCATTGGCAAGGCCCAGAAGTGGATCGCACACAGTGGACACCATCGACATATCGCCCGTTGATCATCGCCCTTGTGACGTCGAAAGAAGGATGACCGAAACGACGATGCCACAATTCCAGATCGGGTGGAAGGTTTGGTAAGAAATTGGGCAGGTCGATCGTGTCGGCGAAAAGGGAGACATGGACATCGGATGAGGGTAGAGGTCTGGGCGGAGACGGCGAGGGTGGTATAAACACACAGTTAAGCATGGTCAGGAATCCGCGTCGAGGTAGGATGAAGAATTTAGACGGTTTTTGACCAGGTAAAGACTCCCAGTGTCGCGAAGAGCGAACACTAAACCAAACCAAACCTTAAAACCAGAGCGGAAGTGCCAGAGAGCTGAGAGCGACGAGAGAGATGAGAGCGATGAGCGGCGAGTTAGACCAGAAAGCTATGTCGATGTATTGACGAAGAGGTCAAGCTGAGGAAATACAGAGCAGACTACCTAGCTTATATACCTATTCTACAGTCTACATAGCCGCGATGAGTCAAAATGACAAACAAATGGCGAAACGTTGAAGAACAATAAGAAAGGTCATGAGGCTGCGCGAAGGCTGCGCGAAGAACAAGGATGAAACAATAATGGAACAAGAGAGTGTCAGAATGAGTCAAGAGGCAGTGCGTAACAATAAGAACAATAGAAGTGGGGCGAAGGGTAATACGAGGCAGTGTTCCATGAGTGAAAGAGTCCATAGAGGGAATAAAGGAGCGAAGGAATAGGGGCAAGCGAAACGATAAGATGCGAGACAGACCAGATAAGATAAAGTGAAAAATAGGGGCTGTACCGGCTGTTCACGACACCCAGCAAATGGTTCGTCCCTTGTCAAACAATACTCGCAGATTGCCAAATTCTGTGAGACGTCCAACTGAAATGAGGTTTAAGGGACTAGAGGGAGCAAACAAGCACTCGGGGAGGGTGATGATGCACCGAGCACCGTTTGTGAGACGCACAGGAAATTTAATCGTGCCAACTCCTTCTGCGATGAGAGGCGACGAACCTGCAGTGCCAATTTGAAGCGAGAGCTCGCGGAATGAGTGGAAAGCATCACGCGATGTAAAAATGTGCTGCGAGCAGCCAGAATCCAACGCAGTGTTGTAGCGAGGTGAGGCATGGGGCAGGGCGACGTCATTGGCGAAGGCGACATTGTCCTCACACGACGAGAGGTAGCAGGAAGCGAAGTAGTTGTCATTGGTGAAGGCGTTGGCATGTACATCGATGGATAATGAGTCTACAAGACCAGCGAACAATGCACCTTCGCGTTCGGTAATTTCCTGCTGTTCTCCATCGTGGTTCTCGTCCTCCGGCTCGGTAAGTGCCCGTAAAGCGTCCTCCTCATCTTCGTCAAGTACACCCCCATCCGCCAACAGAGCCTTTTGTTTCGGTTTCTCCCTTGCATTGGCTTTGGTGTGACCGACGGCACCGCATTGTGACATGTGACCGCGGCTTGCTTGTTGAGAGGTCGAGAAACCTGTTGGGTGGTGGACGTGGTGGAGGTAGAAGTCGCGAGAGAGGCGGAAGGATTAGCGAGAGAAGGGGAGGGGCGAGAATGAGAGGTGCGAGGATTAGAAGCGGGAGTAGAGAAGCCCCCAGCCATGACGTGTTTGTTGGCCTTCTCGATGGTGTGAAGCCCTTTGTCAATATCGGACCACGTAACGTTAGCCGGTCCTTCGTCCATGTGTTCCTCGATGGTAAATTGTTGATCCCAAGTGGTCTTGACAGTGCCGAGAGAAGATGGCAGTTTAGTGATGATGTCGTCAAGAATAGACCGGGGAGATGTGCCATCGAAATCAGAATCACGAACGTCATCGACAAGCTTGCGAACCCTGTCCACAAATGCCTGGACGTTGGTGCCACAGGTGAGTGCCTGAATACGTCGCCAGGCCAAAGAACCCTGGTCGTAAGTGACCGTACCATACTCCGCGAGAAGAGCCCGATATACACGTCGTGCTGTGAACTTTCCGTCATGATGGCGCATAACGTACTCGTTGACCTTGCGCCGGATGTTAGCGGTAACCGGGCCAAGGAGATACTGCTGGGCATAAGTGTCCAGTTCCCACCAGAGATCATATGCCCGATGTTGAATGTCATCAGAGCGATCGTCGAGAACGGGGGAGTACCAGGGACGTGTGGAGGCGGACGTGTTGTTGTCAACTTCGGAGGGCAAGGTGATTAAACCGAGATAGGGATGGTCAAGGGGTTTTAAAACCCCTGGGGTAGAGGCCAAGGGTAGAGCGGGGGTAGGGGTAAGGGTAGGTCTCCGGCTACCCTTGGCCAAACCCCTACCCCCGGTCGGGGGTAAGGGTTTTGATAAAAATCAATCAAAACCCATTTATTTCAGCATCTATGTATATTTTCTACTAAATAACTGCTGTATGCGCAATAAAACACATAAAAATATACATATAGACAACTGTAAGTAATTGTTAGTGCCAAAATACTTAAAACCCTTGGTCAAAACCCCCAGGGTTGGGGGGTAAGGGTACTACCCCTACCCCTCAGTCAGGGGTAGGGGTTTTGGGGGGTGGGGGTAAGGGTAGGTGTCCGGCTACCCGGGGGTTACCCCTGTCCTTCCCTAAACCGAGAATATTAAGGCCGTAGAGGATGTGTTTGATAGACCCAATCCAGTCGCGCCAACCGTCACGAGTGTCCAGGGGAGTGATATGAGAAGTAGGAACAAGAGAACCTTTCCGCCGCATAGAAAGGGGAAGTGCGAACGGATTAACTGAATGTTGTAATTTACCAGAAGAAGCTTCGATGACGAGGCGTCGTAATTCTTGAGTGTAACTAAAATCGGGTGTACCTCTGCGTCGGTCCGAGGCGGACTGTTCGTCACCACGCATATCGCCAAGAACATCGCGGCGTCCAGAGGAATCACCCCCATGAGTGGTACGCGGAGGTTCTTGCCCAACAGCACCCCCATAAGAATGCTGATTAGGCGCGTTGCCACCGTTAGGAGGAGGAACGGGCGAAGCCGCCGAAGCGGAGGTTTGATAGGTAGTGGCCGTGGCCTGGCTACCCGACGGCAAGAGATGACGTACCTCTTGAGGAGCTCGGTCTAAAAGCTCTTGGGGAATAACTTGATCTGTGGGCCAACTCACAGGCTCCTGGCAGGTTACGAGTCCGTTTGTACCATGGTGGATTGTGGATGGCGCTCGCTGGCGCACACCTTCGGCGTGCTCGCGCTCGCGCCCAGAAGAATGCCTATTGGAGACTAGAGCCATTAATATATATTCTCTTGTAAATACATTTAACAGTCTAATAGAGTCAAGCTACACTACCATAATGGATGTATCAAAATATCGTACATAACTTATAAGTGAAATGAATGGTGCCCTTAGGGATTGAACCGGCAGCCCCTATTGGCTAGTGAGGAAAAACCCGGGCATTTTGATGACATCAATGCCATCAACACTGCCACTTTGCCATGCCCAGTCCAAAACGGAATTGGGACTCCTATCTATAATCATAGGATGATGTCATAGAATGTCCTGATAAAAAGCGACTGACCACAAATTATTGCATCATATGTCTAACTGCCCCTATAAACCGGACTATATGAACGAAGTGTCGGAAGGTGTAAGGCCAACTAGTGTTCACCACGGGTAAACCCCGGGTCTGAAAGCCAGGACCCGGACCCGGACCCTGCCAAAACCCTACCCGCAACCCTGCGGGTTTTCCGCAGGGTTTGAGCTTTATTTCGTCCAAAACGGCCCAGAAATGGGCGAGTTATGCTCAATTTACTTAAATCAAACATAACTCGGCCATTTCATGGCCGATTTGGACGTGTAAGGGCTTGTTTTAGCGATCGCGGGTACGAAAATGCGTACCCGGACCCGGACCCGCCCTTACCCCTACCCGAAACCCGCAGGGTCTGCCGTACCCCTGCTTTTCACTAAGGCCAACATAAGTGAAATAAAGGAGATGTTGAAATTAAAGGACCACCACCTGTCCATCAAACCGTCAAAATTGAAATGAAAAGTCGCACAGGCTTAAATGAAGTCTCACTACTTATCTCAAGTGCTGCAGTGACAGCTGTCAACGAACCCATTAATGTTAATGGCTGTCCATCAAATGGGCGAAATGAAGGCTTCTATGAAAAGTCCCACGGGCCTAAATGAAGTCTCACAAAATCGAGCAGCATAGAAACGACTCCTTACGGACTCGTAAAAACCGAACATGGCATATATGTTGCTAAGAAGACTGAAAAAATTGGATCCGGTTTGGAAGGAAGGATTGGCAACAAGAGGATTCGCGGGAATGTGTGTATTAGGAAGAGAATAGGCAGAAACGGATGGGAAATTCAAATTGTCTGGACTCGTGACGATCGGGGGAGCAGGAGAGGGCGTACCAGCGTTGGGCGGTGCACGTGCGCCACCACCAATAGCTCTACCGAAACCGGCAACACCTGGTTGCGGACCGCGAGGTTGGGGAAAGCGGTTGATGTACCGCCCGCCGGGCCTGAGTATGTTACGAACTGGGGGCGGTGGTTGTTGTTGCTCATCATCGTCCACCGTCTCGGGAATGGGGCTGGGAGGGGATGTTTGGTATTCTTCGGGCAAAGGAGTTAAAGGCGAGTCTCCCCATTGGTTCTGCCAAGGGTCGAAAATGGGTGCGGGAGTACGGAAAGGATTGGCTGGTCGAGAATTCGCCATTTCGACAAAGGCGAGATCCTCCAAAAGGGCGTATGCAACGTTCGCTCGGGCGTAATCTTCACAAAGATCAAAAATGGAGCCTAGGCGGGGCTCATAACCTGTTGAGCTGACACGGGCAGCTAGAGATTCACCGTAAGGGCTGGATAGTGCAGAAGAAAGGTGAAAGCTGCATTCTGTACCTAGAGATTCACCGTAAGGGCTGGATCTACGATAATGCGAGTACAGGTACAGTAGCTATGAGAGAGGATACTCACAGTGCAGAAGAAAGGTGAAAGCTGCACTGCAAGTACCTCGCGAGTCGCGTATGTGTATGTAGTCATGTGATCGTAGCTCTCGTGCTCGATCATGAAAGTAGAACATGGGCGATGGGACATAGACTATCAATGTTTCGAAAGTATGAGCTTAGGTCAATTATTAGCTTGACAAAAATGTGACAAGTCTACTCACGGCTACCCATAAGAGTTCCATACATTAACCTGAGGTGGCTAACAGTCTCTCGTGAGAGAGATAGAATTTGATGCACGCTCTTCTCATCTTCAAGCGTCTGTATGCAGAGCGACTCCGAGGCTTCCTCTAGTTGGGTAAAGTCGAGACCGCTGTTGAGGAAGTGAGGGGAAGAGCTGGTTGGCATTATATCGGGATCAGCATTTAGTATTTGAAAGTACTTGAGTGATGACTTGGAAGTCGCTAGTTGTAGTTTGAGGTGGCATTCATCTGGGATGGTGTCTTCCCCAATCGCCGTGTATGAGACGCTGAGCCATTCCACTGTGGGAGCCAATCGCCGAGGAATCACGGGAGGAAGGTCCCATATATAGTCGAAAGCCAGCTTCTTGAGCAGGCCTCCGTCTTGACGAGTGAGGAATTCCAGAAGAGCCGCTCGAGTGCCATCCTTCAGGTGGCACCAGTTGACAGATAAGGAGAAAGAATGAACGTTATCGAGTTTCTGCAGTAAAGGACGGAATAGCTTGTCGAGTGCGACTATTGTTGCTTCCAGGTTGGGTTGAAAAGCCCCTGAAAATTGAGGACACGGGGGAATTCTGTCAACGCCTATGACATTCAGTTCCCTGATGTACGGGATCAAGTGAGGGTGAGTTTCGAGCATCGATAGCGAGTGCGTCAAGTGCTGTTCTACTGTCGGACGAGTTTTCTTCTCTTCTGGAGAGGTAAAACTCAATCTGAAGAATATCTGTGTTCTGCAGCGATGTAGAAGAGAAGGGGTTGACAGCGATAAGGCGACGAGCGCTTGAAATGCAGGATCCGTCGTTGGCCTGGCTGGCGACCCGAATGGTGGGTTGACCTCGCGGCCTAGCTCGTCGATGACAGATTCGAGAATATCGCGACCAAGGAGGGCCATGGAGTCTGCGCTGTGTTATGAGAAGGGGCCTAGGGCCTAGGAGTAGAGCAGGAGCTGAAGGCCAGTTTGGGCGCCGTTGATCCTACATGCAGACTACCGGCGTTTGCCGAATCCGAATTCCAGTGGGACTATGTAAGCCGTTCAACGACTTCAGTTGATCAGAAACGACATTAACCAAAGCATTGTCGTCTTCTGTAGACCAGGGTGTCGGCGGTCGCTTACTGTGCGGCGGTCAGATTTCATGTCTTTCACTGGGCCAAATACGAGTATTGTCACAATGATGTCTGGAAGAACAAACGTCGCCGACTAGATAACCTTGAACTTCTTCAACCATCTCCAATGAGGCGAGATATGTCCCCTCACTCGTCTCGCATAACCGAGAGTGTACAGACATCCACCCATCAGTACTGATATCACGCTGATCAGCCCTGCCCATCGGAACTGGGAGGGTTTAGCAAGTCCTATCGTGATCGCATACTTTGCGAGGTCGAACATATCCTGGGCGGCATCCGTAAAAGGTCTGGATGGCTCGAGGGTAATAAGAATTTACCTGCATGATGAATTGGATGGACGTCAATCTCGTTCGTCGAGGATGGGATTCCAAGGATTCTTGCAGGATTTGGACTTGGGATAAGTCGAACATCCAGAGCCCGATTCGAGACAAGGCCATCCCTGTAAGGGTAGATTAAGTCAAAGAAAAGGGAGAGGCGTGTGGATACTGACCTCCGAAAAGCATGGCTGCGTTCCAGGGCGGTGTGCTGATCTTTGTTACACGCTCACTGGACCCCACATATAACGAGACAACGACAGGGATCAAACACGCGAACTCAGACCTGGCGTCAGTCGTATTAGTTAGCGGATACCAACCCACAATCAAGCACTGGCGTACCAGATGGCCCAACTACCAGTCCGAACTAATCCAATACGTTGCATGACAAGAGGAAACAGCAAGGTCCCTATGAGGCCAGCGATAGTACACACTCCCCGTTGTGCGGCCAAAAAGGGATCAGAGTAGTTCAGTGTATTTTTGAGGAAGGTGAGCATGGTGCCGTCGAAAGAGAGGACCTAGAGGTTCATTCAGAACTCGAGAATTCTTAGAGCACCGGAAGAACGTGATACATACCGTCAAATAGATGCTGGCAATCGACAGGGATGCTGAACGATAGACCATGTCAACAAGCACAAACTGTAGTTGAGGCGAGGGACGCACTGAAGAACACCGGGAGCTTGCTGAACTCTCGGAGGTCGTGGGCGAACTCCCGAACTGAAGCGGTCGATTTCCGAAGCAACTTTCTTCCGATTGATTCAATTTGGGCATCCATCGCCTGCGAAGAGTGCTGTTCTCCGTTTCCAATAGAAGGTGGACTTGGAATGATCCCATGTTGACGAGCCTGTAGCTCAGGGAAGTGTCGATAGACCACCCCACTGAGGAACATCTATGTGATTGGGCTCGACCGGTATTGAAAGAGCATTCCGAGAATACTCGCCTCGAGGACAAGTGCTACGCCAGACATACCGGCCAAAAAGGCAGCTGCAAAGGGGTAATGCACGCCTGCGGACAACCCAGACACAAATAGGGGAGCGACAAGATCGCATATGAGGTCCTATGGTTCGATAAAGTGAATCAGTAAACATGTCCACTACGAAGAGATGTGCGACATACCACTCTTCGTATCCAGGTATTCATCCTTGTAAGCCGCTGCGACGAACCCCTTCCGATAGCAGAAGGCCACTCTCTCTCCACACTAAGCGTCAAACACACGCTAGAGACCTTGAGCACGCATCCAGCAATCACCAATACTCCCAACATGGCATCGTCCCTCGGTTTATTCCCCCTTTCAACTGCATGGGTGATCTCCATCCTCGATCCAGCGAGTCTGAAGAAGACCAGAAACACGGAGTATATAGCCCCACAGCATAGTTTTTGAATTGCTGTAGCTGTCCTCGCGACTCGAAGCCTGTCATGTTGATCGACGAACCTGCCTGCTAGGTTTGAGAATAGGATCCCAGACGTGGTGGTGCAGAGTCCAAAGGTAGATGCGGGGACTAGAGTGGTCGGGAAGAGGGGCACCAAGAAGAGGTAGGTCGAGAATGTAACCGAGCGATCTTGCCAGGCGCTGCGGTGGCTACGGTTATCTTACAGTGTCGATGCAATGGCCGAGAAAACCACGCACGAGGAGAATCGAAGCAAGCACAACATTGCCAGGCCTTTGAGGGTCACTTGGGGAACGGTGTCATTGTTGGCTTCAGCAATTTCGAATTGCTCAAAACGTTGCCCGGTGACCGATGGTGGGCTGGGATCTGGTTCTACGGGCGCTTCTTCGACCAAAGTGACCGTCTTGTCATCATCAGCGCGTTTGCCAGGGTCGAACACGGCCGAACTCATCCTTGGAAAAATGACCAAAGCGAAAACATAGAGTATTTGAATTTATGGTGCCACGATTCTGACATTGCCGATGCGAAATCTTGCCCATTCTGGATCCCGGGGTGTGGTCACTGTCAGAAGTCAGAAGTGGACCCGTGCCTTCGTGAATTGATCCTGGAAGACGAGATTGATGGCCCATCAATTCCAATGTTTTTCTATCTCTCCTTCCTTCGTCCTCCTCCAACCCAAGCACCTTTATCGTCTCCGATCTTAATAACGCCCCAAATATCCAACGACCTGCGCACAGAGCCTTTCTTATCCGTTCAAGACCTGTACTACTCATGGCTTCAGGAACCCGAACCACGCACGGCTAGAAATGTCGCGCCAAAAGGACCAGTGTTCACCCAACCGACTAAATTGACAACGTACAGACAAGCGACGGCGTATAAAGAGATCCCCGTTCCATTACCCAAAAATCTGCGCGAAGGACAGCAATGGAGGCTTATTCTTATGGTGCAGAACCGGATGGACATCCTGAGCATTGATTTGGGGAAAGAGGACATCGGTGCTGGGATACCTTTTCCTGTTCTTTCGATGCCTATCTTGTTCACTGCGAGAGCTGGCAGATGGGCACCGAAGCAGGAGCAGATCGAGCGATTGTACAGGTTCTCTGTAGCACGACCAGAGCTACCTTCTGTTCCAGATGGTGGACAGCCATCACCTAGCACGGCCGGTCCATCTGTACAAAATGTCGCTCTACGCATTCGAGAGCAGACTTCTTTTGATCTCGACAAAGTAAGCATCTTGGTCTTCAACACTAAGCTGAATATGTTGACGATGTATAGCGACTTCTAGAAAATCTGGGATAGTGGGATTGGATTGAGTTCTTGGCTTGTCAAATTGGCCGAGAGCTCCTCAACTGGAGGGTTCCAGCTTGGCCAAGAAGGGTCCGCCTTGAGGGAGAGGTTGAAGGAAATCATCTTGAATACCTCTCGACAGAGGATCCTGGAGCTAGGTAACGTCCTCCCATCTACCCCTTTCCCGTACAACATGATAACGCGATTCAAAGGTGCTGGCATCGGCATCGTGGCTCTAGTACTTTCTGTCTTGCGAGCCAACTTCCGAGCTACCGAGAGTGCAGAAGAAAGGGACGAGATTCTCACCACCGATCTGGGTATGTGCGCTTAATACCTTCAATAACGCTTTGTTGACGGAACGCTCTGCTAGATTCGGCCATCCCCCTCCTCGAACACAACATCGCCACCAACCAACGATTCTACCCCTCCGTAGAGTTGAAAGCGGGTGTTTTGAACTGGGAAGAAGACTATATCTCCCAAGTCAAAGAAAGCGGTCCCAAATTCGACCTTGTCGTGTACGCTCGCATTGCCTGTCCCCACACCTCTGTACGACGCTGACATGCTCTTCCGCGTCCATAGGATGGCTGACGTGACATACAACACCTCATCATTCCCGGCTCTCGTCCAGACACTCAAGAGTATTTTGCAAGCCAACGAGGAAAAGAAACCTCTTATCGTCCTGGGGTATAAACAACGAGATGAATCGGAAAGATCTCTGTGGGAGATGGCAAAGGAGATTGGGATCGACTTTGTGCCAGTTGGCGAGGTGCCGGGATATGGCGAAGCGCCGATCGAGATTTGGATCGCATAAGGCTAGATGTTCAGGCGTGTAGTGTATGGAAACGAAACGATTCTTATTACAGTTCGAGCGGTAACATCGAGTGCATGGTCTATCATATCAGTCTGTCCGTCCGGTAGGTCAGAATAAGCAAGCGAGGCAGGACTTCAGTCGCTATCGTCTTCATCATCTGTATCCACCAACGGGATGAAGCGTCTTCCTTCGCGCTATACAGACATCGTCAGACGGAAGTCAGAAAAACTGTTCATTAGTCACGTACAACAGGTTCCTTCATTCGTTCCTGGAGAGGACGGGGACCGTTGTTGGTTGGTGCGCGAAGGAGCAGCGGCTTATTAGCTTCTGGCCCAAAACGTGGTGTATTGCTCGTGGGCTTTGTTGCCGTTGCTGTTGTGATGGTCGAGCTACGGCTCAGAGACACCATACCCGCCGGGGGAGGCATGGTCGTATTCTTCGCAGCTTGCGAAGTCATACGTTCATTTTTCAAGACTTGCGGGGTCTGAGCAATTTTGAGCGCCCTCCCTTCTCCAGCAACCGCGTTTCTTAGAGAAGGTGTAACAGGCTTGGGTGTAAAGTTGGATATATGCACCGGAGTCTTGGAAGTGGAGGAGAAAGCGAGCGGGGCGATGGCAAGGGGTTTGATTAAAGGTCGTCGTGCCAATGCGGCCCTGTTCAACAATCGTTAACGAAGACCATCCAATACAGTATACAACCATAATGGTGCATACCTCGATTCTTCTGCTCCTACCCTTGAGGGTCCTGGTGTTGCTGATTTCCCAGGGCCCACGAGGCGGGTGGACGAAGGTGGCATGGGTCTCTTCGATACCGAGCGCTGATTGGAGCCTGGCGGGAACGGGAACAAATCTTGGAGAGGGCGTCGGGGTGTGACAAGTGGCGCAGACCTTTCGTTCACCTGGGGTTTGGTGGAAGGACCTTCAGAATCTGTCGAATACTTGATGAGGTCCGGAGATGAACTGGGAAAAAGGCGCTGCGTAAGCTCTAACGAAGGCTTCTGAACGCTCCTTGGTGACTCTATGCGTCGTTTCTTCTGAGCAGAACCTGGGAGTGGCTTGGGCGGGGATATTTCCTGGATATCGGAATCGACGCGTTGTCGTTTTCGCAACGTTTCTTGATGATAGGACGGTTGGCGTTTCTCGATGATGGTCTGAGATGAAGCATCCGTTCTCTGGGTTTGAGAAGGATTCGCCAGGGACGTCGATGGTGCGAGCCGAGGAGGCAGTGACTGCAAGAGAGGAAGCAAGGGTGTCACGGCGTTCAGAATGAGGTTCTGCTGGGCCTGTAGGTTCTGAATTGCCTGAATCTGGGTCTGAAGCGCTTGCGAATGGGTTTGGTTGAACTAGAGGGATGGCACGGTGAGTAAATAGTCCCAATGGATATCGTCTCGAGTACCGCTTGCATCGCATCCAAGCGCTGATCAAGGCTCTCAAGCCTCAGCTCGACTTTGTTCATAAACGCATCCAGCGCTGCGCTCTGAGCTGGACTTCCAATTGAGCTCTGCAGCTGTTTCTGACTCCTGTTAACTAGCGCACGCAAGGATTTATTTAGAAAAAAGGAAGAGATTGAAGGGGCGCAAATGGAAAACCTAGATCTATAATGTCGCCTAAGAGCTTATCGTGTTCCTGTTCAAACGTAGAACTCGTTTTCCTGAGTTCCTGGCTTGTTTCTTTCACGTTTGAGATCAGAGCCTCGACGTGACCAGAGAATTTCTCCAGGTTCATCTGGGTGTCGTGTAATAGTACCCTCATCGTCGTTGCGTTCTTGTCCTGAGGAGCCAGAGGGGGAAGATTCGAGATGTCCAGTCCATTGTTCGGTTTTTGTTGGTCATTGCGGAGTAAATGAGCCCAAAGCGTTGCAGAACCAGTCCTAGCAGCCATCGAAGAAACAAAATAGGGGTCAAGCCATTCACGGAAGCGCGTATCTGGTCGCAAAGCCTGGGAACTTTGTGACAGGACTGTCACACCGTTACGCGTCGCGTTTCTGCGATCACATGATGGTATATCCCTTTGTTGAAGACTCTGATTAACCGCCAATTTCAATAATGGCTCCTCCGCGTCGAGCTCGCTCCCCAAACGGCGCTCGCGTTCATTATGAAGAAAACTCAGAAGGCGACGACAGCGAGCAAGAAACCCCGCGACTCCAGAAGTCGCACCTCAAAAAACGACTGAGCGAGGCCTACATCCCGGATGGCGACGCCAGCTTCACGTCCGAGAGCGGCCAGCCGGGTCCTGGTGGAGCACGGGCGCCTCTCAAATCCGTGAATATTAACGACGACGAGGCGGAGAAGAGGAGACGGAGGAAGAGCATGTATCCTGGAATGCTGGAGAACGCTGTCGCAGGCCCCTCATCCGAGGGTAACCAGGACGTCTCGGGCGATTCGTCCAGGACGATGGGCAGGACCAAGCAACTCCTCACGTCTGTGGCATCCCAGCCCGTGCCCAAAGTTCAGATCGACATTGTGAGCTCGAGATTCGAGGAATGGATGAAAATGGCGACCGACAACGTACGCTTCAAGTCCTTTCATTTTTTTCCGCTTTGGCGAGCTAACCTTTTGCCCTGTAGAAAATTAACGCGGGTAACTCATGGGACTTTGCGCTCATCGACTATTTCCATGACATGTCGCTGTTGCGGAATAATGACGACAACTCGATCAACTTTCAGCGCGCGTCCTGCACTTTGGACGGTTGCGTGAAGATTTGGACGTCGCGTGTTGACAGTCTTGGAACCGAGACGGGAAAGCTTCTGAGCAATCTTGCGTCCGGCAGGAACGACGATGACGACGACGAGAATTCCGATAACCCTGACGGTGGTCCGACGCAGAAGAAGAAAAAATCGTCGCGGTCAGGCAACCACTGGCTTGTCAAGGACTATGCAGCTATTCAACTTCAAAAGTTCGATCTGGAGTTCAGCGTTGACCCTCTGTTCAAGAAGACCAGTGAAGACTTTGACGAGGGTGGTGCCCGAGGCTTGCTCATGAACCACCTGAGCTTAGGCTTGGGAAGTGATGGTGGAATGCGCGTCATTTTCGACGCCAGTGACTCCGTCTTTAAGGAGGACGACGAAGTTGTGGACGAACCGGTTGACCTTATTGACCTCAGCGAACTTCGGGGTGAGTAGCCCCAACGTCGCCCTGAACATTGTACTGAACGGTTGTTGTTTAGAGAAATTCCTCCCTGACTTGGAGGTTCTTGAGAACAAAGCTATCTCCCACTCCCTCGCCGGGTTCACTTTCTCGAAAGATTTCGACTTTGACAGTCAGGGCAACACCCAACAAGAAATTACAACAGCAAGATTCGATGACATTGACGATGATAACGACTCTGACGATGGTCCAGCGGGAGGCGACTTCCACATGGACGTTGACCAGAATCCTGGAGCAGTGGAAGACTTCTTCGAAACTCAAGACGGCGCACACGACGACTATGCCTTTGGTGGTCAAGACATGGGTGGTGATGATTTCGGCGGGGAAGGGTCGAACGGAGGGTCGGTGGGACCTGTTGCTCCTGGCGAGGACGGTCCAATGGGTCCTCCTATGCCTTTCGACCCTCGTAAAGAACCCAATCAACGCGAGTTGTTCTTGGCCATGGACGGAGAGGGAGATGGCGCATTGGACTACTTCGACAGTCAGTTCCGCAGGAATTGGGCTGGCCCTGAGCATTGGAAACTGCGACGCCTTCAAAATGGTAAGCATGTTTCCTGCATCCGTATTGGTTTTACGCGATTAATCGCCTTTGTTCTACAGCAAATCTCAATTCTAATAACGCGGGCGAGAACAAGCAACCAAAGACCAGGACGAAGAAGGAACCTGTGAAGATCGACTTCTTAACCCCTTCAGAGAAGAGTTTGAAGGCGATCAAGGAAGAACTCTTTGCGCCTGTCGGGAAGGGTCAGAGCATCAATCTACCGGGCACTGGACCCAAAACTCGGAAGAAGAAAGACAAGAAGAAAGATGACCATCGCTTGCCAGACGATATGCATTTCTCAAGTCGACAGTTGGTCACCCTCTTCTTGAAGCCTAAATTCTTCGTGAGTATTTCTATTGCCTTTGCATCTCGTCAGAGACTTATGGTTTTCTGCAGTTGAAGATGCGCGGGCGGCGGGCAAGAATGAACAACGATGACGGCGAGATCGACGAAAACTTCTGGGCGCAAGCTGCTGCTGATCAAGCTCGAGCTCGTGAAGGAGATCAGGACGATGGTATGCTCTCGTCCATTTGAGGTTGGTATCCTTGCTAAACGATGCACTCCAGATGGCGGCCATGTGCCCTTCAGCACCCAATTCTTCAACGACGATGACGATGATGGTCCTGGCGGATTCGACGATCCGTATGGAGAGATTGGTCCTTCCGTTATCGATGCTGGCGAGCAGGATTTGTTGGCCGCTACTCAAGGCCAGACCAGGCGCATCAAGCCCGAGGCAATCAATTACGCGAAACGAGCTAAGCGTGTCGATGTTCGCAAACTCAAAGAGAACATTTGGAACCACCTCGACATTGTTGTACCCAAGTCTAAACCGGAGGACGGAATGGTGTGTGACCCCAGATGTCTTTTCTAGCCCAAGCTAATCGGTCCTCACAGGACGTGGACGATGATGAGAACGAGAAAGACAAGAGGCCTCCTACTGATCCAAACGAGGCCCGCCAATTCAGCCAAGTCGTCACTGGCCTCAAGAACTCGTATCCGGCCGACAAACTGGAGGAGATCAGCACGAGTTTCTGTTTCATCTGTTTATTGCATTTGGCGAACGAGCAAGGTTTGAAACTTGAGACGGCGAGTGGCAATGGGGACGGTGACGATATGCCTGTGGATTCCATTATCCCTGATGATGATGACGACGAGATCGCTGCTGGTAAACCAGGGAATGACCTCTGGAGTATAAAGGTCAGTTGGCTCTATATTGAAGTGGCCAATGCACTAACACGTTTCGTGTCATAGATTTACCGCGACCCTAATGCAACGCAATCAGCATGATACCCTGTGCATATGGACTTGTAGTAATCCCTAAATATTTTTTATTGTCTTGTTGCAGTCTTCTGGTTGTTGTGGTTTCCTATCTTATCCTCCTGTTGTAACGGCTAGCTTAGAGCACATAAAGTACATTCTTGAATCGTCCTGTATAATGGTTCTTTCAAAGCTACTGTACCATTTCGATCAATTCGACCGGGGGTCTGACCGATGACAGATTGGTCGAAATGTCAAATTCGACCAACAGGGTTGCGACCGATGACCTCAACAAAATTTCGACCGAAAATCAACGACATCACGGTAAATTCTAACTTTTTCGTTGGATTCTACTTAATTTCTTTACTTTAGTGTTCGTACACAATCTATTCAAAGCCACTTTTTAGGGGGGAAGAATTGACCCTTCGCAGTTTGGGAATAAAATTTCGACCGGAGCTCTGATGACCGATGACATGATTCCAAATTTCGACAAACCAGAGGGGGTATGACCGATGACGGTCGAATTGATCGAAATGCTACAGTACGCGGAGCCATGTTTGTATTTGGCTCAGTGGGATTTGTTTGGTCGTTTGAGGCGCGTCGGTAGGGCGCTATTGCTTTGCTTCCTCCCGCTCACAATGTCTCTTCGTGATTCCAATGTCGTGATACTTGAAACCAGCAGAACATCCATCCGCGCTGGACTGGGCCTGCATGATCTCCTGAAAACGCCCACCGTCGTACGTGTATTCCCAGCAGCCCGTAATAGTAGGAGGGATTCTGGATGAATGCAAACTAATGTCGTTTGTTGCTATCATAGGATATCCCGGCGCGTGTGGGATTGAGAAAATCGGGAACCAATGGCGTGGAAGACCCCTCTGCCTCGACTAGCCGTGCTGCTAGCTCGAAACCCAATGGCACCAATGGGGGACCTCAGGTGCACGACTATCTCGTCGGTGTGCAGTTGGATGAAGCGCTTGCTGGGCCTGGGGCCGAAGATGTTGTCGTATCATGGCCATTCCTGAATGGAACAGTGTCTGACTGGACACAAGCTGAAGCACTATGGTACGCTCCCAGTCTATCTGCCTCCAGAGTCCAAGCCAAAGTATAAACCAGGAAATACGTGCTCTTCAACCAACTTCAACGACGTCGCGCTCAAAATGAGTCGCCAGTCCTTCTCACCCTTCCCGTTCCTGTTCCCTCGCGTACCGAATACGAAACTGCTTGTCAAGTCTTTTTTGAACGGTTCAATGTACCCGCATTCGCCATCCTCGACCGCCCTCTCGCCCAACTCTATTCTGCCAACTCTCTCTCCGGAGTAGTCGTCGACATCGGGCTCGAAACCACAGATATAACACCGATTAACGAGGGAACGCTCGTTCACCATGCAAAGTTGTCGACGAAAGTAGGAACTCGGACGTGCAAACATTACCTCGCACACCTGTTAAAGAGCAATTCGAGCGTGATGCAAGCTATTTCGCCGGCTTCGAACCCGCTTCCAGACGCAGAACTCCATTTCACGCTCGTACGACTGGCGAAGCAGCTGGTCGCGGCTGGATTGATCAAACCTCCCTCTTCTGGAGAATTGGCAGCCCCGCCTGAAGATGAAGGCGTGACGGATATCGCGGCTGTGGTTGTGGCAGGAAAGGAACGCGCCGTGATCGAGAGTGGGATGAAGAAAAAGATGAACGCGAAAGCTACAGCAGCGGAGCTGGCGAGGGCGAAGGAAATCGAGGCTATGGATTTGGTTACCGTCGAGTTTGAGGGGAAGGAGGTGACTGTTGGAAAGGAGAGACATAGGTTTTGTGAACCGATTTTTGATCCTGAGATTGTCGAATCTCTGGGATTAGAAAAGTTCGCTGCGCTAGATGCGACTGGTGCAACAAGCAATCTGAGCGTGGCGAAGGGGGAGGAAGGATTACCGCCTGTGACATTGACCGATGCGGAGGGGCAGAAGATTAGAGCGCTGCAGGAGACAGTTGGGAGGGCTGTTAACCTCGTGGATGTGGACCTCAGACAGTATCTCTGGCAGGGCTTGTTGGTTACTGGAGAAATTACGCGGTTTGTCAAGGGTGTGTCTCCCCATTGGACTACTTGATGCGTTTTCTGACGCGAAGCTCTTCCACCAGGCATTGGTATCTCCCTCCAATCACGACTGCAACCATTCCTAACTGCTTCGGGTCTTGACACCGATGTTCAACCCCGAGCAATCCGTGTCATTAACGTTCCCGAGTATTATGCTGAATATAGAGACACGGGCAATGGTTATTCTGCTTTCTTGGGCAGCAGCATTGTCGCAAAAGTGAGTTCTTTGCTTCTTTCAATGCATGTGATCTTTCGAACGTTGTTACCCCTTATCTTTTCCCTTGCACCTTGTTTCTGATGGGATATGGATATTTTACTGATGGCGTTGTGTCTTCTTTCGAATCTTTCTAGATTATCTTCAACGACAACAGCCAGTCGAATTATGTTTCTAAGGCTGACTATACCGCCAAGGGGCCACATGCAATCATAGAAAGTACCCCATCGTTGTTGTAATATCTCTATCTACGTACGACCTCTGGCGTCTGGTCTTGTTGATTTAAGCACTGATACTTGCCTGTATATCCCTAACAAGCCGCTCACCGTGATGACAAGGATGCGGTTCAGTTTAGTGTTTGCCTTTTCACCCGATTTGTGAGCGTTGGGGGCCGAGTCTATATTTGGAAGTGTCCTTGTTAGAACGAACTGCCCATCACTCCACGTTTTTTCTTTCTCCTTGTTCCCCTCACTCCTCGTGTCCTTATGACGCCCGCAACCCTACTTGCAGGCTTCTCGGGCTACAATGATCCTTCCTCTACCGGCACCTCCGCTGGTTCAAATCGGGGTTTTCCTACAAGGGCGTTAAATAGACAATTACAAGGCAACTGTGACGCCGTAACAGTCAAGAGCCCTATTGTATTCGACCTCAGGTGCCGGTATTCATCTGTCGACGCTCCTCAATTGATGACTATATCTGGCCATCGACTAATGAAGAACAATAAGGTACTCCGGATTGTGTAGGGCTATAAGTATTACAGCACTTCCGTTGACTTGAAGCCAACAAACCCCCTTCTCCCTCGGGCTCTGCATACGACGTCTGGCTTCCTCTGGTTCCTGTCTTGACGAACTTCTCTTCCTTCTGTTACGACCCCTGATCTTCATTGCTGTTGACTAGCACTACATTCGCTCCATATCCATCCAACCAACGCACTAGAATCCTCTATCCATTCAAAATGTTGAAGAACGGATCTTTCGCTGTTGCTGTTATCCAGCGCCAAGTCGTCGTTGTACAAGGTTAGTACATCCTGTCTACTCATACCTAATGCGCACGCTGACTTTGCTCTCACAGCTACCCGCACCCACTCCAAACGCGACAAGCAAGTGGACGTGGTCCCCTACATCCCCTTCGGAGGAAGCGACGGCCTCTTCCTCGTCTCCCCTGTCTCCAACATCGTCCACATCCCCTCCAGCGACATCCTCACCGTCCTCTCCGAAGGCTCGCCCTACCCAGAATACGATTCTGAATACGACACTCCGCCCTCGAGCCCCAAAACCCCCCTTCGTGGCTCCTTCGGTACCTCGAAGGAGAGCGCTAACATCGATCAGGTCGATGTTGGCATGATCAGGCTGCCGCCGAGGATGTTGGAGGAGTATGTGCGCTTGAGCGAGAAGCAGGTTAGGAGGAACGAGAGGGCTTGGAATGCCTGGGTCTCCAGGCGCTAAGGCGCTCCACTCAATGTTGTACCAACCATGGCCGTCGCCGTCCTTTCTGCACCATGCTCAAGATACCCAGTCACTCGATGCCGGATCGTCACAACCACAAAACACCCCCAACCTCGCACACTGCTATGACCTATGCTCTGCTCTCTATGCTCTAGATGTATAAACCACCAACCTGTTGTTCCATCGTGTACTTTCATCCCTCGTCTCCCCATCCAGTCGTCACTATGTAGCGCTAGTAACCTCGCATACCCCAGTCCTGTAGCTGTATTTCTAGTTGACCACCCTCGCCACCACTGGCACCCCCACTGTATTTTTAGTTATTTATTCAATGCCTAGATCTCGGGCGACTCTGTAACTCACATAAAACCCTAAAACATGAATTCATCTTCCAAAATTCTTGCAAGCCATTCCTTTGAACGAACTTGAAACCGTCCGCAGAAGCCCCTATCCGAATTTGATTACATAATACACGCGATCAGTTTTTGTGAGCGCCCCGAGTTTGAGATTTCCAACGTCCTTCTACCCTCCTTCGTTAGGAATTTGAAAACAGTGCTGTTGAAGCACTAAGGAAACATGCTGCGAGTAGTGTATGTAAACTTTATGACTTTTCATTTTGAAAACGCTGACAGAATCTCCTCGATCCCTTCTCGAACCTCAAATCATGGTTTCTCACTCCCTTGGATTCCATGCTGCTCCATTATCGACCTTCTGGGCAACAAACACTCTCAACATCCATATTGCCTGACGCTCTACTCAATATCTTTGTGAAAATGTCACAACCCATCGCACAACCACAGAAAACCCCGCAACGCTCGCTCAAAACGCGCCCTCGAGGCCCGCGAACCAAAAGAAGTCGAGGACCCTCGCTCAGTGATCTTCGTCAAGGGCACACACACCGGCGAAGTCCTCAACAATGTCTTCAAAGACCTCATGTCCCTCAAACGACCCCACGCCATCGCCTTCAACAAGAAAAACCAGATCCATCCCTTCGAAAGTGTTCCCAATCCTTCCCAAGCCTCCGCCGCCGCCGCTTACTCTGCTGCCAACCTGAGCTTGTTGGCTTCGACGAACGCTGGGTCGAGCTCGGGTGGAGCTAATTTTACTGGTCCTACGACTCCTTCGTCGGCTGGTGGGAGTGGGTCGACCTCGCTTGCTTCGCTCGAGTTTTGGTCGATGAAAAATGACGCCTCGATGTTTGTGGTTGGGCAGACGACGAAAAAGCGGCCGCATAATATGACGCTTGTGAGGATGTATGATCATAGAGTGTTGGATATGCTCGAGTTGGGTGTGGACAACTATGTTGCGATGTCTGATTTCAAGGTGTGTATCCTCGATTGTGCTGGTTGAGTATTGCCTCATTCGTTTTTTGCTCTTTACTATTGCAGACGCCAAAATGCACGCCGGGAACTAAACCCCTCATCCACTTCGCCTCGGAACTTTTCGATACACACCCTCGTTATATCCAGCTCAAAAGTCTTCTACTAGATTTCTTCAATGGAGAAGTCATAGACGCCATCCATCTCGCCGGACTCGAATGGGTGATCAGCGTCTCCCTCGGCCCCGTTCCCTCTTCCAACTCCACTTCCACCGACCCATCCTCCTCTTCTGCCAATACGCCCCTCCCCAAAATCCACTTACGAACATACACCATCAAACTCCTCCACTCGGGTGTCCGCACGCCTCGAGTCGAGTTGGTACCGATGGGACCTGCACTCGACCTTTCGCTTCGCCGTAACACCTCACCTGCAAACGACTTGTGGAACCAGGCTATGAAGAAACCCAAACTCGCCAAGAAGGATATCGAGAAGGGATTGGGTAAGAAGAAGAAGAACATTGAGACGGATGAGATGGGCGATTTGAGAGGAAGGATTCACGTTGGCAAGCAGGATTTGGGCAAGTTGAAGGGTCGGAAGATGAAGGCCTTGAAAGGTGGATTGGCCGAGTTTGGACGGGAGGATGATGATAATGATGGAGAGGAGGACGGTGCAGAGGAGAGATCGAGTAAGAAGGCGAGGCTTGAGTAGGCGAGATGCTGTATGTTTTGGTCTCTTTTCGTTGTGTTGTACATATGGGTTGGAAAATTCGAAATGTCTCTTTTGACGAACTATGGTTTTCTCTTGTCAGTACATCCAACCTCCATCGGACTGGGTATCCTATTAGCAAGCAGTGAAAAAAGGTTCACTCACTCGCCTTTGAGCCCGGGCGATACCAGGTATCCCCATAGACCCTCGGCACTTGACTTGAGCTACGTCCTCTCTATTTCAACCCTCGCAAGGGTGCAATCTCGTTCGCATTGAGCAATTAATCTCGCACGCAGCAAGCATCGATCCAAGGACCTGGAAGGTCTCCGTAAACTTTGCGACGACGATGTTTACCCCCAGGCCATATGCCGGGGGCGAAAATCTGTTCCGCAGGTGGGGGTCGATCAGTTCCTAATTTTGTGCCAAGACAAAAATGTTGCGGCGGGCGCTTACCCGGGGGGCGGGGGCGACCGCAGAGAACCACAACAGGCACAACGCTGTTTTCTTGAATTGCCCATCGAACGATGGAATCGAGTGGCAAAAAAGGTTCACTGCCTGCCTTTGAACCTAGGCAATGCCAGGCATCCCCTATGGTCCTCGACGATTCGACAGCTACGTCCTTTGGTACCATACCCTTCATGGGCCACCTCGGTCGGGTGTTTTGTGGAATTGTCAAGTCCTGAAATACCCAGGTACTGTGACGACATGTCTGCTCTGGTATTTGAGCGGCTCGTTGAGCTTCAGCTGGTATTGCTGTGTCATGACGGGAGTGCCTAGCACATTTTTTCATTTGCCTCGGGCAGGGTTCGAACGTCGCCTTCTTCCGGTCGACGCCTATGCATTGCGCATGCAGCCACTGGACTATTCTGCCAGGGCGAAAAGGCGAGAAAAAAGTGGAATACATAAGGGCATTTGGGAAACTTGGAAGGGAAATTGAAATTGGAAATTGGATTGACAAAAAGGTTCACTGTCGGTCTTTGAACTTCGACGATGGTTATACATCTTCTATAGTCCTCGACGCTTGGGCAGCTACGTCCTTGTAGGTACCATTTGCCGCTGTGGGCTACCAATGACTGAATCGGTGTAATGGGTTTGTGTTTCGTGGTTCGACGACTGAGTCTGTCTGTAGAGACGAAATGTCCGCGGTCGGTCGCGACCGGGAAGGCTCACGTTTGAGCCTGTCGTGAGGCGTTCGTATGCCTGTGCTGTCTGCACTTTAAAGCTGTTACGCGTGGCGTGATTCGAACCTGAAGCCCGTTAGGCTAGGGCCTGTGTATGCATGGTACGCATGCAGCCGCTGGCCTATACACCAGGGCGAAGGGAGAAATTTCAGTATCCTTATATGCAGCAATTGCAAAAAGCGACTCCTCTGTTGCTTCAAATGCATTACATTGATTAAAACTTATAGGTTTTTTATAAGAAGGGGGAATCATCTGTATCGCTCATTGGCGTCGGGAACTTTGGTTGGGTTTCGGTGAAGTGTACGTCCAATCCTAACTCTCGCTCACGAACCTTAGAATGGAACCTCGCTCAACAGGTATGTTCTGAACCGGGGTGTCGCTTCCGAGAGCTGACTTCGCGGATTCTATGAAACCGACCTGACCACAGCCGGAATGACATTTCGGATACATCGTATCCGTTAGCATTCTTCCATCGCAAACCATGCTGCACTTTCGAAAATCTATCGTACGATTTCCGTCAAGGACCTGCCTTCCTAGTGAACAAATTAGACTAGCTTGGGTAACATTTTGAAACATGAAAGAAACCTAGAAGAGCGCGTGATTCCCAAAAAAGGCGCGGCGAGGGCGCTTGGACGGGGCCTGAAGCGGTTTTGATGGGGTGACAGCGGCCATCAAATGGAAATCGTAAGATGTTGGACCGTCCCGCATAACGCGGTCATTATCTTACTTAGACCTCTCTCTCTACTCTATTCACGCCAACAATGACTTTGGCTACTTTCACCCCAACGCCTGTCGACCGCAACTCCCCAGCTTGGTCGCCACTCGACATCCCAGCGACACCCGACCAGCCCTTCACAGACCTTACACGCTGGAGATTGAGCGTCACCGACAACGGTCGACACATCTGGCACTATCTTCGAACAGATGACGAGCTAGCAGCCTGGCCTCAAAACACAGTCGACAAATACTGGTTGGGTTTGGATACCGTATGTGATCCTTCGTTAACCTTACAGTATACCCTAACCTGGGGAATCAGAACCTCCCGACACTACCAAAAGCCAAAACGGCGTACGAAGCAGCGCGTAACGGATACGAATTCTACAAGAATCTTCAATCAGACGATGGGCACTGGGCAGGCGAGTACGGAGGGCCCATGTTCCTACTTCCCGGCGTCGTCATTGGCAGCTACATCGCCAACATGGCCTTCACCCTCGAGGAACGGTTCGAAATGATCCGCTATCTCATGAATAAAGCCAATAAAGATGGTGGTTGGGGCTTGTGCGTGTCCTCCTCGAGTTTCCCGAATTGCGTTATGACCTGACTTGCAGGCACATCGAGGGACCGTCGACGGTTTTCGGCACCGGGATGAACTACGTAGCCATTCGCTTGCTTGGCATGAGCGAAGACCACCCCGTCGCTGTCAAAGCCCGTGCCTGCCTGCATAAACTAGGTTCGCGTTCCTGGCATTGTTCCCCGCATAACTCACCGACAGCCATTCCCTTGCAGGCGGCGCTACCGGAATCCCAGCCTGGGGCAAGTTCTGGTTCTCCCTCCTCGGCGTGTACGATTGGGCGGGCAACAACCCAATTCCCCCAGAGCTATGGTACGCGCCATGTTTTATTGTCAATCAACCTTCCTAACCACTCTTGTAGGGTGCTTCCCGAATGGCTTCCAATCCATCCACACAGGTGGTGGATCCACGTTCGCATGGTGTACCTCCCAATGAGTTACCTTTACGGAATCCGCTACACCATGCCAGAGAACGACATGGTCCTCAAACTTCGCGAAGTAAGTCTCGCCCTTCCCTCTTCTCCCTGCGCCAACTCACCCCAGTGATTAGGAACTCTACCCCGAAAACTACTATACCATCTACTGGCCCAACCAACGGAACAACATTGCCAAAATCGACCTCTACTACCCGCACACGACCCTCTACGACACCCTCGCTGTTTTCCTCTCCATGTACGAATCTTGCCCCTTGCCCTGGCTACGCAAAGCCGGTGTCGCCAAAGCCTACCAACTCATCTGCTGGGAGGACGAAAACACCTCATACCAATGCCTCGCACCGGTCAACATGATGATGAACCTCGTCGCTCGATACGCAAAGGAGGGTGTGGACTGCGAAGCTTGGAGGATGCACGAGATTAAGCGGAGGGATTCGATGTGGATGAGTGACCAGGGGATGATGGTGTGCGGGACGAATGGCAGTCAGCTGTGGGATACGCAGTTTATTGTGCAAGCGTTGGTCGACACGGGGTTGGCGAATGAAGGAAAGGGGATGTATCGGGATAGTTTGGTGAAGGCTTTGGAGTGGTTGGATAGGGGCCAGATGCGTGACAACCCAAAGTACTACGAATGTGCCTATAGGCATCGAACGAAGGGTGCTTGGGGCTTCAGGTGCGTTCGCTTGCTTCATTTATGCGCTCAAAGCTCATGGTGACGTTTCAGCACTGCGGAACAAGGCTACACTGTCAGCGACTGTACCGCTGAAGGCTTGAAGGCAGTCCTCTATCTTCAAAACCAACTACAGTACGCCGCACCCGTTTTAATCCGAAACTCGAGACAACTCACACCGCATATAGGCTCACTCTGATTCCGGAGGACCGTCTGCGAGACGCCGTTGATACCCTTCTCACCATGCAAAACCCCGACGGTGGCTTCGCCTCGTACGAACTCATTCGGGCGGGCTCATGGTCCGAGTACCTCAACCCTGCCGAAGTATTCGGTACGTCCTTGAGTTATTCTCGTGCATACACGAACCAAAACTGATTCAAATACGCAGGGAACATCATGGTTGAATACAATTATCCTGAATGCACAACCTCAGTCATTACCTCCCTCGCCATCTTCAGGAAACACTACCCCCATTACCGCGCTTCTGACATCGAGTACGTCGTTTTCCCTGCTGTCGTCGGTAACTTAAAGCTAACGCCTTTGACGTCCAGTCGAACAATTCGAGGAGCAATAACATATCTTCACAACGCTCAAACTCCGGAAGGTGGCTGGGTGGGGAACTGGGGTATCTGCTTCACCTATGCCGCCATGTTCGCCAGCGAATCCCTTTCACTCGTGGGTGAGACTTACGCAACCAGTAAATACGCCCGCAAGAGCTGCGAATTCCTCATCAGCAAACAACGAGCGGATGGAGGATGGGGTGAGAGCTACAAGGTAACGACGTTTCTGTCCAGCTTGTCACTTTTGCGAGACTGACGGGTTGGAATGGTTGTATAGTCGTGCGAACAGAGTCGATGGGTCGAGCATGAGAACACGCAGGTGGTGCAGACGTGTTGGGCGGTTCTGGCTCTGATGTATGCCAAGTATCCTCACCCCGAACCTATCGAGAGGGCGGTCAAGATGGTCATGGACCGACAACTACCCGTACGTCACATACATCGCCTATGCTCGTCGTGTTTCTAATCGTCACTCCCTTTAGGACGGTTCATGGGCACAGGAAGCCATTGAAGGTGTATTCAACAAGTCCTGTGCGATCTCATACCCCAACTTCAAGTTCTCGTTCCCGATTTGGATGCTGGGCAAGGCGGACAAGTACCTAAGGGAGTTGCGCGGGGCGTCGTCAGATGTCAAAGTGAACGGGGTTAATGGTGCTGCTTAGTTCGAAGAGGACATGCTAGATTTCAAGTAATTTATACGTATGGATCATTGGTTAATTGGACGGATAGGCATTGGTATTTGCGTCGAGTTCTACCTGGATCCATTCTGCGAGTATCTTTCTGCGAGTTCCGGCTACCTAGAGCACTGGAAAGACGGCTATGATGTCGGGAAACTTCATGGGAAGTAGAACGTCAAGCAAAGTGTACAATTTCGTGGCTGCCGTCGTCCAACGCTCTAGAGGATATGCAATGGGTTTAGGAATCGTCGAATCTACCAAATACGCGAGGTGCCCTAAAACACTAGCTGACTGGACAAGGATGTGTGTTCGATCAGAGTTTCGCTTCGTTTTCCACCACTTTGTCATAAAGCTGCCTCTTACTAATGGTAATATCGTCGTCTTGTTCCGTGTTGTCCAAGTTGTTGACATAAAGTACGAGTGTCGAGCCTAGAGGAGAGTAGTTTGCACGCCGGCGGCATTCATTCATGGATGAAGAAGGTTGGTCAAAAAGCATACAGTTGGCATATGTAAAAAGAGGTTCCACCCCGCAGGGTGTACGTCCTCTACCTGTCTTTACAGGATTTTCTCGAGATTGTCTCTGGTTTTTCCTCTAGGCAAGGTACTCCCCTTCATCCTTGAACCACACCTCGCACTAGGCAAAGTAACGATCCTTGATTTTTGAAGGGTTTCACACATCACATCATTGTGGTCCTTTAGGTTCCGTTTCTATAGCCGCGGCCCTTCATAGTGCCGGACATCGGTTCCATATAACAATCATGCAGGTTTCGGTATGCAGATAATAATCATCATCATCAATGCAACTTTGTAATGCAGATCGATCGCGTCAACAAGACGATAGCGGATACACCGCGGCCACAACCGACCCCAGGGTTCGAACTCGCGACCATCGCACTGATGGATTCTCCGCGCATCCGCTCTTACCACTGGGCCACATCGGCGGGCGTATATCTACGCATCTAACCTGGGTATATCCTGAAATAACTGACTTGTCGTCTATATGTAGCAGGCAATAAAGCGGACACACACAAGCGAACAGTGTTCCTCAATTTTGGCAGTATGAAAGCGGTTGCACACCTGATCTCATATTTTGGATGTCATAGTACATGGAGGGAACATACTCATAACCCGACACAAATCGCAAAAAGCATCCCCTTATGCTGAAGCGCCCTCAGCGAAAGTGAGGAGATCAGAGTCACCTTGGTCGATGACGGTCATGACACTGGAGAAACTGTGTTAGCCTTTATTCCCCTTCATCCAAAGATATCCCAACGTACCCGACACGGAAGAGTTTACCAGCGGCAGTGCCGAGGGCAACGTTGGTACCAGCAAAGTGGTGGACGGTGGTTTTTGAAAGCATGGCATAGTACTCCAACTCAGACTTGCGCAGAGGAGGGCAGTTACCGGCAATCAAGACAAGCTTGGCTACACGACGAAGAAACCAAAACAGAGGAGATATCGTCAGCCAAAGGGACCTTCTCAGCCTCACGCTCCAGCCCCCGAGAGAGTTTGGCAATCGGAACACTCACCCTTGCCGCTGCGCATCTGCTTGAGAGCCGACTTGTAGCCCAAGCTGTACTTGCCCGACTTGACGACGAGAGCGAGTCGCGAGGCGATGGACTCGGTGGATTTGGTGGATTTGGACTTCTTGGAGGGGGCCATTGCTGATAGTGTCGGCGGTCTTCGTCGTGGTCGAGGGCTGGTGAGACTTGCTGATTTTTCTCAACGATATCTTTCTGTTGACGCCCATCCACCAACTTCGGCAGTTTCCGAAAACTGTACAGCTGCTCTTTGCGTGACCGGAGGGGAAGCCGAACCTCGGGCCGAAGTTACTTCGGAGGAAACGCCATCCGTCGACGGAATGCCATGGCCCCTATGTGACGGTCCTCTCCCGTACAGACGTCGCAACCAACGACGTCGCAGTTAATCTTATCGATCATCTATAGCCCGGGTTTTGCTCTTCCAAGTTTCTGGTGTCGGTAGATGACGGAGGACAAGAGGAAGATGTCAAGTAACTAGGGCCTGCAACAAATCCTTTATCACGCTAGTTGCTCATGATAAACAACCGCTTCCCCGGAATCTCTGGCTTGATATTTGATTCCACCTACGTACGATCCACTCGATCGAACTTTCCTCTACCTCGACATCTTTAAGTGAAACCCGCACAACGATGCCAAAACCTTCGCAAGAAAACTACGTCCCCAGTCACAAGGAATTTATCGTCGAATTTGTTCCAGGGGAATACCGGTCTTCATTGAGAACCCGACAGGTGCGCGGGGTTTCATCTTCGTTCATTAATTTCCGAGACTTACTTCTCTACTTCTCCGATGTGGCAAGGCGTTCAAGAAGGGCGAGGTTATGGCTCCGTTGAGGGGCCTCACCAGAGGGCCCAAGCGATACACCTCTGTTCAATGCGGGAAAGGGCCTGATGATCACATCGAACTGAATAGCGATCTCGTATACAGTGGGTAATCCCGATCCCCTGCTTGGTGAAGCGCTGACATCCGGTTTCCCGCCACGTAGTCAATCATTCATGCGACCCCAACGTCGCGTTCGATCTATCCTCCCGCGATCCTAGCCAATGGCATCTCCGAGCATTGAAGGATATCAAAGCCGGCGAAACACGTATGTCCTCTCCTTTATTCCAAATCTACGGAGCCTTACGCCCGAGACTTCATGATCAGTCGGGTTCTTCTACCCCAGCACTGAGTGGGATATGGACCAGCCCTTCAAGTGTGAATGCAATGCCCGAGTACGTCCTCTCTGCCTTCCGTTCTCTACCGAACGTCCTCCCAACCCTCTTCCAGTCCTGTCTTGGGACAGTCGCGGGAGCGAAATACCTCTCCAAAACGGAGCTCCTGGCACATGGATTTGTGAACAAGTACATCCTCGAACTCGCCGCTGAACGGGACGGAGAGGCGAAGCTACAGAGCCGCCTGTAGATCATCCACTTAACAATGGCGGTTCAAGCGCCATGTACAAGTATTTATCTAATTTCAACAGCTATCTATTACAAGGTGCAGACTAGAGATTATCTACTAGGGTAAACAAAATGCTTGCGAGATGAAAACATGTGCAAAACAAGACCAAGATTCATATATGCAACGTAACTGAGGGAATGCAACCGTCCATCACCGTGTCTAGAATCACCATTCGTCCGCTTCGAACCGGGCAAGGATGGCGTTGGCATCCTCGACGTCCTTCTGTGCCTTCTTCCTCATGTAGAAGATGGGACAATCCTTGCTGGAACAGAGTACGTCCTGATGAAGCGATCCTTGGCACCTCTGACACTGTGTCCACAGTCGAGCGAAACGGGTTTGCAGTTCCGAGCACGTCAGGACTTGCTTCTGATAGAGTCCAGGAATCTTTGCCCGACAGTTCTTGCAAACAGCGCCATCTAGGAAGTCAAGTGAGGACTGGAACGAACAACATCAAAGAAGCAATCCACTTACTCAGGCTGTTGGTAGTCCGCAATGGCGTTTTGCAACCGAGACAGGTTTCGGTTTTGACTGCAAACTTCATCAGGCCACCACCTGTCGGGGTGGCTATCTGGATCGACCGCGTATGATCTCCAGAGACTATTCAAGGCAAGGCGAGTTAGGTTAGTCCCTGAGAGAGAACATCGTCCAAAGTACATACGTAGTGATTGCGCCTTTTCTCCCAAAATGGGCTCGAAAATACGCATCAGTGGCTTCGATAGTTGGTTGTCGAGGTAGTATCGAGTGTCGATTGGGAGGTTGTTTTCAAGGACCCAGAGCGGATCTTCGGATTTCTCGTAGGCAGCGGCGTTTCTCGCACCCTTGACAATCACATATGCGACACGATCTCCAACAGCAGGGGCAGAGCCAGCATCCCGGTCTTTCATCTTAGCAGCCAGTTCGACATGCGCTTGTTTACCGGCGTACTCTAGTAATACAGTGAGAAAGGAATACAAGGCGAGATATAGGAAGGTACTCACTCTCTTTCGAAAGGGCCTTGGTAATCACCAATTGCGACATATCGATCTTGTTCTGAAGCAGATCCGAAATAATACGCTTGGTATAACTAGAGTCGATGCGAGTAAGCAGTGTCCATAGGGACCATGCAGGAGAACACGTACTCTTCAGCTGCTTTGACGTCCCGGTCGATCAGCATCTTGTGTAGGCAAGTCTCAATTACCGTAGAGACCAAGCGACAATTGTCTCGACGAACGGTCTAGGAAGCCACATCCATCAGTGATGTCCTGGAAGGAAGAAGCACGGCAAGTACCCACCTCAATACCTTTCGAATCCATCTTATCCCACTTGTCCGCCCTCGTCCAATACAGCCCTGCATAACGCTTCTTGCTGATGAGCAAGTATGGATAATACACCTTTTCGAACTCGAGCTTGATTGGCCTGGCGAAGTGTTGTGTCACCAAATCCGCAGCCTCCGCACCTGAGCATTCTTGAGACTTTATCCATCGGCACAATGTAAATAAGGGAGCTCACCCAACGCCATCACCTTCGCCAAATCTGTTGGGCCAAACCGCACCATGACAGAGTCGGTGTCACCATAAATAACTTCAGCGTCATGTTCATGACCATTCGCGATTGTGTACTCCGCTTCGACTTCCTACGGAGCCGATGAACCTCATAGTCGGGGATATCAGTGCGGGCGACGCACCTGCTTTGTTCGCTCAATCATCTGACGCCCATATGCGGTGACACTGGACGAGATAGCCAAGCAAGGTAACTTTCCAATGGTTGCTCCAGTGAAACCGTACACGGAGTTGGCACTGATCTATTCCACGGTTAGGCGAGGAATGGGAGAACTCGGCGAATGCGAACCTTCAAAGCAAGTTGACGACCGTCCAACACAGCCTTCTTGAATGGATCGGTTTCCTTCTTCAAGTCTGCCTTGGCCCGTTTACGGGCTGAAATCAGGTCCTCGAGAATCGTAGGAAGGAGCCCCTTTCGCCTCACAGGCGTCGCAAAATAATCTAACAAATGGGGGTGAGGATCTCCAGCGTTGAAACAAGGATAAAACGAACCATTGTTGGGCGTTTGAACGTAATCAACGTCTTTGACCAATGAAAGCCGGTCTATTGTGGCTTTGTTGAGCAAGGTCGTGTAGCAAAGATTGTGCGCCATCATGATGGAGGGATACAGTGAACTGAAATCAAGGGTGGCGATGGGCACGTCGTAATAGCCTTTCTTGGGTTCAATGACAGTGGCACCTTCATATTGGTCCTCGCCATCTAAGCAGACAATCAACAAGCGGTCTGTGGTAGATGCGGAACATACACACCCCCTCCTCCCTTCATAGAGGGAATGAGATATCCTTCCGAGTTGGCTTTCCGGTAAAGCTGCGACAACACCTTGATAGATTGCCCACGAGCAAGTAGGAAATTGAATGGAACTCCCGTAACACGAGCCATTTCCGCGTAATTCACGAAACACATGAGTTTGTCCATGAGTCGTTGCGGTAGGTAAGCGTCCTGTTTCATGTTTCAAAAGCGATTCCGACTGGCACAGGGAAGAAGACATACCTTCAAACAGTAGATCGCCAAACGGCGTCGAGATTCCGGGGTACCATTTTGCAGTTCTGTGATAACTGAGTGGTGCACATCCTCCTTCTGCTCCCCGAGGAACTGGGCACAAACGGAGTTCAGTGAATACGACCGCAGTTTGTGCTCTCGTTGCATGAACTGCAGGATATCCAGTTGTAGGCGACCATCCAATGTCGTCTCTTTCGAGTCACGTTGACCATAAGCTCGCGACGAGAAGTGGGTATTCTTGACTTCCGTCTTGATATCTAGACAGACGCATGCGTTCAGCGTAGGAAACGAGAGCTAACTAAACAAAGCTTACTCTTGAACCGGCCAAGATAAGGGAACTTGGTCAACTTCAGCGCTTGCGCTCTGTCCATGAGATAAGGGAAGTCGAAGCCGGAGATGTTGTATCCAATAACAAGGTCAGGGTCGACTTCGGAGACGAAGTCCCTCCATGCCTGGAGCATCTTTCCTTCATCCTCGAAAGAAAGAACTTGGGAGCCGACGATGTGCGAACAGGTATTGAGGGTGAAAACGTTGCGAATGAACGGCTGCGATTCGCCTAGCATGATCGTCAGTTACGGAGATCTTGAATCAAGGTAATGGACATACCTTGACGAGTCACCATGTTGGCAATCTGAATTACAGGATCTACCGAAGCTTCTGGGAAAACGCCCTTCCTCCCGGCACACTCAATATCGAAACTAAGAATCCGGAGCGGTGCAAGAGTAGACCATTGGCCTTCAGGAGCATGTGAGATAAAGGCGTCATAACTAGAACCAAATGTCAGGACACGACCAACATGGAATGAGAAATACGTACGGAACATCGATTTCGATTTGACAGGTCGATTTCTTCTTTTCAGGTGGAATCATCGTGTAGGCACCAGCCGGTACTTCAATCCAGTTCATACCAACAACCTATACACCGAAATCAGTGAAATGCATACGTGACAAGGAAGAACCAATTGCCTTGGCGTCAATCATGAAACGCAACGGATATACGATGTTACTCTCGAACGTGGTTCTGGTGTTTTCGCCTTCGAACAAACCCTCGTACATGCATCGACCATCTTCAAAAATGCGTAAAGGATATACAGGTAAGCCTCCCGCCATAGAACAGGGCCCAAGGAATACTCATCTCGAACTTTGGGGACATCCTTCGGTTCAACAATAGTCAGTTTCAGGAACGGACTGACATCGTCTCCCTTGTACTCCCAAATACTCCTCTTCATGACCTTTTCAATCTTCTTGACGAGAGGGCCGTTGTCAAATTGGTTCTAAACGCGCAGCCGAGTGAGTCGATAAAAAGACATGAGGCAGTGGGTGGGACCGACATTGAGATAGTTCCTCAGTGGTTCGATATGCTCATCTGTGAATCCCCGAGGATATACGATGTAAAAGTAGGGCAAAAACGTGGTGATATTGGCGAGAACGCTGTGGCCCTCCTGTGACCAAAATTATGAGAAGAGTGCCTTCAAGTGTAAAGGAGGAAACGCACCTGAGTAACTCCGAACATTCGTAGAGTCGTTCCCCCATGCGAGTAATCCGTCGAGTTGATAATCTCAATCTGTTGAAAGACTGCGTTTCCATGAGACCTAGTCCCGTCGAAATAATCGACGCGACATACTAATGCTGTCCTTCTTTGGGTCTAAAGGTGGTAGAGTTGGCCTTGCCCAGCTATCGGCACCTCCTTCAACAGCGGCTACAGAAAGGGTATAAGCACCTTCCCACTACACAACCAATGAAGGACCGACCATTGAGGGTGCCACTTTCGGCGTGTAGCTTCTCCAAGACATCGCTGAATGAGGGCTGCGATGCAATGGGCTGGCTACTCTGGTATGCATTACCTGGACCAAGCTTCCTCTTCTTCGCTGCTGGTTCCATATCCACGTCTCCTTTCATTTTACTGCGATACAAGCAGGAGATTAGAACCACGCTTGGGAGAACGACGCGCCTGCTGGCTTACCGCGTCTGCGAGAGAGGCCCGTTCTCCTTCTTGGTCGATGCTCGTGGTGGCATTGTGCGAGGCTTTTTGGGACGTGTCGTCCTTGGGGATTATGTCGAAGAGGGCGCGCTCAGCGGCGGGCCAGGTGAAAAGCGGATACGGAGAGACAGACGGTGACGGTCAGATTGGTGAAGGTGCGAGGCGCGACTGGGCCTTGGCTCAAGTGTCACTACGACAAATGATTCCGACGCGATGATTGCCCTTGTTTGTATTGGATCTTATCTTATCTCTCACTCCCAGTCCCTCTCGAACTCTATCGCAATAATTCCCTCTACATTGATCCAATTCCATATATATCTTCATCTTAGTCTTTGAAGAATAACTCCTCTAGCTGCCTAGTGGTATCGGCCGGAGAAGTAACGGTATGCCCGATGGTTCGAGGATCACTAAAGATCTCGTAGTCGTTACCTCCCTACAATGACTTGAGAACCCGCCGGAGTAGGAACTCACTTTAAAGTCTTGTCCCCAAAGAAGTGAGTTTCTTCAAAATTTGTTCTCAGAGCGCTCAACGTATCCAGCATCTCTTTAGAGACCGGCGAAGCAAATCGGCAAACATGGACCGTCCCTAGAACTCTACGAATGGACTTACCTAACGTGCGGGCGTGAGGGTCTCATCGACGTCGAAAAGACACAACTTCCGTAGAGGGCGGTCTTCAACGCCGGGGAAGTCATGGAAATCTGAGAGACAAGAGTTAAAGAGTATACTAACTGGACCGAGCCAGCTTAAGGCGGCAGAAGAATGCCGGCAGTGACGAAGAACTGAGCAGCAAGCACGACGCAAGTCCACGTCAACCATTTTGTCAGTGTGCGATCGCAGTCGCCAGTGGTATCCCCATGCTGGAAGAACACGTAGATGAGGGCGCAGAGTCCATTCCCGGGGAGGGAGCAAGCACGCAGGACTCCCAACGTTCATCCTAATGAATAAGAAGGCCTCGAACCGTTTCATCACATCTCAGAGCAGCGCTAATCCAACAGCAGTTCCAAGAGAGTCTGTCCCACTGGGCCGATCCTTCCTCTTTCCGCTGCGCACGCTGGGCAGTTGGCCACCAGACCGTTTGGGCGCCTATCGCGTAACTCTTGACGGGGTTCGGGCGGAATACGTGGAATTCGTTATTCTTCGTCGTGTTATTCAACCGTGCTCCGTCCTACAATTACACTGAGTGTATAGTCCGCATTGGTTCCATCGAATTCGTTCTAGTCCTTCAAGAAGAGCTCGTTCACGAGGCGGATGGTGTCGGCCGGTGAGGCGACCGTATGGCCAATAGTTCGCGGATCGCTGAAGATCTCATAGTCATTGCCTCCCTGCGCGTGCGTTAGCACCTTTTAATATCTCTATTCCTCTGTGAGGACTCACCTTGTACGTCTTGTCTCCGAAAAAGTGGATCTCTTCGAATTGTTCATCCTCGACGCGTCCCAGTGCAAAGGTCTTATCCCAACCGTTGGGGAAGACATCAAACGAAATTTGGCCGCCGATTGAATAGGTGAGCCCATAATCAGGGAACTTCTCCTTGAGGAGCTCGACCATCTTCTTGCGAATACCGTGTTTCTAACGCGCAAAGGTTAAGCCAAAGTACGACAGGGGTTGATTAAATGCACCTACCAGATCGTAGGCTTCAAATTCGTGGCGTTCTTGGATCCTGGCGGATTCAAGTTAGCTTTCGGATAAATCGAGGAACAGCGGAGGGCGTACGTTGCGTTCCTGCCGATGGGACTAACGTTGATCATCCCCCTTCGGAATTCAATGAAGGTACCACTGGAATAGACGTGAGTATTCGGTACGTGGCACCATGGTTGAAGAGACGGACCGCTTGATAGGAATGTCGAGGTCGGCTATGTAGTGCAGGATGAACTTGACGAGTTCCTTGTATCGTTCTTCGCCGACATACTGGATGAACGATTGCGATGGTAGCTCTTTCCCGAGCTTGTAGGCAGTCAGGCCATTCTCTGCAAATGCATAGTCAAATTGCTCGAGGACTAGAGTCGGTGTGAGTCGCGTTCCGTGAGGACGATAGAGGTCGAGCATTTACTGTTTGCATTGCCAACCTGCAGCTGTTCGGTGATCTTCACGAGATCTGAGCCCCCTACGAAGCCGACGACAAGCTTCTTCCTAAGTGCAGCCAGGGTGTCCAACATCTCTTGTGAGACTCCCTAAAGAACGCGTCTTGAACATGAGCATCGTCGACAACGATAAGATCTTGGGTCGAGTTAGTTACCTGACGCGCCGGGGTGAGGGTCCCATCGACGTCGAAGAGACAAAGCTTCTTGAGGGGGCGATCTGCGAAGGCGGCGGAGACCATCGTGTAAAGTTCTAGTTGAGGTTTAACGGAGGAGGCTAGAGCTGTTATAAACAGTGAAGAAACGGTCCAATAACGCCGCCGCAGTCGACGAACACGCAAAGACCACGGTTCACCACGCAGATCGCCTCCGAAAGGGGCAGACACCCCTATCTCTCGGCGATTCCCGAGTGATGGCTTGAGCGGGTCCGCTCTTTGATTTCGAACAACTTGCAGAGCGTTGCCTCCGACTCACTCGAGTCAACGGAAATTCTTCTCGGAATCGACGCCATTTGACTCGGAATATTGGATAACTGATAATGTGAGGCAGAATTTTGGCATGGCCTTCGAATCGCTGTTCATCTCCGGCTAGACCTCATACCTGGCACTCCCTGGAACTGGTCCAATGGCTTCTCTCCAACGATCACAGCAATACCATGTCTTCTCTCTTCCACAAGAGTTCTTGGATACCCTTACCCTCAGGAATCTCGTAAATCAACCGCCCGTTCCTAGCCCACCATCCCCAGAACCCCTGATCACATCCACCAGCCAAAGAGCGTGCGGAATCTGCCTTGGTGTCACTTTCCGCGATGTCGACGAACAAAGGCTTCACTTCAAGTCCGATTGGCATCGGTACAACGTCAAAATGAAGATGAACGGCGGGAAACCTGTCACAGAGGCCAACTTTAATCAACTGGTAGACGGTATGCTGCACCCGTTCCCCATGTCGTCATCCTTGTTAACAGCAATTCAGGTCTCGAGTTAGACGATTCACTTTCGGGATCGGCGTCCTCTTCAGATGAAGACGATGAAGACTCGGATGCGGTCAACGCTCTCGTCAACAAAACGAAGCAGCTGGGAACACGTTCTCCTTCTCCAGACGCCGCCAGACAAGCACCTCAGACTGCTCTCGCGTGGTTCCACTCTCCTCCTTCCACTCAGATCGGCGTATACAGGGCCCTTTTCCCCTTGAAGACGGAGCCTTCCGACTATCTCGACGCACTCCGTAACCTCCAAACACCAAAGAGCGGCGGACGGACATGGGCGGTATTCATGGTTGCAGGAGGACACTTTGCTGGTGCATTAGTTCGCGTTAGCAAAGATGCGGACGAGGAAGACGAAGATGATACCTCCAAGTCGAAGAAGAAACCGAAGAAGCCCAAGCCAGACATCGAAGTTTTGCGACACAAGACCTTCCATCGATACACAAGTGCGTTGGGTCCACAGCAAACTCTGAATATGGACTGATCCAAGTCAACTCTAAGCACGTCGAAAGCAGGGTGGTTCGCAATCAGTCAACGACAACGCCAAGGGACCTGCAAAAAGCGCTGGTGCTCAGCTGCGGAGATACGGTGAGCAGGCGCTTCGAGAGGTAAGCTGGAGGTTGCTGTCTTGTGCCCAGTCGTTGACTTAGAGGAATGCTAGGATATCAGGAACCTTCTCAGTGACTGGGCCGAGGATATCGACGAATGCGAAAGAATTTGGATCCGTGCAAACACCTCCAATCGAAGAATATTCCTCGACTACGATGAGGCAGTCATCCGTAAAGGCGACGACCGACTGCGAACTTTCCCTTTCCCAACACGGCGACCCGTACGTTCAACCCATCGAATCTGGCATCAGCGGGAGCTTATTCTTCTTTTCCTAGACCCAATCCGAACTGACGCGGTGCTTGAATGAACTCACCAAAGTCAAAATCACCCACTTCACCGAAGACGAATTAAAAGCTCAAGACGATGCATACCTCGCCTCTCTTCCCAAACCCAAGCCTGTTCCTACAGCACCCTCGGCGCCCACGGAGCGCGAAAAGCCTCAGCCCGTCAAGCTATCCAAGGAGGAGGAGCTCCTCCGCGACAAGTGGTCACGTTTGCTCGAAATGGTCAGCAAAGGTCGGCTGGAGCCTCTGAAGTCGTTCTGGGAGCGCGAGAAGGACAACATCGGCGGAATCGACACCCCAATCCCAGAATGGGCCCACGAGAAGGTTACGACGCTACTCCAACTCGCAGCGTCGGCCGGCCATGTCGATGTGGTCCAATGGCTTCTGGAATCAGCTCGCGCAGATCCGACTATCCCCGTTGGCGCCCCCGGTTCGAAGCAGGATGGTCTTTCCGACGCGACCGACCCTGCGACCCAATCCGATGCTGGGCCATCTCATTCCTCTGTTGGGCCCAACCGGACTGCATACGACCTCTCCAAGACCAAGGCCGTCCGCGACGTTTTCCGCAGGGTCGCTGCCACACATCTCGACTGGTGGGATTGGCTCGGGGCTGGTCACATCCCGAGTGTGCTGTCTCAAGACATGGAGGACGAGCAGGAGCAGAAGAAGAAGGTTCGGCGGAAGGGGCTGAAGGATAAGGTGAAGGAGAGGGAGGCGAGAGAGCGGGAAAAGCAACAGGAGAGACCAGCAAGTCCGCCAGTTGATCCGGCGCCAGCACCAAAGAAAGAGACATTGTCCAATGCTCATGTGCATCGCCTTGGTGGTTCAGCAGGATCAACTGAAGGAATTGCTGGCCTCACACCTGAGATGCGGATGAGGGTGGAGAGGGAGAGGAGGGCACGAGCAGCAGAGGCTCGGTTGAAGGCGATGGCAGGAGGGAAGTAGGCAGAGTGCTGATCTGATCTTTTCCCTTTCAGCCACATCCTCTCCCTTCCTTTGCATTTATCACAGCCCCAAATGTCACTATGGTACTGATGAGCAATCACATTTGGTTTTCTGGATTCTGGAGCATACACTGAAATGACTGGAGGTCATGGAATCAAGTTCAGATTGACTGGGTTCGCTTTTTTGGCCCTATTGTCTCGGCTTTCAGCTGCTTCTAGCAGCACTAAACAGCCTCTGAAAGGGCAGAAACATGCTCATTTTTCTTCCCCCTCCCCGGGTGGCTGAGTTGTGTTTGTTTGGCTGTTTGGGGCTCCCAGAACTTCCCACGACCTATTTCTTCCCCATTCCGTCACCTCCTCCCCAAATCATCCGCTTTTCTGGGTTCTACATGATCCCAACTACCCTATAAATCATTAAAGAATAATCTACTGTGACGCTCCTTAGCGGATTCCGACTTATATTGGCATATCTACATGCTGGGGTGCTGCTGGTATACAGTCAACCCACTTGTTGTGATTCTCACCTCGCCAACTCTCCATGCTGACTCCTGCAACTGTCATGAGCCTCGTCTCGTCAGAGAAGCTCTCAGAGCTGGCTAAAGACATGATATTTCAAGCTGGGCATACATGTGATTGGCAGATAGGAACACAACAGAAGGCATGTGGTATAAAGCTGTATAGTTGGAATGCATTCAGAAAGGTGTGTATCTTGGCCGCTTTTTATCGCATTTCTGTAGATTTATTCTCTACTTTAATGCTACATCCTGCTTTTTCTTCCTTTGTCTAAAGTTGCCATAGGAAAAAGCGGAATACATGCCATTTTCCGGGTGGAAAGGCCATGTAGCACCCCAAATGGGTGTTTCCTCTCCTTTTTATGCTTTCTTCACGACTTCTTCATTTTGTTCCATACCTCTGGTTCCTAAATTCAACTTCTGTCGTCTGGGATCTTGTATTTTCGTTTGAAACACGCACCCTCTGTCATCTCATCCTCGAAGTTTGGCTTTCCGCGTGGACCGGGAGGGGGTCACGAGATTTTGCTAATGCGGCTCATTCTGCCCCTATCTTCTCACACCACCTTTCTCGTCAATACATGTATGGCTAACGCTTTCCTATAGCATCTCTCCCTTCATGCTTCAGCGTCAGCGGCACGCAGTGGCCAGGTATGCTTCACTGCCGTCAACGATTTCGCCTCGACTGACCGACCGTGCGCGAAAGTCATCATGGGTTCAGTGCAAGATGAAGCATTGTAATTCCCGCAACCATCGTTCATCGCAGGAGCTACTCTTCCATCTTGAGAAGGCCCACTTGGACCGCGTATCCCTTGACTGCCCCGTTGCCGGTATGACTTTAGAATATTAGCTCATTTGACACATCTGACTTTGTTTCTCAGGTTGCCATCCCACCCGAGGCTTGAAGAACGCTGATCTCAAACTGCATCTTGCAGAGCAGCATTCCGACGTGCTATCGCGCAGCACCACCGGGTCTGTTCCTGTCGTCAAGGACACTGTGACGTTGCGACCCTTCAAGCCGACTCCACCATCTCCTCCTCCCTTCCCAGTTGAACGAATCACGGGCTTGACCACGGTCGCTCGTAATAAACGACCAGCCGTCTCATTGCACTCTCGAAAGAGTAAACCAGTCCCTCGACACCCTCGACAACTGCCCATGGCCCAAATCGACGAAGGCTCTGAGGATGAGGATGGAGGATACGATTTTGACGACCTCGAGTCATTCAACTCGATGAGGGCAACGGCAAGACTGCCTGACCAGGCTATTGTCGAGAGGTGTATGATTCTGGGGAGGCCGGATTCTGGGTTGGATATGCGGCTTTCGCAGCCCCCGCCCATGCTGGATGCCGACCTCTACCCTTATCGAGACCCACCACGATTCATCTTGTTCGACGCGTTCTCGAAGCGGGTGGCGGCTATGCCGGACATTGAAGATTAGGTGTTCCTACAGTATATCCCCCTTCATAATTTATGTACTACTTAATTTGTCCTGTTGTCTGGTCATACCTATCGCTTGCGCTTTGCTGTTATTACTCTTCCTTGTGCATTTTCCACGATTTTTACATTATCCCGGCCTTGTTTTGTATTATCCTCTATATGCACAGTCGCAACGACTAGATGAAGTTATTCCCTATCGGCAGATGTTAATCGCAGGCCTATCATGGCAAAATATCCCTGTAATTACACCAGCGTATTAGATTTGAACATGAGTATAGATGTCAAACATACGAGGAAGTCCGCCATCCATGGGATACACTTTCTCCTTCAGGTTTACTATGGCAGTGAAGTTGAACCCGCGGCTCCTCTCGTGAAACACCCGGGACCGCAGCAGAGGGAACAGCGGACGAGGATCTTGCGGTGGGGATACCGAAGTCTCCACCAAGTCGCCTTCAGGCTTCCAATAAGACTCCAAAGGCTTCATCCTCCAGTTGGTCGACCCACCACAGTCACAGGTCGCCAATCCTCTGCATTCTAGCAGTTTTTCAAGCTTCCGCTTGTACTCCTGATGCTGTTCGAGGATGACGGCATCTTCCTCCATCAATTCCATGTCGTCGGGTGTGATTGGGAGCAAGATGACCCGGAGTGAGACGGAGTGAAGGTGAGGAAAGGCGTAGGAGTGCGAGCAGCGACAGATGGTGTGAATGTTGCGTGGTGCAGAATTGATAGAGGGCTCTTCCCGGACGTTGCAGTCGAATCCGCCGAGAAGTTTGTCGAGAATGGACCAGTTGTCCCCGAGTTCGAGTCGGGAGAGGAAGCCCCGTAGAGGTAAAGTGTGAAGTCGAGGGTTGTGAGGGACGTAAATGAGAGCAACAATGGGGGGTCGCGGCTCCATCGAAACGCCTCGGGCCATCCTGCTGTGGTCGGTGGTGTCGCGAGCGGGTTGGAGTTCTGCGATCCGTCCGCACCTGCCCTACCGTTGTAGAGGGCCATCGAAAGTACGTCTTCGGGAATGTCGCCGTATTCTAGGGCCTCTTCCCAACCTTCATTGGAAGGCCTTGGCCAAGCGCGGAGCAAGGACGACCGGCCATCACATAAACCGACAAATTGTGTGGTGAATGAGATGGGGCTTTCGACGAAGTGGTAGTTTGTGAGAGAAAGGTGTTTGAGCGTGGCATAGGAGGTCGGCCGGATGTACGCCAGAGGGAATGGAAGCTGTCCGTGGTTGTCGACTTCAACACAATCATTCACTGTTAGCCGTGGGTCAGCGACCAACGCGATACCTGGATACTTATAACCAGTGTGGAGACGTACAGATGATCTTGAGTGTTTCAAGTCTTTCCGCGGCAGCCAAAAGACGAATGCATGTGATGTACTTGTCTTCCACGATGATACAAACGTCCAATTTCCGGAGATGCGAGAAGTCGACAGCTCTAGGCGAGCAAAAGAAACTGTTGAGGACTGGTTCATAATAGTTCCTTAAGCGAAGAGACTCCAGCTTGAAAGGCGTCGTGAAGGATGTTTCGTCGAAATCACTAGTCATGAGGGGTTTAATACAATTCCTCCATAAAATGCAACGTTTCTGGCCCAACAATTGATATCCAAGGCCAGTTCTTTCCAGCAATGGGTATTCAAGGCGGCGAGTTCCGCGTAAGGGAACCCAAGCAGAGTCAGATCCAACCGCTGCAATGCACCGGTACATGTTGACGAGGCAACGACCATCCACAGTGCATATCGAAGGCGTTCAGGGAGGTCATACCACAGACCAGAGTCCTTTACCACGATACTGAAATCCTCCGCCTTTTGAATCCGACCTAGCAATTCTTCTAGAATGAATAGAGTACTGGGATCGCTATCTCCGAGGTCGATAGTCCAATTGAACACCGGTTTTCTAACATAGGTTGCTAGATGGGGTACTTCGCAGAAAATGAGAAAGAGTCGCTGGTAGGGTTCAGAGCAGCCAATTGCGACCCTTTTCTTCGCTCGAGAATTTGGACGAGGTGCTGGAATGACGATGGTGTGAAAAATGTAAGGGCGCGTGTGTGGTAAAAACAGGGAGGCGAGTGAGCAGGCTTTCAGGTCGGGTAGCGGGTTTTTCCAGGGGCCTCTGCGAAATGTGGCTACATAGTAGACGATGCGAGAGATGAGTTCTGCAGGCAATGTTGACAGCGACGCCATGGGGAAACGGTATGATAAAACAGGACAAAACGCGTCCAACATGATCGTCGTCGCGAATATGTCGAGAGGCTCGTGGGAATGGAACAATCTTTGCCTCACCTGCGGGCGCTAATGCTGTTGCGCCGTACCACTGGATGAATCTGCAACATGGACGTGAAGTACTCCCCAAGACTAGTGGAAGAAAACGACAGGGGACGGTGCGCCGACGGAATTCCTTCTTCTATCATAGTTTTGGATGGTCACTGCCTTGGTCCTTCTTCAGATGGTGTTTCAAAGTACTACAAGCCCCAAGTTGGCTCGAGAGATTTGCATAAAACTAGCGTTGCAGCCAAAGAACTCAAGGGTCTCCATTCTGCGATGGTGGTTTCTTCTGCCATCGCAGCGACACTGCCTGAGGCAGCATTCAACTTCGGGACACTGTCCTCAGCCAGCCGATTTTCAATCCTCTTCCCTATGCATCGGGCGTCTGTCTGGAAGTTCCGGACACTGCTTCGGTACAAGAGCCGTCTAGAGGTCTTGGACGGGTGGGTCTACCCAGCACGAGAAGCCTGTGGATATCGAGCCGACTTTGACACGGCGTTCTGTCGTGTGGAAGGGACATGGTGTCTGGTATGTGCGAGGTGGCGTTTGTCATGCGCTGTCACCTATGGCTGTTTCGAAAATAGCCTCGCCCAGCACTGTATCGTCTTCGGAGGACGGTGTTGCGAAGGATGAAACAAGGCCAGCGGACAGCACGAGCGGATTTTCATTCGGGAGTCCACCGGTGGGGATGATACCGATGGCTTGATATATGGAAAGGAAACGATGCGCCCTTCAAGAACGCGAAATTCCTACCTACATCGAAGGAGGGAGGAGATCCTTCACCAGCGCTGCCCGGGGAGGCAGTCTGGGCGTTGGGAGTTCGTCTATATCTGCTTGTTGCGGTGATCCTGTTGCTTCTGGGCAGACATGCGTTGAGTAACCATTCCATTTTCGAAACAGGACACACACCTAGAGATAAAGCATATTGACAGTGTCGTTTCGGTCGACCGAGGCCAGCGTTCGTATAATATATCAGTGGGTGTACTGGTCCTCACTCGGGCGCAAGGCCCGCGAGGTCCACCACATAGTACAACCAAGGGGGAGACCCTGGCAACGTGGGAATGGATACTCATGAAGCATTCGGGTGTAAAGAGTCCCGTGTCAACGTAGCGGGCGCTAGTTCTGCTCTCACGCTGAGACTCGGGGGCTTCGTGCCACTGGCCGCGCGGGTGGTCCGTGGAAGAGGCTTTTCGGTGACCAAGCAAGTCAACTTATCAGTTGCCAGAGGACATCACACCAAACCAAGCGTCGAGGTTAGATTAGCAGGAATGAGTGAGGCGCTTGGGCAGTAGAAAGTTGGCCAGAGCAAGAGTTGGATGATGATGATCAAAAGTAAGTAATGATAGTTACCCAAGGAAGGGTTTTGTTTGGTTGGTGTGTAGTATTTAGTCATCTGTAGCCAAGGGCGTTAGCAGGGCTGTGGGAGCGGGAGCCTTTATGAACTTTACAACTTGAACACATAGTTTTCGGTGATTCGCCTTGCAGGATGGCTCCTCTCGCGGTTCCAAAGCCGATCCCATATGCCAATGGCAACGGCCAGACACCGTACACATCGTCGACCGACTCGTCGGGATCAGCTTCCGCAGCCAAGTTTCCCCACACTCGAGCCCAGCTCGCTGCAATCGCCCGCCAGTACAAGCCAGCGGACACCTACGACGGCAATATCGAGGTCGAAGAAGCCAATCGCGTCCCCTCGTCGCTGGTGACCAAGGTTGTCTCCTTCCTGGTGGATGAAAAGGAGGATGAGCTCAAGGCTGCGCTCAAGGAGGCATTTCCAGAGATGAACGATGTCTCTGTACGTTGCTCTCAGTCTTTTCGCTGCGCGTGGAGTCCCTTACTCATACGATGGCTAGATCGAGCAGAGCGTCTTGGATTTGATGCACAAACATCGGGACGATGTCGCAGGAGTCCCGTTTCTGTTCTTGACGCCCACCCGGAGGCCAATTTCTCGCCCGTCGTCGCGCGCATCAACCCATTCCAGTCGGCTTTTACCGACGAGACCAGACACGCCCACCTCTGCACCGTCTTCGCCTCTTGCTCACTCCTTATCGTTCAGGCGCCCGCACACCCCAATCACTTCGCCGCTCGCAAGTGCGGCCCAGGCCTCGGGTTACATGTCCGCCAAAAGCGATTATTCGCCTTCATCTTCCCCGATCTTGATGCACGCACATATTAGCTCCCAATTCACGGCCAGTCTCCCGGCCTCCCCCCTTTCTTCACCTCGTCTTTTGAACGCAAAGGCCTCCGAATTCAGACCTATACCCCGGCCCCTGTCCGCCGCATCGTCGAATCCGGGCTCCCTTTTGCGCGCCGATACACCGTCTCCTGATTTATGGGCCCATAATTCTCCACGCGCGACATCCAACCTCGCCATCGCAGCACCCCTTTTGCCAGAGCACTCGTTCAGTCGCTCTAATACACCGAGTTCAAACCTTCGTTCGTCTACCCAACCAGAAGAAGAAGAGGATGATGACCCATTCGATGGTCTTGCAAATAACCTCGCGAGCACCTTCCATTCGATAACCATCTCCGACTTCGACACCCATTGGTCGCCTCCAGATGTCTTTGATTCCATGGAAAACAAGAATAATGGCCAGCCGACTTATCCTGGAATTTATGGATATGGCCATCCCGATTCAATGGGACAACCAGGGGCTCATCAAAGCGCAGATATGCTGGAAGGCGACGATACCTCAATTTTGACCGATGGGATGACGCCACTCGATGTCCTCAGTTCTGTTTTTGGCTCGACCCTTGCACCTTCCGAATTAGAGGAAGCGCTGAATGCGAACGGGTACGACTTCGAAAGAGCCATGGCTTGGCTCATCGACCGCCAGTTGCCGCAGCAAGCGCATGGCCCTCCCAATCGACCCGTTATCCACAACAAGTTTATCCAAGTTGGCCGCGATTCTGCTGTCCGTGGACGTGGCTTCGGTCCTGGCCACATGGCCGGGCCTGGACGGGGTGCTCCTCGATATGTCAACGGGCGCCCTGTCCCGAACGGGAATCGTGTTTGCAGGTATTTCGTTGCTGGAGAGTGTTTGCGTGCGGACTGTCGGTTCAGGTATGGTATCTCTGCTACTGTTGGAACGATGCGCTGATCTTTGTGTTAGTCACGATCTTGAGAGAGCTCTCTGTCGATTCTGGCTTCGAGGGACTTGCGCCAAGAACGAATCTTGCGAATTCTTACATCACATCCCCAAGGACGTCGACATCAACGCCGTCAATGCAGTGCTTTCCCGAGCGAACGTTCCTCCTGGCACCGGTCCACTCGCCAATTTCCATCAGGTGCAAAACAATCCAGGTGCGCAGCCCAACCTGGAAGAGTTCCCCGTTCTGGGATATGAAGGCAATGGCAACAATCGTGGTCGCAAGCATCAGTACAATGATCCCGGCAGGACCAGATTTGCAGCGGCTGTCAAGAAGCCAGCCCCGAATGTCCCTCAAGATCAGCAGCAACAAGGAAACCGACCAGGTGGAGATCTGAGCCATCCTGCGATCGTCGCCCCTCGCCCTTCGCCTCGTATCAAGTTGCGTGCCCCTGCCCTTCTACCGACCCTGCCCACCGGCGAGGCCTTGAACAACCTCTACATGACCTATCGCTCTCGCGCCCTTCAACTCGGAGCAGCACGCAACGCCTGCCTCTCCCGTGCTGCTGATGCGTGGCGCCGAGGAGACGGCGCCGCTGCCAAACGGTTCAGTCGCGAAGGACACGAGCTAAACGCCAAGATGAGCGCCGAGATGGCAGACGCCGCTTCCAAGCTTGTCCGTGAGCGAGCCAGGGTTGCGGAGCAGGCTGTGAGGTCGCGGGATGCATCGTGGTCGGATGACCCTGGCGATCGTGCTGCGAGGGGCAAGGTCTGTGGAGGTGGACTTGGTGTTTGTTTGGGGATTGCGAGTAGGGTGGTTGGGGAGGGGTTGAACTCGGAGGAGAGGACTGAGGCTATGCTTGATCTGCACGGGCTTCATTCGAACGAAGCTACTGAGGTGTTGGAAAAATTCTTACTGGCTGTGAGTTCCTTTCCTAAACGCAATAGGGGTCTTGAAACTGATTTGTGTTCTGCTAGTTGGAACGCGAGCATTTCTATGGACTTGGTACGTTTCCTTGTATACCCTTCACTGTCGACATAATCACTGATTTAATTCTTCTTGTCCAGCATACGCGATCGTTGGCGAAGAAAAGCACACAGGGACTCAAGATGCCGCTCGCGGTGCATCTCGTCTGCGGCTCGCCACTGGCGTTCGTGAATGGCTTCACCGCTGGGGCTATCCCTGGAACGAACGCGATGGAATCATCTGCATTGATCCTCTCACTCATGCTTCTGAGTGAAACTATGTACTAACTCTAACGAACTCTTAACCTATTGGCCGCTTCGACGAAGGATCGGCTGTTCGACGCTGGATGTTGGATTGGTGAAAACGCGTCTTGGACACTGGAGGCTGATGTTGATCATTGATTCCAGTGTTCGGGGCGATTAGACTTTGGGGAGGGAAGGTGGGAAGACGATAGGAAAGAAGAAAGAAGAATATTACTGAACGAAACCAAACTCTTTTTTTTGTTACTGAATGCTTTGAAAGAAAAAAACGATGGAATATGTAAAATGTACTCCTTTGCTGTATCTATGCTTCTTGGATTTCTCTTCTTCGTCGGACGAGTTACGGCCAATCGGTAGTGCTCTTTCTCCGACCCGAAAGCTGCCTTGAAATCCTGACAGATGGACTGGACGTAGGGCTTCCATGAAGCATATTCGGCGGCTTGGAAGGGTCTGGTTGTCATACCAGGCTTCAACTTCAGGATCGCAAGGCGAGAACCCGCCGATAGCACGGCGGGCTGGGACATCGGGATACGTAATTGGGAAATAAGCTCCACCATAGACTGGCACATATGCTATAAGCCGTAGCTTGACCAAGGTTCCTCGTCACCCCATTCCTTCCGTCGCCTCTTTGGCTTTCATCGAAACCATTTTCGTCTACACGTCCCAGTAACACGCCAATCCGGATGGCAGACCAAGAACGACACGCCAGCGGTTCCTCGAGGTGGTACCATGACGAAGCGCGCGCTGCCCTGCTCAATAGCGAGGTCTCGAACAAGATTCGGGGGTTATGGGGTGGATTTACGGCGTTTGTGTTGAGGGATAACGTGCTGGAAGTTGCTGTTGGTTTAATGTACGCCCATGTTTACTTTGGCCATGAATGACTGCTGATATGTATGGTTTCGGATGCCAGCTTTGCGACCGCGTTCACGAAACTGGTTACTTCTCTTGTGTCCAATATTATACTGCCGCCTATATCCCTCCTCCCGTTCATGAGCAAGAACTTGGACGAGAAGTTCTTGGTACTGAAGAAAGGACCCAACTTTGAACCCCCGAATGGGTATAATACGAGGGAGCAGGCTTCAGGTGACGGAGCAATCGTTTGGGCTTACGGGTGGGTACTGTTTCTTACCCACTGCCGTTTCTTCATGGATTTTGCTGATTAGAGTCTCTTGTGAACGCGATGTCGTTCATGACAGGGCATTTGCGGATGAGGCTCTCAAGTTCATCGGTGTAGGGGCTGCACTGTATCTGATTGCGACGGTGTATGGTGCCTTCACGAAGGATTCGATTATCCGGGATACGATTCGGTGTATGTATTGTAGGAAGGAGATTAGTGCCAAGGTGGGTTGTCTGAGGTTTAGTGTGGAGAGGATGCTGATGGTGGTTTTGTCCAGGCGAAACGGTGTCCATTGTGTACTTCGTGGTTGGATGGAAGAGAAGACAAGGAGACGAGTGCTTTGGCACCACACGAGTCCTAGACCGGATGATTCATGCTGGCATACACGAGTATTTTCTTGTCATGTCATTCGTTCCTGTTGACATGAATCTACGTTGGTCTAGATATGCATCTTGCAGCAACGCATGGTGGTTTGGATTTGATGGAGAGTTGCCAGAAGAGGCAGAAGTGTCATTTGGCCAGGCGCCAAACAACGCGCCAATTAACTCCCCTGAAGGTCAAATGAAACGCAATCAAGGATGACCTCTCAGCTTCTATGCCTCGTAAATCGCGCCCATTGCTGTAAAGGTTAAACTACGCGACTTGATTCTATTTAACAAATTGGCAGTCCACAACTAAATCGAGGATGAGTACTCGGTTCTTATATGGCAACGAGTCTCGTGACTGTGGATCAGTGTGTGAAACATCCGAAATCGCGGTGGGCAGCCGTCGAGGCTTCTTGCATGTCGGTTTCCTTTTGCCATCCATTACACTACCCACGACAACAATATCGACGGTCACGGTCCCCAGCTCCCTCGTAGCGCTGGCAACCCAGCCAGCAACTCAACCAGCCAACATGTCTACGTCTACCCCTCACAACGACACGGACAAGACTAGCAACACCCTATTTGAGGCTCCCAATTCCGCCGAAGTACAACCAGTGAGGGACAGGAAGCATTTTTCCATCGATCTCTCACTTGAACTGGAGCGTCAGCTCGAGATGGACTCTCTGCCTGTCACGCCCATGCGCGATCTCACCAGTGCCACGGAAGACAACGAGCAAAAGCATGAAGCACTCGACCCGGAAATACTGGCCCACCTCGTCATGCAGCTGCGGCATTCCTTGTCTGAAATGACCAAGGAACGTGATGAACTGGCCAGGATGCTAGCTGACTCTCATAGCAAGCAGGCATCGCTCAACGATGCTCTGCAGCTGATGACCGAGAAGGCCACGGCCGTTAACGAGGAGCTGGTTGAAGCTCGCCGCAAGAATAAAGAGGACGAGGAGGCTATTACTCTCCTGCGGGCCAAAGTCGAAGAATCGAGGTTGGTACCAACTATCATACGATGCGATTAATGCTCATGCACCACTAGGAGAGGTCTCATGCGACTTCAGACGGAGAACCGGCGGCAGACCATGGCACCCATCGACGTCAATCGTGCTTCTCTCCTTGGAAGTCCGCCCAGTTCCTCAAATAAGCGGGCCTCTTTCACACCTCTCACTGGCCGATCAGCAGGTGGGCACCGACGGATATCTTCAGTTTCGGACGTGGCCTTTTCGATTGCGGATTTCCATCCCAGCCCGAGTGGACAGACCTTGACCTTCCCTGACACAGGGCACAACCCTCAAACCACGCCTCCGCCTAGCAGCACGCGTTATCCTGCTGTATTTGGTCGCCAATCTCCTCCTGCTACTACAAGCGAGGGCGGGTCCCTCGAGCTGGAAGAAGTCAAGCGTGAACTCCGTCAACTCAAGGAGGAGCTCGCGACTGCCAAGCACGAGCTAGCAGAGGCCAACGAGGCGAAGGAGGCATCCGAAACGTGTGTCAAGGCGTTGCGGCAGTTTATCGCCGAGAACACGTTTACAGACGCCCAATCCTCGACTGCACCCTCGTCCATCAAACTCCCTCCCCTCCCTACTATGGCAACGGGCGAGGAGGCCGCAACTGAATCGAAACAAGGGCGTACGGCGACGGGCTGGGGATTCAAGCTCTGGGGAGCCGATTCACCTCGAGTCCCGCAATCTGCGACTATCCCTCCTCAGTCAGCCCCTGCCGTTAACGGTAGTCCTCAGCTGGGCGGCGGGGCTACGCCCACGCTTCCTGCTGCCCCCCTCAGCAGAAAGTTTGGTGGGCTATTCAGCTCCAGATCAAGTATTTCGTCGACGATGTCTAACAATACCCCTCTGCCACCGCTCCAGACGAACGGTCCCTCGGTGATGCAGCGCAACCCTTCGCACGAGACTAGTTCTTCGGATGCTTCGTCTGTTGCGGAGCCCATTAGTCCGAGCGACGATATTCATGGACTGGGAACCGCTCCTGTCGTCATTTGCCGCGATTCGACCAGTTTATCCGACGTGAGTAGTGTCCACGGTGTGGTACCTGCCAAATCCTTGGATGTGGAGATCATTCGGTGAATGTGAACTTTTCCTACCGATGCAGGTTTTTTGGCTGTTTTTCTCTGGTATGTACCAGGCTTATATACGGACGCCCTGGAACCCTTTCGACTTCATTACTGATTCCAGTGATCGAGGCGGTGTATGATTGATCCCTTGTGACGACTTTTTATGATCCCTTTTCTCTTTCACTTGTTGTGTTAACTAGACATTTTGATGATTGTTTCGACCTTCTCAACGCATGAGATCCATGACATGATATGTACCACACCACCCTTTTATCTTACAAGCTTAGTAGTTATATTTGTAAACACTGTGTGTTCCCTCCCCGAGATGACATTATGATATGCTTGACGTCGGAACTTGTCCCACTTCACACCCCTGAGCCCATGTAGCCGGGTCCTGGGTGTTGGTTCGTTCTCATAACTTTGGGGTCTTCATTAGACGCCAATGGGCAAGAGTCCGCGTATGGAAAACAGGAACCGCGTTCCACTCGGACTCGGCGAAATCGCTGATATTTTAGGATTGTCGAAGCGGAAAGGTGTCCACTTCTCAAACCAAAGGTTTGGTGAAGAGTATAAGGGACATGACAAAGTCTAGCGCTCGGACGTAACTTTCGGAATCATGACAGTTGTCTTTCTGCACATAAAAGTCAAGTTTTGGTAGCGGGTGCTCCGATTCGAGCGTCGACCCAATGGTAGCTCCTGGGATAAGGAAAGATTTGAACGGGGGCTCCAAACTTCTTCCAAGTGGGTCGCGATTAGTTGCTACCGGCAATACGAGTAAACTCCAGAAAGGGGAGGACAGGCGGGGCCCTGAGATTTTCGCATCCCCACGTCGTGGCGTCGACTGTATGCCTCGAAATGGTATTCAGAAGCAGCCTTGGGAGGCATAGGCACAAGGTAAGGGCTCCGAAATGGCGTCACAAGTCCTGCCGTATCGGACAGCTCGAGTAGAACTGACAACTGGTACGGCGGACCTTGTGAGATTCATCCGTTGTTGGGATTGGAGAGTTAATTCTGGCGTTTTGGTCTCGACTTGGCCTGCATTTTAAGATGCTCATGTATTTTAAGACCGTTTCTAGTTTGAAGAACCGGCCTTTCTTCCGACGACAATCCCCCGATAAACCATCTATAAACACTAATTTATGAGTCCCTGTGTGTCGACCACGTTCCTGCCAAAAAGGTTCCGCGTCCGATCAGTTGAGTGCTTCCTTTTCTGGAGGTCACGATCAAAGATCAGCTGAGCCTCCGAACTACACGGAGAATGGGCGAATCATCGTCCTGGAATTCCTTTCCAAACGTCGCGAGATGCTGACTGCTCTGACGTCTGTATTAATTTCATGGTCGCCAAAAGATGTCCTCCGATAGTCCACGAGGCGTGATCTAGGAAGCTTCTTCGAATTCTTTGTGAAACTACCCTTGCGACCGTGGTTTTCTGGGGTCTGCGGGGCGGCTCTTGGTCGGCTCGAATAAGAAGCCAGCGTTGTTGTTGAGTTTTGAAGGAGGGTTAGTACGCTTTTGTAACTTTTTGATATCAGTGTGTTGAGGCGATGAATCCGTTGATGGACATATAACGCACTTGTGAAACGACACAATTAGGTGATGGGTCAGGAAGATGGGACTTGGAAAAAAGAGGCAGAAAGGTGCTGTAAAAACCAAGTGCTTCTGGATGTACTGTGGCAGAAAGTGCTCGAAACGTGCGGAAAATGAGGTTGTTTTGACTCGATTTGCATGGAGGCAGGAGCGGAGGGGTATCTTAGATTGGCAAATTCCCCTTGGACAAGGACGGAAGTAAATCGGGCGGCGGCTATCTCCGTTTGCCCACAGGCGCAAAGGCTGCGTTCCCTTATCAGTACTTGGGAAGTGCCTACGAATCTGGATCCTTGCCCACAGCTTGTGCTTTGGCTTCTAACCATCACCATCTCATACTACCTGTTCAATGTCTCCCTCCGCCCCAGGAGTCCCAAACGGCGGCGACAACCCCTTAAAAAAGCGCAGGAAGGGCGCGACAAGACTCAGCTGTGCCGAGTGCCGAAGGTAAGGAGCGAGCGGGCTTGGCGCGTAACGTCGCGGCTGATTGCTGCATTCTCTTTCCTGTTTTCAGGCTTAAGTTGCGATGCGATAGAGGAATCCCTTGTAGTTCCTGTGTGAAGCGAGGTTGTGGGGCAATATGTCCAGATGTACGTCGTCTTTACTGGTCATTACTTCCTGCTCTTTAACCTAGTATTTTCTAGGGCTCTCTAACCACTGGCCAAGGCAATCGGTACGCGACGAGCGGGTGCAATGTTCAAAGACAATGCTAAGACACCTTCCAGGTTCGTTCTGGCCAGCACACAAGAATTGCATGAAAAGATCAACGAATTGGCCCAACGTGTTCGAGATCTCGAGGATGCCCTCCGAGTCTCGCACGCCCAACTCAGCACAGAGCAGCATCCTCTATTGACCGAAGAACTTCTCAAAATCAAAGCACCTCTCCAACGAGAGCCTGCAACTGCGCGTAGCCACATCGGCGGAACAATCAAGGAGGAAGAGCAGTCGACAGATATCCCAGACGCCTTTGGCTCATTATCAATCAGCTCTGTTTCTGGCAGGACGAAGTATTTTGGTCACATTGCCAACTCATGGGTGCGTGTTCTCTACTCAAGCTTTCTCACCTCGTGTTCACGCTTCGACGTCCAATACAGCTGTTTCTGCAGGTTAGTCCATCCGTTACTGACTCGAAGATGTCAGCGATGACATATCCCTCTAGAACGAGTCTCCAGAGGAAGACGGGCCAGATGACTCTACTATTAACAACCTCAGGGGCCTTCTCCCGGCCGAGATCCTGACTAGAGCCTCTGCATTCCCCGTATCTCCAATGTCCACCCTTGGAAATGTTGGGCTGGGCACGCTCCGCTGGTTCCTCCCTTACGCCAACGAAGCGCAAACTCTATGCCAGATCTTCTATTCCCATGCAGCATGGATGTACGTTCGCCAATTCCTTTTGCGTTTACGTTTTTTTCTCCCAAGCACGCCGGAATTTCTGACCTTTGCCTCCACAGGTACAATCCAATCAACCAAGAGACTTTCGAAGAAGAGGTTTATTCCCAGTTTTACCAGCGGGATAGCACCGGCAACTACAGCGCTGTGAATGGCGGTTCGATAGGCTCCGAGGAACCTATTGCCTACCATCGCCTCTCGCTGATGTTTATGGTCCTGGCTATCGGCTCTTTGATGAATACCTCCATGCAAGCGTACAATTTGGAAGCGGAGAAGTATCACCAACTGGCTCGAGCCGCGTTGTTCCACACCTCGTTGTTCGATGAGCCAACGCTGAATGCAGTTCAAGCTTTGGTACGCCCCCTCCCGTATCCCCGCGGACGTGCGTGCCCCAGCTCCCTTTATTAACGGTTTCACTTTGCAGTTCTTAATGACTTATTACATGTTCCTGGCCGACCGACATGGTAGCAACACGGGAGCACGGTGGGGTATCATGGGGATAACCATCAAGGTGGCACAAAGCGTATGTCTTCGACTTCCCGCTTCTTCGTGGGACATAATTAATTGAACACCACCATTCGCTCCCCTTCTCGGGAACTTGTTGCTTTTTCTAACAGATTGGTCTCCGTGAGTGCTTTATTGTTTCCTTTCGTCCAAGTGTTTGTTCGTGTCGGCTGACAGCGACGTCATTTGTCAGATCGGGACAGTGGCCGATGGAAGGTGAACGCTGAGGAGACCCAGAGGAGACGCGAGCTCTTTTGGGAACTTTTCACGTACGATTCCTGGCAATGCTACACTTTTGGACGGCCGCCTTCGTTTGCGCTTCCTCACATCGACACGAAGATGCCCTTTATTAACGATAAAAGTGATGAACACGCCTGTGAGTAGGAACTGACTCGTAGCCTTGAAGCATTTGTCCTGATTTGTGGGTCTCCCCTCTAGTTCACGCCTGGAAGCACAAGTTTTCATCAGAATGCATGAACCTGTTCCATGATCAGGCATTTGGAGCGAAAACGCCCACATATGCCACTGTTCTCCAATTGGATAGGAAGATGCGCGCCTTCCCCGTGCCACCTGTGCTACAGGTCGCTGGGTTTGGAAACTCGGATGGCAATCGACTTATCGGGCAAGATACCGTGCAGCTGACATTGCAGCGGCATATCGTCCTCGCAATCAGAGAGATGAGTGCGTCTATTTCGTCGGGTGTCTTTTGCCAGCGGGTTCTAACTTATTGTTCTCTCTGTATAGATCTTCTATACTTGCACAGAAGCTTCTTTGCCCGCGCCATGAGCGATCACCCCAAGGACCCGCTTGGGAGCCCATACGGAACCTCCGTAATTGCGGCCTATCGAAGCGCGGGATCTCTGGTTGCCCTCATGCGTAATCTCCATAGTCAGTTGAAAGAACCCAGCGAACGGATGTGGTTCCTTTGGACACATATGTTCTCTTGCGCAGTAAGTGATCATCATTTTTGTCTCCGTTGCTTTCTACCGTCGTGCCATTTCATCTGTCTGACTCTGTTTCAACCCTTTTAGATCGTGCTTGGGTCCATCGTAACGAGATGTCCCTCGATGAGTCTGGCGCAATCAGCGCTGGGCCAGTTGGAATCTGCTTGTGATCTGTTTGCCAAAGCCGCTCGTGGATTCCGAGCGACAAAGGTATTGGTAAGTTGTGACAGTTTTCGATTTGTCAAAGACCGAAGTTTACTGAGCGAGTGGACGAAAATAGAACATTATGCTACACCTACGGTCTCGGGCACAGTTCAGCTTGGACGAATACAGGCGAGGGAATGGGTCGCCGATCACTCGACTTAACCCTGCAGATCCTTCTTCTCCGACTGAGGAAGATGATGAGTTGTCGATTCTTGGAGGCAAGACTCGTCTCGTGTCGAAGGAGCAGCCTTCGTCCCCTCGGTTATTGGAGCGGTCGCCGACGAGCCAGAACCCTGTTGTACCGCTACCTCTTCCTTCGAGTATACAATCGGCGGACCCCAACCTGGCCATGTACCTGAGATCATTTAACCCCTCACAAAATCCTCCGCAATCCCACCACCATCAATCCCCCTCCATCTCCCAGAGTTCCAGCGGCAACTCGTATACCACTATGGACGCCATGCATTCATCGGACCGTGGAGGGTCGTATGGTAATGAGCTGGAGCTCTCCCCCGTGTCGATGTATGGGATGTCTGCGATTCCGACGACCAACTACAGCTCGAGCTCGGAGAACGCGTCGTACATGCAGCAGCAACAACACCAGGCTATGCAAAATGCTACTGCTGGCCCTTCCAATCCCTCATCGACGATGATGGATGTTTCTGCCAACGGCTTTGGAGAATTCCCTCAGTACTTCCCTGTTTATGACTATGGTTCTGGTGGTATGAGCGGAGGCAACACGGCTGGGTATGGACCTAGTTCACCGATGCTGGAGGGGAGTGGCCTCAATCAGCGGCGTAGCTCAGGGTCACCGGAAGCTGGTAATTTACAGACGACATGGCAAGACTTTGTCGACACGATTCGCGCTATCTAAATGGACAATGGTCAGACTGGTCACATCACATCAGTTATTTACCTTCTTCTTTTTTCCCCCTTTTTTTCTTCTCGTTTTCGGTTCCTCTTCTGGCATCTGTTGCTATATTGCTCTTTGCTCTCTATTACCGTTTGTTGTAATTAAAGTACAGTTTCTTCGTCCCTGATTTGATGTTGGGAAAGACGCAATCTCTCCTTGTATGTCTATATGTACTCTATGTAACACCGCATGGATGGTTTTGTGGAATCTACTTTTATGGTTGTATTTCTTGTCAAAAGCCCCGATAACAAGGTACAAAGCAACCAAGAGGCAATAGGGAATCGTCGGTGTGTGCAACGGCGGAAGCTTTAGCGAAAGGCTTGTTTGGGCGGGCGCGGCATCGGTTTGCTTTGTACCAAAACCCTTGCCCCTTGAACCGAATACAGCATTTAACTTGCCTCGTCCACAACAACTTCAAATTCTCCTTCTTCCGACTAGCCCGTTCCTAGGTTTCCTCTCATCTAGCTCTGCTTTTATTTTATCATATTCTAGTCATGTCTCTGTGTGGCACTTCAAAAAACGGTGCTTCGTTTGGACGTTCAAAACCGGTATGTTCGACTTGGCTGTTTAACGCGGCGGGGTTACGCTACTTGTGTTTACATGAAGCTGACTTGGGGCGTTTGGGTGGTTTTGTAGCTTCAACGCAAGGTGCGAGGCGATGGGCTGGGTTTATCTCTGAGATACGTAGTGGCTGAACGGTTGTGATAGGTGGTTGTATGTGGGGATGGAGCCTGCGGTACGTGTTCAACTCAGCGCCATGGAGTTGCAGGTTTTCTCAACGGAACACCGTGATTTATAGGCAAAACGTCCCTGTTGAACGTGTTTACTCGAGGGTTCTTCACGCAAGTCTAGTGAGTCCCCGTTTCTATCAGGAGTCGTATGGAGCAGCGGTCTCATGAACATACATAACATCTGATAGTGAACCAACAGTATTCGAGAACTACGTTCACGACTTGATGGTCGATGACCAGTTGGTGGAGCTGAGTTTATGGGACACTGCAGGTGCGTTGCTGTTGCCCGTTGGTTTCGTGGCGGGCTGGTTAGCTTGCTGCATAGCTAACTGCACTCCTACCCCCTTGCTTCACGGTCGTTTATATTGCCCGTTCCTCGATAAACTAACGCGAAACAACAGGCCAGGAAGAATTCGACCGACTACGCTCACTATCCTACGCCGAAACACATGTGGTCATGATTTGCTTCTCGGTGGACAATCCGACATCATTAGAGAACGTTGAATCCAAGTGGCTAGACGAGATTCTTGAATATTGTCCAGGGGTTAAGGTGAGCCTGTGGTTCTTTACCTATATACGCCACTCCCTTTCTCCTCCTTCGTGGATATCGGCTGACGCGAGATGGAATTCTACAAGCTTGTTCTAGTTGGTCCGTCTCATTCTCTCAAGTTACACTTTTCTGCACTCCGCTCAAGGCTGACTGTCTGACTGGCACACACCCCTCCTCGCCTCCGCTGCATTACGTTCTGCAATATCAAGCTCTGAAATGTGACCTTCGAGAAGACAAGGCGGTGAAGGAACGGTTACAGCGGTATGGATCGCATACAGTGCAGTATGAAGAGGGGCTCGCTGTTGCGCGGCGGATACGAGCATCACGGTATCTAGGTACGTTATCCTATTCTCGTCAACACTCCTGTTTAGTTCCCTTACTCTTTACCCCCTTCCTTTTTCGTTCCCGTACTGCAGAATGCAGCTCCAAGCATAACCGCGGCGTCTCAGAAGTCTTCCACGAAGCAGCGCGCGTGTCATTAGGAACCCGACCGAGAGGACGCAGCTCGTCGTGTTTGATAATGTGAAAAATCCTTTTCTTCGCGCATTCCATTTCGTTGTCTAGGGTATCGGCCCTTCCGAGCGCTCGAGACGTTGTCATAACATGCACCTCATATTTCAAACGAATACCAATCAGCCAGTCCAACACTTGATACCCGCCATCTCCACCCGACCCCGACCAGGCTGAACGGTTTCAACTGTTCAGCGGCATCATCATATCATCGCCGCCGCCGCCCTTTCCTTGATCAAAACCTTGAACTTCCAACTACGACCGCACCGCACAATTTCAAGAATGCACGCACCCCTGACACCAGGGCCCGCGTGACCCCCTCCTCTCGCTCTTCAATTCACCCATCTTGCATCGCACAGCCTTCATCCAACAGCCACCATCATTAGGCCCACCACTCGCTCACGCACAACCTGCCTGTACAATTATCGTCCGCATTGCAAACTGTTAACCTACCGGCCTTAGCATTGCATCATCTGTCTTTTTCGCTTCATTTTCCCCTTTTCTCTGTCTCTCTCTTTCCTCTATATTTTTTGCTGCTATTTGACTAGTCTCCCTGCGCGTGTAATCTACAATGACCCATTACTACAGTACCTCTAGATCTATCTTTCTTTGAACCCTCTCGTGTCGAAGCTGCTCCATATGCATATGTGCAATCCTCGATCGATACCAGACCTCGTCCTAATACATATCCCTGCTGCTATTTGCAAAAAATATGGGGTATTGTGAATTCCGTTGGGTGGAAGAAGCAGAGGCACATGTCGGCAGTGTCGGAGAGGCAAAGCGTCCAGTCGCCGGCGAGATCGCAGTAGTCGACACTCCAGCCTGCGTGTTATAAATAATGTGCATGGAAGTCCTGCAAATATGCAATGGAAGTGCCCTTGGCGGGTACTTAATGGGGGTGGGCTCAAGGTCCAAAGACCGGGGACTGCCAGGCGGAACTAGCCCTCGTTCAAGGCATGCACACCCTCGTTGAGAACTTTAATCCCCAAGGACGTCTCGAATCCCTACAAAGTGACGTGTTAATTATGGATAAGAAGCCGGACAGCAAGAACGAGAACTCACTGTCGATTATATTCAAATACGCCGTCGTCGCAGGACTATCTGGGTATTCGTCCAAGAAGCTAACCCCATAATCCGCACTCTTCCCAATCCTCGGATCGAGAGGGACAGACCCCAAAAACTCAATCCCCGTCTCCTCCGCAAGCCTCTTCCCACCCCCAGTCGAAGGCTTGAAGATCTGTGACTCGGTTTTACAGCTGGGGCACACGAACCCAGCCATGTTCTCCACGAGGCCAATGATCCTAATCCCAACCTTCCTGCAGAAATCGATTTCACGCCGGACGTCTTGGAGGGCCACTTCCTGTGGTGTGGTGATCACCACTGCGCCATCAATCCCACTCTCTTTGAGGTACTGCACGATGCTGAGGTGCTCATCCGAGGTGCCGGGTGGAGTATCGACGAGGAGGTAGTCGAGCTCACCCCAGTCGACGTCTTTGAGGAATTGGGAGATGAGTCCATTCTTCTTGGGGCCGCGCCACATGACGGCGTCTTTGGCGGAGGGGAGCATGAAGCCGACGGACATGACGCCAAAGTTGTCCTGGACGTAGACGGGTGACCAGCCGGAAGAGGAGGAGTGGACTTGTTCCGAGGCGATACCGAGGATAGTGGGTATGGAGGGTCCGCAGATGTCTACATCCATGATTCCTGTCTAATCACAACGTTTAAATTTTCACCATTGGGGTTGAATGGGTATGTGATATGCGTACCTGGGTATCTTCGTCAGCAGCAAAAGCCCACCCGAGTTGGGCTGTAAACGTTGATTTGCCCACTCCTCCCTTTCCAGAGAGGATCAAGATCTTCCTCTTCACTGTGGACATTCGTTCACGGATGAAAGGTAGGGAAGGGTCTGGTCCCTTGGTTGCGCCTGATGCGCAGATTTCTTGGTTCGCACATCCGTTGCAGGCATCCGACTTGCCTGCTTGTTCTGACTCTGTTCCCTGGTGGATTGTCAGTACAGGCGCGACATAAACTTGACTCGAGCTCAACGTACTGGACAGTGCTCAGGAGCGTTCGAGGGGATAGATTTTGGGTCTATAGCGTCTTGAGATTGCTGTACTTCGCCCATGGTGGTGGTGGTAGGTTTTCAAGCAGCGATCAGCAGCAGCTTTGTGGGGGATTAGCAAGCGGAATCTTATCTCTGGTTGATAAGCTGGGTCTTGGTATTTTGATTAGATCAAGGCTGTGCCTTGTCTCCGATGCATCCGGTTGACTTGAAGCAACCCAGCAGAAGAGGATTGTATTTTTTTCTTTAGAAAGGAGAAACAGGAGGGTATCCTACAAATTGCTAACATCGAACCTGCGAAGGTGGGGCTTCGTCCATAGAATAACATATTGTAAACTATATATATATATGAAACTGAATAACCCTGTGATGAAGTGGAAGAGAATGAAATATTCGACGGGAAGGAGGAAACGAGCGTTGGAAGACTTGAAGCTTGACGAGGCGGATTCGAGGCTTGAAAAAAACATACTGTTACACGAGAATTTAACTTTGAGAAAAATGGAATGGGCACAAAAAAGCTAGGAGATTGCGGAAACGAGAGACAAGCGCAGGGAAGCAGTTATACGAATCGGGTAAGTTGGCGAAGCCATTGTCAAGCAGAGGGACGGTATGTAGGAAGAAGGAACGGTCAGCAGTGGCGTAGAGTTAGATCGAGTAGTTAGCACAGCAGCAAAGGAGTGGATTCTTCTCAACGACAACGCTCGTTATCATGTTCGTTGGCGGATGGGAGAGGCGTAGCCATTGGGTGACCCGTAGAAGGAACCTTGGTTATCCAGCGGTGGTCGTCCATCGTGTGCGTTTGGCGTCCTGTTCCCTGCAACCGAAGACGGTCTAGACGAATTCATGCTATGGTTGTTGCCTGCTATCGGTCGAGGTGCAGCGATGCTCAGCTGCGACGGTTGTAGCTGCTGCACATTCGGATTCCACTGCTCCCCACCATTCCCCACACCCATCGGTGGCTGCCGTGACATAGACTGCAGATTTTGCATGTTGGCGTGTGGTATTGACGGTGAGTGGGAGGGTGGCTGCTGCTGCTGTTGGTGTTGCGGGTGCTGCTGATGTTGTTGGTGCTGGTGCTGCTGTTGGTGTTGTTGTTGCGGCTGCTGCTGGTAGTAGTCGTTCGGGTTCGGATTCTGGTGGTTGGAATCGTGTCCGTGTTGCGACAGATTGGGACTCGGCCTCCCAGATCGCTCAGAGGCAGACATGCCAATCGGTGGTGGCCTTTCCATCGTCGGTGAGTTCAGGGGCTGCTGATACCTCGGTTGACCATTACTGCCTCCACTCGGCCCGTTGAATGGCGTCCCAGGTGTTGGTCTTCCTCCTCCCTTGATGCGCATATACGCGTCACACTTCTTCAAGAACTCCTTCGATGGCAGCTCCATCGCATTGGCAAAGTACTCCTGGTCCTGTAGCACTGGAAGGAACTCCTCGGGAACAAGGAAGAACTCGTCTTGATTCTCGAGAAGAGCCGTCACGACTTTGAGCGCGCCAAACGTTTCGTCTCGAAGGGCGTCCCGTCCACGAGCATAGAGAATACTGGGACAGATAACGGTAGCAAGGTTAGGCAGGTCCATCTTGCTGCCCACTTCGACGTCCATGTGTGCAAAGGAAGCGACCCATTTCAAGAACACGAACAGCACTTCCATGGTATCTCGGTGACTCCTGGGCAAAAGTAACGAAATGAGGTGCAGGTAGCGCTTGCGATCTTCGTCTGACGGTAGGTCTGGAAGAGGGTAAAGATTAGTTCAGACTGCACGCTGTAACAAAACGACATACTCTGACTTTGAGATGCAATAAATAACCGGTGCAGTTTGAAGGTTAACAGAGGGTCGGGGAGATCTCGCAGGAACTTCTTGAGGAGAGCGGCCAATTGAACGGGATTGTCTTGTGTGAGATCGACGGATGCAGGATCCCTGTCAATCGCATCCTTCAGGTCATTCAACCGACGGATGTTGCCGTTCTTCCTGAAGATACCCTCTATTGAGAGATCTAAAGAGCATGATCAGCCGTTGCGGTCGTCGAGACATAAAGCGTTCAGCGACTTACCCATCGTCCGCATCGCAGAAATAACATCATCCACAAAACTCGGCACCCTCATCGTCACACCCCTACTAGCACCCAACATCGAATCCGCACCCTCCCTCTCGACAAGCAACTCCAACGGCACCCCAAACACACCCTTCTTCTTCAACGCCTTCTTACTATCCCCCTTATTAAACAACTTGTTCCAAAACCCACTCTTCTTCATCTCTACCATCTCCAAAATCTCATCCAGATCAAAGGTATCTTTTAACGGACTGCGAGAGAGCTGGAGGACCGCAAAGTGTTTGACGATGGCGAGCTCGAGAGGGGAGAGTTCGGCGATGAAGGGTGTAGAGCTTTCGCGTGGAAGGGAGCGGTGTTGCTCGCGTGCTTGCGCTTCTTCCATGAGTTGTGGGATATCGGCGAGGGTAATACCATCATCTAATGACTTCTGGTGACGTTGATGGTTGGAGTGTTGATATGAGGTATGGGACGGTGGGGAGGGGTATTGTGAGTGCTGAGAGTGCGGGTATGGAGAGTACTGAGGGTGCGAAGAGGGTGTCTGCGATTGCGAGTGGTATGACGATGTTGAGGATTGTGTGTGGGGGTAGGATTGGTAGGAGTCATGACTGTGGCTGTAGTCTCCAGGACCGCCAGCAGGTGAACTGGGCATGCTGTCGTACCCCGATCTCTGGCCCTGATCCATTCCAGCGCCTCTTGGATCCAGTAGCTTGCCCGGATGCGCACGAGGCGTCATTTGCTGTTGCTGTTGCTGCTGTTGCTGCTGTTGGAATTGTTGCACCTGTGCAGCCTGTTGCTGAGATGGTAATGGCGGGCGGTACGGAGTAGAAGGGTATGATGTCGATGAAGGACCTGGACTTGAATAGCCAGACGAAGTAGGCGCAGCTGAGGACGGTGCTTGCTGCCCGGGTGTACCATCTTGGTAATACCTCTGACTCTCCGCTGAATCCGGTGTCTTCCCCGTTGGACTCTCCACAACTGTCGATCTCTTGGGTAACCTCGCCGTGGCGGATAACTTGCGATCCAAATAATATGTGTACAAGTCTCGACCCTGTCCTGCCTGCTGGCCTCCTTGTTGGCCTGGGGGTTGCACCTGCTGTTGATCGAAGGTCGTAGTGGCAGGTGACGCTGGCACGACACCCTGCTTCTTCAATAGGAGATACAACCGCCGGAGGGCTACATTCAACAAGAATGCATACTGCTCCAAACGCTGTACAGCCTGAAATCCCGATTTGCACCCTGGGTGGGCATGTTCCGTACACAGGATCACTGTTGGGACTTCGCCGAATGAAGGTGTTTCCTTCATGCTTGCAGGGTCATAGACGAACTGGTGAACGTTCGCTGGTGGTCGACGTTGGGTAGAGGGTTTCGACGAAGAAGACGATGATGAAGGTTGTTGCTGCTGCTGGGGTTGGAGGGAATTCGATCCGGCCCCTTCTTTCTCGTCTCCGCTTTTAGATGACGAAGGGTTGGGAGCCTGTATCTCCTTCGGGACAGGCACCGCAGCAACCTTTCCGCACTGTGCGCATTGAACGCAATTCGAATGCCATCGCTGGTACGTCCCTAACCTGACACAGTCCTCCTCCACGGTTTGATTACATTTGACACACAAATCCGATGGTGGGTTGGTGGCCCGGGTGGATGGCCCAGAGCCCCCAGAGGACGACGATGACGCGGCGACCAGAGAGAAAGGCGAGTCTCCAGCATTCTCCGGAGCAAGACTCCTAAACCCATAGGTGACGCATTGAGTTCCGTAATTACCATGGTTCGGATTGGGTTGCATAACTTCTCCATTCGGGCCTCTGATCATGCGCCGCGCAGCGGGATTGGCCCCTTGCACCGCCAAAAGATGGAGTTTGTCGAGGAACGAAGACATGGCCTCCCTTGCGCTATAGTCGCGTTCTAGCTTCAAGGCTCCCGTGAGTGCAATTCGAATTAGGATCTTGAGGTAATGTGCGAGTCCCGTCACCAAGGCAAGGAGTTCCTGAGTCATCCCCATCCGTCTAGCTCCAGTCTCTTGGGTATGCGAAAGTAACGTGAAGAGTTCGACCGTCTTGCGACAAAGCATGCGTGCTTCGCGGACATGGGACATGCCTGGAAGCCATTTGTGGATGACACACAGGGCACAAAGTTTCCCATTAACGAGAGTTTAAAAAAACACGGGGAGTGAAAAGACCTGCCTTTGACGTTGAGAAGGGCGAACTGGTATTCGAGATCATCGATTGTGGCGAAGAGAACTTCTACATGGACGATGAACTTTTCTGCCATCCTGATCGCATCAAGGTATTGGCCATTGCTGACCTGCCGCAGCATATCGGATATACAGGCTGCACTTGACTCTTCGAAAGCGGAGAGAACCCTGGGCGTGGGTTGAGTGTCAGGGTACGGGAAACTGTCGAGACGGCTGGATGAGAACGCACGTCCATATCCGATAAACCTGTTGCTCCATTCGTGTCTGCTTTTCTCTAAGCGATGCAGGAGTTTCGCGCGCCTCTTCCTCGAGATAGAGGGGTTCTGGTGGGTCACCGCCTTCTTCTGATGTAATGCTTGTTGGTCTCCGCGAAGCTACTTTGACATTCCAGAACTAGCCAGGACGTTAAGAATCGCAGGGAAGACCTATCTATAGCTTCGGAACACACCTTGTTGATCATATAACACTCTGGATGCCAACATTCGTCCCTCGAATTCCGATTGATCTCCACAAACTGTTTGAGAATGGCGCTGTTGCATCCGGCGCACTTGGTGGCAAATCGGGTCGAATAGTGAAAATGACAATAAACATCGTTGTCGTGTTCATAGTATGAATCCTGAGGGCCGAAGAGGGTAGAGCAGAGCGAGCAGGTAAAGTGTTCCACATGAAACTTCTTGTCTGTATAGATAGGTCGGCATCACCATCATCGTCATCAGTGAGCAACGATCAAGAGTGAGAGGGGCGCAGCGGCACCCAGAAGCGAACGACTACTCACTGCAAGCCGTGATATAGCTGCCCCGGAGGGCCATTCCACACTTTGCACATATCAGATTTAACCGCTTGAAATAATCGCGTTCACAGAGAGGGGACTGTTTTCCATCCGGTCCATCTATCGGGAAGAATTTGGAGGCAACGACATCTCCGCAGTCCTAAAAATACACAAGATACAAGTCGGTTAAATGGAAGGCGACGCATTTGTCCAGAAACGGCGCTACTCACAAGACATTTGAAGCAATTAAGATGGAATACCGTCTGCAATGCTCTCACAAATGGGCCCTGCATCGGTTTTCCGCATGCTGAACAGATACTACAGTCATGAAAATGTAATAATGAGCCTTCTCAACGCACGAGGACAACGGCAGATAGGCCAGATTGTGGTTGAACGTACGTGGTCGCCAACTGGTGATTGTTATTTGATGACTGCCCTCCCGACCCTCCTCCCGCTTCTGAATGTCCGGAAGCTGATTTGGATTTGGACGTTGCGGTAGGAGCTCCTGATGTACTGGATGCATTCGGGCTTGGAGGGCGGCTCGGAAATGGACGTATAGAATTTGGAGGATTTGAATGGGAGAGATCTTCGCTCCTTGCATACTGCTGTCCTCCTGATGGACCTCCTACGGGTTGTGCGGGCTGCCTGTGGTGGTCGTGGGCTCTGTCTGACGGGGTATCATATGTCGAGGCCCTGGCTGGTCGTTGTTGTTGATGTTCATGGATGCTGTCCTGGGGAAGGCCTTGGGGTTGGTGGTGGTGTTTGGAAGAGGCCGTTGAAGACGACATTATTGATGGATCGCAAGGAGTGAGCAGAAGCCCATAGCCCTGTTTCGCTGAGGGGTTGAGGAAGTTGGCTGCTGCCTGTTGAATTGATGAATTTCGGGGGAAATGTTGAGGATTAAGCAGGGGACCGGGACTATCAATTCAAATCGTGTTTTGGGCTTGTGTGTTGTGGAGGCGGCGGTCTGAGTTTGCTTTGGTCCCTCACATCACCTGATCACGGAAGTCACGGGGTCCGGCGGCGGCATGATCCCCTTGGCGCCCGATTCCCGCCACGCGGTTCCTGACACTTTGCCTCCGCTCTGCCGAGTCCATTACGACCCCCACTTCATTTATTGACTTCTGCCGACCAGACGCGTACAGGAGACGCCTCCTTCCAAACAAAGCCTATAAAAGAGGCAACTGTCCTCCTGCTCATCCACAAAATGTCTAAACCCCGCCGTCAGCGACCACGCACAACCAACTTCCATTTTCGAGCCGGTGGAACCCCGTCTCGTCTCCTGTGGTTTGGCCTTGGGGCCATATTTGCCGGCTGGTGGTCGTCACCACCCACAACGGACTTCCATTTTCGAGACGGTGGAAACCCTTCTCGTCTCCTGTGGTTTGCCCTTGGGGCCATATCTGCCAGCTGGTGGTCGTCACGACGCACAACCAACATCCATTTTCGAGCGGGTGGAGCCCCTTCTCGTCTCCTGTGGTTTGGCCTTGGGGCCATATTTGCCAGCTGGTGGTCGTCGGATAATGAACCCACCTTCTCGCTCAAGTGTCAGTTCAACGTTGATTGAGATTTGACGGCGTGGAATGACCTTGCCATCAATAGACTCCCGGACCCAGACGTATTATGTGGGCCCCACCCCTTCAACTTAGGAGGACCATGTCTTAGGGTCTGAACGAGGTATGTTATCAGCGTTTCCTGTCGATTTTGTTGCTTGAACACGTCCGTAGAAACACAAAATATTACTCGGAGCACGAAGCAAAAACGATTAGCTTGACGCGTCGCATGCTGCATTCATTATACTTTCAACTCCTCGGCCCTGTCCTCAAATCCCTCTTGTGAAGTAGCGCTTTCCTGCATAGCCATGTTGCTCTGACTGCTGTCTCCTTTGTTATTAGCAGGCGCATGCGTTGCAATTTCATCCTGACACTATGACTTTCAGCCCGAGTTTCCGGTCTCGTTAAGGCTTCGATGTGGCCGGGCGAACGCAAAAGGTTTCGAGGCTCGGAATAGCTACATCGTTTGCTTCGTTGGAGTTCAATCTGCGTTCCGACGTCTGTGTCGTCATAGCATGCTCGACCAGTACTCTCCGCATGTTCTGCGAAGACCAGCAGTTCTTGGGTCTATCTTGGCCATTTGTCAGTCGACGAAACGGCTCATGTATTCTTCCAATGTATTTTACTGTGACGTTTGCTTTGCGTTTTCTCGATCGTTCGCCTGCCAAGCCGCCGCTTGAAAACTTTGGACATGCCCGTTTGTTCAACCACGTCCGAACTTCCGGACCTTTCAGGACCTATCCCCGGTTTTGAGGAACGGCAGATCGTTCGTGGCGAAACCGACAATGCTCTGTGAGTCGGTCAACTCCATATGTAACTGACAAAGGAACTTGACTCGGTCGTTTTTAGATTTGCGCGAGGTAACCGGACTGCCAGAGAATTCATTTTGTGTCCAGAATTCAACTGCGCGGTGAATACGTTCAAGGGCTCGCTTCTCCTGCTTCTCTCAGTTATCTCAAATGTGCTCCACTCATTTGGCAAGGCCAGATGATCATCGTGGGCGGTGCCTTGTAGCTTTGGAGGATGTCGAAGCACCAAAATCGATCAAGAAGCGGGGGCAGCACTGGTACCAGGCTATACACCCAGACCCATACTTCTCGCTTACGGTTTCGTCCGAGTTGCTTTCTGGCAGATGACATTTTCCGAGGACACCAATGTTACTTTGACCGACCATCTGACTAAAGAGATACTCGAGGTCACCTCCAATCCATGCTGGCGGCATTTCGGTGCGCCTTCGTCTACCAGCTGGGAAAATCGGTGTCAGTTCCTCTTTCAGGTTCCAACGGAATTAATTTTAACAGCGCCCATATTGGCATGAATACAGTATTTGTCACCTTCTCTGCCGTTATAATTGAGCCATCTCCAGCCCTCTGACTTCGAAATCAAAAGATGGAATGATGAACTTCTTCCAAACAGATGCGCCCGCCCGGAATATACAATAAGTAGGAGTGTACATGGTAGATATTTATATGGGGAAGAGTCTGCAATGTGCAAGGCACCGCTGACCACTATAATCCCCCGGACGGGTTCACGGTTCTGTGGCGCCTAACCATTGTTCAGCTTCCGACCTTGCAGCTGCTATTTCGAAGGATGAACTTGAATTTGGCTCCACTGAACGTCGCTCTTCAGCCCTCAAGCCTCCAAGTCCAAGGTTAGTGAGATATCTATTCGATCTTACACTCGATATCTGGGGAACTGATGCTCTCACACAAGGATCAAACCCAAACGTCCTGTTTCGGCGACAGCAGGATCCGGCAGTGAGTAAAGCAAATTCCGTATTCATCCAGTTAAGACACCGACTGCGCGGTCTCTAATTACACTACTAGTGCATCATCGAGTGCAACGCCCTTGGCAGCTTAATCGATGTTAGTACTTGATCACACATCCGGAAGGTCCGACCAATAGCTGACATCTTTATGGCAGTCGTGCAATTCCACCCTCTGCGTATGCACTCGGGAAACTGGAGACAAGCTACAGGGGTGCGCCTGGTGCCATCAGGACGTACCTGGAGGTTGTGGTGTACCGTTAGTTATACACGAAGCTTGGAACAGCGCTATCTCGGGTACGTACTCGCCCCTTCACCCGTTACTTCATTGGCTGTAGCTCCCACCGCATTCATACTCTTCAGACTTTAACGCCATATGCGCCACGCCTCTCGCGCCCCCTCGCGAAATAACATTTACAACCCCTCCGTTCGAACTTCCCGCGACGAAGCCACCTCGTACAACGAGTCTTGAGAACTGGGGTATTATTACCTTGCCGCACCCTCCATGCACCAGGGGGCTCGGCCGTGTCGTTCTCCCGAATTCAAGCACGATGATCAGTCCAACCACCACGATGGCCACAATGGACCCAACAGGGACGACAACTTTGCAGACTCCACGCCCGACGACGTCGACTGAAGGGCCTCCTTCCCCTATCACGACACCGAGAGGGAACTTGCCTACGGAGACGCCTATGCTACCGGGTCTTCCGACTCCTCAACCTCAACCTCAGCCCCAGCCCCAGCCTCATCGGCCAAAAACAAATATTGTGCAAACGCCAAGTAGTCGTGCCGGTGGAAATCCTCCAGCGAGTACGTCAGGTAGCTCTGATGACTCTGAGGTGCCTGCTTCTCCTACTATTGGTGGGGCCGTTGAGTCTCCCTCTGATGACGACGCACCCCTCGCACCTGGTGACGTTACCCCTTCTGCCACATTAGCGTTACCAAGTCAGAGTAGGGGACGCGAGGAGGAATCAGAAACGCCGACAGGTGGAGGACCTGACGAGACACCTGAGGCGGATACCGGAGAGTCATCATCACGTCCCCTTTGCTCTCACATAGATGACGTTCTCCTTGGCGTCTCAGCTGCTGTAGTTGGTGCTGTCCTCGTATTTCGAGCTGTGATGTGAGCATCTGCCATGGTGTGTGTTACAGTCTACGAAAGCCCAAATAGTCCTTGGTGACTCTTGTGCATTTGAGAATCGACAAAACGGCTAATATATTCTTCCATGCCATATCCTTGTATTAAATATGACACTTTTCCCGTCGACACACTCGATCACTTAAACCTGTCCGAACTTCCGGGGCATTTGATTGTTCAAACCTGTGCTTCAAACTCAGCTTTGAGGATCTGGAACCGTTTACAATGCAATTAGAACTGACGATAATAGTGGATCGCAACAAGTGAGACCCTTGACTCCGTTCTGGAGAGGGAACTTGACACCATTATTTATAGCTTCTTACGGATTTATGGGTCTGCCGGAGAAGGTGACAGGTGTACCAAAATAGACGTCCATTGCCGCGCGAAGACTGGTCGCTCTTGCTTCTGAAGGTTATACCAGGTGTGTCCTATTCATTTGACGGGGTCATATGGACATCGTGGGTGGCCTCTTTCAGCTTCGAGGCGCATCGGAACACTGACCTTCGTTCTCAGGCTGTTGGTACTGGAGACCCTATAAGAAAGCGGCAGCGGTACCAATTCCAGCTGATTATACTCCCAGGACCATACTCTCGCTATACCTCTTGCATTTACTCCCTCTACTACAATGAAATTTGCCGAGAACGCCAAAATCACCTCAAACCTGCAGCCAGAAGACTTGGAAAGGACCACGCAATGGATACTCGAGGTCTGTTGATTGTGTATCCGATACTTCGTCATACTGAGTCGTACTTTCTTTGATTCTCCAGATGATGAGTCTTTACGAGGACCAGAGACCTGATATCGTGGACAAGTGCGACGAGGACGAGGAAGACGGACGTCTTGAGATTCCTGGGTTTTCACCCATTTCGGGCAAAGAAACATTGAAAGCACACTATGCATGGCTTTTCAAGGGAGTAGAGCGGACTAGTTCCAAGTCAGTACTCGCCTATCCTGGGTATTATTCTAACACTGATGTAATGTTTTCTTCAGTGTGCAAAGTGGTAAGACCACGAGTAAGTTGTCGAGCCATAAAACTCAACATTCGCCTCCTCAAGGTAGCAACAATCCTCCCCGATCAAATCCACCTCGTCCTCAAGGCTACATTTTCCAACAAGCACAGGACTAGCGAGCCAACGTACGACGTGTTCCTGGGAAAAGATCTCAAGGTGCGTGCCCTCCGCTCGTTTCAGGGTTCACGTACTATTCATTGACATTCCTTCTATGCCAGCCTTCAAAGGTCAAGTATATGAAGCTTACCGGAGATGTCTTGTTGGATGTGCATAGCACTCTGAGCCTCAGTGCTGGGGCTTCATCCCGGGCCTTGTTAACATCAACTGATAGTAACTACACCTCTGTCTGACCCAATTCATATCAAGTGCCGTAGGGACACGATTCGTCATCGACATCATCCGAGTCTGTGTTTCACTCCTAAGTTCTAACCGTTACATTCTGCGCCTGACTGTGATTGTTTTCTCGTGATTTTTTTGTGAATGAAGTAAGTCTTTTGCCTGACTTTCTCTCGATGCTCGTGGTTGAGGGGTTGGCTTAAGGGGAAAGGCATAAGCGCCCATCCCCCCAAAGGTATCTAAAGCCCCTATCTCACCATTTGATGTGATCAATCATGGACGTCGGACGTTGGGCGGTCCACGCGGTCAAAATTGAGCGTTGACGGTATCATGGGCATCGCAAATTCGTCCTCAACCATGACTGTTCGCCCGACGCAAGCGTACTCTAGATCTGTCCTCTGAACAAGTCGACGTAGCCTTTGGATGGTCCTTACAAGCTGCTCCTCCCGACGATGAGACATGGTACCTACCTGGCGCTTGTCGCATGGATAGTTTCAGGCTGCGGTGTGTAGACATATATTCAAGGCAGGCTCTACCTGGGTCCGTATTCTGACACCTTGGCTGGACGACAGGAACAGGAAATGTCGTGGCGGCAGAGAAAGTCAGCCATCTTCATCCCAAGCTGATACAGGCTGTTACTCGGCAGTTGAGTGACGTATGTCCTACGAGACACTGGACTTGCTGGTTCGTACTAACGTGCAGACAGTGCACGGAACAATGTGCAGCTATCGGTGAAGCAGTTCAGGTCTGATTAGTGACCACCCTTGATTGGAATAACGAGCTCAAACGTCTCTCACCAGATATGCGATACGACTAATTGTTTGTGCACGCCTCCATACGCCGAAAGCCTGCAGCTTTGCGCCATGTGCCAAAGTCAGGGGTGTAACGAGCGGCAATATGACGTTTGGGACAAAGTCATCGACTGTGAGTTAACTGGACTTTCCCCTACTCCTCCCCCTTCCCCTGACCGGTCGTACAGTATTCAACGGAATTTGCGCTGCACCTCCTACATCACCCATCGCTTTTACGACGCCAACTGCAACTACCGACCCAATACCACTGATTACAAAACCCACCTCTGAAAACGACTCGACCCCGGTTGTCGTACTGGATGACGATTATATCCTCGTTGGTTCCTGCTCCAGAGGACTGGGACAGGTGGTTCTCCCCAGTCGCCTACCTCAACCAACCACTTGGGATGGTGATGCTACATCAGTCCCGACGCCGTCCAGGGGGTTGGGCAGGATAGAGCTACCCGCTGAGGAGCCTCAGATTTCGATTATCACCGTCGAAGAGCCCTATTCGAACCCTGCTTTAGTCACCGATGCATCCGCAGTTCAAGACGACAAGGATGTCATCCAGTCCCCGCCTACTCCTGCACCCGCTCCGACCCCTCACCATACCCATTCCGACGAACCTTCCAGGACTGGAGGACCAAACCAATTATCTCTAGGACCGACAGGAAGGCCCATTGCTCAACCGGTAGCAGGCAATGCCGGTCCATCAGAAAGCTCGAATTCAAGCGCACTACACACGCCATCCCAGGCCGTCGTCATCTCTACACTTTTTTCTCTACTAGGGGCATCTGTGTCAGTCTCCCTCTTCCAATGGCATTCGTAATCTCCAGGCGCCCATGCTACCTGTTAAGTACTCTTGCTTCGAATGGTATGCGTATGAGATAAGTCAACAGCCCTTCTCGCTTCTCGGTCCGTTCTAACACAACTTTGGACTCGACCGTCTCGAGCCACCAACCTCTAAATCGATACCATGGCAGACTTCTTTTGAAACGGATACGAGCTGCCCGGGGCTTATGGCATGAGAACACATGATAAGTACACTTAAAGGTATTTGGGGAAGGACCTACCATGTGCAAAGAACCGCGGACGGGACCCTTCTGTGGTTCCGAGCCTTTGCCGCAGTTGCTCGCTCCTGGTTGCACCCATCACTCACTAGCCTAACAGAGCACTGATGATGAACTTGGTTCTGTTAAGCGCCATCCTTCCTGTGGCTTCAAGTTCCCAAACACGAGGTCAGTACAGTGTCTCCTCGATAGCTCACCGCACCGCTGGGAGACTAATGATCTCCATTTCTTCAAGGAACAAAACCCCATTTTCTGTTTGAACGTCAATCACAGGTGGCGAGTGAAACAAAATTTTGTAGATGGACATACACCACGGGCAACGACTGAAGTCACTCGTACGCCTTCCCCTGCTATAACGTTGCGAGAGATCTCGCCGACGGGAACACTGGTGTCACCGGGAATGCCAAATGCCCGTCCTCCGCCTTCGCCCCCAGAATCAGATACCTTAGACCCTACGAGCGTTGTTGGCGGAAGTCCCCCAGCGGGAACTTTAGGTGGCTAGTCTGATGTGCCTGTGCCACCTACCGGTGGAGGCGCCGAACCTCCCTCTGATGGCGGCGTGCCCCTAGCACCTGGTGGTGGTAAAGTGCAGAAACCGAGAAGGCTCCTGACAAGTGGACCAGAGAACCATTCGTCTAGTTTTCTTCGTTCTCACAGTAGTGATGTCCTCCGCGGTGTCTCAGTTGCTGTGCTCGTACTTGGAGCTGTGATGTGAGCAGTCAGCCTTAATTTCTGAGCATGTGCTTTCAAGAGACGTCGCCGCGTAGGTTTCTGAAGCACTGTACGAATACTTGATATGTTATCATACTTTGAAACGTTGCAGTGGCACTCTGGTCTCGACTGAGGGCGCATCGACTGGGCCACCCTGTAGTAAGCGCTTTCTTGACATTATCATGGAAGGAGACACTAACAAGGTGACTCGACTCCCTTTTCCGAAGCTCGGGCGACTGCGTTAAGCGCCCAGCGCCCATCGATTCACGGCATTTCTTGGATGCTTGGGACAATGTCACCTCACTTCCACATGTACTGTGTATTCGGGAGACGATAGCGCTGATGATTGTCTGGTTGTCGGCTGTCGTTACTAGCGGGAGATAATCATTCGGTCATATCAAGCCAGGGGAAGATATAAATCATCTCGATGACGGTCATGATTGACAATTGCTCAACGCCACAACCCACTTTTCACGTTAGACTCTTCTCCATACCATTCGTATGAGGACCATAACACTGGAAGCGACGCTGTTGCTTGCCATTCCATTGGTTATGGCTACACCCATAAACCTCGCCGCACGTCAAGAGGTACGTTGTGTATCATTCGCGGTGCGCAGGACCGTGATCTGCCAGCAGAGTCACTGACTGAACGCTTCTCCCTAAATCCAGTGCTCTGAATCGTGCTTTACGATGCGGCAAATAGCAGAGGTAAGACTTTCCCCTGTACCACCGAGGCAATCACATCTTAGAACCTATGAAACGGAAAACGTCCCAGATTTGCCCGTCTTGTCTCTGCACATCTTTTTCCGTACAAACTTTGGAAACATGCGTGAAGTGTTCCACTGAAGGCTTAGACTGTGACGGCGACGGGAAGCTCTTGATCCAGGCCTGGAACGAGGCCATAGATGGTAGTCCCGCCTTCCTACTCTTTGCCAGCACTCTAACGACGTTGCTTCTCCCAGTCTTCAATAGTATTTGCTCCAACCCTAATATCAACTCGCCATTATCGTTTACGGTTCCAGAACTAGAACCACCTTCCACCACCCTGGCTGCTACCTATTCTGCTTCAACCACGACCAACGTTGATGCCTATGGTGCTGCAACTGCAGCACCACCGTCAGTATTTACCTCGGCGGCGGGTGTGAATTCAGATGACGATGACATTCACCCTGCCGATGAAGATGTCGCTGATGAGTGCTCATTGGAACTCAAGGAGATATTGCAACCCGCCCCTCGGGAACCATCGCCTGGCTCGGGGACAACTCTGCCACCCTCGAGAGGAGCTGGTCGAGTGATTTTACCCACCTCATCTACGACTCCAGGTCCTGCGCAGACACCTGCACGCGCCCTACTCACGGTCACCTTCATCACAGACGGAGCACCTCCAACGACGGGTTCTGCCTCTCGCAGCTCCGGCACCCCTCAGGCCCAAGCCACGGTGGTAACGGGGGACGAACCAGAGACGGTGGCAGACTCGGATACGACGTACACGCCCACACTTAGGCTGACGCCGACTCCGGCTTCCATGGTCGTGGTGTCCACGATCACATCCTCCGGGCTCACAAGTACAGTGCTGACAACGATCGTTCGGACACTACCTGCGGATCCCGGTTCTGGTGAAATGGTGCAAATTGCGAGCAGCCGGGTCGAGAGGCCCCTGCGACCTAATACGCGCCCCGCCGTAGCAGAGACCCCGATGGAAGATAGCGCTATCAGTCAACGCAGATCTGGATCTTCTGCGACGTCAGCGTCTGTTCCAACAGCCGGAACAAAACTGGACTCGGACGAGTCGGATGCGTCCAGGGGAAGATATAGTATTTCGAGGATATCAAGTCCTGTGGCCGTTGCATTTTTGTTTATCATTTTACACGCACTTTCATGAGACAGACTTTGGTATGGGTAGAGACTGATATGTACAGTATAGTACTTCTTAGGTTGACACGAAGGGAAATTCAAAGAAGTTCTGAAATCCATCAATACCCAAGTCTTGGCTAAAAGACGCGGGCGCTTAAACAACCATCGATCGCCTTCTTTGCGTACTTTCACAGGAGATTTAGGTCGACGACAGGAGGCAGGATAACCGACGGGTACACGCGTACGATGGCCATTTAGATCCGTGGCGTATGTTGTCACACCTTTGTATTGAATGATCTGTGAAACTGTGAACCGGTGCAAAGTTCCATTGGCCTCCACTGAGGGTGTATCTATCGCTAAGTAGCCGCATGGCATACGGTACTTTCATGATGGTATCACACGAGATACTAACATGGTTACTTCATCACCGTTTCTGAAGCTCCCGTCACTGAGTTAAGTGCCCGTCACATGTCTTGGACTCTTGGGAAAACGTCACTTCGCCCTCACAGCATTATTCCGGAGATGATAGCGTTGAAGATGGTTTGAATATCGGACACCGTTTCTAGCTAGTACTTAACCATTCGGTTACAGTATGAAGCCAAATATATATCATTTCGGTGGCGCGCTTATGGTTATTTCAACGCCACAGCCCACGTTTCAGGTTCTCCCCTTTGCTTTGACGATGAGGCCTGGAGTACGAGAGCTTGTGCTATTGCTTACTGTCTCATTGGTTATGGGGAAGTCAAAAGACTCTGTTGCACGTCAAGAGGTACGTTACAAATTCGCTTGCCTTGTACACGCAGCACGTTACTGAAGGTTTCTTGGCCAAACCCAGTGCACACCAGGATCTTGCAAGCTTTGCGATACGAAAGTTGGCAGAGGTAAGGCTTCTCCCTGCATCTTTGCGATATTCACATCCGTTAACGTATGCAACGGAACCTAACCCTCAGATGTGCACAACTTCAACATGTCTCTGCAGCAATTTGGCTGCATGGAGCCTGGAGACCTGCGCGAGGTGCTCCACACAGAGCCTCGACTGTAGCGACGACACAGAGTTACTGTTGCAAGCTTGGAACGAGTCCATCGACGGTAAAACTCCATTGCTCCTGCCCCTCTTTCCAGCGAACTGACAACGTGCTCGCCACTTCCACTGCCAGCCTTGGACTTGTCATCAATCGTATTTGCAGTTCCAGAGCCAGCACCTTCCCCCACCATCGTTTCTCCCCTTCTTTCCTTGACCTTGACCAACGTTGACGCCTCTTACGAGCCGACGCCAACTTCAGCATTTGTCTCGATGGCAGAGGAGCACTCCGACGAGGACGATATTCCATCTATCGCTGAAAACGACGCCGATGGGTGCTTGCTGGAGCTCAATGAGGTGGCATACCCTAGCCCTCCGGCAATGTGGCTGGACCCGAAGACAATCCCGATCGATCCATTGCCCTCGAGAGGGCCCGGTCGAGTGGTCTTACCCGCCCCCGTCCCAACTCTAGATACTGACGTAATACCTGTACGCGCCCCTCCACTCACAGATATCGTCCCCAGTGACGAAGCACATCCAATAAGGAGTCCGGACTCGCCCAGCCCTCAGGGTACCACTCATGCTCAACACATGACAGTTCCGAAGGACCAGCAACTTGAAGAGGAAGCTGCAGTAGACTCGGACGTAACGCACACCCTCACACCCCTGAGGTTGACGCCGACTCCGACTTCCGTTATGGTTGTACTCTCCACGCTCGCTTCCTCTGGGTTCACAAGTACAGTCGTGACGACAATCACTCAGACACTACCTGCTGTTCCTGAGTTTGGTGGAATGAAACCGATTGCGGGCAGCCGCGGTGAGCGTCCTCTCGCCGAAGCCACTCCCGAAGAGAACACTACGACGAGTCAGCGGAGGATTACATCTCCTGGTACATCGATGTCCGGGGCTACATTTGTACCAACGGACGGAGCAGAAGTAGAGTTAGACGACTCGGATGCGTCCAACGAAGGATACACTGTCTCGCGGGTATCGACATCGATTTCTGTAGCTGCTGTACTTTCGCTAGTCCTTCTACATGCATTTTCATGAAACGGAACCTGGTATGAGCAGAGATCTAGACGTTCAGATATATAGACTCGAGTGACGATTTTCGGAAATTTAAAAGGTATCTTGGAATCCCCAACGGCCCAGCCCCAGGTCGACGACTTCCAAGTTGGGTTCCTGAATGCGGGCGCTTAAATCATAGCCTAGGGGTCCATAATATGAAGCACAATCATTTGGCTTACAAAACTTATTCAATGGACTTTCAGATAGCCCCCGCAAGTCCGTCCTTGTAACGCGTTGTGGAGTGATTAAGCGCCCATCAGATTGGAACATCTTCCAAAAGTCGGATGACAGGGAGAAGTAGAAAAGCGCCTGGATAGAGTCGTACTATGCAATAATTTATGCTACACGTATGCAATGTCGTCGAAAAGAGGTGGGGTGGTGGATCTTTCACTCGGGCAGGCAGACATGATCATTTCATGTGTTCAGGGCCCTGGAACCTTTGCTGTGGTTGGCGGTCGCGCTCTCGCTCTGCACGATGTTCAGCGAGTTTCTGGAACCACATTAATAACCTGTGGAAATGGAATACAGGGATGGTTAGAACGTACTTGCTTCAAGGCCTGAGTTGCCGCGAGCACTCCATCCAGGGTTGTCTCAGTGATCTCTACCATCTGAGCAGTATGGTTCAGTGGAATCTATATGAATGGAGATGACATGCACGAACCTGGCTCGCAATCTTGTCGCGGTCCCACTCGGCTTCGTAATGTGTTATCCCTGTAGTGGAGGGGGTGTTGGAAGCGTTCTGAAGCCCTTGGACAGGAGTCATGGTAGACGGCGGGGCCACCACAGGTCTTCGACAATGCCCCCATCGGTCACCATTGTGTTCGCGGTATTCCTTCCTGAACCAGCACCAGCTGGCGAAGCCGGCACCAAGACCAAACCAGAGGAGGCGGGAGGGACCCATTCTGCAGCGTCGAGGATAAAAGTGGGAAGGGTGAGGTCGACCGTGGAAATGGGTGTGATACTCGGGAGTTTGCATTGAGCGAACCAGGAAGAGCACTGCTGCATTTATAGGTCAGCTTGCAGTTGGCCATCTCTAGGACGCGTCTCGTCGGCAAGTGCACAGTGGGGCAGTCGGAACGGAAGAGAGTAGCAATCTGCTCGGCTTGGACTGCGCCGGAACATATGAGGCGGCCGAGACTGCGGAGAAAAATCAAGTAAAAACCAGAATCCAGTCTAGGAACGTTGAGTGCAGAGAGACGAGCTGAGGTTTGCCCTTTCGAGTGCATTGGAGTGAACTAGCTTTGAGTACAGCTCTGCTGGAACCAACCTTAGCGGTGGAGATGGTTGCAGAAGAACTGCGTACAGCACCAGCCGGCCGGAGGACGTCGTCATCAGACGGCATCCGAGTCAGGAATATCCGCGCTGCTCGGGCTTACCCGATTGAGGATCAATAACCCCTGAAACTTTGTCCGACGCGACACTGCCCGAGGGTGAGTGTCAGTCAGCTCATGCACGTGCGGAAAGAGAAGTGAGAGATTGACTCAGAAATGGCGTACTTGGACGCCCAGATGATAACGATGAAGATCACGGGAGATACCTCCGCTTTCCTCGCGAAATGCGAGGCTCTCGCTGACCCATTCCCTTGAAGCCATGTCGGATCCGCGAAGTCTCGACGAATGGCTCGTCCGATCCTGTCACAGCCGTCGGTTCCCTCGTATAGTTCCCAATATTAAATAGCTCTAGCTCCCCACTCCGCTTGTAACCCGACTGCAACTATGTAACCAAGTGTATTCTAAAGGAAATTAAGTCTACTCCAGTCTCAGGAAATCTGTACGAATAAGTGTCTATAAAGTCCAAAGCCAAACCAAACCTCTACACCTATCTGCTTCTGGGCCAACTTATGGTACAAAGGGTAGGTCTAAAAGTTAATAACAGGATAATCATAATTGAAGGCAAGAGGACGAAAAAAAGAGGAGCCATCGAACTCGAACAAATCTAGGAATAAAAGGATAAAACAACGCCAAAGCCCAAGGAGTCCATTCGTAAAAGTGTCCATTTAACCACTCGCGCGCATCATTCATATAATTTCTAACACCACTCCCCTCCGCCGAACGTCGAATCTAACAAGCGGGGACTGAGAGGGGGATCTTCACAGTCGTAGCCAGACCCTAAAACGAAGGTGCTGAGTACAAGCTGGCATTTGGTGGTCAAGAATGCGGCTCACCGAAAGACTCGTCTCCTTATACTTGACGCTCATATCAGCCGCAGTCAGCCTCATGGCTTCGATCGCCTCGTCCAGCGTCACACTATAAACGCCATGACTCGCCATCGACAGTTGGGCCGCTGTTACTGCTTTCACAGCTAAGAATAAGAAAGGCAAGGTCAGTTGGTCACGGTAAACCATGCGGGGTGGGGCGAAGACCGACCTCCAAGACTGTTTCGTTCCTACATTTCAAACGTGAGTATTCGGGAGGAGGAAGTAAGGATGGCGACGTACTATACAGGGAACTTGGACAAGGCCATCGATAGGGTCGCATGTTAAACCTAGATTATGTTCTACCCGGGATATACAGTAAGTGAAAGCTCGCCAGAAACGCAGCACGCAACTAACCTATACCAATCTCGGCAGCCTTCGAGATCGCGAAACCATTGTCAACGAATGTCCGAATGAAATCCATGAAAACTCGAGAACATACTTGTAAGACCGTCTCCGGCGAAGCTGCAGGAGTAACCATGCATCACATCAGCTTCACGCCATCCGCAAACAACGATTTTGAACCCACCTCCCATACACGCAGCAAACCCAGCACTCGCCATTGAGCATGCCACTCCGACCTCGGCTTGACATCCTCCTTCAGCAGCGGAGATCGTACTGCCTCGTTTGAAAAGCATTCCAACGGCCTTCAGAGCCCTTGGTCAGTCGAAGGCTGAGGTAAAGAGAGGCATACCCTTACAGCAGCAGTCAACAAAAACGTCTTGATACTCTTCTCCGGGTCATCGCTCACGAACTACACCGGCAATCAGTACCGGGACACGAGTAAAAAGGGATAGCTACGGACCTCGAGTATGTACTTCAAGACACCAGGTATCACACCCGCGGCGCCATTGGTAGGAGACGTGACGATCCTCCCACCGGCAGCGTTCACTTCATTAACGGCTATCGCATAGCACGAAAGGAAATCAACTGCGGGGATCGTCGTCTTGGTCTACAAACGTGATTCGCGTTAATATGTCAGTTAAATGCGCTTCTGTGTGAAAGGGCTTACGGGTGGCATGGGCAATAATGCATGGTCGAACGATCCGACGACGCGGGGAACGCCAAAGTTTCGCGGGGGTTGGGAGGACCCTGTACTCGAGGGCTTGGTTGTTTCTGGCGCTGACGACATAGGAGACCTTTCCTCTGGCGCTTCTATCTCACCGCCGTGTTGGTGAGACCCAGAACCTATAGCTTGGACTTGGGGGGTCGAGATACCAGGGTAGAATCTGTCGTGGTTACACGAACAGGGAAGTCAGCACGGGAAAGAGAAGAGAAAGGCTTGGTGCCTTACCCTCTCATCAATCGTCGATAAAGCATAGGCGCCCGTCGCCTAACGCCCAATCTACCAGGTAAGGTTCGTTCGGTGGACGAAACGCCGGCGTGAATACATTCGTCCATAACTTGCCAGATTCTCATTAACTGAAGCGCCGGTTAGGATTGAAATGAAAAGGGGACAACCAAAGGTAGGTACCTTCTCGTGAATTTCTTCATCTGTGTACCCAAAATATTTCTGAACGGTCCTTACGAGTTAGTCCCACTTTGAAGGGTACGAGGCATGGGATGTCCAGACCTCGTTATCATGTACAATCTGTGCTATTGTCATCTGCCAAACGACGTAAGGAAGAGGTTAGTTGAACGATGAAAGAACCTACGTTATACTTCTTAGTCAAAGCCAACAGCGTGGCACCCGTGTCGAACGGATAAGGAGGCTTGTCGATCTCCCCTTGAGCATGTTCCGTTTCGGTTGCAGTTCCGACTTCCAACTGTGGGGGAATGAATGGCGCCGGCGGAGCTCCCGCGGACGCATGAGTGGAGCCAGCAATGCTAGGAGACTCGGGAGTCGACGCAATAGATGAATGCAAAGACTGATGCAGTCTTGCACCGTGTACCCTCTTCTTGTCCACGCCCTTGTAGAACAGGTTCTCGTCCACTAAAAGAGGAATTTTAAGTACACACATCGGTTCTAGACCATTTGATAGATTATATTACCTTTCGTCTTGTCGTTTACGACGAAGCCTCCACCAACGCTAAAGTACTCGTTAGTAGCCAACAGATCGCCGTTTGCATCGAAGACGCTGAATCTCATCCCGTTGGGGTGGGTCTTGAGAACCATGTCCCAGCGCCATAGCATGTCTCTGTCCATGTCGTATTCGATGCGGTGGTGACCGTTGAGTAGAAGCGTCTTGTTCTGGATGATGGCTTCATAGCGAGTGGGTATAGTTGTCGTGTCTATGGTCTCTGGATCCGAGCCTTTTCCTAAATGTCAACACACTGTCTATTTGGCTGTGGGAGTGGAAGCGGTGGTCACCTTCTAAGCCTAGTAAGATTGCCTGGGGTGTGTGGTGTCTATCGAAGGGTCAAGTCAGTGGGTTGGTAGAGACCGAGCCAAAGCGTGTCAACGTGCCCTTTGCCTGGGTTCGAAAGAATATAACTCTGGTTAGCACTGGCACTCGCGAAGCGCAGTAGTTGGATTCCATACCAGTTGCTGCAAGTGATCCGTAGCTAGGGAGACGTGTTACTCGACGATCGACACACAAGTAGGCAGAGCGGAGAAACCAACGCACAGATTGATCTTAATAGTCTTGACCTATTGACATAATGAGAGGCTGTCTAGTTCAACGGGAAGCTGATGGAACCTGTAGAATTACCTTGTCTAGCAGATCGAGTTCCTTCAAGTCGTTGATGAAGATCTTTCCAGCTCTCATAGGACCCACCGTGTGGGAGGAAGAAGGACCGACTGTCAGGCAAAGGTATCAATGCAACGGGATTGGATGGGTGATGACATTCGACCAACCGCCTATGCTGAACAAGTCAAAGGTTGAGATGACAGCGTGTTCAGGGAGCTGGCGGGGCTCTGGGGCAGAGTCAATAGGGACTTCGTCTGGTTGGATGGCGGCCAGTTGGGCATTACGCCGGATCTGGTGGTGGTGCCGGGGACGTTGGGGCAGACCCGGTGGCGACGGGCGGGTGTAGTGGGCCCATTTGGTGGCACTAGAAAGGGCGGTAAGACGACAGTGAGCCCTGGATAGAAGGCGCTGCATAACCAGACAGTGTCGACAGAGCAGACCAAGCAGCGGAACAAGCTGGAGGAGGATGGAACGCGGGAGTTGTGTGGAATGATGTCAAATAACGGCAAATAGGCAGGGTATCAGCAAGTGTAATGTATTTAGAGACAAGATCCGTTCTTTCGCCAGCCAATAGACGCAGGACCGCATTGCAGCTTATCGCGCTTGTCACCGTCGTCCACACAGTTAGTCTCCCGACGGTCGCTATCAGTATTCCCGCCGTTTGATTGGATCACATGACTCTGTGTGGCAACTGACCTCAGATTCTCTCTCTCATCGTCTTCCCTTGCCTCTATTCACCCGGCCTCTCCTTTTTTTCCTTTTTTCACATTCTCTTTTCATCCAATTCTGCTGCTCAGACGCTTAGAGCCTGGGGCCCACATCTGCAGCAATGGCCCCATCCACTAACGGCACAGCGTCCAGCATTTACAGCACGCCCTCACGAACAACCAGGGACCGTGACAAGTTCCAGTTTCCAGAATCATCAAATCCGTCTCCAGGGCCCTTGAAGCACTCGGTAAGCTCAACCTCGACCTCAAGCTCAAGCACCCACCTCCAGACAACATCGACATCCGCAACCTCGCTCGCCGCACCTGCAGCCATCGTGACCGTCGAATCCCTCCTCAAGCACCATGCCTCGTCGTCCGACCCCAAATCCGCAGCCCTGGAGACAGTGGTTGCAGAGCGAAACTCTCTTTCGGCACAGAATGCGCAACTGTGGAAGCTGATCGAAAAGCAGCGGGCAGGGTACAGCCAGATCCTGAAGGAGCTGGACCGCATTCGGGGAGAGCGGGATGGGTACAAGAGCAAGCTCGCTGCGTTGACCGGGACGACTGTCGAGAAGTCATCTCGGTCGAGCGATCGCACGGTTAAGATGAGTTTTGCCGAATCGACCAGGGCTCGCGGTAGCAGTGACTCGCAAAATACATCGTCCCTGAAGGCCTCGCAGGGACGACACAACACTGTAGATGATGCCTGTAAGCGTTATTAAAATTAGGATTGACCGTTCCAATTGTGTTGACCGAGGTCCCCTAGCAACCCCACGCGGCAGTCAACATCCTGCCATACAATCTACCCGCTCCCAGGACCCGCTTGCGCCCTCAGTTAGCGACACAGAACTTCAATCCAACAACAGCTACAGTTCAGGAGCGTCCCGGCCAACAACACCCCCGCGTCCACCCCCTGCATCAGCACCATCAGCCTTTAGCACCCCGTCCTCCGCCCGCACAAATAACCGGCCGTCACCCACTCCTCTGGTCCTTCCTCCGAGAAACGAGAGCCCAGCAATTCCTTCTTCGGCAATTTCGATCAATGCCGAAAACGCTCCCTTCTCTCGCCAGGTCCAAGCACGCGACGATTACCCGCCTCCCATAGGAACTACAACCCCCCAAACCTCCAATGGTGCTCGCCAACAGGTCTATCCAACTCGCAAATCAAGTCTTCTGGACAGCAGTACCTCGCTTTCGTCAGCATCATCCGTTGGGATTCCAAACTTGCCCGGATCAGCCACTGTTGCAACGCCGACTCCTCACAATTATTCCTCGCATCCGCAGGCCCCGACGCCGGTTGTATCACAAAAGGAGGAGAGGCAGAACGGATCTGCAAACCATTCTTTCGCAGAAACGCCCACCTCTCGCCCAACAGTCATCGCTGTGCCAGCATCCAACACGTCCCAACAGCAACGTCCCGCAGCAAACCGCGCCAACTCTTTGGACGTACAAGGCCCCGCGGCTCACTTGCTGAGCGTCGTCGAGTCGAGGCCATATCTATCCAGAGATTCGCGTATCACGTTGCCTGATGAAGCACGTCAATACATCGCAAACATGACTGATTCTCCCGTACCTAGCCCGAGAGTAGACACTTTCAGCACAAAGTCAGCCGTCGCTGGTCCGCCGGATACATCTTCTTTAGCATCGACAAACTCGGAGAGGCCGAGCGAATTCTTGGATTTGGAGGACGACGAGGATGGTGAAGACGAAGCAAGGAAAAACAGCGAAAATACTCCAGGTTCGTATGGATTTTTCTGACAACGTCTCTCTTTATCACTTACGTTGAAAACAATAACAAAGGAGGAATCCGACTTATGGTGCAACAAGAGCCGAATACCCCGACCAATTCAACATTTTCTAGATCAGCCCAATCTCTCGAGTTGCCCATGGAATCGACCCCTGGTCAGACGACGCCTGCTCGACCCCGGAGAGAAGTCACTCGAGTTGGTGGTGAAGATTTCCCTATGCCACCTCACTCTGGTACTCCTGCCCGACAACAATCCCTTCAGCCAGAAGGATATCCGGGATCCAATTTTGGACAGGACGCATCACCTGCAAAACAATTGCAAACCTCCACTGATGCTTCGAATTCCGCCAGCCAACCACAAGACTCGGTCAATAGCGTCCGAGGGTATAATAGCGCTCCCAAGTCGTCTTCTGGACCCCTCTATGACATGAAGCATCCTAGCCCACAACCTACGCCATCACCCCATGCTGTGTCGGCTTCCTTTAGAGCCTTGCCCTTGCTCTCTACAGACCTCCCATACACCTCCATCCAAGTCTCGCACTCTTTTGTACGACCGAATGATCGTGGAAAGGAAGTCTTATCTTTCATCGTGTCCGTCAACCCAGGAAACGGCAAGCCTGGATGGAAAGTGGAGAAGATGTATTCCGACGTTCTCTCGCTCGACCAACGCGTGCGGAGCAGCGTAGGGAAAGGTGTGGGCAAGAAGATCGCCAATCTTCCGGAAGGCAAGTTGTGGAAGGACCACGCGCCAGCCAGGGTGGATCAGAGAAAGGTGCGCAGTATATTTCTCCATACTTGAATTGTTTCATGACACCAATTGTTTGTACTCGTTATCAGGCTGTGCTCGAACAATACCTCCAGTCCCTCATTCACTTGCCCATCAAGACCAATGACGAGGTTATCGCCTTCTTCACTTCCGACATCGTTCGAGAAACCAAGCAGCCTGTGATGCAAATCGGTCATAAAGAGGGGTACCTCACGAAACGGGGTAAGAACTTTGGAGGATGGAAAACTCGTTTCTTCGTGCTCCAAGGTCCGGTGTTGGAGTATTATGATTGCGTATGTGTTTTCGTCTGCAATGGTATCTTACCTCATTCGCTGATCGATCCCTTCCAGCGTGGTGGCCAACATTTGGGTTCAATAACAATCACGGGCGCTCAGATAGCACGACAGCATCGGACGGAGAGGTCTACGTCTACTGATGAGGAGAATGAATACCGACATGCTTTCCTCATCGTTGAAGCCAAGAAAGGACCAGGAGGAAGCCACCCCCGGCATGTATTGTGCGCCGAGAGTGATGAAGAAAGGGATGCCTGGGTCGAGCTTCTCGTACGGTACTATACTGGTACCTACAATGAAGATCTAGTCTTCAATCCTACCTCAGGGATAAGCTCCGCCAATAGCAACTCTGTAGCAGCTCAAGGAAACTACCCCGCCAACTCTCCCACTCAGACTCGAACAAGCTCTGACATCCCGCTCGCGTCTGCATCTCGCAAACAGCCGACTCGACCTCCTATCTCTCTGGACGACCCACGATCCTCCAGCCCATCACGATCTGTTGACCCTTCGCCAATTGACCGTAGCGGTCCCGGTCCTACATATTATGATGCTCAAATGCGGCGTGTAGCTTCTGAGCGTGGTGGTTTGCCTTCAAGCCTTCCCGATCCATCACCCTTGTCGTCTGTTCCCCCGATTCAATTGGACTCGTCGAATCCAGTTGAACGCGCCGCTTCTGAGATGGGACATTACCCTGATCTCCAGGAAATCCGACAAGTTCCCGGCTCTGCTCAACCACGCCAACGGTCCCCTGAACGTCACCGGCCACGCGACGTCTACGAAGGTCGACACACAAACTTTTCTTCGACCAACCTTGCGTCGGCTGGTCCGCTACCTGATCGTGCGCCGTCCCCTGAGAAACCCGATCTCAGCAAGGTCAAAATTTCTGGACCGATGAATGGTACACCCATCCCGTCTGGCTTCAAGTTTGGAAAGGACAATTCGTCGGAACAATCCACTTCGAGTGCAGAGAGGCGCGAAAAGGCCAAGTCTCGGTCGTTCTGGGGTTTCGGCAAGACAAGCGGTAGGTTTTCTTCTATCCTTTTACTGATTAGCACGTTTTACTTAACGATTGATTAATAGGTGGTGATAAGCAGCCTAGTTTCACTCCTCGAGCTGTGTTTGCGATTCCTCTGGAGGATTCGTTGGATGTAGCTCAGATCTGCGGTCTACCTGCCATCGTCTTTAGGTGTATCCAGTACTTGGAAGCTAAGAAGGCTGATCAAGAGGAGGGAATTTACCGCCTGAGTGGTAGTTCTGCTGTGATAAAGAGCTTAAAGGACAGGTTCAATACGGGTCCGTGCCTTCACCTTGTTTCGTTATCACATTCTCTGACGACTTCCATTTCTCAGAGGGTGATGTCGACTTACTCGCCTCTGATGAATACTGGGATCCCCATGCCATTGCAGGCCTCCTCAAGTCTTTCCTTAGGGAACTTCCCGCAAGCATATTGACCCGCGAAATGCATCTTAGATTCCTCGCAGTGATAGGTGAGCAACGTTTCCATTCTCCCGTCCCATCACACGGTGGTATTGGTTTTTCTCTAACTGTTCGTCACCCCAGATCTCCTTGACCCGCAAGAACGAATCAGGGAGCTCTCACAGCTCATTGCCGCCCTGCCGATCGCAAATTACACCCTCCTGCGTGCATTAACTGCCCATCTCATCTTGATTGTCCAAAATTCGCCAGTGAACAAGATGACGATGCGCAACGTCGGGATCGTGTTTAGTCCGACGTTGGGTATCCCGGCTGGTGTTTTCAGTCTGATGCTTGCCGAGTTCAATCGTGTCTTCAACGTGGACAATGACCAGGACGATGACGCTGTGATTCAGACAGACCCTTCTGCGAAACTCTCGGAACCCATGCGACGTAACAGCAAACGGTATTCGGATAGTGCTGCAGATAAACTCCTCGGCCTCTCCGGGCGGTCGCTTAAAGGTGAGAGAAAGTCTTCGTGAACCTATTTTCCATGTTTCTTACAATTGCGCCTTTGTTTAGCCCCCGCGGAGGAACCGCAATCCGATGGTGACGACTTTTCCGTGAACGATGAGAGTGGAACCGAGACTACCGAGGATGCGACTGTTGAATCTTCTTCGTCGAGCCCGATGCAAGATATGGATCAGGCTCCCACAGAAATCCGCATCTCGCCTCCTGATACGCCAATGGCTTCTAAAATGACATCCAAGGCTTCCCATGTTGCAGCTAGCAGAGGCCTAAATGTCACTGTTGCACACTCTGAACGCGGGAACCGACATTCGAAGCTCATTGGGCTACCGACATCCCCTCGGCCTCCTCCTTCGCCTTCGCGAACCCAAGACTCATGATGATCACCCTATTGGAACGTCCTCTGCCTATGACCCTTTTTGTGAACATGCCCATTGCTAGTATTACCTTGTTTCTCTATTTTTTTATGTCCCCTTTCACGAGATTATAGCGTTAGCTTTTTAGCAAGTGACAGACATGTTTGTGCGCTACGACCCCACGCCGACACCCTCCTCCCATCTTCTTGCTCATATACCACACTGTGATACCCGTTCTAGTTGACAGTCTCAATCTTGTTGTCTACTATATCATATCTTGCACAATCTTCTTATGTACCCAATGCGAAATGACGATGATACTAGTAAACTCGATAGCTTGCGGTGCTGAACGCTTCCACATGAAAAATTGATGGCGAGCGACCCTGATAACCGTCCATCACGAACGTCAACAACGGGCCAACGCGCGGGGCTCGACACGCTGGGTTGGACGCTGTAAGGCCACTTCTTTTTTCTCTCTGTTACCGTCACGACTCTCGACCAGGACTTTTTGTACATTATCATCATGGGTTTCAAAGAAGGTGCTGTCCTTGCTCCGGTGTCGTTTTTCCTTGGTGAGTTGTCCGAGCGACTGGGGATTATGTCACTGAGGCTGACTCCTGCTATGTGCTGGCGGCGCCCGTGTTGACTAGGTGTTTTGTTCATCTGCTTCAACATTGACCACCGACTGCTGTGGGGTGAAGTGACTGAAAAGGTCGTTGAAGATGGGTTCCATTTCTATAGGACGTTCTTCAACGCGCCTCCTGCAATCAAGGTCCGATGGGACGACTCCTTTTCGCGTCGCGGTTCGCGCTGTACTCACTAAAACCGTGTTTTTAGACGCTTTTGCACAGTTTCTTGGGCGTAGGACTTTTGGGATTGCTGGCGAAACTACACAAATGGGATAACAGTGCCATGTTCTTTGATGGTAGCAGCGTTGGTGCGTTCTCTAAAAGTCCAGACTTTTTTCTCGAGGGTTGCTTGTTAACGCTAATCCCGTGGTGTTCTTCAGCTGCGTATGTGTTTGCTATCGCTGTCTACCTCGGCGTAACCATCCCCGGTCTCCGAACCATCGTCCTGCCCGTCGCCGAGGTGGAATCCCCCGACGTCCAAGTCGAAGCTCTGCGCGTCCTTGCTGCCGGAAACATCATTATGATTGCTTGTCTGGGCTTCGTCTTGACAGCTCAGGTAGGTTAAAATCCAAGTCTTGTTCCGTTAAACTCGTTCTTAATACCCGAGTTGCATACAGGCTGGACAAGAATGGGCCAGGCGGAGTGAAGCCAATGCCTTGGCGCAGGAGATGCAACAGCAGCAGCAACAACAGGAGTCGGTCTCGGCTGAGGAGAAGAAGTCGCAGTAATTGTGCCTCCGATCCAACACGGGAGGATCACTTTTGGCATCGCCCGGCTCTATGAACGACCCCTTTGGCTATCTGTGATGATATGTTAATGGCAATATACGTTTTGGCCTTCAATGGATCCTCACCCTCGGAGGGCTCGTCTAGAACCCGCCCGACCCTCGCAATGACCACTCCTGCTCCACAATGACATCGCAAGCCCCTCTATTCTCGATATATCACGCTGCGCTGCGAGAATTGCCCCAAGTCGAAAAGAATTCGAAGGCGGGATGATTGAGATGGAAGATGGAGGACGCAGGTCATGACCTCTGCCGTTCGAAAGCCCGACGCGGTACCCTCGTCAAGAAGCTCTTGGGATTCCACGACAGCTCAAAGAACTTTTTATTTCACATTGATACTTACTCTTCCCTGCGTAGCCATCCGCATGGGTAAAAGGTTTGCGTTGCACGGCTTCGACTTCTCTTCTACACAACAAAAGACCTCCACCGAGACCACCTAATAAGCAGGTCCCTGGATCTGATGCGTAATGCTCTGGAAGGTAAGGGTTTGACTCCAGTGCGTTCCAGCGAGTCATACTTCGATCGGTATTATACGATGAGGCACTAGCTTGGCAAACGTCGGGCATCACCAATCAATTCGGGCTGGGCGAGGTGAGGCGGCGGGGTGGCCTCCGTGCACCGAGAGAATATGAGGGGATATGCGACCCCGTACCGGGCATTTCTAGATGGTAAACCCAAGGTAAGCTTGGGGAGGGTCCTGGGGACGACATTCTCATTAGCAAATCCCGGACACTAATAGCTGGTGGGATATCGTTGTCGCGCTGTTTGGTAGCTCAGTAGCATTGTTCAGACATATTGCGATTGACCTCAGCAACATGTATGGGAGTGCATTGGGAGCTGGAGTCTCGGGGTACAAGATGATGGATTGATGGGGAACACACCGCCGACGCGCGAGTTGCTCCCGTTGCACTCCACTGAATTCCTGAATCTTCGTAGCATTGAAGTAAAGCACTAACCGAAACTGCAGAAAAGTAAGTCCAAAGGGGACGGCGGGACGCCACTTCCCTAAGAAGATTGGAAGATTGTGTGCTGACACAGCACACCGCCGCTCAAGTCACCATCAGCAAGAGCATCGCGTACAATGTCGATTGGGGGGTCTGGTATACCACTAATTCTCTAATTACCTAGTGATTGCAAGCCTCAAGGGGGACTCGAAGACCCTAGGCGAGCCGACTGCATCAGCGTCGCCGCCGTACAGGCTCCTTTCGGAGGCTGTTCCCAGGATCGTAGAATACCGATCGAACGATACCACCGTTCCAGCTCCAACAGCAGCAGGAAAGGGGATATCAAGTCCGCCAGTTCCTTTCCCAACTCCTGACTCTCCACTCTGCCTCCCTTCTCCCGCGACGCTTTTACTTTCCATTCTGGTGATTCATTTCAACTCCGTGAACCTCTCAACCTTTTTTTTTTTTTTCTCTTGGACTTCTGCATCTTTTATGACCCTTGAAATCATCACCTACGTAATTGGGATGGAGCTCACCGACGGCGTTTAGCTGTCACAAAGTGACAAAAACCACAGACGAAAACATCCTTTGATGAAATCGCCATTTCCAGTCCCGCGAACCGCCCTCTTGTGCGAGTCACGAGCGCGGGGTTAATCTCTTTTTTTGCAGAGCCAGTTTCTGGGACGGTTTCTTGTCTTCTTTTCTTGCGAGGGACTCTACGTGTCCACCCTGGGACCTAGCAAAACTTTTTTGTTACGAAATTGGAGGGAAAATCTCAGCTAGAGAGTCGAGACGGGGACCTCGACTCTCCATGTGCAACTCTTTCGCTAATGACATAACAATTGCCATAGGAAATTCGCTGTCCGTGACACCCTGTGACACCGAGGGAGGCTATGACTAAAATCCACTCCGTCGTGAGTGCACAGAAGGTCGCCGTCCCTGTGCCATGCGTAAAGCAAGTTGGCCCAAGACCGGGCCCGCCCTATCGCATGGAATTCCGTTGAAACGGGGTTTTGGCCAACTCTCTCCGATACCGCGCTATTCAGCTGGGTTTCCAGTGGCTTCGCGAGTACGCGACGTTCCACCGTAGGAATCAACAAATCATGACTTAGCGTATATGTATACCTCCTGAAGCGAGGGCGCAGCAACAATTCCCAAGCGTTCCCTGCCATTCTGTTATCCGTGAAAAGGCAAGGAACCAGGAGTCACAATGACCAAGGGGGACTGTGCACACATACGTTAGACCACTAACAAAACGGGTTAAGCCCACGCGATTAACCGAGCGCTAAGCGGGCGATTGGCAGGCAGCGGTTTACTCGATCGTAATTGTTGCGCGTTACTCTTAGGGGCTCTCTTTTTTTGGCGTAGGTGGCGCCCACAATTACCCTAATTCATCGGCGGAAGCAAATCGTTACTTCCTCTATGGACTTTATCCCAGTTTGTCGAACAATCGCGCCCTTTTGTCCCCCGTCCTCCTCTCCTCTCCCATCCCCTCCCCCGCCGACGGAGCGCTTCGAAGTTCGCGAACGAAGTTCTCTCGCTTCTGATCTGCACCCCTGTTTCTGTCCTTCCCGCCCTTGCCTTCGATTATAGAGTTCGTCTCTCGCTCTCTCTCTCCCCCACTTATTTCCGTTATCGGTGTTTCTGATTCAGAATGTCTTTCTCGTTCGCTTACGCTTATCATCATCATAACACTACTGCTAACTACAAGTTGTGTGTGTGTGGGAGTGGGAGTGAATTTGTACAGGCGGAGTTTCCGCGAATGAGCGAGAGGGATAGAAAGCGAGAAGCGCTTCTCGTTCAACAAGGTGCGCGGGATGTGTTTTGATCGTAGTCTGGTTTGGGGGACGACGCGGATGGTGTTTACTTGTTACAATTCGGCAAAGTCGCACACACACACGCATCATTATGAAGTTGTTGCGGCTGAGATTGTATTTAGAAGGAACCCCAAATCTACCACCGCCGATGACCCTCGAATCAAGTTGGAAACAAATTGCATCTGTTCACAGTCGCAAAGCGAGTAAAAGGGTATGCGTGCGGCAGCATGGCAAGTGGATAGGTATACGTTATTTAACCTGTTAGCATTAACACTTGGATGTATCAATTCATTGAGTAGATTGTGGCTCGAGGAGGTATTGCATTACAACGTTTTGGCTGTGTGCATATGTCGAGATGAAAGCCGTAATTCTGTTGATCATGATCAACGACCCAATACTCCAGCTACTCGGTGAAGGGGGATAGGGGACCTCAATGAGGCCTCAGTCGAGCCAACATCAATAAAGCGGTTAAAAAAAGAACAACACCCAACAAGCAGCAGCTTGTCATAACGTTATGTCCCCATCGCAAGTTGAACAGCTCAAGACAAATGGTGTAGGCCTCTCTAAGTAACTAAGGAAAGGGCGATCCATTGGAATTGTTCGAAGAACATCTTTTTCTTTGAAGGGACGGGGAATTTGAACACCTCTACGTACTGCTGCACACGAAACGACAGCTTTCAAGACAAGTTGCATCTCGCATCTCTTGATTATGATTGATGTGCGTTACCCCAGGACACGACTTGTTGTGTGGTGGGGTGACCGTCCAAAGGGCTCAGATGACCCTCTCACGAATAATTGTGCGAGTGTAAGGGGGATGTTAACCATAGAGAGGTGTGCTTCCCAAGTTCCATAACGATATGTAGCTTCCTCGAAGGCTTGAATCAGCTGCAGTCCAAAGGCACGTTGAGGTTCTCGATGGAGATAGCACGGTTATTCAAATACGACATTATTACTCTAGGTATCTACTCTTGTTTAAACGGTGTAGTCACCCTTACTTCCGTACGGGTGCCCCTAAGGTGTTCTCTTCGGGTGGTGGCAAGCATAGGGCACGCCACAGCTCACGCCTAATCTGAGGAGCGAAATACCCTCAGCTTTGGGAGATAGGACGTCCACTTAGTAGTAGAGCATATCTGTCTGGGTGTTTCTTGAGAGAAAGACGTCGTCGAAGTAGACCTGCATGGAAGAAGGCTTTTGGATACTACCACCAAAGCTTCACGAACCTTAACGATCCTAAACCTAACCGGATTAGAACCCTGTGATGGTTCGTCGGGGATCGGAAGCGTAAAATGTGCAGAGCGAGTTGGGGGGATGGCAAAGAAGCGGGAGAGTCGAGAGCTCAAGATAGACTGAGGATCTGGAAAGCTTAGAAAGTAGGTTAGCTACACATTCATTGTTGGTTGCTGTCGTACGCTTTTGCCACCCTTCGAGGGGATTATCTTTGAATGGTTGGAAGACGGGATGAGAAGTTCGTTCTCAACCGGGTCGTCGATATCACCGTCTCCTGTGAGGTAAGGGTCTGCCCAGTGAACCGAATGCATTCGACCCCAATGTCAAAAAATCTGACGGAATTCTTCGCTCTGTGATCGAGAGAGAACCGATCAGTGTACTCCAACCGCCCTGAACCCGAAATTCAGGCTCAGTCCATCCTCGAGGACTCTCACAAGGTCACGTCCATGGTGTTCGCAACTGCAAAACATGAGAATGTGGAATCGCCATTGTCATATCAGGAAGAGTATCTCGGACACTCGGTCCCACCAGCCGCCTGGAGATGAATCGAGGGAAGGGAAGGGTCGCAAAGCCAATCGTTCAATCAATTGTTTCCCAGCGCAGTAGAGGCAGGGGTAGCAGAGTTGCAAGCCAACTTACTTCACGATGCCGTTAGTTCATCGACAGAAGAGACGTTCATCTTCTCCTGGTTCCCTTGTTATCCGTCGAGATCATGGATCACGATGGGGGATGTAAGCAGAAGAACGTTTCTGAAGAGACATTCGTAAGTATTCTTGACGGTGAAGATGGGCTCTTCCAAGCGATAGCCCTTACCCGGGTTTATTGAGCATCGAAGAAGACACGCTCGAGGTCGAGAGAGGACTGGACACGGGAAAGAACCCGTCTATCGTACGTTCGCAAGTAATAAACAAGCTAACTCACCTGTCTCAAAACGAAGATACCCGTCCCGTCGGAATGTGTGCAAAAAACACTTGATGCGTTTTTCCGACCGAACTCCTCGTCGTTGTATGGCAAGGGAAGATGAGAAGGAAAAAGAAGCTGCCAGGAGTTGTTGTTTCGTCCATGGGTTTCTGACGCATCCCTGAGATTGCACGCGACACCTAGTAGTAGTCCGAGGGTTGAAATGTCGAGTTCCCAGAATTCAAGCTCTAAGGTTGGTTCCATGGCCATCGATAGGGATCGAGGCTGCCACGAGTTTTTCATTGCGGTTTGCATGGCTGGTCAGGGTACTAAGCTAATTACAATTCCGCAGATGGACAGCGGAAAAGGTAGGGTCTGTTATCCCTATCGATAGCTGTTGGCTTAGGCCCAAGTTCTGAGAGCTAGGAGGACTGCGCGATAAGCAATAGTGAGAAAGCTGGGCTCGAAAGTACCTTGACAGGTGCCCGATAAAGTGCAGGGATTCGAGAGCGCCGCATCTTGCGAGGAGGATAATGGAGTTGGATCCCCAAAGAGAAAATTATGCAAAGGCATGAGTTTCAGTTAATAAGGCCTTTGGAGCGTACTTTCACCGCAGAGACCCTGAGGGTATACGAGATTCCGGCGGCTGGAGGAAGCAGTGAAAGGCAGAGTTTCTTTGTCAGAGGATGATGATCATTTCGCCTAGAGTCGGTGGTGCAAGTGCAAAAATAAAACAACGAACGCAAGTGAACAAGGCAACAAGTGCCTGGGCGCGCCGACAGATTCAAAGGAAGGAAAATACAAAGGGCATGTCAAGTCCTGGGCGGGCGGGGGGACAGTCGTTCTGGATTGCCGGCCAGGCTCAGAGCAGAGCAGGTGATGCGACTGTTCCCAGAAAAGGATTGGGTCGAACAAACCTTCAGTTGTGTCGCAACGACTCATCCCGCGAAATGAGTCTGACCAGATCTGGAAGATGACCTGATTTGGGACTGCCAGAAGGGGGTCAGGGTCTGTCACGCCTCGTGACACGCTTCGACGCAGGCCTTTCTGGGCCCGCCTGCTTCTGGCAACACGACCGTCCCCTTCGGTGAATGAACGGTCGGGGATGGTATGGGATTGAATTCTTGGGTGTGGAGGGGGGGCGAAACAGGAACTTGGAGGAGGAGGCAGAGATGGCGGCGGCGGGAGCGTTGAGGGGGAGTAGTTTCCCGAAAGTCTGGGTCGAATCTGTATCGGCATTCCGAATTTGGAAGGAGCTCCTTCTGGAAGATTGTGACAGGCCTGAGAAGCTGGGCAAGCCCGATCGCGATCTATGACTGACCTGGGTTGGACTCTTTAAAATACCACACCCAAACTCTGGGAATCCAGTCCCTCTCCCCCTCAGAACAAGACGACAATCCAATGGATATCGACTGGTGCCTCACCTGCAGCAAACATCTTGTATGTTCCTCCTCGTCGTTCCACACAACGAACACAGACTCATTGTCCCACCTACAGGACAACACCACCAGCCCCTACTGTAGCTGGGAGTGCAGACCACGAGCAGGCCCATCCAACTTGTGTTCCTACCCGCACCAGGAGCTTTCATACGACGCAGAGTTGGACGATGAACAGTCTCTGAACGACGACGACGATGCCATCTACCACACCGTCAACGATGTCTCTCACCACTACTCTGGCATCGAGGCCTGGGCTGCAGCGATCCCCGCAGGCGCCCCTTGTGAAGAACCACGGCCAGTCCCAGCCAAACGTTCCCGGCCTCCATCTGTGCGATCGTCTAGGTCGTCTATCTCATCTCCAACATCCGTTTCCACCGTGACTTATCGTCCTCCGGAGCTCCTCAAACCACACCGACCCGTTCCCCCGACACTCTGCATGTCTACACCCCGCACAGTCCCTTCTTCGCCTTCGCTGCCAATCGTAACTCCCCAGCAGCAAATCGCCGAGTTCTCAACTGCAGCCTACTCGGGCGGCACCATGAGCACAGGCCATACCTCTATCGAATCCTCACTCGCAACTCCCGCATCCACCAAGGCTCTACCTTTCTCAGATCGCAAGTCTTCATCGATGCTCGATTCGATTGCCTCCCATGTCCGCTCATGGGTCGCGCCTTCACCCTTCTCCAAGCACGACAGCAATCCGTGCTCTGACGATGACGAAGCGACACCCGTCTTCGTAGCACCCCCTTCAAAACATCACCCACGCACCCACCACATGAAGGCCATCCACGACGAACTTCATCCGTCGTATAGATCTCGAGGCCGCAAAGCCTCTCGTGCCGTAGCATGAGGCGAACCCCCTTCGAATTTCTCCGCCTCTTGCTTTCTTTGTTCTCTCGCTTGCTATAGACTCCCTGGGCTTTTTGACTTGTTTCTCTTCATGGATCGGACGGCCTCATCACCCAAAAATCTTCGCCCCACCATCGTTTATGAATCTTCTACGGACTCTACCCCCTACTGTCACGAACGAATGCCCGGCTGCAGTTCTCTCCCTCTCTCTCTTGTTCATTATTATTTCTTGCTTGTTCTCCAAACCCCCCGCATACCCCTTTCCTTTTCTTCACAACCAAAATCATGCTTATGGCGACCACCATGGTCTTTCCTCTCTATTACTATCAATCACGCATCTCATTCCCTTCTCTCACTGCATTCAACCATAGATCGCGCTTCGCATATATGTACTTCGCACATTGTAACATCGTATTCTCGGACTCATCCACCGTCCTGTAGTATCTCACATAACACGTTTTTATGACGAACCGACACATGGTTCTCGCTCACAACTTCCCTCTGTCCTCCCCGAGCAAAGTCCATGGAGCAAAAACTTCTAAGAAGATGTAAAATCTTATTATTTTTCAAGTAATTGGATCCTTCGAGTTCGAGGGCTACGTTCCAGCTCCACCTCGTACCGAAGTCGAAGCGTCTAGGTTCGCCCCACGTTTTTTGTTTGCCTTGATGATAATTTGCAATGGAATGCCACTCCCTCCTGTTCACTCCACTTGGGCGGACAACTCAAAGGCCCCTCCACTAGTTCCGTCCCATTCAATATGTACTCAGAACTTCCTGATCGCCACCGTGCGCTGCACCACAGACATGGACTGATGAAACACTCCCCCGCGCCTGAGGACTCAGCGCGCACCACTAAAGTTGGCCCATTGGGTGAAATCCAAGTAACCTTCACGAAAGAATAAAGGTGGGTGCAAGCGCTGGCTCAGGGTTTCTGTGACCGTGCACATACAGCACTTGGAGTTATTTTAAAAATGGACAACTTGAATGGGGAAAATGGAAGGAATTGCAGCGACTGCTGTAAAGTTATCATCGAGTCGGCTATCCAAAGGGAAAGTGTATCTAATCTTGTTATGTAGATAGGATGCCAAAGGGACTTTGGGCAGTGCATCATGATATCCAGGTACAACGGTAACCAGAAAAGACCTGGAGCCCGCTCTAGCTCTCTCTTGTTTCGAGTACGCTGACAACTCCATTGAATGGCGGATGCAGTGCATGATGGTGGAGGTGTCGTCCAGCATTTGTGAAAGGGGAAGTTGTATGTGCTTGGTATGTGCACGTATGAATTGGTCCGCAATGGTGCGTTCCACTTGGGTCGTATTACTATTGAAAACGAAAAGGGAACGTATACTTTGAGAGGTACTTAGTGTTCCGTAAATTCCACGGCAAGATGACTTCGCGAACATAGTAGGCGTTCGTTCTGTGTTCCCCTCTTCGGATTCCCAATACACATCCTTGCTTACTAGTGGTCCCCAGACTACCCATCCTTCTTTCTTCTTATCAATATTTCGCGACCTCTTCTGCTATCATGAGACCTCACCACAATTAGGCTACCTTTCACCGCTCAAACGGCCCTGCGGGTCGAAATTCCTGTCGATCAGAGCTATACTTGGTGTATTAGTAGTCGCTGAGGCAGTGGGTTGGAGTTCTCATGGGAGTAGTGAGATAATTATAGCTCTTCCGCTGGTACTGCTGTTGTCGTCTACTAGGTCATTGCAATGGTGAGAGTTTAGACCTCCTATGTTTTTGTGGAGCGACGACGAGTCGGACTCGGATGTCGCGGACGTCGTTTCTATCCCAAGGCACCGCTTTCCCGCCTCTCTTCCTCTCTCTCACACACCACTGAAAGCGGTACCGCTCGCCATAGAATTGTTGTCGAGGGCGGAAGTAGTCCCAAAACCCACCTCCCTGGGAGTTTGCAACCCATCTAAGGGCAATATCGCCCCTCGGTTATCACATTACCTGCCTATTCTGTGGGTGCTTCTGTTCTGAAATCAATCGTCCTTTCGTATCCAATACTTCCTTGATTGAATTGGGACGGCTTGGAAGCTCCATTTCTCTTGCAGCTTCCTTATCTGAAAGGGTTTATGATGACGCCGTATCCACAGGAGATTCCTATGCACCCTGGTGAAGGGATACAGTCGCCGATGTCATCCTCAACATGTCGTCCTCTATGCCTACTACATACGTCTCCCCCTGGTCAGTAGTTAGCCGTACTAACACCCATTCGGTTTCCTCTTCTCGTTGAAGCCGGCCTCCGGTGTCATGTCAAGAAACGACGAGCGAGAGCATCAGTTATGCTTCAAGTGTTGACATTCGTTATCCCGTCACAAGTCTTCGTTATCGGTTTCATTAGAAGGTGTTCAAGGTCTGGGCGGTGGGCGAGAGCACGTTAGAAGTGATTTGAATGAATCATTGTTCTGTGGAAGAGTACATAGACAAATAGTGGTGGTTCTCTCTCGAAGAGGACAAGTCACGTTCGGTGCCTGCTTCCTATCTGTCCTGACTGGGCGCGTTGGTCCTTGGGCGCTCTTCGAAGGGTATTGGATATTCGACATATCACCCTGGCATCCAGCGAAGCTTAGATTAAGTTAAGGCGAGCTGTTGCTCTACTATGGCGTGAGATTCGCCGGTGGTAAAACATGTATATGTTATTCAGTACAGAGGTGGTGCTGACTTGAGATGTACAGCATCAATTCGGCAGAGCACAGAGATCTGAACTGTCGGGAGAAACAATAGTGTGCGTTATCCGGGACTTCACCAACCCGGCAGTTGGAAAAGGTCAAGCAGACATAGGCGCTCGCCGCTGACGAGTCCCCCAAGCATTCTCAATGTCCAACTGTCGTCGGTGTTCGCAGTAATTGCAGATTCCGTCGCACTTTGAATCAATTACCACCGTACTTGCACGTTCTCAGCACCTAACACACTGACCCTTCCTCTCGGAAAATCGACGGCTTCCCACCTCTTCCAGAGTCCTGGCGACAATATCCAAACTGATGAAGTTGTTTCAACGGGGACAAACAATGCCAGGGACCACCTCGGTCATGGTCAGTTACCCGCACCAGAAATCTGGCGGATGTCCCAGCGGATGCAACCATCGAAGTTTGTACGCCCTGTTCGAAATCTGTATTCATCTTAGTGTTCTGCATAGGGAAGAAGCTCAAGGCTAGACGGGACTCAGTACTAAGAAGGATGTGGGCCAAATGATAGGAGTACTCAGGTGGCCTGCCCGATCCTCCCGCGAACGCCAACTAACTACTGTTGGTTCTGATTTCTAAGTGAATTCGTACAAACGAGTGGGTAGTACTCGGGGGTATTCTTCAAACCCAACTCTACGCTAGTTAGCTTGTTGTGGATTCTTTAAATTTGCTTCGAGCTCTAGGCTTCGCTCGAGACATGGTTGTTCCGAAAGAGCGCCCTGCGGTTTTCATAGGTAAGTATTACCTAGGGTCCCATCTGAGAAACGCCGCAACGCACTGCACTCGTACGTACGTCCAATCGTTAACGCTCAGGTGTCACTGGAGGTTATTATTCCTCTCCCTCAAGTAGCATTGCGTGCTAGACTTGGTTAATTAGACGAGCGCTGTGTTCTTACGAGACGGCATCGCCATCAAAAGGATCGCCGGGGTTAGGTGATAACGCAGTACGAAAGAAATTCAAGACAGATACTTGTCTGGCTATCTGTCGAAAGGGATACATCACGTACTGGCGTTCCAATCCTATCGTGGAACACTAGAAGTGGCTGTAAGTGGCTTCCCGGTATGTACATAGTGGGAGAGCTCCAGGTATCGATCAAGCAATTATCACTTTTCGAGGAATCAACCAACGGCATGGCAGACATCAGTTTCCACACATCTCCTGCATCAACCGACATACACCCTGACCTGAGAAAGGTTCCCTCGAGGAGCCGTTGCGAGGCCCACGACGCTACTCGCTACCACGAGCAGCGACGTCATACTGGCCCTTTTCTCGGTAGTCTATCGGTAGCACCGAGGCTGCCTCGATTTCGAGTTCCATTCTCTTCCCAACTCCACTCTTCACAATCGGTATTATCAACGCGGGAAATGTTGAGGTTCCAAAGCTTAACAAGGGCCTCCTGTCGTATTGGTCATCTAACACGAGTCCCAGAGCTGCAGCTGCATGGCATTGGGCGTCCCGCGGTTGGTGTCAAGATCAGTCGTACATGAACTATCGTAAACGGCATTTGCCTGCTGATTGAGGGTGCGTTTATAAATACTTGAACACTGGTTTCACTGCGGTTGCCAACGATTCTTCATGTTTGAGTCGGTAGCGTCGTGTGCCGAAGGGTGCCTAGACAGGGCACGGATAGAGTGTGCAGCGTATGCAAAAAGCAATCATCGTGCATAATGTCAGGAAGTTCGGAGATTTGCTTGAAGGCTGCGGGGCCTTGCGAACACACGAGTCAGCCTCGAGCTCATAAACTTACGGACGCTGCCGAAGCCACGCAGAGGATGGTTGATGAACTGCATGCCATGCTCGGTGCCAGGTACATCAGCGCTTGTTTGCTCCGAAACATGGCCCAAGTCTCCAACAAACTTTTTCTAACCGAGTAGTAACGCTGTAGGTGTTGACAACGAGCACTTTCTGGCAGCGTCAGCGAAAAGGTCGATAAATTTGACCATTCCTTCGTATTTTGGTGTTAGTTCAGCCGTTTTATGGGCATTGCATATCTCTATCACAGTCTTAAGCGCCCGACTTCGCTTAGCTTCCAGGTACGCTGGAAGGAAAACGTGTTTCAATTCGGAAACAACCTTCCAAAAGGGTTAATAGGTGGAGTCAGCTAAATCGCGTTAGACGCATGGGAAAACCCGACCTCGTGACAGGAGAAACGCTCCTTTGTTAGGCGGCCGGCAAAGCATTTGCTGACCGAGATCTCCATTAGGGAACCGCCGAATATATCAAGATCGGGGTTACCGCATTAGGGAACCAGAAAATGATGTCTCCGCCGTAACAGCGCAGTGCAGGGAGGAAGGGAAGACTTGAGAAACCTCTCAGAAATGCCAGAACTTTCAGAGGAAGAACAGTCAAAGGGTTGCATTAAAGTCATGTAGTTACCGAAAGGTTGCTTCTTCAGAGAACAGCAGTCAGCTGGCCGGCCTTGGAACCAGAATTTGCATCACTTCCCATCCTTCAAACGCTCGCCAATTCGGCTTTCTTCTGGTTGTGTGGGCCATAATGTATCATTGATATGCTTGTATGCGATACGATAACATGTATACAATAGATTGTTGCGACCCAATCTCTCGTCGGTGCATTTGTATTCTCGTTATAATGCAGACATTTCGATGAATTCGCCCTTGAATTTCGGACCCGCTAAGTAGACAGCAAACACTGAGAATGTCTTTCAAACTCCGGTTCCCTGCACCAAAGAGACAGCACTAATCGAAGTGAAATCTAATATATTCGGGTCAACCAATAGACTTTCAAGTTTCATCTCGAAGATAATTACCATTTGCCATTACAACCATCCCCATAAATCCAGTGTCCAAGTTGCCCACGTTTCGCAGCATAGAAATTCACCTCCATTTCGATGGAGACCGTCGAGAGAGGCGCACGGTGAAACCGTAGCTGCGCTGGCCAGCTCGGTGGTCGGTAATCAAGTCAAACGCCTCAGATATTTCTGGGAATTCCATTCAATCGAGAGCGCTGATATTCTCTGGCCACGGCTTGGGCGGGCTCTCGTCCCCTTTGCACACGGTGTAATCGGCGTCCGACGCTGTTTGAGCGCCAACAATTCGCCTACATCGACCTAGAGCGACATCATCGCGCCTTTGCTCCCTTTGTAATTTCCTTCCGCAGTGAAACCACCGACCCTGCCCAGGTACGAGGACGACAATTAAGGTTGCGTCCTGGAGGGGCATGTGGGGCTACTACGATATGGCTATCAAACATGACCAATGTTGTATAACGTACTCACCTTTGTAAAATACCGCATACCGTGCTCAGCGGGTATCCTTTCTTGTCTTTCGTGGAGTATTAGGATCCGCCATGGCAAGGATCTTGACATTCTACGACAGACTTGGACTGTCGACCGTCATGTCCATATGGGCTCGAAAGTTAACCCATTCAGGTATCTCCCGAAATTCAGGGAGTTCTACTGAATGAGATGTAGTCGCGCAGCAATACACTACTCACGACTGATGGGACCTTCGGCATGGATCGCGTTCGAATCAACACATAGCCTATAGCGAAGCAATTGAGCGACTTCTGGTATCTGGCCATGGCGCCCACCATAGCTAACCTACTCTCCACCTCTCTGGGCCCGCCACACCCGTGAACATGCCATTCAAACTTCGCGGCGCCACGACATCCAAACGACATCGAGTGTTTGGCATTCTGACTTACAGACACTTCGTGTGGGAATTCCCAGGTCTCGAGAAGGTTGCGTCTCGCGAGGCGTTATGTGTAGAAATTCCATGGAAGGAGGGAGAAGAAGTGGGCTTCCCTGTCTGGAGTGCACCTACCGTTCGAGTCCATTGAACTCGGATCTTCCTGTCCTGGGGAATCACGGGTGGTCCTAGACCCTGCAAAAGAATGATCAGCTGGCTTCTTGTTTTCATTCGCCGACGAAAACAAGAGTTCTTCTAGCCAGTTCGAACTTGGCTGCAACTTCTGGCCAAGCAGGGAGGTTGTGTTCCTGTCGCGGATGGGCACATCTGATGGTACAAACCTCTGTTCTGATTGCGGAAGCAGACCTAGAATTACAGGTTACAATCGTGATGACGAACTGTCTATGATCTCTTGCTGAGAGTGTAGGTGGGGACAAGGCGCGCAAGAGAGTTTGGCGCGTCGGATCTGGTGATTTGGTTGGGCGGTGATCCAATAGGTCTTTCTCTAGGTTACTTGCGGTCTTGTCAAGCAGGTCAGTGGATGACGCGTACCCATTACTGTGGCGGCGGTTGGAAGCTGACCATAGCAGCGGCGTTTAGCTCAAGGTGAGTGGAGAGAGAGCGCAGACAGCTTACCCAGGGGGAGGACCAGCGAATCCTGGGGGAGGAGGACCGCCGAATGGAGGACCAGGAGGGAAACCAGGAGGTCGGAAACCGGGGGGAGGGCCAGGCATACCGGGAGGTGCAAACATGCCGGGAGGACGAGCGACACCGGGAGCTCCAACTGCAGAAATGAGTGTCAGCATTCATACCGATTGAAACGAAGACTTACTTGGAGGCACCATTCCCATACCGCGTCCTGCAGGCATACCGCGTCCAGGGCCAAGAGGGAGCTATAAGCGAAATTAGTTTGGAGTTCGCGTCGGATAAGATATACAAGCCACGCACCGTAGTCTTGGAGTCGTCGTCCTGAACAGGCGGCGGTCCTTCAACGCTTATGCTAACGACAGCTTCTCCACGAAGAATAACCAGTCCCAACGTGCGTTTCAGCTCCTGCTCGGGTGCAACCTCCTCTCCAGCTTTTTTCTTGGGCCTCACTCGTCGGAACTCTTCACAATCTGCCAATACCAGGTTCATATGCCGGTCAAATGCCAGCATTTGTCCCGTTAAAGCGCGTCCATCTTGAATCGTAACTTTCAATCGCCAGTTGATCAAACTGAGCATTTTGCCGCCCTTGGACTTTGGGGGAGGCTATCGAACCCGAAAAAGATGAATTAGAATTATTATCCACGCTGAAATAGCTTGAATGCAGTCGAAACTCACCATGATGGGCAGATAGGGCTTTGGTGAACGTGAACGTCGTCGAGGAAGAAGGGAATCTTCAAGCCCGACAAACAAAGGCAAACTCCGACTCTGAACGCCCGTTGAACGTTACAGCCACAACAGCCCAACTCGACTTGACTTTACGCCTCCAAGTTGTGCCTCTACGACGAATCCACAGATTTCCATTGGCTACAAGGCTTCTAGCGACCATATCTTCAGAAGACTAGCGTTGTTCTGTAATTTCTAATTCGAGGGCCAGTTTCTGACTCATGACGGTCTCGTCTAGTCAGCAGCAGTGTTCACATGCTCTGGTTCCTATTCATCTGTCGGCTGGATGCGGAACTTGCTCTCGTTTTTAAACTGGACTGAGGCGCTCTAAACTGACAGCACTGCTACCACCCTTGAAACAATGGTCTCTCAACAAATCCACACCAGGTTTACTGACCTGACGGGTATGGTGGTCTTCAACATGATTGAAGCTGCTTTGGTATAGCTAATCTAGCAATGAAGGCGTTAAGACCCCTGTCGTCTCCGCCGCAATGGCTGGAGCAAGCGGCGGTCAGTCTAACCAAGTCCCGTACCCTCTGCGTGGAGAGCCTGACGCGTTTTTCGATCCGCAGGTGCTCTCGCTGCTCAGGTGACTTTGGCCGGAGGCTTCGGGTTTCTCGCCGCAGGTACGCGTGAACTGGAATGTTTTTCTGGTCTTTCTCAACCCCGTATTCTTCCTTTTATAGGGTATGGCTCAGCCGATAAACTGCGTGCAGAGTTCGAGATCGCTCGTAATCTCATCCAGCCCAATGAAAAAGGGATTCTGCCCGTTGGGGTCGGATTCCTAGGTTGGCTCCTCGACAAGAACGAGGAGCTCGCCAAAGAACAGATCTCTGTAGCGCTCGAGTACGGCGTCCAAGCCATTTGGCTGTCCTTTGGGGATAGGCTAGACTACTGGGTGGACTACATCCGGAAGCTCAATGAGTCCAAGTGCGGCCATAAAGTCCTGTTCTTCGTGCAAATAACTTCTGCCAAGGAAGCAGAGATGGCAGTAAATGTGCTCAAAGCCGACATTATCGTCGCTCAAGGTTTGTCCTTTCCATTTTTCATGATCGACCCCCTGATCTTCTTGACTGACATTGGAATCTTAGGAACCGAAGCAGGTGGACACGGCTCCGCTAATGGTCTTTCTCTATTGGCACTAGTACCGTCAGTTCTGTCTGTCGTGCCACCCGATGGTCCGCCTGTTCTGGCTGCGGGAGGACTGGTGACAGGTGCTCATTTGGCAGCACTGTTGGCATTGGGAGCTTCCGGAATTGTCATCGGTACTCGTTTCCTCCTTTGCCCCGAAAGTCTGTACACGGATTCCCAGCGCAATGCCCTCCTTTCCGCCGATTCTACCCAATCTGTCCGAACAATGGCGTTCGATGAGGCACGCGAGACCTTGGGATGGCCCAAAGGAATCGACGGAAGAGGCCTGCACAATGGTAGCGTTCTTTCAATATGTCATTTCTTGCGTCATTGATTCACTTGAGAAACCCTTTAGCAACGGTGGAAGACTACAATCGCGGGGAAGATGTCCAAATCCTGAGAAAGAAATATCAGGAGGCCCAAGAAAAGGGTGATATTTCCCGAATCGTAGTGTGGGCTGGTGCTTCAGTCGGCCTGATGAACAAGATCCAACCAGCAAAGGTGAGAGCGGCGGGCACATTTCCCCGCCCTGCTTTACTGACGTTTTCGTTTCTGAATATAGGAAGTGGTGACGGAGATTCACGAAGAGTGCCAAAAGCGTCTTAACGTGGTCGCATCCCTCGGTCTCTAAATGTCATCGTGTCGATAACCATGACTCACGAGTCTCGTTAACCATGTGGAAAATACAACACTGCAATGCAGCATAATTTACCCCTCTTCGAGAAGCATAAGTGACTACCCATAAGAGCACCATGGATTCAACTTAGTGTGAATGGCTCGAGGCAATAGAGAATTTATTTTGAGATAGTAATAAACGGAAACACTTTACACTTGAATTGATACATCCCTTGAAACGACGATGAAAAGTAGCGTCCTTGCACGGTTCCCCTTTAGCTTCTATTACACTGAATAACTTTAATGCACAATTTCCACCACCAAGTCGCCCTGGTTGATAGAATCGCCTGCCGAAATAAGAAGTTTGAATGGGCGGTGGCAAAACTCCAGAGAAAATATACGCACCCTCCTGGACCAGAATACGCTTGACATGGCCAGAAACAGGCGCCGTCACAGCGGACTCCATCTGTGAAGAGACATTTTAGTGTGTTGTCCTAGATGAGCGGACTGAAAATAAACAAACCTTCATGGCGCTCAAGACTTTGGTGAGATGACCGACGGTCAGCTGATGAAAAAAAGTATAATTGACATGAGAACATACCGCAAACGGGGTCACCCTTCTTGATCTCCTGGCCCTCCTTCACGCGCACTTCGACAACAACACCCGACATGGGCGCGCCAACCGAGCCAGGGTCAGACGTTGCCTTCTCTCGTGAGATAGTCTCAACGGCGGAGTTTTTATCCTCCACTGAAACAGCGCGAACCTGGGAGATACAGTGAATAAAGTTCAAAAATTGCAGAATGGAGAAAATTTACCTCTCCGTTCACCTCGAACCAAACGTCACGCTGTGCCCGACCTTCAACAATGGGGCCGATGGCCATGAGGCGGATAATAAGGGTCTTGCCCTTTTCAATCTCGATATGCATCTCCTCTCCAACATCGGGTCTAGCGAGGAAGAAGCGCGTGGGGACGACACTAAGAGCAAGCCAATTAGTCTGGGAAACGGAAGTCGTCAAGGAAAAGGGAGCAACCTCAAGTCACCGTACTTCTCGAGGAAGCTCTGGTACTCTTCGAAGACCTAGAAAAGTTTAAGATCCCATTCGAAACGAGGGAGGATAAACCGACAGTACCTTGGGATACATCACATAAGAGGTGACATCAGTGTCGGTAATGTGCTTGCCAAATCGGCTTCGCAATTCCTGCTTGATCTTCTTGAAGTCGAGTGGCTCCATGACGGCACCTGGACGAGTGTCGATCCTGGGCTTGTCACGGATGATCTTGGTTCGGAGAGGCTCTGGGAAACCACCGACGGGCTGTCCGAGATAGCCCTGGAAGAACTCAACGACGGATGAGGGGAAGTCGAGTTGATCAGCACGCTCGAGGACATCCTCAGCAGTGAAGTTGTTGGAAGTCATCCATTGGGCGAAGTCTCCGACGACCTTTGAAGAGGGAGTGACCTTGATGATGTTACCGCACTGACGAAAACCAGAGATCAGAAAAAGCGCAGGCAAACTCGAACGGGTTAACTTACAAGTTTATTGGCTTCGATGTACTTCTGCTTGACGACTAGGATGGGTGAGGCAGGGCCTTAAGACAAAACACTATACAAGCTTACCATTCCATTGCTCCCCGAGACCGAGTTGAGAGGCTTGGAACTACAATGCAATTCAGAATGGAGTTTTTCAAACAGTCCATGCAATATCCTCACCATGAGGTTAGTGTATTGACCTCCAGGCATCTCATGGTCGAAAACACTAGAGTCGGAAGCGCGGACGTTGGCGTCGAAGCAGCTGTAGAGCATGCGGACCTGGCTCCAGTAGTTGTTGAGAGCCTGGATGTCGTCATAGCGGATACCAGTGCCAAGGGAAGTTTGCTCAAGAGCCATGCAAATAGCACCCATAGAAGGCTGGGAAGTCGTACCAGACATGCCTGAAACCCAAGTCAGGTCAACGTTCTCCTTAGAAAAATAGTACACGTACTGTCAATGGCAACGTCGATAACATCAGCACCAGCAGCTGCGGCAGCGAGCATACTGGCAGTAGCGATACCAGCAGTGTCGTGGGAGTGGACATGGATAGGGAGGTCGGGGTAGGCCTTTCGGATAGCGCCAATCAAACTGGAGGTATTGTTAGAACATACCGGATTGTGATACGGAAAGGCGGACGCACAGCTTGGCAGCCTCAGGCTTCAACAAACCAGCCATATCCTTGATACCCAAGACGTGGATGCCCTCCTTGACGAGCTGAGCGACGAAGTCGAGGTAGTATTGGAGAGTGTACTTGGTCTCCTTGGGGCTGGCAACGTCACCGCTGTAGCAAACGACAGCCTCGACGACACCACCGGCCTTCTTGGCGGCATCAATACCGAGCCTCATCTATGCAAAGGTTAGTCTGATATCAGCGATATAGTATCTCATGCCGCTTACGTTCTCTGTGTATCGACCTCAGTAAAGTGCGTCCAAGGAGCGAATCAAAGGAACTTACCAAAGTAGTTGAGCGAATCGAAGACACGGAAGATATCGAGACCGTTCTCGACGGCCTTCTTGGAGAAGTCGTAGATGGCGTTGTCACTAGCCATTCGTCAATACACAGACCTAAATGCACGCATAAGCCGACTCTTACGGGTAGCTAGTGTAACCAACACCGTTGGCACCACGGACAAGAGCTTGGAAAGGAATGTTGGGAACGAGTTTACGAAGAGTGCGCTTGCCAAAAATGTCAAAACTATCGCCATTCAATCAATGAAAGAAGGAAAACTCACGAGACGCTCCCAAGGATCTTCGTACAAGAAGCGCATAGCAACATCAAAGGTAGCACCACCCCAGCACTCAAGACTGTAAGCGTTGGCCAAGGCCCAGCTGGTCTCCTTCGCGATGTTGACCATCTCAGCAGTTCGGAGACGGGTGGCAAGAAGAGATTGGTGGGCATCACGCCAGGTGGTGTCCATGATGAGGGTACCAGGGTACTCTCGGACAGCCTTGGCGAAGGCTTCAGGACCATGCTCGACGATGATGTTACGCCAGCCGACAGTGCAAGGAACGGAGGTGTCGAGAGGAGGACCGTTGGGATCTTCCCTGTTTGCCAATTTAGGAATCTGGACTTCCGTCTTGAGACCAGGCTCGCCCTAGATCCGGACAGGTCAAATCGTATCAGCGAAGAATTCAGAGATCGACGTACAACTTGACCCTTGATGGAGCTGCCGTTCACAGCGAGGTCACCAAGGTAGGCAAGGAGTTTCTGAGCACGGTTCTGGCTCTGGACGAGCTTGAAGAGATCAGGGGTATCGTCGATGAACTAGAAGAGTGATGTCAGAATTCAAGTTCAATTGAGGCAAGTTTGCTGGTCACCCACAGTGGTCCAAGTCTTTCCTTGGATGAAGGTATCGTGGGTAAGGAGTCGGAACAGGAAGGGAATGTTGGTCTGGAAAAACCCGGGACAGAGATGATGAGCATCCTTCGCGAAATCACAGGAAGTTCCGGACTTACCTTGACACCACGGATGCGGAACTCGACCAGAGCACGCAACATCTTGCGGCGAGCGACTTCGTAAGTGGTTCCGCTGACAGTGACCTTGACGAGCAAGCTGTCATAATGAGGCTATTGATAGATTAGATCTTCGCGTCCCGAGTTCACAATAGCTTGGTTCGTACCGTGATCTGAGCACCAGCGAAACCGGAGCTAGCGTCCAATCGCACACCGTTACCACCAGCACTGCGATAGACCTCGATCTTGCCAGTGTCCGGCTGGAAGGAAGCGGCGGCATCTTCAGTGGTGACACGGCACTGAATTGCGAAGCCACGCTTCGTGATTGCGTCTTGAGTCAAACCGAGCTGAGGAAGAGTTGCACCAGCAGCGATTTGGATTTGAGCAGCGACAATGTCGATGCCAGTGATCTCCTCTAAACATAGACGTCATTGATCCGAACTCGCGTAGATAAGATAAAGATATCCTTACCAGTGATAGTGTGCTCGACTTGAATACGAGGGTTAATTTCAATGAAGTAATGTCGGCCCATTTGGTCGACCAAGAACTCCGCAGTACCAGCATTGCGGTACCCAACGCTCTTCGCAAGCTTGATAGCATCGGACAAGATAGCTTGACGAACTTCCTCAGGTAAGTGGGTCGCTGGGGCAACTTCGACAACCTTTTGATGTCTTCGCTGGACGGAGCAGTCACGCTCGAAAAGGTGGATAGTGTTTCCGACAGCATCAGCGAGAATCTGGACTTCGATGTGGCGGGGTCGTTCCAAGAAACGTTCGATGAAGACGGTTCCATCGCCAAATGCCGCCTTGGCTTCACTGACGGCTCGCTCAAAAGCGGCCTTGAAATCTGATTGCTCACGAACGACTCGCATACCACGACCTCCGCCACCCATGGCAGCCTTGATGATAACTGTGACCAGGTCAGCTGGTGCTCAAACGACGTCAGAGAAGATAGATTTGTACAAACCTGGGAAACCATATTCCTTGATGAAGGCCTCTCCCTCCGAGTAAGAGGCGACAGGTCCTGGGGTACCAGGGACGACAGGGACACCGACCCGCGTGGCTATCGAGTCACCATATCAGATCAACTGTTTTCGGATAAATGCAACACTTGCACCCACCCAGTGTTCGTGCCTTTGTCTTGTCTCCTAGCTCGTCGATGACTTCGGGAGCCGGTCCGACAAAGGCAATACCAGCTTGCTCGACCTTTCGAGCAAATTCGGCATTTTCGGACAGGAAACCATAACTACGAGGATGTGAGAATGGCGAAGAGGATCGATGTAAAGAATTGATAGCGCGTACCCGGGATGGATCATGTCGACGCCGTGTTCGAGGGCGATTTTGATGATTTCGTCTTGAGCGAGGTAGGCGCCGACGGGGGTGAGGCCTTTGCCGACTTGGTAGGCTTCATCGGACTAGAGGATGTTAGAGAGGTTAGGGGCGAATTCGTCGGTGGACGTCGGGGAAAGGACATGCCTTTTGACGATGAGCTGAGAGACGATCCTCGTAGGAGTAGATGGCGACGGTGTGCATAGCGAGCTCATGGGCAGTTCTGAAGACGCGAATGGCGATTTCCTGTGGGATATTGGAGATAAACGGTGAGGACTGGTGTGACTCGGAACTCGGATAGACGACGTACACCACGATTCGCGACGAGGATCTTTGTGAGAGGACCGCTGTGGCCTGCAGCCTTCCTCCTCATCGTCTGGATGCTGTGTACTGGGGTGCCGGGAACGCTGGGCGTGCCCGCGAACATGGCTGAGAGCCTGGGTGGGTGCAGGGTAGCCATGGTCTGTGGTGGTGGAATGGGATCAAACGGGGTGACGAGCTCGAAGCTGGTTTAGATATCATTCCCGGGAGCTGATAAGATTCCCAAAAATATTTGATCGATTAATTCAACAGATAACTCCGATGCGAACCCCAATGAGAACGACTACAAAACCGATGAACGAATCGCATCGGTCGAGTTCTATAATGGACCCCCTGTGGCTTAGCAATAGCATACCACCTTCTTTCTTGGCCCCGCTCCATGCCAATGGCTTCTTTCATGTTCCACTACAGTCTCAACTGCAGATGAAATGACCTCAGATGTAGTGTCGACACTCAGGCTAGACGTGTCGAGGACGACTACAATCCTGTAATAAGCCACCATGTGATTGTCTTGGGGAAACATTGTTATATGGGTTCGGAAAACATGTCTCTATGGTCCCCGGTCATGGTGACGCCGTTCCGCGCCATCGTCACTACCTATCTCGGGCAGTCGGCTTTTTATGGTTTCCGGCTAGCCATCGGGATAATCGCATCTGCGGCTTGTCTTCGCTCGTTCTTCTTCTGGTTGTTTTTCGCCACTGCGTACACTATTCCTGCAAAAAATCCAACGCCAACGGCAGACACGGAACCGACTGTAACTGGGTCCCCGAAGAACAGCATTCCGGATGCTGCCACTGGGAGTTTGTTCAACGCGCCGACCATACTGAATTCAAATGCCAGTCAGCCCTGGCCAAGGTTGGGTGGGTTGTGTAAAAAGACTCACCTGTAGGTGGTGCTGCTCGTCACTCGGACACACCATGCGGTGGTGTAGGAGATGCCAACAGCTGCGGCACCGGAGAAAGCGATGGCGAAAAGGAGGAAGTTACGGGTCTCTGCGGGGCTGCGAGGGAGTTAGGTCAATCAATCCCCAAGAGCGGCGTCGACTCACAAGTTGCGGTTGAGGTTTTCGCGGCCCCAGTCCTCCGCGATCAACGAAAAGACGGCGAGAACGGGGATACTGAGGAGGTTGTTGTAGAACATGGTGTCCCAGTCGGAGAATCCGGTGCTCTTGATACGTTTGCGCATGGACAACACCTATGGATTCAAGATCTTCAACACCGACTCCATCTCGAAACTGCTTCAGGACTTACATATGCAGCACTCGTCAGGCAGTTGACGAGCATCCAGAAGTAGCCGACGTTCAGGCCGCGGAGGGCACCGAAGAGGGATTGCATTGCACCGACGCTGACACCTGAGCTCGCTCCGGGGATAGAGCTTGCCAACGCGCTTTGGACATCTGACCAGGCGGCGATGATCGAGGAGATTACCTGTTGTAGGGATGGTAAGTGATGGCGGGTATTACATACCGACATGAACGCACCATGAAGATGAAGGAAACAAAGGTGAGGGCAGTTACTCTTCCACCGAACCATAGCACTTCTCCATAAGCCTGAAATACGGTCATTGACCTTGAATAGAGCTGACAGCGGGTGAAGAGCTTACAATGAGGATGATGGTCAAGTTCTTGAAGATGGTGTAGACTGGGATGGAGAGGTATTGCTGTGGGCCAAGTTTAGCGGTTGCGGGATGCGAGATTGTCTTGGGACGTACCAGACTCTTCGAACCGGTGTAGATTACGCTGACGAGTAGGAAGCTGATTGGGAACCACATCTTTGCGTCCTTCATATCAAAGTCTCTGAACGAGATAATGCCGAGTTTCTTGACCGCGAACACACAGGCGCAACAGACGGATGATTGGATGCATAGCAGGAGGAAGTTCATCGAAAAGTTGGCTCCTGATACGACGAACTATAGTGGATATGAGCATGTCGACGTCTTCCTTCATGGACCATAAACGCGCCTTGTTCACAACGGTCATTAATATTGACGCGAGGCAGTAACATACGATTGGGGGGACTAAAGTGGGAATCAGCAACGTGGTTTCTGCATTCCTGGGTGCTGGGACTGACTGGCAGAGAGATTAGAGGGGTCTTTGACTGCGCCAGTCGCAATGGCTTTCTTAATTTCTGCTACATCCTCCTCGTTACGACCTTTGGTCTCTGAAGAGCTCATGAAGGGCGAGTGTTGGCTTGGCTGCTGGCAAAATTGGTGAACGGTGACTAGTCTATGGGTCCGGGGGGAAGATTAGATTTGATAGAGTATGTCCGGGAATAAAGAAAGGATGAGCAGAAAGCTCAAAAGTGAAGAGAAAATCCGGAATCTGGAAGGAGAAGAGGATGTGGACGAGACAACGAGGGGCTTGGGATGCTGAATTCTTGGGAACGGGTTATCTCCAAATGGAAATATTTCGCACGTATCTTAGGCCTGTCATGACCGTTTGGCGCTGAACCAAGTTCTCCCTCACGCTGATACTGTGTACTTGTAACTCTATGGCTCCAGGATGGGTCTCGACGTTGGCATCCATAGGTATGGCCGTTGGGCCTCCTCTTGTGAGTTCTGCGAAAACTGGAACGTGAAACGCTCAACAGTTGCGGTTGCAGGTTTATGCTGATCAGGCCGTATCCATTATCCGGAAGAAGTGCGTCACCCCTATAGGTTTAAGGGGAACCTGTACTGACAACTGTGCAGGGACGCGACTGGTTTCTCTCGAGATGTCACCGCCATATTGTCAGTCGTTTCACCTTGCATGTCAGAGTCGAACGCTGACCATGCGCGTTCAGGCTACTGGCGAACATAACGAGATGTTTCTTCTGGCTGGGGTGCGTGGATAGTCGCTAGCTGGACGGGCGGATTACTGAAAGATTGTTCAGTGAACGCTTTGAATTTGCGTTGCTCATGCAATCCGTCCTTATGATTCTCGCTCAAGTAGGTGAATATCATTCAGCGAGGCGGGGGTATTGAGGTAACGGCCTACAGCTTGCTTTGCTCTACATCTGCATCCTTTACCGACCGCGACTGAGCCATGAAGCTTTGCTTGGCTCCAGTCGACCTTTTGGTTTCTGGCAATGGCCGACTTATACGCAATACATCGAGTTTCTCGCTGGATTCATGTTGGTGGTCTTTCACTTTTGGGCTTACCCTGGGCTCACGGTGTTATCTAGTTTGCTTCAGGCTATCCTGTACCTCATCCTTGGACGCTCCCCCATCTTTGTGGGTGCCCTTGGTTATATTGCTTTGGGCTTGGAAAGTACCCTTCCCATCCCCCAGTTGATTAGGTACGTGATTGTCGTTGAGTTGGTCAAAGTTAATAAACCGCGTCTTTCAGCAATTACCGACAAAAGTCTCTGTATGGGTTCCGCATGTCGACGCTCTTGGGCTGGGCAGGAGGTGATCTGTTCAAGTGCGTACGTTCGTCTAGGTAGGAGGACCAAAGCTTACCCAGTCTGTCAGAACCGTCTACTTCTTCCTGCAACATTCTCCCCTTCAATTCAAAGTCTGTGCCATCTTTCAGCTCTCCATTGACTTTGGTAGGCACATCATCTCCGTGGAACGTGTTCTGATGCTGATCAATTGGCGCAAGCAATCGTGCTTCAACGATTTACCTATGGCAATGCGCCCCCGATATCGGCCATTCTGAACGAGGACGACGAGCTGGAGGCAGCGCTCGCACTTGCTGAGGAGCAACGGTAGCTAGAGGTAGTAGAATTTGTGTAACAGTAGTATGAATATGATTGCTGTGCAATTGATGGATGAGCGGCGATTTTGGACATGTTTGGTTGCCGAGGTTCAAGGTGGCAACCAACAAGGCCAAATCATATCTTGCACCTTTCCTCACCTGCGCAGCCATAATCCTCGACGTCCGACTGGACTTAATTCTTCTGCAATGGCCGCTGCAGACATCTCAAAACCAATCGCTTTCTGCGAACACCTGCAGCTCTCGAGTTTGGGCGTTCAGCCAGCTTCAATCTCTTTCCAGGTGCGTTGACGCGTCTCTCACATCGCTGACGTGCATCCGCTCACTCCGTCCGTCTTCTGCGACGTATCACAGGTTTGTCTTCCGAACCCACTAAAATTCATTTCCGATCAATTAAACTACTTGAAATTCAGACTCTGACCCTTGAATCCGACCATTTCATCTGTGTTCGCGAGAAAATCAATGAGCAGAACCAAGTCGTCATCATCGACCTTACCGATGCCAACAATGTCCTGCGACGGCCAATTACTGCGGATTCAGCTATTATGCACCCAACCAAGAAGATTCTCGCCCTGAAAGGCACGTATATCATACCGCCATCAACTAACTCGTCCCTGACTGATATTCGCCTCCTCTCAGCCCAGCGGACATTGCAGATTTTCAATATCGAGACGAAGCAGAAGGTCAAGAACCACGTTAATAACGAAGATATCGTGTTCTGGAAATGGGTTTCTGAGACGACTATCGGTATGGTCACCGAGACCGCCGTGTATCACTGGTCAATCGCAGACCAGACATCGCCCCCGCAGAAGGTCTTCGACCGTCACCCGACCCTCGCTGGCACCCAGATTATCAACTACCGCGTCACGCCCGATGAGAAATGGCTGGTGCTCATTGGTATCTCTGGAAACACCACCAATCCCTCTGCATTCAAGGTCAAGGGATCCATGCAGCTGTACAGCAGGGAACGTGGAGTTAGCCAGCCTATCGAAGGTCACGCTGCTGCGTTTGCAGAAATCAAGTTGGATGGTCACCAGAAACCCACCAAGCTGTTCACGTTCGCTGTGCGAACTGCAACTGGTGCCAAGGTATGCCTGCTTCTCTTGTCATTGTGACCGTGTCCTAAATCCCGCCTTCAGCTCCATATCGTCGAAATTGACCACCAAGCTCCCGACCCACCTTTCACCAAGAAGAACGTCGATGTCTACTTCCCTCCCGAGGCAACGAACGACTTCCCCGTGGCCATGCAGATCTCCAAGAAGCATGGAATCATCTACATGGTCTCCAAGTACGGCTTCATCCACCTTTACGACTTGGAGAGCGGCGCGTGCATCTACATGAACCGTATTTCCGGCGAGACCATCTTCGTCACCGCCGAGCATGAAGCTACCAACGGTATCATTGGTGTCAACAAGAAGGGTCAAGTCCTCAGTGTCAACGTCGATGATCAGACCATCATTCCTTACATCCTCTCCACCCTCAACAACACGGAGCTCGCGTTCAAACTTGCCAGTCGGGCCAACCTTCCTGGTGCGGACGATTTGTACGTGAAGCAGTACCAACAGTTGTTCGCTGCTGGCCAGTACGGGGAGGCTGCAAAGGTTGCTGCCAACTCGCCGAGAGTAAGTCGCGCCGTCATTTGCCTGGAGGCCTATATCTAATTGGTTCCCGTTCAGGGTATTCTGCGTACCAATGCTGTCATCGAGTCCTTCAAGCAAGCCCCAGCTCCTCCTGGTGGCTTGTCCCCTATCCTCCAATACTTTGGTATTCTCTTGGAGAAGGGTGAACTCAACCATCTCGAATCATTGGAACTTGCCCGCCCTGTTCTTCAACAGGGCCGTAAGCAACTTCTCGAGAAGTGGTTGAAGGAGAACAAGGTTTGTGTTTACCCCTCCTCCTCTCCCTGCTTTCCTGACAAGCTCCATTGCAGTTGACTTGCAGCGAAGAGCTTGGTGATATCGTTCGTCTTCACGATATGACTCTCGCGTTGAGCGTCTACCTGCGCGCCAACGTTCCCAACAAGGTCATCGCTTGCTTTGCAGAGACCGGTCAGACCGACAAGATCGTTCTCTACTCCAAGAAGGTCGGATATACCCCTGACTATACCGCCCTCCTCCAACATATCATGCGTACATCACCTGAGAAGGGTGCCGAGTTTGCGTCCCAACTCGTCAACGATGAGACCGGTCCTCTGGTCGACGTTGAGCGGGTTGTCGATATCTTCATGTCCCAGAACATGATCCAACCGGCCACCTCGTTCCTTTTGGATGCCCTCAAGGATAACAAGCCTGAGCAGGGTCATCTCCAGACTCGTCTCTTGGAGATGAACTTGGTTCATGCCCCTCAGGTTGCGGATGCCATTCTCGGAAACGAGATGTTCACCCACTACGACCGACCTCGTATTGCCAACCTTTGCGAGAAGGCAGGCCTTTTGCAACGGGTATGTGAAGATTATTTTCTGTAGTATTCCGTCTGACCGCTTTGTTTTCAGGCTCTCGAGCACTACGAGGATATCGCCGACATCAAGCGTGCCATCGTCCATACCGCTGGACTTCAACCCGATGTACGTTTCCTCTCACACCAGCCCTTGATCATTCACTGATTCTCTTTTCAGTGGCTCGTCAACTACTTCAGCAGGCTCACCACTGAGCAATCCTTCGCTTGCTTGCAAGAAATGTTGAAGGTCAACATCCGCCAGAACTTGCAAGTCGTCATCCAGATTGCCACCAAGTACTCCGACATCCTCGGACCCATCAAGCTGATTGAGATGTTCGAGTCGTTCAAGAGCTTCGAAGGTCTCTACTACTACCTTGGCTCCATCGTCAACCTCAGCGAGGATCCTGAAGTTCACTTCAAATACATCCAAGCTGCCACACGCACCGGCCAGATCCGTGAAGTCGAGCGCATTTGCAGGGAGAGCAACTTTTACAACCCGGAGAAGGTCAAGAACTTCCTCAAGGAGGCCAAGCTTCAGGACCAACTCCCTCTCATCATCGTCTGCGACCGCTTCGACTTTGTTCATGACCTCGTGTTGTACCTCTACCAGAACGGCCTCACCAAGTTCATCGAGGTCTACGTCCAGCGTGTCAACTCTGTCCGCACTCCTCAAGTCATTGGTGGTCTTTTGGACGTTGACTGCGATGAGACTACCATCAAGAGTCTCCTTGCGTCTGTGACTGGCAACTTCCCCATCGATGAGCTTGTCCAGGAGGTCGAGCAGCGCAATAGGTTGAAGTTGATCCTGCCTTGGCTTGAAGCTCGTGTTCAGAGCGGAAGCCAGGATCCTGCCGTTTTCAATGCCATGGCCAAGATCTACATCGACAGCAACAACAACCCTGAGCAGTTCTTGAAGGAGAACAACGTATGTCCTTTCATATTCTTTATCCACGGCTGCCTGGCTAACGTTTGTTTTATAGCTCTACGAGCCTTTGGTCGTCGGTAAATTCTGTGAGAAACGTGATCCTTACCTTGCATACATCGCCTATGCAAAGGGCTTCTGCGACGATGAGTTGATCGCCATCACCAATGAGAACTCGATGTTCAAGCAACAAGCTCGCTACTTGGTGAAGCGCAGACAACCTGAACTCTGGGCGCAAGTCCTCGTTGGCGAGAACATTCACCGACGTGCTCTCATCGACCAGGTAAGTCTGAGTGCGCATGTACTTGTACGTATTGCTGAATTTCTCTGCAGATTGTCGCTACCGCCCTTCCCGAGTGCACTGACCCCGACGATGTCTCGGTCACCGTCAAGGCCTTCTTGCAAGCTGACCTCCCCATCGAGTTGATCGAGCTCTTGGAGAAGATCGTCATCGAGCCCTCGCCCTTCAGCGACAACAAGAACCTCCAGAACTTGCTCCTCCTGACTGCCATCCGTTCCGACAAGGGCAAGGTCGTCGGCTACATCAACAAGTTGAACAACTATGATGCTGCTGAGATTGCCAAGATTGCGACTGAGCACGGGTTGTACGAGGAGGCGTTGACCATTTACAAGAAGCATGACCAACATGTTATGGCTATCAACGTCCTCGTTGAGCATATTGTGTCCATTGATCGTGGATATGATTATGCCAACAAGATCAACGAGCCTGCCGTCTGGAGTCGATTGGCCAAGGCTCAGTTGGATGGTCTTCGTATCAAGGACTCTGTTGGTGCGTAATGTTCTATTTCTTTGGGTGGTTCAGCGGTGCTCATCGCCGTCTGTAGATTCGTACATCAAGGCTCAGGACCCCTCCAACTTTGAGGAAGTCATCGAGATCGCCAACCATGCTGGCAAGCACGACGACCTCGTCCGATACCTCCAGATGGCCCGCAAGACCCTCCGCGAGCCCAAGATCGACACCGAGCTTGCCTATGCCTATGCCAAGACCGACCGTCTCCACGACATGGAAGACTTTTTGGGCATGACCAACGTTGCGGACATCCTCGTTGTTGGAGAGAAGTGTTTCGAGGACGAGTTGTACCAGGCTGCCAAGTTGTTGTTCACTAGCATTTCCAACTGGGCCCGTTTGGCTACCACCCTCATCTACCTTGGTGAAAACCAGGCTGCGGTTGAGAGTGCTCGCAAAGCTGGAAATACCCAGGTTTGGAAGCAGGTTCATGCTGCTTGTGTTGAGAAGGGAGAGTTCCGCTTGGTAAGTGCTCCCATGGTTTTGCAAGGTGGACGAAGGGCTGAATGGGTGTTTCTGTAGGCTCAAATTTGCGGTCTCAACATCATCGTCCATGCTGAAGAGTTGGCTGCTCTCATTGCCATGTATGAGCGCCGAGGCCACTTTGAAGAGATCATCAACTTGTTGGAGGCTGGTTTGAGCTTGGAGCGTGCTCATATGGGTATTTTCACTGAGCTTGCTATCCTGCTCAGCAAGTACAAGCCTGCTAAGCGTGAGTGGTTTTGTCTGGCGGAATTCGGTTTGGGGACTTATGTTTTGGTTTCAAGTCATGGAACATCTCAAGTTGTTCGTTGCTCGTATCAACATCCCCAAGGTCATCCGTGCCACTGAGAAGGCTCATCTCTGGCCCGAGCTTGTCTTCCTCTACATCAAATACGATGAATTCGTAAGTGCCTTTCACCACTATCATGGAATGGTTGCTTATGCATCTTGTATAGGATAACGCTTCGTTGGCTATGATTGAGCGCTCTGCTGATGCCTGGGAGCACAATCAGTTCAAGGATGTCATCGTCCGTGCTGCGAACGTCGAGATGTAGGTTTTTTTTTGGCTTCCTCCTGGCATGTCGCTGACGTATTACTTTAGCTACTACAAGGCCCTTACCTTCTATCTGCAAGAGCAACCTACCTTGCTCACCGACCTGCTCACTGTGATGATCCCCCGAATCGACCATAGTCGAGTGGTTCGCATGTTCAGGCAGATTGATCATATCCCTCTCATCCGGTCGTATTTGATTGCTGTCCAACATGTGAGTATCGATCATCTCCGCAGTAGGGAGTTCGCATTAAAGTGTTATTGTTCAGCTTAACATCGAGGCTGTCAACGATGCCTACAACGATCTTTTGATTGAAGAGGAGGATTACAAGACCTTGCGAGATTCGATTGATAGCTTTGACAACTTCAACAACATTGCTCTTGCTAAACGGCTGGAGAAGCACGAGCTCCTCGAGTTCCGACGATTGGCTGCTCACCTCTACAAGGTATGTGTCCTTATGTCGTATGGTTGTTGCTTATGCTAATCGTTGATTAGAAAAACTCGCGCTGGGAAGAGTCGATAGCCTTGTCAAAGCAAGACAAGCTTTACAAGGATGCCATGGTCACCGCTGCCACTTCCAACTCGACAGAAGTTGCCGAGGAGCTCCTCTCGTATTTCGTCGACATTGGAAACAAGGAGTGCTTCGCCGCGATGCTTTACATTTGCTTCGACCTCTTGCGCTCTGATGTGGTCATGGAGCTTTCATGGCAGCATGGTTTGAATGACTTCTACATGCCATACAAGATCCAGATCGAGAGAACGCGGGTTGAGAAGGTGCGTTGATTAGGGTTCTTCAATACCCTTGGGGTTTGGTGCTAATCATCCCCCTTTCTTTTCCAGATGGCTCAACTCGAGAAGGAAGTCAAGGAGCGCTCAAAGAAGGACGCTCAAAAAGAACAAGCCGAAGCTGACGCACCTATCATCAACCCTGGTGGCTTTGGAAACCGACTATTGCTCGAGAACGGTGGGTTTGGTGCGGCAGCGGCTCCGCCATTAAACGGCATGCCTTACGTGAGTGGATTATGACGTTTATTTTTGAGGTGGATTGTGCTGATATGTTTGGGGTTTGTAGGCGATGACTGGGTTCTGATAGTAGACGTTTCTCGTTTTCTCTTCGCTTTTTTTGTAATAATTTTGTATGTATGCGCTTTTAATGCATTGGGTTTTTTCTTCGTACGAGCGATATGGCTGTTCTTTGGATTTGTGTTGCTTACGAGGACAGGGGTTGAAATGTTCGAAGTCGGGGATTTCTGAAGGAAGCCATATCATATTCTTATGGTTGAGCGTCAAAGGTACAGAATCCAGAAGCCGGCTACAACTTAGTTACAAGCATCCAAAGGAGAATCCAGGCTGGGTGGATGGACGAGCCGAATTGGGGGGTGGGGGTGGACAGTCAGCCTCAGTTGAAGCTCCTAGTTACGTTGGCGACACCAGGGGCTGGAGAGCCAGCAGTTTGAAGACCCATGGTATCGTACATGGACATGACATCCTCTCCAAAGAGCCTCATTGCCTTTATCTTCGAGGACTGGTATATTTATAGCGGATACGTAAGTCTAGACGTCGACCTGGGAGAATGAGGAAACACGTACGTTCATGTCTTTCTCCAGCAACATGTTTAATGTCGGTTCGACGGCTTTGTGTTTGTTGGATACTACACCCTTCAGGCCGAGGTAGATCTGATTTCCTGCAATATTCGCTGGACAGGTTCGTGCTCTTAGTTTTCGGCTCCGTTTCTGAAAGTGTGACGAAATCACCTGTGTGTAGCCTGACAAGAGGGTTAGCATGACTACACATAAGGGTAGACTGGAAGACAATACTGACGTCCATTTGGTTTGGTTTGCTCCTTTGAACATCCAGGCGTAGTGGGATCTTAACATATCTTTCCCAGTGATTGTCTGGCCACCTGGAATCTCAAGGCGCCCACCCTCTTCATAATATTTGTCGACCATATTAGGGTTCTGGCACTCAAAATCGCCAACCATCTAATCAAGGGCCATAAAATCAGATTGGTCAATGGATTTCCGTAGTCCACTCACAGCTGCGATCCACTGTTTAATCCTTTCCACGTCTTCTGCAGGAAGACTGGAAGTAACGCTAAGATTCTGGGCAAACTTCATTTAGCTGGAGTAGGGAAAGAAAGAACGTGTTGGGCTAGTGTGGCTACGGATAAAGTCACCCTTTTATGCGCTTGGTTCAGAGCAGGATATTCTCCGGGCGCAATTTTGACTTTGGTCCAGGAGGAGGGCGCAAGGTCCGTATGATTGAATTGAATAAAAAGATAACGGCCCACGGCAATGGCTGAAAAAAGGGACCAGATAGCATGGTCGAATAAAAACTGAATACCTGAGCAAGAGCCGCACAATGTCTTAACAAGCTCTAAGCTTTCAGGTCGTCGCGGACTGGGCGGGCGGGGCGCGTTGCCAAGACTGACGGATTTTGACCTGCGGAAGTTCGGACGCGGGCTGGGTAAAGGGAGGGATGGAAAGCGATATCCATGCCCGAGGACCTTGGATAACGTTCGGATCTTCTCAGCCTATCTGCCCAGCTTCCATATCAATGGATACTTACCGACTGTGTCCGTATATCAACCGCGACACAGGTGCACATTCCCGGAGCCAGCTCATTCAGATCCGGCCAGACTATGTATGGCATGTGTATTCAAAGGTCCACAGAAATGGGTTTCGGCACATCGCCAGCGCAACGAGTGTCGACATAATGGGACTCAGCCCATCGACAATGATTGGATGGTCTTTCAGCTGGAGTGACGCTTCCTGGTCTGCGTCCTGTTTCAGCTGGCTGCACTCTAGGGTTGCCAATTGTAGTATGCATAGATGGACTCAAAGCAGTGACGCTATTCCTCAGAGTCCCTTTTCTCATCTGAAACCATACAGTCATCCCCTGACCACTAGGAGGATAATAATATCATATTTATTGGACTTGCTCGATTCTAAGTATAATTGAATGAAGAAAACAAGGACACAAAAAGACAAGTGATGGTACACAAATACTGCGGATTGGAATATTACTAGGAGTCTCTGTCGTGCTAGTGGTAAATGCAGGAAAGAAAAGAATTATGACAAGTGGAAACTTCCAACACCCTCTTGAATGGCGATACACAACTTCTCTCTCATCACTTCTTTGGAGCTGTACTCGGGCAGCTTGAGGTAGTTCACGCAGGTCATGACGCTCGGCAGGTAGTCGTCGGCGGTCAGAGGCGCTTCGTGTGGTTTGCGAACGACGGTCAACGGAGGATTTAGACCCTTGAAACCTATTTGACGAGTTAGCTGGGCCAAAGATCAGTTGGTATGCATTCACTAACCTCCAATTGGAAGTTTGGGACTCCCAGTGATGAATTGCAAGTAAGCTCTCCTTGTTGGAACATCGAATTCCGCCATGATCTCCAACAAGTATCGAATGGATCGACTGTCCACGTTGAAGCCATGATCAGCTTTGATGGACTCGGAAAGCGCTGGAGAAATGAACAGTAAGTACTAGATCACGATGCTTGTCAAAAACACATACTCTCGATGCACCAGTCTTCCTCAGTGTTCCCGAAGAGCATCACGAGTTCGTCGGCAGTGAAAGCACGCAAGTCGTCGATGGGGAACACCTTGGAGAATCCTTCCCTAAATGCCTTCGCTTGAACCTGGATTCCCTTGCCCAAGATTGCATCCAACACTTCGTCGATGTAATCGTAGACGTTGGCAGATGTCACCGGAATGTCTCGCCCTCCGGGCTAAACCAATGTCAGTTAGTTTTCCTATTAGCGAAAAAAGGCGACGTACCCTCAGCTCGATGTCGTAACCTGGGATAGTGAAGTCAAGAGCAAGGTCCTCAATGTTAACCTTCTCAATTTCAGCAATCTTCCTCTGTAGCTTTCAATCGGGTCAGTACTTCAATCATTCCCAACTGAGTCCAGTGGAAGCTTACTGGATCTGTTGGAGGTTCCGTTGGCTCCGATGCGATGGCTTGGAGTTGGCTCAGCGATTTTGCAAGGGAAGGATCCACGAGCTGGAATGCAGGTCAGCGAGTCTTCAATGCAACGCGACACCGGGAAACATACCTTGAGTGAGGCGATGGTGATAGGCACTTCTTCACCGAGCACAATTTTGAGGAACACCTTGCTGAAGGAGAGATCAATGATTCGAGAATCCAACATGGCCTTGGCAACAAATTGCCCGATGACCCTCAGGATATGAGTTCGCTTTCTGCACGGAGGTTAATATCAAACTCGTTAAGAGAGACAGAGAGATCACATACTGTCCACCATCGCTGATGATATCTTCTCGGCTAATCGGTGCGGGGTACAATCCATGAGGATGCGAAACATATGAACCTGGCCCCGAAGCATCGTTATCTCTCCAAATCTTCAGATCCTTGCGTGCGAACTCCTTCGAGACGAGCGAGTAGAACTCCAGCGTTGGTCCCAAACCTGTCCCGACCTCCTCGAAATATTCCACCTCCAAAACAGACGACGACGATCCGTACAATTCGAACACCTTGACGGCCGATTCCAAGATGTGCTTGCGAGAAATTCGAACCTTCTGGCGTTGAAGACGTCCGAGGAACCCAATGCCTTCATCTCTTCTCGAACTATCGGATCCACCGCGGTTTTGTTGGCTTTGCCACTTCAGGATCAAGCGGGCATATCCAAATGAGGTGGATTGGAGGAAGTTGTAGCGGGTGGCGAATGGGAACAAGAAGGGGAAGTGCTGTGGGAGGTCGACGGCCCAGTCTGGCAAACAAGAGCTGGCGACAATCATGGGTTCCTCCAGTTGCCTTGTTAGCTTGGCGGAGAGCTTGTTGTTCACGAAAGCCGAATCTGCCAATGTCCTCTTGTCAGCATCATGGCCCGAGCGTTCTGCCTCCAAGGTGTTGAGCTGGCTGAGGACACGCAACAGGCGCAGAATCTTGGTTGGTGCTGCATCCTCAGGGAGTGATGAAAGGCTAGGACTGGGACTCCGCTTTTGACCAACATCAGAATGATCTGAGCGAGCTAAGCAACAATCAGAGAATGTTCCAATACGATTGTAAACGATGACTTACATTCCGGTGTCGGTGGAGGCCCAGGGACCTTCTTGAACTTGATGGTATAGATGCTCTGCCAGATCATGTGCAACGGAAGAGCGCCCGTCTTTTTTCGCATCTCATGCTGATGGATTGCCCCGTATATAGTGAGATCGAGTGGCAGAACTTGGTCATCCATCGAGAACTGAAGATGCCAGTCTGTCGGTTTCGATTTCAGAGCAGCAGCATAAGACCCGCGGGAACCCGAGGCAGCCTTGGAGGAAGATGCAGAGCCGGCGTCCTTGGATGATCCAGACGGTGTTGCAACACGGGTACCATCAGGAGTCTGTGCTTCAACCTTGGAGCCATCTATGGGATAAATTATCAGCGAAGGTGATACTGGCCACTGCTGGACGCAACGTACCTTCGTTGATGTTGAGTGTAATCGTCTTGTCAGCCACAGAATTATCCGGGTCGTCGACATCGTCATCATAAACCTCTGCGTCAACGTCGTCATCGGAGAAATCGTCGTGGAAGTCGGGGTCAAGCATAGGGTCGCTGTGCGCTGATTCCACTGCGCTTGGAGGAGGAAGTGCAGCACCCGTCGAAGGGGGTGCCTCCTCTGTGGCCGCTGCTGAGGTAGAAGGTGCATTCGTCTCTGCAGTAGACTCGGTGTTGTTCTTCGCGCTGAGTCGTTGACTGCGTCGTCGAGTTACTGTCGAGGTCGACTGTTCCTGCGTAGAGCTAGATGCCGCGGCTCCTGCGCTCGATGTGGAGGCTTCAGGTCCTCGAGAGAAGGGCGTAGGATAACCGGACGCAGCCAGAGCAGCGAACATACTGGACAGGCGCGAACTGCCGCCAAGGAGGCCAGCTACCCGAGGGCGGAGGTAGTCGTGCAGAGCTTGGAACGTTGCGATGGCGTGGATTGAGACAACAATGTTGTTCAAAGTACGAGGAACATCGCCGTCGGTATCAGCCACAAGCCTGAGACGAAGTTGTCGTGCGAGGAGCGAAGGTGAACTACGCTTCGATTCTGCAATGTTGGTTAGAGAGGAGTCTTTGTGTCGATGGACTAGGCACACACCATCAATGTTTTGTGAAACGGTGATAACCTCGAAGGATTCCATCCTCGTCAAACTCTCCTGCAACTTCTTAACCAAGGTGGCAAAGGGATTTTGCGTGTTGGGTAGGGCTTTCGACTTCTTTCCGGTGAAAGCGTCCAGAAGCAGCTCCTTTCGTTTCTTGATGCCCACCATTCGACCTTCGTCAGTTGCTAGCCGAAGCAAACCATCCACAATACCGCTCTGGAGCAACTCGAAGCTCGAGATTGGAGAATGAGGCGATGAGAACAATTGGGCAAGCTCCCAGAGTGCCTCTGACAATTCATCCTCCGATGCAGTTGGCGAAGAAAACCTGTCCACTAAGGTGCGCAGTCGATCGAACGAGTCCTCTTCCGAGTGATTTTGCTCTTCGCTCATGTGCTTGAACTTGAGTACCCGGGCTCTAAGCGTGATTGCATCCTCAGGGTCTAGTGATAGGGACGAGAGTTTCTTCAAGCCATGAAGAGAGGATGAGGACAAAGGATTGGGCGGTTCGGTGGATGGTTCGCCTTCGCGATCCTTCTCCTTGTCTTTCTCCTTTTCCTTGGACTTGGAAACGATGAGTTGTCTCTCCGCCAAGCTTTCCACTTCATGGAAAACACCTTCTCGGCGGAACGCGGGCCGGTAGAACGCGGGGGCTTTAGACAAGAGAAGCTCGACCAATTGCAACGCCGCGATGACGAATGAAGGATGGTCCCTAGAGGATAGGATTGACGAAGCGAAGGTGGCTATTGGAACGAACTGGAAATACAAGCGTCAGAAATGTCGAGGCAACAATCCCTTGAGGTACGTACCTTCAAGACTGTCTTGATACCTTCCCCGTCCAAAAAGCTAACTGCCTTGAGAAGCCCGTTCAACGTTTTTACCCTAACCGCGGTGGCGACACTGGCGGCGTAGACATCGACAAGGATGGGAATCAGAAGTTGCATGAAGCGGTCAACGACTGCGGACTTGGAACGAAGAATTTCCGTCCTGCTGAGCGCCGGCTGGGGAGGTGTGGAAGCCGCTTCGTCAGCTTCTTGTGGTGTCGCATCTCCAGCTGTCGAGGCAGGTCCAGGTGACGGCGCGTTGTCCACGGCCATAGCGTTGGGTTCTGGCGTGCTTGAAGTCGTCGAGGCCGCTTGAGTAGCCTGGCGAGCAGCTGCTCGTTCAGCCTTGGCCTTGGCCTTGACCATACGAGCCAGCGACTTCTCCGTGTATGCTTTGTGGTCGAAGACGCCATCTAGATTTAACCGTCAGCCAGTATTCATCTCATATGTTCTACTAAAGCTCACCTTTGGGAAGTGGCGGAAGAAGTTCCGAGATCAGGCTCAAAGCCTCCTCAACTTGATCCTTGGGTCTGTGCGCAAGATTCTCCATCACTGTCATGTCCGCCAAGCCCCCACCCAGGCCTTGCCCACCGACTCCATCTCCCTGTTCGCTGCCATTGGTGACTGCCGAGGGTAGGACACCAGTCAGGATTTGGTATAGGGTATCGACGATATCGGCTTCGAGAAGAGCGACAGTGATCTTGGGACTGGCCCGTGCCGAGGTAGCGAGGGCTCTGAGAAGGAGGGTGAAGGTGTTCGAGGCGATGATAGGGGAGCCGCCAGCTGGAAGCAGGAGGTGGTTGACTGCCTTGATAAGTGGTGCATCCACCAACGCTTCAAGGTTGTCGACGGAGGAGCGATGATATGAATCGATGACCCGGATAACGCACAGACAAGCAAATTCTACTAGACGTTGGTCCGAGTAGGAGAGGCAGTTGCGAATGATAGGCCACACTTCTCGAATCATGGTGAAGTGCTCGGCGGAGACACTACGACAGCAATTGGCTGCAGCCTGCAGAGCGGTCCGCTGCACAGCGATCGAGAAGAAATCGAGATAATTGAGGAGTGCTGCAAGGCCTCCCTCTCTCACGATGGCACTGGGGAACTCCTCTGAAATCTTCTCCATAGTCTGAACGATAAATCAAAGTAAATATATGAAGAGATTCCGAGTCTAGAAACAATGCTTACGCTGAGAGTTTGCTCTGCAAGATCGATATACGAAATCTCAATCAGTTTGCTGCACAGGACAGGGACAGCGCCGTGGTACACGACGGTATGTGCGACACCAGGGAGGGCTTCCATGAGGTTAGCAAGGCACCGGCAAGCCAAGACTTGCGCCTCTGGATTCTCGTCCCCCTGGTATTGGTTGCCTCCGCTCATAGCCAATGCAGCAGCGAGTGCAGCATCTTCATCTTGCTCAACATCTTCGTCATCGTCACCATCGTCATCTTCGTCTGCCCCCTTTCCTCCAAGGATCTTGACAAGCTCTCGAACGAACGAATCCACGGGGAACGATCCAGCTAAGGTCTCTTCTGTGCTGATGCTGAGTAATTCGCTTAGTTCTTGAAGCGTAAGCAGTCTAGTAGTCGGATCGGCGGTGGGCTTGATGTTGTTGAGCATGTTCTTGAGTCGCGATGATAATGAAACCATGTAGGATCCAAACTGGCGATAATCACCGAAAAGCGCCATGGCAGCGGTTTCGTCGAGGCCCGCAAATCCGGAATGACTGGGCTGAGGAGGGCCGCCACTGGAAGTGCCTAATCCCGTATTGTGAGGACCGTCCTCGTCCCCATCGTCACTATCCTCGTTATCGAGCCCGTCGTCATCATGACACTCGTTCGCATCCCGCTTATCCTCATCTTTCGCGCCTTCCCCTTTGGCCTCGTCCAAATCAAGGCCGGGTTCCTCGACGTCCGAATCCTCCTGCATTTGGTAATCGGCATCCAGCATCTCTACGTCTTCGTTTTCGAGGCGAGAAGAGCTGGCTGCCGCGATCTTCGACTTCAATGCTGCCTTGTTCCGAGCGCTTGTCGATGCTCTGAGGGGCCGTCAGTGAGCGACCAGACCATATAGCTGCGATACTCACCTGGTCTTTCGTGGAGCCATATCGGTATGTGTAGCTGGTGGTCCCGATCGTCTTGAGTGTGCGGTCGTCTTCGGGCGTTTAGTTGAGGGCTCAGCGATGTCGTCGTTGTCAGCTTCCTGGGTTGCGCGTTTCTTTCCTTTGGTAGATGTTGAGGGTTCGTTGATTGTCAAGGCCGCTGAAGAAGAGGCGATGTTTCGACGAGGCCTGAAGAAAGAATGATATTAGGCTTCGTTCAAGTGATGGGTGGAAGTAAACCTGTGCAAACCTTTTGGCACTGCTACGTGGAGCGTCTTCGGATTGAATTTCCTTTGCTTTGCCTTTTGCTGCAGATGAATCTTTGGTTCGCTTCCCTTTTGCTGACGAAGTGGCTGCGCGGGTGTTGCGGGAGACTGGGGTGTCGTCGGAGACGGTGGTGGGTTGTTCTTGTTCTGCCAAAGTCGATGCCCGCTCCTTTCCCTTTCCCTTGGCGCTTGCTTTCTGTTTGGCGGCCTGAGAGCGAGTACTTGAGCGCAGGGTTCTGGTGTCTGGATTCGTGGGTAGTGATGTGTCTTGTTCTGGTAGTTGGGTTGTCGAAATCCTTGAGCTTGTGGCCTCTGTGCTATGGATTGGTTCTAAATCCATTTAGTTCATGCACCCAGCCATCGATCCAGCGGTCTGGAAATAAAGAATAAGAGGACGAGCTTCAAGGACTACAAGTCGCTGTGAAGGTTGTGAAGAAACCCGCGAAAGCCCTCTTCAGGTCTGAGCCCTAACCAATGTTACGTAAGGTACCAAATACACGCGCCACACGCAGACTACTTACACTGACTCGTTACTCGTCCCAAGAATCCATTTTTCTACATAATAATCATACACGATGCTTCATAAGAACTTCTTCCACACTACTAGCAAATAATTCCACAATCTTCTCCACTTCCTGTTTTGTCACATTGTAGGCGGGCGCGAAAATGATCGTATCTCCTTTGCTTCCATCCAGAGATGCACCTCCTGACATCCCCATCACAATCAATCCATCTTCAAACGCTTGCGCCTGTGTGAGGATAGAAAAGGACTCCCCTTTGAAATCGTATGAAGCTGCCTCTGCGTTGTCGAAATCAAATTCCACTGCCCAGAATCCTCCCTGGCCCCGCACATCAAAAACAAAGGGCCGGACCAATGACGAAGGGCTTGTCAGTGCCTCCCGTAAAGCCCTCCCTGGCGGACATAGATCGTCAGAAATGATGTCGTGATAATAGCAGAGATCCTCACCAAAGTAGGCCCCTTGGGTGCGGATGTTCTCCAACAGGTTCTCCTCTTCAATGACCTCCTGGACGGCCAGCGCCGCTGTGCAGGCCAGTGGATGCGCCTTGATATCGAGTCAATGTGGAGCACGGTGTTGGTGATAATTCGAATGACACCCACCTGGTATGTATGACCGTGTTTCCAAAGACCGGATTGTCGTCGGATGCCGTTGACGACTTTGGGTGACATTAGAATGGCACCTATGGTTGCATATCCTCCACCGAGGCCCTTTGCAACAGCTTGGATGTCAGGCTAGCATGCCCTTTTATGAGTGCGATTAGAAACAGAAACGAGAGGTCAGTACTTACTGCAACTCCATCTCCCACAGACTGCCAAGCATGAAGTGATCCCATGCCTACTCATGTAAGTATTAGCCATGCGCTGGTATCGGCAGAATGCTAGGACTTACGGCCCATGCCACACATAACCTAGGCTAGCTCGTAAACTTCCGAGAGCCACCATGCTGCAGAGATGACTCACCTCGTCAAGAATGAAGAGGGCGCCGTACTTTTCGCAAACAGACTTGACGGCTAAACTCTGGTTAGCACTCGGCGGACGCATGGCTGGGTGGATCGCGACTACCTTTGAAATAACCCTTCGGTGCAGAAACGACTCCAGTTGTCGCGCCTACCACCGTCTCTGCAACAACTGAGAAACTTGGTCAGCCTGTGTCAAAGCTTGGAGCTCCTACTTACATCCTATGACCGTGTTGGGACCAAGTTCAAGGAACTTGTCCTCGAGCTCTTGCCTTAGACGTTCCACGTATTGCTCTTCTGTTTCGTCAGGACGCTGGTATCGTTTTGCATACGCAGGAGAGACGTGATGGAAGTGCTCTTTCTCTAGCAATGGGACGTATAACCCGCGTCGGGTAGGGTGGTACGCGCACGCCAGTGTTCCAAGGGTGTTACCATGAAAGGACGACTTCCTTGCGATGAAATTGACGCGTTCCAGCTGGCCAATTTCGGTGTAGTACTGAATAGTGGCAATCAGGGAATGAAGCTTGAGAAGGGAGGGGGCCTGAGCATGCGAACCTGTCGAGCCAACTTTAGGACACCTTCCATTGCCTCAGAACCTAGGGGGGAAGAGAATGGAGTTGTTTTAAATAACGTCCAGCAGCGTGCGCAATGTTGGCATACCACCGGACGCATAGCCAACCAGAGCAAACGCTCCGTCGCTCGTGTCAATCAGCTTCTTTGCCAACTTTTCAGCTGGCTCATTGGAGAGCTGCATGTTGTACACATCTATCGTCGAGGATCAATGGTGTCAAGTCACAGTATTAATGGGATCAAACTTACAGGAAACTTTGTCCAACTGGTCTTTGATAGCACTGCTAACTTTGGGATGGTTGCCTCCCAAACACGCTACAGCAGCACCGCCAACAGCATCAATAACCTTTCTGCCATCTTCCAAAGTGAATGTGATCCCTTCGGCGGATTTCACGACAGGTGGCCTCCATGGAGTACGATGGAGGATATACGTCTCTTGGACGTTGGGACTGGCATTGCTATTGGTGTTGTGAGCTTCAGTCATGTCGGGCCGCGCGTTTTCAGGGCTCTCTTGGGTTTGGTCAATCGTGGAGTTGGTTCAAGGCGAAAATGGAGGACCCAGGTTCAAGATCTGGTAAGCTTGTATTACTGTAGCATCGCCGTCTCAAAATGGAATACGCCGGAATCGCACACGGCAAGTTGCAACTGGACTACAGTCTACCCGTCCCAGTAGAGGCCCCTTTCATGTCACATTCCTATCCAGCAACACTCGGTACTCCGGCGCTTCCTGCCCGGGCCCCGGTTCGGCCGTGTTCCGGTGACCAGCTGCTAGGTACATCTTGGAATGGTTTGATGGTGCATCAGGCCTGACGCCTCTCAACTCGAAGTCTATACATGTACAGTCTCATACCTTTACATTCAATCCGTGGTGAGCTGCCGACGTCACTTGTTACCAGGGGCTACCTATCAGAAGTTATGAGACCACAACTTACAAGGCGTCGAGGGAAGCCTAGCATCGTAGTATTGTGAGTCCACAATGAAATCATGCCGCAGAAGGACCATTATAACCTCTAAGATCTATTGAATTAAGGTCACATCACACTAAACTGTTGTTTCGTATCCGATAGCGAGTCCGAACTATCCTGCAAGAGCTCACCGCCTCTTGATTTTCTCGATCTCGTTATCTCGTGGATCCCAGCGGTCTCCGCTGGTCCTCGCGAACTGATAACTGTGAACTCGAGCGGAGGGTCGGAGAAGTCAGCCGCTGTTCCCATTGTTGTTGCTCGACGGCGGTGGAATGAGTGCGTGCCACCTGACAAGTCCACAGTGCCAAAGGTACCGGCTTCATTTGTGTGTCGATGGTTCAGGTAAGCCATGAGGACGTTCGCATGTCTAGAGTTGTCAACGGTGCCACTTCCATTAGTTTGGGTTGTGGAATGAGGACTCGAGCTACGTACAGTCTTCCAATTATGAATTGGCTGGAGACAGCGGGTATCACCGTCAGTCAAGTGGGACGACTGCGCAGGAAATCGTAATCGATACTCACAACGCGATATGAATAGCGTCGTCCGGCCTTGCGAAGTACAAAATAAGGTTGACGGTGGCGCAGAGGGTTGTGATGAGGCCGTTCTCAATCGTGTGGACGGTGAGGGTATTTAACAGCCGCTTGGTCGCGGTGAAAGTAGTCAGCTGGTGGAATCCCCGCAGCTAGGAAACGAGGAACATTTAGTATTCATCCTTTGATTAAAAGGTTCTGGAGGTCAAACGTACTATAGAGATCATGGCGATGGTGATGAGGATATCGCAAATCACTGTTATGGATAAGTATGCGGCAACGGCTCTTTGGGTTACTGGGTCATTTGTACTCTCAACGACGTTACGGCCCTTGCGGCCAAACTATTTCAAGGGTTATGTATTGGTTTTGTCGGCCAAGAGGAGTACGAAGAAGGCTCGTGCTTACTAGGAAAGCAATGAGGATGGTGAGGGCAAATTGAGTTGATGTGAGCTTGTGGGTTAAAGAATTAAAGGTCGAGACACTACGAAGCGGGGTGAACGGCGGACTCACCAGGGTAACAAGAACGGCTGCCGATTTTCCAATCATTGTGCTGGCCAAGATCCAGATTCGGCTGTGCAGAGGGTTGAAGGTTGGCTTGGACTTCACATTTCGGATGCGAAATTAGAGACGTACTAGGCGAAGCACAGTTGAACCAACCAGGCCGCTGTACGGACAACCCTTCAAACTTCAGACTCGAGAAACGGACATGATGAAGGGTACCTCACTCGCCTAAACCATTGAGCATGGGGTTGGCAACTATAGCCTCGGGGTATTTCAAGAGACGGTCAGTGCTTTCCTGGTTATTAAGAGCGAGCACCAGTGAATGCCATCCTGTCTGTGTTATAAATCCTATGCTGAGCGTTTCGACGATGGCAACAAGTGCCACTAAACCGGGTCAGCACGGCGCTCGTTGACAGACTGAGATTAGGAACGCATACCAACGGCGGCTCCAACCCAGGATGCCTTTGCGGGTCGTTCGGAAAGGTACGTGACTGGGAAGATTATCAGGGAGGTGGCGGAGGTTGGAAGCTGTGTGCGCTGCGCACCTGTCTGGACGACAAATGCCCCATAAAGCAGATAGGCCAGCAAGGAGCCGATGTACTGATTGTGGCCGACCAAAATAAACCTTCAATCCAGTTGCCATCGAAAGAAAGATGTTGGCGGGAAATGTGACGCACCAATGGGCCTCCTCTGGCAAAGAACATCGTCAATACCCTCGACAAGTCAGCAAAACATCTATACTTACAAAAGAACGAGATTGGGACCTGTTGCTGGATCAGCCATCGGAATGTCCAGGACTACGAAACCCTGCAAAGTCTTCCTCGCTCCTGGGTCGGAGCTGTCGAGGTCGAGGTCGATGACTTTCGCCTATGAATCACAGTATCTGCTTGAAAGAGAGACGGTCAAACAGACTGTTGCTGTTTGTAGAGCGCACTTAGATCAGTAACGACACGGAAGTAAACTTTTTTTCGCGGGAGCCACTCACTTGGAACCGTTATGTTGCAAGTTGGAATGTTCAGTTCCTCGATCGATTGAAGACCCGCCCCGGAACTGATTCTTCTCGCTGATCTTCGAAACAAGAATTCAGTTTCTTTGGCTACCTGCTGCTTGCTGAATATAAGAGGACGAGAAGCGTCGGTGGAGGCGTGGTGAGGACTCCGATTGGAAAGGAGGGCCATATCTTCGGTGTGAGAGGTGTATGTGGCATCTGGTCTCGCTTTGCACCCACTTTACGTTACTTTCCATGAATGGTGCATACCGCTTCCAAGTGAGGTTAGGGACGAGCAAATTGAATTGCCAGTCTGGGAGGCGAGCCGACTTGGCCGAGAGTGAGGCGAGAGGTCACCGGTCAGAATTCAGGTCCATATCAACTCTAGACAAGTAACTCTTAATGCCAGACGTCAAGTTAGGCAACAAAAGGTCGGGTTCTGGGAGCTGGAGAGAAGCCGGGTTTCGTCGAAAGACCACCGACGAGGGGCCTGTGGGTGCAGTGTGATGGGCGCTACACTTGCTCATGACGTCGGTGATTATTCCTGGATCCGGGTGGTCGGCGCCGCGGCGCAATGAGCGCCGGCAGATGATCAGCGCCTACGCCGCGTTGGGCAGTATGTACATAACCTCCCAGGAGAAAAGATGCAACAACCAGGACTCGAACCCTCAACCGAACAGTTTGCTGACTAAGGTCGTAGTCAGCGAGCGCCAACTCTTTGGCATCCAATCGACTCGTCTCTTCGACCAACACTTCGACCTTCCCCCACACACCAGCCATGTCCAAGCATCACCCAGGTGTGTCCGAATGCAATAGATTAATGGGAATATAACTAAATTACTTTTGAAGATCTTATTATGTGTCGGCGCCAGCCAGGCATCGGTATGTCCCTTCCTATCCTCGCTATGAACCAAGGATTTCTAACCACACCTTTGTTATTCCTTTACAAAACAGCCATTGGGCGTTTATGTGAGAAATGCGATGGAAAATGGTTTGTTGATCTATCTCCTGTTATACGTCCAATGGGTTATACTGAACAAATCTGACGCCTTGAAAGCCCGGTTTGTGATTCCTATGTCCGACCAGAAACACTCGTTCGAATCTGTGATGAATGTAACTTTGGTACATATGGAGGGAGGTGTATTATTTGCGGTTCTCCAGGTGCGTTGCGTATTCGTTCAGGTACTGTGGAATTTGGACAATGCTAACTGCGACGCGTTTCGGTGCTTAGGTATCTCGGATGCATACTACTGCGCTGAATGTACACGTCTAGAGAAAGACAGAGATGGGTGTCCGAAGATTGTGAACCTGGGAGCGAGTAGGACAGATTTGTTCTATGAACGTCGTAGACTTGGTTCGTCCCAACCTCACTGCTCCTGCTGTTCGACTTACTGACCTTGCTACGTCCTTGTAGGGTTCAAGAAAGGCTAGCACTTGTACCTCTTGCACACACGATACGTACCAAATACGAGATGTAATCGAGACGATGCTAGCAATGTACACTGTTTTCCGGTTTCTAAACGTATCCAGCAGGCTAGGAGCACTATTTACAGTGGCAAACTAGGGCAGCGGCAAAAAGAGGATGTGAAAACAACAACATGGAAGCGTTAACATGGGATTGGCCGACGAATACTCAAGACCTACAATATCGAGCACCTGCTATATACAACGACAAGGACATTGAGTGCAACAACAACAACGTCTAGGCCGACTACAAGATCTCGTTACTACAAATACACTGGAGAGAGCACGATAGGCGTAGGATTGTCAGGGTTAGTGAAGGACCTAGTGATACCGAGGTGGTGGCGGAGTCAGGAAACTGTCGCAGCGCAACACGGGGAAAGAGACACACTTGAAGGACTGGAGGTCAATCTGGACAAGGCAACGGTCGTCAGTAACCCGGTCGATGTCAAGAAAGTAACAGGAAACCGGAAGACAGGTAAGCAGGAAACAAAACTCACAATAGACTTGATAACGATGAAAACATGTCCATCCGCATGCGTATCCACCGTTTCGCAGTGTGTGCAAAGGTCGATGGAGCAATTGGCACATCGGAACCATTCGCCTTCGATAGGTGACATGCAGCGATCGCAGACTGCGAATTTGTGGTATAGAGACCTGAGATAAGCTGTTGTGGTACGCGGAAGTGAGAATCCGGACTGGAGGAAGTAGGGGAAGGCACTGACCACGCGGATCGTCGACACGGCTGGGGTTGGAGGGGCCAGCGGGGTATTGGTACCTGGAAAAGAGATCGTGTGTTAGCAGGAGGTACGGGGTTGGTTATAGAGAGCCGAAGACGAAGGCACATACAGAGGAGGAAGGAACGGAGATGTTGATTCCAGAGCGTTCGAATCGGTCGGACGGGGAACTTTGAAGAATATATGCATGGGGTCGTGGATTGCCCATGACTTGGCCTCACACGTCGCGCACTAGGGCACTGCTGTTTAGAAGTTGCACTATGATTAAGGAGGGAGACTTTGACGTACGAGGTTGTATGCCGAAGGCAGGGACGGACAGTGTGCGCATTGGTATCGCACTCCACGGATCGACTGGACGGGTTGCGCAAGTAAATCACAATCAATATTTAGGTAGAATACGGAGTTCGCGCAGGGTAGGTACGGACCTTGATCAAAATATGCGACGAATTATGACCTCTTTCTGCTGCATCGAGGTTCCCGGGAAGTCCTGCTGCCTCGCAATTGGAACATATGTCGACCGAGTCACATATGGCGCAGTGGAACCTTGCACCAACAATTGGGAGCAGGCAACTGGAAGGGAGGTGGTGGTGAGAAGGACAAGACTGCAGTGTGGATAGGAACTTACTGAGCGCATGTTACACCCGGGTGTTCTAGAGCTGGAGAGTCGAACAAGTCAGCGAAGATGAAAGATTAGGTGAGAGGCTATACGTACAGTCCTCCGTTGCATCGATGTGCGAGCCGGACGTTACATCGAGTTCAGTGGTCTTCGTCGGGGCGTCCGGCACAAGGATGAACGCGTCGCGTGGATGGATATCGTGTACCTGGCTGTAGGGTTACCAGAAAGGATCAGCAAGAGGAGGGAAGGAAGGAGGGCCCATGTACCTGTAGCAAGCCCGACACAAATGGAAGTCGGGGCATGCTGCGCATTTGTATCGCTGCCATGTCGTCACCGCGGAACATGTCTTGCATTTCGACACGACTTCCTCGTCTTGAGCTGTAAATTCAGAGATCCGTAAACCCGATATGACTGGGGAGATAGTATGAAGAAGCTCACCGATATCCTCCCAACCAAAATCGCCCCAGCATTTCTCAAAGAATGCGTGTCTGAGCTCTCCTTTCTTCGGTGCTGTCCTTCGCCATGTCGATGGATCGACTGGGAGAGTGCCTCCAGGAGATGAGACTGACGATGAAGATGACCATGAAGGCGAGTTACTCAATGTTGCCTCCACTGCATGGTGGATCCCGTGTTCTTGGAAGCACTGGTGACATAATTCGTAGCCCTCCTTGGGTGGGTTGATATACGTCCGCGAGCTTAATGTAGAGGACGAGCCGAATGGATTGCCGGATGCTGAAGGAGGGGTCAAGTTCTTGTTGTTTGGGTTGGCATAGACGGTTTCAGCGCTTCCGATGTAGACCTGCGAGGAAGAGGAGGAGGAGGATTGAGGGCTTGAACCGAGGTGGGAATGGTGCTGCTGCGGAGGGTAGGTATAAATCGACCGATCTGTCTGTTGTTGGTTCTGAAGTGCGTTTCGCTGATTCCGCACTGTCGCGGGTGGTTTCTCGCCACATATCGAGCAGACGTATCGGATTGAGTCGATGAGTGTGCCGCACATTGAGCAATCGGTCAGGATTTCTGGAGGGGGAGAGGTTAGATGGGCGTAGAGTCGGAGGTTATCATCCAGGTAGGGAGATATCGTCGGGGGTGATTGTGCAAGCGAGGACTGCGATGCTGAAGACTGGAGCTTGCGGTGCTCCTCTGTTTCAATGCGTTGCTCCACGAGCCAGTTGAGATGGCGGGATGTGGGGCGGGGTTTCATGGGGTGCTTGCCATTTGCCAGTGAAAGAACTTCGTCGGCTTCGGAGACGGGGTGGAAGCCATCTTCGTCTGTGGATGCGTGGGTTTGGGAACCTGATGCGGAGGCGTTGTAGGTATAGTAGTATCGTCCACTGTCGTTTCGTTCAAGGGATAGGTCACCGCTGAGGTCGTCGAATGAACCGCTCTCTGATATGGAAGGTTCAGGTAGGGCTCCGAGCCTTGTACGGATAGCGCGCTCCTTTTGTTCGCGAAGCCATCGTGCGCCTCTGTCCTCTCCCCGGATAGACTCCCAATCTGAATCATCGCCCAACTCCTCCTGCAGCTTCAGTCTGGCGAATACAGCGGATGGATCAGCCGGGTAGCGGTCCCTGGCAGAGGCGAGGTCGGCATCGCTTGGGGCAATGGAGTCGTGAGAGGTTGAAGGATAGTCGCGGGCGGAAGAAATGTCCGATAGCGACAGCTGCCAGTCACTATCGACGTCGTTGGTCTTGGAATGATAGGCGATTGTAGGTGAACTCTTTGGATCTTGACGTAGCGGTCGTTGGAACCTGGAATGCGAAGCTACAGAACCGGTTGGATCTCTTGAACTAACGGTCACGGCGTCGTCCTCCAAATCAAACGAAGCCTCTGAACGTCCAATGACACTGTACTCGGAATGCTTGCCGCTATAACCTCTGTATTCCTCGAGACTGGCGAGGGACGACGTATCGGAGAGACTTGGGCCGTCATAATCGACCGTGATTGTGACTCGCAGGGTAATCTTGCGGGATCCAAAGCTGCGGCCGGACAAAATCGAGGCTGCGGAGGATAATGGAGCTGAGTCGTCCCCAGAACAGAAATATTGGACGGCCTCTGCTAGGTCTGGATCGGAGACGATTTGGGAGGTCTCTCCGTCATCGTCTCGCCAGGATATGATCGATGACCGCAGCGAGAAACACTTTTCTACCTGGGAAGCTGTTAATATGTTATTGTCCCAAAATACTTTGTATAGCGACCTTTTCCTTTAGGACATTGAAGGAACAGTTTCTGGCAGAGTTGAAAGTGATTTTCTTGTTTGCCTTGTCAAAGGTACATTTTACGACGAGCGGTCGGTCTGGTAAGTCTGATAGCGACATAAAGGGTTGTTGAAGAGGTCCATTCAGAGATGAGCAAACAAGTCTAGTCGCAGCACTACTCCGCAGCGTCTGAGCTGACTAATGAAATATTTGGGCGTCAATTTCGGTGGCTGTGGTGGCTGTGGTTTTCCCCGGATTGTCGTTGTGCGCCGAGTAACCGGACCAATGGTGTCCCGTCCAAACCGAAATCAAATGCTTCACTCGTTTGTCGCTAACAACGACCCTTCGCTTTTCTCTATACCATGCTTGCAAGGTATTCAAAGCGGTCGGTCACTTCAGCTCTTACAAGGCATTCAAAGCGTCTAGCAATGTCCACCTCCACCAATCTCCAGTTCACCAGGCCTGCAGACTGGAAGGAACGAGCACCCGAAGCTCTGCCCGGATCCGTAACATACGCCGCGCAGACAAAACTCCCTAAACTTCCCGTTCCAAACCTCCAGGATACCCTCTCGCGCTTGAAGGAGACACTCAAGCCCATTGCCTGGTCGGAGGAGGAGTTGCAGGCTGTCTTGAAGAAGATCGACGCATTTGGAGCTGCACAAGGACCGGAACTTCATAACCGCTTGTTGCAGAGGGATGCCGCGAGCAAGCATTGGTTGGAAAGCTGGTGGGACGACGCTGGATACATGGGATACCGAGATTCCGTACGTCCGTTTGCTCACGCTTACCAGGACTGGTTGCTCACAGAGGTCACCCCTAGGTCATCATCAATGTTTCCTATTACTGTGTGTTAGGGTCCTGTATCCCTCGCGTGCACCGTGTTGACATGTTGTCTAGATGGATTCGACGTGCCCAAGCCTGGTCAATACAAGTCCCCAGCTGAGAGGGCTGCTGGTATTGCCCGCTCAGCCATGATCTTCCGTCAGAAGCTCAAACAGGGCCTTATCCCCCCTGAGGCGACCAAGGAGGGTCCCCTCTGCATGGACACCTACCGGTTCGTCTTGACATATCCTTGTCATCAAGACCTGACCTGACCCCCCTCCCCCAGATGGATGTTTGACTGCTGCCGTGTCCCAGGATCTGACGGTCTCGACTTTGCCACCTCCTACGCTGTTCCAGGGGATAATGGCATTTCTGGCCACATTATCGTTCTGCGCAAGAACAGGGTGTGGAAGATCGAAGCTGTCCGGGACGGTAAAATCCTGAGCACCGCAGATTTTGCCCGGTATGTCTCTGCGTTTTGGTGTAGGCTCGTCGCTCACATCAGTACCCCAGTCAATTGGAATATATCTACAATAATACCCAAGAAGAATACCCCGGTGTTGGTGTGCTGACTGCCTCCAACCGTGACGTCTGGGCACAGGTACCCAATCCCTCATTCAATCAAAGTATTCAGCTCTGACCGTCTCCTTCCAGGACTACAAACATCTCGCGTCGTCCCCCGTCAACGCTTCTATAATCAAGGAAATCCACTCTTCCGCATTCATCATCTGCCTCGATGATACCCGCCCCGAAGGCCCCATCCAACACAGCCGCTCCCTCTGGCACGGAGACGTCGTCAACGGTGTCCCCGTCGGCCTGCGGAACCGCTGGGCAGACAAACCCCTCAACTTCATCGTCTACGATAACGCCTATGCGGGATTGTTGGGTGAACACTCGATTATGGACGGCACCCCTACCGCGAGGATGTGTGATAACATTCTCGATTGGCTGGAGGACCCTGCTTTTGACCATGGTGTATCTGTCACTGACTCTTCCGTCATGCCTACGCCGTTGGATTGGGAAGTCACGCCTACGACTAAGGAGGCGATCGCGAAGGCAGACAAAGCTGCGAAGGAGTTGATCGAGACGCAGGATATGAGTTACCACCTTACACCCTACGGCAAGGACGCCATCAAGAAATTTGGTGTGTCGCCTGATTCATGGGCGCAGATGATTATCCAGCTCGCGTACAAGAGGTTGAATGGGGACGAGAAGAGGAGGGGAGGAACGTACGAGGCTGCTACGACGCGGAAGTTCTTCAAGGGGCGCACTGAGGCTATTCGGGTCGTGTCGAGTGAGTCAGATGCGTGGGTGAAGAGTATGGACGATCCAGCGGTTTCGGCGGCGCAGAGGAAGGCTCTGTTTGATGCTGCCACCAAGGTTCACATTTCGCGTGCAAGGGCTGCTGGCCAGGGACAGGGTGTTGACAGGCATTTGTTTGGTATATTCGATTCTTCCTCCTGTTTGCTTGGTGAACGCTGACTGGTGTTGTCTGCAGGATTGAAGAAGCTCTTGCAGCCCGGTGAAGAGACCCCTGCGCTTTTCACTGACCCTGTTTTCAGCCGATCCAGTTACTGGGTTCTCAGCACGTCGGCCATCTTCTCCAAACACTTCCCTGTGTATGGATGGGGAGAGGTCGTCCCTGACGGCTTTGGTGTCGCGTATATGACTGGGTACAACGGTGAGTCCCCCGTCCATTTTTCTTTCGTTTCATTCCTTGGTGATTCTTCCGCGACTCTGACCCATTTCTCTCGTCCAGACCGCTTGCAATACACCGTCACTTCCCGCAAAGAGATGCCCAACGCTCAGTTTATCAAGGAGATTGCGAGGGCCTCCGAGGATATTTATAAACTCCATACGGATGTTGCGCACATCCAGAAGGCCAAGTTGTAATCAACGTCTGGAATGACCTTTGGGACAATGGATACGGCTGGACTAAACAGTGGAATCGGACCCCCGCAATGGGGATGTAGAAATGCAATGCGGATCTAATATGTAATGAATGTAATGTAGAAACCAACATGATTAAAACTATTTGTACTGTTCTTCGAGCTGGGTATGCATTAGACGGTGATATAGCGAACGTGTCCTTCCTCCCATACGTCCTCCAACGATATCGGGTCGGGAATCCACCACGTAAAAGTTAGGGTTTCCTTCCTCCCGGCTTCATCAAACTCGGCCCTCGGATTCCTGGTGTGGAATATCACCTTGCTTCCTTTTATCCGTACGTCCTCAAGAACGTCCCCGTATCCCCGCGGTACATTGTCCCTCTTCACCAACACCTTCACAATCTCGTCGGCGACGACCAAGTTCACACTTGCCGCACACTCGGATCCAGTATGACTTCCCCCCTCCCCGTCTGCGCTCCTGCTCCTGTCTAGTGAAAGCGAGTCAACGCATTCCATTTCTTCGAGGTTTGGACAGAGAAATATCATTCGGACTAGGTCCTCGTATCCGCCTGTTATTCGTAGCTTTTTGATGTTGTGGAGGGTGGTTGGGATCCAGCCTAGTTTTGCTTCTATTCCGATTGCACCTGCGCCCTCCAATGCTCCGTGTATATGCTTTGAGAGAGAGAACATGGGTACTTCGATCATATGTCGGGGTACGGATCGCTTCTTGCTTTTGCTCTCGTCCTCCGAGTCCTTCCCTCCAAACCTAAAATCCAGCTCCAGCTCTTCCACCGTAAGAGGGAAGTCGACGAATCGATTGGAGAGGAAAAGATCGTTGCAAGCTACGTTCCACATTTCCAATGTTATCCGTTTGAGGTTTGGAAAGAAGTTGGCGAGTCGGATTTCGTAGAGCGTGTTGGAGATGAGCTGTTCAGGTGCATTTGGTTGTTCCAGACGGTCCGAGTCCAAGGGAGATGGTCGGGTTGGGTAAGAGGGGTTGCGGACTTGGATTGTAAAGGATTTGCAGAGCGTTTTGAGCTTTCTGCGGGCTGGAGATGTTGTGTGGTAGTGGTCGAGTATTTGGTCGGATGTTGCTTGGGTGCCAAAACTCGAAGGGAATGGAGAAGTTGATGGACATAGGAATTTGAGAATCGAAATGCCTGGATCTCCGCGAAGCAAGGCAAAGTAGTATTGCTCGAATGCGTAGGAAGGGATGTAGACGTTGCAGGCGGTGATATGGATGAAGTTGGTCAACCAGAATTTGTTCACGAGGAGGCTCGTGTGGAAGAAGTGGGTTCGTTCTTGTGGACTGAGATCCGCGTCCCAGACGTGCTGGATGATTTCGAGGAGGAGTTCGTTCGGGAGGTATGCTGGTGGCAGCGGTGGTTCGAGTGCTGGTATTGACATGTTTCGGGATGTGATCTCCTGGCGAGTCGGACAGTAAAGAAGGGCAGCAGCGGAAGCAAAGATTAACTTGAGCTTTATAAGGAACCGAGGTCAGCCCTTCGACTAAACTCTAGTCCCGGTTAAAAGCCAAGTAATACAGCGCGTCGACCGGTCAGCGCAGATTCCCTGGCGAAGAAGGCGATCAGGTCGCTGGAAGCTTTCAAATTCCAAAACGCAGACCAGAAGGATGTTGCGTCGGTTTAGGGTGGGAGATGGGGTTGTAAGGGAAGGAAGAATGAAGGTCTTGGGATATTTATGGGTTGTGTCCGGGTGGAATGGAATGGAGGGGTGCCGCCCACTGGGATTTGTTTACACATACATCCCCTGCAACGCGTTATAGGTGGACAAGGGGTGTCGCGTCGCCTGTGAACCTCGTCGTCCGTTGTCCGTTGTCCGTCGTCCGGGTCGGGAGTGTTGGCAGGCGCTTGAACAAGGAAAGCTATAGAAAAGGCACAACAATTCACAATTGGAAAACAAATGCGGGAGGTTCAAGAGACAAAGGAGGGACACTGGATTGTGGACCCGTATGAGAAGAATGGTGTCAGCTGTGAATATGAATGGGGCGATAGCGAGGGTCGGATGTATGTCTGCAAGTCATGGACCCATGACGAACGTTTTTGACCCGAACTTGGATGGTATCAGTGTTATCCCCCACGGTCACTACGTTAGGAGTTGGAGCATCTATCTCGCAATCCGATGGATTTGAGCACCAGAGATACTAGCCAACAAAGATGAACTTCAACCAAGCTTCAAGTTCTTATCGGGAGGCGAGACATTCCGTGATATGATGTCGAGCAATCGTTGAAGGAGATACCGGGACGAGAGGTACGGCAGAGCCTGTGCCAGTGGTAGGCGTCTAAGTCCATGGGGGAGTACAGGAAGCCGCATACAGTTGTTGGTTTTGACGGGGCGCTGGCTTTGAGTCTGTCAAAGTTCAAACTCGAGGTAGGGACGAAGAATGGGCGCTGGGCGCTCTGCGCTCAAATTTCGGGGAAGATTCGGCAGGAGGATGCCGCCTGTTCGGAGTCTTCCGATTCTTCCCACCCCTATGTGAGCATTTACAATAACAGTGTGTGCCAGACTGCCAGTCCCTTCCACAACGAGGTCTGAATGCATCCTCATACCTTCTCCTCTCTCAGGACAACTCTGACGTCCCATGGCTGGACATCTGGAACAAAATAAGTAGCCCAAGCGATGCCGCCGACTCTGAGGTAATTTATTTGTCGCCACACAGTACGTTGGCAATTCGAATATAATCAACTCCAGGACTAAAATACGCTACTACTTTGTTGGCTTGTCTGCGAATTTCGTGGGGCATGTCTGTCATTTGGTACCGGCGCAGAGAACGACTGCAACTGAATGAAGACATGCTTGCGCAAAGAATCGTGTATTATAAGGGACACTGGAAACTGGGCTCTTATCCAGCCACTCGTTGCGGTATAAGACAACCGATGCTTGTCTAGTGCCAATGCCCTTCGCCGCCTCTACGTGTAGACGACCAGCTCCTTGTACACCGTGCACTCGGTGTACGCTCTCACTTTGCTGTCGTGTGTTGCTTTCCCCACAGGGAATCTGAGGTGAGCTTCGTCAAGCCACACTGCGTCACACAACTGACTTCTCTCGCTTACCACCTGTGCTCGATAGGGTTCATTATATCCATACAAACTCGTATTCAATTCACCGGGTGCTACAGTTCAGTCATGGGGACATTCCGAATTGTTTTCCCGCCACCTGCTATGTAAGTACTTCAACATTTGGAAGAATACACTCAAATAAGGGCCGTCTCTTCTCGGGACTGGGATGCCCGGGCCCATCTTCCAAAGGGCCCCTATTCTGTGACATTCATTAGTCTCCAATCGTAAGACATGTCCCTGTCGAACCTAACTGCCTTCCGAGAACTGAGCCTATTGAAGGGCTTGGCGTGACAAAGGGAAGTCAGATTAACTTCGTGCAACACACGATTCGCCGCTGTGTGTGGCCGCAAAGTCGACGTTCTGGTGTACCCATTTCCCGCGTGCACTTCCCTGCATCCCATAAAAGCTGAAGGCACGTTGACTGAAGCTGGAATTAACTTCTTCCTCACCCAGTAGGAAATGAAGCTATTGGGCTCGTTCGACATTGCCCCAGGGGTACTTCCTACCGAGATCGATGCAACCAGGAGATGGATTGAAACGGTAAGCATCTCGCTTTATCCCCGTTAACATGAGCTCCATCGGGACGTTGGACTTGCAGGTACTCGCTGCGTTCGAAAATAAAGATCCCAACGTAGCTCGATTCATCTATGAGGATGCAGCCGTCTTGGACCTGCCGGGGATTGGCCGAATCTCGGGAGTCGACGCCCTGAGTAGATTATATGTGTGGCTCATGGATTCGTTCGACAAACGAGAGCTGATGTAAGTGGTCCTCCTGCACATCTGAGAACTCGGACTTACCCTGCATTTCTTTGGCACAGTCTGCAGTCGGGTGGGCGACTGTGGGCCCGCTGAGGAGAGCTGTTACTGACGGGGCCTGCCCCTTCGTTTACAGTTCCCGTGGCTAAGGTTCAGCTCGCCTTTGGGCTTGATGGGAATTTGGCTCTCAAGGGGGAACGTGTCGCCATGTCTGTCTCGGCAACAGCGGACAAAGATCCATTGGTAACGTTTACGCTTTTCCACTCTTCCAGATAACAGAGTTATTAAGTGTGCTCTCTAACAGGGAAAGATCAAGTACCTCAAAGTGGAGGGTGACTTGGCGCAGTTGTGGAGGCACTGTGAGAAGGTCTCTGGTCCTGTGCCTCGCTAACGGATTGTTGTCGCAACTCCTGTCGTTATTGGTTCACGCGTGCGATTCCCGGCGTCTATCCACTCAGATGCACCGTCTTCAGTTTAACCTTTGTTTTGCTTTATCGCTTTAGGTAGGAATCGAAACCCTGCTCTCAGTGTGTCTTGGGAGGCACCCTCTCAGGGCCCGTGGCTTCAATGCACTTCTTCTTATCAGTAAAGCAATACCGCCACCGAGCTTCCCGGTACGTTCTTTTGGTCGCTTGGTGTATTCAAAGTGAATACAGCGGCGCGGTGCATAATTCATCAACCTCGCTACTGGTAAGGTGGGTTGAATGAGCTGGTGTGATAAGCCTGAGGCCAGGTATGCTCTGATGTCGACGCAATGGCCAGAACACTCGAGTTTTATGGGTCTGAAGGACCTCGTAGCTCCTCCTCTGAGATTGCACTCCAACGTCCAAATCCCTCTCAGTTTCTTCGCAGTTGGGGCGTCCAGTATTGGCCGTTTCTAGCGCTCGTCGCGGTCACCCGGATGTGCCGATGTTTTCATCGGGCCAGTAGTCTGCCGTAGCGGGTCGACATTCACTCTTTCTGGTCACGCTCAGTACACGCGACCGTGACGATAAGTGGGAGAAGGCGGAACTAAGGCACAGTGGAAAGTAGCCCTGGGATCTTCCGCGTAATTCTGGTAATTCACGGATGCTCCGGTTTTCCCCAGCCTGGGTCGGATGATCCCAGACTGATGCAGGAAATAGCGGACAGTTTTCTCTGCTCTTTGGGATTCCCAGAACATAGCCCCCGTATGTCTCTCTCAAGTTTCTGGGATTCCGTGGCGATGGAATGGGATCCTCTGTTATGTTTGTTTTATGGTCACCCTCCGAAAATCCCAGAAAAACACGTCATTGCCCATAGAATAGTAGACCGGAAATCCCAATATTATTATCACTAGCTCGTAGAATACCATAGCAAACACAGAAAGCACCAGACGATGAAGCAGTCGAGTCTGGGATTGTACGGGAAGAGTTGGGGATTTCCGGGCCACTAAAAGCGATACTAGGGTCAGTACCAAATCGGACATATGCCAGAAGACTTACGGAAAAAGATGTTCACTTGAGGAAAACATATCTTCATGCTGAACCAGAGGTGCGGGTACCTTTCTTGATATCGTTAGAACGCTTTTTGTACTCCTAAAGGCAGCCTATTGAGTGAAATGGAGACTATTCAATAGACGACAAGACGTACGCTTAAAGTCTTCTTATCAATGTTATCCCAAATAGCCTTGAATACGGTCTTCGTGACAGGCCCATTCTGTGTGATATAATCGGCGAGATAAAGAGATCTGAATGATACAGGGAATCGTTAATAAGGGGCATAGAGATGAACAAATACACATACCTCGGTGTATTCGGATGCTTATCGGGAACCGTCTCAAACTTCTCTGATGACGCTTTCTTTGAACCCGATTTAGCCTTTCCCTTCCCTTTACCTTTCCCAGCATCCTTCTTCTCTCCTTCGTTTTCCTCCCCTGCACCATCTCCATCGTCTCCAACATCCTCGATACCCACATCCTCCGCTTCGTTCGACTTGGCAGGAGCAGACTTGGTCGTAGGTTCCGCTGGTGGTGTGGTTGCGCGAACCTCGTGCGCTGGTGGTGGTACCGTAAAGTTGGCGCTGCGAGCATCCATGTTAGAGCAACACAAAGGAAAAAAGTACGTGCACCACTTACAAAACATTCTCCCTTCGAAGTCGATGGCGAGGAGGAGCAGAGGGGGCCTCAGGTGGTTCAGTGATATTCTGAACCACATTTGGAGATAGCGGCGATAGCGCTTTGTCAAAAGTCCCGTTCGGCGGCGAACCAGTGTTTTGAGTGCTGTTAGTACTAGATCCAGAGTCGGAGGGAGCAGATCCAGACGTCAACAAAGAGCTTGCATTTGTAGAAAGATCACCAGAAGACTGTTCCACAGATGGTTCAGAATCTTGATGGTTTTGGTCTACGACGGCATCATCCAGATCGTCGACGTCAGAAAGAGAGGGTGGCGCAGCGGCGTTGGTGGCTCGTTCTAGCGTAGTATCGTTGAATAAATCCACATCGCCAACCTGAGACAGTGTCAAGATCGGTTAGCATCCAAAGGCATTGCGACAAGTTCCAGAAGTCAGTACCGCAGCACTATCACCGTAGATATCATCGTTGTCATTGCCAGAAACTTCAAGGCTCTGGAGAGACTCAGAAGCCTTCGGAGTAGTACTGGCGTCGGTGCTGGTTTCGCTTTCGACTGTCGAAGATTTCAAACCAGAGAGAAGGCGAGAAGCAGATAACGAGTGAGAAGAAGTTACAGGCCGAGTAGAGGGCTTTGAGACAGTTTGTGAAGCTCCGCCTGACCCATAGGAGAAAATCGAGCGCTTAAAATCCGATCCAGAGGCAGGAGTGTTGCGTTCTAAAGCAGGCAGAGGAGTCAAGCCGAGATTAGTCGCCTTAGCAGTCCCGGAAACATGAGCTGTTCCTGAAGCAGGGTCTTCAAGCGCGGGTGACACGGAAGCTGCTCCAAGCGAGGGTCGAGGTGAAGGAGAGAAATGAGGAGAAGGTGGTGTTACTGATACGAGAGCGACACTAGCATCAAGGCCATCTGGCGTTGGCTTCAACGATGCGGTGTCATCAGCATTTGCCATTGTAAATGAGCCTGCAAAAAGTGGGTACGTGGCTAAGATACAAAACCATTGGTTATCAGCGAGGCCTTGACAATCTTAAACAAAAAAATGAAATCCCCCACCGTTGATGTCGAAATGATTACTCATAGACGTCATAGGTTCTAGCAATTGAGTCGGTAAATCATTTCAAGCATAGAGAGAAAAGACAACATACGATCAACATCTGTATTCGTAACGCTGGATGTCAAAAGCTTCAGTGTATCAATGGGTGGGGTAGTATCAGGCACCGAAGTCTCGTTGGATGGGGTAGCAGTAGGCGTGGAGGTGGCGTTGGATGGGGTAGCAGTGATCTCAACGCTGTTGGACGGGGCGGCAGTAACCTTGGAGGTGTCGTTGGACGTGGTGACGCTTGGCCTGGACATGTTTTCTGGTGCTGTTGCAGCCAGTGGCTGGCCAACTGCAATGGAAGGGCCTATAAGACGAGAATCAGCAGAGTAATGTGGTGGCTTCCATCAAAGGCGTACCTTGCGAAGGTGTCGATGATGCTGTTACAGCGACACCAGAAGGCTCAGCTCGATTCTTACCCTTATCCTCCTTATCCTTTCTTTTCTTTTCCTTCTTCTCCTTTTTACGTCGCTTGATCTCAGTATTGTTGAGGTCTTCATCATCTGAATCTCGGTCGCGCTTGACAGGTACTCGGACCCGAGTCTCGATGGTTTCACCAAGACGAGGAAGGGGAACGGGGATGACAGGATTACCTATACATAGGGATAGGTGTGAATAGAGGTAAAAAGAGAGATAGGAATATGAAAAGTCACTCACGGGAGCACTTAAACATCGGACCATCCTTCCGACTCCAATCTGCGTACTTATCCGTCGCAAAATGCTCCAGCTTCCAATGGTTGTCGCAGTAAGCAAAATATGGATGAAGCTGGTACATGCGTGAACGCAAATACTCAACAAAGGGATCGCCCTTCAAGCTAAACTTGGCTGGTTCCAACCAGACGTTGTAGCTCCAGGCGAAGATCTGCTTCAGTGACTTTGCAGCAGCGGAGACTTCCTCATCTCCAACATACTCCCCGTTCTCATCTGTGAGATACTCGTGAGGCTTCACAGCAATGCCTCGCTCCGACTGCACACCACGGTAGGATGAGAATTCGCTGAAATCTTTACGGAAGCGGAATGTTTCGCATATGGGAGGGGGAGAACCCGGGATGGGTGGCGCAAGCTTGAGTAAAATAAGGCCAAAGGTGACTAGAGGGTCGAGTCCAGCGGGGATATCTGGAAGATTGGGAGAAAGCGGTGTGAATGTTGAAGTCGCCGAGGCGGGTGTGGGAGAAGTCGTAGACGGAACAGATGCGGGAGCCAAGGGGATCGATGACTTCAAGAGTTTGATAATGTCCTGAAGGTTTCTATTATGCTCGCTAGAACCAAGAAAGAATCAATATATGCACGCGAAGGACGGGATAAAGTCACAGTACCGTTCACTTTCAAGAAACTTCTCGGCATGCTCAGCACGGCTTTTCATGGTATTGTATGCGGTCCAAAGTTGGCGATACGGAAGAGAGACATGGTAAGTCGCGTCATCCATATGAATTTCTGAATGTTGATAAGGCTATATTTTGTGTGCGCAATGTCCGTGGACGCGTCGCGTTACACGTCCGCATCAGTACGTGTCAAGCATATTAGTTCTCGATAAACGTACCATATTGGAGCTATTGGAAGGAGCGGAAAGCTCAGGCAGTCTGAGTCCATGTCCACCAAAGTGAGAATGAGAGAGTCCATTCATGGTTGTGGTACGAGCACAAGGGAGTCCAGGCGAAGAAAAAAAAATCTGCCCACTTGACAGGCGCCATCATCACATGACTTGATTCTTCTCTTCTAAGGTTCCTAGAGCACCGTCTCGCCTGTAAAACTCTGCTGACCTTCCCACAGAGCTGAATGTGGTGTGCCAGAGTGTTATAATAGATTTTTAATTAAAACTAAACTTGGGCGCTAAGAGCCAGTTCGGGATCATTAAAAAATAGACGCCGACACATAATATGCGACTCAAGGCGGCGGCGCTTGTATTTAAGCATATCCAGCCTTCCCTCAACGTCATCCAAGCTTTGTTTCAACACTTCTCCCCCTAATTCCCCCTCGTTTTGTATGATCTTCACTTTTTTGATCAAGGTATGGCTGATATTGTTTTCGATCTCGTCCAAAATGTCATGGATGTTCTCTTTATGAGCTTGACTGGGGTGGCGGAGATTTCTTCTTTTCCATCGGATTTCCTTCATGACTGCCTGAATCTCCTGTACCGATACATAGTCAGTATTATCCACCTAGTGCCAACAGTTTACAGAATAAATAGACGCCCACCATCATTCCAAACTCTCCATCTGTATCAGTTTCACGGATAACAGATGATTCCGAACCCGAATCATTCTCTCCCTTCTCTATCCCCTCTTTCCTAATGCATGCCTTGAGCCTAGGCGATGCTGCATTGCATATCCCACAGTAGCAGACAGATGTTTCTGCCCTAACATATAACTCAAAGAGAGATTCGTCGTCACTGTTCCATTCCTGGAACTTCCATCCATGACTTGGACTCGTGTTTCCTGTTTCATCATTGGAATGCTGGTCTGGACTACTGCTGGGACTGGTCATTTCAATGTCGCTTGCGTTGTTTTGCTCCATGTTGCCGCCTTGTAGTAGGAAGAGGAATAAGAATTATTGAACATCACATGCACACGTCGTAAAAAGAATTTTGATTGGGTAATACAAGCAAATAAAGTAATTGGATTCCCTCATTTATATACATTCTGCACAGCCCTAAATCTCTTCTTCGTCCTCGATATCAGGGGGAAGATATGTGCCTTCCAGAAAGGACTTCTCTACCGGGAACCAACGTCCCTCAGGCTCGCCAGGGAGCGGAGGAAGTGGCTGCATTGAAACCAAAGCCTGTATCTGGGAAACTTCAACGATGCGGAGGCCATGCGGAGGATCCAGCTTTGTGCATGCCCATAGTGTTTTTTTTGATCTTTCCCAGAGGTCACGATCAGGTGTGGAAAAGAGAAGTACCAATGCACGTGGTTCCAACGCACGAGTTCTGAAATAGAGCTGGACCTCCCCGTAGTAGGTCTCTCCATTAATAAGAAGCTTAACATCATTATAAGCATGGGTAGCATTGAGCTAAGACCAATATCATACGTACCTTTACCATTCTCGAAATCCGTGTCTGTTCGCTCAGCTTTCGATCCTCAGAGAACCGACTGCGGACCACCTGTTCATTTGGGAGCCGTAGCCGTCCGAATCGTCTGATCTTGCTGTATCCAATTTCTTCCTTCAGATAGTCTCCCAGCTCCCCATCCACCTCTCGCGCAATACGGTCCTGAACAGGAAGGAACATGTACCCATCTCCCAAATCGGTGGCATATCTCGAGGGCTTGTCCTGTTCTTTTCTGAACTCGGGGTACAGTGCTGTGATGGAGTTGATCTGGCATTTCCGAACGGCCACCTGCGCAAGGTTTGCAAAAGGGGTACCCGGCTGTCGAACGTCCCCACCTAGCTCCCCGATTGACCTCTCCATCAGGTACTGATCTGTGTACGCCCCTGGACCAAAGCGAACCACCTCGGACGGCGCGTGAAGGAGAGTATGAAGAGATGGACGACAGAAGTGGAGCCGATCTGGGTTGCGCCCATAGTATTTGAACTCGAAATCACGCACAAACGTGTTGATGAGTTGTTGAGCCTCCTGAATATTCTCTGGAGTAATAACGCGGTTTTTGAGAAGTCTGACGGCGCGAACAAGTCCACAGAAGTGCTCCCAAAGGTCAGCAGGAAGGAACAAGCGGAAGAAGGCAGGCCCAAGGTTGTAGAACCAGTGGTGCCACTCCATTGCTTTGTATCCGCTATTCATCTTCTCTGTTGGATCACGAGGTGGCCGTTCAAAATCGTCGGGGAAGTGTTTGAGCGCTGCAACAATTAACTTGCCATGCTCCTTCCATACCGTACCAATGAGCTTCCTCCACCTCCAGTTACTCTTCAAGTCGTCTCCTTCAACCCGTAGCTTCCCTCGAAACAAGGACGCAAAGAATTCCGTGATGTTGAGGAAGAAGAGGTGCATAATGTCGAGACCAAAGCACTTGGGGGGCGAAAGTATGCATTTTGGATGGAGTCCAGATATGATTGATGGCTTGGAAATGCCGGTTTCTTTTCGGTTCTCCTCGTACGCAGCCTGGTCCTCCGATTCAACTACTCTTTTGAGATCGTCCTCATACTTCTCGACGGAGCACCGCGTCGGGACTTGTGTGAAGTCATAGTCCCCGTGCATGCACCCTTCAACGTTGTAGTTGTTGGGCCGCAGATGGGCTGCATAGTAGTGTCCAGACCCCTTGTGACGACCCTTCATCTCACACCCAACCCTGCACCCATGCGCACCATGGTGTCCAACCCGTCCATCCAGCTCAACCAGCGCCTTTGCATCAGCAGTCCCCGTGATGAAGATGATTCGTGAGTTGACCACTTGATCTTTAGCACGATTGTACACGCGAATACCAGCACCGTTGTTTTCCCTTTGGAGTGCAGAAAGGTGGTAGAAGCTTCGAAAGAGGAAGCTGTCGAGGTTCTTTGGCTTTTTGGGGCCAGGGATGATGACTGCGGGAAGGACGTGCTTTCGCTTGTACCGCACCATAGGGTCGTACTCGTAAATGACCCAAATCCCAATCCAGGTGTCTGATTTCTTATTTTGGAATAGTTGAGCCCCATCGAGTGAGAACCCCACAGTAATGTCGTCGTCCGTCAGCTGAAGCTCCTCCGTAAGGTCCAACAAGTCTTCCCCACACCACATGTCATCGTACTTCCCAACCCCGTCACGTAGAAGCTCCTCTACTTTGCGGTGACGATAGCTCATCGCTGCTGCCCCTTCCTCCGATGCCCGAAGTGTCTGGCATTGTGGACCCAATGGGATCGTGCACTGCCTCTGTCGTGGTATCTTCTTACCAGTCTGTGCAAGTGCCGTCTGATTCCATCGTGGTTCGTTGCAATGTGGGCAGTGGTCGAGGTCGGCGAATTGTCCAACAAAGGCATAGCACGAGTTGACACACATATCGTCGTACACTGGGACGACCCCCGATATATCTTCAACAAGCTTCCGCACCTTGTACAAGGATAGCGGCTTCTCCATCCCAAAGTTATCGACAATGACATCGAGTGCAGATATATAGGCATCTTGAGGGTATGGTGATAGCGATATATAAAGCTGAAGACAGGTGCGTTCATCGGGTGTAAGGAGGTCGCCAGTCGTCCGTGGTCGACGTGGATTACGCAGTCGATGGAGTACCTTGGGGGGAAGTTTGTCGTTGTCGAGGGATGCAGCACGGATGCGGTTGATTATATCTTGCGCATTGAGGACATATTGGATTTGGGACCGGTAGGGATCCTCCTCTTGCTCGTCCTGCAATGTTGGGTCTTGTTCTCCTGGGTTCTGAGCTGGCAGTACCTGTGGCTCGTCTGCTAGCTGCTCCTGTACTTCCTCCTCCCGCTGCTGTGCTGCTATCCGCGCTGCTTCTTCTTCTTCTTCTTCGTTGTCCTCCTCGTCATCCGGCTGCCCTGCTGCCACCTGCACCTCATCATCATTTCCTCCATCGTGACTTCCCCTCTCATCGATCTCATCGCTGGATGCACATTGCTGAAAAGGCACCCTTTCCTCTATCACTATAGCTCGTCTATCGCTTTCCATTGTTTCATCCTCTGACTCCTCGCTGGAGCTTGTCGTCCCATCTTCTGGTGTTACATCCAGTCCGAGTCGGTCATTGTCTGCACCAATGTCCTCGTGGCAAGTCAGTACCCTCAACACCGTAACATGATGGTACCAACTCACCTCCGAATTAGGGTCGTCATCAAGCCTTGCTCTTTTCGATGGACGAAATACATCTGAGTCTTCGCATGAACTGCTCTGGAGCTGGCCCTCGCCACTGGGTGAAACGGCTGGCGACGGTGACCGTGTCCTCCGGGAGGTCGTTCTTCGAGAGGACTCCCGCGACACTGACTGCCCCGAAGAAGTGCTGTCGGAAGAAGAACTCGAACCCTCCTCTCCTGATGCTGTCGAGGTGTCGCCTGATGAGGTTGAATCGTCTTCAGGCGTCAATCTGCTTGAAGCAGTGCTGGTCGAGGCAACCTGACTTTCCAGTAACATTTGGCCTATCGTAGCTGCAGATGCGGAAGCTTGCTCAAGGGCTTCGCGTCGTTCCCGGTGTTTCTTCACAGTTAGTGGGTTCCGTAGGCGACCATTGCACTGGGTGCATGGCTCGCAAGGGATCTTCTTGTTTGAAGGCATCTACAAGTAACAGCTGGTTAGTTTAAAGACAGCACTTCAAACCGGCGGTCAAAGTACTTACATTACACCTGAAGCTATCTGCGAAACCAATAGAAGGGATATATCAGCAAGAGAAGGACCAGCGGCAGACATCGACGGGGGACCCAGGTAAAGAGAGTGAGCACACTCTCTCACATACACAGATTTAGACAGCTGTAACGTTGTAATATCACAGCCTCAGTCAGACCTATACATAGCGCCCAAAAGTGAATTGATTCGGAAGCTATCAGTACCAAATTGTACAAATTGTCGAGGTTCTTCCAATCCGGGTGACGTGGATGCTTCGACGATGGCGAAGGGTGCCTCGAAAGAATCGAGCACCACCCTCCTATCGAGCTTCCTCATGCGGGTGACGTGGATGCCTCGACAATGGCAAAGGGGAGCCTCGAATGAGTCGAGCACCACCTCCTCTACCTATCCCAGTCCCTCCCGTTGCTGCCGTGTTGTCCTTTGAGGAAGCGCCGAAATCGGAAACTGCCAATAGCCGGTGTGGCGAGATTCGGTGTTGGCCGGCGTTGGCCGTGGACTGGTTCGAATGGTCGTCGAAACCAGATAATAGAGTACCTGTAGAATACGGTTAGTTATTCAATGAAAACAATTTCGCACCTGACTGATGCACTCGGAGAAGTGCTGCTACATTGAGACTCCCAGAGGAATGACGTCAGTCATCACCGCAAAAGCTGGTCTGCGGCTTTGACTGACGTCATCGCAACTGGTCGGCCATGGTCTTGGCATTGGTCAGCAGGCGTATCGATACGCTGGATGACTAAGCCTTGGGAGGCCAGGTGAAAAACAAAGGCGCAGACTAAGATGGCGGGATGGACGTCGGGCGGGGTGTGCTGGGGACAGCAGAATTCTGTGATTCTAATGTGAACATTAGTGATAAAAAAAGGCGATGACAGGGAGACCAAAATCAAAACAGGACTTACACAACGCAATTAACAAAGGGTACTGGTACAAAGGTGCAGACAGATAATGATAAGTCTTGCATCCAAGACGATGCAGCCAGAGCAGTATGAACCGGAAAAGATAGGGAGTATTTTCGTTTAGCAACAGGGACGACGTAGGGGCTCGTGGTTGCTGTCAGACATGTCTGGTGCGGGATACTCGGACATACGTGGCTTTGTTGTGACCAACTGCTCCCCGCCGGCCCGTGAAGCGCGCGATCCGACGACGTCGTGCATGTGCTCCTCCGAGCGCCGGGCTCTCCTCATTGAGACTCCTGGTACTGATTTTCTGGGAACACACAGATAATACCAGATTACAAGTGCGATTTTCGGACAGTACGTAGAATCCCATTCTTTTGCAGAAACACCCAGGCAAAGACAGGAGGAACGCGGAAGATCCCAGGGGGGTTTTTCACTGTGACTAAGGGGTAGCCTGAAGTCACAGGACACATTGAAATGCATTCAGGTGCCTTCCTCATGGGTGTTGCGTCTAAAGTATTTTTATTCTCTCCTTCTTGGCTGTGGCTAGCCAACGTGATAGAGCATGATTCGGGACTCACCTATCTCAGCCTACCTCCCATGTCTTGTTGCTTCCTGACAGGCTCTGCATTGCCTTGCGATTCGCTCCAAACTCACGATAATCTGATTGTCTCCAACGGCGACTCAAGCACCACACCTTCATGAGCTTGCCTGGGGGTGGCTTAAGTGCTGGATGACAACTGCTTTGAAGTTCAAGTCGGATTCAACCCACTCAGAGCTACACAACTCTGTTACAGCCTCAAGGGCTTCACCTGGGTATTGATTAAAATTATCTGCTTATCGATCATGCTTGTGCTTCAATTACATGTGGCGTTGTGAAGGGTATGTCTCGTGGCCTCTACACTTGGGAGTAGGATATGACAGTGTCATTCAAAGTTAGAACTCCTCAAACGGGTACAGTCCTTTTAAGGCTGGGGTGAGCAGCGATAACCTCAGAGCGCACTGGCGTCCTTCATTCCTGACCACTCACTCAACCCACAATGAAGTTACTACTCGATGCTTTGGAGATTCCGCCTAGTCTATCTCAGGTAGACCTTGACATGTCGAAGGCTTGGATCGAGACGGTATTGCACTATATGCACCCCCGTTCTATTATCAGCAAAGCTAACGGCCCTTTGTTCGAAAATTCCAGGCCCTCAACGCCATTGAAGGCCAAGACCCCAAAGCCATGGAGCTGTTTTTCGAGGACACAGCTACTATGGATCTTCCGGGGCTGCCTCGCATAGAAGGATTAGAAGCCATCAAACAGTTTTATGTGTGGATTATTCGCTCCATTGTCCAGATGGCCATTGTGTACGTAGCCGCCTCAAAATGTCTTCAACTTTACTTCGCTCACATCGTTCTAAGTTCTGTAGCGTGAGATCCGGTAGGTTCATAGTTTTCACTAAATTGTTCTTAGAGTAGAACTGACTGAAAGGACTCTCAGCAAAAATTAGTCCAACTGGCTTGGCGATGGACATCGAGGTGAAATTTGACTTCAAGGACACAGACTCTGTTGTTGTGGTTTCTACTTTTGACACGAAGAAGGATCTACTGGTAGGCAATTCCGTATATCCATGTATGAGTAGACTACTAACTTGCTTTATTGAAGGGAAAAGTGAAATATGGGAAGGCGGTAGGCGGAGAACTTATGCCCTTGTGGGCCAAGTGCGAGGAAGTGTCCGGTCCTTTCCCAGCGCAAGCCGCTAAAACCATGAATTAGCTCACAGCAGTCCGATACAGCTTTGAATAAATTGCACTTTGATGTTTGGAGTAAAAATGTCCTAACTTTCTCAAACTCGGCCGCCTCAGTTACGAATTACAATGAGCGCTCGGCGCACTATGTGCTAAGCGCCCAGTTAACCGGAAAGATCCGGAGTTCCCACATGTCCGAATAGCGACCAGTCGCTCGCGTCGCCAGCTGGGCTGCAACGCAACCACCACCAAACGTGCTCTACGGCCAACTCCGTCGATAGATTGTTAGCAACCAACTTGCTGTAATGCCTTCGCCAATTCCGCGACGTTGACTCTCGGAAATGACACCTGACGCCATGGCCCTCAGTTGAACCATATCCGAGCAGATCTACCCATACTTCTAGCGCTACAGGTTCCCGCTTTAGAGAAACCTGGGCGCACTATCCGAGAAAACAAGGGCTAGTTGCGCAACTCAACGGCGTGTCGCAGGACCCCCGCGGAGTCGGGTCGAACAACGCTGAATTGGCGAGCCAATCAGTAAGGCATTGAACCAGTACTAGGGATAGTGGAGGTCTAATGCCACTCCAGGGACCCGAGCGTTTGGTCCTCGACAGATTTATAATACCCATCGGAGCCACCTTCGATACGAGCTGTCGAATCTTTGACCCGTTTGACCTCGAGGAGTACGTCTCATCTGTCAAATACATTTTGATCCTTGCTAATCTCCTCGTCCCTTTCCCAGCCGTCAATCGACCGTAGTATCATCCAATCCCACGCAGCCTCTGGGGGTAGATAAATACAGGCTCTAAGCCGTGCTGTCCATCACTCCCAAACCGCCTTCAAGCTCTTGTATCTATCCCGCAGTCACTCATCCCGAATGAAATTCCTTGATTCTTTGGAATTTGCGAGGTCGGCTGGTGCATCGCTGATAGACCTTGGTGTTGCGAAGGGCTGGATTCAAACGGTGAGTGCTGTGATCTCCTTCTACTTCCCCTTATACTGATTGTCGGTTGCGGCTCCAGGTCCTCAATGCCCTCGAAATCAAGGACGCAAACATAGTTCACCTGATTTACGAAGACACGGCAACGCTCGATGCACCTGGCCTTGGTGTTATCACTGGCTCCAAGGATCTTAAACTATTCTATGGATGGCTCTATGCTTCAATCGACAAGTTGGACTTTGCGTAAGCATCGTAATTACTTTCCCGCAGTCTGAAGTCTTAACCACCGGGTTCACGACATCCAGAGTGAAATCCGGTACGCGACTGCACCCTTCGACCCACCACATTACAAAACTAAAGGTCATCTTTATTAGCCGAAGTTACAGCGACCCATCTCTCATTCCAGGTGGTGTTCACAAGCACCCTCAAAGACAAAGACCCGGTCGTCATTGATGTTTCATACACTGCAGAGAAGACACCATTGGTACGTCTTCCTGTTTGGCTTTTGAGTTCTTTCACTCAGGTATTTGCAGGGGAGAGTCAAGTACGCCAAGCTAGGCGGAGATTGGACGCCTCTGTGGAGGCAGTGTGAGGCAGTCTCGGGACCGTGCCCTGGTCTTCAGAAAGCTGCTACCACCGATTGAACTTCTGCTGTCACACCCACCCATCCAACCGCACCCCGCCCTCCGCTGTATATGTCACATGGCTTCAGGAGACACGTTCGCATTGCCATCGACTTCTTCAATGTGAATTGAGACCTTGTATTATATTTAGCACCAATGGTAGAGACTTCTGTCATTCCCATCTGCAGCCCTTCAGAGCATAGATAAGGGAGCGTGCGTGACCCAGGCTAGACATCCTGTCTTCATTCACTCTTCACGGCCGCTTGCTATCCATGAAGTTCTCTGACACCGCGCAATTTTCTTCAGCAATTTTGGGGGCGGACTTGCAGTTACCGAGGGCTTGGATCAAGAAGGTATGTCTCCCTTCTCTGGCCCTGGAGAAATGGTAAAAGATGACTGTGTATACCAACCAGGCCCTGAGCGCTTTCGAGCGCAAAAATCCTGGATATGTTAGTTTGGTGTTCGAAGACACTGAGGAAGCAACACTTGATTTCCAATCCATTCCGCCCATCGTCGGCGCAGATGCCCTTCGCGAGTTCCATGAGTGGCTCTTCAAGGCCATATTGAAAGCAGAATTCTCGTGAGTGTCCTCAGACCGCCTTTCTTCTATTTCGCCATGGCCCATCATTGATAACTTAATTACAGGGTGAACTCTGGTGTGTGACGTCCGTACAACAGAGTTTAGAGAACCCTTGCCGATGAACACAAACCCTCAGCCCACCTTTTATCGACGCAGATAATCTTCCACGTCGAAGGCACCTTCCACTTCCTGGAAGAAGAGCCACAATTCGTCTCGTGGATGATCGCCGTAGATAAACGTCCTCAGGTATGACGCTCCTCCATCCCTTCGGTTTTGCTCGAATTTACTATTTAACAAAGGACTCGAAGGCGAGGGCGATGACTGTGTACGGGCAAACTGCTCCATTCCTCGCAAAGTGTCAGGCTTCTGCAGGTTCCAGTTCTCCTACCCTTGATTCTCGCCCCTGAGCGTTGGCAGTTCTATCTTTACACAGGGAAGTTGGAAGGTAGTTAGTGAATTTCTGCAACTCAATAGGGCTGCTCAAGTGACCCTGATGTATACCGTATTACCACCGTCTACTGAATTTCGTCACATGCAGCTTCGACTTCCCTATCCGAAAAGGAGGTGGCGTTCTGCAACGCCATTCTTCGCAGGTGTGTCAGTCAGTCCATGTCCACTCCCTTTAAAAAGAACACTAGCCGCATGGGTTATGGTCATTGGTCACCTGGCACATTTTTTTTGAAGTATGCGTTTCGGGGCCTTTTGGTCCCGGGTTCTGAGCAACCTTTGCCCTTACGTGACTACAGATGTGCGGGTGGATGGCGGGATTGGCGGGGAAGGTGACCGGGCGCCCGTTGCCAATGCACCTTGAGTAGCGCATACTGGGGACTTCTGTGGCCAAAAGGCCCCGGAGTATCTGCCAGTGACTGGCCCGCACCCCACTAGTTTCTCAGGACTCGAACGTCGACCACGGGCATGGAAAGGAATGGGTAAAGCGGATGAGCCTGGTGGGACCTTGTCCAAATTATGGTATCTTCTATGTCTACTTACAACGCCACTGGCAGACGGATTTCGTGACACTTGAGCGGGAAGCGTCGGTGGAGTATTACAGTAAGCCAACACAAAGCTGATGCAGTCACTTTAGTCTGTCTCTTCCCGCCAATTGAGAAGACAGGGGAAGTCTTTCAAAATGGCAGTGGCGGATTGAATATCCGAGGTCGTTCTGCATGGTGGACTCGTTATAAATTCAAGCTGGTGAGGAGAATTCGGTTCAACTTCACCCTTCTTCACTCCAACCATGCGCTGGGAAGTACCAGCCTCCGCTGACGCTCTTCTTGCCAGCAGTCCTGACTATGAACGAGCACAGGATTGGGTAGAAAAGGTTTGTATTTTTGGTTCTCGGGCAGTGTCGTACCGTAGTCTCAAACGACCCTCAGATTGCTTTAGCACTCGAGGCAAAGGATCCTGATGCCGCTGCAGACCTATTCTCAGATGACGCGGTGTTTACTTTGGGTCACTTTCCACCAACTGACAAGACAAGTCAAAGCATGCCTTCTCATGGATGACATCCATCGGAAAGCATGACCAATGGTAAGTTCAGTCGCACACACAATAAAGGACGGTAGTGACACAAAGTTTGCAGCATCAAGAACCGTAAGCTTCTGCAGAGACTTGTCAATGTGATCACTAACGTGCTCGCCAGTTATATCCACACCTACTCATTTCATCTGGCAGTGGGAGACAACATATGTCATCGGGGTGCACACCCCAGTAACCGTCGATTATTCTGCCGTTTTGACGAGAGATTTAAGGGTAAGTCAAAGATAGTCACGGTGCTTCGTACATCTTCGTAGACTGATGGTCTCCACGCAGAACCCCGAGGAGAATAAAGTCTCAGCAGTCCAAATGTATGGTGATCTCAGCAAGCTTATGCCTCTCATTGCGGATAAGCCATTAGCTTGGCGCCCCAACGTTGTGACGCTCAATTAGATCTCATCCTTCTATCTTGACCGTAGTTACTATATGTTGCCCACCCCCACTCGTACACTCCTGGTCCCTGGACCAACCCTGGATCCACTTACGGCAGGTCGCAGACCCAATGGGGAAAGCTGCGCGATCATTGAGCTTGCCAACGGACGCGTGGCCCACGCTTTGCTTTTGACTTTCTCCTTGATCTCCTTGGTCTCTTTTCTCGAGAGCATCTTTTACACATTTTTCCCTTACCGGTGTCCCTTTATATCACATTCAGCATGGACCTACTCCCGCAAGAAATCTGGATGCACATCTGTGAATTGGCATGCACCGACGGCGGATATACAGGGCGCTCCTTGGCATTGGTGTCGCGCCAAATGGCTGGGGTCTCAGAAGTCTCCAAACTAAGATCTATTGCCATAAGTGATGGAGTGAAGCTCACAAAGCTCGTCCGCTATCTGGAATCCCTGCCCAAAACCCGTCGTCGAGTGGAATTCCTGTACATCTGCACTCCATCGATCGAGGACACCTTGGGCGACTTGCAGGATCTATACAAGCCAGGAATGTACCACCAATCGTACGAACCTACTTCAGTATGCTCTGATTTCGTATCCTCGTCTTCAAATTCTGATGGAAGCATAGGAACAAATCCTGGAGGACGGTGAGCAACTGGCGATACACGCCGTTACGCGTGTATTGGGATGTGTGTCATCTTCGCTGAAGATTCTACACGTTTGCCTGGGTTGGATATTCAGAGAGTTCATCTTCTTCCCTGTTCAGATGGACAGCCTCGAGGAGATGATTCTTGAGGGGCCATTCAACGAAGCCTTCCGACCTCCCTTCGCGTTACCTTCATTTCCACACCTGCGCCATCTCAAGATAACGTTTGTGGACGTGTCAACATCAGAGCACCATTTCAGCAATCTCGTCTCTTCAATCTCCCAAGTCGCCTCCAATTTGACCCATCTTTACCTCGAAACTATGCGCTTCCCATACGGTTCTCGCGCCATCCTACAAATACGCTCTTTGCTCCGCTCAGGACGACAGGACGCGAATCGAGCGGGGTTCCCGCCGACCTTGCAGAAGGTTTTTTTCCATGGCGGAACAACGGAGAGAAACTGTCTCTTGTCTGGGCTGCCGTACGAGCAAACCTATTCGGCGAGGCGTGCTCTAGAGGAATTGTGCTTGTCGGAACCCAAGTTGGTCTTTTTCGATCCTAGGCCCTGTCCTCCACTTGGCCTGCCGGAACCGCTGTGTCCCGGTGGAGAAAGGAGTCGACTGGAGTGGTTGGATCGTGTTAACGGGGGATTGGGGGTATGGGACGAGAGTCAAAGGCGGGTTGATCCCAGATTCGCGAAGAAGGTTCAAGGATAGGATGGGGGCTGAAGGAAGAAAGTAAAAAGGGCCCGTGGTTGGATGAGAGGCTTGGAGGACAGTGGGAATGAAAGTCGGCGGTGGAGGCAGCCGCGAGAGGCGGTAGTACTGGATACCCAACGCTCAATGCTCGCCCCTTTAATGTGAAGGACTATTCTACAAATTGTCGCAGTAATATTGGACTTCTGTAGTCTAATCGTCTGTAGTAGACCCTATTATTGCCGACCTGGCTGGCTACAGCACCGCCTCCATTGGATTCAGTCCTCTGCGGCAGCCTTCGTCAGGCCCGTTCACTTCTCAACCTACCATCATCCTGCGATACTCTCGGACAGGTCGTCATGGAATTGCCTCAAGAACTTTGGATGCGGATAAGCGAATTGGCCTGCGTTGACGATGGGTCAACTGGGCGCTCACTCTCCCTGGTCTCGCGTCGACTCCACGCTGCCTCGGAGGCCTACAGGGACAGGTCAGTGGCCATTAGAGGCACCCTCCAACTGGCAAGATTCGTTCGTTACCTTGAAGAAAGGCCGGAAGGCCAACCCGCCCACGTCAACTTCCTCTTCATCTCGACCGACAGCGAGGACAATGCGGACGCAGATATGCCACTCTTGCAGGAATTTTACAAACCCAATGTATGCGATAGAAAGCCTGGTCCTGAAGCGGTGAGTTGGTCAGTCAATCTCCTTCCTGGAAATCAGGCTAACACTAGGTTAAAAGCAAGACATCCTTGCGGATTTCGGAGAGCTCGTTGTCCATGCCATCATGCGAGTCCTCACTCTCGTGGCCTCTACCGTCAGGATACTCCACATCTGCATGCCTCTATATCGAGACCTCATATTCTTCCCCGTCCCCATGGATCGCCTGGAGGAAATGACCCTCGAAGGGCCTTTTGAGTCAGGTTTCGAAGATTTCATCCCTTCACTCCCCCGCATCCCAACGTTGCGCAGGCTCAAACTCACACATCCAGACGCCATGTTCCCGTGGAACTCCTTTCGCCACAGCACACTCATCCCGTCTATCACGAAGCTCGCACCACATCTTACGCATTTGTATCTCGAACAAGATTCGAATGCAGGCAGGACAATTCGGGCGCTCAAAGATTTACTTCATCCACCCCCGCAGCAGCCCACAGGGAACAGCGAGAATAAACAATCGTCGAACGTGGAGCGTCCGACCTTCCCTCGAACACTGGAGAAGCTCTTTCTCCACCCTGGAATGGCTCCCCCGCCGATGAGATGCGGGACAGGACTCTATCGTATGATCTCCGAGAAAGCAGCACTTGAAAAGTTTTATTTCTCGGAGCCCAAGATTGTATATTTCGAACCGTATCCCCTAGATTCCAGATCCCCGGAGGGGAAAGAAGAAGCTGAGAAGGAATGGCTGGATCGGATTAATGGAGGGGAGGGGGCATGGGATGAGAGTCTTCGGATGAGGAAGCCTCGGTATGGGTTTGTTGACGACCGTACTAGGAGGTGATGCCAGTAGTGGGATGGGTTTGTGGGAATAGCTAGTGTGTGTAGAACGGGAGGATCGGAGCCGATGCACTTGACCAAGTGGTGGTGGTATTACCGATTTGAAATTGAAATGGTGCGAGGTCTTGATACTAGTAGGCCTGGCGTCGAGCGTGTCTGAATGGATGGTTGCAGCTAAAGAACACTGCTATAGGTGTACACTGTCATCCGAGTTATTAAATTGGCCCGTCAATAACAAATGTACCCTCGAGCCACGCGACCAAGTAGACGTCAGGGTTTTAATTATGGAATCATTCCATCTGGCCCACCATTTGCATGTCAATACCAGGCGCGACCCTGAGGACTCTGAATTGACATTGACATTTCGATCAATATAACGTGGTCCCCACTCGAGACACCGTACAGAGCCCAAACATCGAATGTCGAATACCGTCATGCCGAAAGTTATGAGGCACCGTGACAGCCAGTGTCAAACGAAAATGCTGTTGAGACCACGGGAGAAGAAAGAGCGAAGAACGAACGCGTGCTGTAGTCTGTCGGACGGCCGTCCGTCCAAGTGGATACCGGTGTGGATAGTGTCCCATAGCGTTATGGATCCGAGAGGGAGAGCGACGAGACGAATGGTCGATTGTGATGCTATCCATTGGCAGACGATCCAAGAAGTAAGGTGTGGTGGCAAATGATATCAACCCCTTTCTATTCACAAGCACGCGGTTGGACGATCCATCTGAGAACAAGGATGATCGACCAGGATCTCATCGGAAGACCCTTCAAGGTAGCTCGTAGTCAATCACCGGGTTTTGTAAAGAGCTAAGAAAGTCGAGCCTATCATCGCGTGAGTTTTGGTAACGGTTCATTAAGCCTGTGAGGTGATGACGGCCTGCCATGACCTACCCTAGGTAAACACGATATACAAGAAGAGAGACAGGATAGTGTACCATGCCGAATCCTATCGCGCGAGTTTGATTTCCCAGTTTTGAGGAAGTGCCGGAAGGTTTCGAGGGGGGAGCCAGTGGATTGGTTGGGTAGTCATCCTCCGCCGAAAGCAAGGGCGAAAAGGCCGTCCTGTGTTAAGGGGATAGAACGACGGAGAGGTATGTAAGAGTTCTCTGTGCGCTCTCAAAGTATGAGTTCATCCACCGTGTTTGGCTTCGCACAATAGGGGTTCCATTACGCATTCTGAGAAAAAGAGACAGGGTTGCACAGCTGCCGGTTCAGCCTCAAGGTCGAATTCCAGTCGTATAGAGGCGTGAAGGAAAGACAGCAGCTGATTTCGTAGAGTTGTGGGAGAGTTCGAGTTGGGGCTACAGAAATGGGATTTCCAAACAACGAGAGATGATGAAGAAAAGCCGTAAGGGTGTCGAGTAATCCACTCGAGCTTAGGGGTCGATGTCATAGAGATAAGCCCAGCAAAAGACCTCCCAAGAAGGTGAATCAAAGAGACTGTACCAGCGCTGGAAAAGCAGAACGACAGAGACGGACAAAAGCAAAGACTTGGCGCTGGCTCGCGACTGTTCCGATGGTGGGTTGTCGCGGAGTTTGAACCCGCTCGTCATCTCCCCTCTCCGACGTACCACCACCACCGTTCCCTCAAATGGTGTGTAAATCCACAATGTTCTCACATAAATTAGACAGCTAACGGAATAATTGGCCTTTGATAGTCAGCACAGCAATCTCAAGGCATTCAAACCCTCCTCGAGGCTGAGAAGGAGGCAGCCAAGATCGTCCAACAGGCTCGCCAATGTATGTAGTGGGTCCCTGGCCTGGCATCGGTGGGACATGTACCGGAAACTGACGATTAATTCCAGATCGAGTACAGAGGTTGAAGGATGCCCGGGCGGAAGCTTCCAGAGAGATAGAGGAATACAAGAAAGCGAAGGAGGCTGAGTTCAGAGCGTTCGAATCGTCGGTGCGTATCTGTGTCTATCTATCCTTCTGTCGTCGACTTACTTCCAATCCAATTAGCACGCAGGAACAACCTCCGTCGCCCAATCCACCGTAGACCGCGAAACAGAAGAGAAGCTCGCAGTGATCAACGAGTCCTACGACCGCAACAAGGACGCCGTCGTCACCAAACTCCTGGATCGAGTCGTGCTGGTGCACAACGAGTTGCATAGGAACCTTAAGAAGCCTGGCTCAGCGTGAAGAGGACTAATTACATACGACGGGGCGTTTCGGCGCAGCAAGCTGCGTTAAGCGCCCTCTGTTGTCTCCCGAACCCTCTCTCCCCATCCGGCATACATACCAGCCATGATCCATCCACTTTCCATTTATCGCATTCTACGAGATTACATACCAACATCCCAAGGACTCCCAATAAACAGCAGTATCTCTCAACTATATACAACAGAGCCCGTATCGCATTTGCAGATGCATTGTAGGCAAGAGATCCCAAGGACAGGCACCACATTTCTATTGCTCTACGCCATGTCATGTTCTTCTACAATCCAGACCTATTTCTGAATCTAACGGGTGACGTCTACATTTCGGGAGACAGATACTCGCATAACTAAAGCTATCCCGCCAATTTAACAGACAACAAAAAAACGAATATAAGAGAGAAGAGTGCTGGTGCTGAACTACTTACTTGACGAGTAGGAACAAGTACACAAGGGATTATACTGCTATGGTATAAGTACATCAATCGTACTGGTACATCGGCCCTTTTCGAGAACGTAGCAGCGTCATTGGAATAGGGAAGGAGCGGCATATGATAGTCTAGAGCAGACACGGGCCATTGGGGATTTCAACGAGTGGATCGGGTGTTGCAACTTGAGGGGGGTATACAAGGTGCGCATCTGAACAATGAGCGTGTGGCGTGGGCGTCGCCGGCGGTGAACGAAGGGTCGGATAATCGTGAAAGAAAGCGAGGAGAGAAAATCGGGCAGGATAAGATAAAGTAAGTTATGATATGACAGGGATGAGGCAAGCAAGGCGAGGGTGGTATTATTACGACTTTGGGTTGGTTCATAGTTCGAAAGATGGACATAAAAAAAGGGAAAGAGTTGCAAGATAAGTAACAAATGATGTACAGATGTGTCAAGAAATGAAAAAAGAGAAACGAGGGAGGGAGACGTCGCAACTTGAATCGTCGTCGTGGGGGCATCGTCGTAAGTACGTGCGTTCGTTGGGATGGTTGGGCGACTGGGGGAGGGAGGTAGAGGGCTAAATGTACAAGCAAAAGCATGGGACGAGGGAGGGAGGGGGTAGCACTCATCAAGGGCAGCTGCAAGAGAGGAAGGGCATGAGGGGGAGGGTAGCAAAATGGGGGTAGAACACCTGTCCGAGTAGAAAGGGTGGAGAGGGTATGAGAAATAAAAACAACAACTCGGACGAGGACAAAAAGTCACTCCACACTACCGAGATTCATTCGCCAGCCACTTCATCCCAACCGGCATCCCAAGCGGCGGAACCACCGGCGCGCCCGTCGCCGCCCCCGCCCCCACTGCGGTTCCCATCCCCACCCCCATCCCCGTCCTTTCATCACCGCTGTGATAGAGTGGTGGGAGAGAAGAGGAAGAAGTAGACGATAAAGTCGACAAAGACGAAGGGGGTGGTGATCTCCGAGGAGAAGAACGTCGAGGTGGCGGGTTCGGTCCGACATGGGGCTGTCGTTCGCGATGCGCGTCCCTGTCCCTGTCTCTCAGACTATCGCCACCTCCTCCTCCCATCCTAGACCCATTATTCCAATCAAGCAACCCACTCGCTTTGAGTGACGGTAACGATTGCGGCTGGGAATTCTCTCCACTGCCTACTTGGATCCCGCTTCCAAGACTACCAAGCGTCCCGTTGACACCGTGGTTTCTCGATGAAAGTGAACCTGAACCAGGACCCGAGGTAGACGATGACGAAAGGGTGTCCAATACGGGTGACCGCTTCGAATGTTGCATCCCCACACCGTTTAGTCCGTGTTCTCTGTCGCCAGAACCAGAGGATGATGACGAAGAGGAAGGGGGGTTAGGACCTGAATGAGACTGAGAACTTGACGCCTCGTGTCCGCGAAGTCCGTCCCGGTTTCCATCTTGCTCAGATTTGATCGAGGAGCTTCCACTTGCACCACTCGCGGCACTGCTCGCTGCCGCTGTACTACTCGTCGACCCTGACATCGGCTCACTGAGCGTATGTGGAGGGGGAAGCCTCGTGATAGCCTGAGAGTGCCCGTTGCCGTCACTGTGATTGTGGCTCTTGCCCCCTCCTCCTCCATTCTTCTCATCATCCACGTACCGACCGTGCAGATAAGAATGAGATGTACCAGGCGAAGTGTTCGGCGAAGTTCGATGTCCATGTCCATGGTTGCCGTTACCATTGTTCGAGCCTTCCCCGTGTTGTTGAATGGGAGGCAGGCGTGTCGAGTGGTTCAAACTCAGATTCGACAGTCCTGTACTCCCATTCCCAGGATGTCGAGCGTCGGATAACCGATGTGTTGGACGTGATTGCTGTTGTTGCTGCTGCTGCATCGAAGAAGAAGATTGTCCTGGGGCCGAATAAGGATGACGTTGAGGAGGCGACGGGTGCGGGTCTCCAGTCCTGCACTAGCTCGTCCATTCTCGTCCCAAAGAACTCTTCATAATCGGAACACCAGGCGCGAACCTGCGGATCGTCCCTCTTGCAGTACTTGATTAGCGACTAAATCAAGATTGATTAGGTTAGTTGACTTGGATGATGGAGGGAAGAAAAGACGTTTACCCAGAGTGCAGCACCCACTGTCGAAGAGGGTAGCATACGTCAGTCGGATGGGACGAGGTCGAGGAAAAAGGACGTACAGAGAAGACTGTTCTTCGCTCGATCGCCTATCATGCGGAGGATGGAGTCAATCATGTTCAGAGCCCACAGAGGTTCCACTATCGCATCGCGAGTGTTCCGCTGTCTCCCCTGCAAGACGATCAGACGGACATTCCTCGGGCTGTGAAACAAAGCACTGACGCAGCTGAGAGCAAGCGCACAAGACGCATGGTAAACGTGAAGCAAACACCAACACCACGCGCCAGTGTTGGAGCTGGTTTCAAACATCGATTTCTGCACTTGCAGGCTCTGTTCGGAGAATCGGAGATGGTCTGGAAGCGTCCGAGCCCAGTTCTATAGGTAGTTGATGAGCGAAACGATCGCGGATGCGGACAGGGGCCGTTGCTTCATCATACCTCCATGATTTGCTCCGTCTCGTACAAGCGTTTGTTGGTGTTCGCCAGACTCTCGGGATCTTGATATGGTACTGCGAGCCAGATGGGCGTTTAGGACCGATTGAAAGAGGACAAAGAGAACGCCAACTGACCATTAAAGTCGTCGAGGATGGACTCCACTTGGGCATAGATGGTGATGATGCGAACTAGATGACCGAATTCAGAGGCGTTCTGCGTTCTTACCGCCGGAAGGTAAAGATATTCTAAAGCGACAGATTGACAAGTTAAAAGGCCGTTTTTACGCAACAAGAGAAGAAAGCAAAAACGTGATTGTGGAAATAGAAGACGAGATGCGCGAAGGCGCCAAATCCCTGGAAAAGGAGGGGCTGTAATTGTAGGACGACTTACCTGGGAGCGTGGAATGGACCCCTAACTCGAAACTTGTTTCATCAACGGGTAGCCTGAGGCGCAGTTCGACTTGGGTAAAAGTAGTGGGCTTTTTGAAGTAGATGGAAGCCTTGAGATCGAGGAGATGGATATACCAAAAGATGCGGCGGATTGCTTCGCGCTCTAATGAAGCGCTGATAAATTCGGGAGAGGGTACTGGGGTCAAAGTAGGATGCTCCGGGCTGTGAACTCCGAGGGCTTCAACGATTCGCAAAGCCAGATCTACTTTGTTTCGTCAGTGGAGTCCCAATATAGTTAACGGAAAGGAAAGAACAGTACCATGATAACGAGAAGTCCAACAAGCGTTCTTTTCCTTGGTTACGATGTCGTGCATCTGAAGGAGGCAGAGGGCCTGAGCGGTGGCAAGGTTTGGTTCGCATTTGAGGCGACCTGCGCCATCGAACATGAGGGAGAGTGCTTCTTGAGCAAAGGGTCTTCCTGCAAAGCGTGTTGGATTTGTCCGTATGCGGGGTTGCTTCGACAATGGAGCCGCGAGAGCGCAGACAGCGTGGAGGAGATACTTTGGGACCCTATTGTGACTGAGATTTGAGGAAAAAGTTGGTTTGTGGATGATTGCTCTGGCGGGGTGACAATGTGCGAAAAAGACTGTTGAACAAGGCAAAAGGGTTACGAAAAAAGAGGGGGAGAGACGAAAAGAGAGTAGACACACGATTTGTGAGTTCTCGCATGAGGCCAGGGTCGAGTTCTACTGCGCGTGGACGGTCGAGGGAGGTGGTAACTGGACCATCAATAACGAGATCGTCCGGGGAGATGGCGATTCCACGGTCGTTTCTGAAGCGTTTTCTTGGATTTCTGCGATCGTCATCGGTAGGATCACTCGAGGAGGCTGCTGAGGGTTGGGACGGCGGTGGGAGGAGTCTGTGGTTTTGGGTGAAACGGGCATGGTCTGACGGGGGCAGCTGGAGGGGAGGATGGGCAAACGGGAGTGACCGGCTGTCTATTGGCGGGGGGCCGAGCAGACTTGCCCGTGTGGGGTCGAAGCGATGCGGAGCAGGGACGGGGCGGCCGGATGCATCGGTGTACGTGCACTGTTTCGATGCAAAGTAGCTGCACCTGCCTCAGACGATGTGTCCGTCGTCGCGTTTGAACAAAACTCACCAATTGCTGCACGGGGCTGGTTGCTGTCCGTCAGAAACACTCCAAAATACAGAAAAAGAGAAGATACCGACCTGTTCCATCACAGCGTCGCTTGCTCTTGTGGCAGGCGTCGCAGGCCTGGGAGAGGCGGTGAGTGTGTTGTTGGACAGCGCAGGGAGGGCATTTATACCTTTGCCAGACGTTTTCGCTTTGCCCCGCGCATAAGGGGGACTGGCTGTTGGGTGTCGTTGACTGTGTTGTGAGATGGATTATAAGGAAAGTTGTGCATAGAGGTGGTGGTAATAGTCCAACAGAAGCCCAAGCTCGGCCGGAATGCCGTCCTCTGTCCTTATCGGTCCGCCGGCATTTAGCCTCTCCAGCCAAGCCCCGACATCCCGCGGCATTCTCACCCACAACTCTACCCTGCCACACTCACTCTCATCTCTCCTCACCATCCCGCTCTCCGACATCCCGCCCAGGTGACGCACCGACACCGCCACTCTTCACCGCCGGGATCCTGTTTCAAGGCACACACTTTCCCGGAAGCATTCAAACACATACACTTGCCATTCCCGTAAATCAGCCGCGCCTCGATCTGCATCCTGCAATTTTCGTTGATAATGTACACTACACATTCGTATTCTAGCATAATCATCATGTTTAATCGAAGAGACCAAAGCCCATGTCGTCGTCTGACTCTTCCTGTACATATCGTTAGATATGAATTCAAGACAATGACCGAGACACAAACCTTCTCCTCCTCCTTCTTCTCCTCCTTCTTCTCCTCGGCAGCAGCATCGCCAGCACCGCCAGCAGCAGCAGCGGGGGCAGCACCACCAGCACCACCAGAGGGGACCTGCACCATACTAAGTCATGTATATCTCCAAAGATTACAAGTCCACATACAGAAGCAAGCTTGCTGGTACCCTCAGCAATCAACTGGATCTCAAGTCAGAAAATGCCATGACTTTTCCAAGATCAAAACACACCTCGTTGATGTCCTTGCCCTGGAGCTCCGAGAGGAGCTTCTCCAATCGCTCATCATCAGACTCAATACCGACGGTGCCCAAGAGCTTCTTGATATCGTCGGCAGAGGGGCTGGCGTTTCCACCAGTCACAAGGAGGAGGTAGGCAGCAATGTAACGCATCTATCCCCTCCGATGAATACAACAACAAGCGCCCTTGAATCACAATCCACGCACTTTGAAAAAGTTGAGCTAGAAACGGTGTAGGTTTTTAAGGCGATAGCCACAAATCACTGCACGACCGTCTATGAGTTCCACCAACGCATGTTCAGAGCGATCCACCATGCTCACCGTTTTAATCCCCAAGGGAAGACCTGTGGATTCTATCTTTGAAGATATGAGCTTTGACACCTTGCTCATCGTCGAGATGTCCTCTCTGCGCCGAGCCATAACTGTACAGTAGCACGTGATCCAGTTCCAGCCACACCTTCCTTTTTCGTATTGGAATTGGAACTCCGCTCCGACCTGTCCACGAAGGTCTCGTTTTGTCGGCTGCGCCCTGCCCCCTCAACGGTAAGAAATCAAAAGACAGCAAAAACTCCTCATCGCCGTCGCCAGCAACAACCATGGTACGAATCCTTGCCGTCCTCATGCTCGTCCACCAAAAGTCAACTTTGAATCGCTGATGGGATGATATTTGATAGTCTGAAGTCACTGACCCCAATCTCGCTGCTGAGCTCAAGAAGAAGAGGACTTTCCGTACCTTCTTTTACCGTGGAATTGCTTTGGACAAGTTGCTCGACTTGAGTAATGAGGAGGTGTGTTTGACCCAAAGGTTCTGATTATACCCCGGCTAATTGATTTTGTTATCTAGTTCGTCGAGGTACATATCTTTGTGTTCCAATCCTAGACCCCCGCAAATTTCTCATCGCAACAAACAGCTCGTCCACGCCCGTGCTCGCCGCCGCTTCCAGCGCGGTCTCAAACGCCGCCCCATGGGCCTCATCAAAAAGCTCCGCAAAGCCAAAAAGGAGGCCCTCCCCAACGAAAAGCCCGCTGTCGTCAAGACCCACCTCCGTGACATGATCATCGTCCCCGAGATGATTGGCAGCGTTGTTGGTATTTACAACGGAAAGGTGTTCAACTCGGTGGAAATCAAGCCGGAGATGGTGGGCCACTACTTGGCGGAGTTCTCGTGCACGTACAGGCCTGTTAAGCACGGTCGACCTGGTGTGAGTCTTTCCTTTTTGGCTTGGGGTGGTTGGAGGGATGCTGATGGACTGCGATGGCGATTAGATTGGTGCTACCAACTGTAAGTTTCAACCGGATTGTGTGCAAGACGCTTTTCGCTCAATGGATATGCAGCTTCTCGATTCATTCCTCTCAAGTAAAGGCAACAAATCGCAGACGTGTACCTCGGAGGGCATTATACTGTTGTTTTTATCTCATCTGTACCACACCACACGCACTTGCACTTTTTTTTCTCTTTTTGACGGCTTGCGGCCCAGCAGGTATACGAGCTATGACCTATGCGATTATGCTTTTTATGAGATACCAGTCCTGCGATGTGGAGCGTCTGGAGGTTGTGGATAGGGAGGATGGAGTCGCTGAGGGGAGGGGGTCCGTGCGCACGGGGCCTTCCAACTCTGGAGATGCTCGTCACCGTCACATCTGCACGCCCCTGTGTCGCTCCCAACCTCGGGTTCGACGGAGACGGGGATAAGTTGTTGTTGGTGACGATTAGAGGGCCAAGCGCGCGAAGATCTGTCGAGTCGATTGTCTGCGTCATCTGCACGTTGCGCCTTTGCAAATAGCTGAGATCCGACGTCCCGCCCTTCTTTGAATCACATTGTTTGATCGGCGTTCTCAGCACGCAAGTAGAGATATGTATCGGTGACGACGAGAGGGATGTGAAGTGCAAAGTAAGGTGAACACTTAGTATGAGTGGGACACGAGATGGACTGTGGTCTTTGTGGGCCTGAGATAAGTGAGACGGACTTTTGCGTCAGAATACTCCTTCCCATTATGACATCTATGCTTTGTCCATTTCATCGATGATAGGGAGTACTTTGGTGACGATGTGTGTATAGAGACGGTGTCCACCACAGGACTTTGTCACAGAAGATTTGACCATCGGTTTGGACCCGGGTCAGTCTCAATGTTACATCCAGATACCTCTACCTCCATGTACTCTCCCTAACCGGACGAGATGGGTTCACGACGAGCGTTGGCCACCACCGGGCGTTCACCATGAACATGATCCACTGGGAGGTGCATAGGAACCGCAATGGGGAAAATCCGACTCGGAGGATGAGATCGAGAGCATATCGTGCGGCGCGCCAAGTTCGACTTTGCATTTGGGTGTGATTATGGGAGGGTGTGAGTGTTCTGGAATATTGAGCTGGAGGATTGGGGGACTAGGATGGGACGATATGGTTTCTTTCTTCTGTGAAGTCTTGTGGCGCAGAAATTGGTTGTCAGCGCCGCCACGATGCCCAGGAAAATCCTTCTCCTGTCATAGCCATGCTACTTAGTACGTCCTCAAGGCCAGGTGTAAGAGTGGAGTACTTAGGTCAGTGTTTCCAACGACAGCGAGTACACAACAGAACTGGCTCAGAGTTGAACTCGTGGATTCTGATAGGCGGCCAAACAAGTCGCCGGGGACAGCTATTTCTGGGCCAAAGGGTGGGCAGAGATAAGCGGAGTACTTAACTAGCTGGCTGGGTGACGTTCGCTGGTATACCGAGAGGAGGAAGCCAAGGTTCTGGACTTGCACGGTACGGCGCTTTGGGAGAAGTGAGAGGTGGGTATCTAAGTGCTCGATGAGCGCCTAGCCTGGCATGTCCGAAGGAGAGATCTACGTTATGTTTCCAGAAATCCGTACTTACACGTGTGAGTTGCACGAGTGGGTCGGGGTCGACATAGGTCCGGGGGGCTACAGTCTGAGTCGATGTGAGAGCATGGCCCGAATCGTGACCCGACGGACACTCCAGGTTGGTTTCTTTCAAGCTGAAAGTTTTGAGCTGCACGTTCCGATGATGATGTTTATATCCCCAAGCTTAATAGGACATGTCTGAGCAGGCGATCCATGGCGTCCTTGGCGAGGTCTCTCTTTGGCTTGCAACATCGCCAGTCGCGCACTCTGAGTCGAGCGCTGAAGGATGTTCTACGGTGACCTTCGTGGAACTATGTACTACCGCCTTCTCATAGTTCCACCAGCGATGTTGATGTGTAAGGATTCCATGCGCCTCGAGAAGGCCGGATGAGATGACTGCGTTCAGGGAGAGTTGACGGATGGTGGTGGTTCGAGGGCAAGAGAGCGTGGCTGCCGGTCCGGGTGGCCTCATTGAACGACATTTTGGACGATTTGGTGTGATGCTACGGATCACGGAGTGTGCACGTAAAGTTTGCAGGGTCTTTTGTGTCATCGCCTCTGGCATGGCACATGCAGAGACCTGTATCTTAAAGACCTTTCGGTATGTGGTTTCGTCCAAAGGCTGCCTCGTTCGTCGTCATAAAACTAGACTTGAGAGAGGAGAGTTATTCCGAAGCGCAGCCCATTGGTCATACCGACTCTCTGACTGTCATGAAAGAGTGAAAGGCAAGACGACAGGTGCGAACGGGTGCCAGGCCCGGGCCAAGCCTCTAATAGCGTGGGAATGTGTCCCTATTTGAATCAGGACTGGGGTGCGGAACCGGTGCAGGTAAGTAGGCGCCCGCTATGCATCCGTGGCCTTGTTCGGAATAGTGTCTATTCAGTTTGGCGCTTAGTAGTAGTAGTGCCTTGCGTATGCCCCGGATCCTGAGCACATAGCCGGTTGTTTCCCGAGGACAGAGGACATCCCTATCTGACTTCTTTGGGATTGATTCCTACCTCCCTTCGGTATTGAATATTAGGCCCTAACATTGACGGATTGGTTCAAATTGTAAGGAACATCCCGCCGATGGTACTGGTTTGGCTGATTCTAGAAGTACATTGTTTGATGCGAGCCTCCTTACCCCCGCAATTGCCTCTCGTGACCCACGGGACAACCTGCAGCGGCGAGGAGTTCAAAAGTTCATCTCGATACTACAGAACGATCGTAATCAGCTTCGGATCGTGGAGTGGGGTTGTCGATTGCCCATATGCTCTAGGCACGCATTTCGCCGAGTCGTTATTTAATAAACTAGCTCCACCTCCCTGTTCTTCTCCGCTAATATCGATTTTGGAATGAGCGGGGGAAACGGTGTGGTGAGCCTCGAGGATAGAGAAGGGCGGGTGATTGTGCAATGTTAACAGTGATGTCCAGTTCCCCGTTCATTGTTTTCCTGTCTCTGGTTATTATCTTTTATCTGTGATCTTCGCTGAGATAGGCCTTTGTCCCCGCAGGTGAGGTCTATCACCTGTCACATAGCAGTGCAACGGGGATCTACAAATAATGATTTGTACCATAGACGTCAGAAAGTGGGTCCAGCCTGGTGCCACGAGGGGTGGGACAGGATCCTGGACCGGGCAAAGATGGAGGCTGGAAGACGCAAGGTCGCGCGATATTTTGGAGGTAAGAAGGAACCAACGTTCGCGATCGGTTTTGCACCACGAGACAGGGCCAAGAGCAAGACCGGGACCGTTATCCTAGCCGGAATCACTGGATGTGGACACCTATGTACTCGTTATAAATGCAATTCAATAGGCGCCCTGGATTTTCCCGATATTAGGGCTTGGGGAGCCGATATAAAGGGCCAAAACAAATGACTCGAGGGCTTCGCCTGCCCGCCACACCCGCCACAGGGTGCTGATAGGCTGGTAGTGTGTCATGTGGTGCTTGTGTATCAACGGCGACCTCGTCCAAGACGTAGCGCGAAAACGGATGAGTGATATAAATATGTATTGTTACAAATGTGAAGGCCGACAACGCTGATGTGGAGGTGGATCCAGATGAAAGAGGAAGTGCAATGCAGGGCAGTGGGCTTTGAAAATAGATAAATTTGACCCGGAATTTGACTGAAAAGAAAGGAGAGGCCCAGAACAAGTATCACATCACAGAGAAACCCCATTATATACCGAGTCGAGTGTGGCACGAGTGTAGCTTCCGTCAGAAGATGTAATCACGCCGACGGAGGTGGACCTCCTTGAGCGATCCATCGAGGCAACACGTTGGAGATATTTCCAGAGATAACGAGGCCCTTGCACTTCGGCGACTAAATAAAGTAGTTAGAGATCCGATGACGATCTAATGGATGGAAACGGGAAGACATACGGTGGTGGATTTGTCGATTGTAGTGATGAAAGCAACCGTTTCTGTTTCCCCTGACGAGAAGTGGTAGACGACGTCGTAGTCCATGATGATTCTGTCTGGGAGGACATTGACTGTGGAAGAAGAGAATCAGTTCGTGGGTACTTGTTGAGTGACCGGACTGCGGGTTTTAGCTTACTGGAGTGAATCCTATGAAGCGGAGGTTAGTTTTTTTTTTGAGGTGAAACGGCGATGAAACGGCGTACACATGCTCATGTCGATCCACAGCAGTTGAGAGCCATCCGAGCCACGCGTCTTTCTGCTCTTGGGTAGCGATCTGAGGAAGAGTGGAAAACTGGATGGTAGCATCGTCTTCGATAAAGTTCTTGAGGCGAGAGATGTCCTTGGCTTCACAGGAGTTGTAGGTCTAAGTACTAGAGGGTTAGGAATGCTCGGAGGAGTGAGCAATGGCCTACGTCGAGGATCCATTGTTTCCCCGCTTCGTATTCCTCGGGGGAGACGGAGAGAGGAGGTTGCTGCAAAGCTTCGAGTTGCATGATGAGGTTGGCTGGGGGAGTTCTGACCTTGCAACCTCGAATTTGAGGCTGCTTTTAAACGTCGAAAACCACAGCGCAAGGAAATAAGCGGAACGAGGCGCGTGACATATCGGTGACTGCGCCTGTAGATCAAGTTTCGAAGGAGGACGAGCGGCGTCGCGATCGGGGTGCAAACTAAAATGAAATAAGAGCCAGTGATAGGCAATGCGGGCCCAGTATTTCTCATCCGAAGGTCATTGTCGGAGTTGGAGAAGGTAGGTTCGTGTTTTGGGAGATGACAAACAAGGCAATTGCGAGCCAGAAACGCAAAAGAGAGAGAGCCCAGGTGTTTTGGTTACCGAATTAGGGGTAAGGGAACCAAAATAGAACTGTTGTTGTCGCATCCAGAAACATACGCCACTCGGAAAGAGATGAAAAGAAGCAAAGGTTTGTCGGAAAGCAAGGTACGCGCTCGGTGGCGTCAAATTCGAGGGTACAAAGTCCCCGTGAGAAATGATTTGTCAGCGAGGATTGGCGGGGACGGCCCAAGCTAGTGAACCGCGACGACGACGACGACAAATTGTGTTGGACCCGGCGAGCGTTGTTGTCGCTGGTCGGCGTTGCAGAGGGACGATATGGCTGCCAATCCAGTAAACGCCCTGCAGACCCTGCAGGCTGCCCTTGTAGCCGAGCCAAATACCAAAGAACAAGCAGACATTCTTGCCACTTTACGTGAATCTTTAGAGTCCCATCCGTCTCCAATCCCAACTATCGTCGACACTCTCATTTCCCGCATCGCTGTGAATGCTGGGGACTCTTTGCTCAAGAGATGGATTCTCGACCTCCTTCAGTTTGCAATTGCCCGCTCGACTTTGCCATTGGAGACGCGAACACAGAGTGAGTCTCATATTTGTGTCCTGCCGAGTCCAGGGTTCGACGTATTCCATCCATTTAGTGTCGCTGAAGGCCCTGGATAAGCTGGCGACCCTTCTAGACGACCCAGTCACCGCCATCGTCAAAACAGTCGTCCAATGTATGACCACCGTCTACCCCCTCGTGTTCCGTCATCTGTATGTCTGTCACCGTACACTGTCCGAGCAACTACTGAGCCCAGCCCTCTAGATGCCAAAACCGAAACAACCCCGGAACCTGGAACACACTTTCTACCTGCAAAGCGCGAATAATCGAATGTCTGTGGTCACCAGCAACCAGCGTCGGCGTCAAACTTTCAGCCATGAAGTTCGTGCAGAGGGTATTGTTGGTGCAGACGAGGGGGATTCCGGACCCTAGGGTAGCTTGTCATTCATTTCTTACACGAATACATTTCCCTAAGCCATTTGTATATTCCAACAGCTGCAAAACAAGAACGATCCTAACCTCTCCAATTGCCCGAGTGACCACCCTTTTATTCCCATCGCCAAACTCGAAGCTGAAGGCCAGAAGCTATTGGAAGGTCTCATTACGCTGCTTTATTCAAGCCAGTGAGATATCTATTACTCCTTCACGTTTTACAATACGGTTAACTGGTCCCTCAGAGATACCGACCTCCTCTCTGCCTTGCTCAACTCATGGGCCAATCTTGCAAGGCTTCGTCCGCCAATGGTCCCCATTCTCATCACAACGCTGAAACAATGGACACCGAACGCCCTTGTCAATCTGTCTGCGTCGCAAATCAGGAGCGTAGAAAAGGCCGTCCGAATTCTCTTGGTCCATATTTCCAGGTATGGCGGTACACCCTATGCCACGGTGTCGTCTGACCACCATTTGCACAGACTTCCCGGGAACTCGCAGTATGGGCCTCAGATCAACGAAGCACTCCAGCAACAGGCGGTGCGAATGGAACGCGCCGCTATCGAGGAGAAAAAGCGCAAGGCAGCAGGCCTTCCCGACAACCGAAAGCGCCCGCCTTCCGCCCCTTCCGAACAACCTTCAGAAGCCAAGCGGATAAAGTTGGAAAATGAAGCCCCTCCGCCGAACAATGCTGCCGCCCTTTTGGCCGGTTTCGACTTCACCTCCCTACCTGCCGCCTTAATCACCGAACTCATCGTCGCCAATCTTGACGCGTTCTCAGATGCAGCGCTGACCGCGCTCGTTCACAAATACCGCCAGACACTGGTGGGAGCTGCTCCTGCTGCTGCCCCGCAACCTGCCCCTACACCTGTCCCTCCCGTCGCCAAGCCCACTCCCCCTCCAAATGCGCCCTCAGGCCCAAGGAAAGACCGACGTTCACCACTGCCAGAAGGTACACCAGTACCATCCGGCCAACCTCCTCAGGCTGCTGCCGCAGAGGAGATCAAAGAAGAACCCGTCGACCCACTTCAAATGGCTATCGACGACGAGGAGATCGAGTTTGAACCTGAGAAACTCAACAACGAGGTATGCACCCCATATCCCACAGATCATACTTCATCCTGATCGCCTCATTCCTTAGCTTTCAACTCGCGCTCCAGTTGCCGAATCTCAGCCAAGCGCCATCGAAGCAGACATTGAATCGATCAACCTCCAACTCGTCGATTTCAAACTCCCTCCACCCTCCGACTGGGATGAAGATGACCGGACCAAGATCATCTCAAAGTCGCTCACACGGATATGGGACGGCGCTGACGAACTCAAGTCCTTCGGTGAAGCGATCCCTGTGGATTCCTCGCAAGCTGGGGGCCATTCTGCCACAGAGCTTTGGATGCTGTTGATCGTGCGGATGATCACGAGGGTGGCGAAACCACCGCAGGACCTGTTGGGAGGCGGGGATCAGGATCAGGATGAGAAGATGAAGGAGGGGAATGAAGTTTCAACCCCAGTGGAGGACTTCTATGCTCGGCAGGACCAGCTAAGACAAACGATCTGCGAATATATCATGACCGACTTTCCCTCCAGGTAGGTTCTTTCATGTTCGGTTCGGATCTGGGGAGAGCTAATTAACCTTGTATGAAAGGGTACGTCTTGCGACAACGTGGATGAACGAAGAGTGGTACAACGACCAGATAAGGACGGCAAAGGACCCTAGCTGGGTGTGTTGGTTCCTTCCGGTTGGAACGGAATTCATTTTAACTGTGTCTATTTTCAGAGACCGAACTATGATACGTGGTTAAACCAGATCGTCGCTTCTTACCAGACCATCTTGGATGGGAAGGACAAGACTTTTGCTAGGTTCTTGCTTGACCTGCCTTCTGTACCGGCAGACGTGCTCGACCTGCTTCGGGAGTTGTGCGTGGACAGTACAAGGTATGTAGTTCGTTTTTTAACTTTCATTGATATCGGTGTCTTATGTTTTGATAGCCCGGAACGAATGCAGGTTGGGTATACGACGCTGCGGGGACTGGTCAGTCAACGGCCTTCGCTGCGGATCGAAGCTTTGAACGTGTTACTCGAGTTGACTACACACCCAGGTTAGTCTCCATTTCTCTGGGAGACTTTGCTTTATTGAGAATTGTTCCTTTCTCTAGAACGCAAGACGCGTGCCGCGGCCATCAACACGGTGAAGATGTGGGTTCCCAACACACAACCTATGTTCGGTCTCATTCGAGAGTTTGCTCTCCAAATGCTGAGGAAGCTGCAACAAACCAAGGCTCCGCCGAAGAGTGGCAACGAGGCGCCTAATAGTGAAGGGAAAGATAAGCCTCCTGCGGAGAATGGAAAGGACGGACATGGTCCTGGGCCGACACCTGCAAAGCAAGCTGATGTGCCAATGGAGCAGGATGGTGGCGACAAACCGGCCGATGGGGACATGGAGGATGGACAAGTGACAGTTCCTCCAGAAGATCTGGTTCAAACGCCCTACCTGCCCAACACCGTAGATCTCCCGGCCAACAAACAACAAGTTCTCCAGCACCTTGAATTGCTCTTTGCTCTGTCAGTCAAAGTGCCCGAGTTCTTGGAACAGTAAGTACTCTTTGGTCCCGATGACTTGGGGGACAAATTCTAACGCCTTCCCCGCTCTCTCTGTTAGAATCTTCTTGGCTTTTGGGAAAATGGACATTAGTGTCCAGGAAGCGATTCAAGAGCTAATAACGCAACTCATTCGTTCGCTTGGGCCGAACCACGGAAAGCTACTCACATTACTGAGGACGTGTCCAAAGGGATCGGAGAACCTCGCGCTCCGGGTGCTCAACATTTTCACTGAGCACGGACGGCCGAGTGCTCAGTTGGTTGCCTTGGTCAAGAGCCTGATCAATGAGCGTGACTTGGACGCGCGATTCCTCATTCCCATCATTGCGGAGATGGACAAGGTGAGTTTCGAGTTTTGGATCCTCCTTTCAAATGGGCGGTGGTCAAACTGCGCTGCATCGTGCTGACTGCACGTTTCTATTCAGTCGGATATCATCAAATACTTGCCCCGCATCGTGTCGATTCTCAATGGGAAGCCGGAGCCCAAGAACCTCGTCCGTTCCGTGTTTAGCTCGATCGTCACCACTCCTCCGCAAACATTCGGAAGTGTTACCTCTAATCTCCCTCGTGTGAGACAGAGTGAACTGCTGACCCCGGCCGAACTGATGGTTTTGTTACACGAGTCGGAGAAGGAGATTGGGTTCAAGGCTGCGATGGAAGGTGCGTTTTGCATTTTCTGTGCGATGTTCGGGGAATCAGTTATTAATGTACGTTTCTCGACAGCGATTGGAATCTGCTTCTCCATGGCGGACGTTTACCGCTCCGAGATTTTGGGTGTGGTTATGCAGCAGATTATGGACAACACTGTGATTCCGACATTGTTCATGCGAACGGTGAGGGACATTCATTTGCCATTGTCCTGCAATCGTCGTCTTACTTTTTCCGATTTGCGATAGGTCATTCAAGCTGTCAACAACTACAAGGACTCTTGTCGGATTCGTTTCCACAACGCTCTTATCACGACTGATAACGAAGAAGATATGGACAGACAAGCTTCTTTGGGAAGGATTTATTCATTGTGCAAGGGTGACTGCACCATCAAGTTTCAATACCCTTTTGCAGCTGCCCAAGGATAGGTTGAAGGAGTTGGTGGATAAGCATCCTAGTTTGAAGGCCGGGTTGAGGGACTTTGTGACGAAGAAGGCTGCGAACAAGGCGCGTCAGGCGGGAATTCTGGATATTTTGGACGCGCCGGGTCCTAGTGCTTCTAGTACACCTGCGGCGGGTTCGACGACGTCTGCTGCACCTGTGGCGGATGGTGCAGGGAGTGCAGCGGCGTCTCGTCATTCGACACCTGCCCAACCTGAGCAGACAGGTGCCCCTATTCAGGTTGTTGGATCTGAGAGAACAGACCCACCGGACGTTTCGGAATCGTAGTCGTCGCCTAATATCTCTGTATTCCATTTATTCCGAGTAGCGCAGCTATGTATAGACTAAGTGTGTCACTTTCTGCTAATAAATACATTTGGTACATTTTGGTTCCGAAATTGCGCTAAACGGGGCGATCCAAGTGATCAGACGGGTTTGCCTTGCAATCAATTCCAAGCGGCGGTCACCGTTCTTGCATGACTACGTTTGAATAATTCATCCCGTCCCCTTCTTGGTCTTGTCCACCTTTTTGTTTCTTCTCGCGACTGTGTTCAGCCTTCTACCACATTTCCCATCTACTTGGGGGGACGAGTCTATTTCAGTCAGCTACCTGGTCTGAATTCCTTTGCCACGCGGTCCAGTGCTGTGTGGTCCTTGGGTCGCTGGGAAGCTCAAACGTTCCAGGGCTGTGCGTGTCGAACGTTGACGACCGCGATACACACCTTGGACGAGAATGTCTCGAGTAAGAGGTGGCCATTCTCCTGCACGATCCCCGTCTCGACCTCATCGGCGGAGGTCAACCCGTGGTCGGTCCAACGGTGACGAGAACGGCAATGGCGATGGCAGCAACGACAACAACAAATCGTCTTCACCTGTACCCTCTCCCGGCTCTTGGAATGTGGATCGAGGACGATCGAGGGTGAGGAGGCCGTCCAACCCCTTCTCGGAGGATAATCTGCGTCGAAGGTGCGTAGGTGTTGGCACACGACACCTTTGCTGTCAATGTTCACCTTGTTCCTGACTGTATTCCTTGGATGTAATGAAGAGGGTACCATTCGCTGCATTCATCGTTTGGCAAAGTGTTTCATGTAGAGAAGAGGTGGAAGCTGGTGAGGGAGATGGGTTCTGGTGCTTATGGGGTGGTAATGTAGGTCAGTCTTGCTTTGCCTCTGAGGCTCGTTATCGTCTAATGCAGGTGTTATTTCTCCTTCCCTGGGTACATACGAAACCTGCCCCCATCCCCTCGCCCTCCAGTTCAGCGGCCGACGAAATCTCAGGCGAAACAGTAGCCATCAAGATGGTCACCCGAGTGTTTGAAAAGATACAACTTGCAAAACGGGCTCTCAGGGAGATCACCCTCCTCAGACATTTCGCCAACCACGAAAATATAACTGGCTTGATTGACGTAGATGCTGTTTCCCCTGATTTCAATGAAATGTGAGTTGGTTTATACCTGGTTCGCCATTATCAAAGGGACTGACGTCATTATTTCCGTTCAATAGTTACATCTTCATGGAGGTGCGTCGGACGGTATTGCAAGGTTGGGAAGATTCTAAAGGCGGTGAACATTGGCGGTTTAGCCCATGGAAGGTGTTTGCAACGTGCTGTTGAATGAGATGACCCTATTGAAACGCGTTCATACTTCCTAGCCGACCTTCACCAAATCATCAAGTCTGGTCAAGTTCTCACCAACGAACATGTGCAATATTTCTTGTACCAGATTCTGCGAGGTACCATGATAACTCGTCTGTTATATCTCGCTGTTGCTGATCCTTCAACTTTAAGGAATGAAATTCATTCACTCTGCGGGAGTCATCCATCGAGACCTCAAACCGGGCAATCTGCTCGTGAACGCTGATTGCGAACTCAAGATATGCGATTTTGGCCTTAGCAGGGGGTTCGATGCTGTCCCCGACGAGAACGCTACGCGACTTACGGAGTACGTGGCGACGAGGTGGTACAGGGCGCCGGAGATCATGTTGGCATTTCCGTGAGTGTTCTACGCTTGGCCCGAGATTGGGTATCTGACTGCGGTTGTCAGACGATATAATACTGCTAGTAAATCATATCAGCTTGCCTTGAATTTCTTGTGCTTACTGGGTATCCTAGTCGATGTTTGGTCAATTGGCTGCATTCTGGGAGAACTACTGCTAGGAAAACCCCTCTTTAAGGGGAAAGAGTGAGTACACACCCTGTTTGATGTGTCACGCTCTGATTGCTTTTCAGTTACGGTTCGCCATTTTCTGTAAAACCTTTGCGACTCCTCTGACCATGCTACTGCAGTTGACCAACTAAACAAAATCCTGGACATACTAGGCTCGCCGGACGAGACTATCATCCAAAAGATTGGGAGCGACAAGGTCAGGGAGATCTAACTCTCACCGTTGACTGTTGGTTCACCGATATGGTTAGGCTCAAGCCTATGTCCGTTCTTTACCGTTTAGGAGAACTGTTCCATTCCGACGCGTTCTACCTGGCTCGGACCCGCTAGGTACAAGCGATTTCCTTCAGGCCGGAACTAATGATCGCTGACTTGCATCGTAGCCCTTGACTTGATGGCCAAAATGCTCTCGTTTGATCCATCTACGCGTGTAACGGTTCTCGAATCCCTCGAACACCCATGGCTCGCTGCATATCACGACGAAAGCGACGAACCTGAATGTTCTGAACGGTTTGAAAGGTGGAGAGAGATCGAAAAACTCGAGACATTGGACGACTTCCGCAAGGCGCTGTGGGATGAAATCGAGGACTACCGTCGGGAAGTCCGGGGGCTCTTGCCTGTGGTTGACCCGCTGGAACTGAAGGAACGGGACGCGGACAAGGAGAGGGACGCGACCAAGGAAGAGGAGTTTTCAGAGACGAAGGCTCCAGAAGGCGATGTTCAGAATGGGAAAGATACTCCGAGTGCAGATGTTTCGGTTTCCACAGTACCTTCAGAACCTGCCGTCGAGACACCGCCCACCGAGCCGACTGCGCCCGTGGCTGTCGTGGACACGAGCTTGAAGTCGACTGCAGCTTCCATCATCAGCGCCAACAAAGTCATGGTCGACAGCCCAGAATCACAACACGTCCAAACCTCGAAAGGCGGAACGGACCCAGTCGTGACGTATGCTCGTCGTTCGAGCATCATGCAACCCTCGAGACAAGGATCGACGTACAACTCTCCCGTTCCGTCGACGCAGTATCTCCCGACCTTCATCGAAGGGCAGAGCCTGAACCTCGGTGGAGACGCGGCCAGCATACTCGGGGCTTCAGGGATCGGTGCAGGGGCCGGAAACTCCATTGCTTTCCCAAGTACCCAGCCACCTGGCTACGTCGTCCCTGCACGATCGCGAACCGGATCCACTGTTGGTGGGGAGGTTAATAGGAGGTTGCTCCGCACCCTTTCGACGGTGTCTATCCATGAACCAAGTCAGGGCAAAGTGGGTGGTTTGGCAGGTGTGGCTCCGATTGGAAAGTTCATTGTTAGGGGAGACGGTGAGGGCGTCACGGAGGGCGTCACGGAGGCTGATGCACCTCCAAGTGAAATGCCGAGAGAGTTCTTGGGTAGGAGCGGGGAGGGCAGTGGGAGTGGAGATGAAACCAAGACAAAGGGAGACAAAAAGGAAAGGAAAAAATTCCATGTCGAATAAGCGGTGGAGGGAGGAATAGTGCCACGCGCCGTGACGGAGGCGATTCTCAGCGTAATTTCTCTTAACTGATCTCTACAAACGTACCTAGTTTATCAGTTTAATGTCGTAATATTTCTTACATCCGTAGTTTGGTTTTATTATAGGTTGTTGAAATGGGAGAACGCAGAGTTGGACCGTCACCCACTGCAATGGACGACATCCGAGTATCCGGGTGATAAGGGGATAACAATGCATTTCATTCGGCTGGAGGAAAAACGTACAAGTACAGTGCTATGTATTGGTGCAAGTTATTCAACTTCTTCATCGGACTAGCAATACAACATCAGCAAGATCAGAGGATGGCGCAGACCTTTTGGGGCGAGGCGATGTAGTGGTCGGGGCGAGTAAGGAAGGGGTCCTCCGGTGTCCTGTTGGTCATCTTCTTCCACTCCTCCCAATCAACACCAAACATGAGCCTGTAAACCCGTACCGTCTCGTCGGTCTTGCTGTCCCTGTCAACCTCGAGCACCTCTCCGGGCTCAAGGATCGTCTCGGCATTGGCAGCCTCAGGCTCGGGTTTCTCGTCGATGAACTTGTTACCGAGGGCAACTCCGGAAATGTTGGAAATTTGGACCTTGATGGGATCTCCGGTTTGATTAACAACCCAACGGCGCACTTGGGCCCGGGCTACTGTAAGATAAGAGCCGGGCTCGTCGTTGCCTTTTGTGTCGATGATTTTCGGGCTAAGAATCTGGCGGGAGAGTCGAAGGGCGAGAGCGACAAGGGTCAGGGTCGGATTGACCTCAGGAGAGAAGGGGAAGAGGGAGAGGTCGCAAACGTAGACGTTCGTGGTGTCCCGAAGCAAAAGATTCTCGTCGAGGCAATGCGGGTCATCCTTCTCCCCACGGCGCATCGGGATAGTTCCTAGTTCGTGGGCGACACCGCCGAGTTCAAGAGGTTTGAAGAACTTGTCGTCATCGGCACCCTCCTGGTCTGTGAGGTATACATCACATAGCTTGAGTTCTGCCTGCATGGTGTCGAAGATTGTCTCCGTGAGTTCGCGGAGATCGGCGAGGTCTTCCCTGTCTTCGGGGGTCGTGTTGAAGGGAGCCCTTCTCCCGGCAGCGACAATTGGTTCAGCGTCGCGACGCTTCTTGGGATCGCTCGGGGAAGAGTCGAGCTTGATAGTGTTGGTGGGAAGAAGTGGCTCTGGCAAGATGAAGGCCGCGATCATCTTGGGGTAATCTTTGTTCGTGTACCGCGCCTGATCAGGGTAGAAGGAGCGAGGAAGGAAAGAACTTGCGTCGACGGCAACGTTGAGGAGAGCGATCCTCTTAGATTTCTTGCACCTGGCCCACGTCTGAAGTTTCATCGCTCCGACTTTATCCCGAATGTCGTCACTCTGCCATGCAAACGTTGCCGTCGCGGCAAAGATGTCGTGGTCAGTGAGATGGAGCCCTCCGTTTTTCTGAAGGGTGTCGGTGAGGTTGGTACTGGTGCGCATAAGGATGGCAGGGGACCCAACACTACCACCTCCCAGCACGATCGTGCCTCCGGGCTTGAGATTGATCAGGGTGTCCTTTCCCTTCGAATCGCGAACCCAGACTCCGGAGTAGCACATGCCGTCCTTGTCGTCCTGCTGCAAACTACGCACGTCGGAGTTGAGAAGAAGCTTGAAGTTCCTATGCTCGATGCTCTGGCCGGATTTGCTGCGATCCTTGCTCATAGCTATCTCGAGCAGCTTGTCGATCGGGCTGAAGGCACCTTTGGCGAAGTCGAAGTTCTTCTCGTCCTTGAACTCGGATGCGATACGACCCCATTGCCACTGGCATTCGCGCTCGCTAACCATGTTGAGTCGCTCCATTAAGGATGCATGGTAAGTGTTTGTGGTGGGCTGGAACAGGCCCATGAGGTCTTCCGCTTTCCGATACCAGTGTCCAACCAGTTCTTGTCGGAGTGGTTTGCCAAACTCCTCGTCGAGGGTGTCGTCGTGGATGCGGGGAGCAAAGAGACCCCAGGCGGCGCCACGGCCCCCGAGATTGAACATCTCCCCAGCCTTCCATTGCTCAGCGTAGGAGGGGTCGCTGAAGGTGTAGTTCTTTTTGAAGAGAGAGAAGAAGGTGTCGTTCTGCTGCCCACGATCCTCACCGAAGCCACCCGGTCGGGAGGCGTTCAAGCAGTGGGAGTGGAAGCTAAGGCCACCCTTCTCGATGACGAGGATGTTTTTGGCTTTGTTGCCCAGCTTTGAGTTGGTGTCGAAGAGGTCTCCAGCGAGAACGCCAGCACCCATGCCGGTGCCGACGACGATGATGTCGTAGGCCTCTTTGGCAGCTTCTTGGGGAGTCAGACCGAACCAGAGATCCTCGTACGTGGGGGACATTTTGAGAAAAACTAGGTGGCCAAGGGAGCCTGGGTTAGGAGGAGCCCATCTGTAGTCCTATTTAACCAGCGGCCAGGCTAAGCCCTTGTCCAAGAACAGAAAGTCAGAGATTCTTTGAGAGTTGTCCGTGAGCCGATGGAGCATCTTTGGCAGGCAGAATTGTTCAGATACGAATGGTTTGCACCCCAGAATGAGAGTAGGGGCCAAATTTCGAACTTTCATTGCGACAATGTCGCATAGTGTTGGAGAATCGAAGCAATTTGAGAGAGCAGTGGAGAGTGTAGCGGTCCAAAAAGAGGCGATTGATATCAAACGAGCGCCCGTGGCTCCCTTGTGTAAGCGTTCTCCCGCGAGCTCGCCGCTGTTCGCCGTCCTTCTCTCGACGATTTGGACTAGAGCCTTTCGCAGAGAGCTCTAAATACAGATGCAGACCTGACGTCAGTGAACAGGCTAGCCCGAGTAGAAGCGGACCCAGGTCCCAGGACAAGGTGTTCACCACCGATGTCCCTGCGCATGGCGTCATCTGCAAATTGACCGACAGGTTTTCCACTGGCGGGACTGGTGAATATCTCTATCTCTACCACACGAAACCTGACACCGGAGTCAATGACCCAGAACTCAATGAGAGTCGAGAAGTTCTTCCTGGCCGGTATGTAACGACTTTGCTTTGAACTGGAAAGAAGAGCTATACTTATACTGTTTTACTCCAGTCAACCCTAGAGTACTAGCAGCGCCAGACTCCATCGGGCGCTTATCGGTCTGGCCTCTGTTAGAGAACGCTTCAAATGTCGCTCGACAACGAGGCCACTGGCATACGGGTGGAGCCTTTTCAACGTTCGCATATGGAACATCATATTTTTTCACCAAGTATAGTGTACGTTATGATATCTAGTCAAGTGCAGTGTTAGAGGTTACAAATGTCAAGGAGAATGAATGTGTGAGTGTTTTTCAGCAGCCGGACCCAAGGGAATGTGAATGAGGTGAGAGACAAATCGATACCAGGATTGTTTGTGACAAAACGACGGAAGGGAGGAGAGGGTAGCGCCGGGAGCCCAAGGACAAGGTAATTCGCAAATCAAAAACAAGAAAAAGAATAAACAGAGAACCAGAAAATATACTATACGTTTGAGTATAAGGATAAGAAAATGATCGGTCTCGTCAGGTGGTAAGGTAGAAAACCCCGCAGAAGAATTAATGTTCGAAAAAGGAAGGAATGGGTGGAGTGAGATTTCAGCAGAACACATCATCTTCATTACTCGCAGCGGCTTTTCGCGACTCTGCAGTCAATTTACCCGCACCGAAATTGGGTGCCTTGATTCTACCCCTACCCAAGCCCTCGTCAGCATCGGAATCACTCCCCTCCTCGTCCGAGTCAGAGCGCGCCTGTGGAACGGGCTTCTTCTGATGCTTGGCCCTTCGTTTTTTGTGCGCTTCAGGGAACAGGAGCCGGGGTTTACACGTGGGGTCCGGAGAGAAGAGGGGGTCGTCGACGGGGAGTTTGGAATTGGGGGGTGGTGAGATGGCGCGCTTCTTGACAGGGTCGTACATCGGGTTTTGATAGACTCGCTTGACGCCACGGCTATTTGCAATAGATAAGAAATATAGGATAGCGGAAAATTTGAATGTACATACAAGACATAGGTGACCGTGGGCTTGTCGTAGACCGGTTCGTCATCGTGGTCCTCGGCCTTGGGACTAGCCACACTCTCCACATCATCGTCTTCGCCGACAGGGGTCGCAACGAACGGATTAGAAGGCGAGTCTACGATACCAACAACAGGTGAATCATCAACAAAAGGCTTGCTCTTGGCCTTGGGTTGTGGTGTGACCGGTTCAGATACGGTAGTGGCGGGACTGGGTGAAGTCGGGCGAGGAGCAACAGGAGGGTTGACAGGTTTTCTGTGGGAAGCTGGCGGTGACAGCAGGCCTTGTTCCACCTGGGAGGTCGATGCGCTCGCCTGGAGCTTGCGATATAGCAAAGGGCCCTGGCTTTTGGCCGCAGCTGATTTGGTGTTGGCGCCCGAAACGTCGCCTTGTTTAGAATCGTTGCCACCCATCCAAAAGGCCTCTTCATCGTCATTTTCCTGAGCCAGCGTGGTCCTGCGCTTCTTCCTTGATTGTCTTTCATCTAGACCTGAGGGTCGCTCTGACTCGTCATCGGTGGATACTGGAGAATGCTGTTGAGAAGGGGCATTGTCGTCGTCGCTGTCGCTGTCGCATGAGCCGCGCGATCGACCGCGAGCACGACGTCGATAAGTTCTCGGGGGCGTCGGGAGAGAAGCTGTTGAAGCTGAGCGCTTCAAGACGCGTCTTTGAGGGGAAGAGGGGTTCATGCTTGTCTCATTCAAACCAACTCACATTCAAAAACAACAACACTCCGCCCCTGCCACGAAGCGGAGTTTCAATCGCCACGTGACCGCGACCGCGTTACCAGGACAATGCACAGGCCACAGGGGTCTCGTAAAAATAAAATAATGCAGATAATTTACAATGGCGGCTGGGTATCTAAAATGCTGGTATGAGGACAGACATACATAATACAATTACAGGCCAGAAGTGTGCTTCAAAAGACCAAGAATCCGGAACTTGTCGTTCTCCGAATCCGCAAACACCGACCATGTCCGCTGGTCTTTGAATTCGATCACAAAAGAGAATGGGATCGCTTCGAGTTCTTCATATCCCTCGCTCCATTCTTTGAAAGCTGCGACTTGACCGCGCAAGTCAACGGTCTCAAGGGGCGAGTTGATTTCCTGCAAAGGGTGGTGTCAGAACAATGCCGAGATACAAGCATAAAGGTCGGCTTTACCTTGGGGTTGCGATAAAGATACAATGTCTTATCCGTACACTTGAAATACCGTCGTTTCCAGAACAACGACTCGGGGAATTGGATTGTAATCCAGCCTGTTCGAAGTGACTCTTCATGAGTCTGTGCGATCGCTTTTTCTGCTTGTTGAATCTTCCGCAGCCGCTCTTCTTCCTCCCGCTTCTTCTCGAGCGCCGCGCGCCGCGCCTCCTCCTCACGTAACCTGTCTTGCTCTCTCCGCCACTGCTCAGCTCTCCGATGCTCCTCCAATCGCTTTTCCCTTTCGATTCTTCTCCGCTCTTCCAATTCACGTTTCTTCCTCTCTTCCCGCTCCAATTCCTCCCTCCTCCGCCTCTCCTTCTCCTCAGAGATCCTTCGCAACTCTTCGGTCAGTTGCTGCCGTCGTTGCCGCTCTTCCTCCTCTTCCTGTCTCAGCTGCTCCTCTTTCCTTCTCTTGATCTCTTCTTGCCTCCTCTTTTCCTCTTCCAAAGCCTGTCGTTCTTCGAGCTCCCGCTGTTTCTTCCGCTCCTGCCTCCTCCGCTCCCTCTCCTCAGGATCTGCTGGTATTGGCTCTCGTGCCCACTTGCCTTTGAGCGGTACAGTGCTAACCTGCACACGAAGCCGATGCGCATCCTTAGGCGGTGGTTGAATAACAACTGTATCGTTCTCGCTTGAGTATCTCGAGACAAACCCGAATTCCGTCAGGCTCCCTGTCGGCGAATGTTCCCGCGAGTAATTCGGTATGGGCGGTAGTTCGTGATTTTGCGATGTCGTGCTTCTTCGTGGTGGGGATGGTCGTGAGCGGTAGCGGGGAATGTCGTCTTTTGGCGGTGTAGGGGGAGGGGTATCGTCCGACTCTTTCATCCTCCTCAAGAGATTCACAAACATACCAGATGTTTTGTGAACTGATGTTGGGATGGGAGGGACGGGCGGGACGGGTGGGGAACGTTTAGGTGGGATGATATGGGGAGCATAAGTCTCTGAAAACGAGCGGCGGACCATGTCGAGTGTGATAGGTTTTGGTTTCTTAGTGGTAGTTCGTGTCGCAGAGTTTGATTGGAATGGGGGCGGGTTTGTCAGGCTGGTTTCGGGCGTGTGTGAAAAGGAGTGTCCAACTGGTGGAGGGGTAAATGAGCCTGGATCAACCAGAGCTTGGTGGATTGTCGACGAGGTGAGTTGGGAGAGACTGTCGACGGTGAGCATTGTTTGGTGTTTCTGTATAGATTCAACAATGGTCGTAAGCTTCCATTGTCCTAAGCGACGGCAACGGGTAACGATGGTGCCCCATTGTACTAGTTTAAACTCACTTTAAATACAATCCCCATACGCCGTGAATGCACGAGCGCCCTCGCTGTGAACAAAGAGGTTTGGGGCGTGTTCAGCAACGCAACCACGCAAAAACCCTGGCTTTGGGCCCTTACCTCGTTTGACGCCCGAGATACCGGCGGGGATGTAATTAATCAAGATATACCCCGGGTTGTGCTCATTTTCTTCGCGGTAAAAGGCTACAAAGACCTTGTCGAGGTCGTAGATTTTGGTTTTGAGTTCTTCGAGTCCTTCGTAACCATGAGCGTAAAACACAAGGTCGTCAAACTGGGATGCGAGAGAACTGGCGTTCAATGGGGATGTTCTCGGCAGGAAAGAAGCGACATACATTGTCGTTATCGTAGTGGAGCAGCAACCTACTCAACGAGAGGAAGAGAAGAAATGTTAGAAACGCTGTTTGTCGAAAGAACTTGGATACTCGCCAATTGGTTTCATAACACACTATAGACTGGTATGCTGCGACGATCGCGGGGTCGACAGTGGTCCCATTCATGGTCTAGTTTTGGTGAATCGCAGCCAGAGTGTCGAGTCGTTGAAGGTAGTCGTCAAGAAGGAGGAAGGAGAAACAGCGGGCGAACTGTGGCAAGTGTAGGGAGGCTGGTGGTCACCACAAAGGGCGACCAGCTTCGGATGCTGTAACCGCTCATTTGAGTGAGTCCTCCGTCGACATGGTACCTGGATGAATATCATGCGGAGATACCCGAGTACACTCTAAATCAGATTCAGCACTGCTCAATTATCGTCTTAATTATACTACAACAGAATCATGATTCATAACGGCGTAAAGTAGCAAACTGGACGATCTATTGATCTCGAGTCGAGGTGTGAGCTCATTCCTGCAGCAACCCTTGCGAATCCGACCTCGTTTGCTTCTCTTCGAATTGGAAAAATGGGAAGTCCATCAATAGCGTTCTCTTTAACACCTTCGGTAGAGGTCGATATAGAACTGGGGGTATTGGAATCAAGATGGACGTTGATTCAAGGTATTCCTGGTAGTTCTTCCACGCGTTTGCTTCTGCCTCGTCTGCGTCAGGCTTTTGAGCCATCTTGTAGAACTTTTCTGCTGTTGGCTTCTCAGCGGTCGGTATTCCGGAACCAAACATGAGGACCCTTGAAGATATTCAACATCATGTTGACCTGGGCAGATAGTCTGACGGGCGACGTACAGGAAGGTGAACAGAGGTGACACGACAGATCCGTGCTGGGCGGCTCTTGCTGAAGATGGTAGGTCGCCATTGGTGCTCGGAGACAGGCATAGCATCCAGATGCCCCACCAACAAAGCATCCTATTGGATTCTATCAGAAGGGTATTCTTTGTAGAGTATGATATGCTTACTCTCCAAAGTAAGGTGGATGTCGAGACCAAGCCCAAAGTCCTCTCTGTATTCTTCGCCGTTAGGTAGGACTAAAGGCTCACTGAGAGAGACTAACCCGCATAGGAGAACCCTTGGGAATCTTTCCGCTTGACTTGTACCAGTACTAAATCATTATTAGGTACGCTAAATCCAGGCAAATTTCAGGGAAGACCCACCTTCTGGGCGTCAGCGACGCTTTCAATAATAAACCCGACAGCCCACACCACAATCCCCGCAATGTCTCTCGAGGTCCCAAACTCTGGGTTGGATCCACCGACTGCGGGATCGGAGACAGCTCGAGAGTTGAGGATTATTATGGGGAGGGAGACCACCCAAACCCATAGAATCTGAGCTGAGAGGAACAGCCACTGTCAGAACGGCCACGATCAATGGTACCCATGGAGCCTCACCTATCCAGAACCCTGCGAAAATTGAACGGGAATGAGTGCCCAGACGCCAGGTAACCGCGGTGGAAAACTGACCTAGGAATTTGAAGAAGTGAGAACGAATATCGTCAAAGCGACTGTCTTTTCCCATTTTGATAACTCTGAACAGGAGGAAACCTGGGACGATATGGCGGCTGGCTTGAGTCCACAAGCATGGCTGCAGCTGTGAATGGACGAACCTGCCAGTCGGATTGCCCATACCATTACGAGGACGCTCGCAACTGGAAGTGGTACCGCCAGGCTTAGCAGTTGCACTCATTAGCGCTTGACGAAACGCGTACCAATGTTTCGAGTGTAGAACGTGTTGCCAAGCAAGAGTGTGAGCAGGGCTGCACACGCGTTAGTTGCATGATCGACATGGCCTGAAAGAATGAAGCAGACCCAAGATGAAGAAGTTAGATCCTGGGGGAAGGTAAAGTTTAAAATACGTCTATTCTCCCAGTCATTAACTGAACTCACCACCCGTAAGGTCAGTAATCTTATCAAACTGCAAAGTCCATGCAATGGCGAACCCAAGCAACTGGTATCCCAGCGTAACCAGAAACGTTATGAGAAGGTAGTATTTGTCGAGTACGTGTGTGGGGGCCATATTGTCCTACACAATGTGGACTTGAGCAGTCGTTGTGGGAGGGAAAGAAAAGAGAGGCAGCGACAGGGGGATGACGCGCTGAGGGTATATATTTGGTAAATCAATTGCCTCCGAAACTCGATCCTGGGGAGTCCTGGGGCCGCGATCGACGGCCAAGACGATGCTGGTGAATCGTTTTAGACTTTGGTATTCTGCCATCGACGTCGAATACTAGCAAGCTGGGTGCCCGTTCACATCGAGGAGTGCGACTTGCTGAGTGCTCAGCTGAAGTGGTGAGTTCCCCGTTGATACACACTCGAAACTCGAGGTCGTCAAGCGTCAAGACGTGTAAGGACTGTATCAAAACTCTCCACTTTTCTAGTTTCTCCAACAGCACCGTCCATTGTCGTGAATGCCGCTTCTCTCCCTTTGGTGCTTCTCTGGCCATATCGGGAGTTGAGTGGGGCGCCAGGCCTTACCTCCAGCCGGAATCTCTTCTAGTTGGTATCTATCCATCTATTTGAGCGCGAGGCCATAACTGAAGCAAGTTCATATCTAGCTGCATACTGAACACGAAGTTCAGGGCACATTTCAAGCGACACATCGTGGACATGTCGCAGTGGAAGTTGCCTGTGCATCTTGCAAAATGCAGACGGACTGAGAATCCATCAAGCTGTGCATTGCAGGTATATAACCGCCCTGAGCTCAATTGCACAGTATTCGAGTCTCGGGGACCCCACCAACTTTCGCTTTCGCAATACTGGAGCTTTGTTCATGGACGGCCGACTTTGCGAAATACCGCTGAAAGCGCTGCCGGACAGAGGCCTGAGAAGGGTGGTCCTTCCCAATCCTTCAGATTTTCACGCTAGCAGAGCCTCAGAACAATGGGAACAGGGTGGTCGTACCGTGGGACCGACGCATGCAGAAACGGCAACCCGAGAACAGCTCAGTCTCCATCTTCAAACGAGTCGAGGCGTTACGGGAGATGGTCGCGCTACTAAGTAGAGTGTGTGTCTCTTCACTGGGGATGATGCCGCACGGAATGCCTAACCCGAACTTGGACGCCTCCCCCTAATTGTTTCAACTCCTTCGGATCCGGATGAAGAAAGGTTCAAATAACTCGTCTCTGTTATCCCAGCTGTATACTTAGTGCTTGCTTCGAGACAACTTGTAAGCAGGGAATTAAAAGTCACGATGTGTTACTAGTAAGAGAAAATGCAAGGCGGTGGCGCACGGAGAACTAGCGTGAGTGGGGGACCACGAGGACGACCTTTGTGCGGAACCATTGGCTGCCCTGGGAGCGTAAATTAGTCACAATGGGGCGTAGAATATCAGACACTAGCGAGAGTTGAGCGAATTTGGAACAGGCGGGCGCAAGGAAGGGCACTAATGTTGGGTTAATGATGTTATCCATAAGACAATTCGGAATTCCGCAATTTTCCAGGAACGAGACAAAACACGAGTCCTCCAGGCCATTTGGCCATGGTGGATGGCGACGATGGCCGATGTTGTGCTACTGAAGAATCTGTGTGAGGACGGTCTTGGCCGTCAACGTTCGGTGACTCGACTCGTCCATCGCATATTGTACGAGTTCCCGTGAACGTTTGTTATTCCGAATATGTACTGTATGTGAACGGTCGATTGAACTCGGGGATTCATTCCGCGCCTAAAGGTCCGTGCATAGACCTGGAGGAGACACTGGTAAGACATGAAACAGACTTGAAACCCTTTGCAGAGAGACTAGATGGACTGATATGAGGAGTTAGGCGCCGAGAGGAGAATAGGGGAAGAAAACCGAGCGGATGTCCGATTTGGCCGATTTGTGATCGGGTTACTCCGATTGGCGGGCGGCAAACATTGGCAAACGGATGATGTGCTTCACGCCAATACTTGCTCATTCTCTAAGAAGATAATGACCTGCATTTTTGGAAAAGCGCTGTTTGCCACCGTCCACATTCGACCTAGTCCCTTCCAGTAAGCATTTAAATAATTTCACAGTTCTGAGCTCACCGTTTCCTTGTTTCCAACAGTCACAATGTCCGTCGAAGCTGTAGCGCGTATCGCCTACCTCTCATCTGAGGTTGTGGTCGATTCCCAATTGTCTGGTCCATCCACCTCCAGCTTCTCGGAAACCTACCGTTCTCTCGAAAAAGTTGCGGCCCATAAACCGAGGGTCCTCCCAACTCCCTATGGCGCAGATCCTGGGTCCACTCTCCTTAGATATCCCTCAGACCTCACCACTTTCACCGCTTTCGCCTCCTCCCCAGTCGTGACCCGTCTGCTTCTGCACCTTGCAGAAATATCCACGAGACCCGTCGTACTCCACCTTGCAGTCCAGGACGATCTTTCAGACGTTCTGCTCCTCCGATCCGCGGTCCCCTTCTTCATCCTCTCCCAAACACCACAGGAAGCCCACGACAACGCCCTTTTGTCAGCTCGTCTCGCAAGAGTCGAGCAAAAGGCCGTCATTCACGCCTTCTTCTCCTCCTCCTCAAATGACCATCCACCGGTGGACGAGATCCCGGAGGACAAAATCTTCCCTTTCCTGCTTGCAAAGAAGCATCCCTCGTCCCCTGGTTCCCCCGTCGGCCATCTGAACGGTATTAACGGTATCAATGGCGTCAACGGAATCGCTAACGGCCATGTAAATGGTCATGTTAACGGCCAGTCAGCAAAGGACGACCCCATCACCACGCAACTCGTGAAGGCTTACGAGTCTGCAGCGCTGGACACACTTTCCTTGGTCAGGCGTCCCAAGCGTGCCTTGTCGGTCCGTGGCGCCTCTGATCCACATACCGTGCTTTTCCTTGTTGGGAAAGGTGACTTTGCACCCACCATCGAGGGCGTGTCATTCGTCACGCTCTCGCTGCTTAATCCCCTTCCAGCATCACGCCTCTCCAACGCCATCCCTGACTCAGCTACGAACGTGATCGTCCTCGAGCAAGTTCACAAGTGGACTACCAAATGGACCCCCCTGTACCTCGACTTGGTCAGCGCCATCCAGAGTCACAAGCCCGACCAGTCCGTTCGCGTCTACAACGGTATCTTGGGTGACCTGGACAACGTTTCCGTCCCTGATGTCTTGAAGCTCATCCAGCGCGCACCTGCCTCTGGTACTGAACGTCTCCAATTGGGTCCCATTTCCACCAGCTCCCCTTCCGCCACCACTCCCCATATCCCCAAGCACGAGGCTGCTTACACCCGCATCCTGGAACACCTTTTCAGCGACAGGTTGGAGATCGCTAACTCCCCCGCCCTCGTAGCTACCCAGGGTGACATCGCCACCACCCCCGAGTTTGCTTTGGGCCGTGTTCGGGGTCAGTTGGATGCCCGGAACGAGCTGGTTTCGGCCGTCCAAGGCCTTTTGCAAGACTCTAGCCTCGACAATGACCTTCACTCCTTGCTTAGCAAGTGGGTGCTGGCCAAGGATGACGGTGTGAAGAGCCGACAATTGGGAGACCAGATCGTCGCCAAACTCGAGGCCACTTCCCCTCCCAATCCCCTTGCTCAGCGCGTGCTGGCCCTTCGTCAGCACCTCCCTGCCGTGTCTCGCTGGATCGTTGGCTCTGATGCATGGTCCTATGACCTTGGATCTTCTGGTTTGCACCACGCCATTGCGTCCAAACTCAACGTCAACATTCTCATCCTTGACACCCTCCCTTACACCGCTCGCAACTCTGGAGACCCCCATCGCCGCAAGCAGGATGTCGGGTTGTACGCCATGAACCATGGTGATGTCTATGTCGCCAGCGTCGCTGTCTTCTCGTCCTACGCCCAAGTCCTCCAAGCCATTGCTGAAGCCGACCGCTTCGAAGGCCCTAGTGTCGTCCTCGCCTACCTCCCCTACCACTCGGAAGACTCGTCGGCCATCGACGTCTTGAAGGAGACCAAGCTCGCTGTCGATGCTGGCTATTGGCCTCTCTACCGATGGGATCCTAGCAAGGACGCCAAGGGCCTCGAACCTTTCTCCCTCGACTCTGAAGCTATCAAGAAGGACCTCCAGCAATTCCTTGATCGCCAGAACCACCTTTCTCAGCTCACGCGCTCGACTCCCGCCATCGCCGCCGAAGTCGTCAGCAGCTTGGGCGAGACGATCCGCGAAGCGAGGAAGAAGCGTGCTCAGCAATCGTACAACGACCTCGTCAGTGCGTTGGATGCTCCCCCTCTCCTCATTCTCTATGCTTCAGATGGAGGTGCGGCTGAGAAGAAGGCGAAGCGACTTGCCAACCGAGCCAAGGCTCGCGGCCTCTCCACCACTATCACTCCTCTCGACTCTTCCTCCTTGGAGGCCTTGAAGGAAGAGGAGTATGTCGTCTTCGTCTGTTCCACCGCCGGCCAAGGTGAACCACCCCAGAACGGCCGCAACTTCTTCAAGGCTCTCAACGCTGCTTCTTCCCGAGGCGAGTCTATCCTTCCCAACCTCAAGTACACCGTCTTTGGCATGGGTGACAGCCACTACTGGCCTCGCCCCGAGGATGCCCACTATTACAACAAGCCCGGTAAAGAACTCGACGCTCGACTCGAGAAGCTCGGCGCGGAGCGTGTCGCCGACATCGGTTTGGGTGACGACCAGGATGCTGACGGTAGCGAGACCGGGTACAAGATTTGGGAGCCCAAGTTGTGGAAGGCGCTTGGCGTCGATAACATCGACGTTGACGAGGCGGAGCCCGAGCCTATTACCAATGAACACATCAAGGCTGCTTCTGGTTACCTCCGTGGTACCATCGCTGAAGGACTCGAGGACACTACCACCGGCGCCCTTGCACCCTCCGATACCCAACTCACCAAGTTCCACGGTATCTACCAGCAAGACGACCGTGACATTCGGGATGAGCGACAAGCTCAAGGCGTCGAGCCTGCCTACAGCTTCATGATTCGTGTCCGTATGCCTGGTGGTGTTTGCACGCCCAAGCAGTGGTTGCAGATGGACCAAATCTCGGACGAGCATGCGAACGGAACGTTCAAGATTACGACGCGTGCTACGTTCCAGTTCCATGGTGTCATCAAGAGGCACTTGAAGCCTGCTATCCAGGATATCAACCGTGTTCTTTTGGATACCCTCGCTGCCTGTGGTGATGTTAACCGGTAAGAATCTTGCATCTTCGGGTTATTGCCTGGTACTCATTTCCTTTGTAGAAATGTAATCTGCTCGTCGATTCCCACTCTTTCCAAGCTGCATCGCCAGGTGTTTGAGTTCTCGAAGGAGCTGTCGGACCACCTCATTCCTCGCACTACTGCCTATCACGAAATCTGGCTCGACAAGAAGCTTGTTGCCGGTGACGCCGTGAAGGACTTTGAGCCCATCTACGGCGAGTTCTACCTCCCTCGGAAGGTATGTCGGCCGTCTCTCTCTCATCGTGATGCTTACTAACTCGAGCCACAGTTCAAGATCGCGGTAGCCGTCCCTCCCACCAACGACGTTGATGTGTTCGCCAACGATCTTGGTTTCATTGCCATCGTCGGGGACGATGGTGAACTCCAAGGATTCAACGTCACCATTGGTGGTGGCATGGGTGTCACTCACGGTAACAAGAAGACGTACCCCCGTGCTGGTAGCTTGCTCGGTTTCTGCACTCCTGAGCAGGGCAAGCACGTCGCGGAGAAGGTGATGATCGTCCAGCGCGACCACGGTAACCGTGTCGAGTACGTATCATTCAGATCTTTTATTCGTACCATGACTCATGTATATCCCATAGCCGCAAGAACGCCCGTCTCAAGTATACCCTTGACCGCCTCGGACTCGACAGGTACAGGGACGAAGTCGAGAAGCACCTTGGGTACAAGCTGCAGCCCGTGCGACCCTTCACGTTCGACCGCAACATTGACGATTTCGGATGGCACACCGGCGAAGACGGACGCCACCACTTCACCATGTTCATCGAAAACGGAAGGATCCTTGACGAGCCTGGAAAGGATTACAAGACTGGTCTCCGGGAGATTGCCAAGATCCACAAGGGCAACTTCCGTTTGACTGCCAACCAGCACGTCTTGGTGTCTGACATTGCCGATGAAGATCTCCCTGCTATCAAGGCCGTTCTCAAGAAGTACAACCTTGATAACCTCAACTACAGTGGCTTGAGGTTGGCGTCGTCGGCTTGTGTTGCCTTCCCCACTTGTGGACTGGCTATGGCTGAATCCGAGCGTGTAAGTCTTCCATTTCCTGCTAGAACGATAGTTGGGTCTGACGCTGTCTTTTAGTACCTCCCGGTTTTGATCGACAAGGTCGAGAAGATCTGTGAAGAGGCGGGATTGCGCCACGACGAGATCGTGATGAGGATGACGGGTTGCCCTAACGGCTGCGCTCGCCCTTACCTCGGCGAGGTCGCGTTCGTTGGTAAAGCACCTGGAAGCTACCTCATGTTGCTCGGTGGTGGATACTACGGTCAACGTCTTAACAAGATCTATAGAGGTATGTCTTTTCTACATGCTCGTTCGGAATGAGGAACTAATACTGGCTTTAGAATCGGTAACGGAGCCCGAAATCCTCGCCATCCTCGGACCCATGATCAAACGCTACGCACTCGAACGTCACGAGGGCGAGAGGTTTGGTGATTGGACTATTCGTGCGGGGTACATCTCTGCAGTTACTGAGGGCAAGGACTGGTATGAGGGTATGGGCGGTGAAGGCGAATGGCGTGAAGTTGCTGCTGGCGCCTCTGCGTAAAGTTAATCGATGGTCTGGGATCTGTATTGTAATAGCATTTGTATCACTAGGAAATTGGGAATCATCAAGCATACCGTTTCTGTCATTCTGACGAGCTGGTTGTGAATCGTGGCTGTGTGATGAGATTAGTCATCTGTGAGTGGGCAGGTCAGGACGTGTTTTACAAGTTGAGTTGGTTGACCGCGCGGTGTTGCCATGGCGGGTCTGGTATCGCCCAAACCTCTATCCTATCTTCAGCAGCCAAATGGTGGATATGGCCCTTTTGTTCGACAACACCCAACCTATTCAGAAACACCGCCCCTGTCCGTACTCCACCACCAACAATCCCAATACTCGGTCACCCCAGGCGCTGTAGGCGGCAGCTCGGTTCAAGAAGATAGCAAGATCTATTCGCTCGTCGTTGACCTTCTTGATCCAGCTACAAGAGAAAGTGCCCTGCTGGAATTGAGCAAGAAACGGGAACAGTATGACGACCTTGCTCTCGTTCTCTGGCATTCCTTCGGTGCGTCCCCAAATATCGATCCAGCGTCTCGGTTTACTTACCAGCAAGTGGTGTAGGCATTATGCCAGCCCTCCTTCAAGAAATTGTCTCTGTATACCCTCTACTTTCACCACCAAACCTAACTGCACATGCTTCCAATCGCGTTTGCAATGCGCTTGCCTTGCTCCAATGCGTCGCCTCTCATTCAGAAACTCGCCAGCTGTTCCTCAGCGGTGCGTTTCTCCGTCCAATCCAGCGTAACAACCGCATCTGATTATCGACGCAGCGCATATCCCATTGTTCTTATACCCCTTCCTGAATACGACATCCAAGACCCGACCCTTTGAATACCTTCGCCTCACCTCTCTAGGTGTGATTGGCGCTTTGGTCAAGGTAACTTTGTCTTGCGATTTCACGACCGTGACCGCGATTAACAGACTCTTGTAGCAAAACGATAACAGCTCCGTCATCCACTTTTTGCTCTCCACCGAAATCATCCCTCTCTGTCTCCGCATCATGGAAACCGGCTCTGAACTCTCCAAAACTGTCGCCATCTTCATTGTTCAGAAGATCTTGTTGGACGAGACGGGGTTGACTTATATCTGTCATACCTATGAGCGGTTCTATGCTGTTGGAACTGTGTTGTCGAACATGGTGAATCAGCTTGTTGAGACGCAAGCCGTACGTCTCCTCAAGCATGTTGTGAGGTGCTATCTCCGTCTGAGCGACAATCTTCGGTGCGTGTTTTGTGATCGGTACTTTATAGTTAGTTGGACTGACTTGATTGGCATTAGGGCGCGAGAGGCGTTGCGTGCATGTCTCCCTGAACCACTCCGAGACCAAACCTTTGCCACTTTGCTCAAGGTGAGACCACTTTTCGTGATTGATATTCGGAAGCTGACTCGGTGCCGTAGGGCGATATGGTGACTAAACGATGCTTAACAACTTTGCTTAACAATTTGGCAGAGTCATGAGATCTTTTTCTTGTGCGAGTTGTCGCGTTGAGCTCGCTGTAATAACTGTAGGGACACGATTATACATTAGTAATTAACGCCTGGAAATCTTGTATTCTAGATGTATGTAGTTCTAGCCAGAGGAAATGGACATCTCCACCTTGCCTAGACTTGGGGCAAGACATATGGGGCATCGTGGGAAGCCCAAGCTTTATTACAGCGCGAAGAAGAAATTATTGATTTACGTTGGTCTTCCGCATTCTCTCATGTGGTCCCTCAACGCAACAACTTGCCTCGACGCCGCCCCATACGATGACCCCCTTTGCTACCAGTCATCCTACACTCCTTTTTACTATTCACACAACAAGCACCTCGTCGAAGGCGTCTCGGACTACTACCTTACTCTTGCCGCTCCAGTCTTAGCCTACTGGTCGTTGTCGTTGTTCTTCCATTACCTCGACACACGACCCTGGAAATGGCTCGACAAATACCGCATTCACCCCTCTGAAGAGGTCGCCTCCAAAAACCTAGCTTCCCGTTCCTCCGTCGTCATCGCAGTCGTCTTCCAGCACGTCCTACAAACGCTCCTAGGGCTATGGTGGTTGGCCGACGACAACAAGACCCTCGTCGACCATCCAGCGTCAATACAAAATATCGCAAGCCAGATTAGACCAGTGCTTAGCCTGTTTGGCTTTGCGGATCCGATTCGCCTGCTCCAAGTCGCAGAGTTTGTGTATTGGTGGGCCATCCCAACCTTCCAGCTCCTCGCTGCCATGTACGTCTCAATCCCTATCCATATATTTTCCGTCCCAACTCATCATCCCCCCGTCCAGGTTCATCATCGACACTTGGCAGTACTTCCTCCACCGCGCAATGCATGTCAACAAATTCCTTTACCGACACTTCCACTCGTGGCATCACAGACTCTACGTCCCCTACGCTTTTGGCGCCCTCTACAACCACCCTATCGAGGGTTTCGTTCTCGACACCCTTGGAGCTGCAATGGCCGAATACCTAACGGGGATGTCTACGCGGCAGGCTATGGTCCTGTTCAGTGTCTCGACATTCAAGACTGTCGACGATCACTGCGGATACAACTTCCCTTGGGACCCGCTTCAGTTGGTCACTGGTAATAATGCTGACTATCACGACATCCATCACCAGGTGTGTACACCCTCCTATCCCATTTTCGGCACCGAGCTGACTGCGTCCACAGGTCATCGGCATCAAGTCCAACTTTGCTCAGCCGTTCTTCGTGCATTGGGATACGCTACTTGGTACTCGCATGACGCGCGAAGATATCAAGGCTCGTCGCGAGGGCCGCAAGAACAAGAAGGAGTAGATACTTTCCAAACCCCTCTACGTCATCGACATCCTCAGCGAGGAAGGAAGGACAACAACTTATAGATTACGACACGCACCACACCGCAACTCAAATATTGGTACCGGTACTCATTCACACTTTCTTTTTTCAAAAAGCCAACCCCCGTATTCAACTTCGCTACAGCTGTTTTAATAACCATGGATTACATCGCTATTAGTTTATCTCTTTTTATCTTTCATCACCCTTTCCTACTCTCCCGCCAACCCCTTCCCCCTCATCCCTCCAAATTTCTTTCAAGTTCTGTTTATTCTACCTGTTCTTAATCTGGTCCTATACCCCCTCACCCAAGATCTGCGTGCTACGTACGCTCTCATGTCCTATCCTTCACTTCACGTCTCTAACGTCCCCCCCCCCCTTCGTACGGTACGATTTAGCTACGACCCGCGCAGACGTGTACTCCCTCTCATTGTACATATGTACATACATCCTTGTACAGTGTTGTATCTGAACTCTGTACAGTTGAACTGTTCTTGCACTGTTGAATAGCAAACCTTGAGTAGCAAGTGGAGGTACAGAGAGGTGAAACAACCAGTTGTGGGTCCATACATAGCAGGACAATTTCCGAGTTATTTAGACTCTTTAAAGTGTTCACCATGGGTAATAACCTGGACACTGGCAAAACCCTGCCCACAAACCTGCAGGTCTTCTGCAGGGTTTGAGCTTCATTTCATCCAAAACAGCCCAGGAATGGGCAAGTTATGTGTCATGAATTGGAGACTCTTTTTCCTTTTCTTGCCAGGACTTGTAGTCTGTACTACTACTCATGGACACCAAAAGTGATGGCACTCTCATGTAGGGTTTTGATTCCCTTAGCTTCCTTATTTGTCTTATCATTTACTGGTCACAATCCTTATCTTATCTATGTCACTCCTTCCATGTCCCTCTCCTTTTCCCTATGATTCTCCATATGTTCTCATAGCTTATATAACTTACTACCTAGGTATATATACAGTGACTCAGCAAAAATTTTGCACGCTGGCTCACGCAAGTTTACATTTGATATAACTATGGATTGACTGGGCCGTTCGACTCAAGGCTCTGTAGAGAGATACATATGCATATAAAATATCTACCGGCCAATTTTCAGATCGATTACATTGTGCATTGTAAAGTTATAGGAAATTTGAGGTTTACGAGCGTACGAAATTTATGCTTTCTCTTGATCAAATCCAGGATTCATTGTTAAAACAGTTGTGTATTGTCGAAAATTGCATGGATTTGGGGGAACAAAATGCAGTACATTAATAGCGAGTAGATCCTCCCTTCGCCTTCCAAAGATCTTCCACTCATTGTGGAAGGCTGTCGTATAATCAGTCAATATAGTCCTTGTCTATCTTCCCCCACTCCTCCTGCAAAGCAACCCACAATTCCTCCAAGTTACGTGGCAAAGGGTTACGGGAACGCACCATATGGTCCAGGTGGTTCCAGAGGTTCTCGATGATGTTCATATCAGGTGAGTTGGGTGGCCAGTCAAGTACTTTGATTTGCTTTGCTGTAAACCAGTTTTTCGCGAGGTTGGTGTTACGAATTCTGCCCCTATCTCTTCTCTTCGCGTCCTTTCTCTATCACATGACTCTCTTTCTTGTTCACATGATCTCTTTCTTTATCTCGTGACTGTTTTATCTGTTAATTCTTCTTACTGCTGCAGCGCAGCCTTCTTTGACTCTTTATGACTCCTTTCTTGCTGCGGCGCAGCCACTCTTTATTGTTCTCCAATTTATCTCTGCTGCGCTCCGCAGTAACCTGTGCTCACGCAGCCTTCTTCTCTGACTCCTCTTGACTCATATTCACGTAGCTAGATAGGTATATAAGCTCTGTAGATACCTCCCTTGTTCCTTAGCTAGTTCTCGTGAATCACACCCACTTCTACTCTTCTCTCGAACTTGCTCTAGTCGTCTTAAGACAATACCTCTTGTGAGGCACTCTTAGACGCCTATATCCTCGAACTCGCCTCGGAACCACGACTCTACGGTCGATGTGCATGCTCACTCGAGTTCACGTCCCTTGACCGTAACAGAAGAACTAGCTCCAACACATCGTCATCCATACCTACGGGTGACAACCCCATCGACCACACAGAATTCCCACATACTCGGCATCTGACCCCCCAGAACGACTCCCTACACCACCGCCATTTGTCGACCCAGTAGCCACCCTAATTGCCTCAACACCCGGATCCCAGTCAACCACACCCCAGAGGACGTCTCCGAGGGCTTACCCCAAGCTCGACCAGACCATCAACACCATCTTTACTAGCGGTTAACCAATCGCTCCCTGAAGAAGAAAAAGACAACAAAGCACAAGGAACCTAAGAAGACTCAGGAGACGACGACTTCGACTGCAGCAACTTTGAACATCGACTCATCAGTGAACACTATGACACTAAACTCGACGACTGGTTCAACTGCGAGAACCAACCTTGGCCCAACTACCCAGAAGACCCAAGACATCAACCAAGCAAACAAGAACTGTCAGAAGTTTCTTTTGAAGAAGAGCCTTCTGCAGAATTCCAAGACGCCCAAGAAGAACCTAGCACCGAGACACAGCATCAAGAGGAAGGACCCTTGATTCCAGAACGTGAAGAAGAAGAACCCTTTACGCCAATCACCCTTGAACAACCAGTCACCATGGTCAACCCAGCCAACCCAGACAACAGAACCTGAGACGTCGTAATGAGTGATGAAACCAACCAGAAGATCCCTGAAAGGCGAATCAATCCGCCATCCCCCTTCACCGGTAAAAAGGAAGACCTCAACACCTTCCTCAAAGACGTGAAACTTTACTTGAAGGTCAACAAGCACATCTACACCGATGACGACAGCAAAATCACCTATCTCCTTTCGTTCCTCANAGGAGACGAAGCCTCTGCTTGGAAAGAAGCATGGCTACGATCCAAGGAGACCGATTCTGACATTGAATTGNGCACCTGGAAGGACTTTGTTGCCATCTTCAACGGCATTCCTCCGATCACAAACAAGAAGACACCTTACAGCGCCTGAAGACGATGACCCAAGGAAAGAAGACGGCTGAAGAACATGTAGCCGACTTCAAGATCGTCCTATCAAAAACCAATCTCCTCTCCAAGGACCACGCCAACAAGACTGAAGACCAAAGAGTCGCTGACACTGGAGACACTGTAGCCAGAGACTACTTCCAAGCCAGCCTGAATGATCCGCTTCGGAAGAAGCTCTTCGACCTTGAGAAACCCCCTCGAACCTTCAAGGAGTGGACAGAGAAGGCCATCGAAAAGGACAACAACTATTGTCGCTACTTTGCCCTCACCAACAAGGCCTCGGCCAAAACCTCGACCTCTACCAGACAGTGGAACTTCAGTCGCCCCGCTCCTGCCAAAGATCCTATGGCCATGGACATCGACACCATCATCTCCAAAGTCAAGGGCTTAGACCAGTCTGCAGGGACCGTTTTAGAGCAACACATCAGGGCAATTGGCCTTGGAAAGCTCTCTCCCCAAGAGAGAGCCAACCTGATCAAGAGAGGAGGATGCTTCCATTGCCGAAAAGATGGACATCGCTCCTGGGAATGCCCCAATAACACCACCAACAGTCGCTCTGCAGGGACCAGCAACCAGAACACCAGTAACCGTCAAAACTGGTCTTTCCGCCCAAAGAATGGCAAAGATCTCTACACCAATATCCGGGCCGCGATCCAAGAAGCAGGAGAGGAAGTCGTTGAAGAATTTTACAAGGAACTCGAGACCAACCAGGGTTTTTAGAATGGAGACCTGCATCGACGTCAGTGTCTCCCTATTTATCGATTCATTCTGCCTTAGTAGCCTGAAAGAACAATAAATGCTTATTTATTCCAATGCATCTTGAGGGCAAAACGGAGAGTGGAAAGATAATCGTCGACACCGAAGGAATGATAGATTTGGGAGCTGGAGGAAAATTCATTGACCAAAACTTGGCCTGAAACAAGAAACTCCCACTCCAACTCCTTCCAACCCCTCTGAAAGTCTACAACATAGACGGAACCCTGAATAAACAAGGAACCATCCAATACTCAACCGCCATGAACATCACTATCCACGGACACACACGACCTATTACTTTCTACATCACCGGCCTTGGAAAACAGAAAGTCATCATGGGTGTTCCCTGGCTTGAGGAAGCCAACCCCATCATCAATTGGAGGAAGGGTACCCTCGAGTGGCGACAGAGCGTTCCGTCGACACCGCCGATCACATCTACCAAGCCTTACACCCAGATCTTCAAGACCACCGTCGAAGAAATCCCGGACACTGAACCTCAGAACCTCGACCCACTACCTGATTGGTACCCAACCACCTCTCCTATGATACCCAAGAATCACTTTGACACCTTCGAAACCTACGTCAACGAGCTTATAGAAGGGAACTTTCCATTCGGGATAATGACGAGGGATCTCTCTTGACTAACGACCTGGTGATCTCATTCATCAATGGAGAACTTTCTGACGAAACGGGAGGACATCTGGATCAACACCACCCTCACCCACTCGCAGGCCTTCGAGCTCAAGTACAACCAGCAAGAAGAAATCAAGGACATCAGGCAACATGTACCTCCAGAATATCACGAATACCTCTCTGTCTTCGACGAGAAAGCGGCCTCCCGATTCCCCGAGTCTCGACCTTGGGACCACAGGATAGATCTGAAACCAGGATTCGAACCGAGGTCATCCAAGGTCTACCCGCTCACACCGGAGGAAGAGAAACTCGTCAAGGAATTCATCGATGACAATCTGGCCAAAGGATACATTTGACTGTCGGACTCTCCACAAGCATCTGGATTCTTCTTCGTTCCCAAGAAAGACGGAAAGAAATGCCCATGTCAAGACTATTGCTACCTGAACGAATGGACCGTCAAGAACACTTATCCCCTTCCCCCTGGTTACGGACCTCATGGACAAACTGAAAGGAGCCAAATACTTCACCAAGCTCGATGTCTTGAAGGGTTACAACA